CCCCCCCCCCCCCCCCCCCCCCCGCCCCCGGCCTAACTCTGTCCGTGTGTCTAGACCAAACTCCGCGAATCCGGCAACGCAGCCTACAAGAAATCCTCCCTCCCGGAAGCCCTGAACCTCTACACGCTCGCCATCCGCATGGCCTCCGAGCGCCCGCCGTGGGAAGCCTCGGGCCTCGTGCGCGAAGAACTCTCCGCCCTCTACAACAACCGCGCCCAAGTGCACATGGCCCAACAGGCGTGGCCGGAGGGCGCGTGCGATGCGGAGATCAGTGTGGAGTTGAAGCGGGTGGGGAATTTGAAGGGGTGGTGGCGACGGGGGATGTGTTTGAAGGAGATGGGGCGGTGGGAGGAGGCGCGGGAGTGGGTGGGGACGGGGTTGGAGTTTGAGAGGGCCGGGCCGGAGAAGCAGGGGGTGGGGGAGTTGGAGGCGTTGTTTAGGGAGGTTTGTAAGGGGGTGGAGGGGACCTGAGGGGGAATTTATCATGGTCTGGGCGACGTTTTCCGTGCGGCGGAGTATGTGCTTCGCGACGGGTGCATGCTTGACAGTGTGGTGGACCGGAGACGGAACGCGGAGAATCTGTCAGCGAGAGGTGGTTCCGTTTCTATGGAAGCGCGGAGACGGATGGTGATGGGACCGCCCATACGAGCATATCGTGACGGGACGACAGCTCACGCGCCTACTGCCTCCGCGAGGATGGATCGGTGGAACAGCAGCTGCAGAAGGGTTAAAGCATGGGGATGCCTTTGCGGCACGCGGGACAAGACCAGAACCGTTTCGGCAAGAAAACGAAATGATGGTCCTATGGTCACTTCAAGACGAAACCAGAAGGTGGAGTTCAAGACACAGTGTGAAGGAGAGCAGCCTGCGGACCACTGACAATGGCACGGGAGACCCCGGAGAGCCGTTTAAAGCACAGCGACGAATCCTCACAGTTGCTCCCTTCAGATATACTCAACATCCGTTGAGAATGTAGTGATCTCTTCCGCCAGCCCGACGTTCTGCCGACCTTGGTCGCCGGCCTAGCTCGTCGCTCTGTGCCGTGAACCGATTGTGTGGTGGGAAGTGCGCAATCTGCCGGCCGAAGCGTCATGATGTGTGCGGCAGGGTGAGAGTTGCGAGAACTCGATTCGGTATCGTGTGGATAGCAACCAGCCACTGTGCGGCGTCATGTCGCGTGAGATACATGTACAGTATGGTTGGTGTGGCTGGAGAGTTATAGAGACATTGTGAACATGAAACGAGAGGTTGGACAGGGGTCCGCGGCGATCCAACGCTCACCAGCCACTGTTGATGATTAGATGTATTTACTGCCGTCGCACCGAATCCCTGAGAGTTGCACTCTGCATTTGTGGCTACACTCTAATCTCGTCTTCCAGTATTATTGCGCCGAGTGTCATTGGCATCGCAACTCACGTGCGACCGGATTCACGACTGTTAGACAGGGCTGAAAGGCTGAAACGTCCCGCCCGTCCCCCAATCTTGCTGCAACCAAGTGAAAGTGGGATCAACCAAACAATCTTGATAGAAGACGCCCACGCTGCGAACGCTTCCTCACGTATCACTTGTTCTAGGTAGAGGTTGACTTCACCACTTGCATCCCTTCTCCTAACGGACAACAACATCAATCACGGTCACCCCTGCAAGTCTGAGAGAAGTCTGGACGCAGGAAGTCACACCCCACCGATCGGCACCTGCCCTCCATTGTTACAGTCACTACGGGGCAGCCGCAATGGCCTTTCCCAGCAGCTACACTCGCTACCAAGCTGTCACCAACAACACCACCACCACCACCGACTCATCAACAGACTACAACTCGGACACGCTCTACTCCACAGCATATCACGGCGCTGGCGGTATGATCGACGAGCGAAGCCTCCGTTCAATGGATCTGGACAGCGAAGACTACAACACCCTGCAATACCCGGCAGCAACAAAGACAATCACCCCAACCAGACAACCTCTAGGATCACGTCTACTTTCCACCTTCTCCAGCGCCCAGCCAGCAGCAGCAGCGGCAGCATTATCCCGACAGGGCTCCGTCCTGCACTCGCGAGCCAAATCCCTGGCAGCCTTCGTCCCCAGACTCAGCACCAGCAACGGCGCCACATCCCCCGAACGCACGCAACAGCGCCATCCCGTCTTCGGAGACCTGTTCAACGGGGAATCAGCGCCCGTCAGGCTGGGCATACCACCTTCCTCACCAACAAAGGAAGAATCCGAGTTCATCATGGACTACAAACCCTCCCTCACCGAGCGTCCAACCGGGCCAAGGCGGAAGAGCACTGCACCGACGCAGGGCAGCACAACAATCACCATCACCACTACCACCATCCCTTCTTCAAAACCAACCTGGTTCACCCGGCGACCCACCCTCCCAGCAACCCCCTCCGCAACAAACCCTCCTACAGACAAGCTCCTCACCCTCAACATCAACACAGCCCTCTTCCCCCACGGCCCCGCCGACCCCCTCTCCCCGCACGCCTACAACGACCTCCTCCTCACCGCCACCACCCTCCTCTCACGCCTGCAAACCGCATACGCAGAGAAGGTCTCCTACATCTCATCCATCCAGCCAGAGATCGACGCGCAGAGGGAGGAAGTCGAGGAAGCGGAGACGCGGGCCCAACACCTCAAGATGCAATTGGAAGACATGAGCCGGCAGGCGCAAGAGCAGGAACGGGCGATGCGGGAGATGGCGTTGCAATTAGCCGGGGAGAAGATGAAGGTGCAGGAACTGCGAGAGATGGCGCAGAACAGCATCAAGCTCGTCCGTCGATCAACGGACGAGCTGGCGGATGAAGTGACGCCGAGAAGGATAAAAAGGGCGTCCGGAAGTAGCGCGGGTAACGCGAGTGATTCGGGCTTCGAGTCCGACCTCGAGTACGCCGACTCCGTCACTTCTGCCGGCGCGGAAACGCCGCTCACACCGCCTCCCACTATGACGCTGACGTTGACGCCGGCGTACGATGGGCACGATTGGGCGGCGACAGCTGTACAGCCATCGACTCACTACTCGCGGGGAAGCACTGCGTCTGGCTGCAGTCGGCAGGCGTGGAATCGGCACGGCGGAAATGCAAGCGGAAGTGAAGCGCGCGTGGGCGGGCAAGTCGCGGCGTGGGCTACCGTCGAGCAATTGCGGGGGGAGAATGTGCAGTTGCGGCGGCAGGTGGATGAGATGGAGGGGACGTTGCAGGGGTGTATTGATCTCGTTAGTGGTGGGTTGAAGGCTTGATCCCAAGTAAACAAGTGGGAGGGCAGGGCTTTCAACCTCTCGTATAGATCACTGCACGCACACATATATATGTGTATGCATGCGCAAGCCTGAAGATGGGCGAATATTCACAATTCACATTCGGGAAGTTGTGTTCTGCAATACTACGACGTACGCTTGTTGGGAAGCGCTACCTAGCATCTCCTTCATCATCACCATCACCCGTCAAGCCTTTCCACTCGCGCTCGTGCCGTCAGACTCTCGTAGCACCGTCTCCTTCGGCCGTCGCAGGGAAACATCAATGGCAACCCACATGAAAACAGCGTCGGAGTCCCATCATACAAGCCCCAGTCGTAAAAGCGAAGCGAAGCGAAGCGAAAGCAGAAACATTCAACCGCACCGTACCCGCACCGCCGCAGCTCTCACGCCCCTACCAAGCCGGAACGCCGCCCTCACGCCGCTATTACGCCTTCTTCCCTCAATCAAGAAACAAGAAACAATTACCACCCCATCCTGAACTTCTTCTCCGGCAGCGCGCCAACCACTGCGGTAAAGCGTCTCTGACAATGCTTTGAAAGGGTGCTATGAGAAGTATGCAGATATGCAAAAGAAAAGGGGTGTCATGCGGGCGCTGAGCTCCTATGTGAAGTCTTGATCTAACCTTGTTCCCCTTTTCCTCATCCGTGTTTCATGTCGTCGTCGTTCGTTCGGTTCTTCGTTCTCGTCGTTCGTTTCGGGCGGGTTGACGTGTCTGAGGGGCGCATGCTGGATAGTACTGGTGATGCGGGTGTTGGTGGTTGGTAGCGGAGTCGGATATGGGATGACATTTGCCGGTCATACTGTCGTAATCACATTCGCTTGCTCTTATCGTTTGATCGGTATGAGTATGGCTGCACTCAATGCTCCACCGTAATCTCCGGCGCACTACTCTGCTGCGACAACTCATCGCTATTCCGTGCCACATGCCCATTCTGCCGCGGTCGCGGAAACCCCGGACCACGCTCCGGCAGTGGGCCGCGAGGCTGACGCTCAGGGCCGCCCGCTTGCAGGTTCGTGCGAGAGGAGGAACGATCTTCGTAATTCGTGCTGAACGAGCGGTGACTCCCAATCGGACCCGGGTTCTCACGGTCCCAGCTGGGGAAACCACGAAGACCACGTGGACTGCCGCCGAAGCCGTTACCGCCTAGGGTCATGTTGCCGAGACCATTGATGATGCCGTTTTCGCTTCGCTCCGCTAGGTTCGAGGGAGGCGTCATCAGGGTGGGCGTGTTGGATTGATTGGTGTCTCTGCCACCAAACTCTTGGAAGCGGGCGACGTTGTTGCTCAGCGCGGCTGGGAAGCTGGCGGTAGAAGGCACGGGGGATGGTGTGTATGAACGCAGGTCGGCGAACGATTTGGCGGCGCGTAAGCTTGTCGCCGGCCCGAGCCCACCCGCTACGGCAGAGTATTCGCTGTTGAGGTACCCGGACGCTTGGGCGCGGAGACCATTGTGGTATTCGTTCGATCCGCGCACGTCTGCGAAGTCGGTCGTGGCTGCACGGCTCAAGGCGCGTCGGGAGTCACCTTGCATGGTGGCGATCTGTGGCATCGGCGGACTGACGCGTGCCCTTGAGCCTTCCTTATAGACGTGGACGGCGCGTCTGTCCGCTTCGCCCTTCGACATGTGACCGAGGCCCATGTGGTGCGCAAGTGTGTGTACAATGCGGCGCTCGGGTGGCGAGAGGGTTGGCGGGAGTACGATGAGCTCGCGGGAAGGGTCCTCTTTGAACAGGAGCAATTTCGTGTAGTACTGTAGCGTCTGTGGGTCGTTCATATCGACATCGTTACCGATCTGCGGTGATTCGCCAGTGGGCGTGTCGACCCAACCGTTTGGTCTCATGCTGCGCGCCGAAAGCGGAGAAGGCGAGTGGTTCTGCAGGCGTGACGAGAGTGACGAGATCGAGCCTTGAGTCTGCAGGGTGGAAGGAGCCATGGGTCGATGCTGCTCCTCCAGTTGACCGCGCCTCTCACGCTTCTCGCGTTCTATGCGTTCGCGCTCGGCGGCAGGTAGCATCTTCTTGTACTCCACTCTCAACTTCCTGCCGTTGAGCTCGAAATGATTCATGGCATCAATTACTGCTCCAGTCTCCTCCGGGTTGGTGAAGTTGGCAAATGCCAAGCCGCGGAAGACGCCGTTGTCGAAGTGGTAGTTGAAGGCATACGGGAGAGGGAGGCCCATGTCGGTCATGATGGCCACAAGTTGCTCCTTCTTGATGGCAAACGGAATGTTCTTGATCACAATGGCAGTCGGTATGAGCTCTTCGTCGGGCTCAGAACCTAGGGTGTCCTGGCGCATCGATCCAAAGCCACCAATGTTCATGTACGGGTTGCCTTGCATCTGTTGCGGCTGATCAAGCCAGGCCTGGACGTGAAGTTAGTAGCGTTCGCAACCACAATCTCAACGTACGCTCGCTGACTCACCGACGGCAGACCAGACCTGCCCTTCGAATGAGGCCTTCTCATGCTAGAGGTACCAAGACCGTTCATCGTGTTGTTCTGACTGAAAGCGCTCGCGTTCCATGATCCACCACCCATGCCATAGTCGGCACCATAACCACCAATCGTAGCGTTGCGCATGTCGCCGTATTTGTCCCCTCCGTAAGCTTCCGGGTACAGGCCGGAGGGCAGGAAAGGGTGGGACTCAAACTGCTGACGGGAATTCTGACGGTTGAGGTTGCGGTGCGAGTTTGGTGAACGGTTGGATGGGCTGTCGTAATACATATCGTAGTTGCTATGGTTCATCGTGCCAGCTTGGCCCGGCTCTGAAGAACTCGTCTCGAGCGTTGCACACTAGACAGGCTTTAGTCGTGACGGGCGTTCGCACCAGTAATTTCGTGATTCGTGACCTGCCGTGATCTCGTGACTGATGATATCTTAACAATGAGCGACAGGCATCCGGTCAGACGAGGGCGAAGACCTCTTCAGCGAGATTGGGTAATGAGGTGTGAAATACGTATTCTCTTCCACACGCGATGCTGAGGTAGGAAGAGTTAGCGGATTGCCAGAGCTTGCGCAGTTCGGGGCCCCGTAGTAGCGAGCAGCAAGCGGCGACAAGAGCAGGTCCAGAAGCTTTCGAATGATCGCTGTCGCGTTGCTCGTGTGAGGGTGGTGTGAGATGAACGAGCGTGATAAGGGTGAGATGGGAGGGTGGTAGAAAGGCGTGCCGATAATAGGGAGGTTCTCCTGAGAATGTGGTCGTTCTTCAAATGAACGGCCCGCCGGCTGTCCCCGCCAAAACGACAAGGGTGCAGATGAATGGTAAAGGGTCGCCGAACGGTTTCGCTCGCGCTAATGGATTGCCGTCCGCCTTACAGACTCCGTCGGCTCCTCGACGCAATAATCACCGCGGTGCCGCCCTCGCAAGCCCACCTGAAGGAGACAGAATAGAACGAGGCTAATTATGCTGGCCTCATACGTCGCCCTATCCGCCTTGGGAAGAGGCCGCAGCTCTTCCGGCGTGCCGGCGTCGAAAAGGGTCGCTCAAAGAAGACCCAGACGATTTTGCCGGAGATGGTTGGCTGAGGTCGTCGAGCGAGTAATGGCGCTCTGAGGCTCCTTTGTTCTGCGGACGGCTTATTGCATGTGGATCAAGGTTCAATTTCAGCTCGCAAGAGTTCGTCAAGGCAGTGGCAACACTGCTCGAGTCGTTACTTGATCAGATGACGGTGCACACAGAGACTAATGCAACGAAGCCCAGCGTGCAGGGAGTGGGTGCTGAGGCGAAAGGCGATGGATTGGCTGAGCCAGCATGGGGCGAGGAGATGTACGGCACGCTACATTCGAGCGTGCATTTATCACTGCAATGTCTGCGACGCCCGACACACTATCTTCGAGCGGACTGCAGGTTGGTTCGTGAAGTTCATGCAGCTGCTGCAGTGTCTCCCACAAACGATCAAACACCACGGAATTGGGCAGCAGTCTGGCCTTCGAGTTAGAGTCGGCGGCACATCAGATGTGCTCTTGTTCGTAATTCTAGTATTCAAACGGTATCGCTCCAGATAGATTGACGAGTATATCATACCTGACACTGGCCCTAAGAGAAGACCTCAATACTGTCAAGCAAGGCTATCCTGGTCGAGCTTGCATCACGCATGAGCAGGATTTCTCGTGTCCGCCTGGGCATACATTTTCATTTGCATTCGCGACATGTTAGTCGTTCCTGTGTTCCCTAAGACATGTTCTTCGCCTTCGATAAGAACGGACTGAAAGCGTCAATTGGCTAACCGTGCCCGCACTCTGTACAGTTCAAGTCGTGCTTGTGGAGTTTCGGGTAGCTTCGGCTTTGGACGACTTCTCGAGAGCTACAGCATGCGGATACCCGTCTGAAAAGCATCTTGGTGATCGACAATCACTCTGCTTTCATCTCGCAGGCCCCTACCGTCATGTGACCTGTCAAACGTAGTTCCGTCGTACCTACCGAATTGGGCTGCTGTCCGTGTCTCGTGATTTGCATAGTAGCATGTGAGATGTCTTTTCTCGCTTCTCGCATCGCGTCTCACCTCGACCCAATCAACATAGCGGGAGCGCGTGGGATGTGTGAAGGTATGTGAAGGTTCTGCCAAACCGTCTCCTCTCTGCTCAGGATGCGCCCTTAGTGCCAATATCATAAGTCTCTATCCATGAGCCCTTAACCTTGTCATCAAATGGCGCATTGTTTGACTTGCGATGCTATATACTGCGAAATGCTTGTCACGAGAAAGAGTGCATACTCAAGATGCCAACACTCACTTACCGCTGCGTCACAACCGCCATCGAGCCAACAGCCTCTCATTGAGTGGCTCAAGCAGCAACAGGTGCACCCATGGCTCAATCAATACTACCAGCTTCTCTCTCGTCGCAGGCCCGGCCTACCTTCTGGGTCCGAGTGGGCAACCACGACTGCTTCAAGGACGGATTTTGAAGTATGCAAGTGACTGACCGTCCACGAGCACGACATATAGGGCATCTCAGTAACGTTATCGTGTGAGGCGGCGAAGAGTTGTAACGGGATAGAGACCGGGTTTACGGTGCCTTCTAGTGATTGCGCCAGATGGCACTGTGGTTCAGCCTGCCAGGGTAACTGGGTTTAGTAGGAAGGCAGGTGAGAGAGCCGTGGCATCAGTTCCGCGCAATTTGTGGTCCGTTGATCTCGAGCGGCCGAGCGAGTGCCTTATGTCCTACTCTGTTCCTGCTTTTTAGAAGGACAAGTATGGTCTTATGCTCGGGACTGTGAGCTATGCAGCCGTTGGGTATCTCAAGCGTTTCCGTAAATAGATCAAGTTCACTGGAGTAGCATGTGCATGCTCCGATACATGACTCCTCGCCTTAGAAGATTCTGATTGGTGTCATATGTGATTGTAAAAGAGAGAGAGGGGAAGGCACGACTAAGAGAGGTGGCTCGCTTCGCGGCGAAGCTTGACAACGCTCCCAAACTTCAACTCTCCGAGCCAGGTACATCGCAAAGCATCCTGCTTCATATACATCCCCGAACATGTCTCGCGTCCCCCAACCTCAACCGGACGAAGATCCACTCAATCCAAAGGCCGCAGCATCAGCCCTTGACTTCCTCCTCATCGAGCTGGTTCCGCTCGCTCAGCGAGTGACCGAGCAAGTCAATGCCCGGCACAAAGCACTAAGAGAGCAGTACGAGCGTACGAGGACGTCGATCAGAACCACGGCGTCTACACCCATCAACCAAGATGAGCAACAAGGAGCCAATGCCGAGAATGGGGCGATTGGCAGGGAAGCAAAACGCTCTGTGGATGACCAAGAGCCCGCCTTGACAAGCCTAGGCTTCCCCGTCATGACCGAGCAGACTCGAGAGGGTGTGTTCTGGCGGCTCGACGGTATGGGTTACCGAGTAGGACAAGGACTGGTTGAGCGGTAGGTACGCTTCTACCTCTTGCGCCGAGCAATCTAAACGAGAGTCCGGCTGATCTCTAGGCTAGCTTCTCCGTCAACAAGCCCAGACCAACCAACGAGCTGGATGCCATCAAGTTTATATGTAAGGATCTATGGATCCTTGTTTTCCGCAAGCAGATCGACAACCTCAAGACCAACCATCGAGGCATCTTCGTGCTCACGGACAACAAATTTCAGCCGCTCAGTAAGATGAGCATTGACCGGCGGGCGGGTAACAAGGCCGCTGAAGAAACTGCTGCTAGAGCGCAGACGGTAGGTGTCAATCGTTGAGACTGTGTGTTAGGTGCTTTTACTCATGTTTGGCAGTACCTATACTATCCGTGTGGCGTCATACGAGGCGCTCTTTCTGGCTTCGGGATGGAAGTCACCGTTGAAGGCTCTACAACAGAGATCCCATCGGCCACCTTTCAGATCAAGACGAAGGGCGCGAAGCCGTAAGCAACGTCAGAGATGTCTTCCTCCTACGACAACAAGCGTGCAGTCACAGCGTCTGCTGCTGTTACCCAGCACAATGCTCAAAAGCTCTCGGATCAGCATGTCCTGCGCCACTCGGCTGGTGTGCTTGAGTGGCTGGATGCCGAATCTCCTGCTGTGAACATTGCAAGCCATGCTTACAGTTCTGGCCACGAAATCCCTTCCACACTTTGCAGCCGCGGGTGGCCGCCCTGACAGATCCGTTCTTCGCTCTCCCGCTCACCCTCCACCCCTGGAGCTCGTGGACCGGCCATCGCTATCTTCTCGTTATCCAGCCTCGTAGCGACCGGATTCAGTTTGCGCCACCACAGCAATCCCCGGAGCCGGCAGCGGCAACCCAAATGCTGAAGTCTCTTTGGAGGCGCACCTGAGCCCTGCGTCCCATGACCTCCTATCGCGGGAAGGAGAGACTCAATCACACCGCCAACACATTGACATTTGAGGCGAGGACGTACGTTCATGGCGACGACCTGCCGATCGAACGGATTTCGGATGACAAGGTCCCTTTCCGGCTTCACGGTGGCATTTCTGATGCTGTCGCTTCGAAGGGACACAACGGCAGTCGTTGGATTTCAGGGAAGATGGAAAAGCTCGCAAGTGCGAAGATCGCTATGGTGTGTGACTGAAACAGTGGAATTTTACGCTTCTTGCAACGGATGACGAGGTTTACTTATTCCTACATACATTCGGACTCACGTGCTGCAGAGGAAGTTTGGTGCAGAAACAGCAGCAACAGAAAAAGTGTCATGCGCCGGCTGTCAATCACGGAGCGCTTCAGCCAGCGCGAGTAGAAACTCGCATAAAGACGAGAAGCTCACCATAAGTGAGCTGCTCTGATATACGTGCCGTTCGCACGACCGTCATTACGCGCTCGCTGGGCGCCTGAATGGGAAGAGTGCCAGGAATCGGCATCTGTCCGCTTATAGAAAGAGCTACACACGACATAATTCGCTACAATCCGCAGTCTCAGCAAAGGTAAACGATCAATTCCAAGCACGTGGGAAGCTCGCTCGTCCGTAATTCCTAACTCACTCTCACTCTCACTCTCACTCTCGACAAGCGCTGCCTTCCGAGTCCCAACCGTCGCTCTCCGACTCATCGTCGGACAAGGAAGAGGCAGCCCTGACACGAGGATCAATCCAGCCGGCGCACAAGCGAGATGAAGTGAAGAGACGGCGTGATGGTGTCCTCTCCTAGCCGGTCCCACCATACACCTGCTCCCCCTCCGCGTCAGGATCGTCTACACCTGATACGGAATCCGAGTCAGCTACATCCCACCCACTTTCTGTGCGCTATGCTGAATACGCACCTTGTCCCTCCTGCGGCCGATACCCCGCCATACCCGGGTGTCCTTGCGGCGCAGGCTGATACATCTGCTGCATCTGGCCCATCCCGTACGCCGGCTGGCCATACATACTCGGGTCGAACATCTGCTGCCCGCCATACTGCTGTTGCTGCTGCTGAGGAGCAGGCGGCGGGAACAGACCCGTCTGCTGTTGATACTGTGGTTGGGGGGGCATATGCTGTTGCTCCATCCCCGCGTATTCTGGCTGTCCGCCCATCTGCGGCGGCGGTTCCTGGCCACCCGCCATGACGCTGGGCCCTGTGGCGCTGCCTTGTGCTGCCGGGTCCGGGACGGCATACGTGCCTACAGCCGAGTACTCGGGTCGACGTTTATGCTGCGGTGTGGCGTCCTCACGCGGCACGATATCGATGAGGAAGTCGAACATGTCGCTCTTAGCGAGAGCGCTGGCGATGTCGCTGCGTTGGAGGGTGCGACGTTTGTTTTCCTCGGCGTGGATCCAGGCGCGCATGGTGAGTTCCGTGATGAAGATGTCGCAGCCTTTGGCGAAGAGGATGGGTGCTTCGGCGCTGATCATCTTGACTTCCGGGTCGGCTTTCATGACCTTTTTGATACGGGCGAGCGGGAGTTGGTGGAGTTTGTAGTCGTGGTCTTCCGTCTCGAGCTTTGTGACCTGGTTCTGCCAGTATGTGTTTAGGATGTCACGGTATTGTCCTTGCAAGCCTTGCGATACCTGCGAGATCATTAGCAAGCATATGATAGATGCGACGGGGCCAATGCCATGCAGACGTACATTCTGCCAATGTCCCGTGAACGTCTCCGGCGGTGGCGCGTTCCCTCCCGCCGCAATCGACGAACTGGCGCCGTAGTGTCCTCCATGCTTGGTGTCATACTCGGGCATACCATTCGTGCCATCATACCGTCTCGGTTGCTGCTGCGATGCTTGTTGCGCCTGCACGTTCGGCGGCAACCCGCCGTACGGCGCCTGCATCGCGGGATTGATATCACCGCCGATATGCTTATGCTTATGCGACGGGTGCCGACACGAGTATGAGAAGGATGAAACTCTGCGCGCTGTAGCGCACGCACACCAGCGTCAGGGCGCGATACCGATACCGCTGACGATGCGTCGCGATGTGACGTGGACTGCAGCAATAGCGGGCTGGGGGAGGCGGTGATGTGTTGGTCGCGGTCGCGCCTGCATGAGCATGTCAGTCGTGCGCGCGAGAGTAACCCCTCCTCCTCCTCCCATCGCCGCGCCATCTCCGCCGCGGTGGCAGGGAGGGTAGGGAAGAGTGTATGTGTCAACATACTGCTCGTCGTTGTTTACTCCAATCGGCGTCGTGCTTGAATTGCCGGCTGGCCAGTGGCGCTTGCTATTGGACCACTTCTCTAATTCGCCCTTACCACAAGCCTGCCAAGACTGATGCGTTCCGAGCCGTGTGGATCGATCGCAGTGTCACGACGAGAATTGATGGACGAACAACAAGTCTCACTGCAGTATAACCACAACAAGATTTTGAGCCCGTGACGATGTTGTCGCCATGCGGAAGTACAATGAGAGATACTGGATGACGCAGACACGACTCCCAGCCACGCCGCGGTTACCGATGGGAGGGATGAGCTGGCACATACGCCATGCCATGGCATGCAGCAGCGTGCTGTCCCGCGCTTCAGTCATCACCATCCCACGCGCTGCCCCTTCAGCCTCAGCATTAAGCATAGCAGCATGCAGTCGGAACCAAAAGGCTTGCGCCACTTTGCTTTTGTCCTTCAGGCTTCTCCGACACAGAAGCCCGCAATCCTGCACGATCTCGATGCCAGTAGTGGCGAGACCTTCCCGACCGACGCGTAGACCGAAATCGCCGCATTCGCATACGACTCGCAGCCCGATGGCCAGGCGAAGCGCACTTCAACTGCGTCGTACATTACTCCTCCTTCTCCTCCTTGCCCTCAAACACAGGCAACCTCTTCTCCACACTCTCCCACCCCTCCTTCCCCTTACACATCTTCCCAATCGCCTCCAGAATCTCCTCCAAACTCCCACGCACTTGCTTCGTGCTATCGCGGTCACGCAACGTGAAACCCTTGCCTTCGAGACTCTCGTAGTCAACCGTGATACCGAACGGAATGCCCAACTCGTCGTTGCGCGAATACCGCTTCCCGATCGAAACACCGGACTGATCGACTTTGTAACTGAGCTGTGCGTCGTCGAGACGGGCCTCAAGTTCCGAGAGCAACGGGGCGAAACGGGCGTCTTTTTGGAGCGGGACGACGAGGACCTTGATCGGCGCAAGGGTGGGCAGGAAGGACATGACCTGTATGCGACACTTCTCGTTAGCAAGCCGGGAATTATGCTCTTCCCAACACACTCGAGGTTGGGATCTTCCTTACCGATCTCGCCGCATCCCCTTCCCGCGTCCAATACACATGCTCCATCAAACTATACAGAATCCGGCCCACCCCAAACGAAGGCTCAATAACATTCGGAGTATACTCCCTCATCGTCTCCACCCGACTCTCCTTCGCGAAACTCACAATCTCCCTCCCCAACTCCACCTTCCCACCCTCCACCCCCTCCACACTCACCTCAACTTTCCCCTCCTTCTCCATACTAATCGACATCTTCTCCCTCATCTCCTGGCTCAACCCCGCCAACGCCGCTTCGACTTTACTCTGATCCTTCTTCAACTTCGGGCCCGACTTCTTCTTGTCCAAACTCGCCGTCCACTCCTCCACCCGTTTCGGGTCCTTAAGCGGCTCGCGAACTTTCAGAAACGTCCCCGTCGCCTTCTCGTGAACCGACAAGTCGTACGCACTTCTGTCCGCGCACCCGACACATTCGATCCAGCCGTAGGAGTTCAACAACTCGCAGTCCCAGCAATCGGCGGCGTAATGCGCCATTTCGTTCGCCATGTGCTGCCGGAAACGCAGCTTGGCCGGATCGATGCCGATTTTCTGCATGAACTGCATGATGCGCACGAGGAAGTAGCCCAGAGTTTCGTTGTCGACGAGTTTGCTGTCCACCGCTTCGCCTATGCTCGTGACGGTTGGGGTTGATCCGCCGGCGGATTGGGTCTTGCGGTCGAGGAGAGGGAGTTTGACGTCGCGGACTGAATGGAATTTGGGATGGCGTTTGCCGCTTTCCGGGTCGACGAAGTGTTCGATTTCTGCCATGAGGAATTCGCGCACACGCAGCAGGCCGGAGCGGGGGGAGAGCTCGTTGCGGAAGGAGTACCCTATCGAAGCGGAGGCCATGGGGAGTTGGTTGTCGGAGTACTCGAGGAGTTTCTGGAAGGAGAGGAATTGGCCTTGGGCGGTTTCGGGGCGGAGGAAGGCGGGTTCTTTCCCCGTGGCGCCGATTTGGGTTTGGAACATGAGGTTGACGGAGACGGGGGGTTCGACTTCGTTGTTGGTGGTTGGGTTGCGGATGTCGTGCTTTTTGATCAGCGCGCCCATGTCGTCGCCGGTGCAGTCGTCGAGGGTGGCGAGGAGGTGCTCGTATTCTTGCTTGACGGCGTCATCGAGCTTGACGGCGGATTTGACGGCTTTGGATTGCTTCTTTTTCTTTTTCGGGTCTTCTTCGGCGTCTTCGACTTTCTCACCGCGTGCTTCCTTGTCTGATTTGAGGCGTGCTTCGATCACGTCCTTGATTAGGTGGTCGGAGCGGAGAATCTCGCCGGTCTTGGGGTCTTTGCACATGTAGTCTGCGAACTTGTCGACGTGGCCGGACGTCTTCAGGACTTGGTAAGGCGTGATCATGGAGCATTTGAGCGCCATCATCTTCTCGTGTCGGATGAAGTGGTCCCGCCATATGTTGATCACTTCAGCTTCTAGATTCTCGAGTGGCGGTCCATAGTCGAAGAGGCCTTTGGTTGCGCCGTACCTACAGAACGAACAGTCTGTGTCAGTGTTGGCTTGGCATTAGATTCGAGGGAGGGAGGGAGGGTGGTCGTTGCCGTACGGTTCAAATGACTGCCAGAGAAAGACTTTCCGCCTCAGAAGAGACTCGAATGCATTCCGATCGAATTCCTGCCCGGTGCGGGTCTTGTATTCAGAGGCCATAGTGGCGGCCGCGCCTATGTTGCGGGTTCTGCTTGCGACTTGAAAGCGTTGCGCTGTCGCTGACGCAGAGAACAGTCGATGTAATGGAGCTAAGCAAGGCTGTGGTCGTACTCGCTTGAAGACGCGGGCTGTGTGTGGGTGGAAAGGTCTGACTCGGAGTGCTTGATTTGCTTGATATTTGTGGCTGCCAACGACTCTTCGCAGCGGAATGGACATTCACTTTCAATGAGTCAATAATACACCATATGCTGCACAGAGAGAGGCATCAAGAAAACTGCAACAAGTCCTTAGAGCTGGTTCTGTGTTGATTGGACTTTGATTGACTGTCTGTCCAATATTATCGCTTGCTCTCGTGCATAACCTGAAGGTATCCTTTTCACATTCGCAACAACTTTTTGTTATGATTAGTCAGCTGCCAAGACCAGGGGGGCTTTATGTGTGTTCTACATAGGTGGTGGTTAATTGCGTGGTGCCACAGATCGTGGGTAGTACACGTATAAACCTGCAATGCAGAGTGCCAACCGCATGGACTAGAAATGCGAGATGCTACTTTCCATCGCACCTGCATTTCTTAGTCCAGGCAATTCACCTGCCGCGGTGCGCTTTCAGACGTCCGAGCAGAACATTTCGAGCAAGTCGTCGTTTACTCGAATGCAGCGCTCATGCTCTACCGGCTGAGGCGGCTCAGCCCACTCATCGGAGTATAGTGTGCCAACGAGGAGCGGCCCATCTTGTGAAAGTCAACACGGCTGGATTCGGGATATGTCTTACTACGTAGAATGACACGCCACTTGTGGATGGACGTTATAAGTCGCCTCGTTGTTGGAGAGGTCCCCCCAGCGGAACCGTTGTCCCGTCCCAATATTTGACCTTTGGGCGGATCGCGAGAGGCCTCGCTCAGGTAGGGACAGCTTATCTCGCCTCACAACATCCAGAAGATCTACACAACATATCTACCGTAAGATCAACATGACCAGCATGACCACTACCGCGGCCAAACTCCAACAATGCGGACTCCGAACCAAATGAGCAGAACTCTTTGTCGAAACAATAGATGACATGCCGGCACTCGTCTGTCGTCCAGCAGCCGCACTCGCCGAAATTATGCTAATACTTGTCATCTCACCACTCGTCCCATTTATAGTCGTCGATTGGCTGTTAAGGAATAGGCCGCTTCCGCTCGATTCTGGAGCGAATGTCAACCCATCCACTACCACGGCCGAGCTTTGCCGTCCGAGTGTGGCAGTAGTTGTAGCCCCTTCGATCACGATATGAGACCCCTGCGACACAATTGAAAGCAGTTGTCCGTCGATGCCAGTCAATGTGGCAGCAGGCGCTGATAAGCGAGTCGACACTGCTGAAGGCCACATTGTCGTGGCCGATGCAGCTCCTGTGTAAATAGCGCCACCACTCATGGCCAAACTGAAGACGAGACTTCCAAGAATTGCAGCTCCACCAGGTGCGAGAGTCGTGGAACTTGTGCCTTCTTTCACCACCACGGAGCTACCACTGGCAGAGACAGTAGCAGTCTGACCATTGGTGAGTGTGAATGTGGACGCGGGGATTGGTGCAAGAGTCACGGCCGGAACAGCGTAGACTGCTCCGCCACTCGAAACACTGAAAGCGACCCCATCGACAGTCTGCATGGCTCCAGGTGCAAGTGTGACAGTTGAGCTTCGCTCTTGCAGAAGAACGGTTGCCCCGTTGCGAGACATCGTCACCACACTGCCGTCAGAGCCGAGGATACTGTTCGCCGCAAGCAGCGAAGCCTTCGGTGCCTGCTCAGCCGAGACAAGCTCATAGACCGCACCACCGTTCGACATGCTGAAGACGACGCCGTCCACGGTCTGAGGATCGCTGGCCTGCATGACCACAGTGGAGGAGGCTCCTTCCAAAAGTACGGATGTCCCTGCGTGAGCAATCGTGATTACGTTGCCGTTGCTACCGGTAATGGTCCCTTCGGTAACGAGCGAAGCTGCCGGCGCCGGAGTGAAGGCAGCAATTTTGTAGATGCCGGCCGATGAGCTGTCCATGCTTAGCGACAATCCACCGATACTGGCGAGCGAGCCAGGCGCAAGAGTCGCAGTGGAACCCGCATCGATAGCTAACATTGAGCTGCCTTGTCGGACCACGGTTACTTGTTTCCCGTCAGCGCCGGTGAGGACCGAGGTTGTAACGGGTATTGCTGTCATCATTGCCGAAGTCGAAGCAGATCCCAGGACGGCACTTGCGACGAGGTCGCCACCAGCGACACTTAACGCGAAACTGCCTAATGTAGCAGCTGAAATTCCGAGCGTGGTAGTCCGCCCGCCAGCTGCGATCACCGCGCTTCCACTGTGTTGTGCAACCGTGAGCGTTTGTCCAGCAATGTCCAGTACGGTAGATGAAGCGTCCGGCATTGCAACGGTGGTTCCAGGCATCGGACTCAGTGGCGAAGAAATCCGTGCAGCCGCATTCGGGACGGGATTGATGGATGCCAGACTCGCGATCGGCGAGAGGACGACTACACCAGTGCTGTCTGCCGTCACCGTCTGGCCATTGATGGTCTGTGCTGGTCCGCCGGCAGAGACAGTCTGTGATCCAATGCCATATACACTCGGTGCAAGAGTCGAGTAGCCGACTGGTATCCCACCAATTGACACGCTTTCTTGCGAAGCTGTCAATGTTGACAGAGCAACGAGCACCCCGTCGCTATTGACGCTCACGATGTCGCTGCCGATCGTCTGCGCAGAGCCACCGACGGCGACAGTCTGAGACCCAACAGCGTATGCACCCGTTCCAGCCGCTGAGACCACGGTCGTTAAGCTACCAATGATGATCGCCGTAGGAGATGCTTGGTTATCTGTTCCGGCAGGGCTAATACTTGACGGCGAACTGCTGGGAGGATCGTAACTCGACTGAGGACCTTGCGTTGAACGGTCCCCACTTTGACCACTGGCTGAAGTCACTCTGGCTGTTGGATCCCCGTTTGAGCTGCTTTTGCTAGTCGATGTAGGTGTGCTTAGTGCGTCCGAAAGTATCTGCAAAACATTGCGGCTGGTCGCTATGGTTGTTGCGGTCGATGCCGGGGTTGAATTTGGCGGGATCGTGGCTAGCGACTGTTGGCCGGCAACATCGGAACTCGAAGACAATGGATGACCTCCATCTGAAGTTGTTGCGGTTGATATTGATAATGTAGGATTCGAATCTGCACCCTTTGAGCTCTGACCAGAAGCTGCCAAGTCTGATGTGGATTTCTCGCCTGACATGCTGGACTCCGCGTTCGAAAATGCAGCTGTTGTTGTCGATGTGGTTGGATTAGGGATATAGTTGGAAGAGCTTGGTGTAGGGGATGCGGCTGTCAACGTTGGATCATCCGATACAGTGGTGCCTGGACTGTTCGAAACGGTTGCAGCAGTCGATGAAGGCAGAGAAAGCGCGACGGAACTGCTCGCTGCGGGAATGAGTGTGCTCTCGACTGAGCTTGTTAGGACCGTAGACGCAGGAGATGCAGGTTGCGAGGTTGCGGAGCCTGGCGCCGTGAGTGTCACACCAGCCGCTGTAGAGGCTGGTTTGAGCGAGGTAGGTGGGTCGTACAAGCCTAAGTGAATCGTCAGTGCTTATCGAACACGTCATACAGTCGACCGATGGGTGGAAAGGCACGAGGGATACCTTTGATATCGGCACTGCAAGGGGCCCAAAGCACGTCCAAGCTCTGCAAGAATTCGTTCGGCACGACCACTGTCGGCCGATATGGTTCATCGCTTGCGCAGGCCGATTGGTTGCAAAAGTTTGCGAACATCTCGCTGGCGCACGTCACCTGCGAGGTGAGGATGCTGTACGCCACCGGCGTGGTCAGAATATCCGTGACGTTGAATGAGGCCGTGGCTGTCAGGACGTTGGACGATGCGCCGAGTACGTTGGTATAGGTACAGGCGGTGGGGATTCCCCAGATGCTGCTGAGGGTGTACTGGGTCGGGAAGGGAATGATTGTCGACGTGATGGTGGGACCTATCGGGCCGCAGGCGTCGGCTGCGTGGATGGACGCGAAGGAGAGATAGTACGTCGGACTCGTGAAGGTCGTGTTGAACGCGGTTGCCGTCACCCTTCGCCCCGGCGCCGCAGTCAGGCCGGGCGAGAAATACATCAACTGGATCGCGCCGCCTGTGACCGCGCATCGCCCGCATCCGAGCGTGCAGCTAGGGGCAAAGCTAGCCCAAGACGGCCATCCCCATGTCGGACCGATGGACTGATTAGCAGGGAAAATGGGATATGCGTACTCGTTGTTCAAGTAGCCTTGGGGAAACTTGACGTTATTGACGTTGTAGGCCGTAGCATACCGGTTCGGCCACAGGTTCATGTTCTGACCGGAAACGTAGGCGTCCATTAGGGAGGTACACGCGGAGCCGGTGATGGCGGCTTGCGTGCATAGCGGTGTCCTAATGTTGACTTCAGCATGCCACGACATTGTCTTGGTTTCCCAGTCGGAGTAGCATGCTGGCGTCGCTTGTGAAAGAGGCCAGGCGGAAACCGGGTAATCGCTGACTCTGGAGACGAAGCATCTAGGTCTTAATTAGCGACATTTCACGTTTTTGTCGATGTTAAAACAATACTCACCCTGGTATGGCGGGAGGCGAAGGAAGAGGAAGCGCCGCCGTCGTCGCCCACGCTTCCCACTGGTCCTGACACGAGGAGTACATGGCCGGCAGAGTGCAAGTAGGTGCCGGTGGTGGGGAGTTCGTAGTCAGCGTCAGATAATCCCACTGGTCCGTCAAGGTCGCCACTGACATCCCCGTGACCGGGCTCCAAGTTCCAGATATGGAAGAGTCGGAGACCGATACCATTGTCACCGTGGTGAGAGGAATGGTGTACAGTGAATAGGACGTCGAAGCGTAAAGAGAGCTCCATGACCACCAGGACTGCCACTGGGTCCAGCATTGCTCCACATTGGAGGCGCTTGGCCAGCTGGAGTTGGTGGTATTGCTAGCGGTAAGAACAGACAATCCGCTGCCGAGTGAAGCAGGTGATCCATTGCTTGACCCGGACGTTCGCCCACTGCCGCCCGGCAGACTTGAGGTATTCCGCGTATGCTCGAGCCCGTGACATGATAAGTAATGATCTCTTGCGACGTCACTGTGACTGATAGGACCTTTGTTGACGTGCTTCTGGATGACAGAGCCGACTCTGAGGTGTTGGAAATGGGTGTAGAGGAGGAGTGATCGTTGAGGTTCGGCATGGAAGATGTGGTCGTAACAAGGATTAGACCGAGTCCGGCGGCGATGTAGTCGCCTATCACGGGTGTGGAGGACGTAGCCAGTGATTCAGCTGAACCTGTTCGTACTGTCGCCGAGCTGGTCGAGGATGTGTTGGCGGATGGCACGCTTGTGGAAGACGCACTCGTCGAGTTCTCCCCTCCGTTCGAGCTGAACGTCTTGCCAGAGCTGGAAGCGACGAGAGTTGTCTCGACTGTACTTGCGCCTGATAATGGAGAAGACCTGGCTGTGTCTGATTCTGGCTCGGTCGACAAAGTCGAAGACGACACTGTCGAACCCGACGATGTGGTGGAGACACTCGAGCTTGAGATAGCGGTTTGTGTACTCCATGTCGTACTGATACCCACAGACTGGTTACTAATGAAAGTCGACGGCAGCAAGTCGCTGGTCACACTCCGATCGTTCTCCGCTATGATGGACTTGCTACTGTTCGTATATGACCCTGTGCTCAAACAACATGCCAGATGCAGTAATGCTGTCGACACCGCACATGTCGAGAGCCAGCGACTGAACCTCGCCATATGTGCGATTCGTCAACTTTGTCATTCATTGTTCATCATTAAGGCGAAGAGTCCTGCAGAAAAACAGGTATGGAACGAACGAGGGATCAGTTTGAGAAATTCACCACCTCACCGTGTCTCCAGCACTTCGAGGCGGCTGGAGTCCGCGAGCATGTACGTCCTACCATATTGGCTCGAATCTGCTTTCGGATTCACGAGCAGGGTAGTAGTACATCCCGGAAACCAACATCAACCTACGCAAAGACCACTGACCTAGCGGCAATTTGGGGGTCGCGTTGGACGATCGGCCGAAAACGAGACATGCCGTGTCTCGAGCCCCACGCTCTTCGACCCTTGCCATGCTGGGAGTTGGGTCGGTCTCGCAGCTCGCAGCTTGCAGCACGGTCGTTGAGGTCTCCGCAACGCCAGGACATGGATTAGTGTCCAGCTTCTCACGACTGATGCAGGTCTCCGGAAGCCTCGATTGCTGATGCACCTTATTTCGGGTTCTGCAGTTTTTGGCGATGCCTCGGTGTTGTGGATTGGAGTAAAATGTGATTAGCATGCCGGATAAAGGATGCAGATGGGGGCCAACACCGAGACTCGACGCGTACAAGTGCGAAAGCAGATATGTCGATTGGCTAATGACGAGGGGTGGTGCGATGGCTTATCGGTCCCGGCTGCAATCATGCTGTCGCTGCCGAGCTCGATGTCAACTTGCATCATACAGGTGACGGATACTCTTCGGGTTAGTGTTATAGGTCGCTCGAAGGATATTCTGCACCGATAGTGAGGTGTTACTGAAGGCGAGAAGAGCCCTATCTTACAAAGGGAGTATAACATAATATCTGGTTACCTACCAAAATTATGGAGAAGGTCTTCTACACTCCCCATAGCTTGTAATCAGTGAAACCTGTACGGTCTCACACTAATGTTTTTCGTCTTCGTATAATACTTTTGGGGAGCGCCTCAACGCACAGACCAAGTGTAGCAGAAATCGTTCGCCTTCAATATCGACGCACTCTTTGATTAATTGATTCACTGAAGAATCAGTATATCGCTCAATAGCCATGGCATCCTCCAACCCCAACAAGATCCAAAACAAGATCAAACGGCAGCAAGAGCACGTGAAGCGGAAGAAGCAGCAAGAGACCACCAAACGTGAGCAGCGCTTCCGCCGGCGCAAACTCGAGGACAAGAACCCGGATCTACGGGCGACGCGACGAGCGAAGAATGTGCCGACGACGATAGACAGCAAACGGACATGGGATGAGGCGAATGCAGACGATGAGGCGGGCACGATGCTGGGCTTGAGCGTGGATGTGCTCCATCCCAAGCGATTCAAGGTGGATGATGAGAAGCCAGTGCCTGCAGATATTAACCCGGACGATCATCGGGTGGGAGACGGGGCGGAAGATGAGGAGGAGCCTGCCCCCGTTGTCGCGCCGAACCTGGAGGCAGACGGCGCGGAAGACGATGTCGACAGCATGCTCGCCTCCGACGATGAGGATGACCTCGCAGACGAGGACGACGACGAACAACCCCCGGACCGCGCCACAAGCGAAGCCCCCTCCGCCGCCCCTTCAGCAGCAACCACAACCGCCACCGACCTGGCCCTCACCCCGGAAGCGCTCATCACCCGCTTCCCCTCCCTCTTCAACCCCACCAACCCACCCACGGACCCCAAAGTCCTAATCACCACCTCCATAAACTCCACCCTCCACTGGGAAGCGCAACTTCTCACCTCCATCTTCCCCTCGAGCACCTACATCAAACGCACCGCCCACTTCCACAGCTACAAATACAGCGTCCGCGAAATCTGCGCCTACGCGACCAACAAAGCCTACACGCACGTCGTAATCCTAACCGAAGATCTCAAACGACCCAAAGGCCTCGACATCGTCCACCTCCCGGCCGGCCCAATGTTCCACTTCAGCATATCCCACTGGATCGAAGGCGCCAAGCTCCCCGGCCACGGCAACCCAACAAACCACTACCCGGAACTCATCCTCAACGGCTTCCGCACCCCACTCGGGCTGCTGACAGCCCACCTCTTCAAATCCCTCTTCCCACCGCGTCCCGAGATCCAAGGCCGGCAAGTCGTGACGCTACACAACCAGCGCGATTACATTTTCTTCCGGCGCCACCGCTACGTCTTTCGCGATCGGAAGGGGAGCGAGAAGAGCATCCAGGGCGCGGACGGGAAGCCGATGCAAGGGGTGGAGGGAATCAGGGCGGGACTGCAAGAGTTGGGGCCGCGGTTCACGCTGAAGTTGAGGAGGGTGGATCGGGGGATTCAGAGGAGGAGTGGGCAGGAGTGGGAGTGGAGGGCTGGGGATGAAAAGGTTCGGACGAGGTTTAGTTTGTAAATCCCCGTCTTTTCCTCTTTCTACAGATATGACGACGATGTGTGTGCGAGAGGGAGCTCAAGGTCAGCTCACATCGAGCACGCGACTCCAATCACTCGTGCTGCCGACTCGTCTGAACTCGACGCCTTCGCCGAAGTAGCCCGCTTCTTGCCATGCCTTCATGGTGGCGGCATCGTAAGGACCGTGAAGCGCGCCGCCATCGCGTGCATCGCTCCAGCGGTACTCCCATTGCGATGTGGCGTCTTCCGTACCATTGACAGGACCGTCGCCCGTCGATGAGTCGGTTACGGCGCTCGCTGGTGGTGTCCAGTCCTCCCCCGTCTCGCGCTTGTATTGCCGCATGAGTAGCTCACGCTCGGTATCGTAGATTTCGTGTTGGCCGCGGGAGTACAGCGCGTCTGCTGCGCCTGTTATGGCGTCTACCATGGTCTTGCGCGCGGTTTCTGCTGGATCTGCAGCGACGCCACTACCATTCACAGCAGCAGCGGCAGGCAGATCGACATCCATGTCATCCTTCTTTCCCTTCTTCCGTTTCCACTTCGGCACCTTCGTCTCCCTCCCCTTACTCTTACCCTTCTGCAACCTCTGCAGCGCCTCCAACGCAGTCTCACCCGTTTCTAACCCCGCGATCAACCTCCCCAACAGTTCACTCGTCAACGTAGCATCATCCTCCGCGGCCTTCCTCCTCACCTCCGCATCCCTCTTCTCTTGCGCCTCCCTCGCCCGCCGCATATCCTTCTTACTAAGCCCGTCCAACCAGCTATCATTCACCGCATCCGGGTCCGTAGCTTTACGCACATAATTCCCCGACTCATCAAAGCGGCCTTCCTCCTCTTCGTCGCGGAGGTTAAAGGCATCCAGCCGCGGCGCATGCTTCTTCTTGCCACCGGCGCCAATCTCTGCGGCGAGCTCGTCCTCCATCTCCGCAGGTAGCATGTCCCGCTCCTCATCCGACCCGGATTCGGAGCTCTCTTCCACGGACGGGGCTCGACGCTTGCCCTTCTGCTGCTGCTGCTGTCCGAGAAGTAGTTCAGAAGAAACGTGCCCGCCGCTTTTGCTATTCATAACTTGTCCTTCTATCTCCGAATGATCCAAAAACCGTACGTCCTTCTTCTTCTTCTTGCCCTCTCGCGCTAAATCCTCATCCTCATCCCCATCCGCTGTCCCCTGCACTGCTTCTTCCATATCGGCGAACATGTCGTCCTCCTCCTCGTCCTTACTCCTAGCTCCGCTCCCACTTCCATTCGCGCCGCCATTCTTCCTGCGCTCCCGCTCTGCAGCCCGGGCGTCAAAATTGTCGTTATCCGAGTCGGATTCATACCCGTCGATGTTGACGGCGTTGCGCTTGATCTGCGGCCCGGATTTGCCGATTACGTCGGCGTCGAGGATGAGGTCCTCTTCCGGCGCATCGGGGGCGAGGGTGCTGGGGTTGCGGGCGTCGAAGCGAGGTTTCTTCGAAGTATGCTCGTGGGAGCGGGCGAAGTCTTCGCCTGCCCTTTTGGGTCTTGCTGCTGAAGTGGCCATTGTGTCCGCTCGTCGCGATGAAGATAAGTCAACAATCGACGGCAGGACGGCAACGTCTCGTGGAATATCAAGCGCACAGACCACCCTGCACTCAGCGCGCTTGACTAGTGGGATCGTATATTCACTTCAAGCTTCCATCTGTGCATCACTGTGAAGACATGAGGTCTACCAATGAGTCTGCGTACACTACCACGAGCGACTAGATCTTGGAGCACTCCCCTTCAACGAACGTATAAGCCACCGTTGGCACTTACATGCAAAATGTCCTCCACGAACTCGTCCGATCCTCTCACGGTAGGCTTGAGCGCCGTGTCTAATGGCACTGATGCGCAGGGTCTTCGATATGCAGATGTTGGTCTCCCTTACACTCAAACACTCTCATACAACATATTAATAAGCGGGCCAGGTAGATCGGCATCAACCTCACTGACTCTATCTTTCGCGGCATCTACCATGACAAACAAGCTCACGAGGATGACTTGCAACATATCATCCAGCGAGCACTATCCGTCGGGGTGCGCAGAATGATGGTCACAGGTTCAGACCTTGCCGAAAGCAAGAACGCAGTCAAGCTAGCACAGGAATATCCTGGCCTCTGTTACGCAACCATTGGAGTACACCCTTGCCAAGCCAGATCATTCGTCACCCATCCGGACGGCCCAGACGCACTGCTCGCCGAACTTAGGAAGCTCGCCATCGAGTCTCGAGACGCAGGAACAGCAACTGCCTTTGGAGAGATAGGACTGGACTATGACCGCCTTCACTTCTGCGACAAAGACACCCAACTCACCTACTTCGCCGCCCAGCTGGATCTAGCCATCGAACTGCAACTACCGCTATTCCTGCACTCCCGCGCCGCATCCGAAGACTTCAAGCGCTTACTCCGCGAGCGCCTAGACAAGCTGCCCAAACGCGGGATCGTGCACTCCTTCACCGGCACCCTATCCGAAATGCAAGCGATCATCGACATGGGCTTCGACGTCGGGATCAACGGCTGCAGTATGAAAACCGAGGAGAACGTGGAAGTGGTGAAGGCCGTGCCATTGGAGCGGTTACAGATCGAGACGGACGGGCCTTGGTGCGATATGAGACCCAGTCATGCGAGTGCGAAGTTTCTTGCGAGTGCTCCGGAGATGCCGAAGGCGGTTAAGAAGGAGAAGTGGCAGCCGGAGATGATGGTGAAGGGCCGGAATGAGCCGTGTATGATTGTGTTGGTCGCGCATGCGATTGCTGGGATTCAGGGGGTCAGTGTGGAGGAGGTTTGCGAGCAGTAAGTCTGACTTCTTCTTTCCGCCTGGATTCGGGTTCAGAGAATGTGGATACTGATCAATATGTAGTGCATGGCGGAACTCAATACGAATGTTTGGTTTAGGCGAGACTAGGTCGCTTGACTGAGCGACTGGGGACCGCGAAGTCGCACATCCTTCCGAGCACGCCAGAAAGCTTATACTCGGACGCCGTTGTTCAGGGACTGGCGAGCGCTCGGCCGCAACGAAGCGCTCGTTCCTCAGCCGACCGTCTCGCTCTCCACAAGCACTAGCTTCTACGAAGTGTACTTTTTCCGACGTCGAGCGACGACTTACATGGCACCGTGCTGAAAGCAGTTGTGTCACGATAAACAGAATGTACAATGGTGCATCATTCAATGATACTTCTCACCGGGCAGCCATCGGCAGGGTCCTAGCGCACAGACCGAAGTGCAGTCGAAGCACCTACGAGTCAGCCGTCTTTGTAAGCATTTGGCACACCTACCTCATGCTTTTCACTCTTCTCCTGCGCCCGACCACGGATGAGTACTTACCGCGATGGACATCAGTTGAGTATCACTGCTTCGTACTTACAGATGAGGTTGATGTTGCTACCTCCCCGCTCCTCGCAATGGCTGAGCCGAAACCCATCATCACACAATCGACCGCCGTCAGAAGACAGACCGAGCCGATATCTCACACTTCCACAAAGCCCAGCACCGATCCTGCCTCGTTCGTACGCTCATCAGCTAAGCTAAGACCGATAGTGTCGACACCAGCCTTCGCCGGACGTATAGGTGGCAACCAGGAGTTCGTCTCTACCGATAATGCGCAGATTGAGAAGCAACCAGATGCCGCACCACTTCACCGCCTATCTGACGCTCTGAACTTGAATGTCTTTCTTGACCGTCAAATCTGGGTCATGGCGGTGATTGAAGGCTGGGGAACTTGTATACTGATCTTCATCTTCGGCGCTGGTGCATCGGGGCTCACCAGCATCGACGCATCCCCACTCGCAAGCACGCTTTACGCCGCTCTCCTTAACTTCGTCGGTCTCACCCTCTTCGTATTCGCCGCCGCGCCAGCATCAGGAGGTCACCTCAACCCTAGCATAACACTCGCAACGTTCTTTGCAGGTCTTTGCACCCTTCCTAGAGCCGTGCTGTACGTCATTGCGCAATGCGTTGGTGCCATCGTTGGTAGCTACTGGCTCAAACTTGGCTTGGGCGATGCTTACTTTCCCAGCGGTATAATACCGGGCTGCACGGTTGATCCTACGCTTGTATCTCGCGGCCAGCTGTTCGTGCTGGAGTATATGTTCTCCCAAGCACTCATTTTCACCGCTTTTGGCGTGGGTCTCGATCCACGGCAGGCGACTGTGTTCGGACCTGCTCTTGCGCCGATCCTCGTTGGAATGACATTAGGCCTGGGTACGCTGGCGTCGTCGTTGGCGAAGCCTGGCTATACCGGCTTGTGTAAGTGGAGAAGGCCACCTCGCATAGTAAGGAGTGCCAGCCGCTGACTGCTCCTGCAGCTTTCAACTCCGCCCGCTGCCTCGGTTTTATGGTGGCCAAAGGTGACATGCAGTACCACTACATTCACTGGCTCGCTACGCTGGCTGCCACCATGCTGAACGGCGTCTTCTACCACTTCGCACCTCCGTATGTGCGTGGGAAGCCCCGCGCAGCGGTCGTGCCATTGCATCACGTGTGAAGTAAAAGACCGCATAATCCATCCCTACCTTGCTGCGGCAATGGTCGTCGCCATCACCCTGCGCATTGTACTTAGGACCAAATTCAACCGTCACCATGCCAGACTTCACCTGCTCTTCCCTTCAATCCAAAACTCCTCGAAGCAAAAGCAAAACATACAGCAGCGGGTATTCCCCTGTCGTCACCGACCAGAGTACTAATCCACCGGTTCGCAGCTTAAGTACAGGAGAGCGAACGGGATCCGCTGTTCTCTGCGACCTATGGCCGTATGTGCTAGAATGTTTCCCCAATATTGGTTATATACCTCTACTTCGGAAAGCCCCAGTGAAACAAACCCTTCAAGATAAGACGAGACAGTAGCTTCTGCTGATATTCCGACAACGATGATGGCCGAGGTGGTCGAGTACTGTCAACGGAGTTTCAGTGGCTGCGGCTTTGACTGGATATGCTGAAGACCCGGTAGAAGCTCGTATGGCCGTGCATGCGGCTGTGGTGCGGCTAACCAACGCGAACCCGTCCCTAACGACCTCGAGGTGGGTCCCAAGAGCCTAGAATCACGCAGAGAAATGTGAGCGAGGACGAGCGTAGGGCGGTCCCAGACTATCTTGCACCTTCAGCGGTCATATGGCAATTATAGTAGTCTTAGCGCCTGCCTAGTGAACGACCGCTATGCCATCCCTAACCTCTGTCTTAAAGTCTCCCATCGCTTGGGACGCCATTCTCCGCGAACTGCTTCCCCAATACCATCATCTCCGCCAAACCCTCGGCCGTCAGAAACACCTCCGCATTCCCGCCCCCGTTGAAGCCCGCCAACATTCACCTGCCCTTCACTTTCCCATCTTCCTCCACCACACGTCCAACATGCGGCATTCCATCACCAGTGTACCCTTGGATCCCCGTCCAACACCGTACCATTCTTGCACCACTCCTAGCCTCCTCCCATCCTAGGAAGTGCCGCTGCATCAAGCCGTCAAAATGCGGAAACACCTCTGGAATAAGCGTCGCATCGTCCCAGTTCCCGTCCCACAGCGAGCGGTCGGCGCCATAGGTCCATTTGCCGCCACCGACAATAATAGAGGAGTGGGGGTCCGGGCGGGGATTGAGGTAGTCCACACGGGCTTCGGCGTCTGACTTGTCATCCTTACTGTCCGTGGTGGACGATGAAGGTGGAGGGGAGAGGTAGTTGATGTTGTACGTGTGAGACAAGTGAGGGAAGATCGGACCCTTGGTAGGGACGATATGGCACGCTGTTCCCCTAGTAGGGACGATCTGGTCCTTGTATGCTGCAAGCAGACCGGCAGTGTAGCCGTTCGTCGCGAAGACGACCTCTTTGGCCTTGAGCTGTTCGCGAGGGGTATGAAGGATGTTCTTGGACGAAGCGTGATCGTAGGTAAGGTTTTGAACCGGAGTGTTAGTGTGCACGTTCACGGCACGCGCCTCGACAAGCTTGGCCAGGAGCTGAGAGACAAACTTGTAAGGCCAGAAGGAGCCGATGGGACAGCTGATTGCTGCTTTCGCGCCTCTTATTGCGGTGACCTGCACACAGATGTCAGCGTATCAGGGCGCAGACTATTCGCCTGACATTACGCATACGTACCTGCTCGGCCATATCACCGTCGATGAAGTCACGATACTTTGTCCACGCATGGCCAGCTTCCAGCGCGCTTGAGAACTTAGTCTTCATACTCGGTGCCTCCTCCCTATCAACGAAGACATCGTAACTCCGGCGAAGCTCGAACTCACAATCGAGGCCCTCGGCCTCGACAGCATGTTTGATGGCATATACATGCGCATCCACGTAAGCAGCATACTCATCCGCCTGCTCTGGTCCATATCTCTCCGCATGTCTGAGCAGGGTCGGTGTTCGCGTTTTGATATGACCCTACATGGGAACTCAGCTCGCTGACCGTGTTCGCCGCTTGAGGTGACCACAGCAAGGCGATAGCGATGCTCGATACTCACTCCATTACGTCCAGTAGCGCCTGAACAGACTTGTCGAGCTTCCACAATGACAATATGCGGTCGTTCCTCAGCCTTCAAGTGCGAGGTCAGTTTACGTATGTGGTACGCAGTAGAGACGCCCGCTAGACCGGCGCCAATGATCGCAATGTCACATTCTGCCGGTAGCTCTGGGGTCAAACGATGCTCATCGATCCAGTGCCATTCCGTTCGCCAATATGGCACCGTTGCATTGGCCACAGGTAGGATCTGTTCTTCACGCTGTGTATGCGATTTAGCGGCAGTATTCCCTTCTGTTCGCTTCGAGGACAGCTTGGCAATTTCCGCGTCATCGTACAGTGAGATGGGTAATGGCGAGAATGCAAGGACCGAGATAATGGAGTACCGAAAGAGCACCAATTGAGAACATTTACCTTGCAATGGTATATGGCTGCCTTGCGCACCCTGTCGTTCACTTCCTACGAAGGAACATCAAGGTGTGGTGAATTTGGAAGGTCTACAGAGCCAGCTCCGAACTCTGTGCATCCAATGCCACAGCTAGCGTACAGACGATGCCATTGCATGGCGTATAAGGTCTGAGATATAGGTGCAGTGATGAAGCTGGTATTGAGGACTACCATGTACCTGGCGCGAGCGACAGTGAAGACTTTTCGGACTTTAGCCTGATGCTGCCTCCATTGACCATTAACCCCTCCTCCACACCCCGCAAGGCGTGACACTGCACAGCGTCGGCACTGCACCAAGCAGCCTAGTGTGTCTACCGTAGATTAAGCCAAGCCAAGGAGGCTTTCGTAATACAACGGCACAGTGATGGCTACGGCAATGCTCCAAAGACTTCGTCTCAGCAGCAAAGCGTCCCAGCCCGCTCGAAAAGACGACGTCCGGGCATCACGTTCCCTAGCACCTCCACCTCCTCTTCTCACTTTGCCCCCCGAGATTCGCAACGCGATATATGACTTCGTCGCGGCTCAGGCAAACCTCACGTTGGTAGTGGCACCGGCCAACAAGCGTCGGCCTAAGCGGCCAGCCCCCATCGTAGGCCTGTTGTTGGTGAACAAGCAGATCAACCATGAATTCTACCCAGTCCTGCTGGCGACCGCGCGCATCTCGACTCCAATAACCCACTTCGGCTTCCGCGATGTAGTCGCAACCATTGAAGGGCTGTCGCAAGACGAGTTGCGAAGCCTTGCGGCCAACCAGCGCTTCTACTTGACGCTACTCGTTACGCACGTTCCTCGACCGGAAGAGCTCGAGAACCTCGCGGTCTGGCTCAGCTTTAGAGCGGCAGAGGGTTCACATTCCCATCCCTCTGCATCGAAAACGGCTGCTCCTGCGACCTTCACAGCGAACACCCTGTGCTACCGCTACGACGCCAAAGTCGAGTCGACCCGCTCCATGGCCGGCACGCTGAACACGAAGCTAGTGCTTCTGACCGCGCTGATACGGCATATTGCACGCATGAGCGGGACAAAGACGGAGGAGCGGCAGCGTATAATCCGAGACTTGGCGGAGTATAAGGACTTGTTGTCGGGTGTTTCGCGGACGGCTGGGGAGCGAGAGGCGGATATTGACTTGGCTGCGGCCACGCTGGACTCGTCGGCCTTTGGTCCAACATGGATTCCGCAGTATCGGTAGTGCGGGTGTGCGAGTCCGGGATGAAGGCGCAAGGCCAGTGGCGACCGACTCCTTGTTAGTACGTGAGGCGCCCGAGGCATGATAACGGTACGCAGAAGATCGTTAAGGCGCGCAACGTCAGTTGTAAGCATGGGCTCAGGAGCAGCGCTTCGATTTCTTCCGCGGAACGCAGCCATCATCTGCATATACATCAGGTAACCAGGGGCTGGACTTTGAAAGCTGTTGCATCCGACAGTGCACTTTAAGCGTAGCCGTTGTTTGAATTGTGCCAGGGCATTGTGTGGGTGGCGAGTGACAGCTTGTGTCTGTCAGGTCGGCACAGCTCTAGGCTGGCAGAGTTGCACCATTCAGGACGCGGTTCCTCAAAGCAGGTCTCGTCGTGCATTGATCTGTGTCACGGTCCGGTGGTGTTAGGCCTTTCACGCTCCAAATGCCCTCATCATCCTAGTCTTGGTACCTTCCCACGTATTGAGTTTCGGCCTCACATCAAGGTAGAAGTTCAAGGCCCGTCCGGCGACACCAGAGTCCTTGCCGGAGTAGAAGTCAATAACGTAGTCTATACGCTTCCCACAACGATCCACAACCCAGTCGTGTCTGTCAAAAGGCATCTGGTACCCCATCAAAACATTCCACCTCGCCCTTGGAGTCAAAGCCTTACTGTCGCCACTAAAGCTCACGAGTTTCGGCCCACCGCACGCTTCAGACCCGCGACCGGCTTCCCAGGCTTTGATCTCGGACCAGGCACGCTCGTTAACAGCGTTGTGGATGGGGACTATGGAGGCCATATCAGAGGCGGAGGCGGAGTGGCCTTTGCGCTGCATGGCGGCGAAGAACATTTCCTGTGAGGGGTAGATCCAGTTGCCCGAAGCTGAATCGTGCCCGGTGTCCTTCTCGCTGTTAGCGGGAGGTTGGTTGTAGGGAGAACTGCTCTGCGCGCCATGAGATGCGGCGCTTTCGGCATGGTTGTACGATGTCGGACGGTGGGTTGGCGGTAGCGCTCTGGGGATGGTGGAGATCTCACGGTCGGTTGGGAGACGTTGCTTCTTCGCCCGTGGCGTTGCTGGGGTCGCAGTCGTCGGTATCTGCCAGGTCATCGTGTCCAGTGAGAATCTGGCTCGGGACTCCCGTTGTAGATCTCTTGTCGCAAGCGAGGCCGGTCGGCCAGTGCTCCCTCTTGTCTGACCTCCCTCCCTCGTCGCAGTCGTCTCTTGTCTTAGCATCCATGATCGCTCCTGCTCGTGCTGTCCTTCAGACTGACGTTCCTGCAGGGCTCTAGTGCCCTGTTGGTCCTTCGCTTGACCTGCATTTCGCTCGCTTTTGGCCTTCGCCGCCTGCAGCCACAGTTCCCGGGTTTTGGGATCTACCGGGCATTTCTCCGCCTCATCGCCTGTTGATGCTAGGGTTTTCATCGTTCTGCTTTGTGGCTACGATGGGTTGAAAGGGGATGCTCTTCGGGGGTTAAGGCGCCGCAGAGGACCGTGCATGAATGGCACGATGGTCGATACCATGGATTGACACCGAAGCACCTCCAGGTTACAAAGTAAATGAGCTCGCCACGACTATAACCGTAAACGATACATATGCACAATGGCTGAGGAGGAGGTCTACAGAGCAAGCACTTACGCGCCCGTCAACATCGCAGTAATCAAGTATTGGGGAAAGCGAGATACCAAGCTCAACCTGCCCACCAATTCGTCACTCTCCGTTACACTCTCGCAAGATGATCTTCGCACACATACCACGGCGTCATGCTCGGCACAGCTCAGCAAGGATACGTTACTGCTCAATGGAGAAGGCCAGGACATCTCCAGTACGAGGACGCAAGCCTGTCTGCGCGAGCTCCGATCTTTGCGACAACAACTGGAAGCGAAGCACGCCACTGCCCCAAAGCTGAGTCAAATGAAGTTAAAGATCGTTAGCGAGAACAACTTCCCGACTGCTGCAGGACTGGCGAGCAGCGCGGCAGGCTTTGCAGCTCTTGTACGTGCTGTTGCCGACCTCTACCAACTCCCTGCCTCACCAACAGAGTTGTCACGAATAGCAAGACAAGGCTCAGGCTCTGCTTGCCGAAGTCTCTTTGGTGGCTATGCAGGGTGGCAGATGGGCGAGAAGGACGACGGCTCGGACAGCGTAGCGTACGAGGTCGCGCCTGCCTCGCATTGGCCTGCGATGCGAGCGATCATCCTCGTTGCATCGGCGGAGAAGAAGGATGTCAGCAGTACGGCGGGTATGCAGCAGACCGTCGCCACCTCAGCACTATTTCAGCATAGAGCGAATAATGTCGTGCCCAAACGTATGAATATGATGGAAAAGGCTATGAAAGAACGCGACTTTGAGACTTTCGCAACGTTGACGATGAAGGACAGCAACAATTTCCACGCTTGCTGTTTAGATACTGAACCGCCGATCTTCTATATGAACGAGACTTCACGAGCGGCTGTGAGGATGTGCGAGGCCATCAACAAGGAGGCCGGGCGGAGCATCTGTGCTTACACGTTTGATGCCGGACCGAATGCTGTGGTGTACTATCTGAAGGATGACGAGAGCAGCGTGGTTGGTACGTTCAAATCGATGCTTGGTGAGAAAACAGGTTGGGAAGGTCCCAGAGGGCAAGCTATCAAGGCGTTGCAGAAGACGCCTGAAGGTGTTGAGATTATCAGCGAGATGTTGAAGAAGGGTGTCAGCCGCATCATCTTGACTGGTGTAGGAGACGGTCCAAGATCGACGAATGACCATCTTTGCTGAGAGTGCGGTGATTTTGACACACGGTCACACTCCGCACTCATTCTCGATCACACATACCATCCAATAGTGCCGTTGTGATGAACACCCACGCCAACGCAGTGGATCGTACTGCGTGGGGCACCTCAAGTCGTTCTGGTTGCGTCGCGCTGCCGGTCTCTGCGCGCCCTCGAGCTATCGTCTATGCAAGTCTTGATCAACCAGACCAGGCTTCGGATGATAATGAGCACGAGAATGCCGCAGAAGAATCCGACAACGATCGCCGTTGCTAAAGCGTGGCCGTGGAGGCGCTCTCGAGGCACAAGCGTTTGCGGCATGATGGATCGTGATGCCTTCAGGTCTCCAGCAGAAGTGGTAGGACTGTGCGAGCGTTGCAGCTGTGAATCAGCACGGCTTGTTGTCGTCAAGGGGGACAGGGTGCCTAAATTGCTAAGATAATGCTACGTGGATAATCACGAGCGCTCTCGCTCGCCCGGTTGTCTCAGTTCGGTGATGCACATTTTGCCACTTCCAAATGTTCACGTCTGACATGCTTCTTGGGAGTAGGTATATGATGAGAACTTCAGCACAGTTTGGTTACGCCACGGCGGGCTATGCTGCGTAGCCTGCGCTTCGGTTGTGTGTTGGCGCCCAGATTGTGGCGCATGTCTTGAATTCTTAGCTGGGACTACACGTCCGGACTGTGTGAAGATACACCATCTGCTTGTTCTTTCGCTACACATGCACGTGGACAGAGATAACCCACCGACGCGTGTCTGCATACAGAAACTGTAGAAGCGCTATATACGGTCCCTGAGAGATGACACTGCGCCGAATCTCTTCCAAGCCTTCGTCACACGTCATAGGCTATCACGGCTTACCGGACTTGTGCACTCAACTGCGTCCTTCCCAAACAAGTGTCTTGCAACCATCAAGAAACCTCCAGAAACGCAATGGTAATCGCAAAAGCCATGACAACGTTTCCCATAAGAGGCAAAAGCGTCCCTCCCTCGTTCCCGACCGCGTTGCCGCTTGCGGTAGACTTGGCCGGTACTGCTACCAGAGCAGAGACACGGGGATCATAAGCCAAGCAGCTTGTCGGCATCGGCAGGAAAGGGGTGCTGTTGAAGACTATGTCTCCGTCGATATAGTTGTCGGCAGCGCTGAAGTCCACGCCCCAGCCGAAGCTTCTCGTTGGTACCACATTAGTAAGGTTGTGGTAAATGTGGTCCGACTTAGCTCCACTCGGAGCCGGCTCGCAGCTACTTGTCACGTTGACCGCCTGCGAGACTGTGACGTCCTCGCTGATGACAGGCGCCCATATGCCAGCCCCAGCAACCTCGTGACCCAAAAAATCTCCTTGTAGGAAGAACGAAGGCCCGAACTGAATCTGAAAGTCGAAGTTGTCGTTCGGATCCGGGGATGAGTATTTAGTTGGTGTGATGGCGGATGCGTTGCTTGAGGAAAAGTCAGCAAGGAGCGGAAGAGCCATGTTCCGTGTGCCATACAAGCCTACAACTGTGGCGTTTGCCATGTTGAGTATCGGTAGCCAAATAGCGGGGCTTGCAGCGTCTGTCCCGTTCCTAATCGTGATCTGGAGATCCGTAGGTAGAAAAGTTAGCCATGTTTCAGACAATTGTACGGAGATTGACTAGTCGCTCCGCTGACCTCGTATTCGAAGCCATAGGTGAAGTTGACCGGAGAGGTAGCGTTAACGTATCCCAGGAGGGACGACACCACGCTCAGGTCGACGCCAATACCGAAGAACTCGCTCTACAGAGTAGTCAGCACGGTTTCGTGATACAGCGCTCCTTTCAAGCAATACACCTACAGTAAGACCAAATCCGGCAAGCGTTGGCGACAAGGGGTTGCCAAGTTGGACGGCGAATGCCGTTGAAGCATCTGGATCGGAGATGACGAATTGCAGCTCGATTACCGCATGGAAGCTCTTTACAACAGCGGCAACCCAGGCTCTTGTGTCACCAAAGTCAAAAGGCAACGCGGAGAAGCTAGAATCTGGTGCGTAGTGGCAATCAACAACTCCCTAGTTGCAACCTCCTGAGAAGGCAATGTCGCCAACAACCGAGCAGTTCTTGCAGAGAACATAATAACCGGTCGAGCTGTACGGTATTAGCTTGGTTTCAGAGCCGACACAGCAAGGTTTGGAGTTACTTGGTAAGCGGAAGGTCAGTTGCGTTCCAGTTGATGTAGATATCTGCCTCTTGACTGGTCGACGCGGCGGCAACACACGCCGCAAGAGTCACGACTGTGAATAAGCCGAGCATAACGACGAAGTCTTAATTTGAATGGCAAGATAGATGTAAAGAGAGTAATGATTGCAGATGCTAAGATAAAGGAGTGTTAGGAGGGCAAACTGGAGGGCTATATGCGCCAACGCTGCTCAGGCTACGGCTGAGTTGCAGTATGATTCCGTGCGGCACAAGTCGAGACAAGGCTGCTGATCCACGAGGATGGTGTAGATCTGCCCGTACAGAGCTTAGCCGGCTAGACACCGAAACCGATGGCGTTGCGGAGGCTTTCATTCTCGCTTGTCTTCATCGTCGTGGACGTTGCCATTGGTCGCTCACAGGAAAGGTGAGCATACGTGCATAGTCGCTGCGAAATACGGAAACTTCCAGCAAGGCTGAAACCGCAATGGTGACTATTGCCATGCATCTGTCCGCGCGCTCAGTGTCCTGGGTCTGGGAGCAATCCGAATCAGTAGACTATGACTGAACCCGAGCTACGTTCAAGGCGGCTTAAAGTCATCGTTTGCGCCTGCGAGAGTTCATTCAAGTGGCCATGGTCCAAATTTCGTGCATGCCTTCCAGATCATATATCTGGGCGTGCGGAGGAAGTGAGGTCCGCTTCGGAGGTTCTGGTCTGCGCAGGGTACCGTAACATGCTCCTCTCAACCGCTGTACAAGGGTGGGTTTGAACATTACGAAGAGGCAGCGAAGGCTTGCCTCAGCCTGGGGCGCACACCAATGGGTGTCGCATGCTCCGGTCGACCACTTTGCTGGTGACTTTGGGCGCTTAGCGGTATGGTATCTGTGGAACGAACCGCCAGCGGACATGTTTTCGGCCCCCAAAGGCGCAGCTTGAGTGACGAACAGAGCGTTACCAGCTGGGAATACACGTATGCACAGCTCGGATGATGAGGCGTTGTTATTGCGATCGCGCTCAGCACCTGACGTGAGAGAATGGGTGCACAGCAAGCAAGGACCACAACGATCGAGAGAAATCAGTGAGAGTCGGTGGCAGAAGTCATGGTCGCATATTATCCCATCGCTGCGTCAGTCTCGCAAACTAATGATTTCGAACGAGCTGCGAAGCTATTGCGGATAATGGTGGGATCTGTGCAGAGTCCTGGAATTTGATTCCGCAAGTTTCCTCACAGCGATTTACGGAGACTGTGTTACGCCGGGAACTGCGGCCATGTCTAATCCACTGAGCATAGAGACGGACGACGGACTTGCCAAGACGGACGTCCGCTGTCACCTCATCTTCACCACGTCGAACGTTTACGCAGGGTGGAAGGATGTCTACCAATGGAGGCACCAGGACAGTTCGCAGTAAAGCGAAGAGTTGCGTGGAGTCTGTGTACTGTGCGTGCACCTGCGAGGATCGGTGCAGTTGAACGACGTCGCTTTCATCCCGTTAATTCGGTTCCGAACCGTAGACTCCGTTAGCATTGTGGACCCGAACCCGAATCACAACGGCGAAGAAGTCATGAAACCGAGATTAAGCAGTGAGGAACACTGAGTGTCTTGTGTGGTCAGCGATGCTTTTGGTTCGATGGCAATGTTCACCTGCATCGGCCCTTGCTGTTCTGCGCAACGCATATGCCTGAACCCTAACGAGCTACAGGCCGCCGAAGAAAGATACGATGCACATGGACGACCAACGAGAATGGGTTATGCACTCAGTGTACTGCCTTCGAGCGCAGTTGCATGCCACAGCATGGATCTCGCGGCACCGATAGAGACGGCATCGGCGCTCGCGTGACCACTCCGCTTGGGCAAGATCGTCTGAGCAGGCTGGAGCGGGAGTTGGCATCTCTCGCAGCTGTCGTCCGCAATCACCAGACGAACAGCGCACATGCACCCAATGAGCAAGCACTCCACGATGGACATAAGCGGAGCCATGTGCATCTAGATCGCAGTATCTGTCACTAGCTGACCCTTCCTACCCATTTGTCCACAGGCAGCGATCTAATAACCGGCAGCAATGATGTTATACCGGACGAAAATGGCTTGAGTCCAGCTTTTCACCTCAAGCTGCTGTTCGCCAGTGTCTCTGACACCCGTGTTGATGATGTGCCACCAAATGCAGTAGAGAGGCCAAGCAGCCGTAAGCAAAGCAATGCGGAGGTCCGCTCACTTGTCTGGCACGTGGCTGACCGTCCTATCAATCAATCCCCTAGGCCGCTTGCAAAATCTGAATACCACTGCGCGCAACTCGCTGTTACCGCTTCTGCCTTGCAGAGATAAAATCGCCCAGGTTGCCGATCACGCCACGTCCTGGATGTCATTCTACAATGCTCTGTTTCCGCAAACATTCGCGCAGCGTGCCAGTCCACAGCTTATGGCACGGTATGAAGCCGTAAATCGTCCAGCTGCTGACGCAGTGATGCTTACTTCTTTCCTCTTAGTGCTCGCGGTCACAGCATTGCAAATACCTCGGAGAAATGCCACTCACATGCTGTGCGGACGTGTTATACCTCAGTACGCTGATCTTGGTTCAGGGACAGTAGAGCAGGCCGTAATTAGCAGCGCTGACCTTGCTGAGAGTGTTGCTGGACTGGAGACGGTCCTGCTGTATGTTCGCTTGTAGGTGTTTCTTCACAGTCGCGCACAAGGCGGGCATGCTGACCGTGATGCAGACAACTTGCTCGAGGTAACCTACGGGATATGTGGCTCACCTTACGGCGGGCAGTAGCCTTGGCTGAGCTCTACGGCTTACCCAACGCTGCGAATCACTCAACGAACCAGCTATACAGCCTTGAGGCAGATTCGCAGCCAGCGGAGGCCGAAGTCTGGGAAGCGGTTTGCGCGACTGACCGGAACTGCAGCATGATGCTCAACTTGCCGGCAGGGACCGCCAGCTACGCTTTCCCGCGAGATACAGAGGTGATGCGGGATGGTCAAGTATCACCGAAGGTGTACAACTGTCTTTGGTCCAACATCTGCCTCCGTATATTTGAGCTTGACAGGTCGTTCGTGCGTGCAGTGGACGAGGCTTACTACATACAGCGATGCATTGGCAATCGACCGTGAACTGTACGCAATGGCAGCACGACCGCCGTAAACATGGTGGTCTGCAGTCGAGACGCTGACACTCGCCGAACAACTTGTGCAATTCTGGCACCATTACTTGTTGGCGAGAGTGCACCTTCGCTTTGCATCGACAAATGATGGTGAAGATGCATATACTCACAGCGGAACGCTCTGTGGAAGAGCATGTCAAGACGCTCTTCGCCGCTTCATCGTATTCAGACGGGAGCTGCCACTTGAGTTCTTCATCTGCCGTGTTGTTGACATACAAGCATTCACCGCGGCTGTTGTTCTGCTCATGTCAGAAAACAGTTCAACAGAGAGGAGTGCTGCAGATGGTGGGCAAGACTGTGTACAACTTACGGACAGTGTTCTTGAAACGTTTGAAGAGCATGGCGGCTCAAGATTTACACGCGAGGCTGCTGTAGCCCTCGGCTCTTTGAAGCAGTCTATGCTGGGAGGCTTTAATAACGGCGAAAACGGTGTCGTGTTGCAGATACCGCATCTTGGCAGAATTCAGCTCAAGCATCCCTTCTATCGGTCAAAGACACCGCCGCCAAGAGAAGAAAGCGCTCGGCCCCTTCCTCACGCGTCGCCAGGCCCCTTCCTCACGCGTCGCAACAGCCGCTTGCTGAACAGTTTTTGTACGCAGGAGGTGGAGTTCCAGAAACGCTTGACGCCAATCTTACCTCTCGTTCCTGGTAAGTAGGGTAACGCGTAGCCCTTCGCGACTGTCTGCCATAGCTGACCCGTCCAAACTCTAGGCTACCGAACCTCTTTGCAAGCGAAGAGCTTGCCGACTTAGAGCAACGGATGAACCTTGACGACTTCACCTAGGGTTTTAGATTGGGCGCCCTCGGCCTGGCTCAGTGATACCCACACTATAGTGTGCGGCAGCATGAGTTGGTGGGCACTCTCAGCAGCTTGAACGATTGCGGAAACACGCGATGTATGTCGTGGTTGTTTTGGGAGGCCTACGTGCATACATTCCCAAAGAGGAATGCTCGCCTCAACATACGCCTAGCTGACAACGCGGCAGTTTATGCATCTTGCTGCGGAATTCTGAGCATGATGTTTCACGGCGTCTGGTTGCATCGTCCAAGCATACGTGGCTGTGTATCGTTTGGCTCACGCTATCGAACTTCCGTCTCGGCTCCGTTGCGCGTCCGTCCGGAGCGCGCAGGTTTCAGATGGAGCTCAAAACATTCTACGACAGTGGGACAAACAAGCCAGCAGTCGGACGGAGACGCAGAAGATCATCCGCGGAGAGAACGTACAAGACCTCGCCGTGCGGCGCTTCCAGATCAAACAATCATATCTCCATCCTGTCATTACTCCTGGCCACGTGCGTCTTCCCACACAACGATACATATTACATCACTCTACCCTGACAGCCCTATAATTCAAACATCATGTCCAGTACGTCCTCCATGATGCGTGCTGCGTATTCTCGAGCACTAGGGCCGGCATCCAATCTTGAGCCCGCCACCATCCCCATACCTACACCTCAACCCGGCCAGGTCCTTATCCGCGTAAGAAGCTTTCGGTCTCAACTACTCCGAGATCTTGACACGCAAGTTCGGGCGTGCGCCAATAGGTCCAGTCCAACTACCACGAGTCCTCAGCATAGAGGCGGCTGGTATCATTGAAGCCGCGCCGGGCAGCGAGGAAGCCTTCCCAAGAGGCGCCATCGTCCTCACGACTCTCGGCGGGATGGGCGTCATGTTCGACGGCGCATATGCAGAGTACACCTGCGTGTCGAAAGCGAATGTGCATGTGCTCAAGCGGCCTACGACGCTGGATTGGAAGGTTCTGGGCGCCTTGCCCGTTATGCTACAGACCGCTCATGGAAGCCTTTTCCGAGGCCTGAAGCTGAAAGCCGGTGAAACTCTGCTTGTCCGTGGCGGCACCACAAGCGTTGGTCTTGCTGCTGCAGCCATAGCGACGAACACAGGAGCGAAGGGACTGGCCACGACACGGCGCGGGGGCGACCAAACCGCTCGCACGATGAAGGAGAGCGGCGCAGACCAAGTACTTATCGACGACCGTGGCTGAGTTGACGAAGCGGTCAAGAAGGCGTACCCCGCCGGTGTCGACAAGGTCCTGGAACTCGTCGGCGGGTACACGCTGCCAGACTCTCTTAGCTGCCTTGCCGAAGGCGGCATCTGCTGCTTCACGGGACTTGTAGGTGGCAGTCCCACCGCGCCGCAGTTCCATCCTCTTGGTATGATTGCGACAGAGCGCTATCTGACCGCTTACGGCGAGCGGATGTTCCACGCGAGAAAATGGCCGATTGACGAGTTGGTGCAGCACGTCGAGGACGGCTCGCTCAAAGTTCAGGTAGGGAAGGTGGTTAACATCGATCAGATCATGGATGCGCACGAGTATGTGGAGAGCCATGCGGGACTGGGCAAGGTCGTGGTTTTGGTCTGATGTTGCTTTTGATCGAAGGCAAGAACCGTGGGAGTGAGATAAGCTGCTGTGCAGTGCATAGCAATGTACAAGCACGCAACGTGTTCCGGTTTCGTGATCATGCCAAGTCTTCACATTGTATCCCAAGGCGATTGTGAGTCTACAAGCTGCCAAGAGGCCTTGAGTTGATTATGCCAGGCTACACACTTAGGATGCCGCGCATGGAGACGTTGGTCCCCTCTACTCTAGCCTCTTACAGCTTTGCAACGCTCCAGCTAATCCAGGATAAATGTGAACAAGTTCGTATGAACCACATTCAACGCCCTCGTAGCATCGCGGGCATCGATAACGCAGCTAATATTGATTTCGCTCGCACCCTGCGAGATCATCTCAATATTGATCCCATTGTCGCCTAGCGTGCTGAAAAAGCGACCACTGACACCGACCATGTTCCTCAACTGTCGTCCGATAAGGGAGATGATGGCCATGTTGGGAACAATATCGACATCGCCCCAGCGGCCGAGATCCTCAACCGCGCCTCTCAGTGCTTCCGATCGGATCTTCATCTCCTCTTCCCGCTCGCCGGACAGTAATGCCTCCTCTGAGTGCAAGGCCATGGAGACGTGCACTTCAGAGGACGAAATGAGGTCAACAGATAGACCGTGCTTGTCCAGCGTGCTGAAAATGGACATCAGGAAGCCATGCGCACGCGTGCGCCTCTTCGAGTGCACATTCAATACTGTGATCTTCGGCTTGATGGTTACAGCCGTCGGACGTTTCGGCTTGGTATGTTGGCTCAAATTCGAAACTGAGCGATTACGAAACAGCCCTGGCTGCTTGTTGCTAATGTCGTCCGCGCGGTCCGGTACGACCATTGTGCCGTCCCCACGCGGGTTCATGACGTTCTTGATGCGGATGGGTATGCTGGCTCTGATGACTTGGTCCATGGTGAAGGGATGGATGACCTCGGAGCCGTAGAAGGTCAATTCCGCGGCTTCGCTGGGTGTGACGGAATCCAATAGACGCGCGGTCGGGACCTTGCGTGGGTCGGCGGTGAAAATGCCGTCGACCTCTTTCCAGATTTGTAGCTCCTTGGCTTGAAGTCCGACTGCGACGAGCGCTGCGCAAAGGTCGGTATAGCCTCTGCCGATTTGTTGGAGCAGCCCGCCCGGCACCCGGCCAAAGTAGCCGGTCATGACTGGGACGACGCCGGGCTTTAGCGAGTGCACGCGCTCTCCAAGTGTTGTTGCAAGGGTAGTGTAGAATATATGGTCGAGAGTCTTGGTGGCGGAAGGTGTTACAATGTCACTCAGGTCCACATACACGGCGTTGGTCCCACGATCCTGCAGCAGCGCAGTCATGTAGAGACAGCTGAGCTTTTCTCCCACGGACATGATCATGTCCTTGACCTGCGAAAGGTAGAATTGTCAGCCCAATTTCCAGCGGTTGCGCGTGGAACAGCACATCGCTTACCGGGTTCGAAACCTCCCTCAAGCGCTGCGCAGCAGCCAGGTCTTGCAATAGATCATCGCATTCCTTCTCAATAGCTCCCGAGTACTGCGCAAGTATCTCTGCGCTCCTCAAGCAGTCCTGCCCAGCCTTCAAATGGTCCGCACGGATCGCAGCGACAACCTCGAGATACTTGTCGCTGTTTGACTCAACCTCCTTCGCGGCTTTTAGTAGGCGGGTCGTCGTCCCTTCAGATTTCGTTCCAGTACTTCGTGCCGAGCAAACCACGGCAATACGCTGGTCCTTAAGGCCTGCCCTGCTGTATTCAGTATCTTGCCCATTACAGTATGCGCCGCACAATAAACTTACAGCACAATGTCCTGCGCAATCTTTACAGCAAACTTGCCCACGCTCGTCCCGCCGAACTTTTGAACGACCCAATTCGCTCCACCGGGAAGGTCCCTTTCTTGTGTGTGTGGTATTCTCGATTCGAACGAAGCCACTGGAACGATGCCATTGCGCTCAAGCGCAGTTTTGCGAGCTTGTCTTATTATTGGGAAGTCCATATCTATCGCCGAACGCCTTGTATGAGCAGAAGCGAGTGTGGTAGACCTGCGATGTTGTGAATCGTTGAAATATATGTGTAATGGGCATTGAGTCGAACTTCGAGTCAGAAAATCTACTGTGGGGTTGGAAATAAGGTCCTCTCGGTCCGCTGCAAGGTCCAGTTGGCGCTATTGGCAGTTGGGACGATCAGACCCAGATTGGTTCCTGGCGTACGACCGAAAGGAGATAGCGAAGGTAAAGTGGATGACTGAACTACATCGCCCTGAACAACAACATCCGCGATGCTCGCACTCCACGCTACCAAATACACCCAAGCCTCAAAAGACCGCCTTCCGTCCCCTGCCACCATCATCATCAAACCCGACCCCCCTCCACTTCAACCTCCCCAACAATCCCCTCATACCACCCCCCATGCCCCTCCCAATCCACCCTCCTCACGCCCTCCAGCACCTCCACCATCCCTGAAATCTGCCCCGTCATCTCGCCCAACCCACACGACGTCAGCATCTCACTCGCCGAAGACGCCGCCCTCACTCGCTCAACAGACGTACTAGCGCTGAGTCGACCAAGGACATGCGTGCGCAGGCGTTGGAAGAGGACTTTGAGGACCGGATCCGTGAATCGGATTCCCACACCCTCCGAAGTTGCGGCTGCTTGGGAGAAGAAACGGGTGATGGTGCCGTTGAGTTGTTGCTTTGTCGAGGGAGGGATGTTCGAGGCCGTCTCTAGGATGCTGAAGGCCTTTTGCGCTGTTGTCGTAGGCTCTTCCGATGAGCTCGCGTCCGGGGGGGTGGTGCTGCTGCTACCGTAGGCCTCGATAGAAAGAAGCTGCCACAGGCGAGACGCTTGAGCCTTCCATTGAGCGCGGACATCCCGTTTCAGCAAGTTCTTGGCCGTAAGCAGTACCGCGCCGATAACAGTAACCCGTACAGCTTGTGCACGGATCTCCGCCAGTCGTGCAACATCCAGGTGCAGCGTCTCCGGCACCGCATCCATGGTAAGCGGACCTTGCTCGATCGCCAAATCCACCAAGACGCGGGCATACACCTTCTCCGGCTTTGGTCGATCAGCAGCCAGCCTCACACCCCCCGGATCCCTGCCATCAGCTTCCGTGCTCAAATGGCCTTGGGCATCGCGCCACCACCGCTTAGTCCGCTGCAGGGTAATCCTCCCCGCCTCCAAATCCGCAGCGAAAGCCCTCTGCTCATACCCCGCCGCCTCGCGGACAAGTGTGGGTGCCATGCTCATGAGCATGAAATTGGTGTAGTCCAGACTCAACGTATCCACCGCTCGCAGGAGTTTGAAAAGTTTATCGATCATAGCGTCCAATTCACCTCCCTCTGCCGTAGGCTGTTGTTTCAACCCGCCGACTAACGCAGCAATTTCCTGATCCCGAAACGGAGCGCAAAGTTTCGGGAGCACGTTAGCCATGAAATCGAAAAACCCGTCATACGAGAAAATGCCAGCCTGACACTGTCGTGCAATCGACTCCAGATCCAGCGTCTCGCTGATGAGAGTGTACATGCTGTTCCCCGGCTTCAGCATGCGCAGCAGCTTTTCGCGCACATTCTCCGCCGCGCTGAGGGTCCAGAGCGAGCCCTCGCCGGCCTCGAAACATTGTTTCATCGAGGCACAGATGGATCGGTACAAGTCTTCTCGTAGCGCGGCGGAGGTGTCGGTGAGTTTGTAGTCTTTGTCAATCGCTAGCTCGTGGGTTAGGACTCGGTTGCTGGGCATGGGCGTGAACAGTTTCCGTGTGATCTCGGCTGAGGATTGTGACTGCCATTCCTCAGCCTCCGTTGCCGGAGTCGGCTCCACCAGAGTCGCAGCGGGCTCCGCCGAGGCTTGTACAGACGGTACCTCGACACCGCGCGGCCGCACTTCAGCAGCGTTCCGCTTCTTCGGCCTCTTCCTGCGGCTCTCCCTAATCGCCTTCTTGATCAGCTGGTCCGCGCGATCGGCACCGGCCAACTTCCGGATGCGCGAAAGTAGAAGGACCTGGTTATCGCGGATGCCTTCGCGGTAATCCGAGGCTACTTCGCCGCGGTCATCGTCCTTGACGGTTTGCCAAATAGCGTCCAGTTCGACGAAACTTGCCACCATGCCTTCGATCAGTACGGACGAGTCCTGCAGTCTCCATGCCGCGAAGGCGGAGGTGTAGGCGGAGTAAGATTGCGACAGCGCTTCCAGTTGTGTCGCACTGGGGGAGTAGTTATTCCAAGCCGCTAGTCTCGCCAGGGTGTTGTCGGTGTTGGCCAGTAGTTCGGTGGCTTTGGGAAGTAGGTCTTGTTCTTGTGCTCCGTTCCGATTTAGTAACACAGCGGTAGGATGCGCCAGCATTAAGTACGCGCTCAAGAATGTCCGGGTATTGAGCGACGCGTTCTCATCGTTCGCATGCTGCAGGCCGAGCTGGGTTAAGAAGGCGGTGGTGGTACGGATGACGTCCGGTCTGGCAATCAAGGCAGTCATGTCGTCGAAGGTGGAGTTCGCTTGCTGTAACCCAAGCTTGACGAAGGCGCATATCACGCCTCGTCGTCGAGACAGCCGCCACGCTCGCTGGATCGCGCAAGCAGCAGCCGCCTCGTTCAACGTAGACGACGCTTCTTCGTCCACGACGGCCTCCTCCTCAATATCACCCACCTCCTCCACAACCGCCAGCTTCTTCTCAGCACTATCCGCCCGTCTCGCGCGGCGCGCCTGCAAATTCCGCTGATACTCCCCCCTCCGCCGCTCAGCCTCCGCATGTCTCTCCTCCATCTCAGCTCTGACTCTCGCCTCCTCCGCCAGCTTCCGCTCCTTAACCTCCTCCGCAATGCGCTTCGCGCGCGCGACTTCCTCCGCACACGCCGCCGCAACCTTGGCGAGATACTTCTCCTTCGCCAACTGCGCCGCGAGCGCGCGCTCCTCGCTCGCACTGACATCTCCGCGTGGCGCCGCTTTCGCCAAGGCGGCTCGTAGGCGCACTTGTTCGGCATGCGCCGCACGGTCGGCCAGGCGCGCTTTGCGAGACTCGATGATGGAGGCGCGACGGAGGTGCTGCGCGATGTAATTGCTCTGGTACCCTGAGCCGCGACGGTGAGAGACTGAGGATGCGCGTGAGTGGGCGGACGAGAGGCTGTTGCGGCGCGAGGAGGCGGCGGACGACTTCCGGCGGGCGTTGGCACGGTTGCGGTAGAAGCGAGCGGCGAGGTGTGGTGGCGGCGCGTAGATTTGCTGTTCGTTGTCCGTCATGGTTTCCGTGGGAGTAATGGGTCCTGTGATATCGTGAATGTCTTCCATGTTGTGAGCCTCTTCCGGCGATCGTTGTTCCGGGTCTGGCGCGCCCATTGCGTTACAAAGCGGATGATCGTCCGGGAACGATTGTGCTTCGTCCAATCAATATGTGTTCGCTGGTGAGGTGTCGCGCGACGGCGATGTATAGGATATGCTAGGTTGAGACTTGATGTTGTTATCGAACGTTAGACAGAAGGCAAGTTCGGTGGCTGGTGGTGACAGGGATGACGCCTGCCATGAAGCTTCGGCGACAGCCAGCATGGAAGCAACTCGATCCTGCCCCACCCCTGTTTGTGTTCGCCTGACTAATGCTGCTGCTGCGCAAGACATGTCACACGAGCAGCCCACCCGTCTCTGCACTCTGCACCATCTGCTTTCCGACATTGTGTTCAGCGATTGGACAATGTTGCTATCGCTGGCGGCGCCGCATGCGGAAGCCCAAAGACCTACGGCATGTAAGGTACAATTGATTAAAGCTTATCCGCTAATTCACTGGTTAATCGGTCCGTCAATCAATGTATGGATCGAGCCACAACCCTCTATTAAAGCAGCAAAAGTACGTTAACGCAGCTGGTTCGAATGCATCCAGAGACTGCGCAGTGCTGTTCGAGTGTCCGCCCCAGGCTTGCATTAGTACACTGTATCTCCCACTAACAACACTCCATGGTATATTCTTGCCCCGTCCCAAACGCCAACGCCTCGCTCCGAACGCTTTACAAATATGAGCACAATTAGGATAAGTAGCGAGCAGCTCAAACCACCACCATCACACGTCCCAAACTCCATCAAGCACCCGCACCAGCCGCCTCCCTCTCCCGCTGCTCCCTGAAAACCTGCCTACTCATCGCCAACACCCTCTCAAACCCCTCCCTCCCCCTCGCCGCGTTCTGCCCGAACCGCTCCACACTAAACTCCTCAATCTTCTGCCTCACCTTCGCCCAGCCCCCACACAGCGCCGTAATCCGCGCCTCCTGCTCAAACCTCGTCCTCCCCGCACCTCCTCCATCCCCCGTAGCAGGCGTATAAACAACCTTCTCAGCACAAGTCAAAAACTCACTCATCGTCAAATTCTGACTGCACATCGTCACCCGCTTCGCGACGGGATCGACATAGCTGACCTCGTACACGAGACTCTCCTCTCTCCCCGCGAGGAAAGGTTTGAGCCAAGAGGGCGCGGCTTGCCGACATGTGATGAGGCGCTCGGTGCGCAGGAGGTGGGTGGCCGGGTCGAAGGAGCGAGAGAGGGTGTCGACGGCGAGGACGTGCGAGGCTTTGTCGTTCCACGGACAGTATTTGCGCCAGTTGTTCGTGGAGACTTCCTCCCAGGAGTAGTCGAAGGTGTGGGTGGAGGTGAAGAGGCGCATGGCGAAGATTTGCACGGTCTTGCTCGCCAAGAGTAGGGCCGTTTCGCGTTTGATGCTCGAGCTATTGTGCTCGTAGACTATCGCGGTATCATGTTGATGAGGTTTGGTTGTCTATAGCGCTGCGGGACTGTTGTAGATAGCGCAGGAGAAAAAAGATGTCAAAGCTGCAAGGGTCTGGCCCTTTGTCCGAGGAGAGATTCTTCCGGGTAATTACGGGAGGCCGTGATGGTATTGCGCACGCACCAGGCCGTTGCGTTGAAGGACATCCTGAACTTGCCCATTAGATACTACTACATGCTAAATACGCTCAAAAGACATGGTTAAGAACAAATCATCAGCTACCTCGACAACGCCTCCTCAAAAGTCTTCTGAGTATGCTCCCAGACCTTCTCCGCCCACCCTGTCTGCCTATACTCCTTCAACTGCGCCGTCTCCTGCGGCACCCCCTTATCATCCAACGCCCAACTCCCCTTCCCAAACTCCGCCGTAGTACCATAATAAAGCATCCTCTCTCCCACATCCTTCGGCTGCAAGATGAACAAACTAACCACGGGCTCAACAAACCATGTGATAAACCACGACAGCAAACCCGTCGCACTCCGTCCCAGTAGTCCAGTATTCACGACACCCGGGTACACATGCACGAAGCCCATCTCCGGATTCTGCGCGGCGAGGTAATCCCACGAAAGCGTCTGCATCGTCGCCGCCTGCGTAAGCGCTTGCACGAAAGCGAAGTTCTGCTTCAGCTCGAGATCGTGCTCGATGAGCTTGCCCTCCTGCGTTCCGGCCATGATACTGATCATCCTGCCGGTCTTGCTCATGAGCGGTAGCAAGTTTTGAGCGAGGCGGACGCGACCGTAATACCGGACTGCGTTGCCATTGTCGAGACCTTCGGCGTTCTCCTGTCGGCCGTAGACGGGTAGGTAGCCTTGGGACATGTACAAGAGGTCGATTTTGGCGCCGTTGAGGTGGGTTTTGATGATAGGGGTTAGGGTGTCGATTTTCTTCATCGAGCTGACGTCGCCTTCGATGAAGATGAAGGTGCCGTTTGGGTTGATGCTCTTTAGCTTCTGGAGGTCATGTTCGAAGGACTTTTGGCTGCGGCCGACTATGATCGCTGTCGGTTTCGGGACATGCTTTGCGAACGCTTGCAGAGTCGCTAGGCCTATGCCTTTGGTGGCGCCCGTGAAGACGGCTGTCAATTGCTCGTGGGAAGACTTGAGGGCCGCGTTGGCTGACACGACTTCGCGGACGCTGACCATTGTTGCTCGCTGTGTCTAGATTCGTATGGGCTGGGAGTTGAGACTGATTGGCTGAGAGAGAAGACGATGTGTATGTTCAGGCTGGGCTTTAGATGAGGTGTGATGAATGGAGGAGAAGCAATGTTCACAGTTGCACGCCCTACCTTTATTCATTCCCTACGTCGGACATTGTAATGAGCATTGTGCCGTCGCCGGCGCGAGTGCTTGATGCAAGACCATCTTGGGCGTAGGACAGCTTCGTCGCCGGCTGCATGGAACCGCCGACGGGATTGACGGGAAGACCAAGAGGGGAAAGGTCGCAAGCCTGCTAAGGTCAGCAAATGCTACGTCATGGTTTTGAACTTCTGTCAGCACGGGAACTTTACCGCATGAGGCAAGGTTTACGTGCACGATACGGCCGGCCGAATGGCGAACGGACTTGTTGGCGAATGCGCTTATGAAGCGACAAGCATGTTGAGATGGTGTCGTGGCAGAGGTATGTCGCTTACACGGGCAATGGACTCGGACTAATCGTCTCCACAGCATTCAGTCGTTCCTGATCTTCTTCGGACCCATACTGCTGCCGCGAGTATTGGCCACATACCGCTCGCTTCGTTCGAGGCCGGCCTCTCAAATCCGACCCTTACCTCAGCGGACTTCCTTTGCACTGACCGTTCTGTTCCTCTCCGGCCTCATTGCATTCCTGTCGACCTTTCCTCTCTTCAGCCCTGCAAACGTCTTCCGGCAAACGCAGTCACGGCTTCAGACTTCCGCCGGCGTACTGTCGACACGGCTGGCTGCCCTACGGCCGCTGACTGCCCAGGATGAGAAGCTAAGACAAGTGCTTGATGACGGTGGCCTTGATGCAAGGCTCATCTACGCTCGCTATGGACCGCACATACTCACAACATGTCCGTTTGCGAAGCCGGGAGACGTCGATGCCGGGCTTGCCTACTTGTTCTACGCACTCCCTTCCATGCTGACTCCGCACTTGCTGCACCTCATTGCCCTCGGGACTGCGACTTCTGGCATGCTCTGCGGACAGGAAGGCGCCAAATGGCGAAACATGGCTACAATATCTGGTATCGTCCTCGGCGCTGCGGAAGTGCTCTTCATCGCCTACTACGACGACAAGCCTAACATGCGAAGCACGCGACTCAGCGAAATAGACTTTGTCCACTGGAAAATGCAGGTTTGGCGCGGTCTTGCCATAGCCGCCGTAGACGGCATTCTAGGCTGGGTCATCTGGCTTCAAGCTACCGGAAGGGCATTCGTGGCGCCGCCGTCAGCCTCTGAGCGGATCGTCAATCATGCCCGCGCACTAGAAGGCCTATTAGTGAAGGCGAAGAGCGTTGGCATTGTCCGTAATGGTACGGCCAGGGACGCTGCCATGCGGAGTAAGGTCGACGAGTACTGGATGAAGGAGGGCGAGGTGATGAGAGATGTGTTTGAGCAGCCGGAAGTGCTTGAGGCGCAGCGGAGCACTTTGGCAAGGCTTGACGTGGCCCGCATCAGCCGTGATGCGGAAGGTTATGTGGATACTGTGCTGCGAGGAGTGCAGTCTCCTCCGAATCCCGTTGCTGCTCGTTGACAATGAAGAGAAACACTCCACGAGCCAGCGATCACGCAACAAGACCTCTTCTGTGTGCCCTTGAGTTGAGAAAGCCTTGTCAAGACCGTTAGTGAAGGCTGACGGATACCTAGCCTGACGACCCTATCCATGGAGGCCTGCTCCGTATGACGCAGTGTGCAGAGAGCACAAGGCGCGCCGCTATGGACTAGGGTTCTGTCGCCACTGACAAGTCTGGCGATTATGCTGGGTGAACGGGCTAGGGATGCCAGTCGCAACGCTGGAGGGCCTACTTATTGCTCCTTACTATAACAGATTGCCGCGATATCGTACATCAACACTTACGTGCCCAAACTGCTCACGACATACCTGCTCGTTGTATTATCAAGTTCGGTGGCGCTGGCGCTGACGCTGGCGCTCTGCACAACAGCCTCTGCCCTCAGCATCCCTCGCCCGCGCCAGTAGTCGCCCGACGGCTTTTTCTACATATGCGAAGGCAGCTACTTCACAGAGTCGTGCGTTAGCTGGCATTTCTTCGCCGACACTTGCAGTAAGTCGCACTGTCATAACCGTACTCGCCTGGTTTGCTGATCACTGTGACGTAGACAGCAGGCCGGCCATCAAGTACGGTAGCCACAGCCTTTAGTCGGCCGGGCCGGTGAAAGGCGTAGCGTGCTCATTCTACCTGGAACAGCACCATATAGCCGCGTGGGTACTTGAATCAAGCACTGAAACGGTGTCAGGGCTGCCGGTTGCGTTGGCGATCGGTCAAACCAGTTACAATATCCCTGTGGCAACTTTGCTGCCAATAGCTTTAGCAGCAGGATGTGTGACTTCACCGAGCAACACATCAGGGTGCACTACCTCTGCTGCAACATCTACGTCGATGGACGTGATCTCGGCATCCGCAAGCTCGAGCACATCAACAGGCATTCCTAGCCGTGCTTTGACTTCTACGCCTACGAGCGCCAACTCAGGCTACGCCACGAACCTAACATAAGCACACTCCTGTGCTTGCCCAACCCGGCATAACCCCAATCTCTAAACCCAATGCCATATCGCGCGCCCATGTGGGACATGCACGACTTCCGCGGAGCATATATATTTGGAGCTGCGGCCTGGAAGCCCGACTTGGGCGCGGAAGGGGAGAGTTGCAATACGTTGTGTGGGCGGGGTGTTGGTATTTGTCGAGGTGTGAGTGTAAATAATGTGGTATGTGAGAGTTGGCGGAGGGGTAAACTCCGGCGGTAAAGCCACCAGAAAGATGTGGACTGCCATTAGCGGAGCAGGTGGCAAGTGCTCGGCTTGTTAGCAGCATGTGCTTAAAGCCTTGGACAATAGGCTACAACTACACAAACTCAAAGGTATCCCCAACACCCCCCAACATCCCCTTTATCCTCGTACTCCCCACAACACGCTCTAACGCCAAACCCTCCCACTTCCCAAACAAACATCTCACCCCCGTCTCCTCCACACCCACGCTTCCCTCGTGCACACTAGTGCCCAGATACCCACCCACCACTTCCTCATAAAACACAGGATTATCCGGCACACCGTACAATACCACCCTCCTGACCCCACGAATACGGAGACGGAAGAAATGATGCGCCCGCTGCGTGTACAAGAGGAATTGGTGACGCCCTGTCAAAAAGTGCGAACGAGCGCGCCGTTGTTCGGGCACGGAGCTGTAATCGTGTATGGCGCCGAAGGAGATATTGGCCGTTTGCGTGCTTGTGGCGAAGTAATTGCGCAGACGGAGGAAATCGAAGTAAGTGGGGATGAAAACCAGCACTCCCTGTCCTGTGCCCGGTTCGGTCGGTTTAGGTAGGCGGAGAAGGGACGGTAAGACAGCAGTGGTGAAGTACTTGAACCGCGCTTCTGGGTCTGCGGTGGGGGAGGGGGAGTCGAAGCGGGAGAAGGTTTGTTTCACGCCCAGACCCGAGATCGACGGGGCGGTGATGGCACCGGGGTAGGTGGGCGTGAGTTTCGCTTTTCCCGTTATGTTGAGCATGGAGCTGTTGAACAGCTTGTTCATCTCCGGGGTAATGTAAGCGGCGAACACGACTGTTTGGCGCAGGTACTTTGCGTTCCCGTCGAGGTAGTAATTCCGCACGCGTGTGAAGTCCGTCCCATGCGCGTCACGAGGTTGGAGATTGAGGTGGCGGAAGACGATCTCTACGTTCTCCCAGCTTTGCATTTGCATTGCGTCTGCTTGATCTAGTATTAGTACTTCGATGGAGGAGAGGAAATCGAAATCCCGTTTCTTCGCGTCTTCGTTTTCAATGAGCCGGCGTAGACCGAGGGGCGAGGCGAGGATGACGTCGGAGGTGTAGAAGGGGGAGAAGAACTTGAGGGTTTTGCGGGTGAATTTCAGCCCGGTGAGGAAGGCGTTGTCGTTGTTTCCGTCGAAAAGCTCGCGGTAGTCTTCCGGCATGGTGGAGTCTTCGTCAATGGGGGCGGTGAAGGAGTCGGTGAAGCGTTGCCGGTTCTCGACTTGGTCGGGTTGGAAGAGGGAGATGATCTGCTCGCCGTAGTTGTACGCCATCTGCCGGGTCTCGGTCAGGAGGAGTACTTTGGGGCGGGTGAAGCCTTGGTCTCGCAGGTCGAGGGCGTCGGGATTTGAGGCTTGGGCGAGTTTGGCGGTGTTGCGGAGGACCTTGTCGCGGCCTTTGAGGATGTGGTTGACAGCGTGGAGACAGGCGAGGGAGCGGACGCGTGATGCATTCTGGGTGGTGCGGTCGCCGAGGAGGAGGTCGGTGTAGTTGAACACATATGGTGCGATGGCGCGCTGGAGTCCGTCAAGATTGGAGATGGTCTTGGCTGCCGTCTCTGCCAGTCGCTTCTTCAAGGGTAGCTCCTTGATTCTCAGCGGTGTCGGCTTGTGGATGATGCTTCCTTCTACGCCACTTGGAGCGGAGACGGTAAAGGTGGCCTTGTCTGCCATTGCCTGCTTCTCCGTCCGCCACTTATTCGCTTGGATGCTCTCTAGCCGTCTCACGAGCTCGTTATCGTCGACATTAGCGAAGTGAGCCTCAAATGGATCCGACATATCGTCTTCATGATCGTTGTCCTCTAAGTCGGCATCCCCAGTTTTCGTCGCCTCTTCCTCCGCGTCATTGTCCTTCTCCTCAACATCGTCATCTGCGTCGCCGTTCTGCCGCTCCTCCGCCCCATCCATGCTCGCAGTAGGCTCGTCCACATCAAGCTTGCGCCTTTTCCGCCGCCGCCCCCCATCCCTATCAGCAGACATCTGAAACCCCTGCATCAGCGCGCTGTACGCCTTCACAGCCGGCGCCACCTCTGCCTCTTCATCATCGCCCATCCCGCCGTCTGACTCCTCCACCTCCACCCCATCCTCCGCTGCCTCATCATCGCTCTCCGCCGGCTCGACCTCCTTGACACGCTGACTGTCAAACCTCCTATAACCTGCTCGCGTTCTGATTCCACTCCTCGCAAGCTTCCCGCTCGGCTTGGCCACTCTTCCACGACCTCTGAAGCCTCCTCGCCCACGATACGGCGCCATCTTCATTAATATCGCCTGTTGCGTGCCTTCCCGAACTTTTCACATGCGCCTCGGCTCACCTTCCTCCTCCAACAAGCGCACAATTTCATCCCACCACAAAATCTTGGCGCATCTTCAACTCATCTTCACCCACCACTACTACACGACGACGACACCCTCTCCGCCCGGAGCGCAAACACCGCCAACACAGCGACGCGAAGATATGGGCACCCCCTTCATCCACCTCGCGCGCCCTCTCGCCCCGGCCCCCGTCTCCACCACCTCCCATAACGCCCTCACAGCGCCCATCTCCATCTCCCTCCAACCGCAAGCCCTCCTCTCCATCCTCGACCACGCCTCCCGCCGCCCCGCCGCCCAACCACGCGTCATCGGCACACTTCTAGGCACCCGAAGCGAAGATGGCAGCGAAGTCGAGATCCGCGACTGCTACGCCGTGCCCCACACAGAAACCACCGAACAGGTAGAAGTGGACATGGACTACCAAAAACGCATGCTCGAGCTACATCTCCGCGCCTCCCCCAAAGAAGTCCTCGTAGGCTGGTACGCGAGCACGCTGGAACTCGACACTTTCAGCGCCCTCATCCAGAACTTCTACGGCCAGCAAGGCGAAGGCACATGGCCCTACCCGGCCGTCCACTTAACCGTCTCCACCGAGCCGGGCCAAGAAGTCGAAACGCGCGCCTACATCAGCTCAGCCATCGGCACAACCCTCGAGCGAGCAGGAGACTCATGCCTATTCATCCCCGTCCCCTGCTCCGTCCGACAAGGCAGCGAAGCAGAACGGGCAGGTCTGTCGCTCATCGCCTCTGCCAAAGAACGCACCGATCGCACAGTTCCCGTCTCCACCGACCTTGAAACACTCGAAGCCGCGATCGAACAAGTGCTGGAATTCCTCGAGCGCGTGGCGAATTACGTGAGCGATGTGCTGGACGAAGAGAAGCCGCCTTCGACAGCGCTGGGACAGTATCTGTTGAATATGCTGTCCCTCGCGCCAAAGGTGGAGCTAGAGGAGATTGAGCGCAGTTTCAACGAGCATGTGCAGGACGTGCTGTTGGTGGGTTATTTGGCGAATACGATTCGCACGCAGATTGACCTTTCGAATCGCTTGGCTACGGCTGCAATAACGATGGGTGGGGGTGGTGCTGCTGGGGGTGAAGGAGGAGGTGGGGGAGGTGGTGCGGCGGGTGGGGATAGAGAGCAGAAGGGCGGAGAGAGAGGGCAGAGGAGAGATAGGGATCGGGATGGCAATCAACAACGCACTGGACAAGCTGGCCCGGGAGGCCGGCGGGGTGAGCAGTAAACACTGGTGTACTGAGGCTGCTGAAAGTGGGCAAGAAGAGGGGAGAGAGAGAGGGACGCAACAGCAGCAGCGTAAGAGGAGTGACTTGAGCAAGCGCACACGCTTACTTGCTTTGCTCGGCGGGTTGAAATCCGTGGTACAGTAGCATCAGCATCAGTCATATATCCGAGCAATGGCGCCCAGCAGAGGGGCCGGTTTCGTTCAACGCGCCGTTACGGATTCCGATGATGCATTATACATTTGCTTGCCATTCTACGACGTGCTTGCAGAGTAGTGATTGTAGGTCGTGCGTTGCCAAGCTTTCGTCTCGTGATGGGCCCGCGTAGCCAGATGCAAGCAATAGCAGCGCGCTCAATATCTCCATCATTCGTTCACTCACTCAGTGCAGATAGGACAACCGCCATCAGTGTGGTTGCTTGTGCTGAGGACCATCCCATCCACCCAGAAACGCCCTGCCGAAAAGGCATCAACTCCGCCGCCACCAACGCCGTCGCTAAATCGTAGACAATCAGGATGATCAGACTCCTACTCCTCCGCCCTCGCCCTCTTCCCACCGCGCCGACCCCCTCCCTCATGCTCCCCTTCAGCTTCAATGTCCCTCTTCTTCCTCCTCCCCCTCCGCCCCTTCTTCCTCGCCATCTCATCCCCAACCCCACCCAACTCAGCCACCGCGCCCAACCCCTCCACCTCTCCCCCACCTTTCTCCGCATTCGCCTCTTCAAACATCCGCCTCTCCGCCTTAATGCCCCTCTCCTTCCACATCTGCTCCAGAACCCTTCCCAACAACCTCTCGTCGTGCCGCAGCACGAACTTGAAGTCGTCGACTTTTATTTTGGCGCGGCGGGAGTAGGATGCCGATTGGGCGGCGGCGTGGCAGGTTTCCAGGATGAAGGTTGTGAGAAGTTCGTCGAGGGTGGAGAGGGTGGTGTCGAGAGGGGCGTTGGAGGTGGTGCGGTTCTGGGTGGAGGTTGGGTAGGTGGTTGTGGCCGGGTCACCGAAGGCGTGGAGGAGCTCGGTGAGGTCGGTTTGGGAGAAGTAGAGGCCGTGGGGGCGGGCGCGGACGCGGGGTTCGGCCATGGTGGGGATGAGGTGGTGGTGGTGGTGGTTGTGATACTCCTAGTCCATCACGATACCTGCTCCGCGTTGCAAGTCGTTCGAAAAGGTTGATATTGAAGTCGATTGAAGCGTCGTATGTTGGCTTAGAGTCGATCACCCCGACTTTTGTCAAGCTCTCGCGCATTCACATGCTTTGACACCTTGCCATTTGCAGCAGGCACGCATATCCCTTCACTTTACCCCATCACCTGGCGCTAGTCTTGTACGACTTGGCAGCGTATACACAAGGCCACAACGTACCTTCACAATGCTCGGCATACTCAAGTTCCAAACGCTACTGATGGTGGTGCTGCTCTTCATCTGCTCCTGCACCTATCTCCATGGAGTCTTTCCTGCGTGGCTGGACCGGAATAAGGCTGGGTATATACTTCCTTCGCCCTAGCACCTCGCTGGCTGTGGCAATATAGCTTTCAAAGTCGCTGATATGGCAAGCAGACCACTGGGCACCTTTTGGCGCGCAGCCCGCATAGGCGAGAGACTAAGCCCATACGTGAGCATTTGCTGCATAGCGATGGCAGTAAGTAGTATTATTCACATACGCGTTACCGGCGAAAGCTTACTTCGGACTATAGGTGAGCTTGTTGATGGGCGGATGACTGATTGGACTTTGGAAAGTTATTGCGGATTCAGCGACGGCGTTGAGGTATCAGTGCGGAGACTTCAAGGTGGTGTCAACGTAGCGGAGAGGCCACTCTCGTTATGGTACAGTACCCCTTCAACGGAATCACAACAAGCATACAATCATCTCGGTCACTCATCCAAAGCATGGCTGTGGGCAATACACTTGAGCGCTAAGAATGCCGACAACGCAGGCCATTGAGAGCGTCCTACCTCAGGCCACCGGCCTGTCGCATCAAGCCGCACGTCTGCTGTACCCTTTCACTGCACGCTTATCTACTCATCCGTGAGGCAGTCACCCAACCCTACGTAAACTATCCTCCTGCCCAACCAATGAAGTCTGCCTAGCACGAAGCGAGCGTTCATTCTACCGTCAGCACCAAACATCCTTCTCATAGGCTTCGATCGGCATCTTACCCTTCGAGCCGCGAAAAGTTCGCATGGCATCAAAGTAATCCCACCCCTGCTGCCTCGAGCACTCCACCGAGAACTGCAAATTCATGCCTGTCTACAGCGAGGTTCTCACAACATGCTGCGCGGCCTTCGAAATTGGCGGTCGGACTGGGTATGCGGGAGTTGGGCTGGCGGCTGTGCATGTACTAACACGCACTAGCGTCGCACTAGTGTGGCTCGTGTGAATGCAGTGCGCAGGCTGCAGCGATCAGGCACGAAGCTTCGCCGTAAGCGGTAGCCAGCAGCAACATTCACATTATTGCCAGAGCAGGATTGGAACACCACTGGAGGCGAGTCTTGACTGAACCTATTGAATGCGACGGTCCTTGAATTGGAAGTCAACAGCAGTAATGACTATACGAGCAACTTGTTTCGGACCACCCACCATACCTCTCTCAGGTGCTCTCTAGCCCACACTCTTTGCTGGAGCAACATGAAGCATAGCCCCACTCGCCACACCGCACAGCGGCAACCTGTTGCATCGGGGTCCCGTCCTTACGGTCACACCTGCATTCTTAGCCAAGCTGGGTTGGATGCCAGCACCTCGTCGTTTAGTCTGACTCGACGGCTGCCCGCGGGAGCAGGTGCTTGACGCCTTTGTACACGCGCATCGTATTGTCGTAATTCCAGCCGTTCCGGTTGAGACATTCGAACGCATACTCGGTCGTCAGACGTGTTTCGAAGGCGAGTTGACCGACCAGGTAAGCAGCCTCGACCTTGCCGACGAATGGCGGAAGGCTTAGGCTTGCTTCGTTCAACTGAACGGTTCCTGAGGCGCGATCATAGCTGGGTCCGGATTGCTTCGTATGAGCTGAGGTGGTGCTGCTAAGATGAGAACTATCTGTTTGAGCAGATGTGGCCGTTTTGCGGGACGTCGCAACCGTATTGTTGGATATATCTTCGCTCTCGCCATCAGTCTCGCCTTTGCAGGCCTCGAAAGTCTTATATGGGCGGTGCAGGCCGGGTGGGGGCGACAGTACGATCGACTTCTCGGTAGCGCTGGCGCGATTGGTCCGGCAGGACTGGCTAACGTGCAAGACACTGCCAATCTCATTGGTGTTGCTGTTCGTCCGATATGGTGTAGCCGGCAGCGAATGCCCCAGGCGGTGGAATGCGCGCATAGCTCCTTCGTAGCTCCAGTAATGCTCCGTTAAAACACTGGAGTGAGTACTGATTCGGCATGCTCGCCTCGAAGGAGAGCTTGGCGACGAGGCACGCAGCCCAAGTCCCATTGACGCTTATCGGAAGGACCGGCTTGACCTCGTCGAGGCAACGGTGAAGGTAAATTAGTTCGATGGCACCCACGAAGTCCGGCGCGTTTGGCTGCTTGACTGCTGTGTTCGCAAGACCACCCTGAGACTGAACAGACAAGAGCGAGCTCTGATGTAGTGCGAGACTGCAAGGATTCCATATCATTTCGGTTATACAGCGCCGCCAGAAGCTCCTCTTGCACCCTAGAATATGCGCGCCTGGCACGCTCAGGTTTCCAACCCGCCCGGTTCAGTAGCACGAAGGCGTACTCGATTGTCATGTCCGTCGCACGGGCCACCAGTGCGACTAAGCAGGCAGCTTCAACGGTGTGGGTGGATGATGGGAGCTGCGGGAATCCACGGTCTCGGGCAGAGTTTTCAATGAAATTGTAGGCGCCATAAATGTCAGGTAGGCATGACGGCACAACGACACTGTCAGTGCAGTCGCCAACATACGCACGAGGAGATGCTGTGCTGAAATCATCCTCTGTGATACTGTCCAACTCCCGAAGCCACTTCTTGGTTGAACCCTCCGCCTCACGCGTCTCAAACTCTTCGATCGTTGTCTTGCGGAAGTAGGAAGGGCTCAGCACATGTGAAGTGCCTTCTTCCGCAGTCGAATTGTCTGCGTCAGCAATTTGCTGGGGACGGCATGCGCGGCATGGCGATGCCACCATTATTGAAGAGCGAGAGGTGCAACGGAAGTCGGGCTGCGTTCTTGGGTAGCCAGTAGAGCTGAGAGTAGCTTCGAACAAGGTTGACGTTTCGCACTGAAGGCGTTGTGACAGTGCCGAGAAAGCATCCGCGTCGAAGTGTATCGCATCCCGACAAACCAAAGTGATAGCTAGAGCTTTGAGTACAGGATGCATATGGTTAGGGTAACGAGCATCCTCAGACTTGACCTTGATCCTTCGGAGAAATCTCGCTTGCTCTTGCCTAATAGCAAAGACCCATTTGAGGGCAGGGTTGTGCACCTTGAAGCACCGGAGCAAGAAGCAGTTCCGGCTGTAGTAAATTGCGGTCGCTTCTGAACGCAGCTGTCTGCAGGTATGGAGGAGGCCCGGCGTGGGATAAGTTCTCGGGAAGGAAGTGACATCGATCTCAGCATCTTCGATCAGAGCGCACTCATATATGCTGTTGCGAAGCTCAGCGGCCAGACGGCCAAAGGGTGCCTGTTGGAAGGGCAAATCTTGCGATGGCGCCACAAATTCATCAATGACGTGCCATTTCTGATCGCTGCGGATCATCTGTTACAAGCTCAGGACTCAGCCTGTTGCGCAGCGCTTGATTCCAGGTGCCGACGCAAGACTTGACTTGCAGTGACGTTTTATGTGCGCGAAGACACAATGTGCAAGGCTGGCACGACCCGTGACACGGCGCTAGTGTTGTTAAGTTCACAAAAATCTTGTGAATGCAGTAGGAGGATCTCTCAACAGCCCGCCCGGCTCGACTGTTGGCGATACCCAGCCATTTGCAGTGGGGTGCGTCTATAACATACAGCACCGGTACGTGACTGTTCGCAAGAGCCGGACGCCGTTCTGTTGCGGCCGATCTATGACAAGGGGTCGGATTTCGTGCTGCAAACGCATGTGGAGCCCCTTGACCCAAGCTTCGCAGCTTGCTAACAGATGTTGGAGACACATTCAATCATGGTGCGCCGTTGGTTTGTGTAGCCTTCGTGCTTTCGTTGCGCTCGACAAGTTCCCCGACGCCGAGCTGTCTCCCCACCCTCACCTTCCGCTTTCTCTCCTTTTTCAGCCCATTCGCCCCGTCCGCAGCCTTGCCAGCACTGCCGACCTCGCCGCCTTCGTCTTGGCCGGCAGTGTCTTCGTCATCGGAGTCATCGAGCGCTTCCTCTCGCAGATAGCCGAGGTCTCTGTGCATGCTATACGCATCTTCGCCGTCCGCGTAGTACTTTGCCTCAATGCCCTTTACTTCAAAGCCCAGGGTGTCTCGGTATAATGCCAACGCTGCCACATTCGATACACGGACATGAAGTGAGACGTATACAGCGTTGTAAGTCTCAAACATTGCTCGTTCTGTAGCGTGCTGTTAGTGACAAGCATGCTACATGTCGCCAGCAGTGACTTACGACTCTGCCGCATGAGCTTCTCCGCCAAACCAAGTCGCCTGTGCGTCCTCATAACACTGAGCGAAGTGATGTGGCCGTGCTGTATCCCATCGGCCGGATCCTCCTCCATCTTCGCCAGTACATACCCTACAATCTTCGGCGCATCATACGGAGTCTTCTTCGGTCTTGATACCTATACCAAGATTCTCAGCATTCGTCCCTCGTGAACTAGAATGGTACATACGTCAACGGCGACATAGCTAAGCTGAGGCCAGCTTAATGCGTGATAGAGGTAGTATTTGCAGAAGTAGTTCTCCGGTAAGTTCGTAATGTTCGTTTGCTGGACATGAGGTATGTCTGACGGATGGAGCACGCGTATGTCCATGGTCGGTAGATCAGGAGCGGAATAGTGTGACTGTTGATCATATGAACGCTGAGTGTTTGACAATGCCACGGCATGAAGTGGGATGTGAGAGCCGGCGAAATTCGCCTTCGACCTCCGACCTCACCCACTACGAATGATTAGAATGAAGCATACCTTATCACAGTTCCTGAAATACTACGGTCAAATGCTAGCAATTGGTGCAGCAGCGTACCATGCGGCTATTCACACAGCGGAGCAGATAATCAAGGCACTTGCAGCGCCTTACTCTCGGGTTATCACGAGAGATTTGCCGGAAGGGACCCTATGTGGGATGGTCACCTTATATCTTGCTCACCTACCTCCTTCTACTTCATCTTGTGGCTTTTGGAGGCGCTCGTATGGCGGCTCTACCATTCGTTCGGCTACTGTAACCATCCGTTGGTTGCCGATCTGCTCAAGTGTTCGATTCGACGAGCGACCGACGAGTGCTCCGCCCGGCAGCATGCACGGGTCTGTGGCTCTTCGGGCAGCCATGTTGTAGCGCTACTGCATCTCTAAGTCCTCTGTCGTAAAGGTTGAAGAGTGCCTCTTTCTTTGAGCGGCTGTGAGGCACAGCACCGACTGTGAATGTCGTGTTTGGCCGATGCTTCAAGGCTCAAGCTGCACTTCGCGTTAGCAGCACTTGCAGCACCTTGCCTCCGACATGCCCAGCAGCAGCCACAAACTCATCCAGGGTATTGTGGCATCTCCTATCCACGATCGCACACTGTCCTCGTCAAGTCTGACATTGTCCAAGACAGCCACGGTTCTTCTACTGTATCGCTGCCTGCTCGTGTGCTTCAGGTTTTCCACAGCCTGACACTAAATGCCAATCCTTTATCTCCCCAGGTCGTGTGCAAAGGCGTTCGAGATGTCTGCAAGGCGACTTCTGACACTTGATGCCACAGAGACGGAGACCTCTGATGGAGAAACCCGTCCAATCTCTGCCAGCGAACGCAAGGCTGGGGCAGCGGACCTTGATCGTGATGTCCGAACAAAGGCTATTTTGCAGGGTTGTCAACGTACTGACTGGTGACCACAGCTGCGGTCGAGAACGCCATCACGGGAGAGTCGGCAATCATCCATGGCGTCAACATCTTCGAAGAGCTCGAACGAACCCGGGAAGAGATCGACCAGCGCAACGCCATTTGGAAGGCCAGGCGAAGCAGCGTACAGCGCGGCAAGTCCGAGCAGATGTCACCCGATGAGCTGAGGTCGGCCTTCGAGAAGATAGGGTCGTACAACATCGGGCTTGCTGGGACTGAAAGCAATTACATCCGCTTAGTGAGATCAACGGCGAAGACCGTGCAGTATCAGCGCGAATGCGATCGCATCCAGGACGAGTTAAAAGATCTGCATAAAAATAAGCTGAAGCTGGACAACGCCAGAGTCCTGATCAGCGTGCTCGAGAATGAGAGGGACAAGCTGAAGAAGAAGCACGATCACGGAAAGACTGAGATTGCGCGCCTTGATGGAGAAATAGAGAAGATGAAAGCCGAGACGAGCGGACTGCGTCATGTGTAGCATTGGCTGAGAGGATTGCGATGAATATAAGGGCGTAAATGGAAAGGAAGGCTTGATGAGAGCGCTTAACAACTAGAAGCAGCTGGTTGCCGCGAGACAGCATAGCTGGGAAGCATGAAGAATGAGAGCAGCGAAGGATTAGAACCTTGAAGCAGTAGCTCGAGCAGCGGAAGGAAGTCCTCCAGATATCGACTTCGTCGTTCTGGTGCTTCGCGGGATGTCGCACTAGATCGTCCTGAGAGTAGGACTCTGGAGGTGTAAGTGGACTTGGATGAAGGAGCCGTCCTCGCCTCAGCCCGCCTTCTTGGCAAGCATGATCTTGGGAAGGAGGCGGACTGCATGTCTTACAGTGTTGCTGCAATGCTAATCGCTGTTGCCATTCCGGCTGGAGCTTGAGCTACGAGTGTTAGGCTGGCAGGGTGCAGGAGAGCCAAACACATCCATTACCGTCTGGCCTTTGCCACGTGTTCGGCTGATATATCACGTGACCTATGCTTCCGATCGCTCTGCACATACCTCACGCATCTGAGTTTCGTAGGGTTTACGTGATGAGACTGTCCATTAGCTTTTAAGGGGAATACAGGGGACATATGGTAGACTTAAACGCTGTCTCAGCATTTCGATGGAGATGATGTCTCCTTTGGTCTTGAGGTCCGCGGGTCATCGTGGTAAGGCGCCGAAATGTCGAGATCGGTAGGTTCAGGCATAGCTCGCTGGTGAAGTTTGAAGAGTGCCTTCCGCATTTGTGAATTGTGGGCCGAAGCACAGGCCGTAACTTGCGGCTAGGTCCCGCCAGCGCGTGAACACAATATCAGATTCAGCGGTGACGGCTCACGCCAGCTTTGTAGAGCATAGCTTTTCGCAACGCAGAAGAAGCTGCATGGTCAACATAATAAGGAAGAAGCTCACCAACACATTTACCTCCCAAATCACATCGATAGAGCAGCAGGAGTGCAGAAGCCGTCTTTCGGTTGACCACATGGCGCGAACTCGTACGTCACCCACACATGCCGAAGGAGGTAGTATTGTTGCCGGGCGCTTTCTGACCGTCTTGGGTCCAGATCATCTGGAGATGAACTTGCCATTGAACAAAACCGCAAGCAAGGCGGTTGGCTCTCGCGCTTCAACGATTCTGGCGGCCAGCGTTCGAGGCGGCAGGGTCGAGAAGGCGACATCACACCTACAAGCCGCAAGCGTGGCAAGATCGAGACACCAAGTTCCGCTCAAGCAGTTCGGGTCGTTGTCGGCCCGGCAGCTGCATGAGCTGAATGTCAAGAAGGACGAGAGCTTGATCCGCCGCGCAAAGTCGATCATGGCTAGGCCATCGCTATGGGGCTCTGGGAGTGCGTTTGTTACGGCCTCACCGCAGCCGCCCATTCGTCTCGCCCAGAAGCGCAAGGCAGACACTATTATGGAGCAGTGTGAGCCCAAGCGCAGACTGATACAGTCCGAGCAGGGTTCAAACATCAAGCAACACAGCGATAGTGGCTTGACGGTAAGCTCAGCATCGCCAAGAGCGTTGTAAGACGCGAACGCCACCTACAGCGCGATCTCGGTGTCAACAATTGACTCAGCCATCGGGACTCCGTCAGCTCTAAAGACGAGCAACCTGCCGGCAGGTACTGTCCCAAAAACTAGCGACGCAGCATCCCACAAGATGACCCTCAGCCATGGCGGTGTTAAATTCACTCATAGGCAGCTCAAAAAGGGCGTCAAGGACGAGAGTACGGCGCTTACTCAAGCACTGGCCACGGTTCGAGATCTTGAGGAAAACGTCGCGGATGCAATTGAAGCACGTCGGACTGCGGCGGAGCGTCGTGCGAAGGCGGAGCTGGATCTCAAGGAGCAGAAGGACCTGACCAAGACCCAGCAAACAGATCTGACGCGCAGCCGGGGCAGAGTTGACCAGCGGGATCTCCAAATTGCGAGGCTGGAGAGAGAGGCGATTGGCCTCCAGTCGCAAGCAGCACGTATGTCGGAAATTGTTGCTCGTGTACAGGAGCAGAAGCGAGGTCTCTGGGAAAACTTCGTCAGACAGGTCGTGATCGGCGCAAGCCTTGCGTCCAACTACACTGACAAGCATAGGGAACCGGAGAAGCAGCTTCAAATCAATGTCGAGCTCAAGGCCCGGCTGACGCAGCATGAAGAGCAGATGAGTGAGCTTAAGCGTGTGAACAAGAAGCTTTCCGAGACCAATGACGAGCAGCTTGAGCGTATCGATGACATAGCGACGAGGCTCAAGAAGGCGGATGAAGACGTCTTCACCTACCGTAGGGACAATACCAGGCTCGGGCAAGAGAACCAGCGTCTCCAGCGTCTCGAGTCTGCGTATCAACAGCTTCGAGGGAATAAAGCACGGCTCGAGAAGGAGAAAGCCGAGCTCCACCGCGCTGCGAAGCGGGCAGTGCCAATCAAAACTGTGAAGGCGCAGGTTGATAATCTCGAGCGCACCGTTGTCGAGGTGCAGGGCAAAGTGCGCGGCTACGCTGATGATATCGCCAAGCATAAAAAATGCTTCGAGCACCGAGTGCATCAATATGAGCAAGCAATCGGACATCTGGATGGGGAGCTTGCCGAGTGGGAGGCTGCGAACAGCCTCGCAAGAAGCACAGGACCGCGGTCCAACATTGATGCAACCAGGCGTCTGAAACTCCGTCCAGAACACGCGCGCCTCAAAGCCGTAGTCGATGAAGAGCGGCTCGCCTTTAAGCAATCGAGAGCAGAGTGTGAGAGGCTGAAGGAGGAGCTGAACGGTGTCGTAGGTCAGCGCGATATGCTGAAGGAGAAGCTGAACAACGTCGAAGATCAGCGTATCATCGCAACAGACGCGACAGAGCAGTTCCAGGGCATCGAGTCTATGGTTCAAAGCCAGTCAGGAATGCAAACGAGCAACGGGCTGACCGGCCCGAATTCCACCGCAACGCATAGTGCGGAAGCTCTGATAGCAGTCCAGAGGCTGCAAGAACCGATATTTGCTGACGGTGTCGAGATCCTTAGCGAGCTACTTACCCCCGAAGTCCAGCCCGGTATCTTCTTCCCTTCGTCGCACAAGAAACGGCCGCATCGGCAAGCATGCGTCGAAGAAGCCGGCAGCTAGGACAACTAAAGTATTGGCCAGATCTGCGAACATCGCTACTCTACAAGTATATGATCAGGTCTGCGACAAGTGCAAGCCGATCATAGACGATATCGCGGATGGCGATAGTACCATGCGTGACGCAGTTGAGCAAGAAGGCTCTGACGTAAACTCCGACCTTCCCGGAGCGGCGCCACCCAGTACGTGTGTCGATATCCACGGGTACCAAGCCGTACCCGAGGATGAGGTCGACGAGGTCACCTAGTTGACCTTGCGGTCTGTAACCGTCAACAGCGCTTGGAGGACGATACGAGCGAAGAGCAGGTTAAGTGAGCGGTACTTTCTCCGCAGCGTTGCATTGTACGATTCGCGGAGATTGCTGCCATCGCCGCCGCCACCAATCCAAAAGATCCTCACAATCACCCGCCCGCGGTCCTGACAACGGCTCCCAGCGGCGTGCTGAAGAGGGAGTATAGCGGCAAGCCGCTGGCCACAAGCCTTCCAATAACCCTTGTGGCGTCAAGTATCGTTTGTCCGGCCAGCCCGGCTCGCAAGCGAGCTGCGAGAGCGACCGACAGACCACGATCCATCCACTACGGATCGTGAGCGCGCAAAGTCATACAGCGCGGCGCAGTTCCCCACGCCCTCCCACGGGCAAATGGTACGGCCGACCCTGTGACTGGGCAGGGTGCAGGTGCCATGGGTGCGACTGTGCGGTTCAACACCTTTAGCACCGTCATATGGTGTAGGTCTGGGCTATGGTCGGTGTTGAAGAGCACATGGGATGACCCAGTCACTTGCCCCGCTCCATCGTGCCTTCATGATCTGGCGGGAATCCTCATACTTCGACTGCTTCCTGAGGTGCTACCGACGCAACCCTCCGGACAAGTCGCCGGGACGCGCGTGTCGGTAGGTCTCGTCCACTCACAGCAGAACCGGCCAGTTGTTGTTCTGGTCACGAGCTGTGAGACCCACGGACTTTAGCAAGGCGTTTGCGGGTAGCATGGCGGGTGCGTCAATGTCCGGACAGAGCATGTGCTTGTGCTACTCTTGATACAGATCATAGCAACGATGGTGGCGGCAGCGCTGTGGCGAAGGAGAGACATTCGGCAAAGACGTCCTTCCAAGTCCACTCGCGCTAGCTCGGCACTTCTCCCCCTCTGGATCCTTCTTCATGGGCCATCCACGGTCATCGGCATACCATCAAGGCCTCATTGCCACTCACTGGCACCGGCTCGAAATCCATCACCACTCATAACACTTCAATTCTTAGCATCGCAAGACCAGAATCTATTGGCATGGCGGAAGCGGTTACAAAAGCAGTGCGGCATTCTTGGCTTCATCGCGTAGCGCTCGCCTGCTTTCCTGCTTTGCTCGATGCGTGCTTGCTTGCTCATTAAGCGATGTATTACGCGTTTCCGGAGTGGTTTTGCCGCGCTGGAGAGCAGATGTTTGCGGGCTAAGGATGCTCAATATGCTTGATTGATCAGCTTCATGCTGCTTGTACTTCAGTACTCTGCTAATAGTGACTTATGCATGGGTAGAGTATGGCTTGTGATGTTAACGTCGAGGAGAGGAGGAACCCCACTGAGGTGAAGAGAGCGCGCGACGTGCCCCTCCGTCCTCCGCCAACGCAACGCCAAGCGGCCATCCCTGGCTGGCAGAACTACCATGACCTCCAATCACGCTTCATCTCACCCATGCAAGCATCAGTAGACTATGACATGTTAGACAGATTTGCTCGACGGACCCTATGATCCCTGAAGCCTGCTGCGGGCTCTAGCCGTCCGTTCGTTACCGGCCTGTTCCTATGTCTCGTTGTAGCCAGCCTCGGTAGCCCGGCTTCACCTGCATCTTAGTGACTTCCTAATACAGCAGTGGCACGAGCCCCTGGACACACTCAAACCCCACCGGGAAGAGTTGAATACTGACCGCGGGGATGCCTGCCATCTCTTCCAGCAGCTCCAGTGTGTTCAGCCGGCTTACTGGCAAGAAACCGCAATTATATGAAATACAGCAAGGGAACAGTACGCAGGAAAGGTTCAATGCCAGTCTTCCACTGGATGTGCCAGCCGAAGGTGACAAGAGCAAACTACTCAACGGTCACAAGAGGGAGAGCAGCATACTGAGTCTGCCAAGTAGTGTCTCGGATCTTGGCCAGAACGTCCGCAGAAGCGTATCATTACGGACACACCGGACACAGCCGTCAGCAAATAGCATAGGACATAGACCAAGATATCCGTCATCCGGCAACCTTCTCGCCAAGTCACCGCCTTTGACTTCGCCAGTCGAGGCTGGAGAGCCGGAGCCGGAACAGAAGGAGCAACCTGCACAGCCCGTGCCTACTATACAACCTCCAAGGTCACGCGGCAGACTGTATCCAAGATCACTATCTCAGCGCTTCAAGAGCACCGACACCCTCCCACTGGTGCAGCCCACGGATACGTCAAGACCGCCTGTACCTTCGTTGACCACCAGCCCTTCCAATGCCTCATCGACGATGCTGGCAGCACCCTCCGTTGCGAAGCGGCAACCGTCCGACAGACCTACATTAACGTCACAAAACAGCTTCGTGCGGGACGTATCTTCTTCGCACGGTTCTACCACTAGCGCGCCATTGCAGCCCGTCTACACCACGTCGACGGTGAACCTAGGCAGTCAAAATCCGCAAACAATATACCAGACCATCCACGAAACCTCCGCTAAGCGCATGGCCACAATCGACTACTTACGGAAGGTTCACGAAGGCAACGTTTTCTACTTCAACACGCTGCACTACACGCCGGCCTCACTCGCCGCAAGCGTACCTTCAATGCAAGGTCAGAAGCTCGGCCGACGGGCGACTAACTACCTGGCATTGGGTTACAGCTTACCATTGCTGATGGAGCTGAACTCCGGTACCCCACTAGAATTCCTGCGTGCTCTTTCAGCCCTTTTACACGAGTTCGAGACGTACCAGAGCCTCTCCGGCTTCGACGTCGGCGGTGGCAGTCTAAGCAGAGCGCGCGTTGGCCAGATGTTCAAGTCAGGCATCGGCCTCGGCAAAAGCTCCGGCATGCGGTCAGGGAGGCGATCGAGCGCAGCGACTGATAGCCTCACGCTAGACCAGTCGAAAGCGAACCTACTCGGCCTACCATACTCAGTCAGCGAAGCTGCAAGTCCGATAGAATCGCCTTCGCCAAGTAGCAGTGGACATGACTTCAATCACCTCTTCACGCCGCACCTTCCTTTCGATCCAGACTTTGAGATGACCTTCACAACGCTATGCAATACGCTCGTTGTCGTGTACACGCACCTTCTGACGTTGGTATCGAACCCCGATATCTGCTCAATGTCCGTTGGCGAAGCTTTCGCGAAGGCGGACAAAGCTGTTCGCAAGATCCTCGTTGCGAACGTAATGCGGGAGTTCGAGGACAGTACGCGGCAAGGAGTCAAGACCGAGGTTGCTGGGTTAGGTAGGCTGGTTCTTGGCGGGCTCATGTAGGATATGGCCCAGCGGGACCCAGCTGTTGCCGAGCCGAGAGAAGGCACATTATCATGCAGCTCGTACTGAGTTGCGCGGCTTTGACCCTTCGATGCGACACGGCAATATGCGTGAACGAACGAGCTTATGGTGGATGCTGATGACACTTATGTAGAGATACCCAAGATACGAGATCGCTACGCTTCATACAGCCAAACCATACCGCTAGCGCCAATGGTATTAATATTCTAGACGGGCCACCATACTCTGCAGGCTCCAATATACCCTCGCGTAATTGATTGATAGCTCGTTGTCAACCTAATCCCGACCGCAATGAGGACATGGATACATTGCGGATTCAGCATCCAATTTCCCCTCGCAGCCAACTCTCATGCTCCGTGCCAGGTCGCTATCGTTCGCGGACTGCCCGTAACACCTGCCGAAACGTATACGGTTGTTCACATGGTCCGAAATCCCAAAAAGCAACCCTGTGCAGCCAGGCTCCTTGAAGGCCTTCAGAGTACAGTCACCAGAACCTCCAGTCTTCACTCGGCAGCCCTGTGCTGGACCCAGTCACAGCGAAACTCTGTGAATGGAGGGTAGATGCCGCATTCATTATGCCGCAAGACTGTTACCGCGCTGTTCCCGGAGCTGCAGTCAAGCGTTTCTCACCTTTCCAAGCCGACATCGAGAGTCCACAGGCCTACAGGATGCATGACATACGCCCACAAGCCCACGTCGTAAAAGTCCCATCCAAAAGAATCCCATTTGGTGACGATGGGGTATAGCCATGCACCCAAGCCCGCCGATACACCGATAACAATCAGTTTCCGAGCAACTACTCATCCTTCGCCCCTAACATATGTAATGTTCTGAAGCATTGAGACGTGATATGCCTCCTAAGCGTCTTCCTCGTTTTCTTCTTCCTGACGGCGGCTAGCGTCGGTGTAGCGCAGACGGAGTTCGGCTCAGTGCTGAACCGAACTTTCTTCGTACCTGCAGACGGTCAGAGAAATTTCAGGAACTCAGAAAAAGGCGGTTGCACGACCTTCGAGTGGCTGCATGTCACGCCCTATGCCGCTGATAAAGCTGTAGATGCAGGCATGTTGTTGTTGATCCACATTAGACGTGCGCCGCAAGAACGATAAGAGTCATCGCTTGAAGCCGTTGCTCGCTTCAAAAAGGACAGGTTCTACTTCTTAGTCGCTATTGACTTTTCGTCTCAAACCCACCTTACACCAATCCATCCTTCTCCTTCCGATACATCGTGGCTCACCAAGCATGACTGGTGTGGATAAGTTTGTTAACTGATTGTGGCTGTGTACAAGAACCTCGTCCAAGTTGAAAATTGCGTTCCCAGGATTGACAGCATCTGATACGGTTACTGATTAAGCCGTCACCCTTCCATAATGGCACCAATGGCAATGACGCCTGAATCATCAGGCACAACGACGCCTACCACGACCGCTTCGAAACTCACAGAAGCGGGCATGAAACATGCGTCACCTACAGCCAATGGCCATGCATCCAAGCTATCGCCACTGGACGCTTCGCTCATGACAGTAGAACTGTCGAAAGCACCGCGATCCGTGCCAGCGCCTGACAGCGAGGAGACGAAAGCGCAGAAGACATGCACCGACCACATGGCTACCGCCCGTTGGACACAGGAGCATGGCTGGGAGGCGCCTCAACTCAGGCCTTACGGCCCACTTGAGATCATGCCTACTGCCAGCGTACTGCATTACGCCGTTGAGTGCTTCGAAGGTCTCAAGCTGTACAGAGGCTACGATGGCAAACTACGACTGTTCCGTGTCTCTCGTAACTGCGAGCGCATGCGGAGGTCCGCAGCACGTATCGCTTTGCCCGACTTCGAGCCCAAGGAGCTTGAGAGGATGATCGTAGCTCTCTGTGCCAGAGACGGCGCGAAGTGGCTGCCGAAGGAGAGGGCTGGCGGCTTCCTGTACATCAGACCTACCATGATCGCCACCGATCCTGCGCTTGGCGTACAAAGGCCAAGGGAGGCCTTACTGTACGTCATTCTGGCCTGCTTCCCAGACATGTCAAAGAGTCTTGCTACGCCAGCACCGCCAGCAATGCAGGGTCAAGCAAACGGCGCATCGAACAACTCTGGTCTTCGACTCTTGGCTTCCAAAGAAGATACCATCCGAGCATGGCCAGGTGGTTTCGGTTACGCTAAAGTGGGTGCAAACTACGGGCCTACGCTTGTCGCGCAAGGCGAGGCGAAAGCGAGAGGGTTCGATCAGGTCCTTTGGCTGTTCGACAAAGAGGCTTATGTCACTGAGGCGGGTGCGAGCAACTTCTTCGTGGTGATGCGGGAACCGACGAGCAACAAGTTGCAGCTTATCACGGCACCCCTGGAAGAGCGTATTATCCTTGAAGGCATCACTCGTGCGTCGATCATTGAGCTGGTCAAGGAACGCTTGTCTGGCACTCACAGCGATTTGGAGGCAGTAGAAATGGTAGAGAGGCGCTTCACCATGTCAGAAGTGATTGATGCTGCGAAAGACGGGCGGCTGGTGGAAGCCTTCGCGGCAGGCACGGCGTTTTTTGTTGCCCCAGTGAGCCTCATCCATTTCCGTGACAAGGATCTCGACGTTCCCATGGATGGTGATAGTGGGAAGTACGCCCGACTGATTAAGAAGTGGCTGGTGGACATCATGTACGGTAATGTGTCGCATGAGTGGGGTGTGGTCGTTCCCGAGCAACAGTAGCTAGAGTAGAGATTAGCCGCAAGGCAGCGAAAGTTGTGTTATGCGTTGCGGAAGCTTACTGAAGCTCACTTGTCATACGAGCAACTGTCATGGCGACGTAGCGAGGACGAAGGTGAGTATTAGTCTCAAGTCACATGCGACGGTACTACCACTTCACGCTCTTTGTTCCCTGCTGTTTTGTCAGTCGTAGTAGCTTGGGTATCACCACTCTCCTCAACCCAGCTTACCCGAACTGTGCCCGGAGCTCCTTGATCGGTGTCCGTGATAAATGGATGGTGAGCACGGGAACGTTGCGCTTCTTGGTGTCGCCTAGTAAGGCGCCCATGGTCTCGAAGGCATCGTCAGACTCAGGTTCGCCTTCTTCGACGCCAGCCGGGTTGTTGGCTGTCCTGGCCGTCTTCTTCGGCTCACGTAAAACATCAATCACTTGCGAAGACAGCGCGTTGTATTGATAGCATTTAAGGCCAGCCGAAGCCAACGCACGCTTCGCGATCTCCACGATGCTGATGAGCTTGCTGGAAGCTTTCGACGGAGCTGTTAAGCTTATTATCGACGGCTTACCGCCGTCTGGCGACTCTGCTGTAAGTCGCGATATGATAGCTGCGGTACGGTCTGATATCTTGGTCGACTGCCGTACACTAAGCTTCACGAACTCGTACTTTGTCTCGAGCAAAGCTTGATCGGCGGCCATGCTCGGTTCTCGGCCGTTCAGCTGTTTCAAAGCGCCCTCCTCAGGAGACCAAAAGCACGCAAGTCGTTGCAGTTGTAGCGTCTCCTTCCGGATTCGGCACAGTCTGTCTGACACGCATCCAGCGTTAGCGCATAGACTAGTGGATCGCTATAGGATAGTTGTACGGCCATGACTCGATACGTCAAACGTGATCATGATCGGGTCCCGCATATTCCGTGTAGCTGGCGACCCGATAGCCGCGACCTCGTATGCAAACAGCAGCGTTTACTGGCCTCACATCAAGCGCACGTTGTCAAAGCATCGACTGTTGCAATTACAAACGATTAACGAGTACCGGTTACACAATCCACGGGAGCCTCAGGAGACTTTTCTGGAAGCACTTGGTGTCCAAGATACAGGTGCAGCCACTAGGAAGGCAACCTGGGGCGATAGTGCCACAGCACTAAGTGGGTTAGCGGCAGAGCGCGTCAACGATTACACAGATGGATGTGCAGCCTTCCTCCTTCTGCGCTCTTTGTTGGAACGGCTTACAACTCCTCTCTGACTGACATTCGCACCTTCCTCACCACGACTTTGCAGCTTCCGCCCCTTCCAAGTTAGCTTTGTTTCTTCACTTCATGCTTTTGCGCCTGTTTTAGTACCGCTTTTGAAGAGCAACAATCTACAAACACTTGGCCTCCGGCGCCCGTTCCGTCTCATCTCCTGGCCTTATCTCCGAACCTACCGAACACTCCAGGCGGCCGCCACAACTCCAAGGCCAACTACACCAACCGCATACGGTACTTACTTCCATTGTCGCAAGCAGCTTTCGACTGTATTGCAGTAATTCATTTGGCCCTTATGCGCAGTCGGTAAGCTCAGGAATTGGGAACGTGTGGGATGGGAAGGCAGCAGGAGCTCTGAGTGGGTTTGGTGAAGCCGTGCTCATGCGCCATGCAGAGTATCTTGCGCTTTACATGGTGCGATCAGATTGCGCCGAAGATGCAGACGGGCAAGTCGGCGCTGGAGAGCATGCGCGCATCTCCAGTCATGGATATGCCGGTGTTGAACAAGCTCAAGCGCAGGAGGATGGACAGCCCTGAGCCCCAGTCGCCAACACGAGCACAACCGGTGAAGAAGCAGCGAATACAGGAGCCCGCTTGTGGTCAGCATTCACTACCGGCAGTTGCGACCGCCCGGTTACCGGCCAAGTCGGAGAAGGAGTACCTTGCGACAGCCGCACCTGCAGTTGACGACGTAGCGTGTCAAACAACAACGCCGGTGGCGAGCGAACAGGCAACCGTGACTCACCGAGATCTCGGCGATCAAGCGCCACCCCAGATCCACACTGCAGCAAACATTCCAGGCAATGCTATAGCTGGCGGCGCACTGCAGCCGGAGCCCTCCAAGGCGCAGACTACAAGCATGTCGAACGATATTTCTATGACGGATGCTTATCTTATGGTGCCAGCAACTGTACAGCTATCGAAGCTGCAACAGGTTATTGAGAATGAGTTCAATATGCAGATCCTTCTGAAGCACAACGAGCTCCGTTTGATCGAGCAAGAACTGGCCAAGTGTCAAATCGCACTCGAACAACTTCGCCGCTGCGAACTCCGACCATATCCAGGCGCCGAGACACCGAGTCAGTCAATCACACACGGCACTGGACCCTCGCTCGCTCCACCAGCAGGGTATGCTCAAGCGTTGTACGCTGCACCTCACGGTGTCACAGATGGTCCCTACACTCGTCATTACCGGCAGTGGCTTTTGCAGGATCAGTTGTTTGACACGACGCCGCTACAGAGCCCGGCTTTTGTGATCGATGCCTCGCACACTGCCGCTCGCTCAACGCGCAATACCGGCACTTCCCGTAAGTCCATACAAAAGTCTGCTACACTGCCGAGCAGAGCATCAGACCCCATGCAGAGCTTGCCAAACTACCCCCCCGCGCCGAAGGACAAGGCGGCACCTATGATACTTCGGAGATCGACAGATGGCCGTCTGGTAAAGCTTATCTGCAACAATTGCTTGCGAGGCAACTTTTCTAGCATTCAAGGCTTCCTCAATCATTGTCGTATAGCGCACAAGGTCGACTACAAGTCTCATGATGCCGCAGCAGTTGACTGTGGGCGAGTACTCAACGAGGAAGAGGCTGCAAATCTGCCGCCGGAAGCGCAGGCTGCAGTGACGGTCCACAAACCCGGCGGCAGCCGGTCCGCTTCCACCACGTCAACACCTTTCAAGACTCAGCATCTAATCCATCCACTGAACCTTGCACAGAATGCGGCCACTCTGATCAGTCCGCAGGTACGCGATGTCCGTCAGCCCGCACCAGTAGCGCCCATGGTGTTTCTTCCTCCTACACCAGGCAGGCCGAAACCATTCACAGGTTCTCCTCAAGCTCCTCGTTTGTCAGCCTTTTTCGCGAAGTACAACCTTGGTGGTGATCTCGAGCAAGCCATCTCCGCTGCTAAGCAGAAGGTCGACATGAGTGCGGAAGAAGTGCTGTCGCCACAAGAAATCGATTCGGCTTCGCCGTCTACACCAGCAGTGACTGGGTCGAGAAGCGGACTTGGTGTTCCGCGTGCAGGTTCTCTTGCGCCTGCAGGAGCTCATTCGCGTCCGCAGAGTCGCACGGGACATCGCGAGCCCGCGCAACGTCACCGGCCGTCGCCCTTGATGCCGGCGCCGCCAAAGGCGCACAAGACAGCACGGACTGCGCACGATGAAGTACCGGAGTCGCCGCAAGACCGATCGTCTTACCTGAGCCCGCATAGCCACACGGCAGACAGCAACCCAGGCTTGGTCAGTGACCATGATGATGACGAACATGGTTCGGCATCAGAGGACGAAGCTCCTCACTCGTCTGTCGCGCATTCGCTAGGACCCACGCGTAGAGATTGTACGGATAGCATGGATATTGATGTTACAGTAGATGATGACATAGATGAGCACGGTGTTGTCATTAGGAGGAACAGCCTGCTTGGGCCGGTTGATCGTGGGTCTCGAACGACCGGCAGCCCGTCGACGAGGTTTGGTATAGGAAAGGATAGCGCTTAGCATTGCGCGTTGTAAAAGATCAGCTACGGCAACAGTGTTGGGGTGGGCTTCGCTTAGTGTCAGGATAGTTAGGCAACAAGCCGAGAAACGATTCTTCACTCCTTTGAACATCGTAAGCAATTGACTGTCTTGGAGATACCACACCGTTGTCTGCACGCAAATCGTCCAGATCAGTCATGCTACCTCTAAATCCCACTGTTGTGGTGAGAAGGTGATGACAGCCGAAATGTGATGGCTTGCCAAACGGGCGTTGCCTTGCACGAAATGTCAACCTGTGACCGTACATCCCAAGGCAACCATGTTGCGAACATGCACGCCCTCCACAAGTACTGAGCAAGCATCTCCCTTTAAGACATCTTCATCTACACCAAGTGCTGAAAGCTATGGAAATAATTGAAGCGAACAACGTCTTCCCCGGTTGGAGCACATATGTAGCGAAGGCGGCACCATTGTTGGCCGTTCTTCTGATCATTGTCATTGTGGGCCTCCGTACTGGTAAGACTCGTTCCTCTGGAGATGGCCCGCAAGAACCTCCGGTCATCTCATCAACACTGCCATGGATCGGGCACTTGCTAGGAATGACCTGGTACGGACCGTCGTACTACCAGCAAGTGAAGTATGTTCGCGCCACCCCAGCTAAGTCTTCCTGAACGCACTCTCAGGATGTTTACAATAGTTCGCCTTGCTGGAACAGTCGCGTAGCCTGACGTTCTCCTACATAGTACCCAAAACTATCCCATGTACACTCTACCAACGCTGAACAGTCGAACATACATCGTTACATCGCCAAGTCTCGTTGCAGCAGTGCAGCGCAACACCAAGACATTATCTTTCTACTCGGTTATCGTCGAGGTTACTCGGCGAATGTGTGCCTTTGACAAGGATGCCACGAAGATCATCTTCCACAATATGAACCAGGAGCATGGGCGGGACGGGTCATTGATGGCCGTCGTGCACGACATGATGAACGCTCACCTCTCACCAGGTCCAGGACTAGACGAGATTACTTCAGTACAGCTGCAGCAGATGTCAATTGTACTCAATGACATGGCGATGGAGGGTGCTCAGACGATCAACCTCTACGCATGGATGAAGCACGTCCTGTCCGTTTGCAACGGCTATGCCGTGTACGGACCCGACAACATCTTCGCTACGGATCCTTCTCTCGAACGCGATTTCTGGACGTTCGAGGAAGGCATGCTGGGTCTTGTTATCGACTTTCTCCCGTCTATCACAGCGCGCAAAGCCCACCTCGCCCGCATGAGGGTGCTCAAGGCTCTGATACGCTACGTCAGGGAGCAGCGATACCGCAAGGCGTCACCGCTCATCAGAGAGCGTATTGCCATCAACCAGTCCTTCGGCCTGTCTACAGAGATGATCGGACATGGAGAGCTGGTCTTACTGTTCGGCATCTTGGGCAACGCTGTGCCGTCAATGTTCTGGATGATCGCACACATCTTCTCCCGGCCGCAGCTGTTACAGGAGCTCAGACATGAGATAGAAAGTCGGCTTGATCTGACCTCGCAAGTTCCGGTAGGCGGGACACAGGAGGAAACCCGAACGGTGATACTCTCCGCCGCTCAGGTCAAGGCATGCCCGCTCCTGTATTCGTGCTACCGCGAAACATTGCGCGACATCTCCAACGCGAGCTCGCCCCGACTGGTGTTAGAAGACACTTTGCTGGCAGACAAGTACGTACTGCGCAAGAACTCTATCGTCCAGATACAAGGCGGCGTTCTCCATCAAGATCGCACGCTCTGGGGCGAGGACGCAGCAGACTTCAACCCACAGCGCTTCGTAACCCCAGCCAGCGGCGATTTCGATTCCACTCAGAGAACATATGCGACGCTGCCGAAAGGCGTTCCGCCGACGGCGTTTCGGGCATTCGGTGGTGGCAGCACACTCTGTCCAGGGCGCCATCTGGCGCAAGCAGAGATTATGACCTTCGTTGCTGCTCTCATTCTCGGATTTGATATCGAGTCAGTGGACGACGACTCCTTGAAGCTTCCAATGAAGGACGAAACGAGCACGAGGTTAGCGATGATGATGCCAACCAGCAATGTGGAAGCGAGGATCAGTCGGAGGAAAGGATGGGAGAAGGTTTGCTTTGAGATGACATTATGAACGCAGCAGGCTCCTTTGGCATTACGAGTCCGAAAGGGACTATCTGCAAAGGCCTCGGGCCTGTATCAGATGTGATTCTAATGTAGGCGTTGGAGCCATCGAAGGTGTAGTCGAGACGATGTTGGGCGAAGCTTGGGTTGAAGCTTGACACCATGACGCTGCACGGTTCGTTAGCGTGCCTAAGCGCTGGAAACTTCACCTCCAGAGTGTAATGGTGTCGTATTGACCTACGGCATTCAGTCGCGCTGGAAAACGGGTCGTCCCCCATCTCGTTGGCCGTACCGTGCAAAGTCGTGACCGCACTTTTCGAAGTTTGGAAGGTCGATAGAATGACAAGGTGAGTGCGACGGTGAACGGCAGCTCCAAGCCACATATGCCATCAGAGGAATGCAGCCCCTCACTCGAGGTACTACAGTAAAGGTATCATCTCTGTATCTCTTTGATCATCTACTTCCACTCAAAGACACTTGGTCAAGGCTTGATTTATGACCTTTCGTATCCACAACGCCATGAGCGCGGCGAAATGGCGCACGACAAAGCCGACTCTGCACACGTAGAGCATCCCGAGCATGAAGCCGCGCTCGCAGGAGCTCTCGCCCTCGCCAACCTCTTCAGCAACTGTGTCGAAGCCTTCGGCCTAATACACCCTTCCCACAAGTCGGAGAAGGAAGAGCAACTCCTCCTCTCACGACTTGGTCTCCAGCAAGCTCGTCTGCTAATATGGGGCGACATTGTGGGAGTCTCCTCGCCACCCAAGAACGTCACGGATCGCGCAGTACCCAAGCATCCTAGTGCGCAGTATCCTGACCTCAATGAGCCCACCTTCTTCGGCCCACGGGACACGAGGTTGGATGAGGAGAAGACGAGGACGGAGATCGAGAATGCATTAAGTGCGATCGTGGACCGCTCATCAGGACAGAGTCGGGAGCAGATGATGGAGAAGTACGGCCTGAAGCCGCCCAAGCGCGCCCTCGCAACGCAGATCGAGCCGGCGCTGGACATTCAGCGGCTGGATGGGTTCCGGGAGCGCTTCGCGCTGCTCAAGGAGGTTGTGGAGGATTACGCGCAACTCAATACGCGGCGCAGCAACTCGATTGTGCAGACGAGTTGGATGATTGCGGACTCTACGCGCTTTGGGCGCTTCATCACGCTCACGCAGGAAAAGGTGGATTACCTGATCACTCTCATGGATATCAAGGAGCGGGTGGACCGAGCCATGCGCATAGACATACGATCCCTCGGTTGGCATCTCGCCGCTGACCGACAGCGAGTCGCACTCGATGCGTCGAAGCTGAGGCTATTGCAGGAGCATTGCAGGACCGAATATCCGGAGTACCTCGACGCCGTGCAGCAAGCGTTGAACAACATCCAGCGAGAGACGCGCGAGAATGCGCCGGTGGTCAACCCGTACGCCGCAGCGCCGAGGACGGAGAAGCCACTCTTGCCCAAGTCTTCTCACACTCACGCGAACGGTGAGCGGGGGAAGCAGAAGCCGCCCAGCATCTTCAGCAGACTCACGTCGTTTGGCAAGTCGAAGGATAAAGTGCCGCAGAAAGGGCGAGCTCAGAGCATTGACGCCGCGATGTCGGATCCGCCGCGCTCGCTTTCGGATGCTGGTCCGACTCGCTACGATGCTGATGACGATGGTGGGGCGCTTGAGCCGATTCGGTCGAAGTCTGTGGGCCATATCATGGAAGGCGGGGAGATGGGCGCGTTGGATGAGGACTTCATTAATAACCGGTTGGCGCAGATGCGAACAACAGATCCGGCAAAGGAGCCGTTGGAGAATACTGATTCGCTTGCCGGTCAGATCAGCAGGCATGATCAGTATCATGGCATTGCTAGAACGCAGACGAAGGATCTGAGGCAAGGGTGGTGATTTTGTCATATCGGTGAGGGTGATAACTGCAACGAAGAGATCGCAAGCGTCGTGAGGTCATGTTGCCTTCGCCGGGAAGAAGAATGTTACGATGCGTTGCGTATACCCCGATGGCTTACTGCATCCTATCGCGTTATTTCTATAGGCTGTACATGTGCTTTCGCGCCGGCTCCGACCTTCCTACCGCCCTCTTTCCGCTTCACCCTGCACCACAAGCCTACCTCCTTGTCCAGAACAAACTGCCACATGACGCCCACCCAGCTATAGTGACAAGGAAGATCACAGTAGAACTCGTTTGCGATCGCGTTGAGCCTCCATAGCCGCGTCCATGGTATGGCTGGGAAGTCGTGGTGCTCATTGTGCAGTCCAACATTGTACGTCAGCAGGTTGAGCGCGCCGTAGTACGAGAAAGTCTCGGGCGTTGGCGCTACCTCAGAGCCTTTCTTGCTCGATGGAGCAAGCGAACGGCTGTGTTGAGCGAAGACGTAGTGCTCAGCTATGAAGTGGCCCGCGCAAGGGTGCAGTGAGCCGGCGAGGAAGGAGCTGAGGATCAGATACCCGAGTGCTCTGGCCCCGGCGTATCTGACAAGTACATAGTCGAAGGCTATCTGCACTGCAATGTTGAGGGCGTGGATCCACGTTAAGGGCAATTGATAGACCATCATCGGCCGTAGGGCATAGAAGAGGATCTGGAAAGTGCAGAAGAAGGCCTTGCCGGCAACGGAGTCCAGAAACCATGCTTCCAGCGCTGTGGGCAGGTCGGCGTCTAAGCCGTCCACCCCCAGAGACTTGTGGTGGGTCAGATGATATGGTCTGAAAGATGCCGAGTACGGGATGCCAATGGGAAGATTGGCGATGATGGCCAGTATGCGGTTCGCTAATGGAGATTTGAAGGCCAGATTGTGCGAGATCTCGTGGATGGCCAGGAAGAGATTTTGGTTGGCCGTAGCTCCAACAATATATGCCGTAAGAAAGAAGGGCCATGACAGTACGGGTGTGTGGCGGAGGGAGTAAGCGCAGAAGACTTGTAAAGCGACGACTGCTAGAACGAGTGGAATGGTCAAAGGCTCTGGCCCGCAGAGCTTGAGGACCTGTTGATACTTAGACACCATACATCTATGTTGCTTTGAACAGGAATTACCTCAGGATGGGCTTTTATGATAGCTTGCCGTCTCGTTTGGTGCGGTTCTTCCGTATAAGTCCAGAAGAAGTCATTCTTGCCCGCATCGTCAGTCTGAGCCTTGCCGTCCATGATCGGTACGTCTTTGATTGTAGAGAGCGTGGCAGTAGCGACTGGAAACGCCATATTGGCTTGTGATGGACAGAAGAAGAATGAGGTCGTGGAAGTTCACTGTTTCTGCATTGGCTTCTAGACCCTGGGCCCTTCAACGCATGTGAATGCTTGGCGGAGCTTTCCGCGGGGAGTGTCGCGTTGACCAGATGTTCGATTCGCGACAATGTGAGGGTAGCTCGATCGCTCGAACATATTGTCGACTTCAATGTGGTCGATACCACGGCTGCTGAGCCTTGCGGCCCTGCTGGTCCAGACGCAAGCACTCTACTTCTACATTGACGGGCCAACGCAGAAATGCTTCTTCGAGGAGCTACCAAAGGACACGCTGGTGGTTGGTATGCAAGGACTATGGTTATGGGGAAGATACGATACATGCGCTGACTGGTTATGAAAGGCACGTTCAAGGCAACACAATGGAACGAGCAATCTCGAGAATACGTTGAGAACCCGGATATGGTTCGTCGAAACTAACCCTTCCCCTTCCACCTCACGCTCGAACGTACTAAGTACGATACAATGTCATAGGGCATCTACATAACGGTCGACGAGGTTTTCGACAACGATCACCGCATCGTCGCCCAACGCGGCAGCAGCAGGGGCAAATTCACCTTCTCCGCTGCCGACTCGGGCGACCACCGCCTCTGCTTCACGCCCACCAACGTCCCCGCCACTTCCGGCTTCCTTTTCTCAGGCTCGCAAGTCGGCGGCATCAAGTTCGAGCTCGACATGGCTATTGGAGAGACGTCACAGATTGAGTCCTCGGATAAGGATAAACTGGGTGAAGTGGTGCAGAAGGTGAAGGACATCAATGCGCGGTTGCAAGACGTGAGACGTGAGCAGGTGTTTCAGCGGGAGAGGGAGGCGGAGTTCAGGGATCAGAGTGAGAGTGTTAATGCGAGGGTGGTAAGGTGGTCGTTGATACAGTTGGCTGTATTGGGTGTTACGTGTGCGTGGCAACTCAGCTATTTGCGCGCGTTCTTCATCAAGCAGAAGCTTACATAGCGGTCTCATATACTGCACTGCGAAGATGGTCCTGCAAAGCTATGATACCATGTCAAATCATATTCAGTGCTTGAACATTTCTATCCGGCCAGCTATGGTCATATTATCGTAGAGTGGACGTCTGCGTCTCACTATTGGAACGTAGTTGCAGCACTCCGTGCTCAACCTCTCACAGTTCCATCTCCATCTAGGAGTTGACAACAACGCCACCGTTGCAGTGGATGCACTGCCCGGACAGCTGCGAGCTGTCCGTGCTTGCCAAGAATACCACACACGTCGCGATCTCAGCTGGCTGCGCAGGCCTGCCCATCGGGCTGGTGAACTGCTTAATGGCATCCTCGCTCATGGTGGACGGCGCAAGCGGCGTCCAGACCGGACCCGGCGCAACCATATTGACGCGGATACCCTTGCCCACGAACTGGTTGCTCAAGCCACGAGTGAAGGATACGATAGCACCCTTTGATGAAGTGTAGTCGAGGAGATCTGGGCGACCAATGTAGGCGTTGACTGATGCATCGTTGATAATGGTGTCGCCCATTTTCATGTGCTCAAGGGCGTACTTGGACGTGTAGAAGAAGGCTAGATACAAGAGTCAGTAAGCTAGTGTCGTGTAAGGAACGGATATAATACGTACGATGAATGTTCGTCGCGAACGTCTTCTCCCACTGCTCCTCCGGCAAGTCGTGGATGTCTTGGATCATCATCTGGAAAGCGTGGTTGTTGAACAGAATATTGATCGCGCCCAACTTGCTAATCGCCTCGTCGACGATCTTCTTGCAGTTGGCCTTGTCTCTAAGATCCACAGCAATAGTGTAGCACTTCCGGCCGTACTTCTCCACCAGCTCGACAGTCTTCTTTGCATCAGACTCCTCGCCAGGCAAATGCGTGATCAGGACGTCTGCACCCTCCATGGCGAAGAGAACGGCGGTAGCCTGGCCAATGCCGGAGTCGCCACCAGTGATGAGGGCCTTTCTGTCCTTGAGCTTGCCGGCGGCTTGGTAGAGCTTGTGACCGCCGTCGGGCGTCGGTACGTATTCGATTGACGGGCTGACTTTCATGTCCGACTGTAGCCCAGGAGGCTCCATCTGCTGGACCGGAGGCTTCCAGCCTAGTCACTATGGTCAGTACATATCTGATTTGGAACTACAGACGGCGTTGTCCTACCTGGCTCATATTGGGATGGCTCGCCTGAAGACATGGTTACTGTGTCTTTGATTTTGTTGAGAGTGTCTGATACAACTTGCATTGAGTAGCAATTGAACAGTGGGCAGAGCAGGTATGGGAAAAGCGTATGAATATTGGTGAAAAGAGTACTTAGCCCTCCACTCAATGTGACGCGCTGAACGACAGCGTGGTACGTCACTCCTACGACATATTGCGAACTCCTGCGGACTTCATTCATTCCGCAACTGACCGTGTCGACTTACCCAAGCGATGTCGCTGATTGCGCTACACAAGCCATAAACCTCCAAGAGGTGCTTCTACAGTCGAGCAGCAGGAGTAGGTGAAGTTGGACGGGAGGCTGAGACCTACCGAGGCGCACGGTCTTTCGGCTTCCTCCGTTCTTGGTTAAGTCTGCCTCTGCTTCTCTTGCCACGGCCGCCAACCACCCCGAATCTGGAGGTCACAAGACTTCTTCCTCGTTCTCCTCCTACGGCAACAGCACGGGCGACGTTTACGGTGACGACGGTAAACTGTAGCTATACCAAACTGTCACTTCTCTCAGCTCTCGCTCCGTCCGTGCCTTTTCTCTGATCGCTGGCGCCCATTCTCTTGCAAGCTGCACGTCCGCGTTACTGGACTCTAGCGTCATGTCCTAGAAGCTCACATCCAGGCCCATTCGACTCTTTCACATGCTCGTCGTCCTCAGTCTCATCGGAAAGCGTGCTTATTTTCCGGGTGCTGTTGGTCCGTGGCGGTGTCAGAAGCTTCTGCAGGCATACTAAATCAGTAGAAGACCGTCACCTTGGACGATATACGGCATACCTGAATTTGCTGGGAGTGATGTGTCTCCCATCACACCAACCGGTAGTTCCTGCAACGCTTCCTGATCCTCTTCATATCTCTCCAGAGCTGCATCCACCATTGCTAAGTCAGTTATGTCGCAGATTTGCGAGTCGCTGCACAGCTGGCTTGACTGACTACCTGCTCGCTTCTCGTTGCCGTCCTTGGCCTTCTCTGCTTCTTCGTCTCAACGGCGAGAGTTGCCCGATCCGAGATGTCGGTCGGCATTGCACATCTGAGACGGCGATGATGCGGTCTTTGATTAGCATGTTCTCAAGGCGTTGCAAAAAGAGGACCGTAGAATGCGATGTCAAGCAATCAAACTCACGTTTCGGATGATCTCTCACGTGCCGCAAGTGCGTCTGCAAACCAGGAAGCAATGACTGAACCCAGGCCTTCAGTTCTGGAGGGAGCAGGAAGGCGTGACGGACATCATCGTTTGCATCCACAGAAGCATTTGCGCAGTCGTGCGAGACCGCATCCATCAATGTATCATCGTCCCATCAGTATCAGTGTTAGACGTCATCCTGGGGGCTACGAAGTCAGACAGCATCTGCAATGCTATGGCCTAGCAGGAATGTTACACAACAGGCGTTAGCAGCCCACTCTCCACCATCGTAACAGGCAAAACCCTCTACCAAGACTATCCATGAGGATACGACGATGATCACGGAAAGCTATGACATTGGCCACTGTGCGGAAACAATCCACCATCACCGTATTGAGGAGATTAACAAGGCTATGTAGACGGCCGCTACAGCTGTCGACCGGTTGCACCAAGCAGAGCGCTCCGCATTGGCGCGTTCTCGCCAGCATATCGCTGACGAAGAGAATGCAGCCTGTCAGCCATCTCAGCATCTTATTGCGGGTTAGGAGGGTGCTGCATGCCAACGTTCTCAACAGCGCATCGCTGCCGATCGAAGAGAATTAGATCAGCTTTGGACGCAGCTACGTTGCGAGACATTGCAGGTCGAGCTTGCTACTGTCAACGAGAGCATTGCTACAACAGAGCAGTCCGTAGCGAACGTCAGCACTCTGGGAGCCTTGGTTCAGCAAACCTTAAATACGCTTGCGTTTGTAACTCAGCAAACGCTAGGTCCATTGCAGAACCGCAAGGTTGCAATCGAGTCAGCATTGGACAATTTGAAAAGGGTCATCAACGATGATTGAGGGGAACTTGCGAAGTAGTGATGGTACCTAGGAGCCGGCAGATGCGCAGGGATGTAGTGGCAGGACAATATGATAGTGCCGCGAATTGATAGCATTGAAGGTGCGGGAAATTCATGGTGGCCTGCTGTGAGGTTCCAAGACGAATACAGCCTCATCCATCTCCACAAGCCACTAACCACACCAGCACTCATACTCCGTACAATGGGCAGACAGACGCTAACAGTGAAGAGCGATGTTCCGCGGTGAGACCGCACCTCACTTCCACTATCCTGGAGCCGATGCCCGAGCCGATCTCGAGACCGCGGCTCGTTGTTGGTAAACATACCACTCGCGCTTTCCGTAACAGCCCCGAGTGCTCTCTGCGCGGCAAACACAATTCGATGTTGGAACGTCGCTTCCCATCAGAAACTGCTCTGGTGTGCTTTGACAACACTTCTGAAGTGAATAAGCTCTTCCTGGTGGCTTTTACCAGATTACTTGGCTGCAGCGCTTGGCATATGAAGACTCCACCCTTATCTACAACGAACCGCTACCACGCAGCATGCTGGAAGTGACCGTTCCTGCGAATCTGCCGCACCACAGCTGGCAAGCTCTTGTATAGCGTCCTGATCGGCACGCCGTCCCGTGGTCGAACGCCTTGGCTCCCACTTAATTGGAGCAACCATCACCTCAGGATCTCCCATAGGGTTCGTTCGGAGCCCCGGTTAAGCACTCACTACCACAGGACATTCCTCATACCGTAGCGAGAGACAGGTGATCGACAGATGCACGAGACTATACTGTGGAGCCGTACACCGCAGTCCACTTTTCGGTGCTGCTCTTACCGCGTTGAGAGGACAACCTCCCCCGTCAAACCTCTTAGCCGTTGAGGGCAGCGTTGCTAAGTCGCAAACGGTACAGCGCCGCAGACGTACAACCACGCCTCTGAGTAGTACGATAAGCATGTCCCGTACGGGCGGCAATAAGAAGTGTAGGCTTATAGTAAGTAACAACCACAATCCTTCCTCAGCTGCGCCAACTCTCCCTTACTATCTATCTCTGCATTCGACGCCCGAGCCTCCCTAAACCGCAGTCATGGTCGTTTACCACCATGTCATCAACAATGCCTACACCCCCGCACAGACCGTCGAGCTCTGCTCACGGGCTGGGGTGACAAAGGCGAACATGAGGATCGATAAGATCTTCTGCAGCAGCTTCATGGCCGGTTGTTTCCTAGCATTCGCTTGCTTCGCACTCCTCAGCACGAACACTGCGCCATGGTACCAAGAGAATGCGCCTGGTTTGATCCGGATGCTCGGTGCCTTGATCTTCCCGTTCGGACTCGTAACCATTGTGGTAACGGGAGCAGACCTGTGTACTGGAAGCTTTATGGTGAGTAGACGCTACACGGCGCAGAGATGCTGGACAGTCATTGACGGGCCGCAGTATACAACCATTGCAGTTCTGCATCGCCGATTGTCGCCACTGAAGATGCTTATGCATTGGTTCATAACCTTCTTCGGCAACCTGGCCGGCTCCTTGTTCGTGATGGCCATCATCATCGGCTATGGTGGCGTCTTCTCTAACGCAACGGTAAGCAATGCCAGCAAGCCAGCGAGTCCACTTCCGAGCACTGACAAATTCCCTCTATTAAACAGTACAAAGCTGAAGTGCTCACCTTCGCGAACACGAAAGTGGTAACCCCTCATTGGCACCAGATCTTCCTCAGAGGCATTGGTGCCAACTGGCTCGTCTGTCTGGCCTGTTTCCTTGCTTTCATGGCGCGTGAGTACTTCTCGAAAGTGGTCGCGATCTGGTGGCCGACCTTCGCCTTCGTATGTCTTGGGTTCGATCACGTGGTGGCAAACATGTCGTTCATCCCTGCTGCCATCTTCTTGGGGTCTCCGACGATCCACGTCGGCTATTACATATGGAAGAGCATGATCCCGGCATTGCTCGGAAACATCATCGGCGGTGGACTGTTCGTAGGCGTAGTGTACTGGTACATGGTTCGTATTTTCAGGGAGAAAACGCTAGTTTCCAATGTGCTGACATAGCTCGCTCTAGCACCTTACGGGCGACAGCAAGCCCATCCCTATCGACGGAGGCATATGGGATAGCGACCAGGAACCGATCGTTGGTCGGGATACCCGCCACGAGTCGAATGGTGATGAGATTGCTCCAGATGAGCGCAAGAAGAGCGCATTTAGTGCGGACAACATGGTGTAAGACACACCATGTTGATTGCCAACGTGATGACGGCGCGGCACACTAGCCATGAGTGATGCTAGTCTGCTAGATAGACTGTGCACTCCATCGGTTCTGAAGTGAAGACAGCCTTGGTATTCATGAGCTTATTGCTGAGCTTACTTGCAGCCGTTTGATCTTGGTCAAAGTCGCTATACTACGTCGCTCCCAGAGCACTATGTCACCGTTACTCATGTTTGCTGCTTGTCCTCCTGCAGCCGTACGTCATGTCTCCATTCTGCAATCGCCCTTTGACATGCGCGCATTAACCTCGTCACCAACGAACCTATGCCGAAAACTATACGGAATGAATCAGGGGTATCCGCCATAACATCGAAGCCATCCACGGAACAACGAGAGTCCGCTCCACACAATGCAATCATCAGGGATTCGTCCTGCCTCGAGCGAGACCGAGACCACACTCCACAAACGCCAGCCAGCCAATTTTGTTACATCCCGATTGATGCCCTAGTGTTACACCATGTCTAATGCGTTGCAGCATTATCCTATCCTCTGAACGCCGTCTTCGTGCATCAGTATGCGCTGATCAGGCGCATGAGAAGGCATCGAAGCTGACAAACTTCGATGATCCTGATCGAAGGGCTACCTCAGACTTGGTCGACGCTTGGCAGCGCGAGCCTGAGTGAAGGAGCTGAAGTAACTCTCCAGCTGTAGGCGGGCCTGCTCGGAAACGCCATTAGTGCTGCTTTGGCTCGTCGTCGACGACAGCGATGTCCGTGACGAGCATGGCGTTAGGGATCGTTGAGATGATGCCGTCGATGGTTGTTGTGCCGATGTTCTCATGAAGTAAGATGTCTGATACTGCTGCTGCTCGGTATATGGCGAGCTAGCGATGTTCTTGTCCGTGAAATCAACAGCTGGCGGCAGGACGTAGGCCGACGCCGTTGATGACCAGGATAGCCGCGATTGTGATTGCGAAGACGGTGACAACGGCGTCTGCGGTACTGATGTGTTTCCTCTCTCAAGGTCGGCGAGACGACATGCTTGGGAGCAATATGGCCCATGCGACTCTTTATCGCAAGCGAGGCAGAAGTCTTGGAAGCAGTCCATATTGATGAAATAGCGATGATTGTCGGCGGTGATAGTAATGTTGACTGTCGAATCAACGGATCGTAGTCCAAACCGAAGGGCAAGGAGCGAGGTGACGACTCAAGTAACAGTCAAGGACGCTGATGAATCAGAGGAGCACGGCCGATGGTGGAATGATGGTGAGAGATGGTGTAAGACGGTAGGGCTCTCTTGTGATTCTTGCTTCAATCCCAGTCTAATAAGAATGGCATAATATGGCGCGATAGTGGAATGCAAACAGCAGTCGAGTCTTCAGATGAGGGGAGAAGTAAAGACGTATATGAGGGGTTGCGTGATACCAAGATGGTTGGCTGATGCGCTACTCCAGCTCTGTGCTCAGGCACACTCTTTCCATGGCGTCGAATAAAGAGGTCCGCAGATAACGTCTGTGGGTCCCCCGTTCAAACCTGCGCAAGCGCAAGCGTTCAGGCATGCCAACGCGAGTGGCGCTGTTTCGAAGATCATGCATGCGCCTCAGCGGAAAAGATTAGAACAGGGATTGCGTGGGCGGGGACTAGGTTTCGAAGCAGGAACCGTTGTGGTGGGCAGAGTTGGGAAGGGGCCAAAGCTGCTCTTCACATTGACAAGACAGGGACGGAGGCTAAACGGCTGGGCCCACCATCTTCGCCGAGCAGATCAGTGTATCAATCATGCTCAGTTGCGGTACGTGCAGTACGTACCTTAATGGGGGTTGGGTGTTGCTGGGAGTGAGCTGCAAAGTGAGAAGCCAGCCCAAAGTCCAGCCCGAACGAGCGGCGCAAGGACCGAGCTCGAAATTCGAAGACGCGATAGCCGCAAGGCCAAGACCGAGCGAAACAGTTTCAAGTCCGAGTGGGGACGACACAATGACTGTGCAGTTTTCATTTCGTTAACCGCTCTCTGCGGCACAAAGCTCTCGAACATTTTTCCGCGCGCTCAACTCTTGCAGGGAATGAGTCGTCTCAACCATCAATGTGCCTTTCTCGGCGTCGTTTGGCGAGGCCTCAGCGGCAGCCTGGGCGCGCCGAGATCGCAGAGACGTACCACCTCAACCACTCGGCAAAGTGCACCCACTGATACAAGCTTGCTCTTGATCAGATGGAAGTCCGCCCTCATTGCTGTTCCACGACTATCAGCCTCGTGCTCATACTACTCACACCAAGTCGGCCTAGTCCACACCACCAGAGCGTGCTGTGAGAGCGGGCCCCACTTGCGCAATCTGATATCAATGCAGGTAACCGAGAACGGACGCTTGCGCTTTAGCCAGAGTCGAATCGCTGTCCGTGAAAAGTCTTACTGACCGCGTTATTGGAAGAAACCGCTTGGTTTATCGACCTCGGCGATCCGCAAATGTCCGACAGGAGGGCCGTATTGTGGCCGATCGTTTTGCTTCACATGGATTCGCAATTGTGTAGGTTATTGCGACACGACGGCCAGCTGCGGCCGCTATTTGCTCTAACGGCACGCGCACAAGGATGGCACATTCCATGATCACGACTGTCTCCACCCGGATCTCAAGCTTGGCCGTTGTAACCCCCACGCTACTGCTTGCTGAGATTGATGCTTAATCAAGCTTCGAAGTCCCTGATTCAAAATGTCCGAGTGCATACAGTTTGAGGAGGTGCATGAAGAAGACTCCGATCTCTGCTACTTTCCCAATTCGAATGGAAGAAGCCGCAAACAGAGGATTCACCATGAAGGCGTTGTTTGCTCGTTACACAGCAGCAATGCCAAGCGCATTGTGGTGGCGCGAGGGTTGGCTGGAGCACGGACACTAGAGGTCCCCGCAGTCCGTCTCTTTGGCTGTGTGGAGGAGTATAGTAGTGATAGACACGATCGACAGTAGAGCGACATTAACACTGGGATTTGATGGTGTGCGCTTAATGTACACTGATAGGCGTTTCATTGCTTGTAACAATGAGCGTTTCAGCAAGTTTTGTAAGTGCTTGTCCACAACCGCTTGTCTAGGGAAGCTCGGTAACTTCGGCAAGAGCATCCCACCTCCCGTTCTGCACGCGGAACGGGCGCCTGGCCAACCGTTAGAAGCCGAGTACGGGATCAATCCAAGACAGCAAGCCCTCACGTGGTTTCATCTTGTCCCTTCTTGCTAATGTCTTAGACAGCTTTCGAAGTTGGCTGCAGGCACGTGGGTGAACACTCGCTTCTCCGCCGGTGCCTAGCCTTAGCTGCATCCTGCGCCCTCCGATATGTCGAAGATTACAATCAATGCGCGCGAAATACGGCATCTAGGCAGGAACCGCCAGTGCTTGCAGGGTACATTTACGATGTACTCTCCGCATGCTGAGAAAGCCGTAGAATCTGCTGACGTGGCTCGAATGGGAGGTTTTGCTGCGACGTACAGTGACGATGTTGGTAGGACCAGCCTCCGCAAAGTCATGTAGCACAGCATGTTACTTGAGCGAGCCAATATTTTGGTCTTCGTTTCCATGTCATCATTGCCGTATAAGGGTATGCACTGGAATGCATTGTGATCATCGTCTCATTGGCCGTTGCTGAGCGCATCTAGACCGTGGAGGTTTTGGATGCAGCCGCCTTGGCATTTTCGAGGGCTATATGAGCCTTCCCTGAAAACCAGTACTCAACCAACGATGGCTCCAACCTGACGCGGATCCCGACCAAGTCCGGTTACTCTCGGCTTCCAATCTGTGGTTTGGCGTACAAAAAGGCGGCCGCAGCGTACGGAGATACACTTGGTTACCCTTATCCTCCTCTTAGCGGCGGAATGCCTGAAACCTTCTGATGAAGGGCAACAGCCAACGTCGTACACTACCTGCGTTGCTGGGCAGTAGGCAGCTCTTGAATCTCACCGCTTGACCCTTCATATCTTCGTCTCCTTGTTGTCTTGGAAACCTCAGAGACTACCTCATGGTCTTGATTGAGTTACGCGTGTGAAACTCATCTTGTTGGTAAGGGAGTGGTGCGGACTGCGTCCCACTGACTTCAACCAGATCGCTTCGTTGTGTGCTTCGGCTGTCTCTCATACGCATTCGGACTTGGTTTCTTCCCACTACCTCGTCCTTCTGCACTGTTTCCGTGGTTATGACTCCGAGCTGGCTTCTTACCACCCGCCTTCTGTGCCCGACTCAGATCTGGTTCACCGTCGCTTTCATCGCTACTTGAGTCGTCGTCGCTGTCGCTGGCGCCAGGCTCGTGCGGCTTGTGGTAGATGCAACACACTTTCGAACTCTTCTTTCCCATCCCCTCATTGTCCACGACCTCCTCCGCCCATCGTACGTGCTGCGATTGTTGCGGCTCGCCTCGTAGCCGTAACGTCGCTGAGGGCGCAGACGATTCCGGTTCCGTCTGCAGAATGGTGTGGGAGCCTGATGTAGGTGCCGTGCCTGACGTGCCTGAGGTTCGTACGGTAGTGCGAGTGAGAGGAGCCATTGTGTCTGAAGTGATTGGGTAGTGAAGGTTCGGGAGGAAAGGTTTGTGAACACCGTCGCGTGCTTGCCGATCTAGGTCCGCTTCTAGAATCTAAGGACTGGCAGGGCTGTGACGTACCTCTCACGGCCCGTAGGACCGCTGCTGGACCCCACTTCTGACTAATCACCCGCCGGAAGCTTAGGCTGGACGTAAGGCGTTCTGTGCGTTCGACGCGATGTTGAGCCTCTTCTTGCGCGGATCACTTCGCTGCACGACACACCCACCGGATCATACCGCTACAGGCCAACACTCATCGGCACCGCAAGTGGACAGCGGCTCTCATTAGGAGGGTTTGCTGTGTTGCCTGGCCACATTGTGTCACCGCGTGCTTCACTTCTGAAACACCCACGCCTTGCAATTGAACAGGCCAAGCTTTAGCACATCCTTCTCCTGCTAAAAGTTCGAAAGCACCTCAAACTGTGTCCTATTGGTAGGGAAGACCACTTCTTGTTGCATGGTAACACCTGGAGCCCACCTCACGGCGGCTGCGCATTAACTTCCCTCACTCAACGCGCAAACTGCTCGCAGCCTCCACCTACTCAGACCTTGAACCCTCCGGATCACCGCCACGATGTCTATGACCATTCCAGAGCTTGACGCCACCGTGCGTGCCTTTTATGAAGGCCGCGGTGAGCAGCAGAAGCAGGCTCAAGCCAGCCTCAACCAATTCAAAGAGAACCCGGATGCATGGCTTATGGTGGACAAAGTGCTGCAGGAGGCGCAGTATCCGCAGACCAAGTATCTCGGCCTTCAAGTCCTGGACAACGTGATTATGACGCGGTGGAAGGTGCTACCGCGCGATCAGTGTCAAGGCATTCGTAACTTCGTAGTCAACTTCATCATCGAGAGCAGTAGCACAGAGGAGAGCTTACGCAAGGAGCGAACATTACTGAACAAGCTCAATCTCGTGCTTGTCAGCATTCTCAAGCAGGAATGGCCGCATAACTGGCCGACTTTCATTAACGAGATCATTTCCAGCTGTAGGAGCAGTCTGCCGATTTGCGAAAACAACATGGCAATTCTGCGCCTGCTGTCAGAAGAAGTCTTCGACTACTCTGCCGATCAGATGACGTCCACGAAGACACGGCAACTGAAGCAGAGTATGTGTGACGAGTTCACTAGCATCTACAACCTATGCTCGGAGATCCTGCGGACAGCAGATCAGGCGAGCTTGATCAAGGCGACGCTGGAGACACTCCTACGCTTTCTCAACTGGATTCCGCTCGGCTATATCTTCGAGACGCCACCCGGCGGTGTGTCATTGATTGAGACGCTACGTAGCCGATTTCTGGAGGCGCCCGAATTCCGCAACATCACGCTGAAGTGCTTAACGGAGATTGGCAGCTTGCAGACCGAGCAGAACTTCAACGACAAGCTTGTCATGATGTTCACAGAAACCCTCACAACCATCTCCAAGATTATTCCGCTATCACTTGACCTCAAGAGCACATACGCTTCGTCGAACAGTAGAGATCAAGAGTTTGTACAGAACCTAGCTCTCTTTTTATGCAATTTCTTCAGCAATCACCTTTCCATCATTGAGAACCTGCCAAATCGCGACTACTTGCTGCACGGCCACTTCTACCTCATCCGGATATCGCAGATCGACGACCGCGAGATTTTCAAGATCTGTCTCGAATACTGGACGAAACTGGTGTGCGAATTATACGACGAAATGCAGACGCTACCCATCACCGATCTGAATCCACTCGTCAGCATGGGCGTGAGTGGGCTAGCAAACGGCGGCGCACCGAATCCGGCGGTATTGCAAAACTACCCACTGCGGAAGCACAAGTACACGGACGTGCTGTCGAACCTACGACAGGTCATGATCGAGAAGATGGTGCGGCCGGAGGAGGTGCTGATTGTCGAAAACGACGAAGGCGAGATTGTGCGCGAGTTCGTCAAGGAGTCAGACACCATCCAGCTGTACAAGACGACGAGAGAGTGCCTAGTTTTCTTGACGCACTTGGATGTTGTGGACACAGAGCAGATCATGTCGGAGAAGCTGGCGCGGCAAGTGGATGGCACTGAGTGGAGCTGGGCCAACTGCAACACGCTGTGTTGGGCCATCGGCTCCATATCAGGAGCCATGAATGAAGAGACCGAAAAGCGCTTCCTCGTCACTGTCATCAAGGACCTGCTCGGCCTCACAGAAATGAAGCGCGGCAAGGACAACAAAGCTGTTGTGGCATCGAACATCATGTACATTGTTGGCCAGTACCCTCGATTTCTGAAGGCGCACTGGAAGTTCCTCAAGACGGTCGTCAATAAGCTTTTCGAGTTTATGCACGAGACACACGAGGGTGTGCAAGACATGGCGTGCGACACCTTCATCAAGATTGCGAACAAGTGCAAGCGGCATTTCGTAATTCAGCAACCCGGCGAGAGCGAGGCGTTCATTGACGAGATTGTTCGCACGATGCGTAAGATCACGTGCGATCTCAGTCCGCAGCAGATCCACACTTTCTACGAGGCTTGCGGTTATATGATTTCTGCGCAAGGGCACAAGAACACCCAGGAGAGGCTGATCGGAGAGTTGATGAGCTTGCCAAACCAGGCCTGGGACCAGATCATCCAGTCCGCCCACCAGGATCCGACCATCCTGCAGAACGCGGAGACGATTAAGGTGATTGGCAACATTATGAAGACGAACGTGGCGGCGTGTAGCAGCATCGGACCTTACTTCTACCCGCAAATAGGGCGGATATACATCGACATGCTCACAATGTACCGCGCCTCTTCGCAGCTCATCGATGAAAGCGTGCAGAGAGACGGACCGATTGCGACGAAGATGCCGAAGGTGCGAGGCTTGCGGACCATCAAGAAGGAAATCCTCAAGCTCATCACCACATACGTGGAGAAGGCGGACGACCTCGAAATGATACATCAGACACTTGTGCCGCAGTTATTGGAAGCTGTCTTACTCGACTACAAGCGCAACGTGCCGGATGCGAGAGAGGCGGAAGTGCTCAGTGTCATCACGGTCCTCATCAACAAGTTGCAGGTACGTTGGACTTCTCACACCAGCAAGTATATGCAGGTGCGCAGCCTGCACGTCGATGTGATGAGTAGCGCTAACTGTGGACGACAGGGCATGATGACTGAGCAAGTACCCGCCATTCTCGATGCGATCTTCGAATGCACTCTCGACATGATCAATAAGGACTTCTCCGAATACCCAGAGCATCGCGTTGCCTTCTTCTCCCTTCTACGTGCCATCAACCAGCGCTGCTTCCCTGCCCTGTTGAAGCTCGACGAAGCGCACTTCAAGCTCGTCATTGACTCCTGCATGTGGGCCTCCAAGCACGACAACAGGCTTGTCGAAGGCGAGGGACTCAATATGTGCATAGAGCTGATCACCAACATGGCCGACTCAACAGACCAGGGCACCTGTGATGCCTTCTTCCGCCGCTTCTACACCACCATTCTGCAAGACGTGTTCTTCGTGCTCACTGACTCGGACCACAAGGCCGGCTTCAAGTACCAGAGTATGCTCCTCGCACGCATGTTTTGGCTGGTGGGCATGAACAAGATATCCGGACCCATCTACACGCCCGACCAAGCGCAGCCAGGCACATCGAACCGGGACTTCTTGCAGAACTTCGTGGCTAACCTCCTGAGCAATGCATTTCCCAACCTACAGGCGGCGCAGATCACGAACTTCATCCGCTCATTGTTCGAATGCACCGAGGACATTATCAAGTTCAAGCTCATTCTTCGTGATTTCCTCATCCAGCTCAAGGAGTTTGCGGGTGACAACGCGGAGCTCTTCACAGAAGACCGCGAGCAAGCGGCCAAGGAGGCCAAGGATGCGGAGAGGGAGCGGGCGATGAAGGTGGGTGGCTTGCTAAAGCCGAGCGAGCTGGATGACGACGAGCTATGACTGGGCAAAGAGGTGGCGTTGAGTCGAGGGGTGGGCTACGGAGAAATGGCGGCGGAGGACGTGGCCGAGGCGCTCGGGCTGTAACGGCCTCCGATGTGCTAGGTCACGCGGCCCACGAAGGCTTGGACAGCTTGGGCGCTCCAGGCGAATGATGCGTTTGCTGCAAAGCTTGCTTGTTTGCTGCGAAGATACCTCGCGTGCTTTCGAATCGAGGCCGGATATACCTTGCATAGCATATGGTGGACTCTTCCGCATGGCGCAGACAGAGCGCTCGAAGCGGCTATACTAGCTACGGAAAGATGTAGAGACAGACATCTGCCAATGACCAAACAACTGTTCTAAGGAGCTTTTGCGACGTCAATTGCTTTGTGGCTCAAGTGCACGAATGTCTAATGGGTTCCCAAGGCTACATAAAACAGCGCTCAAACGCTCCTACAACATCATACTCCGCCTCCTGCTTGCAGCTCGCTCTGATCTTCCTGCACCGGACGCTGCCGCTAGAGTGATCGCCCTGCTTTCCACAATCGGCGTCTCCTCTACCAAGCCTTTTGGGACTGAAGTGTGCCTTCTATGCGAGGTCGTTCTTGGCCGTGTCTGGCTCGCTGGTTTGGAGTGCTTATCGCCTGGTTCTGCAGGCGACGAAGCAGCTGCGACGGATGATGTCTCCTTGAAGTCATAAATGTCCACATCCTCCAATTTCGTGAGCGCTGCTTCTATGCCGTCCGTGTCTGGGTCCATAGGCGCAATCTGGCGCCATTGATTCTCGCCATTGGTGTCCATGAGCGTGGCTATAATGCGTGATGCCGACGTGCGTGGAAGGCTCCCAGATTGTTGCTCTGCGGACTGCGTGACTTGGTCAGGGTCGTTCGCCTCTCCGCCATCCTGCCGCAATCTTTGCAACGGGTGGCAGAACGCGACATCTTCTACGTAAGGTAAGTCCTTCCAAGCGCTCTCCACCTCGTGGCCATCATCATCGACCGATTCTCTCTTGATCCGTACCGTCCGTGGCGCTTGGCCGGAACCAGGTCTACCGTCCAAACCAGCCCTAGGATCCGGATCCGACGACGCGCTCATAGCACGACGTGGATCTTGAAGCCCGCTGATTGCATCCACCATTTGCTTTGTGGGCCGCCGCATCTTCGCAATGAGGCTCGGTTCGGCGTAGTTGACAGAAGCGCGTGCTCTGCGAGACGGTCGATTACCGCCGTCTGTCGCTTGTGAGAGCGCGCTCATATCGCCTGGGGGAGGCGTACCAATGCGGCTGCTGTCACCAAAATGTAGCGCGGAAGGCTCGGAGGGCGTAGGTGAGAAGAGGTCGGGCGGAACCGAGGGAGTCTCTGAGGTCTCGTCTCGCGCTGGTGGTGCATCTGCTGGTATGATCTCTGTCGTTTGCAAGTCGTCCTGCAGTGTTGGCGCTTGCGACACGACAGAAACCCGCCCGGACCGCGCTCGCGAACGGGCGGTTGGCGCAGAAGGTAAGAAGTCGGTCTTCTTGCTTGACGGCTCCGGCCACCCCTTGACAGGCTTTCCCGAGGCCCGCTGAGCCTTTCTGGGTGACATGTTGGCACTTTTTTCTCCCAGTACTTTGCGCACCGCTTTGGGTGGCGTCGCCGTTGGTTGTGTTTGGCCTGCTTCCATGTTCGCTTGGCCGTCTGCTCCCCGATCGTGACCAGTGACCGCAGCCACCGTTGGGTGCATAGTGGTCTTGCGGCTGAAGGTGAACTCATCCACAGCAGGCGGCTTGATAGACTTATCAATCTCGCGGTCGGCCAGCTTTCTCTTCGCGCCTGTTCGGAGGATGGTCGATGGCTCTCCATCCTGCTTAGATGGTGACTGCGGCAAGATAGAATGGCGTCTGATCTCGAGTCTCGGCTGCCCATCCTTTCGCCTACGGCGCGTCTCCAAGTTGACAGTCAAGCTCGCTGGCAGCTCCTCATTTTCGGAAACCCTCGGGGACGACTTGCTTGCGGTCGGAGAAACCTGCTTGACTGGCTCTTCGATCTCAAAGTGTGAGATTGGCGGGGGTCCGAGATCTGGCGACCCAGCGGAACTATGATCCGACAACCGTATGTTCTTAATTTCGTCTGCGCCGAGCGTCCGTCGCGGATACAGCTTGTCTTCAGTAATCGTCGGCATCTGACTCTCACGCATGATCTCCGATAGAGGCTGTCGTTCTCGCCATTGACCTTCCAAATGCCTCTTTTCCCGCGGGCCAGCCTTTGTTATATCGTCGACGCCTGGTGCGAGAGCGTCCATACCTCCCACGAGTCCGCTCAGCTCCGCCAGCTTCGCTTGCAGCTCATTTTTGATCCTTGTAACTGCATTCCTATCGACCGCACCTTTACGCGCGACCTGAACCTCATTCTGCAGCTTCAGAACTTGCTCCCTGAGCTCGAGATTGTCCGCCAGTAACCGACCAACCTCCAGCTCCAGACTTCGTATGCGCAAACTCTGGCCGGAGTTATTCTTGGCAAGTTCGCGGTTCTGTCGAATAAAGCGCCTCTTCACTTCTTCAAAGTCAGCAGGTGGTCGCTGTACAATCAGTCTGCTCTTAGTGCGCATAGTGTCGCGCTATCAGAAACATAACTTGGTGTGTTATGGAAGACTTACGTGCATCAACACTCTCCGGCCCCGGCTGGGGTGAAGTGGTATTGCCAGCAGTCGCGACGGTAGGCGGCTCGTTCAGGCGAGCCATATGCTCCTGCTACACTGTCGGCTGTAGGCATACGAAATAGCGCATGTTCTTCATCTTCCAAGCGTGCCACTGCCATCCCCAAAATCGTGGCGGAATCAACGACTGGCGTTGCTCGGCTGTTGCGAGGGGTAACCGCCGTTAGTGGCAATCGCGTCGCGTGTCCCACATCGCCGCTGGTGGGGCTCATACACGAGGACTTGAGAGATAGAGATGTTGTCGGTCTAAGACACCAGATCGCACAAAGCTTGGGGATGAGATGTCGTACGCGCAACATCGGCAAACTACATTGCCGTCCCAAATACGGCCTTCTTCCGGTTTTGGTAGCAACCCTTCCACCAGCACGCAGTCATCCGCTCTGCAAGCCCGCATTAATGAGAAGAAAGTCGAGCTGGAGAATCTACGGCAACTGCGTGACCTCAGCGCAGGCCTGGCGGAGCAGATGCAGCAGCTGGAGAACAAACTGTCTACCTTGAGCTCCGGGACTGAAGCCGTTGCCGCAGTGCTTGGAAATTGGAACAACGTATTGCGGGCTGTGCACATGGCCAGCTGTAAGTGATTGAGAAAAACTGGATCATGTGCAAGCTAATGTAATCAGCTGGTATACCAAAGCCGAAAGGCACCGCTGACGGCGAAGACGAGACGCCGTTGCCACAGACGCTTGTTCGCATCCCCGTAGAGCAAGCGGCCGCAGCGCAGAGAAGCCATGATATGTCAAATGCAGACGATGATTGAAGCAGGCCATCTATCCCTCAACCATTACCGAACGCGACGCTGTCGTCCACCAAGCACTACCTCAGTGCCTGCCGTCCACGTCTGGGGTTCCGTTCTTCTCGACAAGGTCCTGCTCAAACGCTTCCTGGATCTGGACAACCTGCTCAAGCATCGCACGATCGAGCTTCTGGCCATGGAACTGAGCCAACGACTTTGCCGTGCGGATGATGTTCTTGATCTGCCTGCCATTCACGACGGCTGTTGAGAGCGCCCCATAATCTTCCTCATCCATCGGCGCCACATTATCGCCCTCCATCTTAGCGATAAAGTTCTTCCAGATCTGTTTTCGACTCTGGACGGTAAGGTCATTGTACTTGAGCGGAACGTGGATGCGAGACTTGAAGGCGTCATCGAATGTGTCGACACGGTTGGAGGTTAGGAAGAGGATGCCTTCGTAGTACTCCAGTACGCGGAGGAAGATGCTGACGAGGGCGTTCCGATGAAGATCATGCAAGGAGCGGCGTTCAAGGAAGACATCCGCTTCGTCGATAAGTAGAACTGCCTTCCAGGTCGATGCCATGTCTAGGATCTTGCTAAGCCGCTCATCCAGCGTCTCTGCATCTGTGCCCAAGTCGCCGGATGAGACCATGTAAAGTGGCCGCTCGCAGAACTCGGCCACCATTTCAGCCGTCAGGGTCTTGCCAATGCCGGGCGAGCCGTGTAGTACCATGATCAAACCTTTGCCTTTACCCTTGACGATGTCGTCGAAACCAAGGCGCTGTTGGACATGGGTGGCGACGAGTGCGCGCACAAGGTCCTTTTGCGCTGGAGGAAGTACCAACTTCTCGAAGCAATCGCGGTCCCATCCCGGAGACGATAGGTCTTTCACGAAAAAGTCGAACCACTTCTTCTCGGTGAATGAGAATCCCCGAACCATAGCGTTGCTGAGAAGGCATTGCTCATCCGTCAGTGGGTCGAGCGCGCCGTTTTGGGGGATCAGATCAACCGGTACGCCATCCTTCGCTGCGATTTTGCGGCGAGATGGCGCTTCGTTTTCACCGACCTTGAAAGCCGTTATGTTCCAGCTGGAATTCGCATTCAGACGATGGAAGGTCTTGGTGTCGACTACTACGCGACCGTCACAGTTATATCGGCCCACGCCGCATCCGCCATTTTCCAGTGCGATACCTCTGTAGTTGCAGAAGTGCATGCCTGCCAGCTTCTCGAACTCCCGACCGCGCTCCAGAAGTCTCTTTTTGGCGGCTGCTGGATCTTGGTGCCATTCGAGCGGATACGCTGTAAGCTCTCGAATGCGTTCAGTGCCGGCGAAGGCGGGAACGAAGCGGCTCGTCTGACGGGTACCGAAGTCAGTGCCGTCGAAATCCACGAATCTGAGGCTTAGCTGCAAGCCTGGAGGGTCACAGAGATACTGGGACTTCTCTAATATGAAGGCGCGCGGCTGTCCGAAGACCAGTGCGTAGACCGTGCAGCCGGGGCGGAAAGTGGTCCACAGAAGTGGGTAGGACGTCAGGCCTTGGTTGTTAAGATTGTCACACTCGGTAATGGTCTCGCTGAACTCCTCCTTGATGAAGTCGAGTAACAAGTTGAGGTGGCGAGCGGCCTCTGATCCCACTGGCATAGCTTCACCGGCAGCCTCCAGCTCCTTGTGGTAGTGATAGAGGACATGGTACGGTTTTGTGATGCTGATGTCCTTGGTGCGAAATGAGATACCAGGGTAATCGCCGATGACATCCTTCAATATGTCCTTCAGATGCTTAGAGTTGACCTGAAGAGAAACCGACTGCACGTATTTGTTGGACCTGTCCATGTGTTGAATGACGCAAAGCGCGAATTGTTCTTGCCAATCGACTTGCTCCGGGATGTCATCGTTGACTGTTTCGACATGATAGGGTCTGCCTTGTTCGGACCATTTCTTGTCTGCGAGCAGTCAGCGGCTAAGCCTACGTTGTCTTGGAGGATGTGGGCACACCGAGGAACTTCAACTCAGCACGCATGTCTCCCTCTAAGATCGCCTTGATCTTCCTCTTTGCCTCAGCATCCGGTCCACCGTCCACCCTACCGCCCTCGACTTCCTCCTCAACATCAACGCAGTCGCACTCCTCTTCGTAGTCGTCCACTTCGTGCGGCATCTCCAGCTGGTACTCTTTGGTCGCAACAGAAGTGCGTGTCATGGTTTTCCGAACCAAGAGCAAGTAAAGCTTTGATGTGGGAGATCTGGACTGGGGCTTCAAAGGCGTGCAATCGGCGAACTATATACCCATCGTTTGCGTGCAGGCTGCTGCGCAAGGCAGCAGCTCCGGTGAAGAGCTGCATGAGATCTGCCAATCAACAGCATGACTCCTCGCTGCACAATGACTGACTCAATGCCATTGGACGGCGGGCCGGTGAGTTTGATGGCATGTCAGGTTCAATACTCGATATGGTGCTGCCTGACGTGAGTCAAGCACCAAGTGGTGGCGCTGCATAGATCCAACAAGTGGTGCCTGCATGCTTGCCTGAATCCTTCAGACATTGGTAGATGCAAAGGCAACGGCAGGTTGTTGGCCGCTGTCCACCTCGATGCTGGTGTTGCACATCGGGGACGATGGTGTGAGGTTGATTTGGTGGGATGTGGAGTCGCACCGGCACCACCAACTGCAGGCACCACTGCTGGACCTCAAGTCGTCGAACGTTCTCAATACGAACATCACGAAGTCTCGCTATATGCGTTATGATGGCTCGCCAGCCTGATATAGCAACCCAAGCAAGCTTACTAGGTTTACCACGTGAAATCCGAGATCTGATCTACCTCAACCTGATCCCACAACGTACTTGCCCACCTGAGAACCCAAACAACGCCGGTGACCGTGAACCAGATGCCTCGTCACCATGTACCACGTTCTTCGAGGTGGTGTCTCCCAAGCCCGCCATGCTCCAACTCAAACTATGCAATCGCCAATTGTACGAAGAAGTTCATCACATATCCAGGAAACACCTATGGTTCCATAATGGCGCAGCTCACCTAGATATCATGGTCAAAGGCAGCTCCATATGGCCCACGTGGATATTGTTGCCGGTAACACCGTACTTGGATCCGGTGGTCGACGTGACGTTACGCATCTTCGAAGCCACAGGCTGGGGCTCTGAGTTCTCAACCCGAGCCTACAGGGCATTGTGGACGTTGTTCCGCCTGCTGGTGTTCCACGGTTCATGTCTGAACCACAATACACGAGGCCTAGCAACGCCCTTGGATATCACTAGGCTACGCTTCGACGTTCGTCTCTGCTTCCCGACATCTGTGGATGATCTGTTTGGTACCTATAGGGACGTCTTCGGCAAAATCGAGAAGCTTGCTTTTGACAATGTGGGCTTGGGGCATATTGCATCGATCGAAGCCTGCTTGGGCGACGACAAGCGTGTGTGGAGGCTGAAACAGTTGCCTACCGGCTTGACATGGGCTAGCAGGGTGTAGTGGAGGTGGCTTTGTGTCGTCTGCGTAAGTTTGAATAGCGGTGGAAGGAATGGTGACAGTGCCCAAGTTCTGCATTCGCATGGTCGCGATCTGTACGGCATGTGATCCAGCATTACTATACAATTTGTTTATCATAAAGCTCATCAAGTTAACGGAAACGCCTTTCCACGCCATCTCAGAGTTGCCTCGAAAAGTTCGAATCCCATGTCTTCCCACCCCATTTTCGATCATGACGCTGAAAAACTGGAGCAACAAAGGACCGAAGAAAGACACCGCGCCATGCAGCACAAAGACGGCTGGTCAGGACGGGCGCATCAGAAGTTGCTCGCTGTGTTGACGGCACCGTTGGGGTTGGTGTAGCCGTCGGACGACCGGCCAGAGGAGTCCCTCTTCTCCTGCGTGATGCTATCAGACGCGCGTGAGTCAAGGTAGTCGTCTTCTGGCTCAGCCTTCTGCTTCTTCCTGCCCCAGAGTCGCCACGCAACGAGTGCGATAGCGCCTACTAGGATCGCACCGCCGACGCCGCCAACGACACCGCCGACGATACTCTTGCTGGTAGTCGAGAGATTGCTGCCGTTGCCACCACCGCCTTGCAGCTCTGGCGACACGGTGGCAGTGGCGTAACCAGTCGTGCTTGAGAAGGTGCGATCAGTCGTGACAAGCTTGCTATATGTGCTGCCATCAGACGTCCAGTATGAAGTGTACGTTGAGCGTTGAGTAACGGCGGCAACAAGGGCAGTTGTAATGGTCGTAGCAGCCGACAGCGTGGAGCGATGGATTGTGGATGAGCCTATCACGACCAGATCGCTCGCAGTGCCAGTTTCGGTGCTGATGACGAAGCTCGACGAAGGTGTCGAGGCTGGAGCAAGGGTGGAGGTAGTGATCTCCGACGTAATGGTTGAGCCATCAGAGTTCGTCGTGGTGACGGAGATGGTTTCAGGCAGCACGGTGGAGCTCGGAGCCTGCGAAGATGTCTGTGATGAGCTCCCAGACGACACTTGTGAAGACGTTCGCGATGATTGCGAAGAAGTTGCTGATGGTGACGCGGAAGACGTCTGCGATGCAGAAGTCGCGGAAGACTGAGATACAGGCGAAGCGGAAGAAGCTGAGGTTGCAGATGATGACTCTGAGCTCGACTGAGTGCTACGAGTGGTTGATGACTCTGATGATGTCTCGCTCTGGCTGTTTGACGTAGATGATGTTGGAGACGTCGATGGTGTGCTCGAAGTTGTGGGTGAGGGTGTGTTGCTGGTCGCCGATGTCGTTGACGGCTGCTGGCTCGTGGTCGAGGACTGGGTAGACGTCACCGTTGTGCTCTGCGCGGTGCTCGTCGTCGTCGAAACACCCGTGCCAATAACCTGCCTCTTAGGCTTAGGCATGATTCCTGCGGGTAGCTCCTCTGCCTTGATGGTCGCAAAACCGAAAGCAAAGAGCGACAACATGATGATCAACTGCTCCCCGAATGAGCCTTGATGAAGCGAAAGGCCAGTCGCGATGGAAGTGTTCTGCTAGGTATATGGAAAAGCAGCGAGCGGATTCGATTGGCTCTTTGCCCGAAATTACCGGCCGGTCGCGAACGTCTTGTGAGTTGGGGCAGTGAAGTGAGGTCGTAAACTATGTCACTGCTGGGGCCAAGTCGAGAAGATAGCGGAAAAGTGTCGGAAAGCTGTAAACGAGCGTGGAAGGCAATAACGAAGAGATGTCAATTGACAAAGCAAGAGTAGTGTTACAACGGAGCGGCAGCTGTGGGAGAGAAAAGAGGAACACGAGCGATGGCTGCATCGACGAGTAACCTTCGCCTGCAGGCGATCCACTTCCCGAACCCCTGAAAATAGTACGCCTTCTTGCCCGATTGGGACGGTTACGTTGCGGGTTCGCCGCGATGCAACAGCGCCAGCATCATCGGTCTGTGACCGTAACAGTATCGAACAAGAGACAGCACACTCACATGTTTCGTCTCTTACATGTGCCGACCTCCTCCGTTGAGTCCTGCGATACTTAAGATCGCACTCATGCACTGTGTCCTGGAGACAGCCGATCCTCGCGATCTTCGCAAACTTGCAACACGGAGCTTGTCTGGGCGAGGCTTGGTGCTTGCTCCGGAAAGGGTTGAGCCACGCTTAGTGTACAGCCGCGTTTGCTGTCTCACATCAGCACGGCCATACCCGCCGACTCCACGTCTCGTTGCGACGGTTACATAGACTCACTTTCGAGGTCCTGTAAGAAGCAGAGATATCGAATATGCGTCTCGTTACCTACGACGCGGTCAATCATGATGGAAGCAGCAGAGTGCGAATAACAGCCACCGAAGTGTGGGAAGCAAGGTTCGCGTTTGGCTCGGCGACTCCCGCCCGTTTGTTGCACTGTCAGTTAACGTCTTGTTCTGCCACCTCTCTAACTGGCCAATGTCTCAAAACCTGAAGAGCCGCACGGGTAACTCATAAGCCCTTAAGAGGTATGTCTGCAACTTTCAAGGGCAAGCGATAAGGTACTTGCATCGATGGCGGTGAAGGACAACGCAATAGCCAAGCCAGACATATCCTTCAAGTTGGAGGTAGCCATCTTACTTGCTCTCTTCTCTTTACGTGTCATCAATGCCTTGAGTGTTCAAACCTTCTTCCAGCCAGATGAGTATTTTCAGTCTCTTGAACCGGCATGGCGGATCGCGTTCGGCGAACAGAGCGGCGCATGGATAACCTGGGTATGTGCCCGGCTTTACTTCCTATGGACTAGACACTTATGTGTTACCGTTAGGAATGGCGAGAGCAACTTCGCTCGTCTCTGCATCCCATGCTGTTCGCCGCTGCTTACCGAACGGCAGATGGACTCGCCAAACAGTTTCGAGTTGATCACGATGCTCGTACTGCGCTGCTTCTGGCAGCGCCCAAGATCTTACAAGCCGTGATTGCAGCAGCAGGCGACTTCTTTACGTGGCAAATTGCTCGAAGACTTTATGGGTCCCAAAGTCGTACCTCTTTCGCAGCTCTGGCTTTGACGGTGTTCAGTCCTTGGCAGTTCTTCTGTTCGGTGCGAACATTCTCCAATTCTTCCGAAGCCGCGTTGACGGCTGTTGCGCTCGCTTACTGGCCGTGGCACTGGTTTCTACAGCCTAGCGAAGGGCACTTGAACTCCGTGAAAAAGACACCATCGAAACGAGATGTTGACGCAGAGGCTAAGGAAATGGTGCAGCAGTTCAAGTCATTTCTTGAGCATGGAGACTCGGTACGATCAAACGGTGCTACGAAAGACGATTCAAAGGACGTGGCCGCACTACCTGCCTCCCCTCCTGGCCTTTACCTATCCTTGACCGCTGCGGCACTGGCTTGCATCCTTCGGCCAACCAACCTCATTATCTGGGCTACCATCTCGGTCAGCTTACTTGTGCGCTACGGTACTCCGCAAAAGGCGGTTACACTGGCGCAGGGCGGCTTGCTCTGTGGCTCCGCCGTCTTCATTGCCTCGCTCGGCGTGGACAGAACGTACTATGGAGAGTGGACGTTTCCGCCATTGAATTTCATCTATTTCAATGTGGTACAAGCTATAGCAGGTTTCTACGGCCGAAACCGCATCGACTACTACTTTACTGAAGGCCTGCCCTTGCTGCTTACAACTGCGCTTCCGTTTGCGCTCTCTGGGCTTTGGGAGTCGTTACGGCCCGGACTAGACAAACCAGGCTTTAGGGGTTATGAAGAGCGCCAGGCTCGCCTTATCATGGCATTTGCTGTACTATCGACTGTGGTTGCGTTCACTCTGCTGGCTCACAAGGAAGTGCGTTTCGTCTATCCGCTCCTACCTATCCTACATGTCCTAGCCGCAAGACCGATGGCTGCATTCTTCGATCCCTTTCCACTGCCAAGGAGTAAGGTGAAGATCGGTGTACTGGCGCTGATGCTCACATTCAACGTATATATTGCGGCGTACGCGTCTTTTGTGCACCAACGTGGTGTCATCGACGTCACGGACTTCCTTCGGCAGGAGCAGGAGCGCAGATTGGCGCACTCAATATCCCTGTCTACGCCGTCGAACCTGACTGTTGGCTTCTTTATGCCGTGTCACAGCACACCGTGGCGCAGCCACCTGATTCGTCCGGAGACCAAAGGTTGGGCCTTGACGTGCGAGCCGCCCCTTAACCTCAGTACGGAGGAACGCGCAACGTACGAAGATGAAGCCGACATCTTCTACAACCATCCCGCTTCGTGGATCGAGGACAACATGAAAGACCGGAAGAGCATCATGAGGAATGCCTCGCCCAACCCAGCGTCTACACCTAGCGACGGAACGAGGAGAGAGTGGCCTGAGTACCTCGCCTTCTTCGAGCATCTCGAGCCTGTCATGAACAGTGTGCTCGGGCCGACACGGTACGAGGAATGTTGGCGAGGCTTCAATACCCATTGGCATGACGACTGGAGGAGGCAAGGTGATGTGGTAGTGTGGTGCATGCGAGAGCCGTGATGCTTGCAGCACACCACTGCGGTGCGCTTTGTCTTGAAATATAACCACGGGACCGCTGCCTCAGATGACGCTTTGGTGTGCTCCCTTCCCATCCCCACTGCGCTTGTATCGCATGCTGATGGACCCCACAGAACCTCCTGGTAGAGCTCGATGCAGCGGCTGTTGTGTACTGTCCGAGGATGACGATTTGATATGCCACCTGGCGACCTGCCTGTCAATGAACCCATTAAAACCGTGACAGTGACCATATCCACGGCTTGTCGAGGCATACGCACGCCAGAAATGGGTGGCCGGGCTATGAAGGGCAAAACATTCCGAAATGAATGCTGTGCGCTCGGCTGTGGGCTTAAAATAGAACGCCAAACTGGTATGTCTCACGATCTCTTACGTGAACACAACTACAACGCACGGGACTCCAGGACATTCAACTTGACTGTAAGTCAACCCGAAGACGATCACAGAAGCTTAGAAGCCTCGTCTACTGCCGCTGTCCTGCTCCACCAACAAAGTTATCCAGCAGACACCCTTTGCTAGTGAGAGGCGATTCTGACCCCGATCATCACGTCGTGCCCAACATGTGCGAAGCCATTGACCGGACCTACAGCTGCTCACACCACCGCCAGAGTGTCAGTCATTGCAAGACAGGCTTTCACCTTCACTTCAGCTGTCCAGAGACCAAAACGAAGAAAGAGACCAAAGTTTTCTGTTGCCGGCAAGGGCGCTGCGACAGAGAGATCGCGCCTTTGGAAACGAAGCTCAAGAGTGCAGAGGCCCGACGAACAGTTGCACGAAGCGAGCACGAGAGGATAGGTGCCATTTTCGCAAGGCGAACGCTTGAGATGCGGAGAAGAACGCAACTGCGGCGATGAAGGAGTTGCAGGCGGTCGTGAACGAGCATGCAAGGTGTGAGGCGGAAAGGGCGCGAGATACTCTGGAAGCTTGAAAGTAGCGATGACCATGCGCCTGCTAGAGAAACTCGTAAAACTGGTTGCCGTGTTTGTGGGCCAACCGACTAATCTCTTGCAAAATTTCACAAACGATGTGCAAGGTTGCGCTGATGTGGTGACAATGGTGCTGAACGTGGACTGTCAATGTGGGATTGTGCTTAACAAGATCTCGTCAGTGTCGTAGACATTGCCACAGGCATCGAGCAGTCAGATAGTGTCGTGATGGCGATAATGGTCTAAACGCGGGCTGCCATAGTGGGATCTATGTACTCATATGCTATAAGTCCTCGTAAGACCCATCGGCTCGAATGGCACTACGGACTCTGGACCAACTAGGTCGACGTAGTAAAGACGTTTCCCGATATATAACTTCAAGCACCCAGTGTCCTACAAGGCGGACCAGGATGGTGGCGCTCCAATAGAGCAATCCTCAATCGAAAAATATGTAGCAGCAGTACCCGCAACTGCTCAGTTGAACGGCAAGTGCTCAGAACTCCAATCGATGACGCCGATGCTCGCTTCATTCACGTATCCTTCGGCTCGTCATCCGAGAGCGTACGTCGCGGGTCATAAAATATTCCGGGCGTGCCTATGATCCATGTCAATGATAAGGGTCGCGGTCGACTAGAACCGTGCCTACTGTGGCATCCGCTGTCGCCAGCGCCCAAGCAGATATATGATCTATTTGGTGGTGCTTCGGCGTCGAGTCGAGAAAAGCAGATGCCTTGCCTTTATCGAACAATTTACGAGTGTTAAGCTATTAGAAGCCTCACCAAGCGCGACCCTAGGCAGGGTTGAGTCGAGGCTCTCGGACCTGAGCTCCGAATGACCTCACAATTGACACTCTATCTACGCTACATTGAGCATCACCGAACACTTCGTCATGCTGCGGCAGTTGGACGCATTGAGTAAGTCGGTATAGCCGTGAACTTGCGGCTGCTGCGGGAAGTCTACTTCCTCACAGCCATTGAAGGTTTGTACGAAGTATAACATTGTTCGTTGTCTCTATCTCTGATCGGACTCATCCCACATTCACCCGCCATATCAGTCCTCCATATCACTTCCCTGTCACTCACCATGGATACTAAAAACCCGAACAAGGATTTCCGCACAACACCAGAGTATGCAGAGTACCAGGCAGAGAACTTCTGGGCCAGCAATGAAGGCAAGGTGCCGCCGTTCAATACGGGTATGATCCTCACCATCGATACTGTCCCTTCAATCAGAAGCTGACTCCATATACAGAACCGGCCCAGCTCGAACAGCGTGCCAAGGAGAAGCTGAGCGAAGGCGGCTGGTTCTATGCCTCCTCCAACGCTGGCCAATCCACCACCCACCTTGCCAACCGCCAATCCTTCTACCGCCATAAGATCGTTCCGAAGATGCTCGTCGACACCAACAAGCGGGACACCAAGCACGAGATCTGGGGCCACAAGGTCAGCGCGCCCGTCGGCTTCGCTCCGGTCGGCATCAACAAGATCTACCACCCACTCGGTGAGCTACCAGTGGCCAAGGTCGCGAAGGAGCTCAATCTGCCATACTGTCTAAGCACGGCGGGATCAACATCGATCGAAGAAGTAGCTGCAGCGAACGGCGAGGGGCCGCGCTTCTTCCAGCTGTACATGCCACATGACGACGAATTGACCGTCTCTCTCCTCACCCGCGCCTTCAACTCCGGCTTCACAGCCTGCATCCTGACAGTAGACACATGGCAGCTGGGCTGGCGACACAACGACATCAACACGTCCAACTACGCCTTCTACCACGGCATCGGCGCCGACCTCGGCCTCACGGACCCGGTCTTCCAAAAGCGACTGGCTGCGGACGGTATCGACCCCAAGACGATGCCGAACGAAGCAGGTCGCAAGTGGATCGACAATGTCTGGCACGGCCGCGCACACTCGTGGGAGAAGATTCCGTGGGTCATCAAGACGTGGAAGGAGATCAGTGGTGGCAAGCCGTTCGCCATTAAGGGCATTCAGTCTGTGTCCGATGCTAGGAAGTGTGTGGAAGTCGGCTGCGACGGTATCGTTGTGAGCAACCATGCCGGCCGACAGGTCGATGGAGCGACGGGAAGCTTGGACGCACTCGAGAACATCGCCAATGGTGAGCACTCTCTCCACATGATCTTGTCCACCTCTCCACCAGCACTAACTCTTTCGCTTTCCAGCCGTCGGCGACAAAATCTACATCATGTTCGACAGCGGCATCCGCGGCTCAAGCGACATCGTCAAAGCGCTCTGCCTCGGCGCACAGTTCGTCTTCGTGGGCCGACTGTGGATCTACGGCCTCAGCATCATGGGCGAGCACGGCGTGAGGCACGTCATGAAGTCTCTGCTGGCAGATTTGGACATCCTGTTCAATGTGGCGGGCATTCAGAATGTCGGTCAGCTGATTGGGAAGAAGGATGATTGGATTGAGAGCCATCCGCGCGGGCAGAGCTTGCTGGCGGAGAGGGCGATGTTGTAGAGTGCTTGTTTTTTAATGATGATATGTGAGTTAAGATAATACGATAGATGCTTGGAAGCTTGTTGAGACATACCGATGACGCAGTCATTTGCTTGGTACCAATTTGGCGGCTTTGCTACACGCGTCTGGCGTTACAATGCGTAGGTGAGCAATGGTCAACGATCAAGCAGGTTCACATATGGAAAGGAGTCAAGCGACAGTTAAAAGGTAGTATGAAGGCGCTGGCGAGGACACAACGCCCAGTAGTTTGTTTCCATCTTGCTCTTGTATTCTTGAGCAACAAGTTAGCTACCATGCAAATGTCATGCCATATATATGCTAGCGAAAGTGGTATCTCAACGTCAGTTCAATCTCCAAACGCCAAGAGCCTCATCGTCGCCATAAAATCGTGGGTTCGCATGTTCCTCAATGTATGCAGAGGCGCGCGCCTAACAACCAACACCAGCCCGCTGCCGACAATTCCTTACCGACCTTCGAAGTCGCTCAAATAATCGCCCGCCTGATTGCCACCCTGAACGCCATACTGAAAATGACCCCCCGCTTGCGCCTGGCCCATCCCCATCGTCTGCCCCATCCCCATCCCGCTCATCGGGTTCATTCCCATCCCACCCATCCCCGGATCAGCATAACCACCACGACCACTAACACCACCCATTTCATTCTCAGACATATCATCATAATACTCACCACCACTAGAAGCATCAAAAGAGCTCCGCCCACTGTACTCCTCCTCCGGCGGCGGACCTTGCGGCATGGCATTCCAATCGATCCCCGCCAGGGCGGGATACTGCTGCAGCAGCGCGGTGGGGAATAGCATATCCATCTGCGGCGCGTTGAGCATGGGCTGGGGCGCGACGAACCCCGCCGCGGCTTGTGCGTGGGCGTGCTCGTCCATCCACGCTTTTTGCCGCTCGGCTTGCTCTTCCTCGAGTAAAGGTTTGATGCAGACGCGGCCGGCTTCGGAGCGGAAATGGCGGCCGAGCGCGTCTGCGCGGGCGAAGCGGCGGCCGCAGCCCCATTGCACGCCGCTTTGGAGGTTGCCTTTGCAGACGAATTTCTTCTCGCCCGAATGAAGGCCTTCGTGGCGTTTGCGGTCGTGTTGGCGCGCGAAGGCTTTGCCGCAGACGGTGCAGACGAAGGGTCGCTCGTCGGTGTGTGTGCGGAGGTGTGAGCGCAGGTTGTAGGCTCGTGTGAACTTCTTGGGGCAGAGTGTGCATTGGAAGGTGGCGGGGTGTCTTTGGCCGCGGGTCCTGTCTGCGCCGGTGGATGGGGTTCGCTCAGGCTCGGCAAGACCGAGGATGTAGTCACGTTGGTCGGAAGTGTGGCTCGAGCTCCTCGCGCGGTTTCCCACCGAGCCGTTCCGACCACGCACAGGAGATGGCGATCGTGACGAAGGCGGGTTGTCCGAGGGTACGAGTAAGTCGCTGGCGTTGGACTGCTGCGGTTGTAGGGAGGGTGACCGGCCGCGACCAGAAAACCCGGGAGTGGATGGCCGTGCTCCGCCAGCATATGAGTCTGACTTTGCACGCATGCGGTTGCGGCTTTGGGCTGAACAATCATTAGCACGTGTCACAGGAGAGACAGTATGGTCGATCGGACTTACTTCGCATAGGCGGACTAAGCGTGTCCTCCGCGTTTCCGGGCCTCACATTCTCCACAGGATTCGACGGCGCATAGTCAATGTTGATTTCCGGTGGGCTCATCGTATCCGCTGCGCCTTCTGGGTTCTGCGGCAAAGCCGGAAACGGCTCGTGCCCGGCGCCAGGGTACAGATCTAGGCCATTTGGTTGCTGCACAAAATGACCGTTCATGCCTGTGTTCAGGCCGAAGTTGTCGTCCGAGGTGAAGGCGGGTAGCGGTTGCTGTTGTTGTTGTGGTGGTAGCCTTGGCGAATGGCCTGGGCTGATATAATTGTGCTGGTGCTGGAGCTGGTTGTCACCGCTGATAGAGATGCCTTGGAAGCCCAGGTCGCCAGTGAATATCGGGTCGTTAGTTGCGTCAAGCAGCGGCGAAGTATGCGCGTTCGGCTCAAAGCTGTCGAGAGTGCTCATGTAAGGTGAGGCTTGGTTCGAATGTGATGACAGCTCGGAGATGTTGTCCGACGGTATCCGCCTGTGCCTGTATGCGCCCATGGGCGCCCATTCGTTCTGCACATGCGCGTACATTGCGCTCGAGGGGTCTAATGACTCGGATGTGTTCCGTGGCCGGTTCATGTTCTGGAAGGTGAGCTGCTGGAAGCTAGGTGATGCGTGCGGGCTTGGGCTCTGCGAATGCCGGTGGTTCGTTTCCGGAAGAAGGTGCGGCGGAGTAGGCGAGTGGGATGGCATCATCGTGGCCATTGAGTCGAATGCGCCCGTGTGATTCTCCACGCTGTTCTGCACGCTACCGCCAAAGTTTGCGTCCAGGTCGGCCAAGAGTGAGGGGTCCAAAGATGCGCTTTGGTCGAAGGATGTCTGGTTGAGGTCGTAGGAAGGGAATGCGCTCGTGTTGGCGTGGGCCGCACTCTGACTCAGACCGGGCAGGAGGTGATCGCCGCCCGGACCGCTGTGCCCCAAGTGCTCGTAGTCTTGCGCTGACAGCCCTGCGGACTGTAGAAAGGTGTGCTTGTTGATGTCTGCGGTATGCGACTGCTCCAGCTGTTGCTGCTCTTGCTGCTCGAACTCGGTATATGTGGGACCGAGGGACCACTTGAGGTTCGCTTCTTGCGTGAAGCTCTGATCGCCGAAGGCACCTGAGGCTCCCTGTGCGTTGAGTGGATTGAAGTGGTCGTGGGCGATGTGGTTGTGGTTATTAGTCAAACCGGTGAAGGCAGCATTAGGCGGCGGATGAGGTGAGGCGGAGGGCGAGCGCCTTATTATACGGCCCATCTGATCCACCGGGGCAGACATTGTTGTGCGCGATAATGCTCGATCCAGGCACAAACGAATGTGTTGCTATACTCGGAACGCAGTGACTTGAGGGCTCGAGTTCAATGAGCGCGCGAGATTGGCAGCGCTTGGGCCACGAGAAGGTGGGCGGAGTAGTCAGACGAAGGAATCGCGCCTAAATCGAAACTACGAACCCTCGCGACCACTTGCCGCCGGGATGTACCTGCGCGAAATTGGAGGTAGGTAGGTACACACGCCGTGACGCAGTTTCACGGGACGTAGTTCATGGGCGCAGCAGACCGAGGCGACCGAAGTAGTAGAGAGCTGCTCAGCCTCGCCTACATGTACCGGCTACCCTGCAGCCTTGCTAGCGTATCGACCGACACCAATCAATGTGGGCGACCTCTGAGAGATGTCCAGACCGCTGTCCATCTTCCTACCGTCCAAGAGGATGCGGTATTGGCTCGCCCATGAGATGCGCAACACTGTCCCGCATAGCCATCAATCAGTCGCCACGGGTCCAAAAGTGTCATCATTCCAAGTGATGTCGTCCGGAAGAGTCCTCGCCTATCACTGAACAGTTTCCCAAGATAGCTCACGGACCACGGACGATGAACCTTCTGAGTATGGTGGGGTCGGAAACTCAGAGCCTTAGGCAACCCGCCGCACACTCCCGAGATGTATTCCTCGACCCTTCTACCGCTTCGAGACATTGCTCAACAGTCAGCGGGCTGACCGACACCAAGTCGCCATGAGAGACCTTTTGGTTTCGATCTACGACGACGCTCAGGCAAACCCGATGTTCGCCACGATCGTGCTGATCCGCGAAGATAATCTCCCACACGAGCCATTTGCGGCGAACACGGCCGCCTAAGTCGCTGTCCAACTCACGCGATCCCTAAACCCTCGTGAAGCACGTTGAACGGTGTGTCATCTGCTCGACGTCGATCACGCACAGACATCAACGTTAAGATCTGAAACGCACTTAAGGTCTCGTGGTTGTGACCACAGCCTTCCTTGGAGTATTTAGGGTGGCTGTGCTCCTCCCGCATCACATGTTGAGGCCACCCGTTCGCAGATGTTCTCCATGCATTACCACTGATCACCGTTTCATCATGTAAGAGACGGCTCACACGTCAGTCAATACGGGCTGTTGAGGTGAATGATGACTGCTGGCTTACACAAATGAATAAAAGAGCTAATCCCGCCTTCTGTGCGGCCGTACGAGCCACTACTAGACGCCGTTGCGACGATGTGCTTGCGAGCGTAAGGTGAAGGTTGCATCACATTTCCCATCCAGCGCAGTCTCACGATCTGACGACTACATGTGCCCGCCCTCCTTCAAAGTCATATCGTCAGCCATTGCGACTGTGCTCTTTGATCGAGAAGATATGGCGCGCATTACATTGCCGCTTGACTGCGTTCGAAGAAAAGCAGACAGCAACCTTGCGCGGCTTCGGGCTTCGGACATTGTGCTGCTGTTGTGTGCCCCCATGCCTTCGACTTGCGTCGTGATGTTCGTCAGCATATTCACAACGTGTTGTAGTATGTGCAGCTCCGTGCTGTGAGCGAAAGATTGACACGTGAAAAGCCAAGACGGACAAACTCAGGTGCAATGGCTTCTTAGCGTAAGGCTGAGGGAGCTCTCCACCAGTAGCCGACGGCGTTTGACGGGGGAGAGAGTTGGAAGGCCCAGCTCGAGACGAGCAATTACTAGAATAATTATTGTCAATGTTGTCCGCCGGAAATGCTCACAAAAGTGATGAAACAATCGCTCATTGCTGCTGATGAGCGGCTCCATTGACGACCCACGCTGGTGACAAGCCCTACTCCATTCGTGTGGACCTTGAGATCACTGTGGAGCTTCCGCGCTGAAGCTTCATCGGCCGCTTTCCGGCAACAGAGCTACGTAAGGTACATTTTCAAGAGCTTCTCCTGGCGCCCCGTCTCTGCACTCCGTCCTTCGACAAGTGATGGCCGCACGCCGAACGGGTCCGCGACTGCTACGATACCTCGGCTACGCTACCGCCGCCGGCGTAGTCGGTGGCGGCGTAGCCTTTCACGTCTACCGGCCGCGCGATGTCCCCGGCCTAGACAAGGCGTATGTGCCACCACCTACTTACAGTGAGACTGGCGAGTTCAAAGCGCCCAACTTCCCACGCGAGAAGACTAGGGCGGAGCAGATTGCGGACTTGAAGGCGAGCGCGGGGTCTGCCTTTCAACGGGCTAGCAGCAAGATTGCCAATGCACTCACCGGAGCGCAAGAGCAACAGCAGGCACGCAGTGATGAGGATCCGTATGACCTGCTGGTGATTGGTGGCGGCGCGACAGGTACTGGCATTGCGCTCGACGCGGCAACGAGAGGATTGAAGGTTGCACTTGTGGACAGAGACGACTTCGCAGCCGGCACGAGCAGCAAAAGCACCAAGCTCGTACACGGTGGTGTGCGATACCTGGAGAAGGCTGTCTTCGAGCTCGACTACAACCAGTATAAGCTCGTCAAAGAAGCCCTCCGCGAACGCCGCTACTTCCTCGACACTGCGCCCCATCTCTCGTCATGGCTACCCATTATGATTCCGGTGCAGAAGTGGTGGCAGGCGCCGTACTTCTGGGCCGGCACCAAATTCTACGACCTCCTGGCTGGCTCCGAGAACATCGAGACATCTTACTTCCTGACTCGCAGTAAAGCCCTTGATGCCTTCCCCATGCTCAAGAAGGAAGGCTTGTTCGGTGCCCTTGTTTATTACGATGGTGCGCACAATGACTCTCGGATGAACATCTCGCTTGCCATGACTGCTGCGCTATACGGCGCAACGGTTGTCAATCACGTGGAAGTCACCAGTCTTGAGAAGGATGCCAACGGTCGACTCTGCGGCGCTAGGGTTAAGGACAAGATCGCGGAGAACAACGGCAGCAGCGACGAGTTCACTATCAGGGCACGAGGCATCATCAACGCGACAGGTCCCTTCACCGACGCAATCCGCAAGATGGACGATCAGACTGTCGAGGAGATTGTCGCACCCAGCTCCGGCGTCCACGTTATCCTGCCCGGTTACTTCTCACCGTCTGACATGGGCCTGATCGACCCGCATACTTCGGACGGCCGTGTGATCTTCTTCCTGCCTTGGCACGGCAACACCATCGCTGGCACGACTGACGCGCCTTGTCCCATCTCACAGAATCCCGTGGCGGGCGAGAAGGAGATCAACTGGATTCTCGACGAAGTTCGACGCTACCTGCAACCTGATATCAACGTCCGCCGTGGCGATGTCCTTGCCGCCTGGTCTGGTATCCGTCCACTCGTGCGCGATCCGAAGAAGTCCAAGTCTGAAGGCCTGGTCCGCAACCATCTCGTCACGACGTCCAATTCCGGCTTAGTAACCATCTCCGGCGGTAAATGGACAACCTACCGCCAAATGGCCGAAGAAGCAGTCGACGAAGCACTCAAAGAATTCCCAACCATCAAAACACAACCAGTACCCAACCCGCCGCTCGTCAGTGGTGTAGAAGGATACCACGAGGATATCACATTCGACGGCTCATGCAAAACGCACAACGTCCGCTTGATCGGCGCCCACGGTTTCTCCAAAACCCTCTTCATCAACCTCATCCAGCATTACGGCATCGAGACGGAAGTGGCGAAGCACCTGACCACCGCCTACGGTGACCGCGCATGGAAGGTCGCCGCCTTGTGCGACCCGACCGAGCAGCGCTTCCCCGTTCGCGGTAAGCGCATCTCCGAGCTCTACCCCTTCGTGGATGGCGAGGTCCGCTACGCGGTCCGTCACGAATACGCGCAGAGCGCCGTCGACGTCCTCGCGCGTCGGACACGTTTGGCCTTTTTGAACGCTCAAGCGGCGCTCGAGGCACTGCCGAAGGTGATTGACCTTATGGGTGAAGAGCTGAAGTGGAGTTCGAGTCGGAAGGACAGGGAGTGGGAAAATGGAGTGGCGTTTTTGGGTTCGATGGGTTTGCCGAAGGGGAAGTTAGGGTTGAGCCGGAAGCAAGTCGAGAGTGGGCAGGTAGGGAAGTATGTGGATGAGGAGTATGGGATGTATGCGCGACATGGTGAGTCATCCTTTTCTAATACGAATATGTGATCAGACGTCTTGCTGACTATACGTGTAGACAAACCAGATGAGACGCTGGCGTCGGACTCGCAGTTTCATCCGGGCCAGAATCCGGTGGTCGGTGCTGATTCGCCGGTTAACAAGTAATGGTGGTTGACGTTGACATCAATGCCACTTGTACTGATATAGACGCTTAATAAAGGCGAAGTGGGCGTTCAACCTCGAAAATGTATGTGTACATAATCCAGTCACTCTGCCGCAGGCTACAGGTCTCTCAAATTGTTAAGCAGGGATCTGTTTCTTCATGCTTTTAATAGAGCCCGCCGTCGTCGCTGTGGTAGCTGCTCTTAGTATAAAGCAATACACTTAATGCACAGCATGCGCGTCCACCATGAAGCGCCTACGGAGATTCAACCGGGTTACCTGGGTTTGATCGACTCGACGGGGACCCGACATCTTCAGCCATTCTATGGACCTCCCATCATGCTTGTCAGGACCACCCCACGGCTGTCTCTTCCGTCGCTTCAAGTCAGCGCAAGGGCGTCGGCATGGCACCAAGATGCATTTGCACTCACCCTGAGGTCCTCGAGCTGCGTCTGCTGCACCATTTAGTTCCTCCTTCGATGCCCGTCCCAGCGGGTAGAACATCAGTGGTTCCCCAATACCGGCTGTGTCGATAGGCTGATACCAGTACCCTTGCCCCCTCTACTTCCAATCCTACAACTCCGCCGCCGAATCCTCCCTATACACCCGTTGCCCGTCGATACTGAGCTCATACCGCACGACGTCGCCTGACGTCACTGCAGGCTCGGTCCACAGCACACCGACGTAGAGCATCGGGTCGTCGTCGTCGTCGGGGAGTTTGAAGCGTCTGTTCATTGTTATTCCGTTGTTGGAATGGTTTGGGGTCCGGGTGGACTTCGGTTTTCGTGCCGCCGATTCTGTAGTTTCTGTTTGGTGTGCCGCCGCCGCCGATGCTGATTGAGGCGTAGGACGCTAGAGGGAGGGTACGTAAGCGTACGATCTGGTAAGGAGTTTGTTGGGGTGGCTAATGGCTCTGTTGTGTTCACCCGCGAATCCGCAGCGGCACCAGTGAGCCGGACTATGGGGAAACGGAGCAATAGCGTGGTAGTCATTGAACAGCGAGCTATGTACTGACCTTGCCTCCCACGCGGTTCGCCGCTATGCCTCCAAAGGCGTTGTCGCTCTTCGCGGTCGCACCCATTCATCCTTCAACCACCAACGCCACGCTGAAAACAAGACCTCCACCACTTCACGCCGCCACAAAGGAATCCTTCTCTACCCCACAATCAACGCCGCACTAGGCACCAACCCAGCCTCCTTCAACGTCAATCCAAAATCCGACTGATCCCACACCTTCTTCGGAAAATTCTGCGTGAAACTCGTCGCCTCCGTGCCCCCATTCTCCGCCAACGCATGCGCGACCTCAAACAGCGTCGTCTCCGCCGGGAAAGTCTTCATCACATTCCTACTCGCCGTCTGCAACCTCAGTCTCGCCTCGGCATGGTTCGCGGAGACTTTCGGAGCCGCCGCCGCCGCCGTTGCAGGTGTACTCGTCTGCTCAGTAGGCGCCCCCGGATTAAACGCCGCCGGGTTGGCGCGCATGGCCTTCTCCTCATCCGCCTTCCGTTTCCGCGCCTCCTTGTCCGCCGCAATCTTAGCCTGGATCGCCTTCTTCGCCGCCACATCGTCCGCCTTCTCCTGCCTCTTCTTCTGCGCCTCCTTGATCTGCTCCTTCCGCCTCAACTCCTCCTTCGCATCCTCCGACTCGCGCGTGTGCTTCTTCTTAATCGCCTCATTCCGCTTCGTGTTCTCCTTATCCTCCTCCGCCTGCCGTGCCCGCTTCTCCGCCAGCTTCACCCTCAGCTCCTCGAGCTTCTGCTTCTTCTCTTCCTCCGTAAGAGGAGCGAGCTCTTCGGTAGACTCGGAGAAGTCGTCGTGGCCTGTCTTTTCCGCGTGGAATTGGGCGGCGGCCATGTTGCGGAGCTTGCGGCCGCAGTCATTGCACACCATGCTCATGGCTTGCGCGGCGGGATCGGCGGCGTCCCCGGCGGCGGCTGCGGCTTCTTCTTGGATGTCTTCGAGCGATTTGTCGGCGTTCTTGTCTAGCCAGTCGATTGCGGAGGGGAGGTTGCCACCCTTTTTGAGCGCAATTTCGGACTTTTGGCGATCAAAGCCCATGTCGACGAGCTGGTCGAGGTCGGTGGACATGTTGAAGGTGTGGTGGTGTGTTCAGTAGAGCGGATGTGAGCTGTATCAACGAAGGTGTGGAGGCAGTCCACGATAGGTTCTTTATATCTTGCTGCGATGTGGCGTCCCAGAGCTTAGCCTGGCAATTTGATTGAACCGGTGCGGATGGGCGATGCTCGAGTGATGGGATTGTTGGTAGATGATTAATGAATGTTCGCGGTGTTGCTGCTGCACATGTCGGCACTCGCATCCGCCGACGTGTCGCTCTCTGCCGAATGACGAAAGGCTCACAGGCGCAGATGGCCCGTGCCAGTGAGGGAACAAGGTCCAACTTCCCTTCGCAACACGATCACCTGATAATCAACCGCTGCCTCTCACGAACCAATACATTCGCGCAGCAGACACCATCGCGACACATTGCCAGCCAGCTACCATCCGACAAGGACGCAGACCCAGGGTAGAAGACAGCGCCGCGCATCCCATCAACCATGTCCGTCGACCTTGAGCCGGCGGAGCTCGGGTTCAAGCGTGAGCACACCCTACGCACATTGGCAGCCGCAGCAGAAGGCTAATACGTGATAGGCCCCTTCAACCATGAAGTCTCTCAAGTTCTCCGCCTACACAACCCAAGCAGTGACCCCGTTGCCTTCAAAGTCAAGACCACCGCACCAAAACAGTACGTCACTGCCAACATATCTGACCTCTGCAACCTTACTAATCGCTCATGCACAGGTACTGCGTCCGCCCCAACTCCGGCCGCATTGAAGCCGGCCGCGCCGTCGAAGTGCAAGTCCTCCTCCAAGCAATGAAAGAGGACCCACCACCTGACGCCCGCTGCCGCGATAAATTCCTCGTCCAAACCGTCACCGTCCCCTCCGACCGCGAATTCACCACCGTCACGCAGATATGGAGTACCGTCGAGCAGAGCGCCAAGAGCAGCATCCAAGAGAAGAAGATCCGCGTCAACTTCCTCCCCGCCGAAGGCACGGTAGGTCCAGCAGTAACCACAAACGGCATTGCCTCGTCCCAGCACCATGACGAGGAACCACCGGCATACTCGAGCCCGGTCTCAACCATGACGCCGCAGCGAGATTTCAAGCCCAGCGGACCCATCTCCACGCCTTCGGACAAACCCGCAGGCGCGACGCACAGAGGCGAAGCGGTTGACAGCGCTCACAACCCCGCCATGTCGCAGACATCAATTCAGAGCACCACTTCCGCCATGTCCAACCAGCTCAGCTCGACCGCCGCAGCAATCACTTCAGCCATTCCAACTTCACAGGCCGACCTGCAAAAGCAGCTCGATGCCGCGAACGCGCAGATCAAGTCACTGCAGCAGCAGGCGACGGAAGGTCTGCGCCAGCGGAACATCATCTCCGGGGATGAGAAGAAGGCTGCCGATGGGTCGTCCTCGACTACGACGACGAGTCTGCAGAATCGGCCTGCGCCGGGAGGTGTGCCGGTGCAGTATGTGGCGTTGTTGTGCTTGGTTTGCTTTTTGCTTGCGTACTTTCTCTTCTGAGGCAGTCACAGAGAGAGTCAGGATGAGAGTGAGGGAGTGAGGGAGAGGTTATATGACAAAGACCGACTTCCAGAGTGGCAAGCCGGATTGCCCTTTTGTTACGTCTAGGCTGATACAGAGGGCTCCACATTACGACTAGGCTACCGAAACGGTTTGATGGCGAGACTGTTGCGCTAGGCTAGGCTGCCCTCTGCCGTGATATGCAGACGACGCTCGCCCATTGGTGCGGCTCTGGTTATGCTGGGCGTTCGCAGTAGGTCAGAGTGAGGATGGGCATACAGCGTTGTTTATGTGTGAAGATACGTTCGACAAACCATCTTAAAGCAGTGCAGTTACGCAGCCTGAGGACCACGTGACTCTGACTCTGACTCTGGAGCCTGCCCTGCTCCTTCCAACCGCATGGAAAGATTGTAGGATGCTATAGCTTATTGATGATCCTTACTGCCTGCGATGGGCGCATGTGGAATAACCGAGACTGCTCGTCTGCTTTCCCAGAAGCACAGTGGAGGCTGCACACTATCGCACTGCACGATGTCGCTTCAGATCCATCCACGGGAAGCGGATAAGCCAGGCGGCCATCATGACTGCTGCCGACGCTCGTTCTAGCTCTATCTTGGTTGTGGCTATGGCTATGGCTAGAACGCATTGAAACAAACAACTTACCAATCCATGATACGCAGCTCATGCGCAGTTTGTATCGTTCATAATCACAGTCATTGACATCCTAAAGCACGATGCTCTCGTAAGAATAATAGCCAGGTAGTCCTTGGAGAAAGCGTTTTCGCGCCTTCTCACTTCTTCTGCCCTTCTTCGGCCTTCTTCGCCAGAGCTGCAAAAGGTGTTAGCGCCAACACTGTCGGCTGTGCGATTAACGACATCAGAGGCGTAGGTAGATGGGTGCATTTACCGGCTTGTTGCTTGGCCAGCATAATGGCGGCCACCTTTTCCTTCTCGCGCTGGAACTCGCTGCCAGTCATGTTGTTTTTGGCTTTCTGTGGTAACAAATTTCATCAGTCGGATTGCGCGGCGTGCGAAGATTGTAGTCGTATCAGCGTACCTTGCCGGCGGCTTCCTTTTGGTTCTTTTCGCGCGCCTTGTCGCGCTGGTTGCCACGAGCCATGATTAAGCTGCTGCTGGGTGGGGTCACACTCGCTCGCGCAATACGTTCAGACGCTTATGACCGGCTTGGTCTGTGTGGAAGCGTATGCTTGTTTCGTGGAGAAGGCTTGAGTACGTGTGGTAATGGCCTGTGGTGACAAATGCGGCCAAAGAAAGAATGTTTGCCTTGCCCTTGCGGCTGATGCACGTTCTAGTATCGCACTAGAACCGTTATCAAAAACCTTGTCGCACCGCGGCTGTCTCCGCGTCGCAGGGTCGCCTATAGTAATGTAGACGCGTAATATGCTGCTTTATTTTGACCTTGCTATCGCTTATAGATAAGACTAAAGTTAATATAGCGATCTCTATATCGCTTATTTAAGATATTACTAGTTACTAGTAGCTATAGCTTAATACCTACTATATTATATCTACTAAGTAATACTTTACTATCGACTACTAGACTACTCGACGAGTACTAATATTACGACATAATTAGTATAGATATAGCTATACTCTAGTGCTCGATCCTTAGTAAGTTAAGCTAGTAGTATCTAAGATATTAGCTCGACTACTTGCTATTAAATATAGCTCGATAGTAAGTAGAAGGCGACTGTCGAGTATAGCTCGACGTAAGCTATAATAAGACATAAATCTCCTTTATATATAATAGCGATAGATTTCGTAGTTAGAAGTTTATATTTAACTTATATTATAAACCGACTAATTAGAATTAACTTATTACCTTATTCTAATCTCTTATATTAATTATACTTTAACTAAGTAACACTTTACTATTAACTACTAGACTGCCTAATAAGTACTAACTCTACTTATAACGATAGAATTACTTAATTTCTATTATATAAGTATAATAGTATATAATACTTTAAATACCCTTAAGGATATCTATTACTAGAAGACCTAAGTAGAGTACCTCTACTTCTAGTAAAGTAGGAAATACTAATATAGTATACTCTACTAACTATAATCGGTCTAACGATAATATAAAGGTCGCTAAACCCGACTTATACTATAGAGACTAAGAGAAACTCGACAACTAGTTTAACTAGATATATATCTTCTTCGAGTTTAACTCTATAGAGCCTATAAAGCGAAGTCTATTTATAATAGCCTTCCTTCGAGGCTATACTTAGTACTACCTTAAACTATATCTTACTAAGTACCTCGATAGTAACCTAGAATATAACGAAGATATTACTAGAATCTTTAGAGTATTTATAAGACTTAAGATAATCTTATAATAAGTCTTTATAGTCTCTAACGAAGTCGAGAATATAGTTCGCGTTATTTAAGATATTAAGTAGACTAAATCTATATCGGACTATATAACCTAGTTTAAGAAGTACTTATAACTTACTAACTAGAATAATATAGCTCTATATACTATATATTACTAAGGCCTAAAGAATTAGGTTAAGGATAAGCTAATAAGATATAAGGGCGTTACTAAGGAACTAGACTAATTAATTAGGGCCTCTATTATAATTAATAATAAGCTTTATAAATATATAATAGAGAAAGGCTATAAGTTTAACTTCTAGTATCCTCCCTATAGTTAGAAAAATTAAGGTAGAAATCGGCTATATTATACCGACCTATATAGACTAGAAGTAGCCTCTATATACTTAGATATAATAAAGAAGGGAAACTCTAAAGATAGCTATAATAAGAATAGTAAGAAACTATACTCTAGAGGAAAGAAAGTAATTATATATTATATATATAGTAAGGAAGGCTATATAGTAAGAAATTATAGTACTAAGAATAAGATATAGCGGCTATAATTTAATATAATACTAAGAATAAGATATAGCGGCTATAATTTAATATAATACTAGGAAAATCTAGGAAGCGTAAGGTAATAACCTTATAATAACCTTTAAAAGATAATAGAGAATAGAGAATACTATAAGACTTTAGTAAGAGGCTAGTTACTAGCGAAGTAGATAACTCTAAGTAGTTTCTATAAGAATAGAATACCGCTACTAATAAGGCTAGCGAGCCTATAGAAGATAGTAAAGGCATATTAAAAAAAGAAGAATAGAAGTTAGTATAGGTCGAAGAAAAGAAAGAAGTACTATATAGATTCCTTTATTAGATATTCTATTATAATAATTAGTATAGAGGGTACTATAGTAGTAAGGAAAATACTAGATAGTTTCCTTAGAAACTAAGGGAACGACGAACTATTAATATAATTAGTACTTAGCGATCTAAGATATTAGAAACTCTAGATTAATACTCCGAAGAAGAAATATAAGAAGAAAGTAAATAAGGCTATACTAACGAAGAAGATACTAGCGAATAATTATTAGATAATAAAATATCGGATAATAAGCGAAATAAGCTTTACTACTTTAGCCTAAAAGGAAAGAGTTAAGTAATAGAACTCTTCTTTATAATAGCTTAATAATATAAAGAAGTATTCCCTAAGATTAGCGGAAAATAGTTCCTCTATCTAGAATACTTCGATTAGATAATTAGCTAGTTTTATAATATATTCTAGAACTACTAACTCTACGAAGTCGAATACGACTTTAAGACAATTATATAAGAATAACTGCTAATTAGAAGCTAGTTTACGCCTAATAGCTATCTCCTTCTAAATAGGCTTTTTATTAATAAGTAAATAAGAGATATAGTATAGAACCTAAAGGTTCGCTATAGTTAAGTATAATATATCTAAACTATGCTTAACTTAAGAGAAAAGGCAAGAGAAGCCTCGAGAAGTATAAATAGTCGATAAGCTAAAGTAGTAGCCTTATACGAATAATAGGAGTATAATATACTATTAAAGGAAAAACTATAAAGCCTTAATAGCTTATAACTACTAACCTAAGACTAATAGATAGAATAATTCCTTATATTACGATAATATATATAAGAACGAATTATACTATAGAACTAGAGAATATTAAAAAACTAGGACGACCTATTAATAGAAGTACTCGATAGGAATTATATAGTATAACTACTCTAGTATTAGAATATATAGTATTTCGTACTATAGCTACTATTAAAGGAAACTCGATAATAATTATAGTCGACTTAAGCGTAAATAGGAACTTTATATTACTAGAATATATAAAACGAAGTAGAATCGCTATCTAGATAAAGAAAGATAGATATAAATTATTTATAGCGAATAGTATAATAATATCTATAGTAGATAGCGAGATAGTACTACTTCTACTAGATATCTAATAGTACTACGAGGATATTATATTAGATATTATACTAATAGCTATAGAAGATATTATTTTAGGAATATCTTAGTTAAGACGTTATAATCTAGTAGTTAACTAGAGAATAGAAGTACTTATATTTAGATAGTATAACTATATAAATTATATAGAGCCTATATATTAATAGTATATAATAATAGATAAGATAAGATAGCTATATAGTACGAAGAGAGCTAATCTACCGAAACGAGGATTAAACGATAATACCTTATCTCTATTAGATATTAATAAAGGTTAGCCGGATTACTAGAATAGAAGTAGTAGTAAGTATATACTACTAGAAATCCCTAAAGAGTATAAGAAATATATATAGCTCTTTTAAGAAAAGGAAGGTAAGGCTGCCTTATCTATATATATACTATAGGACTATAAGATTAAACTCGAACTAGGTAAGAGGCTACTATAGAGATCTATATATATAATATTAGAAAAAGAATTAAAAATTTAGAAAGAATAGATAGATAAGAACCTTATAAGAGGATAGATAAGGCTATTTAAGTTACTAGCAAGTTCGCTAACTCTATTTGTTCCGAAAAAGAATATAGATAAGTTAAGGATAGTAGTCGACTATAGAAAGCTTAACGATATTATAATAAAAGACCGATACCCTTTACTAAATATCGAGGAATTAAGAGATAAGCTTAGTAAAGCAAATTAGTTTACTAAGATTAACCTTAAGGACGCGTTCTATTATATCTACGTTAAAGAAGGATAAGAATAGTTTATAGTATTCTAGACTAAGCTAGGACTCTATAAGTTCCTAGTAATATCTATAGGAATAATAAACTTACCTATAATATACTAACGACTAGTTAATATAGTACTTAGAGATCTAATCGATATTACTATTATAGTATATATCGACGATATCCTAATCTATACTAAAGGATCTCTATAGGAATATATTTAGAACGTTAAGGAAGTCTTCTAATAACTTTCTAAGATAAGCTTTAGAACTATACTAAAGAAATATAAATTCTATAAGAAAGAAGTCGAGTTCCTTAGATTCGTTATTAGAGTCTATAGTATATAAATTAGTCTAGACAAAATTACGTTAATATAGGAATAGCTATAACTAAAGACTATTAAGGAAATTTAAGCGTTCTTAGGACTTACGAACTATAACTAGAAGTTTATTCTAAGATACTCTAAAATATTAGAACTATTAATATGCCTAATATTACGGCCCGCTAGTATCTAGAATACTCGGCTAGATAGATACTATAGAATAATTAGATAGCGGAATAAGCTATAGTACTAATTAGGACTTTAATTAGTTAATTAGCTTAATTAAGGCTACTAATTATATTAATTGTACTAATCTAAGAACGAGATACGAATCTCCTTTATATATATTTATAATAGATTCTATAGTTAGGAGTTCGTATTTAACTTATATTATAAACCGACTAATTAGAATTAATTTATTACTTTATTCCGATCTCTTATATCGATTATACTTTAACTAAGTAATACTTTACTATCGACTACTAGACTGCCCGACGAGTACTAACTCTACTTATAACAATAGAATTACCTAACTTCTATTATATAAGTACGACAGTATATAATACTTTAAATACCCTTAAGAATATCTATTACTAGAAGACTTAAGTAGGATATCTCTATCCCTAGTAAAGTAGGAGGTACTAATATAGTACGCTCTACTAATTATAATCGGTCTAACGATAATATAAAGGTCGCTAAATCCGACTTATACTATAGAGACTAAGAGAAACTTAACGACTAGTTTAACTAGATATATATCTTCTTCGAGTTTAACTCTATAGAGCCTATAAAGCGAAATCTATTTATAATAGCCTTCCTTCGAGGCCGTATTTAGTACTACCTTAAACTATACTTTACTAAGTACCTTAATAGTAACCTAGAATATAACAAAGATATTATTAGGATCTTTAGAGTATTTATAGGACTTAAAATAGTCTTATAATAAGTCTTTATAGTCTCTAATAAGGTCGAGAATATAGTTTATATTATTTAAGGTATTAAGTAGACTAAGTCTATATTAGACTATATAACCTAGTTTAAAGAGTACTTATAACTTACCGACTAAGACAATATAGCCCTATATACTATATATTACTAAGGCCTAAAGGATTAGGTTAAGGACAAACTAATAAGATATAGGGGCGTTACCGAGGAACTAGACTAGTTAATTAGGGCCTCTATTATAATTAATAATAAGCTTTATAAATATATAATAGAGAAAGGCTATAAGTTTAACCTCTAGTACTCTCTCTATAGTTAGAAGAATTAAGGCAGGAATCGGCTATATTATACCGACCTATATAGACTAGAGGTAGCCTCTATATACTTAGATATAATAAAGAAGGGAAACTCTAAAAGTAGCCGTAGTAAGAATAGTAAGAAACTATACTCCGAAAGAAAGAAAGCGATTATATATTATATATATAGTAAGGAAGGCTATATAGTAAGAGATTATAGCGCTAAGAATAAAGTATAGCGGCTATAATTTAATATAATACTAGGAAAACCTAAGAAGTATAAGGTAATAATCTTATAATAACCTTCGAAAGATAATAGAGAATAGGGAATACTATAAGACTTTAGTAAGAGGCTAGTTACTAGCGAAGTAGATAACTCTAAGTAGTTTCTATAAAAACAAAATACTGCTACTAACGAGGCTAGTAAGCCTATAGAAGATAGCGAAGATATATTAGAAAAAGAAGAATAGAAGTTAGTATAGATCGAAGAAAAGAAAGAAGTACTATATAGATTCCTTTATTAGATATTCTATTATAATAATTAGTATAGAGGGTATTATAGTAGTAAGGAAAATACTAGATAGTTTCCTTAGAAGCTAAAGAGATAACAAACTATTAATATAATTAGTACTTAGTAACTTAAGATACTAAAAACTCTAGATTAATATTCTAAAGAAGAAATATAGAAAGAAAGTAAATAAGGCTATATTAATAAAGAAGATACTAGCGAATAATTATTAGATAACGAAGTATCGGATAATAAGCAAAATAAGCTTTACTACTTTAGCCTAAAAGGAAAGAGTTAAGTAATAGAACTCTTCCTTATAATAGCTCGATAATATAAAGAAGTATTCCTTAAGATTAGCGGAAAATAGTTTCTCTATTTAGAATACTTCGATTAGATAATTAGCTAGTTCTATAATATATTCTAGAACTACCGACTCTATAAAGTCAAATACGACTTTAAAATAATTATATAAGAGTAACTACTAATTAGGAGCTAGTTTATACCTAATAGCTATCTTCTTCCGAATAGGCTTTTTATTAATAAGTAGATAAGAGATATAGTATAGAATCTAAAAATTCGCTATAGTTAAGTATAATATATCTAAACTATACTTAATTTAAGAGAAAAGATAAGAGAAGCCTCGAGAAGCGTAAATAGTCGATAAGCTAAGGTAGTAGCCTTACGCGAATAATAGAAGTATAATATACTATTAAAGGAGAAACTACGAAGCCTTAATAGCTTATAATTACTAACTCGAGACTAATAGATAGAACAATTCCTTATATTATAATAATATATATAAGAACGAATTATACTATAGAACTAGAGAGTATTAAAAAACTAGGACGACCTATCGATAGAAGTACTTAATAGGAACTATATAGTATAACCGCTCTAGTATTAGAATATATAGTATTTCGTACTATAGCTACTATTAAAGGAAACTCGATAACAATTATAGTCAACTTAGATATAAGTAGGAACTTTATATCGCTAGAATATATAAAATAAAGTAGGATCGCTATTTAGATAAAGAAAGATAGATATAAATTATTTATAGTAAATAGCGTAATAATATCTATAGTAGATAGCGAAATAGTACTACTACTACTAGATATCTAATAGTACTATAAGGTTATTATATTAGATATTATACTAATAGCTATAAAAGATATTATTTTAGGAATATCTTAGTTAAGACGTTATAACCTAGTAGTTAACTAGAGAATAGGAGTACTTATATTTAGATAGTATAATTACGTAAATTATATAGAGCCTATATATCGGTAGCGTTCGATAGCAGATAAGGCAAAATAGCTATATAGTATAAAGAGAGCTAATCTACCGAAATAAGGATTAAACTAAGATACCTTACTTCCGTTAAATACCGATAAAGGTTAGCTAGATTACTAGGATAGAAGTAGTAATAAGTATATACTACCGATTATTCCTAAAGAGTATAAGGAATATAAATAGCTCTTTTAGGAAGAGGAAGGCGAAGCCGCCTTATCTATATATATACTATAAGACTATAAGATCTACCTCGAACCTAGTAAGAAGCTACTATAGGGATCTATCTATACTATATTAGAAAAGGAACTAAGAATATAGAAAGAATAGATAGATAAGAACCTTATTAGAAAGTAAATATAACTATCGAAGTCGCTAGTAAGTTTACTAATACTATTCGTACTAAAGAAGAATATAGACAAGCTATAGATAGTAGTCGATTATAGGAAGCTTAACGATATTATAATAAAGAATCGATATCCTTTACCGAATATTAAAGAATTAAGAGATAGGCTTAGTAAGGCAAACTAGTTTACTAAAATCGACCTTAAGGATATATTCTACTATATCTATATTAAAGAAGGTTAAGAATAGCTTATAGTATTCCGGACGAAATTAGAACTCTATAAATTTCTCGTTATATTAATAGGAATAACGAACTTACCTATAATATATTAATAACTAGTTAATATAGTACTTAGAGATCTTATCGATATTATAGTTATAGTCTATATCGACGATATACTTATCTATATCGAAGGATCTCTATAGCAATATATTAAAGATATTTAGGAAGTATTTAAACGACTTTCTAAAACTAGCTTTAGGACTATACTAAAGAAGTACGAGTTCTATAAGAAAGAAGTCGAGTTCCTCGGATTCGTTATCGGAATCTATAGTATATAAATTAGTCTAAATAAGATTATATCTATATAGGAATAGCTATAACTAAAAACTATTAAGGAGATCTAAGTATTTTTAGGACTTATAAACTATAATCGAAAGTTTATCTTAGAATACTCTAAAATATCGGAACTACTAATATGCCTAATAAAGAAGAACGAAGCCTTTAGTTAGACTAAAGCTTAAGAAGAAGCTTTTACGTTAATTAAGAAACAATATATCGAAGTACTAGTCCTACAAATATTCGATACTACTAAACCTATATAAATTAAGATAGATACCTCTAACTATATAATCGGAGTATACCTTACTTAAGAAGATAATAGATAAAGATACCTAATAGTATACTACTTAAGGAAATTAAGTCTAGTAGAAGTAAACTACGATATCTATAATAAGGAACTCTTAGCTATTATTATAAGCCTAAGGCACTAGAGAATCTATATAGAAGGAGTACTAAAAGTTATAATCTTCTCCGACTATAAGAACTTAACGTACTTTACTACTACTAAGGAGCTAACCTAATAGTAGGCCTAGTAATTAGAACTCTTAGGATAGTATAAGTTCGTTATTTAGTATACTCTAGGAAAAGATAATACTAGAGTAAACGCTCTTAGTCGATAATCTAACTATATAGAAAGATATATTATATAATATTATTAAATCCTTAAGACAAATAAGGATAGGATACTATCCGCTAATATATAGGAGTTTAATACTATAATATATATACTAGACGACTATAACGAAGAGTTTCTAGTTAACGAATAGAAAAAGTTCGTTATATCTAATAAGTAAATTAGTAAGGTAATTATATACTACTATAACCTATTAGAAAGAGAATACCTAGAAGTTACTAAAATAATAAAGCTAATATAATAATACTTCGTATTCCTATATATAAAGAAATATATAGCGAACTATATTAAGAAATATATCGAATACTAAATAAATAAGTTAGTATAATATACGACTTATAGGGAACTAATAGTATAATAACTACCGACTAAACTATAGAAAGAAGTTATAATAGACTTCGTTAGACTACTACTAAAGTTATAGAATCTAGCGACAAAATCGATATACGACTCGATACTTATTATAGTCGATAGGCTTATAAAGTATATATACTTTATTATATATAATACTATAATTACGGCCGAATAGTAAGCCTACCTTATTATAAATAGGCTATTCCGCTACTATAGATATCTAAAAGTTATTATCTCGGACAGAGGACTAACGTTTCGCTCTAACTATTAGTAAATATTTGTCTCTAACCTCGGAATTAGCTATAAACTCTTAACGGCCTTCTAGCTACAAATAGATAGATAGATAGAGTATACAAACTAGACCTTAGAAGCCTATCTATAAGCTTATATTAACTATACCTAAGATAACTAGTTACTACTACTCCTAATAGTATAAGTAGTACTAAATAGCTATATCTTAGAAACAACTAAGATCTCGCCGTATAAAGCGAACTTTATATATCTACTAAGACTAGATATAATACTAGTCCTAGGACCGAATTTAGAGGCTACTAAATAATATATAAAAGACTTATAACGGCTCTATTATAAGAATATCTATATATCTTCCTTAAAGACTATAGCGAGATCGAAATCGATTATAGGTCCTTAGCTTAAGAAGAGAGATAAGGTCTATCTCTTTATAAAGAATCTTAAGACTAAAAGAAATAGTAAGAAACTTAACTAAGTTAAGGTTTAACCTTTTATAATCTTAGAGAAACGATTACTAGTTAATTACTAACTCGAACTTCTAAAAGATACTAGAATATATCTAATATTCTATATCTCTCTTCTAGAACTAGTAGACTCTAAAATATCTTACTAAACTATATTCTATTATAAAGACTAAGAAGAAACTAAGTAGGAGGTCGAAAAGATCCTAAAATAAAAAGGTTAGAATTATCTCGTTAAGTAGAAAGATTACCTAGACTTAGATAATATATAGGAACTACTTACTAACCTTAAGAACTACTAAATACTTCTATACTAGTTCTACTAAAGTTAGAAGGAAAGTCCTAGAAGTCGCTCTTAAGGTTAAAACTACTATTAAGAGCGTTCTAAGTCTTAGGATCTAACTAAAGAGATAAACTAGTCTTAGCCGGAACTAGGTTATAAGGAAGATCTAATAACTCTAATACTTCTTAATCCTAAATACTTATATTCTCTATAGTAATTATATTCGCTTCTTACATTTCTAGTAAGTTAAGCTACTACTATAAATATATCTCTTTTACGAAACTAGTATTTAAGACCTTATAAGCCTTTTCTTAAGCCTTATATATCTCCTCGATATCTTTATAAAGATAAATCTGCTCTTTCTTTAACTATTTCTATTCCGATTATATTATATATAAATTATAGCGCTAACCTCGGTATATATACTCGCTATACTAACTAGAGTAAATATAGATATAGTAGACTCTCTTATACTTCGTATAAGTAGCGTAAGGCTTAACTATAGTGTTTCTAGAATATTTAATATATTCTATAAGATAGTAATAATAAATAGTACTAGGTTTAGAATAGATCTTAGATATAACGAAGAGCTATAAGATAGAAAGTTCTCGCGTCGGGGCGATATAGATTAAAGAGGGAATAGTATTACGGCCTACTAATATCTAGAATACTTAGCTAGATAGATACTATAGAATAATTAGATAGCGGAATAAGCTATAGTACTAATTAGGACTTTAATTAGTTAATTAGCTTAATTAAGGCTACTAATTACATTAATTGTACTAATCTAAGAACGAGATATAAATCTCCTTTATATATATTTATAATAGATTCTATAGTTAGGAGTTTATATTTAACTTATATTATAAACCGACTAATTAGAATTAACTTATTACCTTATTCTAATCTCTTATATCGATTATACTTTAACTAAGTAACACTTTACTATCGACTACTAGACTGCTTAATAAGTATTAACTCTACTTATAACGATAGAATTACCTAACTTCTATTACATAAGTACGATAGTATATAATAACTAACTATACTTATAACGACGGAATTACCTAATTTCTATTATATAAGTATAATAGTATATAATATAAGTATTAGACTAACTTAGCGATTAGGAAGTTAGAGCTTTAGTAGGAAGCGATCGATTAGGACCTTTAAATAGTAGACTAGACCGAGATAAACTAGTAATAGACAGTTAGTTATATAGCGGAAATGTTAGGGACTAAGATAGAGGAGGCTAGTCTTCACGCTATGCCTTTCCGGCAGCCCGATATGCGGCATCTTAGAGGGGCGCTATATTACCGTATCCCGACCCGCTAAAGATTCGGTTTTGCTAAGATATCTAGGTTTGGAGGGCGCAACCACTGGGGTGCTAGGTATATGCGCCGAGCTTCGGCTTCGAAGTCATTCGTCGATGCTCATCTAGTCTTATTAAGCTGCATCAGGCTGCCTTGAATCGGCCCTCAATCCTTCCTTTGCTAGACTATTTCCCGCTATCAATAGCTGGATCATTGTCTACGAACACTGTGATTATGCGCATCAGATCTCCTCCGTCCGATCGCAAAGCACCGCAATGAAAGCTTCGAGCGCTGATGACTACGCATACGTGCCAGGCTGAACATTCTCGAAACCATCAATGATAGCATCTATCGTAGCCTTACCGACGAGCGGAGTGTTGGCTCCACCTGGTTGGTAGTACAGGTCACCGAAGCCCGTACCAGAGAATGTGCTCGGGATCCAGGAGTAGGTGTCGTCAAAGTCCTAAAGAGACAGTATCAGCCAAAGTTGCCTCGCATGCGGGAGAACCATCGAGACTTACCCAAACGGTGACGCCCACGCATCCGGCGGTCGTGGCACAAGCATTTACCGTGTTCCAGTAGAACTGAACCTGCTGGTTCTGGGCCGCAACGGTGACGGCGGCAGAAGGAGAGGTAACTGAACCAGTGTCGGCAATCCGAACATCAAGCTCGGTAACTGCGACCTCAATGTTGGCACCCTTGGCGTTCTTGAGCGCGGTGAAGGCCGCCATATTCTGCTGCTGGGATTGCAAGCTCGGTGTGAAACTGTCGGCGAAGTGGGACTGGAGGCCGACACCATCGATGTTGATACCCATAGCGGTCAAGTTCTTGACCAGCGACTGAGCCATGTAAGACTTCGGATACAGGTATTCAATGTTGTAGTCGTTGTCTAAAAGTGATGCGTGTAAGCGTTAGCAGCTGTCTTAGACAGGGGGTAGGAGTCGGCAGGATATGAAGCACGCCACCATTGGACTTGTGGGGAGTGCCGAGACAACATTGCGACGCTGGACTATGCGACAGCGAAGCATGTCTCTCTTTTGGTGGGGTGCTCCAACCCTGCCACTCATGGCTTTACGTACAGTATAACTTGGTGCTCAGACCGTATTTGGCCTTGGCGGCGTTGGCAGCCTGGAAGGCGACCGCGATGTAGGACGGGCCTGCGGTGTTGTACCACACGTCCTGACGCCAGGTGCCATCGTCGTTGAATGCTTCATTAACGACGTCCTACAAAGTGCAGGGTGGGACGGTTAGCAATGTCCTAGACAGAGAGTTGACGCCCTTCAATTACGCACCCAGTGGTAGCAAGCATCTCCGAAGTGACCCATGACCTGGTCGATGTGGTTCTCGAGTGCGGCCATGAGGGTGTCGTTAGTCCAAGGAGTAGACGGATTGGTGATCCAGCTTGGCAGCTGGTTGTACCAGTTCAGGTTGTGGCAGCGGATGATCTTGTTGGTCGCCTCAGCGATGGCCACGAACTGGTCGGCCCCCGCGAAGTTGAAGACGTTTTGTTGAGGTTCCAAGGAGTCCCTGCGAAGTTGTCAGCATTACAGCACATCACTCAGCTGTAGAAGGTCCCACTCACCACTTCATGACGTTGGCTGGCGTAACCTGGTCGAAGTTGCGGCTATTGTTGAGGACAGCCATGTAGTAGGGGTCAGACGCCTCTCCGGTGCCAGGGATGTCCACAGCGGTACCTAAGGAGAAGTCAAGGGTTAGCACTTCTATTATTATCGGACCGGAGCGCAGTCTCCCCGGCGCAGGATGCCCCAGCGTCCCGTATGTGCTATACATGCAGCAACGTGCGACCGAAGATTGTAACTCTGGAAACGTACCAAAATATCGGCCAACAGCCTTCGCAGCATCCGCCATACCAGTGGCAGAAGCCAGAGCACCGGTACTGCCAGTTTTGGTGGGTGTCACAAGCCTGAAACCACTGCTAGTACTGCTTGTCATACTGCTGACAACGGGACTGGTGGTAGTCGTAGTGGCAGTGGTACTGGAAGGGCTGGATGTGGTCGATTTGGTTGTAGTCGTAGTGGCAGTGGTACTGGAAGGGCTGGATGTGGTCGATTTGGTTGTAGTCGAGGGAACTGTGGTTGTAGTGGTGGCGCTCGGAGAGACACTCGTGGAGCTGAGGCTGGAGGAGGTCGCGCTGCACTTCTTGCTCAATCCCTTGCCTTGGCCAGGGTTGTCACAAGGACCGTTGCCATTGCCATTGCCATTGTTGGGAACTGGAGTGGCAAGGACCGCTGGCATGGCCAGCATGCCGAGAACGAGGGTCCTGAGGACGGAAGGCATGTTTGCTGGTGAGCTGCCTGCTTGACGATGAAGGGAGAGGATTGATGTGTACGGAAGAAGCGAGCAAATGGAGCGATGAAGAGGAACTTATACTTCGCTCGAAGACGATGAGTTGTAACCCATGTGGCATATGCCTGTGTCTGGTGCCGTTGATCATTTCAGCCGAAGAGACTGAATTGACAACGCACGAGGCATGCGGCTCTTGTTCGAGACCATCTTTTTAGGTACTTGGCAGCGTTGTGGATGCAGGACAAAAGCGTCGTGCCGTCCGTAAGTCTGGGACCAGGCGGGGGCGGACCTGCACGGTAGTGCAGAAAAATCTACCAGAGGTGGGCCAGGAGGATCGAGGCCCGGGGACCCCAGTGGAGCACGAGAGAGTAGAGGAGGCAGGTGGCGAGGAAGGCCTCTTCATGTACCATATAGCCGGTCATGTCCCGTGTCGTCTAGCACAGGCAATATAGCCGGAAGGCTATATGCAGCATCGGCATTGGCTACATGCAGGTCGACCGGCCAGAGGTCACAGTCATGAAGTCTTCGATCGCAACTTTCGAGTTGCTGTACCCAAGCAGTTAGTTCGTTGCGTGGCGCTTGATGATGTCTATCTCCCCTTCATCCCTATCGGCTAAAAAGCGGGCTTGCAACGTCACGTGAACAATGATTGTATAAGCAAGCTTTCGCTTTACCTTGGCATATATACTGTGCTCATGCACAGTCGATTGCCTTGGTTCGACGAGCTTTCAACTCGGGGTGGAGCTTGTGGAAGCCTTGCGGCCAGTTCTTCCCTGGCGGAGGTACATCGCTAGTAGCAGAGCATTGAAAAGTGGAGCGTTTTTAACGTCGAATTGTTTGCGCCAGTGAGCGCAAAGACTTGATTGGAAGTGGATGCCCACTGTGAGCCACACGGAGCATGTATTCTACAAGCGCTTTCTCCTCTTGCGGCGACAGATATTGCTGTTTCGCAGCTTTTTCCCTTCGCGATGGGCGTCCGTGACGACGGTACCAACTGGTCGTAGGAGGAAGATTGGCGGCAGCGTCCGAATCCATCTTGAGATCAGCTGACGGCGGGTTCGTGGAAGCAGCTAGTGTCAAAGATGGTAGCCTTTGCAGTACGAGAAGCGTGAGAGAAGGTGTGAAAGAATGACGAAACAGCGAGTGAGGGTGCGAGAGGGCGCTTGTCGAAATGACTCATGCTGGGTTCGGAATAGCAGCGATACGCGTTTCCCGAATCCGGCATGTAGAACTCTGCGTCCATGTTTCACCACTAGCGCGTTGACGGGACGCATGCTGACAAAGCGCAGCTGCGCTAGCTTGCTTTGAAATCGTAGTTAGTAGCAGGCAACTTTATAAGAATATAATCTTAATATTTATATTAGTAGAGATATAGGTAATAAGTTAAAGGTGCCTATAGACAAGTAAATTAAGTATTATATAAGTATAATAAATTTCCCCTTCTATATTAACTACTTATATTCATAGGTAATAGGATCTATAACAAATATACAATAATAATTAGCGCTAATACTAATCTTAACATTAGTTACTAGGCGTTCTATGGATTACGACATATCTTTCTTTAAGATACTGCTGTATTAGCGACCCTGCGAATTTGAGATGCTCTGAGGTGGGCGGTGTTTTTCGAAACGGTTGTATTAGGGATCTGAAACTTACTGCAGCGGCAACGTCGCGGCTCGCGCCTCTTCGTCAACCACTACTCACCAATCGAAGCGTGGCGAGACTTCGCGACCTGAGCGTATAACGACCCTGCATTGTCAATGAACGGCCACGGCCAACCAAGACCATGTTTTCATCACAAATAGAAGCACTTCAAGCTCTGAACCAGGCATTTTCACAAGTCCAGCTTGCCCAAAAAGACTATGTTCGTTTCAGGCCTCAGGGTCGTGACTAGATCGACAAAGATCGAGCCAGAGTGAAGTTGAGCGCGCCTATACCTGCTGTCGCAAGTTATTGTAACAACAGCTCAATATAGTCTTGTGACTATTCACGGCTGTGGTGTTTCTATTGTGTAGCGCGTTCATTGATGGCACCCTCATCATCAGCGCTCATGCTTTCCTTTTCCTTGGCCTTCAGCAAACATTACATTTCTTAGTCTTTCTAGAGCTGTTGACCAACTCAACCACGTTCCGCAAACACTTCCTCTCGCCCATCATAATACTCCGGCCTGCTGGACAGCCATCATCTAATACTACAGCCTGCCTTCAATACGTGTTCTTGCGACTTTGGCCGTTCAGAAAGTAAGCCACAGTCAATGTTGAGGTTTGCACCAGCCGCGCTGACCGCCATCAGGCTACTCTACGTGCCGTTCGAAGATCACCGCCTTGATACCCTTACAGCAAGACATCAAACCACCCAAGCCGCAACCGACCGTAACACCACAAAGATGACTCTATCTCCCAAGTCACTCGCCGGTCCAGGCTATATCATCCTAAACTGCATCCGTGGGATGAACATCGTCGGCTTGCTTGCGGTGATCGCGGCCAGCGTGATAATGCTGGTGAAGACCTCGCTGCAATCAAAGTTTTTCTTCTTCGACGCCGTGAGCCATGTTTTGACGGCGATTGTCGGCAGTAAGTTGGGCCCACAAAGAAAGCATAGGCAGCGAACGCTAATGATAGCAGTGTTTCTCCTGGCCTCGGAGCTGTCACTCTTTCGTACCTACTTCGCCCGTAATTGGCCACTACTCAGTCCGACTCACGGCTTCGTAAGCCTTGCGCTTGCGATGATCGTGCTCGGCATCAACATGCTCGGCAACCTCAACAAGCCAGCTACCAGTGAGCAGGCCCTCGGTCTACCCTTTTGGCGCATCGTCATCGGTTCGGGCATCATAATCTTCGTCTTGGGCTTCATTAACCTGGTCGCCGTAAGTCCTGTTCGTGCCCTGGATCTTCGCAGACACTGACGAAGAGCTAGAGCTGCGTCTTCCGCGACAGAAGTCGCAACATTACAGCCCGCCAAGTCCGCGCCAAAGGTGCCATCGCGGTCCACAAGACGCCCATGCCAGGCAGCAGCACGCCACCTGCGGCAGAACTCGCTCAATCGTACATACCAAATCCGATCACTCCATCCAAGAGCGGCAGCCCGTTCAAGATCTTCACTAGCGAGCGCAGATCATCCTTTCTGCCGTCATACCACAGCAGCTCGACCACCTCGTCGCCCGTTAAGGAGCCCATTTCGCCATCAAGCAAGTACTCCCGCGCCACAGACTGCACTCAGAAGAAGATCTTTCCGTTCATGGGTCGTAACAGACAGAGTGTTGGCCCGAAACTGCCAGTTCACGTGCAGGAGCGCGAAGTTGAGATCTCGGCGCCGATGGGCGTGAATCCCCAGTTTGCACACCTGGTGCAACGGCCGGATAGCGCGCTGCATCCCAGCCGAACGGGTGACAGCGAGCCTTTCCGGTGGAGGGCTGCTTCGTGATAACGGTACGATACAGGCATGTGTTGGTATGAGCAGTGGTGATTGTCAATGAAAGATTGTTAATGCTGGCGCCAGGGTGGTGGCGGCCTTGCGCTTGTGCTTTCTTTGTTGCTTCTTGGCGCAAGAAGATACCCCAGCTGCTTAACATCCTTTAACGATAACTACAGTCATGATTTCCGAGTCTGTCTCACTAGTCCTTTCACTCCACAACCGACGTGTGAAGAGAGAGACGAGCCTCAATGGTCGCGACAATCCGCTTCCAGTCATGCATCGCTCCGGACCCGGTATCGCCACAGGCGAGCTCCTTCTCAATCGGTCGAAGCACTTCGAACCAACCTCCGTTCTTCACGTTCCAGACGTTCTCCAACCTGTCCAGATGCTCAGCCGTGACCGGATTGTGCCACATAGCCGTGTTCATCGCTGGAGCAACGATAATGCCCTTCTTGCCGTCATACGGAAGAGGCACACCGGGCCGAGCCTGATCAATCATGCCAGACGCATCCCACGCTCTAGCTACCGAGCTAATGAGGTTATCAGACATGCCCTGAGCGAGTTTGGCCAGACTGTTCGCTGACAAGGGTGTAATGACCATCAAGTCAGCCCAGCGACGAAGCTCGATGTGGAGGATATTGTCACCCCGGACCCAAGGTTTGCGCCACTCGTCGTTATCGAAGTAGATGGCATCTACGTTCTTCATCGCAACAATGTCTTCAAGGTGAGGCTGTTCTGCGGCTTGACCTTGGAGGAAGTTGGCCGCGGAGTCGGAGAGCAGGATGCGGATAGAGAGGTTGTCATACTTCGACAACGCTGAAACAATGTTTGGTATCTTGATAGTAGCGACCGAACCGGTGGCGGCCAGCAGAAGGTGATGCTTGCCGTCGTTAAGATGATCAGCAGCTCTAAACGGTTCTGAAGCTTTCCGTCGCCGAGGAGAGGGAAGCCTTGGTCGGTATGCTGAGCTAAACAGCAGACGCAAAATGGATTCACTCGTAGGTAGCCATATGAATCTGTAGACTGGGTATAGCACTGCTAAGGCGACCGAGGTCTCCCAGGTCACCCTTACAAGAAAATTAGCATCTATGGGCCTGAGACCAGGCCATACACGTCTTGCAGAAACCATCTTTGCGGAGGCATCACAAGAGTGCGTCTCGAGTATCCCATAAGCGAGTCATCCGGATTCTTTGAGCTGCGTCAGGAGCTGGAGGTGCTATTATATGCCCAGAGGTGTCGTCGCTACATCTTGTGCCTTCCTTTGTAATCGCGTAGGTGCCTTTTTGCCCCACTTTGAACAGTAATCAATCCTTGCATCATGTTCGGAAGGCTCACTCAGATACACTCAATCTCGGTAAGGAACTGTCACGACCAAAGGTTCTTACAATGTTTTCCAGAACCACTATATCGGCGGTAGGTTCTAAGTGGCGTCGTATAGATCGTTCATAGCTGATAGCGTTCACAGGTTGCTGGTCAAGCGCTCCGCCCGCGGCGCAACCCTCTCCTCTCGCCACGATTTGCCGCGCTTCAGAGATCGTTTCTATCAACCGAGACAAGACAGGCCATTGATAAGGCCGTTGCCACAGCGCCAGTTGTATTGTTCATGAAGGGCACCCCAGAAACGCCACAGTGTGGGTTTTCAAGAGCAAGCATTCAGATCCTAGGCCTGCAAGGAGTAGATCCGCAGAAGTTCACCGCTTTCAATGTGTTAGAGGATGAGGAGCTGAGGTCAGGTATGTGCTGCGGTTGAGAGTGGTTTCAGTTGCAAGTCAATCATGAGCTGATCTTGTGCAGGTATCAAGGAGTACTCGGACTGGCCTACGATCCCACAACTTTACGTGGATAAGGAGTTCGTAGGTGGGACGGATATCATGATGTCGATGCACCAGGATGGCAGTCTGGCGAAGTTGCTCGAAGACAAGGAAGTGCTCGTAGCCGCAGAAGGCTCGGATGCAAGCGCTACAAGCTCATGATCTGCCGTGTAGGATAGAGATACCATTCTTGTACAAGCCTTTTGAGATGACAGACCAAACACGCAGCGTGACCGTCGAGGTAGCATTGCCCTCCATAACCGCCAAGGAAGGCACGCTCATTGGGAGGGCGCGTCTCACATCCGCACCTTCCGCACGAGTTTCAGCGGCTTCAACAACCTCACTTCGACTTGACGGCCCACCGACCATGACACAATCGCTCGGTGCCGACGATATGTCTGCCACAAAAGGTGACGTACGCAGCGCACTCAAGGCGTTTCTGATGGAGTCAGCTGGGAAGGAGAATATGCCGCCAGAGCAGCGAAAGCGCACCTCAGCCGCAGGTCTTTTCGACAACTTGCCCAACAAGCGACATAAGCGGGTAGACGACAGTGCCAGAGCGTCAGCCCTTCCAAGTTCAAAGACTGCGAATCACGCCTCCACCCCTGGTAAGGGTTTCTTCAAGAGATTTACACGACCGCAGAAAGACGCCGTGCACCCATTGATCGAAGGTTTTGACAGTATGACGTCTGACTCAAGCCTTCTTGTCGCATACTGCTAACTGGCTACAGGGGCTGTTGCGGCGTACCAGCGTGGAGTTACCGAGTCTGATGAGAGCATGTTTGAGCCTATCCAGCAGGAAATAGAGCTACGCATGCAAGGAATCAACGTTACCGGAAAACTAATTACGAGGCCAGACATACCGAGTCAGGCTGAAATCAAAGCTGTCAAGGATGCCTTCCGTGCACTTCAACGCCCTTTAGGAGAGGAGACGATGGATGTAGAAGTTCCGGTTCCCGGAGGTAAGACAGTCCTGAAGCGAGTAACGGTCAAGCAGGTCCAAGAAGCGTACAAGAAGCTGCACGATCGTAAACAAGCGGACATTGCCGACCTTGAGCAGGAATTGCAGCAGGTCGAACGTGAGATCGCTGCTTTATATCACGACATCCCTTGTAACAACGACAACAAGATACTGGCTGCAGACGAGAAGCTACGAGCTGCAAAAGCGCAGTACGATCTAGCGTTTAAGGCTGCTCTAGATGAGAAGGATGCGGAGCTGCGGAAGGCGCGAGCTGAAGAGAAGTCTAAGTGCTCCAATCTGAAAGACAGGATGCAGGCTTTCATGGCATCTCTGGGCTGATTATGTGAGAAAAGCTCGAAGTGTGCGCCGGGCTGACCCCAGCAGTACTTGCTGAACGCAAGCGATGGTCTAGAACGTGTGTTCATACTGTTCTGGCGCACAATTAAGCCGCATAGCATGACAGGGATGCTCGCTAATCAGAACACTAATTGCACAACTTCTTCAGGCGCAACAGGTCGACCTAGCGTCACGGTAGCAGTCCTTGCCTGAAGGTCCATTATGATATTGAACAGACTTGCAGACTGAGCACCATCTAACTGTGACCGGCATATGGAGCCGGGATAGTTGGCTTCGTCTTTGAACAGTTCGAATAGATTCTGTGAGTTCGGGTGGCCCCCCAATGACTTGCACAGCTCCTCAATCCTTACTACGCGGAAATTTGAGTCGCCAAGCCAATTGGTATCTTCGACGCCTTTATGCTTCCTCAGGTAATGGTTGGAATGGAACACCTGCTCGGAGACGTTCATGGGAACCTTCTGGAGCTCGACCGAACTCCATTCCAGTCCAACGCCACCATGAGCGTCTGCCACTAGCATATGGCAGGATGAAGCGACGCCATACTTCTCCAGCTTCTGTACTGCTTCATCTCGGCTTTGGCTTTCGAGCACCATCCGTAGCCCAAGATGGCATGGTATACGGGTTGGATCCATACCCTTGGCTTTGATGGCGTTGAGGCATACACCGACGCCGGCGGAGTTCATGCCTATCTTACCGATTAAGCCGGCCTCGGTAACCATCTTGATGGTCGGCTTGTCGGTTTGCTCAATGGTGAGGATGATAAGGTTCTCCTTCTGCGCCTCCATCCAATCCCAGTTCTGCGCCAGAAAGCTGGCATACTCGGTTCGCCACGACAAAGCTGTGCAGCCGTCGGAAAACATGCCGAAGGCAATCTCAGTGCGGACGTTAATCGCTATGATCTCTGCCATATCAACACCGGCGCCATCGGCAACACCTTTCGCTAGTCAGTGGTCCCCTTTTTATCATACTTTAATGATCATACCGTGCATTTCCTCCAGGTACGCCGGCCATTTCCTTTCCATGATCGACTCAAAGGTCATGGCAAGCTGCTGCACCCTTCCCCAATCCATCTTCGCAGTTTCTTGGAACATGCCGGCGTAGAAGTTCAGGCATCGTGAGATCTGTAACTTCGCTTCCTGACCGTGCTTCAGACCGATCTTCGAAGTTTTAGCCTTCCATGAATAAATGATCGTGCTCAGTCCACCTACCTGATAAGGTGTGCCTTCGCAATGTATTTGCAACATCTTGCCCGCTGGTGGTCCGCAAGGATGTCGCACTGGTCCCAGATATGGTGCTGTTAATTGGACTCGATCAAGGTGTAATTGCGGTTTAGAGCCGCAACACTGGCATCTGACGACCATAGCATCTGTGACACTATCCTAATGAAACAATGCAATCAGTCATGAGGTTGTCGATGAATTGTCGGCTGCCGGCAAAGCCTATGCAGGCAACGCGATAGAGGTGGGGCGAAGTACCTTCCTATCTCGGCACGATGGCGTTGGCCGGCGGCGTTGCTGGAGGATGCAACGCGACTCGAACAATACTAGAGAGAAGAAGGGCATCATTGTACGCTCCAGTTCTCTGTTGGCTAGTTAGAGGATGGGGAAGAAGCGAGTACTCGTAGGCTACGGCATCGACGTCGACGCCGTAGCGAACTGGATCAACACCTGTGACGGCTCGCCGCAGAATCCCACCAACGTCAGCCGCGGTGTCTACGGCGCGACGGTGGGTATCGATCGCCTGCTCAAGCTCTACGACAAGTATAACATTAAGGCGACCTTCTTCACGCCCGCCCACAGCATCGAAAGTTTTCCAAAGCAGCTTGCGAAAGTCAGAGATGCGGGCCATGTAAGGTAGTCTTTCTCTGTCACAGCAGTACTTTAAGCTGAGCCGTGGGGTCGTAGGAGATCGGACTGCATGGCTACACTCATGAATACGTGTCGCAGCTCTCAGCCAAGGAGCAACAGGCAGTGCTGACGCGTTCGATCGATGTCCTGACCAAATTCTGCGGCAAACGACCGCTCGGATATACCGCGCCAGCTTGGTCAACTTCAAAAGAGCTCATCCCCCAGCTCGAGGCCGAGGGGATACTGTACGATCACAGCTTCATGCATCATGACGTCCAGCCGTACTTCGCTCCGGATAACAGCCAGACCTGGATCGAGACAGACATCTCTAAATCCGCAGATGCGTGGATGATGCCCATGACGAAGATGCGTCCTTCGAAGGTGGTCGAGATACCAGCAAACTGGCACTTGGATGACTGGCCTCCGCTGCAACCCATTCCCGGTCGCGCTGGTGCTCAGGGCTTCGTCGACACTGATGTGGTGGAGAAGCTCTGGTTGCAGCAGTTCGACTTCGCTTATCGGGAGTGTGATACGTTCATCTTTCCGATGAGCATCCATCCTCAAGTTAGTGGGAAGCCTCATGTAAGTCAATTCAATCCTCATATCTTCTGCGTGCTGTCTGGGATAACGCTGATGGGGTGCATCCAACGATGTAGGTGATACTAATGCATGAGCGGTGAGTTATTGATGTTAAAGAAAAGCAGTTGCGGCCTCGTTAATGCGCCTCGCAGCATCATCGAGTACATCAACAAACACGAAGGTGTAGAGTGGATGACCTTGTCAGATATGGCGAAGGAATTTTTGGAAGGTCGGATGCCCGGTGTTGGAATCGAGGGTGGAGCTGACCTATGAACGCTGTAAGTGCGCAATGAATGAGGCTGGTTGCCATGCAGGATACGTGCTGCATATGTGCAAGCTCTAATACACCTCAGAAAGCATATCTCTCACTATACATACAGATTGCGGAACCATCCGTAACGCCTCCGCTGTGTTGCGAAAATCGACCAAATGCCGGCCAATTTATGGCAGTCAGCCGATTAAGCTTGCTGCGCTTGACCTTGTCGCAAAGCAAGCAATGCGCGTACGTCTGTTACGTATTGCAGGCCTTCCAGAAGGGGAACGAGATGTAACAGATCGTTGTCTGTCGGGTCGCTGATCCAGCCTTCTACGGGTATCGCATTATCTGCGTGGAAGTCAGTAGAGAGCACAGGCTCGGAAGCAGCTGTACTGACCCTCATGGAAGATGTAAGACATTGGCGAATTATCCAGGATCATCACCTTACTCAAGTCAGGCTCCACCTGCGCCAGATCTTTGATGTATGCACCGTTCCTAAAGGTGCAATGCTGTCTGTAGTAGCGCCCGCTGAAGTACTTTCGCTCCCTCTCGAGCCAGTCAATGACCGGATCCGCATACTCCTGTACCGATGCGGTAAAGATGACAAGGTTGTACCACTTCGCCACTTTCCGCAAGAAATCGTGACATCCGGGCCGCTCATGCACATAGTACAGGATAGGCACTCCAGGACCCAAGTGCACGCCAGAGCCGGATATGGCGCCGCCAAGCCGTACTTCGACCATATGACCGGTCGACATACGCCCACCCTTGGCCATGGAATGGATAAGCGTCTCATCAAGGTCGATAATGAGGGTCTTTTTCGGTGTCTCGGTGGAGTACGACAGGACATACGACGGTTGACGGCGTGGTACTAACGGCCGTGGTGGAGCCGGAGAACGGGGGTAGCGAGTCAACTTAGATGAAGCAGTAGGAGACGACGGTGATTTGAGCGATGACGCCATGGCGGCTACATCGTCCGGATTGGCAGCTTGCAGCTTCTTCTGCTGTGCTCGCGCGAGCTTTCGTTTCCGAAGAGCTTCATCGTTGTGTAGCAGCTTGACCCGACCACCTTTGCGGTGAGGAGCGATATCGTCGCCTTGCTGAGTACTGGCCGCTGCCGCCGTTTTTGACCGTGTGTGTCGCGCAGGACTGTCATTTATGCGGTCAGACTCGGTCTCACCATCATCGGAAGCTCCAGACACTATGGAAGTATTGCTTTCGAGTGATGGCGAGCGTACGTGAGACGTGTTGCGTGGCGCTTGAGGTCGCTTCTTCTCATCGCTGGACGTAGTCTGTGGCGCATTGTCCAACCCTACTGCCTGCGAGGTGGACTTTCGTTTCCGGCGGGAAAGCAAGCTCTTGAAGTTCTTCAGTGGTAGTATCGCGGAGAAGTGACCATTCTCATCGTAGAAGCAAGCGATCACATAGCGGCCTGGGGCAGTGATTGTTGTGATGACCACGGTTGCGCCGTAGAGTATGGCGCGAACTACCCGCTTCGGTACATCCCATAGTCGACTCTTCTGCTGTGATTGAGATGGTTTCGAGGTGCCGTCTCCCAGTAAAGGCGTCTTCTCGTCATCCGTCCGCTCCGGCGCATCTCCCGCGTCGTCCTGTTCGAAACCCTGTTCCGACTTCACCGCGCCCAGCTTCTCCGACAAAGCGCCGGAGTCGAACGACTCAGAGCTCGCCGTACTGTCACTGCCCTTATCATTGCCTTTCGCGGTCTGCACATGCACCGACGAGGTGGTCCGGGAGCGCGGCGGAGATGGGGGAGGGGTGGTGGTAAGCCTCGACACGATGTTGAGGCTATTCATCACTCTCAACATTCCATGTACACCGGCAATACAGCAACGACGGCGATTGCTAGGAACCCGCACCCGACCACGTGTCCGGTGTTACCGCGTGCTCCGAATCGGGCCAGCTGAAGCCGTAAGGGTCGCGAACACGGTCTTCTCCTGCTGACTGTATCACAATAGGATCGTTGAGTCGATGCGCCAAAGAGTTACAGACCAAACTTCCTACAACAACGCCAGCCAGCGTGCTGTGGTAGTTCAAGTACCAAGAAGGAGTCCGAAGGAAGAGCGTTTGGTGGTAATGATGATGGCTGGCGACGCGGGGAGATTGATGGAGCGAGGCGCATCAGCGCACAGACTCGTCGGATTCGGATCGCATGACTCCACATATATCGCAAATACCTATGCATGAGACAGTCTCACGAACTGCAATTTACACGAATTCGGACCAGTAACAGTCAATGGGGCGACACCTCCACCTTTCAATCAAGCAGTAAGCTTGTCGACGGATCATCCTGGGCTAGGAACTCCTCAAGCCGTTTGATCAATCAACGTGACATTTTGCACCGACTCAGCCCTGGGTTCCCAGACGCGATACAGTCATGCCTGCAACGACAATCCCGCAGACACCCTCTCTCTCCACATACCTCAAGTCCCTGAAACACAATGACATTGAGACCTCGATCGAACTGTTCATATCCTTGCTCAAGCGGCGCCAGATAAAAAACTCGAGACCTTGTGCGATTGCCACGACCCATTTATTACTTCACGTTGTTGCGGCAGAGCGCATCCGCGACGCTTCGAAACTGATCCAGCACGTTCGCGATGTGGGCCGAAGACTGGTCGCTGCTCAGCCGCGGGAGATGGCCGTCGGCAACATTGTGCGACGAGTCCTTGGTGTCATCCGCGAAGTCGCAGAGGAGGACCAGGATGCGGCAGGAGGCACTCCGCTGTCTCCGCCCACCCCTCTGACTCCTGTCCCGGGCGAGACCCTCCAAAGGCCTCCGTTACCGACCAAGATGTCCGAGTTTAGCCCGCTTCATGGGGCAGCAGCGCTTCCGCAGGATTTACTGGCGACAGCAGCCAGTTCAACTCAAGACTGGCAGTCAGAAGACGCCGCCCAGCGGCCGCTATTACCCGGATCGAGCACATCTTATGCGGGACAACCGCCTTCAGTGACGTCCCTCTTCAGCATTCTTCAGCAGCCTGCAGGCCGCTCTCCTTTTGCCACTCCGCCAACCGCTTCGCAGTCTCCATTGATAAAGCCAGTACCTCAAACGCATGACGATGAAGTCAAGGAGAAGCTTGACATCAAAGCCGAAGTCATCAACGGCATACAAGAATTGCAGGATGAGCTGGACGTGGTAGACACTCAAATCGCCGAGTCTGCTCTGGACCACATCCACAGCAACGAGATCATACTCACACATACGTCCTCGCAAACTGTGCAGAGATTCCTCGCAACGGCAGCACGAAAGCGCAAGTTCACCGTCGTCCATGCAGAAGCCTACCCGAACGATCACGAGGCAACGCACGCCACCATTGTTAACGGTGGCAAGAAAGGGTCCGGTGAGGACGAAGAAGGCGGCGACGAGCGGTGGAAGCCTCTCACAAGCATGGGCATTACCGTCATCCTCATCCCAGACTCTGCAGTCTTTGCCCTCATGTCGCGCATCAACAAGGTGATCATGGCCCCTCATACCGTGCTTGCGAATGGCTCGTTACTGGCTGCTGCCGGCGCGGCAACGATCGCGCAGGCGGCGAAACATCACCGGGTGCCTGTAGTGGTGCTGAGCGGAGTCTACAAACTCAGTCCGGTGTATCCGTTCGCAACGGATGATCTGATCGAATACGGAGATCCGAGTAAAGTTGTCGGATTCGAGGAAGGGGAGTTCATGGAGAAGGTGGATGTTGTGAATCCGATCTATGATTGGGTGGACAGTGAGCTGGTGGACCTCTACATTACGAATCTTGGAGGATGCGCGCCCAGCTTTCTGTATCGCATCGTGGCGGATCACTACCGTGTGGAAGACATCGATCTGAGTGCGAAGTAGACCAAGCCTGAAGCAATAGCAAGATATCGCCCCCAAACGCAGTCGTCGTTCGTCCTTCGCTTTGACATGTGAACGGGATGGCGCCACCGGCGATCCCCTTTCTCGGCCCGCCAACGCGATCCACTCGAGATCGTCAGTGCTTCCCAATGGCTTAACCCCACCTCCCGTCGCCGAGAGACATTTCATAGATTGCGGCCAGCGATGCCTCGAAAGGGTCAAACAACAGACATTCACCCTTTCGACAGCTACACGCAGATCTGACCAAACCTTCACTTCACAAGCTCAAGTCTCACATATCGCCACGATGGGTATCGTCACCTCCATTCTCACCATCATCCCTCTCATCCTCCTCCCCGCCATCGCCTACCGTGTCCTAATCATCACCGACCCTAAGCGGAACAAGCCCCTTCGCCATGGCCGCCAAAACGCTCAAGAACCAACCCATCTCCTCATTGTACTCGGTTCGGGCGGCCATACAGCAGAAATGATGTCCATGCTAGAGCGGGCAGTCACAGATCCGGATCCAAAACTCAAGCTCAACTGGAAGGACTACACCCATCGGACATGGGTCGTAAGTTCCGGCGACAGCATCAGCGCGCAGCGTGCCAAGGAGTTCGAGGAGATGGCTACCCCTCTCAGCACGCAGGACCACCTGATGGCGGGCAAGGTGAAGAAGGCAACAGACATTGGTCCTGGAAAGTACGAAATCGTGACCGTGCCGAGAGCGAGAGAGATCCACCAATCCCTCTGGACTTCACCCGTATCAAGCTTGCAGTGCACGCTGGAGTGCTGGAAGGTGTTGACCACGCACACGACTGACACGAGGGACGGCCACTTACCGCAGGCTGGCAAGACCGACTTTCCGGATCTCATCCTCTGCAACGGGCCGGCGACCTCGACGATACTGGTCTTCACGAGCATATTGCTACGGTTCCTTAACCACAGGGGCTGCAGTGAGAGGCACAAGATGCGGACGATCTACGTAGAAAGCTGGGCTAGGGTCAAGCAGCCGAGCTTGAGCGGCAAGCTGTTGTGCAGGGTCGTCGACCGGTTTCTGGTGCAGTGGCCGCAGCTGGAGAAAGCTGTAGGTGGAAGAGCAGAGTATTTGGGCATGCTGGTGTGAGAGTGTTCGCTCACGCGCAAAGCACTCTAGGTGAGCCCGCGGAGTCCGTCAAGCCAAGCTCAACAAGCTCCGCTGTCGGTAAGGCGAAGCAGCAACTGCGCGAACACTGCCCAACAACCTCGAAACGGCCTCCCGGTGGCTGCGAGCAGCTAGATCTAGAGGTTGGTCTGCTGAAACCCTCAGCACCCGCGATGTCCGACTGAGTCCACTTCGCGATTCGAGAGCGATGCCCATGTTCGGAACTGCACATTTGAAACAGCGCTCAAGCGTGAGTCATGCTCTTGGTACCCAGTTCTTCCACTCCGCGTTCCTTGCCAATAGGTAGTCTCCAGAGTCAATAGCCTTCTTCAAGCCATAGAGCCCGCTAAAGGGCCACGTATGTAGCACCGTCTGCAGCCAAGAACGATTCGCTGCTGACTTGCGCTCACTCTCGACATCAACTCTGACCTTGTCGTACACGGATGGCAGCGAGGTTGCGTGGTACTTCTTCCGCAGGCCATCGTACCAACCTTTGTCAAAGTCTTGCCAGAAGGCTTCCTCCGTATAGTATGTCTGTGCGTACAGCCACTTCATGCCACCGAGTTCGTGAAGTCTCTGTTCGACATCGCGATTGGCTTGCACGAACGCTTCATGACTGGTAGGACCTAGACCCCAGAGCCCGACATTGAGCATCGGCGGTAGTGTCCTTCCATCGCTGTCATTCTGCTTCAAGTGCGGGTGCATTGTCGGTTGGGGACTCTGCTTTAGCGGACATAGCCACAATGGCCATATACCAAGCCTGCTGTCGGTGAAGTCCACGAACTCCTCCACCGAACCGTACGGAAGCGCCAAGTCCTGAACGATGATGCGCTCAGACTGCCCACTGCTGTGCAGCGCGTTGTACATCATGCGTGTGTGGAGGAAGTCGTCGAGAAACCATCGGGTGAGGCTGTTGAAAGGTACGCCTGGAAAGTAGCTATACGCGGCGGCTCCGACCCAGAAGCCACCTCGGTCGTAGCGGAAAAGGTACTCTGGTAATGGAACGAGCTCGGTGATGGGTCCTTCGGTCTGCTTTATATGGTCACGGACATGGAGATAGAACCATGGATCGCTGGCGGCGCTGAAGCGCTGGATTGGTATGTCTGGGTTTGCAGTGTCTGTCATTCGGCCTGTGATGATCGCCCCTTGTGTCCTCGAGTACATGATGCCATCTACATAGTCCCATTCGCTACTGGGACTCGTGAAACTCTGTAGCTTCGCCATCGCTTCCTTCATACCAGATACTGGATGGTACGTTGTTGCGACGAATTTCGTAGCCTTCCGCAACTGTAGCTTCACCATACTCACGACGCCCAAGGTGCCTACCGCACCGGCGGCCCCTCGAAAGAGGTCCTCTCGCTGTTTCTCGGAGCACGTCACCACCTCGCCATTTGCCAGCACCATCTCGACCTCGTCCATTGTGCGGTCAAAGAAGCCATGCCGGAAAGAGCTGCTTTCAGCCGCTGTACCAGCGTAACCGCCACCCACAGTGATGCCGGGAAATTCCATCACGACGGAAGGGATCAGGCCATGCTTCAGTGTCTGCTCGACAAGCTTGTCCATTGGTACGTTTGGTTCAACCTGTGCATACTTTGACTCCGCGTCTACGTAAAGCACACGATTTAGGCGACTCGTATCGACTACGGTCCGTGGATCCCTTCCCAGCGCGGACTTCCTCGTGCTGTTGGTTGAGCCATGGTAGATCCTGAACTGCTCGCCGCGTTGGTGAAAAGCCCGCACTTGCGCGGCAACGTCTGCAACATCAAGATCGTGTTGCTTCAGAGCTCGTGTTTCCTCATCTCGAACATTACTCTCCATCAATCTTACTTCCGAAGCACTGAGCAACGAATATCAATGGCCCGGACCTAGATCTGGAAAGCGGTGCATCTAAGGGAAATGGAGCCTTTCGCACGGCCCCACTAAAAAGTATCCTTAACAACCCTTTTACTGTTAAGGTGGTGCATTGGACTTGGTACTGTAGCGCTACATGTACCCATTGAGCACCTTCAGTAAAATTTTCATATGATCTAGCCGCAGTGATAATATCATCGCGACCCGTGACGAGTCGCCGGCTCTTCAGGCCTGTAGGGCGCACTCTTAATCCTCTTGGGATCTTAAAAACATTGTGGCGCCGCCTGCGCAGGTGTCTCCTACCGCCGCCGTCACCCATGTTCTGCGTTATTTGATGCTCGAGCTTGCGCCGCTCTGCTCTGCTTTACGCGAGGACTTCACGAAGCAGGTTACATATAAGCACGGTGACGTGGCGACCACAGCGAGGATGTTGGTTGACATGCTCCAGACTGCTGACAATGCAGGACTGGTTGCGGCCACCCTTTGTGCGCCAGTAGCTGTAACACATAGTCGTTGCACTCCTCGTTCGGGAGAGTGTGAGTATACAATAAACCATCCCGGTTAGCTCTATTGTTGCGCTCGTAGGACATCAATATATGACCAAGAAGACGACATTTCTCCACGACGTCGGCATAACAGGACTATACCGCGAGTACGAGGATTATGAGGATGCCTGGAGCTGGAGTCAGTGCTAGAGCCGAAGCCAGAGCCGAAGCCGGAGTGAGTGTCAGAGAATGAGCGCAGCATGCCAAGCGCAGCAAGTGCGGCGGCATAAGAACGAGGCTCAAGATGGGAGGGTGCCTCCGCCAGGATGTCATGCAAGGGGGAGTTCTCATCGGTATGCTTTATATCCTAACAAAGAACGACTGTTTGTCGTAGCACTTACATCACATGACCGTTCCCTCATCACTCGGCCAGTACATACAACCTTGAAAAGCAATGGCAGGGACGCTCACTCGAGTCACTATCGGCGTTGCCTGCGCTGGCTTTGCTGTCCTCCTAGGCATAGATTCATGTAGCAGCGCTGGGAAGTGAACGTCCGCTGACAGATCTGGCAGCTGTAATGACGAACAAGAGCGTCACCACGCCGTCTGTACAGGAGTACTACTCAAGTCTTGAATCACGTTTAGGGTACTGGCTGTTACTCGGAAATGCCAGGCACTGTGAATACTGGCCGCCCGGCACACTATGGCCATTTCCTATAGGATGCGCGCAGCGAGACATGGAAGAGAAGCTCTGGGAAAGATTGGGCATTGAGAAGGGATCAAAGGTCCTAGATGCTGGCGCTGGATCTGGCAAAGTTGCCAGCTACATGGCGCATAAGGGACTAATTATCGAAGTTGTGGATCTCACGCCTTTACATGTGCAGCAAGCCCGGCGAACAATCCGCGACCGCAAACTTGAGCACAAGGTCTCGATGCGGCTAGGCGACTACCACGACCTGGCTGACTTCAACAATGGCTCATTTGACGGAGTCTACACGATGGAGACATTCGTTCACGCCGACGAATCAATGAAGGTGCTGCAGAACTTCTACCGCTTACTGAGACCGGCTGGCGTGCTCCTACTGCACGAGGCGGAGTTTCACTGGGACTCTCCGCTGCTCCAGGAAGTGCTACGGCTATCTCACTGTCAGAACACATTGAAGCAGGGATCTTACGAAGATATGCTGCGGCAAACAGGCTTCACTGACATCACCGTTGAGAATTACACTGACAATGTGTTGCCACTGTGGCGACTTTTCGGAGTGATTGGGTCAGTCCCTTACGGTGCTATGCGACTCTTCGACCTCGACAAACGCTTCACTAACGTGATGACTGGCGTCGAAGCCTACCGCCACTGGACTCAAGGGCGATACATATCCATCCGTGCGGTCAAACCTGATAGTCGCGACTGAGTATCACTCTGGGATTGCATGCTAGCTTAGTGCAGGCAAGCGTCCTATTATTATGACTCTCCGAAGGGACAACATTGACAGCTGCATGCGGGGCAATCTCGAGCGTCCAGAGTTTTGGCGACTGGCATTGTCAATGCTCGGTATGGTGGAGGCTTCGCGCAATACACTTCCTGACCCGCAGACCAGGCGACAGAAGTCGGCATGCAAGGCCTCGGATGTGGCAGCCGTAAAACTGTATCCTTTCCAGCCGTACCGTTCCGCCGAGGACTGTTGCGCCGATTGAGGTGCACAGCTGCTAGCGTCCACAACGCCGTAGAGCGTCCTTACGCCGAAACAGCGTTAAGTCGGCCCAGCATTGTGGGGTATGGTCTCTGATGCCGATGTAATTGGTACATTGCAAAGACATGGTCAGTGATTTGGATTCTTGCAGTAACGTCGCCTACAGCCGGTGACCTTAGCTACTCAGCTTCGACACATGTGCGCTCTATGAGCTGTGCTCTGCATTATACCGAGACTACGTCGCCACGAGAACACGAGCCCCGCACCTGTAGATAAATCGACAGGCTCCTTTGAAGCGTGAAGCGCCAGCGAAGGTTCTCGGGTTTAGAGCCACATGCAACACACACCCGTGCACTGGAGCTTTTGCTTGCTCTGCGAGCGCGTACATCGGTCTGACAAGTCGAGGAAGGAGCAGCCATCTTATCCTCCTACCTCTCACCGCTACTCCACGCACTGGATTCGTCTTGGAGCGCGAAAGTCGTACTTCGACCCCAGGACCGACGTGCATCGTCGCAAGCGGAAAGCATTGCTCAAAGTGCCCTAATGTGGCTACGTGCGTGGTCAACATTACAGCCCTTAGGACTCCAAGTCAAGAATTACTTGGTGGGTTCTAATAAGTCACTGCGTTGTTGTGGCCGGAAGGGCACATTCCTTGCTATGCGCGGCTAACTCTGTCACCAGGTACAGAACCTAAGATGTTTATATGCTGATGTCGTGTGCATGGGACTCGGAAGCTCACAAGCTTTGACCTGTGGTTGGCAGATCCTCGACGTCACGTGTTATACGGCTGTTGCCGACTGCCCGCACTTTGTACGGCCATGATGTCTTCTACCAAGCTTCCTGATAATATCCTCGCAGATACGCCGTATCAATTTTGCTGTAGACTACAGTGCTTGAATGTGGTCGATATTTAGAAGTGTACGCCTAATCGTCCAATAGAGGGAGCGGGGGTGTGCTGCAACTTGAAGTCCCTGCAAGGCGATGAGGCGCAGCGCCGCCCATCTTGTCCTCGAGACGTGGTCGGCCCCGCAGAAAGCGACCCTCCCATTGGAAACGATGGCCAGAATATTCTCGGAATCTTGCTATCACCGCGTTGGCTTCGAAGTGCCTTGGGGGAGCACAATGCTGACACAGATTTGTAGTGTGTCTATTGTGTCAGCCTTTGGCTCTTGACGACTACGCGCCCTCCAGACGCCTGTTAGCGCCATGTATGCATATCGCTCGCCTGTAGCGTTGCAAGGCAGCGGCAAGATCAAGTGCATGAACCCTTGCCATGCGACTACTCAGCCGCATTGACGGCGCCTCGTCTTGCCTTGCTTAAGATATGGCCTTCATAACAGACCTCCTCCAGCAGCGCTGACGGTGAGCTCTGATTATTTGAGAATACTGTTTACTGAAGTCGGTGCCCGCTCACTGCGAGAACGATGAATCAACTCGCAAACGTCTCCTCTGCTAATGCAACCATCAGTGCAAACACGACGTTAACAACGGCAACTTTCGTACATGGCTGGGTCTCATCACCGAACGGACGAGGCACACTTGACATCGTGCAGACGTGCGTTACAACTATTTTCCTGTGCACCTACTCCGTGCTCTAGCTTAATGCAAGGCCGCAGAACGATGGCTGGCTTGCCATGCAATTGTACAAGACGAAGTGGGTGTTGTTCACCCTATACTTCCCCGAATTGATGCCGATGATCGCCGCCGAACAAGCGATAAGTTCGGCCCAGTCGTTTGAAGACTTCGACTTTCTTCGAAAGGCTTTGTATAAGCGCTCGCGTCAGGCACCGCCCGGCTGCGTGCAGAAAGCGGACTCCGAAGCAGCTGCTGCTATGCACCGCTCACCGTGGACACGTCGGCATTCTTTCTTCGCAGACATGGGGGGCCTTCGCCTACGCTTCTCGGACCATCCTGATTTCCCCGTCAACAGTCACCAATTGTTCTGGCTGGTTAAGAACGGTCATCTTGACTATCCCCAGCTCGATCCGAAAGACATTGAAGACAAGAATAAAGCCGACATATTTGCACGTATCGCGACGCTATTGCAGATAGCATGGTTCACCATACAAAATCTCGCTCGAGCGATCCAGCATCAAGCTCTCACTACTTTCGAACTCGTCACCTTGGCCTTCGCCTTCTGCACGCTGCTTTCATTCTGGTTATGGCGCGCAAAGCCAGCAGACGTCACCGAGCCAATGACCTTGGATTGTCGCAACCCTTTAGCGACGATTATTCAAAAAAGCCGTGGTTCTGTTGGCATGTATTGACGAACACCACTCGATTATATCGAACAGATCTCGCCATTAACCTACGTCGAGCCATGGTTTTGGTCCGTCAAAAGGGTTCTTTTCGTGAAAGACAAAGTGCCTTCACTACCAGTGGCTTCGTTTTCGAACATTGAGACACTACCACCCCGCGGCATGAAGAAAATAGAGGTTCTAGCTAGCTTCATCGCCAGCCTGATGTACCTCGCCATCAATGTCGCAGCATGGGACTTCCACTTTCCAACACAGCTCGAACGAATCCTGTGGCGTACTGCAGCGATCGCCCTTGGTTCTACCGTCACCCTATATCAATTTGCTTGCTGGCCGGGTAACCTCCTTTCCTAGTATTTCTTTACCGACAGGCCGACTGTTCCAGTGGAACAAGCCAGCAGATTACCTCTGCCGCTCCTCATGGCATTTGTTTTACCTGTCTTCATCACTTATTGCTCATGCAGGGCTTACATTATCGTGGAATGCTTCTTTAGTTTCAGGTCTCTGCCCGCAAGCGCATAAGCAAGCGTCAACTGGTGGAGCTTTGTGCCGCATTGGTGAAGAGAAGACGAAGCACTCGGCGCATTGTTGAGAGCTCGAAAAGATTAGCCATCGGAGACCAGCTCCTATCACACATTATCGTAGCGTGACCAGTACTAAATATGCTACATCCATCTTCCGAAAACACCACTCCAACACCCTTGCGAAGGATTCCTAAAGTCACTGTACTTGTTTATGTCGTTCTGCTACGCTTCTCTGACTGAGCCGCCTCTCCTGTAGGCTCTACATCGGACGCTTTGCTCTTTGCTACAAGCCTGGTGAGCGGCGCAACAGGCTGGTCACCTCTTCCTTACTCTAGGCCTGTTCGACTTGCTCATTAGGGGAGTGCTGTGGCGAGGTGTCTGCACACTGGAAAAGGCGGGACAAGGGTGAGAGAGAGCTACCACAGCGACTCTGTTGCCTCTTGTGCATGTTGCAGAGGTCAGTGCCTCCTCCGCCCTTGGTCCGCGCGGTCCTCCATTCACTGCTAGGGGCGTTGCAGGAACGACAGGGTTGCCCTCACGGTGAAGCTCGCTTTCGTTGATCTCTTCGCTCTCAGGACGAGGAAGCGGCGACCACGGCGCGATCTTGGGTGGGGCTGCTGGACGCGCTCGGCGAAGAGGCGTAGGCATCGTCAGAGTGGAACTGCTTCGCCAGGCGAGGGCCCCTATCAAAAGGTGCGCGGGTGACCAGAGATAGATGCGATGGCATACTGTAATGCCTAGTATAGCGTGACATGTTGTTCCGCGTTAGGGGCTGGATCGTGAGTTCCTGTTATGTTGTCTTGCCCATCTCGTGATGTAGATTGTCGTGATGATGTTGGGGACCGGCCTGAGGAGAAGAAGAAGGTACCAAAAGGCTGCGCAACGGCTGATTATGTAGCTCTGCCAGCCTAGATGCCCATGAAGCATCTCTGACATTGTAAGACAAGCGCAGGACACTGCCCGGGTCGACTCGCTCGACACCAATAACTTGACGAACTTTTTGACATGTCGAGCCTCTGTGACACTTCGTTTGACCTAAGCTCCACCGCGTTGATATGACTAGCCTTATAATCGCTTGTGGCACGCTGGAAAGGACACAACTGAGTGGTGCATGCTCACTGATGTCCGTTTGCAGCGCCAACGCCCTTCTCCGACTGCGAGACAGGTATCGTCATCGGCAAGACAGGCAGCAGACTTCGGGCAGTTTGTCTCGCACTCTGGGCCAGGACAGCATCCATCACGACTAATGCCGCCATAGCTTCCACAATTGGCACAGCTCTCGGAATCACACATGGGTCATGTCTTCCTTTTGCCTCCAAGACACCTGCCTCACCATCATAGCCAACCGTATCCTGCATCTGGCCAATGGTTGCGGGAGGCTTAAAAGCAACATTGAAGTAAATGTGCGCCCCGTTCGTGATACCGCCTTGTATGCCGCCTGAGTTGTTCGTCTTCGTGGTTAGCTTAGGCTTCGAGCGTCCCAGAGGAGCTGCCGTCTCCACGCCGTTCGCTTCCGCCGGTGGGACAGCAGGGGCCTTAACAAAAGCATCGTTGTGTATCGAGCCCGGCACTTCGCAGCCACCAAATCCAGAGCCGATTTCGAAACCCTTCGTCGCAGGTAGACTCAGCATAGCATGCGCCAGCGTAGCTTCTAACTTATCGAAACACGGCTCGCCTAGTCCGCTGGGACAATGCCGTATCACACAAGTCACTACGCCGCCTATACTGTCGTGCCGATCGCGAAAGTCCGCAATCACCTGCTCCATCCGCTTACACACCGTAGCATCCGGACATCGTACGGGCAAGAATTCGTCCACCTGTGTCCTCGTCACCTTGTCGATCAAGTCCAAAAAGGCCGGGTTAGTCGATGCAGTCGGATGCTCCCTGGAAGGCGGGAAGAGGAACTCAGATCCCACGCTTGAGGTGAAAGCCACAATCTCCACACCGTACGCAACCCTCAAGTACTTCTCGGCGATTGCACCCGCAGCCACTCTGCCAATGGTCTCTCTCGCACTACTCCTGCCTCCTCCACTGCTAGCCTTCACCCCGTACTTCTCCAAATACGTCCAGTCCGCATGACTCGGCCTGGGAAAAGCATCGATGTTCTTGCCGCCTCCGCCATAGTCGTGCGGTCTCTGATCTTCGTTCAATACCCGCAAGCCAATGGGTGTGCCTAGTGTCACGCCAAATTCCGTGCCGGACTGTATCTCTACTTTGTCTTTCTCGTTCCGAGGCGTCGTGAGTGCGGACTGGCCAGGTCTTCGCCTGGTCATCTGAGGTTGTATATCATCTTCCGTCAACTGCAGGCCAGGCGGGCAATTGTCCACGATGCATCCTACGCTTTTGCCGTGTGATTCTCCATATGTGCTCACGCGGAAGTACTGGCCGAATGTTGACATCCTGCTCACCCAAAAAGTTGGTCGGACGCTAAAGGTGACGATATTGGGTAGTGAGCTGGGAAACTCACTCTCATTCTTCGAGAAATCTAAAACATGACTCGTCACTTTTCTGGCGAAGTCGGAGAAGCTTGCCAAGCCCGGTCTTTGAGTTTCCGCGACGGACCGTGAAAGGCTATGAGGACAACGACTACTGGATTGATACAGTTGTGAGTGCAGTATACAATTGAACAAATCCATGTGCAAAAGCTAGCGCACTAGGCGCTTGACTTTAGTAGCATGGAGGGAAGGGTCTATCTTTTCACGAGCATGTCTCAACCTTTCAGTCACATTCTGCGCGTCCATACATGGCTTGATGCTGTTCAACCCTCGAAAGTGAGGGAAGTGCCAATCTTGTGGCCAGCCTCATTGAGCTTCTGGGTGTCAAGGGAGATACCAAGACCAATGGTGGTGCCAGTGTTGAGCTTGGTGCTGTAGGCGAGCGCCGCGATGCCACGGTCGTTGACCTTGACCTATGCCATGCGTTAGTATCAGGCAACACTGCGTACATTACGGCCCGTATCCTACCTTGGCGAAGGTGAGCGGGTCAAGCTTGTACTTGGACGCCAACTCAAGCCCGCTAGCCTTCTGGGCCTGCACATCATAGCCGGCCTTTGCGCCAACTTCAACCGCGCTGTTGACCTTCTGGTAGTACGACGCAGCGATGATGTTCAGGTTCTGCATCCCGTGGAGCGATGCAGTGTAGGCAGGGGTCTGGTACGCGAGGCCGAGACCGTAGCGCGTAACCGCCGCCTTCTGCACGTCGTAGGCCGCCTCACCACCAACAAGGAAACCCTCGTGACCGGCGACCACGTCGATGACGGCATCGATGTTGCCGTTCGCCTGCGCGTAGTTGATAAAGGCGCGAGAGTGCACATTTGGGTTCTTGAAGGCGAGGTTGATCTTCTGCACGGCGCTGTTGCCCTTGCTCGGGTTCCACAGGTTCTGCAGGTCGATCTTGGCGCCGGGAGCGCCGATGTCGTTGAGCTCAACCTTGCTGTCGAGGAGGGAGGCGGTGGTCCAAGACTGAGTGACGGTGATGCCTGGTGCGGGACGAATTGTCAATCCAATTTTGTTCTGATTGCTTCTGCCATTCGGCACGCCAACAATGAACATGTATGCCTGTGCTCGTAAAGGTGCGGGGAGCGGTGCGAAGAATTGGAACAGCTGGATAAACTTCTTTGATGGAGAGGGAGAGGGAGGCCTACCCTGAGGCTTGAGAGTGTGCTTGCCCTCGATCTGCAAGTCACCGTTAGCCGCAGGTGTTTTACACTAATAGCAATAGGTGGTGCTCACGGAGCCGCTGGTTGTGCCGTCAAAGCCCTGCTTGCCCTTGACCGTGACGTTGGTACCATTAGGAGCCTTGAGCTTGACGTCGAGGGTGGCTGTCGCGCAAATCAGTATGTCAGATCTTCTCCTTCTGGCCTCTGGATCTTCTCGGCGCACCTTGGCTCATGTGGTAGAAGTCCTTGTTGATGAGCTGCCGGTACCATTAGCCTACCGCCCAGCTGTTCTCCATAGTCGCAGACGCACGTCGTTGGCGGCCTTGCCAATGTCGGCGAAGGCCGGTACGGGCATGCTAAAGGCGCGAGTGACATCGGACGCCAACTTTTCTGTCGACCCGAAGGGTTTCTGTGCAACACCATTAGCCAGCTTTTTCTATGGTGCCAATGGGGTGTGCGGCTGAACCAACGGCAATGTCGGAACTGAGTGGGCTGCTCATCTTGATTCAGATGCTCGAGGAGGATGTGGCAAGAATGGGAAGAGGATGTCGATTGCGGGTCAAGAGGGCTTTCGTCGTCAACAGGAGCTCAAGCTTGGTCGCGAAGAAACAGTCGAGCTTGGACCACTTACCTTCTCCCGGGCACTACCGGGGAGCCAACTCTCTAGCACGTGCTACATGTGGATCCCGAAGCGCTTCATATTCGTATTGCAGCATGGTTGACATGGCCCATTTTCCACAGAATGTCTTGTACCATCGGTTGTAAACGTCAACAGCGATCATATACAAGGATGAAGTTTTGCGTAAGCTAACGAACGGGGTATGCACGCACTAGGTGGATTCAAGACAGTAGAAAGAGCGATGAACTAGATCGACATTCACGCCAGCCGACTGCGTCTGCGAATCGTTGTATCATCTACACTTGACTAACCGTTATGACAAAATGCACGCGTCCAAGCCATAGCTTGACAGAACGCTCAGGAGAAGCATGTTCCTTCGAACGCGCCGTCTACTTGGCATCGCCCTCCTTATAGGCGGCATCGTGCGTGGCGATAGCCCTACCACTCGGATCCGTCTGCTTGCTCCACGTCGGCGTCCAGCGCATGACCGTCTTCGCACAGTACGGCGGGAAATGCTCGTCGAACATACACCGATACCAGTACGCCTCCTTCGAGTCCGGAATGTCATCGCCCCACTGCGGCTTCTCTTTGCGGATGTTCTCCTCCTTCATCTGCTCATCGCTAACCATCTTCTTCGCCTCGTCTTTGAGTCCGTCGATCCAGCCGTAACCGACACCGTCGGAGAATTGTTCTTTCTGCCGCCAGAGGATCTTGTCGGGCAAGTAGGGCTTGCTGCCTGGCGGCAGCGTTGAGACGTCAAACGCCTTGCGGAGGATGTATTTCTCTATCCGGTCTTTCGTGATCATCTTTTCTTGCGGGTCAATGTTCATGGAGACTTCGAGGAACTGCTTGTCCAAGAACGGGACACGAGCTTCTACGCCCCACGCGGAGGTCGACTTATTGGCGCGGAGACAGTCGGCAAGGTGCAGGTTCTTCACCCGCCGCACCGTCTCTTCGTGGAAGGCCTTCTTGTCAGGTGCTGCGTGGAAGTAGAGGTAGCCGCCAAAGATCTCGTCCGAGCCTTCGCCAGATAGCACCATCTTCACGCCCATGGCCTTGATTTTCCGGGAGAGCAGGAACATGGGCGTGCTCGCGCGGATGGTGGTAACGTCGTAAGTTTCGAGATGGTAGATAACATCGTAGAGGGCGTCGAGGCCTTCCTGGATCGTGAAGGTGAAAGAGTGGTGTTTCGTACCGAGGAAGCGAGCCACTTCTTGTGCGGCCATTGAATCTGGTGCGCCTGGCAGTCCGATGGAGAAACTGTTCAATTGCGATAGAACAGGAACATCGGTGAGCCGGTACTCGTCGTCGATGCCAGCAAGCCCTTCTTCTGACACCTCGCCATTACTGTGATCAACAGGCGTGCCGTTAGCATGGCCGTTGACCGCTGGCGTGCTGGTCCCTGATTGTAGCATAGCTTGCTTCTTCGCCCACTCCCGCTGTAACCGCAACGTCTCTCTTTGCGCTATGGACGCCACGAGCGAACTGTCGAGCCCGCCAGACAACAGAACACCGTATGGCACCTCAGCCATCAACCGTTTCCTCACCGACCGCTCAAAGGTCTCTCGCAGTAGAGTGTAGTCCAACGGCGTAGTAGGTATACTCGAAGGCTCGACTAGCCACTTCGGTGTAAAGTACTGCGTCAGTTGATCTGTCTTGCTGTCGTAGACGTGGCCGGGCGGGAAGCTCTCAATCTGATCGCAGACGGGATGTAAGCATTTCAGCTCGCTTGCGAAGTACACAGCACCAGGTGTGCTTGACGATCGTCCAATGTAGAAGGTCGTGATGCCAATAGGATCTCTCGCAGCGATAACTCGATCTTGCTTCTTGTCATGTAGGACCCATGAAAACATGCCGTCCAAGTGCTTGGGCGCATCAAGGCCATACTCTTGATACAGTGGGATGATGACTTCGCAATCCGAGTGTGTGGTGAACGAATATGCATGCCGCAACTGCTTCCGCAGAATCTTGTGGTTGTAGATCTCGCCATTGACAGCCAGTGCAATCGACCCATCATCGTTAACGAACGGTTGTGCGCCAGTGTCGATGCCCACGATTGATAGCCGCTCATGCACGAGGATGGTGTTGTTCGCAACGTGGTTACCGCTCCAGTCTGGGCCGCGATGTTTTACCTGCTTGCCCATGCGGATCGCAGTCGGTCTAAAGGACTTGACATCGGGATGGCTATTGAGCTCGTTAGTATGCAGTGTCTCGCGCTCACCGTTGGGCTGTTCGCTGCACGCCACAAACATACCAATGGCACGCGAAAATGCCACACATGGTGGGCGACCCTTATGCGATCACGACGATAGCGATTGTGTTGAGGTCAAGAGTGTCAGTCGAGGAAGACTCGCCGATATACGGCAATGAGTCAAATTCAGGCTCATCCAGCGCATGAAGCAAATTCCGTCTAGCTTCTCGCAAGGTTCAGCCGAGACGTCGGGTTAATCCCTGCATGACCCGCCCACGCCAACGACGCCGTGCTAATGCCACTGTTTATCAACTCCAACGCCAATCGCTATACTATGCTTCCGGTTGGAACACAGCAATCCTCGATCAGCAGGCATAGCATCCTAGGCAGTTAGACGGGCCTCCAACAGTTTACTGACGGACGAAGCACTTTATCGTCCACCACCTGATACGCTAGCCAACTCTGTGCCAAGGTAAGCGGCTACATGTACCTTGCGTGACTGCAATAGGTGTGGTCCGGTTGTCGCTTCGAACCATGCAGTCTTCACGAACCTGTCGCCGATAGTACTGGCGGCGATCACATTACTGTCTGAAACTCACCATGCGGTCAGCTCTGGCGGCTGCAGCTCAGCGACGGGCCACTAGAGCTCGAAGCTCGTCACTGTCCACCGTGCCGCCCGCAGAGACGTCGAGTGACTATCTGCCAGAGCTCGCAGCAATAGCGGCATCGATACTGTACAAGTCGCCTTCCACTTCCAAGGCTGGACGGGCTGTCTATATTCTGAACAGCGCCGCCTTCCCAGATGCATTCGAGGTTGACTACGACAGCCTGCTCTCTTATGTACTTGCCAGGTTACCTGGAGAAGAAGAGCTGATCGCTGGCGCGGAGTATGAGGTTGTCTTCTTTGCCGGCGGACAGCCCGAGGGTGCGACAATGGAGAGGAGGCAGGGCCCCGGCATGGGGTGGTATCTGCAAGCCTATCACGTTCTGAGTCGTGCCACGCGGAAGAAGTTGCAGAGGCTGTACATTGTCCATCCGCGCACGTGGGTGAGGGTGTTGGTTGGCGTTTTTGGAACGATTGTGTCTCCCAAGTTCAGGCGGAAAATCGTGCATGTCAGCACCCTGAGCCAGCTCACGGTGCAGATGCCGATCGAAAGACTACTGATACCGCCATCGACGTATCTCCACGACCGGAGGATCACTCCGGATATCGACGTCCCGTACGCTGGTGGTAGACGAGCTTTCGGCGCTCGGCATCCTTTGCCTAAAAACATCGACACCGGTCAGACAAGGCTGCCGAGAGTGTTACGTGAGACCACGAGCTTCATCCTAATGCCACAAAACGTCTGCACGGAAGGCTTGTTCCGCATTCCACCGCAAAGTGTGCTCGCAGGTGTGCTACGTGAAGCTTATGATCGTGGCCAGCAGTACATTGTGTGGAAGGAGCGAAGTGCCACTGTGGTGCAGCCAGGCATGCCGCAAGATCTACTAGGTGAAGTGCGCCTTGAGGACGCTTACGGCGTGCATCTAGCCGCATCTCTGATCAAAACTTGGTATCGAGACTTGAGGCAGCCGATCTTTCCAGAATCCTGTTATGCTCGCTTTCGTGAGAAGTACGGCAGTGCAGAAACAGACGTGACGCCGGAAGACCTCGTCGACCTAATCATGCCTGCTTCACCAACTTCGCCACTTACAATCACAAGCCGAGAGATCCTGACAAGACATCTCCTGCCACTACTCTCTGCGGTGGCAGAACATGAGAGGCAGAACAAGATGAATGCGGAGAACCTCTCCATACTCTTTTCGATGTGCTTGTTGTGCGGTTCGGATCAGCTTGAGGACGCAAAGATGTCTACATTAGTTAGGAAGATCCTGCAAGCTGCCCTTGATCTCTGGCCACAACTCCGGGAGGGCCTTGGCATTGACCCGATGGCGTTTGAAATTGATCTGCTTCCACCAGCTGACCCGCACGATTATGAGGACCCAGTCGAGCACGACGTCCATCAAACGACGTCCGGAGATGACTTAATCGAAACGAAGCAGGGCCACCGGATCATTATGGCGGATGTGGACAGCGAGCCGATTAGTCCGGAAAGAGTGCCTACTCTGCCTCCGCGACCGGTACGGTCACGGGCGGCGTCGCTTGGCAAGCAGCTGCTTCCGAATCTCGACGTTGGCTCGATTCTAAAACGCAAGCCTGCATCGGCGACGCCTACAGCTGATTCGGCACCGGCTGAGCTAGATCCGCCACGCTACTCGACCGTGTTCGATGGTGAAGGACGGAGTATTCATGTCGCTGACTCGCCGTCAAGCTACGCCCCAGCCGACGGCTTCGGACCCGCTCGACGGGGTGAATCTATATATCACGCTGAAGGCAAGCAGCAAGTTCTTTTCGGGCGGGACGCCGAGTCAGGTGCTACGATCAACATGCCCAAACGGAAAGCACTATTGAGCGACTCGCATCCTGATGGATCGGCAGCACCTTCTGACGCCAACGCTAGAAGTGTGCCAGACGGATCGAACTTGGACGCGCGGAGCATAGAGGACACCTTGGCACTGGAGCTGGCAAAGGCCGTCCGCAACACGGATGCCGGACTTTCAATACAGTCACCCGAACCGGTGATCGCAGACGAGGACACGGCGTTCCGCAAGCCACCATGGCCAGCATCCGCCGTACACAACCGGCCAAACATGCAATCTCTGGCACAACCGGTTCTACCGCCACGACAACCACAAGCGACAGCTCCTTCTCCCGGGCTGATGAACGGCAATGGTTTGGGTGCGCCGTCGATGCCGAAGCCGCGAGCCCCTTCACCCGGTCTGCTCAAGCGCATGGAGTCCATGGAGAACAATGCCAGGTCACATTTGCAACCACGGAAGTTGGATATGCGAAGACCGAGTGTGGACGACATACGGAAGCTTTACGAGGAGCGCTTAAGTACCGCTGTGAGTCTCAAAAGGCTCGACGCCATGCGACGCGGTCCCGGTCAACCTGGTTAGTAATCAATGTGGGAGTTGTTGAGTGCCATCGCGCCGGCGCTGTGCATGGGTGCATTCTGAGCGTTTAGCCTCGTACGATATACCCTGAAGTACCATTGCTTTAGCGACAGCCTCGAAATTGAGCAAGTTTCTCCCAATGTCACTCTGCTCCCATTCTGTAGTGATAGAAGTGAAGTTGACCCGTCGCGAGCATCGTGGAGCGTGCTTTCTCATAAGCTACATTACTCAATTAAGCACTACAACTAAGGTACTTTACGTCTCAGTATACTCTTCACGCACGATCCAAATAAGCGCACTCCTATTCTAGACGTCCTCCTTTCACTCGGTCGGCCAAGACGAGATAACATGGTTGCCATCCCCGAAAATGCAGTACACACCCCATTGCGCCTACGCTGAAACGACACAATGCATATCCTTATCCCATGCACCTACGGTCGCCATTGTAACCTGAATGCAGAACCCTGTCATCTTCTCTCTTTGCGCTCACGGCTCAGCACTCTGAGAGCTCAATCCAAGCATGCTTGCGACCGGTTTACGTTTGGTGCGCGCCGGCTGTATCCGTGGGGCGCCTTGAATCGATCTCGGCTCCTTCATCAATGTCGGGTCCAACTTCGCAGGTATCCGTCCGTTGATCACAGAGCGATCCCCGATCACGCGGCCAGTCGGTGGCGTAGCGGCAGCAGATCGCCATAAATGGTCCGACGTGTCGGACAAGAAGCTCGTGCTCGACTTCGAGAAGAACGACTGCTTCCCTCTATTACGCTTGGACAGGATGATCTCGTCGAAGAGCTTGATAGTGGGGTCTTCTGCTCGCGTAGCTTCGCGTTCGTAAATGAACTGGTTGAAGGCCTGGCTTTGTTGCAGCATGGCCATGTACTCGCTATCGCCATGCGGCACACTGCGGAGAAATTGTTGCATGTTGAAGTGATAGATCATGCCTGCCTTTCGTCGCTCGCCAGAGGCAGGATGTAGGAAGCGGCGGTAGGTGTAGAAGAGTGATGCAAAGCAGCGCACAAATGCTGCTCGGACTTGGTCCGCGCGGAAAGCGTTTGGACACACCAAGCAGACGCCACTAAGGCACCGGAAATGGGCGGTGATACCGCACCCTAGCACAACTAGGTCAGTATCCACGCAAGCGTTCCAGGAGACAGAGTTTGCCTACCGCTGCACCTGAACGACTCATCGTCGCACCGATCGTCACAAATTGAGCAAATAGACTTGCCATCCTTAGCTCTGCGGACCAAACAGTGTCCTTCAATCCACTTCGTAGTCTCATCGTCACGGACAGGCTGGACCATCATCTGCGGCATGATAGTGCTCGCGGCAAGCGTGCTTTGCGCGTATACACTGGGGGCATAGTTAGATGACGCGCCATTGCCCAGCGTCGAAGTGGACATGCTCGGCTGGTGGCCAGTGGCAATCGAGGGTTGACTAGGGCGCCGTACGGTGCCAAAGCGATCGAAACCAAACTGTGGCTGCGTGTTAGTCTTGTCTTGTAGTGGATTTCGTGCCTTGAGGAGAGAATGTACCGCAGAGTTGCGACGCATAAGCCCGTCTCCAAACTGCCCGGAGCGCTTCTCGCGCAATGACGCCTGCAATCCGAAGCCTGAGTCGTTACGTGATACCGGTGTGCCAGGGAAGCTGGAAGAAATGGGCGAAGGAGCGACTGGTGAAGGCGGTGACTGTGAGGACGAGTTACTACCATTGGTGCCCGTGGAGCTGGTTGAAGGTCTGTCAAAGCCGCGTGACTCAGCACGAGCGTGGAGGAAGGCATTGAAGACGGTGAGCTTGCTCGCCGCATGCGTGGCCTCGCCGAATGTGGTTGAGCTTTCGCTGACGTAGCTCGCTAGGGTGGAAGGCGAAGGGTTAGCCGTGAAGACTTGCGGGTTTTCCGATGAAAATGCATCACAAGGAAACGTCTCGACTGCATATGGCGGTGGGCCGGTGGGCACGCCGTAGCGGTTGTGGTGTGGCGCTGCGACTTGGAGTAACGACATCAGCTTTCGCCTCTGTGGTCTGGGTAGAGGTAGTGGAGGCGCTGTGCTTTCGATAATGTTCTCGTCCAAGTCCACCAAGCAAAAGTCATCCTCCGGTAGCTCCAGCTTCTCGTACCTGCGTTCCACGCCTATGATGTACGGGCAAGGTGCCTCCAGCGCTTGTATCAACCGTGCCGGAAGCACTGGTATCAGTATGCTCATCCACTTCAGTGGGTACAGCAGGCTCGTGATCGCAGCGCATGCGAGGTGCAGCATCGATGTGTGCGACGAAAGCAAGATTATACGCGACTCCGACAAAGCGTACTCGAGAAGGGCGACGACGTTCGGTATCGTGAGACAACGGAACAGGGCATAAAGGTCAGTGCTTCTTGATCCAGGAATCTCGTTGATGGCTTCCTTGCGAGCGTAGAGCCTCAGATCGCGCACAGCCACTTCGACCTGTGTGAGAGAGGTGATAGGGCAGAGTGCTTCGACGCATAAATTGATCACATATCGTTCCAATGGCTGCCAGATCCCAACTTTCGGTGAGCTTGGCGGGACACGGAGCACGGCGCCATTCATCATCGGTACGACGACCGCTCGCAGCCATTCTTTCCAGAAGCTCATCAAGCTACCGTCTCGACCAAGGATGCCATACGCTCGTGGTATCCAGAACCCGGTGTCGCCTTCTGTCAAGCCGTCGATCTTCGAGGCGGCGCCATGCCGCACCGGCCGCAGAAGGTCGGTCATCACGCCGATCTTCTCCTCAACCGCGCTGATCTCATCCTCGAGCTTCTCACGCCGCGCCGAACCTGACGAGGCACTCGGTAGCTCTGCTAGTAGCCTGCTAAGCTTCGCTCGCTCTGCAGAAAGTCGCTCACCCAGGCTGCTCGCCAGCTCGCGCTCTTCGTTCGTCATGTTCGCCCTCCGCCACTCCTCACACTGCCGTTCCAGGCTTTCGGAAGCTGCATGGTTGAGAGGCAACCAGATCGTCACGCATACACCGTAAAGCTTGCTGCTGTCCCCATTGGTCATCGCAAAGCCATGCCACGTTGACCGTGGTCGCTCGTCCGACGACACCACGTTGACATCGTTCGGGAAGGCGAACATGGGCACGTAGTCCGGGAATGGATTCCGTCGCTTAGACTCATCCACCATGGTCTTGGTTGGGTACCGATCCAGTAAGCCAGGCTCGTAGCGCCGTTTCAGGGGATGCTCGCCCGGAGTGGCCTGGAAGGGCTGCGGCGTGGGTATGACTGAGTTGTACCCACTGATGCGCTTCGAAGTCCGGACCGATGATTGTCGGCTTATCGCCGAAGGCTGCTTCTTCATGCTAGTCATCGTCGACAACCTTCTCCGTAAGCTGCCGGCACCGCCTTTCGGACCCACGCCTCCCGTTTGGCCATCATCCGAGGTAATGCGTATTGTCCTCGGCCGCGGCCGCCTCTGCGTCGGCGTGGGCACCACTCCAGCCGAGATCTGAATGTCCTCCAGGAAGCTATCCCTCTCCGAAGCGAACTTCTTGAGCGCCTGCTCGAAAGCATCATCGCTGAGGCTTGGACTAGCGTTGCCATTGAGCGCTTTAACGGTCATACTGCTCCTTTCGCTAGCCGGCGTCAGGGGCTCTGCTGTGTTGATGACACTGCCAATGCTCTTCCGTGCCTCGAAACTGTACCTCGACCTTCTTTTGGCCACGTCATGGTGCGAGCCAGGTGTGGTGGGCCGGGTGCCATTGTTTGTCTCCAGCGCCTTGTCCTCGTCTATGGTATCCTCTACGGGCGCTGCAAGCGCTGTTGTTGGCGGCTCTTCATAGACCTGAGCCGACTCGATACCGGATATGAAGAAGTAATCCGCAAGCGGGGCAGATGTATCGCCGGCAGAAGGGTTGGGACTGTTGGTGCTCGTTATGGCTGGCGCCATTGCTGGTAGTTGTCAAGTGAATGGACGCGCTGAGCAAATCGCTCAAGACATTGACATCGGTCGACTTTGCCTGGATCGCGTGGGCTGCGGTCCGTTGAGACACCTGTCATGCATGCGGGCTGCCCACCGGGTCTTCAATGACAACTCGTGCGACAATGCGTTTCGGCTATCACAGCGTTTGTGCTCGGTCGTAGAGAGACGTAGAGGAGTGCAGTCAATGCAACCCTACGCTAGGCACTGCATTGCCAGGCCTACCGACCCGGAAATACTGACACAATCAGTGGACTGCAGTTCGCGGCCGCTCGTGTGTTGTGATCTGCTGGATGGAGCAGCACCACGGACGACCCCCACTGCGACTCTCTACCTACCGACCGAGGGAGTCAACCCTCGAAGGGCATGGCGTAGGACCGAATGCCAATGCCTGGCGGCAGGGGATGAGGCGATCAGTGCGCCGGTGCGTGATGGTGTAGTAGCGGTCCGAAACGAGGCTTGATGTTGCGCATGCATACAGTGGTCTTTGCACTTTAGAAGACCAACCAATGGCGGCGCAAATTAAAGAAATGGTCAATGCGAGCTTCGCGTTACTGCATGCAGACGTGAACGTGCTGTTTTAGCGTTCCTCCACAGCGGGCAATGATCAACCTAGAGTACAAGGCTCTCGGACATTTATTGCCATTCGATATGAGTCTCCGGCTACCGTGAAGCGCGAAGAGGATTCGACTCTGGCAATACCTCAACATGTTTGTGCCCAATCCGTTCGTGTCGGTCTATGCAATGACTAACGGCAATGGGTCGTAGCGCGATCTAGACTTTGAATCGCCCTCAAATAGTGCGCATCGACAACGAACCGCACATGGACAAATAGTGCTTCTTGCATAGAACCATCAACTTGAGACCAAGAAGCGGCGTAAAACGAAGGTCACCTTACTCATTGGTCGAACAAACGGTACATTGATCTTTGCACCAACCCGCAAGTGGATGCGTAAGCGCGCAAACGCCAGCGGCAATAAGGTTGCGACAATACTTCACACCATGAAACCTTCTCACTCCTTCTCGCTGCAGCACTGGCGCTCAGACGCACCTTTGGCCGGTGACGCCCCTGTTTCATCCATACTTAGCTCTCTATAGTTCTAAATCACGGCTCCCTATGCGGCCATATCTTCCGCACATTGTTCGAAAGTCTGGAGTACTACCCGGCCGAACCACGAAGAATGTCGCAGATGATGCGTGTCGGGCATGCAGTATCCGGATTAAGCAAGGTACAAATGTCCAATGCTTGCTGCAACCTTGGCTGGGACATATTCATGAGTCAAACGAAGGGATACCGACACAATCATTCGTCCCGTCAGCGCTTCAGATCATCGTCGTAACCGGTCGGATGTATTGCTATCCATGGAAAGGTGAGGTGACGCCCACTGAAGCGCAGGAGTTTTCATTCGAATGGCTAGGCATGGTCTTCTTGTCTGACAGTCGTTACCGACTACTGACTTCACAACGCTGCCGAGGCAAGCGCCTCTCGAGATAAACAACCGGACCGAACAAGCTGTTCTGGGAACCGTCGCCTGAGCTGACATCTCTGAATGCCGAGGTAGCGTCTTCTTGCGGTATCTCGTTGATCGCTTGCCGTGTGCTGCTACCAGGATAAACCCTAGTTGATGGACAACAGCCTAACAGGGGTAGGGACATGTTGGAATAACCCGACGGCCCTACAAGGTGATCTGGTTACCCTGAACCTCCGTAAGGGCAAGAGTCAGCTATGCTCAGGCGATCGTCTAGAGATGACGTATCGGTTTGATCGTTTGCGTTGTGGGCCCCAAGTCGATGAAGGCCGCTCCCATATAGTCGACCAAAGCACTGAGAGAAACATCCGTCAATCGTAGACAATCGTCCAGCAATCTTGGTTTGATCTGCTACCCCTTTGCAACCAGCACCTCAGTCACGTAGTCTGTGATCTTGAACATACAGGTACAATGGCGAGCTATGTCACGGTCGACCACGGAGGGAGTTACAGTTCGCTATGCTTACTTCATAGAAGCCTCTCGCATCTGTGGTGGAAGAGATAGCATGCGTGGTTTGCTTGGCAAGTCCTTCATATCTTCATCATAGCTGCGCAACAAAACGGTAGTGCAGTCATTCGATGTGGTGTCAGGAGCTTATTTGATGATATGACGGCTGTAAGAGCATTGGAGTGTGGTCTTTGTCCCTGAAACTTATTCATCCCGTGCCTTCCTCAGAAATGTGGGTGGTCTGTGCTGGTAGCGCGATTATGATATTCTTGCCCAACGTCATGACATAAAGCACTGATGATCCACTTGCCGCGACACATACCTATCACCTATCTCACATAGGCCAAGACGTAGCCATCGACCAGCTCATCCAGCTCCTTCTTGTGCGTGCTCAATGTTGGAATCAGCGTTGCGTCGACCCTGGTTTCAGACCTCACTTTCTCAATCAGTGCCCAACCACTGGCATCTCCCTCAGCATCGCTCTCCACCAACTGTCTAATCACGTTGTCGACATAAATACAGCCTCCCTTACGCGTCAGCACTACTGCCCATTCGAAATAGGCAGCCTGATTAGCCCAGTCTGCATCAATAAAGACGAAGTCAAACACCTTGCCTTCCTCAGCCAATTGCGGCAGGATGTCCAAAGCAGCGCCGAGACGGACGTCAACATTTTTGAGTCCTTGACCTTGCGTATTCTGTATCGCGACCGCCTGGTGCTTCGGATCGAACTCGAGACTGGTGACCTTAACGTCGGGCGTAGACTCGGCAAGCCAGATTGTGCTATAACCACCAAGCGTGCCGATCTCGAGGACGTTCTTGGCTTGAACCAGCTTGCATAGTACTGACAGTTGAGCGCCTTGCAGGGGAGACACCGCGATGTCGGGGATCCCATTGTCGTTTGCATGGCTCACCGCATTATTCAATCGCTGGTTGGGCTTGAGTATTTGCTTCTGTGCCTTCAGTGTGGTATTAAATGAGGTTGTTATGTCAGGTGGAAGCTGCGAAAAAGACATCTCGATCTATTAGCATTGACTTTGAATACTCTGAGCAACATTGGGTGGCCTCCTGGAGGTAGGCCATCATTTATATAATGTTGCTATCGTGATGAAGAGAGCCAACTCCGACAGCAAGGCCGGTTATAACGAAGGGTTGGGAACTCTTCGGCCGCTGGGAGCCGACTACCTTGAGTACGAACTAGTCGAGGTTGTTGGAAAATCAGATAAGCATGACAAGGACGCCACTGGACACCTGGTCAGCTTACCTTGCTCTTGGAGCGTTCAAGCATGAGTCACTGATTCCACCTGCGCTAACGGTGACCCGGATACCGTGACACGCCCAAGCAACTCCGAATGAGGTCACTCCGCATCCAAGTTCCGACGCCGACGACAACGTAAGTTCTAGATACTAACGGGAGTTGCGCCTAAACATCGTGACCCATGCAAGCAGCAGAACAGACTCTATTGGAGATCGGTGATAGTGCTGGCAATCGAACCCCTCCTAATAAGAGGCGCAAGGTTACGAGAGCCTGCGACAAATGCAAGACGAGGAAACGCCGATGTTCTGGCGAGTTGCCTTGTCCGACCTGTCACGCCCAAGGCATTGCCTGCACATACACCGCGCCTTACACCCGTGGCAAGCCTCCTAACGTCGCTGAGTCGCCCGCGGCAGCCTTGAGCGGATCAGCACGTTGCTCACAGTTTGATCATGCTTCATGCACGCTTCGCACTTCGCGAGGTGGCTCCCCCGACGCCTGCGACACACCCAACGGCCAATACCTAGGACCATCTTCGCCATTCGCGTTCTTGCGGCGCGCATGGAAGCGCTTGGGCCAGGATGAAACTGCTCGCAACCTGGAGCACGAGCCTTCATGCAACACTCCTATTTTTTCCCATGGGGACCGTGAGCTGCCGTATCCGCGTGGATCTCACGAATCCAATCGCAGTATTGAAAGTCTCAACCTCCCTAACAGAGCGCTTGCGGAGCAGCTTGCTACCATTTTCTTCGAATTTGGTATGCCATCCTACCGGTTTTTGCACCGAGAGACCTTCAACAACTGGCTTGCCGTTGGCTACAGCGCCACTGAGACTGCTACGAGCTATTGGACAGCGGCACAGAAAGCTCTTGTTCTGCTTGTACTCGCAACAGCCTCGCAATATGTGGGTGACAAGCACAGCATGGGCATAGCAGTTGGCGGGGAGACTTGCCTCGCGGGTGAAGGCTTCTTCGTCACGGCGCAGCACCTTCTGCGGAAGGAAACCGGCAGGGTCCGCCTCGAGTCTGTGCAAGCAAGACTTGCGGCATCCTTGTATCTGCTGAACACGTCGCGATTAAATGAAGCCTGGTATACGCTTGGAACGACCGTACAGTTGCTCGTTGCGCTCGGTCTACATCGCCGTTCTTTGGAAAGCCAGACCACGGATCTGGTAGCGCGTGAGTGTTGCAGGCGAACATTTTGGGCAGCATACACGTTGGACACCTACCTCAGCGTGATGCTCGGCAGACCTACAATACTCCATGACAGTGACATTGACCAGCAATATCCGGAGCTAGTGAATGACGAGGATCTGCACAAAGACGGCATCATATACAGTGAAAATCCGCGAGATTGTCTCACCGCTGCGGCCGTCCACCATGCAAGGCTTGCAAAGATTGTGCGCACATCGTGCAAAGAACTGTACTCCATCCGCAAAGTCAGCGAGGACCAGCATCTCACCGCAGCTCGACAACTAAACGCAGAGATTGTCGCCTGGAGGAGTCAGCTTCCGGTTTTCTTGTCCGGTGCTATACATTCCTCTAGCCTGATACCCGTCCTTCGCAGACAATCCACCGTTCTACGCATGGCTTGCGCACATGCAGTCATGCTTGTCGCTCGACCTCTAATATTGCAGGGCGGAAATTCGTCGGCAGAAGCGCAAACTCTGATCGACGTATGCCTAGCAGCTGCCAAGGATGTGTTTGACATGGTGTTGGATGTCGTATCCGAGCATCAGGTTGTTCCGGTCCCATTCTGGAACACGCAGTATGTCGCATTCATTGCTCTATCGACTGTATACGTCTGGATTATGCAGCGGAAGCATGCCCGCCTAGATGGCTTGACATCGCAATTTGACGAGATCGCTCTGTTCGCCCTTGCAGAGACCGTTCAACGGCATATCGCCGACGCAACGGCGTTCCACTCTCCAGGCTTGCGGTATAGCATTATGCTAGAGGAGCTTCAGCAACAGACACGCCGGCTACTGCAAAAGCCTGATGACACTGCAACGAGCGTAGCAGGCAACGACCGAGCTTGTTCTGTATTGGCGGAAAGCACTACGATGCCAGAGTCCGACATCGACTGGGATGCTTTAAGCATGGGATTCCCGCAGGATGGTGACTTGTGGCTACACATAGACTCGTTCTTGTTCGGTAAGTCAAGGGTATATCTCCGCCATATGAAGCGCATACTGAGAGTGCAGACAACTTGAATCTTTGACCTCGCCAGATACGTGCAGGTTGTGTTTACACCCCGTCAGCGTTAAGCTCTATCACCTTGAAACGCTCCCCTGATCATGGCCCTAGTAGCCTCCTGCAGCCGCTTTCCGCCGTTTCTCTTCATTGCTGGCCGAGGCAGCATCATTTCGATGCAGCGCCGTCGCCCTGATTACCTTCGAATCCAGTCGGTCTGGTCTGTTTCCGGCCCCACTCCAACACGAGTGGCATGCCGCATTCGGTTGTAGAGCACACGATCTTCCGGGCATAGCGCGTCATCTGTCAGCTAACACCTGACTGAACTATTGTCTTTACATTGACAGGCAACCACACCGAACAAAGTGGATACTACGGTGCTCTTTGTCTACCATTGGTATGATTCGCTTCTAGATCCGTACATTCGTTTGGATACTCTAAGCGGACATGCTTCGAGTGTACATGTCATTGGGCGAAAGCTTCGGGGCCCAACATACTACCCCGTTAGTGGGTTTCTGATGCATTTTGTGGGCTATGCAACCACCCTTGAGATCCCCTAGGTCGCCGATATGTATGGGAGTCGACAGGTTGGGCACCCCGCGTCAGGCTATGTTCGTCAGCTATGGGTATCATACCATGAACGGTCCGGCGGCTTTTCAAGGTTCAGACATACTCTCTTCTTCTCTTCTACCCCAGGCTATACTGAACAGAGCTTCAGAACGGCACATTGACAGCCCAACATGCCACAGGCATCCGACAACCTGCATCAACATGCGATCAGCTCTGTCACCAACTGTATCGATGTCACAGACCTTGAGAAAACCGTGCCCCAGGATGGCGATCTCGTCAACGATGCAATATACTGTTTCGACTGGAAGAACTTGACTGTCAGCGTTGGGGACCGAAACACCAAACAATCATTGCCAATATTGCTCGACTCGCATGGCTACGTCGAAGCTGGCGAGATGCTCGCCATCATGGGACCGAGCGGAGCTGGGAAGACGACGCTGCTGAATGCCATTGCGCATAGGTCTGTAGCAGCTTCCGCGACGGTTGAGGGTCAATGCCTAGTCAACGGACGACCTACAGATCTACAGCAGCTTCGTTATCTCTCGGCTTACGTCGGACAGGAGGATGCATTGATTGGCAGCTTGACTGTAAGGGAGATTATGTCGTTCGCAGCAGGCCTGTCGTTGGCAAGGTAGGATCGAGTACTTTGAGTTGTATTGCCCCTCTGCTGACGGCTAGTCGCAGATCTACACCTAAAGCCGAACGAAGGCGTCGATTCACCAGCCGTCGACAGCCACCTTCAATCTCTTCGACAAGCTATGTCTGCTCGCAAAGGGCGAGACTTGCTACTTCGGCAAGCTGAGCGAGACAGAGAACCACTTTGCCAGTGTAGGATACAACATGCCACATGGTATCAACCCTGCATAATTCTACCTCGACCTAGTCAACACGGACCTGGCCCGACAAGGAGATGCAACCTATCTTCGGGTGCAAAGGATTGCCCATGTATGGCGGCAGGGTCGGCTTGCCGCAGAGCTTCACCAAGACATTGGTAACAGCACGTCAAGGGGCATGCAGTCAGACATTTCTATGATGAGGACGGATCGTCCAGCCCTACTCGACACGATTGTTGTACTTTTGCACCGTGCGTGGATCAAGGCCTTCCGAGACGTTATCGCGTACGGCATCCGGGGCGTCATGTATCTTGGTCTTGCGATATTGATGGGGACAGTCTTCCTGCGCCTCAAGGACCGTCAAGCAGACATCTTTCCCTATACTAACGCCATCTTCTTCGGTGGAGCGTTCATGTCCTTCATGGCAGTGGCTTATGTACCGGCCTTCCTGGAGGATCTGCATACCTTCCGGAAGGAGCGCGCCAACGGCCTGGTTGGACCGCTCGCCTTCAACATTGCAAACTTCATCATCGGGTTACCATTTATGTTCATGATATGCTTCGTGTTCTCCGCAGTGGAGTACTTCCTGACAGGCTTCCGAGACAATGCGGACGCCTTTTTCCGGTTCCTCATGTGGCTCTTTCTGGATCTGGTTGCCGCTGAGTCGCTGGTTGTCCTTCTCAGCACGATCTTTCCTGTCTTTGTTGTCGCTTTGGCCGCCACAGCGTTTGCGAATGGTCTCTGGACGTGTGTGGACGGTTTCTTAGTCCCTTTAGATATCCTTAATCCGTTCTGGAAGGTCAGTTAGCTTGTCACTTCTGTCACGCTTCATCTCGCTGACACGCGTTGCAGTTGGTTTTCCTTACGTACTATATTCTGCAAGGCTTACGCTTGCTGCAGAAGACCATGCTAATCACTCATGCGCTTGACAGACTACATCGATCATCAAGCTTATGTCTTCTCAGGTATGATGGTCAATGAGTTCGAAGACCGAGTGTATAACTGTGCGGAGACTGCGCCAGGGCAGTATTATTGCATGTATCAAGACTCGCTCAATGCCCAAGGCAAGTTCAGGGGCACTGCCGTTTTGGGATCCCTGAGCATTAAGACCGGGCTGCAGTCGTACTGGATTGCGTACATGATCGCCATAATCGTCGGCTATAGGGTGCTGGCGTATTTGGCATTGTGGGCACGAAAGTGTTAGCCTGAAGTCCTGACAATGAGCACCGTACTGAGATGCCAACGGAGAGATCACAGGAGGACCGGCTCAGCGGTCACCGGGTGCCGGCGCTCAGCTTTTGCTACGCAGCATGGTTCCAACAATCGATAACGCAATGTTCTTCCATTCATTCTTCTTCGTTCGTTCAATGAACATTCATTAAGAGTCTGGAAGGGCTTCCGCTGCTGTCGGTAAACGACTGGGTCTTGTCAAGCCCCGATAATAGATCTTGTCCGGCCACTTACTCTCTGGTCACTAGAGACTATCACATCTTGAACAATCCTAAGGGTGAACGTTTGCATGACTCGGACACAGAGCGCTTACTAAGCCGGATAAACAAGGCTCCGCAGCGGCAGACGCTAACAAGCACCTCAGTCATCCTGCTGCCCTGCCCCTATGCATATTAGTCTTGTAGAGAAAAATGGCGTCGAACCTCGAAATGCCCAGTTACGCGCCTATCTTCTCTCGCCCCTGTTTCAAGTAGATGACCAAATCACAACGAACTCCACAGTGTTGGCATGCTCTTGCACACCTTTACGGAATGGGGCTGGGACAGCATAAAGGCGTACAGCAACTTCATGGGCTATTCAACACCCTATTTCATGGCCAGAAAGGTACGGAAGGATTGTACTGGCTTTCAATCTGGTCCGCGGACGCATCACTAGGCATCAACGAGTTCAACGGAGTGGTCCAAGGTCTGCTCGTGCCTCGCATCTTGAAAGACAATGGTGTTTTGACTGCTCTGCGAATCTGCAACACCAGCCCAAATGCACGCGGAGGGACGGCTAGCAATGGCTACAAGCCTCAACAGGGCGGGCCTTGCGTGCTTCTAGTCCGCATCCAGGACGTCGAAATGCTTTGGACGTCTCCAGCTCTACAGAAGCTGGCCATCGGACGTCGAGATAGAGATGAGCCACGTGTCTTCGGTACCGAAGCCCGCACTTACGAGCTTATCCAACGCTTCGAGGGGAAAAAGGGTGCTAAGGTGAAGGGCAATTGCATCGTAGCTGTACTGATCGAGCCTGGAGATGGCCAGGGTGAAGAAATTGAGCAATGGTACCAGAAGGAGAACTTAGCCTTGCTCGCTCGCATTCCACCGTTCATTCGGACGACCCGCTACCGTTCACGCTCTGGACTAGTTCATGGAGCAAACGATCACGGCCCCACTCTATTGTCCTTACATGAGTACACGACGCATCGATCACTGTTAGACCATACAATTCAGTTCGGTCCTGTTATTGACACTCCTTGGGCGAAACGAATCTTTGCAGCGGCCAAGTCTGTTGAACGCACCATTTGGGACGTGACCGGAAAGTACACGCAAACTGGGAGCAGACTCGATGGCCTCTGAATGATGTCTCGGCTACTTCGGCGTGGTTCAATCGAGCCCGCGTCGCCTGATGTGCGCCTTAGCTCTTCTGGACAGATGCTTCCTAGCGATGTCTAGCATTCCCACAGCATTGTTGATACCTCAGCTACTAGTGCGGACTACGAAGGTCCTAGGTCGCATTATTGGATCGAGAAGCTATGTCAATACATTGTCCGACACTGACCCTCGTTTCGAGCATTGCATGACTCCGGCTCAAACACTACCGCTTTACGATCCGTACGCGCCGAGGCGTTACACTGCCGGGAACCTTGAATACGCTTTAGGTGTCCACGCGCTGTCTGCGTCATGAAATGGAAATGCAGCAGCCGCACATCATGGCCAGTACCACCTAATACGACGGCGGAGCCGGTACGAGTACTCGGCAAGGATGACAAGTGAGCAATTACCACTCGATCTATTGGAGCAGCATCATGCTAATGAGTCTGGAGCTCTCTTCAACTGCGCTCTAAGTGCCAACAGGTGCAGCTCCAGCGTGCAACAGCCACCTGAAGCCTTCCAGCGTGTCGTTCACGAAATCGATACTTCTCTGCATTTTTGGCCAATTGGTCCAGAACATATGACCAAAACCATCGTATACGTCCAGCTTGGTCGGTACATTGTTCTCTTCTCTCAACACCCTCTCATATAGCAGCCCTTCATCTCTCAACGGATCCAAGCCAGCCAGCTGGAAATAGGCCGGTGGCAAGCTTTTGAGGTCAGGATGCAACAACGGAGAAAACAGCGGACTGCTTGTTTCTGGCTTGAGATCTTGCATCAGTTGGCTGGCACCATCGGATCGCAGTCTTAGCACGGGGTCAGATGCTGAGTCATAGCGACTCCGGTACTCAGTTTTCCACTTGTCTGGCACATCTCCTGTCCAGAGCAATGCTGGGACGCATAGGTACTGGCCAGTTAGCGGTGGTGCGAGGCCCTCATCTCGGCTAAGCTGGCACATGACTGCCGCTAGATTCCCGCCTGCTGAAGCCCCGCCCACAATGAAGCCACGTGATGGGTCCGCCGGAATAACGCTTGACGATGGAGATGCGGTCTTAGCACACCATCGGACCACGTCCTGACAGTCATAGACGCCGGTCGGAAAGGCATACTCCGGCGCTAGCCGGTAGTCAACGTTTACACAAACTGCTCCAATATCTCTTGCGAACATCCGGCAGTTCAGGTCTTCGTCTGTGAGGTCGCCCATACTCCTACAATTGATCAATGACTGAACGAGCAGTGTGGCTGACAGCACGCTCAGCATAGCGTTTCACCTACCAGCCGCCTTCATGCATCATTACAATCAGTGGGCTACCATTGGCGGGCTTCGTCGTGGGTACATAAATCTTAATTCGTATAATGTAGCCATCGCGAGCCTCGACGTGGTGCTCGGTCTCCTTGACCGTATCTGGGATCGGACCAGGTATCGGATACAGATGTCGTACGGTGGCAAGATGAGCAGCTCGATTTCTTCGAACGTCAATGGTTGTGGCATCTGCTTTGCCTCGAGTCAGGTCTGGGAATGGTACTTCTTTGGTCGCCTGCAGATGTTAGAATGTTTACATTACTCGCCACACGTTGTCGCCAAGAACTCACTGCTAGCAGATCAGGATGTGGCATGCCCATGCGTGAAGGTTCTTCCTGCGTACACATCGTGAAATTGACAGTTGACTATGTAGTGGACTGGGAGTGAAACAAAATACGTGACACAGTATTGTGAAAGTGGCACTCGGTTCGACGTCGGCGTTCGGAAAGAGTGAACACTCGACAACAGTCTTGGCGGGCTTGGAAGGTCCTGTTCTTCTCGGATGGTTGGCCTGACTCTAGATTCTGTCATACTTCCAGGGGAAACAGAGCGATTACTAGAGACTTGTGGTTCCGTAAGCCCGCTTCCCTGCGTATCGGCCTGGGACGACGGACTGCACGAACAGTCCACTCCCAATGACACTGTAGACAGTGCCCTGCTCGCTTGACTACAGGAGTGCATCCGCTTCATGGGCATGTAACTTGGGCGCGGTATCAAGGACACTGCCCTCGCTCAAGTGCGAACGTCTCCAACACGTACTTTAGCGCTGCCTATGCCAGGTTGTAGCACATCACGGTCGCTAATACAGACACGTTCTGCTACTCAACTCACGATCACCACTATGGGAGCAATGAGTGCCTCTTTAGCTTCCGCTTCGCCTTGGCATGGAGTAGATATAGCTCTACTTGATCCGTGCTGGTAGAGTTTCACCATGGCCACATAATAGACCCGAGAGGATCCTAGTGCGCAATTGGGGGCGTCTAGGAGTAGGGCTGAATCCCCATCATGGCAAAAGATGTCAACCCTCACCACAGACTCTAGAGAAGCTTGACCCGTCGCTGTTCCACCGAAAACAGACATCATTGCAACTAATGCTGTGGAGATGTCTGCAAAGTTGACTATTACAGTAGTGGGTGCCGGCATCGGTGGGCTCAGAACAGCCATCGCGCTGCGTCAAGCTGGTCATAACATTACAGTTTGTGAAAGGGCCTCGCTCTCCCACGGAATGGGATAAGTTTTGCGATCACGCGTAACGGAGGCCACGTGCTCAGGAGTCTTGGTCTTGACTTCCGGGATGCACGCATGTGCACGTCAAACGGCGTGACGATCGTACGGGCCGGCACTTTAGAGGATAAGGTACCTCCCCAATCACAAGCCGGGGGTGAAGCACAGTACGGCCTGCAGTCGCACACGGTACTTCGGATTGACCTGCATGCTGCTCTGTTGGCTTTGGCAAGGTCTCCGCAAGGCGACGGTCCTCGTGTTCGTTTCGTCGTCGAGACGCAGGTGGTTGTTTACGAGCCAGGGTCCGGAAGTATAATTTTGGAAGGTGGCCGTAAAGTTGTTGCCGATCTTGTAGTAGCGGCCGACGGCGTGCACTCGAAGGCTCGTTCATACATCGTTGAGCATTGTCCGGCGTCAGACTACACTGGGTGCTGCATCTTCCGCTTCGCTGTTTCGATGAAAGAGGTATCGCGAACGACTTGACAGCGCCGTCGCTAGTGGCCGGTGAGGGCTGGTCCTCGTTCTTCGTATCTCAAGATGGCCAGTCTTGGCTCGTGAGATACTACTGCCGAGACTGCGAGCTTCGGAATTTGGCCTTTACACTCTCCGGACACCTGCTGTCGCGGATGGCCAGGAGCGGCAGACCCGCTTTCGAACGGACAGAGGTCAACTATGGCAAAAGATGGAGAGCGCTGGTTCCCATCCAGCTTTCAAGGAGCTGGCAAGAAAAGCCGCCGAGGTGTGACCTCTCTGGCGATGTACCACAAGGGAACCACTGCCAACATTCAGCAAAGGGAAGCTGGTGGTCGTAGGTGACGCTCAGCATCCGCACCCTGCCGCATCTGGGTCTTGGAGCAGTCTCAGCACTTGAGGGTGCACGAGCGCTCCGTACCCTCCTAAGCCGTGTCGAACATTCTGCGGACGTTTCCGGTGCAGTCAGTGAGAGGTTGGCAATGTTCGATCGTCTGAGAGTTGGGAGAATGGCCGCTATCAGATACTGGTCGGATGTGCCGTGGTTCGGAGACAGTGTAAAAGAGCAGCGAGACAGGGTTGAGAAGTGGGTGGGCCCTCAGTCTCTGCCTTGTAAGTCTTCGACGCCACGTTGTAACCCGTGACAACGGCTGAAGCACTAGCGAGCGTCCCTGAGATGCGGGTCTGGATCTGGGGCTATGATGTCGCCGAAGAGACCGAGACGGCGTTGCAGGCTCATTTGAGTGAGAGGCCGAAGTGCTGACCGGCGCCGGCACGACACGCTCTGAACGCGCCACGTCGTTAAGATTGGCCGTTCGCGGTAAGGAAGTCGAAGTCTACGCCACTCTCTGCTTGGTTCACGCTCGTCTCATACAGGCCCCTGTAACCTCGCTTTCTGCTGCCGACGATGCGCTTGCCGTGAACGGCGGTACCATGAGATTCCAGCAAAGCTTTCCGCTTCTGGACACGCTTGGCGATCTCTGCATCTGAAAGATTTACGTTAAGTCGGCGCTCCGCCAAGCTAAGACGAATGAGGTCACCATCTTCCACGATGCCAAACGGCGAGTCCACAATGGCGGACTCCGGCGAAATGTGTAGCACAATTGTACCACCTGCAGTACCCGACATTCTGCCATCTGACAGGCGCAGCATATCTGTCACGCCTTTCAGCTTCCTCGGAATGGGTATGACGCCAGCTTCGGGCATCCCAGGGTTGCCGATCGCACCAATGCTTTTCAGTACAAGTACGGACTTGTCTGTCACTTTCAGATTCTCATCGTCAATGCGCTGAGCAAGGTCTGCAGTGTTCTCGAACACGACAGCGGGACCTTCATATTCAAGCAGTTTCCTATCTTTCGACGCTGCGGCCTTCAAGACGGCGCCCTTGGGCGCGAGGTTGCCATATAGAGCCACCAACGCAGAGTCTGGATAGACCGGGTTGGACAGTGGTCGGATCAGCTCCTTCGAGTACGGGAATGGTTTGAATGGTGTCGCGTCCAACACTTTGCCCAGTGTTTCTCCTGTAATGGTAAGAGCGTCAAGGTGCAATAGCGGCCGCAAAGTGAGCAACAAGGCCACCATGCCACCTGCGTTGTGAAAATCATTCATGTAGTTGTCACCACTGGGCTTCAGGTCGACAAGTAGCGGCGTTCGTCGACCTACCTCATCCACAGTTGCAAGGTCAATTTTGCCTGCAATCTCAGGGTGTCGGTTCACGATTGCCATGAGGTGCACAACAGCATTTGTCGATCCACCAATGGCTTGTAAGACTGTGATAGCGTTCAAGAACGACTCACGGGAAAGTATGGCTTGAGGTCGGCATCTCTCGACATTGCTTGCAACGGAGACAGCCATGGCTCCTGTTTGCTCGGCCACCCGCAAACGTGCAGAAGAAACAGCAGGAGCCGAGGCTCCGCCAAGTGGCATCAATCCAAGTGCTGCGGTGACGCAACCCATCGTGCTCGCTGTTCCCATGACGCCGCAGGTGCCGACCTGATCAAGATCAGTCAGCTTGTCGACACATCTACAGGCGAATACTCAACGAACGGTAGGCGCAAGTTCCTCGTTGATACCAACAATGTCTTCCACATCCAGACCGCCTGCGCGATACGCTGCCCAGCTACTACGGCAATCTGTACAAGCACCGACACGTTGTCCGTGAAACGATCCAGGCATCATCGGACCTGTGATAAGTGGAAGCACGGGCTTATTAGCCGAAATTCCACCCATTAATTGTGCTGGTATCGTCTTGTCGCAGCCACCGATCATGACGCAGACGTCTACGGGTTGAGCTTTGATCATTTCTTCGGTGTCCATAGACATTAGGTTGCGAAGGAACATGCTAGTAGGAGACGCAAAAGACTCGTGTAAACTGATGGTGGGGAACTCGATGGCCAGGCCGCCATGAAGGTGGATGCCACGCTTGACGGCTTCGATGAGCTGTGGCACGTTGGCATGGCATGGGTTGAAGCCGGAGCCGGTGTTGATGATGCCTATGATAGGTCTGGAGAGCGCATCTTCACCGTACCCGGCCGCCTTGATGAAGACTTTTCGCAGGAAGAGAGAGAAATGGGCGTCGCCGTAGGATGTCTGCGAAAGATTATCTTGATGAGTCTATGCCAAATCTGGAGGACAGCGGACTTGCTTGCTTACTAGACCCTGCCGCAGGCCTGTCCCAGAGATGGGCTGGTTGAGGTCATAGTCCTGGTTGTCCGCCATGATTGTTTAAGGGCACGGTAGAACGACAATGATTCGTCGAGTACGGTGGTAACCTGCCTTGAACTTGAGTCAATGTAAGAGATCATGGACGATCAACGTGTCCATGGTACTCCGCCTCGGCTGAGATGTGCCGAAGTCGCGATACAGTAGCGCAGTAGCGACCATGTTAAGATCTCCTATACTGCACCAAGTCACGCTTGTCAGCCCTCTATGCGGACGGCTCAGCATGAATATGCTGCTGTCTTTGCCCATGACAGAACGGTGAAGGTATAGTTCCCGTGTCAATACATGTCTGCTCCGTACGCACACGCTGTGACGTTTAAAAGCGGACTGCTTCCGCACCCCTCTATATACCAGATCGATAACCGATATCGGTGTTGACCTCTATGCGCAGCATGTATCAAAGAACATCGACGTTGGTGCCGCGAGGCTGGGTAGATTGACGCAGTCACACACATTATGGACGACTCGTGGACAGCTGTGTACATTCTGGAAGGTGCATATGTTGCGTGCCTTAAGTCACTTAGGCGCTTTACAAGATGTACAGGAGTTAGTACCCGTCAAACGCTTTTGAGAAGGATGACTTTTATGTAGAGCCATTCGGCGCTTTGTAACCAACCTCTTCCAAACCCTCCTTCAACGCCTTAATCGCCCTATCAATATCATCCCGCTTCGGATCAGTCACACTGACGCCCATATGCCCGAACCGCACATACTTAGCCGCAATCTGCTTGTGCAACCCGCCAGCGAAGATGACACCCTTCTTCATCAACGTCGGCAGGATCTCGGGAGGGCTCATACCCTCCGGTAGGTAAATAGCAGTCATTCCATTGGCCTGGTTCTCCGGCTTGGAAGCGAGTTGTTTCAGGCCCATATCAGCAATCGCCTTCTTGATCTTCTGCGAGGCTTCCTTGTGCTTCTGGAACCGCTCCTCGAGTGGCCGGCTGAGGATCTGCGTCAGAGATGTGTGCAGAGCGTGAACGAGCTGCGGTGACGGCGTTGCGAAGTACGACGGTTTCCGAGCTTCGTAATTCTGCATGATGGGTAGCCAGTTCTTCCAGCTAGCGAAGTATGAGCCTGGTGGTTTCGTTCGTGCCTTGAAGCGGTCGAGTGCACGACCAGAAGTCATGACTATCGATAAGCCAGCGGGACATCCTATGGCTTTCTGGGAAGCAGTGATCACACAATCAATGCCCCAGTCGTCGAAGCGAATCTCTTCGCAGCCGACGGAGCAGACACCATCAACGACGATCAACGTGTCCGGCGAAACACGGTGGACAAGTTGAGCTATGCTCTCGATCTCTGACAGTACACCAGTCGAAGTATCGGTGTGGGTGATGGTTATAAGTTTGTATTGCCTGGCTTTTAAGGCCTCTTCAACCTCGTTCTGTTGCGGCCGCTCGCCTATCGGTGCCTTGAGCTGAGTGGGCTTGATGCCATACGTTTCGAAGCAGTCTGCAAACGAATCGGCAAAATAACCGGTATGGAGGACGAGCACCTCATCGCCAGGCTCGACCAAGTTGGCAGCGACCTGATCCCATCCTAATGTTCCTGAGCCGGAGATCACAAAGCCTTGACTCTTCGGGTCTGACGTCTGGAAGAGCTTCCGCAGCATCGATAGAGTCTCACCGAAAGTGTTGACAAAGGGCATCCCAACATGGCTCTCGGAGTAATGGCTCATCGCCTGGAGGACGGCATCATCGAACTCGATTGGCCCGGGTATGAGCAGCGCCGGGTGCGGAGGTTGCGATGACATCTTTTCGGCTGCTACCCTGTCTCTCTTGCCTTCTTCTTGCAACGAAACAGTCTCAATGCTGAAATCTCTTGCTTGTTGTTGGTTCAGCAGGTTGGAGGTTCGTCGTGTTGGAGACCACTCAATGTCGTCGCTGGGGCTGGATCCTCGCTCGGTACTGTATGGCGTGTTCAATGGGATATGCGCATTGCCTGTGTTCAGGTGTCTCGCAATGAGACTCAGACGGTCGCGGGGAGCCAGCGTAAGAAATGTGCGTGGTGGGGTTCGGACGAAGAGTCGAGCGAGAGGGGCAGCCAGATTGATGACGTGCCTCGGGTACCTTGCAGATCAAGCTGAAGCGTTGCTGGTATGGTGTTTTCCCTTGAACAGCGAGTATGTTGGGCCCGGCCTGTCTACGAATATCTATGTTTCGCTGACAAAGCTGTACTTCACCGTTCCCCTAAAGAGAAACCCCGGCAAATGCACCACGATCGAACCGGACGGCGGCTCCCGCTGATCTCCGCGGCGCATCTCCCACCTGCGTGCCTGCCCTGCCCTGCCTGCTTCTGTGTCCACATAGCACGTGAGCTGCTGTTTAGGGCCCTACAATGGCATCGAGACTTGTGCTGGTCCTTGGCGACCTTTTCATACCAGACCGCGCAATCGTACGCTCACCACAGCCTTTCAATCTCTGGCCAGGCTGACGGCTGGCTAGGACATTCCAGCAAAAGTACGCTCAACACTTCGCGCACTGTGTGTCGCTGCTAACAGCCGCTGCAGTTCAAAAGACTACTCACACCGGGCAAGATTGGCCAGATACTATGTCTGGGCAATCTGACCTCGCCTTCCGTCTTCGCCTTTCTTCGCCAAGTCTCACCCGACCTGCAATTGGTCAAAGGTGACTTTGACATACCCGTAGTATCGAACGCACCTTCACAACAACAGGGGCAGGGTGGCAACACGGCGGAAGCCAGCTTCCCCATACCAACGGCACTAAGCAAGGTAGTCACGCACGGCAGTCTACGAATAGGCTTCACCCACGGCGACTCCATTGTACCGCCCGGCGACCCTGATGCACTACTCATCGCTGCACGGCAGATGGACGTCGACGTATTGTGTTGGGGCGGGACATGCAAGTTCGAGGCCTACGAAATGGAAGGCAAGTTCTTCGTCAACCCTGGCTCGGCCACCGGGGCTGTAAGTTGGAACGACGAAACGCTCGGGCCTGACGAAGGCGAAGAAGAGGGCAACACGCCAAGCTTCGTACTCATGGATGTGCAAGGCGATGTCCTGATATTGTACGTCTACCAGCTCAAGAAGGATGGATCGGGGAACGAGACGGTTGGGGTGGAGAAAGTGTCGTTTCGGAAGAACGCCGGAGGCGCTTGAAAGGAGACGACAGGTGGATGAGGTGATGCTTGGGAAAGCTTGAGATGCGTTAAAGCATCGGTAGGCTGGTTACGCTAATGCAGTACTCCCACTGGTGCTGTCCCAGTAAACAACTGTCGCAACTGCATTCGCGCACCAGAGGAACCCTTTGCACGAGCATCGGTCGAGTTGATCTCAATCCTATAAACGAGCCGTAACACGGCAGCAGTGGATCAGGTACCGTACGAATCGAGCATAAAAGTTGCGCACTTATACTGGCTCAAGCAGATCACTGTCGTCACGCTACAGGAAGCTGTGAGAGAAACAGTTCGTCGCTGCAGTCTGCCCGATCTCCGGAGTCTATGCCTCGATTACCGGTGTAAGTCTGCCCGTCGATAGCAATAGTACTGGACGATCACGGGATGCAATGTTAGGGCCAAGATAATGCGAGAAAGCGGGGACCTTGCACGCGAAGAATACGTAAGCTGCTGACTGTCCATCACATTGGTAGCTGTACAGCTTCCGATGCGTACCAGTGCGCTCCTGCCTCCTCCACTAAGATACAGCTTCGCATGCTCAAGCTGGTCAAACTCCGAGCTTAGACGGTGAGTAATGCAATGACGAAGCAGCGCCCGCATGCGGCCCCATCCTCGGCTCACTTCCTGCATGCACCTCGTTTACTCCAGACGCTGCAGCCACGACAAGAGTCAAGCTTCGGCCAAGCATTGCGGCACGCCAGTACACGTGGGTGTTCTTTTTGGTCTTGAGGGACATTCGATGGTAATGCCTCATCTTCCGATGGCCGAAGCATCGGAGATGGGCCCCCTTCCGCCACATGTCGATCAAGGCGTTGTTGCTGGTGGTGGATGTGAGCAGTCGCAAAGGTATAAGAGTCTAGTCGCTCGCGGTAGGTGAGCGATCCCTACCCATTCTTCAGCAGTCGTGTCACCATCTCTCGTTCGTCATTACCTCAGTACCCTTTGTAAACATGCACTTCACACATGTTGTCTCCGTCCTCGCAGCGTCACTTGTACTGTCGGAAGGAGCCACCAGTCCATTCAGCCCGAATCCGCCGTCCTACCTTGGCTGCATAGGAGGACCCATGCGGCAATGGCCCGGGTGTGCTAATACAGCTCCCGCCCAAACCAACCTAACCAACGTGGTAACAACGTTCGCAAACGTGACTTGCAGCAGCTATACCGGTCCGTTTGGCGTCGCTTACGACACTTATCACCCCGGCCGAGCCTTCGTTGTGGTAGGCTCGACGCTCCATGTCCTCGACACCAGTGGCTTCACTCCAACGGTCCTTCAGTCGATCACTCTCGGTAACATCACTGTCGTTCTGATGGCCGGAGGCATCGAGCTTACGATTGATGGTCGATTCATCATGGTCGCTACCGGCAGTAATTGGCTGATTATCGTCGATGCGGCAAAAGCTCTTGCCGGATGCTCTGACGCGGTAGTCGGCAGGATTCCCGGCAATCTGGCCGCCGGCAGCAGCGCCGTCCTTCTCACTGTCTCTCCCAACAATGAGTACGTTTTTGTTAGCCAGGAGGACGGGAACACAGCAACGACCGCCGTAAACGGGACCCAGGTCGGCACCGTCGAGGTTTTTAAACTGAACACTCCACTTGGTGGCACCAATGACACCGTGACTGGCCGATCGATCGGCTACATCGAGCTCGGCCTCCTCGTCGTCGGATCCGTCCTTTCTGGAGACGGCCAGTACCTGTACGTCGCCAGCGAGCGGAAGTCCGAGACTGTGGGCCAAGGCACCATCACCGTTTTGTCCGTCCCTAAGCTTGAGACCCAACCCAACACTTCATTCGTATCGCAGGTGGTAACAGGCTGCGGTCCCGTACGCCTGCTACTTTCCTCAGACGGATCTACTTTCTGGACTAGCGCACGCGAAAGCAATCTTCTGCAGGGTTTTGACACCAGCAAGTTGATTTCGGATCCCGACAATGCGCTCATTGCCTCGGTTCAAGTCGGCACCCAGCCGGTGGATCTCATTTTCGCGAAGAACGAGACTCGCATATTGACCGCAGACTCGAGCCGTTCTTACGTTAATGCGAGTGCAGGCATCAGCGTGGTGGATGTTGAGGCAGCATTGGCTGGGAACATGCATGCGTCCCTTGGGTCTATCCCAACAGGTTACTTTCCGCGCCAATTGGCAGTGAGCCATGACGGAAATACAGTCTTGGTATCCTTGTACTGCTCTTGCCAAGTGCAGACGATCGACGTTGCTACGCTGCCCTGATTGGACGATCGCCAGCGTTTGCACTGGACTTGTGCTCAGTGAAGGTGGGTAGCAAGATAGACACGGCCTTCGAATGAAGCCAGCAGATTGCGCTGGTAGACAAATAGTACACTACAATTGCTGCGAGATGGCAGCGATCTGCCTTCTCGTACACATCGCGGAAGTGACAGCTTTTCTTCTGCGCTTGGATGACCGAGTTTTGTGAACAGCCACGCGTTGAACGTTTGCAGCGCCTGTAGTCCATCGAATAGCCCTGAAGAGTTGGCTCGGCCTTCATAGATGCGAAATCCGTCGGTCAACTCGCCCGGTCCTGACGCGACTCCCTGCCGCGCTCTCCACAACATGGTCATCCCGACGCGGACTAGCCGCTCTCGGTCTTGGACGTGACACACTGAGCCCAACACTCTGCCACCATTCGTCGGGTACATCGTCACGTCGCGCAAGCCGCTCAATAATACCCCTCATTGCCTCAAGATCGGTCTGACTCTCGGCATCCTCAACATCTACCCGACTACGCTCGGAAGGAGGACTGACGGGGTGCGCCTGTGGCTCGTCTCGGGAAGTCACGACTTCAGCGTCAACGTGCAAAGCCAGGCTTTCGTCCTCCGGCGGTGGTGACCTAGTACGCGTGTTCAGCGAGTCCGCGGTGTAACGGCGGAAGTAATCATGCACTTGTGCCGAAGCTTCTCGAGCTGCAGCAAGTGCATCATCGGCGTAGCGTTCCGGCTGTGGACTCGGCGGGGCGTCGGTGTTCTGCAGTTCGGAGCGCGCACGCGTAATTTGACCATAACGCGGATGCCGCATCCTATACGACTGAACGAAATCATCAACCTCATCATCCGCCGCTTCGGTGAAGACACCCATGCTTGAGAGTCGAGAACGACCTTGCTCGGTTTCTAGAGCTTCTTCGATAAGCCTGAAGCCAATGTCGACTCTGCCACTTTCATGAGCGAGCGCAAAGCGGTTGCCGTAACGTAAGCGAATGCTCTCATGACGGCGAATGCGTTCTCGTCCTTGCGTGGTATCTATCTCATTGTCGTAGACATGCTCCGCAATGGCTTCAGCGCCTACAACTCCATCATCGTCGCAGATAAGATCGTCGCCATCGACTGAAGAGGCAGAGTCGTCATTGCTCTGGTCACTAGAGTTGCGCTGACTTGGGTCCGTGGAGGACGTAGAGTCTGGCTCAGTGATTGCTGTATCTGCAGCGGAAGTGAAGGAGTGACTCGCTGCTGCACTTGTAAAGCTGCTGTCGGCGCTTGGCAGAGTGGCGTCAGGTGTGATAGTGCTGCGCATGATTTCCCAGCCGTCTCCGGGTGTCGGGCTGCGGTTTCGGTCGCCCAGACCGTCCACGGGAGAGTCCGGCGTCCATGAGTTTCTCAAGGGATGTGAAGCATGTTCTGAGCGAGCGCGTGCTTCTGCGCGTTGTAGATAGTCTGCATCTTGCTCCGACGCGTCCAATGGTGGGGTTGGCAGTGTCACGCGTGTGATTGGGCCATCGTATTGCGGCCACCGGTTGGCAGTAGCCTGAACAGGCTCTGGCACGCGCTGGCGAGGGCGAGGATGCTCATCTGCCATCATTCTGCGCGAGCGTTGGGCGGGAGAACCGCTCCGATGCCGAGATCGACGGTGGTCGAGCCTTTCGCGCAAGCCGTTGACTTGTTGTTCAAGACTTGCTTGAGAGCCTTGCGCCGCACCGGATTCATCATTCGAGCGAGTATCTCTTGCTCGAGCTGTGTTTGACGATGTGCTGTAGTAATTGCGCGCCTCTGGTACAGGAGGTGGAGGCGGAGCGACTCGTCCATTCGCCGACTCCAGCAACATTGATATTGGCGGTACAGCGGTAGGCACGCCTCGCCCGAAACCAGGCGTTGTGTTCGAAACACCTTGTGGCAAAGCCGTGCGCTCGTAACCCGGGGGCAGCACGGTGGTACCACGGTTGAGACGCGGTCGTGTGCTTCGGCGGCCATGGATTGACGGCCGCCTGCGAATGGACGAGCGGGCAGCAGCAGTGGGATCTGCCTTGACGGCATTCTCTGCTGTCTTTGGCACTGGCTCACGCCATACCTTCAAGGGTTATTGTTAGCCATGGTTCGCTTCGTGGGCGCCCTTTACGCGCCAGGCGAAACCCACCGGTAGACCCATGCTTTGCGCCCCAGGGTTCGCTGATATCGGTATTACCGGAGAGCCCGAAGTTACGCGACCGTGATGAGAGGAGATGTGAGCTGGTTAGAGCTGATGGAGTGGAGATTGACTGCCTGATACAATAGACTGAGGCTGATGGTTCGCCGCGCTAAAGGAACAAAACTGCGGATGCGGAACATCCCTGAACACTCAGGGATGCCGCTGCCAGAGTGCCTAGCGGCGCTGCACTGATGCCTGAGACAAGGCCCGCTAAGGTGAAAGTACATTATGCGCTCCATCCGACATTGACACGTTGTGAAGGAAAGCCTAGATAACACTCAGCAGTGATTGGACGCATGGAGAGCTACCTAGCCATAGCCCGCTCGCCGGGTAGGCAGCAGCAAGCCATGTATGCTGTGTTGAGCCTTGGTGGACAGATACTCAGAGGCGATGCGTATTGAACGATTCTTCTAGATCAGACACGGCCAGCACGACATGATCGAGCTCGGCCTCCAGCGTATATCGCGCCTGTTAGCTCAGACTCCGCTTCCCTGGCAAGCCATTCATGTAGCCGGAACTAACGGCAAAGGCTCGATATGTGCGTATATCTCGTCCATGCTCGAAACCTACAACAGCTCCACATGTAGGAGAAGCACAGGGTTCGCCGCTTTGAAACACGGACGCTTCACGAGTCCACATCTTGTAGACCGATGGGATTGCATCAGCCTGAATAACCATGTGGTACCCTACGAGACTTTCAATCATGTTGAACGGTTGGTGTTGCAGCGAGACCAGCAAGAGAACATCGGCGCCAGTGAATTTGAGCTGCTCACGGCAACATCATTCGAACTGTTTACCAGAGCGCAAGTGGACGTTGCGGTTGTCGAAGTCGGCATGGGCGGGAGACTGGATGCCACCAACATTATCGGCCAACGCTCCGAAAGCAAAAGTGTCAGAGCGCTGCCGCTGGTCACTGCAATCGCGAAGATAGGTCTTGATCATCAAGCCTTTTTGGGTGATACATTGACCGCCATTGCATGGCAGAAGGCAGGAATCATCAAGCCAGGCGTGCCAGTTGTCTTTGATGCGTCGAACTCGGCTGAGGTTCAATCTGTCATTCGGTCACGAGCGGCTGACTATGGGAGTGATGTTGTGGAGGCAACAGATTGCGAGATTCCCGGCAGCTTGCTACGCTCTGCAGTCTGTCAAGTCCTCTCTGGCGACGAACCTGGCGACGAACCTGGCGACGCCGGTGCAAGCGATCAGGCTGCACGTTATGTACCAGAACATACGAGGCAGAACCTCAGTGTAGCGTTTTGCTCGACCTGGACAGCACTCCAACGCCTTGATCGTCTACCAAAGCACGCGGAAGGGCTGTCGAGTGGCGACCCAAGTGCAGTTGCAACACTAGCCAATCAAATGATTCTCGAAGCGTTGACGACCACAAACTATCCCGGGCGACTACAAAACCTCAGCATAGAACCTCTGACGGGCAGAGAGCACCCTATACTGCTCGATGGTGCCCACAACGCTCAATCTGCCCAGGTTTTGGCTGCCGAAGTCAGCCGGCAACGTCGCGAAGCTAAAGAAAGGGTCAACACTTCCGCAGTCACATGGGTCATGGCTTTCTCCTCCACCAAGGATGTCAGCGAGATCTTGCGGCCTTTGCTCAAAGCTGGTGACAGCGTCTTTGTGGTGGAGTTCGGTCCAGTCGACGGGATGCCGTGGGTGGAGCCGATGGCTTGTGGCAAGGTTGCAGAAGCTGTTCAGAAAGCATTTGCGCAGACTGTTGACGTGCGACTATACGGTAGGGACGTTTCAGCTGCACTGCAAGCAGCAAGTTCGTTGGCGGGTGAAGGTCCCCTTGTCATCGCCGGGAGTCTATACCTTGTCGGAGATGTGCTACGATTACTGCGCAACACTCCTGTTGGAGTATCGTAGCAGTTTGGCTGCCAAGCCTAGGCGGCCGCTATGGTGAGGTGCTGCAAGTTCTATGCATGTGTGAATGCACGTTGGGAGCTAGCCAGCTGCGCCTCCATGACAGACACAATACTTTATACTCTCGTCTATGGACCTTTCGACCGCTCAGCATGGTCTAGAGATCCATCTAAGCGTCAAAATGGCTTGACCATACAATGTGTCGCGAATGGAATTTATGGCTGCCACATCCAGCATTGCTGGCCTGCTCAACCTCAGCGGAGAATGTGTGTCCGGGCTGCTAAAGCTGAAGGCTCTATACCAGGGTATCGCCAATGCATCGAAGACAGTCACCGCCTTCATTAAGGACGTGAATAGCCTCTTGAAGAGCCTGCGAGACCTACGCCTACTGCTGGAGAAGATTGACAAGGCTGAGACTCCGTTTTCTGACGTTGCCAGCACCTCTTCATTGAGGATCCAGCTTGAAGACTGCAACCTCGATGTGGCGGAATGGATGAACACTGCGGTGTCATGCATGCCGATCGGGGGCAGAGGGTTGCGAGCTGGCTTTCGCAAGTTCTGGCAAGCAGCCAACAAGCAGCCGGTCGGCGACATCCGTACAGCTACGCAGCGTCGGCGAGCCGAGTTCACGTTAAGTCTTGAAACGTTGGGCAGGTTCGTACATTTTAAAAGACAGCTGCATGTCACACGCTTACGATACGTAGGCTTTACGAAGTTCAGTCAGCTTTGCACCTCCGTGACATCAAGGCCCATACAAGCCGAACTAGCGAGGTTAGCCTTCAGCTACTGAAGCAAACTTCTACCGCCCAAGACCAGCTGGACCGCATAGAGGCGATCTCGGAGTCAATAGCCAGCATGTCAGTAGGCAGCATGCGAAGCTTGGCGAGCGTGGCGAGCGCAATGTCGACATTGTCAAACGCTTTGGTGGTCAGCGGCGCTGAGAACATTGTGGCGTCCCTCCAACGTGCTTGGTCGAGCAGCAACTTGACAGTCGAAGCAGACCGCATGGTCTCTTCCGGCAGCCTCCACGTTCAAGGTGCCACGCCGCCTCCTGAGCTGAGAATACCCGACCGTACGCGGCAGCGGACAGCTGCGCGTGGTTCAGATTATGGTGAGAATGAAGCTTTCCCAATGACGGGATCACCCGCGACTGCCATGCGACGCGCACCCAAAGCTGGAACCCGCAGCCTAGTCACGCTCACAGCCGCTCAACAGGAACGAAAGCGTGCCAATGATCGTGAGGCTCAACGTGCAGTCCGTCAACGAACAAAAAGACCACATTGAGAGTTTGGAAGGACGTATCATTGAGCTTCACAGCACTCAGGAGTCGAACGAGCGTTTAGTTACCTTAACACGGAAACGCAACCGGGAGCTCGAAGAAGAGAGTACTGGTTTACGCAGTCGTCTTGCGGAGGGCGGCAAATCGTCCGCTCTGCCACATAAGAGCGTACTCGGAAAGTGTCAAACTGTATGCTCACCTAATCCTACAAGGGCCGACAAGCATTTTGAGAACCTGGAGAAGGGTTTCATTGACCTTCAACAAGCAGTCGAGGATATCGTCGAACGTCCAGGTCTTGCAAACCTTGCCGAGAGCTCGTGGGACTCTTCGCTACTCTGCGAATGGGCCAACACGCACGACCGCATCAACCGAAGGATCTTGCACTCCATGGGAACGGATTCAACACAGGCAGACGCACATAGGCGCTTATGTCGACAGCTCTGCAAGTGGCTGCTTGGTCGGATGAAGACACGCAGCTGCTCACCGGAAAGGGCTGGAGCCGGTGTGTCCTGAAGTACTGGTTCCTTGATGAAGCTGCAAGAGAAGCCAGTGTTGGGCAATTGGAAAGCATTCGGGGCAGTTTGCGAGTTCCGAGCAGGATCTCGTCACGGGGGATTGAGGTACGGTCGCCATCTGGCTTTGCGGCTACATAGAGGAGCTGCACATCAGAGGTGAGATGCCGCTTAGTGCTTAGATTATGTATTCGTCGAAGCGTCGGAAGGGGGCAGCATTTGCTGCAGCCAAGTGCTTAGTCGCTCAAGCTCGTCCCGATCAAGGCCACTGAACATCGCCGGCAGCGCCTCTCGCCACGAGCTAATGTCGTGGAGTTTGCCGCCCCTCGAGCGGTCCGAGAGCGCTGTCTGACGAGCCTCATGGCGGCGCATGATGGCGCCGCTATGGAGGAGTCCGTTTCGCACAGTTAGTTCCAAAGCCAGCTGCGCCGACGTGTCTGCTGAATTCGAGATGGTAAATTGTGGCGTTTGCAAGTACGTCCAGTCCAATGACTGCCCACCCAATTAGCAAATCATCGTCCATAAAGATATCTTGGTGTCGTACCTGTAGCTCGCGGTAGCCTTTCATAATGCTCGAGTCGTCCTTCCAGTCCTCACCAACCTCAACGCTTGCGCTCGATCGATCGGGCCCGTACATAGAACCGAATTGTTCCTGCACTGAGCGCACAAACTGCTCGTTGTCGAGCAGTATATTGCCGACTGGAGAGCTCACGCTCTCCACACCACGAGCTGCGATGAAGGGTTTGGCAGGCGAGTGCAAGTAGTCAGGTATCACATTGAGATTCGGACTCGACAGTAGACATGTTCCATGGTGCAATGCTCGCTGTCTCGTCAGCTTGTAAGCCGACCCGGACACTTTAAGCGGTCTCGGCGCTGAGCTCTCCTCGCCGACCATATAAGCCGTCTTGTGAGTATCGTTCGAATCGACATGGTTAAGCCGTTCGCCTTGATCGAGGACAATGTCGTGCCGCTCATTGACCCTGCTACGATCAACGCCGCAGCTCCTGAGTGCGCGCACGACCATCTCCGCATGCTTGTCCCGGGTGAAGTCCTTCGAATGGCAGATGACCGTCCAGTTCACGTTCCCTTCGTCGTGAAAAACCGTCCCGCCTCCGCTACGCCGGCGCACGAGGTCAACAGCGCCTAATCCAGGTGGCTCAGTCTCTAATTTATGATGGCGAGCTGGATTAAGCAGAGCCAGGTTGACCTCCAGCCATGGGTTCTGATTGCGGCCGATAATTATGCTCGGCCTGTTAAGATACAAGAACAGCACTGCCGACTCCGGGGCAGTCTTCTGTAGCAGATAGTGCTCGATTGATAAATTCAGGTATGGGTCACGAGACGTCGAAATGTACAATTGTACAGGCTGCGCCAGGCGGTCCAATGCGGACTGCGAGAGCCAGCGTCGAGCATGCTGTACGCTGGCACGAGGAGCGCGTCTAGATGCGCGGTTCAGGAGAATCATGAAATCATCGTTCAAGCGCGATGATTGGCGTAAGTAAGCTTCGAGTAAGGGGCGCCTCTCCTGTTGCCAACGGCCAGTGGTCTATTCTTACTAGTCAGGGAGAAAGTATAACATTTATGGTTGGCGGTAGGAGATGCCTCTCCTGCGCAGTTGGTGCTGCTGCATACACTTGATACTGTATATCCAGTCAACGATAATCGATCGAGTACAAGCCGGTCAACCTTGGTTCCATCGGCCGGGTAAAAGCGCCACGTGAGGCTGTCTTGCATCCGAACCCCGACGGCCAACACTGCCAAGGCTGTCAAAGAGGTCTTAGCGCGACCGTTCCTGCATAACGACGTGGACCTGCATGCGTTATGTCTTGTTCACGATCGCCTCCCACTTTCCACACGCCATGTGACAGCCCATGATATACCACGGACATGCGCCAACAATGGCGTCCGAAAATGCGATATATGGGGAACCGTTCCCTGTGACGGTGGCGGAGTTACTGGCATACACGAGGAAGGATCTCAATGATCAAGCGAAACAGCAGGGCGAAGTGTCAGCGGAGGGGTTGGAGGGGGGAGTGCACACCGGAGTGACGGTGGATCTCAGCCATAAGAACATACATGCGTTACCGGTTGAGGTCATTGACCTGATCAAGGACAAGGTCGAGCGGTAGGACCATGCAATACAATGGGTATGAGGCGATACGACGGCAGTGGCTGACTAGGGGCAGGTTGGCACTGTCGCATAATGTTCAGATCGCGATACCCACACAGATTGTGCAATGCGGTCGGCTGCGGTATCTAAACCTCAGGGGCAACCAGCTGCGACACTTTCCCGAAGCTGTAAGGTCACAGCCTGGCGCATTATGGTTATGCCCCTTGCGCTGACTGCTAGCAGGTTCTACAGCTGGCTCACTTGGAGATCCTCGACCTGAGCAAGAATAAGCTTGTTTCTATCCCTGAGGATATCAGGAGCATGACGTCGCTCAAGTTTCTGGCTGTCGCACGCAACAAGATTGCCCGGCTACCGCTTGCCTTGGGTGAAATGCCAAGCCTTCATAAACTAAAGTTTCACGACAATCCCATCGAGTATCCTCCTTTGGATGCTTTGACCAGGAACTACGACGATACGACATCGAACATTGACGCCGAGACGGAGAGGGACGTATGTCAACAAGTCAAGCGCTTTCTCAAGGCCGCCGCACTGCGAGAAAGGCTAAAGGCGGACTCGCAAGAGAACTTAAGGTGAGTTGTAATCGTACTTGGTACGGACGAGACGCCTACTAAGGTGCTACCTTAGTGAAAGCAATGTCGAAACTCCTAGGCCTCCGAAACGGACGTTGACTGTAGGGCGCTTTCCCGTCAGGCCGAACGTTAGTGGCATGGAAAGCATGGAATCACCGATGTCGAAGTCTCCCAGCGGCGCACCACCCATACCCTTACGATCACACGCACGCAATCAGTCATCTAATCCACCTACTTCGAGGAGGCCAGTTATCACACCTTTGCTCACAGCGGATCACGAAGTTAGCCGCAGCCGAAGTGAGACAGTATCATCATCAGCAAGTGGCAGCCTAAGAGCGCGACGGCAAGGTCTCATCGCACCGCGCAAGCCTACTTTAGACATTAGCAGCTCCGACCAAGCTTCGAGCGCGGCTTCCGTGCGCGCAAGCCAAGCGTCCACGATCAGAGCCGCGCATTCCCGCGCAAACAGCTCGGTATCGACGTTGAATGGCTTTCTATACCCAAGCAGTAGCGGCGAGACATCCTCAGGTGCAGTCAGCCCGATAGACGGATCCATGAGTCGCTATGGCGCTGTCCGCAGGCTCTCAAGCCTACCTGAGAATCGCAATTCGAAGTTGCAAAGTGGTAACGGTGTACGGGCTGCGAAGCGTTTACTCTTCTCGCTATTTCAGTTGCACGGGCCGATCGGCGAAGTCACCCGTGCGATCAAGGACGGCACGCCTAAGCGAACCATGCTCGAGCGGCAGCTGTTTAGTGCAAACGCACTTGTTGAGGAGCTTGACCGACTGTTGAATCGTGCCGACATCAACTGCGAAGAAGAAGACAAGAATGATGAGGCAGCCGTGAGCGGCATTTTGTCGACATCGATCGCCGCGCTGAAGGCGTATGGCTTGGTCGTAAAGGAGTTGCGTCAGCACACGCAACGGGTGATATCGCTCACCGAATCCGTCTACGTTCGCTACCTGATGTCGCAGGTCTACATGACAATGGTCGAGTCGAGGAACATATGCTCGATGCTCGGCTTCAAGCTGCGGTCACCGGCGTCGAAGAGCACACCTCGTACCTCGCGCGCTTGGAGTAGCCGGACAGTCACGCCCACGCAGCCGAAACCGCTAAACAGCCGCCGCATGCGAGGCGCGACCATCTTGCAAAGCATCAGCAGTAACGCTTCCCTCCGCAGCATGGCGCTACCTATGCCATTATCTGCTAACGGCAGCCGTACCAACACAATGACTTCGCTGAGCTCATTCGGAAGCACCAACATATCGCGAAACGAGTCCTTCACGTCTCTGGCCTCCAGCACGCTCCCATCACGCAGCAACACCATGCGAAGCGTTTTCGATTATGGTGAAAACGACGAGCAGTTTGACCACATCTACCTCAAGCTACAGAGCGCGTGTGACTTGGCCCGGAAATCTTTACCGCATTGTCGGACGGAGTTTGTTACACGTAAGGAGAGCGCTGACACAGCGGGCCAGCCACGCGCGGCACATCACTGGGCGTTGGCGATCAGTAAATGCGATGCGGTCATTGCCGCGAATACGCTGCTGCACAACAGGCTCAAAGTTGTTAAGGTGAAGGATCCTGGCGTCCGCAACCAGAAGGACTTCTGGCAGCTTTGCGACGCTTTCGTGCAGGTATGACAACTCCCCTTACCAGGCTTAGAAACTGTATTTCTGCCGCTAATATTACCGCAGTCATGGACCGACCTTGCCACAGAGATAAAAGATATAGCCCAACAACGCATCGACATCACCACCGTCAAGACCGTTATGCGACCTGTCCAAAAAGCGGTCAAGGAAGTCAGCAAAACCATCTCCGAGTCACCCTTATACCACCAAGCCGTCCGGCAAGCAGGCGGTACCACCTCAACTACAAACGGCCTGGTTCCACCGTTCCCGGCAAACATCAACACGGCCTATGCACAAGCTGCGGGACAAACCAATGGTCTACATTCTGGCTATGTAACTCCCGTGCCGGCGACGCCTTTGTCTGCGGCGCTGGGCCCGGCGGTGCAAGCTACTGTCGCAAGTACGCCGCCAGCAAACCTTGGGCCTCCGTCGGAGTACTTTCAGAATGCTGCAGCGCCAGCTGGGTATGTGCCGAATGGGAGGGTCGTGCATGAGAGGGTTGATACGATGATGCAGCCTACACCATTTGGGAGACGATGATCCGCATTGTGGATGGAGCGAGGCCGAGTTGAGTTCCTACGGCAGTATTCTGCCATACCAGCAAGCGAGGCGCACTCGGGTTCGGGTTTGCGAGTACACTATACCCCTGCATCTTGTTGTTTTCGGGATGTACAACAGTCACAGCGTCACTGGGGACAAATGGGCTCGATGTAGTGGATTTAGCCGAACAAGCTCACGGCGAACAGAGCAGCTTGCATTGAGAAGCTAGCATAGCCTTGTACCGTACCAACCATTCAAGTGCCGGTTAAAACAGCGCAGTCCCACGCGAGCTCCACATCTATGCCCACAGACCTCAGCAGTAGCATTGCGCGCTTAGTCGAATAGACCGAAGCCCATGTCCTCGTCGGACTCCTCCTTGGCTGTAAACGCAACGAGTCAGTATACAGCGCGTTCATACTTCGAATACGATGGTAAGACTGCGACATACCTTCTTCCTTCTTCTCCTCCGCCGCCGGCGCAGCCTCCTCAGCAGCAGGCGCCGCACCACCCGCAGCGGGACCCGCAGCAGCAGCCGCCGCAGGAGCAGCAGCGCCGCCACCGCCAGTGTTCATGAGCATATCCCTCACATCCTTGCCTTCGAGAGCCTTGGCGAACAGGGTGGCCCAAATGGGCTCGACGTCAGGGACTTTGGCCGCTTGGATGAGGGAGTTGAGCTTGTCGGCCTGTAGAGAGGGTCAGGAACCATGCTGGATCAACGTTTTAGGAGGATGCAATCGTACAGTGATCTCGACACCGTCATCGGCGAGGATGAGGGCGGCGTAGGAGGTTGCGAGCTCGGCGGTCGACATTGTGATGATTCGTGAACGACTAAGTGGTGAAGGATGGTTTGGTTCGGCGCGATGCTCTCAGCGATCGGATGTCGTGAGAGGCTTCTTCGCGGTGATGGTTGGCTGAGTGAAGTGTCGAATGCGGCTCTATGCACGCAGTGTGCGAAATTGTCGGCCGGAGTCTTGGCAAGGTAGCCCGGTCTTTCGTTTCTCCGTCGGCTGCCGGCGGGCCCGAGGCTCCCACATGGTGCATGACATGACACGCCGCGGTGCGGAGAAGGTGGGCTGTGTTGGTGCCTTTTACTAGTCTCGTGCCCATCGATATCGAACAACACCGTCACTCAAATACACCCAACACAGCACTGATAAGCTTTTGGAGAGCGTGGATACATACGACCATGACAGACTCACCGGCACACCGCATCCCGCTCGACCCTAAGGAACAACCGATCCTCGACCGCATCCTCACCATCCGCGACCACCTGAGCATCCTCAAGCAAGACCGCAGCACCTACGTCAAATCCGCCGACGTCGTGAAGTACTACAACCAACTCGTCGACGAAGTAGGTCGCCTGAATCAAATCCGCGTTACGAAGCCCGACGAGCAAAACCGCGTAGACACGGTGCTCGACGATTGCTTCCAACTCATCTCGCTTTTCTTCCTGACCATCGGTCGCAACTCCGAGGCCCCGGCAGTGTATAGTGCTATCAGCACTGTTAAGCGCTTACTGGACCATCTTATCGAGGCTGGGTTCTATTCGCCAAAGGATCTTGAGAGTATCAGCCATCATCTCGAGCAATGGCAGGCCTCAATCGCGCGAGGCAAAGACTCGCATAGCACGCACATGATCACGCTGCTGGAGGCGAGAATACATGTGTGTCAGCAAAAGCTTCACGATTTACAGTCCAGTTTGAGCCGGTTGGATCCGGAGATGATGGGCACGTACGATAAGTTGGTGAGCATATTGCGCTCGTTGTCGGCTTGTAATACGCGGTCGAGGGTATGTATACAAACGCACATACACGGATACAATGTGCCAGCGAGTTGCTGACACCGTGCAGTTTCCTGCAAAAGAGGTGCAGGAGTTTGAGAAAGAACTACTCCAGATCCAAGAGGAGATGCACCAGATGCGCGATGAACATACAGGCAAAAGCGCCGAGCAAGTATACGCCGAGCGCTTCCTGCAGCTAAGCTTGACCGACGACAAGAGCTCTGACGGCCCAACCATCGTCCGCGCGTTGCTGGCACGGTGCTTACTCTGGGTCGAAATCATCCAAGTGAAGTACGCTCCCATCGATATCCATAAACTGCGCAGCATATCCGTACTGACCTTCATTCAGACAAGGCCATATCTCCGACCGCTTCCATGACCAATACGACAAACTGCTCAAAATCCGCAACACCCTCGAGCAAATGAACCTCACCCACGCCTGGTCCCTGCGCGAAACAGACCTCTACTCCTACCAACGCCAACTCGACCGCATCGACGAATCACGAGTCGACGGCAACTTCGTCGACGCCGAAGGAAACCCCGCAGAGCTCTACGAACAACGCACCCTCCTCTATCTCCTCCGCAAATGTTACGCGTTCATATACCAGTACATCATCTCCTCCGAACCGGTCTCCGAAGCGTTGTTGCCGATCTATAATCAGCTGCTGACGCTGAAGCGGTGTTTGATTGAAGTCAAGCGGTCGGGCGGCGTGGATAGTCCGAGAGAGTTGTATCCGTATTCGATGAAGTTGAATAGTATCGATAACATGAAGAAGGATGGTAAGTTCATGGTTGGGAACGATATTCCCGAGGGCCAGGCTAGTGTGACGGCGTTGTTGGCGGAGTGCTTTGAGCTTGCTTATGAGTTGAGGGAGGAGAGTCAGAGAGAGGAGGTGGAGACGGCAGAGGAGGAGGACGATGCTGTAGAAGACGGCGGTGGTGCTGGGGTTGAGGCGGCGAATGGGCTGAAGGTTGCAGGATAGGTACGCTTTGATGAGAGGCATGCTCTTCGTTTTTCGTTGCATGCTTACCGCAAGGCGCTGGGGAGCTGAGCTTTTGGTGGCACAACTCTGACCCGATTTCGTATCCTACAATCCAATCTAAAGTTCGGTTGGCGGCGCTGTACAGAAATGTCCGCCGGGCATACAGTACCTGGTTTGACCTCAAGCCAGCTCTATCTTCTCCAGCAGATTCTCAAGTACATTCACATCATCGCTGTCATCCTCAGGTGTGTCAGCATCGACGAACGTTAAGCGATCCCCGTACGAGATGCACAATTCCTCGCCTTCCTCAACATTTCTTAACGCACGGTATATAACGAGCTGGTTCGGTACATCTCTCGTCCACCCCACGTTCTGCCGTGATGCGGAATGATTGAACAAGGAGCCGAGGCCGAAGACGACGGCTTGAGTTTGAGTCTTCTTGCTTGGTTGACCCTTGTTGCTTGTTGACGGCAGCGGCCAGTTGTACGTGTAGTGGTATAGCGACGTTTTCTCTATGTGTTCAGTATTCTCAGTCGGATCTAGGACAAGGACAGGGCAGGTCTCTAGGACTGTTCCGGCGGTTATGAAACAGCCTGCGAATACGGCGCGGCCTGGTAGAGGTCAGGCGCATTGTTGCAGAAATGTATCTCCGTATTGTATTTGATTACTCACCCTTTGGTGTGTTGGTAAGGAGGTAAAGCGAAGACGCTCGCGGGAGCGGTATCTTTTCACTGTCGTTGACTTGGGTCATTGAGCAGCTTGCGAGTGTGGACTAGACGCTGTGTGAGTCGTGCACGGTTGTGGTGATTGAAGAGCAAAAAGCATGTGAACCTGGACCCTTTTCACATGCATTCAAGCATTGAATGCATTCCAGTGGCAGCTTTGGCCCCCACCTTCAGTTCTCCTACTTTCGTGTGTGATCGACAATGTAAACATACATGGCTCAGCAACGCGATCAAGCTGTCCCCGCGCCTGGCGGACCACACGCCGTCAGTCTGAAAGTGCTCCGCCTCTCGCGACCATCACTAGCGTCGCAAACACCTCTTCCGCCCACTAACTTCGGCCATGGCATTGACATTCCGCCTGAAGCTTCCGTAGCATACCCAGGTTCGTCTACCAAGGAGCCTTCAACCTTTCCGCTCGTGCCACTCCTGACCCTCCCTTCCGCCTTCGGCGCCGCATATGTAGGCGAAACATTCGCCTGCACGTTATGCGTCAACAATGAGATCCAGCACATCGAAAAGCGGAGCGTTAGTGGCGTGAGAGTAACTGCAGAACTACAAACTCCTAACGATCCATCTGGCACGCATCTCGAACTCACCAAAGCGGACAATGCCGAGGAAGGTGACGGTGAGCTCCCACTAGCAACGACGCTGCAGCGCACACTAGCGCACGAGCTGAAGGAGGAAGGCTCGCACGTCCTCGCCGTAACAGTCTCGTATACGGAGACGCTTCGCGGTGATGACGGTGGTGCGAGTGGAGGCCGGGCGAGGAGTTTTAGAAAGTTGTATCAGTTCGTTGCGCAGCACTTGATTGCTGTTAGGAGTAAGGCTACCGAGCGGAAGCGGAGGGAGAAGGCAGGGGGCCGGCAGTGGGTCTTGGAGGCGCAATTGGAAAATGTGGGTGAGATGGCCGCGGTGCTGGAGAAGGTGTGGCTTGATGGGAAGGAGGGCATTGCCAGTCGGGCTGTCAATGGTGGGGAGGAGATGGAGGCTGTGGTGTTGAAGCCGAGGGATATCGAGCAGGTCATGTTCTTGCTCGAGGAAGATGGAGGAGTAGGGAAGGTGGAGGATGGCACTGTTGCCGGCCGTTTGCCGTTGGCGAAGCTTAATATTGAATGGCGAACGGGTATGGGAGAGCGTGGCAGTCTTACTACGGCTTGGTTGGCTGCTAGAGGGCGATGATTGATCGAGTGAGCGTCTAATGCGCAGCACGAAACACTTACGATCGCAAGGGAGGCATAAGCTCCTTAGGGTTTCGCCAAAAGTTCATGAGTCTAACATGCGCGCCAGGCGGCCGGGGCGATGAGCGGTGCATGGAGAGGTTGAGCAGTGCATACTTCATGCTGCATACGCCATGCCTCCAGACGGGCTCAGCAGAAGATCATGGTGTGCCGCGACTGGGTGACGTCTCGATCGACAGAAATAGCTAACTAGCTACACCTGACGGCAATCGTCCTGCTTGTCACGAAACTGGCAGCTTCCCGTGAGTAAGTCGGATCGACATACGGCTGCTCCGCGCGCACTTCTCCCAGTTTCGCGATGTGACTGGTTGCAAGCGAGAGGAGGGCAAAGGATGGGCGCAGAGCAGGATTGGATCCGAGTCGTAATTCGCGGCAGGCGCGGTTCGAGACAATCCCAAAAGTCAAACCGTTCATATATGCAAAGCGCCGCAACACCATGCCACAAAAGACGCTTCACAAAACACACATCTCGTCACCCCTCAATAACCCACGCGATACCCATACCCCTGCAACTTCCCACAGCTCGGCATTTCCATCCTTCGCGCCCTCTCCAACTTCTCCTGATCTGTCCAAAAGAAGCCCTGCGCCTCCTGCGCCAACCGCTGCCGCTCCGCCATCTCCCACTCACACTCCGCGCTCAGATGGCCAATAAACTTCCCCTCGGCCACTTTATCCAGATCCCGCCACTTCCTCGCGGTATAGTCTTGCACCCGGTTTGGTTCGACCCAGTATGGTACGTTTAATCGATTGGACACGTGTTGTAATGTGTGAGGTGGTACGGCGGCGTCAAGACGTATACTTGGCCCGCTGGGTCCGGAGGCGCCTCCGGAGAAGAGGCTGGAGAGTAAAGGTAAGACGAAGAGCAGAAGAAGCGGTAGTAGTGATTGGAGGGCCGAGAAGAGGGAGGCGGGTTGTACGTTCTCGTGGTTATGCGGTCTTCGTCGTGGTCTGTCGCCGCCGAATTGGTGGATGCGGATGCCGGGTCCGCCACCACCGCCGCCGATGTTGAAGGCGAAGCCGGGGCCGGCGAACATGCCGCCGCCTGTATAACGCACATCATATTAGCCTGACCGTCCGTATTGCGCTCTCCACGGCTTCGTCTGTACTCACCAAACGGTCCCCCAAAGCCGCCACCCATCCCACCACTGAAGAACTGCCTAAACAACTCCTCCGGACTAATCTCCTCCTCGAACATCGGTCCTCCCCTTCCCCCACCACCACCTGGTCCCCTCTGCGAAGCAAACCCAGCAAACGGACTGGCACCACTCGCACTCCCACCTCCACCGAACCTACTCTCCGGATCCCCCCCAAACCGATCATACCTCTCCCTCTTCTCCTTATCACTCAACACCTGAAACGCTCTGCTAACCATCTTGAACGCCTCATCCGCGCCTTCGTAGCCGTTCTTGTCCGGGTGCGTGAGGAGGGAGACCTTGCGGTAGGCTTTCTTGATGTCGGCGTCGGTGCATGTTGTTTTGGTTTCGGAGAGGTTGAGGATGGCGTAGAAGTCGGTGGGGGAGCAGCGTTTTATGCGGAGCACGGCGGCTTTTTGTTCGACGGTGTAGGTCCGGTTGGTGCTGCCGTCGTGGTGGGTGCGGTGGGTGCCGTTGGGTTCTTTTTCGGGCATGGTTGGAAATGATGCGCTCGAGGCGCGGTGGGATAATGGTGGTGGGGTCGGTCCAAGATGGAGCGGTGGTGGTGGGTGAGAGGGAGGCGTGGAGGGTGAGAACTTAGCACATCTGTGGTGCGCTGATTGGACCGAAAGCGGCTATGTCTCTCCAAGTTGTTGCTTGCGATGCGACAAGAGAATCAGAGGGTGTTCGCAACATGTGTCGAAATCTAATGGTGTTGACAGATTGCCCGGTCGGAAGTGCCTCGAGACCCTGCCGAGGTGGCCGCCACGCTCACCACGAGACGAGCTTCATATTGTGAGACCTCTGGAAGCACGTGCACTTTCGTACCTACCCTATTCGGACCCGCGACATCCTCAAGAACAGTACTACCCTTTTAAAGTGTCAGGCTAGCATGGCGCCGTAGCATTGGAACCTCATAGCCCAGCGACACGCAGATCACACCCACCATATACAGCATCCATCACCTCAGACACAATCAGCCAAAATGCCCATGCCGTCAAAAGACACAGCCGAGAAGGCAGAACAAGGCGCCTTCCAATATGCCTTCGCATGGGGAGGTGAGTCTACACCCACTACAGTCCCAACCACAACCACAACTAATTGAACCTACCTCCAGAGAACGCTCTGCCCCCATCGTTGTTAGCAACCCTAATAGCAGCCCAACACCTCCGCCCCTTCCAAGTCTTCCCCATGCTCTTCCCGCCCGTCCTCCTCTTCTCCTCCTACCTGAATGTCAATGGCTACAAAAAGGACGCTGCAGGCTTAACAGCAGCCTGGAGTGCCGCATACTTTGTCCTCGCGTCGCGGCGAAGGCAGGCACACTTTGTGTCGAGGTTTGGCGCGAGAGGGTTGGTGAGGGGTGCGACGTTGGGTTTGTGCGCGGCGAATGTGGTTGGGTGTGGGGTTGTTTATGCATTTGGGAGGAGGGAGGGTGAGGAGAAGGTGTGATGGGGTGGGGTGGGACGGTTTGATGGAGTAGAGTGTAAGATATGTACATCTATAGCGGTGTAATGTCTATGAGACTCTCATCATGACCAAGCCTTCCGCACCTTCTGCCTCAAAGGCCGCGCACAGGGTCTGATGGGCCTCCGGACAGGGTAGTGGGCCCTGAGGAATTGCTGCTGCACTGCAGCAATGGCGATGTTTGAGATGAAGTAGAGCAGTAACGCGGCGGGCCACTGCTGCACCAGCCAACCGAACGCGCACGCGACAAGAAGATAGACGCGTTGCCACCTTGTCAGTGGTGGAAAGAGGTTCTGGAAGCGGTTCAGAAGCGGGCGAGCCGGTGCGCCCTTGGTTACAGGCACGCCCTCCTTCACTGCTTTGTCGATTGCTACTGCACTGTCCGGCATTGACGCCAACCCATCCGAAGTGCCCGAACGCGCCTTGGCTGCTGCCGCTGCGGCGGCGGCGTTGAAAGTGTTAGCCACCATGATGGCGACCATAGCAGCCGGTAGGATCCCCGTCGGATCCGGCATGGCGAGGTCGGGACACCATGGGAGCCCCTCTGTGTGCAGAGACGGATCAAGGTATGCTGCGTACGCCGGCTCAGGGTCAGGCGCAGGTGCTAACTTCGTCATGTCGTACGTGATGCTGCCTTGCTCGTCTACGACGCGGGCTTGCTCCAAGCGCGCGGCAAGCTGTTCGTCCTGTGAAAGTGTAGGTTGGAAGGTCATATCTAATGAGTCCTGTAAATCAGCTTTAAGATCGTTTCTAGCTCCTGTAGGAGCTAATTCCACACTATCTTTTATGAACCCTTCGCCTGAAGGTGTCGTAGTTTGCGACGCTCTCGACCCTACCGGCGCAGTTGCGGGGTTCGGTGAGGACGGCGAAGCATGTGTTTCAGGAGACCCGCCCTGGCGGTCCGGTACTCTCGACATCACAAACTCTCGGGACCACTGGACCGAGTTCACCAGTAATGGCAGCAATCCTTCCCTGCTGCCACTCTTCATCCGCAGAGACTCAGTCATAGCAATCAACACGCCGAAGTTAAGCAAACCTTTCAGACGTGAAGGCGCGGCATTGAACTGTTTGGCGATTCGCCGCGTCTCCGAAGACCTCCACCAAGAGGTATTGATTGCATAGAGTACGGGGCGAAACCGGTCTAACGGAGGATCCCAGTCCCTCCACTTCTGTTTCTCTTCAGGCGTCTCGCGTCTATGTGCGAATCGAGCGGCTACCAGAGGTTGGAGGTACGAATACACCTGCGCGGCTTTTTGGTTGGGACGGCCGACATAGTAGTACAGTAGAAGGCCGCGGACCGCGAAGGCAGTGGTCGGGATGACGGCGTACCATGGTAGGCCGAGGGAGTGGAGGCTGTCCAGAAGAAAGGTCGGTGGTGCGACACATACATCAACCACACTGAATCTCCGTGTGGTGGACGCAGAGAAAGACCGAGCAAGAGAGGCGCGGTATGCTGCCGCTCGGATTGCGGGCGGCAGACGTAGTATGGAAGTTCGTAGTGTGCCGAGTGAGGCCGAAGAGGCCATCGTGCCTTTCGGGAAAGCACATTGACACTCTCACGTGCTTCGGAAGTGTAAGTGAAGTCTAGCCCAAGAATTGCGGCTCTGCGAACAGACCCTGGAAGCGGAAACGGAAGGGGACGCCGCTGCACAGGACAGGGATCATGGCGACGCATGGTTAAGTCTGACGTGTTCCTGTTCGTGTTCATCGGCAGGAACCATCTAACAAGTAAACGTTTGTGACACTCTCACTAGAACCACGCTCACCCACCAACATGCAATAACATCAAGAGAACATTGTCTGGGCTATGCCACCCCGGAACTCAAAGATGGCGGTGATGCCAAGCATGCTTGCGTTGCTGCTTGGTACGGCGGCAACTTTCGCGCTCTTACCATACCTCGTCCGGCTGATTGGACGGTTACTGGGCTCGAACATCCGGAGTAGGACGCAGAACAGGCGCGAGCTTCTGCTGAGTCGAGCACAAGCAGAACAGGATGCGGTCCCTCAAAGTGCGGCATCATCTAATGCACAACCGCCTCTAACCACCTCGTCAGACGATGACTGGGAGAAAGTGAACGACGGCGAGAAGACTCCCATTGCCTCGCAGACCGAGCGGAGTGCAGCGGACTTCACCGGCGTGATTGGCTTCTTCCACCCTTTCTGCAATGCCGGCGGTGGCGGTGAGCGAGTACTCTTCGCCGCTGTCCTCGCCACTCAGCGTCGCTACCCAAACGCTCTTTGTGTAATCTACACTGGCGACCACGATGCATCGAAGGATCAGATCTTGACTAACGTGCGCAACCGCTTCAACATCGAGCTTAGCCCAGCTAGAATCGCATTCTTGTACCTGAGCACACGGGAGTACGTCTTGTCTGCCAAATGGCCGCACTTCACCCTGCTAGGTCAAAGCCTGGGTAGCCTGATGCTTGGCTGGGACGCCTTCAACTTGCTCGTCCCTGATATCCTCGTGGACACGATGGGCTACACTTTCGTGCTCGCGCTTGGCAAGTGGCTGTTCCCACACATGCCGACAGGCGCATACGTTCACTACCCCACCATCTCTACCGATATGCTCTCGAGCCTTCATTCCGAGCTAGCTTCTGGAGATGGCCTAAATGCTGGCTTAGGCAGAGGCGCAAAGGGCAAGGTCAAGCAGCTCTACTGGGAGCTGTTCGCGAAGCTGTACAGCTGGGTTGGTGGCTCGGTGGACGTTGTCATGACCAACAGCAGCTGGACGCACAATCATATCTCGCACTTATGGTCGCCAGCACGAACGCAGCGACGAAAAGTACATCCCATCTCGGTCGTCTACCCGCCTTGTGCCGTTGAAGAGCTGCAGTCAAAGATTCCATTCAACAACGAGAGCGAGAAAGCTCGAACTCGCAATTTGCTCTACATCGCACAGTTCCGACCTGAGAAGATGCATCAAACAATCATCGACGCCTTCAGCGCGTTTCTCAAGACCTACAAGCAGCTCGCAGACACCGAACCGAAACCGAACCTTATCCTCGTTGGTAGCGTGCGAGACGATCACGACGAGAAGCGTGTGTACAAGCTCCGCCTGCAAGCGCAGGAGATCAAGGATCGTGTGCAGTTTGTGGTGAACGCGAAATGGCCACAAATTCTCGAGTTTCTGAAGTCTAGCTCAGTAGGCGTGAACGGCATGTGGAACGAACATTTCGGCATCGGAGTGGTGGAGTATCAGGCCGCGGGTCTGATTAGCGTCGTCAATGATTCTGGCGGGCCCAAAGCAGATATCGTTGTTGATATTGACGGTCAACCTACTGGCATGTCTCCCACTTACGTCCCTTGTCGTATCTCTTATATGCGCTGACTTCGTACTTGCAGGCTTCCGCGCGACAACAGAGAAGGAGTTTGCAGACGGCTTCGCAAAAGCGTTATCATTATCCGAGGAGGAAGCCTTCACCATGCGCCAACGAGCCAGGAAGAGCAGTTGGCGCTTCTCTGAGCGTGTTTTTAGCGATGCATGGACGAACCAGCTGGAGAAGCTGGTTGAGCTTGTCAGTTCACAGTCGTTGAAAGGCAGCTCATAAGCCATCTCTTTCTTGCGGAAGTTGTGCGGTTGTCACCTTCCCCTTTCACTCTGCACAATACAAAGTGATGCAGCATGCCAGAATCTGTGCCGGGCTAGGCGAAGGTAATTCATCTTGGCATTACCAAGGTCGCTTCAACAGTGACGGCGAGTTGCGAATGTGCAACGATGGCAGTGACGAATGTTCAAGTTCACAATGCCTTTGCAGCTTCCCGAAGCACCAGAGGATTCGTTTAATCATTTCACGCCGCCACGAACCCTGTGGGACGGACGTGACCACTCTCAGAAGCAACAATGGCTCTGCAGTTTCTTGCTGCAGCAACGTAGTGGCCACGACTAGCTTGTGTCGCAGGGAATCCGACAGACAGAAGTAACGAATCCCAAAGCAGCAACCGCTCTGCGGCTTCCCACTGTAGCGATGGGCGAATAACGACAGCTTATGCTGCTGGGAATGAGGTCCTATATACCATTGCATCATCTTCAGGCCATATCATCTGGCCGGCACATCGCGATGGAGACCATCCCCCTGTGACGCTTCTGCGATCATCATTCTCTTGGCTATGCTTCTGAGAGTCGTCTTCGCCTCCGGCCAACACCAAGCCTGAGGTCGTCACGGTTCCATTTGGACGACGCTTTACAATTATCAGTACGACACGGAAGCGGGACCTCAACACTGCCTGTTGCGCCCTCCAAGTATGGGTTAGCTCGTGAGTGGCACTTTCTCGGCAGGTCTCCCATACATTCCTCAACTGATCCTCATGACAGACTACCTCAAGATCAGCATCGGCTCGCTTCCACGGCTAACCTGCCTGGATATTGATACAGGCAGTAGTGTCGTGTGGGTATTGTCTGGAAATGCTACCTGCGGCTACCGTCCAGGTAAGACGTGCGGTCATCGCGAAGGTGGCGAATGTAAGGCAAATCCAACATTCCCCACCATAGTTGACTGCATTGATGGTGACGGCTCGACGAGCCGGACATTTCAGACACTTAACGATATGTCTCGCCGGATATTACCATTGTTTACGCGAACTCCTCCAGCGTCCTGGCGGGTGACTTTATCAATAAGACATTACGCATCGGTACCTTCCAGATATCCGGACTTCATAACCGGTCTCGCTACCGAAGTGCAACAGGCAAGGATTGGCACAATACGCCTGAGTCCGGCCTCGTATGAACCCCGTGCAGTGTAAAGCCTGCAGTTGCCACGCTCGACGATCGCGGATACGCATGGCCGAGCCAGCCCTTATAGGAGCAAAGTCTTGAGCGTGTATATGGACGAACTCATGAATACCACCGGAATCTCGTTGTTCGGCGGAGATCATGTCGCTAAATTCTCTCCACCTCTTCGGGTTCTGGACTTGGTCAACAAGGGTAACAGTATCCTGGTGTACATGAACGTTAATTGGACAAGGCTGTTAGTCTCGGATACACAGGGTACGCGAGCTATGGGTCTGTCGTTACGATTTACGGCATATCTCGATACTGGCCTCCCGGCCATGTATCTTCCCACCAACGTGTTCCAGTAAATCTCACCGTACTCCGGCGCAAGCGAGAGCAGGTACGTGGATTGCGCTCTAACGTAGCGGGCAAGTGACATCTACCTTCCACATACCTCTAAGCTGCAGTCCTTGCTGATTCCGCTGGACATCAGTAAGGCAGCCTTCGCTTTGTTTTCAGCGGCGATGACGGTCGACAATTTCTGCTCCTTTCACCGAGCTCACGTCACCAGCTGTCCCCTTGAATGGTCATCCAAGACTGGAGAGCAATCGCTCGCAAGCCCACCGTCTCAACGTCCATGATGCAGGCGATCATGGATATGTCATCCTCGGAGACGCCTTCCTTCGCTCCGCGTACTTCGTGTCTGACATCGACAATCAAGCGGTTGGGATGGACACAAGCTTCGTGGGACGCCACTGTGATGAGCATGGTGAAACTAGACTCGAGCGGCGTGGAGAGGGGAGGTACTCAAGTTCTTAAGTCGGTCCGCCTATTATGCAGCTTGCGGTAGTGTCAGTCATGCCCTACACATCTGCATAGTTGACCGAGGGCGTGGCATTGGTCCTAGAGCTGCTTCACTGCGACTATTCGGCGAGGGACAGCGCAGAGACTGGCAGGTTTGGCTCGGGCGAAGTGTACACTTAATAATAAAGATCAATGCGTTCTCCGTGTGATAGTGTGATTTTGCATCGCTCATCCGGTTGATGATGGTTGACTAGTAGTCATTACGACAACCCAAAGATTACTGAACAGCTTGTGGATGCAGGTGCCCTTGAGATGTCTCCATACCATGACGTAGTAAGGTAAGAGCATCAACTATGGCTTTACCTCATATTAGTAGCATTGCGCATCGCTGGAAACTCGGAAGCTGACGAACACTGAAAAGAAATATGATGTCTCTTCCCAAGTCTTGCTCGCTGCGGACAGCCGGTGGCAGGACTATCGAGATACCATCCGTCGGCTACGGTACGTGGGCTCCAGGCGATACGATATGGGCCAAAGACGCCACACTTGCGGCACTAAAAGCTGGTTACCGCCATCTTGATTGTGCGTGGATGTATGGTGTAGATGAGGCGGTCGGTGAAGCTATCAGAGAGTCGGGCATTCCACGAAATGACCTCTTCATCACTTCTAAGGTACCGATAGTTCCTTAATATTTGTATCAACGTAGACTTATGTACACAGTTCTGGCCGCATTTCGGCCATCCCGACAACGTCGAACTATGCTTGGACAAGATCCTATCAAACATGGGTCTGGAGTATATTGATCTCTACCTCGCCCACTGGCCGTGCGTCTGGAAGCCACTGTCTCAGGAAGCGCTGAAAGAAGCGCGATCTGGACCCAACACTTCTCGCGAAGAAAAAGGTCAGGTCTATCTCGAAGACGGTAAGCCTGTGGTCGACTGGGAGCACTCTACTGCCAATCTTGCAAGGCGGAAAGGCTTCGAGGGTAGCTTTGTGCCAACGCTTCAGGCTATGCAAGCATGCGTGAAGAAAGGCAAAACAAAGGCAATCGGCGTTAGCAATTTCTCCATCACCGACATTGAGGAGCTTCTCCCGCATGAAGACGGTGTGCCTATTGCTTGTAACCAGATCGAAGTCCACCCGTGGCTACCTCAGACCGAACTCGTCGACTTCGGCAAGAAGCATGGCATCGTCACAACGTGCTACAGCCCGTTTGCGGGTCAAAAGGCGGACGGTGCTACTCTGCTGAAGGACTCCAAGGTGCTGGAACTTGCAAAGAAGAACGGTATGGATGTTGGCCAGCTATTGCAGAGCTGGGCGGTACAGAGAGGGACCGTACCTCTTGGGAAGAGCGCCACGCCCGAGCGCATACGCTCGAATCTCGATGTACGGCGCTTGTCCGACGAGGACATGAAGACGCTGGACGGTATGGCATTGTCTCATGGCGAGGGACGAACTGTAGACTTCTCGGACGCTTGGGGTGTGCCGCTGTTCGAAGGTTGAGATTCAAAGATCATCGAGAGTGACGATGCCTCCCGCTACAAGCAACTTCGACCAGAGACAGTGGTGCGATAGTAACAGGTCTTCAGAGTACAGGACCGGACGGCGGACGACTTAAAGCGCGAGACTTGACGCTTCGACTAACATGTTCACCAGTCAGCCCGAATATGGCCAGTTACTGCTATGCTAGGGTTTCCTCTTCAGTGATCATGGCTGCTGACGTTCATAGCCCAGTGCTGCAAACACTACGTAACTACGTAGAGCTGCCCGCGTGGGCGGCTCCAAGTCAATGTGGTCTTCACCAGTTGCTACATCTTCCGACAATCGCCTGTTTCACTACTGCTTCTTAAGACACCACTGCAATTACAGCTTCTCTCACTGATCAAACAACTCAAGCAGCAAGTATGTCCTGGTATCAAGACATGATGGAAGACCTCATGGACGCGCAGCAAGACATGATGGAGGCTCAAGCAATGATAGCTCATGGGGGACCTGGTGTGATGATGGACTATGGCAGAATCGGGGGTCCCCACCCCGGTGGCCTCTCAGTAGCATCTCAGACGATTGGCATGAATGGCATGCCGCCGTACAACGTAACCGTGATGCAGAGACCAGGACAGCCCCCAATAGTCACTACATCCGGTAACGGAGGTAAGACGCTTGCAGCTCGAGAAGCTTCAGCACGGTGTACTCTATGAACGGTATCACTGACGAGCATGTGGTGCAGGCATGATTTCCGGAGCCGGTGGCATCCCTGGGTGAGTTGAGGTTGCCGTAGCGTGTGTGGTGAATGTTGACATGTCCACAGGATGACCATGGGGCCGTCCGGATGGAGCATAGGAGGACCCTCCGGAATCAATATGGGGCCTACTGACATGAACATTGGAGGGCCGTCAGGAATTAGTATGGGACCTACTGGCATGAACATTGGAGGGCCGTCCGGGATCACTATGGGATCCGGAGCGCTCGGCACGGGTTCCTCTGGGATGGCTGGGATGGGTGTGCCCGGAGGAGGCGTGGGAACATCCGGAGGAGGCATGGGTATGCCAGGTGGTGGAGGGATGGGCATGCCAGGCGGTGGAGGGATGGGCATGCCAGGCGGTGGAAGGATGGGCATGCCAGGCGGTGAAGGGATGGGTATGCCTGGAGGTATGGGTATGCCTGGAGGAGGTATGGGTATGCCTGGAGGAGGTATGGGTATGCCTGGAGGAGGTATAGGTATGCCTGGAGGAGGTATAGGTATGCCTGGAGGTATGGGTATGCCCGGGGGAATGAGTATGCCTGGAGCAGGGCCGGCCGGTCCACCAGGGTACGATGCTTCCCACCGTCACCGCTTGGACGCTGACACTAACCCTACTACAGCATGCTCGGAGGTCGCTCACTGCCGCAAGGCATGGGTGGCCAAGGCGGAGGGAGGCCACCAAGCGAGACGGAGAGTGTTGAAGCTGATGATGAGTCCGATGGTTGAAGGACTTTGAGGTGCTGTGACGACCTGGTGTTATATCGTTGGGCATTGACGGAGTAGTCGGTTTAGATCGAGGTCCCCAAGAGATTGAGTATGCGTTCATTAATGTTTCTATCTCTGGCCCTGTAACCGAGCTCTTATCACGTCTGTGGTTAAGGTGCAATATCACGAGCATCGCGATCTACGCTCACTTCGTCCTAATATTCATCGTAGTGCACATTCGCGACAGTCGCACCTTGTGCGCCGAACGTGCGCCATCGTGATCTCGCCCGTGTGGGTATATGACGCATGGTTTACACCCAGTCAAGCGTCAATGTCAGGCCAGGGTCACTGACGCATATTGCAGTCGCAGCCTAAGAGCGCGCATCCTTCGAAATGCTTGCAATTCAGCGCATTAACCAAGTCTCTGAGCATTTTCCGACTCGCGCTTTGTGGAACACAACCGGCGTCATGTTCTTTAATGGTAGGCCGGATCGTGAACGTCAAGCTTGGGTCCGAAAAAGGGCGGAAAGAATGCCTAAAGGTCTCGAAGGGCCGCTTGGGTTCGGCGGAGTACCGTCAGCCAGCACTCCAGACTGGGGAGCCAGCATGATGATCTCACCATCAACTTGCCTCCCAATCGAAGGTTTTGCAATCGCCAGGGGCGGTGGTGGTATGTCGCACTCACCCGTGGCTGTGATAACACAGACACAGGACAGTCCGCGAACTGGTTGGCAGGACAGAATGCAGGCTAAGCATGATCAAATGGCAGCCGAGCAAGAGCAAATGAGGGCGAAGCGAGAGCGGGTTATGGCAAAGCAAGCTAGACGGGCAGCGCTAAGTAGGGGAGGATCTTTCGGACCATGGATGGGTCTACCGCCTGAAGCCAGTGCCATTATGGGCGGGGCTTTCGGACCTAGCATGAGTATGAGTGGCCCTCACGGCGGGTTCATGGCAAGTGAGTCATCTAGGCCCGGCCATCGAACCTGCATCCATGAGGATGCTGATCTTCATCATAGGTCCAGGTACTGGTGGACTTGGAGGCATCCTAGGGATACCAGGGTGAGTGTGAAGCTTAACATAATCGTGCTTCCTGCTGACTGAGGGCCAGAATGATACCCGGCGGCGGAGTCTTCGGTGGTGCCGGAGCTGGCCTAGGCGCACCAATGGATAGAGGGTTGCCGCAGGGAATGCCAAACATGGGCGGTGGCGGCGTGGGCGGAGACGCGTTACCAGGTCTAAGAGGCAAGGACCTTAGGAGTGGCGCTATGCCGAATCTGCCCGGCCTTGCGGGTCCTGGAGCTGTCAAGGATGAAAACGGCGGTGAAAGCGACTGGATGCGTATAAGAACCGGCCATTTGGAAGATTGTGCTGGAGCCGGAGTGTTTGTCGGCTCCGGTGGTTGACAGAGCAGGCAGAAGTGCAGCGACGATGAGGAGTATGTGATTTTATCGGCCAGTCCAGAGCATCTCGCTCGACCTTAGCGTGCCAAAGATATGCAGTGGTAATGGACACAGCCTTTTCGGCGGCTGATCTAATCACCATGGGCGGAAAGTTCTGTGTCTAACACTCCTTCTGCACCGTCCAAATGCCAAGACCTCTGCGCCCTACAACGCGGCGCAAAGTCGGCCACACCCCATCCTCTCCCCAGTCAAGGTCATCGAGTCCAATATGCGCACGGTGAAGGTGGATCTGATCCAGAGCAAACGTGCTCCCCTCCATCACAACATGCGAATCGGTGTATGCGTCCAAAAACGTAGCGCTTAGCGGCGCAACAAGCAGCGTTCTTCTCGTGCTATTGCGACAGTCGGCGGCATGCGCCAGTTGCTCAAGCATGCCGTCTCCAGGCATGCCCATAAGATCTGTGGTGTTGATCACAACGTTAGTGGTGCCGAGCAGCCAACGCGGCGGACTGTATGTCTTCCACCACAGCACATGTGAGACATTAGACTGCTTGCCTATCCATGACTGCACCGGAACAACGCCACCTTGGTGATAGATACCGAAGAGGACTGCAGCAACCATGTTGAACGCTGCCCAGAGATACAACCACGAGGGTGCGCGCCGGGTAGGTAGCTTGATCGCAGAAAGCAGGAGCGGCACTGCAGGGGTGAGAAAGCGCGCTTCCTGATGCTTAAAGCAGGATAGAATTCCAATGCCGCCGATAGCAGACCAAAACAAGGTGTCTTTTCGACCATTTGTGAGCAGCAACGGGTATGCTGGGCCAATCAGCTGCGCCAGATTTAGTACTAAGTGGTGCCAATGCGGATGCAAACCGTGCTGTGCCAGGTTCGCTGCGTCAAGATTATAGACAAGGTTATTCCACGGAGTGCAGACGATAGAGGTGCTGTTGGACGTGAAGTTGGCCCGGTGTCCGCGGTAGAACTCTGTGTCTATGGCAATTGCCACCATTGCGGTAAGGCTGGCGGCAACAGCGAGGGGAAGAAGCCGTAGTGGCTTCGCCACAAGATGTGGAAGCGTCTTCGCGGCCGCGACCGCCAAGTATGCAGGAAATGTGATACGGTTAAACACGCCTAGAGTGCCAAGGAAGGACAGCGCAACACACAGCCTGATCTGGACATGGTCCTTGTTAGCTTGCAGACGCCGCATTAGTACCAAGCACCATAGCACAATGATTGTCTCGATGCTGTTGGAGAAGGTATGCATCTGGTACGTCCCAGTAACATAGGACGAAGCCACGAGAAGCAGCGAAAGGGACCGCTCAGGGGTTTCGAGCAGCAATTCATGTAGTGCCCAGTCTTGCAAGACGAAACTTAGTAGGAACATGAACAACCGGAGAGCGTAGAAGACGTCAATCGGCGCTGCTTGGTAGCCCAGGCCGTGACAGATCCATTTGAAGATTGTCAGCGGAGGTCGGTAGACAAGCCATAGCGGGAAGATGCTCCGGATCGGATGGCCAGATGTGAACTCCCATGTCCGGTAGACTGGCCAGCCAAAGATGTCACCTACCTTGCATCAGACCTAATCAAGAGCCATGAGTTGCGGATGCGTATTGATACCGGTGATGACTTCGGGCCCCTGGAAGTGCTCATCCGGGTGGACGTAGCTCGGCTGCAGCGCAAAGTATAGCCGTGCAAGCACCAGCATGAGGTATAGTCTTCGAGACATTGTTGGACGGTCCTCCTCTGGACAAAACAAGTCGCCTGTCACAAACGGACGCGTACAGTCCCTGGTGGAACACGAGCAACAGCGCAGGCCTCAGAGACCATTACTCCGTAATTGTTGGTGCATGCTAACGGAGTACTCGTCTAGCACTGGGTTGGACTTTCCAAAAATGTGTAGAGGCATACGGAGCAATGAGACGAGGTCAGCAACTGTCCATGGTTGTCTGCATGCCTAAGGCACTCATTCATACAGCCTGTTCTTAATGCCTCGGCCGATGAGCTAGCTCCACCAGCCACACCTTCATCGCGTGCTCTCTTGTCCGTCGTTCGGTTAATGGACATACAGATCAGTAAACGATATCCGTAGACCAACTTTCCCAGGTTTTACGGCCATCAGAATTGAGGCAACGAGGATGCGATGATTGCTGCCACTCGCCGTTGGTTTCGAAAGAACCGAACCAACCTCCTCATCGGTGCCGGCGTCATTGGTGCAGGCTACGTCGCTGGGCAGTACGTATGGACGAAGATCCAGGAGGCACGGCAGCGCTCAAGCGAGGATCGTGTAGCGAAGGACAAGTATGTGCCATAGCCGGCATCATATAGGAACCTTGACTGATATAGAACGATTAGCCTCCGCAGGCGATTCGAACAAAACCAAGAGGACTGCACATACACCGTCCTTGCCCTGCTACCAACCTTGCGTGACGAGATCATCACTGCTTTACCGGTTGAGCAGATCAGCGAACAACTTCAGCAAGAGCGGCAAGAGCGATTGAGAAAGCTAGGGCAATCCGAAGCAGCATCAACCGAATACCCTTCAGTACCGCCCAGTGTAGTGAACGAAGATGGGCAAAGCTTATCAAGCAGTAGCTATGTGCACGCCAGTCAGATGGCTGGTAGTTCATTAGGCCCGGACGGTGCGTCAACGCGACCAAAGCGAAGCAAGGCGCAGTTATGGCAGGATATGAAGATCAATTCGATCGCGCGCGCGTTGACACTTATATACACACTGTCCTTACTGACCATACTTACTCGGATACAGCTGAACCTGCTGGGCCGAAGGACGTATATCTCATCGGTAGTGGCGCTGGCGTCGCCACCCACGACCCAGCAATCTTCAAGGATATCGTTAGAGAACAGAGACGATGACGGTTACGATGACATTTACGGAAATGATCTAGAAACGAACCGAAAATATCTTACATTCAGCTGGTGGCTGTTGCATCGTGGTAGTAATCAAATCATGGAACGTGTCATGGCCGCTGTCAAGGAAGTGTTTGGCCCCGTGAACATTCGGGAAGACATTACGCTAGATCGACTTAGCAGTCTGTTGATGGAAGTCCGAAGGAAGGTAGAGGGCGCCACTACAGAAGCTCGCGGGCAGATGCGCTGGTTACCGTATCTACTGCCACCAGCGGAGCAGGAGAGCTTTGTCGTGCGGCAAGCGGCAGTGTCTGATAGCGAGGAGTCGCCATATGCGGAGGGTCAAATGGATCCATTAGCAGCCACCGCTAATGCGACCGACGATACCATCAATGAGTCTTTGCGACGATTGCTGGATGAGACTTCGGACCTTGTCGACTCACCAACTTTCGCTCAAGTGCTGACGAGCATTATCGACGCGGCATACTCGCAGCTTGTGGACCATCGCATCGCCCTGGAGTCGTTCAGGGTCCCGGTGTCTCCTGAGGACGGCGGCAGAATCAGTGAGATATCGGACGCCAAATGTAAGCTGGCGCACGTGCTACCCATTTTTTGTCGACAAGCACATGCTATTGCAGCCGGCAGCGGCGATCTTGATGCTATGGCCAGCGTAGCTGCTCAGGGGTCGTTAGGTAATGAGTATCTGGCGGCCATTGACCAGGTCCACGATCTGAACGCTTTCGCGGCGGTGATCTACTCGAGCAACTTCGAGCAAGAACTGGCGGAACGGGAGCCGGAGGTCTCGCCGGGCCCTTTTCAACCGCAGGAAGGAGGTCAAGATCCTGCCTCTTTACCCGTAACCCTGTTTGACGGCCTTGCTTCAACTATTGGATCTGGGCAGAGAGCTGCCGCGGACAGCATAACGGGGCTGAGTGGCACTGGCGTCTCGAGTACAGCTGAGCAAGAGAACCCCACATCTGGGGCAGGAAAGACAACAGACCCGGACATGGAGGCGGCCTGGAAGAACGCTTTGGCGAAAGAAGATGGTGTCTCCTTTGATGCTCCAGTCCCGGTAAATGACTGAACGTGGACGATTGTAATATGCCACCGGAGATACTAGGGCGTTCTATACCCAGTTGATACACGATCGAATGTAGGTGGTCAACGATATTGATGCTTCCTCGAAACGCTTCACACTTGGTGGGCCGCAAGAACGGCACCGCAAGCTCGACTATTGCTCTCGTGGCGCGAAACTTACTTTGTGCCATTGCTTGCTCTGACTGCATGTTGGTTTTTGCTCCAACCACAATGCTCGAATGATTAAGCAAACCCAGGAACGCTCAGGCTATTTTGCAGATAATTGCCAAGGTTCTTCCATTAACCCAATCTGTAACTGGGGTAAAGTCCGTGAAGGCACCGACAGCACCTCATCTCGCACTTACGCCGAGTGTATCCTATCACACGACCGCCAAACTGCCTACCGCATTGCCGTAACTCACTGCCACCGTAACACTGCCAACAAATCTTGCCCTGAGTTTGCCAGCCTCTCACGCTACAGCGGACTTCGTGTCTCAGGGTCGCCGTTTGGTGGAAACGGTGGAGCATCTGTGACGTCGTTTTTCATCTCTGCTAGCCCACATGGTCGCCCTCAGGCGTGAGCTGACCACTTCACTCGTCGGCAAACGTAAGGAGATCTCCGAGCTGATCCTCTGTCCGTCTCGCGTCTGCACGCAGGCCCCGTCGGAGCCTTACCTCTTCTCGGGGTGCAGGGATGGCGGATACGCTTGCGGACCTCACCATGCCTCGTTATATGGGGACAGTCACGACGAGGTGCGCGGTAAGGCCTGTTACAAAACCCGCAGTGTCTCCCACAATTTTATCTTCTCCAGATACCCTTTCACTCCGCTCCCCATACTCTTACATCACCAGTGTGCAAGCTTGGTCTCTCCAGTACTGCGCAGTGTTCTTCTCATTCTAGACAAAGACAACAAGCAGCGTCTCGGCCAAAGGCAGGCCTACAAACACCATGGTATTGAAGGCGAGATACAGCGACAATGAGCATGGCGTGCCGCACTTTGCTGGCTTGACCGGCGCGAAGCTGTCGATCCTCGTCTCGGTCATCGCAACCTCGGGCTTCTTACTCTTTGGTATGTTCTATCATCTGCCTTTCCAGCATGGGTGTAGCTGACGTTTCGTAGGTTATGACCAAGGTGTGATGTCCGGTATCATTACGGGCGAGGATTTCAACAATTATTTCCCACAGACCAAGAACAATTCGACATGGCAGGCTTTCGTGACCGCGATATACGAGGTTGGGTGCCTTTTGGGGGCGATCTTCCAGCTCATGTGCGGCGATGCAATTGGGAGACGGCGCGCCATTATTCTCGGCGCATCGATCATGATCATTGGCGTCATAATCCAGGTCACAGCCTTCTCCGGTGCGAATGCGACTGCGCAGTTCATCATTGGTCGGACGGTCACTGGAATCGGCAATGGAATCAACACCTCCACTATTCCGACATACCAAGCAGAATGCTCCCGCACGAACAACCGTGGCCTCTTGATCTGCATTGAGGGTGGCATAATCGCATTTGGCACCTTACTCGCATACTGGATCGACTACGGTGCGTCTTACGGACCTCCAAACCTTACCTGGCGCTTTCCAATCGCCTTCCAGATCGTCTTTGGACTTATCATCGCAATCACCATGATATGGCTGCCGGAGTCGCCTCGATGGTTATTGACCCGCGAGCGACACGAGGAAGCCATAGCCGTACTCGCTGCTCTCCGTGGCACCCACCGTGAAGACGAAGAGGTTAAGCTCCAGGCCGGCATCATCAACGACAGCATCCGCGCTTCCGGTCACATCGGTGGCAACACTCCCTACAGCGCCCTGTTTACTGGCGGCAAGACCCAGCACTTCCGCCGGATGGTGCTCGGCGCATCAAGCCAGTTCTTCCAACAGATAGGTGGCTGCAACGCCGTGATATACTACTTCCCCCTGCTCTTTCAGGAGACCATCGGCACCGGTCACAATCTTGCACTTCTGCTCGGTGGTGTCAACATGGTCATCTACGCCATCTTCGCGACGACTTCATGGTTCATTATTGAGCGCGTAGGCCGGCGCAAGCTTTTCATCATTGGTAGCATTGGCCAATGCTTGTCCATGGTCCTAGTATTTGGGGCGCTCATCCCGGGCACACCGAGTGCAGCCAAAGGTGCTGCAGTTGGGCTATTCACTTATATCGCGTTCTTCGGTGCTACCTGGCTGCCACTGCCCTGGCTGTACCCAGCTGAGATCAACCCGCTCAAGACTCGCGCGAAGGCCAACGCTGTATCTACGATCAGTAACTGGCTGTGGAACTTCACTGGTAAGGCTGACATACCGCATCAGAAACATCCAACCCGAGCTAACTGCATGTCTATAGTTGTTATGTTTACGCCTCCTTTCGTCACCGCCGCACCATGGGGCACCTACCTCTTCTTCGCCGTCGTCAACGCTTGCTTTGTTCCGATAATCTACTTCTTCTACCCGGAAACCCGGCGACGCAGCCTGGAAGAGATCGATCTCATCTTCGCCAAGGGCTACCTGGAGAACATGTCGTACGTTCGCGCTGCGCGCGAGCTTCCGTATCTGACAGACGAGGAAATCGATGCGAAGGCGCGCGAGTATGGCTTCACGAGCGACGATGACGAGGCGGGTCAGATAAAGGAGGCGAGATACGGTGAGAAGGAGGGTGATTTGGCTGCCAATGTTGGCGGCCAGTTGGCTTGAGAGTATGTGCCTCAGAGGCGAGGACACGACGTAATGATATTCCCGGCGAGCGCTAAATCTGGTTACGACAACCGTACGCATGCATTCAGGCGTCGATCATATGTGGGATGAAATTGCAGTAAGCGTACGCGCTGCTGCCATGGGACACGATAGACTACATTTCACAGTCGAGACGGGCGAACGGGTGCAAGCATATACAATAAGCTACCCATCGAACTTCTTCAAGCTTTCAGTCAACCTTCGTAATCCCTCTTCTAAAACTTCCTTCTGCGTAGAGAACGTGAGCCGAAACCAGCCGAGCTCCTCGGGTACGAAGTTGGTGCCCTTTGCGACCATAACACCCGCTTTAAGGCATTCTTCGGTGATGGCGTCTTCCGTCTTCTCAGCCTCGTCCGAAGCTGCACCCTCAACGCCTCGAGATGGTTGTTGCAAGACCCAGCGCCGCAGATCCACCCACAAGAAGATTGCAGCGTTGCCGCCCTTGTAGTAGGGTATCGAGTGTTGATCCAGGAAGCTTGTCAAGGTGCCATAGTTAGTTGACAGCCGTTTTTGGCTCTCAGTGAGGAATTGCTTTAGCCACTTATCATCTTCCAGTATGCGTGCCCAGCAATCCTGGATGAGGTACGCTTCCCAGGCGAATGTTCTGTGTGACTATCAGCATAACAGCGGTTAAGCATGACTTGGAACTGCTTACGCAATTGTTATCATAGCTCGCCTCAGTGTCTCGCTTCGCGTATGTAACACGCCCAGCCGTAGACCGTTGGCACAAAAGTCCTTCGCTGCTCCGTAGAGCACGTGAACCATCTCTGGCCGGATAATATGGCTTAGTTCTACCGACAGAACGGAGTGGAAGTGCGTTGCGTCTGGAAAATTCGGGTTGCGCCACGTTGACATTGCATATATCTCATCGCTCAGGTAGTGCAGGTTGTGTTTGGCGCAAAAGGAGGCTATGGCTTTGATGGTAGCAGGCGGCTATCTGCTCGTCAGCACACAGCTTGATGTTCGTGTCGAGCGAAGGTCGGACGACACACGTAGCACTTTCCAAGCGGGTTATGCGGGCTATACATCGTCAGCTTCTCACCTTATTAAGGACTAATTGATATATACTTCGTAATCATCACCGCCTTGATCTTCGTCCCTTCCTTTTCCGCCTCACTCAAGCCTCTTTCGAGGCATCTTAGGTTAGCCTCCGCATCAAAGAGGTCATCAAGCACGACACCGCCATCCTCCCTCCGAAAGCTCACAGGCACAACCTTCCCTCGGCTCCGAATAGGCAGATCGTTTCTAAAGCCCGTATACAGCGGTCTTGGGAACAGAATGCCCTCGCCTTCGCTGCACAGACACCACGTTAGCTCGTCGATGACGGCACTCACGCCAGCCGTAACGATGAACTCTTCCGCCTTCGTCTGTTGCAGAGGTTCGAATCTGGCGTTAAAGAAGCTCGCCAGGGCTTTCCGGAGACGAGGCGAGCCCTGGGGGCCGTTACCATAGGTCAAATGCTCTGGTGGAGACACTGTGAAGTGGGAAGTAATGTGCTCGGCAAGCTCCTGGTGCATCAGCGTGTTCTCTGCTATGCCCAGGATGATAGTGCCGGTGGTATTTGTCCGGCTCCATGGGTTTGAGAGCGCTTTCAGCAGCGGAGCCCAATGATCTGGGTCGCGGACATTCTCGGCCGCGCGAGAAGAAAGCGTTTCAAGCTCAGCATCGCGAGTCAGTTTGGGAAGACTGGTGGCCATGCTGGGTGAGTCTGTCCTGTGCTCTCGTACGTATGGGCGGAACTTGGACGGATGAGAGCGAAGTAGTCAGCTGGGAAGAAGATGGTTTTACTTGGCTACGCGTAACATCCGGCTGTCTATGAAGGGTATGTCCAGTCCACAGTGGCCGAGCTGAAGCCACCTCATCTGCCCCTGGACAACGCTATCAACAACAAGGTCCGGAAGTACAACGCGCCTTACGAAAGCATAGCTCGTCGCCATCCCGCGTTCATCCCACTCGTGATCGCCAACCTTGTTCGAAGCCGAACGGCCCGATCATTCTCCGGCATAGGCTGCCAAGCCCGCGCTCAAGCCGCCTCTCTCACTCAAACTTCACACAATGACGTCTTTCTATGGGTCTTTCATCCTCTCGGTAGAGCCGGCACGCTTAACAGCCATGACCTGATCTCGTGGCCGTTGCTCGTGAACGGCGCGATGACGACGCTGAGGCGCTGAGTAATATTTGATGCGCGGTATAAGATTGGTAGGGTGATCCGACGACATATCCTCCCCTTCCTTCCTGCTTATCCACGTTGTCAACGTTCGTGTAGATTTAATTGAAAGGTGAATTCCGTCTTCTCACGTGGGGGACCGATGAACACTCTTCGTGCTCTCCGTGACCGGGTGGGCGGAAAACATGCAGGGCAGGCTGATGGTAGATTGTCTGGAGATGAGACGCCTCGCAACAATGCCAGTGTTATCCCGGAAGACCCTGCCTTCGCCGAGAAGGCGGACGTCGACAATTCGAGAGTCCGGCTATTCACCTTCAGAGTGTTCGCCATGGCTCTTATTGTCAGCATCGGAGGTCTGATCTTCGGTTACGATGTGAGTGCCATTAGCGGAGAGGGAGTGCAGAACGGACGCTGACTGTTTCCAGACCGGCCAGATCTCTGGCTTCCTGGAGATGGATGACTTTTTGGCCCGGTTCGGTAACGCACCAGGCCCAGCATTCACAGATGCGAGATCAGGTACTATCGTCGGACTGCTGTCTATTGGCACCCTCATCGGTGCCCTTTGCAGCGCTCCCATCGCAGACAAGTTCGGCCGCAAGATTTGCATCATAACCTGGAACATCGTCTTCATCATTGGCGTTATCGTCCAAATTACTACCAGCCGTACCTGGTATCAAGTCGCGCTAGGTCGCTGGGTAGCTGGTCTCGGCGTCGGTGGTTTGTCCGTTCTGACGCCTATGTACCAATCCGAGACTGCTCCGAGACAAGTGCGTGGCGCACTTGTCTCCTGCTATCAGTTGTTCATCACCTGCGGCATCTGGCTCGCCTACTGCATCAACTACGGCACCCACAATACGGCTGGTGCCGCTCAGTGGCGTATTCCGATGGGTATTGGCTTCATTTTCCCTGTGATTATGGCGACTGGCATTTGCTTCTTGCGAGAATCGCCCCGTTGGGACTACCGAAACGGCAACATCGAGCAGGCTCGCGTTACTATTGCTAGATCGTACGGTGTGCCGGTCAACCACTGGGAGGTGCATCGCGAGATGCGCGAAATCAAGGAGAAGCTTGACGCTGAAAATGCTGGTGGTGGGAAGCATAAGTGGTACGAAATTTTTACCGGACCTCGTATGGCGTACCGTACCTTGTTGGGCGTCACACTCCAAGCGCTGCAGCAACTCACGGGTGCCAATTTCTTCTTGTACGTCTCATAACTCTGCTCGTGTTCATTGAGCCAACTTGCTGATGACTCTACAGCTACTATGGTACGACTGTGTTCGCGAACATCGGCCTTTCTGACAGCTTCGTTACCTCCATTATCCTCGGCAGCATTAATTTCGGAATGACATTCCCGGGTCTGTGGGTCGTTGAACACTTCGGACGTCGCAGAGCTCTCATAACCGGCGCTCTCTGGATGTTCGTTTGTTTCATGGTCTTCGCCAGTGTTGGACATTTCCTGCTGAATGAGGGCCGCCAGGTCCACACTTCAGGCATTGTCATGATCGTCTTTGCGGCGCTGTTCATTGCAGGCTACGCCATGACATGGGGACCGATCGTCTGGGCCGTTATCGGCGAGATCTTCCCAACTCGCTACCGTGCCACCTGCATGGGTATCTCCTCCGCCTCCAATTGGATCTGGAACTTCCTCATCAGCTTTTTCACGCCCTTCATCACCTCAGCAATTGACTACCGATATGGCTACATCTTCGCAGGCTGTACGTTCGCTGCGGCTGTCATTGTCTACCTCTTCCTTTGCGAATCCCAAGGACGCACCCTAGAGGAGATTGACACCATGTACATCCTGCACGTCAGCCCGCTGAAGAGTTCCAATTGGGAGGCTCCAGAGGAGTCAGTGACGGCTGACGCACTGTACCTAGAGCCCGGTGCGAGGGGCATTCGTAAGGCAGATGCGGCAGGCATGGAGAATGCTCAGGGGTTGGAGCAGCTTCCGCCCGCTACGGAGAGGCATGGAATTCATGACGTGAGCGGTACGGGCTATGAAGCGGAGGCTTCTGGAGTGAGAAATGGGTCTATCGCTTGAAAACAACCGAGACCATACCTGCTTGACGATCATGATTATACACCATGGAATTAGCGTATTAATGGAGTGTACCATTCTGTATACCGCGCGTAGATCAACTCCCTTCTCAACTCGTGAAGACGTCCACTATGCGTTCCCCGCTCGCGCTTGCCTCTTACTACAGTACGAACTCACTCCTAAGGTATCGCCTGCAACATTTGATGAGCGCTCGCACTGACTTCCCAAGTTACAATATACTGTTACGTTGTGGCTTTTGCGCTGGACTCACCGTGTCGGCATGTTATGACTACAGTCACTTGCGCTGTTGATGGACCCTCAGAGGCTGAGGTGCCACAGCTGCAGCCTCGCCGGGCTGTGTGAAGGCTTGGGCACTGGATACTTGACGCCTGTGCGGTAAAGCACCCATCTTAATGGTCTGGAAGGACTCAACTTCTGAGTCACAAAACCCGAGTCCCGGACGGAAGGCTAAGCAGTCGACGGGATATCAGACAACATAACTCTCTGGCATCCACGACACAATTCCAGCACGGAAACAAGAGCTCCGATCATGGAGGCCAACTTCGGCGCGTTGACGGACGATTTCGAGGACCTCTTCACTTGCCACACTGCTCTACCGTTTCAAGATTATCCTAGCGAGTTCGAAGATGTCTTCGCCAACACCGCGTCAAGCACCTTCGACCTTTTCCACCTCCCACCCGAACTCTGGCTACGCATCTGCCATTTCGCCGTATTGGCTCCCGGCCCCATCAACTTGAGCAGCCACGACACAAGCACCGAGAACGCGTTGGTAGTGCAGCAACCAGCCGTGACGCGAACATGCCGTCTTCTCCGGAAGGAAGCTCTTCCCATGTTCTACCGCCTCAACAAGTTCGAAGCGCGATGGCTTTGCCATCATGAGTGCCCTCGTAACTGGCTTCTCGCAATTGGGCGTCATAGGTTGGAGATGATGAGCACCTTAACGATGTACACCGCTCAAGCCGCTGAGGCGTGGAGAGGCGGCTTCGAGCGCATGGGGATTCCTGTTGACATCAAGGTGGAGTCACACCAAGTATGGAACTGGTGCCCATGGCATCGCCGGAAGCGTAGGGTACCGACCTTGACTATTAGCTTTCTGAGCGAGGACAAAGTTGAAAGCGAGTCCACAGCCGAAGACAGCGACGATGGTGGTCTGAGCTTGTTCGACCAGTCGATGGAGGCGTATCGTGACGCAAGCGCAGAGGATTAGAGATTGGTCTACGGGCTTTCATCAGCAACCGCGAACGCTGCGCTTAGCATGATGCCTCCCAGCTTTGAGAGATGAAGCATTACAGTCTTTGGTCCAGCTGTCGGCTCGTTCCTACTTTTGAGGCCCATGCTTCAACACCATTCCAGTGGCGAATGCTCCGCTTTTACCGCAGTGTTCGCGCCTGGATCTCTTGCAGTGGTATCCGATCGTGATCTTCACCCGTTTCGACGTCTAAAGCGGCAACTGCCATCCCGCTGATTAGGCCTTGCTGGCTCTCCTCATCTGCCATACCGCTCGGTTCATCTACTACTTCATCCACTATTTGTGCTCTCTCTGATGTGGTCTTACCAGAAGTCATCACCGTTGCTGTAACCAATGCGGAGCCCAGGATCAGCGTGCTACCAGCGATACTCATCAGATCAGGCGTGTGATTGAAGGCAAGCTTGTCGAAGGTCAACGCGAAAAGCATTTGAGTGTAAGTGATATTAGTTGCGCGAGATGACTTCTCGTAAGCGAGCCCAGCCGCTAGAAGGAATTGCTGGGCTACGTCAGCTACTGGGAGTGCATAGGCATTTCATTCATGGACATACCATTACGAAGCCGCATACTCCAAGGAAGATAAGGTAGCTCCACTCTTTCAAATTCGCCGGTAAAAGGAAGCCCACATCAGGCAACGCCGTAAGCATGACAATGCTCACAAGCGTGCACCAGGCCGCAAAGTAGTTGACGCTGATCAAAGGATGCGCCCTCTTCCCGATCCAGCGTATAGTGGTGAAGGCTGTGGTAGCACCTAGCACGCCGACCAAGGCGACACTGACAGCCAACAGACGTTGCATTGGCGTGACATTGTCATAGTTCGAAGCGTCGCCGTGCGTAGACCCCATCGCCGGAGCTGTTGCATTCGTGCTCGGCATTGCATCACCAATGCCAGCTGCTGGGGGCGCATCGCCTGATGTCGAAACACCGCTGAAGGCAGCAAAGAGCGTCAAAGGCTTGGCTATGAGCGCGACACCGATGAGGGAGACAAATGTGGCAAGTTGCTCCACTCGACCAAAAGGCTCTTTGAGGAGAATGGAGCAAACCCAACATGCCAGTCCAGGTGATAAGAAGGTAATCACAACAGCGTCTGCAAGCGGGAGGTACAGTAGCGAGTAGTACATACCGTACACGCCAAAAAAGCCTCCGAACCCTCTGGCGACCAACAACCATCTCACTTCTGGCATGCCAAGCGGAAAGTACGGCGTCTTAGTCTTCCACATATAGCCTGTTGCCAGCATGAACGTGATGCCCATGCGGGCGAAGAGAATCTGATACGGATGCATGCCTTTGCCATTATTGCCTTCGACTTCGAGAAGCCTGGTGGTTACGTTCATCAGAGTGCCGAAGATCTGCGCCAGCAGCATGTAACCCAGTCCTAAGTTGCGAATATAAAAAGCGCGCAACTTGCCTCTCCAGCCGCGCGGTGGCGCTGGCGAGCGAGAAGGCTGGCGGTCATCTCGATGGACTTGCCTACCTGGGCGGAGCTGTTCGTACTCCTCGAATGAGAGGTTAGAGAGCGTATCGGGAGAAAGAGGCCTCACTGGCCCAGTAAGTGGCGCGGAGAGAAACCCATTGTGAATTACGTGCGGCTCATCGGGCTTGTTGAGCAGCGGCTTCGGAGCGAATGGATCGTCCTCGGGCGTTGTGTCTTCGTCGACTGAGTCAAGGTGCAGGAGGCTCGCTTTATCGCCTTGCTCAGACTCAAGCTTCGATAATGACAGGCTCATCGTCCAGCAGTGCGGTCATTCGCGGCACGTTCCAGCAAAAAGATGACATGGATAGACTTGTTTCAATGGCCGATACTCCAATGGTCAGGACGTAGGGAGGATGAATAGGGCAATGCCGGAAAGATTGGATGTAGGTAGATGAAAGTAGGACCACTGGGGAGTACGAGATAACAACACAAAAAGGGTACGAGTCATAGTCACTTGCAGCTTCTTCCTGCCTCTTCGCTGCCATCAGCGCATCACAAGTGGATCACGACAGCCCCGCGGCGGGCAGCGTTTGCCGTGGTTGGCGGCTAAGTAATTTAGCATAGTGGTATTAGCGGCAGTCCATTACATGCTTATCGACTTGGTATTCCCAGTGTACAGTACTGAGTCATGAGGTGAGGTTGAAGGGGTAGAGTCGAAGAGGCCCTGGTCAAATTGCGCCAACGTGCACGAGCTTCGATCTGCGAAAATGCTCATTTCATCCCAATCAGGAATGGTCGAACGCGGTGGGGCTATCGGCGCTTGGCAGCCACGATCAGATACACACCTCACTGTTACAGCATCAAGGACAGCAATTTCACTGGGAGTACTGGCGCTGATTTAGCAATCAAGTGTTGTGACCATCCATGAAGTAAAGCCTTGCATTACGTGGGGCAGGCGCCATGCGAATTCGATGGGACCATGCTCTAACACCAGCACTTGACGGTGTCAAGCCTCCCAGAATATGATAGAATACAGCATTGCTCGCTATGTTACATACACTCGTGAATGATCAGCAATATCCGCCGTTACCAATCCCAGGCCGCATCCGAGTTACATCATCACTCCATAATATGTCCAATGGGTATCGCAATCCTTATGTACAAGCTGAAGGGCAGGGAGGCGCGACCCAGGCGAATCGGTACACCCAAACGCGACCGAGATCCTCAGGCTGCGGTCCCAGGTCATCTAATGCAAAGGGAGCACACTCCTACGCTCCAAGTCTCGGCGGCATAAAGCGAGTCCTTGTCACTTCCATCAGGGTATCCACAAAGGTGTCTTCTTGCTTCGCCGTCCCGACGGCCACCTTCATACCAAGTCCCAGCTGTCGGCCGTCTTGGCTGCTGTAGTCGCTTTTGCTGTCACTCTTAATGACCGTCTCACTGTTCACCAAGATGCCGCCCCAGAAATTCTCGCTACTGTCCAACGGCTTCTCCGGCAAAGGCGGCATCTCCTCGTCATCCAGTTTTCTGGGCTTGTCGACAAGCTCGTGCACAGATTCCCCATCGCTCCGCACAAAGCTGCTGCTGCGGGAGTGGGTCATGCGCGGTGTCGCTGCTCTGTTGAGCTTGCTGCGGCTCGTCATCGTGTCGCGGATGGTATACAGGCTCCGCCTTGTCGGCTTGGGTCCTGCTCTACGCGCAAGCAGCGGGCCGAATTCTTGGTGAATATCACGGGTCAGGATGGCATGGTCGGGCGAGCCTTTATAACACCGTTGTCGAGCACTGAAGAATGTGAGCGGTATCCGTGCCAAGCCATTGCACACTTCCAGCGATGTGTGCATGTCGCCGATGACACAGAATGCGTATATCCATGTCACCTGACCTCGGCTGCGCTGGTTTTGCGAGTAATGAGCAAGGACCGGTCGAGCGAAGAATCGTGCATCGCGGAACCAGTCGCCAGGTACTTGGTGCGCAAGCTCAGTAATTGCTTGCAGTATGACCTTAGCAAACTGGTGTTCGTCGAACGTGCGTTGGCTGTCGGTGTTGTTTCGGTCCTCGAGGAAGGTCGTGACACCGCGTGTCCGGAGTCCGTCCATACGCTGTAAGAAGTCTGTCTGCCACTGCTGAGGTTCATTGGGAAGGAGCTGAACGTCAGGTAGCTGGTCTTGGTCATCCTTCTTCACGCCGACATCGAAGCCTTTAGAGTTCGGTCGAGGGACAAGACCAAAGAAAGTCAGCCAAGTCCCAGGCTTCTCCATGGTGTCAAGCTTGTTGATGTAGCGCTTGAGGCCGTTGAAGTGGTGCTCAAGTGCTGGAACCGGGATTTGCATGGTGTCCGCAATGCTGCGTCCAACTTGTTGTATGCTTCCAAATTTAAAGCCGGCATTGAGTAACTTGTCCGCATCGTCACTATTGAGCTGGCGCGTTAGGAAGAGCAGCTGGCCTCTTCCAAACAGATGTAATGAGTGGTTAGACTCGACGTCTCCGACAGGCAAGACAGCCACCGTAGCACGCTTCGATGAGCGGTCTTCCGCGTTTAAAGTTCCAGTGTCGATGACTTTGTCGTACAGCAGCCCAATCCGCTCTGTCGGAATATGCATGGCTGCTGCCAAGCTTGCCGCGGCGCAGCAGAAGCGTTCGCGAAAGATGATCGAGTAGTCGTTGAAGGGCTCCGTAGAAAAGGTGGCGGAAGACGCGGAGCTCATAGGCTTCGAGCGGTCTTCGCCGCCAGCACTAATAGCAGCGAGATGGCTCCTCATTCGCGGTATGAGTTCGCTAACGCCTGCCCAGTTCCTACTCACCCGGAAGATCCACTGAAATACCGGATGAGCCGTGTTAAAGTCCTCATTGAAGGTCCTGTGGCGGTATTTGTCCGTGATTTCGCGAGCTGGTAGCACGCCTTCTGTGGTCACCAGCACGCGGCCTTCGGGGTCGAACATTGCGCACGCAAGCATGACCTTTTGTGATCTGGTCTTCAGGACGTGCGAGCGGTGTCTCGAGAAGGCTATGACACCGATCACAACGATCAATGCAGCGGCGCTGAGCGCTCCAGCAACGGCGACCTGTGTATTCCGCGAGTGGATCGCATGCAGGCCGTTGTAGCTTTCCAGAATGTATATGCACTGGGTTGAGGCTGTGAAGTGCATCGCAGATACACCACCTGCAAGTAAGCAGGCGCATGCGAGCCGTTTCCACCATGAGCTGATCCACTGCTCACGAAGGTTGTAGAAAAGTACGAGCACAAGCATGCAGTCGCCGATGGCGATTATGACTGAAGCTGTCAAGAACCGGGGAACATAGTGAAGCCTATAGTTGGCGATACCGAAGTTGCCAATGTAGTGCATCCCAACAACCGACAGTCCAGCGAAGATACCGGTGCAGACCAGCAGCGACCAGTGCAAGACCTTCGATTTAGTTGGAATTTCTGCTGCAGAGAAGGCAAGTGTAAGTCCGATGATAGGTAGGAAGACAGACAGTGTAGTGTAGCCGGAGTTGTAGACCAGCTGGATGCCAGGCGTGCCGTCTCCAAGAATAATAGCTCGATTGCCGATGAAGTGCATGCACCAGATCCCTACCAAGCCCAATGATATTGCGCATCCTAGAGACTCTAGCCTGCATCATTGTCAGTACATATAAAAGTCGGTTCGCGACCACGGCGGACGAACCAACTCCGCAAATTACCAAGCGCCGTGCCTCGTCGGTTCAGCATCTCAATCGTGAGTAGACAGCCGCAGAGACTGGCGAAATAGGACGCGGCGACAATGGCAGGGTTGAAATGACTCTCGATCTGCGTGTGCAGGGGATACATGTCGTTGGCTGACATCTTCGGTAAACTCAGGGCTCAGGAGCCAGTGGTTGATGGATGCTCAAAGGTGGTTGTGGAAGCATGAGGCGAGGAACGCGTGGCAGGATGCTCAAGTGAAGGAAGTAAGACAATGCTACGGTCGTGACCGCTTTCGGTCCGATAGACGTTTCAAGCTTCAGTTACGACATAGTCGAAGGCCAGGAGCAGTAGTGAGTTGATAGTACCGCAGTCGCCGAAAGAGCGGCGAAGTTTCGAACGTTGGAACAACCGCACAGCCGGAGCTTATCGTAGAGAGGCGAAGTCTGCGCGAAGTATGAAATGGCGGGCGCAAGGGGATGCTGGGCAGACTCGCGTACGCGCAAAGCACAAGAGCTGCAGCTGGCCGTAATGCTGAATCTGCGCTATCGAGTTGAAGCAGACCGATGGATGCCAAGATACCGCAGTGAAGTTTCGAAGGGAGCAGGATGAACGCGGGGATATGAGTGTGTGACAGGTCTCGTAGGCGGCTCTATCAATACCTCTGCTTTCAGCAAACCCGCCATGCAGACGAGACAGCGGGAAGTGCAGGGCCTGGAACCGCATTGGGGCTACCGGGTTACGCTTGCCACGATGGGCCTGATTGGACTCGGCTTGGTTGTCCATTCTGCATATTGCGCTAAGCGAATTCCAACCACGCCTTCCGCGCCTTATGGCTGCATGGATTCTGCGCTCGCGCACAGTGGAGCACTCGACCTACGCTTCACGGCCACGGTAACCATCGCTGTGCGTCCTTCCTGGCGATCAATTGTATCATCGGAGAAGCTGTGACTATCTCTCAACCGATGCACCTCTGACGCGCAGCCGTTATGATGAAATCTCGGGAACCAACCACAAAGGACTTCAACCAGATCCAGTCCGTGAACCGATTTCGATTCGTTAAGACATGTCGTCAATCTCCTCCAGCGGGCGGCGGGAGCATCGACCCAATGCACGCAAGACGCCGTAGCGTCTGGGGTTAGCGGCGCTATTGAAAGCTAGTAGCCACTTTACCCGGTCCGGTAGCTTTGGCTTCCGTTGCAGTATTGGTATGTCGAGCTACTGCACAAAAACGCAGGAACAAAAGCGGACCCAGAAAGATCTCTAGTGACCGGCAGTATGGATGCTAGGATCTGAACCGCCATAGTTTCGCAGACGAACGAGATTTACTTTCAGGGAGAGGCGACTTTATTGGAACGATTCCGCGGCGTAGCGTAGCGTCTGGTGGACTGTGGAGACTTGAACTTTACCGAGTAGAGAAGAACTGGTGATGTACGCCACGTGCGGGTCACGGCCACTAGAGTTCTGTCAAGCATGCGCAAAACAAAATGCATCTGTTGAACCTAAATGATTGTCATGTGTCCAAAATCCGTTCGAGTCCTGCGATACGAAGTGGTAAATGAACGGAGCGTGGAAGATGTTGTTCGCAACCAAGTCGTCCATTTAATGTGGTGGACGGACAAAGGTACAGCTTTATTGCGACAACCCGGCCTAGACCACTCGTGGCACACGAGGTAAAGCCTGCACGGGAGAGTTTTTCCCATGACTTTTTGTTGAGGAGCATGGTTTTTGTGTTTCGTTTGGCACCGCTGAGCGCAGCTTAGCCCGTCTCCCGTGACATGCAGGAACGAGTAGCGACAGGGGACTACCACTTTATCTCCCCCGCTAGCTCATCTGCTAGCCCATATGGCATGAGAGGCGGACTACTACTGTGGCAGACGTCAAGACCTCCCCATAACGTCTCGATCCCGCGAGCCGAAGCGTCTTCGTTTACGCCAGCCTCGTACCCTCCCTGAAGCGACTCCTCCAGGCTGCATGTACTTTTCAATATCGGCCGTATCTCCACCTCTGTTTTATCTCTGTGAGCCGGTTGCTGTGCACAAACAGAGAAGAGGCGGGCAGCGTTGCTGGCCAGGACGTTTTGCTGAAGCATCAACCACAGCATCTGCGAAGGAGATATAGTGCCTTGCACCGCATGAATGTTGCTATGTTTTGCAAGTTGCGCTGTACTTAACGCAAAGTCTTTACGGTCAGCGTCTCTGCTAGTCACGCCCAAGATAGCATGGCTTATGGTAGGTAAGAAATGTGCACGTCTGGACACTGCAGGAAGGTAGCCCGGTAACCATACAGCTGGCGCGACGTTTGCCAAGCATTTGAAGCCTCGACTGCGCTTGACGCTCATGCCCTTTGGGAGGCCGCGTGGCTTTGCAGCGATTGCGAGTCGTATAGCAGAGTCGATAAGCAGGAGAATTGCGCCAACGCCTCCATCCCCTCGGTCCAAGTTTGGAGCATTTCGAGGCTTTGCGGGTTTCATGAGTGTTGGCACATCGGGCAGATCATGAGTGTCCGACAGTTCTGCTCTCGTTAAGAGGCAGTCGACGGCACCATCGAACGACAAGTGGTCAGCCCGAACCTCGTCGAAGTCAGACCCGGCGGCAGACTCGTGGAATGGTACAACCGAGTTGTCCCAGTCAAGCAGCTCGCAATCCGCATTGTCATCTTCAAGCAGTGCCTCGAGACCCAGTTCATCTATTTCGCGTTCACGCTGATACGGCGGCAGGCTTTCGACTTGATCGTCTCGAACGTGGCAAGTAAGACGTACACTGTCTAGCTGATAGCTCAGTATGCCCTCGGGAGGCCTGATATCGTGATGAGGGACGCCAACGCCCAGCTTGTGCGGACATTGGCGTACATGGGCGGCCTCCGTATCGACGTGTGAGAGAGTTACGGTTATCGTCCGAGAACCCAGGTGGTCGACAGGTGATACTTCCACAGTTTCGGCGGAGAGCGTCAGCTGTCGCCATATCTGACTTAGAAGGTCAACAACCTTTATCCGCCATACATGAATGCTTTTAGGTAACTGTACCTGAGCGAGTTGGAGGCGTGCAGCGAACGAGTCAACCAGATCCTCCTTGGTCTGCGGACCCAGATTGGCGTCTACTAACAAGTTTATCATTAGACGGAACCTATTCGCACAGTAGATCCACGGTCGTGCGGCCAGAAAATGCTTAATGGCTCGTGAATCTAGCACGCCTGTAATGCCACACTCGTTGACGGAGTTCAAGTCGATTGAGCTCGCAAGCTTCAGATTATGGCCTGCGTTTTCTTGAACAATGTCGACGTGTCCGAGTTCGACAGTGATGGAGGGCATGCTGTCGGTCCATAAGTGCGATTTGGTGGGCACGGCGAAGCATGCTGGTTGACGGAGTGAAGTGTGCTCGGTTTTGGGTAAGGAAGTTGTTGCGGTTGTGCCTTCCTGCTTGGTTTGAACTCATGTTCAACTTCACGTCACACTCTGATGTCTAGTCATGCGCGCAGCTGTTGTGCATTCTAAGATGCACTTGCAGCTGCATGACTCCCGTTGTTTGTATCTGAATGGCTTCTTATATACATTCTGATCAACCTCCTGCTGGAAGAGCAATGATGGGAGTGTTGATGTCACGGAACATGAAGTCGCTCTCGGCTGCCATCAGTGGGATCCACCAACTACGACCATCGCATATGGGCCAGGACATTCCACCAGTTTACGGCACGTAGTCACTATCGTTTGGATCACTAACATCTCCAATTGACAGCTCGCTCGACATTCCGTCCTCACTGTCTTCAGCAACGTCGCTGTCGTCCACACTTTCGCTATCTCCGTTCTCTCCCTCCGCGTTCTCTGTGAGCACATTACTACGATATGGAGGAGGCGCTTCTCCTATTCTTCGGGCCTGCAAAGAAGAACGCTGCGCTGTTTGGACGAGCGCCTCGAAATCATTCACGAGCCGCTCAAAGCTTGGTGGTTCCATGGGCCTCGCCGGTGCGTGTATCGTATTAGCGGGACGGGCTGCTTGCGCTGCTTGAGTAAAAGCTGTGAGACCGTTCACAACCTGGCCGTAGGTTTCAGCGAGCTCGGTTTGTCTGGCCAATGCCTGTGTTATACTGAGTGGCTGCGTCGTCGTGGTAGCACTCGGCGTCAAAGAATTCCTTCGTCTCATCGAAGTAGTAACATGGCCGTCCGGCGTGCGAGGCCGAGGCCCCAGACTATCTATCCGCAGCGCTGCTCCTGCTGTATGATCCACTTCAGTCCGAGCCGCTTGACTTGAGTTGCCAGTGACCATGCCCAACTCGTTCAAGGAGTCATGTGCATCAGTGGCGCCGGCAGCCATCATTCGCTCCGTCTCGAAAAGCTCAACTAACCAGGTAGTCGTGCTTCCAAGCATAGTGCTGGCCGGATCATGATCGGGTGGTGGCACGCCGCACTTAATCCAGCATTGCCGGTACTGTTGCCCAAGCATATTGACGTGTGTGGTGTAGTATTGTATCAGGAGCAACCGATCCGTGCCGTCTCCTGTACTTTTCGTTGTAGTGACTACCACTCTCAGTGCTTTTAGAAGTGCAGCGTCTGCCGCTGACCAGTTCAGAAGCGTCTCGGCAGCGTCGTCCGGCGTCAGAATGCATTCCATGGGATATAGATTTAGTGCGGCCAGGACCCGGCTGATGAGATCGAAAATCAACCTGGCGCTCCGATCGTGAACGTATTCCTGCCTTGCCCGACGGCGCAAATGGACGAGACTGCTTTTGTTTGCGCTTGCGCGTTCTGAGCCATTGGAGGACAGTGAAGTCTCGTCATTGAAGTCATTGCAGCGATCCATTAATGCGTCAATGTTGCGACTTGCTTGCCCAAGTGCTTTACTGAGCTTCACGACCAGTGCCCTGTCGCTTATGGACTGAAGGTGTGATCCTTTTCGGACCGCATGGCGCCACTCTCGCAACGCCCGTTGCAGCTTCTGGTTAAATGCGTATCGTATGGTCCGCTTGAACGCTGCAACTTCGAGCGCTCCACTGTCCTTGGCTTCTTGTACTTTTACACCGAGTGGTATGCGATCGTCGTCGTCAAGGCTTCCGTAGACGGGCGGGAGCGAGTTCTTACGATCCAGACGTTGCTCCCTGATCTGCCTTTCCGTGTTTTCCAGCCGCCGTAGCTCGCTGAGATCCTCCTCGAGCATCCGGACTAGAGTTGTGCTATGCTCGGTCTCGTCACGGTAGAACTGGACATCGGCCTTGGCCAGCCTCGTCGCCTCCTTCTCCTTCGCAAGCTCATTCACCAGCGTCTTTTTGATGCTCGTCTCCTTGTCCACGAGGAATCTGGCATGGCGCACCTGTGTATCCTTCTCTTCACATTCACTAAATAGAGTCAGCTTCTCGACACATTACAAGTCACAATTTGAAACTGCGCATCTTCTGCATAACCAAGGACGTACTCTACGCTTCATTCAGTACTGGCGGAAGGACAACACCAGGCACATCATAGCTTACCATAAGCTTTCAGAAGGTGGTATACGTGCTTCGCCAACTTCTCTTTCAGCTGTGCGGTTTCCTTGTCCTTGCATTCGAACTTCAGAAGGCTGTCAAGTCGATTCCTGTCGAGTTGCGTCTTCAACTCACGAAGCTCATTCCGCAGCTCCCGAAGCTCCCTTGGTAAGTCCGGCTGTCGTTTGTGTGCCATCCGCCGCTCGGTGGCAATCGTTCGCACTGATGCAGAAGCTCGAGGACTACATGTTCCGACCGCATCGTGCTGCGCCAACAGCTGACCCGGCAACCCTTCGCCTGTGGTTTGGGTGGAAGTCTGCCCGGAGTTTTGGGGAGTAGACAATGGTACGGCAGTCCACTGAATCGCTTTCTTTCCCTTCTTCACTTTCTTCGCCGGCGGCAACTTTGCAGAATCGACCAAGCCACTGGCCAGCGTGGCATTGGGCAATATGTCCTCAAAAGCCCGCTTACGTGAGGCTTTGGAAGGCATCGGTGTCACTGGCGACCCGGCTCGTTCTCTCTTCTGTCGAACGGTGGCCGACATCACAAGGCTGGTTAGATCTGGCCATCAAGATTTGTCACTGCGAAGTTTGCGTTGCCACGTGGGTAGAGCCATAGTTCGGCGATGTGTTCACAGGTCGGTTGTGGTTCAAGCGCCAACGAGCAGCTGCCCTACAGAAGGTAAGGGAAGCTCTCGTCTCGCCTGCATATACCGACGCTAACGCTAAGGAGGCACATTGATGCACAGAAGCCGAAGGGACGTGTGCCGAAGTAGAGTGCTAGCGGTGAGGTCTCCTCCCACTAACCGCACACTGGGTAACGCAAGACGTAGATGCCGCGAATGCATTCGGGAACGAATCTCGCTGTATCAAGACATGGACTCTGAACGTGCCTTCAGCAGCATCAACGCTGCCGCATTCGACAGGATACTTTCAAAGTATCCCAGCACTGTACCGAAGAAGATGGGCACACTAGAACAGCGGAGATGGGTAGACATACCCAACGCTGTCCAAGAACGACGACCAAGATATGCCACCAAAGATGAGCTTGATACACTCATGGACTGGAAACTGGCGCATGGCAAGTTTCGACCTAATCTGAAGAAGCTCATTCAGCAGAACGAGGGGTCTACGGTAGAGGAAGTAACGACTGCTCATATAAATGTACATACTGCATCGAAGACGGACGAGATAATAGCTGCCGTCAAAGGACTCTGTGTGCTCAGAGGTGTTGGACCAGCTACAGCATCCTTGCTCCTCTCTACTGCTAACTCGGACCTGCCCTTCTTCTCAGATGAACTCTATCGATGGGCCATGTTTGACGAGGTAATGGTGTCCGGCAAGGCCGAGAAAGTTGGCTGGCAACGAGAGATCAAGTACACAATCCCAGAATACAGAGAGCTCTTGCTCCGTGTTGCTGGCTTTCGTGACCGTTTTAGCAAGGAGAGTGGACGCAATGTTCAAGCTATTGACGTTGAGAAAGTAGCCTATGTGCTTGCCAAAAGTGCGGAAGGCGATCTGCGGAAACAGGCTGTGGAAGCGTCGACTAAAAGTTCGAGTTTGGCGTCGAAAGCGCTTCACCGGCACAGCAGCCTTGATGAAAAGGCGCAGTCACAGCCGAGCAAGAAGCGAAGTCAGAAAGCAATCGATGCAGAACCATCAGAACACACTTCCGGTTTACCTTCGAAGAGATCTCGAGCTCGGTGAGCTGTATCGGCACTCGTACTTTTCGCCACACTCTCTCTCCACTCGCGAAGTTCAGTAGGTGCCGATCGTTGCAGGCGAAGTCGCCATGCGGCGTCGCATGGTACTAGCCCGCCAGTCAGCCATTACCAAGGTTCTCGGCTTACGTCCTGCAGTGGTCACTCACTGTACCCTGGCTCAGCTCCTCGCCCGTACCACCAGTCCAGCTACACCCGCCAAGAACATAACAAGCACTGTGAACATGCACAACGCGTCCGCCATCTTGCGTGCAACCCTCTCACCGCGTGCCTCCGCCAGATCAATCTCTCCACAGGCTTCCAAGTCGCCAACCGTCGCCGCCATACTCCCTTGCGCCAGCGAGCAGTACGACTCACTGTTTCGCCGACCTTTCTCCCTCAGAAGCGGGCTCATGCAGTCGTTGCTCTCGTTTGGATGTTCTGTTGACTGTGTGCCGCTTGATTCTTCCACGTCGAACAAGGTGCCCTCTGCTGCAAGACGCAAAACCAAGACTTCGCCCAGAGCTTTGTTGGCTACCGCGCGATATATATGTCGTGCTGCCATCTTTCCGGTCATGCGCTCGTTGCGTGCTGGACAGGTCATCGAGTTGCCTGTAAGTGTTGTTCAATTCGAACAGCTGGGATTTTTTGGAATTGAAGTTGAAGAGGCTCGGTCATCGAAAGACGGGAGCTTTTCGTGCGAGAAATGTGCTCACGAGAAATGCTTGACCCATGGGGCGTGCGGTAGAGGAAGCTGTCTGGCTAAAGCTAATTCGCAACACTGCCACCATTCAATTCGTGCCGCTTACGGTTGATAACTAGTAAGCTCGCTGCAACTGGACTTGCTTCAACGTTACAGCGTCTGCAGAATTGAAACCACGTCGTCGGCGTCACTCAGCCTCCACGCCGCATCGGACGCTTCCTGTGCGTCAGATCCGAGTACAAGTCCGGCTTGATCAATAAATTTCTCCGTCAATTGCTCGTCAGTCATTGGCACCTCCAGGGATCCCACAGCGTGCAGAACGTGCTGCACTATCTGCTCACCGTCGGCAAATTCCAGGGTTAGATGTGTCTCATCCGGTGCGAGATCCTTGTCGGGCGTCGCCTCGACCTTCTCACGAACGTTCACCACAGCTAGCTCTTGGACGACTTTGTCGGCATATAGCGCAGGTCCAGCCTTGCCATATAGCAGTCCTACTGCCGCGCCGTGGAAGACGGAGAACTTGCCTTCCAGGCCATCCTTCGGCGTCCGCTTCGATGTCAGCTCGATTACTAGCGGATGAACTCGTGCCTTGACGGATGCTACGTCCTCGACCCTGCGTCTCCTCTCACGCATCTCGTGATGCAGCTGTATGCACCCATCAATTACTGGATGACAAACAATGCCGCATGGAAAAGGTTTGAATGCGTTCCGCTCAACCTCCCATGTCCGCCCAAGCTCACCAACATACTTGTTAAGCTGCGGCGTCCCGCCACCAGCTACGACGTTGGCCCAACCTCGCTTTGCTTCTAGCGCTTGAGGTGAGCTGGTGTAACCTTTCTGCGCCATCAGCGCTGCAAGCAGCCCACTCTGCGCTGCTCGGCCTGGATGGAAAGACTTTGTATCACTGCCAAACATCTCGCGCAAGCCCACGACTTGAACCGCCGCGAGACCTATCGCGTGCGACATCTGCGCCTCGCTCAATCCCATAAGCTTGCCAACCGCTAGAGCCGCTCCGATACTGCCGGTGGTTGAGGTGATGTGCCATCCAATGTCATAGTGCTGCGGCCATACGGCAAGACCGACCTTGCAACTCGTCTCGATACCTGCCGTCAGCGCACAAACAAGGTCCATCCCGGAGACGCCGCCTGCATACTCGGCATACGCGAGCAAAGCGCTTGCCACAGGTCCCGTTGGATGAATGATCGTAGCCAGGTGTGTGTCATCATAGTCATGGACGTGACTTGCGATGCCGTTCAATAATGCGGCATGCTGTGCGTCAGCTTGCCTTCTACCTCCGTGGCCATATAGTGTCGAAGTAGCAGGCCCAAAGAACGGCATAAGCGCATCGTAGGCCTTGGTCATAGCTGGATGGCCGGAACCGCCTATTACGCAGCCGATATAGTTGTACAAAGACCGCGCGGCAGCATGCTTGACAGATGCTGGAAGAGATGAAGGCTTCAGATCAACCGTCCATTTTGCCAACGCTTGGGTGGCCATCGTAAGCCGTCTTCACATGTTTGAGTGAGACTACTGCCGCCACCTTGACTTGCCGTCCGGCTGTCATTGTCTCATGATGTGTACGAACCCCATCTGGTCCCTATGTAAAGTCATACGGAGGCTACGACGAAGAGTAGACGGTTCCGCAGCGTGCATGAGCCTCCGATGTCGGAAGCTTCCGCAGACGGTTCCTGTCAACAATACATATACCTTCGATAAAGTCTGCACTACAAGTTGCACGCACGCCTTATGTCTCGGTCACCTTGTGATTACCCTCGTCTGGAGCTCATCCTGCCAGCCGCGTTCGCCTCTCCTTGCTCTCATTGTACCCACATCATAATTGAGAAGCCTCCCAATGTTGCCCCAGAGTGCTCTCTCATTTCATCGGTGTAACATCAACCAAATCTAAAGGATACCACAAGCGAGTGTACCTGCTCGGATCCTCATACCGAATACATAGCCGTGTGCGCCGGACCGTGTTGCGCATGCGGGTCTACATCTGACAGGTAGGGATATGGGACTGATAGGCCAGCTGCACGCCTGATAGCTAAACAAATGGAGCACCTGCTCGCGTAACTCAATGGCGTACTCGGCTTCCTCCCTCTGCCAGCAACTGGCGCCCTTCGAGAGAACTTGTCTGCGCATTGCCATTAACCAGCCGCTACAATGGCCCCGGCTGCCACAACACCACCTCCAGAGCACGAGCTGTCGATCAATGACAAGAAAGCTTTCACCAAATCCGTATACGGAAGTCCGGACGAGGCTCTAGTAGCGGCTACAGCACGCTTCGTGGCCCGCAATCCGACCTCGCGCAGTCTACATCTCGAGGCCGCGAAAAGCTTGCCAGGCGGCAATACTCGAAGTCTACTTCACAATGCGCCCTTTCCGGTGTTTATGCAGCGCGGCACTGGCTACGAAGTCATCTCCGAGGACGGCCACGTTTATACCGACTTCGTTGGAGAGCTGACCGCTGGTCTCTATGGGCACGCCAACCCTATCATCCACGCCACGCTCAAGTCAACGCTGGACAATGTAGGCTTGAATCTCGGTGCGACCACGCGTTTGGAAGCTCAACATGCTCGCTTGATTTGTGAACGTTTCGGGCTGGACCTCATCCGCTTCACCAATTCCGGCACCGAAGCCAATTTGCATGCCCTGCAAGCCGCTCGTAGATTCACTGGTAAGCGGAAAGTGATCGTCTTCACGGGAGGCTATCATGGTGCAGTCTTCAGCTTTCCTGACCAGCACCCGGCCCCAAATAATGTCGATCTGGATGACTGGATTGTAGCCGAGTACAACAACATTGAAGATGCGCAGCTGAAGATTGAAGAGTCTTCCGACGTGGCTGCAGTACTTGTGGAGGGCATGCAAGGCAGTGGGCCATGCATTGTAGGGTCTGACGAATTCTTGCATGCCATACAATCGTCCGCAAGGAAAGCGGGTGCTGTCTTCATCCTCGATGAAGTGATGACTTCGCGCCTGGCGCCTGGCGGGCTGCAGTCAATCATTGGTCTCGAGCCCGACATGACAAGCTTCGGCAAGTACTTGGGAGGCGGCATCACCTTCGGCGCTTTCGGCGGACGTGCCGACATCATGGCCATATACGATCCCCGATTCAGCGGCACTCTTGCACACTCTGGTACATTTAACAACAACACTCTCGGTATGGCAGCTGGGTACGCCGGGCTCTCTCAAATCTACACTCCGGAGACCTGCATGGCTTTCAGTAGCAGAGGTGATGTCTTCAGGCAGAGGCTGCAGGAGGCCACGAGCGGCACGAAGATGACCATTACCGGGCGCGGCAGTCTCGTTGGCATCCACTTCCTCGTAGACGGTTGCAAAGTCTTGCGAAGCGTAGCCGATCGCAAGGATGACAATACGCTGAAGGATCTTTTCTGGTTCGAAATGATGGAAGATGGCTTTTGGCTCACTCGACGCGGCTCGCTTTCGCTGATATTGGATACGCCACGATCAGAGTTGGATCGCTTCGTTCGCAGCGTCAAGGCATTTCTGGACCGGCACAACCATCTGGTGAGGCTTTAATGCCCCCTTGCGAATAGCATGTGCAGCCAGATCAGCTGGCAGCGTTGATCATCTTCTGTAGCTGCACACAATCCATGAATTAGTGTATAGGCCTTGGTTCTTAGTGGCATACGTATGGGGCTTGGCCTATATGCCCAGTTTCGAGGTTGTCAATGTATGTCGCCGGAGACGAAACGAAATCTGAACATGGCAACGTGCAGTTCACGACACCCTTCATGGCAACAGGCGCACTGCTCTTTCACGAAGACTTCTGTCGCCGCCGGTACTCTGCAGCAATCTCCTCATACCGCATAAACTCCACCTCCTCGCCCAGACTCAGCACCCACCTCAGAAACCGCTCAATCATGCCAATAATATGCGCCATCCCACTAGTATCCGGGTGCAAGACCAAACTCATCACCTTCATCTCCCCATCTTCCTCCGCCACCTCTCCCCTCAACCACTCCAGTCGATCCATCCACATCCGCTCCACGACCCGCACATCCACGTACCCGGCCGAATTGACCGTATGCGGGTAGAACTGCAACGGCGTGGCATCTTCTTCGTACCAATTCAGTGGAATCTCTACGAGCTGACTCTTCGGTAAGCTGTCGAAATGCGGCGAAGGGTGCATCCAGTCTGCCGCTTTCTTGTTTGGTGAGAAATCGATGGGTGTTATTGGGGCCGGGTTGAGGGGGACGAAGTAAGGCGAAGAGTCGTGGTGTGTCAGTGACGAATCCCAGAGGAATTCGTGCTCCTGTAGCAGGGCGACGGTGCGCTCGCTGATTTGATAGAGAGGAGCACGGTAGCCTCTCGGTCGCTCTCCAGTGGCTTTCTGTACCAGCTCGATGCTGCGGAGCAGCACGTCACGTTCCTGCTCCGCCGTCATCTGAGACGCGGACTCGTGCGCGTAGCCGTGCAGTGCGATCTCGGCGCCGGACTTGATGATAGCTTTTGCCTGCTCGGGGAAAGTCTCAAGGCTGTGGCCAGGGATGCACCAGGTCATCCTATCCGCTATTCCCAGCTTCCGCAGTACTTTGAGCAGGCGCGGCACTCCGACGAGCCCAGAGAAGTAGCCTTGACTGTAGTCCGCGGTGTTGTTATCAGGATGTGCACCGGTACCCAGCCAGCCAGAAACGGCGTCGAAATCTATAGACAGAGCAAACTTGACCTTCTCCTTCACCCTCCCACGGCCTACCTGCTTCGGCAACAGCGGTAAACCCTTCCCAACTCCCACCGCCTCCCCACCCACCCCCTCCTTGCTCCCACCTCCCAGCACCTCCTCCTCCCTCCAAACAATCCTCCCCTCCATCCCCCCATCAACACTCAAACACTCTCCACTCACATGCCCACTAACCCGCTCACTCGCCAACACGACAACCATCCTCGCCACATCCCGCGGCTCCGCAATCTTCCCCAACGCCACCGTCCCCTGCGCCTCCACATACAACTCCCTCGGATCATCCAACCGATCCCCAATCAACGCCGTCCTCACCCACCCGGGCGCAACGGCATTAATCCTCCCCCTCGCATTCAACCTCACCATCTCATTCTTCACCGTCCGCACAAGCCCATACTGCAACCCCGCCTTCCCGCTCGCATACTCGGCATGCCCCGCTTGGCCGAATTTGCCACACTCGCTACCCGTCACCACAACACTCAACCCCTCAATCTCCGCTCCAGTACGAGATTGGTACTCCTTGGCCGCGCGCAGAAAATGCTTGATCGTCAAAAAGGTCCCGCGGACATTAACGCGGTAGACATGCTCCCAGGTTTCGAGATCCAGGTCCCAGATGGGAGGGTGGGCGGTTTCGTTCGTGATGCCCGCGTTGGCGCAGAGGATGTGGATGGGTCCGTTGTGGGCGAGTGCGGAGGAGATGGCTGCGGAGATGGAGGGTTCGTCGGAGATGTCGCCGGTAAGGGGGTAGACGAGGTTGTGGTCTTCCGGGGCTGGGCGCTTGAGGTCGTGGGCTGTAACTCTGCAGCCGGCCGCTGTGTAGTCTCGTTAGCGATGGGACATAGCGAGTAGGTATGCACCGAACTGATTGGACTACCTAACAGCTCTGTCACAATGGCCGAGCCAATACCTCCCCGAGCGCCCGTGACGAAAGCATGCTTGCCTTCGAGACCAAGGAACGACATTTATACATGTAAATATAGGCCTTGTAACCAAATGACAAACCTCCGACACAAGGGCTATGGGAAGCGATAGTACGTCGCTTTCCTCGTTGAATCGAAAATGTCAGATTCAGTCACGACCTACCGAAGCGTGAAAACCTTCGAGTACGTAATGAACAGAGATAAGGTATATTCATTCGCTTGCTCTTGCAGCTAGCCGCCTTACGGCGTGCGTATACAGAAAAGGTCGCAAAACCCAAGGAAATCGTCGTTCGGTTCATCCGCCCTCTGCATCACGTGCAACCCCTTTCCCTTCAATTCGCCAAACAACGCCCAATGTGCACCCGAACCAGACCCGGAAGCAGAACCCAAAAACCCAAGGAGAGCTCCCAGTATGGATATATCGAGCTTCTGTGTGCACCATCCAAACGCCGTCCGCCATGCGCCCAGAGAATTGATAGTACGCATGCCCCGGAATGCTGCTGCTTCTTCTCCCAACCCGCTCATACACTCGCGGCACCCTCAGCCACACAATCTGAAGAGATTCTTTCATGCAGACTCGGTCACTCTCCCAAAATCCGTAACCGTGACCCTCGCAACTTCCTTCGAAAGTGATCCTCATTTAAAAATTCTGCGCAATCCCACTATTCCCCTGCCCATACACCCCCGCCTGCTGAATCCGCGTATTCCGCCTCGCACTCACATCCCTCACGATCGGCATCGCCGTCGCCGCCTCCTGCGCCCCGCCATAGCTCCCATCGCCATACGGTCCGTGCTGACCATACCCGTATCCACCGCCTTGCCCGTACTCCTGCGCTGCTCCGCCACCCCCGGCGCTACCCGGGAAGGCACTCATCGGCTCATCGGAACCTTCTGATTTCGCGCCCGCGGAGTAGGCGGACGAGGCGTTACTGGGTCCGCGTCGGATTCCCGCGTTGGCGCTGGAGAGGGGAGCGGCGCCCAGGGCGCCGAGTTCGTCGCTGTTCATTGTGTCGCGTTGGGTGTGGACTAATGGATCGCCGGAATGGCCGTCGGAGTAAGAGACGCCGCCGTTTGGCGAATTGGGGCTATGACCGTACGAGTGGCCGGAGTCGGACAGTTGGCCTTGAGTGTGGCCGCCGCTGAGGGTGGTGGAGGCCTTGCGGTGGGAAGCTACGCCTCCTGCTGCTGCTGCTCCCCAGCCTCGGTAGCCGCTGTTGGCGTCTTCGGTCATTTGGGGTTGGCCGGATTCTGAGGCTGCGACGGCGGGGAGGGAGGGGTCGTGGTTGGGGTTGTAGCCATAGTCATCTATTTCTTTGCGGCGCTGTTCGCTATCTTCTTTTCGTTGCTTGCGGCGGCGCCAGAACCAGATGCCGAAGGCTACGAGGATGGCGACGAAGGCGACCGGGATTACTACGGCGATGGCGGTTTTGCCTGCCGTGCCGAGGCCGCTGGAGGTGGTGGTGTTGTTGTTCGAGCTGCTGGCTGCGCTAGGGGATAAGGCTGCGGGCATAGATGTTGTGGTTGTTGCTGTTGAGCCGCGAGATGTGCCTGGTGTCCCCGTGACGATGGCTGTAGTGGTTGGGCTATTGATGGATGTGATGACGATGGTCACCGGGTTCGTGTCTGTAATGCCATTTGTGACGGCGGATGCGGTGACGACGGATGTGATGATGTTGGTGGTCGGCGGTAGTGCTGACGCGGAAACGATGGAAGTCACGACATTGGTGGTACTCGGGTAGACGGTGGTTGTGGAATCCGCTCCTAAGACTGAGGAAGAGACTGCGGCGGCGATGGAGGTGGATACCTGCGAAGCGAGCGATGATGTCGCCGACGCCGCCGCCGCCGGTGGTATGCTGGTGGTGCTGCTGGAGCTGGTGGATCGCAAAGACGTCGAAGTGACTGCCGACATGGTTAGAGCGGCCGAGGGTGGCGGTGATGGTGATCGGGGGGAGAGTAGCAGAGGAGCAGGACATACTCGTAGAATTGGACATGATGGAAAAGAGGGTAGCGCTACGGCAGTACTCTGAGATCGCGCGCTACTGAAGTCTCCCTGGAATGCCGTGGGTTTGCCCGCTCATCGATGCTGATCCCCAACTCGATATCTCTCCTCCTCTCCCTGATTCTTCCTGCAATGCGGCCTTCACTATATCTCATAAACAAAACGACGAAGAATGGATGTGGTGCACGGCGCTGGTGGGCGTCGCAGCTGTGGGTATGGGCGGAGAGAAGAGAGGGTGAAGAAGCAGGCGTGAGCTGATGAAACACGACGCCCTTCGATCGCTTCCTTTGCCGGTACGAAGGGGACAAAGCTTGCTGCAGCGCTAATGCCCGCCTACTCCGCCGCTCCCGATCTCCTCCAACTGCTTTTTGCACGGAAAAGAATTGTTTTATCACTCCCAAACGAACGTGTGAAGGTGTAGATCAGATATGGTAGGCGAGGAGGAAGTGGCAGAGTCCTACTGTCGGCAGAAGGATGCCTTCCTCTTCGTGCAATAGGGCTGGCGTGTATGGGTCCGAGACCACTTCCTTATGCTTGCGCCATTCAATTTCGGGTTGACATTTAACGCTCCCCATTGGCGTCTTAGCCGACGGAAGTGGCAACATGGCCGAACGATTCTGACTTTCAAGTAGCAGATAATACTCATGTTATGGTCTTCTGCACGCCTGGTCCCACGACTTGGCCTCCACGAACAACGATCTTGCACGCTTACACTGCTGACTCTCGGCTGAAGACGGTCGCTTACCACGCGTGGTGATTCGTTGTCGTGGCGCAAGCCGAATACGAGCTTGCCGCCAGCAGCCAAGCTAACCCCATTCCAGGCTGTTACGAAGCCTTTCCTTCTCCGTTCTGGGCATCGGCTATCCGTACGTGGACAGGCTGAACACATTGAAAGATAGGCCAGTTCGACGGTGAAGGCAGTTCTTCATCAAGCGATCGCATCGTTAACAGGAGGTCGAGGAACCTCATTTCGGAATTTGAGTATGTTTTTTCATTGGCATGTTCAGCGTTCCGTGTACCTAGAAGTTCCATCCCAATATGGACATCGAACGCACAGCTACAAAAGCCTATCTAGGTAGACTCGAGCGTGGTAAGCGAAGCCAAGCATCCGTCACAAGTCTATCAGAATCACAATGCACCCGGCAAACCCTTCCATTCCCACCGGACACCCCAATGCCTTTTGGTTAGGACATCCCATCATATTCACATCATCAGATCCCGAGCCAAGCCAAGCCAAGCCAGCAATCAATACCGACCAGGCTAGGGCTTAATTGTTGAACCACCAGTTGACGTTGTGAACACGTCCATCTCCACTCGGCGCAACAGCCTCAAACAACGTCGGGCTTAAATCAATGCTCGCACCATCGCATCCACCACAGGTGTCGACGATCTTGGCCTGGTTCAGGGTGCCGTTAAAGGAGATGGTGATGTACTGACCGCAGAGCGGGTTGAGGTTGGGGTTGATGCCGTTGTTCATCATGCCGTGCGGGATGGCGACGATGGCGTCGCTGTCCGTGTTCGTCCAACCGCAGGAGCCGAGACCGACATCGTAGTGCGTGATGTCGCCCGTATAGACGGTGCCGGCGGCGGAGACGGTGTTGGAGGCGGAGGTGGTGGTCGTGGTGGTTGCGGCGGAGGTTGAGGTGGAGAGGGCGGCGGAGGAGGTTGTGGTTGGGGCGACGTAGACGGAGGTGGAAGAGCTGGTGGTCGGGGCGACGTAGACCGAGCTGGATGAGCTGGTGGTCGGCGCAACGTAGACGGAGCTGGAGGTGCTGGAGGTGGTCGGCGCAACGTAAACCGAGCTGGAAGAACTGGTCGTAGGCGCAACGTAGACAGAGCTGGACGTGCTCGTGGTCGGCGCAACGTAGACAGAGCTGCTGGAGCTGCTCGATGTCGACGGAATCTCAACCGAAGTGCTGGTCGGCGCAACGAAAATCGAAGTGCTCGTCGGCTCAGCACTGCTGGCAGAGGGCGAGAAGGAGCGGAAATGGTAGTTGTTGTTCTCCACGGTCGCCGTGGTCGTCGGATCGCTCTGGCCCGGGTACACCCACACGGTGGTAGTTACCGGGACGGTGACAACAACGTCCTCAATCTCGGTGACCCAGACAAGGTCGCGCTTGGCCATCGGCACAGCCGCGACGGCAGCAATGAGCGCGCCGGAAACGGCGAAGACGTTCTTGGCGTACATTCTGGCTAGAAATGCGCAAATGATACTCTTGATTCGTAAAGTTTCGTTCGTAAGTATGCAGGCTTTTTTCGTCCGCGAGTTAGTGACAGTAACGAATCGGCTAGCGATTCTGGTTATTCACGTCTGGTGAGTTGGTTGGACAAGTGAGTGAATGAGAGTCTTTCAAAGATTCTCTTGAAATGAGTGAACGACGTGAGGGAGTAAAGGATTGTGAGCGGACAGCGTCAAGCGTGTCAACAAAGTAATGAGGTTCGTAACAAGAGAGGAAGCAAGACGAAGGTCGAAGGTAAGGAGTGGGTGAAATACTCTCCCAACCTTCTCCACTCCTGCCCAGCGCAGCGCAACGACGGATGTGCAAACGTTCCTTGGAGACAACTCCAGCGCACCGATTCGCCGACGAACCCACAGGGTGAGCATGGCATCGCTTTCGGTGCTAGGGAGCTAGTTTCTCGTCTGGCGGAGTCGTGCCTGGCGGTAAGCAGGGGCACACCCCTGGCAACGTGCGTGGTGTCGCAGACGATGGGTGGTGCACCAATCATGGTAGTTCAGCGCTACTCCGCATCGCAGCCTTATGCGAGGCTAGGATTTCCGTCCTGCAGTAGGCTTCCGACAAACGGACAGTCGCTGCAATCGATCGTCGGCTTTTCTTCTGCGCAGCGCACAACACCCGTTGAGAAGCTACTGGCTTTGCGAGTTCTGGTAGCTTTGTGCAGCAGCTTTCTGCCGATGCGAAGGAGTTGACAACAGATGTGGCGGGAGGCTCCGCTCTTGCCCCGACAGCGCCACAACGAACCACCGTTATGCCAGTCTCATTGAAGGCTAGACTCCACGCGGCATGGGCTTTCCGGCTGTCTGTCCACGATTCTCATTGGCGACTCTGTCCAGGAACTGGCTTTGGCGCGCTCGGTCAAACGCTCTCTCTGCGAGTTCGTTCAGAGGTTGGTTTCTCACAACGGTCTCTCTGCAGCTGTAAAGCTAGAAAGGATCACACGATGTGCAAGTTCAATGACCGCACGTTATCGTCATTTAAGGGCGCGCTCGCAGTGGTGTATTGTTGCTGATCGAGAGTTAGATGTCTTGGTGTATGTCTCGGATGTGCTTTTCGATCAATGATGATGTTACGAGAGAAGATCTGCACGTCGGAAATTGCACTGGACTAGACTCATCGAGCAGCCGGCTGGAGTGACCATCTTTTAGAGCCTGAGGCTTGTTTCTTAACTTGTCTCATGTCGAATCGTGAATCTCAGACATCATGTCAACAGCTAATTGTGGCTGGGCAAGCTACACTCGATACTATACTCGGCAGAATGCTACATCTTGGGGTTATGCGGAAATGCCATGACAATGTTGTGCATTGCAACAACGCTTCGCTTCTCATTGTGTTGTCCTGGTATTGTCTGGACCCATACCACCTGCCAGGAAACGGCGAAAGAGGGCAAGCTTCTGTCTGTTGCCATGAGGACGTTGTCGCAATCGTCGGCGGCTCAGGAAATGCCGAGTCTCCATCTCCGCCTTCAAGCGTTGCGCCCCTGAACCGCCCTTGAGATACTGGCTGACCCTCCTCACTTGGGCTGCCGGCGAGTACCGCAGCCTGACGAAGAGTCGAAGCGTTCACCTTCCGCTGTAGTTGGCGGCATAGGGACGGGTCGGAGGTGCCTAGTGTATCTGAATAATGGTGTTGCCCTGTGACTCGTAAGGAACTCTGCGCTCACTCGCCACTCAACGCCTTCTTGACCGCCTCGATTTGCTCCATTACCGCACTCCTGCTCGTGCCTCCCTTAGCGGACCTCATCTCGACACTTTTCTGATAGTCAAACACCTCCATAACGTTCTTCTCGAACCTTCTGTCCACACCCTGCAGCTCCTCGAAGCTCAGTTGATCCATAGGCTTGCCTTGCTTCTCCGCCAGCGCAACGACTTGCCCGGAGATGTGGTGCGTTTCCCGAAACGGCACACCCTTCCTCACCAAATAGTCTGCTAGATCCGTGGCGAGCATGTCCGGCGTGAGCGACTTCAGCATATTCTCGGGCAAGATTGTCAGGGTGGAGAGGACGCCGGTTGCGATCTGTAGACTGTCGCCGACGGTCTTGACGTGGTCCAGTAACGGCTCCACGGACTCCTGCAGGTCCTTGTTGTAAGTGGACGGAATTCCCTTGACACTCATCATCAACCCTGCCATCTGCCCAAACACTCTTCCGCTCTTGCCACGCAGGAGTTCGAGCGAATCAGGGTTCTTTTTCTGCGGCATCAGACTGGAGCCGGTAGAGTAAGCATCCGCAAGCTTCACAAAACTGAACTCGCCGGAAGAGTAGATGATGAGATCCTCAGCCCAGCGCGACATATGCATCATCAGCATCGAGCCCCATTGCAATGTCTCCACGACGAAGTCTCGATCAGCGACACCAGCGAGAGAGTTCATAATAAGACCGTCGAACCCTAGTTCCTTGGCCATTGCGTCTCGATCAATGTTGAAGGGGTTGCCTGCCAGCGCGCCGCAACCCAGCGGCGACCGGTTCACACGAGCCTTCAGCTCTCGAAGTCTCTGCAGGTCTGAGGCGAAGAAAGAAGCGTACATTAATATCCAGTGACTCCATCGTATCGGTTGCGCTCGCTGCAAATGGGTATAACCTGGCATCACCGCCTCGACCTCCTTCTCCGCTCTCGCAGCCATGACCTTCAAGAGGTCTACGAGGAACCCTTCCAACTTCTCCAGCTGATCCTGTAGCCATAACCGCATGTCCGTCGCGACCTGATCGTTCCTGCTTCGGCCGGTGTGCAATTTGCCAGCAATATCCTTGCCAATGATCTCGCCCAATCTACGCTCGTTTGCTGTATGGATGTCCTCGTCTACACCAGGCTTGATATCGAACGTGCCGTCTGCCCACTCTTTCCGAACAGCATTGAGTCCTCGCTCGATCTCCGAGAACTCATGCTCAGTCAGGATGCCAGTCTTGACGTTGGCACGGGCATAAGCTATACTACCACGAACGTCCTGGTCGTAGAAAACTCGATCGAAGTAGATCGACTCATTGTATTGGGTCATAATGGGATCCAAGCTGCCTGTGAAGCGGCCACCCCATAGCTTGGTATTGCCATTGGCAGTCATGATCTCAGACAGAATAGAGTAAAAGCTGACACCACGTTATCACGCCCTATGTCTACGTTACCAACGGATATATGCGAGCGCGACAAGAAAAGTTCGACTTCACGAGAAAACGCGAGCTTATCGATTAGATAGGCGACTGATAGGAGCCTTCTAAGATGATCTGCCGGGCCGAGGCGTACCTGTTGATCTTCGCCTCTACTGAGCTACTTCGAAATGTGCCGGATCTTGAATGTTGTTCTTACACGTCTAGAATACTATCTTGAATGGTGACGCTGATAATTAATGGGTGTTATATGTAGCGTCACGTGATGGGCACGAAGAATTTATACCACCGCCGCCTCGTTGCGGACTCCGCAGCGAAAGCGTGCTGGATCTGTTACAAGCCTTCATCTACAGTCCTGATCACACCGGAGCAGGACGACTGGTTCCATATCTGTGCGGGTCACTTACAGGACTCAAAGTTTGCTACTGCCAAAGATGCGGAGTCTCTAGCTGAGAAGAAGCGCAAAGAGGAGCTGGACAAGGAGATTGAAGCGGTTAAGAAGGAATTTGAGGAGAAGATGCGAAAGAAGATGGCTCGACGGAAGCAGAAGGAGTACGAGAGAGACGGCAAGACCGAGAAGAAGAAGGACAAGGACGAGAAGCAAGAGGACGAGGAAGAACTAAAGGAGAAAGAGGCTAAACTCAAGGACTTGGAAAGCAAAAAGGAACCGTCAAAGGCGCAGGTCGAAGGTCCGAGGATTTTCGAGCTGCAGAAGAGCTTCTGGCAAATGCGCGTGCAAAGGAAGCGAGACGCCGAGGCGGCCAGGCGGAGTCGTGAAAGGTTCAAGCAGCAGGGTTTGTTTCCAAGTGTACCCGGCGGCGATGTGGCGTGATTGCATCAATACCAAAAACGAGCGAGCTGTCCATGGCAAACTAGTGCTGAAGTGCTCTACTTACTCTCGATCATTAACTTGCTCCGTCCGCGCAGTATTGACGGAAAGGGATGCAGCCATACGTCGGGAGAAAACTGCTAACATGGGGTTTGCATGGTATGAATGGCGCTTGCGCAGCTCAGACGAAGGGTGGCTTTCCGACCGTTGACCTCATTCAGGCAACAGTGGCAAGGCCAGGGTTCTGCGAGCGACATGCAGCACTTCGCTAGGATGTAACGTACCCTGTGCCATCACCGCCGTTGCTCGGATGATGGTCGATTAGTTGTGTTGGCATGCAATACAACCTTGCGTTTAGCTGCGCATGCAGGGCACCACAAGGAAGGTGCGTCGCTCGCCCTTGCCTTTTTGATACAGCTACGACGGATATCCCTGACCCTCGCATCAGTCAACGTCACAAATAGTTGACGTAACATCGCAGTGTGCATTGTCGACCAGCATTGTCGTCCGCTCGTGATCATTGATCGCGGAACATCAATGAGCAGTGAATCGCAACGATAGGACGCCACAACACAAGCCCCCTGCTACTGGTCAGCACCTTCATTGCACCGCAGCATAACTGGGCTACCGCCGCTCTCCCCAGATCACACTATGATCAACGGCGGGTAAGGCGATCCGGCCCAAGCGTTAGAGTGCTGACCGGCTCCAGCGGCTAGCGGCGGTGATAACCGCCAAGCAGTGACTGCATGCTGCCAGCACAGTTGTACACTGCTGTTTCTCGGCTGTAACGTTGGATTGACGCTTGTCTGGGACGCTGCGCTCGAACCCTGATAGTGTCGACGGTGTCGCAAGAAGGTGTCTTAGATGTGGTGGACCTGGTAATCACGATCTGCTACAGAGTTCAGTATGTCGGATAGCTTCCCAAGACTGTCCTCGGGCTGAGCATTCACCGTTTCTGCTGCACTTCCTTCATCACGGAGAACGCTCTTGTTACGGCCAAATGCAAGAGCTTCATACGGAATTGTCCGCTTTCGTCTTTGCCAGTCAACGAGAGCTGTCATGGCATTAATGCCAATCGGTCCGAGGCGTGCGACAGAAGCATCGACAGTGCTGGCTCCGGCAATGGCACGCCTGACGCGGAGTCTCATGGGCTAGCAATCTACTTGCGATCGTCACATATGCATCCGGTGATCAAACTTCGTGCATAGCCTGGAAACGAATTGTGAGACTCTGACACGCGCCGTCTGTGTCGCACTTCACAATGGCCGCCTACTGAGGATGTAGCCACTAGACGGTTGTCACGATTCTGCAGGTGGATTTTACAAGTGCACGACGGAGCGATTCATTATGGTCTATAACCCCGCTGTATTTCTCGAACATGCTCCAGGACTTCAAACTCCAGGCTCAACCACGCATATGGGTTCCCGCCAGGTGCCTCTTCCGAGTGTAGATTACACTACGACATCGAGCACTGTTGTGTAGACAAGGGTGGGGTGGATCCTGAAGACAAGAAGTGACACTTCTCACTATGTTTGCCGTACAATGCCAACCCATCACGTGATGGAGACCACAAGTTCAGTAGGATAAATGTACCTGCCGCAAATCACTTAGTGGCCAGACATGTGCGTGCGCTCGTTCCGAGCGATGTCTGGTGGATGGAAATCAAGAAGAAACACAAGGCTTGGGAGCGTCTTATGCTAGTGTGGCGGCGTCGGCGCCACAGCTAAGAAGAATGGAGGATTAAGGTGCTGACGCGCTTCATGCAGTCATACTCATCACGGGCGGTAATTTCGCGTAACAGAGAGTTACCAGCGTGTGGCCTGCATGATCTAGCTCGCAGTAAGATGTGCCCTGGGAGAGAATACCCGCAAGCGACGTCTTAAGTGAGGTGAAGTTCTCTAGTGCAACAGGCAAAGGGAGCACCCGCTACACCATATTGATACTGCTCCAATCTGCGTGGCGCGGAAAATATGAGCCAAGAGTTCATTACTAGCTTGCGGAGCATGCTGCATGCAGCTCCGATACATAGGCTAATGCAAGCTTCAACACGCCAGTGACCATGTGGTTACACGGCGCACAAGATACTGAACGCCTGCCAATGCGTGGTATAGCGCAACGCTGGGATGCGACACTTTTCCGCCGCCCAAATGGTAGATTGAATAAAGTCATGATCGTCGTTACTGTGCGCTTGGGCCTAATGAGTCTGCCGCTCATGCTTGTTGCTCGGCAGTCGCTGAGCTCAGTTCTGCTCGAATTCTAGACACAACGACTGCCGATCAGTGCTGCACTGTCGGTAGCCAGCTAGCTGTCCATGGGAGTCTCCGCCAGTGTATTGCGACTGCTGCGAGGGTTCATGCCGAGGCCACTGGTTGCAACCATAAGCGCAGGCGGAGCTTGACTGCCAAATCCATCCACTGTAACTGGACTGGCCCGCTTCTCCGGCGGAGGCTCGTCTTGCATACATGCATTCTCTAGCTGGTTTGTCCACTTTCCACTGGTCCCGACGTGGCTATGTTTCAAATGCTGCCTGAAGTGATCGGCCCTGAAGAATTTCTTGGCTTGGTTGCACTCTTGAAATTTGTGCTTGTGGCTGAGATGTTCAGCCCGGATGTCCCATTGGGGTGGATTAGAGAACTCGTCGCCACAGTAGCCACACGTGTCGGTACCACTGCTGTTCTGCGACGGGTGGAATGCTGCTTCTGGTCCGGAAAGCGCGGCACAGCACCAAGAGTGGCGCCGCAGGTGGAGTGAATTCTGGTGGCGCTCGGCTTCGTTCTTGTTCTTAAAGCGGTTTGGACAGTAAGCGCATGTGTATTGTTTCTCGGCTTCGTGCAGCCTGCATGTCGTGTCAGTAAGGCTGCGTCACGTGCTTATGGATGTTTCACATGGGGCGGTTGGTGATGAATTTGCGGGGCAAGATGTAACTTCCGCGCCAGTAGATCGACTCTGCCTCTCCAACCGATACAAGTGCGAGGGTTTGCAAGGGAAGGAGGAGGTATGATGACGGCAGATAGCGCGGACTCATGCAGATGATGCGCCTTGGGTGCTCACATACCTTAGCTCCTCTTGGTTGTCGAACTTCTTGGGTTTCTTCGGACAGCACTCACACATGAACCCGGCGGGTAGTTGTGTCAGACTGCCTGTACGTGAGTGGCTCATGCTGTCACTCGGCGATGTGCGCCCATCACCTTGAGTGCTCTCTGACACAGTCCGTTGATGCGTGGTGGGGGTCGGTTTGGCGCTAGCGGTAGCGTAAGGCGTCCCGAGCCGAAAACCAGGGTCCGCGGGTGGTGACACGGGATTGGGTGAGAGGCGGTCTGACGAGCCGTAGCTTGTCGCGCTGCTTGGTATGCTTGCTAGCCCAAGCGACGAGCCAAGCGAGCCTTGTCTTGGCCCGTGAGAAGAAGCAGAAGACACCGAAGAGTGGTTCGGGTGGAAGCGTGAGACGGGTGAGTCGCGATTCGGGAGTTGCTGTATTGAACGCCGGTGGTAAAGGTCATTCTGGCCAGAAGCACTGCTCACGGACGACCGCTCTCCCCGTTCGCCTTCGCGCGGTGATGATGGCGCACGCCGCTTCGTACCTGCTCGTGAATCCATATCGTCCGATCCAGACGGACTCCGGTCGTGAATGTTCAGGCTCATCATGGGTGCATCTTCCATGAGCTCCTCGTTAAGGAACATGGACTGGTCGATGCTATTTCGGTGTGACACGCTGTCGTCGAATGCAAGGCTGCCATGGCGTGATATCGAGGGGCGGCCATTCTCGTAGGCACCCTGCTCCGCCCAGAAAGTGTTGGAGCCCGGAGAAACAGCGGCCGAGGAGGGCCACCTTGAGCCTACTGGCGAACCCACAGAGAGTGATGGTGCTTGTCGTCCATCAGGGAGAGAAAGAGGTCTGAGAATGCTGTTGCGCCGGTCATGGGCCGCTTGAGCGATCTGAGCCGCTTCCGCGCCGGAGTAAGAAACTGAGGACCGTTTTGGTGTGTTTGGGCCGCCGATGCGGCTAAGTAATCGTTTGTCATAGTCATTAGAGGAAGCGTCCAGCGTTCGCCGTTCTAGTTGCCGCTCGCTCTGTAAGCTGGAATACATATCAATATCCCATTCCGTCATCGACCACGGCGGCGCGTGTTCTATCGCGCATGGTAATGCATACCTATAGTTCGGAGATGGCCTGTCCTCGTCGCTCGGTATCATACCCTCGTCGATCATGTCAACATCGCGACCTGCCGTCACCGTGGATATAGAGCTCCCTCTCCGCGCTTGGCCGCCTGTTGCAGTCACACTGCCGTCTTTCTCCCTCTCTTGTCTGTACAATCCCATCCCTTCGCCTAGTAAACTTGATCCAGGCTTCACCACGGCTGGTCGGCCAAAATCCGAATCGTCAGGGTTGTTGCCCCATTGCCAGCCCGGGTCGTGTCCAGAGGCGATGTCTGGGATGTAACTCGGGGGTGGCAAGGGTGGGGGCACATGTTCTTGAGCTCCAGGTATTCCCATAGGGCAGGCAGAGGCTGAGCCGAGAGCGGAACAGTACGACGGAGGGCTGGAATACTGACGGTGTTGAGAGATCCTGATAGCGGGGGTCGATGTCATTATCCCAATCGGTACAGCGACGTTGTCGAGTTATGAGGAGGTACGGCGCGTCACAAGCTCCGCTCAGGTAACGAGAAGGCACTTGCCTCAAGCGTCAAGAAGAGGCGAGCCCTACAAACCAGCGCTTATGCTCGAGCAGTCAGCCCGTTTACGAACAGGGTATTGACATCGAGTAGTAGCCAGGATCAACTAAGCTGAGGCTGCTCGGTTAAGTCACATGCGAAGAGGTGGCTCGAAAGTGATTGGGTCTTGTAAGCGCTAAACTCTCACAGCAAGTCCTCGAAAGGATGGGCTGCCTGCCGCATACAGCGCCACAGAGGTCTGCCGGGCATCCTCTTGGCTCGAGGAAAACAGAGCCTAGCCGCAATGGCTGTGCGCAGGATGCCGACCCTGAGCAAGCACTGTGCAAGGATGTCGGGCCGCAACCCGTCTAGTGATCCACACTTCGCAGGCCTGCCTTGACGGGCGGGCATTAACTTGTCCCCGCACAGTTTCTCGATTGCCGTCATTGCTAGACACGCAGTATCGACCACCAGCTTGCAGAGCGGATGCAAGAGAGCCAATTACCGATAAACGAGGACATTGAATGCCGCTGGGGAAGGAATGGATTCGATGGGACTCCCGTCGACCGACAAGCCGACAAGGCTACCTATTAGACTTTGAGGGAGAGAGGAATTCGAAAGGCTACTCTTGGCGCCAATCAGCCAAAGCTGATCCAGAGCTTGCTAAATAAGCCTGCGGCGCATTCACGCCGATGCTGCACGGAGTACATAGATATGGATTGTCACACCGCATGGAAGTGCCTCGTAAACAGCGCATGTGTTGTCATTGTTGTTCATCAATGGCTTGAAGAAGCCACCGGTTTGTCGCTGCCACATCTCGAAAGCCCCTCGTGTTCCTTTAAAGGCAAATGAAGATGATTAGCTAATTGGTACTCGTCTGACTATGCATCCTACCATTTATCAGCTCGCTCGTTAGTTTAGACCTCGTGGCTAGACTTGCTTCGGGAGCAGTAGACGCCGGTAGTCGCCACGAGCGGGCCTAACAACGTTTACTAGCCAAGTCTAACAGGGCATTCCAGCCCACTTATCCGGCAGTCCTTCATCAATTGAGAGCTTCCGAGGGAAGCCCGTGAAGCGGGAAAATCATTCATATCGTGACTTCGTCAATTATTGCGTTCCACTTACGTCCACAAGATCGAAGTGTTCCTCATTGCCACCGACAAGGAAGCGAAGAGGTTGGGGAGTGGTAGGTCATGCCCAATGCTTGCTTCTGAATAACGTTGACCGGCGATCCGGCCCCACAAGGGATCCACAGTTGTTGCTCCAGCCAGCACGGGGCAGAGTCGTGGAGCTGGCCGAGCTGCCATTCGTACGCGAGGACGAAGCTTGGATGCACTGCTTGTGCCGCGAAGCTCAGGTGTTGGCGTCGAAAGTCATCGCCGCAATCCTTAGAATCGCGACCTTGCGAATGCTGGCGGCAAGAACGCTCGTATGCTCATGCGACAGCCCTAGTGTGAGCACAGTACCCAGCATCATGCGCATATCACCTGATGCGAGCCAAAGCGAACAGGAGCCGAGCGTGGAACGCAGTTGCATAGACTTTGGCTGGCTGCGGAGCAAGCCGTGCCGAGCGTACTGTACCTCGGCCTGCCTTTTCGCAGCACTATCGTGGCAAGTGAACCAGTGACACCATCTACCTCGCCGAACACGCTGAACTAAAAAGCACATGGCGCTCCTCGACAAGATCCCTGGCGAGCTGAGCATATACATTGGCGGGTTCGTCCGACACCCATGCACAACATGCTGGCCCCGAGCGTCTGGCCTAGACTTCGATGGCTAACGACTGGCAAGCCTTTTCACGGTTCGACGCCGAGTCGCTCTTGAGGCGTCTGGGATCACACACATACTGTCGGTCCTGAAGTTACCTTTGGACCAGCGGCTCTTTGAGGGTTTCACTCACAAGGTTGTCGAAGTCGACGATGTCGATGACGAAAATCTGCTCGAGCACTTTCCTGCATGTATTCGGTTCATCCGGGATGCAGTTGGTTCGGGAGGAGGTGTGCTTGTCCATTGGTAAGTGTTTGTGCCACTTTCTCAAACACTGCACCCTAGAAAGATCCTTTTCGCGGCCATCACTGGCATTCGCTCCAGCCTATACCAGGATCATCGTCGCAAGCATCCTGTTGGTGGTGGCGTCAACAACAATAGCGCTGTTGCTATCTCTCACATTAGAACGTGGATTGGTCGATCTTCGGCGATTCGGAGAACATGCAAGGATAGGTGCAAAGTCTTTGAGGCTAGCAAAGAAGCAGCCGTATTGTGTCTACCTGTGTCGCTTGTGGCGTAAAACACCCAGAATAGCAAACATGCTGACTGTGCAAGTGCGATGGGGAAGTCCCGCTCGGCGACTGTAGTCTGTGCCTTCCTAATACAGAAGTACGGTATCACACCAGATGAGGCACTGGCGCAGATTCGCGAGGCTCGTCCGCTGTGTGAGCCTAACGACGGCTTCTGGCAACAGCTAAAGCTGTATCATCAGATGAAGGCACCCAATGATGTAGAGTCCACGCCTACGTACCAGCGCTGGCTCTACCAGAGGGAGATCGAACTCAGCCGGGCTTGCGGCCAAGCGCCTGAGGCCGAGAAGATACGCTTCGAAGATGAGCATGCCGTAGACGGCACACCGACCGACTTCGAGCTGAGGTGCAGGAAGTGCAGGTATGTGAGGATGTTCTTAATCCTCAAACGCCGGCTTACCATCCGCAGGCGCTCACTCGCTACCTCACAGTATTTGGTTGAGCATCAGTCAAGGCCAACCAATGCATTATTGACGTCGTGTGCACACTACTTCCTGGATCCGTTATCTTGGATGCGGCTAGAGCTTGAGCAGGCCAAGCTAGATGGCCGGCTCGAATGTCCTAAATGCAAGACCAATGTCGGCAAATATGCATGGCAAGGTATGCAATGCAGTTGCGGCGAGTGGGTAGTGCCTGCCATTACCTTGGCCAAAGGGAGGGTCGATGAGGTCAAAGTGAAGACGGAGTCTGGCACTAGCATGGGCATACGAATGCCACCGCCAGCGAACGGGAGGCGATTAGCAGGCGGCCAAGAGCATCTGTGAGCATTGCACACACATTTGCAATGGGCGCTCGAAATATCGGAGTCTGGCCGCCTTCGACAGGCGAAGCGAAACAATCTCCTCGATAGACGTTCTCGCGAAGAAACTAGAGACAACACTGTCGTTAAGCTTTCAAAGCTCCTGCCTTCAAGTTCTTCGTAGCTATAACCGTCAGAAAGCGCGTTCGCGAACCACTCTGTTTTATGTCCTCTGTGAATAATCTCAAAAGACGGAGACTGCCTACGGCTCTGTACGCTGCGAGATCGAACAGGGTCCGAACGCTGTCCGTATCGTCGGCGATGGGCCCGTTGAGCATGAGTGTGGCAGGGCAGCCCACTTAAGAAAGCGATTCTCAGCCTTACGTTTCAGCTGGACAGGGGCAAGCGGCAAGCTCTAGACTTAGCCTAGGCAGCAACAAGTAGGGAACGGTGCCAGCTTTATCAAACGCACCCCGACCTCGTGGTCAAAGCTATGGGACGTTCCCACGGTTTTGGCCTTGTAGCATGCCCAGGGTATTCCGTAGCGAAGTACATGTAGAGTGGAGATGTAATGAGAAGCTTCATAAGGGCGGGATCGCCAAGGCCGCTCGAGCTCATCCGTCCTTCAGCTCAGCTGTGTCCTCTGTGTATACAACAATCGTTTCGTAGCATAGTCAAGCAAACTCCGCACAGCAATCAAGCAGGCGGACCCATATAGCCACCTCAGACCTGATCCACTTCGTTGAGTGAGTGTACTCAGCCACAAGGAAAGAGCAATCCAACCGGGGTAAGTCAGCAGCTTCAACGGAGACTGCCGAACCTCACCCTTCTTCCAAGCCTTCCATAGCAACGCAATCTGCTCTTCATCCACGTCCAACTATCACCTGCTGTCAACACACTCTCTGCACACGCTTGGACGCCGGTATCACACGTCTTGGAGAGTCATTGACGCGTTGCGCAGATGGCGGAGATCCGTCGCAAGCTGGTCATTGTCGGTGACGGTGCCTGCGGAAAGACCTGTCTACTCATGTACGTTCATATCGTAATGTCCAATGCCGCGCAAGGGAGAATGCTGATGGTGTTGCCAGTGTCTTCTCGAAGGGTACTTTCCCAGAGGTACGTGTATTGCCAGCATTCCCAAAGACTTAAGTGCCGCGTCACCCCACCGATAAGCCTACACAGAGCCGACAGAAGCGCGCAAGCGGCTACGAAACGAGCGGGACTGACGTTGCTGTACTCAGGTCTACGTGCCGACCGTGTTCGAGAACTACGTCGCAGACGTTGAGGTGGATGGCAAACATGTCGAACTAGCGCTATGGGATACGGCAGGTCAAGAGGACTACGATCGCCTCCGACCATTGTCCTACCCGGACTCACACGTCATCCTCATCTGCTTTGCCATCGACTCGCCGGACTCGCTTGATAACGTGCAAGAGAAGGTAGGACACATGTCACGTGCTTGCAGCTTGGGTTGACTGATGCTGATCTGCCGCGCGTGTCTTACAGTGGATCTCTGAAGTGCTGCACTTTTGCCAAGGTCTCCCAATCATACTCGTTGGCTGCAAGAAGGACTTGAGATATGACCCGAAGACGATTGAGGAGCTGCACAAGACTTCGCAGAAGCCGGTGACGCCAGAGCAGGTACGCTTGGAAATGATACGCGGCACTTTACACAGGCGCCTGCGGTCATACTGGAGACTGACTCTTACCGTTTTGTCTAGGCTGAGGACGTTCGCAAGAAGATCGGCGCTCAGAAGTACCTCGAATGCTCCGCCAAGACTAACGAGGGTGTCCGCGAGGTCTTCGAGCACGCCACCCGCGCTGCGCTGCTCACGAGGAAGAAGGAAAAGAAGAAGTGCATGATCCTGTAAATTATCACATACCCAGCACCACCGTACAATCGAGCAAGCAAAGCATCCCAGTCATCTCGACATACCACCAACACCATACCCCGATCATTGCGCGAAGCGAGAGATGCGAAGGCATGCAGTCATTCTCTGGAGGCACGGCAAGGTGGCAGTGGTGGAGTACTACTGTAGAAGTGTACACGGGGCACGGGTAGAGACGAGGGTCGGGGTGTGAATCAACGTCTCTGCCAGGTCTTGCTCACCGACGCTTACTACTTTTTATGGCAATACCGACGGCGTTATATGGTTTCTTTTGACTGCATTTGGAGACGAGGCCAGGTTGCAGGCACACGAATGTACTACTTCTATACCGCTATTTGCTGTGCCGCGAGGCGTTCGTCGTGTCATGCTGGCCATTACTGTCCATCTCATCACATGCTAGACATGCAATACTCGAAGCACCTAATGCGATGTCCCGATCCTGAGACCTTCGTGCTGCGGCATGACCTGCAAGGAGTGACCAAGTTTGGCGGCTTAGGAAACACGCTGACACGGGACACGCGTGCGAGGGTAAGCATTTGATCGTTGTCCGCATCCTGCTGCGTACACAGTGGCGTCTGGCTACATGATGAAGCACAGCCCTCGTTATTGTGCAAGTGTCCACGCATCCTGATGCCATGAGATGGCCAAGTCAGTCAAGGCGGGTGTCAAGAAAGTCATATGGTCGAGCCTCTCAACTTCAGTACCCACCTGCTGCTGCTTACCTGATGCCTGCCATCCTACCTGCATAACAAAGATGCAGGCATTCTGCGCAGGGCTGATTCTCTTTACTGTGGCGGGGCTCGAGGCCCTTATTGCGCGCCGCGGCACCCGCTTGATGACCCACCACGTCACGGATGTTTGAGGAACCTTTTTTTACCATTCACACTGTATTCTAAGGCTCCTACCGTTTCAACGTTCACGTTCACACTCTCGGCCGGACGGGTCCAGCCTAGTCATACCGGAAGAAACGGCGCACAAATTCTTTCTCTCTGTAATTGCTCAAGGACTGTTGAGCACACGACACCCTCCATCGACATCTCCCGCGGACGCCGCCGCCACCACTTACGGGACTTTCGCTCTACGACTGCCAAAATGTACTTGTTAGGTCAAGGCTATCGACGTTCAAGATGGATCTACTCTCAGTAGACGTTAGCAGGGTCTGAGAGTGCTGTTGGTATGTCTCAAGGCTTGCGCACGTGCTCATGGCGCACAAAGTCGCACATGGCAGTGTGAAGTAATGTTAACCGTATTAACAGCTCGTAGCAACTTCGTCGCGTCTCTGTGACGAGTTCTGTGATCGCGCCCGCAGTCGCCGCGTTGTTGGCGGTTCCTCTACAGTCGCGCGCAAAGCACTCGCTACAGAGTGCTGGGTAGACCCAGCGTGTTACCTTGAAGGCAGTAAAGGCATATAGATATGCCACACTTTCCGGGCAACTGCAACATCGGTTTGAAAGATCATACTGTTCTTGTCTCTTCAGCGCCGACTAAGAAGTGGGAGTCGATGGCGACGAACGGAGCCGGGCAACTTATCACCACCGTCTCGCTACCCATGGCTGACGAGAAGACTGACGTCAGCTGCAATGAGATTGTGGTTGGCGAAGTGAACGGGGAGAGTGTGCGGGAAGTCAGGGTGCCGGATGCGATGGAAGGAGGTATCTTCTTCCCTACCGCGGCGCCTAGCGCTCTTGGTCGTCGAGTGCATCTCTGACAGCGATTAGTGGAGTATACCTCACGACCACCATCGCCACCGTCGACGGGTGCAGCCACTCCCACGCTTCGTCATCAGCCTTGCCCACCGCGGCTCAGGTCGCTGATTCCGCCACCGAACTTCGGCGCCACCAAGGATGGTAACCTATATCGAAGCGCTTTCCCTCAGGACCGCAACATCGATTTCCTGAGATCACTGAAATTCCGGAATGTTCTGTAGGTTATTGCAAGCTCACCTCTGAGTATGCAAGCTGACCGAGCTGCAGCTGCCTGGTTGACACGGAGCCTTCAGAGGCCTACAGTCGCTGGATTGGCGATGACGGCATCAAGCGCCTCCGTGTCGACATTGCACCCAACAAAGATGGCAGAGTCAGCACAACATGGGACTCACTTTGCGCAGCGCTACTCCTCGTCATGGACAGCGCCAACTACCCAATGTACATCCACTGCAACCAGGGCAGGCACCGGACCGGCTGCGTCCTTGCATGTCTCCGCAAGATACAGCGCTGGCCTATTGAGGACATTCTTGCCGAGTACGAAGCGTACGCCAACCCAAAGGTACGCACTGGCGACGTCGACCTGATCCGCGCCTTCGATCCAGAAGCGGTCTTCGATTACGCTAAGACACATGGCTACTTCGATGATCAGCCGTTCATGAGGCGAATGGATTCTACGATCACCGACATCGACACGCTAGCTGAGGCTTTGTCGGGCAAGCCTCCGTACTACGATGAGGTCGGCGACTTGTCTGCGCCATCAAATGCGAGCACCATCTCCGACGACGGCCTCGAAATGTCGTTGTCTATTACTGGTGCGCCCGTGCAGGCGGCGGACAATCATGAGACACTCTTGGACATCGACACCACTGCAGGGGCTGCAGTGGTCGATGGCGACCACATCCCATATGACGCTGAAGCCCATGCTCAAGCGACCGAGGCGTCGGACGGCATGACTGTGGATCCTGCTGTGGGTTCCGAAGAAGCCACGACCAGTGTTGTTGAGGTCGCAGAGGACGTCCTTACGCCACCTGCAACAGACTCTCCCATGAAAATACTTGGCGCCGCTTAGGCTGTGTGGAAAATAGCTTCTGGCTGCCGATGTCGGCCAGCTTATGAATGAATGTACGGCGGGTCAGACAGGACGCCAAAAGGGTTCGATATACATCGGAGGGATTACGATCGTTTTAGCGTTGGCGCTGGTGGCAATTGGATCGTTGAATTGCCATGAGGGACTTGGGTATGCTGCAAGAGTGCAGCACTGCCTGAACCGTAGTAGGGTCGCGTAGGCCTGCAAATGGCAAATGGCCACCTATACCATTCCAACATGCGCACTCGAACTTTGTGTCAAGCAACAATCTCCGTAGCAGAGCTACACTTGCTGATACTGTGGCCTTGACAATAGCTTGCGCTATCGAAGCGAGGTTGGGATTGGTGTCCTCTATTTGAGTTCTGACCACGCTCCATGTCACAGTAAACAATGTTGCGAGCTTAGCAGCGTCTGCCGCTGTCACCGCTCTGCACCGGGTACGCCCTGCACTCTACCCAGCGCCTTCGCCTGTTCTGCCGCAATCACCGCTCCAATCCTCGCCAGCTGTTCCTCCGTCAACTCCTTCTTCAACTCCGCCTGCTTCTGCTGCTGTCGCATCGCCGCCAGCTCCTGCAAAGGCGTCCGCATACCCTTCATCAACTCCCGCCGCTTCTCCACCTTTGCATCCTCCAACTCCAGCTTCTCTATATACTCCCGATCGTGCCGCTTCCTGAACTTGGAGTACTTGCCCCTCAGTTCGTCTAATACCGTCTCCGGCATAGGGTGATACAATAAGATAGGCCGGAATGTCTGCTCCTCCACATTGATGCGGAGGGTATCGTACGGATGGTCAACATCTTCCTCCTGCAACTTCTCCGGCCACGGTATGACGGTGTTGGTTCCCGGTATCACTCGTCCCACGTTCTTGATCCGAATCAGACGATCTATCATCACATCTCTTGGTATACCAGTTTCAGGGTCAGGAAGTGGATACACCAACCGTACATCCTCGATCGGAATATTCCTACTGACGGGTTGGACAGTATCGCTCGACAGGTTTTGCTCTCTGGTAAGGTACTCCGGCACAACCACGTCGACAACGTTGACCCCTTTGATCTTGACGCTGTTGGACTCCTTGCTGTATTGCGTCACAGACCCAATCTTGCCCTTCTCCCGCCCTCGAATCACGGCTACTCGGTCGCCTTCGACGATGAGAGAGCGCTTGACTTGGTGCTTATTGGGTAGTTCTGCCATGTTCAGGTTTTGTATTCCCAAGGCCCCGTAACCGGTGGCATTCTCGCCGGCGTCCCGCCGAGGTGCTAGTGCGCCCGTGTCCCAGTCGACCTGGCGGTTGATTCGCGCCTGTCTGATGCTCTCACCGTACACTTTCACCAGTCGGTTCCGCATTTGCGAGCGCTCCCATTCCTTCGCGGCATGCTGGTGTTGTTTGTCTTTTCCATGCTGCCGGGCGCGCACTCGGTTTGCGCGAGCCACACGTTGGACGAGCTTCTGCATCGCCGAAGGAGAATGAGTCGAGCGCAATGTTCAAGATAGTGTTGCTGGGTACATAGACATGCACATGCCCGAGCAATCTGCTACTGCGGAGCGGAGAACAAAGTAGTGGGACGGAAGCTGGCCCTCGCTCTCCCGATCTCCAAACGTTCATTCACTTCATCTCCATTGCCAAGTCTGCCAAGCGTACACTATTGTTTGTATCTATCATTAGCCTTGTGAAATCAGTCTACACAAGACAGCTTCTCTGGAGACATGACTGGAGACAACGAGCAGCGTCCTCTTCTCCCCTCGCTACCATCCTCCCACCATCACTCATCCGACACGACAACACTATCCGTAGCCCGGCGGGAGACCAAACGCTATCTCACTTCCAAAATCGGCCATTACTCAGTCTTAGCTCTAGTATCTGTAGACATCGGCTCCATCTTCGCCGACCTTATCCTTCAATTGCTCACCTGCGAAGGCCGCATTCCACCACGCGATGGCGAACACGGCCAAGAAGTCCTCAGCATCCTGAGCCTCGTTTTCTCGTGTCTATTCATGGTCGAGTTGTTGGCTAGTATTTGGGCATTCGGATGGCAGTCAGTCGCTTCCAGTCTTCGCTATGGAATTGTATGTAAATTGCAGCGCACTGATCGAGCGTTCAGATACTTTCATTCCGCTTTCCACTGCTTCGATGCTACCGTCATCGTGGTTGGCTTCACCATCGATGTTGCACTCAAAGGCGTGCTCGAGGAAGTAGGCTCGCTAGTCGTAGTGTTGCGGTTATGGCGTGTCTTCAAGATCATTGAGGAACTCAGTGCCGGCGCTGAGGAGCAAATGGAACCCTTGCTCGAGCGCATCGAGGATTTAGAGAAACAGAATCTGCAGTACAGAAACGACCTTGAGCAGATGAGGATGGCACAACGATGATGCGTTGTGACTCGATGAGAAGCTAACTAGCTGTACTGTCTCCATTAGCGTCTGAATGTCGACCGATACCTGCTTGGTCAAGCGTTCGATCAGTTCTCTTACGCTTACAGGTGCTTTCGAGAGCTTCGCACCGTATCGTCCGACAGCGATCGTACAAGTCGACCTACAAGTGACGAGGTCCACCGATGAGCCAACCCTTCGGCAGCACCCAGAAACTTTTCAGTTGCAGCCGGTGGGATACAGACCTCTCCCTCGCGATAGCTTTCCGCCCGCCTTGACCGCGACGTCCCGAAAACACAGTCTTTTATCTTCAACAACCGCGACAACGTTCTTGGGCAGACTGAACAACTCTTCCAGCGTGTCGCACGCCCGTATGTTCGTGTCCAGGCCGGGCAAGCCGCTAACCTCTGCAGACCCGAACATGGTTTTGTCCATGTTCTTCAGCGGATTCGTTATGACAGCGCCCGCCAGCCCCTCGTCAGAGCCTATGTTACTAGCGAGCCTCGAGTACATCGCTGGCTTTCCGAACAACTGCTTCCGCGTCGGCCTCTTTTTGATCTCTTCCGTCTTCAAGGCGCGGAACTCGGGATCCCACTCTGGCCACTCTTCGCTGAGCGATAGCGCACTGTAGTCCTTCTCTTCAGGCTCAAGCTTCAACAGGTCGGCTAGTGATAGCACCCGGTATGATGCATTGCTGATAAAGGCATGCGCCGTCTTTACCTTCAGCTTCACCATCGTCGTCCTTGTCTTCACGGCGTTGCTGGGAGTGTGCGAAGCTTCTACCGGAATATCCGGAGTTTGGGACTCATCCTCCATGGATATGTGATTCATGGAACTCGTACCGTGGCCACGATCGTGTGCTTGTGTCTCTTCGTCGTAGCTCGTATTTGGCACGTTGTTCATGTCGATCCTATTAGCGTCAGCATTCGCGCCTCGCGCTGCAACGGCAGACTGCATTACTGCGGCTGGTGCGATGAAGGCTGAAGATGTCCTGCGGAAGATGTTGACAAGGGGCTCGTCGTCCGAGGCATTTGACAAATCAAATTGGTCAGCTCGAGCTTCTGCCAGCACCGGTAAGGCCATCGTTATTGGTGCATTTCTCTTGGAGCGCCTGGTCCTGAGAGGTTCCTCATCCGACGTGTCTGATGCATGTTGTTCATCACCTTCCACGACGGCTGTGTCATCAGCCATATCCGAAGCTTTGGTCGGTTGCGCCACTGTTTTGCCGCGTTTGCTATTGCCGCTTGCGGAGCCTGTAGGCGCTGTTTCGGAAGGCACGCTCTTGGGCTCAATGTTCGCCTTGTTAAGGCGAAGCTTCAGACTTGGCCGCTTCTCAGCCCCATTGGGTGTGCCTTTCAGGCGAGACTTCAGCTTGTCTTCGGACGCAATACGATTCGCCGTTTCCGTGGCAGCGTGGCGTCTTCGGCTGACAGCCTCTACTACGGAGCTTGCAGCAGCCCTGGCAGGCTTTTTTGGCGACGCCGAAGGCGGTGAAACAGGCTCTTTAAGCACAGGATCCCATCTTTCGTTCGTCGCCACCACATCCGCCCTGAGCGTGAAGAACGCACTCTTGCCGAACTTCGCACTATCAATATCCTCTCTGAACGACGACTTCAAGAAAAGATTCTTATTGTTCCCCGAATGTGCCGCCATCGTCATCGCTATGCCTTCCTCCCACTTCCCGGCTCGAGGTGTGTAGCCCTTGATGTTCTTCGCGACCCAGTGACACACACCGCGGGCTTGGAGACGATGATCGGGTGCCTCGCACATTGCAAGCTTGATGAGCCTCTCGTATGTGCCCAACGGTCGCTTTTGCCAATCACCCAGACCTGTACCACCAGTGTAGTTGCTCCGTTGGCGCTTCCATTGCATCTTCCGGTGGACTCTTGCAGTGCTGCCTGGTGCTGAGGGCGAGCGATCCTGCCTTGAAAGAACATCCGAGCCGCTGCTTGCCGGGGAAGGCGATTGCGGCGGATCCGAAACGACGTCACTATCCTCACCATCGCTATCCTCGCCATCGCACTGTTGGCAATTAAGTACTTCCGCTTCTTCGTTCCGCGCCGCAGGTCTTCGCTCTCCTGCAGGCCTTCGGGTCCAGAGATCAAGGTCATCCATGTCTACATCAACCTCGTCTATGCTATGACGTTCGACATCCCTTTCGCCATCATTATTGGTACAGTTAATGGCCTGTGAATCGGTGCTCGTAGGAGCTGAAGGGGTCGGGTCCGCTTGCGCAATGGGGGCTTCCGCCTCACCTAGGCCGCGCAGCGCTATCGAGTCCTTCAGTGCACCATGCGGACCAACAGCAGCATCCGTGCCGGCTGACCTAACAGGGCCTTGATTGGCATCTTGGCTTGGTGCAAGGAATGCTCCGATTGTCGGCATCGTTGTCTCAGGAGCGGCACCTGTCCCACGCGTGACTGCAGCACCGCTACTAGCATCCCATTCGGCTGGAGGCGATGCTTCGCTCACCACTTCCGTAATCAGCGAAATCTGATCTCCTTTACTCGACGCTTGCGCCATCTCGACACCATCCGCTGCAGTCACTACTTGCGATACTCTCGCAATTTGCTCGGTGGCTGTTTCCGGCTGAACAGCAGCTGCCTCGTTGGCCTTCCTCTTGCATCTCGAGCAGAATTTGTGATTGTTCAGTATCTTGGTGTCGCAATCACTGGTAGCACAGTGAACAATCCTTGTCGGCCTCGAGCGCTTTGCCATCGGCTGTGCCGTGACTCCTTTCGGCTCCTTCTGCTCAGCCTGCACAACGCTGTCCACTGGCGAAGCAGATCCGGACTTCGCCAGCAGACCCGATTGCTGTTCGCCTGGTCGCGCACGTAGCTTCTGTCTCGGATCTGTTGACGCCACTGCTGGAGACACTGAGACTTCGTGACTGTCCAGGGCCTCCCGCGGCACTTCTGACGCAAGCGGTTGTTGGACTGGTGCCAATGCATGTCCCGATGGCACCGTCGCTGTGGCAATCAGTGTGGTGTCGCTTTCAGACATCTTCATACGAACCGTCTGTGACGACAATGCCCAGTCCGGGGGTGTCGTTACGCAACTGCCATTGACATTTTCGAGCTCCGATATATTATTGACGCCGGAAACCGAGTTCTGATCTTTCTCGGTCCGCCGGGCGACCTTTCTAGGGACAACAGTCTTCTTGAATGCCAGCGGAGCCGAGCCCTGGTCGACCGACTCGGTGAAGCTAGCCTCCACCAAATTTGCCATCTCGATGTCATGAGAGTCATCGAATTCAAGCGTTTGATGGCTAATTCGCTCCTCTTGTGGCCGTTCGAGTACCACACTATTCCTTGGCTTGCTGGTCGTTACTGGTTGGAAGGAGGCCTCAACAGGTCTTCGAACCGGGTCTCGAGCTTCGTCATCGTTACTATCCTCGATACGGTCGGCTTCGACTAGCACAGGACTTCGGTGCACGACAGCAGCCTCTTCCAACCTCTGCCGTTTCGCGGGTGGTTCGACGGTGTCTAAGGAGGCCGCTTCGGCGGAAATAGGCGTCGGGATCTCAATCTGCTTCCTGACACAGCGGCGGCACTGCCAGATCTCCCTAGGCATAGGACTATCGTGCAATGCTGGTCGGTGGCAGCGCTTATGGTATCGCCTAGGGCATGTCGAGCATGCAACCAAAGCTTCGATATGAACATTTGGAGCTTTCATGCACACATGACACTTGGAGCCCGTTGATCCTGATCGAGAAGAGGAATTGGTTCTGCCACTAATGCTTGAAGAGTCATCAAACTCGTGCCGTGAAGGTAGTCGAGCCGAAGGAGACTTAGCGCGTGGAGATCGTGCCGTATTCCATGCTGGTGCAAGAACACCAGTTGCTGGAACAGTCGGTTTCGTTGGCGCAACCCTGTCATCGGGCGGTGCTTCATAGATCGCAGTTGCCCCTTGAGGGGAACGCGAGACTGACCCATCTGCTTCCGGCACGGAGACTGAGTGCTGACCAATGGCGGCCACATCGTCTAAAGATATGTGGTTCGAGGAACCATGAAGTGCATTTTTGTAGGGAGGCTGTCCGTTGTGAAAAGCCTGCATCACGATCGTATATGAATTGAATAACTTGCTGCCGTTCTTCACTCCGAAGCACACATCTAACGAACGATGCCCTTCATTGGTGTCCGGGAACACAATGTAGTAGCCCAAATCGTCGACGCGCAGTTTGAATGGTTCGAACTTTCTAAGCAACCCACGAACATGTATCTCTGCTTGAGGCATTGGAGGCACAGCGTCGCTCGATACAAAGATGTGTGGTGCAGCGCGGACACTCGGTTCGACTGGGGGAAGGCTAGTTTTTCTTGGCAACCTCTTGGGGCCCATGGGGACGTTCTTGAGGCCGTTGAAGTCCTGCCGAGGCGGCTCCAGCGTTGAATGAGGCGTTCTGGTAAAGATCAATGGGCACGGAGAAGGAGGAGCTGCATTCTTTGGCGGACTGACCGCGTTCGAATTGTGACGAGGTGCCACCCAAACCTTGTTCGGGAAGCGCGGTCGACCGTCCATCAAGTCCGGAGACTCGTCAATCCCGTCGCTCACGCGATAGCGTTCGGAGTAGCTGTAAAGGGACGACAGTGACGGCCGTAAGCTGCGAGGTGATCTCATTTCCCTGTGGTCAAGGAGAGCAGAATCTCCGCGCCTGACCGGCGGTGGCGAGATAGATTCTCTGCCCCAGTGGTCGGAATCTTGCCTTGGTAGCAATGGTTGACGGTTGCTATTATGGTAACTAGATCTCTCAGGACTGTAGTGAGTGTAAGGTGCGTTACGGGCATCAGAATTGTCCCGCCGAAAGGTTCGATCAAGCCGATCGACCACCCGGTTACGGTCTGGAGAGCTTGATAGCACGCCATCCTCTTCAAGGCGACGCTTTCTTAGTCTGACATGGGCCCAAGTACCGAAACGATCAGTGTTGGTTGGACGAAGCCCGATCTCAGCGCTTTTCGGTGGGAGCCATTCCATGTCACCACCATGAACCATTCCTGGTGATGCCGAGGGAGTCTGTTTGACGGTTAGCACTTCGGTGTGACGGCACAGCTCAACAGACAAGCGCTTAACAGGACGCAATATCAGATCTTTTCAGTCATTCAATGGGGTCGTCATTCCGGACCAACAGGTTGCGTGCCGACATGGGGCCGTAACCGTCATAAGTCTTCTTGTCTGCCCTTTTACCATGATTACATCACGCAAAGTGAAGACGGAAGTAAGTGGTGAAAACCATTCACGTACCGTTGCTGCTGCATTGCGTGTTCCAACATTCGCCGGAGAGTAGTTGGACATATCTGGGCGGCTCTGGTCCGAGCCCATCACCCGGGTTGGCCGATCGCAGTATTAGTAGTCTGGCGAAACAACCTACGAATGGTCTCCCGTTTCGGCAAGGATGATGCTCGATCGGAAGCAGCTGTCGAGCAATGAGACAGGAGTATGTTGACTCAAACGCACAAGACATGCAAACAAGCCAACGCAATATGTAGAACACTTTGCAGGCATGGGACCTTCGTAGTCGTACAATACCGGTGGCGCTGCATAACGTATTGCATCGAATTGTCGAGGTCCGTTTGAAGGCAGGCACGTCGCCTCGGGGCGCGTCGAGCTGTTAAGCTTCTCGCTGGCGCACAAGCGGAACGCGCCGACACGCCACTGAACTCAAGGGTTCAGTTACGGTGCAGTTGGACCATTCACTTACACGACTCATGTGTTCACGTTCCTGGGGATGTTGTCGTCGGATGTTGATTGAACCCTAGTGACATGGACTTCCTCAAATCGGCAGTCGCGTCGATCTCAAAAGGCCCAGCATTCGGGTACACCTTTGGCGATAGAGTTGACCAGGATCAGTCGGTATGGACGTTGCATAACGGCACAAAGAGGGTAGGACAACACGTGCACGCTCCGTGAGTTGTCTGCTGATGAGGCTCAGGAGGATGGCTCGAAATGCAGCATCTTCTCCTTCGACATCAATGCGAACCGTGGGCGGTTACCACTGGCGAAGAATGCGCTAAGAAAGTTCCGCACTCTAAGACATCCTGGGATCGTCAAAGTACTAGATACGGTGGAGGTGGGCCGAGCTTGCATTGACTCGAATTGGCGAGAGGCAACTGACGAGGCACAAGGCAGACAGACCAGCTAATTTACATCGCAACTGAACGAGTGACGCCGTTGCCGTGGTCCACGAAACGGAAAGCGCTATCAGAAGAGAGCTTAAAGTGGGGTCTACATAACGTTGCGAAGACGCTGAAATTCATCAATGATGAAGCGTCGTCTGTGCACGGCAACCTTCGCGCCTCATCAATCTACACAAGCGAGAGCGGAGAGTGGAAGCTTGGTGGACTCGATGTCCTGAGCTCGCTGAAGGAAGATGATGCGATCATCTCCAGTCATGGCAGCCTCGTGCCAGATATTGGGCGGTACTCGCCGCCCGAAATCGCCAAGGCTGGATGGGAGAGTGTAAGAAAGAACCCAACGCACGCCGTGGATGCCTATCAATACGGCATCCTTGTGTACGAAGTCTTCAATGGCAGCTTTGCAGGCTCTGACCAGCTCGCCACGACGAAGAATATCCCTATGGAGATGCATGCGAGCTATAAGCGTCTCACCCATGCTATCCCAAAGATGCGGTTGAGTATCGCCCACTTCTTCGAGCAAGGCAGTAGGACGGGCGGCTTCTTCGACACGCCATTGATTCAGCTCTCCAACGGCGTTGATAATCTTGGTTTAAAGACCGACGCAGAAAAGGATGTCTTCCTTGGGTATGCTATAGCGGCGTATTCCTAGGCATTAAATCTTTTGCTAACTCATACGAGCGAACTCGAAAAGGTTGCAGAGACAGATGACTTCCCAGAAGACTTCTTTAAAGTCAAAGTGCTTCCGGAACTGCTCAAAGCGGTTGAGTTCGGTGGCGGCGGTCCGAAGTCGTTCTCGCTAGTCCTACGCTTCGCGACGAAGCTTTCAGAGGACGAATACGATGCTCAAATCACGCCAGTGGTGGTCCGGTTGTTCGGCAACCCTGACCGCGCGCTTAGAGTCTGCTTACTGGACAATTTGCCACTAATGATCGATCATCTCAATCAGAGGGTCATTAACGATAAAATCTTCCCGCAGATGGTGACAGGCTTTGGCGACGCTGCACCTTTAGTGCGCGAGCAGACCGTTAAGGCCGTGCTGGTGGTCGTGCCGAAACTCTCCGATCGCATTATCAATGGCGAGCTGTTACGGCATCTTGCAAAGACAGCTAATGATGAGCAGCCCGGCATCCGCACGAACACAACCATCTGCCTTGGAAAGATAGCGCGCAACCTCGGTGTCGGTTCGAGAGCCAAAGTCTTGACTGCTGCCTTCTCCCGTTCACTACGTGATCCATTCTTACATGCCAGGAATGCTGCGCTCATGGCCCTGGCAGCCACTGCGGATGTTTTCAGCGAAGATGATTGTGCAACCAAAATGCTGCCTGCGATCTGCCCGAGCTTGGTTGACAAAGAGAAAGTCATCCGTGACCAGGCCAACAAAACGCTCAACATCTACCTTGAGCGTGTGCGTAGGTACGGTCAAACTCTGCCGGAGACTATATTGCCGCCCCATTCAGCAGATAACAGTGCGTCAAACACGCGTATCAGCACGCCTCAACCAGGACCCGGCGGCCAGTGGATGGGCTGGGCGATCTCTTCCTTCACCAACAAGCTAAGCACGGCGAGCGGAGAAATTGAACCGAACAGTAATGGTGTCAGACCCACACCACTCGGACGATCCTCGTCGTCGCCTTCCATGAATGGCTCGTCAACAAGGGCATCTCCAGCGCGGCCGGGTGTACCTTCAGCGCCAATCGTAGCGCGGGCAAGCTCGAGCTTGCGCACTTCCACATCAACAGAATTGGAGCCCGAAGCCGAAAACTTTGGTGCAGACTGGGGCGACATAGATGAGCAGGAAGAAATTGTGGACTCATGGGCCGAACCCATTGCACAACCACCTCGCTCTTCAACAAATAGTCACACCTCCAAGCCAAGCATAGCATCTAGTGCAACGTACGACGACGGGGGTGAGCCTGACTTCGAAGGGTGGCTGAATGCGCAAGCAACGGCGAAACAGCAAAGCAAAAGGCCTTTGCCAAAAGGTCTTGCGACGAAGAAGCCGCTCGCGGCAGTAAAGCAAACGTCAGCGGCGCTGAAACCGGCGACAGCAACGTCCATCAAACCTGATGCAAGCAAGCCGGCAACTACAGCGAGGGCGGAGGAGGAGGACTGGGGTGATGCTTGGGGTTGATAACGGACTTTGCCGTTGCATTTTGGTTCCGAATGGCTTGCTGAATGCATGAGATCACGTAGCCGCAATGCAGGACATATTCGCGTCGCCGACTGTGCTTGACTGGGCGACTTGAATGGTGGAAGCCAAAAACTGGCTATGCGATACTGTCTAAAAGCTTGGCCAAGCCTATCGCAATATGTCACAGTCTAAGCGCATGCAATGCCGAATTCCAGTTCCGTGTAGCTTTCCGTAGCGTTTCAGCATTAACCTTATAGCATAAATGCCGATCTCAATACAACCAGCTACCGCGAGAATCACACGTCTCCGTCGTTCGTCATCCACATCTGTTGATTGGATTAGTAGTAGTACTGTATAACGGGTATGCGTCGTAAAGTTGTTCTTCGCGGAAGCCAGCGCGCCGGGCGCTTGGATCCAGTGCGACGCGCCTTTACTCCTTCTGACTTGGCAGCGCTTTAGGTGAAACATTGGCCACACGTAAGGAGAGACATTAAACGCTGCCCTCCACTATCCGCGAACGTTGCAGTTTGTCTCAGTGTTCGGCGACTGCAGCGATGGTTGCACCGTGCTTCCTATGCTCCTGTTGCACGACGGCGAAGATGGCGCATACGGGTGATTGCGTCCAAGGCTATGCAGAGGACAGATTTGCCCTGTGGGAGGTCTTCTCCACCCCAAGCAGTGGGCGTAGGCTTCGCGATAAGATACGGAGACGAAGCGACCAAGGGAACCTGGTCAAGCGTACGGACGGGAGGTATGATCGCCATTGCTGATTGCTTCGCTGCCAAAGGACGCCCAGCCAATCGGGCAATTTGCCAAGACCTACGCAAACGTCCCTCGACAACGAGAAACGGTTGTGCAGACATGGCATATTCAAGTCATGTCTGCCTATCATGCCCGAGTAACATCGGCGGTAAGAGGTCAATCATCTACATCTTCCAGTAACTTGGCCTCGGCTTCGGGAGGCCGCGTTTGATAGGTGCTTAAAGGCTGGCCAGTCAGCCGACTCAAGGGGCAAGCGCCACATCTCTACCACTTCGGCACTAAGCCAATCAAGCACCCGGACGACAAGCAACGTAGATTACGTTCGCCGCCGTTGACTGATCCTAATCACAGGCCCAGGCGCAAAGCAGAGGCCACAGGGGTAACCGACCGTCGGGACGTCCAACGTCGCGCCTGCACCGCCGGTATCTTTTGTTCGATGTCTCCCCCAGAGCCCAAGTGTGTCCTGGTTTCGTGTTGACTCTCCTTCATTCAGCGCCCGTTCAGTCCGCGACGTCGCTCTCTTCGCGTTCTCTCGGAGACGCATCCACTCTTTCGTTGACCTAGTTCAGCAGTCACTCATTTACAGCCTCTGTCATTGCGCGCGCGGATTGATTCCAGCATCAAAGGTTGCCAGATCAGCCTCATCCATTACCAGAAACGCCACATCCAGTTATCACGAGATCAGACGGACGAAATGCATGCATTCACCACCACTACCTTCATCGCGGCCCTTGCCGCGGCGGCGAACGCGTATGAACTTTACCCCAGACAGAACAACGGGTCGTTGACGACCGCCACCGTCTTCGCGACGACTACCTACACTGTCATCAGCTGCGCGCCCACGGTCACCGATTGTCCAGCACATCCTGAGTCGCAGATCGCTCTTACAGTGACGGACATTATATCTGTCGCCACGACTGTCTGTCCGGTTGAGCAAGCCAGTTCTGCAACCTCCGTTATCCTGGCCAGCTTCTCGGCAACGGCTTCCAGCACCCCGGACCCATCGGTATCGTACAGCCCTACATCGTTCAGCTATGCGCCGAGCGACAGCTCGTCATCGCCCTCGATCCCCTCCTCTTTCTACTACGCGCCATCCGGCTCGCTGCCAAGCTCTAGCGCTGTCAACGCGCCGGTGGGCACTGGAGCCCTCCCGAGCTCATCTCCGATTGTGGCGCCGCTCAGCACTGGCTATAGCACACCTTCGAGCTCAAGTGCTGTTGCGGCCTTGGGGACCGGCTTCGTACCAGCAGCTTCACCTAACGTTACCAGCTCGTCCACCATCACGATCCCGACAACTCATGTTGACAATACAACACTGACTTACGTTCTCGGCACGGGCTCGTCCTCGTCAACCATCACAACCACCATCCACTCTACGCGGACGCAGTACTTGACCTCAGTAAGCCACTTCAGTCCTACGTAACCGATGTCATCTGACCAGTTGTGTAGACGCTGTACTTGACCAGCACCGCCGCCGCTGCTGTCTCCACTGCAAGCTCGGGCGTCAGCTCCAGTATCGCATCGAACGACGGTCCGGCCTCCGGCTTGTCCCAAGGCGCGACCACTGCCGGCACTTCCACTATTCACTCGACCCGGACGATTACCAACTTCATCACCGTCTACCCGGTGGCTGCCTCATCAACACCGGCGTCGGCTGGCAGCGGTGCTAAAAATACCGCCGCCGCAGGTGCCGATGGCAGCTGCGTAATTAACACCGTGACGGTGACGGAGAAGGAGACCATCTTCGTTACAATTGGTGGCGGCTCATCTACTTCCACGGGTGCCACCGTCCAGCCTATACAATCCAGTCCTGCCGCTTACTATCCGACAAGCGGGTACCCAAGCAGCAGCGGCATCGCCGGTGCGAGCAGCAGCCGTGCGGCCACTGGCTTCGTAACCGCTGTCAGCCCATCCGCCTCGGCGTACTCAGCCACTATCGCACGCATCTAAGCAGGCAGTCTCAGTCAGGCGTCTACCTCCGCCACATTCATTCACGACTTGATGACGCGGTATAGCCGGCACGACACCTATGACCCTTTGGTCTATACATTTCACTTAACGCTTCATACCTTGTGATACCACCGGGCAGTATTTGATCGCTTCGGTCAGCGATGTGGGCCTCATCATCTTAACATCGTCTGTATGGAGACATTTTGGCTAGGGGGTACTGTCTCCATGTGTACAGGCGCTTAGGAGAGATTCTACGTTTGGTACCGGCTGGGCTGGGAGACGAGAACCTCTACTATGAAACTAGGTAGTACGAGAAGCTATTCCACAACATATACATACCCCTATACCCCAGTGTGGTTGTTATCGGACTACTCTGTCATGAGCCATTTGGGGATCCGCTGAAGGCGCCTGAACCGAAGCAACATCTCTCATCATTAGTGACATTCCTACGTACAATGTTCGTGTCACGCTTATGTAGTCATCCTCATGAGCTCGTAATCATTTCAAACGATGCGCGCTCCATCATGTGACGGAACCCTCTCCCCGGCATACAATCACGGCCTCACCACGTACTCCCACGGCAAACTGATGTTAGTCAAGAACGTGGTCCTGTCCTGCCCAATCGGGACAACACTTGTGTTCACGATCCCGCATTGCACCTGAAAGTCGCCGGCTGCAGCGCTCTTATAGGCAATAATAGCCTGGTACTGCTGCAGCGGGCAACTTCTGCCCGGACCTTGCTGGCAGGAGGGCACCGGATACACCTCGTCATTGAGCTTCATGCGCATGAACAAGCCCTGTGTGCCACAGTTCAAGCGCTCGAAGCTGATAGTGCCGCGCATGGTAACGAAGTTGGACGCCCGGAACGTACGGTTCTGAAGAATGTACGTAGCAGGTAGTGGTGGCTGGTCATCGAAAACACCGATAGCGGCTGCTAGCTGGTTGATCTGTCCATCATTCGTGAACGTAGCAATGAGCGGGTTGGGATGGAAGGCGTTCGTGCCATTACCATTGGGGTAGGAAGCGTTGGGCCCGTCGACAAACCGCTGGACAAGCTGTGTCAAGAACGGCAACATGAGGTTCTTGTCGACGGTTGTTCCCAGACCGCTACCGTACCAGTACCTGATGTCCTGAGCGTACTCGTAATGCAGAATCTCCTGCTCGGTAAAGGCGCCGCACCAGGGGCTGACGCGGCCAGTGATTTGCGTTTCGAAACCACACAAATACGGGAACAGGGTCACGTCTGAGCTGGTGAAATTCAGGCCTTGGAACAAGCTATTGATCCGGGAGACGATGGGAGGCACGTAGATGTTGGACCAGTTAGTCGCATATGCGCCACCACTATTGTCGACATATGCTGGGCAAAGATCCGAAGGTGCCAGACTGTTGGCAATGGATCGCGGGTCCGATTGGTTCAATACGTACACGCTACCATCCGCCGTTGCATTGGGGCCCACATAACCGCGAGCGAAGAGTCTGGCCGTGTCAACCACACGGAAGATACCCTCCTGGTAGCGATTCGCCCACAGTACGAAAGGTGTGTTCTCCGTATACAGCGTCGGATAGAGCCAGCGGTATTGGACTCCCATATCATATAGCTCCCTATAGCCTCCTATGGACAGCTCCGAAAGCTCTGGGATAGGGTTACGCAGAACTGGCTGCCAGTTGTGCAAGAATTGAAATTCCGAGGCATTTGTTGTGAAAGGCTGCGCATGGATCTGTTCTTGAGATCAGCAATGCCGCTTCAGGGCCATACGTCAATCATACCTTCGCGCTCAGGTTGGTCCACTGATAATATGCAGATGGGTCCGGGTATCGCGAGCCATGGCGCGATGTGAAGCCTACTTGATCTACCGTACACCCAGACGGAGGCTCAGGACAGATGTTGAAGACATTGGATCCAGAGAAATATGGACCGTTACCTCCAAGATGTTGCAGAGGGTTGAACTTGGCAACCGCCCCGACAGCGAGTAGACTGAGCACGATAGCTGCCATTTCGTAAGGAACAGGTATGTTCAAAGCTCAACCTACTCTTGATCTAAGGTGCCAGCAACATATTTATACATGCAATCCCGAGTGTGCATACATCATGAGCACACTCTTGGCTTTCGATGCCCTCAAGTCACCGATTCCACAATTTCCACTTCGGTTAGCATGGATCTGAGCATTAGCCTCCACGTTGCACGTTTATTGGTGCCAGTCGCCTCGAGCACAACTTCCCTCGTCGTAACATTGGACCGTTGCATGAGCGGGCGGAGACAGTTCCATGCAATGATGAAGTCGGCTCGAGTCAGGTAGGTCACCCATGACATGCATGAGGACTGCCGAGGGTAGGGTCTTTTACGCGCGATGGCCGTCCTTCTGGTGGCAGTGAGCAGATCGTAGCAAGATTCACCACGCTTGTACGGCGTGGAACGGTGTTCGTAGGTCTTGGCAGTCAACCTCATGGGTCTCGACTCGTACGTCCTGGTTACTTTTATCGAGGAGGGAGATTGGTCGCCTTTAAGGCCGGGCACATTGGAGATTTGAATGGGAGGAAGAGCGCATGCCGGAACCTGCCGTCACGTCCTCCACTTCAACCCCACATGCTCCGCTCCAATTGAACGACCGCGGTATGGCTAGGCAGCCTTTCCTTATAGGCGGATAAACTCAAAGCTTAGCCGGGCGCCGTGCAGCAATGGGATGGCTTCCAGTCTTTAACAACCCGTGGTATGCGCCTTTGCACGCAATGGATCTTGCTTGCACAGAGCCAACTACATGTAATGTTCTGAGTGCTGAGAGCCTACTCCGCGACGCCTCCTGGGGAGTTGAAAGGCTGGTGTGGCAAGCACATGGTCGCGGAACCTGGCCTGAATGCGGCCTGTTCCACCCTTTGATATCGCTTCTACGGACTGACAGCGATGGTGTGGCCGATCAATACCTGCAGCGCACCAGGCTCGCCCACTACACAGAAGTTACTACCTCCACGGTACGCCCCAATTTTCCAAGGCTGTGATATCACGTACCGGTTTCGACGGGCCGTTTACTAGAACGCCACCACCTAATTTGATCTCATTTAGGGACTGCTGATATGACCAAAGTGAATGGGGTTATGAAAATCGAAGAGATCGTTCACACTGAGGCTCCGCGATTGTTGATCCTGTTCAATCAGGGCCAACAGGATGTAGTCATCACAGCAGCCGATATACTGGGACAGAAGCACACAACAGTGACATATCTGGAGGCTGTTGCAGGACAACCAGATAGCACTATCGTTGGCCTAGAACATGGCTCCGTATCGAATCCGGAAGATATACAGAGGATTAACAGGATGGTTATCACAGCACATTGCATTGACGAAGAGGACGCGAGAATCCATGGCTTGACCGCGCTATGCGATCATGAGTATCTATACACCGCACGACAGCCAGCACGGCGGGATCTTGCGCGCTTTCTTGGCCTTGTACTTGGACAGACTAAGCCACACGATGATCTCCGGAAGAAAGGGCGGACGACCTTGCTATCTACGACATTTCCTGACATTCGCGCGGCCCTCCCAAATCTCGACATCCTCTCTGTCGGTGCAGACTCGGTTGAGCTACGTGTAGACTTGTTGGAAGACCCTTCAATATCGAGGACAGGTCATGAGGTTCCCAGCCTTGAATATGTTGGCGAGCAGGTGATGCTATTACGCCAGCGTACAGAGTTGCCAATAATATTCACTACTAGGTGTACGAAGGAAAACGGTCGGTTTCCGATGGACGACCCGATGCTATTCTACAAGTATCTTCGGAAGGCGATCCAATGGGGCTGTGAGTATATCGATGTCGAGCTTTGGCTCCCAGAAGAGATCAGACGTAAGTTGGCGTCCGAGAAGGGAAGCAGCAAGATCATCTCCGCTTGGCACGATTTCAGCGGGAAGTTCAAGTGGAGTTCAGCAGAGGCCCAGCAGCTCTTCAAGCAAGGAGCAGTGTACGGCGACATTGTGAAGATGATCGCTTTAATCAATACGACCGAAGAGAACTACGAGCTTGAATACTTCCGATCGGTAATACAGACGACGTACTCCCATCCGCCGCTCTCAGCGCTGAACATGGGCCCTATCGGTCAGCTGTCCCGGACGCTCAATAGAGTCTTCACTCCTATTACACATCCTTTACTGCCGATAATTGCCGCGCCAGGTCAGCTTAGTGCTGCTGAGATCAACTTCCGACTTCATTCTATGGGCCAGATGCCCAAGCTCGACCTGTATGCCATTGGCAATGTCCATCATACGGGTCAAGCAATGTTCTTCGAGAAGTGTCTGAACGAGCTTAGTCTGCCGCACCAGCTGCTATGTATCGAGCGCACATCACAAAGCTCCGTTGAGCGCTTCATCACTAGGCCTAGCTTCGGTGGCGCTTACATCAACCCGCCTTTGCCAGCTACGGCACCTTATCTACCCAAGCTCTCTAACGCTGCAACGACTATAGGCCAGATCGACACGGTTGTCGCTCACGCAACGTCAGGCGGCAAAGTGCTCCTGGGAGACAATGTAACCTGGAAAGGCATAAGAGCGATGCTCACACGGGACTTTGTACCCTCAGCGTACGCCGGACAGGCGGCTTTAGTGCTGGCCAGCCATGAGTCTCAGGCCGCAGCGGCCATATTTGCCCTGACAAGTCTCGAAATTGGGACTATACATACGATCGGCTTTAAGGCGAAGGGCTCCATTGCCGCCGACATACAGCAGTTCCATACGCTGGAGGACATGAAGAAAGTGAGCAGGCCGTTTGTCGTCATATCTGCACTACCGTCGGAAAAGACGTTCGTGGTGTCACCTCTGCTCAAGCATTACAGCAGTAGCTTCAAGGAGCGTCCCGGGCGGATATTTGTTGATCTATCGAGCGGTGTGCGAGGCAGAGGTGACTCCGTGGCATTGGCGGATTCGTTAGGGTGGACGGCGTATGGTATAGCCGACGTCAACGGTTGGACGACGGTTGAAACGCTGCGTCTCCTAGTAGGGCAGAACGTGCCCTTCGACTTCGTATGTCTGGCAGCTGGAAGGAGCTTGTACAGATGACCAAGCCAGACGCCATCACGGTCATGATTGGCCTCGCGTGCAGCAACGACCTAACATGCCTGATCAGGAGCTGCAGCATGGTGGCTGGCTAAGGCCGTAGGAGCTTGTTGGCGCTTTTCAATCGTCTCATGCTCTCCCGTGGTACTCCCATCCCCTATACGTGCTCTAAACGAGGGTACGATGGACAGGCCATATCATTGTTGTGGAACGGCTCGGTTAAGCAATAGGCTGCTCCCTGTCAGCTTCACAGTCCAAACGCTAAATCGTTTTGGTGCATGCTTCTCCTCCGTAACGCATGTAGATAATGTGCTTTCCGGACTTGCTCAACCGAATATGGTTTCATGTCGCTAAACGAGCCCTATCTAGCTCGTGAACTGCTTGGCCACGGGGATGTTTGACGTCTCGAACTGCCTAGCCCCGATCTCATCCCGGACCAAATCTGCTCTGGCCAATGCGGTCCATGCGGGCGCGCTAATCGTTTTGACTAAGCGGTCCAAGCTTGATAGGTAAATGGCTTTGCTGTCCAGCCGACTCTCACCACACGGAACGGTATGGGAAGGGAGTACAGGGATTCTGCCAATGACTGGCGGGAGATCGGGATCGTGCTGTCTCGTCGACCCGGTCTACCAGTTTGGCGCACTGGCGTACAATCATATATTTGCTACCGTACCTCGTTCGCAACGGCTACTGCGGGACGATATCCCCCGCTCTTCCTGGAGTTCGATGTGGCGCACGTACCGGCTCCACACGCTCAAACAGAAGCTGTCAAGTACATCTAATGTCTTTTCTTGTACCGATGAGCTTGTTAGAAAAGCTATTCATCAATGGCTCGATGACCGACACAGCGATGCTTCTGCCAGAGTGGTGCGGCAAGGGAGCTGTCCTACCATTTCCAATGCGTCCGCGTTAACTTAGCAACACATGGCGACCGGTCTTCATCCTGGGTCGGTCGACGCCTTCGAGACGATATCAAGACCGCTGGTCGGGATAGACCGTTTGCCAGTAAGGCGGCTTAGCGATCAGCCGAAAGAGGCCATGAACTGTAAGAGCTGCCGCAAGCGCAAGATCAAATGCAACAGAGTCCGGCCGAGCTGCGAAGCATGTCAGGTCTTCAAGTGTCCTTGTATATATGACGCAACGCCTCGCAAACGCGGTCCCAAAACCGATGTCCTAGAGGCACTGCTGAAGAGGGTGAATGGTTTGGAGAAGCGGTTGAAGGACGAGGGGCCATCAGAAGCCAAGAACGATGGCGGCGTCGCAGCGGAGAGCGCAGCTCAGACTCTTGCTACGGAGAGCGACACCAATGGGAAAGGACAGGCCGTTGATGATTTGTCTGGATCGCTCGCATCTGACATTGAGGCTCAATCATTACCTAGCGGGAGATCTGCTAAAGTAGCTGCGGCTGATCCAGCGAAAGCGCCTAGCGATTCACTACCAGTCGGAGACGCCTTGGTTGATGCCTACTTCACACGACTGCACGGTAAACCTTTCTACATCCTGGACGAGCCGGCTACTCGACAAAGGATGCAGAAGGGGCAGCTACCACAATTTCTCCTGCATGCGATATATGCGATATCCAGTATTCATGTCCCACGGTCTACCAGTGATGACGGTGCAACAGGAATCCGGGGACTTGAGTACGCGCATCAGGCGAGGCGAGCGATTGACGTGGATGAGCCAACAATTGAGAATGTGCAAGCTTTACTCCTACTAGCCATGGCTGCGTTTCAAGACGGGAAGGGCAAACGATCGTACATGCTGTTATCGCATGCCATTAGTATGGCACTCGCGCTGAGCTTGCATCGAGAACTACCGGCACAGCTTCGAGTTTCTTGGTCCGAAAGAGAAGGCCGACGACGCCTCTTGTGGTCTTGCTGGTTGATGGATCGTTTTACGGTGTCTGGCTCAAAGCGTCCATCTCTCATTTCGGACGATTGCATACATCTCCGCGTACCAGCTTGGGCCCCTCCAGGCGTGCAGTCGAGATGCGATGGGAACTATTTCCCATCGAGCACGAGCTTCCCAAATGCGGTGGGAATGGGTAATGCTGGGCAAGGAAGTGGCGCCGTGTTGGTGGAGATCGTTAGGATTCTCGGACTCACGAACCGGTATTTAGCGGCTGGTGGTGTGAAAGGCGACTCCCATTTTCCCTGGCATGCTCAGTCGACATTGTCGAAGATCCGCTCTGACCTCGACTATTGGGCTGCAAATAACCAAGACTCGTTTGCATCGCTCGAAGCTCTATTCAGGCAGCCGGAATGCTCGACGCTTGTACTGAGTAAGCTGGTCTACCACCTCATTCATTGCCTAGTCTACCGACCATTCCTTCCAGTCGATCTTACCGAGTTGTCCGGCACCGGTCAGCACCAGTCATGGCAGATCGAAGCGACCAACCTCTGCTTTCTACATGCAAACGCGATCACAGAGCTTGTCGAGATTGGCAACGGGGCGACCATGGACTGGCCGGCCTTTGTGGGCTACTGCGTCTGCACTGCCGGGACCATTCATGTCCATGGCGCTCACTATATGTCACATCACCATGGAAACCTATTCAGCAACAGTTCGGATTATCTGCAACGGGAGATGGCGCAGTTGTCAGCGTTAAGGTCTCTATGGGCCGGTGTACACCATCAGGGTGAGACACTGCAGAATGTATACGCAAGTCACTCGCAGCTGGTTCGGTCACTGGCTGCGAACCCTATACGCTTCTCGCCAGTCTTCCAGACGGAAGACTTCTTTGATCGCTATCCCGGCGCTTACATTGACGGCGCCCATGTCTCGTTCGCCGACATTGATCCGAAGGTGCTAGAGGAAGACATGCCGCTTCCTATAATAATGGGTAGCAACTCACACGAGCCTTGGCCCGAACAGCTCCCTCCATTGCAACACTCTCAGAGCCACCCTGCGGTCCCTGCACAGTATATGACTCAGAATCACACGCCGCCAGAGGGCAGGAAGCCGAAACGGCGGCGGATTACAACGTCAGCAATCTCACATCCCACACCCGTCTCCGAACCACCAGGAGATCTTCAGCTTCAGCGCCACGTCTCCTACGAAGGATATGACGTTGGTATGCTACATCAGCAGCCCCAGCAGCATCCACAGCAACCCATACCGGCGCAGTCGATGGATCCTAACAGGTACCTGCACGACTCCTCTAAGCCAGCCGACTTTCTGCAATCGCAGACTTTTACGCAAAGCGCGCTTTCGCCCACCTTCAATTTCACTCCCACGCCGCAGTCCCTTAGCCTTCTAAACACTCAGCAGGCGGGTGACGGGGATAGGATCACAGATTGGTCGAAGGAGCCTTACAGCGCGCTCTATGGACCAAGCGGCTTCGAATATCAGACCCCGAGCGGTCTCAGTCAAGGCGCGGAGAGTGCACACACAGATACTATGGAGAAGGATCCTTTCTTGAGCTTTCTCGAGCAGCTAGCGCAAAACGATACAAATATGAACTTCAACGACCTTGATAATCTGACCGCTTTCACGAACGGGCCCGGTTGAGGTCGCACAGAACTCGATTGTGGTGTAAAAGCTAGACCGAGACGCGGCTTGCCCGCCGTACCCGAAACCCTCTGTACTTGAGCCGGAGAGTCGTTGGGATAATGTGGAGAGGGCGCCATGAACACCATCTGATAAGCCAGCCAGCGCCTCGCTCTTGCAGCAGCTTCTTACGACAAGGATAGCTGGCCGTGGGTGGCGAACCTTGAGCCACGCTCACAGCAGACCCGGTATCACCGCCTTCCGGTTGCCCACCTTTTCCGTGCCGAATTTCTCGATGTACCACTGCCTGCCTTGCAGCGCTCGCGGTAGCATTGTGGAAATCTCGTTGATCAGAAACGTCCTGGCTGGCACGCAGTCCCAACCTCCTACCATCCAGAAACCAGCCCATTCGAACCACTCACAAAGATAGTGCGGGTACAGAATGTAATGGAACAGTCCGTTCTTGGGAAGCATGTAAAGCTTCTCAACGCCTTCGACGGGCTTGCCTTCCTTCTCCGCCTGCGCTTTTTGCCGTTTGAGTGCGCTACGCCGTATCTCTCGTAGATCATCGTCGTGGAACATGTTGCCCAGGAAGCTCCAGCCCATGATCACGAGGCCGATTTCGATCGTGTATAAACGGCCGGCCCAGTCAAACACGGTGGTCGGGCCGTAGCCGGCCACCCAACCTCCAATTGACAGTCCGTTAGCGACTTGCCACAGCGCTGCAGAGACGAACACAAATGGGTGGATCGGCGACATGGTTGGGTTAAGTAAGAGAGGCGCGATGATGGCGCGATAGACATAATGCACGTTGTAGGCAAACACCATGGTCCAGTTCGCCCACGGTAGCGACCGAGCGCTGTTTAAACCGACTGTCTGCGGGATGCTGAGCATGCAGTAATCGACGACCACCATGCCCCAGATCTCCATGAGGAACCAGCCCCATTTGCCGGGAATGTTGATCTTGCTCTCGATAGAGGTTTTGCCCTGCGGGTAAAATGTCGTGAACCATTGTATAGCCGTGAACTTACAGACCGTCAGCGGCGTACTGTGTGCATTCAACAGAGTGCGCACTCACAATAGGGAAGAACTGCCAGCAGTAGACGATGAGTTGCCAGTGCTCACGTGAAGGTGGCAGCCATCCTGGTATGAGCACCGGAGCGTTTGGGACGACGTCCATGACGAAACAGTGAGAGTTTCAAGAGCCCACTGAGTTCATGTTCAATTAGAAGGTGGCTCTTGAGTACTCAGGAGGCTGTGCAACTTGCAATCGGCTGCTGTTCAGAGCATCAGCCGTGCGTTGTACGATGATCATATGTTCGTCAATGATGTCGGTCCTAAACCGGTCGAGGGCCGGCCGGCAAAAGCCGCAAGGGTAACAGTGCGAAACCAACATGTACAGCTTCGTTGCTCCTTCTCCATTCTCTACTGTCATGTTCGTCTCTCGCAACCTCAAGGCCAACCATGAGACATACGTAGGGTGAAATCATGACAGACTTGCCGACACCCCATCGATTTCGAGATCTTCCGAAGCTTGTCGAGTCCATAGCCGTCCTACCAATGCCGGCTCTAGACACTACTAACTTTCCAACATATACACACACCAGCATTTACGACGCTTTCCTCTGACTCGATCCCGTGTCTTGACTAGGCATGTAGCTCTCCCATCCACGGCGCTTGCTACAATGAATGCTCGATACAATTCGAAGGCAGGGAAGGCGTCTTATTGTCTTCAAGCGGTGCCAACCACGTCCTTGAATCAGTATCCTACCCTACGTATCCGTTCGGTCACTCACCTAAGCCTTTGGAGTGCTTCGGCGAGCTCACCGTGCGGGCCTGGAGCCTCCGGACCTTTGCTTACCTATGGAAGCTCTTGCTCTTGGATTCAACTCCACCCTCGGCCCAGCTGATGTCGCGATATCTTCGCGTCAAGCTCCACCCAGTTCTATTTGCTATCGCAACAAGAATATCAGCAGTCGTACGAGCCGGTGCAGTAGTGCTAGACGCTTGCCATTGTCCACGTAGACGTACCGTCCGAAGCGGTGCATCGAATTATGGCATATTACCACCTTACCTATACTTATGAATTACTGACCAAATGCTTAACAAGGGATACTACTTGTCGAGCCGACCATACAACTTGTATGCAATGGTGAGTGCCAAGTTTCGTGTTGTTATCTTCGCGTTGTCATCTGCATCTCCTTCATCCTTCTTACGGTCTCTACACCTGCTGCCGTTCTAGAACTACCGTCTCTATACATCTTCGGAGCGCAGCACAACTTCATCGTACAAGCTTAGAAAAGCTCAATCCCTTCTATCACTGCCAATTTCTGGTTCAAACTGATCTTTAATCACCTTTTGAGCCTCTACACTCAATCATTCAAATGGGCTCTCAAGCAGCCAACTGGCGCACTACGGCGCAGCCTCTGTCTGGTCCTTCGCCACCACCGAATGTGGCCAGACGAAATGTCATGCTCAGCGCATGCACAATCCCCGACGGTCTCGTCGCGATGTTCTGTCAACAGAACATTCCTACCCACTCCATCCTCTGGAGTCACCCTATGTATAGTAACCATGGTGCTGATGAACATCCGGTGATTATCATTAGGAAGAGCAGCGACGGTGAGGTTGCTACCTGTGTTATGGGTACCAGTTTGCGCAGTACCCGGATACAAGACAAACACCAAGGCCTGGCGCTAGAGCAATATATGGCCGTTGACCATAACCAGACGGTCGCACATAACCGTCTGCCAATCCTGCACCTTGCAGGAGGCCGTAAAATGGACAAGCAGACGTATGTCCGCCTGGAGCCCTTCAAGATCGAGGCCCGCTACCTGGAGGAGTGGCGAGATGGATGCTGCGAGCTCACCAAATGGTCAATCAGGAGCTGCAATCACAACTCAGCACTCGCAGCGTCATCCAGAAGATTCAAGCCCGGCAATACACCAGGCCATATCGTCAGACTGAACGAGTGCCTGCCAAAGGGCGGGACCTTAACAAAACCTGGAAACGAGTCTCCGGCAGAGTCGGAAGCTCAACCAGGCTCCCATTGTTGCGGTGCATTGAGCAACTCCACCAAAAATCTTACCAACAACCTCATCAACAACCTCATCAGCTCTTTCCATTAATTGGCGAATCAGCAAAGGTGTTCAAGGGAGGAGACAGAACAAGGATTTGGACTTGGTCGGACCTGCGTGGAGGCCGGGCAGTGTGCACCTCGGTGAGGATGTTCATTGACCCAGGTTGGACAGGACGGTGGGACCCTTCAAGTGCAACTGATGCTTTGAGGGACCTTACTGCATACAGGGTGGTTTTGGGGACAGCAATCATCATGGGATCTTTGGGGCGTGGAAGTCGGGCAGTGATGCATCCCGGCGAGGGTGTTTCATTGCTTGAGCTTGGTCATGACGGCTGGGATTTTTTAAAGCCCACTGTCAATCTTGAGATTCTTGTTGGCGCCAGGGAATGTTTTGCTTTGGCTGTTCTTATGGGTTTTGGCTTGGAGTTTGGGTCTCTGCCTATCAGAACTTACACAAGTCAGGGGCTTCGACATTTGGCGGTGGTGGCACCGGATGGGAAAGCTTCTGACACCCAAAAAAACTTGCAATGCTATGAAAATGCGGAGGCAAAAAAGGGTACATTAGGGGTCGAGGCTCACATATACTCATTGCTGTTGGTTGGCGTTTGGTTTGCTTTTGGGGGCATGGTTATCGGTTTGGAAGGGAAAGGTCTCCCTGGCGATGAAGGGAAACGGCCCTGGCTGGATCATGCAGCCAGTGTGCTCAAGAGGAGAGCATCTGCAACTTCGACTTGATCGGAATGCAGGAGCCTCACCATACCTTGTATGAATACTCCGCGCCGCCTGCGCTAGTGTGGAGGGCAGTTCGGGCAAACGTGTGTCATTTGTCGAGTCAATCCTATCTTCTCGGTAGAATGGGCAACACAGGACCTTATGGAACTCTCTGTGCACTGCTTGGGAGACCCGCAACGCGTGGCTTTCCTGTGTTCCAGCCTTGCAATGTCACAGACCGCTGAAGGCGGAACTCCTTTCAGGGCTCACAGCTGTACATGTGCTAATCTTTGGAGGCAGCAGTGACCCTGGTAGCAGATCTTGCAGGCGCGAACCTAGGAAGCATTCGGAGTCGTAGTCACACGTGAGACAGAGAACGTACAAACAGGCGTTGGACATTCGCCCGCAACGTGGTCTACCACTTGTAATACCCCATCGGACGTCCATTCGTCGACAGACTCGGCGGCAGGTCCTCTCCTCTTGTGCCCCAGGTACTCTCATTCCTTCCTAAAGTAAGCTCAAGCACGCCGCCATCCAAGAAGAAAGCGTGCGTGATCCAGTTCTTGCTATACGCCAGTCCATTCAGCGTTGCACTTTGAATATAGATGTTGCTGTATTCGGCATCAAAGTTGACATTTCGCACCGTGGCCACCTTGCCCGTAAGCTTGTTAGTGATGCTCCACTCCTCGAAGAATGGCGGCGTGATCAGATAGACATCCTGGCCCGGACTGGGAAAAAGTCCCAGCATGGCGAGCGCGACAAATGAGCCCATAGCTCCTGAGTCATCGTTGCCAGGGATGCCAACGGTGGTGTCGTTGAACTGTGATGGTATGTAGTAGTGCGCACGTTCGGCGGACTTGGCTGGACGACCGGCGTAGTGATACTGGTAGACGGGGAGAAAGCCTTGTTCGTCACCAATATAGAGCAGTCCGCTAGTGTGGAAGTAGTCAAGGCGGTTGACGAAAGCGGTAGGCCCGCCAAGGGTGGCGATCAGGGTCGCCATGTCTTGAGGGACGAAGAAGGTGTAAAGCCTGTAAAGAGCGATGAGCGCTACCAACAAGGTTCGGGTCGAAGTACGTACCACGCTGATCCTTCGTATGTCTCGTGGCCATCCGGATTAAGGTAGCAGGAAGTAAAATTGAGCAACGGTGAGCAGAAGATGGGGTCTTGGAAACCCCATGTACCGTTCAGATAGCGTGGTTGGAGGAATCCTGCGAAGCCGGTAGCAGTGCCGTTGATTGAGCTGTTTTGATCCGCTCGGAAAATGTTTCTGCGACGTCGATTAGCGCATGCGTACAGCATGATGCCATGTGAAGGTCCCAACGCACCGCCAGTTCTGTGAGCGCTCATAGTATTTCTCCGCATCTGCCATGTTACCTAGTGCTTGCGCCAGCTCCGCAATGCAGAAGTCATCGTACGCATACTCCACGGTCCGAGATATACTACGTGTGAACGGCCCAACGCCGTAAGGATCATAGTCATCGGTCGGGATATAGTGCAAGTTCTTCCAGCTCGTCAATCCGCCTCTACCCTGCACCGACCAGTTCTGTGGCTCGTCCTCCGCATCCGCTCTTACGGCTTCGTAAGCGGTTGTCCAATTGATGCCATCGGAGATGGTGTTAATTTTGAGATACGTGTCTGCGAGTAGGACGTCTGCGTTCGAACCACCCTGAGTGAAGCCCTTGCAGAGCGACATCCGGCAGTCAGGCAGCCAACCTTCATGCCGGTATATGTCAATCAGACTCCGCATCATGCGCACCTGCGAGATGGGATCGACGATAGTGATTAGCGAGTGGATGCTTCTGAAAGAGTCCCATATGCAATAGAAGGAGTCATAGTACGGTTCCGTACTGTTCCAGAGCGGGTTCTCACCAGTGTAGTCCTGCGGCGATATGCTAGTCCTGTATAAACCGCTGAAGAATACGGTTTGTAGTGTCGAGCTGACACCACTTCCAGGCGTGACTTCAATGACACCCAGCTTGTCAGTCCACGCTTGGACGGCCGCTGCATGCACGCTCTCGAAGTCGAAAGTAGGAATTTCGCTGACGGCGTTCGAGCATGCCTTTTCCACACTGATGAAGCTGACGCCAACCCTAGCAAGCATCTCGTTGCTGGTATTGTTTGGGGCTTGGAATCTCGTCCACGCGCCGGCCGGCAGAATCTCCGGCGACACGTCAACACCGTCCTGCACAACACTCAGGTTCTTCGGCTCGTTTCCTGCGCGATTATTCATGAAGACACCGGTATCGCGGATTACAGCACCATTGAAGTCGGCGCAGAAGTGAAGGGTATAGCTTCCAATGCCGAAGCTTGGGCTGAAGGTACCGTTGCCAGTGATGCGTCCCGTACTATTGTCGACCGAGATGGAGCCATTGATGCGGGAGTTTGGCAGGTCGGACAGGTCAGCCAGTATGAGCGGACTCAGTGTGGCATTCAGTTCCACAGGCTTCTGCGGGAAGGTGAAGCGGTATAGGGCTGTATGATTGGTAACAGTCATCTCTACCTTGATATTTGTGGCCAGCTCAACTGTGAAGTAGCCAGGACTAGCTTGAACGCTGCCATTGACGCGTGGCGTCGCCCGGGTGGCTTTCGGAAAGACGCAGTTGTTGATGTCGTCCGCTGCGCATCCGGCTTGAGGGAAGATCGGGAAGTTGCCTAAGCTGGGTGACTTGCTTCCGTTAGCGACTTGCTTCTCTGCTGCACATACTTCATGCTGGTTGGCGAAATGGTATGTTCATTCAGGCAAACTTTAAATATATTTGGCTATCATGGTAGATCAATGGGTTGTAAACAGATTGTCATCACTGGAGAAGGCCGGTATTTGTATGAGCTGAGAGACTTACACCGCCAGTGCCACTGTCATGCATATGGCTGAAGCCTGTAATGTTCGAGCCATCGCTTGCGAACCCGCCTTGATCCTCGCCATTGACATCGGCTACTGCTTTAGCCATGCCGAAGGGCAACGTCGCGCCTGGAAACACATGGCCGCCATTTACCGTCCCTATTAGCGGGTCAACAAAAGCGAGGATGTTGCTACCGCTCTGTGCTATGCTTGGTAGTACGAAAGCAACAAGAGTGATAAAGCCCGTTAGAGAAGCCATTGGGCGCAATCGCTGGGGCAGTGGAAGGAAGGTGTGAATACGAAATGGTCGACGCTACGACTTACTGGCACTCAGACTCACGCTGGGTCCACAACATGCTCGGCTCCACACAACACGAGGAAGGGTAGTAGGATGATCCCCTGTAATGTAGACGCAGAATGCAACGTTAAAGTGAGGAGAAGAGTGCGGAGGCAGGCTTTGGCTTTGCGGGAAGTGCCGCTTACCATGTGGCACCTCGTTCAAAAGCGGCGGGCGCGTTAACCATTTTCCTGCTGAGCAACCATTGTCAACCCCTTCATTCCGTAGCAGGCCTTCTCCAAGAGCCACTAACTTGGGGAAGGCCGTAGGAAAGGCGGAGACGAGGGTATGTAGACTTACATCTTTGGGATTGGGTGGTCGTATCCCCAACACCTGCACTACCACCAGCAGCTCCGCGACCACCGTTTCCCATAAAACATGAGCGGTAACCGCCTGCTAAGCAGGCAATGGGGTCGTCTTCGCCGTTATCACCCCGGGCGCACCGTCACCGCCCTCTGTATCAGCCCCTCAATTCTAGACTCCTTCTCTCGGTACCAGATTCGCAAGATCTTGTTATGCTTCTATCACTCAGCCGAAGTCGCTGCTAAGGTCATTAACAACTCCGCTAAGGACTAACCAAGAGACTCACCACTGCCGAGGTATTCCATCAGACTCCCGTGAAGCTGATGATAGTCCTCGTGATCACCTCTGTTTGCGGCATGCCGTAGCTGGCCAACCTTGTCGTAGAGACTGTCGTCCTCAAGCCAGAGACCCAGATAATCCGTGGCAAGGCGTCGCTTGACCTCCACAAACTGCTTCTTCAGCGTCTCAGTCGGGTCCTCCTCCTCCGTCTCGTCAATCGCCTCAACCCTGTCCTCGGCCGCTGGTTTGTCGCGAGCGGCAATAGCATGTTTGTAAAAGGCATTCTCGTTACCTACCATGTCGGCAGGGTCTCCCAACGCCTCTGCACGCTGGTCCAGGTCGGCCGGGAATGTTGTGTACTCCTTCTCGCTTTCGACAGCCTCAGGTACGTAGGCGTGGGGGGGGCGAAGGACTTGAACAACTTTGTCGTGGCTGTTCATGCAAGGCTTAGTATATCCCAATCGGAATGACTTCATCGGACTACTCAAGATGCCTTCTAAAAGCGCTGGCTTTCTCCCTGGCAACAAGCACGTTGACCGGAAGTAGGAAGATGGCAGGGATAGACTAAGATGGATACGGCTTACCCTTCCTTTGCGCCAACACTTCCTGATGATACCTGAGGCACAATTAGCAACAATGTCTCCGCCAGTCCGGTCAAGGTGCAGACATTAGGCGCAAGTCAGTCTATTGTGTAGCGCTAATAAGCGATGCATGAATCTATGGAGATGATCGTACAGACGTACCTTCTTAGCCGCAGCTGTGGCCGAGCTTCCGTCTTTGCCCCAAAGACTCTTCCCGTCAGATGGAGCAGGAGCTTTCGGTTTACACTCCTCACTGTCCTTCGCATCGTTACCGTTTCTCGTGACTGCCATATTGCGGTCGAACGAAGGGAAGTAGGGGAGGCGGATCGGTTTGATGCGGCACCGTGGCTTGGCTACGAATGAAGTACCGGTCGAAGTGGCGATGCAAATCAAGTTAGTGGACATTTGAGGAAGGCGCGTCCTTCCAGCAGAACGCTGTTTGCGTTTTGGCTTGGCAGTGACACGGGTACAGCCGCTTTTCCTTCAGGAGAGACATCGAATTCACGAACATCTTTCCCTTCATCCGCATCTTTCCTGACATCCCCATCCTTTGCATCCGAAAATATCGTAGCTACGCAGCTATGTCACGCCACGATGCCGTGATGGTGGCGTATCAGAAAGGTTATGATAAAGCAAAGGCTTTCTATGAGAACGATCAGCTTGATGAAGCAGTAGAAGAGGCGGAAAGCATGCTTGCCAATGACAGTATGCCACGGTATTTCCGCATCAAGTGCTACTTGCTTGTTGCTGCGTGCCTGGAAGATCGGATTGAGGCGGACGACCTTATCGAGAGGGCGGAGTCGCAGTGGGTCATGGCTCGTAGTTTCGTCCCTCAGACAGGTGGGTCCGGCCTCCTTCGACGCCGTCATCGTTACCGAGCTGACTGTTCATGATAGGGAGGGATACGGACATCGAAGACGCCCTTGCAGAGCTGCGCGGCGATATCGATTCTGTTAAGCAGCATTTCAAGGAGGAGCGCGCGGCCGCGTGGGCGCAGGAAAAGCGAGAGATAGAACTGGAGATCGAACGCGAGGAGATGGGGGTGGAAGTAGGAAGCGAGGAAGGGGAGGCGATTCAGGAAGAGGAGGCGATTAAGGAAGAGGAGGCGATTGAGGAAGAGGAGGCGATTAAGGAAGAGAGTGGCACGGCGGATGTGGAGATGAAAGGTGAGGAAGGCGTTCCGGAGGTGGTGGTCGTCGAGGCCTCTGATCAGATGCAAGTCGACCAGCAGAAGGCGCAGGGCAGTATGGACACCGGTGCAGAGCCGCTCTTTCATCACCGTCACAGGCCTGGAAGCGTACGCCTGAAGAAGCAGGCTTCTCGTGCTGTAAGTGCTCGCCCTACCTCCCAAGCCAATGCGTCTGCTGACTCATGGTATAGTCTATTAGGCCAGCCAGCGGTTCGTCGCCGGCCGCAGTGCAGCCGGTCCGCAATTTGGTAATCGTGCCGGTCATCAACAAGGTGCCGGCACCGTCTGCGGACAAGTGAAATGCATGGTATGAGACATTGCGGATATGTGCAGCAAACTGCCATAACGCGATGAGGTCAGGAGAGCCAAGGCGGGGAAGCTCGAGTCATGGCTGATTGAACGGTTTTCCGGAACATGCCGCTTATCACGTGACCGACTTCCTCCAAATGGGAGCCAGTTGTGCACATGAACAGCAAAGGGTGAGGCAACGAGAGGACAAGTTGGTAAGGCATGTTACGCATACTGAGATATGTATACCGAGTGCAGGTTTGCCCTGCCTGATGCTCCCAGCGCCGAAAACTCGCCAAAACTCCGATTTCGACTATGCACATCATTCCTCCACCTCCTACTTACGGTACCACATTCGCGAGATCTTCGTATGTCTCATTTTCTTCTGGAGCTGAAATATTCCTTGGTTCCATCCGTCAGGGTGTTGTCAATGTAAAGATATATATAAACCATCGAAGACTTACCGAACATCAGCGCCTCGGCCGTGGGCGGGCATCCCGGCACGTAGATGTCCACGGGCACAATCCGATCACAGCCTCTCGTAACCGAGTAGCTGTAATGATAGTAGCCGCCGCCGTTGGCGCAACTGCCCATACTGATGACCCATCTTGGATCGGGCATCTGGTCGTAGACTTGCCGTAACGCCGGGGCCATCTTGTTCGTAAGGGTTCCGGCAACGATCATGACGTCTGACTGGCGTGGCGAGGCACGGAAGATAATACCCATGCGATCTTGGTCGTACCGGGGTGTCGAGAGATGCATCATTTCGATAGCGCAACAGGCGAGACCGAAAGTCATCGGCCATAAGGAACCTTGACGAGCCCAGTTTGCGACGGCATCAACGGTAGAACTATGCATGTATACATCAGCATATATCGACGTAGATGCAGGGCTTGCTCATACAGTGCATATTGTAGGGCACCTTTCGTCCCTTCTTGACTCGGTAAAGGCACCTGATCGGGCATCTTGCTCTTCATGGGCGGTGGTGGAGGAGGATTGTTTCGAATGAGGCCGGGCTTTTGCATGGCTGGTTGGGCATCTTTAGAGGATGTTGATGATATGAAGGCTGCGTTGGCGGCGCGGAAGGGTTGGAGGGCGGTGATGGGCTTGGCTATATTGGTTGTCAGTCTCCCTGATCAAAGTTCCGCGTATGGGTGGCGCATACCGCGCAGCGCCAGCGCTGTAGCCTGTCGTGTAGTCGAAAACATGGTAACAGTTGCAGGGTGTTTAGATTTGTCGCACAAAGTAGAAAGTAGGGAGAGCGGAGCGAGAGTGAGTGCTTGTAGGGACAAGCTGGTGGTGGCAATGGGCTTCAATGACGGAAAGTAAGTCTCGGAGAACTCGGGTTTCTGATTGGCTGCTCGGCGCAGCGAAGCAGTCTTCAACCACGACTCTAGCCGTCTAAGAGGTAACTACTTCTGTACATTCACTGACACTTTGGTAAACCTCTCGTAGATCTGCTTACGGTTGTTCATTGACACTTCGATGGCTTCGTAGCATCGAAGCAGCATGTCACGGTCTGAGACGTGTCGATGATCCAATAAGCATCGAGTCACTCCTACTGACCATGTCTCGAAGCCCATCCGTTGCCTGTATAGGCGTGATCGGAAGAAATGTCCGTTGTACCTGCATTGGATTGTTAATTTTCACTGACTGTTGCAGAACAACCCGCTCCATATCGCGCTCTTTCCGGCTACTGGACAAGGTCATGAGCAACATCGCGACAAGCTTGAGTACTCCTTTATGCTCAACTCGTGCCTTGACATCTTCGAAGCCCGGATGCCTTCGAAGACCGTGGGCCATGACTTTGGCTTGCTTCACGCGTTGGATGAACGTATTGCCATGTACGGCTGGCTTACCAATACCGGCGTCAAGCTTGTCATCGTCGTGGATATGGAAGGTCGCACTGCTCCTACGCCCGAGGCTGGCAAGACTGCTATCTTAGGGTTGCGGAACAGCGATCTTGCTCCGGTAAGATGTGTGACGTGTTGCGACCGAACGCTGCTGACACTACGTAAATAGGCATTCCAGGCGCTACAAACAGCCTATATTCGCCTTCTGCGCAACCCCTTCTACGTACCGGACGAGCACGACCCCAAACTGCATAAGGGACGTGGCTCGCTTCAGATCACCAGCCCTCGCTTTATCAATGAAGTCGACCGCATCGGCAAGGCTTGGCTACCCGGCATGACAGCTATTTGAACGTCCACGGTTTGTGTTAATGTTGCTGCAATTGCCCGGCAGCAGCGTCGCAAACCGTGCTTTGTTTGCCACCTCCATCACCAAGCACTTCAAGCAACTGCCGCAAGCTCGGTGGGCTACCGTTCAGTGCTCGTTAGACCACCGTCAACGCCACGGAGGATGGGTTTTAGCATAAGACACCAGCCTCTAGGCCACGGTCTAAATCCGTCCAACCGCGTTCTGAACTCAGTGTCTTGTATGCACTGATGGGTGGCAGAGCAACCGCCGGGTTTAGAAGTTGTTCGCTGAATGACAGCTTTGAGCTGCTGGCGCGCTCCGTGAAACTACTGCAAAGACCGGACGTTCGATCGCAAGCTGCGCAGTCCTCAAGAAGGTCTGCAACTTCCGTAGGGTCTCCTGCCGCTTTCGGCTTCCAGAAGAGGAAGCTGCGGTGCAATAGCCGTGCGTGACGGTTCATGATTACTGCCTGCAGGAACCCAAATTGCAGACCAGTAAGACTCATGAAGTCCATGAGACAGATAAACCTCAGCCCTCATCGTCAGAGCTCTCGCGGTTCGGGCCCCTTTTTCTTTTCTTGCCATCTGATTTCGTCAACATCGGTTCGGTGATCTCGGCGGTCTGCCGTTTCCGCTGGAAGATGTAGCTCCTTGCATCACGGTCCTCACCCTTCCAGCTGCCTCCGCCTTCGATATTTCCAAGCGTTCGAGCATGACTGTAGCCAGGATAAGCGTCTGCCACGAACTTAAAGCTTCGCTGCACTTCGAGCCCGGAATGCCTTGCAAGATCCTTGATGTTCCAAAGCGTGTACGGCTCGCCTTCAAACAATGTCACGACGATAGTCCCATTGTCGTCCAACAACGGCATGGCGGAGGTGAAAAATTTGACGAGCAGCTCCTGGTTAGAGCGAACTTGCCTATTCACGTCGGTGCTTTTCCCGCCAACATGAGGGAAATTGAACAGGATGCGATCGTAACTTCCATCCGCAGCACGTAGAGCTTGATTCAGCTTCGTAGCATCTATGCAGTCGACTACCGTCATTTGGGCGTCTTCGAGGAAGCTTACGTTTTCCTCCGCCCGCGGCTTGTACTTGTCAAACAACTCGGCTCTCGAATCATAACATGTAGCAATTACAGCGTGGCATTGGTGATGCTCAACTAGTGACCTGGCAAAGGAGAAGTCACCCTCGCCGACGAGCAGAATGCGGTCTTGGTAATGAAACGGAATCGTTGGCTTGACCTCGTTTGCTGTTACGTTCTTGACTTTGGCCTTCTTGACACTAGGCTTCTGGACTTTGGCCTTCTTCGCTAGCGGTATGTTTGTGCCCTGCTGCCTTCTCAGCCATTTCTCGCTGCCCACCTTGCCTCCACCGGGCTTATTCTTCTTCGTTCTTGCCATTGCTCCCCGTACATAGGCTCTCCCGCAGATCTTCAGTGACAATAGACGAACGCTAGCGGACAGTCAAGAACCTGACACCAGCTAGGGTCCCATTACAATGTAGATAAGCTTGTCTAAAGTCATGAAGTTAGAGAAGAAGCGGCATGTCAGCGCACCTCCGACTAGCTCGAAGCCGTACCTTCCGCTTTGAGCGGCTTCGTCGCTTTTGCAGCATCAACATTGACAGCTGGACAAAATGCTATTACGACAACGGTTACGCTTCCCTCGGCGAGGTCAGCCTACCATTCAGCATGCTCCTCTCCGTCGCAACCTGGTCGCCGCGCCGCGACCAGGCGAAGGCCCGCTCATGGAACGCCGCCCCGATCGCGCCCTCCCTCCCATCTCCGGCTCCTACCGGTGGCTGACGACACTACCCATCTTCGCCATCATCATGGTTGGCTCGACACTCGCCATTTTCAACTACCAAAAGCTGAACAGCTCGGTCGTCAGCAGTACGCTGTATGCGCTGCGCACCAACCCGCGAGCGCGAGAGATACTTGGCGATGAGGTCTACTTCAACAGCAAGGTGCCGATTATTTGGGGTGAGCTCAATCAACTACATGGCCGGATAGACATCAACTTCTGGGTGAAGGGTACAAAGGGGAAGGGGCTGATGCGGTTTAAGAGTGAGAGAAAGACCAGGATGGGCTATGTAAGTGCATACTGAGGCCTCAAGCGCGGAGGCTACTGAACTGATACGCTGTAGTTCGATACATTGGAGTGGAGTCTTGAGCCAGAGGGCGGCGACAAGGTCTCTCTGTTGCAAGCAGAGGGCGGAGACCCTTTCGTGCAGTCAACCGCGGACAAGATCGCCGTTACGGCAGGGTAGAACTTGAACACCGTAACGCAGTTTACCGAACAAGAATCGATCGAAAAGGGATGTTTCAGAAGATTACCGTCGCCTGTCACACATTCTTGGAGTAACGCGAAGGTTGACGTGTGCGCCCAAGGATACAGGCACCGCCGGTCTGCCACGCTTAGGCGGCGCAGTAGGAGCGAGCTTCGAGAACGCCGGGCAGCGTTGTCGAGATCGGCCAGAGTAGCGAGGGGACCGGTCGATGACTCCAAACCATACTCGGCGCGGGCGACGGGAAGGAGCTTCGCGCAGGAGCTTCGCACGCTGTGAAGGCTGGGATGGGAGTGCGCGTTGCGCTTCAGTAGCTACATGGGAATAGCCAAGGCGGAGGAGCAATGAAAAACGCAGCGCCACTGCATCAGATAGACTCGACAGACGTGCATCATGTTGCTACCACGCCCTTTCTCTTCCCACCTTCGCGCAGCCTGTCAATGGCGGCAGCAATGCCATGCACATTTGGTGGGTTACACACAAACGCAGCGGAAACGTGACAAATGAGCGGACGAGCATAAGATAGTCTCGCATTTCAACAGTGTAACTGCATGCATGCGCCCCAAGAAAATGTCAAGGCTCCCAAGCCTAACCAAGACTCCTCGCTAAGTACGCAATCAAGCAGTCGCAGCTGTTCACGCCAACGCCATGCATAGACCGCAGTAGATGACATTAGATGAAACCGTCTCCCCACCAAAATAATCGTTAGCAGACTCGCTACCGCTCTCGCTCTGATGCTCGCCAATCCTGCTATGTGCTCGGTGCACAGTAACTTCAGTCCTTCCTGGATGGAAGCGGCGGCAGCGGCTTGCCCTCATCCTCATCATCCGGGAAGACCGGCTTGTTCTTCCAGTCGGGCACACGCCACGTTCAACATTTACCCAAGGATCGTGCTTCGCGACGAGCGAGTGTAGCGCACACAGCGGCGTCCGCCTTGGCATCGGAAGGTGGCTCGAGCATGAGCAAGCCGTCGTACAGTTGCTTGAAGCGCTTATGGGCTGGGCCGCCATCCTCCTTAGTATCGATACTGCTGGTGACGCTTGGGGTGGCGCAGCTGGTATCACTGGTAGTGATGCTGCTGGTGGCACTCGTGATGCTTGCATGGCTGATGCTGCCGGCGTCGCTAGCGGTCGTGTTATTTGTCTCATTATCGGAGAGGGATGGGAATCGATGCTTCGGGTTAGCACGCTGCATGTCCGTGCCCATAGCTGTGAGGGTCTCGAGGACTGCCTGAGCGCTCTCGCAGAGGCTGGCCTAGGTCTCGGAGATGTTCGAGGTATTTGCTGCCATGATGCTGAGTGAGCAGGTGTTTGTAAGTCGAGATTAATGCGTTGCAGCTGGCGTTTATGCAAATGCGCTAGGTAACGGAGGGCTGATAGCATTTGCAGTGATGATGATCTTCGCGAAGAATGCCAATGCGTTGCTGGAGATTGTGTGAGGAAGAGTCAACATGAGTCTCCACCAGCATGTCCATGGTGGCCGGTAGACTGCGAAGTCGTAGCATCGTGAAGTAAAGGTGAGTTTAAAACGTAAGTCACCAACAGCCCGCATAGGACGTTTCCCACACAACCCCGTGCTTCATCTTTCGTAAAAGTACGCGAAGCAACTAGCAGACCAAATCAGCCTCTAACGACTGACTGCCGGTGCCTTCCAACGAAGAACTGCTGAATTGTCTGAGCTTCCGCTCATAGTTCGCCGCCTGTCTCTGCGCAACCTCCACAGCACTCAAGGCCATGTCAACCTCGTCATTGTGAAAGACTGCAAAGTTCCTCCAGTCACGACATCCTTTGCAGGCCTTCATCGAGTCGACAATGTTGCTGTACGTCTTCGGCTGACTGAGTCGCAGACAGCTCCCTCTGCCCGACTCGGCCGGTACCGGCATCATCATAGCATCAATTTTGGGATCGCACACTCCGCTGCACGGAGGCAGCTTCGATATGCTTTCATTGGAGCAAGTGCTGGACCGAGAGTCTGAGCTACCATGTCGTCGAATGAGGCGGCTGCTTTTAGTCAACGACTTAGCGACAGGGGTCGGTCTAGGCCGCGGACGAGGTGCCTCGAGATCGTGCTCGTTTGTGCTTCGCGCAGAACGGAAGCAATTGATGCCCACCATTGTTGCGGGAGTTGTTGGGAAGAATGTGATGATGTTGTCCAGCAACCTCGCTAGGTCTTCCCTTTTCACAGCCGGTGTGATAATGTTCGAATGTAGTTGTTGCTGCGCTCAATGCTCAGCCTTGGGGCCTCTTCGCGCCTTGACGGCACCGTGCGTCTACGCCCTGTTCACTATATGCTGGCCAACAGTTTGTGTGTTGCAGGCGCTCGACCACACATAGCTTTTGTTTGATCGTCCATTTTTGAAGTAGAGTTAATGCATGGGAGAGACGGTGCAGTGAGTAAGTGAGCGAAGACAGAGCAGAGAAAGATGGGCTAAGCAGCACAACATATCGGAGGGTTGAGGCGAGGAAGGGTTCGAGTGATTGCATGGGTGTGGGGCAGACCTTGGCCGTTGCAACCAAGCGCGCTTACCCTGTGCCGATTTATCCAGCTTTGTGCGTGTCGGCAATAATACGCCGAGGCGAAAGCCCGACAAAGAGCTGCGAGCCCGGCGCTAAAAGTAGATACGTACTCCTTCGATGGACCTGGCGATCGCTTCTGTCTGCTGGGCTTTGTCGCAGACTCCCGCGCTTTGTCCAGGAAGGTTTGCACGGCACTTGGCGGGGCACATCCTAACCGTTTGACACTGTTATTGACATCACGTTCCGGATAATATCAATCGAGAGATGCTTAACTTCCCATGATTGTGCGGGAGGCTTGAGCAAGTCTCCGTGACCAACTGTTGGATCGCTTGACGAGGGTCAGGAATTGAGACTAATGGTTTTGGCGACTTGAGCTCCACGCATAACCCTTCGATGCCGCGCATTAGGTTACGCCATTATGCCTGTAGCACGTGTGGGATGTTGCAGCTCCATCCACCGGGGTGGCAGCAGAAGTCTTGGGACGGAATCGACATGCTGTAAACCTGCGGAATGTTGCCCCAAGGGGTACACGGGATCCCACTAATAAGAAGGACGGACTTACGAATCTTCGAGCTGATACCGGCTTTGACGGACCTGTGGAGACTGCGCTGCGGCGACTGTGCGCGGGCACCTGTTCATTTCCACCTCGATGCCACGCTGGCGGGCAGACTGCTTTCTCGTGGAACCCCTTGAAAGCAGTTATAGTTGCCCGCGCTGCTTGCGCTTCAGTACCGGCCACGCCACGACAGTACGCGGAGGCCATAGAACCCAATCCGCTGTATAATCTTGTTGCTGTCACCGAGCATCTTTCCGCGTGATCCTGCATCTGACCGATTGTGTCAGCTGCCATAACGCACAGCTGAGCAGGAAGGTGACGCTTTACAGAAATATACTCTCCCGTAAGTAATTGTCGCGGTCCGGGTCATCTGTCACTTCCTCAACATGAAGGATCTTCCTGACCGCCTTCATGAACGACATGTCAGCTCTTCGCCTCTTTTTGAAGCAGAAGTAGCAGACACTGTTCGGTCCAATCAAGTCTTGCAGAGTTTGCCGTAACAATGGGAACGCCGGTTCGAAGTATACACAGTCGGCAGCGAGTATAACGTCCGGATGCAGTGGAACGCGGTGCGGCCGAGAAGAACCCCAGTCATAGACCGTGGCTTCAGCCCTCCCTTCTAGCCTGTTGAGGGCGATGTTCCGTTGCATAAGCGGAAGCATCGGCGCCTGATCCGTGATGTGGACGACATGGCTTGGTCTGCAACCCAATGCTATAGCAAGCCTACAACATGTTAGCAGACCTGATTTGGATAGTAGAGAGCTCGTTTGTTACCCGACCAGGCCTCCGCCTGCACCAAGCTCCACGCTGCGTCCGAATCAGCTGGTTTCGGGAGCGGCCTGCTTCGATAGCGTGGAGGCTTCCTACAAACATCGTACAATCCTTTAGATCACCCCGCCTCCTGCGTAGGAGGTACGTGGCAAGTACGCGACCAGCAGGCCATGCTTGCCCGCCATTGCCACTGGCTAAGTCTTCATGCAGCTTTAGACCGCCGTCGAGTAGACCGTCGAAATCGAACTCATTCGTTGTGGCTTGTTTGTGTTGCGGTGACTGCACAAGATCCTCGCTTACAGTGAAGGCATCGAGCCCACCTTCATGGCTGTCATGGTCTGACATTGTGGTTGGCACACTGATCAGCAAGATATGGGAAGTGTCTGCGGTAGGTTGGATGAGTTCTTTGTCTGGCCTTATTACGCCCCGCAAAAAGCGTGCACTGGCCTCAAGCCGGAGGCAGCGTTTCAGTGCTCACACAGTGGCATTGCACTTCCTGTCGCTCCTCATCCCGTTGTGTCTACGGTCGATCTGCCAAAATGCAGAGCACATCGAATTGCATCAATGGACCTCGTGCGCTATTGATGGACTCGACAACGATAAGCCTAGAGATCTGGCAACCTTGGAGACGATGCCGAGGTGTGCATTTCTAAGCTTCACTGAGACAGCAGCGCGATGGCACCGTCGCTACCATAATGAATAATTTGGTGGACTCAGTCAACGCTGGAGCAGGATGTGTCATGGATGTCATCCATCCTGTTGCAGCTGCTGCGTCGCTGGGATGCGCTTCGGTCCGGCAACATTAGACAGTAAGGTTGCGGCAAAGTCAGTGCAGATGGTAGGTGGCAAGGCAGGGAGGTGTAGAAACACAAGATTCGTGAGTTCAGTATCTCTATCCCTTCCTTGCGTTGTCCGAGTCGGTGACATTCTTTCCGGCCATCTCTCCTGCAAGGGTTTTCGGACCACTTTGCGTGTGGACGCGCCAAATGGCGGAAGTGAGCATGCGACACCTATATTTTCCTTATTACCAGCGCGGATGAGTACAGGCTGGCCAGAGGGCGAAGAGGTGGAAAGATGGCGTGGAGGCGAAAGGTGGCGGTGTTATACGTTTCCATTACCATTGCGAAGACTGCCATCGCCGTTCCCACCATCGCTTTTCCGTTCAACTCGCAGGTTCCACTTGTTGCCAGGGTCAACGAGCCGTATCGCTTCGAATTCTCCGAATCGACATTCGCTCCTAATCCAGAGAACTATACCTACAGCATTTCGGAGCAAGCTGCATGGCTAAGCATGGACAGCACGACGCGGACGCTTTCCGGAACACCAAAAGAGAGCGACGCCGGCGCGAGTATCTTCACCTTGAGCGCTACCGATGGCACTGGGGCTGCCCACATGCAGTGTACACTCATCGTATCTACTGATCCAGCACCGCTACTTGAAGGCGACATCAGCGAACAGCTTGCTGCGACTGTGAATCTATCAAGCAGTGAACCGCCGATTGTGACCCTCCTGCCGTCTAGCAGATTTCACTTCGCCTTCAGGCAGGACTCCTTCATTGACATGGTGCAGCGTAGACTGTATTACTACGCGACACTGACGGATCACACGCCGCTTCCGTCATGGCTGCTTTTTGATGACTCGAATCTTACCTTCTCTGGCACAGCACCTATGCTCAGCGCCTTTCCTCAGGCGTGGAGTGTCAGCTTGGTGGCATCGGACGTTATTGGTTTCGCAGGAGCGACTGCGACGTTCGCACTCGCAATAAATACGGAGCAACTAAGCTTCGAACCACCGGAGCAGAACCTGAGTATCTCAAGTGGACAGCAGCTTGACTTCATCTTGTTACAGAACCAGCTCTTCCGTAATGGCGCTCCTGTTCGGACGAGCAATCTGTCGAAGGCCGAAGCTTCCCCCGTCCCAGCCTGGCTGAGCTTTGACCCTGCGACGTTTGGTTTGAGTGGGCATGTGCCAGCCAACGCAAGCAATACGACTGTATCTGTCACTGCGACAGACGAGCTGGGCGATACAGCGACCGCAGTCGTGAACCTCGTAAGCGGTGATGCTTCGCTCTTTGCTGGCACAATTGGCACGCTCACCGCATACGCCGGACAAGCTTTCGACTACCATTTCCCAAGCACGCTTTTCAGCCAGTCAGACGTGGAGTTCTCTGTCATTTTTCCACCGAGTGCCACCTGGCTGCATTACAACGCTACGTCTCGGGAGCTACAAGGTGATGCGCCCTCGCAGCCCAGTCCAACTTCTGTCTCGGCGTGCATCGTAGCGACAGCCCCCAACTCACGTACTCAACAGACGCAAGACTTCGGGATAAACGTGCTTGCAACCGCGGGTGCGACCGCAACGGTCTCGCCGACATCCAGTCTGCTGCCTGCTTCGGCATCTTCCACAGAGGCTTCGCCGTCATCGGCTCGATCGTCTCCGGCACCATCACCAACACGTAGACATCTGTCAAATGGGGTTACTACTGCTGTTATCATAATATGTGTTTTGGCTGTACCTCTTGTGGCCGGTCTGGTGCTTCTGTGCATACGCACCGTACGACGGAGGCGCAGCGAGCGGTACGGGCGTCGTTCCACAAGCCCGACGAAACGGCCCATTATCTCTAGGCCAATACCGCACCCTATAGAGACACCAGCAGTCATCGTAGCGAGAGTTGTCAATGGAGATGTAGAAAAGCACGCACAAGCGGAAGCATCAGAGCAGATGACACGAAGTGCCGATGCGCCACCCCAAATAGCACTTGATCTCCCATCGAGGACCAACAGCAAGCGCTCAAGGTGGCTAAAGAGGTTCTCCCGATTCAGCCACGCATCGTCCATCGGTGTGGGCGAAGACGCAATAAGAGCAGACACGAACATTCCGGAATGGGGCGCGGACTCTACGGTCCTGCACACGCCCCATGACAGCTTCTCGATTCCCGCAGAGATGGCGAGAGTCTCTAGGCGTATGTCACAAACGTTGCCCACCAAGCGTGCTATTCAACGTTTGAACGACCGGAGACAGACGCGTGAAAGCGTAGGATTGGGTATCGACACCGGCCTCGATGCAGAACTACCACGACACAGCTCGAGGATTCGCCGTGAGCATAGGCGAAGGATGAGCAGTGTGGGTATATCGGCGGCGATGGAGCAGAGCAGCCAAGCTTCGATAAGCACAAGGAGAACGAGCGTGCTGTCCACCAAGCCCTCCGACTTCCCTAGGCCGCCAACAAGGTCAGGCTACTCACAATCTCGCTCTCTTGCCGCGCTCTCTGTTACAGAAGCGAAGAATAGAAAGAGCATACGCCTCGTTGGACAAAGTGACAGCATTGCAGACAACCGCTCTGTTGCGGAAAAGCGCCAATCCTTCATACGCAACAGAGCCAGCACAAGCATCGAGAGTCCACTTTTTGCGCATGGAACACGAGCTTGTTCGAACCCACGTGAAAAGGGGAATGCTTCGACCGCGGCGTCGGCGGCGGGTAGCGTACGACGTGCGCGACGTGGACGCAGCACGCTCAAGTCATATTCAGAGTCGTCATCTTTGGAACCGCAAACAGAGAGGGAGTCGCGGCAACTCAGTACGCGGGTGAGGTCTGCATTCGCCCCAAACTTTCCACGAGCCATTACACAGTCAACGATGGAGGCAGACGAGCAGGAAGACTCGAGCTCGGGCTTTGAGACGGTCACAACGTCAACAACAAGTGGCGACGACTGGAGGGCCCAATTGGCTCTCCCTAGACATCAGCGAAGCTGGGTGGTACCCGGAGAAGCGTCGCCAACACCTCCTCCTGCACCGGCTAGTTCACGGCAGCGGTCAAGTACGCGACGAACTACGCCATCCACTGGGCATGAAGTTCTGCGGAACGTGCACCGCCAGCCTGAACAGAGAGTTAGTGACCTCGGGCTCACTGCAAAACCTGAGTCGGACCACAGCACAGGGAAAGCGCCTACTACATTGAAAGCACGACCTAACCGCTTAAGCGAGCCTGCGGGCTTGCTGAGCAACGACAGCGTCATACGCACGAAGATCGAACGACCCAAGCTGGTCCAGACGAATTCCAAACGGCCGGTCAGCGTTGAGCAAGCGAGAAGACTCAGCAGTTTTCAAGCTGTCAACCAAGAGCCAGACGCCCAAGCAGGCGGCGAGATGTGGGAGGACATCCAACCAGAGACGCAGATGGAAGGCAGCGGTCTCGTGCTATCAGCTCCGCCAGGAGGTGTTGGTGGTACCCAAAGGTCAGACAGAAGCGGGCCTGCGTTCCTCTGAGACATACCTTGAGACAGAGGTCGTGTTTTCAGATCACGGCTCCTGTAGTTACATACTAGTCACTGCGCTAAAATCTACCACAGATGTTTGCGGTACCCTCAGTCACGGCTGTCTGCAGCATATTTATCTGACATGGTACACGCATGCTGGAGATGAAGAGCTCCGGCTTCCCTATTTTGCAAATGGGGCAATTAGCCGGTGTTTGCTCGTGCAGTAGCTTCCGCTGCAGGTTCGCAAGTCATCCCACGTTCATGCAGGCCCTTAGGTCATTCGCCTAATAAGCTATGGGACACCTTCGAGTCGAGACAGTCGCCGCGTGATGTCGGGCATATCGGCCGCGGAAGGATGGGAGATTGCACGCTGCATGTGGGCTTGGTTGCCCCACTGTCACATGACTGTCAACCTTGCCATAATCGATAAGCCTGCAAGTTTAGCATACTCTAGAGTCACGCATAGTTGAGCATGTGAATTCAATCTGAGATACACCCATAATCAAGCAGTCGGTGCTTTTCAGAGTGTGGTCTGGCGCCCGCATTAACACTGCTCCATCATGCGGTTACCGGTCACCACTATGCGCCTTTCCGGCCATTCGTCCTCGAGCTTCTGGTAGAGCCTCGACCGCGTCCGCCTAGTTCACTGCTAGAGTAGAGACAAGGGATCGTTGGTGAAACTTCCCTGGTCCGAGACTTCAACCATGTACGCTCCAGATTCGAGAAGCGATGAGGAAGGGACACTAACACGGACTCGCTAATAGGAAGTTTGGCAAGCACATTCAGAAGAGGCAGCTTGACATCCCCGAGTATGCGGCTAGCTTCGTGGACTACAAGGCTCTCAAGAAGGTATCCGAGTGAATGGGGTTGTGAACGATGGCAAATTGGCTCACGCAAGCAATAGCTCATTAAGAAGCTGAGTGCGACACCAATCCTACCGGCTCATCAAGTTTCCGCAGAGGGCGAGATACTACAAGATCCGCAAGCATCTCTACAAGCCAATAAGGCAACCTTCTTCTTCCGCTTGGAAAGAGAGCTTGAGAAAGTCAACACCTTCTACCTGCAGAAGGAGGCCGAGGTGTGTCCAAATGTCTGAATGCTGCGCCCATAACCTAGCCTGACCAGTACAAGTTGAAACTTCGCCTCCGGACGCTCCTCGACAAGAAAAGAGCTCTCCAGTCGCGCGCTACGCCAGCGTCGAAACTCTCGTCTAGCTATGTATCGCTCGATGAAGGCTTCCGTCTCTTCAGTAATGACCTCGACAAGCTGCAACAGTTTGTTGAGGTCAACCAGACGGCTTTCTCAAAGATCCTGAAGAAGGTCCGGTTCTTTCCCGCCGTCAAGGTGCTGCTTCCGCGCTGACTCTGCGACAGTGGGACAAAACATCAAAGGTGCAGAAGTTTCGACTTCCTAAACTGCAAACTGGTGCTGACACCTAGCCGCAGTCACGTACGAAGGAGCTCTACTTGTCGCGTGCTGTGGATGTTCAGCCGTGCTTCAATCGGGATATCATCAGCGACTTGTCCGACCAAGCGACGACCGGCTTGTTGGAATTGCAAGCATGGGCGGAGGGTGAGAAGATTGCTTTTACACCGGCAGTTGATCTAGAAAACAGGGTAGCGCAAGTTGGCCAAGATGAAGAGGTTGAGACGCAGGTCGTGCAAGCCGTCAACGCTGGCAACGTCGGCCTTGTCAAGGAGTGGGCTGCGCGTATGTTGAGCAGCGAGGATGCAAAAGAGCGCATCAGTCGCGTATTCCTCAACACTGTCGGTACGGCAACCCCGGACGCGCAGCGCATCCTCTACGAGACCAACGCTATCGCCTTCGATTTTGCGGACGAGATCAACGAGCGGAGTTGCATGCACGAGGCAGCAGTCAGCGACAAGGTTGATGTACTCAAGGCTGCCCTAGCGGCGGGTGCTAATATACGTGCACCGGATGTGTATGGCCGTATACCATTGCATTATGCCTGCATGCACGGCCATGTGGAGATGATTCGTATCCTCGTCGAATCCGCACCGGATACCGTGGACGTGAAAGACCTTGACAATTTCACGCCGCTGATACACGGCATCGTGCACGCGCGAACGGCAAGTGTACAGGCGATGCTTCAGCTCGGCGCCCTTGTCAATCCCACGAGCACTGCGGACCATGTACCGCTGTGCTTAGCGTGCCAGTATGGCACGGTCGCAATCGTGGAGCAAATGTTACATTACAAGCCGCAGATACTACCGGATGCCGAAGGTCTTTTCCCGCAGCATCTCGTGGCTCGGTTCGGCGGCGACAGCTCCATTTTGGTCATGCTGAAGGCATACGGTGTGGACATGGACCAGGCCGACAAACTATACTCATGGACACCGCTGTTCCACGCGGCTAGTGAAGGTCATCTACACTGCTTGCAACAACTGCTTGCGTTCCATGTTGCCGCGAACGCACTGGACGAGAAGGGGCTCTCCGCCATGTATTATGCGGCATGGGAAGGCCATTTGGACTGCATGCAACTGCTTGCACAAGAGGGGGCCACCTCGGATGTGCCGATGCGTGAGAAGATGGAGTTGCAGATGACTGCCTCGATCGCAGAGCCGCCATCCCTATCAGCTGGTACGCCCGCATTCTCACATCCGGACGCCGAGAACATCCCGACCCTCAGTTTACCACCACCCATTATTCCCCTACGCCGATACGGCCACAACTTCCTGGATACCACGAAGACCTTCATACTCCTCTCCTTCGATGAACTTGGCGGTGATGCAATAGAGTTCTACGGTGACAGCAAGTACCCGGCCGCTCGTCTCACGATCTCCTCGAAATCGTCAGACCTCATACCGCGCAATGTGCCCCTCCCGGTGCAGGATGACTTCAAGAACATCTCGTTCCAGATCGAGAACTTGGATACCTTCAGCATCGACTTTGACATATTCCCAACGTTCGGCACCAAAGTCATCGCGCGTGCTGCGGCAAGTAGTCGTGTCTTCACCGGCAAAGCTAGCAGCTCCGGGAAATGGCATCTCGAACTCTTCGATCCGCGCCTTCGGGCTATTGGACGGATCAGCTTCCGCTTCCAAGTTGTGACGCCTTTCCACGGTATGGCGCTGGAAATTACGCACTTTGCGACGTACTGGAAGGCTACGAGTCAGTTCGAGAACCATCCAAGCAACCTGATAACCGGCAGCAGCTTGTCTGGCGATTTCATGCGCCTGTTTATACAGGTCACCAGAGATGGCGTGCCAGTCTTGTACAATGACTGGGCGCTGCCGAGCAGTCGGAACGATCTCATCAGTCGACTTTCGTATGACGAATTCGCCAAAGCCGGTATCCACGCTGGACAAGGGAAAGCCGTGCTCCAGGGTCTTCAAGGCCAAGGATCCGACCACGAGGACCTTTCAAGCCTTCAGAGACTGGTTGCGCGTTCATACATCTCACTTGCCGACGCACTGGCGCTGTTACCTGCGAACATGCGTGTGGAGATCCACGTATGCTACCCATGCAAGGCGGAGGAGGAAGCGCTACAGCTTGGGCCGACGGAGAACATCAACACCGTGGCCGATGCTGTCCTTAAAGTGGTCTTCGAGCACGCACGACAACTTAGACAAGCGAAGGATAGCCCGTTGCGGAGTTTTGTGTTCTCGAGCTACAATGCGGATGTGTGCACGGCATTGAACTGGAAACAACCCAACTGTGAGTATTCCATTTTGGTACGCTTTGCGGGGAGATACTGACTAGATGTTTAGATCCTGTATTGCTCTGCAACGAGCTTGGTGTGGCACCGACAACAAACGGCCAGCGGCGCATTAACCCGAACATGGTGACCTCCTGCGGACGTACCGCGCTCTCGATCAAGGAAGCGGTCCGCATCGCGCAGTCGAACAACTTCATGGGTCTCATCTGTACCTCGCGATTACTCGAGCTTGTGCCTGCGCTTGTCTCATCGGTCAAGGAAGCCGGTCTTGTACTCATATCGGACTACAGCCACGACTTCATGCTGACGCGACCGAGTGTCTTAAACTTGGCCCAGGGCGTAGATGGTCTACTGATGGACAATGCTGTGCTGAGGTTTAAGGAGGCTATTGATCAGTAAGGGACGGCTTCTACTGGTGAATCCACAAAGCGAGGTGTTCGGCGTTAGATGGACATAACGATTTCGGGGGATAAATGCGATGTTTGATGAGCTATACAAGCATGAGCGGTCGGCTGTGAATTGTATTCATGGGAGGCCATCGCGAGACTCGCAGATCTAGAATGGGCGGCAGTTCGTTCTACTTGACTTGCTGCAGGCAAGATGCCGCTTAGGCATTAGGCTCCCTTATAATCATACTTTGCCTTATGCAGCTCCTCTAAATCAACGGGCGCAAGCTGCTGCCGCGCGAACATTGACAAGCCGAAGATCGCTGCCGGGAGCGCTTGTCTCCAAGCCACGTCAGTCGCACCTTTGCTCCAGCTCAAGGCGGCTGCAAAGAACATTACCGTAGCCAACGTCCCATTCAGCAAAACCAGATACTGCTCTATTGGCCCCTTGACGGCCTCGATACGGTACATTGGCGTCTTGCCTTTCCGGTCGGGTGCGTGTAATGGCATGTAATAGAGGATGTACGCTGTACAGGCCAAGCTGCTCACGCTCAACAGAGCCAGGAGACGCTGCTGAGCGCTGTCACTGCCGAAGAACAGATAGCCGGCGTGAATCAAGCTTCCGACAACCGGCACAAAGGTGAAGGCTTTCCGATAGGCATCATTCTTCCGAGCGTCTTCTGCTTGAAGGTCGGCGATCACGCGTTCCTGGTGTTCTTCATCAAGCTCGTCTGGCTCATCGTTATCGTCGAATGGGTACTTGAACGCAGTGCGCAGCCTTGCGGTCGCCATCTGCTGTCCTCGTGCGCTGGGGAGACCGTAGTGGAACGAAAATGCTATGTTGCCGTGGGTAGCTCGCGCGCATCGTCGCCACATGCAGCGCCACCCCTGATCTGCGTGACTGCCATGGCGTGTGGCGCGATCGGATCGTCAACCTAATCTCACCTGGGCGATAGCCGAGGCGCGCCAGTGATCTGCTAATCCAGGATCGGAAGTGAATACATCATTAACTCTCCGCACGATGACCGTTGCGAATCTCCAACTTGGGCGCGTGAGCAGACGATGATGCTTTGATGGGGTTGGACGAGGCTCGAGCTGTTAACCACTCCTTCACCATCGCTCGCTCTTTGCACGTTCGCCTGAGTGGACGTCGTACTGCTCATTCGTTCTGCACGTACGGGCAATGACCGACGGCACCAAACCATTACTTTCATCGAACGGATCTCAAGCGCGTTTCAACATGGCGAAAGGCGTGGAGAACCAAAAGCGCAAGAGAGTGCTGGTGGTTGGCGCCGGGGCCGCAGGTAGGCAGATCCTCCTTGCTACCATGACGAGGAAAGCCACTCAGACCTGACCACCTATTAGGCATGTCTTGCGCCCATCACCTTGCCAATCACCCAGACAAATTCGATGTGACTGTCGTGGATGCTGTGAATCACTGCGGTGGCCAAGCTTACAGTATTCCTCTTGATAAAGAGAAGACAGGAGCATCATGGCTCAATCAAGGCGTGCAAGGTGGTTCATACATCTTTCACCACACAATGACCATGTTCGCCCGCAACGGTTACTTCGCGGACCCCGTCAAGTTACAGGTCTCCTTCGGCAAGGGTGACCAATTCTGGACGAACGTATTTCCTACGAAGATGCTGGAGAAGCATGCCGGTGAGGTCAGGCGCTTCTATTACATGATCAAGGTTGCGCGCTGGTTCGAGCTGATCTTCGCCCTCATGCCGATCAAGTACCTGGTCTGGCTATGGAGGTTCAGCTCGGAGTTTGCGAACATCGTTGCGTTGCCAATGGTGGCTTTGTTCTTGGGCACTGGCAACTATGCGCCTGAGGTGCCTTCGATTATGCTGGAGAGGCTGGTAACGAGTCCGACGTATGGCATGTGGTACCCACCCGACAAGGCAAGCGTGGCGTCGAATCTGCCTCCCATGGTAGTCTTTCCGAACTTCAGCGACTTCTACGAGACATGGCGCAAGAACCTCGTCAAACGTGGCGTCAAGGTACGCCTCTCAACGGAAGTCACACGCATCACAAAGCGAGGCAAGTCTGGAGTGCAGGTTAAGATCATTTCGCGAACCCCAGTCAAGGACAACCACAATCCAGATTCTGCCTGGGTCCCAAACACCGTCGAGGGGTCGAACGCGGATGCCGACGCGGTTGAAACGACCGAGGAGTACGACGAGATTGTTCTCTGTACACTCACCGACACGGCAAAACGTCTGCTGAAGCCGACAATCACGACAGTCGAGAGCAAGGTGTTGGGATCTGCAAAGTTTGCCAACGACATTACTGTCACCCATCAAGACATTGACTACATGAAGCGACACTACGAAAACTTCTACTCAGACGAGTTTGCCGTGAAGAAGCTCAACGGCGTCGACCAGACTGCTCGTTGCGACTTCGCAAAAGAGCAATTTAAAGCCATGTACCTTATCCGAATGTACCCGCAGGACTTGACGAAGCTGGAGATGTGTTTCGACTGCACTAACTATCAGTCGCAATTCCCGCCCAGCGTACCATTCGAAAAGCACGTGTTCCAGACCATCTTCCTCAACAAGGACCGAGATGGCCACTTGTGGACCATCGACGAGATCGACGAGAGCAAGATCATCCGAAAAGACTGGTGGCATCAGCTCTGCCATAGCTGGACACACTATCTTTTTGTCGTTCCGTGGATGTGGCTGCTGCAGGGCAAGCGCCACACTCGCTATGCAGCTGCCTGGACCATGATCAACGCCCATGAAGTAGCATGCATCTCTGGAATTACTGCGGCTGTCGACCTAGGCGCCGACTATCCTGATGATCTTGAGCGAGATTACTTTGCATTCCTAGCGTTCAGACTGTACTACTTACTGTCGTACGGACGGTGGTACCGTAGGAGGGCTACTAAGTACTCGAAAGAAGGCGAAGGGAAGAACTGGGCGTGCGGGAATAAGTGGGGTAGTGTTTACAACGGCCCCGGAGTCAATGCTACCGAAGAGCGCAAGATCTGGAGGCAAGAAGTGGAGGCCGGAAGGAGCACGGAAAACATGATGTAACCGCGCCCTCAACACGACAGCTGGACCGAGAAGCTACGGAAGAGCTATAGCACCTCATACGCATCGTAGATTACCTGACTCCCGACTCTGCCCGAGCTTGCAATAAACACACCGCTGTTCACCCAGCTGTACCTGGGATCACCAGTCTCCATCATAAGATGCAGGCGCATCTTGAACTGGTCGGGCTTGATCGACGTATCTTCGCCAAGCTTCTCCAGGACGGAACGAGGACCTGTGCGTGTGCCAGTAGTCTGGAGATAGATGTTCGCGCCGTCATGGGTCTGGAGGTTGTACCGGGTGTTAAGGTGTGCAGTCTGCTGGTCACCATGGTCGCGCACGATCTCCCAGTCTGCCGAGCATATCGTCAGTTAACGCAAATGGCAAAGCAAGGAGCTCGTGCGTCACATACCGCCGCCTCCTGGAAGAATGACGCCTTTCAACTTCGGCCCTTCGAAACGACCACCTTTGAAAATGACAGTGCTGCGGTCACCATAGGGTCCTTCGCCAATATGGCGGAACGACTCCATGTCGCATTCTAGATGGAATAGGAACTCAAGGGCAGGGAGGGGCAGCGTATATTCTGGCTTGGTCCATTCTGTGCCTTTCAGAGATGTGATGCTTGGTGGAGCCTGAACTTGGCCGGGTTTGATGGACGACATTGTGTAGAGAGTTGAAGACGGGTCAATTTGTTATCCTCAAATCCTGCAACATCTACTTCCATCATTTGAGCCCTCTATATACAGCCATTACCGCATGTTGGGCATACACCCAATCTTGCATTGCGCAGTGACTTCCAGGTGACGTAGCTCTCCGACTCGGCCCGATCGGAAACCTTATACTCTTGTTAACCTTCGGTTCTTTCAGTATACGGTACTTGATCGCGGTATCCTGTATGATGGCCAGAGATACTGCCGTGAGCTGGGAGCGAGGGTATGATAGCCGCAATAGTGCCATGTGCGGTCCGAAACCCCCTAGAATCAGCGGTGCCTGGCCCGCCTCACTGCTCCAAACTCAGGCCAATACTGCTCAGGTAGATACACCTCGCTTGTTGATCAGAAGGCACCGTCTCCATCGTAGTGTTGTTCGTCTGGAACATCAGACGTTGGTATCTGTTACCAGTCGTCCAAGCTTCCCAAGTCGGCGTGCCGGCCAGGCGGTACGTATTGGGGTTGTATGACCTGATGAAGCTCGTCCAATATCCCTGCACCACTGCCACGATCGGAAAGTTATTACCACCAGCTTTGTACGAGTCTGGTGCACCTAAGGCATTGAAAGTGGCCATCAGCACAGTCTATGATAGCAAGTAGCGTCACAATCAGAGGTTTACTCACCGCCGTTTGTATTGGTGGGACCCCAGATCGCATTGGTTTCGATCGTATGCGAAACACCGTTGCCTGCGTTGAGAGCATCAGTAGTCTTCATCCCACAAAACGCATGCCCAGTGTCTCTCACCTGAAGCATTGGCCGGCTGATCAATGACGTTCCAGCGATAGTTCCAGTTCTGGTTCAACGACATGTTTGCGTACACTCCGCTGATGAAGATGCCAGGACAGATGTACCGCATCTCGCCGTAGACGTCGCTTGTTTGTCTCCAATACCGCCCGGAGTCTGGGAACGTTGGCGTGCCGTTGACCGGGTACAGCGTGTTCAGCATGCGTAACTGCGCTAGAGTGATGGCCGGAAATTGAGCTTGTATGAATTCGTTGCTCTGGCTGATATTCGCCGTGCTCTTCGGAGCAAAGATAGTTCCTTCATTGGTGTCATCGCCTGCGATGGCAGGTACGTGGACGAACGCTCCTTTGGCGTAGGCGTTGTAGGTGTAGTCTGTGATGAAGTCGTAGTCGAGAGTAGGGCCATACATGTAGAGAGGGGCGATCTGAGCCCCTGGGAACGGTGTATTGTAGTTCTGCTGTTGCAACGCAGTGGCGTTCAGAGCCCGCAAGCATGCTAAGGTGTCATTTGAGGATGTACAGCCCGTCCGAATCACAAGGTTGTTATACATGAATTGGCTTTCGTTGACGGTTCGTAAAGCGGAGAAGGACTGCGACTCAGCCGCTGTAGCATGAAAGAGCCCGTCGTTTCTGCCTCCATACGCCGTTACCTGGAGATTGACAGACTGAGCACCGGCGCTGTCGCCACCCAAGACCACATGGCCAGGGTCACCACCGAACTGGGCGATATACTGTTGAATCCAGTGTAGAGCGAGTCGTTGATCCTTAAGCCCGTTGTTAACGCTGCCGCCAGCAAGTATCTCCTGCCCAGCAAGGAAGCCGTAAGGACCGACACGGTAGTTGAAGTTGACAACGACAATGTTCTTCCCTGCAGCCGTGATGAGGCCGGAGCCGTTATAATTCGCGTTGCTGTTAGTGTTGAAGCCACCGCCCTGGACGAAGAAGAATACAGGAAGTTTGGAGGACTGGGTTGCATTGCTTGGAGCATAGACATCCAGGAACAGGCAGTCTTCACTCATCGTCTTCGTTGGTGGCCCAGAAGCGGTACCCAAGCATGTCGGCCCGTGAGCGACTGCACTCTGCGTGCCGCTTGCCGCTGGCGGTGGTTGCGGTGCGCTGAAACGTAGGTTACCGACTGGTGGAGCAGCATAGCGCACACCTAGCCATTGGGTAATGCCATTGCTTAGAGCGGCGCCCTTGTAGCTCGTGTAGTTGAGATGAACTGTAGGGTCAACCGCGACGGTGAGGTCACACAGAAGAATTACGGCAAGAAGAAATCGACGTAGCATGTTGTCCACCTGCATTGTACGGGAGCTGACGAAGAAGGGAGACAGTGCTTACCTTGTGTGGATCACTCTTCATCTTATAGATTCGGTGTGCGAAGGTGGATACTCCAGTTCACGATCAACCTGCGCGAGCCAGGCATCCGAGGTCTCCCAGGCTTTCCACGGAGTGATCGTCAACTGTCAGGCCGTCGGAAGCGCTGGGTGGTACGAATATTGCAGTAGCGTCGTTCGGGGACATGAATCGCACGAAGTGGAGGAAGCCGGCTGACGTCGTGCATATTAGAGGAGTGGAGGAGCTCATCCTACTCGGCTAAAGCGGTCAACTCGATCCAGGGTATCATATAACATACACTAATGCGTCAATTGCGTTACCAATACCAATGGAATAATGCGTCGGTAATGACTACGCCATCTCCGCCTCGCGAACCCTAAGCTCTTGCTCTTCTTTATCGCGCAGCTTTCGCATGTCCAACAGCGTGTGGACCTTGCTGATAATGGCATCGAACTGCTCAATAACCGCCGGGGTTGGCAGCGGAATCAGGTCGGGAACACCGATGTGTGTCAGTATCGCGGCAATCTTCTCGGTTTGCTGCGTAGACTTGGCAACGCGAGGCTTCGAAAGCCTGTCAGATGCGAATGTGACACCGTTTGGAAGCTTGTCTTGTGCGTGAACAACGCCAAAGCGTGCAAGGTCGCTCTTAGACAGGTCGTTCGGGAATGCGCTTGAAGGCGTCGTCGCAGATGGCAGGGAGTCTCGGGTCGGCCGGCGGCCCGCTGCGTTCCCAGTGTCAGGCAGGCCGGCATTCGAGTCGCGAGGCCTTGCAGACGTAGGTGTAGCGCTTGGAAAGCCATCGTACGCTGAATTTCCTGTAAAGTGTCAGCAATGGCTCCACTACTTCGTACAGGAGTGGCATACCAGTCGGCCGTAACCGCTGAACTTTCTTGGCTCGATCGGCTGCCAGAAGCTGTTGCCATAATGTGGTGAGTGCTTGTGATGTCTGGTACTGGTAACCATTGGTGTTGGCAAGCGGATGATCTAGACGTCTCCGTAGATCTTCCCGTTCGTTGTCAAGGCTGGCTTGATGGAGCATTATCCGCTGAAGCTCGGCCAGGAGCACGCTTTCTTCGTCCACTTCATTCTGCCGGCGGTGAAGGTGGCCTTCAGCGAGTTTCTTCCGTGAGGCTTCTTTGAGCGGATCGAATTTGGACAATGTCTCATAGAGTGAATATTGTGGTGCGGTCATGGACGATATAGGTGTATGTATAGCAAGCATCGTGGCTGACACGCTGTAGAAACGGGCCTTCAGCTCTTCCATGGATCGCTCGCGGCCGGAGTCGTATCGATCTGCGATGACGGGCCATTTGCCGTAGCTTTCTCGGTATGTGTTGAGAAGGTAGTCAGTCTCTTCCCGTGACCAGTCGTTGTGTGTCAAGTGCATATCATAGGTCGCATCATCGTAGATAGGCACATCGGCCCGGATATTGTATTTGGAGAAGTCAGTAGGTTTGGTGGCTTCGCCGTTGGCCAACATTCGCCGCCAGCGACGGTCTTTGAGCTCCCAGTGGGAGGTCCGAGTACGTGAACCGGCTGTTCTCCGCCATTTGTGTATTTGCCTGCGAGGCTGCTGGGAAGCGGCTTTGTGGGATTGGACTGGAGCTGATGGCTGGTCGAAGCTCGGGACCTGACTCACTTCGCCCAGAGCGGCCGTTATGTCCGCCCGAGTCGCCATTGCTTGTCGTGTTGTTAGGTGTAACCGGTGATTGACGAAAGAATGTGGCGTGGCGGGGATGGCGACAAGCGCGGTCTAAGCACTCCGGGTTGTGGATGTCGACACCGTCCCTCCGGGGATATGTGCGTTCCTCGCGACCGAGACACCGCCTGACACGGTTACGACGGCGACCTCTCTCTGGCGGATGACTGCAATATACAGGTCAGCAGGGCTCCGCATTAGCATGCATGACATCTGTGGCATTGAAAAGCTGTCCGCGACTCAGACGGGCTCGGAATACGGTCAAGCGCCTGTAATTCCTAGCTGTTGGGGTTGACCTCGCTCTAGAGTGAAGATTGTGGTCGGTTCGTTCACAATGGGTGAAGCGTAGCCCAGCTTGAGGATACAGGCAGATTGGTACGACTGTCTGCGCCCAGTAACCGCTAGCAAAGCTGTACAGCATTTTGATGAAGAGACACTGGGTACAGCTGTTGAACGGCTCCAAGTCTCTACTGTTATCGTTCGAGCCTATAACGTGCCACGATCCAGGAAGATTTGCCGACCAATCCATACAGCGGAGCATTCAGCGCCATCTGGTGCGCATGGTCGCAGGCCGCGAACAAACAAATGCTTTTGGCGCTTGGTATGCAAGAGTATCGTCCCGATAGCGATAGTGATATGCTGGCGGAAGGCCAAGTGAATGAATGGAGGTTGCGCACTTACAGGCAGCGATGGTGATGCTAGCGCTCAATCTTCTGTGCGATACAGATAGCCGTAACACTGCTCAATACGCCGAGGGTGATGCCGCCGTCCCAGACCATTGTTGAGATGATGTTAATGAAGATGTACACGGCAGTGAGTGAAGGAGAAAGTCCAGATTCACACGCCACAAACACACGCGGCTGTTCCCGCCGCTCGTAGAGAAGGCGCAGTGGGGGTTGCCATTATATGAACGCAACAATCACGACAACAGCTACTGCGATGAGTGTGAGACCTTATGAGCATGTTATGATGTCGAGATTGATGTCTGAGTTTCTAGCCTATCCCAAAGCCAACGTCGTGCTTAAAAACATCCGGAGGCCAACATAAATAGCTCAAGCAGTCTCGATAGTCTCGAGAGCGAGCACAAACGGTAAGAGCATCTCAACTTCGATACCCATGCACCTGCTCCGTCACCCTTGCAGCAGTTCATCTCAGATCTATCGCTCTGGGAGCGGTGCCACTACGGACTGTGCCAAAACTCCTCCCGTCGCTTCGAACGCCACTGCGTTCGGTCTGTCCACACCTCCTCGCCAACAAAGTCCCTCACAACGCCCCAGACCAGGTCTCTGACCCAGGCATCAAAGCCAACGGGCAGTGCATCTGACCTGATGTCCTCTTCAGGCACCATCAGGTGAGGGAACCGCGAGTCCCGTCCGATCGGCGAAGATCGCGCAGAGAGATCGTAGAGCTCACCGCAGCTCTGCAGATGTTCGCAGAGCAGCTTCTCAAGCGCGGCAGCCGATAGTCGCCGTCCCTTGTTGGCCCGGATGACGTGCCACACCTGCAATATGGCTGCGAAGGCCAGCGGATGCGCGACCATGGGGCTGTCGTCTGCCGAGCGGTCCTCGAGCGCAGCGCTTAAGCCAGCGAAGAAACGGTGAACTGTGCTCCTCTTGAGTTCATCGTTGTCGACGATGAACACACAGTCGGAGGTTAGCAGCTCCAACTGGCTCGCCTGCGGCTGGTACTGCACAAAGTCGTTCGCCGAATTGACTTCCAGCTCGCCGGCGCAGAAACGAGTCGCCCGCTGAGCGAGCAGGTGCGCAAGGAGGCCGTTACACTCATCCGACGGCCCGGACTCCCAATATCCCTTCCCGTACGCCTTGCTAAGGTAGGCGTCGATGCCGCGGAGAGTGGCGACGTTCTGCAAATCCATCTGGTACATTGCAGGGCGGCCATTGGCGTCCTCGGCCCAACCGTAACCCTGGCGTCTGTACAGCTTGGCCCTGCAACTCGGGCAGCTGTTGTGGTCGACAGCCCAGGACCGGATGCAGTTGCCGTCGAAGCTATGCCGGCCACAGGCATTGACGAAGTTGGCCATCGTCCCGACCGTGTGCTCCTCCATGCAGATACCGCAGACTGTGCCCTCTGCGGTGATCTCCGCCTGTGAATTGCACAGGATCTCGAGGAACTGGAACTTGGTAAGTCTTTCGTCACCATCGTTCTCACCGTCGACTGCGCCCAACAGAGCATCCTCCGCATCCATCTGCTCGCCCTCCACATCATCCTCATCGTCCTCGATCTCCATCCCATCCCCGCCATCCTCCTCAAGCTCCATCTCCTCCTCCGAGCTCTCCTCACCCTCCTCAAACACCTCCTCACCACAGCAAAGGCACCAGTTCGTGCGTACAACGCTCCCATCGCCCTCGAAATGGCGCTCAAGGCATCTTGGGCAGATTAGGTGACCATGCAATGTCCGGAGGAACGAGGAATCACCGCACTTGAGGCACGCCTGCACTTCACAAGGCTCCACGGCCGCCCGGGGACGGGAAAGCCGCAGGTTAGCCATGAATTGGCTTCTGGTGAGTGCGTGGCCGGTGAAAGACTGGACGGTGTGACGGGCCGCCATGTCGCCTGTAAGGGATCGAAGAAATGAGATCAAAGAAGGGTTATTTGTCGTGCATGGGATGGTTGCTTCTGTGAGCTTTGGAAGTGTCTTGGAGTTGGTTTCTGGTTGTTGCTGCGCCGAGACAGAAAGCAGATGACCGTGTATATGCTTGATGCGAGAGAGCAAGGGACAGGACAGAACGCAACGAGATGGTTGGCTTAAGTAGCCTCACATACCAAGGCATTTTACCTACCAGCTGCTGAGTATGGAAGTTGTGAAGGTAAGCTGTGGACGAGTTTGGTCAGTTATGACCTTGCAGCAACCCCAAAAGGGACGGGTAAGCAGGTAAGATGATATAGGTGGGATTTGCGAAGCTGGCTTACTCCCCAGCAGGGTGTTTGGAAGATCTGCCTACACCAGTACCATCAGCAGCTGTCTAGTTGCAATGTGATTGGGATGCTGTGTACGTTATCTTGTGGTCATAGCATGAGCGTACACTGTTCCTATCACCATTACTATTGCAACACGAGCCCATGGGCTGTCACAACAGCTTTTGCACAAGGCGGCGATTCTGGGATTGCGTCTTGCTCGATACGAGTGATGACACACAGTCCCACAGCCATTCACTCTCCTTAGGCTCCTGATACTACCTTGTGCAGCCCTGCATGGACTCGCGCGTTGGGATGGCGCCGTCCGTACTGATACGCTCACTACTCGTGAAGGTTTGAGTAAGCGAACATCCGGGCTCGGGTGTTGGGCAGAAGAAGTCCCAAACAGAGCATCTCCTTTTGAGCTCCCTATACTGGCGATGGTACTATGTTGTGCTTGGAGAATGTGCCTGGGTAACATAGCGCTGATCATTCCGCTGCGATTATTGGCAGGTATGCGCCGTCTGCTTCTTCGCGCCGCTTACAAAGCGCAGGCATATCCTCGAATAGTCCCTTCTTCGGTGCTTCAACCACCCCTGCTGCGACCGCCATGATAGCCCATACTTTGCTTCGTCTTCCTCGGCTTCCGGCGCCACCTCTCTTCGAGCACTCATGCCAAGGGCAGCCTGCAAGCCTACTTCCGGCCTTATGCCGTTGAGCGACGGTCGTAGGATAATTCTATGATGACGCCATTGCATCGTTATGCCTCAAGCCTTCATAATGTTCAATGATGGCGCCACGGGTCTGGCCTAGCCTAGCCTGCAGCTGCGTGCTGTACCACTTGATGTCCACGAACCCAGCAACCTCTTCATCATCTACTCCTCTCGTTCTCCGGATATACCCTCTTCTTCTTCACCACCTGCACCTCCTCATCTTGATCATCAGCCAACCGTTCAAACCTCCCCACCATCTCCTCCAGCTCCTCATCCGCGTTCTGCCGAAACTTGGTCACCTTCGCGATATTCGCGGCCGTCATATCGTTGATCTCATGCCCCTTCCTCCTCACCTCTGCGATGGTCTTCGCAGTTAGTGCGAAGCGCATGTCTCTTGGCCCATCCACCAGTTCCAGGATGGCGGAAGCTGCTTGGTCCTCTTTGATCGGTTCAATGCGTAGCACGCGCGTGTAACCGCCTGGTCGTTCGGCGTATCGTTCACGCAATGGACCGAAGAGTTTCGGTAGTAGCTCATGCGGCCTCTGAGTGCCAATATTAGCATCTATAACTGTCTAAACTGTAGCATTGCGCCCAGGGTCGTCTTTTTATAGTACATATACATACAAATAGGTACTTCAGCGCCTGTCTGCGACTCGCTTCGGTGTTCTTCTTGCCCAACGAGATCATCTTCTCCGCCATGCGCTGCGCCTCCTTGGCCTTGTGCCATGTCGTAGATATGCTCTCGTGCTCGATTAGGGAGGTGACAAGGTTGCGCAGAAGGGCGCGGCGATGGGCGGAGTCGCGTGAGAGATGTCGGTACTTGACCAGTCCGCCGGCCATGATGATGACGGGCGAGTTACAGGCGATGTGTAAGAGCAAGGTAGTGCGATTGTGAAGAGGTAGGAAGAAGCTCATCTCATCGCCGGCGTCGCCCGCGGCAGTGTCCGCAGCGATCTACTCCACCACCACAACACGGAGATAGTCTCTCAATACACCATCTTGACTTTGAGAGTCCTAAGGGGGGATTGCTACAAACTCGAGCACTCAATATGGGCTTCACGACAGGCCTTGTACGGTCTTCCCAACCCTCCACCAACGCGACACGCTTGCTAATGAACATATTTGTATAGTTGGGCGGCTTCACCCTGACCACCACCGTTCTCTACCTCTCCCTGTCCTACCACACCCAACAGCGACTTCGCCAAGCCGCCGCATTGCGCCAACAGTCTCTCCTGTTCAACAATATCGTCGAGCCGTTGCCCCCTCCGCCCCCACCGACAAGTAGAGAGGTCAAGGCAGGACTATGGGAATCAGCAAAGGACCAATGGAACGCCGAACTCGCTCGGAATGTACGGAGACTACAGGACATGGACTGGACCGCAGTCGCGGAACGCCTGGAAGATGGCGTAAGCGTAACGTGGAGACGCATCTTCCAAGGAGCACAACAGGGAGTAAAGGTGTCGGAGGAGAAGTTGGCTGAGGGGGCAGAGATCGCTAGTGAGAAGATCAAGGAAGGAGCTGCTGTGGCTCAGGTGAAGCTGCAAGAGGGTGCTAAGGTTGCGGCGGAGAGGACTGTACATGGAGCAGATGTCGCTCAGCGGCGGTTGAGGGAAGGGGCTGAGGTTGCGGCGGAGAGGGCTCGGCAGGGAGCGAAGGCGGCGTCGCAGAATATCAGACAGGGCGCAGAAGTCGCACAGGAAAGGCTAAGGCATGGGGTGGAGGTCGCGTCGGAGCAGATCAGTCATGGAGCGGAGGTTGCGCAAAGGACCGTCCAACAGGGTGCGCGTGTCGTGGAGAAGAATGTCAGACACGGAGCAGAGGTTGCGCAGAGGAACGTCCAACAAGGGGCCCATGTCGTGGAGGAGAATGTCAGACACGGAGCAGAGGTCGCCTCGGAGAACATCAGACAAGGGGTTCAGGTTGCGCAGAGGAATCTACAACAAGGCGCACGTGTCGTGGAGGAGAATGTCAGGGAGGGTGCACAGGTTGTGCAAGAGAATGCACGGGAAGGCGTGAGGCAGAGGCTGCAGTATAATGAGGCTACCGGGAGGTAAGAAGGGAGACCGATATGAGTGTGACGCTGGCTGCTGTTATTGTACAAAAGCAAGATACCCTGATGGCTGCCACTCTACCAGCCGAGCTTGGCCCTATCGTGCCACTACCGAACACCGAGAGCTCACTGCGACACTTTTAGATACCTGCATGGCGGTATGCTCGTACGACACCCACTGAACATTGATCTACGATCTGGAGCTGGTCATGGTCCATCATTACGTTATCTGATCTGCATTATACCGATCGCCCATTCATGTCGTTCGCCATTCTAGCAGAAGACCACAACGCCACTCACCGCCAATCAAGCTGATCTTCTTCCTCGCTCTCGTCCTCACTGGGCTCGTCGTAGTCTTCATAGTCCTGCGGAAGCTGTGGCTGGTACCTCTGCATTGCACCGTGCGACTGCGATCTACGCATATCTCCTTCCCTCAGCCTCGTTGGCCTGCTTGCCCGCCGGGACCCAGCACGTCCCATGGAACTGCTGGAACGCTTGTGTTCTAGCTGACCCGGCGTCACACCTCCCATCGAATTCTGCATCATTGCGGCGGCCATCGGATCAGCCATCACGTTGCCACCCATTTGATTGGGCATCATTCCGCCGCCGAGTTGATTGGGCATCATTCCGCCGCCCATTGAACCGGGCATCATCTATCCGCCCACTAGACCGGGCATCATGGCGCCACCCGTCAAACCCGCCATCATCCCCGCGTTCATGGCATTGGCCAATATTGCGGCGCGCATTGGATTACTGGGACCCATACCGCCCATCGGTCCACCCATCATGGCCGCCGTCATGGGGTTCATCGGACCCGGGCCCATCATGGAACCTGTAGACGGTCAGTGTGGACCTCTTCGTGCCTGCGCAACAAGCACGTACCCGGTCCGGCTCCCATCATAGCGTCTGCGGTCCTTCTAGCCTGGCGCATGGCAACGATGTCTTGCAAACTATTCTGCGCCATCATCATGGCGAGGCGCGGGTCGATGTGCACAGGCATGCCGCCGCCCATGCCGAAAGGACAGCCGGGTCTGTGGGGCATCATGTTTGGGTATCTTGTGAAGGTAGGGATGTACTCCTGATACTGTCTTCCGGATCAAGATCGTATATATGTGGGAGCTGTTGATGGTCTATACCTGAGCTTAGCGGTGCTGGTCAAGAAAAGATTGTTGAAGTTCAAAGGATTTGTGAGAAGTAAGGCTTGTCCGTTTGCTGTAAGGCTTGCTTGGGTGATGGTTAGGCAAGGTTCGTAATACTTATGTGCTTCAAAAGGTGCTTTGCCTACTGATTTATACGAACGCTGGCACTACCGAACGCCTTCCACGCAAACTGAGGCTTCATTCCACGCAAATCAGAAGCGTCATAATGGACAAACAGCTCGATGACGCTTGCCAATCGACCATTTCGAGAGTAACTGCAAGCTGGGCTGGTCATACTTCATCATATTCATGGTATCGTCAACTAGATCACGATGGCGCCCTCGGTGCTGCTTGCCATTACGGCAAGCAAACTCAATACTACCCATGAACCATCCTCATGGTCACCGTCTAGATGAGCGCCACCGTTCTGCCCACCCCGTAGCGTTCCAGTCATCATCCCGCGTGGCGCTCCTCCCACAAAAGCTGAATCCATGGGGCCTTACATCATGCCGCTCATAGGACCCGGTGGCGTACCGAGCAAACCAGCTGGTCCTCCGCCCATCATGCCAGCCGGCAAGCCCCCTGCAGACCCCGGCTTTGGCCCTTCATGGCCAGGTCCAGCACCTGGACTGTTAGCGCGAGAGGTTCCGCGAAGAGATCATCTGGGTGTAGCCATTGCTCACTCGCAGATCCTGCTGATTGCCCACCACGCTGCGCCATGACTGATGGTAGCGAGGCTGGATCTGTGACCAGAACGAAGTTGGGCGCGTACGTGTAGCCGATCTTCGAGTGTGGCCCAGCATTTAATGTTGACGCCATCATACCGGGCTGCATCGGCGTTCGACCGCCCATTGCTGCCATTGCCGGATGGGCGCCGACGTGGCCCCCTATGTGCACGCCTATGTGGGCCACCTCCATGGACATCCATGTGGCCGCCCGTATGACCGCTCGTGTGGCCCCCGATATGATCATTTGTCCGGGCTGTGTGTGCTGCCGCTAGGTGGCCGCTCATCCGGGCTGCGCGCGCCACGTCCAAAGACATGCACGGTACGCCGCTCTCCAAGATTGGGGCCACTAGGGTTTCTGCACATTGGAGCAGGTCACGCGGTACTTTCTGTGGATGTGACTATGAAAGCAGCTGTTCGAAGTTATGCTGTCGGTCAGTGTCCGTTTCTGCGGACTCCGGAGCGAGGCACTTTGCTCTGGTGCTCCTCTGCGAAAGAGTCTGCCGATACGGGAGTGGTAGAAGAGCGCGAGGATGGGCAGTCCTTGAATTTTAAGTTGTTGTGGTTGCAAGAAGTCAGAAGCTGACAGCACAGCAGTTCATAGGAAGTGGTCGTCGTTGTGTGGACGCAGGAAAGCGCCACCAATCCTCTCCCTCAGTGCTACATTGCCCACCATATCAACCATTACTTTTGTGATGACGCTCCGAAACTGAGGCTGCAACGGTGACTGCAATCTATGACATATTAGCCCATGAGAACTGCTCATGCACTTCTTACTATCAACCAATTCATCTGTTGGAGCTGAGAAACACCGATATCAATTTTCCGAGAGTATCGGAGACGGAAGGGCTACCACCATGTCTTACCGGACTTGCCTTTACCCCTTGAGCCCGCCTTAGACAGTCCATACCCGCCAAGTGCGCGGCCAACGCAGTGATGCACATCGGTAAGCCTGTCAAAAGCAGCCTCGGGCCCGCTCCAAGGGCCCTGAAAGCCACCAAACCCTCCCATACCACTGCCAAACGGACCATAGGGCCCATACGCACCGGTATAGCCGCCAGGCCCAGGACCACAAGTGAAGGACACCAGTGCCCCTCTAATAGTTGATGACTGCGAACCCGCAATCATCTCCTCGAGCGCCTTAATCTTCGTTTCGAGCGTAGGCCGGTAGCGTTCACCCTGCGCACCGACCTTGCGGTTGATCAAAGCAATCTTCTTCTGAAGCAGAATGGGCGGCATGTCGGGGTTCAATGTGGCAAACTGCTGAGCTAGCTGATGATGTCTCTGCTTCAAGGCCACTACACTAGCTGCGGCTACGCTGTTCACGTTCGGTTTCGGTTTCGTGCGTGGCTGCTTGCCTCCGGCGGTAGTACTGCTTGACTGGTTAGGCTGTACAGAAGGTGGATGCGGGCCTTGCTGAGGCTGAGCCGGGGCCTCCGGTGCTGATGGTGGATATGGACCTTGTTGCGGCAGAGTAGGCAGCGGCGCTTGCGAGGGCTCGGGTGCTTGGTTGGCAGGTACAGCGTGACTTTGCGCGGGCGAACGCCCATCTTCCGACACGTCATCATCGTCGTCCTCGTCAGTTTCGTCGGCAGTGGCAAGCAGCTCGTTGAAGATGTCTTCGTCCATGTTTGAGCGTTCTTACGATGAGCTCGAAGTAGTGATACGTGATTCAGATTGCTTGTCCAAAACGGTGATGCTTGTCGCGCCGGTTTGGAGAAGTGCTCGGGAGAGACGGCATGGGAGAAGTGCAGCTCTGCAATAGCTCGCGAGGGTTACAAGCCGGGTACTCGCGCTCTTCACTGACATTACACAGGACACAGCGTTCAGTCACGGAATGCTAGACTCGTCATGCGCCTCGCACCTCCTAGCGGGACACAGCAGGAAGGCTGAGAGCAAGGCACGAGCTCGTCAAGCTGCAATCATTAGCAATTCCCTCATGCGTAGATGCTATGACAATACGCATCACAGATTGCGGCCTGCTGACGTCCGTGAGGCGATAAAGACTTGGAGTTCACGATCGCATGTCGGCTAGCAATAACCAAAGCCGCGCTGTGCGTTGCGAGGCACGAATGCTGCTCAGGTGCCATAGTAGGTAGAGCAGCGTGTGCGCCTGACGTTCGCCTTCATGCGGATGACATCGAAGAGGAGCTTTCGTACACAGACAACAGACCTCATTGCAGAGTCCCGCGAGCATTCGAATTACTCGGAGCAGGGCCAATGACCATGAGCTGTGGCATTGTTTGTGTGAATCCATATCTGGGTCGGTAGACGTCGTCAGTAACGCACTCTCCAAGGATTGCCAAACTCACTCGTCATGCTCGGAAGCCCATTTCTACCACCAATGTCCGCAGAATGGTACGCCATGCGATCAAAGGCAATATTTCAATGAAATGCATGACCACTCCCCGGCATCATCCAAAAAGATCAAGAGTCGCTATCCATCGAGAAAAACCAAAAAGAAATGAATGCCTTTGCAGCTTCTGTGGATCGAACACAGTACCTCCAGATACCGCACAGAATGCTTCTTTCGCAACCGAAGTGAACTTCAGTCTGGCGCTCTCCCAAGTGAGCTAAAGCTGCTGGTTATGAAAGGGCCGCTGGAAATTGACAATATATACCAATTTGATTTCGCCGACATTTTGCCGTGGCGATATCGCATTCCCAGCAATCACTGATCCATTGCAACCGTATGATGTATAACAAGACACTAGAAGCAGAACAACGAGATCTGCAAGACGAAGACAACCGTTACTCAACTCATATGAACGCCATTCCCGCGTCCCTAAGAGGCCGCCACAGCCATAAACATGTGCTGCACAATATCTACAATCACAATCACCCATCCTCCTTGCCGCCGCGTCCCTGCCCCATCCCCCACCGCGCCCCAAAAACCCCCATCGCCATCGCCGATCCGCCAAACGCAAACACCAACACCCCGCTAACCATCAAGAAATTGAACAACATACTCCCGCCACTCTCATACTCAATCTCCTCCCCCCTCACCCCTCGAACCCCATGATGCAATTTCCGCCGTGCCCGATGGCGCGTCCGTTCGATATCCGAGTGCGTGCGGTAATGACCCTCATGGTCGAAATGATTGACGTCGTTGTCGAAGCCCGTGGTGAAACCGCCCGGCCCGGTCCCCGCTGTAGCACCCTGACTCTGCTGTCCCTGCGCTTCGTGGGCATGTGAAGGTCGACTGGCCGCTTCGCCCCTCTTCTCGCCATGCTCACCCCACCCGCCACTGCGGTAGAAACTCGGCGGGGGCCCGCGGAATTGGGTGCGTCGTCTACTCAGGCCCGAGGCGGGACGGCTTCCCGCATGGCCGGCGGAGGCGGAGCTGTAACTCCCACTGGGATGCGATGGAGTTCCAGACGAGGACTGCGATTGCGAAGCGCGGTGGAAGTCGCGATCATAGCGGCTCTTCTTCTCGGGCGAGCCGAGAACGGCATGGGCTTCGGAGATTTGGACGAAGCGTTCCGCTGCGTGGGGGTCGTCTGGATGAAGGTCAGGGTGGTGGGCTTTGGAGAGGCGGTAGAATTGTTTCTTTATTTCTACCGGGGTGGCGGTGGGGGGGAGGTCGAGGGTGCGGTAGTGGTTGGGTATGCCGGTGTCATTGGCGTGGAGGGAGGTGGTGGGGTGGAAGTGGCGGCGACGAGCAGTGTTTTGGAGATGGAGACATGATTGCGCTGTCCGCTGCAGGAGGGGAGGGCGCGCGATCATGCCGTGAGAGCGGCATCAAGTGATCGTACATAGAATGTGTGAGAGAGCAGGCATTGGGCGCGCGGGTTGAAAGCGAACCTTCTCCACGTCATTGGCGCCGAGAGGCACGCGAGCGTTGTTTCAGAGCGGAGTGGAGTCCGACCGACACCCCCTTTGGAGAAATACCTGTACCTGAGCATTCGTCGCGAAGTTTTTCGCCGTAATACGTGCGACACGACAACTTCCACCGCATCAATTATTGATTGAACATTCTCTCACCCCAGCCATTCATTCATTCACTCATTCACGCAACTTCTCGCCAGCCAAGCGCTACTTTCTCACTCAAAGTCTTTCCTACTCGACTCTGCGCCTTCTAATACCACCACCTTCTTCAATCACACGACACTTCTCTTCCTCGACACACATAATTTCACAATGTACGCGCCGGCCGCAGTCATCGTTATTCTCTCTCTTGCCACCCGTCTCGCCCTCGCCGCACCGCCAGCATGTCTCATCGCGGCCATGAGCAAGCAACCCGACCCCTCGCAAATCCATTCCATCTGCAGCGGCAGCAATGCGACAGCCATCGCGCAGTACCTCTGCCAGAACTGTGGAGCCAATGCGCAACTCGCCATGAGTGACTTCTCCGGCGTCTGTGGTAGCGCTGGCGTTACACTTGGTGTGTCTCACGATCCAGCCAATCCTGTTCAAGAATGCGATAGCTGACCGGCAACAGCCTCCTCCTCATGCGCAAACAACACTTCTTCCTCCTCATCCGCACTGGCATCCGCATCCGCATCCTCCTCTCCAGCTTCCTCCACCATCCCCACCTCCTCCCGCCCACTCACAAGCTCAAGCGGCAGCAGCAGCACAGGCGTAACCCTGAACCCCGCCTCCAACGTCCTCCCCTCCGTCACCCCAACCGGCACTCCCAACGGCAGTGGAACGCTGGCCGGCCAGCCACCCTCTGCATCTTCATCCACACCCAACAGCAGCGCAGGAAGCGCCTCCACCTCCAGCTCCGGTTCCAGTCGAGCCAGCTCCTCCGCCTCAGCATCCTCATCTGCATCCGCATCTGCATCCGCTTCCGCATCTGCGACAGCTCCGCCGAACAGTAGTACCAACGCGGCGGCCAGACTCGGCATGGATATTGTGGGCTTGCTCGCGATAGGCGCTTTCGGCGCTATGATGTGTATGTAATGGAAGCTATACTTGTCTTGTCTTGTCTTGTCATGTCTTGCGCAGGAGTTGGTCTGGTTGGGTATGGGTATGCGGCGTATTGGGTAGTCGGCCGGGCCTCGCAGGCATTCAGGCGTTCGCGGATTCGGCCTGCGGAAAACGGGTGGCGTTACAGCTCGACGACCAGCAGCGCTGCGTCGCGAAAATGATGAACGCGCGCAAAGGTGACGTAGCATTTGTCCCTTGGACCCAGTTGCAGATGTTGCAGCAACAAGACCATCTCTTCTTGCTCACCTCCCAGCCATCTCCCGAACCAACCCAGCATCAACCCACCCCCTCGCAAAATTCCGCCCACTCCCCAACAACACCGCCACCCACCACACCCTGCCCACCCACTTATCATACCACATCTCGGAGTCCAGCCCCAACCTCTTCCTCCTCCCAACCACAGCCCTCCTGACGCCCTCCTCCACCAGCACCGCAAACCCATTCTCAACGAAGAAAGTCGCCTCCCCTCTCGCCCTCACCCAGCTGCCAGCCAACACACTCCTCACACTAAAACTATGCACCACCGCTGAACTCAAAAACCCGCCCACAATCTTCCCGAAATCCGCTCGCTCATCGTCCCGTTTACCCGTAAGCTTCCTTTCGACCCACTCACCAGGCCAGACCCCATACACGAGGAACAACCGTGCGAACAAGCGATGCCACCCGTACGCCCAAAAGCGACGAACGGAGGTGATACGCCAGATCGGCGTTGTGTAGAGCGGCGGGAAAAAGGCAAAGGGGCTTGGTGCTAGGGGCGAGAGCAGTATGGCGAAGAGGCTGTGCGCGAGGGAGAAGGCGACCATGAGGAAAGCTCCTAGGGCGGCGGTGAGGAGGAGTTGGTGGGGGAGGGAGAGGTTTGTGTCGAATTGGGAGGGGCCGGTGAAGTTGAAGTTGTCGGAGGGGGGGGAGGAGGGGTGGGGGTGGGAGAGGTGGGTGTCGTAGGTCCAGCGGATGAAGAGGAGGCTGGTCAGCATGATGGGCAGGACGTGGATGAAGATGGAGTGCAGCCGGTTTTGCACGGTGGGGAGCCAGGTGGCGCGGGTGTGGCGGACGTCGGCGGTCGTCCAGGTGAAGCCTTGGCCTGTCGTCACAGCATAAGACTCTCTGTCAGCAATGACTTAGACCTCAAGCAATGCCTTGGTGCCTTGGTTCATCGAGTGATTGAACCACGTACCTCGCATGGACATCTCCAACTCCAACGCCCAACTCGCCCGATCAATGAAACTATGCGGCCACCCGTCTTCGGGAATCTCATGCTGGAACACGGCATGTTTCTTCGGGCCCGTTAGTGTACGACTCAGGGTATCGATGGCCGCGTTTGCTGCTTCGGCCGCGGACGCGGGGAAGTAGCTGTCCAGTGGCATGGAGGGGCGACGATCCCAGGCCGGACGGAGGGGGGAGCTGTCGGCGTAGCCGACGCGTTTGCGGCTTGTGTTGGAGAAGGAGGAGGAGCTAGAGGATGAGGTAGAGGAGGGTTTGGCCGTGGTGTCCGAGGTTCCTTCAGGTGCTGCTGATGCTGGAGGTAGGGATGTGTCCTCGACAACACGCGGTTTATGCTCATACCGCACCCGGCGCGGTATGTGGCCGAAGAGGATGGGGCTGATGAAGAAGGCGTCCAGGACTCGACAACCGCCATAGAGGCCTACCAAGCTGAGTTGGTAATTCAAGCCAATGGATTGCGGGATGTAGTAGGCTAGCGGCAGTCGGAAGAACAGAACGCCTGCGGCAACGGCGAGGGTGGAACGGAGCAGTTTGATGGAGATTGTGTCCATGACTTGCGGCGGTGGCGGCGGGAGGAAGAGGAGCGCGACATAATACATCAGGGGAGGAAGTAGGAGGGCTTCGATGGTTACGGGTCGTATGCCTGGGATGGGATGGAGGCCGGGTCGGGGGGAGTCGGCAGTGATGAAGTCGGTGGCATGTTTCCAGAGGTCTGTGATGGTGTCCATGGTGTTCGGATTGTATGCGCCGTTCGATGGTTGATGAGAAGAGATGATGGCGACAGGAAAGAGTACCTTACCTGAAACTCACACGTTGTTTCTCTCTATAGCATCAACGGCTTCAGGCTCTAAAGACGTTAGTGACCTCGATGCGGCGGACATTACTGAGATGTCAAATGCATGACGCCAGCGGATCGCCACAGCGATCTGCAGGGCTTCAATGATCCCCGAGACCAATGCAAGCACTCCGCAAACAGATCTTGGTACCCGTTTAAGCTTATCGACCTGAAAGACGTTGATAATAGATCCGGCAGTGTTATCCGAACTTGTCAAAGGGCTGCTAATGGGAATACATGCAAAACACTACAGCTCGTCAGCCTCATCATCATGTCTTACCCAGCACAGTAACACGTCCATCCAACGCCTTCGCTATGATATACAACGCATGCAGTGCCTAAACAAGCGTTTTGTAAGTCCACCGCTGCCCCGATGCAATACTAAGACTGCCTTATCAATTCCGCCCCGCTGGTCTGCCTCCGCCTTCGGGCATTCGCAGCAATCGCCGCGCTTCTCGTGTTTGCACTCGGAGGTGCATGTGTGGGTGTGAGGTTCTCTTGCACCTTCTGCATCCCGGCGTCTGCGAGACGGACTCTGCTGCCACCTCCGCCAGTAGCCAGAGACAGACGGCTTTGTGCTGGACGCATGTTAGCCGCGGTCGATCGCGGGACTGGCGCTCTGGCGCTGCTGTTCGGCTTCGGCGGCATTGATGTAGGCGCCGTGACGTACTGCGACGCCGTGCTGGAGCCGGAGTCGGCGTCTCTGGTCCCGCGCCGGTATGGCGAGGATGCCATCGGCCGTGAGCGCTGCAGGTCCATCGCAAGCTCAAAATAATCGCTGAGCCCGCTCTGGCTTGATGTGCGCTCGTTGAGCATTCCGCCCGTCGGCGTTGGCGGCATGCTTCCAGCCGCTGAACTCACGAGACTGGATGTCACAACGCTGCTGGAGCTTCTCCGTAGACCAGCATATCGCGCCGCACCTGGTGTACCTGCCACAGTAGGTGCATGCTCGGCCATAACCACCAGGTCTTTCGCAATCTCTCTCACCAAGATAGCCGGGTCGGATCTGAACAGCTCTTGCACGCTATCCAAAAGGCCATACTTTCGGATCAAGTCTCCCTTCTCTTCGTGTGCCTCGCAAATGCCCCTCAGCACACGCAACAAGTTCAGCCTAACCAAAGGCTTCTTCGCATAGTGTAGCTTGATCCCACACCGCTCGAAAAGCGGCTTCTGTGCAAGACTTGCCGCCACACCGGTGCTCAAGCGCAGCAGTTTCTGCAGAGGCTCCAGCAGGTTCTCGAACGCATCCGTCTTACTCTCATTGAAGCACTGCACGATCGCGTCCGTGAACGCAGAAGTGGACAGCAAAACCTCTTCAACCTTGCTTGTCTCCTCCTGCAGCCACACGAATATGGCATCGAGTGCAGTGACAGCCCAGTACTGATCGGCGAGCAGTCCAACGTAGAATTGAAGGCCTTTGTTCTGCCATAACACCTTCCGGCCCACCTTGCCGGAATGCGCCATATCGCACAGTATCGGTAATGCAAACTCCTTCAACGGCCGCTCGGTCTGCACGATCCTTTGTAGTAATGGCACGAGTCCATTGAGTGCTGCATCTTCTTGCCGCGCTTTGGACAAGCGGCAGAGATTGTACATGGTGTTTAGCACCTGGTTGCTCACCTCACGGAAGTGCGACGCCTTGTCCTTCATGCTGCTGCTGAGCAGGTCTGTCAACACTTCAATCGCATTGCTGTTTTGCAGCGCATCGAGCGTCGTAGCCAGCATAGACAGATTCTTGATGAATTTGAGCATCGTAATCTGATGTTGTGGTCGCATGCGCCGCAGATCCTTCAACACCCGCTTGAGCACCATACGGTCCGCAACTGTCTCTTTGACATGGTTTTCTGCCTGGCTGAACAATAGGAAGATATTGACGATGCGGCCCTCGAACAGCTCAACCATGTCGTCATCGTCCTCGTCAAGTATTCTGTTCAACACAAGACTCAGCGGATACAGCACCGAGCTGCGGCTGAAAATCCGGCAGAAGTCATTCTTCGGCGTGGGACCTTGCAACGCGAACACGCTCCAGACACCGTTGATTCCCGCGAGCACCAACTCCTGACCGGTCTCGGTGTCATAGTCTTCTTCCAGAAACTCCACTAGCACGTTGAGCCCACCGCAGGCGACGAACATCTGTAACGTCAACGTTGACGTGCCATACATCATTCGCACAAAGCTCGCAGCCTCGAGCCGTATGCTCTCTCCGAATTTCTTCTGCGCGAACTTCGTGATGATTGGAATACCACCAACGAAGCACAGATTCTCTTGCACCTCAACATTATCACTGATGATGCCATTGACGACTCGAAGTAGGCTCAGAATGATGTGCGGTCGCTGACAGGTGTCCAGAATCTCCAGGATTGGTAGCATGCCGTGCGAGCTGACGATCACATTCTGTACGTCCGGACTTTCCGTTAGCACCTGCAAGAGCTGTTCAACAATCTCGCATAGCACATCCTCCGGCTGCGTGACCTTCAGATCAGAAACAAGCCCCTCGACGAGCGTGCACAGCCTGGCATGCTTGTCACGAGCAACGTTGCTTTCCAGGTCAACGACATCAAGCTCCTCTTCCATTGCTGCAAAGGGATCGTCTTCGTCGTCCTCCTCCTCGTCATTCGGCGACGACCATAACCCAGCAGTGCTGCCGCTGATCTTCATAGTGCCTCGCTCACTCCCACCTGCAGACGCCGAATCTCCACTGATGCTTGCAGCAGACTGCGGCGATCGCTGCTTAATGGGTTGTAGCTGCATTGGCGTAGTATCATCGCCATCGCCAAAGATGACATCTCCAAAGTCCTCGTCTTCGTCCTCGGCATACTTCTGTATCTCCAACGAGCTGCGTGTCCGCTTCATTGCTGCAGCGTCATGGACAAGGTTCGTCGGGGTATGCGTTCTACGCCTCACACTCCCGCCCAGCTTTGTCTGCATACCCCTGAGATTGCGTGGATCATACGGCCGGCTTGGCGAGAAGCCGGCAAGCTTTTTTTGAAACGCCATCTCATCGTCCGGCACCAGATCAGAGTAGTCTTCCTCATCGTCTTCACGGAAGCGCTCTTTATCTGAGGGCGTGGGCACCGGCGTTAGCCTCTTCGCAAGCAGAGACGGAGAGGTCTGCTTGGCTTTCGCAGAAGCTGTAGGTTTGCTTGTAGGCTTGGCGGTAGGCTTCAGTATCTGCGTACGAGCCTCACTTTCTTTGCTTCTCCTCCTCAAACGCGCCGTACTCATGTCTCGCTTCGGTAAGCCCGCAGGCGCCTGATGCTTGATCTCGTCGCTTGTCGTCCTTGACGGGTAAAAAGGGCGTACCGTCTCCAGTGCATCACCAGCCGCTAGCTGCAGCGGTGAACGGACGGTAAGCTCGCCGTCTGGGAACTCCTCGTCCCACTGTTCAACCTTGCCATCCAAGCCAGGAATGGCCTCCGTCGCATACTGCTTGAGTCGCTCAGCGGTGAAGAGGCCTGCAAAGTTGTCTTGCGGTCGGCGATGTTCCGGTAACTGCAGGGCGCTGAGCGACGCAGACAAGCTTTCATAGTCGTTGTCCCAATTATCCCGCTTATCATCTTCGTCCGGCGACGCGTACAGCATCGTTGGCGTATCCTTCTTCGGTCCCAATTGGAAAACACTCCTTGTGCCGCCAGCCACCGCAGCAGGCGTCTCATACTTGCCCTTGGCGCCCGCGGCTCCTGTTCGTGAAGTCGGTCTGGAAGCCGCTGTTTTGGTTGACGCTCGCCTACTAACGCCATTGCTCGTCTGCTCACCCTTTGGACTTGATTTCAAGGCTTCATTCCATTCCTCCACATACTTGACAGCGTCCTCATGCTTGACCGGCTTGCCCACGTCATTCTTCCTACTCGACAGGATCCATGGGTGTTTGAGGAGCTTCTTCGCCGATACGCGCAGGTTCGGGTCCTTCTGGAAGCACTGCATCAAGAAATCTCTGACCAACGGACTAACTCCGTCTGGTAGAGGTGGATGATCGTCATTGACGATGCGAAAGAGCGCGGGCATGGGCGCGAACTTATGGTACGGTGGCTTCCCGTCTAGCAGCTCAATGACAGTACAGCCAAGACTCCAGATGTCGGAAGCAGTGGTGGCACCAGCAAGCTCAATGACCTCCGGTGCCATCCAGTACGGCGTGCCGACGACGCTGCTACCATCTGCTTGCCGCGTCGCTACGCCGAAGTCTGCAAGCTTGACCAAGCCTTCCTTGGTGGTAAGGATGTTTGCGCCCTTGATGTCACGGTGGATGACACCTTGTTCATGCAGGAATAACAGACCTTGCAGAACTTGTGCGGTATATAGGCTTACAAGGTTCTCTGGGAACTTGCCGAAATTCTTGCAAATGCTATGCAAAGAGCCGTTCTCGCAGTACTCCAGAATGATGTAGAGATGGTCGGAGGACTTGACGAAGCCGTGGTATTTTACAATGTTGGGGTGGTTGAGGTTCTTCAGAAGGTCAATCTCCTGCATAATGGTAGCCAGGTCGCTTGCGCGGTGCGGTAAGTGCGAGAGGGAGATAGCCTTGACAGCCACGGTCTCACCAGTGCTCCAGTTCAAAGCACGGTAGACTGCGCCAAAGGCGCCGCGTCCCAAGCAGTCGCCGAGTTGCTGCCAGTCGTCAGCTTGGGCTACGTGATGAGTGCATGTGAGATGCCACATCAGGAGCGTAGAGATGCGGTGTGAGAGAGACATTAATGTCTCAAACTCCTGACCACACCTCTTCTCGCGAGCCTCCTAGCGAGGTGGTTCGGTTACTCACATAGTCCTTCAAACCCTCCACGTCCTTCGCCTCTCTTTGTGCCAGGCCATCTTTGCTAGCCGCCTTCTCTCTCGTCGCGGATGCAGCTGAGGACTGCCGCCTTGACATCAGGCTCCTCTGATCCAGCCTACCACTGGTATTGCTTGCCTTGCTTGCCGCCCCTCTTGCCTTAGGAGCTTGCTGTAACCGGGTGGGCACCCCATTCTGCAGCGGTGCTTTTGCGGGCGTGCCATTCCTGGTCGATGTAGCCGATGTTGGACGCTTGACTGACGCCGCAGAGTCCGGACGTCTTGTGATCGTTGACGGTCGACTGCTCACTTTCTGCTGCGACTGATTCCGCGTAGGGAATGGAGGAGAAGGCAGAGGTGGCATTGCTGCCGTGACCGAGGCGGTAGTTGTTATTGCCAGGCGCGGCGGTGAGATACAGGTGTGTTGGTGATTGGGTATTGCGTCAAAAGCCTCTCCGACATCCCCATTGCAGCCCTAGTGGCCCAGAGTTTCTGCTCTAAGCACTGCGACTCGAGAACGAGGGCAGGGACGAGGGAGCACGCGAGCTCGCCGTGCCTTGCGTTCTACGATTCCGTCTCCTGGTAGTGGCGCTCGGAACCGATCACGTATAGCTTATGTAGCACTCCTCGCCATCGATGAGACGTCATATGTCTCAAAGATCACGCTGGCCGTTGCAGAGTTGTAAACGTGGAACACGCATGTGTACAATGCTGTATGTACCCGCGTTACAGGGCGCGCTTAGCTTCAGCGGAAATGCGGGGATGTGAAGCTGCAAACTTCATCAAGGCACAGCATGAACGATGATTCATGACAGTGATAAGGGAGACATGACTCTTCGATCATCTACCTCGTACTGTCTGCACGCCTCAGCGCCTTGCTAAGCTTCAGTAGCCCTCCATCTCCAGCATACCATGACCGCATGCGAACACTTTACCGACCGCCCACGACGTTGAGTACGCCACCATCCACCGCAATGATTTCGCCATTGACGTACTCGCACTTAGCCAGATAAAGCACAGTCATACCCATCTCCTCCTCCTTACCACCTCGCATCAACGGCACATGTCCCTTCTCTTGCACCTTCTCCGCCGGCAGCTCAGACTTCTGCTTGTCGTCCGAACTCTTTGCCGTCATCTCGCTTGGGAAGTAGCCCGGCGCAATGCTGTTCACTCTGATCCCCGCTCTCTGGAACTCCGCAGACATCAGTTTCGTCAAGTGTACGGTGGCACCTTTGGCAGCGTTGTAAGCGAAATGGCCCTGCGCGTGCCTCATCATGCCGGACATGGATGACGTGGTGATGACGCTGGGTGCGAACCGCGGTAATGGTCCGTTCGGCTCGATTGCAGCCTGGAGCAGAGGCAGGAAGGCGACGGTTGTGAAGTACACACTCGTGACGTCCACCTTGTAGGTGTCGTTCCATTCTTCCACACTCTCGTTCTCCCATAGCTTCTTCTTGAGGTCACCTGCGTCCTCTTCATCCGGTACTGTCTTCGGTCCGCCTACACCAGCGTTGCACATCAAGAGGTGGATGAACTTTTCCTTGCTCTGTATTTCCTTGACGAGCTTTTCCAGGTCATCCTTCTTCGTCACATCGCAAGGGCCTGCAGGAATGATCTGGCCACCCTTGACATCGGAACCTTCAGCCGGATGATGGGACTTTGCTGCGTTTTCGAGAGCTTCCATCCGTCGACCGGTAATGTAAACCTTGGCTCCATTGGCCGCGAGTGCCTGGCTGGCCATAAGACCAATGCCTGTACCACCGCCTGCATACTGTCAGCATAAAGACTTTGCTCCAGTGTGGTGACAGACGCCAAAGATCTCACTGACCGGTCACGACACACACATAACCTTCGAGTGAGAAGAGCTTGTGAGCGTGGAATTCATGCGTTTCCGCCATCTTGAAATATGCTGTATGTATTGCTTGGTCCACGCAAATGAAGTTGTTCGTAATGTTGCTTGCGTGAAACTTGGTGGATTTGTTGAGTTGTCCGAAGTCGAAATTGCTGGTGAACGTGCTGCTAAGTACTGATCGACCGCGGGCAGATCTCTGCAGATGGCTAAGTGACGTAGGGCTGACGGTGGGGTATGTGAGGTACGCGACTCTGACACCACTCACGTGACCATAATGTTATTGACCCTCCTTTTCACTCCTTTTTGTGGCCACCATATTGAAGCCACGGCGAAGAAGCAGGTAGACCCTTTCAGTCAAGCTTCCAATGCTGCGCAAAACCATCCTCTTGCCCTTTGCCAAGGTATAGCTCCACACTATACAATGCCATCGTGCCGGCCAAGTTCGCCCATCTCGAAATGTTACCGCCACCGTGTCCACCCTGGCTTGTCCACCATTCACCCGGGTGGTCAGCGCTCGCCGATGCGAAGTGCTGCATAAGCAGACTCGTGTAGACGGCAATGAGTATGCTCGGGTTGAAGTAGGAAACCAAGCCCATGAAGGTTGACACGCCTTCGTGCTCCTCCAATGACGGGTCCTCGGAGAGTGCGCGAGCGCCTGACTCTCGAACGGCAGGAATGATCCTCGCGGCAGCGTAGAAGACCATAAGTCGATAAAGAAGGCTGATGATCACTGACGGCGTTACCGTACGAACAGCTGCCACCACGAAGCCGAAAGCATTGTGTAGCGTACTCGGCAAGCTTGAAAGTGCTTGCAATAAGGTCGTGTAGCTTGCCATGAGTATTGGCGGCAGTGGCGGAAAGTCTGGTGCAGCTGCTTGCGCCGCCGCCGCTTCGATTGGATGACTTGGTTGGTAGTCGGTGAAAATTTGGTAGATGCACAAAGTAATGTAGGCGAACAGCAGGCTGCTTTCGACGACGTTTCCGCGCCCGCTACCGATACCCCAGGCACACAGAAAGAAGGCACAGGTAATAGCGATGCCGATGAGGATGGCGTCTTGGCTGTCAATGCCTGGGAAGGTGCTGATCCGCCAGAGGAAGTAAACTGAACCGGAGATGATGCTTCCGCTGAGGACGAGTAGTCCAATCATCCAGCCATCGCCGCCATCGCTCGAGTTTACCAGATACCGCGTCACCTGGCCAGCAGCTTGGATGACGAGCAGGCTACAGAAGCCTTCCGCCAGTTGGAATACCGGCGTTGAGTAGCGGAGCAGCTTGTCCCAGCCCCCAACAAAAAAGCTCTCCAACATGCCTTCCCTGCCAAAGAACCACTCGTTAAAGCTCGGACTTGCATGCAGCGGTTTCGTTGCGTTATAGAACGCCCTCGTAACCCAGTTTGCGTCGTCCCCACTATCCACGCTGAATTTGTTCAAACTCCATATGAGCAACGTGGGTATCACCAAAGCTTGCAGCATGCCGAACAGCTGCACCGCTCTTCTGCGCCATGTTGATTGTTCCGGTGTCGCCAGTCGGAGACAGCTCAGAAGGAAGTAGTAGATGGCGAGGCTCAGACTGAACGCCAGTCCACAGGTCCGCCCACCAACATCGAATGCCAGCGGTATGGTGAAGACGATGGAGAAGAGGAAGAGAGCGCTGGTGAAGAACCGTAAGATCATTGCGAAAGTGTGGCCGGTTGATCAAAGCGATGCCATTGCGCGATGCCAAAGCACCAGATCTTATGTAGTCCAAGAGACCCTTGGGGAACGATGTGTTGGCGCGATGAGTCCGAGTCCGCGGCCCTAGTACGTGCTGGCGGACTTGGGCTTGGCAGGTACAGACCGTTCGATATGGCAATTGACCGCTCCTGCCTGTTGCGGCGCGACTCCACTTCGTTTGCTACGGTCCCAGGGCTAACCAGAGCCTACGGACAGTTGAGACGCAGCGGTGTGTGTCGAAATCGTGGCAGTCTACAGAACGAAGCCAAGGGTAATATGGCCTAGCTTCACGGAAGCTACGGCTGGTGTCGCGTGCAGGTTTTCAGTGGCAGCGTCCCGCACCTGCAGCAAAGGTCTCTCCAGTCACCATCCACGCCCAAGCGTCCAGCCGATATGTAGATGACCGATTCGGTAGTGCTTGGGGTGGGAGGAGCGGTGTTTCTACGCGGTACGCAGACCGATCGTGGTCGATCAGAAAGCAAAGGGCAGTTCATGCCAGCTTTCACGTGCGAATACGGGTCAGAACTCAGTTCCACGTGCGGTTGCTGCCTTAGGCGGAGGTCCTGAAAAGCACCCCGCCGAATCCATTGGCGGGCAATTCGATGTGAGTCAAAACAACACATCTGTATAGGTTCGATCACACGTTCGCTACGCCTCTCTTCCGTAGTCCCACTCAAAATCTAATTAGAAGCATTGGTCCTGGAAATTAGTGCATACCGTCAAGTCGCAGCAACACCGCCATCATGCTGGACGTCAACGACTTCATTAAGGAACGCGGTGGTGACCCAGCAAAAATCAAGGAGTCGCAACGCCGGCGATATGCCCCCGAACAGGTCGTGGACGAGGTGATAGAAATGTTCGAGGATCACCGAAAAACCCAGTATGCTGCGGCAACGGAAATGGGTGCCAAGATCAACAAGGTGCAGAAAGACATTGGTTTAAACAAGAAGAACAAGGGCGATCCGGAGGAGTTCAAGAAGCTTATGGAGGAGAAGGACAGGTTGGCGGAAGAGAAGAAGCAGCTAGAGGAGTCGGCGCAACAGAAACACACTGCGCTGCTCAGAAAGGTGAAGACAATAGGCAATTATGTGCACGAGTCAGTACCCGTCAACGATAACGAGGACCACAATGCAGTAATCAGAAAATGGGAGCCGGAAGGTGTGGCTGTGGAGAAGAAGGACTGTCTATCACACCACGAAGTCTTGACGCGGTTAGACGGTTACGACCCGGAGCGAGGAGTCAAGATTGTAGGCCACAGGGGCTACTGCTTGACCGAGTACGGCTTCTTCCTCAATCGCGCATTACAAAGCTACGGCATGGACTTCCTCTTCGAGCGGAAATATAAACCCAATCAACCGCCTTTCTTCATGCTGCGGGAAGCTATGGCGAAGACGGCGCAACTCGAGCAATTCGACGAGGAGTTGTACAAGGTGACGGAGAAAGAGAACGATCCGGCAAGCGACAAGTACCTCATTGCGACATCAGAGCAGCCCATCTCGGCACTACACGAGGGCGAGTGGCTTAATGCAACAGACCTGCCCATCAAGTACGCCGGCTTCTCGACCTGCTTCCGGAAAGAGGCTGGCTCGCATGGCAAAGATGCGTGGGGTATCTTTCGAGTCCATCAGTTTGAGAAGATAGAGCAGTTTGTATTCTGCAAGCCAGAAGATAGCTGGAATCACTTTGATGAGATGATTGCGACTAGCGAGGCGTTCTACAAGACATTGAACATTCCGTATCGGGTTGTAGCAATAGTTTCGGGTGCACTAAACAATGCGGCGTCGAAAAAGTATGATCTGGAGGCGTGGTTTCCGTTCCAGGGCGAGTACAAGGAATTGGTGTCGTGTTCGAATTGCACGGATTACCAGACGCGCGAGCTTGAGATACGGTGCGTTTGGCGGTCTGCGCGTTCGTTCGATCCCTTACTGATAGTTCCGCAGATTCGGCCAGAAGAAACAAACTGACGCCTCGTTCCAAAAGTCATACGTCCATGCATTGAACTCAACACTCTGCGCTACGGAGCGAGCTCTGTGTTGTGTGCTCGAGAATTACCAGACAGAAGACGGTATTGTTGTGCCGGAAGTGCTCCGAAAGTACATACCAGGCCAGCCAGAGTTCTTACCTTTTACAAAGGAGCTACCGAAGGACAGCACCTCGCTTAAGGCGAAAGGCAAAGCTGATATGCCCAAGGGTGGTGGCACGCCGAAGCTGCCGAAGGAGGGTGAGGTGGTTGAGCGACCGAAGCATAAGAAAGAGGAGCAGCTTTCGTGAGCGCGCTGTGGGAGCTGAGTCAAAAGACGAACGTTGGCATCTGCGATGGCCGAGCTCGCTATCGTCATTCCGCCGAAGGTAGCATTGTGGTGCAGGATATGTGGCCAATGCCAAAGCCACCGGCGCACACGTGACGTTTGCCTTAGGCAGCTCCGCGCATCGCAAACCTCAGTTCGCCACGTCGACGCGCAAACAGAACGTTCGACAAGACCAGGTGGCCTTAATCAGCGCACTTCTATGTAGTCCATTAGCTTCTCTCGTCAGCAGTAGACGAGAGACTCAAACATACTAACGAGAGACTCAAACTCGGCAATCGAGCCAGCCAAAATGCATCTCGTCAGCCTGTCACTGGCACTTCTCTCTTCACTACTCATGCCTACCTCTGCTGCCAGTAATGACAGGGTCTTGCTTTCGAAAGTCAAGAGTCTTACCCTCCGAACTGACGAGTGGACCTCCCATCGCCGCGTCGAAGCTATACCGCAACTAACGTGCGTCGGCGGGGGTGCCTGCAGCCTCTACAATGTGGACGTCATGCGATGCGAGAATTCCGGCTCCGGCTTCGACAACGAGGACATCCAATGGACTTGCAAGGCATCATTACCTCCCGAGTTCAAGCTCGGCAGCACGGACGTGATTTGCGAGGGTTACAATTCGCCAGACGACCCGTACGTGTTGAAGGGAAGCTGTGGGGTGGAGTATAGGCTTGTCCTCACAGACTTGGGAGAGGAAAAGTATGGGAAGGGAAGATCGTCATCGAGGCGTCCTAAGAACGACGAAGACTACGAATTCTTTGGCCGGAAGGGCGCCACGTATGCTAATATGTTCTTCAATGTGCTATTCTGGGGTGTGTTTCTATGTAAGTCTGCGCTACGGGTCTAGGATCGATAATATACGCTAACAGTCACGCAGTGGTGGTCGGCATATTCGTCTATCGCATCTTTATTGAGCCGAATCTTCACCGACGACCCGGTGGCAATGGTCCTCTGGGCTGGCTCGGTGGTGGCGGAGGTGGTGGATGCGGTGGCGGTGGCGGTCCGAGTGATGACAATGATGATCCACCGCCGCCGTACATGCCGAGGGCGCCGAAGTCAGCGTCTTCGTATCGTGCTAATCGTGCGCCAACGACCAATTTCCAGTCATCGACGCAAGGAACAAACAACGCTTGGCGGCCTGGTTTCTGGACTGGTGCTGCAGCCGGTAAGCCTGCTTTTAGATGGCGTTTCTGGAGAACCCTGAAATGCTGACCACGGTGTGCGTATAGGTGCTGCAGGAAGCTATGCAGCAAACTCATGGATGAACAGTCGGAACGCCCAGCGTTCGGCGGCTGATAGGGTGCTCAACAGCTACCCATCAGACGCAGAACCCGGTCCGTCCAGGCGTCCACCCCCGTCTCCAAGCTGGTTTGATTCGACGCCCCGAGGCGGGAGCGGTTCGTACTATGGCGGCGGACCCTCTAACTTTGGGGGCAGCTTTCCGCCGCCGAGCAGCAGTAGGAATGAGTCCACCGGTTTTGGCGGGACGCGACGTAGGTAGGCGGACCTCCGATCTCGCCTCTCAGGTCTTTGTTGGATAAGGCCGATCACGATCAGCCCCTCGAGGGCTGCTTCGATTACGCTGGGGGTTTGCTTCGGCACAGTTGGCCATCATTGACCCTCCGTATTGGTCGCCTTGCGCTCGCTCATCTGTTCGATACCGGTGCGTGTTTCGGTGTGCTCCTGGCTCAGATCTTGCTGTCGGATAAGCAGCCCGGCAACCAGCCCAACGGCCGCAATGCAAGTGTACATTATCCACATGGATTGAAGACTGGTTGCGAACGCCTTCTGGACTGCGAAACGCTGAGCGGCATCCGCCAGAGTACGCACAAGCTCAGTGTTCGCAGCAGCTTGGCCTCCGGTCAGCTTCTGTACTAGAGTTGCGTCCAAGCCTGCCGAGCGAAGAGCGCTGGCTTGCTTGACCATGCCATTCTGGAAGACGACTCCGCCAACAACGATGGATGTCGAAGTTGCAATGTTCCGGAGAAAGCCAAAAGTGGCCGTTGCCATGGATGTGTCCCCTTGAGAGACCGTGTTCTGGATAGAGATGATGGGCGCTTCGAACAACAGTCCGCAGCCACTGCCCTCGACTAACATGAAGCCCACGAGCATTGCTATGGACGTGTTGACGCCAAAGTTGATGTATAAGCCTGTGCCAACGGTCATAATAAGAAGGCCCACCCAAATTAGCTCACGATAACGGCCAGTCCTATGCATGAAAATCCCGCTGAAAATGCCAAACGCTGCCTCAGAGACGGTGATGGGCAGTATCAACAGGCCACTTCTGAGTGGAGACGCCGCTTTTACCGACTGGAAATATAGCGGCATATAGTACTCTGCCGCAATGAAGCACATCCCCTGGGACAAACCAACTATGAAGGCTCCAGCATTAGACCGGTTGTTGAACACGCTTAGAGGCATTAGTGGGAACTTAGCGAGCCGCTTCTCGCTGAAAAGGAAACACCCAACCATTGCCGTACCGAACACGATCAGGCAGATGACCTTCGGGCTACTCCATGGGAAAAAGACACCGCCGAAGTCCAGGCCTAGGAGCAGCATGAGCGTAACGGCAAGCATCGATACCAGTCCGAACCAGTCAATGGCACCAATGCCGTCGGAAAACTTCGTCCGTGGATTATGAACATCTAAGAACAGCAGAAGAAGCAAGAAGGACACGGCCGCAAACGGCAAGTTGACGTAGAAGCACCTAGCAAGCGAAGGTTAGGACCGTTAGCATTATGTTAGACAGAGTGAAAAGGTATTAAGGCCTTCAAATTACGCACCACCGCCAGGACACAAGTTCCGTGAATGCGCCGCCAACCTGCAGATTTTGTAGCATTAGTATCGATCCCTAATTAAGCAATCGTATGCCACTCACCAAAGGCCCTGCGAGCACGATGCTATCGTCAGCAGAGCTTCAAGCGGCAGGTAAGGTGTACGCGCTTCCGCCACGTACCTGCTCCTCCGGCGATAGCCCAAATGACTTCCGTAAGGCCAAGGTAGAGTACCCGACTTCTCATACTGAACATATCGGAGATGGTGATCAAAACCAGTTGCATCAACCCGCCTGCTGCAGTTCCTTGTAATGCTCGACCAGCAATCAGCATGCTGATATTGACGCTCAATGCCGCGAAGATACTGGCTGCAGCAAATACCACAACAGCTGTCAGCACAACAGGTTTACGACCCCAAATGTCGGAACACTTGGCCCAGATAGGGCCAGCTGCCGCGCCAGCAAGAATGTATGCTGCAGCGATCCAGACGTAAGCGCTTCCCGAGTTAAAATGAGCGGAGATGGTTGGGATTGCGGTGGCCATAATCGTAGCGTCAAGGGCGGCAAGGAACAGTGCGAGATACAACCCAATGAGGATCGCCCACAGTCGCAGCTTTGTTCGAGGGTCACGCTCGGCGGCAATGTCTAGGCATTCCATGGGTTCTGCGGATGCGCTTTGATGAACTTCTGTTGGGGAGGGTGAATCCATCGTAGTGGTGTTAACTAAATTGCACAGTTGTAATCAATGTTCGACTGTCGATGCTACAAGCTGAAAATAAAGAAACTGCATAGAGGAGGAGAGCATGAGAAGGTGTAGATGTATCCATCCTGTCTTGCTGGACTCCGAACTCCGCCAGGCAGCAACATCGGGCAGCGCCGAAGAGCGTGCGGCTTCACAAGGCGCTTCTCGAGATAGCGATGCTTGCCTGCCCTTCAGTCGCAACAGGCCCATCTACTGCACACCGGTGTATGAAGCTATAGCATGTTATCGCCGTCGGGGGTGCCTAGGAATAGGTGCTCAGCTGCGATGGGCCGAACACGTGGTCCGCAACTTCTCAGCCCCCACGGCCACCTAGCGAAGCATGCAGGTTATTGCAAATCACCTTGCACCGACAATCCACCGATCGGCACTCTCACATCTTCTCGTGTGCATACTCTGCATGGTGTGAGATGGGGCCAAGACTGGGCAGACAGCAGCCAAGGGCGGGTCAAGCCAGCCGTGTCACTCCTTCAGCTATATAACAGCACCGATAGTATTCTATCTCGTCCTGTAGGCTTTCCTTGAGTGACCCCGACCTATAGAGCAGTATCTACCTGAGCACCCAGCACTGACAGACCAATGGACGAAGCTTACGAGTTCTTGTCGAAGGCTGGTGTTGCTGCCACAAGCGCATCGAAAAGCATCAAATGGGAACAGCTGAAGGGAAGAATTGATTGGCATCTTGTACCTTTAATGCTCTGCGTGTACACTCTCACGTACGCTTGCATCTATTATACCCTTGCGTCTCACTCTGGGCTAATAATGGCATTCGGCCTCCAGCTTCCTCGACAAAGTCATATACAATGTCAGGCGAATGGTTGTAGTTTGACCAATTTTACGCGGCTGATGATGCTCACAGTATGCCGCTGTCATGGGTTTGGCGGCTGACACGCATTTGACTGGCAACGACTTCTCGAATGGCACCACCTATATGTTCCTTGCTCAGCTGATTGCGCAAGCACCTAATGGTAGGCCCTTGTTCGTGTCGAACATGGTCATTCTCCACTGATTCCGACGCAGGTTTCATTCTCAACAAGTTCCCTGCTGGAAAATGGCTGGGCTTCAATGTGGCCGGATGGGGCGTTGCTGTAGCCTGCATGGCGTCCGCGCACAGCTACAGCGGAGTTGTGACTTCTCGGGTATTCCTAGGTATTTTTGAGGCAGCTGTCGCCCCATCCCTCGTAATAATCATCAGTCAATGGTACACGAAGCCCGAGCAGACGTCACGGAATGCAGTGTGGTACCTTGGCCTGGGATGCGGACAGATTATTGGTGGGCTCTTGTCTTACGCTTTCCAGCATGTACACCACGGTGAGTGCAACAACGGGCCGATGACGAGGCCGAAACGGGTCTCTGACCTAGTGTTGCCAATACAGCTGCCATCGATGGTTGGCGCATCATGTTCGTCATGATCGGTTGTATCAGCGTGGTAACTGGCGTCACGGTAGCTGCTTTCATCCCTGGTACGTGACGTTACGGCTAAGGTCTGAGCCTGTGGCCTACGTGTTGCTGGCGAATCGTACTGATCTTGGGCTAGACAGTCCTATGACAGCTCGATTCCTGTCCACGGAAGAGAAGGCTGCAGTATTGCAGCATGTCGCGGTCAACAAGACGGGCGTCGTGAATCGCAAGTTCAGTCTCCATCAGATCGGAGAGCTGCTGCTAGACCCGCAGCTCTGGCTCCTCGCTCTCATCACAATCTGCGTAAACTCACATATGACGATGCTTCGCAGCGACATGCGCTGATGCTACCATAGCTTTGCGAAACTAGCGGCGTGATCTCCACCTACAGTGCGACATTGCTCAGAAACGAGCATTTTTCGACGCAGCTATCCGCCCTACTGAACGTTCCAAGTGGTGCAGTCTCGATTCTTGCCGCGCTGCTCGGTGGCTTCGCCGTTCAGTACAGCTCCCATCGTTGGCTATGGATTGTCCTTTTAACCTGTCCGGCAATTATCGGAGCTGCTGTGATGTCCTTTGTGCATAGCAAAGCTGGTATACTTTCTGGGTAGGCAAAGGCACTCTCTCGGCACTGTCTGATTGGTGACTGACCCGACCTCAGCATTTATCTCGTTAATACTGATACTGCCACCCTTCCACTAATATACGCGTGGGCTGCGGCAAATGTTGCTGGCGCGACGAAGCGGCCAGTCACCCTGTCCTTCCTTTCTGGTTGCTTCGCTGTTGCGAACATGATCGGGTAAGTCTTCATGCTCTTGACCTTTCAGGCGCAAGCTCACATCTTGTCCTCAGACCGCAGACTTTCCGCGCAAAGGACGCTCCTCACTATCGACCAGCAAAGATCACCGTCCTTGCGACCTTAGCTGGGGGCGCCTTGTTAGCTTGTTGCCTTTTCGTGTACTATTACCTTGTGAATGGCATGCGAGAAAAGAAGCACCCCGTTGATCGATCCGAAACGGAATTATCGGAGAAGGACAAGTGGACCGGGGCTACAGACAAAAGTGATCTGTCCTTCAGATACGTCTACTAAAGCAAGTGTTTGGATGGCGACCAGTTGGAGCCTGCTAAATGAAGACTGTTACCAGTCTGTAGCCGAGGCCATCATTATGCTAGAGACTAGCTTGTGAGCGGGTCGCAGGTCGCTGCCCTTCGCCGGCTATGGCGGGTACAATGATATAGAACACGTACAGTCATGCATCGGTCGCAAAGCCCATAACACCTCGCTAATAGATCATATCAGCAGTCGCAAGGCACAAGGTAGCGGCATGCTGGAGAAGGAAACGACTCAACCAAGTCTCTGCCTTTTGCCGCCACCGCCAAAGCGCCGTTCGTCGGCTAACCTCTTCCGCTCGAGTTCTTCTCGCATTATCCGCTCAGCATTGCTCATCTTCTTCTCCGCAGGCGCAACAATAGCATCCTTCTTCCCAAGGAGAGGATTCCTCTTCATAAGCGGATTGCTTTGCTTTGCTTTTCCGGATAGCGATAATGACATCTTTGGCGCCGCTTGTGGTGGTTGCTCTTCCTCGGCCGGCACTTCGTCTTCGTTATGTGCATCATCTGCCACCGTTCCACGTTCCGCTGCTGCAGGTTCCGGTGGGTTTTCCACAGCGGAGAACACGTCAATCGCTACTGGCGCATCCGGTGCTCGCGGTTTGGCTGGGTTATCCGTCCTAGGCGCGACTTTACCACCTAAGCTTAGTGACACCTTGACAGGCTCCGCTTGAGTAACTTCTAATGGCTCTGCCGGCCTCTCGTTTTCGCTTCTCCCTGTCCTCGCCGCCGCTTCTTTCGCCTTCTTGATCTGTTGCTCAAGCAACCTTGACTCCATGCTCTCGTCTCCCTTTGCCAACTTCTCCTTTCTCTTGATGTCCTCTCTTCTCTGCACAGCCTCCGGTGAGTCATCCACCCATTGCACTTCAAGCCCTCTATCACCCTCTTCGACCCTACATATACCCTCCCGCCCCAGGTACTTCGCAAACTCCGTCAAGCTCGGCCATTTGGTAGCGTTCATATGGACATGCTCCTTGTCACGAATATACTCTTGATAGAAGCCATTCAAGCTGACCTTCTTCTCACCGTGACTGGTCTTCAGTAATTGCAAGAAGTCGCGCTTGAACTGGTTGGAGTAGTCATTGATGAACTTCTTCGGGTCTTCACCAACCAGTAGCATGGCGCGCACATGGCCTTCTGACATTGTATGCTGTTTGAAGCCATTCTCATCACGGCACTGCTTTGCGCAGATCTGGCAATACCAGCGAAGGCGCTGGAGGCCCTTGGCCTTCATCTTGTTCGCCAAGTGTTTCGTCGAACCTACCTCTGCTTTCGGCATCTTGGCGACGTTCCAGCGGTCACTATGGGAGAAGACGGGTGATGTGCTAAGGTATCGCGCTCACTGAGGCGGGCGCGAGCGTGTATATGTCTTGTCATGTAAGTTGTAATGGCTGAAGTTGAGGGTCAAGACCTCGAATGCTGAGTCATTATTTGGTTGATGGAGTAACACGGTATACACAGACTGCTATGGTCAAGCACAAATATTGACTGGCTATGTCACACGGCATACGATGGGAATCAACAGACGATGCTTAGAGCCGAGATACGGCTGAAATGGAGAATGTAAAGGAAATGAGCCGAATAGCCGCAAATAACGTGCAATACGAACAATAACAGCAACGGTATGCCCTCCTGAACGCCTTCGCTTGACAGCAGATCATTGGTACAACAGTTCAGGGCATCATTCACGGTGTATTCGGAGTATCGATGCCCTTCAGCAACGACAGATCAAACCCATGCCTTTGGTTCATGTGTATAAGAATACCGTGTCGCACACGATTGAGCTCGCACTCCATTTGCTGAATTCTGGCTTCTTGCTTTGTGTTGGTGTTCTTTAGACTATTGACTTCGGCTTCCAAGTCTGTGACGAGTCGCTTTTGCCGTGCCCTGTAGGCTCGTTGTCTGCGTGAACATTAGCTGTTGTACGAGCTGAGGTCCGGTTACGTGCTGGAAAACGGACGCTCGCTGGTTTTGCTCCTGTCGCCGCGTGCGCTTGTTGCTCGATATGATGAACGGGTAGAACTCCTGGGGTTGGTCGAATGGAGATTCGGGTAAGGAGGCTATGCTTGGAGTGGTGTGCGGAGACGGCGTCTCTGCTGTGTTGCTGGCGGAGGACGTTGCTCCCGGTGCACCGAGATCGTACACCAGAGGATGGCTCCAAGCCTCTATAAGTAGATCGTCGAATGTCGCTGGACGACCCTCAAGGGCCGGTTTGGAGTTGTTATTCGCAGTCTCCGGTAGCTGACCACTCCACTGTCCTTCAGTCCTCGTTCGTCCTCCCACAGGTCCAGCCACATCTTGCAGCCCTACAAGGGAGTCGCATTGTAAGATATCATCGCCTATCAATTGCAGGTCAAGGTCAAACCAAGCGTCGGTGACAACGGGAGTCAGCGTTTCCGTAAAGGCAGTCATCTGGTCTTTCGCCGCGGTTCTCAACATTATAGCATCTGTGAAGCAGAATCGTCCGACGAGGGTACATGGGTGGCGTGCGTATGTCTACCCTAGCTCACTCGCGGACTCCACGGATGAATGTCCTCGGTACCGAGCTTTGGGTAGCGCGAGTGGAAGGATGAAACCAACACCGGCCAGTCTGTTGATTGGCATCTTGGCCCTGCACGCCTCGAGACACCAGTGACGCAGATCGCGAGCTGCCTTGAGTCAGCTGCTGAGTGATGCAGCTGGCCTTGAGAACGTTGTTAGTCAATGCCAACGCGCAGAGAGTTCCAGCAAGGAAGGCAGTTAGAAGCCGGAGATGCGGATCATCTGTTATGCTCGGAAGGTATAAGAGCTTCGTCGAAAGCGCTTGGGCGTCTACCTGCGCTACTGCGACCTGGCGAGGCCACACTGTTACATCGTTCACAGTGGTTGTCCAGGTAGGTCTTGATTGCGATCCAGCAAGGTTGAACTTGAGCAGTGGCGTCAAGCAACAATGAGACCGGGACCGGTGTCCTATTGATTTCCAATGCGGCCAATGGAAAAACCGTGGCTTCTGAAATGCTCTTGCTTACACAAGACTGCATTCCTTGAACTAAGTCAAGCTATTGTAGGTAGCGCTGCAGGATCTACGTTCGCCTCCGCATTCGGAGGTCTCAATGTTGCGTCCCACAAGCCACTTGCCTGGACTAAAAGGCGGAGTCGGCGCGGAGAGTGGTAGACGGCCGTTGACGCGCTGTCAATCGGATAAATTCGCGATGCTGTAACAGCACCAAAGACGATAATGCCTAAGCTAAACGGGTGTGGGTATCTCTGTTTGTCCACTCCACGCCTCTAGGACAGTGCAAGACAGCAACCACGATGGACGTCAATGCCCGAACCACGTTCCGCACAAGTCCAATATTGGACTCGGTACCTTTAAGATGGGCAGTCCAGTAAGCTGGACCCATCTCACCATCAAACTCACAGCTCATCCCTACGCGCTGCATGCTCCCTACCACGTCCGTGAGACTCACCGTCCGCGTCCTCATCTTCCTCTTCTTCATCACCATCCCTCTCTTCCACTTCTCGCCATTCACTGCTGCGCCGACTTAGCGCACCACTAGTGCCCAGATGTCGACTGCCCGCGCCAGATAAAGGGCTACCGATACTGCCAGGGATACTATCATTCCTAGCATGACCGAGAGCACCGCTCCGCACACTACCCTCGTAGTTCCTAAGACTGCCGACGTCGCCCAGCTGGCTACGAGCATCATGCATGCTTCGAGCGTCGGCGTTGATCGATCTTGCGTCGTACTGTGAGCGCGCGTCCATGGTGATGCTGCGTAGACTCTTGGCATCCGCTGGGTCTTTTGCAGAGCGATAGTAGCTATTCCGCTCGCTGGCCAAAGCGGGTGCAGACACGCCTTGAGTGCTGTACACGCTCGCCCTCTCCGCAGATGCCAGACCACCGATAGACGGCCGGCTTTGGGCAGAAGAGTAGAAACCTCCCGTAGCACCCTCCATGTTGCCTGATAATACGCTTATGGGCAGGGACTCGCGACTACCACCCCAGACTGACCCGGGCGGGATCGCGCGTATGGACGCATCTGTGTCCATGCTTCGCCTCCTTCTTCGCTTAGAGGAGGATGCTAGAGTAAGAATGCTCGCGTCATCGGTCCAGAGGTTGTTGGCTGTTGCGGAGGAGTACGTGTTAGGCATAGCCTCGGACATGTGCCGTGGAATCGCCGAAGCAGTCATTGTCGTCGACGGCGCTGGTGATACCGGATATTGATGACTGAACATGACTGGGTTCGGATTGTTAAGGCTACCGTGGTGGTAGGTTGAGTGGTGGCCGGATGCGCTGTTCTGCAAGGCGTTGCCCGCGGATTGAGATTGTATCGTAGTGAGAGTTGTTGTCAAAGATCGCTCGCTTTGGTTCGGTGAGCTGAAATTGCTGTGAGCACCAGCACCGTCGACACTACTGAGGGCACCGCCGCGTGTTGTGCTAGTCGCTGCCTTGCTATGACCCGCATCGCTATGCACTGTGTCTGGGTTAGTAGCTAGAGTCGGAGCGGCACTCCGTTTACCGTTGCTCGGCTCCTCTTTCTCATCCGAGCTGTTCGGCGGTAATGAATTGTAGCTTCTGTCGTCATCTTGACCCTGCGAAGTAGGAGCGTAGAAGGAAAGTTGACCGTTGACGCTGCTTACTGGTGAATGTGGTCGCTGTGCGACATTCCTAGACTGTGGGTAGGGGTTGTTCTTGAAGGTGCCGGTGTGGGTCTGACTCTTTTTGTGCTTCGAGGCGCCTTTCTTCTTAGCGGTTCCGGGTTCGTCGCCGCTCTTGAAGTTGGCGATCTTCTTTACCCAGCTTGCGAACGGTTTCCGTTTCGGCTGACGGTCGGCAGCTGGACGGTGATCGTTAACAAAATACATCAGACCACACAACCCATCACTAGAGCTGTCTATGCTGCTAAGGCCAATTTGGCGAGGTATTGCACGAACCTTGGGACCGCAGCGCTACCTCAGTGGATGCCATGCTAGTTTGTCAGACCGTTACACAGGCTCAGATGCTTGCTGTTCGGACAAAGCGCAGGACGATCGAAGACGCAGTGATGCTGTCCTGGCCCAGCTAACGTGTTACGCGATCGCGAGCAGCGTAAGTGTTGCCTTCGATGCTAGTCGATTTGAGACCCGGGTGTTATACCGAGCTCCTTCAGCTAGCGATAAAAGGCTGTCGTGCTTGTAAGAAGGGAACTTATGCTGTTGCGGTTCGGGAGCAAGCCGCTCGCATCAGTAGTAAGTGCTCCCAGCCCGAAAAGCGCGAACGAATGATGCGTTGTCTGACGGTGTTGTTGACAGCCAAACTTCTGTGCATGGTCGAAGGGGGCCTCGGCTTACCCTTGGCGTCCAGCGGCGCTCGGGCCGTCGAACTGCCGCTCGGCTTCGGCAGGGCGGTTCCGTGCGGATAAAGCCATGCTGCATCTGTTGCTTCTAGCCCTCCGTATATGATCTTAATAACGAGAAACCACCAGCGTAGGCGCATGGCGTATTCACAACAACAGCGCCTGGAGTGATGACAGTGGCTGCGTCCTGAAGAATGGCGAGCCCTTAGACCGTCAGAGGAGTTTCGGAACGGACAGACCTCTGCGAGAGTCATGCAGAGCCCGGGATATTGCCACAATAGGACGTGGATGCCGCCTTGAGCGCCTTCGACAATAGCACACAAGCTTAAGGCTTATCTTCGACCATCTCCACTGCCCTTACTATGTCTCGCATACTGCCATTGACGCGAGATGCAATCGCCCAAGTGCACTCTTCGAAGCACCTCACTAACCTACAGGACGTAATTTTCGGCCTTCTGGAGAACAGTCTGGATGCACGAGCTAGCAAGGTCGAAATCAGTGTCGATTTCCACCGCGGTGATTGCACAGTCGAAGATAATGGAGTCGGCATTCCACCAGTCGAATTCGGCGAGGATGGCGCGCTTGGGAAGATGTACCATACTTTTAAGTGTGCCGTACCAGTACACGACGAACTCCACGGCACGAACGGTGTCTTCCTGGCTTCGTTAGCGGCGCTCTCGTTGTTGTCTATCACCTCAAGGCACAAGGCAACCAATGAGCATGTGGCGCTAACTATGTATCGTGGCAAGACCGTCGGTCGCCGGATCCCTGCGCCTCTTAGTCATGGTGTATCTGCATCCCAGGGAACGCGTGTTGATGTTCGAGACCTTTTCGGAAACATGCCTGTCCGTGTGAAACAGCGTGCCTTGTCCACAGCCGATAATGCCGACGACGAGCGGGCGTGGAATGCCCTGAAACAAGGACTGGCCGCTTTGCTGCTAGCATTGTCACGACCTTGTTGGGTCAAGATACAAGACTCTCAGCATGCGTCCAGAACCGTGACGCTGGCTGGCAGTCATCCTGCGGCGTCCACTGCGCTGACAGAAAGGAGTCTGAACAGGATGAGTAGCAGACCTTCAAAGTCTGACGTACGAGACCTTCTGCCAATTCTGCTGCAAGCGGGTCTGGCGCCGGTGGAAACTCGTTGGAAATGGGTCGCAATATCAGCGTTAGCGGAGGGCGTATCTGTGAAGGGCGTCATCAACCTAGATCCTGTGCCCACAAAGCAGTGTCAGTTCATCAGCGTTGGTGTCAATCCCTGCTCAAGTGAGAGTGGTCATAATGAGCTCTACGATGCTGTTAATAAAGCGTTTGCCAGTAGCAGCTTCGGGACGCTAGACGACAACCAGGAACCAGATGAGGCAGAAAAGGAACGGCGTAAGCGCGACCGCCGCTATAAGTCCGATGGCTACACACAGAAACAGCTCCGTACCAAGAAGGGCGTTGATCGCTGGCCGATGTTCATATTGCAAATCAAGCTGCGAAGTAACGAGCGTACCCACAGCATTCGAAAGCAAGAGACTGCCGGCCAGCTGGCGTCAATGATTGCTTTAGTGGAGGCGACAGTCAACCAATGGCTCTCCACGCATAATCTGAAGCCCGCAGAGCCCCGAAAGCGAAAGAATGAAAGCCAAGACAAGCCTGCTGCGACTTCAAGTCTGCGGGCGCTTCCATCGTCCAGTTACAAGGAGACTAGGCGAATCGTTGGGGAGAACTTGACAATGCCAGTGCTACAGCGTACTGGCACTGCCAGCAGCGTGACTTCTTTGAAGAGACCCAAGACGCTCAATGCTCTAGAGGAGCTGGTTTTGCGCAGACGCAATGTCCTTGCATGTGGTCCGAGCAACCACTTCAACAGCCTGAGTCGCATTAAGAGCGGAGAGCGTGCCTTCTACACTCGGCTTTGGGAATCAAGGAAGCCTGGCACGGCGCCTGCTGCACCAATACGACAAAAGGATCTGCCAAGTTATAGTACGGCCACTTTACAGTTGCACCCCTTCACCGTCCCAGTGGTGGAAGCTGGGCTGCTGGGCGTGCTACCAGTTCGGAAGCGTCTAGGCATGCCCGAAGCCGATCTAGAGCAACTCAAGCCATCCCCTTCCGGCGATATTCTGTCAAGCGACAACTTCGGTAGTGTTGATGACGCAACCTTGTTGGCTGCGGAGGGTGCTGTAGCAGTGCCGAGCCGCGAAGAGATTGGAATGGCGAACCGTTTGCAAGTTCAGCCCGAGTCGCTAGCTGAGGTTCAGCAAGCAGCGGATCCATCTGTGGAGTGGATTGACCCAGTAACAAAGCAGCATTTCATGGTGAATACACGCACGGGGGCTGTGCTACCGGTAAGCGTCAATCTAGGAGAAGATATGACTGTTAACGATCATGGCGACGATACGCCGCAAAGTAGGCATAGAGCGGCCATTGACACATCACTCTCCGGAGCCGGTCGGCCACTCAGCCTCGCTCGTCGAGGCGGAGATTCTGCGTCTGAAACTGGGGCAAACTGGCTACCAAGCTTTCTAAAGGTCTGGGACAACCCAGTGTTCTGCCATCCGTACGAGGAAGCCATTCCAACAGCAGCCTTCAATGGGCCTGGTGCCGAAGCTGTTGATGCGAACAATCAGCGGTGTGTGGATCAATGCCATACGCAATATTTCTCGGAGGCGGGTACTCGCAGGACGAAGCACTTGTCGAAAGCTGCGCTACAGCAAGCTCGCGTAATACGGCAAGTTGATGACAAGTTCATACTCTGTTGCATGCCCGCTACAGAGAGCGGTGGGGACCGGCAGACGGTCATACTGGTCGACCAACACGCGGCTTCCGAACGAGTCATGCTTGAAGGCTTGCTGAAAGAACTCTGCACGCCAATCGACCCGAGTACTCCCGCTGCTGGCTGCACCACTAGCTTGGGCTGCCGCGCAGGCGTTTTGAGTGTGCTGCTCGATAAACCGCAGCACTTCCAGCTGTCGGAAAGGGAGGCTGAGCTGTTCACCAAATATGCTCAGCACTTTGCGGCATGGGGCATACTGTACGATCTCTCTGCCTACACTCGGACTGCTACCGCTTCCCAGGTCAGGGAGTCGGCCCCCGAGCATAGGCTCAGTGTTCGAGCCTTGCCACCGGGCATCTCCGAGCGTTGTACGCTCTTCCCAAACCTGCTGATAGAGCTGCTTCGGTCGGAAGTGTGGCACTTAGCACAGTCCTCCGCCCGACCGCGCAGGACTGCATCTCTGCTCACAGGAGACGGGCCTGACCGCCACAAGAAGGACCCTCACACTTGGCTACAACGCATCGGCTCCTGCCCCAAAGGTATGATTGACATGCTGAACTCGCGAGCGTGCCGGTCAGCAATTATGTTCAATGATGTGCTTCCCGTGCCCCGATGCGAGGCGCTTCTTGCGGACCTGAGCGCTTGTGCATTCCCGTTTATGTGTGCTCATGGACGGGTGAGCATGGTTCCCGTAGTAGAGCTTGGCGGAGAAGGCGACGGTCTTGGAGCCCTTGGCAGTGTTGCAGGGTTCACACGCAGAGGAGAGATCGAGTCGGTGACTTTCAGCAGTGCATTCAGCCGTTGGAAGTTCGCAGATAGGGCCATAAATCCTCGAGGCTCTGGTTGAGCCGTCAGACTCGCCCCTGTTCGCCTTTCCCCTGTGCTTAGATGCTCCTCTCATCATGCCGTGCGAGCTAGTCTGTCCTCGCACCTCGAAATCCACCTTGCCACACTCTCTGCCGTCTTCGTATCGATCTCACATCGTTGCTTCACACGCGTGCAAAGCTCAAGCACGCCGGTGTACTCCCGATCATAGTACATCTCGCCTACTGCGTAGCCTAGCAACTGGAGATCCTTCTTGCTCAGTCTTGTGCGCTGAGCAGTATCGTGACCAACGCCATCTCCATTGGTCATGCTAGAAGCTGCCAGAGTGGGCACGGCAAGAATCAGCTTCTGGTAGTTGTTGCCGTGATCGACCTTTGCATGATAGCTGGCTTTCTGGGCCTGAAAGTCCGCCTCGCTTTGGTATGTCCGAGGCACGCTTTGTACATCGCCCGCAGCTGTTTCTGCGTAGTTGTCGGCATCTATCTCGATACTGAGGAGCCCGTCTGCTGTCTCCGCCATGGCTACAGGTTCAATTGCAGACTCTGGATTGCACGGGGAGCGGGAACCGTGTCGTGTTTTACCAGAAGTAGATACTCATTTATCACGCCGCGGAACTCAATTCACTCGGATCTGAAAGACTACGTTGACCTTCTGTGGATATGCTGCAATTGGACTATCGATACACTACAACAACTCCGTTCGCGTCCCGCTGTGCCGCAAGTCCATCCCGTAGCTAGGCAGACTGCAAAGAGCCGCGTTCAGTACTCACTTTCCTACTGGCTTCGCAGTTCGACTTCTTTGCGTCGCAACTGTCGCTGCTGCCATCATCGACTGCCCCAAGCACAGACTTAAACGACGTTGAGCGCGTTCACACGGGTGCCCCACCATGTAAGGAACATGGACAGGCCGACAGTCTCGAAGACACGTGCGAGCGCGCCGACGGCGACGGTGTCAAGTGGGCGCTTCTCGGTGAAGATCTGGGCGATGAACTATATCTGAAGTTAGGATACCGCCGCAATATTGCCGAGGTAGAGTTGGGGGGCACGGGTACTTACGGAAGGAGCGGAGCTGGCAAGGAAGATCAAACCACCCATGTAGGCAGCGCCCTTGTAGCTCATCGTGCCGGTTGCATTGAGCAGCGCACCGACGCCATAGGACTGGATGCTGGAACCGACGAGCGAGGTACCCCAAGCGGCGGCTGCGGAAGCGGCCTCCTTGGACTTGAAGAACTCCTCCTTGGTGTTGGCGGACTGAGCCTGGCGGTAAGTCTCACCGAAGACCGGGCCGAGGATGGCGAGGGAGGCGACGTGGTTGAAGACGGTGCCGAGGGCGACGGCGGACGGCTTGACCGGGGGAAGGTAGTGGAGGGTGGCCTATCAAGGGGAGCAGAGGTCAGGTGATGTCCGAAATGTGGCAGTCATGGACTGTGGCTATGTATATTCATGCTTACCATTCTGATAATGTGTTGTGGTTGTTGTGGTGGAGAGTTTGATGTGTTGGAGTTGTTAGGTGTTGGTTTTGGTAACTGTTTACTCCAGAGAGAAACAGAAAGGATGGTTGGCTTTGAAGCGCAAGGAAGCCACGCTTCTGACGTACGCTGGCGTCATTTGGGGAGCTTGGGCCACTTAAAGCCACTTTCTTGTCACGAGACAAAACTTGAAGCCACATTTCGGGTTCGAGCGACCATCTTCGCCGATTCCCGGAGACGTGTCGATACGCATAGTGCGCAATCTACCTAACGAGGTGCCCGCCATACATCCACTCACAGCACGACTTCGAGCGCTGTTGCGGAATGTCTCGACGTCTACGGTATTGTACCACCCCCTCGCGGTCCAGAAGCAGCGGCACGTAGCTCCCGAAGTCTAAAGTATGAACACCTGACTACTCTGTGTTCTCTCATCAATGCCCGATTGGATGGTCTTTCGATTGGAACGTTGACGACAATGGTACGCCTTCCAGCATGGCCAACGACCAGGCTCTGTTCCGCAGGCGCAAGCATTAAGCGCCCGGCACACATGAACCCTATGCATCTGATTCACGAGCGACGCCTTGCTTCTCGGGCTTCCAGCTCTCGTCCTCTCGACTGGCCACCATCTCATGCACTTCCACCTTCCCATCAATGATCTCCTTACCGTTCAGCAAGTCGTTCTCGTCTGCTCTCCTACCCGCTTCTTCCTCATTTGCCGCAATCCCGCTGGCGACGTGCCGCTTCACCAACCTCTGCCGAGCGATGTCCATGTCAACGTCAACAAACCACAGCTCGTCCATCAACTCTGCAGCTTCTCTCCACTCTGGCGCACCTGTGCCTAATGAAAGGTAGTTTCCCTCAAGGATCAAGATTCGCGCTGTGGAAGCAATGGGAATATCGTCCGCAACTGGATCCTTGACTGCATGGTCGAAGCTGGGTGCGTAGATCGTCCGTGTCTCTGCGCAGATTGGCTGACGGAGCTTCTTGACGAGCTCCAAGAATGCCGGGGCGTCGAATGTGTATGCCGCTCCCCGTCGTGCATGCGCTGTCGTCGGGTCGGGCATCGCTGACAGCTGCGCGCGGGTGAGATGGTAGCCGTCCATGGGTAGAAACGTAGCAATGGAAAGCTGTGACTGCAACGCAGGCTGCTCTTTGTGCCAACGCTCATTGAGCCTTTGGGCCACTGTCGCTGCAAGGGTCGTCTTGCCTATACCCATGGTCAGCATATGTGCACCCGACGTGGACTTTGCTGCTTCTCTTACCTGACCCAGGTATGCCACTGATTGCTACCATGACCCGCTTGCTCTTTGGGGTTTCTTGAAATTTGGTCCATAACTTGTTCACGAGCCTCTCCACTTGCTCGTCCATCTTCGCCGTTTCGTACTTCGAGCGGTCTGTATAACTGATCGCATCTGCTCCATGGTTGTTGTGGATAGTCCTCGCTAGGCTGAGCGTGCAGCGATAAGAGGGCAGATCCCCGCCCTTCTTTGGCTTTTAGCTAAGGCGCCGGAGCTGGGTTGGCGGGGACCCACATGGTTGTACCCGTTGTTTCGGACGAAGCCAGCAACACCATCTCAACGCTACGCCATCAATAACTGCGGCTCGGCATTAGTTCGTCGTAGCATCCCGAGCTCCACATATTGCACAAGCTCTCTTGCAGTATCATGCAACAGCCATGGCTTTCGTCGCCGAGGCTCAGATCTCTAACCAACCGGACAACTACGAGTCGACTACCCTGTCGTACTGCCTGCTCATTCCAAGCACGGCCTTAACAAGCCTGGTCAACGCAACCAAGCAATTGCTTGCTCGGGTGCTCCAAAGTAGATAATGCAGCATACGGTGTTTCACGGGCCCGCAGAGTGACCGTCCAGCGTTCCCACTGTCTAGCTCGCAATATAATCTCGTCTGCTCCAATATCATGGTTCAAAGCGTCCGGTACAACTCAAAGTACTTACTACTGCACGACAGTTGGCCTTAACTTCGTCAAAAAAGACGCCTCTGACAAGCCATCTCGAAGGGGCTATCATCCGTCCCTCGAAGCTTATACAGCTGTGTAAGGAAGACTCGTCCTAGCAGTTATTCTCCTCTAAAACACTCCTTGAAGCGCACTGTGATGTGAACGTTAGAGGCCCCAAAGCAAGCTTTCTGTTCCCGCCCGAGTGCAGCTCGCAAATAAGACTACGCTCACAGCAAGTCTTCAATGCCCTTATCCATGTCGTCTACAAGCAATTGCAGCATCCCCTGAGCCAGTCAGTTAGCGGCAGTAACTCCCGTTCCACTGTTAAGAAAGAACACTCACCTCGGGCATGATCGGCTTCCCATCTGCACCCTTGACGTACTTGAAGGGCATGCTCACGCTCTCACTCGGCACTTTGCTTCCATCAGCGTTGGTGGCGGCAGGCAGTTCGATGTCGGGTCGATCGATGAATGAAATCTCCTCCAACCGCTCTGGGATCGCGATCAGCATCGGTTGACCGTGTCAGAGAAATTTGTACGCTTACTCCGTTCTTGCACAACAATCCTCGTGACTCTCGCAGCGGTATCCGTAGTCATCTGTTCGGGCCCTAACCGACGGCCTGGAAAGCCTTTGCTTCGGAGCTCGCTGGTGCGATCTTCATACTGTTACTGGCTACTCAAATATGCTCACAGTCACTACGAGAATCGCTGTACCTCTGGGTGGATCATCGCCAAGAATGCCACCGAACAGAAAAGCGTCGAAAAGGTCACCATCCTCGGGACTGATGTCTTTCTCCGCCTTTGGGTCGAGCAGACAGACCTTCGCTCGAGCTTCACTCGTGGCGTAGATGCTCTCTACACTCTGTTGTTGCAAAGATTCTGACGGTAAGTCAAGGTGCTGCCGGACGGCGTCGGCATCAGCGAGGCCAGATAAGATAAACTTGCAGTTGGTGGCGTGGCATTCTCGGTAAATGCATTTGTACTCCAGCGCCTGCCATGCTTCGAGCTCGGGGTCCAGGTGCTCGATTATGAAGGTGTGATGCTTTGTCGGAGGTTTAGTAGCCATGGTGCCATTACTTTACTATCCAGCCCTATGCGCCAAAACTTTTAGCCTCCACTGAGCTAGGTTTCGCGCCAGTGGTGAGACTGCGGGGTTGATCGACGAGCCATTGCTTCAGATCTACAGTGAAGAAGCAATGATCAATGGCCGAGCTTGTGTTGTTAACGAGCATTGCCATTGTCCAATGGTAAAAAAAAGCTTGACCATAGCTACGTCCGTCATTGATGTGGACATCTACGCCGTGTGCAACGTCGAGACGAACCCAACCAGTGCCGGCAGACAATGTGGAAGGCACGACACGGGCCGAAGCCCGAGACAACCTTGTTCGAACTGCAGCTTCCTGGTCCCGCAATGCAGGCGAATAATGTTGCTTCACTACCTTATTCACTCCTGATCGTCACAGTCACGAGCTCTCCGCATTGACCATTTGGCTTCTGTACAACACGCGATCAACCGCCTCCTCGAGCTTGATACTCCGTACAATCTTGCCTGTTCCACCCACGCGACCCTGCACATTGAACATTGGGCCACGACAACGAGTAGCAGCAATTGCATCGTACGCGAGAAGATAAGCAAGGTCAATCATCGGGAGCCTCTCAAAGAACACTTCAAGATCACCGGCGACATTCGGGGCGCACAGAGAACGAGGTGCTGTGTCAGACTCGATTGCTAGCTTCGCTGCCACGGCAGGCCAGACTGGCCGGCAACAGCCACGATCCGTACCTGACCTCACCTCGCGAAGCAAACAACGTAACGGCAAGATGGCGTTGAACCCGCATCAGAAGAACAAGGTCGACATAAGCGTACGTCAGCGCTACGGCCATTGTCCGTCCCTTAATGAACTAACCCGCTTTGCGCAGAAACTCAGCGATGAAGAAGCCAAGCTCTTCCGCTTGTACGGCAAGCTTCCTAATAAGAAGGACCTGTTGCAGAACAAGCTCAAAGAGCGGAAGTACTTTGACAGCGGCGACTATGCCATGAGCAAAGCCGGCAAGGCCGATGCTGGTCTGGTGGGTGGTTTGGGTCGCGAGCATCCTTCGTAGGCCTCCCTTCTCGTTCTGTACAACCCCACATAGCGTACTGACATGGTGTGTATGTGTACAGACCAGAAACCATCCCACACCTCGCCTCTCAGCAATCGCAGAACTCCAATTCGGGTGCTTCAGCCAACAATGGACCCACATTGCATCCTACCCAAAGCCAGGGTCAATCTGGAAGCCCGGTAAAGGAGCCTTCGGTACTGCAGAGAGGAATGAGTGTTGATGAGCAGGACAACGCGGAAGACATTGCGGCGCAAGTAGGGAAGGCTGTCGAGGACAAGACGCTGCCCATGCGACAATGAGTGCGCGCATCTCACCCCTATAACCTACTGACCTCAAGAGTGGGTGCAAAGGCCATTGTACGCTTTCTGTAACGGCTGAAGGACGTCACCATAAAGGTTCGAACTGATGTGAAGCTTGCTCTGTGACGGCAAAACGCGGCGAGGGGTGTTACGAGGTTCAAACCATGGCGTGGCCGACGTAGACACATGCGGATATGTATCTGATGACGACCAATCAATCGAATCTACGTGCTTTTACCCTTCTTCGCGAGCAAGTTAAGCGCACTGCCCGCGAGTATAAACCCGCACTGGTCGGGCGACAAGTTGCACTTAACTGGCACCCTCACTTCCTCGCCGCTCCCCTGCTTCTTCACAACAAGACTGACCTCACCCTTACCACCACGCTGTAGCACATCGTACAAGCCCTCCGTCCTGACCTCATCGCACCCCGCCAAGCGATCGTAGTCCGCTTCGTCCGCAAAAGTCAACGGAACAACCCCCTGCTTTTTCAAATTCGTCTCATGAATTCGCGCAAAGCTCTTCGCCAGCACAATGCGGCAGCCGAGATACCGTGGCTGCAGCGCCGCGTGCTCCCGCGCAGACCCTTCGCCGTAGTTGTGCTCGGCAACAACGATCCAAGGCTGAGATTCGCTCTTCCATTTCTTCGCCAAGTCCGGAATGGTGTGGCTGCTGCCGTCGAAGTCGGTCACTGTGTTAACTGCCTCCGTGTCGGCGCTGATGGCGCCGATGAGCGTGTTCTCGGAGATGTTGGGTAAGTGGCCCTTGTACTTGAGCCAGGGCCCGGCGGCGGAGATGGTGTCGGTGGTACACTGGCCTTTTACTTTCACCAGTACTCGTAAGCCGGTCAGGTCTTCGCGTGGGAAGGGCTCGAAGGGCTCGAGGACGGCAAGACGGTCCGATTCTGGGTCGATGGCTACTTCCTACAGATTGATGGTCAGCTATATCACGACACACCGCGAGCGCATCTGCAAACAGCTCTGCTTACCACGGAGGAGTCTGCGACGGGTGGTGTTGGCTGGAAGTGCGGGTTTCCAACCGCAAAGCCGGCGCTAGGAAGGTCTGTGCCCGCTGGAGGCGCGAAGCGGAAAGACTGGCCATTCGGAAGTGGGATGGTGTCAGTCATTGGGTTGAAATCCGTCCGCCCTGCATACGACATGGCGGTGACGAGCTCCGGAGACGCCAGGAAGTTCATTGTCTGGCGGTTGCCGTCGTTGCGGCCGGGAAAGTTGCGGTTGTAGCTGGTGAAGATGGCGTTGGCCTACATGATTACGGTGAGACGGTCAGCTAGTCTTTAGACAAATGCGACCAGGTCTGCCGATCGCTGGACGTACCTCGCCTTTGTTCACGCCGTCGGTACGGCTCCACTGGCCAATACACGGACCACATGCATTCGCCAGCACCATGCCACCGGCAGTTTCGAAAGACTGCATAAGCCCGTCGCGATCAACGGTAGCCCTGATTTGTTCAGAACCCGGAGTAATGAAGAAGTCTGCTTTGGGCTTGAGGCCAGCTTCGGAGGCTTGTCTGACCAGCGACTCGCATCGCGTCATGTCGGCGTAGGAGCTGTTGGTGCAAGATCCGATGAGGCCGGCACCGAACGTCTCTGGCCATGCATTCGCTTCCACGGTTGCCTTGAAGGCTGATAACGGCGTGCTTAGATCAGGTGTGAAAGGTCCGTTGATATGAGGTTCCAGTTCGCTGAGGTTGATGACGACCTCGTCATCGTACTGCGCTCCGGCGTCTGCGGCCAATAGATTCTGCGGGCCTACAGGTGGGTTGGGTAGGGAGGTCAGCTATGTCTCGGACTATCGCAATCGAATTTCCACATCGCTCTGCTTACCAGATGCTATCCTAAGCGCTTGTTCAGCGATCGAACTTCGGTGTGTGGCTTGCAGGTATGGAACATGCGAAGATGGGGTGAAGGGGAAGATAGACGTCGTGGCGCCAATTTCGGCTCCCATATTACACACCGTAGCCATACCGGTGCAGCTCAAACTCTCCACGCCAGGGCCATGATACTCAATAATGTATCCCGTGCCTCCGCGGACAGTGAGTTTTCCAGCCAGAGCAAGAATGACATCTTTGGGAGACACCCAGCCGCTCAGCTTGCCTTCCAACCGCACGCCTCGGATCTTGGGCGCTTTCAGCTCCCACGGCGCATCTACAAGCGCATCGACGGCATCTGCCCCGCCGACACCGATTGCGATAGCACCAAGACCTCCTGCATTCGGCGTGTGGCTGTCAGTGCCCAACATCATCAGCCCGGGAGCGGCGTAGTTCTCCAATACAGCCTGATGGATGATGCCCGCCCCGGGTGGCCAGAATTCGATGCCATACTTCTTCGCCGCGCTTTCTAAGAAGTCGTATACCTCCTTGTTGCCCGCAATGCTGTTTGGCAGGTCGACATCCGCGCCCTTCTCGCCAACAATCATATGGTCGCAGTGGATGCTAGCGGGTACGGCAGTCGTTGGCAAGCCACAACTCATGAACTGTAGCAACGCCATCTGCGCGCTCGCATCTTGCATCGCAACCCGGTCGGGCTTGAGCTTGAGCGTTGCTCTGCCGCGGATGGATGCGCCATTGTCCGTTCCGCCGAGCAGTGACTCTTCAGGGTTGTCCAAGTGGGAAAAGAGGATCTTCTCAGCTAATGTCAACTTGCGATTGGGTAGAAGGCGGCGCACTTCTTCGAGTCGCTTGAGAAGTTTGGGATATGGAGGTGTTCGTGCCTCGACATTGCTGGCCACCGGCGACACTGAATCGGTTGCAGTTGCGAATGCTCGTCCGAGCGGTAGAAGCTGGCGCACGCTGGTTGGCAGAGCGAGAAGTCCACGAATCGGCAGCGAAGCGATCGCCGACCTTCTCGTCGCCAGCATCACTGTCGATGTGGCCTATGTCCAGCTCAGAGACTGAAATGTAGAGACCTCGACAAGCTCAAAAAAAAGCCTCGAGATCTGGACACTGCGGAGGTATTCCGCTTTGCCAGACCGAGCGGACCAGAGCAGTATATCATTCGAATAGGATGACAGCAGATCGGAATCACAGATGCATGGAAAGCGGTGCAATGGTAGCGGATCGAAAAGTGAACGGCTCCATGACATATAGCAGTTACTAAGAGGCGAATTGAGGGACTACGATCTGCACCAAACCAAGTCAAAATGTAGACACGGGTTGTTCAGCACAGTATCGTCCATCTGAAAACCTGTATCTACCCCCTCCTCTCTCTTCGACGAGTAGGTGCTGCTGCTCCTGCTGCACCAGCATCCACCGGTTCCATCACTATCCGCTGATCCGCATACGGAGCACCTTGCGCTCCTCCCATAGCCGTCTCAGCGCCCCATCTCGCCTTGAACATGCCACTATCCACCATCTTCAACACCTCCTCTTCCTTCCTCATCAAACTCCTCTTGCCACCAACCAGATCGAGCTGTGCACCCAGCTTCTCACTGATCCGCTCAGCCTCCGCGTCCATATCTTTAGCCACCTCCAGTCCGCCGTGCTCCCACACGTTAGCCTTCAGCCCGACACCGTAGTACCTTCTCTTCTGAAGATAGGCGAGCCAGGCAGCCACTGTCTCTGGGTGTCCGTCGTAGATTTCAATATGTCTCCGCACCGTGATCCGCTCGAAGTTCTCCTGCGATTTCTTGAAGATGAAGTTGGAGCGCGGCACAGTCCACCGCTCTACTATTCGGGGCAATGGCACCGGTCCTCGCGCGGGCAGCTTCAGATAGTACGCTGCACGCACTGCGAAGTCCGCGAAAACTTCCAGGTTTCGGACACTGTACGAGCGAATCTGGAGATCACACGTCTTGACCTTGTGTGTGAATTTGTGTCGTAACGGCTCGAGGTACGTTGCTTGTACCGCCCGAGGAAGGCGGATGTTCAGCAATTCCTGCTCGGCTTGCGCAGAGTTTATGGAGGCTTGCGGTACGCCTGCTGCGCTTTGGGCTCGACTTGGATCCGCTGACACCGCATCCGTGCTCTCTTGCCGACTTTGAGTACTTGGGGTGAACCTGCTAATGGCGGGCCGCTGTCGTATGCCACGGACCTGGCACACTGAAGATGTGCTAGGGGACAGCTGCGGAGGTGAGCCGACGTACGTGATGGCAGTATGTATTTGCTACGTACTCTGATGCGCTTCGTCAGGTTACAGAGAGACTGTGCGTAGGTTGGAGTCGCCATTGTCGCACCCATAGTGTTGTATAGAAAGATGCGACTCGTCTTGACACTCCATTCATATTGCGGAGCAATCACACTTCCCCGGAGGTGCCACAGCACAAGCCACATTCAGTGCCTCACACAGACAATCACGCACCCAACTGCACCTGCTACTCACTCAAACAATAAACACGGAGTGACGACCTTATATCAGACGCCTCAATATCCCCGTACCACTGCCCAGGCATGTTACAAGTCCTCCATCACTTCTCGAACATCTATCACTCCCTATCTCACATCCACTCCACCCTAGGCGACGCGCACGAAGAAATGGCTACATCCTCTTTCCATCGGGCAACAGAGACCGTCGAGTACCTACGATTACGCCTGCCCGCACATCTGGCCAAACCACGTGTCGCAATAGTATGCGGCTCAGGTTTGGGCGGATTGGCAGAGACGATCAGCAGCACCGAGCGAATAGAGTGGGCTTATAGAGATGTGCCTAACTTTCCGCAATCAACAGGTAGGTGTATGATATCGGACGCTAGCAGTTTTGATAAATACTGAGGTTCTGTGACAGTACCCGGCCACGAAGGTAAACTTATCTTCAGCACAATGACCGATCGAAAAGTGCCAGTCGTGCTTTTAGTAGGAAGAGCGCAGTCAGTCCACCTTAGCATAGATAGCCTTCCCAATCCATGTCCATCCGCTCATTTCTCTTCTCCTAGTTTCTACGAAGGCCACAGCATGGAGCTCGTGACCTTTGCCACGCGAGTCTGCAAAGTTCTCGGCGTGGAAACCATGCTCCTGACCAATGCTGCCGGAGGCCTGAACCCGGAGTACCAGGTCGGCGACATTGTGTGCTTGAACGATCACCTCAATCTGTCCGGCCTAGTTGGCTTTCACCCATTGCGTGGACCGAACGACGATGAGTTCGGCACACGGTTTCCGGCTCTCAGCGATGCGTATGACATCTCCCTCCGACAACTTGCGCATCGCTCGTGGCAAAACCTGAGGGAGCAGTCGCCAAGCCAAAGAAAGATGCACGAGGGAGTGTATGCCTTCGTCGCCGGGCCTACGTACGAAACGCGCGCAGAGTGTCGCATGCTGAGGCAGCTGGGTGCTGATGTCGTAGGCATGTCGACGGTGCCGGAGATTATTGTGGCCAGACATTGTGGGATGCGGGTGCTGGCATTCAGTCTAGTGACGAACAATGCTGTGCTGGAGCCAGCCGTCCGTGCGGATGATCCGCAGTTAGAGGGACTCTCTTCTGCGGCGCTGATCGAGCACCTGAGCCGCGGCCGTGCCAATCATGAGGAGGTGCTAAAGGCTGGTCGGCTAGCGGCACTGGACATGCAAGGTCTGGTTCTGCGAATAGTGTCTGAGATGTAATGCCTCTCACCAAGTTGGTGCACGATGACATGCAACCGAGCAATAGAAGAGGTAGCCGGAATATGCGTTCATCCTCCCTTCTTGACGCCACCCTTCCTCTGCGCCTTGAGTGCTTTGTAGAACGCTGTCTTGCCGCTCGTTTTCTTGCCCTGCAGCTCACCATACTTCTTCTTGAAACGTCCTGTCTCCTGCTCGCCAGCCAGCACCTCTTCGACGAAGGTACGCTTCCGCTTCTTGTTTTCGATCCTGCCGCCAAAGAAATCGGTCGGACCTTCCATGATCGTGCCGACCTGGCTGTATTCGGGAGCTTGCATCTTGCCGCCTTCCTTCCTGTAGTGGCGGTGCGGGTCAAGCACGTTACGCATTTTGAGTAGTTGTAGATCGCGCTTCAGTTCCGGGGTGAGGTTGGTGCGCGGGAGATCGAACCATGATGCGCCGGCAGTGGCCTTTTGCTTCTACGCACTGTCAGTCTCTGCGCACGCGCTGAAACCACAGAGGAGTAGGAGAGAATGGTGCAAGTCAGAGTAACTATGATTATGTATTGTGCTCTCAGGGTGCGGAAAGGCAAGCCAAGACGGCGCCCGGACTCCGCTCAAGGAAGAAATGGGATTATTTTCCTCATGTTGCAGTAATTCCACCATAAAAGCGCGGGTAGATTTACCTGCAGGGCTGCTTTCTTCGCCACGACTGGATCCTCGACCTTGCGGGCACCGTTCGCCCGTTTGCGCTGCTTCTCGTCCAGCAACTTCTTCGCATCGACTGAAGTCACATCGCCTTTTGTCAACAAGTAAGGCTCGTCCAGCTTGCCTGCGTCGAGTTTCGGGAACTTGTACTTCGGCTTTTCGTCTTTCGCTTCCGGAACTAGCTGTGCCTTCCGCTGGAGGCGAGCTGTGGCTCGCGCGAGCAGCTCTTGCATCTGTCCAGCGCTCATATCGTCGTCCAGTTGGGCCGTATCCATCTTAAGCGGTGCCGTCGTGTTCATGCAAGCTTTTTCAGTCCGCGGTATATGGTTGAAGGTTTTAGAGAAGAATATCATGCATACCTTATTCTAAGGTGCGGAACCAGTCCGCTCAGAACCGCCGACAGCCGACACCATCTTGGAATCACCATCCGTTCTACTACCTACGTCTGACCACACACCGAACAACAATGAAGCAGCGCGTCACGCTACTGCATCCTGAGTACACATATATTGATGGCAGTGGATTGAATGCTACGCACGGCAGAGAATTGGTCGGCAAGCCAGCACTTGAGAAGCGCGTCACTGCCAGCTTGAGCGAATTGCCTCCTGAAGTAGGACATCGACCACATTGCTTATAGAGTGTCTGCAGAACGTAGGTTGATGGTAGGTGGCAGTTACGCAACCTCCCCTTATGGTCCAACACGCACGAGCTGCATATCCGATGGGTTTCTTCGGAATACCATGAGCCCCCTACAACCTTTGCTTCTCGTTTACCATCTGGACTTCATGTCTTCTTCACACCTAGTGCGAGGAACGAGAGGTGAGCCGACCTGCCTGCATCTTTTGGTAGCAATCACTCACAGCCGTCCTCAGCTACAATCCTTGCCTTCTCCTGACTTATCTGTTTGACCGTGACATGCGATGTTCTTCTCCCGCAGAGTCATTCAGTCGACCGCCTATACTCTCAGAGCGGTTCTCAGCGTCTTCAGCGTACCAGTTCTACCAGCCACTACCGCGCATTTTCCGATTCCAGTTATCTATGGGTTTATTCTTCTGCACGAGTGCCGAAAACAGCACCAGCAATGTCAGCCGCGACGCATCCTCCGAACACAATCGGACTGTTTCGGACTTAAGCCGGGAGAGCACGAACACCTCTGCTGGATATGTGCACGAGAATCTATCCGCCAGGCACAAATGCATGGAACATGCTGTGAGCCTGGCGTACGCCAGCTACCTTGATATCGATTACGACGCCATCAGCGGTTCAGTTACAGCGACGGCATTCTGGAGCTCTGAACTTGCACGCCCTGCAGTCGAGCGTGGGAGCAGGGTCTTAGTCAGTGATAGTGATAGTTTGGAGCTTGGCCTCTTCGTGCCGGAGAAGGCTGAGGAAGCTGAGGAGCTCAAGATTGGAGGGTATGTGATTATGGTGGAGGAGGACGAGGAGCCAAGTATGACACGAACCTCCTTGGTCCACCGCAGGGCGCTGACATGAGCCACTCAGGTCCCGTCCTCTTCTCATTCCCCTCGCGGCACCACCCTCTACCATCTTCATCCCCAGCAACATTCGTAGCCAGCTTCCTGCAACCCACCGGCCTGCATCCAAACCTCGAACTCACACTTCCACGCCAGCATCTACTACCACCAAAAGACGACGGCTCGTGCGCTCTGCACGTCTACCTGACCCTCCCCTCCGCACTGTTCCTAGACCGCTACCAACTCTCCGATCCCGCATATCTCGCCTCACAAAACCTCATCGCTCTACGCAGTCTAAGCGGAGAGCAAGACCTCGAGGCCCCAGACTGGGTCATCAAGCGCTGGGGCAGCGCAGCACTGATCGAGCTTGCCCACCCGGCCAACATCTCCAGCGACCAGCGGAATGCAAATTGGACCGTCACGATACCGACTCACCTCCGCTATCTTCGACCCCAGCCGAACGATACCACGCCCGGTTACACAACCCTCGATATCCCGTGGCCGATCATGTTCTGGGCTTGCGAGGCCACGGAGGGACTGAAGATGCACACTAACCCTTTCGACCGAGTGAATCTGGGGTATGACGGCTTATTCGGGCCGAAGACTATGTTCTACCATATCCCTCCTTCTACGTCACGCGGTCAGGTTCTGGTTGAAAAGCTTACGGTGCCGGTTTTGGAGCCGTCGTGGGCGGGGATTGTGCAGTGGGGTACTCTGTTTGCTTTGCTCGGCGGGTTTCTCTGGGTTTGCTGGGGTTTGGCTAAGGCTGCTGGGGTCGGCGAGCTGTGGACGGGTCGTAGTAGTGGAAGGGACGAGCACGATAAGAAGCAGTAAGTGTAGCTGTATCATGTGGATACATCCTGGTGGCAGGAACGCCGTGGTTTTCCGCTTTGGGAAGGCACAAAGACTTTGCGTAGCTGCAAGTGCCCGCGTTACCGCGAACGAGTTTGACGGCTAGTTGAAAGCACTTTGCCGAACTTTGTACAATGCGCGCACCAGCCTCGTGCGGCTGTCATGGGGTATCCTGAAGTACAACTACAATAACCTCCCCACATCATCCTCCTCCTAAGCATTCACAGATCAAGTCCATTACATCACAACGCACTTCTCCTCCGCACTGGCAACCCCAGGCGCACCAGCCACACCACCCTGTCTCCCGGGGCCAGGACTATGCGGCACGCCGGTCCCCGCATAAGCTCCGGGCATCGCACCACCCGTCACCATCTGACTCTGCCGCCTCTGCAAGCGAGGCTGTTGACTCCGTCGCCTCTCCATCCCCTGCCCGTACGGACCCGGTCCCGCCGAAGCAGGTCCATTCGCGCTGTTTACGCTCGTGGAACTCTGCTGCGCGTATGCGGATTGCTGCCGCCTCAACGCATCATACGCGTTCAGAGGGTTGCCTTGCATCGCCTGCGCGGTGGAGCCGGCGGGTCGGTACGGTCGGTCGCTGGCGGATTGTTCGTACGTGGGTGGCGCGTCTGGGTCGTTGTTCGCGTCGGCCCTGTTGACGCCTTGACGGCCGGCTGGTGCGCGGTTGCTGCGGCGGGGTGGGATGGGTGGACGAGGCGCGCCAGCACCGCCGCTGTCGCCGCTGCCGCCTCCTCCCCCCCCTCCTTCGGCGCTTTCACTAGAGAGGAAGCGCTCGCTGAGTTCCTGTTCACGACGTCGGCGCTGTTCGGCTTGCCGGTGTTGATCGTCTTCCTCTTCTTGCAATTGTAGGGCGAGCGCGAGGTCGTGGTCTTCTTGCTCGCTTGCTGAGCGTTGATGTTCTGGCGGAACTCGCAAATCCGGCTCTCCGTCTTCTACGGCAGACGTTCGCTGGGCTTGTGGCCGTGGGCCTGGGAGAGGCGGTGGGATCCCGTGCTCACGGCCTGCAGTACCGTTCGCCATCCGCGACGGACCAGACTGCAAATGAGGCTGCTGGCCTTGCTTTTGGTGTCGTCTTTGCACCGTCTGCCATCCGTCTTCACCACCTGCGCTATTGCCTTGGTTTAGGCGCTCATTGCCAATATTCGAGCCGTGACTGACGACCCTGAAGTCGCCACTGAACAGCTCACTCGCCGCGCCAGACACATCAACAAGGCTTTCCCAAACTATCTCGTCATGTGTACTGTATCCTGCATCAGTCACCAAAGTCATAAGTGCGCCGTGTTTCGGCTCCTTATATAGCGTGCTGAAGTGGTCATTCCGGAACAAGATAGCAATCTGTCCTGGTCTCAAGCTCGCCGATATGCATTCCAACCCGTAATCGGTCAGCTGTGTCGGCCAAGTCGTCAGAAAGCTCTTGATGATCTGTATGTCCTGCAGCACCTGCTGCTCCTCGCCACTCAACCCCTCCTCTCTCAGCTTGTCCTCAAGCTCGGGCTCCAGAAATTGTATATTCTGCGCATCCTCAAAAGTTTGGGCCGAGCGTTCGAACGCAGCATAGGCCGGTGTGTCCTTAGGCGCAGTCCAACCGTGTATGAGAGGGATGTTGAAGGTGCTGTACAGGCGCATCTCGTTGGTTTCCTGGAAACAGCCTGCTTTCGTCTGCGCTCTATCCACGGGATGCAAGTGGGCCTTGTCCGGCGGTGCGAGATCAAGCGATCCGCGTTGTGGGATCGCGGGCGTTACGAACCGCGGGTTGACGTTCATCCCCGTGTGGAGCGCAAGTAAAAAAGCATAAAGTTCTCCGACGTCTGGCAGAGCCTCGGCGGTGTCGCCACGCCGACCTGACATCAGTTCGTCGAACACCGCATCAAGCAGCAGACCCAGGCTAACTTGTTCTCTCGTTCGTAGCGTTTCTATTAGAGCTGTGTCGAGATTCTGTGGTGTGCTAAGCACTAACGCATTGACGAGGGCGAGCAGCGGACACGGTCCATTCGCATTTTGCATCAGTATGGGTGAGCTTCGCATGGCGGACTTGACGCGCGGCTCTGAGCTGTATGACGCGTCGTACCAGTTGATGTGCTTTATCGGATAGTGTTCGCTTCTTTGTCGTTTCGCTTTTGCGCTGGGTGTTTCCGGGACGGACTCGGTCGACCGAGCGGAAGGTATGTTTGTTGCTATAGGCGATAGTCGCGACGGCGAAGACAGCTGCGCAGCTTTGAGTGGCACAGTAGGTAGTTCGGGCTCCACGTGATCCATCAGGGACGTGGAAGCGGCAGCTTTTGGGGGCGGTCCAGGAGGTGGCGCATAGTGGTGGTGCTGTTGTTGTACGACAGATTGTGGCAGTGGCCCTGGGGGCGGAGCATCATGCTGCTCGTACGGCTGCAAAGGTGCTTTAGGTGGTGGCCCTGGCGGTGGAGGAGAGGCTTCGTTCGAAGGCGTCCGCCATGGATTGTTCGAGTGAAATCTTTGGGTATCAGGTTGACTCGGCCCAACACCGGGAGGTAGTGGCGCCTGGTCTTGTCTAGGCACTGCCAGTATTTCAGCAGTCTCAAATGGCTTGACCTGCGGTCTTTGCTTCTCGGAAGGAGGTTGCTGTTCGCCGAGAGTAAGCTCGCCGAGCTCTTCACCTGGCGTTTTCGGAGATGTAGACAGCTCTATAGGAGGCGCGGGAGGCGCGTTGGTAGGCGGCGCAAGCGTTTTGCCTTGTTGCCATGGGTTTTGACTCGTTTCCGGCGCGGAGCCACTCTGCTGCCGGTAGGGCTTGCTGGCATTGGCACGATCTAATTGCGTGCCGGAACCGGCCGGAACCGGTGTTGCCCATGGGTTTGCCTGCGCCTCATCCTCGTAGTCCAGCTCTTCCTGCGACTTACGCTGTTGCAAGGGTGCCGCTGGCCCGGGCTTCAGTATCGCCGGCAACTGCTCTTCATGCGCCGCGTTTCCGCCATGACGTTGTGGAGTACTTTGTGGACTCTTGCTGATACCTAGCGGTCTCGGAACATCCACAGCTTCTTCAGGTGTATCTTCCGCCTCGGCCTCATCGCCAGAGTCATCCCACGTGCCGTGCGAGCTGACGTCCGAGTCTCGTCGTGGGCGCTGCCGTGCCTCGTCCATGTCAATCAGATCGAATGCTGGGCTCGACGCCAGGTTGGGGGAGTAGACACTGTTCATCGAGTGAATCGTTTTCGTTCGATCCAGTTCAGGCACCCTCGGCGACTGCCCGCCAAAGGTTGGCGTCGTTGGATATGGAGGGTTTGGGCTGGCATTCTTTGTATCGGTTGAAGCAGGAGTTGTAGACAGGCGAGGAGCCAGTGGCTTCCGCGTGACCATTGCGCCGGTGTGAGTCTCCTCTGCGTATGTCGGCGTTCTATATTCACTTGCTCTCGCTCTCGTGCCTTCCAAAGGCGATCCGTGGGGAGTTTGGTAGGTAAGTCGCCGAGGCTAGTGGCGCATAACGAGTAGACACTATACAGTCAAGTCACTTGTTTGATCTACAAGCTACTAGCAGGATGGGCACAAAGTAGAGAAGATGGAAGGTGGACGACGTCAAGCTTCCGCCTTGAATTGCGCGTACATCCACGCCGCCTCGCCGCGGACTGGACTGGACGCACATGAAAGCGGGCAGCTGCGTGGCGCCACACTAACGACCATCACTGTGGCTGTGCTCGGCAGAATATTCCGACGGCCACTCGCACCTCGATCTCTCACCACTGCAGTGCATCAGCGAGTCTTGATTTTGGTTCAATCCATGTCCAGCTGAGGGTGATGGCTGAGCATAAGCTGCGAATACTGCTCGTGGGCAACGGTGGGCGGGAGCATGCTCTCGCCTGGAAGCTCGCGCAAAGTCCTCGTGTGGATTGTATTCATGTCGTGCCGGGTAATGGCGGCACTGCTGGGTAGGTAGACTTCCAGGTAGGAGGTTCGCTCTCCCGTACCGTATCCGTCATCCATATCTTGTACTGAGTCAATCACCAGAGTCCCAAATTGTATCAACGTTCCGTCTGTGTCGCAAGAAGACTTTGCTGCGCTTGTGAAATATGCGCAGGCGAACAAGCTCAACTTCCTAATACCAGGCCCTGAAGCACCGCTCGTGGCAGGCATTACAGACTACTTCGCCCAGCATGCTCCCCAGATGCAGGTTTTCGGCCCGTCACAAGCAGCAGCGCAGATGGAAGGCTCGAAAACGTTTTCCAAGGATTTCATGAAACGCCACAGCATCCCGACCGCACGATATGAGAACTTCACCGGCTACGATGCTGCGAGACAGTACCTTGACAAAGTTGATTACGACGTAGTAATCAAAGCGGACGGCCTCGCGGCAGGCAAAGGCGTCATCATTCCGACCACGCAGCAAGAAGCGCACGATGCTCTAAAGTCCATCATGTCCGACAAGGAGTTCGGCTCGGCGGGCAACAAGGTCGTCATCGAGGAGTACCTCGAAGGCGACGAGATCAGCATTCTTTCTCTCTCCGACGGCGAAACGATCCTCTCCTTACCGCCCGCGCAAGACCACAAGCGCATTGGAGACGGCGACACCGGACCCAACACCGGCGGCATGGGCACGTACGCACCCACCCCGCTCGTCACGAAAGAGCAACTCGACGAGATAGACCGTACCGTACTCAAACCGACCATCGACGGCATGCGAAAGGAAGGCATGAACTTCTGCGGCTGCCTCTTCACCGGCCTCATGATGACGAAGAATGGCCCGCGGGTGTTGGAGTACAATGTCCGTTTCGGCGACCCAGAGTCCCAATCGTGCCTGCCCCTCCTGCATTCCGATCTGGCGGAGTTGATGCAAGCCTGCTGTGACGGCACGCTGTCGACGAAGAAACTTGACATCGCGCCACTTTCGGCTTGCACGGTCGTGGTCGCTGCTGCCGGCTACCCGGGGAAGTATCCGAAGGGCACGCCGATGAGGGTACAGCAGCCGCGGGAGGAAGAAGGCATGTATATCTTCCATGCTGGCACAGCACTTGATCAGGATGGTCAGCTTAAGACGAACGGCGGCAGGGTCATTGCGGCGACGGCGACGGGCAGTACTTTGCGTGAGGCGGTCGACAAAGCCTACAACGGCGTTGCTCTGATCGATTTTGAAGACATGCAATACCGCAGAGACATCGCTGCAAGAGCGCTACGGTAGATTATAGCAAAGGATCTACTCTATCGAATCTAGAGTTCTATTACCACGGTTGCGTCCGTGACCAAATACATGTACCCATATACAAGCCACGCCGCGATACCCGTTACCCATCCCAATTACTCTTTCTTAGCCTTCTTCGCCTTCTTCGGCACCCTCGCAAGCCAGTAGATCCCAACAGCCGCAAACACGTTGAACACAATAAACACCCACAATATTCCGAAATCCCGCCAAGCGTGCGAGTACCGGGCGCTCACACCGGTCAAGAACACATTCGTGCTCGAGTAGGTACAGTAGTGACAGGTCGACGTCGCGTTCGGATCCTCGAGGTAACCTCCGACTTGTGAGATGTAGCTTTGCATGTATGCCTGGCAGGTCTGACCGGACGGTGGGCTGAAGGTGAGGTATTCGTTGCTGGCGCAGGTGACTTGTTGATTGGCGACGCCGGTGGAGAGCATACCTTCCACCAAGTACGTGAAGGGAGAGACTCGGTACCTAAGCGGATTGGGGTCAGTATTGCAGCCCTCGGGCTGAGATGGCGGATGGACTTACATGAAAATCCAAAAGCCGGGAAGATCCTGCGGTGAGGCGAGAACACCACAGAAGATGAGGCAGAGCGAGAACATCAGGTTGGCAATGTTGCCCCCAGTCTCCGCGTCAGCCATGCCGGCGATGATGAAGGTTGAGAAGGTGCTGGTGAACAACAGGAACTGCCACACGAGAAGGAAGAACTGAATGCCTCGGAGATGGACCTCTCCGGTGGGAATGGCATTTTTGTACAGTCCAATCGGGTAATAGAAGCAGAAAAAGATGATGATGGCCATCAGCGTGTTCCATGGCAGCTCGACGAGGATGTTTGAGAACATGAAGGCCTTCCAGGAATATGTCTTGCTGGGTCGCTCGCGGACTTCGTAAAGCGCCCTTTGCGTAACGAAGTGCGGCATGATCTGCTGTACCAATTGGCCGAAGATGGTGAACAGCATGAAGATGCTGAACATTTGGTTTTGCAGGCCTTGCTGGGTGAGGGGGGCGTTGTAGAAGACGAAGCCGATGAAGAGCGACGAGAAAAGGCACAGCGCCGTCTTCGAATAGATGTAGGATGGTGTGCGCCAATACTGCTGGAATACGCGCTGGGTAACCTCCCAGAACTGGAGTCCAAACGGTGCGGCGAACTCGCGATACGACGCTTTGTCCTCCGTGGATGTCCTAGGGGGTGCTTCCTTCGGACGTTCGTGCTCAAGACGGCCTAGTTCGGCGTGGACTTCTTGGTACTCCTTGCTGTCCCTCCAGGTCTGGTGCCAGTCGATGTCTGTATGAGTTCCGGGAGCAGCACCTATCACTTCGAGCATCCACTCGGCCGGGTTGGCATCGTCTGGACACTTGTGTGCGCCGTTGCGCTCGAAGTAGCTGGCCAGGATGCGGGAGTTCTCGCCGATGCCGCCAAAGTACACAGTCCTGCCGCCTCTAGCGAGGAACAGTAGTCGGTCGAAACGTTGGAAAAGCATGGCTGACGGCTGATGAATGGTACACAGGATGGCCTGGCCGGAGTTCTTCAGCTTCTCCATCAAATCGCAAATGGCCCATGATGTCTGCGAGTCAAGCCCGGAGGTCGGCTCATCAAGGAAGAGTAACAGCTCCGGCTTTGCGGCAAGCTCCACACCGATGGTAAGACGCTTACGCTGTTCGACGTTGAGGCCTTCACCGGGCACGCCGACGACAGCGTCAGCGTACTCGTCCATGTCAAGGAGCTTGATGACTTCGTCCACATAGGCAAGCTTGTCCTTGCGAGACACATGAGCCGGTTGGCGAAGTAAGGCGCTGAAGTTGAGAGCCTCCCTTACTGTTGTAGTCTGGAGATGCAGGTCCTGCTGCTGGACGTAGCCAGTCTTGCGTTGAAAGGAAGAGTCGCGCTGACGGCCATCGACGAGCATATCGCCACTGATAACTCCCATCGTGACGCGGGTAGCGAGTACATCGAGCAAGGTGGTCTTGCCCGCGCCGGAGACACCCATCAAAGCGGTCAGGGTACCCGGCTTTACCCATCCGTCGACATGGTCGAGAATGCGGCGGGTCTCGCTCTTGATCTTGATGTCGTAGCACACATTCTTCCAGCTGAAAATCGCCGTCTGTTTCTGAATAATGTCCGAAGCCTCGACATAGCTCTCCTTCTTGGCCAAGGGAGCTCCAGCTGTCCCATCATCCGATGACTCCACGTCGTCTTTCTTCTCTTTCAGGGAGGCTGGTGTATGCCCACGTCGGAACACCAGCACCTCACCCTTCGATTTCTTCGCGCTGATGAGCTCGGTTGCGGCGAGGTAAACGCCGCACAAGAATATGATGAAGGCGAAGATGATACCAACATTCCGCCATTTATGTGAGGCGTAGTATTGGTAGGCAGAGTTGATGTAAGCATCGCCACTGACGGCTGTTAGGCCAGGTTGTGAGCCAACTGCAGAGCACACTTGTTGTTGCAGCGCCAGACTTCCGTACGACGGCACGAACTGCGAACATTGATAGGATCGCCCGGAAAACTCGTTGATCATGAGCGACTCGAAGCCGTAAGCAACGGGATCGATCCAGTTGATCCAACGACACCATGACAGCATATAATTGACTGGGATGGCGAAACCGGTAAAGATCACAATACCCAGGATCAAGATAGCCGCGGGTGCCATAGCTTGTGACAGTGTCCTTGACAAGCTCGCAATGCAACGGAAGAGCATGCTCATGGTGAGTGTGAGTATGAAGTTGATGAACAAGAAGAAGAAGAACGCTCCAGGTTCCCGTTTCAGGTTAGCCATGAAGTAAAGAGTGAGGTTGAAGATGATCGCATTGACGATTTTGTATGGCATGTCCGTCAGCATCGAGGCTACTGCTTCGGCCGAAGGATGGTATAGAGCGTATCGGCTATGCTTTTCAACAATGGGTCGTTGAGCGTATAAGGTTAGGATCTCCAAGGCGGCACCAAAGGCGTTCATCAATACTGCGAAGAACAGTACGGCGCCACGTTGGAAGAAAGAGATTGTTGTAAGTTGGAGGTTGTAGAAGACTGAGCCGAGAACCAGCGCCATTGCGAAGTTGCCGAACAGTTGCGTGAAAGTGAGAGTAGGATCGCCAACCAGCCGCCGGAAGCCTCGCCAGAGACAGAGCTGGACTTGCTGTGAATAGCTCAAGGTGTAGGGTGACTTCAAGCGTTGAGCCTTTGCTTGCTGCGCTCGCCGGCTATCGGCAAATTGCTGGTACTGCTCGCCATGGTATGGATACTGCTGTTCGTATCTCTCAATGTCAACCAGCAGCTGCTTACGCTCGGGGCTGTTTTTCCAGGCTGCAGCAAACTCATCTGGCGTTCGTGGGACGCGGCTTTCCCAACCTTCTTTCACGACACGCTCTTGGGCAGACGTCATGGAGGTCAAGAAGTCTGCGCTAGTCTGACGCGCAGGTTTGTGGAAGCCGAGCCTCTCGAAGTAATGGCTCGCCTCGCGGCTGTCACCGAAGTAGATCTGCCTGCCTTCATACAGGACGATGGCCTTGTTGAAGATGTCGTAGGCGGCTTGCGGAGCTTGATAAATGGCAACACATGCTGCGCTGCCAGCCAGCTCTGTGCTAATTCTCACAGTCTTGCAGAACTCGATAGCGTTTGCGCTGTCCAATCCTCTCGTGCTGTTGTCCCACGCTTGCAGGGGTGCGCCACTCAAGGCCGCTTCGGCGATCGAGACACGCTTTCGCTCCCCACCACTTACGCCGCGGACAAAGTCGTTACCGACGCGTGTGTTGATTGTGTGACTGATGCCAAAAGTTGCCATGACCACATCCCGCAGATGTTGCGCCCAAACCTTTCGGCTGACACCGCCAGGGGCATGACGAGGTGCTCGCGCCTGTGCTGCGAACGTGAGGGTATCACCAACGCTTAGCATTGGGAAGTGCACATCTACCTCCGCAGTATAGATTGCTTCACCACGGAAGTACTTGTGCATCTCCTTTGGTGGTATCCCCTGGTAGTTCACGTAAGAGTCTTCGTCCACGACGAAGCCATGTGTTTCGCCGGTGATGGTCTTGAGGAACGTAGAGCAGCCGGAACCAGGAGGTCCGAGCACAACGAGCATATCGCCAGACTCCACTAGGCCTTCGAAATTACGCAAGATATCGATCCGCCTCGGCTTGCCAAGACCGACCGCCTTCTTTACCAAAGCAAAGGTGTCAAGCCAGACGTTGCCAACGTCTTTCTGATAGTCGGTCGCCGCACCATAGCCGTGAGCGCTCAGATTCCGAAAGGCGACACCTAAGAAAGATGGGTGGGAGGGTCAGCTACGGTTCAGACAGTCGCTGAGGGTTCGTGCACATCACTCTGCTTACCTCCTAAGCGACCTGGGTTCTTATTGTCGGCATTGCGGAGCTGCATCATCGATTTGACCCATGATCGAGCTCTGAAATTTGACGAGCTTGGATCAAGCGCCGAGTCCTTCTCGGCCTCGAATGGGTTCCCCGGAACAATCGACAAAGTAGAATGCCTCGTGAGTGACTTGGCTAGCTCGTTGACCTCGAAATCTCTGCGAGCTTGTTCTTCTTCATCGGAGGCTGCTTTCGTCTCCGGAGTCTCGATTCCCTCGAGGCCATCCTTCTCGACATCATGGTCGAACCTTTCAGCTACTGACTGTCGCCTTTGTGGTCTTCGACTGTCGGGAGAGCCGACGTAGGACCGTGTCCGGCTGATCGTTCGCGAAAGGATACCACGGTCCTGGGCATGCTCCGCACCGACTGGATCTTCATTTGTTGCTGGAGCGCGTTGCTGGAAAGCGGTACCCGTAGAGCCAACGCCACTTGTCTCCGCAGTGCGATCGAAATTGTTAAACGCAAAGTTGCCGACTAGCGACATGTCGAACACTTGTTGTGAGCCAGATGGTGCAACGAATGGACGCAAGCACTAATGGTATTATAGAGGAATGGAATGCTGTCTTGGATGACGACTTCTGATTCAGAAGCTTGAAGCGGATCGCCACTGGGATATTGCACCGTCTTGAAGAATGAATGGGAGGATGTAGTAAGCCGTACGACCTACCTGGATGTTATATTGCATCGCCAACCAAACGGCGACGGAAGCGAAACAGATGATGCGAGCCCAGCAATGCATAAGTCATAACTCGGAGGGGAGTGGTAAGCTCTTCCAGAGGCGACGGACAGTGAGGGGATCTCACGCCGGTCTTGGCAAGAAGGGGAAAGGGGGAAAGCGCTGCCGGATCTCGCAGTTCCGCGCTCCGGAGGACGTCCACCACGTATCCGAGCGCCCTGCAACGAGATTTGTCCATGATTATGCAGCCGGATGCATAACAACAACGCCTCGTCCTGAACGTTTGCGCGCGGACGAAAGTATCTTCTCCATCGACGTGTCAACGAGTGGCCAGCCAGTCGGCTGCTGCGTCGGTGCGTACTGATCCAGCGCCGGTAGACGACTATGCATATTCGCTATTGTGCATCACATACTTCGAGCCGCTCGACTTACCATGCCATAGGTTCGCATGCTGGCGGATGGGCGAAGCTACTCCATGCCAAGTCCAGTCTCGAAGCATTGGCACGAGCATTACTCTGGCTGCCAGCTGAACTGTGGAACTGCAAAGGCAGTCGCACCCAGGTGCTAGATGAAAGAAGTCACGGTTCCGCATGCTCATAAGTTATCTTTACAACGATTTATCTGTTCAAGCTCAGCAGCCCTTCAACATACCGCCTTGCGTCGACCCCCATACCGTTCGCCAGCGATGAAGGACCCCAGCCAGAGCTGACTCCTCCAGCTTTCTCGTCCGCGTTGGGAGCAGCTCTCAGGGCGAACGTACTCCACATACCACTCGCTGCCGTACTACTGCTCAACACCTTGTTCCCGGGTATTGAATTCGACGATTTGCGGATCAGGAAAGCCACACGTTGCATATCTGGCTCCGCTTTAACGGTGGAAGGTGCGTACCCTAACGATGTCGTCGTGGTGCCGCTCCGTTTCGTCTTCAAATCGTCACTTCGGGCGGTGACGGCTGAGGAAGGCTCCTCGTTACTGATGTCGTCTCTGCCACCCGCAGCGGGCGATCCATTAGGAGGAGCAGACGGTGGCACCCTCATACATACAACCCACCATCCACGGCTGGTCTTGCTGGTCCTTTCGATCTCATTGTGTCTCCGCTGCACGCTCTGTAGCGTGCTGAGCACTTGCGAATGCACATTCAAGGCATCAATCCTCGTCCACCCGGGTGGTACACTTGATTGGCTGCTCTTGTCAACAGTCACTAGTCCTTCGGCAGCAGGTGTGCCCGGTTCAGGTATGTTGGGTATACTGGTGTGCACTGTCAACAGCCTTGGGTCGTATATGAGGTCGAATATAGGCCTGGTTTCGCTAAGCGCCGCTCCGCCTTTATGCGGTAGCTTGTTGCTCGTAGTACTCATTACGCTTGCGGTGTCGTCTGCTGGTTCAACATGCGACAACTCAATGCGCTGCGCGACTTTCGCAACGCTTGTTGAGGAAAGCAGTGACTTGTGTATCGGTGTTAGCGTTCGATGCAATTCCTTGTAGAAGCTTGCGTACTGCAAGCTCGAAGTTCGGTTTGCAAATATGAAGCAATAGATGAACGGGCGGTGCACGTAGACGAGGACACGCACGCGCTGCATGCTGTTAGTGCCTTGATCGCTTGGGGTAGCTTCATCCTTGTCCCGGCGCATTGTCGCTTCGAGGTCATTCTCGTTGTCTTCCATGGCATCTTCGTCCCGTGGTCTACATTCAACCTGTAGGGTTCGCAAGACTGTGCGTGGACCTCCGCCTTCATCGTGATAGCTGCCGTCCGTCTCGTCAACTTCTTCGCCGTCAGGGAGACCCTCGAGATCACCAGTAAGACCAATGAGAAAGTGGCCTTTGTTCTCCTGGCGCCTTTGTCTGGCCATCCTAGCCTGTAACGTCTCCCCATCTGGCATCGGTTCGAGGTGGGTCATTGCAGGCTCCCCGTCGTTAGCATTCTCTTCGGCAAAGTTTCCAGTGCTCAGTTGGTTCTGTTGTTTGCGTGGCTTTATTGTTTGTTCACTCGAAGCAGATGTTCTTGACGCCGGTGTAGGCCGTTTTGCCTTACTCGATCTGCCAAGCTCGCTCAAGCCGAATGTGAGGTATTTCATATACTGGTCAGGAATGCCCATAGTGGTGCTTACTGACGGCTTCTCCGTGTCGTCTTCGCGACTTATGTCCTCATCGGCGTTTTTGGTAGCCTTGTCAAGGGCTATCTCGGCAGCAGACACGATGGGTGGCGGTATTCCGGGTCGATGCATTGTGTTGAGCTGTGGTGTGTGCTCGGCTTGGTCGGCGGCGTGATCTTGAGAAGCCGTACGGTCGTGAATCTGCGGTCTCCGATCCTTTGGCAGGATTATGGGGTCGATCGGGTTGTTGTCGAGACCAGACTGGCCGTCGTCGATCGCACGCTCGGCCGCCGCCCTATGCTGTACTCGTTGCCGCAGACCAGACGGGTCAATCTGCCGCGATCCTCGCGGGCCATATGGGTTGCCGTTCACAGCCTTTTGTGGTTCCAGCGGATTGCGCCGTCTGCGCTTCCGCCGGTCACGTAAAGGATTGTCCTTCACGCCGTAGGCATGTTCGCCATATGTGTAGACTTGGCGTGTCCAGAGTGAGATATCGCGAAGCGAAGAGCGGCTTATAGCACCAAGTCCACCAAAAACTACGCCGTCGGCTGATGCAGGCTGTCGACCGCTGCCCATCCATGGTAACAGTTCATCCTCCGGCAAAGACGCTTCTCTGGACGCTAAAGCTGTTGCGGGCTCGCCAAACCTGGAAACGACAAGGTCGATCAAGCCTTCAGTACGGTAGCTCAGGTCTTCCAGAACCTCCCTTTCTCCGCTACCCCACTCCTCCTCACCAACGCCGATGCCTAGCTCTCCACCACTAGCAAGCTTCACGCCACCGAAGACGTCTGCAGCTGGGTTGCCATGCAGCAAGACCTCCCACGTCTTCGCAAAGCGCGTCCAAAAGCGGTCGAGAGCGCTGCACAGTTTGGCGCGCCCTAGGCGGACGAAGAGCTCTGTCAAAGAGGGGCCGTGATGTAAAGAGAAGATGCAGTGCGCTTGAACGAGCTGCTGAATGAGCAAAGCAGGCGGGCTAACTTCTCGAGACGAATATTCCACGCTTGGGTTTGCCCGCACCTGCTCTCCACTCTTCTTGGTTTGTTCGGCGGGCGCATGCGCTATGGCAGGTAGCCGCGTCAGATCAACAGACTATGCGGGTCAGTCTTCATCCAATGGCGTAGTACGTTGTGCCTACTGCGAGTATCCACCACCCTTCCTCCAGCTCGTGCAGGACAATGCGGGACTTCTCTGTCTCCACGGAATCCACAGGCTCGCCATTCGAGAAGCTCCTATCTGTCCGCTCAGTCACTCCTGCCCTCACATGTTGCGTGTTTGAAGTTGCCGTACCTCGCAAAATCCACCATGCCCTGCGCCAAACCAATCTGCCTCAACTTCTCATTCTCCTCTTCGCGTGCTGCATCGCCATCAGCGGCATCACTGCGTCCGCTCTTCCTAGCCGCATTCCGAGCTTCTTGCGCGGCGCGACTGTACCAGAAGACAACCTGGTCCTGGAATGTCTCGTCGGTCGGGCCTAATGTAGGATTATATAAAGCAAGGAAGGACAGTCGCGCGGGCTGAACTTTGTTCGACCATTGCGGAGCGCTCATGTCATCAGGAAAGAAGCTTTTGTCGAGCACGCGACATTTGTTGCTGGGCGATCGGTACAGTAGGACCGTCAACACATGGAGATAGCTTGGGGTATGACGGAGAAATCGCAAATGCTCCCCGAGACGGGGACCCTTAGATCATATATGTCTCGTGCTTGCCGAGAAGGCTCTTCTGGAGACAGCACTGCCCGGGATCTTCTGCACTGGACAGACCGCTGTCGCTACTCACACAAGATCTTCAGTGGGGCAGTATTGTAAGCACCACGAGTGAGCAGTGCCATGCGCATGACCTGCGGGAGCGTCTACGTAGTGTGCTCGGTCAAGGACATTATTCGTATATAGGATTGCATGCTCCATTCAGATGCCCGCGCTTGTGCAACGCTGTCGCTCCGTGAACGCCTCGCTATCACTCCCAACCACATTTTCTGTTCGTTACCAAGCCAGCAAAACCGAAAACAGCAAAGCAGTCGCCAGAGCAGCAAAGCTACTCCTGATTACAGGGGCCGCAGATTGCGTGATACCACAGCATCTCCTATTGTAAGTTACTCCGTTCGCACGAGCAGCAACCTCGAAGACCGATCCTTGCATTGGAAGGCCCTGATTGTAGTAATCGACTAACAGGAAGTTTGGCGGTCGTCCCCAGTCAGCGGTGCAGTTCTGCTGCATCGCTCCAAGCTGTCCGAATTGGTTGGAGGCACCTGCAGCCGACCGTTAGCTATACTTCCAGTAGCACTGTGGGTATTGCGTACCATTGCTGATATTAAGCTCGGCGTAATTTGGAATCAGAATCGTATCACTTGAGCTTCCACCCGTGAGGGCGCCGAGATCCACAGCAGTGTTCAGGTTGTGGTTTGCCAGATACATGTACCTCTCCTCGGCATCTTGCTGTGTCAACCCAGGTGGACGCTGCTGTGAGCATGGGAAGCTCTGGTTGGTAGGCGAGAATGGAGTCTCCCAAATATGGGCGAATTCGTCCAATATATAAGGTACCTCCGTCTGGTTGGCATTGTAATCCATGAACATTACCACGCGCTTGCCCGTGAGGATCATATGACCGAGTGTGGGCCATTGTTGTCTGTATTGCGGGACGAACTCTGGCTCATACAGGTAGCTGGCAATTCCAGAATTCTGGATGGGAGCAACGTAATCCTGCACGTTGCGATAGTCGCTGTTGACAATCAAAAACGTGACCACGTCATATGGATTCTGCTCCAGCCAACCGACAAGAGTCTCGAGTTCCGACTGCCAAGTTCCCGCATTCAGAAGGTCGCAGGTGGTATGGCAGTTGTAGATGGTGTTGTTGACGTAGTGTGTCTCGCCTTGCAACATCCGTACCCCATCGTTCAACTGGTCCGTGATCGACAATTGCTGGTTGCTGGCAGCGTTGTTTCTCACCACGAAAGCCGAGTTGTGAGCACACACTTCGGTGATATTGCTATCTACGCCAAGTTTAGCATTTCCCAACGGGGTACAAGCGAAGTGTCACCATACACTGTCGGTTGCAAAATTCAGGGTAATTGTTGCAAGGGATTGTATTGACCGGTGTTGCTGAGCTCGATGTTCGCGTTGCTGTGAGGTTTGCACTATTCGATGTCGGGTTGGCCGTAATCTGAAGGATCGACTCCGAAGTTGTCGACCGTGTAATCTGCGAATTCGAACTTCTTGTTGCTGTGGCATTGCTGTTGCTAGATGACGAAACCGAACTCTGAGCGGTATAGGTCAAGTACGTGTACCCCGAGCCCGCGAAATCCGAGGTTGGAACAGACGACAATGTTGAGAATGTGCCAGTGTATGTCGGGTAGTCACTCTGTGCTCGTGCGCTAATGGCTGCCAAGCACAGCAACCACAGCGTCGTGGGTAGCATGGCGCCGCACCGGTCACACGCGGTGAGGTTGGCTGAGAGGGCGAGAGCGGCGAGAACAGAGAAGATTGGTAACAGCGTCCAGCGAAGAACCAGCGAGGCGTAACTATGTGGTGGAAAGATTTACGGATACCACTCACCTCGCGAAACACGCGGCACGCGCTGGTCAAGCTGGACGTTCGTCACCCTTTGGGGTCAACGTTGGGAGGGCAAACCTACACGCGTTCAGCAGATGCTCGGATGACGTTTGTGTTCAAAAATTTGGGTCTACAGTGACACTTCCAACGGGGTAGCGGATGGGTCGGATGCTATTCCATGCCCAAACCGCATTGGCCAAACCCAAAACTTGGGAAGTCTGCCTAGAGTCAGGCTGAAGCAGAGCGATTAATGTTAAGTAAAGCGATCCGTGACAACCCAATGTGGGGAGAGGAGGGATGTGTCGCCGCGGATCAGCGTTAATAGAGTTTCTTAGCGGGTGGTTGTTCGCGCCATCTCTGCGTGAACATTTTGTCGGTGACGTTGCGTGGTGGGAATATCGATGCTGCGGCAACTGGACACGCACATGGCCAACGACGCTTGACTCTGGTCTGGCATTGATGATGTCGTAAGCCTAAACCAACGGTAGGTGAGGTGCATTGTACGCCCCATCCTCGTCGTACACTCGACCGTCAATTCGGCCGTAGCCATCTCTTCTTACGCCAGTTTACCCTTTCACAAATTTTGTGCCATATTGACACAGGTGCCCACGATGTTTGGCCGCAAGAGGAGGAACAATGAGGAGACTGGTGACGACTTCGTCCGCAACAGCACACATACCGAGCGTACCCTCACAAACGACTTTGAGCCCTCGAAAGCGCAAGTCAAACGAGCTACGCGGACACGTCTTTGCTGGGCTTTGATCGCCTCCTTCTGCCTACTCATTGCTGTGGTTTTCCTGATACTGGTCGAACTCGGAGACACTCAGGTCAACTCAACGCTCAACCAAATTTATTTTATCCGACTGGACTTGACCAACATCATCCCCGTAACCGTGCCTGATGCGACGCTTATAAATTCTATTGCGCAAACTCTTGGGTTGCACGATTTCTATACCGTAGGATTGTGGGGCTTCTGCGAAGGATACAATGGTCAAGGCACCGTTGAGTGTTCCGCTCCGCAGACTCTGTACTGGTTCAATCCTGTGGAGATCCTGCAGAGCCAGTTGCTGTCAGGCGCTACTAGTCAGTCTATTCCTTAGGGGACTGACGAATCACGCTGACCGATCTTAGTCGCTCTACCCGCAGAGGTCAACGATATCCTTAGTCTCATCCGGACGGTCTCGAATTGGATGTTCGGTCTCTTCCTCAGCGGCGCCTGCCTGTCATTCTTGATGATATTCCTCGTACCAATATCAGTCTTCAGTCGATGGGCCACCCTGCCCATTATGATGTTCACATTCCTGGCAGCGCTCCTTGTCACCGTTGCCGCGGTCATTGCGACGGTTCTGTTCACAATTATGCAGGACGCCATCACCAGCCAGACAAGTCTGAATATCGGTGCAAGCATTGGCAGGGAGATGTTTGTTTTTATGTGGATCGCGGCGGCTACCAGTATTCTGGCATGGCTGATCATGCTCGGACAGTGCTGTTGCTGTGCATCGAGAAGAGATGTCAAGACTGGGCGGAAGAGGGGAAGCAAAAAGGCATGGCGCAATGCAGAGACGATGGGCGTCGGTGAGAAAGGGCCGGAGGAGAGGCGCGGTCGTTTCGGTAGACGGAAGGTTTAAATAATACATTAGCGACGGGGTTTGGCTGCATGATGTCTGCGATGGAAAGCAGGATAGCATGGCGTTCAGCAGGGCATGTATCTTTCACGAGCAATATTCAGACATCGCGTAGTTTTGAAGCCGTTGGCGCATTCCGCATCATCATCGATTGCGAGCGAAGCTTGGTACCAGTTTGGGCGGCTTGAGATTTTTCGTATTGATGGGATAACGATGCAGAGGAATGGATGCAACAAAGTGAACAATCTACTCATCGAGTATCGCGTAATTCACTTGGTCCGTGCTCGTCGCGCTTTCCCTTCGCGTCTGCCACTTGGTGCACAGCGCCCGCATGTCGCAACCTACGTTAACAGTACGTTGCTACAAGCGTCCCGTCAAACTAGAACGGAAGTACTGGAGCTGTATGACTATGCCGCCGTCCACACTGAAGCGAGTCACATCGACAGATCGAGACGTGTCGCCGCCGCCAGCCAAACGAAGGGCTGTGGCAACAACGGCTGCGAACTTCTTCACTCCAACCTCCCAGAAAGCGCCGGAGAAGGTTACCTTCCATGTACTGCATGACACGCTTCTGGTTGGCCGTTATAATGAGAGACCAACCATTTCAAAACTTGTAAAGATTGCTGCCTTTGACTTCGATGACACATTGGTCATGACGAAGTCGAAGAACAGGTTTGCCAGAGGAGCAGACGACTGGCAATGGTGGCATACGACTGTCCCATCCCGCCTGAAGAAGCTCCATCAGGACGGCTACGTGATTGTCGTCATGTCAAACCAAGCTGCGGTCAGTCTACGCCCCACCAGTAAGACACCGAAAGAGGGCATGCGCAGTCTCAACAACCTCAAAGGCCGAGTTACTGCTGTACTGAATGCGCTAGATTTGCCAATCACTGTATATGCGGCTACTGATCACGACATCTTCCGGAAACCTAGACCTGGCATGTGGGAGCAAATGCTTAGAGACCATGGTTTGTTGGATGCGGGTGACATAGACCACGAGAAATGCATCTTCGTTGGCGATGCAGCAGGTCGAGAGGCGGATAAAGCTGCTGGCATTCGGAAAGATCACTCATGCTGCGATCGCGATTTCGCTGCGAACGTCAATATGCCGTTCCGCACTCCGGAAGAATACTTCCTTGGAGAGAGGGTGAAGCCATTCGTGCGCGGTTTCGACCCAGCCGCATATGTTGCATCCAGGCCGACGTCTGAAATAGACCGCAGCAATTTCGCTAAGAAGCACGATGTGGAGATAGTTCTCCTCTGCGGCAGTCCTGGAGCCGGGAAGTCCACATTTTATTGGCAGCACCTGCAACCTCTTGGCTACGAGCGGGTGAACCAGGACATACTGAAAACCCGCGAGAAGTGCATGAAGGTTGCAGCAGAATACGTGTCGAGCGGTCACTCTGTCGCTGTCGACAACACCAACGCAGATATTGAGACTAGGGCGGCTTGGGTGGGCCTGTCGAAGCAACTGAAGGTTCCCATTCGTCTTGTTCATTTCACAGCGTCTGCAAAGCTCTGCGAACACAACGATACTGTGCGAGCCTTGGCTGGGGACTTGGTAAGTGATGCTGGAGTCGACTCGTCCACGCGTCAATGTTATGTGTTTCAGTGGTTGACACGTCGCAGATGAATCCCGAGAAGAGGACGATGCTTCCGAAATTGGCATTCACGGGGTACGCTGCTCGATATCGCGAACCGAAGGTAGAGGAAGGCTTCGATGACATAACAGAGAACGACTTCAAGGTGCGTGACTCCCCATTGACGCACCTGAATTAGACGTTCACAGCAGCTCAACCTCATGCAGTTTGAAGGCTCGGAAGCACAGAAAGCACAATGGGTGAGATATTGGGTGTCGTAACTTTATTCCTTGATAGTTGCTGATAGCATGGTCTCCGAAACCGTCCGAAAACTTCTTGCCACCAATGGAGAAGCTCGGCAACCAGGCTCCGCTGTGCTCGGAAGAGGACGTCGTGTGCCCCAGCTCCAGACGGGGAAGTCGTCCGCAGGGCACAGCAGCACGCGGACTTCCAAGAACCTGGTACAGGGGACTGCCATTCTACGGTGACGAGAAGCACCGCATACAAAACGTGGCAGTCCCAGCCTCCAGGTTGCATATCTCCATCAAAAGCGTCGCAACCCTTACAGAAGCAGCAAAGTACGGTGTGCCTTCAGTGAAACTATCGGTGCTCAGCAACAAGACTTCGTTTCGGCATTGAGCACAACCCACGACAAATGCTACAGTATCTCCTCCGGCGATCACTCAACGTGACAATCCAGTGACGCGATCACGCACAGTAGTAGTAGCCAAGTAGCGCGATTCACGATGCGCTGATCGCGCAGCTACAGCAGGCTAATAACCGCTGGCGTACCGTAGCAGAAGCCACAGCCTCGGCTACTTGCTTTTCCACGTTCTGAAACGGCGGGGCTGCAGAGAACCATCGTTAATGACAGCTTGGCTTGAGAGGTCACAGTAGGGTACTCCGGTTAGCATGTCCGGCAGCTAGGTCACGAAATGCGACCGTATTGGGATGTCGACAAATGGCTAGATCTTCTCACAATCAGATCCTAGTCCGTGAGATATGTCGCGTGCGCAGCCTGATCTCCAGTCACCAGTAACGACAGCGGCACTACCTTGACTTCGTGGTGCTCTCACACTCACAGCTGTGCGATTGGCAAGTGTCCGCACAACGAGCGCGGACATTCATAGTGATGACGAACAGACAATCGCAAAAGCACTGTTGAAACAGCCGGGAGACGGCGCTCTGAAAGCCACCCGGAGAACTCGAAACCTCAACGCTGCGGCGTGCGGTAACCCACCAATGTTGCTGCAGCTGACTACGCGACAGCGCTGCTGGAAGAGGGCATGATCTACAAGATTCGTGAACACCTTGCACGTCTGTCGCAAAGGTCGAAAGCGTTGCATGGCGAGGGCGTGGGTTTGACAATCGATGCACGACCGGGTTCGTGGCTGCAGCCGCGGTGCCACAGGGTCATCCTGCATCCATTCCCAAAGTTGAAGTTTGTCATGCTGCGAAACCTCAGACCTACAGCAAACACATTACAATGCTATTCTTGTCCCGTCGCACAACATCGTCCACGGAGGTTTCGTCTGAGTTTCTACGGTGTCGCGATCGACGACAAAACGTCGAAGAATTATAAAGCGGCGGAGACAGCGATCGCGCTGCGAAAAGTCTGGAGAAGTCCGTACGCCAGACATTTTAGCCGACGGCAGGCCTTGCGGCCATTCTCTGGGCCGCTCGCTCTAGCGCAGGTGGTGGCTGCAGAGCGTTGAACAGACCAATGCTTTTTGACGGGGGCAGTACCTCGGCCAGAAGGCGGACTCTGCGAGAAAGCTTGAGGGCTTTCGGTGTCGGCCTGTGGTACCTGAGGGGGTTGCTTTCGGAGACGCGCTGGCGGAGCGCTTTCATTTTCGGTTTGTGCCCGCACCTTATTGCGTGCGACTCGCTGTATTGGGACTGTTCCATTGGCATGCAAGATGAGCTGGCATCCTGTTACAGCCGCCAAATTGTGGGAGGTGCGACGCTCCCAGACGCTTCCCCGCCTCAATGGAGCATTCTGCCGCTGCGGCTCTCGACAGCGACAGGGCATGGGTCGGCCTGCAAGCGATCGTGCTGCCGTGAATCTGAGTTTTCTCGGTGGATCATCCCGCTCTTCTAGCTTCCTGCGGACAGCGGCAGCCAGGAACCGAACGCTCTAGTAATGCTTCGGCTCACCACAAATTCTTTCCCTCACCCGCCAATTCACCTTCGCCGTTCGGCGCCTGAACTCAACTCCCGGGGACAGCTCTGCTTTTTGGAGCTTGCCGCGTCTGTTCACCTCGGGCGCGACGGCACCTTCCAACCCATTGTCGCTCCCTTCCTTTCTCGTTGCCCACCATCCACTTCAGTCTGCACCTGAGACTGCATCCACTCCTTTCGGCGACGTTGGCTTTGTTTGACGCAGGCACAATCGCATCGTTGGCGACAGCTTACCGGCGACTCGTGCCAGCGCATTGCAGTGCGGCGCACGCAGCTCGTGGCACCTGTGAAAGCCACACAACTCAATTCCAAACGCGCATGCATGTATAGCAACATTCATTATGTCCGCGCGCATATGACGAACTCCAGCTCGAGATCACGTACAATATGAATAGAAGGCGTTCATCTACTATACCGGGGCCCTCGAAACCCAACAATCATCGGGCCGACATGCAGTGCTTCGAGCAGTCATATCAAGCATCACCGACTCACTCGCGCAATTCGTCAGGCGCGTCTACCGCATCGTCGCCGACTACACCGTCATCCATTCGAAGCCACAACCGCTGGCCCAGCTCCAGCTCGTCTCTGATCAGTCCGGACTCGCCTGTCAATCTCACCAAACCCGCGCTACACGATCTAGTAGAAGATCCAGCTGAGGATTCCGGACCTGTTGACGAACCCATATGTATCTGTATGCTTTAGAACGAACCGTGTGAACTGTACATATACTTACTTTCACAGGTGATACCACTATACTTTGCGAACACCGCACGAGGTTGCGGTCTTCGCAACTGTCAGGCAACCCGCCGTCGACTCTGGAGTGGTTGCCTGGCGACGATTGCTTCAATGATGGTGAGCTTCCCGGGACGCGCTCCCCGAAGCGGCGGCGATCTGGCGAGTACAGTTCAGACAGCTTCACCGCGCGGCTAAGTCGGCACTGGCCCTCAATTTCCAGGCGCTGGAAGGAACATAGAGCCTCACTCTCCGTCACAAGCATCTCGAACTGGAGCGCGCCACCTTCTCGGTCGTCGTCTGTAAGGTTGCCGTCCTTCCGACGCTCCGTGATTGCGCCAGTGGAGCCTGTGCTTCTGTCAACTCCACCCTTCACCCCAATCGACAACCAGCCGGTCGAGAATGCTGTTTCTCGGCCGCGAGCACTGTCACGGCCGAACAAGCCAGCAGACATACAGATCCCGGACCAGTCGGACGATTTCGCAGACGGGCAAGAGCTCGTATCTACACCCCTTCTTCCTCCCGTAACAGCTGAGCTTTCTGCCCACGCGGCAGAAGAAGTCCAGTCACCCCTGCAATCGCCAAGCATAGCAGCTCCCAGCGTAACAGGGTCCATACTGGGTACGCCCGTAATGACACCCGTTCACACCAGCATGCCAACACCACCGTTGTCCTCAAAGCCATCAATGGTATCATTCGGAAGGGCACGGTCGACATCTGCGCTGCTACCCTTCTCCGAGATTCCGCCAATGGCAATCTCCGAGGAGACGGATGAGTGGGCCTTCAAACTGGGGCACGCTAACTTCCACATCAAGCCCGACCCTTACCTGCCTGAGCATTGCAGTCCATCAAGCTGCAAAGAGTTGCTCAAACATTGGGAATCTGCTCGTAAACAGATCATGGAGTTTGCTGCGCGCTTCCGTGAGGAATACGGCTCCGGGTCGCCAACATTCAAGCTCATGGAGCAAAAGTGGGCGGAGCTCGATGATCGCTGGCGTGCCTACTATGAGAAAGCAGCTGCCGAAGCCGGTGTGAACACTGATGATATTAATTTCCGCCCGCTCGCAGAGAGCCCTCCTCTGGTCAGGGTTCCGTCGCTCAACGAGCCAGAGCATCCTCCCAAATTCCCGGGCCTTGACGACGTTGGCATTGTGGGTCCCATGGTCGCATATGCGAATACCTATGCGAAAGCTCAAAGCCGGCCCTCTCGCAAGCCTGCTATTCTTAAACTCTTCACTGACCCGGCCTCACTCCTTGGCGGACGGTCAGCATTTGGCATTCGCCGATGATCGATAATGAGGTGCAATCATCTCATCTGTGCAAAGTGATTCACGACATTCATGATAACGAACTCATAACGAAGTACCCACGGTAGTGCACCTAGTGCTCTGGACCACCGGATCAGGCATCTATGCAGCCTGTCCACCATGGTCAGCAGTAGGATAAATGACAGGCGTCAATAGAGATAATCTTCCAACAATGCCCGCAAGGGTTGGAGTCACTGGTCCCCAGAGGGGCGGATAACTTGTATTAGATATCCATTGGCAAGCGTGGGCAGCAACACGATACGCTTCTCAACGGCGTGTGGATAGCCAAACGCACATGGCAATACCGCGCCGTACAGCATGGGTAGACAGGCAGGCTTCGAGCCTCATCGCCTTAGACGTTAAGCCTGTACAAAAGTTGCCATTATGCTCACCATCTAGAAGTGCGCGTCTAGCGAGTCCCTTCTCTGAGCTTTGACTCTCCGTCAGCACTTTAATCATACATGGTGCCTGCTGAGGCGTTGCTGCTGATAAGGGCACCGAGCAACAGCTCGATCAAGCTTCTTCTGTGTCTTGCGCCTAGTAGTGATGCTTACAATGCAATCTACCTTGGACTATTCGTCGATGATGGCACACGATTGCAATGCCGTATGGGTTGCAGTGGATGGTGTCCGTCAGAGCATAGTTCTACGTACGGACTATGTCGCGAATACTGTTCGTGGCTTGCAAGCGGTCAGCTGAGAGAAACCACTTGCGCGGCTTCCCGCCGATTAGCCGCTACCTCTGCGGGAAACACAAACTTCATCTTTCCAGTTAATACCCAACTCCCACGCAAGGTGCTACATGCCCACGAGAACGACTCTTGACGTGCATACCTCGTGCGCGCATCTATCCGACTTTGAGAGTCTCTCGGTTCCTGGAGCTCAGGCAGGACGGTCAGCATCCGCGTTTGTCGCCCGCGCGATAGCCCGAAGCTGAGGCTGTGTGTAAGATATGTTTCAGAAATCTCACTGCCACCACGCCGCCAAGTCATCTAGCCCACCTTGTGTAGAGCTGGACGGATACGAACGCCTCGTGGCGCGGGCGCAAGTCCGAGTCCGAATGGCTAGTATGTATGGTATCCGCCTCATAAGTCTCCTGCGTCTTCATCTGCGTCTGTTCTCTCCCATCGTGACACGCCGGAGAAAGTTCAGATTCTCACTTTCCGAGCTTCCTTGGGAAACGGGGCAGACAAGCAAGAGTCACGAGCATTGCATTCAAGGCTTTGCGACGTGAATATGGTGCACCTTTCCCTGCAGCATCGCGTCAAATACAAGAGACAGGCTTCCTTCTATGGCGAAACCTTCAACACTGCATGGCGCCGAACGCTGCTCGGTCTCTCCGTCACGGCTGCCATACTTAATGTGATGTTCCTGCTGGCTGGCATCTTTATGGTCGTTCTTACTGGGTACTCGTGGGAGATTAACGATCGATGGCACAAGAGCGGCGATGTGGAAGTCGACAGAATGTAGGCTATCTTTCCCGCTTTCTATACGTCCCACACGCTGACTGACGGCGGCTACAGAGGTACGGCGTTCTTCTGGCTGACGATCCCACTCCTGCTCGCTGTCCTCAGCATTGCCGATAGCATCATCCAGCGTCGTGCAGGCGCTCCCAGAGCTGGACTGTCCGCAATCTGCGCCGTCATTGGCTTGCTAGGCTGGGGCACACAGTTTGGTATGGAGAGTACCTGCTTGTTCACGTTGTCGTATAAGGACGGCCAGTACACCGTAGGCGCAGACTTCTGCCCGTGGACCTTCAAGAAAGGCTGGCATCCCGGAACATACTTTCATTCTGCCCTCGGTGTAGGATACTACTTTGCTTGGTCTGCTATATGCATGCTCGTAATGTAAGACTCATCCTTTCTTCACAAGGTCTCGACACTAACAGAGGTCTTCAGCTACTTCGTGCACATTATCCTTGCAGCAATCGTGCTCTTCCAGCAGCGCAAAGTCTCTGCAGCGCCTTTCACTCGGAAGCGCGCATATTCATACCACTCGCCTGTAGATGGCAAGGAAATGCTTACAAACCGCGATATGCCGGATCGCAGCGCCGCCACGACACCCAGGCCATATGACGCGGACCACGAGTTGAAGGAACCACTGAGCTATCACCGGCCTGCGAGCATGTCTCACGATGACCTTGCAGACGATGAAGAGAAGAAGAGGTTGGTGGCGTAGAAGGTGGCACATATGTGCCATGCATTGGATGTTAGACGTCGGAGTCGCGTGCTCTAGATGTACAAACAATGCCGACTCCTCTAGGAAAGTATGCTGGTGCCGTCTGCTCAAGGAAAGGGTATCAAGATGCCTCCATACCACGCCACAATAACACCCTTGCCATGCTGTGGCATTGAGAAAGCTCTAAAGCTTCGCCTTTAATGCTTCGTTCCCATTCGCCGTTGCGGACGCCTCCTTGTTCAGTTCAACCCTCCCATTGCCTTCGCCTTCGCCGAAGAAGATAACCTGCACTGTCAGATCGTCTCTGTATCGCCGACTATACGGCGCTGGCAGTGTGAGGAGCGCAGACAGCATGTCCGAGTCTTTCCCACCCAATGCGTTTCGCACCAGGTGGGTCGCAGCATTCCGATCCTCTACGACAAATCGTTGGTCTTGGCCCGTTTGGACACCCCATTGCTGCTGCCGGATTGGCGCACGCTGACCACCCTCATCTTTTAAGTCGTGATGCTCAACGGGAAGAGAAGCGGCTTTCTGCGTGCTAAACCAACTCTGTAACCAGCCACCAGCGCTGTTAGCAGACCGGCCAACAGTCAGATTGGTGCCGCTAATCGACGCTTGCTTCTCGAGCCACTGGCCAACCAAACCGACGACTTCTTCATTAGTGAGCATCTCCCACAGTCCATCTGACGCCATGACCACAAAGTCGCCCTTGGTAGGGTCTACCTTGGTAGTGGTAACGACGGGCTCGGCGGTAACGTACGGCGGCGTCTTACAAAGCTTCGACGGTGAACGGCCGAAGTAAGACGCATTCAGCTTTTTCTGCGTCTCCGTAGACCACTTATAGATGGCGTCGCCGAACGCTCGGCTTGGCTCAAGACCGCCTAGGATTCGCCCATTCTGCGTGACATACGGCTCGCCAGGGTGTTCAGCTCGCAGCCTGGCATCTTCTGACGCTGTGCCACCAGTTTGATCGATCGATAGAGCGGTGGCGGTCCATTTGCCACTGCTACCTCGTCGGCCAAGTACAGCACGCGAGTCGCCTGTGCATGCTACCTTGAGCTCCTTCGAGCGTGAATCGTAGAATGAAAGGAGTGCGCATGAGCCGGATAGCGCAGGCGCAAGAATCTCCGCAGCGACGACCTTTGACTGCGATTTCAGAACCTTGGCTACACTGTCGTGCGTGATCTCGTTATCTAGCGTCACGAAGCCTTTCTTGATGGCCGCATCCACCGCGTCCGGCGTCGGAAAGGTAAGTTTGGGATCCTGCAGCGCCGACTTGTAGGTCGCGTTGAGCTCCCTTGCCACATACGACACTAGTGTTTGCCTTAGCTTAGCAGATGTAGTCCAGCCAGCGTGACCGTCGAAGACACCCCAGAACATCCAGTCCGACCTCGTCTTGCCGTCTTCGGCAGCAGCGATCGTGTCAGGCACCTCAACGATCTTTTCGACGTGGTCATCCTCTATTGGGTCATTGCTGGGTATCTGCACGACATCATACCGCACCACGCCTTCCCCTCTGCCTACAAGGTAGCTCTCCTCGTTTCTCCGCAGCATGGCCGTGGCTTGCTCGGGGGTAAGCATCTCGAGCACTTTGCGACCGGATTGGTCGGTCTCTTTGCTGATGGGCTGATCTGCCGGTATTTGCGCAGTGTAAAGGTTGCCCTGGTCTACAACAAGCGCCTTGCGGACAGCCTCTGGCAATTGAGTCGCGCCTAGCACGTCGACCGACTCGCTTACGCCGGCAACTTGAGTGTCTGCAGTTCCAGTGCTGTAAGGCCTACTCTGTCCCGATGTAACGCTTGGTGCAAGTGAAGTCGTAGTGGGGCTGTTGGATGGTACAATCCCTTGGTGCTGATACTGCTGGTAGCCATAGTACCCAGCGGCGGCAAGACCTGCGACAGCTATGGGCGTCGATACTCGCCTGGTGAAGCGCATCGATTGCTGCAGTGTTTGTTGCGGGTTGCGGTTCGCTACCGAACGCTGGAATAAGGCATTGTACGGTCCGCCAATGCGCAGCTGCTTGAGCGCTTTACGTGGGTTCGGTCGGCGGAAGGTGCGCAGATTCTGGATGACTGCGCGACGCATTGGAAAGATACGCTCATGCGAATCGCATTCGGTTCAGCATGTCACAAGTGTAGACTCGAAGATCGTTTTGCTGCTGTTCACAAGGCTGCCTTGAGTAGTGCTGGTGTCGCAGCGTTGCGGCCGCTCGAGTATCAGTGCTGAACGCGGCTTAGCGTAGACGCCAAGACTTCTGCCGCGGCTCTTCCCTTCGCACGCAAATTGAACATAAGACAGCGAACATCCAGCCTTCGTAGTCGCAGTAGTTGGACGTCCACGCACCGCTTGCTAAGCGCAATGTCTCAGCAGTCGAAGTCAAAGAAGCCGTCCGCTGGCAAGACCGGGCAGGGTCGCAGCGCCATTGAGGATGTTGTCGCGCGCGAATACACCATCCACCTCCACAAGCATGTACGTTCAGTTTGATGAAGTCCACGGATGGCCATCTTGTCCCTGCAATCGCGGGCCGATGGCATCGGACGGAAGACTGAAGACAAGAGCGAGAATCTAACAGATATGGAAAGGTTCACGGCGTGACGTTCAAGAAGCGGGCACCGAGGGCCGTCAAGGCTATCAGAGAGTTCGCGGCGAAGGCTATGGTATGTCGGCAATGTTTCAATAGCTCAGATATGCTCAGTACTAATCTTGTATTCTGCACAGGGCACATCCGACGTCCGCCTTGATCCACAACTCAACAAGAAGGTCTGGGAGTCTGGCATCAAAGGTGTTCCTTTCCGCCTTCGTGTACGGATATCACGCAAGCGTAACGACGAGGAAGGTGCGAAGGAGAAGTTGTACTCTTACGTGCAGGCGGTGAACGTCAAGGATCCAAAGGGTCTACAGACTACAGTGGTGGAAGATGCATAAGCTTGTCGTGCAATGAGTCTGGCGCAGAGCGGCGTTCTTTCTCACGTCTTACGGTAGCGCCGTGTAATGGCGACGATGTTACTTCGCAATAGGTTTCATCAAGCGCAAGTGCGCAATGCCAAATGTACTGGCCTGCCAGCGCATCTTAAAGATGACCGCTCGAACTTTCTCCATCTATTTGTGCACGTACATGCGATCACAACGAAATAAGACAAGCGTGGGGACACAGCGCTGGCATTGTTACAGTCGTTTCAGATGGAGACCATCACTCGACCTCACATCCGTGGTTAATAGTCCTGGCCGTGAAAAGAGTAATCCATAGGTCTTCACATGACTGGTCAGTCATTGATCAGTGGTCAATGCGCAGGCATCGGCCCGGCTCCATCAGCACCTCTTGTGAGTCTCGCAAGTTGAAAGGTTCCCTCAAGACCTTGACAACCAATTGCTTTGGCTGCAATCTGCAAGCTGTATCTGATCAACCGACAGCTGGGTAAGTGCAGCAGCGGTCGCGTGTAAACGGAGGATAAAGGTCAAGCTCGGAGCTTGTGGCCATGTGACAACTTCTAGAGTCCTGAACACAACGGCGAGCAGTCTCGGTGTTTCTGCCTGACACGTTCTCTCGGAGTCTGTCTGTTGCAGCGACTACAGACTTCGCTGCAATGTCTGTCATCTTGTGCACCGCTGGCTATGATCACACTATTAGGTCCGTCCGTTCCGTTCCGAACACGGCTTCATCTCAGGCTCGTCTTCGACAGCAGCTTTACCATCCACTTCTGCCCAACCCTTACATCAGGCTCATATCTGTACCGTAGTGCTGATACCTCCGCGATAGGTTCTGGGAAGCCCTCAGCGGCATTTGCTCAAGAACGATACCGCATCCAGACTCTCAGGTGAACCGTCTCTGCATCTCCCCGGACAAGCGATACCTGGCAGCTGCCGGCCACCATACTGTTAAACTCTACGATGTCAAGTCGTCCAATCCGGCTGCAGTGCTTACGTTTGAGGGTCACTCTGGTAACATTACTGGAGTCGCTTTCCATTGCGAAGGTAAATGGATGGTGACGAGCTCAGAGGACGGTACGTAAGACGCCAATATCATTACCGCTTCTGTACTCGAATCTCACTTCTCCATAGGGACTGTCAAGATCTGGGATACCAGGAGTGGTCACATCCAGCGTAACTACTCACACGGCGTTCCGGTAAATGATGTTGTGATCCACCCCAATCAAGGCGAGCTCATCTCTTGCGATAGAGGCGGCAATGTCCGCATCTGGGATTTGGGGGAGAACAAATGCTCGCATCAGCTCGTGCCTGAAGAGGACAAAAGTGTCGCCTCGGTCACAGTGGCCACAGATGGCTCACTCTTGTGTGCCGCTGTTAGTAACAGCGTGCACGGTGCGGTATACGTATGGCGACTCATCACAGTCCGCGATGTAACAAGTCTTGTACCGGTGACCAAATTCAAGGCGCACGGCACGTACATCACACGTGTCCTCCTTTCGCCGGACGTCCGTCATCTGGCCACCTGCTCAGCGGACCATACCGCCCGTATCTGGGCGGTAGACCTGGAGAACACGGTGCAGCAAGCGGACTTGGACAGCATCGAGGAAGAAGACCAGGAGTCGGCAGGCTTCGAGCTTGAGCAAGAGCTCGATGGCCACCAACGCTGGGTGTGGGACTGTGCATTCAGCGCAGACTCAGCTTACTTGGTCACGGCTTGCAGTGACCATTATGCGAGGCTATGGGAGTTGCAGAGCAAGACTATTATTCGACAGTACAATGGGCATCACCGCGGCGCTGTCTGCGTGGCATTGAACGACTACTCCGAGACGCGGTAGCTTCGACTGTTGCCATAGGCGAAGAATCTTGTGGTCTCACTACCGCGCTATCTTCTCAACCAACGGAATGGCGCGGAAGGTGTTGTATTTCACATCCAGAGATTGCATCACGCCACTTTCCGTGCAGGGCAAAGCATCGCTCAGATGCTACCGAACTGTGCAATCTCACCCTCAGCATGAGTACTTCCAGGCAAGACACAGACGCGAAGGAAGTATTGGTTTCCAAGATGCTTCCGAATTATCATACTTCGAGACTTGTGGATAGGAGGACAGCTTCTTCCGGGAACGCCACCCGGAAAGTAGGGCATACCGTGGTCGGTAGTCCGCAGAAATGGTTCCACCGCTTGATCTCGAACTGCATCAGCAGGTCACAGTCGAGGTAATCACACTAGTTGTGTAGACTGGAGCAAGTGAAGCCACGGTGGTAATGGTGGTCTAGATATGCAAATCAGCAAGGGTATCCGCGCAGACGTTCGGGATGCGACCATCACCGCGGACTTACACCGTATGTCGCCGTCGTTGTGCTGGTGCTTGAGATTGTCAGGAACGTTTGGAAGTATTCATTTGTCAAAGTCGTTGTGGGCGAGACTGTTGTGCTTGCGGCAGCAAAGACAGTAGTCTTCGAAGTAGTGGTTGCCACCGAAGTTGTATATATCACGCTGGTGGAAGTAGGAATCGACAAGCAGCTAAGCATCGGTCAGTAACCACTCGAAGCGGATTGCTGCGTGTGCAAGGCTATACTATACCTGCAGGCGCTGGATATCTCGGCAGGACTGTAGGCAGACCAGGCAGAAGGCAAGCCCGTTGTGCTCGTGGCACGACGTTGCAACGCATTTCCGAAGCCCTTCTCTCGTTCACCAACTGCGAGACTGCATCCAGAGGCGGTGACGCTAACGCTACGTCAGCGCTGCCATCACCTCTATGCGGCGATGGTGTGGTTTTACATCTGTGTGACTAACTGCGTATATGTTGGTGCTGGAGCCGTTGATGTGACGGTAGTAGCTGAGGTAGTTGTCGTGAATGAAAGATATAGGTATCGTTGCGTCAAGGTGCTGCGAAGTCATAATGAGCTCGATGTGTTGTGAGCTTTGGTGGAGCAGTACTCACGTTCCAGGCGTTACTGTGACCAGAGGAGCGGTCACGGTGGTGGTGCCGGTGACCGCTGTCGTTGTTGTTGGGACATACCTTGATCAGCCGTTAGTCTACTGGTAGAGTAATTACCTCGAAGCGGCATCGGGTCTATGGCAGAGTTCTCTCTCAGTGGCAAGCAGCAGACCAATCTCTCTGCCATGAACCCGATGCGCTGAGGTAGAATATCGGATCGCTTACGATGTCCTGTAAATCGTCGCTGTGGACGTGACCGCAGGGACGGAGAGGTAGAATGAGCAGATGGGTGTCGCTGCAGTAAGCGACGAAGCCGAGATGAGGATCGACGTGACCGCACTGCAGTAGGCTGAGTTGGTGGCGCTGAAAGCAACGGAGGAAGACGTAGTTGCAACGAGAGCAGGGACTGGACTCGCTGATGCTGCGACGGCCAATACGAGAAGTCTGACTAGCTTGTAGGACTCCATCTTCTGAGTTCTGTAGATAGGTAGAATGACCAAGTGGAACAACTGGGAACTCTATGCTTACGATGTATTGAGGAAATGTAGAGTGTTATATGCATCTTCGTGGACCCTTCACAAGGTAACGACTGAGCGCCGCCGATTGTTGGACTTATGGATGTCTCGCATCTCTCGAAGACAACATTCAGCCTCTGTCAGGTGCGCCACGGTGTATTGAGAGGCAGCCCTAGATGGCTGTTAATGCTTTCATCAGGACGAAACGGACCTCCGGTGGCGTGAGTAACACATTCGCGAGGCTTCCGATCGCGAGCGCTCAGGCCTTGAGACATGGCAGAAAGCAATGTGGCTTGCGTACGACAACTTTAGGCTCAGCTGAAGTCTAAAGGACTCGGCAAGCTGGCAGTCCTCCTCTATGCACCAGCTCTCAGCACCCTTGTCTGGCATACGTGGTTCAGAGAGGTACTTGGTCCAGAAAGGTACGTTAGTGAAAGCGAGCATAACCGCTTCAGCCAAGACGCAGGTTAGCATCAGAGCCGGAGCGCTTCAGCCCCAGCTTTAAGCCACGAAGTGCTGGAAAGCGTGGAAACAATCTTGTCCAGACCATACATTCCAGGTTTAGCTTTCGTCGGGTCACAGGCAAGAACACAGTCTCCCCTAACGATACGGCAGAAGACAGTATATTTTGTGTGCCTAAAGCGAACCCGTCTATGCACCATCGCCACTGCAGAACAGAGCGTTGCGGAGTAGGCGGGATTATGAACGGCAGGAGCATCGGTTTTGGTCACACGGGAATATGCACTCATCAATGGAAACTGAAGGCACAAGGGTATGTTGGCGACCGATTTGGTATCATGAGAAGAAGAGAGGAAGATTGGAGGAGGAGAGCGGCGTTAAGTTTGTGTGCTTGACTCGTGACGTTACGCCAGCGGGCATGTACCGGCGCTAAACTTCAATGGAGGTGACAGGACAGGTCCGGTGCTTGGTACCGGCCCCATGGCTACAACTAGCATATAAATACTGTAGAGCTAGTCGCTGTTCGTACGTGTTTGACATACGGCCTGCAACTGTTCCTTCAGTATGTCCAGTGCTCAGAGCTCAGATCCAACTAAAGCACGTAAGTCTCCCTTTCCACAAACAACCAGAAGCAACAGGCACAAATTAGCGATCCAATGGGGGAGATGTAGCTGACACCGTGAACATGAAGCGTCCAAGAAGAAGCGGAAAAGCAAGAAGAAGACCCACGGCAAGGCTCAAAGCACGGAAGCATCTGCACTGTCAAACGGAGCAAAGAGCGAGCACGATGCAGATCCGGAAGATGACGATGAAGACGATGAGACTCCGGAGTCACCTGCGGTACATTTGTGATATGTGTCGCGCATGAAGGATGACAAGCATGCTTATAGCAACCGCAGAAGACTTCCTTACCCAGCCACCTGCAGACCGAAGACTCGCTTCACATGCCATCATCACCGCCTGGTCCGTCTTCGCCAGTTAATCAAAGCGAACCTCCAACGCAGAATGGAGCACAACAGCGCGATCGGGACGTAGATGGAACCGAAGTCCAGCAAACGATGACCGCAAATGCGGCTGACGAGCCTTCTGCCCCTGTATCGGATACCGCCGCACGTCTGGAAGCCATGCAACAGGAACGTGACAGCTTACACGCCGAGGTCACAAAGCTCAGACAGAGTATTGAGTCGCTGCAGGCCAAGCATGAGGAAGACCTGGCGATCGTCAAGGATGACCTAGAACAGTCGCAACAGAGCAAGGAGCACGCAGAAGCACAATATCGTAGCCTACTCGGTAAGGTGAACACGATACGCTCACAGCTGGGCGAGCGGTTGAAGCAGGACGCGGAGGAGCTGGAGCAAGCAAGGGGCAAGATAGAAGAGCTCGAATCGAGTAGCGACGCAGTGAAGGAGGACAACGAGCGGCTGCAAGGCGAAGTTTCCACCCTCAACAGCAAGCTTGAAGAACAAACCTCTGAGATTGAGAGCTTGCGAAGTCGAACGACATTGTCTACAAGCAACTGGGCGAAAGAGAGAGATGACTTGATTCAGCGGGAAGCTTATATTCGAGAAGAGTATGAAGTCGCACGACAAGCTATGCAAGACTGGGAGATTCTAGCAACGGAGGAGCGCAGTCGGAGAGAAGCGCTCGAAGAACGAATGACGGATTTGGAAGATCAGCTTGGTGGGTCAAGGGAAGCTTATGAGCGTGTTAGAAGCGAAGCGGAGACGCAGAACAGTACTGTGGATGGCCTACAGCGAGCGCTGCGTGACTTGCAAGAAGAGCGCAAAAAGGAGTTACGAGAGATGGTTAAGCAGTCGCAGGCGCAGTTGGACGAGCTGAAAAAGCAGGCCAAGCTCGCGGAAGACGGCGCTGCAGAGTTGAAACAGCAACTAGAGGTTATGAAGAAGGAGCTTGACCGGGCGTTACCTTTCGAGAAGGAGGTGAAGGAGAAGAACCTACTTATCGGCAAGCTGCGACACGAAGCCGTCATCCTCAACGACCATCTCACCAAAGCACTACGGTTCCTGAAGCGTGGCAAGCCGGAAGATAACGTTGACCGGCAGCTCGTGACGAACCACTTCCTACACTTCTTGGCCCTTGACCGCAGCGATCCTAAGAAGTTCCAGGTCCTGCAACTCATTGCAGCCTTGTTAGGTTGGGATGAGCAGCAAAAGGAGCAGGCCGGCTTGTTACGAACGGGCAGCTCAGGAACAGGATCACTCAAGCTGCCGATGTCGCCTTACAGACGTACGCCCAGCACCCCGGCGCTGACCGGTGACTTTGTGCCAGAGTCACCGGGCGGACCACAGAGCAAGGAAAGCTTGGCGGAGCTGTGGTCGGACTTCTTGGAGCGGGAGTCTGAAGCTGGGGGTGGTGGAAGCCGGAGAGGTAGTACAACGAAGAGTGTGAGAAGCGCGAGCCTTGTCGGTCAAACTGGTGGACTTGGCATTGTGAGTCCAACTAGCGAGCTTCCAGGACGGGTGAGTCCTGAGATCAGGAGGACTGATAGTGGTGGAGGCAAATGAGTAGCATACATCAGCTTGACCACTGACTTTAGCTCGGAAACGGCCGGGCGCGCACCCGATCAGCGATGATCACCCCAGCGACGATCCAGTTTCATCAGAACCACTCGTTGTGTCTTGAGCAGCTGCCTGGTGACTTCCCAGCTCAACGTCCCTGTTCTCAACACGATACTTGTCATTTGCCGAATAACCAGATCTTCGAGTTTTATATTAGGGTGCTTTTTAAGCACAGCAGCAGGTGATCTCTCCTTTCTTCGTGCCATTTCATGCTCGTGATAGAACTGTAGCTGGCGGAGAAGATTCCGCCAATGTGGGGTCGAACCATCCGTAAGATCCCAGAAAACACGGGGTGCGGTGTCAGCGGGAAGTGAGACGTGCCTTCGCTTTTCCATGATGAGTAAGGCTGGGTCGTAATCGTGGCAGACGGCAATGAAGGTGTTATTGGCGTAGAACATCTTCAGAGCCTCATTACGGACTTGTTTGCATGTTGCAAGAAGTGCTGGCCGAGCGTAGCCGTTGACTGTAAGGATGATCTCCTGCTTGAAGGGAAGAAGGTGGCAGTAAATGCGGTTACGAAGCTCCGGAGGTATATCGAGCAGTCTGCATGGCGGAGTGTGAGCCTCCATATTGCTTTGAGAACACACCTCACTTAAGATGACGAGTGTTGTTGCTGGCTTGGGTGAACGGACCACTTTCGGTGGGGTGGAGTAGCGCAAACGGCGAAAAGTGGAAGGAACGAATGTCTGGGGGGCCAAAGCTTGGACCAGCTCAAACCCGGCTTGCAATTGCTTTGGGCATAACCCTAGGCTCGAGCAAGTATAGCTTCGAATGGCACTTATGGCGGAAAGATATAAGTAGCTACAGGGCTGCTTCAAGCCGGTCCGAGAATCTGCTTCCACAATCGAAGCAAGAAACGTGACGCAAAGGCTACTCTGTGCCATTCATCAGCAACAGACATGAGGCAAGTATCATGCTCAAGGCTCTACCGCGTCTATTGGACCTTATCGTCCGTGTCAGGTCCGCCTCCCTAATTCTAGTCCTTTCCCCAGGCAGGGTTTACCTCGGCCAGGAGCACCCTTTGCGCTTTCAGTATTTCCACGGCCTTCTCCCAACTCATCGATGGTGTACCAATGACAGTGGCGAATAAATTGCATATAGCAAGACCTTCGAGTCCGTATACAGGTGGTTTTGACATAGCCTCGATGGGGGACTGCGCAGTGTCGATGATCTCGAGACTGTGACGTATTTGTAGCCACCTCAGCAGATTGGGCCAATAGGGGCGTGTACCAGGCTCATGCGCCAGCGCCAGCGCCACCGAGTCCGATATGTCCAAGTAGGTGAATAAGCGACATTGCGCCTCGAGGATGACCGTTGAATCCCAGTCCTCGATGAGGATGATGAAGCAATTCTCGAGGTAGGAGATGCTTGACGCTTCGACACGGATCTGCTTGCAAGTTTTTAGCAGTACAGGCCGGTGATAGCCCGAGATATTGACCCGGACTGCTCATGACGTGAGCAAGACATCTCGACATATTCGATTCCGAAGTTCGGCAGAGATCTCAAGCAGTCGGCAGGGCGGACTAGGTGGGTTTGACATCTCGGTGGCCACGTGCTTGATTGGTGACTGTTCGTTTTCGTGAACGGCGTGCTTATGGTTGTCTCGCGCCATAGTGCGGTATTCGTTGTGGAACATCGGTGTTGTGTCGTACGTCCAACGCCCAAAATTGAAGTTTGTAACTGGAAGCTGATCGATAGGGAGGGAGCAAGCTCTGGTGTCGAAGCACGGACCGTGTCGAGACTCAAGGGTGAACAGCGCTACCGCCTCTGGCCTCTTGTCCCCGCTTACTCGCCGGCACACTCTCACCAATCGCTTGCAGTTCTTCCTGATCCGGCTGGCTTATCTCAACACTATCATTCTCCTGCCCCGTGTACGCTGAGCCCTGCAGCGCCTTCATCGCCGCGGACTCCTTCTCCGCCCACACTTTCCAGCCCTTGTACGCCTCGTCTTCAAGCTTCATGCCGACATCGAGGGGCCCAAGACCGAAGAAAGCACCCGTTGACAGTGCCTCCTCTCGCGCTACTCGTCGTTCGATCTCATTGTAGTGCCGGTGCCGGTAGAACTCTTTTCTCGCGGCGTCATACGCAGCAGAGGGCTGCATGCCGGACGCTATAAGGTGCGACTGACGTTGGATCACACTGTACTATCATTAGTGACTGATTTCCGTCAAGACGGGGGATTTGTTTCTGCTCACGCTTCACCATTGATGGGTCTCGAAGCCTGCTGCTCCATCGTCTGATCCCACTGCGTATCCAGCATCGTACCCTCATCATCTATAGACCCAGACCGCGGTCTGTTCAGACTATGGTCAAGAGGCACGCTCCAATCCCACCTTTCATTATCTCTGCCATCTCCTTCCAGGATCACCCTCGGCCTTGCCAGCTCCCACGGGTGATCATTGAAGTATTCCCATCTTAGCCGGTCTTCTTCATATTGTAGTCGTAAAGGTTGGAATAACCGCGATGCCTTCTTGCCTGGTCTTTGGGTGCGCTGCATTGCAGGTCGTGTGAGGCGTTCCGCAGGCGGTACGGTGCCCATCACTTCGAACCATGGAGGTTGGGGAGCAAAGCCGTTGATGCTGTTGTGCAGTATTTGTGATGCATAGGTATGTACTCGCTGCGGCGCAAAGTCGTAGCGGCCCATGGTGTGTGTCCTCAATCGTTCAAGTAAGCCTGCTGCCCGTCTCCTCGCGGCGAGATTCTAGTCGTATAATTCCGCTGCGCCTGGCACTTTGTCCTCTGCTAAATGAACCGGTAATGGATGTCCGATTTTGATATGCAATGCTTGGTGCACTCGGATGAGATGGCACTGCCACGACCTCCGCGGCGAGAAAGCTTGGCATCAATGGCAGAGCTCCGGGTCGCACCAATACTCTTTAATGAGAAGTGCATGGCACGCGACACTGATAAATTATTACGGTGGAATTGCAAGCAGCTAGAGCAGGCATTGATGGGTTCGCGATCATGATGCAAGCAACTCTATGCCCTTCCCGAGCTCTGTTATCCGACTATGGGCTGCCCGACTCGCCTCGAAGATCGCTCTATGCTCGGCGATGACCTACGATTTATACCAACTCTCGAAGGCGAAAAGCAAAGACGGTTCAAGGAAGTTGGCGGTAAATGACGAGAGCCGAAGGCGATGGTGGAGCAGTGTGAGGAGCGAAGGTGGTCATCTTGAAGATGTCTTTATTCGCTCGCTCGTGGCGGCAGGGTCGTGCCGACAGCATGCACAGCGCAGGGTAGATGGCCGCACAGCGACCAAGAGAGATTGTGGGAAGGCAAAGCGACGCTCATATGCGACCAGTTGTGCAACAGCTCGACGCTTCTCTACGTACTCTTCTCAGCGGCAAGTGCCAGCAGCCCTACCGTCTCCGGTCGATATCACCCGGAACGAATATAGGGAGTTGGTCAATATCTACAAATCTCCAACAGACCTTTGGGACAAACCAGAGCACAATCAGCAGCACTTCCCGCTCGCTCCTCGGCTCGTTATACCCGCTGAACAGGAAGATAAGCCACCTTTTGCTGCGCGGCAAGTATTACCACCCGAGGATGCAGAGCATGCTACTGCGCTGCGTCTCTTCCGCTCATACCTCGAGCGTGACCTTGGGCACATCCCGCAAGACCGCTTCTGGGACGTTTATCGAACACTGCGATCGCCGCGTCTCCGCTATGTAGCCGACGACGACATCCGCCGAGCATTCCGCCACCTTAGCTGGGTAGAGTTCAGGGACAATGACAGTATGACCCGCTACTTCGCGTTCCTCGAAGAATGTCTTGCCGAAGAGATCCCGCTTAGTCCTGGTGAGTGGAACACGGCTATAGCGTTCGCTGGTCGTTGGGTACGATCTAACACCAGCCGCGAAGTCCGAGACGCGGTGGAAGTCTGGCTACGCATGGAACGGCGCGGCATTCAGGCCACCGAAGTGACCTTCAACATCCTCTTTGACGTTGCTGTCAAGGCAGGCCGTTTCGCGCTCGCCGACACCATCTTCAATGAACTTAGGGCTCGCCAGATGCCACTGACCCGCTTCTTCCGTACAAGCCGCATTTATTACTATGGCATGCGGGGAGACGGAGATGGCGTGCGGCAAGCATTTCGAGACCTCGTCAACGCTGGGGAGATCGTAGACACAGCGGTCATGAACTCAGTAATCCTCTCATTGGTTCGAGCAGGCGAAGCAGCCGCCGCCGAGAATGTCTTCGCCAGAATGAAGCGACTCGTGGAGCAGAAGCTCGGCACAGAAGCAGTGCGGACGTGGCAGAAGAGTAAACAACTTGGTGTCATGCTGGACAGGACCGCAAAGCACTTGAGGCGGCAACGAAAGCAGCATGAGCAGAGCTTCTTTGGCTCACCATTCTCCGCAGACAGTCGCAAGGATGAGGTACAGCGAGTGGTCCCAATTGCTCCGAACGCAAGGACGTACCGCATTTTACTGCAGCACCACTGTTACGTCTCAGGAGACTGGAAGAGGATCCATCAGCTCGTAGCCGAGATGCGCACCAAGGGTCTTCATGTACACGGAAGTGTATACATGCACATTCTGCGCGGATTCTCGCAGCACGGCGGCTATGCTCTCTTCGACTGGAGCGCGGAAAACCTGGACAAGCTCTGGGCAGATTTCTTACTTGCGGCATCTGCCCCCAACATTCGGTCATCTTCAATTGCACCGGACGATATTGAAACAGATGAATCGGAGACCAACCGCGCGCCCTATTTCACCGCCGGATTGGCAAAGGCTGCCGTCAGAGCGTTCAACAAGTGTACGGGAAAGAAGAAGATGCTTCAAGTCTGGGACGAGATCAAAGACAGATGGAAAGATATGCCTGCCAGCGATGAAGAGACTATCCAGCAGGTTGTTGACAGGTTTGTGAAGGATGATAGCATGTATGTAGAGTAAAGTGTATCGCTACTGAAGGCACGTGAGCCGTGGCTTTATCGTGACATGGTCTGTGCGATATCGCGTCTACCTGCCATATGTTTTGCCGCAACTTTCGACCTTGACGACAATCTCTGATGCCGCGCTGCAAACGCTTGAGGAACGAAGTATCTGTCTGCCATGCCGGGCGTCAACATGCCTGCAAGGAGGCTGGAACAGAATGTCGACATCGACTTTACTCTTCGTAAAGTGTTCGGCAAGGACTCGTTCAGGTTCGCCCATCCTCCATAATGAACGGGAAAGCGAACTTACCAACTTCCAGACCAGTCCAGCGCGAGGTCATCACCTGTTCGCTCGAAGGCCGTGATGTCTTTCTGCAGGCCGCGACGAGCTTCGGCAAAAGCCTGTGTTTCCAGCTGCCTGCCGTGGTCGACTTCGGCATTACGATTGTGATATCGCCGCTCCTTGCACTCATGAACAACCAACTCGCCTCTATGCAACGGGCGGGCATCAAGGTGGCGACGATCAACAGCACAACGAAGTACACTGAAAAGAATGCGATCCTTGATGATCTGAAAAGTGGCCATCCTCGGATTCGACTCCTGTATGTAACACCAGAATACTGTGAGCTTGACTACTTCCGCAAAGCTCTCCGCATCGTGCATGAGCAGTGCGAACTTGCTCGCATTGCCATCGATGAAGCCCACTGCATCTCAGAATGGGGTCACGACTTCCGCCCGAGCTTCAAGAAGCTCGACTTCTTCAAGAAAGAGTTTCCATCCGTTCCCATGATATGCTGTACCGCCACCGCAACACAAAGAGTGCGAGACGACATCGTTGACACGCTTGCACTTGATCGCCTGAGATTGAGAAGCTTTACTATGACCACTCACCGCCCGAATCTGCACTATGAAGTCCGCTTCAAGAACGATGAGGAGGACCATTACCATGACTTTACAAACTGGCTCAAGGCGTGCTACAACCGGCGACTAAACGATCCACGGCGTAATCTGGAGCTTACGCAGCGGAGAGAGCGAGTGACCAATGTAGCCGGCATCATCTACACCCTCTTCCGCAAAGACACCGAGGCACTTGCCGCACGTCTCTGCGCAGATGGCATAGGTGCTAAACCATATCATGCGGGACTGACGACAGAGCAGAAAGACGACCACCTGGCTGGCTGGGTCGCGAACAAGGAAGGCTACGATATTATCGTCGCCACCACCGCGTTCGGCATGGGCATCGACAAAGAGAATGTTCGCTTCGTAATTCATTGGCAGATCCCAAAGTCGTTTGAAGGCTTCTATCAGGAAGCAGGCCGCGCTGGAAGAGATGCGAAAGCCGCCTGCTGCATCCTGTACTACAGTCGTGAAGATCGTGACCGAGCTGCCTTCCTCTTAGGTCGCGAGAACGAGCGCAACCTTAGCGGACCAGGTTTTGCCCGCGGTAAGGAAGCTTCGGTACAGCGAGCGAAGAGCCTGCAGGCCCTCATAAGCTACTGTGAGAACGTCGGTGCATGCAGACATCAGCTCATCGCGCAGTACTTTGGCGACACCACGCTGCCCAAGTGCGACTGGGCTTGTGATTGGCACAAGGATGCCGATAAGCTGTTCAGAAGCAAGGAGGAGCACCTCGCTAGTGAAGAGTGGTGTGCCACCCAGAGGCAGTCTGGTGCGTACGATGACACGTGAGCATCATGTCGTTTTGTCCGTGGCTAGAATGCGAATGCTCGTCAGGCCGAAATGATCGTTAGCGTGGTGTTTGGTGTTGTCGTAGTGCGGCCAATTCCTGTACGCTTGCTCTGTACACGAAATGATCAGACAGAGAGTAATACGTGCCGGCAATGTGCGATGATACACGACAGGCGGCTACCGCCGTGAGCACTTCGTTTGGTGACGCTCCATGCAGAGCAGTCTGTTCCGCAAAATGCGGCATGGACAGTGTTGGAGAGCGCAAGAGTAGGGATGTTCAGAGTTTGTCATGCCGTGGACAAAGCCGCGTTGATTCATCTAACGGTCTAGCCACAATGTCCTCGAGAATTCTGAGTATACAATTCTGTGACAAAGTGGTTCGATCCAGCCTTTGTTGCAGGGATACATCATCTTACAGGAGCGAGAAGCCTGCCAACCTACGCGATGGGGAAAGTCACAGTGGTTGAATTCCTTTCAAGCATACGTACTTTGGCCGGCCTCTTTGCGGCATACTCAACCCGACATCCGCGACACCGGAGAATGTGCTCGTACTCCTTCTCGTACTATTACTGCGGTTGCGACCAGTTCGTTTGGTGGGACACTCTTGAGTATTGCGGCAACCGATGCATCAGCGCGCACGGCGTCGACATCAGGACGGTTAATATGTGCAGGGACCAGGTAGCGACCTCTCTCGGCTTCTCGTATTGGTACTGCGCTGAGTGCAGCGAAGATCATACGCTGGGATCTCGAGGATTGACAGCGCGAAAGAGGGGGCTTTACTTCGACCGGGATCTTTGCAAGCGATCGAGCGTGAAGCCTTCTATCGTGACCACGAACCGGGTCCTCCCATTTTCACTGCCACAAAAATGAAAGTCTACGTGCGGTGGCAGCAGTCAGATCGGAGCCAAGGCTTGCGAAATGGACATGTTACGTACCTCAACCTTTTGCTTCGGCCTCCCACTCGGCGTTAATAGCAGCAAGCACATGGTGCTGTTCCTCTAGCAGTGCCTTTACGATTGCCCAGGGCTTGTCTCTCATCCGCTTCACCATCGCAAACATACAGCCCACCAGCATTTGGTCCGCTCGTTGCTCCAGCCTCTTACTAGGCTCATGGAGGATGTGCGTGACAGAGCGTTCGTGGAAGCGTTTTAGCCATACTAGAAGATTGTGCCAACTATCCGGTCCAGGATCAGTATCACAACTTCCAACTCCGGTGATGCGTACTTGGTATTTGCTGTGCATACGCCTCGCCCAGTTCGTCCACCTGAGAAGTCCGTCCGAGGAGTACGGAGGGGTGTCCAAAGCAAAAGTGTTCTCGCCTAGGAAGATCGACATGGCCTCTTTACGTATCGTGCGGCTGACCTTCAACAAAGACGCCTGTGGTGGCCATTCATCCGTCACCTGAACCTTTGAGTTGCTTACTAGCACGTAACGGTAGATGGGGTTGCGAAGCTCGCCGGCGAGAGCAAGGAGTGATGCGCGTTGGCCGGACATCTTATTGATAGCGACGAGTAAGCCTGGCTTCGATGGAAGAGGTGCTGATGATGGTTCGACAAGCGCTGCAGTTAAAACAGCTTAAGTTCTAATCAACCGATGCGAGGTGTTCCGCAGCTATGTGAAGTGTCGTGGCAGCTGCACTCACTACATCGTAGCAAGCGACCTTCACGGCCGACACCTCAGCAGGGCGGTGTGGTGTGTGCTGGTGAATGCCCATCAGTGTCTCGCTGGTTAGCGTGCCAGGCTGCGCAGGATTTGCGGAATAATTGACAGCGTAAGGGCCAAGTCTAGTAGTGATACTAGCATCCGTCGATTTTTATGTATCGACAACCCACACCTTCACTTCGCCATCGTCTCCTGTGCTCACGACGACCTCCTCTTCATCCACCCTTTTGCCTCTATCTGCTCGAGGCGCCCATACTACATGGTTGATTTCAAAGACGTCGTGGGCGTTCACCGTCTCAGCAACAACGACCCATTCGGTAAGTCCAGCGGAACGGTCAATCTGACCATCTCCAATAGTTGCCAACGCATCCGCGCCTCCACCTACCGACACAGCGTCAGACATGCCGACGTCGCCAATTGAATGCTCGATCGCCGTGTGACCCGATTTCCACCGCTCCTCATAGACAACGATCTTGCCATCGCTGCCTGCGCTGACCACCTTGCCCGTCTTTCTACTCCAGCTTACGGCGAAGACAGGCTGCTCGTGCGCTCGAGGCAAGCGGGTGTCTTCTACCCACTCCTCTTCAAACGCCCTGTTCTTCCATATGCTTGGCGCCTTCAGCTGGTTTGGTTGTTGCTCTGGCTTATCTTTGGGTACCCTTCGCCAGACTCGGATCGTCATGTCGTCCGAGCAAGACATCAGTCTGGGCCCAGTCTTTAACCGCGTGTCAACATACGCTCTTTGTTCGTCGTTCAACGTCTCTGAAGAGCCCAAGGCGTAGATGTTGTTGGTATCTTCAAACTCCACCCACCACACGGTGCCTTCATGCCCGGTCAACAACGCACAGCAAGCCCAGTCATCCACGTCTTCTTTCCACATCCTGATGTTGTCATCATAGCTGCCGCTCGCCAACATCTGCTCGCTCGGGTGCCAAGCAACGCACTTAACATCGCCCTCGTGCTCCTGCAAGACCGCCACAGTCTCGAAATTGTCGTCTTCCAGCTCCTCCCATATCCACACACTCTTATCGCGACTGCACGTCGCCAGTAACGGTGCAATGGGCGAGAAAGACAGACTCTTGATCTCGGAATCATGACCGTCAAGGATCACTGCAAATCTCCATTCATCCTCGTCGTCTCCTTCATCTCCGTCTCCGCCAGCCAGACCATTAGTGTAGTCCATTTCCGGCCGTCCAGCCCTCCCACTCCCTTCCTCCCACCTGCGCCATATGCCAGCACTGGCATCAAAGCTGCCGGTGGCAAGCACACTCTCTCCCCGGCTGTTCGGTTTCCATGCACAACTCCGGATGGATCGCTTATGACCACCCGAGATGGTAGACTGCTGTTGGAAGTTCTGCAACGAGTAGATGCGCACAGTCTTGTCCGAGCACGCAGTGGCTATGATTGGTAGATGAGGATGAGGTGTGCTAAGCCATGTGCGAGCGTTGCATGATGGGTGTGCTGCAGCCAGCAGGCTTAGCGAAGGCATCGCAGGTTACGCATTGACTTAAAGCGCCTTGCTTGCAACTGATGTATTATTGCCTGATTAAACCAGCGTTAAATACATTCTGATATTCGTCAAAAATACACTTCTTCGGTGCAGGCCGGCTTGCTCCGCCACTAATGGTGTGGAGGGCAGTCACGAAGCGGCAACTAGCACGAAGCGGCAACTACATATAGTGGCGCCTGTCAGATGAAGAGCGATGATGCATGAGTACATTGTCAGCCGCGGTGAGCGGTACTTTGTTGGGCCAGATATATAAAGTAACACAATATCATAGGAACGCCGCCAAGGTGGGTATAGTGCAGCCTCATTATAACATAGGTGACCGCCCAAGCCGCCCATTCCCCGTATGCCTTTAGTGATGGAAGACCCCCAGTCCGACGCCGTACAACGCGCAAACAAATAACGCTAGAAGCTCCAGTGAAGAAGTCGACATGAGAAAGGGTAGCATGCCAGCTGTAATGGGGCCAACAATCAACGCAAGCAAGCAGTGTTGTACATCTTGCACATCGCGAGAGGAGTTACTCAAGCTGGCTGCTGCTGTTGCGCGTCATATGGATCTTGCTCAGGTTGTTCGTCGCTTTCCTCGCCCTTAGTGCATCCTGGCTCCGGTAGGACGGCTGGCTCGAACGTCGACGAAATAGGAGGCCTGCTATTTGGAACCTCGGTAACGGTCACACCATCTGGTAGCCATTTCCTCCCAGGTGCGTAGACTGCCTGCGCTACGGGAATCGTGGGGCTTGAGCTGGCAGAGACGAGGGTTGGCGAGCTGGTGCGTGAGATGGAGTCGTAGTCCAAGTCGTCAGGGTATTCGTGATGCGCGAGGTAGACAATGTCCGCCCAGACGTGCCAGTGCAAACATACAACGTGCGTCAGGCGCCTGACAATATCCTCGTCCGGATCATACTGCTTCGCCGGTGTAGCCGGTGCGCAAACAGCGCCCATGCCGAATGGCGGTGGTGGTAAACGATGGTGGACTGGAGACGCCACGAGCGCATCTTGTAGCTCTAGTGCGGACATACGAAGATGCATCTCGATGCTGGCTATCAGCTTCGGCAGTAACCGTAGACGAGTGCTCTTAGCAAGCTCGTCGAAGGCCGCCGACACCGGCTGAAACTTCTGGCGTAACTTTTGCTCGACCATGGTGAGCAATGTGCTGTCGAAGGGCGGGTAGCGACCTTGGAGAACGAGCAGTACGCGCACAATCTCAACGGCGATATTCTCGACGCGTTCGGCAAAACGTCCTGACATGCCGACCACAGCCGATACTGCGCATTGCAGTAAAGCTTGAGCCTTCAGCAATTCGGTCCTCGAAACCCAAGCAGGCGTTAGCTCCGCAAGGAACTCGCGACAAAGGGCGTGGCAGATGATGCTACGCACGTCCGTGCGAATGACACGCAAGCGCTCATGGTCGAGATAGAACGTCTGCGGGAAACTATGCGCTTCGTTAAATAGAATATCCGCCAGCAGTGCTGACGTTAGTGCGGTAAGCGGAGTTGGCTTGGCCTCTTCCGATCCACGGCTGCCGAGAAGCTCGATCTCGTTTTGCAACCATTGCTGACACCGTGATACGTTGACCTTGCCTGAAGCCACTCTGTGAGCGTTGTACTTTCGTTGGAAGTTGACGGTGTCGTCAATGAGCAGTGGGCGCATGTGCCGGATTTGATGGTTTGCCACATCAAGCTTCATGGCTTCCAGTATCGCGAGTAGCTGCCGGAGGCCGCTTACCAGTTTGTCGTTCCTGCCTTCAAGCGTGCCGCACTCGATGGCAGCTTGCATTGCGTCGACAAGCCCATCGCGCATGGGTGCACAGTGCGCTTTTAGAACCTTGGCCAGCCAGCTACTGAGATCTATGAGATCGCAGACGCCGTTCATGATCTCCTGCATGATTAAGTCTACGTCCAACCGTGCCGCAACACGCTTCTGCTCGTGGTCCGGAACTAGCGTCTGAAGAATATCTCGGACCGTTTCGAACACTTGCCGCAATCGCCGCTGTGTGCCCTGGTGAATGCGGTTCCAGTACGTTTTCTGTGTGGGATCTGAGGACTGTGCCTTCCGCTCCGCCGCAAACCGGTACATGAAAAGCTCTCCTTCAAGTGCCAGCCAGTACTGATCGGCAGCTTGCAGTTTCTCTCGCCCTTTTGATCCATCTAGGTTAGGCCGAAAATGTAACTCGCGGTCAAAGTTGACATCATGACGCAGTTTCGGGTTGTTAATGATTCTTGACATGTCCAGTTCAGCAAGTGACTCGAGTGTAAGCGGTGGTGTTTCCGGTGCAACCTCGTAGTAGAGGGATATGTCGGCACCGTTGGGTTCCATGTTTTGTGTGATGATGCCAAAGATGTCGTACAACATCTTCTCTCGATCAGTTATTGGGAAGTCAAGATCTTGGTGCCGCAGTGGTGAAGGCAATGGTGATGGCGACGGTGTAGAATCACCAGCTGTCGACGGCACAGCGACTTCGGCATCAAATTGGCGGACCACATGCTCTTGTGAATCACAGCGTTCCGGCACGCGGTGCGGGCGTTGCTTCCGAGCCGCGACCGGGCTCCCTTCTCCGTGGCCGAGCGTTTGCTGATGGTATGCATGTGCGCCGCTTGGTGAACATGCTGTCGTTGTCGATGATCTGCGGTTGATTTGCTGATCCGGCGGATTCGACATGTTTTTGGCTGTATGGCAAGAATCAAGCTCAATCGTTCGTGTTGATTGGCGTATTCGCAACCTTCAGTGGAAATACATCCTCTTCTTGCTGTCCGGACAGGAACGACTCATTAAATAACGATGCCTCCGGGAAAGCAAACTTGGCGTGTGCCTAGCACTCGAGTTGGGGAGCGGTCTATGTGAACATCGGCGGTCAGCGATGACTAAGTTCGTACACCCTCCTGCGACGAAAGGCCTAGGGGTATGTCGTATCTTTCTGACAAATACACTGCTGTAGCTGTGTAACAAGTGCTCCGCCCGAAGGCCTGCGAGAAAGAGTCTTGCGATGGGACGCCGTACTCACCTATGATGAACACATCAAGCCGCCGCCAGAAGTCTTGGGATCTCAGCACAACGTAAAGCTTTGCCGACAATGAGGATCGCCTTATACGTGCAGCAAGGAGTTATCGGAGTAAGAAAGGCTTGTTTGACAGGAATGCTGAACACGGCGACAGCCACTTGCGCACAAAGGAAAAGGCCACAGGAAAGAGTGTCTTGCGCGAACACGCCTTGGCAGGAGCCCTTGGAAGCACAGTGAGATCTGCTTTAAAACAAGGTGGGAAAGATGAGGTGAAGTCAGGAAGGAGATCTCCGCATAGTCCGAGGGGTGCGCGAGTTGCAATAATAAACAGACACGCGATGGTAACACTGCACAGCAAGTAAGCATGACCGTTGCAACGGCTATAATCGTTTACCAGCGTTGCGCGGGCCTTTCCTGTTCCAACGCTGCTGCAGTCAGTAAAGGGGACAGAAAGCTTCAGGCCCTACCGCTGTTCATAATCCTATCCCATGCAGCTCCCGTAATGTGGTAAGAATCTGGTTAAGCTTGGGCTTTGCTCCTGGAACGTGCAGGAGCACCGGCAGCGTGCGGCAACCCCTTCAGAGTTTGCTCCGCGTCGCAACAGTAGCGCACCGGGAGAAGATGCGAGGCGACCAACTGACGAAGATTATGGGCAGGAAACCGACGTTGAGTGAGTGTGCGGCGAGCCAGTGAAGGACGGAGATGGGAACAGTCGAGAGGATAGGTGACGAAGTGTGCACGGAGCAAAGTGCATTCCTCGGAGTTACTTCCGGATGCGGGCCGTCCAGAACCCCGAAAAAATTCTATATATATACAACCACCGTAGTTCAGCCCTGTCGCGTGGTGTATCAACTTCCCAAGTGTTCACAGCGCTGCGCGGGACCGTCCGTCTCAGCCTGCCGAAGGCGCACAATTGCAATGACTTAACGAAGCTAGTCGAGTTGATACACACTGAGGGGACCAGACTGTTCAATTCCAAGTCAGGAGTTTGCAGGGGATTATGTGTGTCTTAGACATATGAGGCTCGCGTTGAGCGAAGTGATCCTGTCCAACGCCCCCGCTGATCCTAAAAAGCAAGCTATATCACTCTCAGGCTCAGTTAGCCGACCATCTCTGTATGCAGTTGTTCGCTCGCCAGATCTGCTCCGTCCACTTGCTGATCTCTCCGAGCTGGCCCCTGCCGCATGCTTGCAGATGTTGCGGTCTGGTGTCCGTTCGGGCTCTGTGGCCTGCTGTCAGGCCGTGTCATCCAGCCTCGGACTCCGCCGATGAGCCCCATTGCATATCCAGCAGCAAAATCCATGGTGGTATTCCTCGAATCACTGGGTAACGAGCTGTTGCTGCGGCCCCTGTTAAGGGAAGACGAGCTCCTTGAGCCGTTACGGCGGCTCGAACCAATAAGCTGCGTAGTATTCTGCGGACTTGTAGGCCTACTTGGCTGCCAGAACTGTTGGAAGTCCTTGCTTAGCTCTCGCCCGGTAGTGGTCCAGTTGTTCTGGATCGCATTCCGAATCTCTGCAACGTGTCGTTTGAGATCCAGCTCGTTCTTCTTCAGCCAAGAGATATTGAGCTCCTGGCGCTTTGTGCCGCGCTTGAGCTGCCTCGACACGTACTGCTCATAGTCACGGATGATCTTCGTAATAATTCCGGTAGTGGATACGCCTTCGGTGCGCTCCGTGACCAGGAACATACCACGCTCCTTGATAGGCTTGTAGATGTCGTCGCCTTCGCTCGCTCCATATGGAAGGTCGTCGTGAGCAACATAGTCGATCTTGTTCTTCTCCAGAAAGGGCATGGTAATAACCCACGGACAGTCCTCAATCACTTCGTCAACCCACCGACAGTGTCTGAGCGACTCTGCCCGCTCGACGGCCGACATGACCGTGAGACCCTTCCGCTTGTGCGTCTCAGCATCGCCCGTAACTCCGACTATGAGATACGTATCCGGGAAAGCGGTCTTTGCTTGTTGCAGGACACGCATATGGCCTAGGTGGAACATGTCAAAGACACCGTCCGCATACACCCGCACCTGTCTTCCCTTGGGAGGTGGGTTTGTCTTGTAACCTACAGGGTCTACAGAGCCTGCAGGTGGTGGAGGAGCCATCCTCATCTTGCCAGCTTCGCCATTCTCGCCGCTACCTTCCGCCGCGCCGTTGACAGGCATCTCCGCTACAGCCGTCTTCCTTGAAGGGTCCCTCCGCTCCTTCGCGGTATCGTAATGACTGTTCCCGGGCGCGCCTTCACGTTTCGCTGTGCGGATGCGCTTTGCAGGCGAACTGTCCTTCGCATCTTGCGTCGCACTGTCCGGAGCACCTTCGTCCTCTTCCGCGCGAGAGTCGGCCTGAGTGGCATTACCTCCCCTCTTACGTTTCGGAACCATTCTTATTTACGACTGCTTGCCTGTGAAGTTGGTACGTGATTTCCATGATGAATGTTGCGCGCAAGGAAGTGATTTGATGCCTAAGGTTGCAAATTCTTGCCTGGGGGCACGCAGCGATGAACCACATCCGGGATGATGGGAAGGAAAGCCATAATCTCTAAATGCGGGTGAAGGATTGTCAAGGAAATCGTAAAGAGCGCTCGCTTAATGAGAAGACTACATGCATCATCAGACTAGTACCATGTCATCCCAAGCTAGCCTCCGTATGCGCCAAACCCGCTATGTCATGCAAGACAGTTAGATGCCCACTTCACTCCATGACTTGTCCGCTTGGGTTGTCTGTACATAATAGCTGGCCAACTTCAAGATCGCTTAACGGTGCTGGTCGGATTTCAGAACAGGGGTCCAGCGTAAGGGCGAGGGTGAGCGCGTAAAGGGTATCATTCGCTGATCTGTCTGTCCCGCAACGCCTGTGCTCTGTGCCTACTTCTTAGGCTCAGAACCGCTCATGCCTTCGAGAACCGCTTTCGTATCGGCCGTGTCGATTGGTGCAGACATCTTGGGCTCATCAGGGGTCGCGTCTGATGACGGTGGCGGAGCGTGGGCCGATCGCGCCGCTTCCGGCGACTGCTGTACCTCTCTGACCGTTTCAGTGGGCTCAGAGCTGTGATTCTGATGCCCTTCATGCGGGCCTGGGCCCGGCGTCTCCTCCCTCGAACTTCGAGTCGCGGCCACCCCGTTAACTTCAGTCTTCGGGCCTTCTCCTTGAGCGGCTGACTGTCCTTTCCTGACCTGCTCCTCAAGGTCTTTGTCTTCGAGTTCTTCTGCTTCACCCCTATCCTCCATATCAACATCGCCATCATCGTCATGGCCGCCACCGGTCGCGGCCTCAGAGCCATTACCCAGCAGAATTATGCGGTTGCCGAGTGCACCTCTACCGACTCCGCGCGTACGCTGATCCATGTCCATGTCGTAGTCATCCGAGGAGTCATCGAACGCGTGATGTCTGCCCGGTCCCCTAAACTCGGCTAGGAGACGGTCAGCAGGTGCGTTATTACGTCGCCGGCCGGCAGCACCTTCTCTCGACAGTACGGACCGTATGGCCCCAGCATTTGGAAAGGTGCGTGCTCCAAAAAGGGTTAAGACTTGCCGTACTCTGGAGGTGCGCATGGCCCGTCCCCATTTGCCACCCTTTCGGCAATCATGTTGTACCACTCCTCCTTCGTCTTGCCCTGGAGCAAGCCGACGATGACCATAGTCATGTTGTCGCAGCCGACACCGCCGGTCTCGCTGTTGCTGGCTAGACAGTTGTCCATCATGTTTTCGCAAATTGCAGGTAATTCTTGCTTTGCAGCGATGCCTCTACGCACGAACTCGACGACTGCTTGCGATGATTGACAGTCCCAAATGCCTGTATCTGTCAGTGCGGGCTCAATGGAGTCTTCGGGTAGGTACTCACCGTCGCAGGCGAGAACAACGAACTCATCATCCTCGCTAATCTCGTGAACCGTCACCTCTGGAAAAGCAGTGACGATTTGCTGCTCCGGTGGCAAATCCGCACTCTTCTTAAACTCGAAGTCGCCGATTGCTCGGCTTAATGCAAGATTGCCATTCACCCGACCAAAGTCCACAAATCCGCCAGCTGCGCAGATCCGAGCCTTTTCGCCCTCGTTCTGTGGCTTATGATCGAACGACAGTGGCTTGGCGCGGCCTTTGATGCCGAGGACGGTCCTTGAGTCGCCAGAATTGCCCTACCAACATCAGTACTGCATCTAGCATGATGTGAAGCCGCTCTGAGCCCACCACATAGATCTTGTCGCTGGTAATGATGCCAACTGTGGCTGTGCAGCCGGAGACCTCTTCTTCGTACTTCGGATCTGGTCACATAGGTTGGTCAGCACGTCGCTACCAGTAACGCACGCTACGGAGTGCCACATACCGCTAAGTATAGCCCGGTCTATCGCCAGGAAGCCGTCCTTTAGCGCCTGCTCAAAGTCCTTGTTCTTGAATGCCTCCTGCTTCGCAATGATGTTATGCAAATGCTCGCCTGTATAGAGTGCAACTTTGTCTCCTCCATGTCCGTCGTATACACCGAAGTACGATATTCGTACATCCGCATCCGCTGCTTTCTGCTCACCATCTGGTGACAGGGTTTGTAGGTCGAGAATGGTGGCGTGGGCATCCTCCATGTTTATCCGCCAGCCTTGCATGGCGCTGACGCCGAAAACGACGCGGTCATCCTGGCCTTCATCGGATTTCTAGGACGAAGTCGTGTCAGTATATACCTCCTTCGCGTGAAGCATACATCGCGCGTCATGCTTCGGCATCTTCCAACGTCTTTGCAATATACGCTGTGGATGCCATGCTAGAGTAGTACTGCGTACCTTGTCCACCACTGGCTCCGACAGCGTCTGACCCATACTTCTCAGCTAGCACGACAGGCCAAGAGCGTGTGTCGGCGTTCGACTGACAGCAGCGATATGCGGATTTCGAACAGGTGGGGTTTGATTAGCGCAGTAGATTATGTACTCGCAAAGAATCCGATTGCTTCAGATTGCGGCAGTGATGAATGAGTTTTTGAGTCAAACGTGTAGTTGCACAGGTGTCTTGAGGGTCCTCAAGCGGTATACCGGCCAAAAGCGTGGTGATGTCGCGTGTGCGGCGTATCTGAGCACTTGAAGTTTGAGAGTAGAAATGACGTCCGCATCGAGACCGACGCCTCCACAAAGAGACCCGCGCGGCAACAGCCGTCTCTCCTGTCGTTTACGATTACTGCGCATGTTAACATACAATACGACGGCGTGCAGTCCCATATGCACCGAATCAAGCGGCGCTCAAACGTACGACGTTCAGTATGTAGCACATGCCTGTAGATCTGGGTGTGGATAATGCCAGTCATATATGATGTGGATGCCACTCAGAGCCAACTAGCCAGAGGACTTCGCTGATGAGGCGTACTCTTTACTACCGAACTCGCAAAGTCAGAGCTTGCTGGTGGTGGACATATGTATTGGATGAACCTCCTGCCGTACCCGACTGCTGACGTTGCTCGTTCCGGGTATCAATAAGCCATTCACCCATTGTACTGCGGACCAAGTCCCTTTGTCCGGGACATCCATGGCTCAAAGAGATCCGGCGGTAGCTCAAACATAAGAGTCACAGTCGTAACATACCGCCAATTGCAGGCAAATACTTTTATCGTGTGAAGCAGCCTGAACCTGACAACCCCCAAGACAGTACTACATCTGATAGCTTTATTCAAGCTCAGACATACCCAAGATGAAGGTCACTCTACTGTCCATACTAGCAGCTACAGCGCTGGCAACATCCGACCACGACGCATGTGCGGCGAAGAATCAAAACGCGGTACAGGCTATCGCACAGTTCTGCTCCAACCCTGGCGGCTTCATGGTACCTTCTGATTACGCCACAGCTGGTGCCCACGTCGGACAAGGAGGGTGCCATGACGTTAAGCTGTCGATAACGGGCTCTACTTGCAACCCTGCTCAATGGGTACCCCAAGAGTACTGCATCTCCCAGTTCGAAAACATGTGTGCGAAAGGAACCACGACTGGGGATTCGCCGGCGAGATGGTATGGAAATGGTGACAACCACTGCCAGAACTGGAACTTCGTTGTTGGCGGGAACAGCGGATGGTGTTTTTGATTCACTCAGTGCAGTTGCAATTGCTTGTTATTTTGCATTCTTTCGCGCGCGTCTCTCTCTTTCTATTGCATTGTTTAGCGTCTATCGTAGATCAAACCGTCTGAGAGTGTTGCGCAGGACCTCAGAACTTGCCGCAAGGCTCCGTCTTATGATTCATCGACGCAGAACGTACGAAACTCCTCCCATGCCTTCTCTAGGTCATCGTTGACAATAATCTGGTCGTGCACGCCTGTCGTCTTCGAGTACTCGATTTCCTTTGCTGCCTGCTTCAATCGCTTCTGGATTGCTTCCTCCTTATCTGTACCGCGTCCGCGCAATCGCTTCTCAAGAATCTCGACCGACGGCGGCTGTAGGAACAGATAGCGGGCATTGAGATCTGTCTTCTTCACCTGCTTGACACCCTGAAATATACATTTAGCATTTGCGATGCTTCATGACGGTGCAACGCGACATGGACACACCTCCATTTCAATATCCAGGATGCAAGTCTGACCCTTCTCCGCAACACTCTTGACAGCCTGCACGCTTGTGCCATAAAGATTACCGCTGAATTCAGCATGCTCGATGAAGCCATTCTCATCGATCAGCTTCAAGAATGCATCCCTCGTGACGAAGTTGTATGCCACACCGTCCTCCTCGCCAGGTCGGGGCTGTCGGGTTGTGTGGGAGACTGAAAACCCGAAGCGGCCTGGATACTGTTCGAATAACCGTTTGAGCAGCGTCGACTTGCCAGACCCAGAAGGCCCGGAGACAACGATCGGTCGCGGTTTCAGGTTTGCTGTCAGGGACAGCTTTCAGCCACTTGTCGGGTAAACGATGTGTCTATAATAAACGTACAAGCTGGAGCCATAGTGGAGACGCAACGGTAACGGAGCTTGATTGACTGGGGTAGGATTTGTATTACAGAAGTGAGGGTCGTCAAACAGTCAAGTCGACGACACAGCATGTGCGCTTAAGCCATTGCGCCAAGTCGCCAACATGAATGGTGAGGGTATGGCGGTGTGGAGCTTGTGAAGACGCGCTTGCTCTCGAGAAGCGTGGCCTTGGCAGGGCATCGTGCAGCACCACCGAGGGCATTCATCCACTATCGCGATCACTCCGACGACCTACCACTCCGACAGTCTATCGCCAATCTGGAGCGGCATCAAGCGCGTAGTCGATGAACCATGTCTGCCTCCGCAAAGTCTGCGCTGACCACGTGATCTTAACCTGGATTGGCGTAATACCTTACGCGCTGCGATCGAGTATGCTTTTGGGTACACATAAAGGCTCCAGGCTGCGAGGCCCACATCATGCGGTCCCTTCGCCCGCGGGGCTTTCACCAACACACATTGCCGAGCTGTGGTACCACTCAGATGTGCGCGGCCGCGACAGTCTCGTTGCGCGTTGTCCAGCTCGTCATCGCTCTAGCGCGCGATGATCTCAGACTGTCTAGATACGACTTACACAGATCTCTGGACACCCTTGCCGGTGCGCGAGTCGAGAGCGAAAGCCGGAAGAAGTCATAGTCACACCACTGACATTTGTGCACCAGCTTTGAGCGAAGAAGACAACGTATATGCGCGCCTGCGGAGTCTAAGATGGTATCATAATGCCATGACCAGTACACTTCCCACGCCATTCTTGCGTTGTATATGTTCGCGGTCGCCCGCGGCGTCCCATCCGGCGTGACAAATATGGCACTCTCGCTGCTGGCATCCGCGACATGCTCAACTGCGGTGTACCATTGAAGATGTCTTTGTTTAGGATCGAGCACATTGAAGCCTTCCGTCAAGCGAGCTTTGAGCCAACCAAAAGGTCTGCAACTCAAATTGCCCGAGAGCGTTCCGCAGAGCGACGATCAACACACACGCCTTCTTAGCTGCGACAACAGTCTCTACTACCTGGCACGACTCGTCACGCTGCATCGCACGGACGATCGCGACCGACCAAATGGCTTACCATCAGGCCGAGCCTTCGGCCTTTCAGCTCGCCCAAGGAACCTCGCGGCGGAGTATCTTGTCACCGCAACGATCGCTCAACAGCCATGATAAATTCAATCACTTCGTCGCTGTACCTCCTCTGTATGCACAAGCGCGATAATATAGCTTGGTAAGTACCGAACCTCCTCCGCTTAGGTGCTTGGGTCAACAAAGACTTAGAACGCATGTTAGCCGGCACCTCTGCGTCTAGCACTATTCCTTTGGTCAATCTGGAAACACCAACGCACTAGATCATCATGCTATCGCCGTCTGACACACAGATACATGTTGCCGACGCTTTGCTGTTTGTTATGTCCCTCATCCAATCGTCTCGGGTCATGAAAAGCGAGGCTTGCGGACTGTCTGGCTTTGTCTACGCTGTTTCCGGCAAGCGGCCTGACTTCTTGGACACAGTCTCGTATACTCGTTAGCATGTCAGAACTCGATCTAGTAAGTCTGCAACATTTTCACAATGTCTATTTAGGTGTGCCACCCGCACTTTATTGGAATGTCACACAGCAGTGGTCGCTGGAGTGTATATCTTCCAACAACCGCTACGGTTGTGGCTTCCTTCTGCACAAGTGTCGACACGGGACTCGATTCAGCATGAAGTTCTTACCTGTTGTTGCTGGTCTCGAGCTCATTGCGCAAGTCACTTTGGCTGTCCCCGGTATCCGCATCCCAAGCGTACGAGAGGCGGCAGAAACGCTGCAGAAGCGGCAATCGAGCATAATCGTCACCACTGGCGCGAATGGAACGAGCGTACAGCCACGACTTGAGATTCGGCAAATGATGGCCAATGCTCCGAACCAATGGACGCTTTTCATTTTAGCAATGCAAGCGTTTCAGGCCCGGAGTCAAAGCGATGCTGGTTCATACTACCAGATTGCCGGTATACACGGTGTGCCTCGCCAGAACTACAACGGCGTAGGTCAGTGCAGCACCTGTGGCGATGCTGACGGCTACTGCACTCACGACTCTGTCCTCTTTCCAGGATGGCACCGCGCATACCTCGCTTTGTTCGAGCAACAGCTTCTCAGCGTGGCAAATCAAATTGCGGCGTCCTATCCGGCTTCCCAACAAGCCACTATGGTGGCAGCAGCCGCGAAGTTGCGACTACCGTACTGGGACTGGGCAGCAGAGCCTCGTGCGAATTATCCTACCTTGGCTTCAAGCATCAGTAATAAGTACGTAACGGTCAACGGGCCGAAGGGTTCGACAACGATCAACAACCCGCTCTTCCGGCATGATTTTCAGGATACGAGTGGGATGGTCTACTCACCATTCAACGGCTGGCCTGTGACCTTGAGGTCCCCAAACAGCAACGCCGCATCCGCGAGCAGCCAGGAAAACCAGGTCATCTCTGCGTTTGACAGCATTCGGCCTAGCATGCAGGATCAAGTTTACCAGCTGTTCAGCACGTGTTCCGACTTCGAATTCTTCAGTAACGACGACGCCGGATCGAGCTCCACCTCATGCTCTAACAGTTTGGAAGGCATTCACAACACAATACACGTCACTGCTGGTGGTTCGGGTTCAAGCACGGTATTTGGAGGCCACATGACTTACCTTGCCGTTGCCGCCTTTGACCCCATCTTCTGGCTACACCACTGCAACGTGGACAGACTTTTCGCCATGTGGCAGGCCTTGCATCCGAACTCATACGGCGCATCGCAGCCCGCTCCTCACGACACCTGGACAATCAAGGCAGGATCGACCCAGGGCGCTGATTCCCCGCTGACGCCCTTCTACAAAGACACCAACGGCAACTTTTGGACCACCAACCAAGTCAGACACTGGGACCAGGCTTTCCACTACACCTACCCCGAGTTCTCGAACAGTGACGGAAGCTCGACAGCTATTGCTAGCTATATCAACCAACTCTACGGTCCTAGCGCGACCGCGACCGCGGGCTCTTCCAAGCGCACTTCCGTGCCCGAGCCGGCGGGCATGCTGCGCAACACATTCCAGGCAGCTCCCGCTGCGTACCGTCTGCAGGCACGGCAAGAAACGCCCACCAAGGCGCAAAATGGCAGCCTGTACCAGTATGTCGCCAACATCCATTCTCCGCGCTATGCGCTCAATGGTTCTTACAATATCTACCTTTTTGACGGGAATCCGGCAAGCGAGGTCCCAACGTCATGGATCTCTGATGTAAACCTCATCGGTCCCATGGGCGTTCTCTCCCAGCCCGGCATGACCAGCAAGGAGCTTGTTGCCGCAGGCTCAATCCCACTTACGCGCACCTTGACGAACAAAGTCAATCAAGGCGTGCTGGCGTCTCTGTCAGAAGCGGACGTCGTGCCCTATCTGCAGTACAGTCTGATTTGGCGCGTTGCGGGACCCAATGGTACTCAGGTCGATCCTGCCACGATACCCCAGTTTGATATCGCTGTGTATGCCTCAACGGCTAGCCCACCAAGCGAGTTCGGCCTGCCGCAATGGTCAAGGTTCATACCTCTGGTCGATGTCACGCAAGGCAAGGCAGGTGGTGCAAACATCACCACTGCGAATGGCACGGTGGTGAGACGGGCCTCACTGGCGTAACGTTGTGTGTCCGGTGTTTGATGGAAGGTAAATGTATTCGCAAGCACCTGCACTGGGTGTGTATGTTCGCTTGATGATTGGACGCATGGTCGAAGGTCTTTGTTAGACGCTGCCGTCCGGTGCGAGCGAGGCCCGTAATGTACTTAACACCACCAATGCAACCTGTTCCAGATCATGCCATCGAGTGACTGTACGTTGAGATTACTTCGCCTGTCTAGCTTTAGACACGCTTTCGGTCCGCCTGCGTGGTGTATGGCACTCTACGGACTTTACATCTCCACAGCCTTCTTGGCCATCTCAAGGGCGCCCTCGAACGTAGCGTTGCCGCCGATGAAGCCACTAGCGTGAACGAAAATGCAGCCCGGCACTCCGCTGACTCTACTCAGCTCCTCGTCTCGCACGCCTCGCCATGCTTCGGGCAGACCTTTCCTGTTCTCGAAACTGCCCGGGTCAAGACTTACAGCTCGTATCCTCCATTTACTGCCTGGCTCACCGTTTTCAGCAAATAACGCGTAGAGTACCTGGCCTTCTGCATCACTTTCTGACTCCAGCGCGTAGAGGTGGTCAGACCAGGGTACGCCTTCTGACCGGTACGGAATCACGATGATGCGCCCCTTAGCTTCGTACTTGGTTCGCTCAGAGAACGCTTGCTTGACGACAGCGCGCGCCGGAAGCCATGAAGCGAACCTATCATCGATTTCTAGGCTGAACTGCTCGCCAACAAAGGCGCTGGCGCGCAGAAAGCGAGCATCCTCCCCATCTTGCGATTTGCCCGACTGGGCCGTTGGAGCGCCGCTGGTAGTGGTTCCGTTTGCAGTGGGACCCTCTGCCCCTTCTCTCGCAGATGGAGCGTAGTTGTATCTGTTCACCACGCTAGCGATGCTGAAGCCTTTGTCGGAGAACTTCTTCTCGATGCCCGCTTTCCGCAGGGCAGTTGGGTCGTACACAGAGATACCGTTGTCATTGGCGTCGAAGGCTTCCACGAAGTCATCGTATATCTTCTGATAGAGCAGCTCGCAGTCTGGACTTTGTGCATCAAGTTGAGTCACGACGCTGATGATCTGCTTGCCGTAATGCATCCACACAAGGCCGGCACTTGACAGCTTCGTCTGTTTGCCAGGAAAGGTGGCGTTGAACTCGCGCTGATGGTGGTCGTAGCGCAGAAGGTCGTCATCATGCACTCCGCCTACATCCACGACGATTGTGCAGGTTTTAAGAAGGTCAGGGTCGCGTGTCCGGACGAGCGTGGCGTGTCTGTAATCAGGCAAGAGCTTGAGCAAGAATACTGCGAGGGCCTCGTCCGCATGAAAATGGCCATTGTGAGTGCCGATGACAGGTGCCTCGCTTCCATTTGCCATCTTCATTCGTTTCGCTTCTGGCTCTGTCATGTGTCGTTTCCCAGACAGTGATATACTCGGGCCCTTGGGATGACCGCTAGTTGGGAGACAAGTTCTTGTTATGTTACACGTGACATATGACTTTGACCTGACGGAGCAAGCAAACCTCGGACGGGATGTGAGGACTGGTCTTGTAATCGTCCGAAGCACTTTGCTGAAGGTGGTTTGCATGCCTTGCACGAAGTATTCTACTGCGGAAGTAGCTATGATTCTCAATTTTCCGCCTTAGGCAGAAACAGACCTCACGGTTATGTGTGGACTACAGAAGCAAGGTCAGACAGGGTAAGGGAACGAGACTCCATGAGGTGGTAGTGGAAAAGGCTTCTGAAGGTTTAAACGGTTTGGAATGCTTCCATACACTTCTCTGATGCGAACTAAGAACTTGTAACCCACCATGGTCGGCAACCATCTGCTGTCACATCCCTAGTCGCTCGAGTCTCCGCTTGTAGCTTGCTGAAGCAGATGTGCACCTTGTATGTAGACCGCAGCATCCGCAGGCAGAGGAGCAGCATCCATCATCTCCCTCGCCTCAGCAGTCCGTCTAAATTCCCGCATGAGTGCATGGAGCGTGTCGCGACTGGGGACATCCTCAGCGAACTCATCCTCGTACATTCGTTGGAAGTCACGGATGCATCCCGCCAACACGAGGTCTGAAGACGGACTGCCCGCCCTCTCATCAGCCCTGTAGAGCTCGCCGACTCCGAAGCTCCCGAAGTAGATGAAGTCAGACGTCTGCTCTCTGATACAGTATAGCGGCACCTCCGTCTTCACGGAATGCGGTTCGAAGAACATCGCGTTGCCGAAGTCCGTGATGACAATGTCGAAGCCGTGAACATGCCGCGCAGGCTTGACAAGAATATTGCCGAGGTGGAGATCTTGGTGAGCGATACCCGGCCAGCCTTTCTGCGGCCGCAGGGACCCTGGCAGGGCGAAGGTATCAGTTGCGATGCCGAAGTACAGGTACATTAAGGCGTTCGTGACTTGCAGGCAGATATGCCAGATCGCAGGGGTCGTAATTGCGTGCGGGTAGTGAAGCGTGAGGTTCGACAGGTCGCCTCCGCTTGCCCACGGCGTTGTGAACCACAGCGTCCTGCCGTCGACGTAACAGTCGAGGATTTGCGCGATGCCACAATGGCTACCCGGCAAAGCGCTGAGTACCTTGATCTCGGTCTTGAGACTGACGGACGAGGCATTGTAGTCCTTGGCGTACTTCACAACGACAAGTGGATTTGCAGACCTGCAACGTCGGTCACCAGGGTTCGCTGCGTTAGAAACACTGCTCCTGTCATTAGCGACCTTCCTCTGCGCCAAGTATACCTTCCCGAACACACCTGCTCCAAGTAGCCCTAACTCATTGTGGCTTTGCTGAAAGTGTGCACGCGCTAGCGCCACAAAGTCAACGGTCTGTTCGCTGGTGGTTGTCGCCATCTGTGTTGCGCAGGGATGAAATGCCAGATCCAGATTGACGGTAAGGAGCAGCATGGCACAAGACTATATGCTCTGAGTTGCTGGATAATGGCATTGTCGTAACTCCGGAGCTGTCAAAGCCCAGCTTCACAACAAAGCATTACGTTTCCACTCGAGGGATCAAATGCCATTGTGTAAGTATGAGCGGCAACGCGCCGGTCACGCGATGGCGAGCGGGTTCGACCAAGTATCTGATGGCTATGGTCAGGTACGGTGACTCGACTGAATCGCTGAGTGTTGCATGCACTTGCGTGTATGTGCTGTGCTCCACTTGGGCTGTATCGGCTGGAATATGATAAACCGCATCTAGTACAAGTAGAGATCAACAAAGAAGCACTACCCGGAACTCGCCTTCATTGTTCCGTAAAGCTGACTGAACGTACAAGCCGCAGCTGCATGATTCCACTCATACCTTCTTGTTCGCCTGGCGAACTTACTGCAATACAACCTGAGCTATAGAGACACGGTCAACAGATAGCTAGTCAGGCTGCCGAAACTATTGGCTCGCACCTGTCATGTCTGCAACATCAAGCTGAGCCGTACTGTGACATCTTGCAATGGCCAACCAGCCGTCGTACAAGAGTCTAGTCGCATTTGCTAGTGCTATCTGTCGTTTAGAGATCTGATGACCTTCCAGCACTCACATTCCGGGTGGCGGAGGAACCTAGTAATACACTGTCAGCGCCAACGTCAACTAACTGACTCCGTCATTATACACTGACCGCACTGTATCCACCACTTGCACTCCCCGGCGGCGGAGGCGGAGGCGGCGCCGCACCATCATCAGGCGGTGGCGGAGGAGGAGCGCTGCCGTTCTGCTGCTGCGGTGTGCCTTGACCTTGTCCATATCCGTAGCCACCCTGCATATACGAGGCCATCACTTGCGCGTATCCACCGTAGGCCGCATATGGGTCAGCGCTGGGGTTCGCTGCGTAGTATTGCCCCCATGCCTGAATCGCTTCCGGAGTCATGGTCGGCTGTGCAGCAGCAGCCGCCTGCATGCCCTGAGCTTGGATCGGAGACTGCGCACCGCCGTAGCCGATCGCGGCAGCCGGAGTGTACCCAGCGCTGTACTGACTGCTTCCTCCGTACTGGCTGTTACCGCCGTACTGGCTGGCTCCACCGCCGCCGTTTCCGCCGTAGGAACCGGAGCCGCGATCGCGCTGTCCGTACCCTCCCTGGTCTCCGTCACCGCCATGACTGTCTCGGTTGAAGTCTCTACGTGGTGGGCCGCGCTCTTTGAAGGCGTCATATTCCTGCCTGATGTGCTCCAAGAGGTCAACGCACATACCCTTCGCTCGCTCGACGTCGTTCGCATCCGGACCACTTTCGATTGTCAGTCATATCAGCACCATCGCTACGTTTCCTACCTTGTTTGAATACGTACGATACATGCAAATACATGGGCTCGTCGCTCTCCATACGCGTTTCTACTTCCATGAAGCCGCTGCCTCTGCCTTTGATCTGCACCTTGCAGTGCGTTTCGTTCTGGATATGCTTCACGTTATCGCCCTTATTGCCGACCACCTTGGCACGCAGGTTGAAGCCAGGGATGGGTTCGAGATCGATTGGGATGGACTCGCTTGGCCACTTGCGGCGACCATATGAGTCACGCTCGAAAGGCTCTGGCTTCTGCTCCTGGTCACGGCGACGGAAACGGCGCTCATCAACAAGGACTGGAAGCTCGTGCTTCATCAGCTCATCAATTTCTTGCACCGCTTTCTCCAGGCCGTCTTTCGTAGTACTTGTGATGTGAAGGAAGAGTGGTGGGTTCTGGTGGAGACGTTAATATGCTTCTAAACGTCTTGGGAAGCGCTGTGGACTGACCGCCGCAGTAGCTAAGGTTTTATCCGGGTAATAGTTGCCTCGGGTTGTGACATCTTTGTGAAGAGTAAGCTTCGTTTCCTAATCTGTCAATCGCGTCAAGCGTGGATGAGCGTACCGGCGCCAGTCTTTTCTTTAATCTAGATGTCACATCGCGGGTCAGCTAACTTCAATCGCGGTGGCCAAGGTCGGCTGTTGCGAGTCTATGCGTAAGCCAAATATTCCCCTCTAACGTATGTACAACAAACCCATATAGCCGCGTAGGGTGCACAAGCATTGCTCTCGACGCCTAACAAAGCAGGATCGTCGAGCGCAAAGGCTGGGAGTCAGTGGGTTGAGTGCAAGAACAAGTGTGTATTTACCATCTTCTGTGTGCTGCCTTTAGTCAGAGTGTAGCGGTTTCGGAGATCGTTGATCTCGATGTCCTTGATATAATCGCCATCTTGTGTGTATACTTCAGCGTTCAGCGTGCCGCTGGTGCCTGGCTGAGAGGGAGACTTGGCCGCGCCCGGACCTGCCGAGGGAGACATGGTCTGTACCACGTCCGTCAGTTGGACCGCGCAAGCATCGAAGCAATATGTATGACACTCACTGAGCGGATTGGTGGCACATCGACCGTTTGGATGCCCTTTTTCGCGCTGATAGAGGCATTTATCCTGGCGGCCGCCGCTGCTGCTGCAGCCGCAGCATCACTCTTGGCCTTGTCGGCATCCGGAGCCTCAGTGCTCTTAACAACTGGGCTGCGGCTACGGCCAGCCTCAATGTCTCCGCGTGCCGGTGATCGCGACCGTCGATCAAAGCGAGACTTGCGCGGTGGCTCAGTCTGGTCGAAGCGGGACCGCTTGCGTGGTTCCTCGGACATTATGGCTGCTCCTCACTCCCTACCACCTCCTGTATTACCGCAACAAGCCTGTGCAGGTGATGACGTGGAGTGATTGTCAGTCACGAGCAATATGTTGTTCGAGTCAGGGAAGCAGCTGCAGAACGAAAGCTCTCAGGCATGCCAAGCTATCCCCAGATTTTCCACTGCTTCCATGTCGGGAAGTGATCCACAAGCAGAAACAGTCAGAGTTTCAATCAACATTCCAATGCTCTACGTCGCCTATTTGCCAAAGTAGACCACATACACACAATGGCGTCCAAAAGAGCATTGCGGGCCCTGCAACTACAGCTCGCCCACCCGCAAGCACCTCAATGCGCGCATAGAGCTGCTTCTCGCACAGCAGCCAAGCAGCAGCAGCGACATCAATCCTCTTCTACAAGCGCAATCGCCTACAAAGCGCTACACCGCCGCATCTCGCCTCTACCAGCCGCAACAGCCAGCACAGCTAATGTATCTCCCGCAGCAGCTGTGTCCAGCATCCTCTACGAGACTCCTATTCCTTCGACAGCACCCCCAAAACGGCATGTTCTCAACTGTCTCGTGCAGAACGAGCCTGGCGTGCTATCACGCGTCTCCGGTATTCTAGCAGCACGAGGCTTCAACATTGACAGTCTGGTCGTCTGTAGTACGGAGGTGCAGGACCTCTCACGCATGACGATCGTGCTGCAAGGGCAGGACGGCGTAGTAGAGCAAGCACGAAGACAATTGGAAGACTTGGTGCCGGTATGGGCGGTGTTGGACTACACAGCAGCGCCTCTCGTTCAACGCGAACTTCTCCTAGCCAAGATCTCCATACTCGGCCCGGAGTACTTCGAAGAGCTCCTGGCGCATCACCGAGAGATGACCGATTACCAAGATCAGACTTCGTTCGGTACTACACAGGCAGAAGATCTCACGCCGGACCAGCTGGCCGACCGGCAAGAACAGCAGGAGCAGGAGCAAGCGCAACAGCCTTTCGACTACCACCCGCGCAATCTGCCGCCGAGTGAAGCACTGCGGTTGAAGAACCAGCACTTGCAGACGATCACTTACCTCACGCATCAGTTTGGCGGGAAAATACTCGACATCAGCACGAACAACTGCATTGTTGAGCTCAGTGCGAAGCCGGTCAGGATCGATAGTTTCATGAAGCTGATCTCGCCGTTCGGCATACTGGAAAGCGCGAGGACCGGTGCGTATCTACGTGATAGAACTCTATCTGTCTTCTGTATTGCTGACGCGTGCGTAGGCCTCATGGCTCTGCCACGCTCGCCGCTCCACGGCACCGCTGAGCTCGAGGAGAAGGAAGCGGAGGATGTCGTTGACACTGCTTCACTACCACCAAGCTAGTACCTTCCCGAGGATTCAACCACTGCGCGGTTAAGCGATCTCCTAATCCTGCGGATTTCCGCTTCTACGGCGCGCCTCACGGCAAGGGAGTACGGCGTTGGGCGCGCTCGAATCTAGCTGCGCCATGACGCTTGCGGCCCACATCACGTATGCGCCATGTAAGCACAACTCTTACCACAAATGATCTCACACAATCTTGCCTTTGTTCACCACAAAGCCTTCAAGGGCCGCCAAAGCCGCCCAGAGCCTGTTTTCCGCCTCTTGGAACACCAAGCTAGCCGGACTGTAAAACACTTCGTCGCTGACCTCCTCCGGGTGCCGGGGCAAACAATGCATGAACTTCCAACCCTCTTTCGCCCCGCCTCTCTGCGCCAGATCCTTCGTGACCTGGAACCCAGCAAAGTCGCGCAGACGCTTGGCCTTCTCTTCTTCCTGGCCCATCGACACCCACGTATCTGTAACAATGACGTCCGCATTCCTCACTGCCTCCTCCGGTACGTTTGTCTCTTGCAGCTGGCTGGACGTTCCTTTCGGTGCGGAGGATGCAATGATCTGTTTCATTTCTGCAGGTATTTCGTAGCCTTTCGGCGTCGCAACCGCAATCTCGACCCCCAATTTCGCTGCCCCGATCGCAAGATCGTAGAGCACATTATTCGCATCCCCAACCCACGCTATCTTCAACCCTTCTAACCCGAGCGTGCTCTCACTGCCCGACGTCTGCGTCGTAGCAAATGCTTCATGCACGGTCAAGTAATCCGCGATGGTCTGCATGGGATGGTACAGATCGCTCAGCGCATTGATTACTGGCACGCTACTGTGCTTCGCCAGGTCTGCGACGTCTTGATGTGCGTTCACTCGTGCTACGATACCAGCGACCATGGAAGACACTACGACTGACGTGTCGTACATTGATTCATTCACGCCTAGCTGGATGTCCTGAGAGCCGAGGAAGAGGGGGTGGCCGGACATCATGGCGACAGCGGCCTCGGTGCTGACTCTAGTTCTGGTGGAGCGTTTGGTGAAGAGCATTGCGATCGTTTGGCCGAGTAGCGATGATTGAAGCGTGCCAAGTGGCTTGCCGGATTTGACGGCCGCTTTGTGGACTGAGGCATTGCGGACGAGTTTGGTGAGCTCTTCTGGTGTGAGATCGGCTATGGAGAGTAGATGTCTAGGCGCGAAGGGTGAGGTCTGCGGTGTAGACGGTGTAGAGTAGACACGCTTCGAGCACTGCGCCGCTCGCAGACAGTTGTTCGCCGGGCGAAGGAGGCGTGCTGTCGACATGTCGCCGCGGGACAGTGTCGGCTGCTCTGGCTGATGTGTGAAGAGTAAATGTTCACTTCACGCCAGAAAAGCTTCGGAACACTTGGGGCCAAGCTTCCTGCAGCTTCCCATTACGGAAGTGGGGTTCGGCATGCGCGCACGAGCCAGCCACCCGCCACGCGGCTAACTTGATCGACGAGCCGATGAGCCGCACATGATTCAGGTTCTAGGCACCTTCTTGCCATCATCCATTGATCACACGAACACCTGAGCATATCGCAGTGGCACGTTTGTCGCATTCCGATGATGCTTGGGCTCGTGTGAAGGACAGTGCGGAAGTGATTGGGTCCTCAAAGTCGCATACACCGCTGGGCAAGTCTACACCGGTTGCGATGGCCGCGAACGGAGAGCAGGGTGGCAGGCGGGAGGAGGAAAGTCGAGATGTCGACGGGGAGGCGGCGGCAACCGAGCAGACGCCGTTGCTACCATCATCAACCGCTACGGTTCATGACGATACGAGCCAGCCGCAACACGAAGTTCCTGCAGAGCGATCGCTTCTGGCCTCGCTGCGAGGCGGCGCGAAGGGAACGAAGAGAAGATGGCCCAGCATACTCGCGCTTTCAGTGCTATGCATTCTGGTAGTCCTGATCATCGTCTTTGCCTTCCTGGCGCCGTCGACAGTCGAGCAATATGCGCAACAAGCCGTGGTCTTCGAACCTACGTCGTTATCGATAGATTCATTCACATCTACAGGCATAAAGGCGCGAGTACAGGGCGACTTCACGTTAGATGCGAGAAGAGTACAGAAGAAGCCGGTGCGCGATCTGGGCAAGTTTTTCACTTATATCGCGCGACAGGCTGAAAGCGGAGAAAGCGAGGTCGAGGTGTCGTTACCAGAGTATGGGAACGTAGTGCTGGGAACTGCGCGTATACCAGGCATTAAGGTCGACTTACGAGCGGGTCACACGACTCACGTTGACTTCCTGAGCGATCTGCAACCGGGCGATGTCGATGGTATTAGGCGTATCGCCAACGACTGGATTGAGGGTCGCCTCGGCCAATTGCGCGTGCTTGGCAAGGCGCGAGTACCGGTGAGGTCCGGGGTCATCAGCCTTGGAAAGCAAGTCTTTCGGCACGAGATGTTGTTTGCGAATAAAGACATCCCAAGTATACCGGCCTACGACTTCAAGAAGCTGAACGTCCGAGAGATCGACCTACCCAGAGGTGGCAAAGGCATGGCAGCAGACGTGAGCCTGCTGGTGCAGAACGACTATCCCATTGACTTTACCGTGCCGCCAATGGCCTTCAACATCTTGGTCGACAACTGTCAGAAGACGGATCCGTACATTAAGCTTGCCAATGCCGAAACGCACGATATCTACATCCATCCAAAGCAGAAGGTCGAACTGAATGCAACCGGAATCGTACATCGTATACCGGACTTGCTAACGCAGGACTGTCCGGATTCTAACAAAAGCCCGTTGGACATCCTCTTGGGCAAGTACCTGCATGGCAAGCAGAACACAATCTACGTTCAAGGATCAGCATCGCCGCAATTGAACACACCACGCTGGGTCACAGATCTAATCTCCGACCTTACTGTGCCCGTGCCGCTCCCAGGCAAGACACTGGGTCACCTCATCAAGAACTTTTCCCTCACAGACACCCACTTCAGCATGCCGGATCCGTTCGCCGAGCCTGACACACCCGAGGGCAACCCGACCCTAAGCGCCAACGTTCGTGCGCTTATTGCGCTCCCGGGTGAAATGAACTTCAACTTCTCCGTCTCCCGGGTCCGTGCAGATGCTGAGATCTTCTACAAGGGCAACAAGCTTGGCAAACTTGACCTCAGGCGCTGGCAACCTGCGAGCAGCCAGCGAGTTGGTACCTCTGGGCATTCAGGGCCAACGCTTATGGTCCGAAGCTCAGTCAAGGATGCACCGCTCCACATCACCAACGAGACCGTGCTGACGGAGGTGATACAAGACTTGGTTTTTCGCCACAAGCCAGTTCTGATGCATATACAAGCCGACGTTGATGTAGAGATGAAAACGGCACTGGGTGAGCTGACAGTCAGGAAGATTCCTGCAGAGGGCCAGGTACCCATCAAGCGTACGTGATCTCCTGCCCCGGCTACGATGTTACGATAGACCCTAGTATATAGCATGCTGAAACAAGCTCTAGCCCTTTCACGAGGCACTAACGGCAACAATGACACTACCGATGGCTTACTACCTAATCTGAACCCAAGGGTCTTCGATCTAAAGATTGTGGAGACCACTCCCACGGGAATGACCATAAGCGCCCTCGTCAACATCACGAACCCAACCGACCATTCTGCGACCGTGCCGTACATGGACGTGCACTTCTCTGCGAACGGCTCCTTATTAGGCCACTCCACCGTCCGCAACATGACTATCAAACCAGGCAACAACACCAACCTCCAAGTGATGGCCGTCTACGACCCCCTGACAATGGGTGGCACTAACGCCACAGCCGTAGGCCGAGAGCTCCTGAGCCGCTATATATCCGGCTACAACATTAGCATAACAGTGCAAATGCACAACGGAAGCATACCATCGTACCCAGCCTTGGGGCAAGCGCTAAGCCAATTCCCCATCGACGTTTCAGCCCCAAGGCTACACTCTCCAGCCGATGATAAAGCCGACAACGCACCGCACTTCATCCGAGACGCGACTTTCCACCTTTTCAGTTCAACCGCAACATTCACCCTGCTGTCCCCGTTCAGCGAGACCATTATGACCATAACCTCCATCGACGCCAACGCCTTCTACAAGGGCGACAACGTGGGTCACATCGACTATAACATCCCGTTCGCCGTCCCGCCAGTGGACGCTGACGGGAACGGAATCACTACGCCGCGGTTACCGGTGGACTGGAGTTTGGGTGGGGTGGGTTATGATGCCGTCAGAGGCGCTTTGGGCGGCCGTTTGAAGTTGAGCGCATTTGCGAATGTCGGGGTGAAGATTGGGCAGTGGGAGGAGAGGATGTGGTATCAGGGAAGGAGTATCGGGGCTAGTATTAGGATATGACGTGGATGTGGTGTGCTATGTTGATTCGTGACGATTATGGTAGGGCATTGTACATTTGTACGAACTCGGTGGGTTCTTGCATAGGAACGTGTGCGCAGGTGGTGATCTGATTGATACAGCGCCGCCGCCAGGTTGGGCAAGCGCTCGCGATGTGTGAGAAAGCCAGTGAGCTTGAGCATACCCACCGAGTAAGGCTGAACGGGCAACAGACGAAGTAATTGTTTTAACTTTAACAGCTTGCTTGTCATACAAGAAGTCGAAGTTTCCATCTCTCTTCCCCGCTCCTCATCTTCCTGTATAAGCTCCGTCGAGTCCAGCCTAGGCAGCATTCTCAGATATGAAGAGTGCTACCTCGCGAAGCATGTCGACCGTGCCACTGGGCTTTCGTTGATCGAGTGAGATACCGAGGGATCGATGTATGCGTGCTAGAAGGGTGACACTGTGGAACTGCGACAGCTTGTCGAGAAGGTGGAGATGGTAACCGCGACCCTCTGATTTCCATGTGACTGGGCTTCCTTGCAGAATGATTCCTGAGCCTGCTTAGCTCGCTGCCATCCAGCCGTGGTCGGTTGATTTAGAGAAGATTGCCTTGAGGCTCAATATGGGTTTGGCACGTGGTTCGATCACTTTAAATGGCCAGTAGTCAGCGGCAAGGTTGCGTGAAGAAACGCTGCAAGAAATGATTTCCAATCTCCACGGCGAGATTTCGTGTCCGTTAGCTAACATCGCTTACACTATGTTTTCGCAACCCCAACGCCTCGCTAAGCCCATTAAGCGCATCTCGATCACTGGTGAAATGCATGCAGGTCTCCAAGCCTGCAAACCTGCAATGCCATGTAACAGTCTAGCTTGCATTGCGATACTACCGCTTATTCGTCTTCGGCCTCGGCTTACACTCATCCCCAGTGATCGGATGTAGCATGATCTTGTTCGGAAGGTTCGGCGAGTTCCCCTGGTAACCCTTGCTCCAGTCATAGCTGACTGCATACGCGAAGATGCTTCCCGAACGGTTAAAGTCCGTCGCACTGATTGTGCCTCCAACCTCCGGGTAACCCTTGAGCCGATGTTTAGCGTCCTTGTCCCAAAAGTGGAACGTACCGTCACTGCCAGCCGTGCTGAAAGTGCCATGCTGTGGGTGGAAAGAGATGGCATTGACTGCAAACACGTTCGAGACGTCTTTCGATGTCTGCTGCCGATGGCACTTGAACGAGAAATTGTTCGACTGATCGCGGTCTTCCACGTACTGAATGGCGCAGCGCCCTTCGATACTGCCAATCGCGTATCCGTTGGCTTCGGGAGAGAAGATACTAACGACCCTGGTTTGCCACTTAAGCGGAGACTGTATGGTTTTGTAGGTGCTCATGGGGTTATTGATGTTCACGACTTCTATCCAGCGTTCTGCGGTCCCGATGACGAGCATATCGTTGCGGACGTCCATAGTGTATACACGGTCCTTAACTTCGAGCTGGCCAGCAGGCTTGTCTGAGCGCATGTCCCAGTACTTGACGAGCTTGTCCCAGCCGCCGGTGACGAGCATCGGCGTGCCGTTTGCGACGATAGTTTGACAGCAGCGGATGGGCTGGTCATGCACGGCGACCTGTTGCGCTTGGCTCGCTTGTGTCTGGCCTGCGCCGAGGTCGAGCATACGCGCAGCTTTGTCGGCGCCGACTCCGATGACTTTTTGGCCATCCTATACGTAGCTTCAGCAACGGCATCAGTGTACGCGGCTCCTTAACCTCACCTTGGTCCAACAGCAGTTCAATGCCGGTCCCTGATGCTCGAAATACGCGACACCACTGCTCTGCCCATTCTGATCGATCGAATAGATCCGCACTTTGTTGTCCCAACTTGAGACTGCGAGGTGATCTGATGCGGGGCTGAAGACCAGGTCGGAGATGCTGTCGGTTGGTGGGTCGCTCACCTGAACATCTTTGCTCAGGTCGCCTTGCGTAGGGTTGGCATTCGCTGCAGCCGCGCCGCCGAAGAGCGACATATTGTCGGCACCGGCGGTGACCGTGTTCGAGAGATTTGACGGTCGGCGCGGATCGTAACTCTGGGCGGTGTTAGGCCGTTTGCCGTAGCCGTAGCGGTAAGAGTGGAAAGACATGCTTGTGGTTGGGTTGGGGGATGGTACGGATGCGGACTACTTACATAGATGTTGGTGAGCAGTCGTAAGCTGCAATGTATGAAGTGAATGCGAAGTCAAGTGAAGGTGAAAGTTGGGGTCTGCTGTGGTCTGTGGTGTCAATCATGCAACTCTTAGTACAGTACTCCCACTGACGCGCCTGAAGTTCACCTCGCGCCGGGCTCTATCCCGCCAAGCCATCTTTATCCGGCCACATCCGCCGCTAGCACACACGTTGCAGCGAAATCTCCGCCGCTTCTGCCAAAGTTCTTCCCTCCGACAACTCCTCGCTGAAAGAATCGCAATCAAAGCTTACACACTGACGGTCTCGCACTGTCTAGCACATACAGCTTTGGGAGAAAGTCCCCGGACACCCTGACCTTCGTGCCAGGATTGCGGAAACGCGCCGCCATAGAAGCACATACAGCGGCTTATCTTGCCTGCGACTTCCATCCCTCTTCGCACGCCCAGCCTACCGTTTGCACTCCCGCTCAGATGCCATCTCGCTCGGACTGGTGGAGCTTAGAGACCGCTTGCTTGCAAGTGCCGGCAACGGAGACAAGGATATGAGTCTGCGCTCTCTGCTTCTGCCGGTCTCTGCTGCGTTGGGGCGGACGAGTGGGAGGAGGTGGGTAGGAGCGTTATGAGGAGACAAGTTGGGTTCATATGTCGCAGACGAGAGCTCTTCGTCGCGGTCGATAGATATGCGATTGCCTGTTTGAAGGCTGTCCGCAGCGGGCACGTATCACTCGATTAGTGTCTTGCCGTGGACCGGCTGGGAACGGGTAACTCGATGGGGCTTATTCTTCATGCGAGGAGTTCACAAACTCTTTTCTGGGTCTGTCGGCGAGCAAAGCTGCGCCTGCTGTGTCAAAGCAGCCGGACCCGTCACCCTTTATGAGGGCCGATGAGTATGCAGAGCGTTCAGGTGATGATGCAAAGCAAATAGAGTCAAGCACTGAGACACCGCTGCTGCGCTGGGCCCCTTCAATGGGGCAGGCTGGTGGCGGTCTTTGATGCTACATTTGCCTACGACGGTATCTGATGCGCGCTCTCTGCGAGTTTCGTACTTATTCGAGCAGAGGATCTAATGCCGAATGCAGCAAGCCTTCCGCTGAAGGTCTTACTGTACGCTTGCGAAATTAGACCTTACCTTCTGGTCGACATCGCAGGATATGTCGGTATTTCGAGCTCCTTTCCGCTCACCAAGCTTGCAACCGGCGACATCAATTTGCCTATCCAGCCAGGCACGCCTGATTTCGCAATCAGATCGCTCCACCACAGCACTGTATAGAGGACTGCAATACCCCATGACGTCTGAGGGTTCGCAATCCCCGGTACACCCGGTATCAACGCTTGAGCCTTTTCCACGAATGGCTTGATCTGCTGCTCGTACTGTTTCAGTGCGGTCTCAACTTCATCGTACGTGCAAAGGCACCCAGCCAGGATGTAGGCACCGACGAATGCCAGGGTAGTACCCTGCCCGCTCACGGGACTCGGACAATATCCTGCATCTCCGAGCAAAGCTATCCGTCCTCTCACCCAGCTCGGGGTCTTGACTTGCGCAGTCTCCTGGACATAAACACTTGGATTATCCTTCATCTCGCGTAGCACCCGTTCGGCCTCCCAGCCGGCATCCGCAAATAGCTGTGTGAATTCTGAGATCTGCGCCTCGTGCGGCAGGAGCGCGAGCTTGCCACTATGCGGCGTCATCACCGCCAAGTACGCACCAGTCTTGCCAATCTTTGGCTGTGGACGCAGAACTACACATCGTCCACCAGGCGCGTTGTACCATCTGCTCCAATACCCGTCAGACTCTTTGTACGGTATTGACATGAGAGCGCAGCATTGCTTTAGGCTCTTCACGTGCGCAAATGACGATGAGAATGCAATATCTCTCGTCTTGCTAAAGAGGCCGTCTGCCGCCACCACAACGTCAAAGTCTCGATCCGCACCCTTCGCGAAGCTGACAGTGACCTGCTTGGCCTGCTCCTTGAGTCCTCTAATCTGCTCGCCAAAGACATAGTCCACGTCACCCTTCGTGTGCCGATACAGCACCTCGGCCATCTCGCCTCGGAGGATCTCAATCTCCTTAACGAAGCTGCTGGCGCCGCTCTCCTTGTCCACAGGGAACGCGGCCCAGATCTTGTCGTGCTCGTCGACGAACTTGATGCCCTGATCTCCAGTAGAATGTGCGAGAAGTTCGTCCCAGATGCCCATAGCTTTGACGATATGAACGCCCTTGCCTGCCACATCTACCTGTTGGCCCGAAGTACGCAGTGCAGGTGCTCGCTCCACGATAGTAACATTGTGGCCATTGTGAGCCAGGAACCAGGCGAGTGATGGCCCTGCGACGCCCGCGCCTGCGATAAGTACTCGCTTTGGGCTGGCCATTCGAATTGTAACAGCCTTAACTCAACCAAATACAATCGGTTGCGCTCTTGTATGTTGGCTGTTGGAGCTGTTCATGATACTTTCCTTTTCTCAATAGCAGGGTGGTAGAATGTAGCGTTCCGCGGAAACTCACGCCATTACCTGCAGGTTGCACGATCTATGCTTGACGATCTTGTTCTTGGCATCGTTACGGTGAAAAGTCGCCGTATATCTTACATATGGATGGCTTTGGTGAGGCATCACGCTCGGCGAGGCAACAATTCAGTGCGGCATTACTGTAGCACAATTACTGTAACACTCCGATCCCGAGATCTTTGGACTATTTCGCGTTCGTTCTGCTCCCACAGAGTTACGGAGAACTCACATTATGGGAGTCACGCGGCAGCGCATTACTGCTCTGACCGTCGTAGTGTTGTATAAGCAGGCCAACCTGTGTTCGCAGGTCAACCCACGCCGAGTTGAGCCGAGGTACAACACGTCTGTGATGCTGTTCATCAACCTTCAAGTCAATGGTTGGCGACGTGTAGTTCTGAGTTATAATTGTTCTAGACAACACAATGGTAGCACCCAGGTTCGGCATACTCGATGGAGAGACCTTGCGGAAATTTGGTGCCATGTCGCCAGCGGAGCGCATCCGAACAGTGTTGTCCAATAAAGCGCCCAATGACAAACGATTCCTGTCACTCTGGATCGAAGAGCACTGCAAACTAAGAGACTTCAAGACGGTGGGCCCGAATCAATACGTTGCCACGTTCGCGTTCAAGGTGGATCGTTACTACTGCAATCCTACCAACAACCTCCATGGTCTGATCACTTCAAGTGTCCTTCCCACGTTAAGCCTCGCTGCTGACAGGTTATTAGGCGGCGCCCAGGCAGCGATGTTTGATGTATGTACATCTCTGGCAATACAGGCGATCGGCAGCCTAGACAATTGGATAACTGGTGGCGTGAGTCGTGTGCTCAGCGTGACCTACGTGAGACCAGCAGCGGAAGGCGAGGACGTGCTGATGGAGTGCGAGATCTGTCATACTGGAAAGACACTGGCCCTCACCCGAGGCGTTTTGAAACGCGAGCGAGACGGAGCAATCCTTAGTACTTGCGAGCATAACAAAGCAGCAGTGCCTTCCAAACCTGGATGGAAGTTGTAAAGCAGATTGCTGCTTGAAGCGAGCTCTCCTTCCGCTTTCAGACATCAAAGTATAGATATCGAACAGGTTTTGGACAACATGCTTCTCGCGCTCGTGAATTTCGTTACCTGCCACCGATCGTGTCGAGGATACCGCTTGACACGAGCTTGATCGATCCAGGGCGGATAATGCCAAGTTCCAAGAACGGTGTATTGTCCTAATCGTGTTTAGCGACCTTATCGTCAGGATAGGCATAAGGTTGCTTACGAGCCATCCCTGCCACTGCTGTATCCTCGGGCTCTTAGACGAAGCATCGTCTACTACACACCTCGCGCAGTAATCTGTGTTGCCGATCAGGCCCACATCTGACTCTAAGGTCAGAGTACCCGTCATCAATAGGTCGTCTCCACTCTCGGTGCACGTGTAGACTTTATGCACTTCATGTCGGCGAGACACTATGGTCGACGAACCACCGCCGCCACTTCGAAACTGCGCGATCTCTGCGGTAGCATCAGCACGCTAATAACAAGCCGTTGGGCTTGCGTTGCATCCCCACCGTCTCTGCCTGCCATCACGCGTCGGTTGACAGTGAATGTACTGTCTTCGGTAAAGACCGTGTCTGCAAGTTCTCGGCTGGTGTCATGCGTGCTAGTGTCTACGAGCTTGTAAAAGCGAGCAATAAGATTCTTGATCTGCTGTGGGATAGGCTGCGAAGGCCACTCTACGTTATCCATTGTTTTGCAAGTCAGACGTTGACATTGTTGAAAGGAAGCCGTCAGATGAGACGATCATCAGGAGGTTCCCTAAGTAGCCAAGGGTGGCGTTTGACGGGCATAGACTCGACACATGCATCTAAGGCGTCCGTCATCTTCATCATTGTGCAGAGACTCTTCCTGAGCCATCACACGTTGCTAACAACTATGATCGATACGACGTGAGTTAGCAGTCCAGATACGATTGTTGGTGACGGGTAGATTACGAACACTGCTACGGTGTCCGTCCAACAACCCATCGTGGGAGACAACGGGATGGCGACAGCGGCTCGGCTGTAGCCCGGCTTCATCTCATCGGTATCATATATGATTTTATTAAAGCTTATACTATATCCGGTGAGATGGCCGAGCGGTCTAAGGCGCTAGCTTAAGGATTTACTTCCTACAAATCGCTAGTCCGGTAGGTGAACTTTCAATCGATTCATTAAACCGGTTTCTAACCTCTCATTAGAAAGGGCGTGGGTTCAAATCCCACTCTCATCAATATTCAATCAATTGATCGATCAATTGATTCTCTTTTGAACGGTGTCCTTCGAAATGTGATCAATTGGGAGAGCATTTGCGGCATATTCGAGGACTGAGGTTCAGCAGAATTCGCTGGACCCTTTACCCCACACAAAGCGGGCGTCGCATCCAACTGCTTACTCTTACACCTGAACAACTCAATAACCACACGTTCAATCAAGGCGGGTGCTTCACTTTTTGCTGTCATAAACCATGGAAGATACCTAGTGGTCAAGTCGGCTCACATCAGCGGCACATCAGGAAAGATCAGAATATGGAGGACGTCCATATTGCTCCAACAACATCGGGCTATCTGTCAAGCACTCCTGCTGCTTCGGGTCGTACGTCAGGAAGCGATTCAGGATCTCTGCAACAGTCCAATTATTTACCCCGTATGCAAGCTTCAGCCAATGCTGGTTTGTCACAGTCTGATCGTTCACCCATGCGTTGGCTCCCTTATCATCGACAATTGCGTTATATCCACCCTCGTTTGCATACGCAAATGGAGACGTGAGACCGAGCTGTTCGAACCCATCCATCCCCAGGATACCGTAAAGCACCGTAACGGGATCCCACGATTCCCACACTGTCTGACAGCGGCCAATGTACCACTCATACGCAGCAAAGACCGGCGAATTAGGCGGGGAATGTGTTCGCAGATTCTGGCCTGAGCAGATGGCTACTCCAAGTTCCCAGCCGGAAAAGGTCAAGGGTACATCTACCGGCCAGTGTTCCAGAACATACCGCGTACTTGCTGGGTCTACGCCACCGAAGTTGTACTCCCAGCCTGATGGGTAGCGGCCGCCCATTACGATCAGTTCCTTGACTTTAGCATTGATCAGTTCGAGTCCTGTCAAGCTGCTGATCCCATCTGCCGGCGAGCGGAGTAGGTCGGCAATGTTTGTCAGAAAACCAACAGAAATCATATTGAGGCTGTTATTGCCCCCCGAAGCCAATACGCTACGGTAGAGCTCAACCGGTGTTGGTGTGCTGAAGGATTCATTCAACGCTCGCGGCCAATTGTAGGCGACTCTACTCGCATACTCGCCACATCTGCCGCGTTGTCAGACCGCGCACTCGATACGGATTTTCAGGCATCTACCTGTAAGTCATTCTGTCGAAGAAGGTATCCTCAGTCAGCGGTCGTATGGCAGCAACGGGCACGTCGCTATTTCCAAAGTAAGTATTGATAGCGCTCACAGCCAACGCGCCGTATCTTGAATGTGTGTTGACTGCCACTCCCTGTAGGTCAGCGAGCCCGCAGTTGTGAAGTACGTTGGCTATTGCTAAGGCTCCAACATCATCGACGTCAGTGAGGATGTCTGTATCAACGAAGATGGCTTGCGGCGGATGATGGAAGGCTTGTGCAAATGTACCAATATAGAGAGTAGCAAGATAGAGTACGTCTCTAAGACAGAGGAACATGATGCTCATTCGGTGCTGCCCTCAAGTGCTCGATATGCAAAGAAAAGTACGTCTTTCAAGGTCGTCCTAGTGGCTTTCGGTCCGCAATACCAAGTCAGATAGAGATGCTATGCAACTCCACCCCCCCCTACATCATAGCCACACATCATGATGGTTCATGTTTCATCAATGCAACACCTTTACGGCGGGCTATGTGCTGCATTGACCTTTCCGCCCAGCCTTCTCACGCCCCACACACACCGTTCAACAACGTACACCAGCAAGTTTGCGCCGGAAGGGCTCCGGCCTTGTAATGTGCGACTTCGTAAGGCTAAGTGCAGTTCTTCTGTTCTCTCGGTATCACCTTCGAACCGATGTCGACGTGCACTTGACGCTGTGCTGGTGCGATCGTGATGCTCACTTGGTCGCTTAGGTAGTCGGATACTCTAACCAAGGGAACACGAACACGACCGCTCGGTGAAACGCAAGATGAGACATCTAGATAGACTTCTGCTGCTCCCGTCAGGTCTTCTGGCGTTACTGGTCTGCTTTCGAGTCGATGCCCAACATGTCGCAAGGACCGGCGACAGCGGAGACAAGGTGAATGGAATGCAACATTCCGAGCAGCTTCGATGGCAAGTTCCACTCGGCATCAGGAAGATGAGTGAAGACGAGGGCGAGAAGTTCTGGCCGCACTACTGGGACTTCGGTGAGGAGCCTGCGCATCTACTCGAGGAAGCCGCAAGCCTTGTGTCCTCGAATCTATCGCTTGGACGCGCACCCATTGCACCGCACACGAACCATGGTCGAAGTTTGAGTATACTCGGCCGCAGCATCTTCGCTCGCGCCTTCCAATGCCCTACCAACACCACGTCCTGTTCCAGTCTAGGCTCAGACCTCTGCTGCCCAACTGGAGAATCTTGCGTGACCAACTCAAGCGGAAGTATCTGCTGCTGTCCAGCGGGTCAGTCATGTACATCCGCTTCTTGCTCTTCCTGTGCTGCAGGCTACACGTCGTGCCCGAACAGTCCGAACGGAGGGTGCTGCATTCCCGGCGCTGTTTGCGCTGGGACGGGCTGTGTGTTTGTGGGAACGCAGACGACTGTCGTTACGCTACCTACCAGCACAGTGACCGCAACAATCAGCTCCAGTCGATCCATTAGCAGCAGTACGACCCCAACCCCAACAACAGCCTCTATTGCTCCAGCCGCCGTCACAAGCGTGTCTATCTCGACGGTCACAGTGACGCAAAGCATAAGCGGCGCAATGACTACCATCATTCAGCCGGTCACGGTGCTCATCACACCCACCACAAGCACAACTACAATAAGCCCAAGTAGTCAAAGCTCCTTGGTCTGTTCGTCCGGCTATCAATCCTGCGCGGCGTCGCTAGGTGGCGGTTGCTGTCCCAATGGCCAAATATGTGCAGCAAGTAATCTATGTGTAAACGCTACGACCTCTACCATCTCCGCCGGAGCACCCATCCTACCAACAAGCGACAGCACGACCACCGCATCCGTCTCCGCAGCAAGTGTAGCTTCGACGGCTACGACAAATGACATCTGCCCGACAGGGTACTACGTGTGCTCCGCATACTACATGGGCGGATGTTGTAGGGTGGGCCGCGATTGCGATACTACATCATGCCCCTCATCAGAGAGCACCGCCATCATTTCGTCTGGGGCCACCGTCGTCGTACCCTACACTTCGACAACGGTGGTTGGTGGAGGCACAACGACCGCAGCATCGCCTGCGGGAAGTCAAGGCTCGTGCGCAAACGGATGGTACTCATGCCCAGCGTCGGCGAGCGGAGGGTGTTGTCCTTCGGAGTATGTTTGTGGGGCTGTGAGCTGCTCGGCGACGGTTAGTGGGCAGCAGAATACGGGCAAAGTGTCACCCAGTCAGGCGAGCGCCGTGAGGTGGGCTGCAGGATTCATGTTCGTCACGATTGGCAGCGCGGTTGGAATGATATGGCTGTGATGCTTGCGAGGACTCACGATCGAACATTGCTTGTCGGTCTAGATGTGGGCGGTGAGACATTGTAACAAACGCCTTGATCCTTGATGTGAAAAGCCAATCATACCAGTGATATGCATGTGGTTGCACGTCGACCGTCAGCAATGCCGTCTCCGATGCCTTAGGCCATTGTCAATATCACATGCGCTGGATGTCATAGCTCTTGTGGCTTGATGCCGCCCCACATTGGAAGCTCGCTCTCCATAACTCGGGACTGAACCCGAACAAGCACCATTGCCCCAACACACGACATTCCCTGGATACGCCGACTGCCGTGCTCTGCTTCCTGGATCTGGCTACGCACTCGGATGTAGCTCCGTTTGAGTAGGTACTAACAGTAGTCTACTTAGACGGTGGTATTTCCACGCGCAGCGCTCCAAGATTCCCCAGTACTCGAGCGAGTTAAGACCCATTGCACCGACGCACGCGCGTAAGCTGCAAAAGGAACGTTGCACCAAGACTGCAAGCATTGTATGAGGAAGAACGTGTGAGGAGAGTATAGGCAGAACCTGCCAACATTACATACGGCGACCCGTTGCCGCAAGTGCAGACGGCTGCAGTCAGCGAGGAGGGAGAGGCAGGCACGGGCTTCATGGAGCGCCTTTGCAGTAGGCAGCCCCGTAGATTGCCTTGAGGAGGTCACTCCTTAACTCAACCACGATGCCTTCGTCAGATGGTGAAGACAAGATTACACGCACAACGACGGACGAAGGCAGCAAGAACGACCAGGCACCGCGCTTACTGGCCGATAATGGCAGCAAAGGCGAGGGAGGCAAGCAGTCACTGCCTCGTGACTTACCCGCATCAGCAAACAAGAGCAAGCACGTTCTCTCCTTCCAGCCGGGTGGGGATTTTCGACGCTTGGCCAAGAAATACCGCACGGAAATCGCAGCTTCCTCATCCAGCGTGCTTTCCACGTTCGTCGCTTTTCCGCTCGACTTCGCCAAGAGTCGCATGCAGAGCTACGAGACTGGCTTTCTCGCTACGATAAAGGATGCATACAGAGCCGAAGGCCTCCGCACTTTCTGGCGTGGTGTCGGTCCGCCTCTGGTCAGTGTTACCGTGGTGCGCACTTTCAGCTTCAGCATCTATCAGCGCGCCAAGTACACCATCGACGGGTTAATGAAGCGATTCACAGGCCACAGTCCGCTGCATATTGCGAATGCGCCAGGAAGCTATCCAAACATCTACACCTTGGCTTGTTTCGGGACGGCAGGCGCAGTTGCTGGTGCTATCATCACCACACTCAGCTGCCCGTTTGAACTCACCAAGCTCAATGAGCAGTTGGCCGGCAAAGAGGCGCGTGAAAAAGCAGTGGCACCTCCAGCCAATGGCGCCAAATCGCCACGCACACCTCCCTCAAGTCATCTGGACGGCAAGACCGGCTCCTGGAACACCGCCCGCCGCCTCATCCGCGACCGCGGTTTCCAAGGCCTGTACGCAGGCTACAAGCTGCACCTCCTCCGTGACACCATCGGCACTGCAATCTACTTCACTACCTACGAATCGGCCAAACAGCTCATGGCGAACGCGCGGGGTAGGAGCCCGACGAGCCCCTACGCCGTGCTGGTCGCAGGTGGTCTATGTGGGATAGTAAGTTGGGCTTGTGTAAGTCTCCGTGTCTCATGTGAAGTCACTAATATATTTAAGCTGACATCCACCCTGATTTACCCAATCGACGTGGCGAAGACACTGTATCAGAAGGCCTTGCTCTCCGCCGGAAGCGCGCATACGCCTGTGCCGCCGATTCGAGTCTTTCAAGTTGGAGCATACAGAGGTGAGCTCGCCAAGACCTCTATCGGCTCGTCCTGCCACTAACGCTATAGGCAGGACTGGGAGTCTCTGTCATCCGATCCTGCTTCGTGAACATGATCTTCTTCAGCAACTTCGAGATGGTCAAGCGGTACATTAATGCATTGGATTGAAGCTTCGATTAGCATGGCGTAAGGACTCTTTCCCAGCATAGCGCTGCGGGTTGACGATACCATGGGTACCAAACATTGCTGGCGTTCGAATATGGGAATGGGAATGGGAGGAATGCCGGTCGAGGATACCTCCTGGCTTGATTACTTAGTGTGGCGCCTAGCTTTGAAGCATCCCAAAAACGAAAACCGGCGACGTCCGAGAACTTCACACTATCCCAATGCCATAGCGCCTTCACAGGCTGCCGTTATAATATCGGATGTTATGGCCACGTCGAAACAAGATTGAGATCTATGGCAGATTACAATTTGGTCGCTCTCCAGCGATCTGTTCTCTAGCCTCAACGCCGTTTCATCGCCTCATCATAGTCCATCAAGGCACCGCAAGGTAGCCCAGAAGCGCATATATGGTTGGGATGAGGCCTGCCCAAACCGCTCTTGTGCGCGAAAACCTTTCTTCTACTCATCTGTAGCACCGCACAGTAGCCCACAACCTGTCACTGCGACTGGGAGACAGCTGCTTCTTGCTCTTACATTATCACCCGCCTTCTTCGAGCTTAGCACGGCGCAACAGGTGAAGCGCCGGAGAGCGGTCTGACAGCATTGGAATGGGTGGTGTTGCCTGACGGAAAGACCTTTTTCCAACGCTATCTAGCTATGCTGGGGTATCGTAAGCGGCACGAACACAATGCACGCTCAGCGCCTGTTGAAGTCGAGACTGGTTAAATCGCCGTTGGACTGTCGGTGCCTGACCGCTGTTTATGAGCCAGCACGCTTCCCGGCCCAACCGACGATGCTAATGGAGTTAACATGGTCCAACTCAATACCATCCGACGCAAAACACCTCGCTGAATGACATATAAACAAACACCGCCGTCCTCGGGCTCTTGTCAAGATATCTTCCTGCAAAAGCCAGCTAAATCAATATCCCCACTCCTCCAACCGTCGAACCAACCACAAACACGCCGGCCTCCTCAGCCCCTCCACCTGCCACGCCGCCGCCGCTAACCCCACCGGAAGTGCAACAGCCACCACACCAAGCAGCAGCCTTCTTCTCCCCTCTTCGCCCTTCGCCTTCCGAGCCGCCGCAGAGACAGCAGCAGGTTCATCCGCAATGTGAAAACTCCCCCCGAAAAGATCTTCCAGCCCTGTAGCCTGGCCCGCCGTATCACTCGGCAAAGTCCAAACACCTTTCCGCAGCTCCAGCTGGCCCCGAGTGCGGGTTTTGGCGGGGGAGGAGAGATCGTCGTCTGTCTCGCTCAAATCCAGGCCGCCTAGACCTCGGAGCGTCGGTTGGGCGTATTGCGTCCCACCCTTGTTCGGTCCTTGCTCCCGCTTCGCAGTAGGGTGGCTGTAGGTTTTGCCCATCTCAATCCCCTCCCGCATCTGCGCCAGAAATCCCTGCTGCTTCGTAACGGGGGTCTTCTTGAAGCTAACCTGGGTCGGCGGATTACGCAAGCGACGTTCCAGACTCATTGGCGCTTGCGGGAGACGGCCGCGGAACGGAGACTGCTCGACAGGGGGCTGAAAGCGGAGTTTGCGCTCCGCTTCTTCTGCCTCGCGTTGGCGCTTGAGTTCGGTTTGACTGTGGAGTGTACCTTGGATGCCGAAGAGCTCGGTGCGCATCCCACCCCAGCCGAGGTTTTGGGTGTTGGTGTGGTTGTATAGGCTGCGGGTATTGGTGTTGGCGGTGCGGTTTGGTTCGGCGGTGTAGGGGCGGTAAATGCGGGTGTCTTTTGTGCCGGGCATGCGGGATTGCGGTTCTGATTGCATGGTGTTGTGGTGTGGGTCTAGGTCCATGGGGTCGCCTTCGTCGTCTGTTTCGTCCGAGGGCGGTGGGGATGGCATGGCGGTTCTGTTGGCCTGCTCTGGGCGTTTCGAGGCAAGTTTACTGATAGGGAAGGGCGTGATGCGGTCGCGAGCGAAAAGCTGGCTTGGCGGGATGGATGAGGCCCGGGGTGGAGACGGCTCATCTTCGACGCCGGCAAAGGCGCCGAGGACATCTCGCTCTTCGGGTCGAGGCATCATCTTCTGTCGAATCTTGAATCGTATCGGCTTGATTGCGCGGTTGCTGAGCCACTGCGCGACAGCTATGGCGACGATGAGGAAGCCATGCAAGGCTGCCGTCTGATGTGCGGTTAGGCCAGAAGCTGACAGAGCTGTGTCGGAGCACAGCATATACCAAGCGACGGCTCTTACGATGAGCAGGACGACCTGCAGCCGGCAATACTCGGCTTGACCGGCAATAGCTTCGATGCGGTGGGTGTGGTGGAACCAGTCTTTAAGGCTAGGGTTGTACCATATCAGGAAGAGCGATGTGAGCAATGCTCGTGGCATCGATGAGCCGTAGGTTCGAAAGCAGGCTTCGGTGAAGCGAAAGTGCAGCGCATCGTTGTAGCACCCTCGCGGTTTCGGATCGGATGCAAGCTCCAGCGCAGCCGTCCGCTCCTCCTTCTCCGCTGGTCTGAGGTCCAGGGAGACGGCGTAGAGATGCCACGCAAGCTGTGCCAATAGTGCAGCGTAGTATAACACGCCCACAACGCTCAATACGATCCGCATGCTCCGCTTAGCCCAGTCATCTCGCAGGCCCTTCGGACTCCTTCCTTGCCTCCGTAGTGTTTCCGTAGCTCGCCTGCTGATGTTCTGCGTACTGGCATATCGATCGGAATGGTTGATCTTGCGCTGCGCTGTTGGAGCGCATCGCTTGCAGATCTGTGGGTACCGTTTCTCTAATTCCTTCTGGTACTGCGGTAAAGCATCATCGTAGCGCTGATAGTCCGGATCGTCTTCATCCGGAAGATAGTTGGCGAGAGCTTCCATGTACATGCGCTGGTTGCGTAGACATCGCTCACAGAAGGCCGTCTCTTGCTGATAATCTGATGATTGGGAAGCTATTCGAGTCGTACCCTGTGCGAGCAGAGGTGGATCTGCACACGCTGCCTGAGCTACTATGCTCGCCGGAGTGTCTATGATGCGGCCTTTGCTGTCGAGGAAGTTGACTGCTTCGCATGAAGTGCACTGGAACTCGCTGACGCCGGAGGAGGTGCCATGCGGAGATCGAGTGCCGCAGAAGTGGCAGTGGATGCGGCGGAAGAAGGACATCTTGGAGGGTGTCGCTTTGATTAATCTTACAGTTCGTCAAGTAGGAAGGACATTTGGTCCATGTACAGTCGTAGTGTTAGGTGCGTGCAAGTGTTATTCGTGGCACAATAGCATTCTCATTCACATTCACTTTCACTTTCCCTTATTGTCAAAAGGCACGCGAGCCTCGGCAGCTTCCGGCCTGCATGGCGTCGATCAAGCTCTGCCCCGCAATTGGCGTGCAGTGCTGACATGAGTGGCGGATGAAACATTTCCGTGAAGCCTCCAGTCTCATCAACCCGCGGCAGCCGCATAAGACCGCTCACCATCCAGCGACATCCGCATATCTGCTATATAGAGGGCTCTGGTCAACCTTGTCGCCCTCAAGTACTACCCTCTCTGCCCACTGTAGACGCCACATTTGGCCAAGGATTGACCGCCATTGGCGACATATATACATACATCACACACGACACCGGAGCAAACCCTCAGCCAAGAGGATCTTCCAAGATGTCCTTCTCAACCCTTGTCAACGACCTCACTTACCGCGATGATCCACGTCCGGCCTCCGCCCGCACAATCTCTACCGCCACCGACACCCGCTCGCAAATCTCCCGCGCCCGCTCCTACGCCTCCACCGCCGCCACCAGCGTCAGCATAAGCGGCGACATCTCCTCCCAACTCCACGGCGGCTACTCCCACCCCCTTGCCCGCTCATGGCAGGCAGAACGCCAACTCACCAAATCCATGCTCATCTACCCCCTTTTCATCACCGACAATCCGGACGAAAGCGAACTCATCCCCAGCCTCCCCGGCCAGCGACGAATGGGCCTCAACAAGATCATCCCTCTCCTACAACCTCTGATCGCTAAGGGCCTCAAATCCGTAATCCTCTTCGGCGTCCCTCTCGCCCCCTCCGCCAAAGACGCCCTAGGCACTGCAGCAGACGATCCGCAGGGCCCCGTCATCGCCGCCCTCCGCCTCCTCCGCCGCGCCTTCCCCCGCTTGTTTCTGGTAGCCGACGTGTGTCTCTGCGAGTACACCTCCCACGGTCACTGCGGCATCCTCAACGAAGACGGCACCCTCAACAACAACCTCTCCGTCGACCGCATCAGCGACGTCGCCATGGCGTACGCCGAAGCGGGCGCCCACTGCGTTGCCCCCTCCGACATGAACGATGGCCGCATTCGCGCAATCAAGCTCAAACTGATCGAAGCCGGCATCGCACATAGAGTGGTACTGATGTCCTACTCCGCCAAATTCTCCGGATGCCTCTACGGTCCCTTCCGCGACGCAGCAGGTTCCTGCCCCTCCTTCGGCGACAGGCGCTGCTACCAACTCCCGCCGGGCGGCCGCGGCCTGGCGCGCCGAGCGATCCATCGCGACATCAAGGAAGGCGCTGACATCATCATGGTAAAGCCCGCGACGCAGTATCTAGATATTATTAGTGATGCCAAGGAAATTGGCAAAGATATGCCCGTCGCCGCGTACCATGTGAGTGGAGAATATGCAATGATCCATGCTGCGGCGAAGGCGGGCGTGTTCGATTTGAAGGCCATGGCGTTTGAGGCAACGGAGGGCATTCTAAGGGCCGGTGCGAGTATTGTGGTGAGTTACTTCACGCCGGAGTTTTTGGATTGGCTTGATACATAAACCACTTCGATTGATCGGACTGTGGTTCTGCTACCATTGTACAGTGCCAAGCGGTCTCACACAGTGCTGGACATGCCTCTGTGACGGTGTCCTGCTCGAAGGCCTAAAGTTGCGCCACTGTAAACCCTATCCTTGCTACCATGCATGTGGAAGCGCCCATGCTACTAATACAACAAGCCACATCTCACTCATGCAACAACTTCCGTCAGCTCATCCGGACGCACCATGGCTTCCTTCTCACCATCCTTTGTAGCGGCCCTACATTGCACCTCGGCCGCCGTCTTCCCTCCGGCACCTGCCTTACCCCCCTTCTTCCGCCTCTCCGCCCACTCCCGACTAGCCACCCTCCCCCTCTCCGCCGCCTCCGCCCGCGCCTTGCGTGCAGCTTCCTCCTTCTCCCGCTTCTCCCTCTCCGCGGCTTCTTTGGCAAGCGCGGCGCGCTTGAAAACCTCGCGGCCTTTGATTGTGCCCGCTTTGCCGGAAGAAGAGGAAGGAAGGCGTCGAGTGGACGGGGACCCTGACGTGGCTTCCGCGACCGTGAGAGAGCTGCGTGGTTTGCTTGTATTCGCTGTGGCGGTGGAGGATGGGCGCTTGGAGATTTTGAGGTCGCTTGAGGTGGTTGGGTTGGCGGATATGATTGGCTTAGTAACCGTGAGCTTGGTCACAGCGGAGGCGGCGCTGCTCGTAGGTACGATACTGCTTTTCCGCTTTTGGGTTGTAGTGGCAGAGGAAGGAACGGGGTTACCGTTCATAAGCGATTCGCGTGCCTTGCTGGCGTGGGTTTGCCGTACATTCGGCGCCTTCTGCAATGCCGTCGGGACTGGTCTGGCTTTGAAAGCAGCCTTCTTCTCCTCTGCCTCTGCTTCCCTCTTCTGTCGCTCTTCCTTTGCCGCTTTGAGCTTTGCTGCTACGGCCTCGCCTGGAAGTTGAAAAGTCGACGTCGTGGGCGCTTTCTTTGACTTGGACGGCGGTGGCGGGGTGGGAAAGGAGAGGGAGACGGGTCGAGGCTTGCTATGCGGAATCACTGTCTCCTTTTTCTCAAGGGGTTGCACTGCGGCGGTTGTGGTGGCGGGTACGCGTTTACTCGTTAACGAAGATGTGGCGAGGATACTTTGGCGCATACTAGTCGATGATTGACGAAGAGTATTTGAGGCGCGTGGATGGATGGAAGCGGATGGTTTGTTGGCTCCAGCCTTCTCTGCCTGCGCCATAGAGACCCGAGCTTGGCTTGCTTTGGTGGTTCGGACGATGGGCACGGCTTTCTTTGACTTTGGTTTCTGTGGCGAATCCTCAATAACTGGCATCTCTGCTGCTACCTTCTCCACTGCTTCGTCGAGCGCATCGATCGCGTCAATGGCGTTAACAGGCTCTTCTAGCAGCTCAGTCGCCTCAATAGCGTTCGTCGGGTCTACTGGCAGCTCAGTTGCCACTTCCGCACCCGGACCCTCAGCATCTGTAACGGGAAGCTGCGGGCCCGAAAGCTTCCGAGGAAGAGTAGACGGTGTCCCTGCTTGTACTGCCGCGGCCTCGAGAGCATCGTACGTGCTGACACGTCGATGAGAGAGTGTTGCGGGCCTTGGCGTGGGTGTTCCTGCATCCGCAGGTTGAACGTTCTCCTTGTTGCTGGTCGAGCGCATACCAGGTGTCTTGCGTAAAGATGCCACGGCTTTAGGTGTAGCGGACGGTAGTGGTGAGGGAGGAGCGTCCGTAGCGGTCAGGTTCTCTGGCTCGATGGTCTCGGGGCCTACCTTCAAAGGCTGGGTTGTGTCTGGCTTATTGATTGGCGGTGTAGGCCCTGCTTGATCCATAAGAACGTTTGACTTCCCGGTGGCATTGTGAGCTTCATCATCGCTGTCAGGCTCGTCGTCTTCGAAAGCTAAGCTATCTGCACCTCTGCATTAGCATTATGCACAGCAGTTGTACAAGGCTGATCGAACCTCACGCACCTTCTGACATGTTTCTCATCAGGCTCTTCCTAGGACCAGCAGCAATAGTACCACTAAAGGCTGTCGCTGAGGCTAGGTCTCCATCCTCAGATGCCTTTACGTTCACAAGCTCCGCTTCAGCCTCCGGTACATTTTCCGCAGCGGACTCTCCACCCTTCTTGCCCTTCACAACCCTCGTACTCGCCTTCGTACTCCTAGTAGACCTCTTCAAGTCTGCTGGTTCGCACTCATCGCTTTTATTGCTGCCGCTATTAGGGGCTATGCAACCAAGTGGAGACCGCTCACTGTTGTCCGGGGTTGCGGTGCCTATCTGAATCTTCGCGATGGATGCCGCATTTTCGCTGTTCAGATCAAGCACAGCATCCTCATCTACATGTAGCTCTTCAGCGACCTGGGCGGCCTTTGCTCGAGTCATGCGAGGCATTGCTGCGTGGTGGTGACGGTGTTGATGTTGTACTTGCGAGACTACAACGTCAGCACGATCACCACAGCTCTCGAACACGCCGTTGCATGCGTTGCGCGTTTCGGATGGTGTGTGACGACGACGTTAATATCTGGGGTAAGAAGCGTGCATTGAAGGTCGAGAAGTCGTGGCCTGTCTGTTGACAGATCGGCCGCTAGCGCGTTTCCTGCATAGCAACGCGGGTCATTACATGGCACTTTCGTCTGAACGGTCGGACTACTTTGACCACCAGAATGCTGCTTTGAGAAAGCATACTGTCCAATGCACCATGGTAGATTCAATGCCGCTTTCCTCATATGTCAACGCACGCAGCATAGAAGAATGTTACATGCACTAACGTAACGTTGAAGCGAAACGCTCTCCTGCTGGCAACCCAATCAATGAGCCGTTCGCGTACTGGTTGATACGATACGATACGATCGATACTCTGGACGTTATGATAAGCGAGCTTAGGCTGTCACATCACGGAACATCCTGTTGCCGCTGTGGCCAGCTGGCCCGTAAGCTGGCCCACCATCAAGCCGTTCGAGGCGAGCTGATTGACGGCACCCATACCTTGCCCTGTCACGTTCGCAACACTGTTGAGGGCGTCCATGGAGCTTTGCATCGTAGCCATGGCTTGATTGACATCAGGACTGTTTCCGCCGGCTCCACCACTAGGACCGGGAACGCCGAAATTGTTCCCGCTGTTCCCGCCAACCGGACTCTGTGCGTTGTTGGGGTATTGATTGAAAAAGTCCATCGGTGAAGGCCCGTTGAACTGAGGAGGAGGCGATGTATCCGGAGGCCTGCCACCGGAACCGAAAGCCGTGTTTGAGTACCCACCAGGTGCAGCAATACTACCCTGCTGTAAGCGCCCAGCGGGTGGCCTTTGCTGTGTTTGCTGCGCCAAGCGTGCCGCATACTGCTGGAAAAGCTGCGCCACATCAACAGCCAAGCCCGGCGGAAGCGAGTAATGGACGCTCCCATCTGCGAACACGGCGAAGTGCTGGTCCGCTGCGAATGGATTTAGCGTGACCCATTGCGCGTTTGGAATGTTTTCTTTGACTCCTAGGCTCGCAAAATGCGGGTACTGATCTTTCAGGTCCCAAAACCATACATTATCGACCCCGATGCCAAGGAAGGTGTCGCCGTACCCGATGTCGATAGTCTTGACACGGCATCGTAGGAATAGATCCGGTTTGGTGAACTTCTGATACCGCTCAAGCGCTCCATCCGGAATATTATGCCATCGATGACCCTGGTTCGACCAAGCGAAGAAAGCGCCATTCAGACCCAGAGATATGCTGACAGATGCATAGTCGTGGGCAAGATTCTCTTTGATCAGCCAAGAGTACAGCTTTGGGTAATCATCGTCTAGGTCGAAGAGGGCACGGCCGATGCCATTGGGGTCGGTGTAGGAGATGAAGAAGCTGACTCCTGTGCCAAAGGCAACATTGTGGACTTCCTTGACTGGCGTTGTTTTGAAAAACTTGAGAAACTCGGGCGGGCCACGGTACTTGAAGGTGCCTTTGCCGTCATGGAAGAAATAGTAGAGCTTGGGGCCGAAGTAGAGCTGCATCGTGACCCTTCTGCTTTACAGGCTCCACTCGCAATCTAGGACACTGTCCAAGAAGATGGGATACTCCATCGTAGCAGCCTCCTTGCACACGTACGTACACTTGCCTGTAAAGCTGCCAGCCTTGCTATAGGCGAGGAGGTGCAGTAGCCCGAGAGTCTGGCCGGATCGGTGCGGCAATCTCCGCCATTGGACCTCGACATCTTTCATTGGTGCGCAAAGTCGCTCTTCTTCGCTGGCATTGAACCCGAGCACCGAACGACCGTCTACAACGGGCAGTCAGGACGCTGCTGGCGAGACCGTACTGGTCGATCAGCGAACCACGACGGTCAGTTCGTACGACGCGTGCAACCACATCAGTCTCGTAGCACTTGAGTCTATACGTCAGTATGAAGTATAGGTATGGTCAGATCCTGACCTGAAGCGAGCCGTGAGTCGAACCACGCTCAGTGGGCGGACTACCCAGCGTACGTCCCTCGAAGAGCCACCGGACGACATTGCTTCCAACCAAGCGTCGATAATGAGAAGGCCTATTGAAGGCTTTGATGCCCACTGTTCTCAGGACATGGGAAAGGTGTGTCACCTTCTACCACGCCCTGTGGCGATTATATGGGAAGGGCACTTCTATACATGTTGGTTGACCGGCGTTACTCGACCGCCTGAAGATGCAACCTTGTCTTCTTACTCGACCATCTGCTGATGCCTCTTAGGCTTGCGTACTCCTTTCCCGGATCTGCACCCCTCTTCTACCGAGTCTGTCACGAGAACAACCTTACATTGACGGCCGCGATTTGCCCTCCGACGATTCTACCGCTGACTGGGGCCAACATACCACCGTTTGTGCCTAAGGTCACACCGTCAGCGCCATCACACCGTGCCACGGATCATTGAATCTACTGGACATACTGATATACAGCATATCCCGGTCCTCTATGGTTTTTCCGAACGCTGCCGACGTCGCACCTTCCTGGACAGCATCGTTGGCTCCACCAGCCAGAACAATCACCTCACCTCCCGGTAAGGCTTGGTATGGCGTATTGGCTCCCACCAAATAAGCAGTCCCATTCGCGCCAAACGCAAAATCATCCGGAAGCGTCATGTTAGCAATCACAGTGGCCAAGTCGAGCGCGGTACCCAACTCATCGATCATAACACGGCCGAGAAAGCTGTCGCCAATGCTCGTGAAGTAAAGCTCGTTGTTGTTGAGCAGGTGGATGCCGTCAACGCCAAGCGGGACAAGTGTGTTAGTCGTGCGGAATAAAGGGTCTTGGATCGCGATGCCGTACTCGCCAGAGCAAGTGTCCAGGCGCCAGATGATGCCATTGCCTGCGTCTGCAATGAGGACGACGCCGGAGACTGAGGGAAGGGTAAGAACGCCGTCAGGGATGCCAACGCTTGTAAGATTCGCTATCAACGTGACTGCGCTGGCTTCTTCCTGTACCAAGGTCAATGATCACTGTTCGCTTCTTGGGGGCGAGTGCAGTCAACGTACAAGCTCCCATGCGGACATGTCCACCTCCCAGGCTTTGGCACTGCCAGCAATAGCCAAGCTCGTGGCAACATCCACATCGCACGTCACCACTACGAAGACATCGTTCCACACTTCCGCGATGCCGAGTACGCCGTCAGTATTGTCGAACTGGTGGACTGTCGTGGCGGTATGCTCGAATGGATTAACGAGATAAAGCGCTGCACGGTTGAGGGAGCTGCACAAAATATCGCCGCTATCCCGGATAGCAAGATTCTCGATCCATGTGTTGTTGGAAAAGGTCCACACAGTCGTTACAGCATCGTCGTTCTGCAAGGGTATGGACAGAACGCCGTCCAGAAGGGCGAGAACGCAAAGAAGTGCGATCATGGTATCGCTCAGACGAAGTAAGCGGGCACGCCTCGTCTTTGCAGCGGGTGCACGCTCTTGAGATGGAGAGTCCAGCATTGTGTATTCATTTGGAGACACTGCACCCGTTGACTTTCTCAGGAGGCGCGCGGCAACACGAGATTGTGCCCGATCACGTGTTCAATACGAAGCCGAAGCAGAGCATCCCTGTTAGACCATGGTGGTTTCAACAACGATCGCAGGCATGATACACCAGTAGACTATCGCTTTTGAGATCATGCCTGCTGACTACCGTCACAAATGCCTGCTTCAAGCGGTGAAGCTCAATCCTACTGCGAGACGACCTCCCAGTCCTGGTTGGCAGACTAAGACTCATACACTTCGCTAGAGATAATGCAGCGATCCACGGCAATGCTACTTCCTGACACATGCAGAATCTGCATGACTGACGGCTGACACATTGCACATCAACAATGATGCAGCGTAACAGTGCTGGTCACCAATCGCCGGCCAAACGAGCGAAGATACGAGGCCTATAAGGTACAAGATACGACGTATCGTCTCGCGGTAACCCGGGTCTTCACACAATTCTCTCAACCAGCACCCTGTTTACGATCTTTGTCTATAGTAACCAAGCACGATGCGAAGCTTCCATCCGTCTTCACTGTGGCTGCCAACAGTGGGCTTGGCGCTCACATCTTCCGCAAGCCCAGCATGTTTGGCTGGGTCGGCTTCTGCTACGCCTCTCCCGACCGCACTGCCAGCGACTACGTCGTACAACTACTTGATGCCCGCGCTCTACCTCAACGTACGTTGCTGCGCTTCAATTTCGTAGCCTGAGCCTGCTGACCGAACATGCGCAGCTTACTGTCCAGACTGTGGTACGTACGAGCTGCGTAATCTGAGCCGCATACCGCCAACACACTTCCTTAGATCAATCTCGGCAACCTCACCACCGGCGGCCAGCAGCTCCTCGGCAACATCGTTGACGGCCACCTCTACTCCGAACCCGGCTTCGTTCCAAATTTCTCCGCCAGCATCAAGTACGCCGAGGACTACCTTACCGCAGACCCGCTGGACGGCGTGGCTCATCCCGCGTGCATCATGACTGTCTTTCCAGACAACGGCGACACCCCTTTCTTGATGAAGATTGGCGGCATACAGTACCCCAACCCGTCCCTGGACGGAATATTCTCATCAAACACCTCGAACACAGAAGCTATTCCATATGGCTATGTCTACTCTGGTAAGTACTTTCAGAGTTGATGGGCAACGGTTTGTACTGACAAGGGTGCCAGTATGGACTCCGACTTTCTTCGGAGGCGCCGACAATTACACCAACCTTCAGAATAGCGTCTTCGTTGGCTCCGAGACAATCAGCGGCAGCGGTCAACCCGGCACGTTCGTTGTTGGCATGAAGTTCAGCAAAGTGTTCAACGTGAACACCAGCATCACCATCGGGCACGAGTTCCCGTAAGATTTCGGTAAAGCGTCAGTGGCGTCAAGCAGGACAAAAGAGAAGCGTTAGGTCCCAGCTCCGGTTTGAACGCAGGATCACTCGCAGTCAAGTCAAGACGTCACCCTAAGCGAGTATGTTACCACTACACCCTACAACAACACCGCAACTACCTCTGTTCATCAGATAGAGCCAAATCGAGACACTTACACAGGAGCTGATTGAGCGATTGCGAAGCCTCGCAACGTGTATATACTATACTGCGATTGAAGCGCGGTTTAGCCGACAAGCAGGCAGCAGTAGGCGGCATTAGGCAGCGATGCGTTACAAGTGGCTCATGGAAAGAGAGAGTACAGTCACGGCACTTCGTCTTGCATGACATGCTGTCTATTCTACGCCTTATACAAGCTTGCCTCTCATATCTGCAGTATCCCATCATTTGCGGCCGTGGCCAAAACTACGCGGTATCTTGGTGGTATGCGAACATTCGGTGCTTCCATCCACACAACGATCTTTTCTTTCGTTGACTAAACCTCGTTGTCACTTCACATTCAGCACACAGATCTACCTGTTCGTCGGCATCTCAGGGACCGGTACATCAGCCTTCTCCGACATCTTGAACGTGAAGCCATTAGCTTTCAAGAACGTGTCTAGGCGCTCCTTGCTCGCCGTCTTTGGCCGTTCCTCGCCGCTCACAGCATCGTTCCTCTTAGCCTCCGCTGTCTTCGGCTTGACGTCCTCTTGCTTGGGCTCCACCAGCAGACTGCGTCGGTGGAAGCTGCCAAGCACGGCATCATTGCTGGCTCGCATGCGATCCAAGTGTGCTTCGAGCCAGGTCTGCAGCTCTGCCACGGGCCGTAACTTGTAGGGCACTTGGAACTTCTGCAGATGGCTGACGACTTTCGCCATGCGCCTGCATTTATCGAAATTGATGACCTGGACTTGCTGGCCATCATCGGTGGTAACGCCAGGCAGATCGCGCATCTTCGGGTTGCCAGCGTTCATGAATGTCAAGTCTGTTAGGTAGATGCCTAAAAATGGTATGCAAGGAGCTACAGGCTCTTCCAACCGCTTGCGCAAGGAGGCATGATTCCGTGAGAAGTCGATGATGGCGTTGAGCTCCTCGAGTCGTGCTTTGGTCTTTCTACTAACCAATTCCCAAGTCCGCCTCAGTCGCTGCAATACGGAGGAGTTCAACGAGCACATGATCGCCATCACGGAGTCGTAATTGTGCAGCTCAAGGCAACAGACCGCGATCTTCGACCAGTGCTTGATCAGTTGGGCTCGCTTTTTGGCGTCTTCGGGGGCAAGGACACTGTCTCCGACCACATGCGCGAGATCGGTATTTACCGTGCACATGGTGCGGACGTTCGACACCCTGTGGGAGTCTTTCTTGCTCCAATCCAAGCTCAGCAGTTCGTCGGGCTGGATTCGGCAGAAGGTCTCCGAAGTAAGCAAGGTGATCTGGCGAGCCAGCTCAACCGCATCAAACTCCAGGATACTGCGCGCCTGTCCACCATCTAGCTCGGTTCGCAGCGAACTCAGCTGTGTTTCAGTTATGTTAGGCTCCGGCGTAGCGTTGCCAGCTGCATGGCTTGAAACAATCGAGAGGCTAGTCTTCCCAATGCCAGACACAAGCGGGCCGGTAAAATTACCACTCTCGTATCCCGCAGCAACCCTGTGTGTCAGCTCGAGCAAGCGGTCTCCCGCAGACGCCAGGTGAGGCTTCAGTCGGTGCGCCGCAAAGTACCGAATGTCTCCCAGCGCTGCGTTATCAGCTTCGCCAATCCAGTAGGTTTCAAGCCAGCCTTTAATGACATTGTAAACCCGGAGCCGGACCGGACGACCGATCGCTGACGTGTCTCCGATGTAATCGAAGCGCGCAACTAAAGCTTGAACAAGTTCTTGCGGAGTGGTAAACATACGGAAGGTCAGGAAGAATGCAGAAACAAACTGCGAGTCAGGCGCTGCGTCGTGCATTGTAAGCTTTTCAACCAACGCGGGCAAGCTTCCTCCATTTACTTTGCCTTCGTTATTGACTGTCATCTCATTGGCGTATGTCTTCTGCAATAGCTGCGTCTCAGGATCGCTTGGCGCATCGCTCGCCACAGACTGCAAGCTGGATATGCTGGTGAAGCTGTTCAGAAGCGCTGGATCTGGGCTCTGCTCCTCCTTAATCCTGTCCGGGCTTGTGGCTCGCGTCGAAGTACTTGACACTACACTAGCACCAGAATGTCTCGCACTGCTCGTTTTGGTGGATGTTGAACCCGCGATGGAGAGTCCTGCGCTGTCTTTGCGCGCCTGATCCGAGCTACTAAGGCCAGCAGAGCGCAAGAAACTGAGCGTCGCACCGCTGATGGCCTGCTGATGCTGAGATGCTCGGGTAGTGGCTCGTTGTTGTACCGACGGTGTAGCAGTCTTGAAGTATGGAGACGCGGGTGACTGAAGCGTTTCCGGCGTTTGCAGACCGGAGACGACGCGAGCAGTGGTGTTGGATGTATCCTCCAGCTCCAGAAGTGCCATAGACGCTCTCATGTTGACGGGTAAGGCCATTTTCTTCGAAAGGCGCTTCTCGAACGATGTCACGACATGCTGCTGGCTTTGGACTCGAGCTTCGGTACCGCTGCCACGTTTCTGTAGATTTGCGGCGCCACTGCCAGCAGCCTGATTAAAGCTGGTTGGCCATCCTGCCCTTTGATGCATGTCGAAGTCTCCTATTTGCTCGATCAAGGATCGTGTTCGACCTACGCAGTTACTTGCAGAGCGGATAAGGCTGGTGCCAAGTCTAACCAAGCGTTGTGAATGCTCCGGTAGCATAACACCCTGGCTATCCTCGAGATCGGAAAAGGTGAACACGTCTTGCGTCGCACTGATGAGCTCAACCAGCTTCGTTTGGAAGTCGACGCGCGCTTCGCGCACGGCATCCGATCGCTGCGCGCCGTGCAAGGCGATTTCGTCAACGATGTGAAGCATTTCTTCGCACGCCTTGACGAGTCGTTCCGTGGTTGACCGTAATTCTGAACATGCCCGTGAATGAAGGTGATGCCCAATGAATGCCGCGATGTGGCTTATAGACGCGTCGTGCATCCTCGCCAGCTGATGTGAGGCCAGCGTTCTATGCTGTGTGCGCTCCGTATCCACCATGGACAATCTGTGGGCGACAGACGGCCTGCGCGAAGCGAGTCTGTAAGAGAAGGTTCTGGAACGAGGCATTGCATGCTCAACTTCCTGCGCTGCATTGACTTCCGCTTCCTCCTCCTCTGTCGCCGAAGCTTGTGATGCAGCGGCTGTGCTCAGTGATATTGGACGTTCTGTTACAGAAACTGAGCTTATAAAAGGGAAAGGCCGTTCATCCGAGGGTAGTGTCTCGCGTTCGAAACGTCCGGTTTGCTTGAGCCTTACTGAAAGATGACCAGTCTCTTCTGACCAGATATCAACGAAACCGATCGCGCGTGTGACCACCTTACACGCTTTCACAATCAGATCGTCCACCAAGTAATGAACGACTTCACCCGCGAACGGCTCGCTTATCGTCTCTTGCAGACCCTTTGCAATCTGCACTAAGGAGGAGAGATCGGCGAGTAGCCCTTTACGCATACGGCGTATGCCCATGTGACGCTGGACAAGCGCGGCATCCCGGTGGAGGCAGTCTGCGTGCTCCAGTAAATATCGTACTCCAGCAATCAGACCTCGAACATAATCCTGGCGCACGAAGGTCGACAGGTTCCCGTCTTCGGTTGCGCCTAACAGATCCCAAAACTGCGTCATGGCATTGAGCAAGTTGCGGAGGTATGGATGGTCGAATGCCTCGCAGAAGTTGGTTGGCAACCAGCCACGCTCGCCGGTCGTCAACACCGTACCATCGGCCCATCCGTTAGCATGAATGCTATGGACAAGCACAAGGTCGCCTGCCCGCAGGTTCGTCGTCATTTCAAGGGCATCTTCGCTTTCAGCTGGCATCATAGAAGGATCGAAGGGATAGATCGCGCGTAAGTAGTTGTGGAACAGGCCTTCTCCGAGTTGCAGCTCGGGCGCATCTGGGTCGCATATCGGAGTCTCTGGTGGTGTTGTCTGATAACTGCGCAAAGCCATGGCAGAATCAACACCAAAACCTGTCTGAATGGAAGGTCGGTTAGGTCGGCTGGGCATAGCGCGGTCATCCAGGCGTTGGGGACTCCCTGCCCCGTGTGCTGTCGCCAGTCTTGGAGGCATCGCAGTGACCACTTAACTTTCCCTATGGTTGAGCAAAGCAGAAGTGTCCATAAGAGCGTACCATACAAGGAGGCTTTGACGCCTCTCTCAGCGATAGGAGTACCGTCCCAGCGTGGCGCTCGAAAGAGGCTGGTGTGTCAGTGATTGACCTTTATGTTGTCGCTCAGGAATGCGGGCCAGTGAAGCCGTTACGTCCCCACTTCCCACCGACGCCGGCGATGATAACGGCAACGACCTACAATCGCTGATCTACCGTGGCCAAGAAAGTCGCAAGATCCAAGCTCAAGTGAAGCACGCTTTCATAAGCTAGAAAAGGTTCAAGCGTGAGCCCGGCAGAAAGAGCGTAATGAGAAACAAGGTGGTGGCGATGTCCGAGTGTGACGGTGGCGGCGGTCGAGGAGATGCGTTACTGATAATGAATGGCGTCCAAGTTGATCGAGCTTTCAATGGCGTGGTAGTTGGATGAAGTAATGTCGATTTGGAGTTGTGATGCGCGAGGCTTAAGCAAGGGTCGCGCCTTCCCTTTCTTCGTTGCTATGCTGAACGAGCAATAGACGTAAGGTCGGCCCTACTAGCAGCACTTCCTCAAGACATCCGATGGCTCCTTACATTTGTCAAACAACGCAACAGTGAGAATTAGTGATCGAAGGAACGAGGCCACCCAAGAAAGGGAAACGCGGTACCCTTACCACTACCTACTGTAATGCTCCCTGTCGCGTCTGGAGCCCTCGGAGGTTTGCCTTGCGGATGCTGGATTTAGGTTCGCTTTACCGAGAGACGCCTCCAAGCATTGGTAACGCAAGTGCCATCCGGAGTCAAGAGCCACAGTCGGTAGCGCGGACGCTACTAGTATTGCTAGGACACGCGATCAATAGTCATCGTACACCGCACAAGGTCAGGCTTTGCTGGCACTCCTGTAGAGAGTCTGGCACATTGCATCCTATGACTTGCAGAAAGGCTATCCGCGTCCTGCACCGATTCGAGGGGTTCCAACGACAGTTGCGCCGAGCGATCTTGGTCTCCTGAGAGGCTGAGAACTTACCACAAAATGAGTGAGACATCCCACTCTCCCAACGTCCGCGCGGAGCAGCGATGGTTCAAGTAAAGGAGCCGAGCTCTGTGAGCCGTCACGAGATAGTTGCCACGCGACAAAAAGAACAACAAAACAGAAGACAAGTAGCTATTGCGCTTTGTGCAGTCTGTCCACCTTGCGATGTTCTCGTCCTTATGCGCACGGTCGCGGATGCGGCTCTACGGCAATCGGCAAGCGTCCGCTAAAGTATCCTTTCTCCTGGCTTCCTTCGGCAGCTTCCATAACGTGACCGCGATTTAATGTGGGCTGGGCTCTGGCCCTCAATAATGCCGCGGCCCATACTGGACGTTCACGTGTCAAACTTCTTACGTTACATTGTCCGCGCTCGGAAGGCTTGGTAGTATGCCATTTACAATCAGATTCTGACGTCGTTATCACGGCTCGGTGTATACGCAGGATGCACCGAAGTGATTCCGCGTGAACGTTAAGCTAAACTCTGCCGGCATTAACGATCGACAGCATATGCGCGGCTCATCTCTGCAGTATACGCAGACCCACATCCCTTGTCGATCTGTCGTCGATTACCACTTGTTGTTTACAAGCAGTTAGACGGCATTAACGACAAAGCCAGTTTGACGCCACGCTTTCTTACCACTCCATAGATTTCAGGTGAGCCCGCCGAAAACTTGCCACTCCATGTTGCAGCATTTGTTGCCGGATTCCATGCCGCACATTTGGACATCCACACACAAGCTTCCCGCAATCGTGATGACACTTGCCGGCGACTTCTCGGTACATTCCAAATTCCAATCCTGGACTATCATTCTATGACGTCCCGCTAACCGCCAGCTTCATCAAATGGTCCATAAACGTCTGTAGACTGACGTCGTCCGTGAAGATTGTCTGCGCCGTCTGCTGCACCCCACCGTAGCTGCTGCTCGTATGCGTCGTGCTCGGGTTGAGTTTGGCGAGCAAGAAGCGAGCCTGCGAGCCGCCGGCGTCGCAGACGATGAATCGGGGAAGAGGAAAGCGATCTTGGATGAGTTCCTGAACCGCATTGTCAGCACCACGTATGAGTTTAAAACGGTGATTATTTGAGGATGAACGAACCCTCGCATCTTCTTTGGGAGCCTCAAGGAGCTCCTTGAAGTTCTCATACCCTTCCATATCCTGATACCCAGCCTTCCGCCACTCAGCCATCGTCTCACCGTGGAAGATGAGGATATGGAAGAAGGTGTCCAGCAAAAGTATGGTCTGGGGCTGAATGCTCGTCGAATCCAACAACACCGGCACCGCGCCCTCCTGATCAAATGTATAGCTATCCAGCGTCGGCTGAATCATGATCAAGCTATTGCTCACATCCTCGTGGTTCAGCACATGTCGGTAAAACGCCGTCTCATCTGGACTGTTGTTGAAGACTTGCAGGAACTGTGACCGCCGAAGATGGAACATGAACTGGGGATAGAGCGTGAAGTTCTTCTCCAAGCGGAAGGATGAGGGGTCGTCCTTGCGATACTCTGCGAACCGGCTGCAGAGGCGGATGAGCATGCGATCCACCCATCGTAACACGTCAGGGCCGTCGTCGACTTCGGCTTTGAAGACAGCGATACGAGACATCAGCACCGCGGCGGCCTCTTGGTCGAAGGACTGCGCGATGGCGAGGTCGCCGGTAGGGCCAGACATATTGCGTCCAACTGTTGTTACACGGAGGTGGAATTGGCCCGCGCTATGTTGGTAGTAGGTGAGGAATTGAATAAGCCCTTTTTGCTGGCCTTGCTGCATTGCTGCGGCAGCTGGACCGCCTTGGCTTGCGATCTCAAAGTAGATGCCGTAACTGGCGGCGGGGTCGATTGAGCACATCTTCCAGCTGCAAGTGTTGCCGATGCCGCATTCGGTCTCGCCGACAGATGAAGACTTCTTGTTGAGGCTTATGGCGTGGCCGATCAGGCCGGTGACTTTGAGTTCCTTGGTCGTGAGAACCTCGAGCGACGCGTTAAACCCCATAGCCAGATTACCCTCCGCGTCAGTGTCGAAGACTTTAGTGAAGGATTGCTTGTACATGGAGGAGGTGAATGAATCGGTCAAGATGATATGGCCGCCAGTGCTGTTGGGTAAGCCTTTCATCTCAAGAAGACCTACTTGGTCCAGACAGCCGGCGAAAATGTCGATGGCATGACCGTTATGTGCCGCGCGTTTGGCAAGAGCGTCGTAAAACTTGAGCGCTTTCTTATAGTATTTGATGTTGTCTCGGTCAATGTCGTGGTGTGAACGGATCTGCTCTTTGAGCTCTGGACTGACTACCATGCCTGGCCCTTCTGTTGCGGGACCGCCGGTGAACAGCATGATCCTGGCGCCAGCATTCTGGAATGATGTCTCGAGCAAGCCGACAGCAACAGATAGCGCCACGCCTGTGCAGCGGACTGAACGCTTGTCGTTTGCAACCGGCCACGGATCCTTCTGCAAGCTCTCCAGCACGTTCGTGAGCTGAAATTCGCACTGCTGCACAGGTAGCAGGAACCTCGCTTGTGCGCCTCCTACTGGAGGTGCTGCCGGCCGGCCGAGCTGAGGCTGGACCTGCTGCATTCCTGGTCTTGCACCCGCCGCCATTGCCAAGCCCAACATTTCCTGCACCTGCTTGCCGGTGTAGTCCTTGTTGCCCCGGAAGACGTATGACTTGGCGCATTCTGCGTAGCCCAGCTCATGCACTTGCGCCATAGTGCCGTATGTGATGAGGCCGACGAGCGCATGTGGTGGAAGCAGATCGAGAGACATGATTATACTGTCCTTCAGCGCCTTCAAAGAGTCCTCTTCTTGGCAAGTATCCACCACGAAGACAAAGATAGGTGGGGTGGGCGCAGGTCTTGACAGCTTGTACTCGATCGTAGTGCTGCCCGGGTGCAGCTCTGGTGGGATCTGATTCTCGCTTATGTCCTTGTAGTGCGGTGGAAGACCATTTCTTTGTAGACAGAATGGGCAAATCCATATCCGCGCTCGCATGTCCACCTGGCAGAACGGGTTGAGGACCGCTCGGCAGGGTGGCTTACATGTTACGGGCTCATATTGTAGTAAAGGTGTTCCGTCGCTCTTCTCCTTGAGCGGCGTATAGAGTGCGCCAATAGGGACTACGAGGCGGCTCGCCTCCATGCGCGTGGAGGGGAAAGTATTCCATGCCAGCCTGACACCATCCCGGTCTTCGATCTCGGACCATTGCTCCTTGAGCGCTTCGTAGTCCATGCTTGCGAGCTTGTTAGCAGTTGTGACGACTCGCAGGCGTGCTCAGTAGTGAACCATAGATGTCATAGCAAGATCACCCATCGAAAGCTGGTGGTATGAGAAAGTAATGGTACAGTGGACGTTCAAGCACATGCCACTCTCGCTGTTAAGCAACGTAGCTGTATGCGGTCTCGCTACAGCTTCCCCATTCGCTCACGGCGTCCGTGCGCCAAGCGCAGCATTTGTTCGACTTCAGTTCATGCTTCCTCCGCTCGTCTTCCCTTCTGCATCTACATTTGACATGCCAGCTTGTCACATTACTGATCGACAGGCTTCTGCTCCATATCACCCATGAGATGCTTGTTTTCGCGCTGCGCATAGAGAGATGCTACCCGTTGCTGGGCGCCTGGTCTTGACTCTTCCGTCATGGAAGGTAGGGAAGTTGAGGAATCAGCTGAGGTTACAATATCATGCACTGTCACATGAGTACAAGGATAAGGTTCATGCTGCTGTATGAGCTGTCTCGCCCGCAGATAAGAGTTCGACGCGATGCCTGGTCGGCATCGCGCCTTCTCCTCGGTGACACCTACCGCAGTGTGTACGCATTCACCACCTCTTGTCCGCCGCCTAGTCATTCAAAATATGCTTGTACGCCCGCAGTCATCGTGCTTTGCCTTCACTGATCTGCTAGGCCGAACACGTGGTTGAGCAATGTGCACATGCTCTGGCATCCGCTTCATTCCTTTTCAGTTTTAGATCACGTCCTGATGTCTGACGCCTATTCGGGCCTCATCCGCCGCTATCAAGAAGCCGCGGAGCTCATAGATACCTATACCATTTAACATGCCCGAAAGCTCCCGCGCCATCGACACGCTCGATCCTCCTACTAGCGAACAAGACTCGCCTTCCAGCCAGGTCAACCGACGTACAGATTCCCGAGCAGTAGTATACGGCAACGGTCTCTCACCGCATGTAGCCGACAATGATGCAGAACCTGCGGTTGGCCGTCTCGAGCGACCAGACTTCCACAACCTGCAAGCGGCCGACTACCGAGCAGCCCACGCTCTGCTGATGCTTCGCCGCGAGAGCTCTGCGATCCTGCTGCATCGAAGGTGGATTCCGCCGTTCCATGTCGACTTTGCGAAACCGCCAGCCGATATTCCGAACCTGCTCTTCCCACCTGAGTTGTTCAACGACCTTACGCACTCGAGCAGTTCGTGGAGGTCTGAGAATATTAAGCAGCGCCCGTCAAGCGTGGAAGAGGGCTTCCGTGAGAGTGAGACGGCTGCCAAAGGCAGACATAGATCACTACCGCGGAAAAGGACCACTTCGCGTGACAACATCAGTCCTAGTGCCATGTCCCGGGCAAGCCGTGGAGATGGTGCACCCACTAAGCACACTGCAGACGATTGTGGCATATGTCGAGGCGACAGTAGAATTGCGAAGGCCAAGAGGTACATGAGACTACCGAAGCCGATGGTACAACCACTTGAGTCTATTGAGTGCAGCACCTCCCACATGCAATGAGTGCTTACTGCTGGAGTGTGGTTGAATGAAGTAGCTGTTCCTGTAAGGCAGCGTCTCGGATGTTGTGCTGTAGTTGGTGCATGAGGTAAGGACTGTTACACCCTATTAGGCTGCTTGCCACAAGTCGTAGATGATTGGTTCAACAGGTTACGCGACGGTTGCTAATGTACCCAATGTATCCCACAAGCACTAAATATACAGAGGAGCTCGCAAACCACCCATTACTCTTTCGCTACAATACTGCAGTCAGGATTCGGCAGATGGTATAGTGAGCACCAAAACCGGAAGGCAGTCGATAGTAAGCCGGAAACTGGAAAATGGGGGTTTGGATGATGGAGAATGGGATATGGGAAATGGCAAGCATGATTTATAGGAGCGCTACCTCCTCCTACATTGTTTGCGCGGATCACCTCCTGGAGGCGAGCGCACTTAGAAGACTGTTAGCGCATCCCGTAGCCAATGATTCTGCAAAAGCATGTACCTACCGCTTAGCACTCTTTAGCGTCGACAGTGCAATTGGGATTTGGTCAACCGGAATCCGGAACTGGGAAATGGGAAGTGGGAAACGGGACACTGGCAATGGGCAAGTATATCAGCTCCCTCGCCGCCAACCTCACTTCACCGAACTCACATTCACGTTGCTGTCAAGCAAGCTATTTTTAAATCATCTCTTATTGTCCATAGAAGACAGGTGAACCACCTTCTTGTTTGCTTTCATTCTCCTCCTTGCTGTTCAGCTTTCCAGGCACCACACCATTTCACCCCAAGCAACAGCAGCTGGCTTGCTTCCTTCTACAGGATGACGTACCAGTACACCACGGACGTCACCTTTGCAGCATACCTCCTGTCATGGGGCCATTACTTCAGCGGCAAGCCGCTGGGTCACTACCAGGGCGCTACCATCTTGCCTCGCTTTGCCGGCGTTCCGACGAGAGTCTATCCAATGCCATTCGTTGAGATGAGCAAGTTCTTAATCGCTGGGCTGCAGGAAGTCGAAACGGTCAACTTGACCGATGTTTGTGAATTGCCGGTGGTTGTCGTGGGTTCATCTTGTGGGAAGCAGCATAGTAAGATCAGCTGACGGTCCAATTAGCAACCAACAAGATGGAGGAAATAGAAACAGCGGCAGGCCCTCTTCAAGAGGCTGTGGATGAATCCGCTTAAGAGTCCTTGTTCGGAAGCGAGACGTCGGCACAATCACCACCACCACCAGCGCAGAAAAAGCGCAAGCGAGGGGAAACAGCAGGCGACGAGGCGATGACGCGGCAGCTCCACCGGGAGCTCAACAGGCGCAAGAGGCGCAGTGTTTGACCTCCTTATCAGCCTACTGCCGCTTTTGTAAACGAGAGTGCTCATCCTTGATGATGTTGACAGCTTCATCCTCAATCGATGGCCCTGAGGGTTGCCATTTGAGCAACCGCTTCGCTCTTTCTGCTTTACCGCGAGAGTTCCAGCCCCAGCTGACAGCTTCGAAGCCTGCTTGCTGCATTGCTTCGTCTTTTGACAGAGCTCGTTGCTTGAGTTCACCAACGAAGCCGAGCTTTCCTGCTTCAGATGCAATGTGTGTAGCAAGCTCGGTCCAGTAGTGTTCGCCATTCTCGGTGAAGTAGTAGCCTTGTGCACCCCATAGCTCCTTGTCCGGACGGTGTGCGGCAGCTGCTTCGGTCAACAGCAAAAAGAGCTGGCTGAGGTCATGGACGTGTACATTGTTCCAACGAGCCTTGCCTTCGCCGACTACAGGAACATACTTGGTGGTCAGGATCAGCTTGGCCAGTTCGTAGGCCTGCCGGCTTCGGACAGAGACCGGTCCTCGCCCACGGCCTGCAGGTGCACTTAGCACACGCCACGCAGAAACGGCGTTGAGATGGCTTACCATAGATAGTAGGCGGACAGATGATAGCAGTCTTGACTACGTCACCGTGCTTTGTGCCAGTCTCGAGGACAACCTTATCAACATTGCGATGGAAAGCGTTGTCCGGAAGGCTGACAAGCTCATCGATGCCGGTCCAGTCGTTGTACTGTTTCTCCGAGTAAACGCCTAGCTTACCGTCCTGGTCGTCCTTGTACGTCAGAATGCCAGTGCCGCCCGTGTGAAGCCAGAAGCCAGGTCGCTCCTTGCTATGACCTTCGATCATGCCGGCTGCGATGGCCCTGGCGGCACCTTCATGGTCGGAAGCATCGGCTGCATGGAGCACGATGTCTGCTCGGGACGCTTGTTGCCGAAGAAGCTCGGAGTTGTCGAGGTCACCGAGCACAGTACGCACATTGGGATACGCTTTCTTAACGATGTCGGCTTTATCTTGCGTTCGGACCAGAATGGAGTAGTCGTAGTCGGGATGCTTAGCATTGATCACGGAGAGGGCGTCGCCAGCGATGTAGCCAGTCACACCAGTGCTAAGATCATAAGCCGTGCTCTTCGATGCTATATCGTTGATGTACGAACATGAAAACTCTGGGAACCATTTTGCGCTGTTACTGGTAGAGTCCGAGCTTGAGAGCGTCTACGCTGTCGGTAGATTGTGCAGTCGAGAGAAACGTCGAAACGGCATACACGCTGTACAAGACTCTGCGTAGTACATTAGTACGACTGCCCGACTAGGTATGGAATAGAGTTTGTGATGCTCCGCCGAACCGGCTAAAGCTTCTGCCATGGTCAGAAGAACGTACACCAAGCAGTGGCGGATGCGTTGGAGGAGTGTATGGGATGTGGAGCAGTCACACCCGGGTGGACTGACTTGGAATAAAGCATGGCATCCCCCCGGGAGCGACACGCAAGCCTGTGGCTACAACGGAAGGCCAGAAACAGAACCCTTTAATTGCAGGTCGATACAGGAATAGGGGGGCGGAGATGGTTGTTCTACAAGACGGTGCATTGTGGGATCTATTCACCTAACAAGTGGCCGTCCCACCCTCCCGCCTCGCCATCTTCGCCAAACTCTGCACAATGCTGATCGCCATAACGCCGCTCCCAAATGCAATGCACGCCCACGCCGCATACGTCTCCCACGTGCGCCGCTTCGTCAGTTTGACAAAGCATAGCGGCGGCAGGATGTACGCCAGAGCGCACGCGGAGGTGGCGCCCACAAGCTCGAAGACAATGCCAAGGTCGCAGGTGATAAGGGAGAGCGTCATGGCGGAGACGACCAGGCTAGTGGTGAAGATGAGGTGACGGTTTGGGTGAAAGGGCTCGTGGGGGAAGTAGTAGGTGGTCATCACTTCGCGGCAAACGAAGCATTCAAGGGGGAGAGTGGTAAGCATGTTGAGGCCGAAGCAGCTGGTAGAATCCTAGTCAGCAGTGGGAGCAGAAGCACGATTGCTGGAGACTTACAGCCGTGCAATATTGACCATGACATTGTTCGTTGGGAAATTGTTGAGGACATTGCCTTGAGTTTTGTCGCCGAAGGAGAGGTATCCGCCAAGCGCGAGCGCCATGCAAGCCACCATACTTATGCCCGTAGAGTAGTGCGTGACCCTCGCGAAGCGATCCATTGTTGGGGTTTTCAGCGAGCCGTAGATAAGTAAGCTGTTATGATGACAGACGAAAGCGAAGGAGATGACGCCGATGGCTTGGAAGACGCCGTCGTTGATGAGCAAGCTTCCTCTGAGCTGCCCACGCAGATTCGCCGGTTGCATTGGTCCTTGGACAACAATCGTGACAACGATGAGCATCATGGAGGCCAGGGCGAAGGTACTTGCTTTGGCAAGCTGAATTATGTCAGTGTACGAGTTCATGAGTCGGTAACGGTACACGTACCATAGCAATATCCCTATACAGCGAAAGCGGGTATGAAAGACCCAACACGAACAAGACAATGATTGCTCGTCGATCGGTGAGCAGCCAAAGCACCGGCATGTTGTCTAGTGCCGGAAACACCGCAGCAAGTACGTGCGGTATGGTATCCCCTATGATAATGCAGAACGCCACCATCCCTCCAAATCCAAAAGCCCACTGCGCGACGGAAATGGCGATGAGGCCCGACTTGCCGAAACAGTGTTCCATAGTCGCTTGGAACGAGTTGGCGCCGCTGAGTTTGGAATTCGTGACTATCAGTCTGATAGTCCAGTCCACGACAACGGTAAGTACGATCAACAGGGTTATACCAGTGAAAAGACCGGCTTGTTTGAAGGCGTACGGTTGGCCGATGATACCGGCGCCAATTATCGAATTGGCCATGTTCATGAAGGCGCTTTTCAGGCCGCTCTTTGGGCGAGCGGACTCCAGGAGGTCTTCCGGGTCGAAGTCAAAGTCATTCGCAAGGGCTATGCTTGGCGCTTGAATGTCCGTCAGGAGCGGCACTCTCTGGCCTCTCGGTCCGGTATGGTCGTTCAAAGAAGAGTCCTCTGCCATGTAGTCCTCGCCCTCCATCCAGTCATCCTGGCGCATCGTTCCATTCGCCTCCTCTATCATCTCCGGCTCTCGGACCTCGAAACGCACCCTATGCGGTGTCCGTGGTGCCCCATTCTCTCGGTGCTGTGCGAAAGATGACTGTCTTCGTGGCAAGCCTCTCACGGGTTTCGCACCGTGAGCGCTGTCGTCTTCTCCTACCGCAGATTGGTCTCTATGGCTGTCGTTTTCGGCCTCCCCCTGAAGGAGCCCCTCAACTTCCGCTGTGTCCCCCGGTTCTCTCCGCTCCGCCGCACGCGATGTGCCATTGTCTCCGGCCATGACATCGTTGCAATTCACCCAATGTTTGGCGTAGGCATGTGTACCGTTCGCGGAGGGTTCTCTGTTCACATGCAGGCAGGCAACGTAAGCTTATTGTAGGGCTACTTCCTTATTCGGTATAGCGCGCGCAAGGATGTGACATCTTGATGCAGACGACAAGAGGCTGGTGTCGAAACAGCAATTCATGTGCGATGGCAACGATTTAGCGGGCCACTCGGCGTGCGGTGAAGCGGTGTGCAGAGGCGTATATGCGATCTCGCCATAGCATGACCTACCCGCACTGAGACACTCGATGAACGTTTCACCCCTAACTACGTTGGCTGGTTTCGACCACAACGAGGATGTGCGTATGGTAGAGCGATGATAGTCTCGAAGAACGCAGGCCAAATCTTAGATTGGTAGAACCGCAGAAGGAATATTGCCGACATATCGACACCACTAAGGGCCGGCGAGTACCGGATTGGTCGTAGCGAAAATGCCCTGGCTCGAGGACGTCACGCCTGGGGATGCGGCAGAGACATGGCGAACAGCTCTGCAGCGCGCCTTTAGGAGACGCATCAGTGCTGAGCAGCTCGAGTCCCCGCTCATAGAGCTACTGCATAATGACCAACTACCTGGCAGTAAAGTCGCGCAGATACTGTTCGGCTTCCGAGCCAGGACTGGTTATCCGGACGACCCGAATATCTTCCGCTACGCTCGTCTACTGCTTAGGTTGCAGGCATTTGCTCCTGGTGATGTCCTCGTTGCATTGGCTGAGGGAAGTGGTCTGCTGGAGCCGCAGCAAACGAACCAAGCAATCAGCCCCTTCCCGTCATGCGAGGAACGTACTTTCCTGCTCCTTGCGGAGCTGCAAGCCAACACGAATGCCCCGTCATCTTCGCCGGATGATTTACACCACATGGTCTTTGCATTAACAAAGTGGTTACAAACCGTTCACGAGTATGAGCAGAACCAGCAGGTCGAGAGCGCCGGTCTACGTACCATCGATGCACGTACACATACCACGTATGAAGCCCTTGCCACGCTTGTGCTTGCTTTCTTCGGCAGGTCAAGCTTTCACAGTGTGGCAAAGCAAGCTTGGTGGAAGAAGCGACGTGCTTTGGTAGTTCGAGAACTTCAAAGCTTTGACATCCACGTCTTGCAGTGGATGTCGTCCCAACTGAGCGGACGACTGCGAAGCTTGACTGGAGATCCACCTTTCCTAGAGCTCGACAGCGACGGCCATCCTGTACTGACAAAGGAGCAGATGTTGGGGGCTGTTGCGCAGAGTGGCAATGTTGCGGCGGCCAATTCCCGAGCTGGGCTGTTCGTATGGCTGAGCGCCTGCCTTGCGGGCCGGCCGCAGACAGACGACCTTGCCATGCTTGCGTATCTGCAAAATCGCTATCACGCCGACAATCAGACTCTAGTAGTGCAGTTGGTGCATGCGAGCTTCGATATTTTGACCAACGCACTGCTGCAAGGGAAACCTCCTGCAACACGCGAGCTGCTGCGCTCGTTCATCTGCAACAAGGTTCAGACAGTCCTAGCAGTGCTTGCACCCGTCATGGGTCAAGTCGTCCTGGATACATGCCTTCAGACAGCCTTCCTCTCAATCGTAATCGATCCTATACCACCCATCAGTACCGGATCCTCGGAAGCTACAGAGATCTTAAGGCGCACGCGGCTGGAGTTCCTCAGGGCTTGCATTCTGCACGGTGTTGCAACAGAGGGTATTGTAAGCTCAGTCTTGCAAGAGAACCCTCCGAGTCCGCCGAAAGCGGTGAAGTATACCCGAGATAGTCTTCTGGCCCAGTGTACGACAAACATCAATCGCCTTGACAGCCTCACGGGCGAGCTCGGCAACATGCACGGTAACGCCGGGGCTATTGCCAGTTGCGTGGTTCAGCTCATTAACAACCTCTGTGCAAGCAAGGATTCAATGGGTCTCAAGACTGCTTGCAGCATCTTGCTGAAGAGGGTGCAGTACATGGATGTGGTGATGCAATATACTCAGCCGGCAGACTTCCTGTTACCTTTATGCATGGTTTTGAAGGACTGGACGCACGACCAAGACCAGGCGGAATTTTTACCAGCATACGAAGAGTTCGCATCAATCCTGCTGTTTATTCTGGCTGTGGTCCATCGTTACGACCTGACTAGCACCGAGATTGGCATGGCAGACACCGACTTCTTCGGCTTCCAGATGCTGAAGAATGTGCCGAGCAGCACAGCGTTGTCGGAATTGAGTAGCGAGCAAAGTGCGCAGCTCACGAAGTGGCTAGAAGGTCTCTTTCCGGCGGATGAGCAGGATGAGACGGGGGGAATCACGGACGAGGTGATGCGGCAATGTCCGCCCCAAGCCTTCTACATGCTAGTGCCGACACTGTTTGAGCAAAGCATACTGGCGTGTAAAGCTGGCCACCTGTCAATCTCGACCTTCAAGGCCGGGCTGGAGCTGTTACTGGAACCTTTCTTATTGCCGTCTCTTGTTGGTGGGCTCAATTGGCTGGTGAGCCATTCTTGGGAAGACCATGATGATGCAGACGTACTGCTACAAGTGCTGGACAAGCTGCTCAAGCCTTCGAGCAGCTCTACTGAGACGCAAGCCATGCATAGACAGGTGCTGGTTATTGTTGCAAAGCCATTGAAGCAGTCATTGGAACAGCTAGTACGCAAGAGACCAGACAAGTCCGGTGCCAGCAGCATGGCCACTTTCCTCAACGCATACGCCGACTCTAGTATATCGAAGTCAAGCACTCGTACTGAACTGGAGCAGTGGACGTCGCCGCATTCGACAGACATGGGCAGCAGCCTGCGAGCCTGCATCCACAACCTGACCGAGTGGGGCATTAGCGTCACTGCAAATCCACCACCCAGATACGCTGCCAATATGATCAGCGCCGCATGTCAGATACTGGGGGCCTCAGAGGTCTTGCGACTCATGGCGAAGCATTTGAAGGAGACGCCGGGTCCGAATGTTTCGGCTGCTCTTGACGTGTGCACGGCAATGATCTGCGCACCCGCGATCGCTGCCCAGGACCTGCGCGAGCAGCTCACCTTACAAGCCGGGAACACCGATGCTCTGTTGAGGCGCAACTTCGGCGAGGCTACAATGCTAGTCCGGCTGCATAGGTCGGTGGAAGCTCAGCTCGCCGTCCAACAAGTTGAGATGCCTGTCGTACAATCGACGGATCAGATTATGCGGGAGCTTGGTCTGGCCACGGAAGGTGAGGGTGTCACCAACGGGGCGTCGATAGAGGACACGGCACAAGCTCCTATCATGTCTGACGCCGAGATCGCGTCCGCTCTTGGCCCTGAAATGGATTTGGCGAACAGTGCGAGCGGCGATTTGAACAACTACGTAGCGGGTAACGTGATGGGCGAGCCCGAGCAGAACTTGTTCGCCGACTTGGAATTGAATCTGGCACAACAACCCCAACCACCGTTGCAGTCAGAACAGTTCACAAAGCCCCAGGAAGCCGAAATGGCACCTGCGGATCAGATGGGTCAGGAAGATGACATCTTCGCAGATCTCGACATGGGCGCCGACATGACTTTCGACTTCGAGTGAGAAGATAGCGACCTCTGGGTAATAGTATCACCACGAGTTATGTGCCAGTACAGTCGTGCTAGAGTGCTACCGGCAGATCATTGAACTCCCTGCTGACCTGAGCTGAGTGCGGTACCTCGGCATTCGCGGGGTCGTTAACAGCCGTCTGCAAGCGTTCTTGTGCCGCAACAACAACACGACGGACCCCATAATGCCATATCAACTCAAAGGACGGAATGTGCTCGTGACTGGCGGGTCAAGGTGAGCCAATCTCATGAAAAGCCTTCAACTATATTTGGGTATGCGCTCATGTCACGCACAGAGGTCTCGGAGCAGAAGTATGCCGCAAACTCGCCGCCGAAGGCTGCAACATCGCCATCAACTATGCGAACAGCGAAGCACCCGCCCAGGAACTCGCCAAGGAGCTTCAACAAAAGCACAACGTCAAGACCGCCGTGATCAAAGGTGATGCCGGAGTCATGTCCGACTGCGTTCGTTGTGTCCAAGAAACCGTCAGGACTCTCGGCGGCATCGACGGCGTCGTTGGCAATGCGGGATGGACTAAATTCACCAACTTCGCCGACCTAGACGCCATGACTGAATCCGAGTGGGACAAGTGTTGGGCGGTCAACGTCAAAGGCCAGCATGCGCTGCTGAAAGAAGCACTACCCACCTTCAACGAGAACGCGGACGGTGGCTTCTTCATCATCACCTCTTCGATCGCCGCGAAATCGCTGTCCGGGAGCAGTATGGCCTACTCCGTCACCAAAGCCGCCCAGATCCACCTGATGAAATGCATGGCCAAGGTCGCCGGGCCGAAGGCGAGGGTGAATGCTGTGCTGCCCGGCTTGCTGCTGACGGATTGGGGCAATCTGTATGGCGACGATAGGATTAACATGTTGAAGGATGCTGCTGTGCTGAAGCAGGAGACTGAATTGGGTGATTGTGCGGATGCGTATGTGATGTTGGCGAAGAACACGTCGATTACAGGCCAGAATGTACAGGTGGATTCCGGGCTTGCAATACAGCATTTGTAAGTACCGTCACCACGAAACAGCGTGGCTGGCTAGCATGACCCGCCGATGAGGGGATCGGCTTCGAAAGAGAAGTTACCGCTGTACTGTCTCTACATGCCCTTGAAGTCTTCCAACTGGTCACTCCACCACAATCACGGACCACTTTAAGCCCCCCTAATGCGCCATGGGCTCACCGAACGTCGGGGTAGCAGCCTCCTCCTGCGCCTCCACAAACGGCACATCCGGACTCCCCTCCCTCTCCCCCTCATACTTGGCGGCAGGCACCCACAAACTCGTCTGCTCCTCCCCACCCGCACCAACTCCAACCGCCCCATTACCACCCTCCTTATTCTCCTCATCCCCCCTCTCCGTCTCCCTCCCCTCCCTCTCCCTCTCCTTAGCAACCTCCCGCTCAAACATCTCCCTCCGCGCCCTCTCCTCCCTCCCCCTCCGCACCCTCTCCACCTCCTCCACGCCCCCACTCTTCTTCAACCGCCCCTCCTCAACAAAAACCCCCAACTCCCGCGCAAACTCCCGCTCCCCCTGCTTGCGACTCTCCAACTCCCTCCGCCTCGCCCGCTCCGCCCGCTCAATCGCCTCAAGCCGACTCTCGTGGTTCGGCTGCAGCGCACGGACTTCCCCCAGCACGCCCTCGCGCGCTTGTCCCGGATCCGCCGCGCCCGTCGTGCCGCCGCCGCCCGGCGTGGTCGGCAAGGTGCGTGAAGCCGACCTCGAGCCGGAGGAAGCGGGGGGCACACCATTCGTGGTAGGCGCTTGCTGTCCCTGTCCCTGCGCTTGTCCCTGCAAATTCTGCTGCCGCGACGCCCGCTCGACCAGCTCAAAAATGCCGACCCCTTTATCCAAATCATCCTCCAGATCCCGCGCCAACTCCTCCTGCATCGTCAACAAATCCCTCTCCTCGCAGATGACCTGCAACTCGCGCTCCCAGATCTTCGTCCACACCGGCTTCTCCCTCCGCAGGAACTCCTGCAGTTTCTTCAGCTCGCTCGTGACGAGGGAGATTTCCTTCGACACGGACTCGAGTTGGCGCGGGAGCGGGCGGACGCCGCGGGTGACGACGTCCTTGCGCAGGTCTTCGATGGTGTCTTGCAGGTCGTCGACGCGGTTGACGATGGATTCGGAGGTGGTGTGGAGGTGGGTTTTGTGGGTGGAGAGGTAGGCGCGGTCGGTGCTGGATTCGGCTGGAGTTGAACTGGACGTCGGAGGGGTGGGTTGGAGCGTGGTGGACGCTTTGCTTCGGATCGTGGCGATGCTGGTATTCATGTCGGAGACGAAGGAGGTGTACGTCTGTCGCATGATCGCCAGATCCCGTCTCATGGAGCGGACTTCCTCCAATTGCGCCGGACTGCCTTTCCCCATTCCCACCGCCCCACCAACCCCGCCACCCTGCTTGAGACCCGCAGTCGAAGTCGACGTCGAAGTGGCAGGAGATGCCACCGCAGCCGCAGCCGCAGCCGCGACCGCAACCTCCCTCCCCATCTCCCTCTGCCTCTCCCCCAACCCCCTCAACACCCCCCCTTGCTCCTCAACCCTCTCCCCGACCCTCTCAACCACCCTCCTGACCTCCCCCAGCCCTTGCTCAAACACCCGCTTCACCTCCTCCAGCACCTCCACATTCAACACCAGCACACTCCTCTCCCGCACCTCGCCCAGATCCTCGAGTTCATACCGTACCCCACTGACGGGGTCTTGGATGTAGATTTCCGGCAGCTCGCCCTGGCCGGAGGATTGCCAGGCAAAGGCCTCGATGAAGGCGAGTTGCAGGCGGGGGATGGTGAGGTCGAGGCTGCCGTTGGGGAGGGTGTATTTCTTGATCCGCGTGCGGTACTGCAGGAAGAGGGTGAGGGGGATGTTCGGCTGCGGGGACGTATCGACGCCGACGACAGCCCTCCCGTCGCCGTATTGGGATTGAGGCGGGGTTGCATAGCGGGTGGACGGAGGCGCGCGGATGTTGTTCTCACGCACGCTTGGCTCGTCGGAGGCCGGTTTGGCCGTATCGATCTCGTGAACATGCGATTGTGATGGTGCTTGCGGTTGTCGTTCCGGCTGCGGTGTCACTTCCCCCGTGAACACGCCATCAGGCGCAAACGGCTCATCGATAGGTCCGTTGAGTGTCGCGCCGACACTCTCGACTTCGTGCTCGTGGCTGGGAAACGGATAGCCCAGCTTATCCTCCGGCGTCTTGACAGTCGGACTATCCGTCCCCTTTTCCTCCGCAGGACTCTTGCTCGGCAGCAACGCCTCATCCGGCCCCACGACCACACTGTTGGGTTCCTCCGAGATTTTCCGAACCTCATGCTGCGCGCGATGCGGACTCGGCTCGTTATACCCAGGTGTACTGGCTTTGTCCTGCCGTGAGCGGGCCCGGTTGTGCATCCCACTCACCGTGCCTCTGGATCTAACGGCACTCATCCCCTCCTTCGCCTCCCTTCCCCGGTTCGGAGCAGGCGAGTGCTGCGCGGGCGGGATGGCGCTTATACCATTGATACTCGTGCCCAGATGTTTCTGGATCTGATAGGCGGAGAAGCGACGAGAAGCTCTCCGTTCGAGCTCGCCGCCGCGTTGGAGCGCGGTTAGGGCGTCGTTTTGTTTGGGCGGGGGACGGGGAGGAGCTTCTTCTGATTCGGAGTTGGGTTCGGGGCGGGGTGAGGAGGTGTAGGTGGCGTAATTCATGTTGGTGTTGGTGGGGATGGTGTCGGTTTCGGGGTAGGGGGTGATGATGGGCATGTTTGGCATGGTTGTGCTGCTGAGGGAGGAGGAGGAGGAGGTGTCGCGGTCGTGAGCGTAGGTGCTGTTTTGCGGGCTGAAGTTTGGTCGGCGAGGGGAGGATCTGCCTCCGCCGGCTGTGGTGCTCGTTGTTCGGGGTGGGAGATCTGGTTGCTGCTGTGTGGCGAGATCTCCGCTATTTTGTCGCTGCGCAAACGATCGGCTGCCACTGCCGTGTCGGCTCGGGAGGTCTTCCAGCTGCTGCGTGAGATTGCCCTCCGCCGAGGCATTGCTGTTGACGCTCGCTTGTCTGGGAGGCTTTGCTGCGCCATCACTGCCACCTGAAGGTTGTTGCGATGCGGAACTCTTCTGCCTCAGCCGCTGCTGCTTCTTCTTCAGTCCATGCAAGAGGTTGATGATGATGTCCCTGATGCGCGGCAGGAAGCGGTCCAAACTCGCCTGACTGGCCTCCTGACTCAGGGTATCCTCCAAGATGCCCCTCAGCAGATCCGGCACGGGACCCAAGTCGGCCGTGTCCACGCCGATGGCGTTGAAAGCGCGACACGCTATGTTGAACTCATACCCTAGCCGGACATAGACATCGCTGACATCGTTCTCCGTAGCGGCGCCGCGGGACCAGTGGGTCAGCGTTTCGAGGAGTTGCTTGGTGGCGACGAGGAGGTGGGTGACGGACTTTTCGATGGTGGAGAGCTGCTGTTGCGGCTGGGAGAGGCAATCAATCACGCGGTCTACCTCGCGGAGGAGGGAGAGGATGAGATCGTACATTCTGGCGTGCGCGGCCGCTGGAGGAGCGGACGCCGCTGCGCTGGGGGTCTTCGGTGGCCATGATGACCCCTTGCCTTCCTCCTCAACACAGTGACTGAAGCTGCATCAAGCGGAGGGAGTGGTGTCTTTGTCTTCTTCTTCTTCTTCACTGTCCCGCTCAAGCACGTGCGGTTGTTGGATCCATATGCGGCGGAAGGATTACCGGGCCGTGTTGGTTATGCATGGAGGCATTACCCTAATAATTATTGATGAACGAGTGTCATGGAGTGGAAGATGATTGGGAAGCGCACAATGTGACGAGTCGCAAAAGCCCCGAGTCCCTCTTCTGGCCTCCTTTCAATCAATCACGCCCTCTCACACACAGACACACACACACCCACGAGACCAACAGATCGGCACGGGACATCGCCAAGCATCTCACCTCGGCGCGGCAGTGGCCGTGTTGCCGAGCTGTGGCTTGACGTTCCATCGAGCACCTCGTGTGCAGCGGTCACGGTGTCATATAGATGCTTGTGGATTCCAACTACAGTTACCGTCTCCAACGCCTCCCTTCCAAGTCTGACAGATGCATGTCTCAAAGCCGTCACACTCGCCTCTGACTCGCCGCATTATACAGCGGTTTTCTGGGGGACCGACGCGCCGATCGACGCACGCTGCAGGGTTCCCGCTTTCACAGCTGGACCGTGCGTCCGACGTTCCCCAATTGGCGCTGGCGGATGAGGTTGCATGCAAGCTCGCACTTTCCACCTCGTCCACACGACGAGTGAGTGAGCCACCCTTCCCGACCACCACACCTCCACCCACCTCCCCCTCAACCCCCTCCCTTCTCCGCCATCACACTCCCCGCCCACTCACACCCAGCCAGCTGGTACCCTCGTCACGACACGAGGTCGGCTGCTCGCGAGGGCTGGCTTAAGCCTCAGGCTCGTCGGACGAGCTTCGCGGCGTCGATTGTGGTCGTGAGGCCCGGGTGCTCGCCTGCTGCGGCCGCTTGCCCTTACGCCTCACTCCCACCTCACTGTCGCTTCATCCACCCCGCCTCCCACCTCTTTTATCGGGCGTTCGACCCGGCTTCAGTCATGTCGACAGCCACGGTCAATGGCGCGGACGGCGTCAAGTCTCCCGGCCCAGCGAAGCAGCAACAGCCGACGTCAAGAAACACTGGAGCTCCGGGACGGACGGTGGATGGGAATGGTAGGAAGCAGGGCACTTCACCCGGCGTGGGGGCGGATAGGTGAGGCATCCTTTTACACATCACATGCTCTGCTCTCTCCGCACATTCCGCTTCAATGCCAGCCATATGTGCTGCCTCACAAGCAAGCCTCAGGCATTGACCTCACAATCTATCGCACTTTCATGCACTGCCACTGCTGTTGTATGGATTAGGTGCTAATAGGGATGATCTTGTAGGAAGCCTCAAGCACAATCGCAGCCGAAAGCGTGGCAGGGAGTCAACCCCATCACCCAGCGGGCAAGCTCCGCCATGCCCAATGGCTCTGCAGAGAAGCCACTACCACCCGTACCTGCTCCCACACAAGGACAACAGTCTGCACAGCCGCAAATCAAAAGCAAGATGGAGTCACATGCCGACAAGCATGCACATGACCGGTTACTGTTCGTCCTCGCACATTCTCAGGTACGTCCACAAGGAATCAGCATGTCATTCGGCAGAGCGAGGGCTTGTAGCACGGCTCAAATCACTAACTGAGTCTTGCAGGGCATGGACGCAACCATCACTCTGAAGAATGGCGAGCAATTTGCCGGCATTTTCGCTGGCGGCTCGTTTGACTCGGTGTCTACAAGCAAATACGCACTGAAGATGACACGACGTGTTGCTCCACCTAGCGGCCACCAAGTCAACGGCAACGTGGAAACGCACGATGAAACGGTCGGTGAGGGTGAAGACCGCGTCATGACATTTGACATCCAGGACACCGTGTCACTCGATGTCAAAGATGTGGTCACCGCGAGCGCACAACAGCAGCCTAATGGTACTTGCACAACACTACCGCTAAGCGATGACGGTAAAGCTGATCTTATGGCAGGCTCGATATCATCCTCCTTCCGCACAGATACGGAGATCTCCGGCCGTGAACCTTCAATACCGCACCATCGCGAACTCCAACGCTGGGAACCCACCGGTGATCTGAACATTGACATGTCACTCGAGGACTCTGGAGATTCTGGTTGGGACCAGTTCGCAACCAACGAGCGCATGTACGGTGTGTCGTCCACCTACGACGAGAACATGTACACCACAGCGATAGACCGTAGCAACCCACAATACCAGCAGCGTGCTGCAGCGGCGGAACGGATAGCTCGCGAGATTGAAGGCTCGGCCGCAGCCAATCCGCACGTGGCGGAAGAGAGAAAGCGAGACGCTGAGAAAGGCGACGGTCTGGACGAGGAGGATAAATACTCTGGCGTGCGGAGAGAGCCGGGTGGGTCGTTACCGAAACGAGCTGCTGGAGCATATGTGCCGCCTTCGCAACGGCCGATCACTGGGATACCGACGGTACCCGGTGCGCCCTTCGATCCTGCGATCATCTCAACGGCGAAACCGGTACCGCCTCCGTCTGCACCGCCTGCGCAGACAAGTACACCCGCCGACTCGGCTAAGCCGGCACCGCAGACTCAACTGGCAGCGCCGCCAACTCAACTTCCAACAGTCGAGAGCGCCTCGAAAGACGCACCTCCCACATCTAGGGACGCCTCAAGACCTAGAGCAGCCGCGGCGGCGCAGGGTGTGCCAGCAGAAAAGGGCACACATGACGCTTTCCGACAGACAGCCGATGCCTTCAAAGACTTTGCCAACAGCGAGAAGTTGAAGTTCAGGCAGGTTGTCGAGCAGAAGCGTGCCAACAATCGCCACGAGAAGAATGTGAAGCTTAACGATCTGAAGAAGTTCGCCGAGAACTTCAAGCTCAAGAGTCGCGTGCCTGATGATCTTGTGCCGATACTCGCGAAGGACCGCGAGAAGCAGGTTGAGATCCAGAAGAAGGCTGAAGAGGAGGCGAAGAAAGCCGAAGTCGAGCGCGAGGAGAAGAAGAAGAAAGATGTCATCGCCGCCACCCCACCCGCTCCGTCCACAGTGACTATGCCGCAGGCAGCCGCACCTCCAGGCCCTGCGTCGGAAAAGCGCATACCATACAATCACTCACGCACTCGTCAATCTCAGCAGATGCACAACGGACCGATGGTGCCCATGCCAGGTCCCATACCCGGCCAATCACCGGCTCGTGCCATGCCGACGAACCAAAGACAGCCCAGCAATCAAGCATTCTTGCGCCAGCAGCAGCCGCCGTTGCAAGATATACACATCCCAAGCGGTCTGGCAGCCGAGAAGGTGCCCTTGAGTCCAGTCTCAGCTACAAGCAGTAGCAGATTCAACATCAAGGCCGCAGAGTTCCGGCCGACTGCCGCAAACTTCACGCCCGCAGGCACTACCCCTTCACCGCAACGAAAGCCAAGCACCGCAGAGTCCACAGCACCCCAAGAACCCGCCACAGCCAGCTTTTTCGCCAAAGACAGCAAACCCATCCCAGAAGACCAACAGAAAGGCATCGACGACGCCTTCAACCCCGTCGCCCGCATGCTAGCCGAAAACAAAGACACCGAAACCAACACCAACCAAATCCTCGCCAAAAACGGCGGCATTCCTTTCTCCTACCGCACGCCCCCCACCTGGCCGGGAGACGAAAACCGCTCGTACAAAGACTCCTTCCCCGTCAAAAACCTTGCCCCGCATCCGCACAGCCAGGGCACAAGTCCCATGCACACGCCCGTCCCTAATGGACACGGACCGATGCCGCCTCATCATCACGCACACCAATTACCAGCGCATATGCAGGGTCCACCACAGCATGCTCACGGCCCGCGACCGCAGTACTACGGTCATGGGCAGCATTCTTCGCCTGGTGGTGGTGGAGGTGGGTTTGTGGACCCACGCATGCACCAGCAGTTTGGGCCGCCAAATGGGAGTGTGCAGAGTTCGCCGAGGTTCGGGCCGGCGCAGATGGCCGCGTTTGGCCCTCCCCCGCCTGGTCCGAATGTTGGTCCGCCGCATGGTCATCATCCTATGCATATAAACATGAACATGGGGATGGGGATGGGTGTGAATATGGGCATGAATATGGGAGTGCCACCGCAGTTTGCCGCGCCGCCGTACGGTATGAGTCCTAGTATGGGCGCGCGGACGATGAGTGGAGGATTACCGCCACCGGGCGGTCCGCAGGGACAACAGCAGCAGATGCAGCATTTTAGAGGCAATAATGGCGGACCGCAACAGCAACAGCAGCAGTTCCCCGGTGCCGCCGGTGGTCCGCCGATGATGAATATGGGCATGGGTGTGCAGATGATGGTGCCGAATTTGAGTTCGCAGGGTGGTGGATTTGGAGGGTATCCGAATAGTCCCATGCCTGCCCACGCTTCGCCGTATGCGCATGCAGCTTCTCCTCGTCCGGGCCAGGGGGTCGGGGCGGGGATGATGCAGCATCAGGGCTCCCACCAAGGTTTCAATCCTCAGCAGCAGCAGCAGGGACAACAGCAGGGGGCCATGTACGGCGCCGGACCAGCGGGTTTCGGGCCCGGACCGCATCCGATGCATCAGTGGCAGAGGCAGATGAGTAACAGCGGGAGTGGGATGCAGGGCGGTGGTGGGCCGGGGTTCACGCCGAGGCAGCAGCATGCCCTTCCTAACAGTGGTCCTATGGGGATGGCGATGCCTATGCCTGGACTTGCGCCGCAGAGGAGTCCGGGGATGGGGCCTGGTGGGGCTGGTGGGGAGGAAGGGGCGAAGGGTGGGTGAGAGGATCTCATAAGGTTTCTTTGAGCGGCGACAGGCCGAAGGGGGATATTCATCTTGGATCACTGGTAGCCAGCCATTGCGCTCAGCTGAGCCCGAACTAAACCGAGCCCAGTTGTGTTGGGTTCAAGCCGGTCATATGCATTGCGGGAATGAGGATGCATGGCGGCGAGCGGGTCGAATGAGTCTGCGCACGGCAACGAAATGCTGCTGCGACATGAGCGAGCAGTCGGTCTCGTGGCGACCGAACGGAACAGAAAGGCCCGACGATGGAATGGAATGGAACCGCATTGATCGACCGTTGATACAGGCAATCTGAGTGACCGGGGTTGGGCCGCAGGAGCGGCAGCAAGAAACAAGATCTGCGTGCAAGGTTTGTGTGCATCAATGTCGGATATAATGCGCGTATATCTACCCGCTCTCAGGCGTGCTTATGGTCGCATCTCGCGCGGCACGGACGGAGGTGGAGGGAATGCTTTGAAGGTCAGTTAGAAAGTCGGCTTCGTGATATGGAGGGCGGACGAGGGAGCGGTACGGTGGGAGGGCGCTCAGAAATGAAGGGCCGTGGTTGATTGGGTTTTGAGAGCGGAGGATGGGTGGAGGTGGATGTGGATGTGGATGTGGATGTGGATGTGGAGGCGTGATGGATCGCGACGAGTATCCAGCTTATGAGCGAGGCGGAGTAGGTAGGTAGGTAGGTAGTAGTTCGAGCACGAAGGTGAAAGTAGAACAAAGACGCAATGTTCGTGATAAAAAACATCCCCCGTTCGGTACATGTCTAATCCTTCGTTCCTCCCTTCTTCATCGGCGTCACCACGCCCCGGCAACTCCGACAGACGACACGAGCCGTTCCGCCATCTCCTGCCTGTTCTCCTCCCACCGCACCCACGTCGCGGCTTGCAGGAGGCAGTCGGCGAGATCATCCAACTTACCCCTGTCATTGCCATTGCCATTGCCATTTCCATCCACGACCTCCCCGCCAGCCTCGCCATTACGCTCATCCTCACCCTCATCTACATCTCTCCTCCTCCGCCTTCCCCGCCGTGGGCCGTCTGCGTCAGTCTGGAAGAGCCGTGCGATCTGCGCCGCTTGCCCGGAGAAGGAGAGTGACACGTCATCCCCTTCCTCTGCTGACGAGGGCGTTGCGGCAGTGGAGCCAGACTCGGGATCAGGATTAGAATCCGTTGCGGAGGAGAGCGAGAGCCAGCGCCTCACCACGGCAATCTTGTCGGTTTTGGAGACTTTCTGCCTCCCCGCCCTGACAACCTCCGTACCCGCTTTCTCCTCGCTCGTCCTCCGGCCGGGCTCGAAAATGGAGGGCGTCGGTTTCAGACTCACGCGGTTGTGCGATGACGGCCAGAAACTCGCCACGCGCGCGGGGCTTACCGACAGGATTTCGCGACGCGGGGGGGCAGGTATGCTGTCGGTGGTGGTAGAAGAGTTTGAGGAGGAGGAAGAAGGAGGAAGTTCTGTCTGGAGCGTGCGGAGACACGCCCACAGCATCGCCTCGAGCATGTTGACGCGGACGGTCCATTCCTGGATGGCGGCGCCGGAGGCGGAGCGGAAACGCTGGCGTTCGATCAGGATGGTGGTAGGGTGGTGGGAGAGGAGGGTCAGGGAGGTGGTGAGGGCTAGGCGGGAGAGGGAGGAGGGGGTGAAGGCGTCTTCTGGGAGAGGTGTCTTTGCGCGCTTGGCTGCTGGGGCTTTGCTGTTCGTCGGAGGCTTTGAGATGGTGGGTTCCGTTTTCGGGCCGGCAGGGGTGGGGGAGGTAGAGAGTAGGTCTAGCCGTTTCCATTCCGTTACTGTCGGCATACTGTTGTGCTTGAGGTGTCGCTGAGGCTGGTCCAGGACGCAATAGGCCAGGTTCCGGATCCCCATGTCTACGCTGATGATCCGCTGGGCTTTGAAGGTTCCCGGTGGCGCGCGGTCGCTAGGGAGACGGTAGTCTTGGAGGAGGTGGGTGTATAGGCGGTCTGTCAGGTCGTTTTTGGTGCCTGTCGTGGCTTGGCCGACGAGGAAGGCTGCGTATTTGAGTTGAGAGCTGCGTAGAGATCGGAGAGTGGATCGGGCGGCGAACGCGAAATCATAAGGCGCTTCTGATAGGAGATGGTGGCCTTTTCCTAACATTGTGGATGACGCTACGTATGGATTGGCGTGGGAAGAGATGCACTGAAGAGGAGGGAGGTGATGAAGAGGAAGGCTGTACGAAAGACTAGAGCCGCACTCAGCCCTCAAACCTACGATACTGTCTCGTCGTGCATTGGCGATGCCTTCCACAGTTTTGTCGCTTGCATCGTCAACCTACGCCAGCGTCAAGGTGTGACCGGTGTGTACGTGTGTAGCAAATCCTGGAATGCAACGAGTTTTGTAGTGCTTGAGGTCTAGGTCGGGAAGTACCCAGCGCAAACACCCCGTTTTGGCATAGCGCATGGTTTCGACTGCACGATCACGTGACTATGTCTACTCAATCCTTGCCAAGACGACCTCGACTGCATCATTGCACTTTATGACATACCACACCATATCAAGCCTTGCCGTATTCAAGCTTTATGCGAAGGGGCCTCTGTGAAGTACCGTGCCCAGACGGCACAATTTCTGCAGTGTCGTAAACACAATCCATCTGGCAGCGGCAAGCTCAGAGTAGTCTTGCAAATCCTAATCTGGCAGTTCTTCCAGGGATGTGATGCAATTGATGCATGTCCATGTGAGGCAGTGACGGCGGCAACGTCCGCCGAGACGGCACGACTTTTCGAGTTTCGGATATGGGTAATGGCTAGTCTGCATCGACGGGATCCCAGTCTACGAGCAATGTCAGCAACGTGGTACCACAAAACGTTCAACTCCGTCCACGCACCAGTCACGAGATACTCATCCAAGCCATCCATCTTCTTCATATCCCTCCCATCAATCTCGAACCCGCCAATCTGCCCGTTTTCCACAATCCTCTCCTTCCTTACACTCTTCGGTAACGGCACATACCCATGTTGACAGCTCCACCGCACCATAAGTTGTCCGGCTGTACAACCATATTTCTTTGAAAGTTCTAGAATGGTCGGGTGCTTCATACGCAACGCTCTTGCCAGAGGCGCGTATGCTTCTACTACGATGTCGTGGCTTTGGCAGTACGAGGTGAGGTTTGAACGGGTGTTGAAAGGGTGGACTTCAATCTGGTTTACGGCGGGCGTGATGCGCGGTTTGCTGGCTAGCAATTCCTCCAACTGCCAGAATCGTAAGCACCCTCATACGCAGATCGGTGACGATATGGTGGGCGACTTACATGCTTCTCGCCAAAGTTGGAAACGCCCGCTATCCTCACCTCCCCATCCTTCACCGCATCCTCCAGCGCCCGCCAACTCTCCAGTCGTGCCTGCTTACCGCCATAAGGACTATGCAGCAGAAACAAATCCACATATCCCAACCCACATTCCCGTACACTCTTGCTTATGCTTTGTCTCGCTCGCGCGTAGTCGCTGTTGCTCGCCAGTTTAGTCGTGTAGTGTATATCTTCCCGCTTCACGTCCGGATGTGACTTGAGCCAATCCAGAATGGCGTTGCCGACTTGCTTTTCGTTGCGATACATCTGGGCGGAGTCGACGGCACGGTATCCTGCATCGAGGGCATGGTGTACGGCATGGGAAGCCTCGGCGCCGGACATGAGGTAGACTCCAAGGTGGATTTGAGGCATCGTGAGGCCATTGTTGAGACGAATGGGGGTGGTTAGGGAGGGGCTTGAGTTCGCCATTCTTCTAAGCATGAGGTGTATTACAATCGAGAGGGGGTGACTTCTGTGATGAACCTACGGGATGGGGAGAAGGAAATAATGTTATGAATCTGAATTTCCAGCATGACGTACTTACTGCGTTCGTGAGTTTATATGTCGATGGTACTCACCACTTCCGCGGCGGTTACAATTGTTGTCCGCTTACCGTAAGGTAAAGGTTGCTATAGCTCAGGTGGCGATTCATCTGGTGTGGTGGTTAGTCCGATGCCCGCAATGCGAGAACGCAGGGTGGCAATCTGACAAGGACCCCTCGATCGAAGAGCAACCGTACCAAGATTCTGCACCATCACCCAAGCAATGGCGTATCGTGCAATGGTCGCCACACAACCCAAGACTGCGGCATGGACGATCCATCCAATTTGCAAGTAGAATGTAGGCTCGTTATGATATCACTGCTGTTCCAGGCCGTATAGGTAAGACGTTCGACTTGTTTCCTTGTAAACCTCGGTATACAATACGACAGCAAGCCTTTCCCGCCGCATAACCATCCTCAATCAAGTCAAGACCAGGACCAACTGTCACCTGCTATCTTAGCCCTAGCCTCAAAGTCTATTAGGACAGCATTGGCCAGGATGGGAAGCACACCATGGGATACTGCTCCGTCATACAACAACCTCAACGCATACCCTTCCTACACTAGCAGCGGCACTCTACCGCCACCACGTCTGTTCATGGACAACCACCAGGAGCCCGAGCAGGCGGCACCACCACTAACCAACGACCCCAACTTCGACATCCTCGACTGGCACCCGGCCTACCAATCCTGCCAACGCTACTTCCTCGACCATGCCCAACACGAAGCCGCCACACAAGCCTTGTGCGCCCTCATCAACATCCGCCTGCCCTTCCAATGGCTCCAGAACCCCGTCGCCTCCACCACTCCTCCACCTTCATCCTCCCACAGCAACACCAACACCAACGCCTCAACATACAATTTCAACGCCTTCCCCCCACCCCGCGCCTCCAGCAGCTCAATCAACAGCCCGAATCGTTCTCGCAACGGCCACGCAAACCCGGGCCCACCTCCAACCTTCGTCTCCCTTGTGCCCTACATTCGCCGCCTAGTAGTCACAGCCTTTGACAAACCGCCCATCCTGCACGGTCTTTTCGGGGACGACTATGTCCGTGGCATCTTACCCCACCTTGACTGCGAGAGGCGGAACTATCTTTTCGCGGCGAAGGGTGGTGGGTGGCGGAGTTGTAAGAAGCAGTATGATGTGGGGAGTGGCGGAGGGGGTGATGAGAGCTGTCCGTTCATGAAGCCGTTGGATCAGGCGAAGATGGAGGAGTTGATGGCGGCGGAGAAGGCGTGGAGTAGTTGGTTGGCGATGGAGGACTGGATGGTTGGGCCCAGGGCGCCGGAGGACGGCCCTGGTGGTCTGAGGGAGGGCAATGGAGGGGAGGGTAGAGGAGTGCAGCAGCTTCCAGACGGCATTTGAGTGAGGTTCTTCGCAAGCCCCACGTGCGCCAGGAAGTGAGCTGGGCGCGACGAGTGTCCGGCATCACCGTCGCACTTGGGTGCACTCACTGCCTCTTACAGAAGGTGCATTTGCTGACCAGCACGTGGTTCTCCTGCACGATGCGCATATAAGTCTTGCATCCCTCGCCTCTCGAACCTCGTCATACACTGTTTTGGTGCAGGACCAGCAGAGGATCAGACATCTGACATGCTCGCATACAGCGAGTACTCGACAGTAGTTGAATACCGAGAACGATGGCTCGAAAGAAGGAGACTGGGACTGGTAGGCTAAAAGATTGGCGTGTAAGTGTTAACGCCCACCCTTCAGTAGGTTGACATACTGACTCCGTACCAGGGACAAGAAGAGAACCGGCGCAATGAGGGCCGCCGCCAATGCCGTCTTCGATACTAACGAGCTCCTCGAGATGATTATGCTTGAGTTGCCGCCGGCAAGACATTCTGGTCCTGCAGCGGATCAATAGGACCTGGCAAGCTGCCTTTGAGAGATCAGCGGCGATGAAGCGCAAAGACGGCGTTATGCCTTCTGGCACGGACCCCGGCAGACAACGAGACCACTCGTGAGCGAACCTTACACGAGCTTTTTAGAGGCAAGCAACCAGTCTGGTCGTGGTCAAGGCAGTATCCATGGCACCTGGAATCAGCGTTGGCTCGCCCCTTTCGGCGGAAAGCTACCAAGGAAAGCGTCAGCCTGGATGACCAGGACTTCATGCTGAGTTTCCGTTGGAACGGCTTCCCAGTCCTGTTACATGAAATATCCGTGCCGGCAGAGTCAAGACCGACAAGGCCGAACTTGACCTTGCACGCTTCGATCAATCAACCGGCTCAGGATCATGGCGCAAAATTCACGTCTCGCAGTCGGAGACGGGCCAGCTGTGAGTGTTGCTTACAAGCCCCGAAGGAATCTCCGTCACGTGCAAGAAGCTGAAGCTGCGGTCCACCATGGGTGATATATTTGATGCGTTGAGGTGTGGCTATCACAGATCATTCCGGAACTGAAGATCGAACACATCAAAGGACGAATTGTGGGATCTTGACCTAGACCCCTAGCCTCTACAGCAGTATGGCTTATATCATATGCACGTGCCGAGAACGACGTCAGCCAGCGAGAACATTGAGCTTGGCTACTACATGCGACTCAATTTCAGTGGCGTCGCTCACTTCACTTTCACAAGCTCCGACTTTCACTCATTGTCAGAAGTCACTTTATCGTTCACGTGACATCTCGATATAATCTTAACATGCCCTACAGCTTTAGGCTTCCACAACTCAGTTTCATTGCTGTGACCACTGGTCAGTGAAGCGTTCTCCAATCACACTGCCATTAACCTGTAAGGAACTGAATAGCCTACGCTCCTGTGACGCGAGGCTAACAACAGTCTAGGACAATGGCAAGCAGCACAGTCGTACGGGAAGCAGGCATTGCAGTCTTCAGCACCAACGAGCTGCTTGAGTTGATCATGCTGCAACTTGCGCCAGCGGACATCCTCGTGGTCCAACGTGTAAACTCAGCGTGGCATCACACCTTCCGACAGTGTCCCGTCCTTCAGCGAAAGGTCAACGTTCCACCACCAGATGCAGGATGCACGCCCGAGTCAGCCTGCAGAAAGCCGAACTGCTGCGAGTATCTGAATCCGCTCTTCCACAAAAAGCACCCCGTTTGGTCGAATACGGAGAGGTTCCCATGGCATCTCGAATCTGTCGAGCCTCCGCTACAGTACTACAACAAAGCCGAAGAGAACAACGCCATTTTGAAAAAGAACCCTTTCATTAGGATATTTCTTAATTTCACCCTGAACGACAAGCACAGCACCCGACCTAAACCGGTCAAGCTCTACGACGAATCATCACGGACCGGGTCGTGGCGGTCGATATTGCTCTAAGGTGCAGAAGACGTTGCTATTCTGGTGTCTCTTCTGTGGCACGAATCCTCCAACGGGTCACAGACGAAGGGGTGTCATATCCTTCCTTCCGGGGCCACGATGGGTGAGCTGTGCGATGCGCTCGAGAGGATATATCCTACGAGTGCGACGTCAACGTGGTGGCGCCAGTAAGACCCGGATTCACGTTGAAAAGCACAGAAAGATACTGCAGTAGGGGTGTAGCGGTACTGAAGCGGCTTGTTGAGCGCAGTATCGAGCCTTCATCCACGACTCGGCCAAGCGTCAGCACATCAGGCCGCTCAATCTGCTGCTCGCAAATCCGCGAAACCGGGCAACCCTGCGCCATTGCGCCATGCCAAGCGCCGATGCTATGTTAACACAGAACACAAACAAATCTCAAAATCTCCCATTACTTTAGGACCTCAGTCCGTCCTCCTCAACACCATCCTGTCCCCCTCTCCACTCTCAAACGGCACACCAAGCTCAAACAGCTTACATAACACACTCCCGAACTCATTAAAGAAGACATCCTGATCCTTCGCGTACCTCTCCACATGCGACCGGAAACTCTCGTCCTTTATCAACGCCATATCCGTCGGCAACATCATGAGCGTCTTCGTCTTGTCCTGATACTGCCTCGGTCCGTTCCACTTCCGCCAATCCCACGATTCGTCGAGGAGCAGTTTGTAGTAATCGTTGGTGACCGTGATGGGGGAGAAGGTCCAGGGCCCGTCGAAGCCGGAGCGGTCGGTGTGGCAGCGGCCGAGGGCGTGGGCGCCGGAGAGAGCGACGATTTCGCGGTCGTCGAAGCCCCTGTAAGTATGTATCAGCATTTCATGTTCGTAGTGATTGCGATAGGTGTCGCTAATGCTTACATTCTGTAAAAGATGCCACGCAGGTGATCCTGTCCCTTCGAGCCATCCGGCAGCCGCCCGTCAGGCGTGCAGAAGCTGACATCGCGGTCTGAGCGGCCTGGTCGCCATGGGATGTCCGGCCCACCCATCTCCTGCACCGCGCAGACGGCGGAGAGGGTCCAGAGGTCGGAGTACGTGATCCACGGGAACTGCTCCTTCACGGGCTCGAGGAAATCCCGAGCCGCTTTCAAGCCAGCGTTTGCACCATGGTCGTTCTCCGGCGCAAAGCGCATGGTTGCGCCGTTGCTTCCGCCGGTGTTGGTCTCCTTGTCGTATGTGCCGCTGGCATGCCACCCAAGGCGGAGAATAACTGGGCCGTAGGAGCCATCGTCGTAGTCATCTTCATGGATTAGCCGTTGCGCGATAGCTTCGTAGACTTTCTGGTAGTCCTCTTTGGTTGGTGCGAAGTTCCCTGCGAGCTTCGGTGTTGCGTCGCTGGCGTTCTGCGCGTCCGCCTTGACTGCGTGGAAGGGTGAGGTGAAGGTGAGGAGGCCGGCTCCGGCGAGCAACGCAGCAGCTGCGCCAGCATAAAGGGCGTTGTTTGCTGCTTTAGGTGTCTGTGTGGTGTAGCCACGGCGAGGATGGATCTTTGGCCCTTGCTGTGGTACAGCCAGGCGGCGTGGAGTGGCGGCTCTGAAGGCGGAGGTTGTGGGTGCGGAACGCAGAGCGCGTGTGAGTGTTCTGCTCGCGGTAGCCATGTCGTTGCCGAGTCACAACCGCAGGCCAGCAGGTTTAACGCAATGGTATGGAGAGTGGACGTGCAGTAAGAATAGAGGAAGAAAGAGAGAGGCAAAGGCTCCGTATTCGAAGATGAGCGACGGGAATGCGGAACACGAGAATAGTCACTTCCGTTTGCTCACCCCGAAGCTACTGGAAAACAGTCGCTCTCACGTTCGCCGCATCTCTTCCGACGTTGCGGCGAGCCAGGAGAAATCGTCCTTGTTCGGGACCCACATGGTCCTCCTGGTCTTATCATAAGCACAGGCGTCGAGCCATGCCGTTGCCGCACTCTTTACAGATCTTGTTGACCGCGAGTAATGAAGTTCTTATCGCCAGACATCTTTGCGCGACATCAGTGCCACCTATACTGCCGATATGCGCACCCGCTGTTGTACAAACATCCAATACCAAAGAGCATGAGGTTTGACAGAAGTCAAATGCATGCCGACGGCGGTCGATCCGATTGGAAACGGTCGGAGCCGCTGCATGTCCGCCTTCAGCCGATAGCCCTACGCCTCGCTGCCTTCCCGGCCAGATGCGGCAACAGTGAGCGACCTCGCCTTCATTCCTGCTTACATTGACGAACGAACAGCGACGAGCTTTTGCATATGATCGGAGGTAGGTTTGCGCAGTCGCAGTAAATTGTCGAAACTGTGTGCGCTTGGAGTTGGAATGTATTCCGTAGGGAAGTAGCAGTAAAGATCTACATGGAGAGAGCTAACAGTCATCATATCTACATCGTATGCACAGAATTACCTCGCTCATACATCAACGCCCTTCGCCCGTAGTACCACGTCTTCGCAATAGCTCACCGCTCGCATTGCCGCACACCCTAAGAAGCCTTCGACTTCCCATCAAAGCCGATCAATATATCCTCATCGCCATCGCCACCCGCAACAACTTCACACTCCTCCTGCGCTGGCGCCAACGGCATCAATAACCGATCTCCCTCCGACCTTGCTCTCAGCGTCCGGCTCGAAGCCTCGCGACGCACATACTTGACACTATTCGTCCGGCTCAAGGCACCATCACTCGCACTCCGCAGGCTCGCGCGATCCATATCCGCATTGACGACTCTGAGGTTCGCCTTCGGCACCGTAAACATGAACTGAACCACTCGCCTACTGGCCGCGCCTTCGACGTCCCACTCCTCTTCCTCTGCTTGCGCAGAGAGTCCAGGTTCACCCCAGTCGCCCGGATCCGGATCGTCGCGATAGCGTGGCCAGGGGTTCCCGTCCTCCCAGTCCTTCTGGCCACGCTTCTGGCGGAGTAGCATGCTTCCATCCGAGACGGCACGGCGTGGTGGGCCAGCGCCTATCACTTCGTACCTACCATTGCGGTCTTTCGACGGCGATGAGGACGAAGCTCGCGCGTCATCTGCGTAATGCTCGCCGTTGCCTGTAAGGCTGAAGCTGCGTTCGCTGAGTGTGACAACATTGAGGGCACGACGCAGACTACCCATCCAACCTTGCCTGCGGCGGGGCGGGATTGGTGGAGCGGCACCGTAGTCGTCATACATTTTGAAGGGTTTCTTTTCGCGGGTGGAGCTGTGGGCGGCGAGAGCACGCTGATAAGGGTCATCCTGGTCGATGGAAGGCCGGCCACCAAGCAATGCTTCACCTTCGCTTTGCAGCTGGGCGAAATTTGTCTTGGCAGTCACGAAGGAACCCGTATCAGTGCCAGCGCTGTGAGGCGGAGCACCCGCGCCGGCTGATGCGGTCAAGGCTTTACCTCCAGCCTGGAAATAGAAAGGCGACTTTCGGCCGCCTTCTGTGGACATGGTGTTGGGACAATCCTCGCCCGAGGAAGAATGTTCCGGACTGCTGTTAGATGCTGCACGGGCTACAGCGGCCATGATTGCACCTGTGCGAGTGGACATTGTCCGAGTGACAGAGCTAGCTGTCATGTGCGAGCGGTCGCTGAGCGTAGAAGCGGTACGGTCATCGCTATGCTGAGGCGAGATGCGTCCGGTGTCGAGCTCTAGCAAAGGCTGTGCGGTAGTGGGTTCGACCGTCCAGTTCGGAACGTCTAGAGGTTGGGTGTCCGAAAGCCGCCTTTTGTACGCCGTCATGCGACTTGCGCCCGTGGGCACCCTTCTGACGGTACCGCTATAGTCGATCTCCGGTGTCACTGGATGCGAGCCCAGTGGGTTAGGTTCGGCGTCAGCGAACGGATCTGGCAGGCTTAACACCCGTTCGACTTCCATCAGCTTCCTCTCAGCGTCTGTCAGTCCGTCTCTCGGAGTGTATATCGCACTCAAGGCATGCTCATCCTCCTCCTCGTGCTCTGCGATAGGGTGAATGCGGCCACTGCCGTGGCTGAGTCTGTTATCATCATACTTGGGCGCGGCGAGGTATTGGTAATTACGCCCTGCCACGCCCTTCCGCAAGCCACGTGTCGGAGAAGGAAGATCGACAAACAATCCAGTCGAGCCAGCCGCGCCAGCCGTTTGCTGCATCTGCGGCGCTCGTGTCGGATAAGTACCCGTAGCCGGATCCCAGACATTCCAGAAACGTCCTACGCCTGCTGTATCACCTCCCCGTCCGTCGATACCGCCGTTGTGTGTGTGGGCAAGCCCTATAGGTTGCTCACCGAAGCCGTCTGACGATCGCGAGAGTAGTGCTCGGCCTTGCGTTTCGCGGGTTCGCTTCAACCGTCGAAGGGACCAGAAATAGAAGACGAGTAGAGCGATTAGGATGGCCGCGCCTATACCTAGACCGATGCCGAGGCCAGCCTGTTGGGACTTTCTGCTCAATGGACCAATAGCGTGGCCGGCCTCCGCGGTGAAGTTGGTAGGTGGCTCGTAAGATTGCAGCCAAGTGCTCGAGCTGATGTTGTAGAAGTAAAGCTGACTGTTCGCACTATGTGTAGCTCGCTTGATGCGCTTGGAGGACGACGCAGAGATGCTGTACCCTCCAGCAACCATTATGATGTTTCCAGGCAACATTGCTGCACCGTGACCATAGATGCCAGTCCCTGACGCAAGACCTGGTCCCGACTGCTGGGGTACCTTCCAGCTCATCTGTCCAGCACCACCATAGGCGGAGCCTAGACCGAGAACAGCAAGCTGCGGTGTGGCGGGCGTGCTGATATCGCCAACCCAGCCGCCAATCACTACAACGCTGCTGCCGTCTTCGCTCAGGACAGCTGAATGGCCAGATCTTGGCTCCACATCAGTCTGACCTTGCGACACCGGTGCGAACGCCCAGCTAGCTTGCGGTAGCGAGAACACCGCAACCTGCGACATATTGATGAATGCAGCGTGAGTGTGGCCGCCGATAAGCACGAAACTCTGCTGCTGTTTCTGCGCCAGTCCAGTCACCGGCGCCGAGTACGTCGGCGAGAGTGGTGTCATGGAGAAGCCCGCTTCGGCGATTGGCGAGCCTTTGCTTGCGACTGCACTCATGTCGTATCCGCCAGACTGCGCGTCTGAGTCGTTCGCGGACAAGGCAAGCATACTGTTGGAGTACTGTGCGTCGCATGTCCAAGTGGTGTCCGTAATGTTGGAGTATGGGCACATGCCCCCGAAAGTGTACAAGCTAACATTGCTTCCGTCGCCGCCGGCATTCTCTGAGAAAGCAACGCCGCTGGCCAGATATCCCGATGCCTTCAGACCCTGCGCGGAGGCGCTATGATCTATCCAGACACCATGGCTGCCACTAATCCTGTCGTCGTTAATCCAACGCCAGACCTGAACGGTGCTGCCGCTTCGTGAGCAGTTGCCCGCAATGACCGATATGTTTCCACTGGCTGTATCGAGAATTGGCGTATAGGGCGACCCGAAGGGTAGCGTTTGGGAGAGTGTGTCATTGCCGTTATTCGATCTGGCTATAGTGCCCTTGATGTCAAGTCTGGTGAATGCTGGTTGCCCGGACTCGCCGTCGAAGACGTAGGCATATGAGCTATTCGGAGCGACCAGTATCCGGGTGGGCGTGTATGGCAAAGTCTGTGCGGCTGTTGCGCTTAGTGTTGCTAGCAGACCAACTATCTGTCCTGCGCTTTTTGCTGTATGGTATGCCATCCTTAAGGTCAAGTTTCGCCGTGATTACTCCATGGTTCGGGTGTATAGCTCTTTTTCGTCGGTTTCCGTGAAACTACAGTCTGGACTCCTATACTACGATACTCGTAAAGGCGGGTTGTAGCCAGATAACGAAGGTGGTGCAGCGAGTGGATAGCTTTGCGAAGATTGTGATCAAGGTGGTCAATGGCGACCATCATGCAACCCTTAACCGTCCGGATCAACAATCAAAGCGGCGGGTGCAGGCCAGCCACGCGACAAGGTTTCCAGCCAGCTTGAGCCGGGTTGCGCAACACAAAATCAAGGCTCGTGCAGAGGGTCGACTCGCGCCAACCATCTCCAGTTTAGGAGTTTGCAAGCTTGTTCCGCCTGCGCTACGCTGCGCTTGGAGAGTCAACAATCGATTGTTGCCCCAGAAGCAATCGGGCGGCGGGGCTGTCTCGGACCGCGTACCGTATCTCACGTCCGAGCTCTCTGCACGTGCAGTTGAGATTGAGGGGCCATATCTACAACACCACGCTCTTTGGCAGCGTTATGGCATAGATGTCAAGGAACAAAGACATGTCTTGGGCTGCCATGCGGGCTTCGCAACGGCTTTGGTGCTGTCGCTGGGTAACGCAGCCGTTTCAATATATTCTACGCGACCTCTCTCGTGTATCCATCTCAACAGTAGTTGTCCTCTGACAGGCTTGTCTCCTTGACGGCACCAGATCAGCTACAGAAAGATCTGGCCGCACTCGGATACGAGTGTGGTTCACTATCGTGCCCCTTGCGCACAGCCAGGTAACGGTCACTCCATCTCGGCCAATCTTTCCATAAGTGCAATGGTAGGCTCCTGTTCTCCTACCTGCCAAGGACAAACGATCCCTGGGACCTGCCAAGGACCGGAGAGACTGCATTATGGGTAGTGGCTTCATTGGAACGCGTGCTTACGCCAATCCAGAGTACAATCAGAACACCAAAATCATTATTGATAAGATACCTGATACAAGCACCCTAACAGACTTGTCGTGTTACATCTCGTCATGACAGCCAGAAGCACAGTGGCGTCTGGTATTTCCGAAGCTTAACAGCCTCCGCCGCCGCCGCCGCCCTAAGAAACGATTAGCATCTTTGACGCGCTGGAGAAGTAGTGAGCTAAGACTTACACCACATCCGCCTCCACCACCGCCTCCACCACCGCCTCCGCCACATCCGCCGCCTCCACCGCCGCCACCGCAGCCACCCTGTCGAGCGTGTCAGCAACCGATGCATCTCTTTGTAGAGTGGCAGATTTGCAACTTACCGCTGCGCCACCAGCACATCCACCACCACCCATTCCGCCACAGCCTCCAGCCGCCACACCCGCTGAGCAAGTACCCGTGCAGCAGTTCCCTGCGGCGCCTGGAGCGACGGCCATACAGCCCGGATTGACTGGGTAGTAACCACCAACGTACGGCATGGCGCCAACGTATGGGGAGTAGATCGGAATGTAGACTGGATAGCCCCCTATCACACCACGTCAACAAACAAACATATCGGCAACACCATAACGGTGCAACTTACAAGCTTCGGACCAATAGTATTCATCTTTCCTCGGCGGCTCTCTTCCTTCTTTCACCGCGCGCGCACACGCCCTCCTGTACGCTTCATCGAGCTTATCTGCCTGCTTCTTCGCGGCAAGATCGTACTTTCCGGTGTCGTCTTGCGGTCTTACTGCGTTGTGTGTAGAAATATGTGCACTCTTGGCCGCTTTAGACGACGTTTCGTGCAGTTGGTCACGGATTCGATATTGTTTGCCTTGAAACAGGCGGCTGCCGACGCTTGTAACCGATTCACGCACGGCCTCGCAATACCAGCAAGTACATTCCGAATATGGCTCCCCGAACATCTTCTGGTAGGTCTTGCTCGTCCACGCGAATCCGTCGTTGAGCGCTGTCTCGGCTACTTTATCGTCATGATCGATGAACTGTTTCGTCTCCGCAAGTGTGAACTTCATGTAGCCATACGGGCTCAGTTGGTGCGTGTGCCAGGCCAGATCAACATCCAGCGTCGGTACCGCCATATGCCCACCGTTCGCCATGATTTGGACGAAGCGCTCGTACTTCTTCAGCAGGCGTCTCATCGTGCTCTGCAAGGCGGGAGAGTGCAGCCAGTCAATATTGTGCATCTTGGTAACGAACTCGCCTTGTCTCACGACAGCGCCAACCAGATCCAGGGCGAAGGGTGAGCTGTTGTCCCAGTACCGGCTCATCATCCTCCGGATTCCGACCTTCTCCCATCGAATCATTCGATGGCTGGCACTGTCACGCGCAGTACGCATGTACGCCTTATCTTCGATCGCTTCATCGAAAGCAGTCCTAATGTCTTGTATGCACTCATACGTGCGAGCAGGCTGGCGTGCTTCATTCTTGACAGTGCCCGCCTTCGGATTTGCTTCCAAAATTCTCACACCAAGGCCGCACTTGAGGAATTCGTTGGGCCAAGTAGTAAAGCCCACGTTCGTAATGGCTGCCATTCGACTGGCCGTAGACTCTGGTACGCCGGAGGGCTTACCAGGAACACCATCGACGCCCAACAGCGTACCGCCCATTGGTATATCTCCTGTGAGGAGCTTTCCCACGTCGCTGCAGAACTTAGCGGCCCGCAGCCGGTCGTGGGTGATGCTCAAAGCGCAGTCTGGACAGCTGACCTTGAAGTCCTTGTCGCAGTAGCCGGTGCCTGAGCCGAGCATTCCATCAACCGTGGACTCGAGATTTTGTTCGCTCAGTGAGCCTTTCGTTGTGGGTGCGGAAGAGTGCGAGGTCGTCCACGGCGCAAGGATGCTTCTGCAACAACCCGGGCAAGTGATCTCTCTGTTCTCACGGCCTTCAAGATTGTCCCACGGCTGCTGGGTGCTAGCGTAGAAGCTGGCAACGGCACTGTCACCAGGTCCGTAGGTAAAAGTCCCGGAGTCGATGCTCTCGGCCACAGCCTGCCATTGCATGCCTGCATGCCAGAGTTGCATGCGACCATAGCGCAAGCAGTCTTCGAGGTAGGCTCGAGGATTGAGCATGTGTGCATGCCAAACCATGAGAACGTCAACAGGTGGGAGATATTCGCGATGTATGCGAAGCGGAAACCCAGTCGGCTCGCAGAGTAGACCCTTGGAGCCATCCCGTGCCAGCTGCGACATCTGTGGCATCTGCGCTTTCGGCAGCAACGCCTGAAGCCACTCTTCATAGCGGTCGACTGCGCGGGTGAGGTAGATGGCCCATCGTTTCTCGGCAAGTTTCGCCATCAACTCGCCAGCCTTGTCGCTCTTTGGGTCAATGTGCGTCGTAACGGCACTGTTGTCGATACCGAATAGGCCGTCCGTCGAGCCGATCTTCTGTCGGAGCCGGTAGAAGCATTCCAATAACTTTAGATGCGCGATAGCTTCGCTTTCAGTCGGAAAGGCGTCCTTGTTCGTCTGCGAGAGGTTGAGGTTGCTGAAGCCGGCGGTGATATCGGGCGGTCCCAGCGCATCCTCTGCCTGGTATGCTGGCGGAGCGTACGCCGGAGGAGCAAGGCTGCCGTTCGCATTGGCTTTGCGTTCGGCTTCGACTTCGGCCTCTTTCTCTTTCTCGCCCTCGTTCAAGCGCGAAAGTACTTTGGAAAGGAACGGCATGGTACATGCAGGAGATCACAGAGTCCTAGATTGAGATCATGGGTGATAGTGTGAGAAAATTGGAAGAGATGTTCTGTAGTATGAGTAGACCTAATGGATAGAGTCAACCATTTGTGGGAGAGGTGTTTATATGCAGACGTAGATCGTGCCGCCAGCCTATAAGTGAAGATATACTGTAGAGGATGAAAGTAGTAGGCTGTGCTAGAGGATTAGGACTATAGACTTAGCCCCGGGACGCAACCAGTACAACAACGGCGGGCGCTGATTGCTCGATCACTATCGCAGCGATCTACTGAAGGGCGTAATGCTGTGAACATTGCCCGGCCAAATGACAAGGCTGAGCGTTAGCCTTCTTCGACGTTCCTTCTCCCGCCCTTCGACCCCGCTCGTGTTTGGCTTCCCTGCATTAAGCTCGGGCTCAGTGGAGGCTTAGACGTGCGCTAAGCCGTGATGATCCGTGTCACGTGTTCGGAGGATCTCACTTGACGTAGGCGCAGACGGAACTTTAGCCGACCACCTGGTCACGATTGGCAAGACGCGGACAGTGATTCGTTGTGCCATGGAATGCAGCGACGATGACTGGATTCGCAGTAAGTCTTGCTCTTGTGATCAATTGCGTACAGCAACGCTAGCTGGGAGCAAGCGAACCATCGACCCGCGAGTATCGCTGATTGTTGCATCGCTTGCACAGTAGCTCATGGTGCTTGCTGTGTCCCCGTGGTCATGGATAGTCTGGGTGGGAGGAGTCAAACATTGAGCCTTGCTGTGATTGCGGTCAAGATCCGGCACGGAAGGTGCTCCCGCTAAGTCATCGTTCGGCGTGTCTTCGGTGTTTTGTAGCTGCGTGACCGGGCATGGCATGATGATCGTGGAGTTCCAAGCTATGCCGGGCGAAGCATGACCATAATGTGGCACGCTTTCCTCACAACTGCTTGCCCATGAACTTGCGCTTCTGGAAGCTCAGCCACCACTGCCATCATGTCAGCTCGGACGTAGTACTCTCCGTGGAGCATGAATGAAAACTCACCTTGCTCGGCGCACCTGTGCCGTCCATGTAGACTCTGTTCAATAGCCTTGCAGCCAACTCTTGCCGCACTTGCATAATATACTGCCTTAGAACCTCCGCCTCATTGCGGTCTCTGGGTGGTTCGAATGCCTGATTTAGCGGGAAAGCCGCATCGCCGGGGATCGCGAAGTTCGTGTCTAACGCCGTGTTCATGACAGCTTTCTCTGCATCTCGTCTGTTGGTACCGGGCCGTATCTTAGACAGTGCCTCCGACACGAACAGGATACCGTAGATGAGAACTCGATCTGCAGGACCCTTGATCTCGAAGTTGCGGAAGAAGGTGTTCGCTCGGAAAAGCGACAGTATCTCGTCTAGAGGGTCGTATGAGGGATGCGAAGGCTCGATATCGAGTTCTGTAACGTCGCTTAGAGGCGGAAGCTGTTGCGCCGGCCCGCGAGTTCGTGTTCGTAGCGGAAGCAACGCAAAGTTGCCAATGACCTGCTGATTCGGCTCGTCCAAGAAGACGCTGTGGTAGGCAGGCATTGCAATGGTGACTTGGCCTCGAGGCTCGGTAAGTTGGGTCGTCTCCGAGCGGTCGGGCGGTAGACAGAAGATTCTCGGATACTCGCGTGCAATCACCGAGTCGGCTTATCCAATGGTCGTTTTGTACCGGTAAGCGGGATTGTAGATATTGTTGTTGTTACTGCCTCGAACATTCATCGCCCGCTGACGAAAAGTGTCTGTGCAACCCCGCCCCCACATCGCCTTCTCCTTCTTCACAATGACTTCGACCAATGCATTGCCACCAGGCGAGGAACTCCGTGCCGGTCTTGCTCGCGATGGCTTTGTCCTCATCCCACGAGCATTTTCAAAGGCAGAGGTTGGCCGCTTCAAGAAAGCAGCGCAGCACGCCACCGAGCGGGCTCGAGTTGGCGACTGGCCCTTCGTAAGGACGGTGCCAAAGCAATTCCCACCATGGCCACTTAACGAAGTAGGATCAAATGGCATATGGGGCGTCCAGCATCTGCTGCACCCTTTAATGCCACCACAAGATCGTGAAGTCTTCGCTGAAAGCTACTTCTGCGACACAATGACAGCTACCGTTACAGCTCTCTTGCAGTGCTCAGAGAAAGACCTGGTCATGGAGCTGTACAATATGCTCGTTTGCCCTCCACGAGACTTTGCGCTGCGTTGGCATCGCGATGATATTGGCCCGCAAGTCTCGGCAGAGGAAGAACGGAAGCGTCTCGCAGAGCCCATGATGCACGCTCAGTGGAACCTCGCACTTTACCCTGATAGCTCTCTGGTAGTGGTACCTGGCTCTCACAAGCGTCCAAGAACGGACGTAGAGCGTAATGCAGATCCATACGAAGACAACATTCCGGGACAGCAGGTCGTTCAGCTTAATCCGGGAGATCTTATGTTCTACAACAACAACATCCTCCACCGTGGCGTCTACGATAGCAAGACGGAACGGATGACATTACACGGGACGATGGGGTTGAGAGGTGCGGATCCGGCACGAGCGCGCAACATACTGCAGCATGGTGTCGGAGACTGGGCCGCTGATTGTGACTTCGGAGACTTGCCGGGCGGCATGGCTGCTCTAGCGAAGGGCATGCAGGAGAGCCTGATCCAGATGGGTACAGAACGTGATGTGGGCTTCTCGCAGGTAGATGAATGATCGTAATATTCACGTCTGTGTACCATCGCCTGCCGATCGCTTCCGGCCTGCTCGTTAAGTCAGATGCCCAAAATGCCAAAGAACCACGTAAACATCCGAACGGCGCAGAGGATACCGCCCTCGTCCAGCGATGTCTTCAGCGCCTTCGTTCCTGGCGCACTCTGCTGCATTGTAAGGAGCTTTGATGACAAATCTAAGGTAGGCTGCGCCGCACACAGACTGCCCATCGAACACAGCCCGTTCACGTGAGAAACGCTATTGCGTGGTCTTGTCACCTCGTCACGGGGGTCATAGTATCTTTCTCTGCTGAGTGCGTTCGTGCAGTAAAAATCATTCTCCCAAACAGGCTGCTTAGCTAGCATGCCGGCCTGGGTATCAATTCGGACATTTAGACAAAGAATGCTCTAAGTTACTTACGGTTGGACAACAGTATGGAAGGATCGAAATGTCGTCGGACATCTTTTCCTCTTCAGAAGGATAAGAAAAGCGCTCAGCAGCCCTGTTCAAGTGGCGCAAGATGAGCGGTAGCATGGGAGCATGGCAGGGCCGTACCTATTGCCAAGTGTAGGGGATGGAGATGCAGCACACATCCTTCGGCATCGGCACATATGTTGAGTCTGAGAGTCTCTGCCATAGGTCACACTCGCGTATCCTGGTCGGCTATCTGGAGCAAGGCGGATTCTGCTGGCGAATGTAGCCCGGCGTTGTGGCGACTGCAATACACTGTTGGCTGCACGGTCCAGTGTGGACCAGGTCTAGGAGTGCCGTTCCGAGTATACAACGTTTGACGTACTAAAACACCCTTTTGCAGAGATTGTGATGCGATCCAGGCTTCGTACTCATATATGGATTTGTCCTGTTGCCTTTTGCGGCTCGATTGGCAGACAGTATGTCCCGTTCGTCCCGAATGATGGTTACATGCTACACTCTTCACAGTGCCACAGTGCCCATCTGGAGGTTTCTGGACTAGGACATCTTTAGTGGTATTGAGACAGGAGAAATGATTAGGTGCGATTTAAGGTTGATGATCAATCGAGCACTATAGGCACAGTCCGCTGATCAGGCGCTTATTACGTGTCAACGCTTGCGTCATCTCCGCAAGCGGCCCATTGGACGAGCCATTGACGATCCGATCTCTCTCCGCCGACAAACACAATTTGGGATTCGAGGACTCTGGTGATTGACTGCTTGGATACTTCGCCTCCCACCTATGACCCTCGCGACGAGACTGTGTGAAGTCCGGTCGTAGCATCCACAATCGCGAAAGCAACGCGATCGTCGATCGGTCGGGCCAAAACGCGCTGAAGGTTCAGAAGCAAGGCGTGTCAAGTCTGGGCGCCACAACCGGCAAGCGAGTGTCTCAGCCAATCTTTGCCCTCCCACGCCACGGACGGAAAACTCCCTTGCGTGTCACCCCGGCTGCTGCCAAAATCGGTAGACCCAAAAGCCCCGCTCCGATATCCAGCTTCTCGTAGAGCAGAACTGATGTCTCATTCTCGAGCTCACATTTCCTTCTGCGTATGTCGTCGGCAGCATTGCTCAGTGTAGAGACCTCTTGTATGAGCATGAGAGGAGCGGATAGCACATTGCAGGTATGTGGCAACCAGCATTGCAAGCATTTGCTACGGTTAGGTGTCCGCCTACGGTGCTCCGTGCGTGGGCGGCGCGCCTACCATGCTTAAACGTGGCAGGCGCTTCAATTCAAGGATGGAGGGCTGATGAAGACAGCAGACATACGAGTAAAGCATCGCCAACAGAACACAAGATCTGCATCTATACCGCACTATTGCTGTCGACGCGAGACATTTGGCTACACGAACACAGCATCCACAACCAGGCTCGGCAAGCAAAGCGTAAGAGTAGAAATACCTTGCCGACGCGTCAAAAGGATATCCGCGTCCGTGGAAAGATACTGGACGGTGCATGACATCGGACACGATGGCGACGACGCGTCGCCCTTCGCAGCTAGACGTGTTCCAAGACTCAGACGCGTCTTTCTCAGCTCGTACAGATGCTGAGGTCGAAACGGCACTTCTCAATGCATTGCGGCCACTCGGCGATGCCTCGCACAAGCAGAACGTACAGCTCAACCCCACGACAGGCTCCCAGTCTGGCTCTTCGCCTACCAAGACGGACAGCTCCCCACCAAGACCGTTGAGTTCGCGCGGCTTGAGAGATGTGAAGCTACCGCCTCCATCCCAACCAGTCTTCCAGACGGACTCGCCTCGCAAGAATGCTAGATTCTGTCCACTTTATCCGCCTCCAACGCTCTTGACGGAGAAGTCACTCTTCACGCAGTTTGCAACGGCCCAGTCTTTCGACAAGGAGAACTACGAAGCCACAGGCTTCACTCCAATGCCGCCTCTACCATATAGCGGCGACATTGACTACGTTTACCAAGCTCCCGCCAAGCGCCCGTTAATGGACACGGTTCCACACCTAGATCGCCCAAACGTGAAGAAGCAAAAGCTTGAACGAGACGATCCTTTCGAGCTACCAGACCCGAGCGACATGCCCCCAGTGTACGACAACGGCCAGAAGCCGACGCACAGCTACGCCGAACTCATTGGCATGGCCATTCTGCGAGCGCCCAATCGCCGCCTCACATTGGCCCAGATATACAAGTGGATAACCGACAACTTCTCCTTCTACCGGACTGCAGAGTCTGGCTGGCAAAACAGCATTCGCCACAACCTTAGTCTGAACAAGAACTTTGTCAAGCAGGAGCGACCTAAAGATGATCCAGGCAAGGGCAACTACTGGGCCATTAAAGCAGGCGAAGAGCGTCCCTTTCTCATTGGAAAGAAGAACCCCATGCGGCGTAGTTTCATCAACAGCTCTGATGGCTTGCAGAACGACCTTGCCGGCTTTCGCCCAGGTGCAGCACCCGCCATCGGGCAGTTCACGCTCGCGCCCAACCCAGTCCGTAGGGTGGAAATGAAGCATATCGACTCAGCCAAGTTTCCGGACGATGGAGACTTCTCATCAGATGGCACCATACCAGCATCTGATGTGGACATTCCAGAGGATGAGAAAGACGATGCTGCTGTGATGCCTCCACCTTCCTCGCACTTCCGATCGTCGCCGCCGCCGCAGGAGATTGGCTCATCGCCGCCGGCAATGGCAACGCAAACCTTGCGTGGAGACACGCCACCTCCGGTCCCGACTTTCCCGTCGATGAGCCGATCGCGTGGTAGCAGGCAGAAGTTCGCCGCAGTCAACGATAGCGGGTACTGGTCGTCAATAGAGTCGTCGGCCGCGCGTGGCGCTGCACATGTGCTTACATCAGAAGCTGACATTGGTCATCCTCGAATCAAGAAGGGACGTGCGGAAGCGGAGATTGCGCGCATGCGCAGCTCATCCTTCGATAGCCCTACCAAGGATCGCCTTCGGACACAAAGACGTGGCTCTGAGCTTGCCTTGTCATCGCCCCTCAAGGATGACAACCCACTTACGCCGGCGGTTGTGTTTAAGCGCCCCGCCAGACCACCACCATCTATATCCCCAAATACGAATCTTCGGAATCACCGCAACCGCATGAAGGCGCTCCTTGGCTCCCCGGCGAAAGTGTTGAGCCCATTGCCCGAGACTAGCACATGGAGCCCGGCGTTCAACCTCGTCGAGGACAGTCACGTCGGCCTGACACCTTTCCGCTCCCCGTTTGTGCAGTCGAAGACGCCTTGGAAGCCTAACAGCGACACGCCAGGCGGCAGTATGTTGAAGAAGGCGTTTGACATTTTCATCGACGCGCCGGAAGAGGACCTTACTGCTCGTGGCTCGCCGGAGAAACGATCGGTTAGGCGCCCATCGCTCGCTCGTGCGGTGACCAGCACGGGTATTCTCGCAGACATTACTGGCAATGCCAAGAACAACAATCTAACCTTGGCGTCCCCGGGTAACAGCCCCTTCTCGCTGTCGCAGTTCCTCGCCAAGCCAGGCCCGCTGCGCTCGCCGGCCAACCTAGGCTCGCCACTCAAGCAGTGTCATGAGCCGCCTACAGCAGACTTGAGTGCCGGAGAACTCGATTGGCCCTATGAGGCTGCTTGTGGCGAGAACCTCCTCCCGTCCGCCGTCGTCTCGAATGCCAGCGCTGCTGCTGAGCTTTTCGGCGTGCATTTGTCCAGTGATGGCAGCGAAGAAGGCATTGACATCTTCCAAGATTTTGGCAAGATTGGCCAAGCTCCTGCGGCAGTCAATGTGATGCCGGACCGCGCAAACGGTAGTCCCATGAAGCGGACGGCCATGGGGCCACCGGCGCGGCCTGTCCGTCCAGGCATGATGAGGAGCAACACTAGCCGGTGGTAGAAGCACCGAGCCGAGGCTGCGATAGCAGTGTTTCACCGCTGTAAGCCTTGGAGCAGGGTTGGTCGTCACTCACGACGGCGCTGATGACTGGACGGCCCTTCGTTGGACTGAACTTTACCTCGGGTTTTCTGGCCGGATACAGCTGAGATTGTCACTTTGGTACAGTGTTCATTGCTGTGCACGACTTATGTTACGAACTGCGTTGCTTCTGCTGATGATCTTGACGGCTTTATGACAGGAAGAGTTGGCAACGCGAAGCTCGATGGGAGATGTATTGTTTCAAGAGGGTATCTGTTCGCATGCTTGATTCTTTTGTAAACGAAGATCCAAACTGGCTTAAACCGGTTTGCGGTTATCCGTCTTCTTCGGTCTGAGGGTCGTCGCCAGCGTCATAGTCAGCGCCTGCATTAGCGTCCTCTTCGCCTTCTGCATCGTCGACATCGACATCCATTTCGGCCTCCGCACCTTCGCCTCTCGCGTCTTCGTCATCATTAGCCGCATCACCTTTATCATTGCCTTTCCTGCCCTTCCCGTTGACCCCGTTCTCCTCGCCAGCAACCGGGAAATTGAGGTACTTCCAGTCCTCGATTTCCTCGATGACACTGCGCAGCCTATCTCGCACGCTCTCCACTGCGAAGCTACCCAGCAACAGTCGGAGCGGCGGATACCGACAGTGACCCAGCTGCCAAACCAACTCCGCCGACTTGACAGCCGACGAGGGCTGCCTGTCGGCCAGCCATTGCACGACACGCCTTGCGTGACCGGCTGGCGCGGTCTCCGTGTCGTATGGTGGTGACGGCTTCTTGACGAGAAAGTGTCCGTACCGCTTAAGCTTATGCGCAGCACCTACGTTTGATATTGAGGCGTCCAGGGCTTTGTCGTCTAAGCCTGTGGGCTCATCCAACCGTACGTGTCCCGGTTCCACCAGTGTAGCCTTGATGCCGAAAGCGTCGATCTCGTAGAGCATGCTCTCGATCAGACCCTCTGTAGCATACTTGGTCGCGCAATACGGCCCGAGACCGGGCACGCCTAGGGCGCCGGAAGTGGAGCTGAAGATAAGGTAGCGGCCTGCGTTCTCCCGTTCAGGATCCTTCCGTTTGACAGATTGGGCTCGAAAGTACGGCAAGGACAACTGGATGATATTCAGGGTGCCAAGGAAGTTGGTTTCGAACTGGGAGCGCAAGTCGCAGGTGTCTTGATCCTCGCAGGCGGCAATTACGCCGTACCCAGTACAACTACACAGGACTTAGCATGCGCCGAGGAGTGTGAGAGAAGAGGGTCCTGATCTGTCTTACGCTTACTTCACAATAATGTCCACCCTTCCGAAATGCGCTATGGTACGGTCCAGTGCTGCTTTCACTGTATCCCGCACTCGGACATCGCACAGCAGGCCCAAGCATCGCTCATGCCAGCCCTGCATTTGCGCCATGGTGTTCTCCAGCGTCCTCCCCACAGCTGCGACATTGTCGCCATGAAGCAAAGCAGTCTTCACCAACGACCGACCAATCTGGCCGGTTGCGCCAAAGACAAGCCATACCTTTTGCGTGGGCGGATTGGCTTCGGATGGTGGATCCGTGCTTCCTGGAAGGTGGAGGCGAGGGTTAGAAGCGAGGATGATGGAGGGTGAGAAAGCGCTGCAAGGCGAGCTAGCTGCCATTGAAGGCGTCAGTGGCTACATGGTTCGTGAGTGCAGATGGATCGTAATAAGCTCTTAGGAACTCCGGGCCCGAAGGTTGGCCGTAGAAGTTGCTCCCGCCCCCGCTCTTACAATGCTTTGCAAAATCACCGCCCATCTGTGGGGTCTCTCGAAACTCGTGTAGTCACTGAGGGCACCATAACGCGCAGTTATCATCCAGTCTAAGCAACGGATACTGATCAACTTATTTGTTACAGCTGTACTTTGTATTTAGAACGTTTTTATAGCTATGTTCGACGTGTTACTGCTCCTAATAGCCGCCAATATATAGTCACCTTAGAACATCCTAACCGTAATTTGGATGTCGGATCACGTGACTAGTTTTCATCCAGCCTTTAGGCGCTATATCTAGTATTACAACAATCTGAATATATAACAAGTCAAGCAAACGACAGTTGTATTGATTTGGCACTATACGCGAGATAATATAGCTAGTCTCCGGTAAATTGTGAAGATACCTAGCTTTCTTACGAATTAGACTCTATAGATAGCTGGTGTTTTTGCAAAGCATTGTAGGAGGTTACTAGTATTTCCTGTAGTGTTAAGATAGCTATACGATGTTTGTATAGTATATCGGATAATAAGCTGGTCTTATTCATTGTTACTACTAGATCAGAACCAGCAGATGTTCGGCGACTTGACTCTGCAGAGAGTGAAACCTTAGATCCACAGTTGTTCTGAGCGTACCAGCCGAATGAGAGCAACGCTTGAAACTCAACCCAAAGAGGATCATTGTCTGACCCCAGCGAGGTGCCATACAAATAACACGATCAGTCCCAAGAGACACTTTGGAAGTATACGAAGTCGACCTTGACCCTGTACCGTAAGTACCGACAGCATTTCATTCTGCTGCCGCTCCATTCCCAGCCCTAGCTCGTGCCCAATCTGGCAGCGATCATCTGACCTACAAACTTTTACTACGAGGTACTTTCGTAGTCCCCGCTTGCACCACCTCAGCTGCAGCGCAATCAAGATCACGGCAATACACTAACAATCTTGCCAAGTCCAGCATACTCCGGCGGAATGCGCGCATGCACAAACGCACCCGAGGCCAACAATATAGCGATAAGGTTGTACAAAAACGACCAGGTGGAGTTGAGGGAAATGCGGTGCATCGCCGCCCGCGAAAGGTCCAGAGCACAAGGAACCCTATAAGGCACGGACGTACGAGAACGACGTCGGCGGCATTTTGCGCCATCTCGCTACCACTGCTCATGTGCACGCCAATATCTGCTTGAGCCAGTGCGATTGCGTCGTTCGTGCCGTCGCCGCAAAAGACGATGCTCCCCTTTTCCTCCGCCTCAAGGTTCTTTAGGCACTCCTTTTTACCTGCTGGCGAGCATCTAGACCTAACATTGCTCGGAGGAATCTCTAGCTTAGAAGCCAGGGTTTCCGTGGCGCCTGCGTCGTCTCCACTAACAATTGAGACCGCGATCTTGCGCTTCTTCAGCTCGGCGAGGACCGATCTGGTTTCGGAGCGTATGCTGTCGGAGAGTCCAAAGACGGCTTCCGGTTTGTCATTGATGGTGACGCCGAAGACAGTCAGTCCGATGTGGACCAGGACTTGAACCTCCGGCAATTCATGTAGTGAGAGCCAGCGGGTGTTGCCGCAACGAGTCAGGCCGCCTGCATAGGTGCCCTCAACGCCCTTACCAGTGATCGACCGGACGTCTCTGATCTCGGCGGCGTGACCAAACTCCGCCCGCAGATATGACGAGATTGCCGCCGAAACCGGGTGGTTACTGTTCCTTGCTAACCCAAGTGTTACAGATCTGGCAAGTTGTTTGTCCGCTAAGATGACCTCTTCTATTACGCTGAGTTCACCTTCAGTGAGAGTACCAGTTTTAACGAAGACCTCGTGCGAGACTCTTGGCGCGCTGTCCAATGCTAAAGCCGATTTAAAGATGACCCCGTGGTTGGTGGCTGCGCCGCCAGCAACAGCGGTCACCATAGGAATGTAGAGACCGATTGCACAAGGGCAAGATACGATAAGCACGGAGACCCCGTAGGTGATTGCAGTGATTGACTGCCATGCCCCCGTCTTGTTGCCGAATAGAAATGCCGATCACGATCCACACCACGAAGGTCGTGGTCGTGAGTACAAGGACCACCGGGACAAATACCCGGCAACGATACCAACCAGTTCTTGAGTCTTCGGTTTTCAGAATTTGGCTTCGTCCACCATTGCTGCAACCGTGCTAATTGTGTTATGGCCAGGGTGATTTGTGAGGCAAACGACGGTGACGCCAAAGCCATTGATCGAGCCCGCAATGACGGCTGAGCCAGGGTGCTTTTCCACGGGTAGAGACTCTCCCGTTAAGATGGACATGTCGACTTCCGTCGCACCTGTGACGATGATGCCGTCTGTTACAACGCGTGAGTCAGGAGGAAAGCGAAACAGATCTCCATGCTGCAGAAGGCGAGCATCGATCTATTGGTTGTCGCGGCCTTCAAACTCGGAAAGGATAGCTGTCTGATCCTGAAGGGACCTCAAAGAGACTGACTCAACCGCCTTCAGTCTTGCAAAAGCGCTTACTAGCCGCCCCACCATGACCAGGGTAACAAGGAAGGTGCTGGTCTCCAGGAACTCCCCGATCGGCAGTGGACGGCTTATCACTTGAAAAGCGAAGGCGATGATGAAGACCATATAGGCCGTCGAGGTGCTGAGGACAATAAGCAGATCCATCTCGATCACGTGCGTAAAGATTAGCGATCTGAACGCACCGATGTAACATTGGCTCGCGATAAGGAACTGTACGGCCGTAGCTAGTGCCAGTGACGCTGCGCCGTATAATATCGGACGAAGGACGGCGGGGCCCGGGCTAGGACGAGGACGGGTACGGTGAGGGCATCAGAGACCAGTGTGAGCCAGGGAGGATGTCGGACATGCTTCTGTCCATTTTCAAGGTCTAATGATACCTTGGGAGCAGCGAGTTGCAATTCAAGCCCAAACAAGTTTCCCACAACAGCTCTTGCCCAACGATTGCAGGGTCGAAAGTGATGCGCACGGTGCGCTTGTCCATGATATTCAGCTGCATAATGCCCTTCGGGTATTTACGCTCGGTGAAGGCCTTCGCATCGCCGTCGATAACGACATCAAAATCTTGTCCTTTGCTGCTTGTTTGCTTGCAAGCAAAGCCATTAGACTTCTGAGCAGGGTGTCCACATTCACTCACGTTTGTACAGCCCGTCGTATTGAGATCTCCGCCATCTTTGATTCCGCAACCTATCGGAACAGCCGATCTTGACGAAACGGTTCCCGTCCATGTCTTCAGAGCAAGTGGTCAGTGAGCTGTTCGACCGGCAAGCTGCTGCAGGCCTTCCTCCTCCGCAGCATAGCTCCAGATTGCGGGAAATCAGCTCTTTGCGGAGGCAGCCAACTTTCCTCACTAAATCTGCGAAGTTCTTGCGCACCCTGCGCGAGTAGTCAGTGCAGGCACTGAGTTTGCACTTGCCGTAGTGTACCTTCAGGTTGGCCGGAGCCTGTTGCAGCACAGAAGCTTTAGTACTGGTGGAGTCAAGGGTGCGCAAAGATAGCGTACGCGCATCGCCGCAGCAGAGTGTCTCATTTACCCACATCTTAAGGCGCACTAGCGGTCCGCTAATCTATTGATGCAGGCTTTTAGAATTGTTGATAGGTCTTTTATATAGCTTGGGAAAGATTTAGAAGTAGTGTAATGTACTGCACTATAGGTTTGGTTCTGGGTTTATCCTTTAGCTACATACTATGAAGAACTAGAGTCAATCATATAAACATCATTAGACATCGGCTAAAGTAGTAACTTTCTATACAGTCACATGAAAGTGTTTGCTATTCACGCTACATGGCAGCTGATATAAGTAATTAGAAGCTTAGAAGTGGGTGTAAGTCATATAGCACAAAAGACTATCTTAAATTGCTCTACACGACGGCGCGAAACTCTCAGTATTATTGCAACGCTTCGTAGCTGAGCCGCATCGTTTGCTCCGGCCAGGCTCCCGCGCGACCACTGGAGCGTCCGATGAGCAATGACTGGAGGACGGCATGTTATTCAATGTGCTGTGCGACATCTCATTGGTGTAGGACGGGGTTGCCAAGTTGATTCAAGGGTGCACGGCATTCTGTCGCACGAAATCAAACCGAATCTACCCCAGGAATGATTGCTCCTAATGCATAGTCTTACCAATGCATCGTGCTTCCGGGGCATGTTGCCACGAGCTCATTCTACCTCCAATACATCTAACAAGCCGTGGCGCAATACTAAATGTCTCACTCCCAACCTCAAGAACTATCATTCGGGGAGCATAATGCATAGATTCAAAAAGACAGGGACTTTGACAAGTGGATCCATGATACTCGCGCTTGATCGAAACCAGGATCACACGGAGTAAGCCTGTCGAGGATCGTAAGAACATGTAAGTGAGGAGAACCTCTTCGTACCACAGTGTGTTTGTCGCGGTCTGGCAGCCAATAGCGTGACAGGAGGCGCCCTATCGCGATGGTAAGTAGAATGTCCGAGGGGACGGCAGAGCCGCCGCCTTTCGCCAGCGCCGTCTTTCAAAGTGTACGGAGCGCCGGCTTACAACCCATCAACGTTAACGCCATTGACGACGTCTCCACTCATCATGTTCCTCGCGTTGCCCTCTCGTCCAGCATTATCTCGGTCCTTTTTCCCGTCCTCGTCTGCACCCCGCTTCGACTCCCGCGCAAGGCGCTCGCTAAACCGGTCAGTGAATAGGTCGAAGTGCTGCTTCATAATGATGGTATATTTCACAAACTCCTCCATGCAGTCTACCAGTCTCTCACGGTTGCCAGACGGCATCAGTCGGCTGCCTCCCTCAGCTCCCACGTAACTATCGTCACTTGGGTCGGCGGCATCGGTGAATTGAGTGTATGCTTTAGGGAGAGAGGATTGATTGGGAATACACCACATTCTCATCCAACGGCCTAAGATCCTAAGAGAATTCACAGTATTAAAGGATTGGGAGCCGCCGGAGACCTGAGCAATTGCGAGCGTGCGTCCCTGTGTCGGTCGTACGGAGCCGGTGCTTAGTGGGATCCAGTCAATCTGGTTCTTGAATACGCTTGTCTTGTACCTGTGTCAAAATATGTGTCGGAACCTAGAAGGTGGGGAGTGGGATATACGCACCAGAGTGCCATGTTGTTCGGGCGATACCCAGATGTGACCATCACTCCACCTGCTTAGGTTACGCAGTTCTTGCACTTTAGCGTGGTCGTGCTGAATGTCGTCCTTGACGGGCAGGCCGGTAGGATCGAAGATTCGAACGTCGCAACCCAGGCGGAAGAGAATGCGCGCGCACTCAAATGCCAGCAGGCGTGAGTATGACCTACTGCGCAGGCTGCCGAACAGCACCATCACTTTCAGCCTGTCACCGCTCGCTTGCAACAGATCCGCCTCTGCCATCTTTAACGCGGTGCTGAGCTCCAGCTTGGCCACCCAATCGCTGGTTGCCACATCGTCGCAATGAAGGAATGGCCTGTACTTCGTGCGGGTGGCGTGGTCGTCTTCGTGCTCACGAATCGCGAGTGTGCGCAAAGCGTATGTGTGGTCCGGCGGAAACTCAACAGTTTTGCGAAGGACCTCTGTATTGTTCAAATCACCATTGATCCGCACGCCGGCCGCCATCGAGGCTGCTCGCGTGAAGTGTGCTGCGGTGTATATTCGCGTCTGAATGCACGTCCGGATGTTCATCACCACGACCACGGTCGACAGGAGCGTGCCAAACTGTCAGAAAGCAGATGTCGAGTAGCGGTCAGGGTAGAGAGATGCGGATCGATAGGCCGCTCATGCTGGTGACGCGCCATTCTTACGCCCACCTCTTTACAACATCTTTGATGCGCCGGCAAGTGCAGATGAGGTTCCGCGCTCTGTAGAATTGTTTCGGACTTGGCCGGATTGATACCGCCAGCGTCTGATTGGACGAGTCATTGGGCTTCAATCGAAACGGTGACATGCCAGGGCGACGTTCCATCGTGATGCGGAAGCTCGACAACACTGTATTTCCCGTTGACGATAAGCCCATGACATATCATACTTCCGTTGTCGTCAATCGCTGCAGCGCTGGTCGCGTGGCCGCAGCACAGGGTCGGTAGAAGTCATGAAGTTGCCATTGCACCGTTGCTTATCACAAATACCTTGGGGGATGGCGAAGCAGACATGGTAGGGCTGCGGGCATCAAGTACAACGCCGAAAATTCCGATGTGCGGTGCTGGTACAGTGGCCCTCGGAAGCAATCTGCACGAACGAGTTGGAGTGCGAGATTAATATATATTCCTCAAGCCGATCTGTACGCATCCGTACTACTCACAGCCCCGTTTACTGGCAAATCATCGTACAAAATATACTATGCCCAACGATAGCGACACTCCGGTTAGCGGGCCGATATAAGAGCCTAGTTATGATTAGGTCTGTAGGTCGCTATTACTACCTCAATTGCTAACTCAAAATTGTTTGATATATCTGTAAATGACTACGTCGCCGGGAGCTTATGCTCGAAGCCAAGCCCATCTATAACGAAGAAAAATAAAGCCGAAGATCATCACGAAGTTGACGGTGGGCGGCGCTACCACCCGTACAATGGAAATGAGCCGACGACTTCTGAGCTTTAGCCGGTAATGAGCACAAGAATCGTATGCAGGAACCTTATGAGGGACTGTAGCGCGGCCAGCTTCAGGAGGACATTATCGTACCATTCCGTGCCGGAGACTTTGCGAAGGGTAAGGTATGCCGAGATCGCGAGGAAGTCCATAGAGCAGCACGGTTAGAGCGGCCCGTACTACAGCCAAGAACGCTTTCACATCTCGGCCCAATACATCTTGAGTTGTGATATCCATGCTCTCCGGCAACAGGTCACCGCCACAACGTTGCCGGAGGGTCAGACAGGGAAAAGGGTGGCCAGTCACATGTGTGTCACCATGACATACGGCGTCTCCAAGTGCACCACCAGCCAAAGTTCGACGTAAGAGATCGGCATACGGCGGCACAGCGGTCGGCGGTGCGATGCCGGCAATACTGAAAGTACCGCCTCAGATTGCACGACAAGCCACGGAGACAGGTACAGAGCATTGTGCAAAGCGAGAGAATTAAGCCTCGTTACGGAGAAAGAGGCGACTGTCGCAGTGTTAACCTGGCATAGACCGTTTCGACTACGCTGAGCTAGACACATCCTCGTCTTGAACTCATTTCCAGCCGCGCTTGTTCGCAAACCATCGTGCAAGGTATACCAAAACCGAACAGCACAGGCAATTCGATTAGCGGCCCGACGGTTGCTGGAAGTGCCTAATCGCTGTTTGCACCGTAAGAAGCGACAGCAACGGTGATAGCCAGCTCGAAGTTGTTACTCGCCGCGGTGAAGCTCTGCATAGCAGAAAGCTTGTAACCGAAGCCTAGCTTGTGCGTAACGAGCAGCGTTAAGCCAAAGATGACGATAAAGTATACGATTAGCGGTGCTGCGACGCGCACAACCGAAACGATTTGGTGCACTACCTGGTGGCCATGGCTAGCGAACAGAACCATGATAGAGAACAGGAGGGCTATAAGCGACCAAGGTGCGATGTACTTGATGAACTTGTTGTCATACCAGCTCGGACTCGTCATCCAGCGAAGCGTGTACCGCGTGATGATCGCGGCACCGAGCGGGATGCCCAGAAACACTGCGTCGCCGGTCGCAACGGTCGAGTACGAGACCGAGATCGCCTGCTCGGAGCCGCTGATAATGTTGATGAAGAGGATCGCTAATGGCGCGTACAGCACCATCTGCAGGACCGAGTTGATAGCAACCAAGATAGCGCAGTATTGATTGTCACCGCCAGCGATACCAGTCCAGATGAGAACCATAGCAATGCAACGTGCGAGGCCAACAAGGATAAGTCCCTCACGGATCCCTTCTTCGTCGGGAAGAAATGCCCAAGATAGGGCGAGCTGGAGCATGTCACTACGAATAATCATTAACTGACGGTAGTTCGTTGATGACTTACCATAAGCAGGGGTGCGATGATCCAGTTGAGGAAAATGCTGAAGCCGACCTGAATCCACAGCTGCTGCTCGCGTAGCGCGAGATGCAACGTTTCATACTGGACTTTGCACAGGATCGGATACATCATGACCAGCAAGCCGATAGCTGTAAACCAAGTTGTTAGTACATTCCTCATTTTGAAGACACAGGCACGTCGTACGGAGTACTTGTCAATAGGAATTGGGACACCATTAAATTGCTCTTCTGAAGACTCTCTTCAGCGCCTGAGACGAAGTTCCCAATCAGGATGCCAACCATGATCGCGAGCAGGATCCAGACGGCTACGAAGCGGTCGAGCCATCCCAGAGCCTTGAATGCCGCTACATTCTCCGCCTTCGGTCCCAGCGCTTCTTGCATCTCGAGATCTTTGTTCCGTTTGCTTGCGACTTCGGCATCGGGTGGCCCGTTGACCGTGCTGGCGAAGTCTTGTTCGCCCTCTAATTGACGATCGGTGTTGTTCCGTGACATGCCGGGCGAATTTGCGGTACGATTCGGTGTTTGATGTAGATTTGTTAACAAGAAGACTGTGAACCTGGCAACTGAATGTATGTCTTCCAATGCGGCGTTATTCTTATGATGTTTCACGACGCGAAGCCACATCGTGCTCGTTGACCTATATATCAATCAGCGGCGCACACGCACACCACAAAGGCGCGTTGAAGGCCTACAGCCAATTTGTCATCACACGATGGTCATTGGTGGATGACCTTGTCACGGCCCTGCTCTGACTGGCAGGCGCGAGACAATCCGAACACATTCTTGCCTAGCACCTGCGACGCTGGTCATCTCTCGAAAGTGGAATTGGTTGGGACAATTCTATCTTGCTGGTGGCGGCAGGCTGTGAGGACGCTCGATCACAGGCATAGCCAGCAAACATGTGTCCCGGCTTCCTACACCTACCCATCGTAAAGGTCTTCTTCAAGTGCTAGTTTACACATCAGTGGCCGCACACACTTTCTCGTTCTACAAGTACTTTACCGTTTGTCCGCTTCTCTGACAAGGTATTGCAGCCTACCACACACGATTCAGTTTGGCAGCTCGGCAGGCTCAGCCCGATGTCACGGAAGCACCTCCTTCCATCAACACGAATGAGGTCACAGAGCAATCCTGGTATGCGGCGTATCCATGGACGAGGGCGGACCCAGCAACGATTTCTCGACATGAAGTGCTCCGACTGCTGAAGGCCGACACGGGACTGGGGCACAACTTCCTCCTTGTCCATTTGTGTCGCACTGACTTCGAGGTACAGTCTGCACAGCGTCGCGCAGCAGAGCGAGGAAGGGAAGTTGACCGTCTTCTCAACATGGCGGGACCATTGTCGGCTCCATTAACCTGCCTGCGCAAAGCCTCTTTCCGACAAACCCCTTCGCTTTACAGCCTCTTTGACGCTGCCGGCGTTGAGAAAATTATCTGGTACTGCGGTGGGTGATTGCGCTCTTTGTTATGCTTCTGCTCGTTTCGAGACGTTATTTAACGGCGGGATCAAGGCCCCTCTCGTGGCCGCGGTAATCGTGCGGCAGCATGGTTTGCCGACGACATAGACGAACAACACGATACCCGCATGAAGAGCTTGGTTCTAATTGGAGGTATCAAGGCCTCGGATAGTGAGGAAGGCGAATTTGTGAAGTATATGCAGGATCAGGATCAGTCGAAGTGAGACTAGCTGGTCTTCCGTCGGCTATGCTGCTTAGCAAAAGGTATTTCAACTCGGCACTAATTCAACAGGGGCAGCTTGGATAGCTAGCAATGCGGTACATGAACGACCGCACTAATGTGTTCCCAGTAGAGGTGCGCCTATCTTATTTGACGAGCAGGCTCCTGCGTAGTATTCAGTTCCGTCCCCAGTCCTTCCGTGTCTCGTCGCTCGCGTCGCTTCACACGTAGCATCTCCAGCATAATGCCACTGGCGGCGAGGTACGATAGTGCGACAAAGAGCTGCGGATATAGATAGCTGCGCTCGGAATTTGGCCGTCTGATCTTGAGCGCAATGACCTCGGAGACTGAAGTTCGTAAGCTACGTTCGGTCCCCGAGTCGGCGGAAAGCTTACAAGTAGTGGGGAGAATGATCGTCATCCAGGAGAGCGACAGTAGTGACTGTAAGTGCTTTAGGCCCGCGACTTCGACGCATAGAGGTCCAATGGTCTGCATTGACATGGTCAATGACCGTACGAGGTCGTGTTGCAATTATGCTCCAAGCTTACCATCCAAAACACACCGAGCACAGCGCCTGCGAGCAGTGCAAACACGACCAGCAATGCGAATGATAGCGCAGGGATCCAAAAAGCGAAGCAAAGTACCGAACAGGCCAATGTAAGAGCGCCTGCAACATCCAAACGACTGGACTTGTCGCTTAAGATGCCTATGAGCGGACGGCCAATTGCGGTGCCAATATTGAGTAAACCAATGACATCAGTCGCTCTCTGTGAAGATAGTCCGATGGCGAGGGCGAAGTCCGAGAGCGAGAAAAGGAGCGCAATATAGCCGAGCATGCTGACGAAGGACCACGCCAGTAGCAAGAGGACGTCATATCGCGCTAGCAGGGTGAGGTCCAGAGCGAGCTGTGGCGGCTTGATGTATCTGTTGCGATCGCGAACCATAGCCGTGGCGATGCTGGCAAGGGCGAAGGTCATAATGCCAGTGATGCATAGTGCCCAGCGCAAGCCCAATGCGTCAATGATCGCACTAGTAACCCAGGCGAAGAGCGCACCCCCAAATCCCGAACCGGAGCTGCTGATGCCGTTCGCTAGACTCCGGCGGGCATCAAACCACTGCGAAAGTATCGGCAGGCTGGGGATGTAGATAAACCCGATGCCTAGGCCAACGAGGATGCCTTGCGTCAGATAGAGGTGCCATATCCGTGTCGCAAAGCCGGCGGTAATGTAGCCAGTGGTTTGTAAGGCGATACCGATGGGCATGGTGACATACTTTCCAAGCCGCCGGGTGAGAACTGTGACGAGCGGCGCAGCGAGCATCGCGAACGCAAAGTTAAAGCCGCCAACGAACGCGAAATCCAAAGGCGAGGCGCCTTCGAAGCGGTTGGTAGTCAGATAGTAGGAGAGATACACGCCATACGACTACCACCATCGTTAGCGTTGCTTCATTGTACCCTCGATGGAGGTTGGACCCATACTGCCACGGCACCCCAGGTCGAGAAGTTGATCAAGAAGCACGCAGCGACGCAGATCCAGCCATACCCACTGTCTGGCGGACTTGCGTTGGGCTCTCCATGCTCCGGAGGTTCGGGCATGTTCTTGCTAGCTGTCCGCCGTAGGCTCAGTAGGTCCGTTCGGACATTCGACGTTGCGTGAGCGCTGGTCTGAGGTCGGGTGTTTGTGTTGAGCCATGATCACTCTGGCCTACGTTGGGCAGCCAGAGACATCGCAGACCCTCGATGTGCAAAGCGAATGCTCGTGTGTGGACACGTGCATGCTGGGGGCGACACGCCTGTGTTCGCTTGGTAGATGACCAATAGCCTGGCCCTAGTGTGTCGCGTAACAGGTTCATGGACTCGAGAAGTGCTCATGCGAATTAGGAAGCTGCAGTCCGCACAGGCCGTTACGTGGAACGAGCTGCATTGAGTGACATTGTGGGGTGCAGCAGTTCGCGGCGAGAGACATCATTCTCCCGTCTACGTCTTCTCTTGCTGTAGCGATAGTGGAGTGAGCAAAGCTAATGTGGGCTTGTTGGATTCTGAGCTGATTTTGTCCGTGGGATCGCAACGAGAAGCTCAAGTCACGATGTTGAGATCAAAACAACAAGCTTACAGCCAACAACACCCAAGCGGGCAATATACCCCTGCTCATACCGGATCAAGCGCTGGATTCGCTACAGGCTTCCTACTCGGCCAACTAACATTGGCATTGATCTTGTTCTTCTTCATCAAATTCTTCGTCTTCGGGGAGCCACCACCAGCTGACGAACGCGCTGCTAGTCGGGCGGCAGCACGTCGGCAACGTACTCTATCCCACACCCAGGCTCAAGCACGACAGCGTACCCTTTCCTCTGCGCTCAGGCCTCGACCTAGCAGTGCAGTACTAAAGCCACGGAGCGAAGGCGGACCGACTGTCCAGAAGCTACTTGAGAAGACGTACTATAACGTCCACGGCCATCAACCGGAGAGTCTTGACTGGTTCAATGTGTTAGTCGCGCAAACGATCGCTCAACTTCGGGCCGACGCGCAGGAAGATGAGGCGGTCTTGACTTCTCTTACCGCATTAATGAACGGATCAAACAAGCCAGACTTTCTGGACGAAATTAAAGTGACCGAAATCAACCTTGGCGAAGAGTTTCCGATCTTCAGTAACTGCCGGGTAATACCGGTTGACGAGCATGGCGTACCCATCAAGCAGCTGTCCGGGAACAAGGGCGAGAGGCTGCAAGCACGCATGGACGTTGATCTCGGCGATGTAATCACGCTGGGCATCGAGACGAAACTCGTGCTCAACTACCCCAAGCCTTTTGTAGCTGCACTACCTGTAGCACTGGCAGTGAGTGTAGTCCGCTTCTCAGGGACGTTGTCTGTCTCCTTCTCTCCATCTTCACAATCCGATCATTATCCGACAGCCGAAGGTAGTGCTGCAGCCACCGAGGCAAAGAATGAGGGTCACCCTCTGAATCCTACTGGCTCCTCACCAACCACCCTTACGTTCACGTTCCTAGATGACTATCGGCTGGACCTAAGCGTGCATTCCTTGATTGGCTCTCGCTCACGCCTGCAAGACGTCCCCAAAATCGCCCAGCTAGTGGAAGCTCGGATTCACCAATGGTTCGATGATCGCTGCGTAGAGCCACGCTTCCAACAGATTGTGCTACCATCCCTCTGGCCGCGCAAAAAGAACACCCGTGGCGGCTCGGCTGAAGACGAGGCTGCCATCGCGGATATGGAAGGTGGCGCAGACCGGGCCGACGAGCAAGCAGTTGTTGACATGCCATCGCCGCTACGGGAAGGCACACCGCGGTCGAAGAGGGAAGGCTCCGCTGCTGCTACTGGGGAGGAGACGACTGCGGAGCAACGGACTCGTGATTGGGCGGCAAGGCATGGCAAGCCCAGAAGCGAGATGAGTGAGCTGGAAATTGCGGGTGCGGAAATCCGGGAGGCGGAGGAGCGGGCTAGGAGGAAGGAGCAGCGTCCGCAGGCGGGCGGAGTGCGGTTGCGCGCGGGTGCGGGCAACAGCACGGAAAGTTAGAGGGGGGATGATCGTCCACGCAATTGGCCAGCCAGTGGAGCATGGCATTTTCTGGCATTTTTGGACTTTAGCGAGGCGTTGGCGGAAGAACAGCATGACATTAGCATGATGGCGAGACATCGGATCAGCGTTCGGAGTATCTTAGCTCTTTTCTAGTACACGCCCGGCTGCGCTGAGCAATATATGTGGCATGGCTTGCGATGCCCTTCATACGTACTATGCTCAACGTCCGGGTAAGCGCTCGCAATTTGCAATTCGCACAAGCCAGGGAAGAAAGTGCGAGGTCAGTCCACGCTGTCTGCCATAATCCTTCACGAAACGCCTTGCTGAACGCTGCTCGATCACATGCCAATAGCATCGCTGACAATCAACGACTTGACAATCACTGTTGCCAGCCGTCTACCGCTACCGGTCTATGTTGGTAGTCCGCTGGTGGACTGAGAACATGGTGCTGAGAATGTTGCTGTCTTGGTGGCAGAGCCTGTTGCTGACGAGTGTGCTCCCCAGTAGAAGCCGGTGCCGCAGAGGTAGTAGTCGGTCGTACATTTGTTGCCGAGAAGGAGGTAGAAGCCGGAGTAGGATACGCAGATGCTGCCGGGTTTGACGTGATGTACGGTGAGCGGCTGATCGTTGGCTGGGACAAGCCGTCTCCGTTGCCATTTGCGAAGATTGGTGGTTGCGGCTCGGCGTCATGTGCACGAGCTGACGCTTGCTCCATATCAGGCATGTGTTGATCCTCGGCATGACCGTTGGGCATGGCGGTCACAGGATGTCTTACTCCGTTGCGCTCTCCGCTAGACGCCCCATTGGTTTTCAGCAAGGCGTTAGGCGAGACCTTGAGCCGGACGACAAGACTTCTGGGCTGGTCGTCGTCTTCGTCACCTTCGCTCGGCTCGTCACCATCGCTTCCGGCATCGGGCATGTCTTCGTCCTCCGCTTCGTTCCGCTCGCTGTCCCAGTCGTTTCCGCTCTGGGCGGCATCGTCTTCGTCGCTCATGGCATCGATGTTGTTGTAGCCATCAATGTGATTCCTTGCACTAGCATCATCTGCGCCGTTGGCTTGTGCCGACCTTCCACCAAGTCGGGTTGCCCTGCCATGTGTAGTTGGCGGCTCACTGCCGTCATCCTCGTCATCACCGACAAGGCCGTTATGGTAACCCGAGCTTGGACCAAGCTCGTCTTCATCGAGAGCGAGATTGTTCTTCAGCAAACTCTCGCCGTACTCACCCTGCCTAGGCTGTCTGATCTGTCGGCCGGACGCAGTGTAGGTTGGGCCAGAATCTGCTAATGGCGTACCACGGGCACTTGGTCGGTTGGAGCGCCTGGTGGAGGTCGCATCGGAGTCGAAGGCTTGGTCTTCGTCATCGTACGTATAGCGCATCCGCTTGCCTCGAGTGCGGCCTTCATAGAGGGAAAAGCCGGGCTCGGGGCGCGTGAAAGCTGCGCGCCGAACCTGGCGGTATTCGCGACGAGTGCGTTTCTGAAGGTAGTCAGCATTACTCATCAAGGTACGGCGCCTGTATCGCAACCAATCTTACAATTTCGGATGCTTCGAAGTTAGGAATGGCGTTGGTCATCTTGATGGCTAGCCTCCGTGCAGCTTGCGTCCCATCGACTTCATCCAGCTTCTTCGCTAGGGCTCTGATCTCTTCAATGCTGCCCGCGACACTGTACCAGTGCGCGTTCTTCGTATACCGGCTGCCTTCACGGTAGACCCTGAATTGGGTATCCTCGAGGCCTTGCACAAGGAAGTACCGTCTCTTGTCCCCATCTTGACCCCACGGCTGCACCGACAGGGGCTGATTCTCATCATCATTGTGCCTTTGCTGCTTGTACTTGTCCTTGACAATGGTCTGTATGGCTTCCGAGGATGAGAGCGACCAGATCACAAGGGTATGGAGTAGGTCAAGCTGAGAACATGGTCAGCAGGTGCTCAAAAATACGGAGGCATTCCAGTGACATACGCGCTCAAGTGGCGACATCGTGTTGAAGTCTTTCGGACCGTGCAAAGGGTTCACGCTATTCCACTTGTGTGGCCATTGCGCCTTCTGGGACAGGACCGCTTCCTCAAGTGCTCGGCCATGATGACCCCGCCTACGTGAACGGTCTGTCAGCGCACCCTTCTTCTACTTCCCTTTGGCGCATCGCCAGCTCCGTCTATGACCCTCTCTTGTCTTTGTGACGTACTCGACAGGCTTCTTGCGATTCAGTACCAAACTCAACAGCGCGCATAGCAGACTCTGCACTTCCGCACTTGGAGGCTGATCTGTCACGCCTCGCTCGATGTCTTGCGGTCCGAAGTTAGGTAGTTTGCCAGGCATAACTTCATTGAAACGCGATCGAAACATAACCAGTACCTGGAGCCCATTGTCAGCATTCCGCTTTAAGGGCGCGCTATAAGCGCGTATTCTCGCGCGCTAAGCGATGCAGGACGTACAGCGATATCAGGATTATCTTCAAAGACATCATGGTGTGGCGGTGACGGTGGCCTCTTGGGTCGTGGCGGCGAGACGGCGGGCGGTGGGAACTTTAGTTTTGTTGCGCCTTTCGCCTTAAGGAAGACGGGTGCGAGCTTCTTTACTTCTTCCTCGGATGCAGAAGACAGCCCACTGCTGTCGCTGTCGTCCGCCATTGCGTGTGCGTTCACGTTGGGGCACGCTCCTGGAAAGTGTCGAAGCGCGGAGTTGGGAGGTTTAAGCGGAGAGTTTTGGAGGAACGTCACGGATTCAGGGTGGTGGAGGCAGTGTTATGTAAGCGCCGGTGAGCTGGCACCTGACCGGAGCTCTACGACTGCGTGGTCGCCATTTGCTAGCTATATATACATGTCCATTTACGCCTCTGCCTTGTGAACGCCATCCTGTACCGATTCGAGCGGTTTCCTGTGGTGATGCGCGTGTTTTGTAGGTCGCGTCGCAGTCCTGGTGCAACACCGCATCAGGCACGCTTTTCCTGCGCCACCAAGATGTGCAGTGACCGCAAAAACAGCGTTCCAAGGTCCAATATGTCCATGAGAAGCACTCACTGCGAAAACGCTGGCAAAGGGTGTTCGTGGCAGTCCTGTGGGAGCTTGAGAATTGTACGGAGCCCATCATGATAGGGGCAAGGATTCGAAGTCTTCAATGGGCTGCGACACGACGTTCTGGTGTCCTGTACGTCCACGACACGAACGGTCGCTGGCGCGGGCCATCGAGCGCTATCTGTTGTATGGGCACAGGGCCATAGGCGTTTAGTACTGCGCTCCGTGCCCAAAGAGTATCTAACGGCGCCCTTTGGATTTGGGAACAATCTCCAGATGGTGAACTGTGTTCGGAATGCCAGATGATGTCGTCCTTCCTAGTCGGAACGAGTCGATGGCGCATCAAAAAGCGTCCAGCGGTTCTCGACTCCCCGCTTGCAAAGAGGTATTATTAGAAGCTCCAGGGTATCATGCTTCGAGTCTACATGTCACCGCTAGGTTAATCGTCAAGAGTCGCCAGGTTACGCTGAAAAGCCTTAAGTTGCATGTTGTGGTGCCCCACACATACTGTGCATTGTGCATATCATGAATCTGCGCAAGTCATGTGCCCCCTTCGCGTACTTCAGGATGTGCACTCAACAATCACGAGTCTGTCGCACGCGCGTTCCAAGGTATGTATCGAGGAGGCATGAGAGAAGATACTTTTCCGCGACGCTGTCTTCCAAGCGCAGACTGACTTCATACATGCATTACCTGCGTGGAGCCATCGGTCAACGGGCGTCTTGTAATGTCAACCTTCAAAAATACACGTGGAATGATGGTGCTTCGCAGAAAAGTGCGGGAGAATGTGGCCTCGAAAGGAGGGAGAGTGATGAGAGTGAAGTTGCCCGCATATGCTGAGCTAGGCTTAGCTTTCCCGCGGCTTCCGCACAATCTTGGCACGCCCGCACTCCGAAAGCAAATCCAGTGACAGCGACCTCGTGAGCGAAGATAGCGACAACACCACATACGAGCCCATCAGCCGACAGCCAAGATGGTGAGCCACTCGATATGCTACAGCAAGCTATGGCGACAGCGTCACTAACACTCACAGGGTCGTGTTATTCGCAATCAGCGTAAAGGTCGTGGCAGCATCTTTACCGCACACACTCGCCTCAACAAGGCCCCGGCCAAGTTCAGGACACACGACTACGCAGAACGCCATGGCTACATCCGCGGCGTCGTCAAGGATATCGTTCACGATCCTGGCCGAGGCGCACCGCTCGCCAAGGTGGTCTTCCGTGACCCGTACCGGTTCAAGCTGCACACTGAGACCTTCATTGCCAATGAGGGCATGTACACTGGCCAGTTCATCTACGCTGGCAAGAACGCAAGCTTGACCATTGGTAACGTACTACCGCTTGGCAGCGTACCGGAAGGTACGGTTGTGAGCAATGTGGAGGAGAAGGTGGGGGATCGTGGTGCGCTGGGCAGGACCTCCGGCAACTACGTTACGGTCATTGGCCACAATCCGGACGAGGGCAAGACCAGAATCAAGCTGCCGAGTGGTGCAAAGAAGGTTGTGAAGAGCAGTGTGCGCGGCATGATCGGCATTGTCGCCGGTGGTGGCAGGACAGACAAGCCAATGCTTAAGGCGTCGAGAGCGAAGCATAAGTTCGCGGTCAAGAGGAATTCATGGCCGAAGACTCGTGGTGTTGCCATGAACCCAGTCGACCATGTAAGTAATCATCGGGATGTCACAATTGATGCATGTGCTAACTCATCCTAGCCTCACGGTGGTGGTAATCATCAGCATATCGGTAAGGCCTCGACCATCTCGCGGTACGCTGCCCAAGGTCAAAAGGCTGGTCTCATTGCTGCGCGGAGAACGGGTCTGCTGCGTGGTACCCAGAAGACGAAGGAGTAGGCGAGGCAATAGGGACGGTGACGGTAACGGTGTTTTTGGGGTGTACCTCGGCTGTAGTCGCACCCGCAGCGACTTTGTGCTCAGTAGCGTAGCCATTGTAGCTATGCATCAAAGTAAACTTCGCATCCCAGCCATCGCGGATGTCGGTTCAGGCAGTCAGTCTATCGAGCGCAGCGTTGACCTCATGTGGATTGTGACAATAGCTCTGGTTCAGTGAGACCGACATTGTCATCACTGCCGCAGGTCACTACGCTGACAGACGTTACGCGATGAATGACAACAGCATTCGTCGTCTACGATCCAGTAGGTTTCACGTCATGCTTGCCGTCCTTCATTGTGCTCGCCACCGATGCGTTTCCTTCAAGCCCAACCAATTGCTTTGGATTGCCCTGCAAATGCACTCTGCGGTCAGCCACTGAATCAAGAGAGAGGAACTCTCCGCTCACGTACCGGTATAACCATCTCGAACACCGACTCCGGTCTCACAACTGTATATTGATGATACCCACACCTCGCAATCGGCACCACCTTACCAATATCGATCATACCATTTGTTAACACCCGGTCGTCGATGTGTATAGCTATCACCCTACCGACGATCACGTCCACGGTCCCCATTGGTGGGTTGCCAGGCAAGCGTAACGTGGTATAGTACTTACACTCGAACTTGATTGGGCTGGCTTTCACCATCGCTACGTTGACGAGCTTGGCTTGTTCTTTCTCAAGGTTCGCTCGTTGAAACTCGTCGACGCCCCGGTCAAACCACTCGGCGGAGGCATTGACGGCTTCCCGAAGATCATAGGTGGCGACGTCTGGGGTTGGTGGGTAAGATGGTCAGAAACGATTCAAACGAGCATTCTACTCATTATTATGCTTACTCCAGCAAAACTCGCCCGCCGACTCTGCGTTCACGGTCGTGTCCTTACGGTTCTCATTTAGGTCGACATTGGCTGCTATCATGACATACGGTGGGTCGAAGGTTAGGTTGTTGAATTGAGAGTATGGCGCGAGGTTGTCAACGCCATCTTTGTTTCGTGTTGAGATCCATCCAATCGGGCGCGGGACGACGCAAGCCTACATCGGTCACGCTAAGCAACGGCAAGTTATGGTGTTGTTGGACGATATATCGGACCTTGTATGGATCCCGAGGTAGGCCATGAGACGTCTTTCCAGGTCTATACGAGAAGTCAGTGACCAACGCTCTCTGATCATCGAGCGCAACCTACTCGTAGAAGACCATTTCGCAAGCAGTTCGTGTCGTTCTTAGGTATATGGACAGTAGCGAGGCAGAAAGTAAGTCTCGTTCGCGGTCATTTGCTGCCTGGACACGGAACACTACGCATATATACACGAGACCAGACGTGGAGTTTGATGGTTCCGCTCCAGCTGGTGAAGCATTAGCCGAGCACCCGGCATCAACCACCGGCTTCAAACTTGACACCCGCCCTCCCCTCCTTCTAGAGTAGTAGAGAACTCAATGCTGTAGCGTGCCATAATTCACAAGCGTGGATAGCTCTACTAAAGCAGTATCTCTGGCAACGTTGTGCGCGGAAATCTCGGAAACTGATCGGGAACTGATCGGGAACTCATAGCGCTCGGTCGTGCCACCGTCACAAAGTTCCAGCACAATGGGTGAACCTCACGTGCGAGAGGAAAATGTGTCGTTCGAAACGGTCTGCCGGTTTCGCTTGATGATCTGGAACAAAGCACAAACCAAAGGCCTTCCTGATCGAGTCCTCCTTCGATGTTGAGGAACAGCACGCTCGTTAACCTATCAGCAGCGTTATCCAACGCAATGCACTCCAGACGCCTTCGCTTCCCCAGTCGTACATCATCCAGACAAGCATGACACATGATCTCCAAAACATACCGAAGACTCATCCACCTCCACCCCAGGCGCCGCGTATCCGCCGCGCTAACTGGATGTCCTTCTGCATGATTGTTACCCGCTTGGCATGGATGGCGCATAGGTTGGTGTCTTCGAACAGGTGGACCAGAAAAGCTTCGGCAGCCTCTTGTAACGCTTGGATGGCTTGCGATTGCCATCGCGTGACATCCGAGCTAACAGGTGCCATGTTCATGGAGATCTCGCGGACCTAGACCGCACGTCATCAGTCAAATGCGTAGCTCGCGAAAGAGACACGCCCAACTTACCAGTCTCGAGAATGGCAACTTCGCCATTAATAGGTCCGTACTTCGCTGGTACTTGCGTATCTCTCTCAATGCCACCGTCCCCGGCTTATACCGAGGTTTCCTCCTTGCCGGCGGACTCTGTGCGCCCCGACTCCCGTAGCTTCGTCGTGGTGCTTTGGCTCCAATACTACTTTTGCCGCCTGCCCTGCCGGTACTGCCTGGCGTACTCTTACCACCCAGGCTCGGCCGGCCCCTTGGTGCGGTCATGCTGTTGTGTGTGCGCGCCATTACGCGGCTGCCAACAGCTGCCTTGCTCGCCTTAGTCTCGCCTTGATCGCCAACGAGACTGATGTTGCCGTTGATCTCGCCTAGCGAAGGGCGCGAGTGGTAGGACAGTTTGCTCATCGAGAGACGCGTCGCAGGACGCGCTTTGTCGCCAGTAAGGCCGTGTTTCGCGGACCGCGCAATCCAAGCAGCATGTAACCGCTGTGGGAGGCGCCAAGTTTATGTGTCTCGTCGGTCAGGGTTGTTACTCCGGTACATATACAGCGGCGTGTCGAGCTCTTCGATTGGTGCGCATTGTTGATCCCAGGGACCCTTTATGTTTTGGTCGCGGAGAGTGCCAAGCTTTCGAATGTGCCTTCCCCGACTCGGAGATAAGCGCTTACGGGCCGTGACAAGCCGAGGGCCAGCCCTACGCGGTGTTGCTTGACGATCAAAGACGACATGGACACCTTGCACCTTATTACATCCTACGGAGATACTCGACGATCATTAAAGGGCGCGACTCATACAGCCTGGAAAGGCCACATCTGGATCCCCCTCGCTTCATCACCTCGTCATTTGAGTAAAGCGCCACGTAAACAGACGTGGGACAATGGCCGCCATGTTGGGCGCCGGCGAGGGTTTCCCACTCGAGCAGTGGTTCTTTGAGATGCCGCTGGTGACAAGATGGTGGACCACAGCAACAGTCGTTACGGGGGTGCTAGTGCAGTGCCAGGTCCTCACGCCCTTTCAGCTATTCTACAGCTTCCGAGCGGTTTTCCACAAACAGCAGGTATGGCAAGGGTAGATCATGTCGGTTCTACGACAAGGGTGCGGGAAAGACTAACAGAGCTCTGCAGTACTGGCGACTGGTAACAACCTTCATCTACTTCGGCCCGCTATCTCTCAACCTTCTCTTCCACATCTTCTTCATCCAGCGGTATGCACGCATGCTTGAGGAGTCTGCGGCGTCGGTGGCCCACTTCTCCTGGTTGATGGCATATGCTTCATCGACCCTCCTCGCTATTGCACCGCTCTTCAACCAGGCATTCTTGGGGACGACACTGAGTAGCACGTTGGTCTATATCTGGAGTCGGCGGAATCCGGACACGCGGCTCAGCTTCCTCGGAGTGTTGACCTTCAAGGCGCCGTGGCTGCCGTGGGTGTTGATCGCTTTCAACGTAGTACTTCACGGACATTGGCCGAAGGACGAGCTATGCGGCATTTTGGTTGGACACGGTGAGTGTGCGGTTGGAGAGTCGGAGGCCCTTCTATCGCTGATTGCCCAACAGTGTGGTACTTTTTCAATGATATCTACCCATCCACTCATGGCGGACGCAGACCGTTCGAGCCGCCACAATGGTGGATACGACTCTTCGAGCGAGGGGCATTGGGCGCGCATGCGCAGGGAACGGACATACACGCGGCAGCGCTCAACAGAGAAGTCGCTGCGCCTGCAGTGGCGGACGTCAGATAGCTGGGTAGAGTCTCCAATCTCTATCGCTTGTTGCATATTACAATCTCACATATACGCTTTCGATTTCCACATGCATCGCTTAGCGCACCTACGCAGTATCGAGGCTGACGCAACAATCACTTACGATACTCTCACAGCAAATGAAGACCGACCTACAACAGGATTGTATAACGTTCAACCACACGAGAGCAGTGGTGACAGCCCGACAGTTATCTCTTGCGCTGGCGAAGATACGGGGAGTAGAGGAACTTTCTGGGCGTCAACTGCGAGCAGGTGCTGGAATCACTGCAAAACCTGTCAGTATTCAGGTGTTACTGGGCCGGCGCTGGCGGCATGGACCTGGAATGCCCTTCAAACGCCTCGTATAGGCACCTTGCTCCCTTTAGAAGGCCGGGCAATGCTTGGCGGTGATGGGTAAGCGGTGAAAATGCAACGGTCGAGTAACAGCGTCGAATGATTCTGTTACCAACGAAGAAACGACGGATAGTTTGAGACGGCTGTATGCATGCAGAAAATGCGTGTTTGGAGCTCGTTGCGGCGGCAAGGAAAACCACATTCTCGGCTATTGCTTCGCGTGCGCTTCCCTGAAGACTTGCACCAGCGTGCCAGCTTCTTGGTCGTCTCGCAATCGTTGCGATAAGAAGCCCTTCAGATCAGTCCAGAACTCCTCACTTGCCAGAATCTGATGGGCAGTGTTTGCCTGCGCTTCCGGCTTAGCCTCCGCCTCGGCCTGAGCCTTTTCGCTTGAAGGTGCAGGCGTCTTCTCATCCACGTCCATCTTGTCAACAGCGGGCGGTTCGGCGGTGGAAGGAGCTACAGGCTCGCTCTTCTCAACTGCTGGCGTCGTCGCCGCGGTTGGGGTTGCGGCGCCGGCACCCATGATCATCACGCTCAGCTCCACTGTTTCGCCAGCCACACCAAGTTCCTGCAGAGTCTTCAGATCCGCGGCGGGCTTCTTGTTGAGCAGGAGCTTGATCTTGTCCTGCGGTTGACTGCTCTGCTGCGCATATTGAGTCTTAATGTCGTGGATTGTGCTCTGTAGGGTCAGATCGGCTAGCGTAACAGTCTCACCGCCGCGCATAGGTTTCAGCGTCGCCGTCACGGTCTTCTGCTTCGCCTCTTGCGTCGCAGCTGGTACAGTCTTGCGTGGGAACGGATGGGTTGGACGCGGGAGGGTGTACTGGCGAAGGTGAGCATTACGATATCAATGCGCAATCTTGATGTTCGACATACCGGCGACTGCGCAGGATACTTCCTCGGATCGCTGACATGATCGGCGGGTAGTTTGATAGGCTTCTTGTCGAGGGTTGCCAGGAACGATTTGGCAAAAGTGACTTCGGACATTGTGGCTATTTGGAAGCCGGCGTACAGCGAATCGCCTTCGGTGAAATACGCCAGTTTGGTGTGGCGAGAAGGCTAGTTAGTATGAGCAATTGCACACGGCTTGGCAAGTTACTGTGCGCGAGTTCGTTGTGTTCGAAGAAGAATACGTCGTCCATACAATTCGAACCTCACTGGAAATGAAAGCGGAAGCAGAGAGCTTGGGCCAACAGAGTGACGCAGTATTTGCGGGGCGGAAGCTGCCGAAGAGCATCGAAGTGAATATGAGTTTCCCAAGCTTTTGGGATGTTTGCGCCTACTATTGTATATACTGCTTTTTCTTCCCAGCAACGACATGCGCATGGGTCGGTGTTCAGGATGAGCAGCAGGGCAAGCTGATGGTAGCGGGGTCACAACTTGCTCAATAACCAGTCATGTCAACCCTTTACAACCTCGAACCACAACCGACGGCCAAGGTCATACTCAAGACGACATCTGGCGACATCCTCCTCGAACTATTCGCCAAGCAGACACCCTTAGCAAGCCGGAACTTCCTTCAACACTGCCTCGATGGCTACTATGACAACACCATCTTCCACCGCTTGGTGCCGGGGTTCATCATCCAAGGCGGGGATCCCACTGGAACAGGCTCGGGCGGGATCTCCGCGCTCAACGATGGCGCAGGCTTCGGAGATGAGTTCCACAGCAGACTCAAGTTCAACCGGAGAGGATTGTTGGGTATGGCGAAAGATGTAGGTGGTGCTGGAGGTGGTAGCGATGCCTACGGTAGCCAGTTCTTCTTGACTTTGGACAAGACGCCGGAGTTGCAGGGTGTATGTACGATGTTTGGGCGCGTGGAAGGCGAGACGATTTTCAACTTGGTCAAGATGGCGGTTTCGGAGCTGGTGGAAGGCTCTGAGCGGCCTTTGTACCCGACCAAGGTCACTGGTACGGAAGTTCTGATTAACCCATTCCAAGACATGGTTGCAAGAGTAAAGCAGGCGCCGAGGGTCAGGGAGGAAGCGGCCGGCGGAAAGGTGGAAGGCAAGAAGAGGAAGAAGCCGGTAGGGAAGAATGTGTTGAGCTTCGGCGGACAGGAAGGTGAGGATGGATTGGAGGCTCCGGTCGTGAAGCGAGTCAAGGCGAACCCGAAGATGGTGTCGGTCGGACAGGAAACGCCAGAGAAGATGAACAATACCAAGCTTCCTGCCGCGCCCGATCGCGAAAGTAACCAGCGAAGACGGGATGAAGAGGTACCATTCATGCCGGGGGTAGACGAAGAGGCCCAGGCGAAAGCGTCATCGAGGAAGGCACCACCGGAGCGTCTCATGGACGATGACGATGAGGATGAGAATGAGGATGTCGAAGAGCAGCCCAACACCAAAACGCTCGATCGGACCAACGCAGAAATAGCAGCTTTGAAGGTAAGCATGAAGCGCACAGTCAACGCCGCACCGAAGGAGAAAGAGCGACCGAAGAACGCGTTCGAAGCGATGATACCGTCCACGAGCACGCGTGGGCGCAAACGTGGCAAGCTGGCAGACGAGAAGGGTGCAATAGATCTGTTCAAAGCGTTCAAGCAGCGCCTTGAAGAACTCCCTCCGGATGAGGCCACATCAAAAGCCACAAACGGCACGCACGGTTCAGCGAGAGAGGGGACAGCAACGAATGGCCACTCGGCTGCACCAACCACCACCACGGAATCTATGGACGAGGAAGCAGAGTTGTGCGATCTGCACTTCATCGCCAACTGTCAGTCTTGCAAGTCGTGGGAGACGGAGAAGCCGGATGGTGAAGCGGAGGAGGATGGAGATGACGACCCTGGTTGGATGAGCCATGCCCTGTCCTTCGCCAAGGACACGTTAGGTAAGGACCTGGAATGGAAGAGGAAGATGGAGGAGATCGAGGTCATTGACCCGCTCGAGCGTGCGAGAGGCTTCAAGGAGGAGAGGTGGAAGGGCAAGCAGGCGGTTGATGGTGATGGTGACAGGCCTAGGAAGAAGCAGTAACCATACTGTCTCCGCTTTATTGAGACTTTTCGGCTGCGCCAGATATCCTCGCTCTTGTACAAGGCGTTATCGTTCAATGCTGCAATTGGTTGTCAGTGTTCCATTCGCCGCTCATCAAGGTTGTTGGTCGCGACGTACATCCACATCCTCCCAAGCCCGCCCATGCACCTTCTCCAGTTCTTCCATGGTCATGACCTTGCCTGTAGTGACTGTGCAAAGACTAGTCAGCGCACTGACCTCTCACAAACGAACTTCTCACCAGCGAAAGGGGTTTTTGCTACTCACAATACCCAGCATGTATCTTCGCATCAATCTCCACCCTCGAATCCTCCGGGATGAGCTCCTCAGGAATCGGCACACGCTCCAAGATAGGAATGCCCTGCTCAACGATAGCATCGTGCTTCATATCACTCATACTCAACATTCGGTCGACCTTCTGAATCCCTAGCCAGTGCAGAATATCCGGCATCAAAGCTTGAAACCGCATATCCTTCACGCCCGCAATATTCTCCGTCCGCTTGAAGTACTCACTCGCCTTATCCGACCCACGCTTGCGGGCGTTGTAGACAAGATACTTGGTCACCTCACCTAGCGCGCGACCTTCTTTGCGGAAGTAGATGACTACGCCTGATCCACCGGCTTGCGCGCATTTGACCGCTTCTTCGATGCCGAAGATAAGGTAGGGACGACAGGTGCAGATGTCCGAGCCGAAGACGTCGGAGCCGTTGCATTCGTCGTGGACACGTAGAGCGAGCTTGACGTTAGGATCGGACATCTTGGCCGGGTCGCCGAAGCAGTAGACTGTAAGGCCACCGATGGGTGGGAGGAAGACCTTGATATCATTGCGCGTGATGAGTTCGGGGTATGAGCCGCCGGTATGTTCGAACAGTGAGCGTCGTAAGGTCCCTTCGTCGATGCCGAAGCGAGCTGCCACACCGGGGAGGTACCAGACAGGTTCAACGGCAAACTTGGTTACATTCAGCTCGCCTGTTGCGTTGAGGCAGATCTTGCCATCGGGTACCAGTCGGCCTTGGCGGACACTGTCTTCCAATTCGGGAATCTTCATGTGAGCGCGGGTCACGGCGATAGTGGGTCTGATTTCGACACCTTCGTTGTCTATAATGTCTTTGTACAGCCAAGGGGCGAGGTGACCGAGAGGATCCATGGCGACGATCTTCTTGGGGTCGGACCAGGATGGAAAGGGTCCGATGGTGACGGCGGGCTCGGTGTTGGTGAAGTCGGGCTTATGATCGGTGTTGATCTGCTGGGAGGCGACGGCTAAGGCGTAGTAGATGCTGTAGCTGCCGCCGTGAGCGCCGACAGCGTTCCTTCGACGGATCGTACTGGAACTGCGGGAGACCACGACTGGACCACGTTTGCGGAGATCTGCGCTCCCCCAATCAAGAGGCACGGGATCAACGCCAGCTTGCCCCGGATGGGTGGTGAGGATGATCTTGGACGTGGCTATACTCGTCCGTCGAGCCGGGGGCGATGCGGAAGTTGCATGGCGAGCGTCAGGATTCGTGCCGTAACCATCTATCGAACTCTCCCGTAGCCGTGGCGGTATCCTGGGACTGCCCGGCATTGCAGAGATCCTTGGGCTTGGAAGCATGACATCGTGGGCGATGCCGTCCTGCGACTGCCTGACGCCGGCCAGTACATTGACGCGGCCATTGATGGCTTCCACGGTGGATGCAAGTTGCACTTGGTCTTGCTTGAGTGATCGCACAGACTGCAAGATCTCTTGTAGCAGGCTCGCCGTGTCCGGATGGTCACCGTTGGTTTGAGGCATGTTGCCTCTCTTTTGATTACTTACCGATGAGGAGCCTATAAAGGTTAGCCAGCCATTGATCCCAGCATCTACCGCTTAGAGAATTTGCTCGCAAACATTGATCGGTTTGATGTTGTTGATGAAGCCTCACCAAAGATCGACAGGCACTCGTACTGAACCAAATGAACGAGTGTCTCATCAACAACCATTGTTGAATGCCTTTGGACGCCCCACCATTACCCATGTGCCCCTCGCCCTATCAGCGGCCGAGCGCACGTGTTGACTGCGTTGCCCCAGATCGCCCAGTAGCGCAGCCACAAGAGCTTGAATTACTACAGGTGCGGCTGCGCCGCCGACGCTTTCCCTCACTTCCATCTGCAGCTACTCGACCTTGACTTTGCGACCCGCGGTCCTTAGACTTCTGACCATCGCAACAGATAACAATAACCACAACCACAACCACATCAGCATGGTGTGTCCTGGCATCTGAGTGATAGACTTGAGCTCCTGTACTAACACAGCTTCAGGGTAAACGCAAGAAGAGCTCGCGCAAGCCAACAGGTCCGAAGAAGGTATGAAGGGATATCTGCCGCAGCGAGTGGGCGCAGACTGACAGATAACAGCGCGAACCGCTGGCCACCAGCTTCAAGTGTGTCTTCTGTAGCAATGAGACATCCGTGACTGTAGCCATCGACAAGAAGACACACATCGGCACGCTCAACTGCCGCGCATGCGGCCAGAATTACCAGTCCGTTAGCGACATGAAGGGTATCTCCACGCCATTCCCACCGAACATCAGAATGTTACTCACGAGATGTCAGCACTCATGGCACCAGTAGACGTCTACTACGAATGGATCGACGCCTGCGAGGAAGTCGCCAAGGACACAGCCGCCGCCGACAACCCTGCCATGCCGCCATCATCAATGCCGCGTGCGCAGCGCGCAGCAGGTGTCAGGAACGGTGCCGCGCCCGGCGAGAAGATGACCGAAGAAGATGCGCGGTTCATCGACGATACCGACGATGTGGACGCTGAGGCAGAATATGCTGATGATTGAGCGCAACACTCAGGAAGTCCGGTTCATCACCGTTGAAGACCAGCATGCACAGCACTAGTCACGAGTATGACCTTACTCGCGACATACATTCTTGGAGCACCGAGCGCATTCTGAGTATCATGCTGGAAGCCGCCCTCGAGGAGGAGGTAGAAATAGCCAGAGAACAGGGCTTCAAGAGGGTGCAGGACCTGCGCCAAAACCTTCGATACATGCGAGGGCAGATCGAGCGAGAGGCTTTACGTGGTGCCCAGAAAGGTTTGCGTCGGATCAGACGAGGTCTGAGACACACTCAAGGCTTGGAGTAGGAAGTGAGTGGGTGGTGGCAGTATTGCTTACGGAGGAAAGCTCGAAAGGAGAAGCCATCATCGGCGTAGCATTTTTGGTACTCTCATACGATAAACAGTCTGACGTCTTTCTAACAATCTCCTCTCTCTAGATCTTGAAGTCCAGCACGAACGGCAGCCTTGTGGTGGCAGTGATTGTCAAGACCACGCCAAGCCGAACAGCATGTGACCGGTGGTAAGCTGGTGCCCAATTCGTCTTTGACTTCACACGTTGTCATCAATACCCCCTCCGCGGGCAATGATGTTTCCTCTTCAGTAATACGATCGCTTCACTGGCAGCGATGTTTCTTCGTCCCCGCGCACAGCGGGTTCGTGCTCTATTTATATTGCTGCCTTCGCTCTCTCCTTCCTCCGGACGTAGCTGTAGCCATCCATCGCCACCACGGCACCTTGAGCAAGCGCAAGCGTTTCGGGATTCTTGACATACCAACCGTGATCTGCTCCAGCCCTAAGGACCCACCGCCATCATAGCACCTCGAGCAGCCGCAAGTGCTCGGGGGAATCCAGCATCCCAGTTTCATACTCCTTCGGCCACAATCACCCATCGCGACCACAGCACCTCTAGCAAGCGCAAACATCTTAGGATACCTGCCCTGCCCGCCTTCGCCATGTCTTCTCACGGAATGAATGTTCCCCAGTTCTATCCAACCCGCGCCCACTGGTCCGTCACGAACACCTTGGGCCGCGACACCGCCTTCCGGAACATGGACCGCCTTGCCGAGCTGGAAGAGGAAGGTAAGCGATGCGTGTGATCGATCCCCAACGCGAGTGTCGGAGCCGTAGCTAATGCTCCCACCCATGGCATGCACAGGTCTTTGTGAGCTGTCGGAGGCGCAACGCGCCGAAAGGCTCTACCGCGTGGCCAAGAAGGATGGCTGGACGATGTATTTGTGCTGGATCTGGCATCAACCGGAGGTGGGCCATTCCCCAAGCGATGGTAGAGGGCATAGCTGACTCCTTCTACCCTTGGGTATTTTAGGACATTGCTCTGGAATGGGATCGTGCGGATGTGATGCCTGTCAAGGTAAGCAGCGCTGGCGATGTTGCCTGATCCCCTTCGCGGCTGTCTTGACACGGCTGACCCTCCTACCCATGACATCAGGACTCAGACGACCGTCAAGCCGCGAACGCGGAAGCGAGTGAGGCGTGGACCGAAGGCCGCATGAACGCGACGTTCGGGATGTGGGATTGGAAGAAGGGCGTGCGTGGTGCGGAAGAGAAGAAGAGGAACGGTGTGGCGGACGATGTGTACGTGGGGCCGAGGAACGAGAGAGATGCGTGCTGTGAGGAGCAGATGTGTGAGCGGAAGGGGAGCTCTTGGCGGAAGAGGAGTGGTGGGAGTGGTGGGAGCGGTGGAGAGGGCAGGCGCAGGAGGCCGAGTTTGTTCGCGTGGCTGTGGTCGTTATTCGCGGAACGCTTTCGGAGGAAGAACAGGGCGGCGACGAGCGAGGATGTTCAGATGCGGGAACCCTGCATGTCGGGGGCACTGTAGAGCGGTCGCTCTGTGATTGGCTTCCCGTCCGTTGAAAGTAACGGCGAGTCCTTGTTCGAAGATGATAGCTAATCACTAGAATGTAATCAGTGCCGCCGACAACGCCATGCTCGTCAAACAATCCCAATCCCCTCCATTAATTGCATTGGTGTATATCAAGCTCGTAAGATGCGGCGTCCTAGAACCTCGGCCGTCCACTCGTCTCTTTGATCGTATCATCGCGGTGTCAGGATCGTCGTTGTTTCTCTGTTCGTAATCCCTTGGCCGGAGACTCGGACGTGCCCTGCCTTGAGCTCTTCCAGCGTGGCGCTATGCGGCGCAGGCTGGGAGCGAAAATGCTGCATCGGGGTGTGCCGCCCCATTTGCGCCTGGCCGAACGACCAGCTTCCGTACGTTATTAGCAATGTTGATCTCGGTCGTCTATGCCAGCGCTTGGTTCGTGTGTGCTGCTCAACGCCGGTCTACCGGCGACCTACTCATTCGGGAGCTGTGCTTCGGCGTTACAGAAAGGCATTCCTCGCACTCCGTAACGACCACGCACTGCGAGCTCCTCACATCATCGTGCACTTCGAATTACCATCCTTGGACTGTCCAGCCTCTTGGCCCTTCTCAATCTCCGCGATCATGCCCTCGAACGCTTTCGACACATTCTCATTATACCGCGCGCTTGCTTCCACGAAGCCACAGCCCAGCTCCTCCGCAAGCTTCTTGCCGTCAGCGGTCGAGACCTGCCGTTGCTCCGGCCGCAGATCGGACTTGTTAGCGACGAGCATGATCGGAACGGTGTCTGCGCCCTACGCAAACAACGTGTCAGCAGCTCCGCCCTCTCCTCCTTAACGGGAGTTCATGCATACGAGGTGATTCAAAATCTTATCTCGAATGATCCGGCACATCTCAAAGCTCTGCTTGCTCGCCACGCTGTAGACAATCATATACCCGTGTATACCGATAAAGTGCTTGTTGTTGAGGATGGTGTACTCGTCCTGCCCCGCGGTATCGATGATCTCGACCGCAAAGTCCTGGGTGCGGTAGCGGATCACCTTGCTGAAGGTGTTCTCAATGGTGGGGTAGTAGGAGTCGACGAAGTGACCGTCGACGTACTGAACTGTTAGTGAGGACTTGCCTGCGCGTGAGGCTGTAAGCATGCTTGCGAAACGAGGGCCTGTCGCAAGGTAGTGGAATGCCTACCGACTGAACGACTGCCTACGATGGCCATCTTGCGCTGTTTCTGCTGCGGCGCCATGGCGACTGACTTCGATCTCGAGTCTTTGATGGTATATTGCGGCATGCGCGCAAGTGAGTGACGGCGCAGCTCTGGAGGGTGTGGAATGCGCGAGCTCGACCGCCTGTGCAGCCTGGCAGAGATGAGTGGTTGGTCCTGCTCTATTCCCTTCCCGCTCACTGCCCTTTCGGTCCAAGATCTACCTCTTTGTACAACGGTCGGCTCGGCTCCGCGAGACACTTGATGCTGCTGCTGCTGCTGCTGCTGCCGTCGTCAACCGCTCGCGATACCAACGGCTACGTATCGACCAGAGCTACTAAACGAGAGACACCAAGGGAAACACAGAATGAATCAACTACTTCACCTGTAGTCAGCACTTAACACTTTTCCCGTTCCAAGGGACGGTCAAGCGGGAAATCTTCGCTTGGGTTTGGAGCTTGCAGGAGGAAGCTCTGGGCGGGCGAGCTGTGCAAGGGTCATGATTCGTGCGAGCGGAGCGCGCGATGACTACGAGAAACTCTATAGGGCATGCGCTAGAGCTGTGAGAGATCCATTTGGCAGTCTGGGAGCATGGCGGTGGCACCGGTGGTAGGGTTGACATGTGACAGGTAGTAGGTACTTTCGCAGCTACAGCAGCTATCTGCCACACAGTAAAGCTGGATGTCATGCATCGTTCCATTCCGCATCGCCAGATCTGAGCCATAAGGCAAAGGTTTGGCGATGTCCTGTCTATAACAGCTGATCGTTGTTCGGTGGAGCCGGATTGTGGAGCAACATCATCTCTCCCTTAGTCGAGATCCATATCGTCCGTCTCCTCCACCTCGCCACACTCTCCGGCCCACGGCGCCGCGCCAGCATCGACACACGTCACGTACGACAGGGCAGTTTTTGCCTCATACTGCAACTTCGACGCCAACAGCGGCGCCACTATTGCCTTTGCCTTGTCCTTGAGAACCTTCAGGTTGGCCCGTATCGTGTCCGCCTCGGCCTTGAAGCCGTTTTGCTTGCACTTAGAGATGAGCTCTTCGACTGGAAGATAGGCGTCGCCGCCTTCGCCGATAAGGTGGTAAAGGCCCGCAGTCGTCAAACACATAGCCGGAGAGCCGTCGAGAGAAACATTGTGCTCGCAGAAGAGAGTGTCTCGGACCGTGGCGAGATCAGCACCATTCTCAATAGCTCGCAGGGCATCAATATGCTCCGCTATCCAGTCGCGCCAAAGATTGACAACGTTGTAGATGTCGGTCTTGTAGAATGGACTGACCATCTGCTCACGCAGTGGCTGCTTGTTGTCAGATTGCTTGCCTTTTCCAGAGTGTGCCGACACTTTTATGGTCGTAAGTAGAAGCTGCTGGTCCACCTCGTAGCGATGGTACCGAAGATCACGACTCATCATCGCAATCTGGTCAACGATGGAGGCCGCCACTCCGTCCAGCTCCACGCTCGGGTACTGTCCGACCAGGTGCACGAAGGCTTCCTTGTAAACTAGTTCGCTCTCGAGCTTAACCGCAAGCACTAGCCACCGTTTCGGTTGCACAGCGATGGCGCCGAACAGAGTCCGTTGAGTCATCCAGTCGTTGGTCAGCAGCTTGAATGCAGACGCCGCGGCAAGCATCACACCGTAATGCTCCGCTACGGCAACAACCCGCTCAATGCGAGCCAATGCAATCTTGGCATCTGACGGTAAACCGCATGAGCGAGCGCTGATGTCCGGCATCAATCGAACGATGCGCAGGAAGCTGTCGTAAGCCTTGACCCAGTCGCTGTGTTTCACGGTGTCGGCCTCGCTGCAGACGGGTCGGGGCCGAACATCTTCACCGTCCTCGACCTTGATCATCAAGTCTTTGTTGTCGGGGAAGAGTGTAGGTAGGTGTTCTGGCGGTGCGCTCGGTGCTAGCGTATCTAAGGCTTTCGGAACGAGCACAGGCATTGACCGATCTTTGCTCTTCTCCAGTACAACAAGGAAATGCACACCGTCGATCGCCTCGCCCGTCTTGCTGGTTGGTCGACCACGGAGATACTCAGCCAGAGCAGGGACTTGCAGAAGAAGCGATTTTGTGCTAAGTCGTACAGTCTTGGCCAAATCTTTGGTGTCGAAGACCACGAGAAGATCGCCCTTGCTGGTCTGTTTCGCCACTGCTAATGCCTTCTCTAGCAATGTCGGTCCTTTGGGTCCGTCTTCGAGGTTGTGCGACGGTTCGGCCAATGTGATGTTTGCTGGTGCCCTCTCTACCATCTCTCGTTGCTTGAACTCTTCTAGCTTTTTCTCCAAGATCACGCGGGGGTCAGACGGATCAGACCGAGGTTGCTCGAGGTTGAGCGGACTGTCCGCACGTTCCAGTTGCGGTGAGTTGTCCCGGCTGTCTGCGCTCCCGTTTACTCCGTCCTCATTTGTCTGGTGCCCACCTTGGCGCTCCATGCCTGTCTCTGCGACACCGTCCGCCACCTCGCTCTCGCAATGCATAGTGTTTGAGTCCGTTGAGAGACTGCTACCTCCGTCGGACGCAGCGATGCCGGTCACGGAAGATTGGAATGGTATGGCAGACCAAGGAAGGTCCGCAACTGCTTCCAGAGGCGTATTGACCTCTTCGAACTCGGTGAGCTCTGAGAAAGCCGGACTAGCTGACTCTTGCGCCATTGGCCGCAGCTGACGCGGATCTTGTCTCACAGATGGCTGCGTTGACGTTGTGTCAGCCAATGTCGCCCACGGAAGGCAGAAGTCAAGCTTTGAACGGGTCCAGGTACTGAAGCTTGGATGTCCCAACGTCAAATAAGGAGCTCCATTGTCGTCAGCCACAACGAAGCGAAGACGGCGACAGTTATACGCCACCTTCTTACAATTAGTAAGTGAAGGTCCGCCGTCGTCAGTTATTGTTGCCGAGATCGCAGAGAGATGATTTACTGCTTGGTGGTGCAAGTGTAGAGAATCTCTACTCAAAACCTTAAGAGATGTCAGTTTTGGTTCACTGCACACGCAAAACGTTACAAGACTCGCTCACCTGATCTCATAGCTTCCAGCTCTCGTCATATACCGCACCCACTTCACACTACTGTAATTATTCTTCTCAAACACCTTCAAATAGCGCACCAACAGGCCACTGCTAGTGAACATCAACAGGCTGAATTGCATGCTCAACGGCGGCCTAGACCAAGTTCTCTGATTCGTCATGGCGCTCAACTCCGCCTCTGCACTCAGCACAAACTCCGACTGTCCAGTGAAGCGTGCAATCTTCCAGATAATGGCGTTCTCGCTCGGCTCGTACTTGGCTTTCCCTTGCGATGTCCGGTGCGTGGTATTGGCCGTGTTGAGCGGTGTCGGTATCTTGACCACGACGTTCGTGGCGAACAGCTTGCTACCGTAGTTCGCACGGATGGCGATGCTGTACTCAACCTTGCCCTTGCCGACCTCATTGACAATGCACTGGACTTTGAACGGCAAGTTGACGTTCTCCGTGGCGCGGTAGGTCATGAGCTGGAAGCTGCCATCGGGCGGGATGAAGGAGATTGTGCGGTCGTTGCTGAAGGATGACAGCTTGACGCATTGGTGTAGCGAGACGTCTTCGAGCGTGACGGAGCCGGCGGCGGCTTTGCTGGCTTTGTTGCCACCCAGATTGCCGATCGCACCGCCGAGACTGACGTCTGCGCCGTTCTCGCCCAATGTGAGACGGTCGTTGAGGCCGAACTTGCATTCTGGTGTGCCGGAAAGGTAGGCTCGCATTTCGATCGCGCCGTTGACGTCCGCACGGAGTACAGTTCCCGAAGCGGAGACGAGAAGATTGACGTCCTCGATCACGTCCACAAACGCCTCGTTCTTGCGATATTTGATGTTGTCCCTGCGCCAGCTTAGCGCACCCGTAGCTTGCATCGTGATCTTGCTGCTGTCCTCCATTGCTCGTTCGCTTCTGACGCCTTCAGTGGTGATATACATCTTCAACGTCTCCGTCTCGGTGTTCTGCGGGTACCCAAAGTCCAGGATCTCGTCGAGCAGCTCGTACACCATGACGAAGTTGCTCTTCACGGCTTCCTCATCGAAGCGGCCAAAGTAGCTCTTTCCCAGGCTAACGAGCTTGTACAAGAATTCGAAGACGAGAGCACTGTTGACGTTGCCTTTTGACACGCCAACAACGTAGATGTTGTCATTGCGGATGTGGCTGAACGTTGTACTACCGAGCGTGAGGATGGGCGATCGAATCTGGGCGTTGGAGATGACTTGGATGCGGAAGACGTCGGCGAGTCGAGGTCGCATGTCCTGACGGAAGGCTCGCATGATGAGCAGTTCGCCCTATAGCGGCTTCGTTAGCGATCAATTGCGCGGCGCATGCGTTCGCTGGTATATGCCTTCTGATTGAACAGCACTATCTCGCAAGGTTAGCGGACATGTCGGTCTGTGTATTGTTATAGTAATCCGGTACATACAGATACCCGACAGCATCTTGTTGTTTCGCGTCCGGAGACGACTTGATACGCGGAGAAGTGCTCCTCTGCTATAGTCTCTTAGTCAATTGTTGTCGAGTTCATCGTGGAGTGCGGTTCATGCCTTCGAGCCTGGAGCCAATCAGAGACCGTCGTAGGGAGCGCAATCCCAAGTAACCGGCAGACAGATAGAAGATGGACAACAGTAAGCCGGCTAGATTAGATGCCAGGCATGCCACATAACCTGAAGGCGATACCACATGGCTTGTGGATCTGGGCTCTCACCACCACACATATCGCATCTGGAGCAAGCCATTACAGCAGCATGACCTGGACTGTCTGACTTTGTCATGGATCGATCGAACTCGCCTTGACCCATCAAGACTGATCGTCATCAAGGGCGATGATGAAGGTCTCTAATGTTTCTCGAACTTCTGAGAGCCTAACCTTGATACGTAACATACTCCTAAACCATGGCGCATATCCAACTGCGGGACTAGGGACTTTGTACCGTAGGAGTTTGTGCCGTAACGGCAACGGACGTCTTGCCTTCGTAAACAATCCTCCAAAGCTAAATTGCTTCTCAACCCATGCCTCAACGCCACGACAGGCCACCCGCCACTCCCTCCACCCCCTCGCCGAAAGCAGTCCCTCCCGCGCCTGGGTCTCAGCCCGCGAAGACGACCTCTTCACCAAAGCCACCGAAATCGCCAAAGAAGTCGCCCACGGCAACTCCCACACCGTCCACGGCATCCTCATCCTCCACCGACAAGCCGGCCCGCTGGAGCCACAAACAATCGACAAAACCCGCCTCGTCTCAGACTTCGGCCTGCAACGCCGCGACCTCCGCAAAATCGACAGCACCTCCGACGACTTACCAGACATGTTCGTGCGCCACTGCGCCATCGTCGCGAACCTCTCCGCCGTCCGCGCCATAATCCAAGCCGACCGCGTCCTCCTCCTTGTCGACAACACCTCTTGGCATGCCGGCTCGGCGAAAAGCCAATACCTCCTCCGCCTCGCCACCCAACTCCAAACGGCGCAAAGCATCGACAAATCCTCCCCACCCGTCCCCTACGAGCTCTTCGCCCTCGAAGCCATCCTGCACAAAGTCCTCGCCCAATTCGAAGCAGAAGTGCAACTGCAACGGGCCGCCGTCGACGAAGTCCTGCACACCGTGCAAGAAACCTCGAAAGCTCAGATCGAATCCTTCGATTTCCGCAGTTTTGCCGCCAAATCGCAGGAGCTGGCCGAGCTGTCCCAACGGGCAAGACTGACGGCTGACGCGATCAAGGAGGTGTTGGATCACGATGAGGATCTCGCTGCCATGTACCTGACCGACGCCAAAGCCGGGCGGCCTCACGAGGTGCAGGATCATGAGAGTGTGGAGTTGTTGTTGGAGAGTTACTTCCAGCTTTTCGACGATGTCGTCCAACGGACCGCAAGACTGGCGTACGTGGTTTCCAACAACGAGGCGACGGCGAAATCGTTGCTGGATGTCCGCAGGAATCAGATCATGTTGCTGGATATTCGCATCAATCTGGCCATGCTTGCTCTGGCCGCCGCTACGCTGGGTGCAGGGTTGTACGGCATGAACTTGCAGAATGGGTTGGAGGAGTGGGATTGGGGCTTCCCCGTCATCACGTCCTTTTGCGTGGGGTCTTCGGTGCTGATTTATGCGGTGGGGAGAAGGCGGATACAGAAGCTGAATCTGCTGCGGATGCGTATGCGCACCTAAATGAGGGAATGCGCGGCATGGCTTTGTTGGTTGTCCTTTTGTCGAGTTCGAACCTTTGCGGTGGTCGAGCTTGCATTTACGTGAGAGATTATCCTCGAGAATGATACCCTTTTTAGCGATAGACATTGAACGGTGTTGCTACCTTCTCCCGTCAATGTCACTGAGCTTGTCACACACGTGGAATGCCCGTCAGATCTGCCGCGGACTGCTCGAAGGACTTGATTTCTGTCTCAAAGCGACTACCAGCGACGGATTTCCTTGCGCAGACTGCTGGGCGCAGTGATTGCAACGATGTAGCACTCAAGCTACCTACGCAAAATGAAGCTCACGCGTCTTCGTCCTCGCTGTCGCTCCCATACCCCACCAGCGGCCCAGCAGGCTTGTCAGGCGCTTTCGCCTCCGCACTCGGCGCCGCTCGAAACCCTTGCAACGCCGCGAGAGTAGAAGCGCCCAACAAACCACCACCTTGCGCGGGCTCCGCCTCCGGCTGCTCCAAAACCGCTCCACCCTCATCCTCCGCCTGGTGCTGGACCTCCCCATCCCCGTCCGGCGCCCCCAACATCTTCTGTTCCTCACCCCGCTCAATCCTCGCCTTCTCCCGCGCATACCAAACCTCATCCGGCGCCTCATACCCCTCCAACCCAAACCCGCCCTCAACCCTCCGCCTCTTCCTCTCCACCTCCGGCTCGGCACCCTCATACCTCCTCCCCTCCAACTCGGCCACATAACTAGCCGGCAGCGCCCTTCGAATCGCCTCCGCAGCCTGCTCCTCCACTTTCCTCGCCTCCCGTTTCTGCGCAACCGGATTCGGATCGACCGTCGCCCAGCGCACATTCAACGTCTCGTTGTGGTCGAGGCTTTGATGCGCCATGGCTTCCTTCGCGAACTCGGCGTTGGCGAGGTGGGTGTAGGTCACGAACGCCACGCCGCGGGAGGGTAGGACGCGGATTCGTTCGACTTGTCCCCATTCCTGAAAATGCCGCGCGACGATTTCTTCGATATCGTCCGTGACGTGTATGCGACCGACGTAGAGCGTGCGATTGACGCGCATAAAGCTTCCCACTCCACCCATATCATCGCGATAATCACTAAACTTGTCCCGTCCAAAACAATCCACATTACTCGGATATATATCCCCCAACCCGCCTTCCCCCTCCTTGCCTATCCGACTATTCGGCAGTCGGTGCAGGTACTCGCAATCCTGCCCCCTCGGACACAGACCCCTCGCGAAGAAGAGACAGAAGTACGACCCCGTGACGCGATCGGCGCGGGTGTAGCCGCTGTCGAGGGCGACGTTGCAGCGGCCTTTGGCTTGGTGTTTGCTGAGGAGGCTGTCTTCGCGGTCGCCGCCGGACCATTTGTTGTACCAGATGTTGAAGATGGTTCCTGTTTGGGGCGGGGGTTCGGATTTGAAGGTTGAGGGGTCCTGTTGGGGCCGGGCGGGGCGGCGTTTGCGTTTGATGATTTTGGTCTTTTTGACTCTCTGAAGTGTGCCATCGGTGGTGGTGGTGGCCGGGTCGGTGTTGGTGGTCACGAGGGCGGAGTCTGTGTTGGCGGGTTGGGTGAGGTCTTCGAAGATCGCGGCTGGCGCCGTTGGTACAGACGCTGTCTCTACTTCCGCCATATTGAGTTACGGTGGAAGGGGGGGCGGGAGATGGGTTAGTACGACGATGGTGGAAGGAATTGTTGGTTGATGGAACTCATATGCACACAAAAGTTGGCATGACTAAGCGCGAGTTCTCCGATGTAATGCCGAAGGAAGCGTGGCACGGGGCGCTAGCGGGTGGGCTAGAGTGGTGAGTGTGGGGAAGAGGGAAGACCCCCGCCAGCCACGATGAGGCATTGGCGTGTCTGGATCCCCATCTGAAACCTTTGTCTCAGCATAACTTTCTATCTCAAACACTCCCCTTCAACTCATGCTGAATTGCTGGAGAGTATATAATACTGCACGCTGTCCACCCAGCAAGAAGCAACACCATCCACCAGCTGCGTACAAAGCAGAGTTGCTACATCACAGCGCACCGTTGAGGCAGGAATAACCCACATCGAGCACTTACACATCGAGCACTTACACGTCGAGCACTTATACATCCGCGCATCCAAGCGATCGAATAGCGCGCGCTGTAGTGTGCCACGATGATCGTCAACAAGAAGCTGGACCGCCTGAAGCAATGGGGCCGCGAGCGGATGGGCGGCGAAGTCAGGACCGACACCAACGATGAGTTCAAGGCGCTGGAGCAGGAGATGTCGCTGCGGCAGGAGGGTATGTTCGCATGTCCATTGCCACGCTACATTAGCGGTACTAATGGATGTTCTCAGGCATGGAACGTCTCGACCGCTCCGCCAAGTCATACGTCAAGTCCATCTCGCGCCGTGACGCAGGCGAAGAGAAGGAGAAGCAGCTACCCATTGGCTACTTCGGTACCGCCATGCTCTCCCACGCCGAAGACTTCGAGCCGGACTCCGAATTCGGCCAATGCTTATCCGCTCTCGGCCGCGCCAACGAGCGCATCTCCCGCATGCAGGAGACCTACTCCGCCAACGCCACCAGCAGCTGGTTGGAAAGTATTGAGCGTAGTCTCGTGCAGATGAAGGAGTATCAGGCCGCGCGGAAGAAGCTGGAGAGTAGACGCCTCGCTTACGACACTGCCAGCGCGAAGATGCAGAAGAGCAAGAAGGAGGATTTCCGCATGGAGGAGGAGTTGCGCAGTCAGAAAGCCAAGTATGAGGAGAGCAGCGAGGATGTCTTTCGCCGCATGCTTGACATCAAGGAGGCAGAAGTCGACAGTGTCGGCGACCTGACTGCCTTTGTTGAAGCGGAGCTGACGTACTACGACCGCTGCCGAGAAGTGCTGCTACAAGTGAAGAGGGACTGGCCAGCGTGCGTGTCCCTCGCCCCATACTCTGAACCTTACATTAACATCTTCTGTTAGACAATCAGCCGTCTCCCGCACCGAAACCGCCAGCCCCGTCAACGGCATCCCCCGCCGCAACACCAACACCCGCTCCCGCGCGAGCTCACTAAGCCAACGCTTCGCCGGCATCGCCGAACACGACGACGACGATGGACCCCTCGAACCCCCTCCCAGCCGCGCAGCCATCTCCTCCCGCCTCCCCTCCGGCCAAAACTCCCCGCGCCGTGAACTCCCCGGCTTCGACTTCTCCAGCTCCACTCGTCCCACAATCGGCAGCCGTAGCGCGAGTACCTCCACTTTCGAAGGCCCCACCACCCGAGACCGTGATCGCGAACGCCCGGACTCACCAGCGGGTGGGATGTCGGGGATGCCGCGTCTCTCCCGCGTACCCACGGATTCCTCCTCCATCCTCAGCGCGAGGGACAGATTGCGTAGACGCGACAGCCAGGTCAGCGCAACCGGAGGCGGAGGTGCAGACGTTTTCGGCGATGAAGCAAGTGACCAGCAGTACCAAGACGACCCACGAGCGCAGTACGAGCACAGTCGTGCGACCAGCTGGTCGACGGCGAGTAATGGTGGTGCTGGAGGGCAGAAGATGCCGCCCCCTCCGCCTCCGAGTCGGGCGAAGAAGCCGCCGCCGCCGCCGCCGTTGAAGAGGAGTGCTTTGAGTACTAGTGAGGTGCCGCAGTATTGAGTGCGGTTGATATTGGGTTCTTGGGTATACCCCCTTTGATGACGATTGGATTAGGTAGTTGACAGTGAGGTAGTGCGTGAAAGCTGTGGATCCCCCTTGCATTCAGACGTCGTGACGAGACCTACCAAGTGACTTAGCAGCCTGTGAGCTTGCAGCAGCACTGGGATGTATGGAGCACCTGCAAAGCCATGATTACCTTCAACGACATCGCCTCACGGCAACAACGTCGCTCTGATCTGCCCTTCCCACTCCATGGTCCACCAACTCTGTACACCTCGAACCACACTCATCTCTTCACGCAGCACGATGACCGCTCGGCCACACAAAAGCAGGCAGATTACATCGGTACATCACACGTAGCCTTTGAGGGGAGTGCTTGTACCTCTCGTCAGACTGACTGCAAGCAGACAAAAGGAACACCAACATGTAAGCTCCATGGTGCACGGACACTTTGGCCACATCTTCCTCCTTTCCATGCCCTTCGAGACGACTATCCGCACCTCTACCTCGCCCAGCGCCACGCCCTGCAACGCCTCCACACCCACAGAAAAACCCTTCACGCGTCTGCCGGCTTTCGGTATCGTAAGCGGGCGGCAAGACTCGACGGCGTCACTACAAGGGGAGATATCGCCGAGATGCGCTAGTGCCTCAACATGGCATTGGCGCCATCGTACGACTACATGGCCTTTCTCGGCGGCTGACGGCCGTGCTGTGCTACTAAGACCGATCAAAGCAATGCTAAGCCGACGTAGAGTGCCCTTCACCTTCGGCACCTCCCGCCATACATGGTAAGCATCTCGGCAACCATCCAAGTATGGCTGGCAGAGACCTACGATGTGAACCGTGTCCCCCCCGCCACCATGCAGCGATGACGACCCTTTTCGGCCGTCACGGCAGCGGGTTGACGCTGCTGTCGATCGGAGATCTTGGGCAGTATTTTAATGGTGCCGCAGGAAGGTTTTCGGTGTGCACTGCTTTTTGACGTTCCCGCAGCGCTGCCATACGAATGTGTGGACGTTGTCTAGCTTTCATAGCAGCAGCTTGTAGCCTAGGGCAGCGGGATACCATCACCATCGTATCGTGGTTGCCGCCGTCTTGGGCGGATCGAGATGTCATGGTCACGTGCGCATCCAGTATGAGTAGAGGCGGCGACGCAGGGATCTCAGGATGGTGCAACGACGGCGAGATGTTGTTTGATAGTGACGGTATGATGGTGAGGTTGTATGATGGAAAATACTATCAGTTACCAATCTCTGCACTACATACAGACCGCTTGATGCTGCAACAGACTTCACAATGAACCAACGCAGCGAATTTGGGTATGTCTGTATAAACTCACCAGCGACTTCGCAGAGCAATTACATCCCGCAAACACTGCTCAACGTCTTCGCCCAGCTGTCTCATCCGGCGGCAAACACTCTTTAACCAAGCGGGATCACATTGTTGCCCATCGCTTTTCCGCACAGGTGGTGCCAAACAGGCAGAACAAAGCCCGGCAGCCTCATGAAAGCCATGATTTTGTGGTGGAGTTCGGCAACCGTGTCGTAGTTCTCAGCGTTCAACACCAGCTCTCGTTTGGCTCTCCAGTATTCAGCCAGCATGGCAAAGTGGTCCCACGGGCTTCGGCTAGAGATGCCAACGCCTGAGCAGCCGGTGATGATGTCGACGTTGTGTGGAGACGACATGGAGAGTGAGGACGGCGGACCGAGCGTCGCACTCAGCCTGTCCGCGTGACAGCAGTGTGGGAAGAAGATGAAGTCGGCAGACGGGTAGTGGACAGTCGTGTAGACGAGCTCCGTCAGAGAGAAGAAGTGACCCCCGCCTGTACTGGAACTAGGGGAACAGAAGTCTCAAGTCAGTTATCAAGCGCAGATGGAGAGGGAGGGACATGTATCTGTCTGTACCTTGCCGCGATGAAACTATCCTGCTGAAGGTTAAGTCCACCGTGGCCGGCGTAGAAGCACAGGATCAGCTTCTTCCGCTCGAGCTCTCTGGCGAGAAATTCCGCCGTGGTCTCCCTCTTGACTTTAGCCGTCGCCTTCAGCCATTCTTCGAAGCTTTCCAATGGACCCATTATGGGTTCATTGTAGTTGTGGCACCCGAAGTCCGACAATTCGCGATCGGGAAAGTGCAAGCGGACGGCATCACCGGCAACGCATCTGCTCTTCTTCAACTCTTCCAGTACCAGCTGAATGCCGTGGCTGAGGATGGGCTCGTCCCAGGAGACGCCGTAGACGTAGATGCCGCCGGGGTAGGGATTCTGCTGGCCGGAGCTCAGCCTTAACGGGAAGTCCATAGATGATACTAGAGATGACTGCAGACGACAGAGGAACTTGTGCTGCCGCAGCAGGAGGTGAGGACACGAATGGAGTGTTTACAACATGCAAAACAAGATTTTCTCTACCTTGTGGCGCGCATTGAGCGTGTGAAGCTCGCGAAAGCCGCTCGGCCTTGGCGCTCTTTGGCCGGTGAAGCCATTTCCTTCAACTGCTGCGCAAAACCCATACATATGCGGTATCATCCAATCCTGAACTGGAGATTGCTCTGAAGATTGGTAGCATGCTCCAGAAATCAAACACGGGAAGGTACGAGAGCTGGGGGAAAGGATAGGAAAACTGTGGGCAAATCGATCTGACCATTATCGAAATTGGGTCAGCTTTCATTGTTGCCTATCACCTGATTGAGGACTTACACAGGTCAAACAAAAAGGAGTAGGGCCCTGGTAATGCTAGGGGCTTTTGGATGTGCATACTCTGTGAAAGATGTTAGCCAAGTCTGTTCTGAAGTGTGCCCAACTACAGCAAGTCTCCTCTGCAGCGACGCCCTTGCTGTGGTTGGGTGACAGCTCCAAACGCAGCGTGAATATATTCTTCTGGACACTGTGCCGGTATTCAACCGGACTTGGGAACAGAACGCGCTCACGCTTCTTTAGCAGCACAGCACCGGAAACATCACAACCACTGCATTACTTTCCGTGAAGGTAGCCTCAACAGCTCGTAGTCCGTTGGAAGACACCGTCGCCAAACAATGTCAGCAGCAGAAATGCTGTTGTTGGTATTTTGCGCCAGGTGGTTAGTACGCTTTGCATTGCATTGCCATCCTGCGCAACGTGCAAAGCAAAAGAATGGCTTGTCTACCTCTGCTTCACGTAGTTATGGCTGAGCCTGATGCTGTGATAAAATGGCAAAACCTGACCACCCAACCTCTGGCGTAGAGTGGAGGGGCTTCAGGAGGTCACAACAGCTTTCGCATGTTCACCTATCCGATTCGATTCGACCGAAGACTAGTGCCTACACAGTTAATTAGCGTAGAACATCACTTGATTAGGGGGGAAGCAGCAGCAGCAGGCAGGAGGCAGGCAGGCAGAGGCAGGCAGAGGCAGGCAGGCAAAGGCAGGCAGCGGTTCGTTCGTTCGGTCGGTCGGTCGGTTGGCGGATTTTCGGTACCTAATCTACAGCATATGTTAGCGAACGAGAATCCGCCTTGCTTTCTCTAATATATACCCTATATTGTTCCCCGACGATCCCCCGAGTCAGCGAGGTCTCCTGTGCCGGTCCATGTGGTCACGCTCCACAAACATGTCATGCAAACAACCTTGCATTCCGGTGAGCAAGCTTCTGTGTAGATGAGAGTGTTCTGTCGTTGTTTGACACCGTAACCGTCTTGCGTAGATCGTGTTCGCTTCGTATGGCTAAATCCCTGGATTGTTTGGGCGTTTGAGCATACAGCTTCGCATGCACATTGCGGAAACCACCGCCCGGCGACACCATCATGGCGACACCATCACGGCGACACCATCACGGGCACAATTACGAGTAGCAAACAGCAGCCTCACCACGCGTAGTCACTGCAGGAGTGGCAACCAACAGCATTGTAGCAAACATGCCATTGTACGAACTGGTATCGAACGTTTTCGGCGCATTTGCGCGTGGATGGGGCAGAGTGTTGCAACTCACGGCGACGCTCACCATCGCCTTGCTGCTCGGAGTGTTGCTGCTCTTGATTAGCATCTTGAGCAGCCCTGAAGCTGCGAGGATGAGGCGCACTCAGCACCAAAGACAACCGCATTTGTAGCCTGGGCAGCGGAGACGACGGCGGCGACGATGACAAGAGCGAGACATCGCCGCACGCCACCACAGACAACAGCGCATACGATGGCTGCGACGACGAGGCGACAGCAAGCTCTAGCAGTGAGAATGGCAGACGCCAATGGCTCGCCAGGAAGGAGGCATAAGCGCACCCTCTGCGCCAATATCCGGCCATCTCTCGCGACCGATGGCGCCACGACATCCGCACGAGCTGATATCACCGAAGCAGCGAAGTGGAAATAGAGCGCGCTCAGCGACATCAGCAATCTGGTGGACGAACAGCTCAAATGCACCAAGACCAGCAAAATCGGCGTGGTTTTGCCAGAGGCACGGTCATGTATCCGACGGCGCCAATGATATCATCATCTACCGCGGTAGCGACGAACAAGCGAGAGTAAAGCACAGGGCGGGAATGCGCAGGTCGAACAGAGTGGGACAAGCATGAGACATGATCGCGCATCGTTCGCGATCTGCCATCCTCCAGTGCGCGCGCGACCATCCCACTGCGTCGGCCGGGCCATCATCCGCTGTAACCACGAAGGGCGAACAAAGAGCAGAGCTTAGGAGGAATGAGGTAAGTTGGCCGCAGTAACATCGGGGCCAAGCCATGATGGCACTTCGTCTGCGGCAAGAAGTCTCCGACGGTAAGCGCAGTGGACCCGTGGCCACGGCCCAGCCATGACATGTTAGATAGCCGCTGCGCTATCGTGGGACTGCCATGATGAAGAGGTACGTGAGCAAGCCGCCTGCGACATCGATAGCACATCATCCGCATTGGCGGCAGCGGAACTCCAATGGCAAGCTCATAGCGTCCATCAGACTGTAGCCGACTGTGGCAGCACTATGCCATAAAGCAGCCGCCAGAAGGAGGAGTGCAGGAGAAACACTTCGTGGCTGCAATTGGTGTGATCGGTGGCGACCGATCACCAATAGCATTGTGAAGCATTATATCACAGCGCCTGTCAAGTCCGCAGCTGCTGCTAGTGTCATTTGCCGAGCTTCCATAAGGAACAGCCTGGGTGACTCGAAACCAGTGCACGCCAAGACGACAATTTGCCCGCGAAAGGGCGCTCCTTGGCCACCGGCAGGACATTGCAGTTCGCCGTTGGTACCGATTCAGATGCACTCCGACGCGAGGCTCTCGTGCTGCAAATGGGGTGTCCTGAACGCCAGATATTTGAGTTGTCACCATGATTGAGAGCCTTCGATTAGCCGCCAGTCGCCAACAGCAAGTCCACCGCCTCCAGAGCTTAGTCTAGCATGGACCGTAGCCGGCGGTGACGACGTCTAGGAAGCATGATGGCACGAAAATGCGTCGAAATGCACCGTGGACGTGCTCCGCAGGTGGCCCGGCAGGCTCCCAGATGAAGTTAGACGAGTATAGTATGTAGTCCATACCAGATGAGGACTGCGGCAGTGTTGTAGTCCCACCCTCGATTACAGAGGCGTGGGACAGGCAGTACTACTTCCTCAGAACCGTCTCGTTCACGGACTCGCCAGAGCAACTCTGATTCGTTGCGCCGATGGCATGATCGAGTGACGCTGGGCGGACGAACGACAACGTCACTGCGCAGAGTGGTCTATGTCTTCGTATGGCCTCGAGGTTCCGTCATAGGACAGCTGCAAGCCAGGTCGAGCAGTTCGTGGCAGCTATGGCGTCTGTCTGCTATTCGGCCGCTCATGACTTGCCATGCACTGCCGAAAGCAGCATGGCGTGTGACCAACAACATCTTCAAGCTTCGCTTGATGGCATGCGTCTCTCTTGCTGGCAGAAGATGACGTTCCAGGCGTTTGCACGCAACCCGTGTCGGCAACGTACTGTTGCCTTCCCTGCTCGAGACTCATGGCAATACTCCTCGATCGCGTTCAGCTCTCATCTTGCATTGCAGCACGTCTGCATCGCCATAGCCATAAATGCTGCGCTGGTGCTGTTTTGCTCCAGTTTGTCCGGCGAAGTTGCACTGAGCGCGGCTGAGCGGGCTTCGGGCGGGGATGCCGAATGAAGGGCGCGTATGCGTTGTGCTGCAGCGGCAGCGACGGCTTCATTCGGCGTCGCTCTAACGACTCTGAATCGATGCCTGCGTGTTGGTCGTGTCGAGGATGTGGTCGGCTACTGGTGCCGTGTTGCAGCGCGTAGTCATCGATGGCAGGCGCCTTCGCGGGTAGCTTCTCTGTTTGCATTGGATGGATCGGCTACACGTCCTTCGCAACCACATCACGGAAGAGAGGGTGCGAAGTGCGCCGATGTGCCCCAATCAATATTGGTGGTTGGTTGGTGGTGTTGTTGCAACGACTCAGACCAAGAAGCCGGCGAAGTCGGCTTAATTCTCTTTGGGCACTGGCCCGGAAAGACTTTGACGATGTCAAGAACACTATGCAACGTGTAAACAACGTCCTCAACAGTGCTGCCTGCCATCAGGACGCTGTAGTGTCTCATGAGGAAGCAGCCAGGGTAGATTGGTAGGCTTCTGCGCTACGCCCAAAAAGCACGGAGGAACATTACACCCCTGTGGTGGTATTAAGCTCTATAATAAGGCCTTCCGCTAGTGCAAGCTTCCGTGCTCCTGGATGCTGCTTACCATTGATATGGGGCAGGCTTCCGCCAACTGTGTCTAGGCACGCCCGAGTCTTGAAACAGCATGGTCACGAGCAGCGAGCATCGCTGGCCAGGCTCTTAGGCGTTGCTCTTCACTCTCTACATGATCGTCCACGACCTGGAGAGTTGTCCACAATCTACTCTCTGATTTCGAGCGCCTGTCAAGTGCCTTTCCAGGCGATGACGGCCATCGCCGAGAGACCTCTTACTCTTCAGCAGGTCATCATCGCGCAAAGCGAGATCCCGAATGTCCGAACAGGCACAGCACACTCGAGCATTGCTCCGTACTATCTAATTCCATCCTCCACATTATTGGGTCTGCTTCTCAGCAGTCTGCGTCCGCCGTAGCTGTCTCGCTTTCTTCTGTAACGGAAGGGGACATCTCAAGCTACCTGACAGAAAGATTTGCCACAAAACTCATCGCCGTGGACGGGCTACCTGTAATCCTCTCACGAACGAGCAATCTGATTTGCGATGATTCGGAAAACTGATTGACAAGCCAAAACAGTTTCCTTCTTACGAGGATGCTCAGTACTACCTACAAAATGCTCCAAGAGCAAAAGCCTTCACGAGGCTGCAGGTTTGAGAATCCATCACCAGGCTACGGGTCTCAGTTTTCTCCTCCCTCGGCTTTACACCGTGGATCGTCAGGTCGTCGATGCTGGTCACACCGTTGACGCCTTACTGTTGGGCTTTGCAAGCCTTGACGAGGGAAATAGCCAAACCGACAAGCTCGCAAGGCCCATGAGAGGTCATCTCGGCTGGAAGATATGTATCTAGCTTATCGCGGATGCCGGCGTCGAGGACAACTACAGGAGGCTGGAGAACCTGTCACATACCTTATCGTCCCACGTCCGCCACCCTAGCGAGAAGATTGTTATATACTGTAGCGGATATGCAATGGGGCGATACAAAGAAACGTGAAAATGGCGTACAGACTGCCGCATCATGCTCCACGAGATTGTCCAGGAGAAGACGCACGATGAGTTCCATTGCGCAGCGTGTGTGCCACGGGTCGATCCAACTCAGCTCTTTTCCCGAGTTCTGGAAGGGCTCAATAACTCCATTCTCTTCCTGTTCCACTGTTACTTCGACGTGGAAAAGTTTCCTGGGTGGGTATGTTCTAATAGGCAAGAATCCAGCGACCGCAATCTGCAAGTATCGTTGCTGCCGGAGGCGGCGTCGACGTTCTCGTATGTGAGAAATCCGGCCATTCTTTGCGACAGACCGGAGTATGACCACTATGCATGTCAAACCTTCATCCGTTCGCCACGCCTCGCCTAGCCTGACGCTACAAGGGGGCTTGCTGAAGCACTGATCCCGCTGGCTCGTCTGTCATCCTTCTCGGTAGCAGATCTGTTCCGCGCTATACAAGCGTCACCAAACGTTAACGCCGTTCAGCCCAGACGCCTTGCGGGTGGACGTGACAATTTGATTTTCGAGCCAATCGATATGGCTTGTGCACCTGATCCTGCAGTTCCTGGCGACACCAGACGAGGGATGTACTCAACCGCGCATGTCCTGCTGTTCAAGTGGGCCGGAGCCGAGTTGGAGAAGGGCTTTTGCTATGAAACCATGGCGGAGGCGTTCAACTACCCGAGCTACGATGTTCAGCAGGCGGACATACCCGAGATTCTGAATTTGGATGGCCATAACGGATGGCTTGGTTCGCGAGTCCGGGAATTGGTTGAAAAGCTGCCGGACGACAGCTTGGCGGTGATCTACTTAATCGATCACGGCGGCAGCATCGACAAGGTTGAAAGGCTACAGGTCAAGCTTTACCATGTCTGTATGGTGGGTTCCTGCTGATGGCTGCCACAGATCTCCCCCCGACTATCCAGCTATCGATCTAACACAGCTACAAATGACGTTGCGCGATGGATGTTGGAAAGACGTACTCTTCATTCTTGACTGCTGCAGTGCTGGGTACATTGCACCACTGCTCAGTCAGCCATACTCTGCCAACAACCCAAACCACCTTCTGACGGAAATCTTGGCTGCTTGTCCATCTACCCAGACAACGCCAGCTAACGAATAGCATACCTCCACCATGCGGCTTGCTTACCGCAGAGCTCATCTTCTTGGCCGGAAGCAACGACGGCACGAGTGTAGATGCCCTTCACACCACATTACTGCAAGACTGGCGATACAGGCATCCCACGGACCGTGAACAGCCAGAGTGGACGGGTAACGTGAGAGTACTTAGCGCTGGCGACGGGAGTGTTGTCCTGCGTAAGCTCAACCGTGACCTTTCCAACGGTGAGTTCGGTGAGAACGACCGGATGGGCGGAAAAGATGAAGAAGGTATCGAGAAGAACGAGAAGCTGGGGGCTGCACAGGCGTCACTACGGGCACGGGTGAGCATTCCGATACTGGCCCTTGGGCTGCTGGTCTTACCACTGCTAATCCTTGCGCTCCTAATCGTCACACTGTGGGTCATTACGCTACTTGCCCGGCCCTAACACCCAGCGGCGGGAGGACCACCAGTGGCTACGCACGCGGAGGCCGAGCAAGCTGAGGACGAGCAGTGGAAGAGCGAGCGATTGGATGATTGGCCCAAGGATGATGAGGCCGCAGAGGAGGAGCCATTGGAGCAGGAGCCTGCGGAGGACGAGCAAGCGGAGGAGTCAGGAGTAGAGCATGACGACGCCAATTTCGCGAACCTGGATTAAGCACCCACGCTACTCGAGCGAGCCGAGACCGCAGCCATGGACAACTTTCTTCGTGCCATGGAAAGGGAGGAGTTGTTGCTTGACCAGTACCTTCAGCGATAACAGAGCCAGAGGAGACAGTCATAGTTAATCTCCGACGCTTCGAGCAGTAAGATTACGGCTCGGTGACACTCATTAGCAGCGCACAACCATAGCAGCCTGGATGCGTGTCAAAACTTCAGATTGTGAAAGTTTGGATAGATGCGCGAAAGCATAGAATGAGCCGTAGATGTTCGAAATGTTAGCCGATTTAGGAAAACATGACAGCTTTCCGATCCAACGGCCTCCCATCTGCCGCAATACCTTCCCTCCCAAACCGCTCTTCGATGTACAATCTCCGCGCCTCGTCGAAGCCTACTCGTCTGATCTTCATGATCTTATACACTTCCTGTTTAGCATTCTCATCGAGGCCTCGCCTGCTGTCTCCGGCTTCGATGTTCTCCGCAAGGTTAAAGTTGGAGGAATGCAGACCTGCCTCGGCGTCTTCGGCGAACGTTGCACTCTGTGGTAGTTGCACGTAGCGGAATGAGTTGATGTAGTTGGAAATGTAGTTGGAGATGTTGTAGAGCGGTTCGGGGATGGTGCCGGGAGCAGTTACGTAGGGGATGGGTGGAGCGTATGGCTTCCAAGCATGTCGAGTAACGTACAGGGCTGCTTGCTTGTCAGTGCAGGTTGTAGGAAGTAAAGATTGGCAGGGGTGTACCTGTTGCGACAATGAGGAAGATGAAGGTTAAAGTGTAGAAGAGATACGCCATGGCCGCTTGGTGGACGTTTGGGGTATGAGGAAAGAAACAAGCAAGTCAATCCGGGCTACCGCGCCCTCGGCAATGCTATCGTCGCATGCACTGATGAAGCGTGAAGAAGACGGAGGTGAGCAAGAGGACAAGGCTTGGTCGCTGACGGAGCGCATCCGGAAGACGCGCATAAGCGTACGAGCTACCACGCTAGGCCGAAGATAGAAGTAGCAGTATTCTTTGCATATTCGCGCGCGACTCATTCATAAGCACTCGTAAGAACCGGAACATGGCCGGCGCACGCCACTGGGATCAGGACAAAGACAGCACCCTCTATGTCGGAAATCTTGACGAGCGATGCACCGATTCCCTTGTGTGGGAGCTGATGCTGCAAGCTGGTCCTGTCATAAACGTCCACCTGCCAAAAGACCGCGTGACGCAAACACACCAAGGCTATGGCTTCGTCGAATTCGGCAGTGAAGAAGACGCCGACTATGCCGCGAAGATCATGAACCAGATCCGGCTCTGGGGCAAGCCTATACGGGTTAACAAAGCTTCTGCCGACAGACGAGGCGCGCCTGGTACGGTCGAAGGTGGAGGGCTGGGAGGTGGACAGGGTGTGGGTGCCGAGTTGTTCGTTGGCAATCTTGACAGCATGGTCGATGAGAAGATACTGTTCGAGACGTTCTCACGCTTTGGGCCCCTCATTGCGCCGCCGAAGGTCGCCAGAGACGATGCCAACCTTTCGAAAGGGTATGGCTTCATTTCTTATGCGAGCTTCGAGGCTTCGGACGATGCGATTGCGAATATGCATGGGCAGTACCTCATGAACAAGGAAGTCACTGTACAGTATGCGTACAAGAAGGACGGAAAGGGCGAGAGACACGGTGACCCTGCCGAGCGAGCCCTAGCGGCGCAAGCGAAGAAGCATGGCGTGCAAGTCGCCATCCCAGCCATGCCAGCGGCGCTTGTATTGCCCAACGGTGCACCGAACGGGCCCGCTACAATGGCACCAGGTATGATGGGTGGCTATCCAACACAAGAGCCCGCAATGCACACGCCAGCACCGCCCGTACGAGCGCCTCAGCCACCGCCAGCTTACAACTACACACCGTACGGAATGCCGTCCGGAGCCGGCTACCCCATGCCACCATCCATGCCAATGCCACATCACCATCAGCAGCAACCCAGCGGCATCCCACAGCCACCTCGAACCTTCAACCAATCACCTTTACAAGCTGCGCCTACGGGTGCCGGACTGCCTGCACGACCTCCACCTAGTATGGCTGGGTATGGAGGGCCAGTGCATGCGCCGGGTATGCAACAACCGTATCAACCTGCCCCACCGCCAAACTTCGTGCCGCCTGGAATGCCGCCTGGGATGCCGCCTGGAATGCCTGGTCCGCCACCTGCGTTTAGGCCACCAAGTGTACCCAATGGTGTATATCAGCAGAGGTAACAAACCAGCGCTAGCGAGTCGAAGGAGAAAACTGCTTTGCGGGCTTAGCGACGGCGTCAAGGTTGTATTGTTACGGAAAGGTTTAAGGTCGTCAAGAAAGAACGCTTCAACTGTAATTCTACTATGTAGAAAACAGCATGAGCAGATACAGCGCTTAATGTAGCGCATTACATTGCTGCGCTCCGAGCTCGGCGGGATCTACTGCACGCAACAAGGCAGCATCAACGAACATGACTTCGAGTCAGGCCTCTAATCTTACCCCAACCACTTATTTCGCTCCATCAACCTACGAACTCTCCCCCGCCTCCTTGGCCTTCCTAGCCTTCGAACCCCTCAACTTCTTCACCTCCTTCCTCTCCTTCCTCTCCCTCTGACTCTGCTTCACCGCGCTAGCCCTGGCAACCGCCTCCGCCCGCAGATCAGCCCGATAACCCTTCTTCGCCGTCGAATTCACCACGCTGCGGTAGACCTTGCGACTCGGCGTCGAAGCACTGAAGGAAGTCTGCTGATACATCTTGGCGGGCTTGTTGACGCGGGAGGCGATCTTGGTGGTGAGAGCGATGGTGTTGTCGTCGGCTTGGATGCCGATGGCCTTTGGGTTCACGAAGCCGGCATATTTGCGCGAGTGCTTGTTGAGGAGGTTGAGCGGGTCGCGGGAGAAGTGGATGAGGCCGGATTGCTTGCGCTTTACAAGGAAGGCGTTGTTGTTGCCTGTACAGCAAGTATTGTCAGCTCATGCGGTTTCGGTTACCGTAACTGTGGCTTCTTGTGGGTTTACACGCACGAGTGCACTCCCAGATGAGGTCCGGGCTGATGTTGTCGTATTGCGTTGCCATTTCTGCGGTATCGGAGTAGGTTGGCCCGTTTCAATGACTCCTGCTGTTCTGGAACGCTGCTGGAGTCTCGTTTGGTGGGCGACGATTTTTGGGTAACTCTTGGCGTTGCGGGAGACGGAATGTTTCCGCTTCGGCGCCAGTGAGATGGTGAAGCTTTGAGGATGAGCATGCGAGCAACAAGCATTTGCTCAAAGCAAACAATCAAGTACAACTACAGGGAAGATGGCGTGGCTGCAGTTCTCTGAAGAGACCAAGGTATGCGAAGGAATACTCCAGCCCCTGCCACGATCTCCAGAAAGTGCTTCAAATACTGATCGAGCACGCTATAGGAGCGCATCACCCGCATCATCGACTTCTCCCGTGTTGCGATTCACTATGGCTACCTGCCTCTCATCATCTACCTTGGCTACACGAGGAGCAACCCGCGCCCTTCGCTGATAAGGTTCGCTTGATGGTTCCTCTTCCGCAGGGAGCGGTCATGCTGACCCTGACACAGACTCTTCTCCCCACTCGCGCAGTAGTCACATATTGCGACCATGATAGGGGGGTGTACGAGTAGTGGCTGGGTTGCCGGATATGATGAGGCGAATGAGATGCAAATGGAAGCATAGCACGGGTGTATATGGCGCATCAAAGGGCAAATGGCTCTCAGAAACACAACAAATACTTGTGTCTGAAGTGCCTCGACAGCAATGTACAACACCTACGCTCCGCGTCCAACAAGCAGCACTACGCGCGCTTCCCAATCTGCCCCAAGCGATCCCTAAAATCTCCGATCACGCTAGGTTTGTGCATGTGACCCTCCGTTCGGGCCCCAAGGTTGCCAACAACCGGACTGCTCGGAGCCTGTGACGCAGCACCGATACCCCCACTAGTCTCCACCTTCTCCAGCAACTCCGCCCCCTTGATCTTGTCCACTTTGGGGAACCTCTTCGACGAGATGGAGACGTCAAAGAAGGCCTCACCCTTCCCTTCCGCTGCCAGAGACATCAGGTCGGTAGTCTGTCTCAGCTCATCCAAGGCCTCGATGAGTACTTGCGGGCGATCACCCTCGTCCAGATTCTGCACGAAAGAGACGAGATGGCCAACATCCAGCACAAACGCATGCGCCGCCTGATTGCTGATCCTCGGCCCGGCAGCGTCAAGTGGCAGCACCATCAGTGACTCCCCAATGTGCTGCAAAGCGGTGTAGTAGATCATGTCCTTGATCGAGTACGGCAAGCCCAGCAGCACCGAGGACATGATATTACTCAAGTACCGAGTGAGCTCCTGCATGTACAGGCTCACCGAATCCGGCACCCAGGTGCTGGTCCAGTCATACTCCGCAGTCTCAATCAGATCATCGATCTTGCTGTTAACGAGTTCGAATATCCGTCTCTCGGCCGCGGTCTTGGCATCCTTGAACTTCTGCGTCGCTTGTAGTTTAATGGGTCCGGCGGCAGACGCGGTGCTTCTTGCTTCGACAAGCAGGCCTTCGAGCTCGGAGCAAGCTTGCTCGAAGTGGTCGACGTTTGTGAGAATCTGCACGATCTGGCCTGGGTACTGCGACTTGAGCCTGTCGGTCAGTGATTGACAGACCTTGTTCACTAGTAGCTCGTCTAAGCTGTCTTTCAGCGTCTGGTCAATGACGTTGGTGTGCTTGAAGTGGTCGTCGGTGAAAAGGTAGATCTGGTTCAGGAAGTTGCGAATGTCGATGCACACCAAGGGATACATCTGGCTGAAGGGAAGGACACATGGGAACTCCATCTTCTCCAAAGGTGGCACGTCCTCCGGAGGAGTATACCACGACACATTGATAACCTTGGCGTACTCGTCTGCATCGTTGACGGGCATAGGCATGTAGTCATCAGTAGACACGATTTCTTGGAAGTCATCGGAGAAGCGTTTCTTGAGCAGCGAGCTGTATTTGTCGAAGAGTGTCAGGAGTAAGCCATCCAGACTGCTGACGCTGTAGCTCCACGAGTCCATAGTTTGGATGAAGAGCGCAATGACGCCTTTGATTTTCAACAGCTTATCGTCATTGTCAACCGTATGCAGTGCACTGCTGATAAGACTGATAGCGGATTGGCACATGCTGTCCCACAGCTCGTCGACATCGGCTTGAGCGCGAAAGTTCTCCGTCTTTGCCATAGTGGCTTTTTCGACAATGGCGAAGCCGGCAATGCCCTCCAGCAAGCTACTGAGGCCGTTGCTTTCTTCGTCCAGTAAGTTGAGGCTCTGCGGGAGAAGTAAGTCCTTCTGTCTCCGTCGAGTGGCGGCGTAGTCAGCTCGAAACTTATCAGTCTGGCCAAGAGCGTCATGGATGTGCAAGCATTCGAACAGCGGTGAGAAGTCGACCTGCACTTCCTCATTGTTGAGCACGTCGAACTCTTCGCTTTCGTCCGCGACAAGTTCGACCGCTGAGTTGAGCTTCGCGGCGCCGAGGTATTGATCTTGTTCCGCGCGCTCCTTCTGGCGAGCTCGGCGCATTTCCGTGTGATAGAACGCAACCTCGCCCAGAAACTGTGAAGTCTCGCGAATGCGAAACAGCCAGGTGTTCAGATCTGTCATGACAGCCTCCGCGATGAGGCGCTGCGTCGCTGGTACGGAACGTTCAATCATGTCGGCGATCTTATAGCGCGTGATCTCGCGAAGATGAACATTCTGCAGCTCGTCAAGCGCTCGAAGTGCGGCGTAATGGTTTTTCTTGCCTAGGAGATCATGTACTTGGTTGGCCAGTCTGAGCACCTCGAGACAGTCCTTGAGCGCTTGCGTGGCATCGTCAATGTTCTGCCGTACACCTCGCGAGTCGACAAGAGCCTTCTTCTGCTCGGCCAGCTTCTCTGTCGAAGCTTCAATGCTGTGGCTTAGCTCCATGATCTCCGACGTCAGACTGACTGTGCCCTCTCGGACAGATTGCAATTGTTGAACGCTGCTAATGAACTCCTGGTGGTTGGTGTTGCATATCCGCTCGATTTGCGTCTCGCGATCTGCCGAGACATGGCTGAGAGCATGTATCAGGGGCGTGACCTGGGTCTGTGTCTGCGCATTCTTCAGGAGCGGTATCAGCCGGTCGAGATAGTCGGACTCGGATGAGGAGAGGATGATCTGTGAGCGGCGCTTATCAGCACAGTGGTAACGATGGGTAGAAGTGTGGCATCCGTGCTCCGTTCGCCACGTGTAGAGAGTAGGGATCAATATCTGCTACATATTCTGTGGAGGCGCCTTCAGTAATTGACTGCATGACAAACTCTCAAAGTCAATTCGTGCCATTGTGGTGTCAAAGCTGACTGTGTTGATGCAATGTGGCTTGTGCCCTTGCTACACAAGCTTCCCTTCATGATCTCCGCTTTGCGAAGGCACGCAACAATGAAGCACGAACAAGGATACTAATAATAGGTTCTACTTCGACAGTGGAGGCTCGCACACGGCCGTGCCTTTGCGTTCGACCGACTATAAGCTTTGAGAAGCGCAACATACCTGCTCGACGGCAACTGTCAGGTCATCCGGCTGTTCACCCAGGATAAGGCCGGGCATCCTGTTCGCACCAGTGTGGGTTGCAGGGCCTTCTTCGACGAGGTTTGGACGCTTCTGCGCGATTTGGCAAGGCGGTTAATATGCGCGATTACCTTGTGGACGATCCCCGAGCATTGATGTTCGCACTTTAGTGGTAAGCCAAGATTCCTTTACTGTACATTCGCAAGAAGTCAAGAGTCGGAAGCCGGGAGGTTGAATGGCGGCAGCAGTCGGTGAACGTCTGTCGCGGTTGATGTTGAGGCCAGGGCACACTGTGCTAAGATGTCTGTTTCTACCGTCAGTACGTAATCAGACATCGCCCGTAGCACCAAGTTGGCAGCGCGGAAGACTAAGCCTACAGCTATGTGGGCAGACGGCAAGACTCACCAAGAACACATTGAGCTGTAAGTGTCAGTATATCGGCCAGTCGACAGCACTCTGACACGGAGACGAGCTCGCGCGTACGAGGCGGTCTATGGTGCGCGTTACTGCACAATGTGTATTGCGTGATGGGCGAATGGCTACCCGATGGCCAACATGCTCTTCTATTCAACCATCCGGGTTGACATGCACAAGCGCACATGTTCCGTGGTTCCCGCAAACACGGGGAAAATCACTAAACAGCAGTTGGTTGCAGGCGCTAACGAGCATTGCAAGGGTACCCATGCCGCAGTTCAACTCCGAGTTTAAACCGATATATCAAAGTCGCACGCTGCGAATAACGCTACGGGCGGATGTAATGCTGACAGCTTCACAGCACTGTACAAGTTCCAGCGTCCATAAATACATGGATGCGTGTACTCTGGCTTGGGTATAAGCCTGCGACAAGAAACACAAGCTCGCGTCACCGTGCAATAAAAAAGCTCATGCTGCTTCAAAAAGGTGCAAGGTCGAACCTTCCTCCCAGCTTCGTCGCCAAGGGTGGTTTCTATCTCGTGTGGCGATGCGCGCAATGTAATGAATACACCGTGTGGAGGTTCGTAGAGCCTCGCGAGTTTTTCTTTCAGAATATCCAGGTAAGTCTGCTGCTTCTAATACTTCAACAGATTGTCTGTTTCATAGTGCAGATGGAAAAGCTGCCCTCGTCTAGACCGTGTGACGACACCGTCATTTGGGTTGACCGGATTGCTGGTTGCGGAGAAAGGGTAGGTCCACTCAGACAATGCTCAATTCGAGCATGAGCAGGGATCACACCGAAAGTTGTGCGATTGCGTTAATCTTCTTCAATCTTCGCCCTTCCACCATCACCATCGCAATCACATCCTCTTCCATCTCTGAATACTCCCCATCACACATTATTTGCCCACATTGCAACCCCAGCAAGCATACCAAGCGATCCTTACATCCCACAGCAAACCGCCTTGGTGCTGCGCGCCCACGGTTACGCTGCTTGGCCATCCTGTGTGAAGCTTGACGCTGCAGACATTTCCAAGCATCACCAACACTCTTGACCACGGGCTTGAGCTCTCCCCTCACTTTAAAACCCTTTCTTTGCACAACGCCGAGCTCTTCGGCGAGGAGAGAATGGCAGCCTCGGTCAAGGGGGACCGCGGCAGCTGTTGCAGTCCGGGTAAAGTCGGTGGCGGCGTCGAGTTGCCAGAAACTGTCAAGCAGTAAGTGGAAGCCATAGCGCTCACTGCCAACGCATGAGGATCACTCGTTAACCCATCGACAGGCATGGGAGAAAGCATGCCATTAACGGTGGTGTCAAGGTAAACGGCGGCGTCGACCTGCCGGCCGGTAACAAGCAGTAAGCCCAAGCCACTGTGCTCACTGCAAACCGCGTTGAGAGTGTTTGCTGATCAGGTCGTAGTGATAAGAAGACGCCTGCTGTCAACGGCGTCAGCAAGGTGAACGGGGGGGTCGTGCTTCCGAACGGTCACAAGAAGTATGTGCCGAACGATCGTGCTCACCGCCAGTTTATCAAAATTGCTTGCTGACGAGCCTTCAGCGATAACGGCAACCATGCCGTTCACGGCGACAAGTCAGGCGCAACCACTATGGCGAAGCACGCTCGTGGTGACAGCAACAGCTCACTTGAGACCGTCAACAGCGGCACCAAGCTGAACGCGGCTGCGAATCACTTCAGGCCAATGTCGCCGAAGCAGCTCATGGAGCTTCCGTCACCCCTGCAGCTCCTTACTCGAAACTCCGAGAACGATGTCGACGATCACCCAGTCATCGTCACGTCCTCGCCACCTGACGGGAAGACGCAGGTTGGCAAGGGTAAAGGCAGAGCTCCGCTTCAGCAGCCTATTGGCACGTATGATGGCATGAACCCGCCACATGCCATCGTGTATTTCACCACCGATATGGGCCATGATAAGTTCCAAGGCTCGCATTATCTTCGCGTCGGCTTCTCCAAGGACGAGTTCCAATGCTTCACGGAGATGGTGGAGGTCGTGAGTGTAGTCATTTCGCAATGTATCCGAGACACCGCTGACAGTAGCAGCTCGGCTGGGACAAGCAGTCCTTAGGTATGAAGCAGACCGCGCCGCCAGACGGTCACCGTCGCGACTACTACATCTGCTTCGATGACCTTCGCGACACCAGTCACGCTCAAGACGCAGCGCAATCAGCGCAGCTCGGCGGTCCGATCAATTTCATATCACAGCCTGAGTACGCTGCTGTCCCAGACGGCGCAGTTGCCCAAAACAAGTCTTCCTTCTTCGATGGGCAAGTCAAGTTTCTCGTCTCGTTTACTGGAAAGACCCCTGACTACGATGGCGAGAAGGCCTGCAAGGTCGTCAAGGGCGAAGCTGAGAAATTTGGCGAGCTGCTTGCCTTCAAGCAGGAGGAAGTTGCCGCCTGGCCCAACCTTGAGTTCCGTGCCGAGTACTTCAAGGTCACAGACGCGCGCAAGGCGCTTAGGGAGGCTAGCAAGGACGGTCCGCTCATCGTAGGCGTATGTCACCCCGCAACAATATTGCACTGGCAAATTTTGCTGACTTGTCGCAGAAATGGGTGATTGTTGCCGAGGAGATCCAGCTGCTCGAGCATAAGAAGCCAACTGCCAAGGGCTTCATCTTCGGTGATCCCGCCAAGGTCAAGGCGTCGGAGTACACGGTCCTAGCAGTTCGCACGCCGCCCACGGAAGACCAAGCGGGTGAATGGGTGAGCCCGACCGGTCGCACCACTGCCTACTACGACGAGAATGGCGAGATGGCGCCTGGCAAGCCTGCTGTCATTGTCCCGAAGGTTGGCAATGGCCAGGCTGTCCTCATCTCGCCTGCAGGGGTCAACACTCCAGAGCGCGGGCAGCGTTGGTTCTCGGCCCCGTCCCCACACACGCCGAGCCCCTACGTCGCACTTGAGCCACGCAGCGATTCTTGGGATGGGCGTGTCGAATACTACCAGCGTACTCCGCACTCCGACACTATCAGCGGCCCGACAGCCGTGGACCTTGTGAAGATTGAGAAGGGTTACGATGTCCGCACTACGGTTATGTTGCGCAACGTGCCGAACAAGATGCAAGCTAGAGACCTCAAGCGCATCATGGATACCGTGAGCTTCGGCAAGTACGACTTCTCGTACCTCCGCATTGACTTCAGCAAGAACACCAACGTCGGCTATGCGTTCGTCAACTTTGAGGACCCGGCGGACATCATCCCCTTCGTCCAGCACTGGCGCGGCAGACGTTGGATTGAGAATCACCCGCGCACTGCGGACATGTCGTATGCCACCATCCAGGGCCTTGATTGTCTCATTGACAAATTCCGCAACTCGTCCGTCATCGTGGAGTCGCCCGATCACCGTCCCAAGCTCTGGTTCACAGCGCGTACCGCGTCGGCGGATAAGCCTGAGGATATTGGGACGGAGATGGAGTTTCCCCCTGTCGACAACCCCTCCAAGATGCAGCGTTCAATGGAGAATGCCCGTCATGTCGGCCTTTACCAGCCGCAGTCTGGCCACGGCAGCCGCGAGCGCAGCCGTGGCTCTCAATTCGATCGTGGCACTCCGGCGCAGATGCGCGAGGAGGCGTACAATAACACGTCGCCGCTCCACCAGGGCTATCAGTACAACAACTCCTACGCCCACAACGGCTTCCAGGATCCAGCTTATACCATGGCCCCGCCGCAGTTCTTCCCGAATGGCTATCCCATGGGCTACAACCAGAACATGATAGCACCATACTACAATGGCGTCAATATGCAAGCTCCTGCCTATTATCCAAACGGATGGTCAATGGAGCCATTCGCTGCCGCCTACCAGCAGGGTCAGCAGCACGGCCACCATAATGGCTTCAAGGCCCCTCGCTTCGTGCAGGGTGCGAACCCCACGTTCGGCATGGGGCCCGGCACTCCAGCCTCTCGTCGTCGCAACGTCAGCAACGGTAGGCTTGGCGGTCGTCCGAGGCTTACAATTGCGGCCGCCGGATCTGCTCAGGGTCCGACAGGCGGTCCTCAGCTCCAGATTCTCACCGAGGAGGACATCGAGGGCGGCTACAACAACACACCCGGTCCGCACTACTACCCCAAATACAAGTGAGCAGCCTACAAGCACGACGACCCGACTATGCGAATGCTGGATGCGATATGTCGTCAGCTGCAATGGTGCTATCCATTATGCAGCAGTATGCTCTTGATCTCCTGGTGCTTGGAGACTGTCGATAAATAGCCTGGAGGCTGCGGCTGCGGCTCGGTCTAGCGACAGGATGACCTGGACAAGGATGTGATGCCCCTTCCATTGGTTGTTGACTGAACTCCAACGCCTGGCTAAATCTGCAACAGTTGGAGAGGCTCGTGCATGCTTCTTCTACCGAGCAGGGTGTTAGAGATGCGCTGCTTTATTGCTTCACTGCTTAATTGCTTGCTTTTCATATGTCTGCTGCACAGCTGTTACTGCCTGCCGTCAAAACGATGGCGTGCTCATGGCAGCATTACCCACATGCGCGCCGCTGGCACTATGGCGCGCTGAAGCTGCTGGTGGCGATAGAGGGCATTGTGGGCTTATTGATTGCTGCGTTCGAGGAAAAAGAGGTTGCGGTCTAACTCGCTTTGCGATTTTATCGACTCCTCTTACAAAGAGTATGTGCCATTGCTTTACCCACTGTCGCAGGTAGATGTACTTTCCGCGTAAAAGGTACGAACTTTGAGCGCTTGTAGTCTCGTTCCCCAAAAGCGCGTGCACGGATCGATTGGTGCATTCACTTTCGGCCCCCATGTCCGAGCCATTGCTCACGGCTGCGAAATCTGCAACTTGCCTACACAGCGTCGTTTGTTCGTTAAATCACGGCATGACGATCCGAGACAGAATACTTTAGCTCCCTAACACTCAGTCTGCCACGATGGCTCGCAGTCGTATGCAACGGCTCACTGCGCTGGCCACTGCTAATGCGCTGCTGCCAATAGCAGCCATCGTCTTCGCATTCGGCTTCTTCCCATACAAGCCGTTACTCCCTGGCCTTGCTACCTTTCCAGATGCGCAAGATACGAGTGTTTGGGGTCACGGCCAGCCGGAAGCCATCTTTGACCGGGTGGTATTTATGGTAGTTGATGCTTTGCGGACCGACTTCGTCTATGGCTACAACAGTGGCTTTGAGTTCACGCAGAGGTATCGATCGGCCGCACCAAATTACTAGCCTCGACTACTGGCTTACGTGCGTGCTACAGTCTTATCCGCAATGGTGCTGCCATACCATTTACAGCTCATGCCACTCCGCCGACCGTTACCATGCCCCGAGTAAAAGCGCTAACCACAGGCTCCGTCCCATCCTTCGCCGACCTGATCTTCAACCTTGACGAAAGTGGCTCAGGTTCAACACTGGCTACGCAAGACACATGGCTGGCACAGATAAAGGTCAAAGGGGGAAAGCTCGTCTTCTATGGCGATGACACATGGCTGCGACTGTTTCCGGGTGACTTCTTCGAGCGCGCAGACGGCACAAGCTCCTTCTTCGTCTCGGTCAGTTCAACTGGCCCTGGTATGTTTGTGATAGGATCTGTAGCTGAGTATGCAATGCTTTCCTGCAGGATTTCACGGAAGTAGACAACAATGTTACACGCCATGTGCCTGATGAGCTGATGAACAGTGACTGGAATGCTCTTATCATGCACTACCTCGGCTTGGACCATATTGGACACAAGACGGGACCGAATGGGCCGAACATGTTGCCCAAGCAACGCGAGATGGATGGCATTGTGCGAATGATTTACGAGTCCATGGAGAGCAGCGAACATCTTGCCAATACGTTGCTGGTGCTTGCTGGCGACCACGGCATGAATGCGGGTGGCAACCATGGCGGCAGTGGGCCTGGCGAGACGGAACCTGCTTTGCTTTTTGCCAGTCCGAAGCTCAAAGCAAGACGTGACAGGATCGACATCAATTGCCCGACCGCGCCCAGAGCTGGCACTGACTTTCACTACTATCGTAAAGTGGAACAGAGCGATATCGTACCGACGCTGGCGGGCTTGATGCAGTTGCCCATCCCAAAGAACAGTCTCGGCGTGTTCATCCATGAGCTTGCCGGTCTCTGGCCGGAACACAGACATGGGACGCAGATCCTGCATCAGAATGGCAAACAAGTGATGCATATCGTCGAAGCTGCTTACGGTGTGGAATCGTTCCGGACGAAGGTAGCAAGCCGGAAACTGCGGGTTGAATCACTCGAAGATGCTGGCTTCGACCGCGCAGACGATGAAATCGCACGTCTTTGGGTGCGCACAGAGTCTGCTCTACACGAAGCTGCCGCTGATCAGATGCGTGACGTGGAGATTGCCGACCATACCTGTTTGAGCTTTCTCATCGAAGCCCAAGAAACACTGAGCAATGCCGCCAGCACCTATGACGTCCCTCGGATGGTTGCGGGCATTGTTCTCAGCATGCTCGCTGCCGCGTTCGCAGCTTTGTCCATACCCGCGGTATGGCCGCCAAGCACAGCAGGCGTCTTTTTTGCCCTAATTGCTCTGCTTTACGGCATGATGATGTTTGCCAGCAGCTTCGTCGAGGAGGAGCAGCGGCTCTGGTACTGGCTCACACCGGCATGGGTTTCTCTGCTGTTAGTGAGGAGCATTGTGAGAACACGAGACGCACGGAACAAGCTTCGAGCTGCAATTTCCGGGTTGGGTATACTCGCCGTCCACCGCTTAGCTATAGGCTGGGACCAGACGGGCCAGAAGCACGCCGGCGAGCCCGACATTGTGCATACTTTCTTCCCAAATTACCACGCCCTAATGTGGATGCTCGTGCTTATTACGTACCTTTATTTTGGTTTCAAGGTGGCGCAGCGGAGTCTCATGGATATCATCGCTCCGGACAACGCCGCTGTCGTTGCCTTCATCCTGGTGGCACCAGCCATCGTTTTCAAATTGAACTTCACGCAAGCCGATGCACCAGAACTGGTCCAGCGAATAGGCTTGCAAATCAGGAGCTGGACGCGACCATTCAGTCTGGTCGCTCAAGCGCAACTTGCCTTCGCACTGCAGGGCCTTGTCACGATCGCAGTGGCTGCGCTCGCGGTTGGCTTAGCGCGAGGAAGTGTCATCGGCAAGCGTAATGGACCAGCAGTCCGAGTCACGTTGGCGGAGAGACTTCATTACGTGTTATCGTTGTTTTTGACGATGCAGACTCGGGCACCGAACATACCGCTCTTCCTAGGTCTTGAAGCGCAAAGAGCAGCACTGGCGTATCTGCTACACTCCACCGATGAGAACCACAAAACCCAGCTGCGTCGTAATGCCCTCATCTCAAGCACCGAACTTGCCACAACCGCACTGCTTTTCTCTCACACGTACTTCTTCTGCATGGGCGGCTCGAACTCTATCTCCAGCGTTGACCTAAGCAACGCATACAATGGCGTAGGCGGCTACAACATCGTAGCCGTGGGCGTCCTCCTCTTTGCAAGCAACTGGGCTGGACCTATCTGGTGGTGCAGCGCAGCCTGTACTGTCACGTTCCGCAAGTTGGCCAACCCTTCAGCCGACAAACTTTTGCGAACAGAAGATCAGCGATCGTGGATTTACGCAGAGCGGACGAAACTGCAAAGGGATGCAGCTCAAACAACAGCCGAGCCTGCAGAGGGCCATACTGTGCCTGACAGCTGGCTTGAGTACGCCTCGCTTATGACGGTTTTCGTAGCTACTGGTTTGCTTGCGGTAATGGCAGCGTGTACAGCATTACGCACGCACCTATTCATCTGGACGGTGTTCAGTCCAAAGTACCTGTATGCGCTGGCGTGGTGTATAGGCTGGCACATGGTCGTCAATATCGGATTCGGGAGCCTACTAAGGTGGCTCGGAAACCATGGGTGAAAGGCTGCAGGCCTCAACCTAGCTCGCTGAACAGGTCGTCTATTGCGTTTCGGGCTCGAGACTTCGGTTTCATTGTTGCGTGAGTACGACGAATTTTGACAGCATCATTCGAAATTGGCGTCAGGCGCTGGCCTGGCGTTCCCACAACGCGGTGTCCAAGCGTCGCTGTAGCCTCAAATTTCGTGGCTATCGGATCCAGTGGAACGACCTCCCGACCAATTACCTCACCAACATCCTCCATCATTGGCCTTGGGCTACCCACCGCTTCGCTCTCCGAGCGTTCCCAGTCCTCGTTGGCGAACTTTTCCAGCACCTTCTCTACCTCCTGTTGCCCAATGCTTTCAAAAGCAGCCGTGATATGGAAGATATGACACGCTTCAGCGAGAGTGCTCATTAGTGCCAACCCTAAGACAGCAAATCGACCTTCCGCGGTAAGCTGTGAGAAAGCACGCTGCCATATTGGTACTAGAGCCTCGCTCCAGTAGCTGACCCTTCTCTCAATGCGTGTAATGGTGCTGTCGTGCTTCAACTTTTTTCTTCTCTTGTCGACATGTGTCTTAGGCATCTCGGTCAAGTTCTCGACATCGAGTCTGACAAGATTGAGTTGCTTGCGGAATAGTGAAAAGTGTCGCCACCACACACTTCGTCGATGCTGATTCTTGTTTCTGTGATGGAAGAGGTGCAGTATATTCGCAATATGATCAATTCTCTCCGCATCCGCAGACGACAGATCTGCAGCCCACCTTCGCGCCATGTAGGTGATCTGTAGCACTTGACATCGAACGCTGTAAGGGTATCTATAGACAATGGTTTGTGATCAAAAGACTGAATCAACGCCTGTAACTGCCTTCTTCGGTAGTGAAGGCGGCACGGCTCGTAAGTGGACCGTGCACTGAACTTGTGTCTTGGTGATACAGTACTTTCTACGATAGATGGACACATTTGCATTCCAATCGCTGGTGTTCGATCCCGCCTTTTCAAGCCCACGCATGAGTGTGGTTCCTCGAGGCTATGCAATGCAATGAACGGTAACAGCGCGCTGGTGAACGCGCCACAGAGCGTCGAGGATGTTGAAGAGGTATTGGTTAGGCAAATTCTGCTGCAGCACATATCTGATTTGATCGTAGCTGGTGAAGCGCCTATACAAGCCTGGCCCGGCGCGAGTCATAACAGCTATCGATGATCAGTTAAAGCAGCTTCAACGCTCGACTGAAGGATGGCAGCTCGCAGACGCGCTCATGGCAAGCAGCGAACCCAACGTTCGCTTCTTCGCCGCTCTCACCTTCCAGGTGAAACTCAACAATGATGGGTCAGTGTCTGACCCTGAGCTGAGTCCATGGTGAGGCTTTCCGCTTATTGATCTCTTAGGCCGTCGCTTGACGCTGAGACAGCGCATGCAGTGAAGTCGAGATTGTTGTCCTGGACAGTCCGCCTGACCAACCAGGGCGAGGGATCAATGGTCACCAAGAAGCTCTGCACAACGCTTACGACTTATTTTGTGCGCTCGCCGGTAACGTGGAAAATGCCTCTGACGCACTTAGCACGCTGTTTGCAAGTCGATGACTATGCCCCTGAGCTTGAAGCTGACGACGAAGCTACCGTTCTCACCTTACTGCCAGACCTCAGGCCAAGTCAAGTCATTCTGTTGCTTATCTTCTCTGCAGCGTTGGCGGACGAGGTTAGTAAGGTCGACGCAGACTCACCGGCCCATGCTGCGCTCCATGACCAGATGGAAGCGATTGTTCAGGACGCCAGTATGATTATTGCGACTGCGCTCAGCAATCCTGACTACAAGGTTAGGACTGAAGCGCTCAAGGCGTTCCTAACTTGGGTCAACTATGCTCAGCCTGTTTGGCCACGGAAACCGGAACCCCTACAACATCTACGGGATCTGACCGAGTTGGTCGCTCAGTGTGTCGCAGTCCCTGAACTGCACCAAGACGCTTTAGAAGTGTTGCGGGACATACTCGAGAGCTACACCAGTTTCTTTACAGCGCGCCATATGTTCGGCCTCTTCCGCATTGTCACCGAGCACGTACAGCCGAGGCTACTCACAGCTCTAGAGAATGTTGATCCGGAAGGCGTACCGTACGGTCAGCTTGTGATCGCTTACGGCGTCGCAAACGTGCAGCCTGTGGTTGAGCAACCAGACAATGATATGTCTCGGACTATCATTGACCTTCACTTTGAGATATTGAGATCTCCGGGGTATCCTGGTGGCGAAGACGAAATCTCGATCCACAGCATAGAGTTTTGGAACACATACATCGAATATGTGAATGACACCGTCTTCTCTCAAGACAGCGGTGAGCCGCCTCTTCCATGGCTGCCCAACGCAAGATCAATACTTGAACAGCTCATCGAGCTTCTCTGGACGAAGATGCGTATACCAACAGGACAAATTGCCAAGGAATGGACGAACGAAGAGAGCGGAGGCTTCCGAGAGTTCAGACTAGATGCCACTGATTTGATGCTCTCTGTATATGTCTTTCTTGGGAAAGATATGCTGCGACAACTTGCATCCTTCGCCCTCCGCTCGCTACGAGCTAAAGATTGGCGCTCGGTCGAGGCAGCATTGTTCTGCATGAACGCTATTGCCGACAATGTCCTGGAAGAGTCATCGAATGAAGAAGCCTTGGATGCACTCTTCAGTTCAGCCTTGTTTCGGGAGATCAACGACTTCAACCTTAACATACCTGCGCAAGCTCGACGAACTGCTATTGACGTTCTTGGTTCGTACGGGTCGTACATTGAACGTCATGCAGAATACTTGCCGGATGCTGTAAGGTTCTTGTTCGCGTCTCTAGAGACAGCTGCCCTTGCAACCACCGCTGCGAAATCGATAGCCGCACTCTGCTCGGCATGCCGCGGCAGTCTCACTGGAGAGCTGGATGGCTTTTTGCAACAGTACCAACGCTTCTTGAGCGGTCCAACAAGCGACCCGTATACCAAAGAGAAGGTCATCGGAGCTATCGCGGCCATCATCCAAGCGCTGAAGCCCGAAAGCACGAAAGTGCAGCCTTTGCTGCTACTGATCGAGAATGTTGAGAAGGATGTGCAAACCGCCAAAGAGTGCGTTGCAGCTGGTGAAAGGGACATGGCCGAAGTTATGGGCGTGACTGGACTCAACTGCCTTGCGAGTATTGGCAAGAACCTACAGGTGCCGGACGATGTACCTATCAGCATCTACGATAACGACGAGCAGCCGCCACCATCGGCGCACTTCTGGAACAGTGAGGAAGCGCAAGTGGTCAGACAACGTATCATGGGCTGCTTCTCTGTGCTGCAGGTCCTTGGTAATGACGGAGAAGCGATCGACGCTGCTTGTCAGGTGCTACGGAGTGGCTTTGCAGAGACAGAGCCAGGTCCCTTCGTAATGCCGCCATCGGTGACCGTGAGCTTCTTACAGCAATGCTCGACCGAGACACCACATTTGGAGAGTGTGCTGTCCACCGCATGCATTCTTGTCACCCAGCATTCAAAATCCACATCAGAGCGCATTCCGGAAGACGTCGATGCAATCTGCGCGTGCGTGGCCGGCTTGATCGCGCAGCTCGGATTACCCGAGCGTGATCCAGGCGTGGCGCAAGGCTGTATCGACCTCTTCAGCCGTCTTGTTCCGTACTACACGCATGTGTTAATCGGTAAAGACTCTAGGATATCAGGACAACTCCCAGCCATCCTAGACTTCACGCTCCGGGCTATTGAGGGTCAGGATGTGTTTCCGAAGCGATCTGCCTGCGAACTATGGACAAAGCTTCTTAAGTCTCCCAGTATATCTAACCCGCCTGACGTACAGCAGCGTCTGACTCAAGTCGTGCACGCATACTGTCCACAGCTGGCTCAAGCGCTCATGGGTCAAGTGGGAGGTCTCTGCCAACGGTCGGAGCTCGACTATGTGTGCGAGCCGCTGAAGGCCCTTATCACAAACCAGCCGAATGCAAGGGCATGGCTTGAAGGTGCTTTGGCCGACTCTTCTTTCCCGCAAACGTCTGAGAGCGTTGGTCAAGCGGAGAAGCGACGATTCCTGCAGCAGATTGTGGGCCTACGTGGTGACAGCAGGAAGACGAAAGATGTCGTCAAAGAGTTCTGGGCAGCCTGTCGTGGTACGGTGGTTAGGTACAATTGATTTCTCCTGTCGACAGGATTGCAGCATGTTGCACAACGCGCTGCTTGGGCGGAAAGTGCACACAAGAGAGCAGTAGATGTAGTTGCTTGGAACAGATAAACGCAATAAGACTCAACAGTCCACACTTGCTTCAGCCTCCACAGTCTATTGTATGCACATCGATGGCGATGCTGCGCAATATGTGAGCGGTATGGTAACCCACATGCCGAGGCGGTACCCAATTCGGAAACAGCTGGCTTGGCGTGGATTGATCGCGCTTCAGTTTTGCGTCTCATGCATCCGTTGGCGTTCCCAATCTTGCCGCGCAAATGGCGCTCACATTCTCTGCCAGGGCTCGTATGCACTGGGGGCATACGCCCCGAGTACGGATAGCTGTAGCTGCTGGGCGACGTTTTGCCACGCTCACGGACTTGTCTTCGCAGCCTGCGCGACCCCCCGTCGACGTTGTGGTCATTGGGGGTGGCCACGCAGGATGCGAGGCTTCTGCAGCATCAGCACGCACCGGTGCTCGAACGATGCTCGTCACGCCGTCTTATGACAATCTTGGCGTATGCAGCTGCAATCCTTCTTTTGGGGGTATTGGAAAGGGAACGATGTTACGGGAGATTGATGCGCTGGACGGACTCGTGGGACGTATCACGGACAAGGCTGGAGTGCAATTCCGAGTGCTCAACCGGAAGAAGGGACCTGCGGTATGGGGTCCTCGTGCGCAGATAGACCGTGCACTATATAAGAAGCATATGCGCGAGGAGATGTTGGCTTACCCGGGGTTACAAGTCAAGGAAGGAAAAGTCGCAGATATCATCATTGATCGTTCTTCAGGAGCTGTGTTGGGAGGCAGGCATGGCAAGATAACCGGAATACGGCTTGAGTCTGGCGAGACTGTCATGACGGAGAACGTCGTGATCACAACCGGAACGTTTCTTGGTGGGGAGATCCATGTTGGACTTGACGTCTTTCCATCTGGGCGTATGGGCGAAGCCGCCACCTTTGGCCTATCGAATTCTTTGAAAGATGCTGGCTTCAAGCTCGGCAGACTCAAGACAGGCACGCCTCCACGGCTGGACAAGAAGACAGTAGACTTAACAAAGCTTCAAGTACAGCCTGGAGATGACTCGCCAATGCCATTCTCCTACCTGAATGAGCATGTCACTGTAGAACAGCAGCTTGACTGCTGGAGTACGTACACCAACCCTGCGACACACAATATTATCCGCGAGAATCTCCATAAAAGCATACACATCCGAGAGACTGTCAAGGGCCCAAGATACTGCCCCTCACTGGAAAGCAAAGTGTTACGCTTTGCCGACAAGGAGCAACACCTTGTCTGGCTGGAACCGGAAGGATTTGACAACGATGTCATTTACCCGAATGGTATTAGCATGACTGTGCCAGCTGATGTGCAAGAAGCCATCATTAGGAGTATAGCTGGCTTAGAGGACGCTAAGATGCTGCAGGCCGGGTACGGCGTTGAATATGACTACGTCGATCCTCGAAGCCTGAAAAGTACGCTAGAGACGAAGGTTATTAGTGGCCTTTTCTTGGCGGGTCAGATCAATGGGACGACTGGCTACGAAGAAGCTGCCGCTCAAGGCATACTCGCGGGCATCAACGCCGGCAATGCTGCAGTTGGGCGGCCTGCTCTCACCATATCGAGAGCCGATGGCTACATTGGCATTATGATCGATGATCTTGTGACGAAAGGCGTCAGTGAGCCGTACCGGATGTTCACGAGCCGGAGCGAGTACCGTATGTCTGCTCGAGCTGACAATGCGGATCTGCGACTCACTGCCCAGGGTAGGCAAGCTGGCGTCGTCAGCGACAAGAGGTGGTCCGCATTCAGCGATGAGAAGGCGCAGATCGATGAGCTGCGGGAACTATTGGAGGCGAAGAAGCTCAGCTCGGCGCGCTGGATAGAACACGGCTTGCCCGTCCGAAGTGATACCACGCGACGAAGTGCATACGACTTATTGCGACAAACAGGCGTCTCAACGTCCTCCCTGCTTGATATCATTCCCGAGATCGCTCAATACCCGGAGCGTATCCGCGGACGCGTCGACATCGAAGGCACTTACGCCCCGTATATCATCCAGCAGGAAGCATCCGCTGCAGCTTTTGCGCGGGACGAAAGCCTTGTGCTCCCTGCTGACCTAGACTATCGGAGCATTCATGGCTTAAGTTGGGAGGAGAAAAAAGTGTTGGGAGACACTAGACCGGAGTCTGTAGGTCAGGCGCGTCGCATCGAAGGTGTGACGCCTTCTGGCACGCTTAGACTCCTCGCTTATGTGAAGAGCGAGTGGCGGAGGGAGCAGCGAGGGAGGTTATTCAAGGAGACCTTTGAGTCGCAGCCGCCTGGTCAGGAGGTGCAGGCACTGGCATGAGCTTGTGCCTGCATGCCATGTGCTTGTATCATATTGCTTCATGCATAGCGGTGGAGTTCACTGGGTGATGACTGCGTGGGTGCTATATATACCCCACCTACGTAGTGACGACGAAGGCATTCCACGTGCGAGTTGTCGGTTTCCAAGTGGGTCTTGGTACAACGCTGTGTGAGGCTGAAGGATGTTGCAGCGGTGAAAGGTCCGGTCGCGTGTAGTACGGGGCAGCATGGTCAGATGCGGTTGAGATTGGCACCTCGCCAGTGCTACAGCATGTGCTGCAAGTTCTACCGACGCCATCTACGGTAGAAGCTTGGTCTGATGCTTCATTATGTGCGTCAAAAAACTTCGGTACGAAGGTACTTGAAGCTCCCAGAACTCACGCTAATTTGCAGCCGAGACACAAAGATGTGCCGCGCGCCAGGATCGTCATTGCTTCCAGTCGAAGAGCAATCTGTACCTGATACTCGATGCAAGTCGCTGTTTCGAGCAGGTGCAGGACGGTGCTGTTGGTCGAGCATGCATAGCGGCACCTACTGCAAGGCTATGAGATGTACGCGCATGCTAAAGGTGTAGCAAGATCGGCAGAAGGTGTTTGCAATAGGCAGGACGAAGTGAGGTTGGACAACGTCTCAAATGATGCGTGCTGTCACTGGTGCGGCTCTGAGAGGTCAGGCACAACAGCTGGAAGCCAATCACACTTTGCCCCAATGTAGTTTCTGTCTCTGGTCGAGATGCAGGCATTGCGGAGCTTACCCTTCCCGGCCTTTTCGCTGTCAGGTGTCGTTGGTCGAGCGCGGAAGCCGTGGCGCTAGGATCTGCAAATGCGAAGAGGACGCATGACCGAAGCCGTGACCATCAGATGCAAACTGCACGTTGGCGGCCACGCTTTACTCCATTCGAACGTGCGCACGTGGTTCCAGACGTCTCAACGAAAATTTAGAGACACGATCACCGCCGCCTTCACATGTCCTGCGGGCCTCCGCTGGCTGCGAGCGCTGTCAGGGCATGGGAGCATAGCGACATCAGTTGCGCCAAGACCGTGCGTTTAGCGGCGGCGGGCAGAAGCTCTCGTGACCTGTGGGGCTTTCTCCATCCATTGTGGAGTATGGGTGCAATATGAAATGAGGGTTGTGCTTTCGGGCTGGTGAAGGGCCGCTGACTGCATGGAATGAACGATGAGTGATGACCTCGCCGCCACCCACTCCCTCCTCCGTAGGCCATAACATAGCCATTCCCGTCTTTTTGCAATCTGTCTTCCGGCACCTCCATTGCGTCAAGGGAGCGACAGGCGCACGGATCAGTTCTTAGTCGGCGGGCCTGGTACCTACGTACCGACGTACCGTGCGGTCAAACCAAGAGCCAACCTAGTCTCTCCAGCGCGGGGCTGCGGTCGACAGCGAGCCCAATTTCCAACACGACATCCTGCCTCTTCCAGCGATCTCTCATATCCACCGACCTTTTACAATTAGTCGGCCATACTCTTCATACCTTGCCGGCTCTTCTGCGCGTTTTTTCACTCGGCAGATACTGCAACCTGAGGCTTCCGCAATTCCAACCATTCGCGCCTTCCGCAACGGTCAGAACCCCGTCCAAGAGCACCTGACCCTCGACATCACCTGCTTCGCGAAACCTTCACTGGTGCTTACGACTTGTCAATCTTCGACATTGTTGCGCATTGCGACCGCTCCAATTCCACCCAAATATCCAGCTGTATACGAAATCCATCCTCCGCAACTCAGTAAACAGCTACATTGGCTACCGTGTCGTGCTTGCGGTAGCATCCTGGCAGGCACGCGTGACCCCGAGTAAGAGACCAAAGGATGTCGCAGAATAGACCATCGGCCTTCTCGGGCCTCAGAATGGGCGGTACGTAGTCATACCGCATTTCTTTGAGGCGGAGTATGCTGACACATCGGTAGAGGTGATTCGCGAGAAAGTGCAGGATGGCTTGACGGGCGAAACCAGGGAGATGCAGTACACCCAGTGTAAGATCGTGGGCAATGGGTCTTTCGGTGTCGTCTTCCAAACCAAGCTATCTCCTTCCGGAGAAGATGCGGCCATCAAGCGGGTCCTGCAAGACAAGCGCTTCAAGGTGAGCCCGTAACGCTCATAGCGAATACCCGAGATGGTGCTGATGCGTGTCTAGAACAGAGAACTGCAAATCATGCGCATTGTCCGACATCCTAACATTGTCGAGCTCAAAGCATTCTACTACAGCAACGGTGACAGGGTCCGCGACCTCGATACCATGATGGGAGTCCAAACAGCGCTGATGGAAGCGCAGAAAGATGAAGTATACCTCAATCTGGTGCTCGAATATGTGCCAGAAACGGTGTATCGGGCCTCGAGACACTTTAACAAGCTGAAGACGACAATGCCGATCCTCGAAGTGAAGTTATACATCTACCAGCTTTTCCGCTCACTCGCCTACATCCACTCGCAGGGCATTTGCCACAGAGACATCAAACCGCAGAATCTGCTGCTCGACCCAGCTTCCGGCATCTTGAAGTTATGCGATTTTGGAAGTGCGAAGATCTTGGTTGAAAACGAGCCAAATGTGTCCTACATATGCTCGCGGTATTATCGTGCGCCGGAGCTGATCTTTGGCGCAACTAACTACACTACGAAAATTGGTGAGATTAATTGACTACCGTTGGGTCATCGTATGAAAGCGCTAACAACTCGCAGATGTGTGGTCGACTGGCTGCGTAATGGCAGAATTGATGCTTGGGCAACCCCTTTTCCCAGGTGAATCTGGCATCGACCAGCTTGTGGAGATCATCAAAGTGCTTGGAACGCCGACGCGCGACCAAATACGCACCATGAACCCGAATTACATGGAGCACAAATTCCCGCAGATCAAGCCGCATCCATTCAGCAAGGTAAGTAACACAGCATACCACGCATAAGTACCTTCTAACGTGGTGCAGGTGTTCCGTAAGGCGGATCCGAACGCGATCGACCTGATCTCGAGGTTGCTGGAATACACGCCAACGCAGCGTCTGTCTGCCATCGAAGCGATGGTACACCCATTCTTCGACGAGCTTCGAGACCCGAACACGAGGCTGCCGGACTCGCGCCATTCGAATGGCCCTAACAAGGAGATGCCGAACTTGTTCGACTTCTCGCATCATGAGCTGTCAATTGCACCGCATCTGAACCAACAGCTCGTGCCAGCGCATATGCGCTCGGTGCTGGCAGCTAAGGGCCTCGACATTGAGAACCTAACACCGCTGACAAGAGATCAAATGATGGCCCGGTTAGATTGAGACTGAATGCGCGCGACTATTTTCTCAACGCACCTCAGTCTCCAGCACGAGCACACCGTCACGATGTCACGCAGCGATGCATTGGTTCTTGGAAGCTGATGCGTAGCATGGAGTTAGTGGACTTGGCGTCACCGGCGCTTGAGCGATCGAGTGGCGAAATACACTTGAAAGGGACGTGGTAATACTCGTCCTTCCTCATCCTGTAAATGCATTCTCTCGACGAGCAAAGTTGAGCTTCAAATCAGCGGTTGTGTCGCGGCGCGCAAGAGCGGCCTCCTGGCAAGCTCGGACGAAGTTATTGCTTTAGAGAACGGGCGCTCACAGAAGCAAAAGGCGCCTTTCAGGTCAGCCATTCCGAGCACGAGATGGGCGAGCAAACGTAGTTTAACACCAGTATGACGCTGCTGACCGAAAATGAGGTTATACTCATACCTCAGGTTCTGGTGTACCTTTACGCAAGAAAAAGTGTCTCGCACCGGCAACCTGCTTCATCGCGTGGCAGCATAGTTTGACTCAATCTTTGTCTTCCACATGTGTACAACGGCGCAGTGGCCAGATATACTGTGCACTGTAGGGTTAACAAGCGCACGTGACCAGAGCCCATTCGGCTTAGCGCAACCTCACGGATGTTATCCGCGTCTCGGCCATTGGGAGCAAGCAATCGAGCTTTACCTCGACGTAGTGGCCAGTGAGCGGTGTTCAGGCCGGCGGATGAAGAGATGATCAACCCTACGTATCTCGCGCAAAGGACGCGATCATGTGCGTGGAGCTTGTACCTCCCACAGCCAGTTGCTAATGCTCCGGACAGCGGTTAACTGGAACGATGCGCGAGAGCGTGTGCTCAAGTCCTACCGGGAATGGCTGCGAGCGGTAAGCTTGCCAGAAGAGCGCGCCACTCTGTGCTGTACAGTGGTAGAGAAGGACAAAGCGGAACCGTGACTGATGCGTGATAAATGCTCAGGCACCTGAAGTACAGCAGATGTACTCGCTGAACATGCCGGTCTCCAAGATCCGAACCAAGATACGGCAAGAGTTCGAAAGGCACAGATACGTGTCACAACTGAGGACGGTGGATGTGCTGCTGTTCAACAGCCACCAAGAGTATCAGGTACGCGATCACCACGGTGGAGGAGCTACGCATACCCGGAGTTACACGGGAACAATAGCGAGCTTATTCCGCGGTGCAGGAAACACTCAACTTCTGGAAGCAGCTCACACACGTACTCAAATACTTCAGATCGGAGGAAGATCCGAGCTCGCGGTTACCGAAGAACTTCATTCAGGGTTTCATTGAGGTACCTACAGCCTACTCTCCAGAATACTTTCCCAAACGCCTCGCTAACCGTCATCCCAGGGCCGGAATTAGTATTCGCTAGCCTGTCGTACACTATACATTCACCATCAATAACAGCGTTCCCGCATGACTGCGTTCAGGACCTGCTCCGCGTGGCAGCATCATGGCTTGGCTGCCCGGTCTGGGTGCGTGGCGTTGAACTCGTCCCGAGCGGCAGTGAACTTCTCTTCCACAGCATCGCAGAGCTGAGAAAGATCGTCGAGGCCTTTTTGTAGTACTTCATACACATTGACGTCGTCTGCGTGGTATCGTTAGCTGGTGCACGCATCATGACATTGAGTGCTTGAAGACAAACCCCAGGTCTGGATTCGAAGGTTCATGACAGCTTCCGAAGGGTGAGGTATTGAATAGCCGCAGAACTCGACGTCAGGGCTAGAATTTGGTAAGTCTGCATGTACGCAATATTCCGGTGGCATACGCACTTCTTGATGATCATGTACCTAAGAGCGTTACCAAGCGTATGGTCTTCCTTCTCGAACGCGAAAGATGCTGCGGTATCCGAAGAGCCTGGTAGCTGCGCGGGAGTTAGCAATGCATCCACTTGATCTCAAAGGATCGTGCATACTACGCGTAACCTCTGCTTCTCATGCACAAATTCTTCGCCGTTGGCTTCAGCGCCACCTACTGCATCTGCCATCTCAACATCACCCTCGCCTCGAGCCATGCCCCTTGTTGATTGGAGGATCCTGTCGAACACTCGAGCTGATCGTATTTACTGATCACTTGTCTACATGTACGAGGTCAGGTTCATCAATAAATTCTACGCTTCATAAGTCCGCGGCTATTTCCGCTGCAGGTCCCGATAGCTAGTGAAGAAGTTCGGCCTTCCAACCACACAGTATATGACGCATGCGAGTATAGTAGCATGGCAACTGAAAAGCGCATACGGAGCGCAACAATCAACCGCGATACAAACGAGACCAAGATCAATCTTGCGCTCAACCTCGACGGCGGCGCATTACAGCCATCCACCTCGAGCGCATCAGAGTCCAATGGAGATGAGAAACAGCATGCTTCACAATCCTCTAAATCCCAACAAATAAGCGTAGATACCGGAATTGGCTTTCTTGATCATATGCTGCACGCTCTCGCAAAGCATGGCGGGTGGTCACTTCATCTACGGACCCGAGGAGACCTCCACATTGACGACCACCATACCGCAGAGGACACATTCATCGCCCTTGGTCAGGCCTTCAAGCAGGCCCTGCAGACCACGTCCGGTCTGGCGAGGTTTGGGTACGCTTACTGCCCGCTAGACGAGGCCTTGTCAAGAGCCGTGGTAGACCTGAGTAACCGGCCGTTCTCTGTTATCAACCTGGGCACAAAGAGGGAAAAGATTGGAGACTTAAGCTGTGAGATGCTCCCGCACTGCTTGCAGTCCTTCGCTCAAGGAGCGGGCATCACACTGCATGTGGATTGTTTACGTGGCGACAATGATCACCATAGAGCGGAGAGTGCGTTCAAAGCCATGGCGGTAGCACTGCGGATGGCGTGCAGTCCGGTTGTAGGCAGAGAAGGCGAGGTACCAAGCACGAAAGGCGTGCTCTTCTGATGAGGACGCCCCAACGACGTTCGTAGTCTACTCGTGCTGTAGTTCTAGCGTACAATGACACTGCAGAGCTGCCGTTGTGGCCGCGTGCTTTTCAACACCAAACCTGAATTTCAACTCGCCGTTCGGTGCAGAGATGTAAACCACTAGTGGCCCATTCGTTTGTCAACATATCCATTGAGCGCCAGTCACCAGGCTGTAAGCACTAGGACCGAACACCACCTCGAACGGTACCAACGCTGTACGCCCCAAGGTAGCCTTGTCAATCATACTCCACGTAACCATATGAACCCGTCCGCGTCCGAGAACTACTCATCATCGCTCTCCGCAGGAGTTCCAGTCATCGAGCTATTACCATTGGCTCTAGTGCCATTGAGCTTCAGCTTGAAGCCAGACTTCTGCGCCGGTTGCGGAGTGCCAACGCTCGACATAGGGCGGGTTGACGCGCCATCTGCGCTCGCATCATCGAAATCCTGCAGATCCGGGTGATCTGCCGTAAGCTCACGAAGCTTGTTCACGCACGCATCCTGCACAATCGACGGTTAGCGGCGAGTGATGTGCCAAGCGAGGGTGCTTGCTTACCTCGATCATGTTAGCATCGTTATACAGCACGCTCCCATCTTCGTTATACTGCCTGCAATTTTTGCACAGCAACCCGATGTCGGCCCGGAACTGCCTTAAGCTCTGGTATTGCTTTGTGTTGATCTTCTTCTCAATCTGCTTCATCGCTATAGGCTCCTTAATCAGCTGGTAATAGTCTGGATAGCTGGCTCTAGGCGGCAGGTCCAGGAAAGGGTCGATAATGCCACGAGGCGGTATATCTGGATCGTTGGACTGCTCTTCAAGGTCCTGCAGTGCATCGTGCACACTGTCCATAATATTCTGGATAGTGTCACGCTCTTCTTTCGTAAGCGTCTCCGCCACCTTGGACTGACGGCCGCGAGGACGCTTGGTCTCCTGTGGAGCCTCCAAGGCAGCATCTTCAGCCTTGCGCTTCTCCGCTGGCTTCGGCTTGCGGCCTCGCTTCTTCGGCGCCGGCGACTCTGAGCTTTCACGAGACGCAGGCGGTGAGTCCGCAAGACCGAAATCGCCGCGTATGCGAGCCTCCTTGTTCGCCGCTCGCTTGGCGATGCGGGCCTGCTTTCTCTTAACAGCATTCTCTATCGTATCATCCTCAGCATCTACAGCGTCGAGCCACTGCTCCTCAGTCAAGCCGTCATCATATTTGACTGTCTTCCTCTCGCGTGCACCACGACCGACATTGTACTCTATCTCTTCCACAACAGGATTCTCCTCGCTCATGTAGATGTCGGGCAATTCGTTCTCGCCAAGCAGGCGAGGCAGCCTGTTGCCAGGTCCGTAAGGCTGATCCCGTAGACGATCGCGGTCAAGCTGCTGGAACACCTCGAGCTCGTAGTCGTGCCGCATCATTAGCAAATTGAGGTCCTCATCGTCCATCTCCTCTTGCTCTAAGCTCTCGGCAGCCTCGGCAGACTCCAACATGACACGTAGCATCTCATCACGCTCCTCATTCGTGGACTTGTTGTCGAATTTACCGGCCTGGATGACCTTGCCATCCATGTCGAGCTTAAACTGCGCACGTTCGAGAATCTTCTCCTCAACCGATCCGGTGGTGATGAGACGCAATATGCGCACTTCGTTCTTCTGGCCAATGCGATGAGCACGGTCTTGCGCCTGTAAATCCTGGTGAGGATTCCAATCGGAGTCGAAGATGATAACAGTGTCAGCGGTCTGCAGATTGAGGCCCAAGCCACCAGCACGCGTGGAGAGCAAAAAGCAGAAGATGTCGGAGTTTGGTGCGTTGAACACCTTTAGCAGGTCCGAACGGTCGTCCGCCTTCGTGGAACCGTCCAATCGCAGATATTTCATGTTTCTTAGTCGCATGTAGTCTTCCATGATATTCATGATCTGGGTCATCTGAAAGAACATGAGTACTCTGTGGCCCGTCTTCTCGAACTTGGGTAAGATCCGGTCGAGAAGCTCAAACTTGCCTGCCGTCCGCCAAATTAAGTCGTTCGTGAGCTTCGCAGGATTCATTTGCTCCTCGACCTCCTCGAAAACGAAAGGATGGTTGCAAAGCTTACGCAGCTGCATCAACATATTCGACAAGCCACGCATACCAGTCTTCCGCCCCTTGTCGTCGTTCACCATGATCTTGTTGTGCGTGACGAGCTGCTTGTACAGCTTCGCTTGAAGCGCTGACATGTTGCACTTGATTACGCGCTCTTGCTTGTCTGGCAGATCCTTCTCGACATCCTTCTTCAGACGGCGGAGTAGGAATGGTCTCAGCACCTTGTGCAGGCGTCGGATGACGAGCAGTTGCTCTTCTTCGTTGAGAGACATATTGTCTTGACCGCCAGTGTTTGCAAAGGGGGTATTGAACCACTCATCGAAAGACTTGACCGACTTGAAGATGTTTGGTAGGACGAAGTTGAGCAGAGCCCAGAGCTCAGGAAGGTTGTTCTGAAGCGGTGTGCCCGTGAGAATGAGGCGATAGCGCGTGTGGTAGTATTGTGTGATGGTACTCGACAGCTTGGACCCAGCATTCTTCATACGGTGACCCTCGTCAACAATCATGTGAAGCCATTTAACCTTGCTGAGAACGGGTCGATCCTTGATGATGAACTCGTAAGTGGTGAGCAAGACCTGGAAGTCGCCATAGCGAATCTGTTGCTGCTGGTTCTTGCGCTGATTCGGCGGACCTTTGTAGACTATGCGCTTTACCGATGGTGCCCACTTCTCGAACTCGCTATTCCAGTTCGTGAGCGTAGATAGCGGCACGATAACAAGATACGGCCCGAACTGCCGCTTCTTCTCGATAAGGTACGTGATGAGGGAGATAGTCTGAATGGTCTTGCCAAGACCCATCTCGTCAGCCAGGATACCATTAAGGTTGTTGTTGTACAGCGAAATCATCCATTGCAGGCCCTTCAGCTGGTACTCCTTCAGTGTGCCGCCGATGAGATTGGTTGACTGCGCGTGCACTTCTTCCTTGATCTTGTGCGCGACTTCGTAGTAGTCGACCTTAGCCTTCGATTCATCTTCGCTGTCCGCCACCTCCTCTGCCTCGCTTTCTTCTGCGGCAACGGCATCCCCACCGTAACGGTTCGTCATCGAGCGCTGCTGCGCCTTGACTGATGACGCAAGCTGGTTCAAGAAGCCATCGGTCTGCTTGAGCAGATGAGAAATACGGCTATCCTTCGCTTGGCCAAGAAGCTTGAGATAGGTCTCTTCGTCATTGGCCTTCAATGCTTGTAGACGCTGCTTGGCGGTCCGCTCGATGCGTTTCTGCTCCTCCTTCTCAATGTTGGAATGAGTCTGGAGCATGAGCCTGCCAAGCTTCTGGTTGCGGGCACGATGTTGTTGGGCCGCGGTACGTAGCTCATCGGCGTGCCGCATGATGGAGTTGACGAAGTCGTTGTGCTTCTTCTTCTCCTTGTTCTCGGCCGCGTCGCGTTGCTGCTTCTCAAGTTTCTCCGTAACACGCGCTTCACGTAAAGACTGCTTCTTCACTCTCCGGTACATGGACCGATTAGCGGTCATGGACAGGTTGTCGGACATCATCATCTCCTTGCCGACTTTCAGCCTCATCTCCCGCTGCTTCGGTAGGAGGCATAACAATTTGTACTCGATTAGAGCGCGCCGTTTGAGGTTGCTGTTGTCTTCGGGCGCATCTGACTTGCTGCTATCCCAGCCGCCGATGGTCGCACTCATCTTGCCAAGCTCGTTCTTCCGCGCCACCACTCTGTTGTATACCAGAGCCTCGCGTTCATCGCGGACACGGTCTGGGTCAACACCAAGAGGCATGATGCTAGGGACCATGTAGCGCGAAGCGCGATGGGTGTGATCGCCGTAACTAATGCGCTTTAAGAGAAGCGAATGCGGGTCAGTGAAAGTCTCGAAGCGGTGACGCGGCTTGCCATTGTCGGACACCTCCCTGCCCTTTCCTGCAATGTCCAATACCTTACCAGCAGTAGCTACGACTTCGGCTGGAGTCGGCGGCTTCTGCTCTTGTTTCGTTGGGAAGATACGGTCCTGAATGGCTTGCGGTATCGGTAAATTCTTCTGGAGATGACCGAACGCCTGCATCTGAGCACGCAGCGTCATGATCTGGTCTTTGGAGAAGGCTTGCTCCATGGCACCATCCATCTGCGCAGGAGCCATTGCAGTCTGTGCTTGTACCGGTGCCATGGTCGCTTGCAGTACGCCATTGATTTGTGTTGTTTGCGCCTGGTCTTCCGATGATGGTGCGGAGGACATGGCCGTTCCGTTCGTCTGTGCCTCGCTTACGACTCCATTCTGTGCCATCAATGCGGCCTGCTGTTGCTGCTTCAGGGCCTGCATCTGCTGCTGCCGGTACTGTTGTTGCTTCTTAAGCATCTCGCTTCGTTGCTGGATGCCTTGCAGTATACCCCTTGCCTTGATAAGCTCAGGATCTGTCTCTGAGACGCCGCGTGCTTTCATCTGTTGATAATCCTTGTACAGCTTCTGGACCTGCTCCTTATTCATGCCTGCTGGAAGTATGCCACTCCCATGCGCTGCGGCGTTTGCGAGCCCGTTCTGTTGGGCCTGTGGCATGGCCTGCGCCGGCTGCACTGCAGCCATTTTGGATCCTATGCGCAGCTCCTGTTGCTAACCGTGCCTGTTGCTAGACGCGCCTCTGCACGTGACAAGGTCAGCGCAGGACAGCCGGACTCGCTCAGCCCAGCAAAGATGAGAAGTGACCGCGCTCCAATACGGTATGCGAGATTTGCAGACCGGGGCAGCCAAGACCGGCCTGTGTCGGCCTTGAAGAGGACGTGTTTAATTAATGTTGTAGTAGAAGGTGTGGCGTATAAAGATAGTAGGGGATTGTTACTCTGCTGCAGGCAAGATACCTTCAGCGCGCCGAGTCGCGTCCGGTATGATGGCGTTCGATGCTAGAGCTGTGTTGCGGGGGGTTTCGGTCGGACTGTGATGGTGCCGCGATGGTGACTTGGGCTCGTACGCAGCCTTGCCCGCAGAAGTCAGCTTGCGGGAAAGCGGGAAGGCGCGTGATCTCGGTACCGAGATGCAGCATCAACCGCACCCCACATGGAATACCTGGGCTGGCCCGGTTGACTAGATACCATTGCCTCTACCATGCAAGGGAAGATATGTGCTGATCGTACGGCTGTGCTTAAGTGACCTTGGATGTACGCCAACAGAAGTTGCTTCGTGAGGACATTGGCAGTACATATGATATATGATTGACTGCGTTCGTGGGAACTAGCGAACCAAGTGAAGCCGCCATCCCAACGCATTACGGCATGCTAGCGCAAAGCATCAAACGAGCTGTATGCAGCCCGATAAAGCCGAGTCGAGTATCGTATCGTACGGCACAAGATGGCCCCTAGATACTTGCTCTTCCTCGCTTCAGGACTCATCAATCGCCACTTGAGCAGCCTCGACACCCACAACTCACACACTGAATCTCCTGGTCCTCTTTGAGCTGCGCACGTGGTACGCGACAAATGCAAGTGCTGTTGAAGTTCGTCTCCTTGGTCTGGATACAGCGTAGGCAGCATAGCTAGACAGCATGTTAGCACGTACACCTCACCATCTCATGCCGAAGACAGCTGGACGAACCTTCTCATATCCCTGTTTCTTCCATTTGGCGATCAAATTGGCGTCCGCGTAGCCATTCTTCAGCAGCCAGTCGTACAGCTGCTTGGAGATGGCTTCCTTCTCGTAATAGAGGTCATAGATGTATCTTGAGCCTAGATCATGAGAATTATCAGTGTCTGGTATTCAGCGCCCACGCGTAGCCGCTTGAGGTCAAGGCGAACGACAGCTCTCACCTTAGCGGCCTCGTGCGGGCAGTCCACGCCTCCAATCTTCGATGTCTCTACAGCGTCCGGATCATCATCGTGGGCAGTACATACGCTGATGCGTTATCTGGAAAATCGGCCACTGCATCTCGTGCTTTTTCTTGCCCTCGTGACTTGCATTTTCCGCATCCTTCATCTTGTTGGAGAACTCAAGCAAGGTGTCTTCGATGTCGTCGAAGCCGTCCGGCGGAGGCTTGCGATTCTTGCCGGTACCTCGAATGGCTGGCATGTTGCTCGCTCTGACGGACCGTACTGCGCTTGATGCAATGTCAGAAGACAATAGTCAGAGAGAAACTGGAAGGATTGCGCACAGTGAAGCTACACATGGTGACTAAGCGACGCTTAACCTTAATTCTGCTCGGAGCTGTTCCCTTGCGAACGCGCCCTTCAAATGTCCACATTGTTCTTACGAACCAACAATATCAGCTCACACCACTTCCACTCTGATACCAGTGATCATAGTACGCAATGGCTGAAGTAGATCACAGGCGCCAATCGGGCGGGCACAGGCACAGTGGCAACTTCAACCACAAACGGAAGAGAGGACGAGGTGAGGCCTGCCCCTTCACGGCGATGCAGTGAAATGAAGCTAACAGAGTGCACCCTCAGAGGACGATGACTTCGAGCACGGCCACCCTCGACATCGCCAGCGGCATCAAGAGCCTCCACCAGGAACACGAATTCGCCGCAGTCTGCTAGAAATTGCAGAAGACCCCCTACGTCTGCCCCACGAAGTTGCGCAGCATGTCGCGAAGCTGACTGCCGACAATTACGAAGATGAGTATGTGCGCGACACGTTCTCCACCGTCGCTTTGAAGCTGGTCGTGGAGCAACCCTTCAAGATTCCTTACGTGGCGGGTGTGGTACTCTATGCAAACGAGCATAACGCAGATATCGCAAAGGATGTGGTTGCGAAGGCTGGTGTCCATCTGCAGGAGCAAATTGATGCTGGCAATTGGCGGGACTTGAAGCTCATGCTAAGGTTCTTCGCGTGCTTGAGCCAGCTGTATGAGACAGATGGCATCCTACCAATTTTGGACGAGCTTTTCAACCGCGCGGTTGATCTACAGACAGCGTCACCAGAGGACACTGTTGGGCCCGAGCTGGTTAAGATCATCTTATTTACTATTCCGTATCTACTGGCATTTGGTGGCGACTCTTCGCTACGAGATGCGGTAAGCGAGCTGCTGGCCAAGACGGACATTGTCGCATCTGCCCCGAACCCACTCGAGCCGCTGGTGGACCCGTACCCAGAGGTTGGCAGCGACGAGGAGAAGCCAATGGCTTGTGCCAGCACTATCTCCCTGCTTCAGCGTCAGCTCACCGACGAAGCGGCTAATGGCTGGCCGCTGAAGTGCATTCCTCGTGTGTACGATCCATCGCTGAGAACTACAGCTGCGAGCGGCGAGAGCGCCGCAGTCAACGGTAATGGTAGCACGGAACCTGCGAAGCATATGTTTCCGAGCATCAACATACCGACACCCATCAATCCAGGCCCTAACCCACTTTTCCCGGAAATATACTTCTCCCTTTACGCCGACCAAGAGATCCAGTCTGTGCCACCGACCACCAGTATCGAGGCCTGCTTAATACGCGATGTGATTCTGGACACCATCAACATTCTTGACTTCAACCGCAATGCAACCGCACGCTTCTTGAACGAGATCGACTGCTTCTGGGCACCTGATACCTTCGTCAAACGCGCCACAGCCTTCGACAAGCTGCGAGACGCGTCCCCAGACAAGCCGACATGGAAGCCGGAAGATGTCACCATTGATGCCATCTTCTCCCAGATCTTTCAACTTCCCATGCCTGAGCACAGGCTTGTGTACTACCACTCCCTAATCACAGAGTCATGCAAGATATCACCTGGTGCCATCGCACCAAGTCTTGGAAGGGCGATACGTTTCCTTTTTCGCAATGTTGACTTCATGGACATGGAACTTGCATACCGCTTCATGGACTGGTTTGCACACCATCTCAGCAACTTCGAGTTTAGGTGGAAATGGGCTGAATGGTAGGCCTGGCTTCTTCGGTACCGCTAACATCAGGACACGCTAACGTCGCGTAGGATTCCAGAGCTAGGGTTGTCAGATCTGCATCCAAAGAAAGCCTTCATCATCGGCATACTAGAAAAGGAGATCCAGCTTTCCTTTGCCAAACGCGTCCGTGATACACTCCCCACAGAGTACCACGCACTTGTCCCGCAAAGCAAGGAGAACGAGGTACCGAACTACAAGTACAACTCTGATGTTACGCCGTACGCCGAGGCGGGACGCGAAGTGCTTCATCTGTTGAAGAAGAAAGCGCCGGAAACCGACATTCAAGCTGCGCTGAATGCTGTCCACGAGCAAGCTCGCGGCCATGGCGTCACTGACCCTTTGGTGCCAAGCACCGACATATACATGACCGCCATCCTGTCCATCGGCTCCAAGTCGCTCTCGCACGTGCTCTCTACTATCGACCGCTGCAAGGAACGATTACTAGCGGTTGGGTCTCAGTCTGAGATGGCTCGTCGCCAGATCATCAGCTCGGTCGTGGAGTTCTGGGCCGAGCATCCTGGCACCGCGGTCAATATTGTGGACAAACTGCTCAACTACACCATTGTAACCCCCATGTCTGTTATCCAGTGGGCGTTGCAAGACCACATCGACCGCGGCAGAGCATTGGCAAACAGCCAGATCTACGAGCTTATCTCTATCACGATGTTCAAGGTCACCAACCGCGTCCGTCAAGTCGTCCGTGAGCGCAATAATATGGCGTTACCGTTCGAGCAAAGGCAGCAGATTGACGAGGCGCTTCCGCGGGAGAGACAAGGGATGAGGGATCTATTTGCGGCGATCGAGGATGCGGTCGCTGGGATTGCTGCAGGAGCGCAAGACGAAATGATTGAGAGGTATGATAATGGCAGCAGCGAGGAGAACGCGATCAAGACGTGGGGTCAAAGGTGGGCTAGGGTGTGGAGGAGGAAAGCTGCCGTTGAGGAGGCCGTAGTTGGTGAAAGTGCGATCGGAGCATTGGAAGCAGCACCTACACCGGAAGAGTCTGCGCCCATGGTAGAGCCCGAGATCGATGACATGGACCAGGTCGCTTGAAGGAGGAGTGGCTACGCCTGTCTTCAAACTGAAAGACAGGTAAGCTATTGCTCAGCAGAGCGTCGGAGAACATCGCCGGAACGCCGCGCTGCATCCATCGGAGAAGGTACCCAAGCGAGGAGTACATACGTAACCCGCCTGTCAAAACAGACAAATGTGACACCGACAGCGGCATGAAACTGTGGTGTCTCATGTTTCAAACTGCCTGACGCCTTCTCATTGGCAGAAGTTTGGCAACGCCGCACAGCGACGTCAAGGTGTGGGCGGCCTGACAGCTCGGACAAGCAGGTGACGACGCTCGCCAACTACCAGATGCGGTAACCCTGGCCCGCGTTTACATATTTCTCAGTAATTGGTCTAACACAAGGATGGCTCATAGTATGAAGCTGAAAATGTCGTAGCTGCGCATCGATGCATCTGCACTTTCGCAAAAATTTTAGAGGTGTCAATTATAGAGGATGCATCTCCGGATGAGTAATGAAAACGGTCTCGCAGGAGAAAGTGCGTGAGTGTTCCGCGAAGAGATAGTGCGAACCTTGCGCCTTAGTTTGATGTTCTGCAGATTCTGAGTTCTGGAGAGACAATGGCATGTTTCTACCGAGACAAGACCCTCCACTGTAAGGTAAGCCGTGCACGCCGCGTAGCGCTGAATATGATGAGCGATTGACAGGGCGGGCTTTCCCTTTACGGTAACCCTGCGGATGGTACTGTAGATCCGACCGATGCAGCCTCGGTGCACTCACCTCAGCTTCCGTCGACTACTGGCTGCTGGGTACGTACACCTAAGTACTGCGGCGATCTTCACTTCGCTTGCCCGTATGTAGCGACGTCGACCTTATCTGATCTCAGTCTAGACCGACACATGAGCGCTCTTTGAGGCCGAGAGAGGTGTTGAAAAGCGAGTTGACGGTCATTCTGGGGCTGGATTGCCACGGCGACCTGGTGGCGAAACCTCCATCACCCTCCGGCGCAACAACTCGCATACAGAAGCAAGCAGAAATGCTGAATCGCAAACGGCGTGGCAAGTAGTAATGGCGCTTCTTCGCCCTTGGCATCCTCGCGGCAACTTAAGCCTGCTAAAATGGTATCACGAAGCGGCTCCACGCCACTTATTGTGACTGTCACTGTAACGCTGTTGCGCCAGGGTGGCGGAATCCATACCCAAGCTAAGAAGAGGTCGACGTTGCTTGTCGGAGGCGTCTGAAATAGGGCGAGTGAAGGGCAGTGGTCTTCGTCTCCTTCTGCTTGCCTTGGACGAACCAGCTTTACGTGTGCCAGCATTTGGCAATACCTGCATCAAACTTGTATGACTGTTCAGTAAAGGACGTAATAAGCCGATTCCTGGCTACCGTAGATAATGCCTCGGCCTGTCAGAGACTCTTCAGCAGCATACTGATTCAGTATGCACGCCGGCAGCACAGGTGACAGCTACGCGTGCGGGCTCAATGTGGAGAATGTGTCGTGGAGGGGAGGCATTGAATGTCACGAAAGGTCCAATTCGAGCCAGATGCCGCCCCTGGGCTCAGGAACAGCGGTATCTTCCGGTGATCTGCAGGGCTCTTCCCGGGCTTGCAGGTATGCATGCTCGCGGAGAGGGGGCCCAGATCCTACACCCATGCCGCAACGCGCAGCTTGACCTTCAGAAACTGTCAGACATCAGCGTAATAGGAAGGAGACAAGGCCGTGCTGGGGTAGAGGAACAGTGCAGTGCCATTAAGACTCGCCAACCAGCATTACTGCATTCCGGCGCTCAGCGGCAGCCATCAAACTCTGACCATTACCTCGGTATCGTAGGGTGTCGCGGCACAGCCCGCAGAGTCTGAATCCTGCCCACATTCTTCTATTATCGCGGGCAGCAAATGGCAGGCGCAGAAATGGTTTACGCATAGGGCTCTAGTACCAAGGTACATAATCAGTGGAGGAGGCCGCGCGTGAGCGTTGAGGTAGCGCGCACGAATGGATCGTCATTCCCCATTTAATCGCCCACGTAACAGTCAGGCCGAGGCGGCGTACTTACTCGTAAGCTGCTGTTTCCCTTGGCCAGTCCTCCTTGCGCACGCTAACGCTCGTCCGATCGTCCCCTCAGCGGCGTTGCGCTAGGAGAAAGCAGCGATGAAAGGTCGATTCCCATAGGCTTCTGATTTGCATTGTCCGGATTCGTCCGTACAGCCCACTCCGCGCACTCATCTACACTGCGTTGCGGAGAGGGAAATTGAGCCGACCCTTCGATTTCAATTACGATCGTGCTGAATGTTCTGCCGTTTGCCAAGTCGACCAAGTGCGGTCTGTGCGACTTTGAGCGAAGCGTAGCAGAGCCATCGAGCGGTTACTGTGCCCAAGCTGCCTTATAAACACGGTCCGCAAACGACCAGAGAGCGAGAGGCGGATTAGACTTGCGGGATCCTTGCAGGTTGGCCTGTGTCAAAGCAGTGCTGCGAGGGATACACGACCATCTCCCCAAACCTTGCACTTGCGCACAGAAGACTTCACGACTCATTGTCGGAATTGACGACACGGATCATCACTGCCCCGTCACGAATCTCAACACCAACTGAACTCTGCGCTCGGGTCGAGCCTTCCGGATAGACAGTTAGCAAATCCTTGGGGTAAGCGCAAGACTGCCGATTCGCGATTATCTTATTGTTGCTATTGACCCTCTTGTTTACCGGGAGCGTTATCCATCTCCCTGCCGTTTATGCAATCCTGCCATGCTGACGACTCGACGCTTGCATTAGGTAGACCCTGGGGCATTGTTAGAACGCGTCTCAACATACCCAGCAGCTCCGTGGAGTGAACGCAATCACATAAACCGCATTAGTTTGATGAAGCCAGGACCTGCACGCCCCGAGGAGTACTAGCACAGTCCCGGCTCCGCGCTCCACAGCGAGGTGGGAGCGCGATCGCTGCCGGCAAGCGCTGCTCACAGCCCAGGTTCGGGACCGCGCCGCTGACCTTCTGTGTGGTGGAGTAAGCCACAGCTACTAATTCGATACCCACTCGGCCGTTGTTACTACTTCAGTCATCTTGATTGCCCAGATCACTGCAGGTACGTTTCCGAACTCTGTCCACTTTATGCTTAACACCTTGCAACATACCCCTCAGCGCACCGTGGCTTCACCCACACACATATTCCAACGCGCGGATTCATCACAACTGACTTCGACGAGAATTTGGCCTTGTCAACCTTCAACATCCGTCTTCACAGCGGCAACTTCGTACATTGCATTAACTCCAACTGCTTCCAGGAACGCCGGTAAATTGCCACGGCGTCGTGCCGGCACGCAACGCTGTTCCGACACGCTTGATGTTGCGACCCTAACCATCGTGCTGATCAGGCAACATCAATGAGCTGCGACGGACGCCATCCAACGCAGAAGCCGGACTAAAAATTCAGAGTGCCGTGTCTAGCCAGACTGCTGCCGCATTCACGCGCTGCTGGGTAGTAGGAATCGGCATCTCCATCGCATTTCCATTTCCGGTCTTGATCCCACTTGGCTTCGAAAGACTGCGCAGCCTCATCGAGCAGACCATCAGACGCGCCCGGAGCCATTAAGGAACCGTTTCGCACTGTTTTATGACTGAGCGCGTCCATCGGCGACGAACGTTGTCATCATGAGCGGCAGTGGAGCGGGACCATTAGTCCCAACCTTTCATGGCTTCGTACATAACAGCATGGATGGTCTGATGCTCTTCGAGGCTTGTCTGAGCGGCAAGCTGCATCATGTACCCCGGCGACCACACGACAGAGAAAGGGCGCAGCTTATCAAGAGCGGTAGCATCTTCATCTATGAAGAGAACGCATCTGGGATCAAGCGCTGGACTGATGGCGTGGCCTGGAGCCCAAGTCGTATACTCGGCAACTTTCTCATCTATCGGGAGCTTGAAAAACCCTTCCCGCCCGGAGAGAAGAAGCGCGCGATGAAGCGCAAGCGTATGACGATACCTGGCGAGCCGTATCCACGACGAGCTTCAGATGAGACGGAGGGTGGAGATCTGACCAGTCCGCTAACGCCTCCTTCGCCAGTTCCTGCCGGCGATGCTAAAGCAGAGGCATCCGGCACCGACCAGGATAAGGAACTGGAGCGCTCATTGATCGGGTCTCTGGTCGATAGCTACGGTTTCAGGCCTGATGGACTCGTCAAGAAGACGATGAGTATATCTATTAACGGTATCTCTCATCACATGGTTTCATACTACAAGGTCGACGATGTGAAGAACAATGTTCTCCCGCGGCCCATGTCAGACCCACGCTTGCAGAACATCTGCGTTCGCCCAGAGCTATACCTCAAGCAAAACTTCCGTGCACCGGTGGAGGAATCCGAGCAGTACGCCATCGACGGCAACATCCATCCTCACCCGCAGATGATGTATTCCTCGCTGGCTGGTGGCTATCCTGTCAGACCTGGACAGTACGTTGGACAGCCGTACGGCCTATATGGCCTTCAGACGACTGGTGCAAACATGTACAACGCGTTGACGGGTACATCTTGGCCAACGCAGCAGTCGCCGGCCGGTGGCGTACCTTACGGCGGCCAAACGGGTTACATGAGCCAACCCTACACACCATCTTACTACAGGACTACGTCTCAGTCGGCAAGCGCTCCTTCAGTGAAAGCTGAACACGACCATAATCCTTCACCAGCATCAGCATTCGCGTCCCAATACAGTTCGAATTATAATGGGATGTCACGATCCGGCACGCAAAGCACACCTACATTGATGCATTCAGCGTACCATACGCCGGTCCAAGATTCATCTTCGAGCTTTGGTTCGATGAGCGCCCATACTGCCCGTCCATCGTATGGAAACATCATGAACAGTCCGTCCACTTCGGCTCCTACCCAGCAGAGCTATCCCACCGCCTCAGCACAGTATGCTGTCCGTTCGCCAACACAAGGCTATCCTATGGCCGGTCCCTCGACAAGTGCAATCGCTCACTCTCCTCACAGCAACGTTAAGAGTCCGCTCGCGGCCACCAACGGCGGGGTGTCGTCGGCGGATCCCAATGCGCATCTTGCTTACCGACCGAGCACGTATCCCGTGCAAGCACCGCAGCCGCCTCATCCGGGCGCGGAAGGCCTTGGCATCGCTGGCGCCATGAACTACCCACAACAACCAGTAACACAGGGTTATCACAACTACGGCCCAACTGGCCAAACGTTCCGCGGCGTCGGTGAGCCGCTGCCAGCCAATGGAGCACATCAGTATGCCCACTAGGATAAGGTATGGAGTGGGCCAGGCCCTGAACTTACGGAGGAGATCCTCTCGCAGACAAAATCTGGACTCCGCGAGGTGATAGTGTCACCAAAAACGCGCCAAGATGTTAAAGAGGTGGCCTTGTCAAATGACTGTGGCCGAGAAAAAGGCATATGCGGCCACTGGCAAGGCAACGCAGCGTGGCCAGAAGGCGGCACAGCCGCCCATGCACGAAGCGACAGAACCGGATCCAGCAGAGTCAACTATGTGGAGAGCATGCACAGTCATGCAGTAAGACGCACGGAAGCGAGCGTGAGCTGTGGCAATAGCTCGAGATTGGAGGGCAAGCTGCACGCGCTTGGTCGCGCGCTTTTTCTTTTGCAATGAGCGATGAGCAACGTGTATACTTGGGGGCTTGTTCTGGTAACTTTATCTGTATACGCAGTAATTGTAGTGTGTCCACGCAGATCGTGCTTCGCAGCGCATGTGCTGCTTGCGGTACGTCTGTGAAGATACGTGTATGATACATATTGTCACTCCATACGCTGCCAATCCGACACATGCCTGGGTTGCAAAACATCCACTTCTACCTCGATTCCGCTCGATACGGGACCTTGGAAAGTTGATCCATTGATTCAAACTGCGGAGAGCACTAAAACTCTCCCGTCCTAATGCCTGCCGCAGATCTGTCGATCTTCAAGGCAGAGCCCGCTGTTTGGCACGATCTAGATTTGGCTCTGGCCGGGGACCTGACACATATCTTACGGGTGAAAATCTCTTTAGGGCCAGCCTCATCTGGGTGGTAGAACATGCAAGAAGCCAGTCTGGACAACAGTGACGGCCAACGCTTTCAAGCGATGATCGAAGTGTTGCTGTAGTAATGCGGCGCGGTAGTCAGCGAGGTGCAGCGGCCGCACGGTATTCCCGACTGTTTGTGGCCCTTGCAGAAATAAGCAGTGTCCTCTGGGATGATCCCTCCGTTTCTGTGGCGGTGCATATGTAAGTGCACGACAGGGATGCTTGAGCTAGACCTCAGAGCATGCGTCTCGTCAAACGGAACTGCTTTGCCAACAGTGCACACAATGGCTTGATGGAGACATGGCAAGTTCATGTGCCTGCAAGGCTACGCTTATACCGAGGAATGTGACAAGTTCCGTATCTTCATTTCCTTGTCTCCGAGCCACAACGTCATTCGCCATCGCCCATGTATGGTCTAGGGGGCTTGCTCCTCGACGTCTTCAGCTTGGCAGAGCACAAGGGAACAACATCAGGTGAGCAGACCAGAGGACTACTGCAGGATGGGTATTGATGACTCGTAGGTTGACCTCGTTGCCTATTGTCGATCAGCGACGCAGATTCGCCGATAGGCCTCGCAAGACGGATAATGGACCAGAAAAGGCAGGTACTTCTGCGTAGCACCGCTCCAGTTCCACTTACCCAAGCTATTGCTGCATCTCTGGGCTAGACTCCACGGCGCCTGGGCCTTCTTTGTCTCAGAGCGCGAGCCATACAATCGCAAAGGCATACCATGTTTAGCTTGCCGTCCGCACACCTCTCTCGACGCCGTTAGCTGTGGAGATGAGGACCGGGCGTTGGAGCCGAAACCTTCTTCACCACAACCACATGCACTGTCTCTACCTTGTCTGTGGCTAGCTGGACAACATCGCACGTGACAGCGTTCGAGTGTATCGATCGTAGCTGACACGTGCAAATATCAGCAGAAACCGGCACCATTAGTCCAGCAGATTCAAGAAGTTCGGGAGAACACGAAGATTGTCCGCGACAAAGTTCGATCCTCGCTGTCGAAATTGACACCATACGAGAACATCTACAACCTGCCGAATTTCCTAACAGTCTCCCGCTTGATCGCTGCTCCAGTAACAGCGTACTTGCTAGTACATGACCACTTCAAGGCAGCCCTGGCATTGTTCGCCTATGCCGGAATTACGGATCTGGTCGATGGCTGGCTGGCGCGGAGATGGAAGCTCCAGACCGTCGCCGGTAGTGTGATCGACCCTATGGCCGACAAGGCGCTCATGATCATCCTGACCGTGACGCTTGCGGTCAAAGGTGCCCTCCCGCTTTACCTTGCAACGCTGATTCTGGGTCGGGATGCCTCTCTCGCCATCGCTGCCGTCTACTACCGGTACGCTTCCTTGCCGGCACCGAAGACGTTCTTCCGGTACTGGGACTTTTCGTTGCCGTCGGCCGAAGTCCATCCGACAACAGTGTCCAAGTACAACACCTTCCTGCAGCTGATGTTGATCGGCTCGACGCTGACTCTGCCGGTCATTACGAGCGGAGCTTATGGGCCAGCGGTGCTGCAGTGGGCTGGACTTCACAGCGGCCTTCTGCACCAAGCCATGATGTACTTTCAGTGGCTCGTGGCCGCTACGACGACTTGGAGCGGGCTCAGCTACTCGTATCTGAAGGGAGCTGTCACCATCCTCGGCGAAAACGAAGATCTGAAGGCGAAGCAGGGCGCTCGCGGGAGAGCAATCATTGGTGTAACATTCGGTAGCGTGGTAGTCGCCGCGGTCTACCTTGCCTTCACTGTGGACGAGAAGAAAGAAGCAATCGGCGATGAAGATCTGCAGCAGACTTGGGCGACGTAAGATTAGCACTCAGTTCTAGCGGTTATATTCTGCGAATGACGCAAAAGATACCGTATGCCACCAAAAGGCTGCATTCATATCGTCGTTGTCGCAGTATGCTAGATGATCGGGCCTTCTGTCACCCGCAACAACCCCCCGGTATAGTTACCCGCAACCTCACGTCTCACCATCCACAACAGCAAGCCTCTGCTGCACGGTCTTGGCCTTCTTGCTGAGACCCTTCTTTCTCTTCGCCGGCGGCCCATCCATATTCGACACCGGCGTAGCAGCGCCTGACGGTTCATGCGACGCGCCGTCCTCAAACTTCCCTTCGCCTGCACAGTATGTCAGCACAGTCACACTTCCACAACCTTCCCAAGCGCTTGCAAACATACCTTCATGATACATATCATCCATACTAACCTCCTTCTTCGCCGCAGCAGCCTTCCTCTTCCGCTTCCCTCCCGCCTTAGCCTCCTCATCCAGAACCTCCGCCTCGCGCCTCTCGATCGCCGCAGCCTGATCGTCATCCGCAAGCCACATAGCCATCTCCTTCGTGCGGTTCATTTCACGACTCCGATTGTTAAAGTCAACGACCTTGTCACCGCCCGCTTGCCCAGAGATGACAACACGCTGCACCTCTTCCTTCTGCAGCGCGCGCTTACGGATGCGCTCCTCGATCGTGTTGCGCGTGATGAGGCGGTAGACCGTAACCTGCCTCGTCTGACCGAGACGATGCGCGCGGTCCATGGCTTGACTATCAATCGTCGGGTTCCAGTCCGAGTCGTAGAAGATGACGGTATCGGCGCTGGTGAGGTTGATGCCGAGACCGCCGGCGCGGGTGGATAGCAAGAAGACGAAGATATCTGGACTGGACTGGAAGGCCGCAACGGTGTCTCGTCGATCCTCAAGCTTGGTTGAGCCGTCCAGCCGGCAGTATTTGTAGTTGCGGTAGGTCAGGTACTCCTCCATCAGGTCAATCATGCGCGTCATCTGGAAGTAGAGCAACACGCGGTGTCCTCCCTCCTTCAGCTCGCGCAGTAGTCTGTCCAGGCGCGCAAGCTTACCAGAGTCCGTGACGAAGCGACGCATGCTGGGTACTTGGATCTTTGTAAAGCGCTGCTTCTGGCTTTCTGGCGCTGGTAGCAGGTTCGTCACCGGCCACTTCGAAGGTGAGATCTTGCGCTCGAGCAACGCTGTTTCAGTGTTAATACTGATCGGATATAGCGCTCTGCGCACCGGGACATTGAAGAACGTCGTCTCCTTCTCCACCAATGCGTTCTGGCTTGGGCACACCAGCTCGATCGGAGGCGCAGACGCAGCAGGCATATAGCACGCCTCAATGACGCCGTAGCCCTTCTCTGCCACAGCTTGCTGCGAGATATTCATCAGCTGACGCAAGTGCCCTTGCGCCGTGACCTCAGCGAGCGGCCTCCGATCATTGCGTGACACGATATTGAGCATGGAGTTGACTCGCGTGAACCCAGCATTCTCCTGCTCGTCGTTGTCGTCATCGTAAGCCACCCTCAAGCGACCAAGGCGACTTTGTCGGTCATCCTTCGCCAAGTCAACAGCACGCGCAACGAGCGTCTTGCGTGCCACGTTCGCTACTTCAGTCGCAGACTGATCCACGAACCGCAACCACGAGAACGCGCCCCTGCGTTGCTCACCGTCGCGGATATTTCGCTCATCCCACACATTCAGATCGGTACTCAACACTCTCCGCCTCCAGCCAGCCTCCACATTCTCAGGCCCAGCGATGTCCAGCCTGCCGGCCGCGTCGCCAAGCATGCCCGGCAACCAGTACTCGATCGGGTTCCTAACCGAATACGCGACCTGCACAAAGTGCCCCTCCCGCATGAAACTAGCCGTCTCGGCGTAAGAGGACATGGACATCGGACTCACGATCTCAGCACGCTCGAACAGATCCGGGTGGTTGCAGACCTTGCGGAACTGCATCACCAGGTTCATCAAGGTCGCCGTGTCCTGATCATCGCCCACCGCGGCCCGTTCGATAAGATCCAGAATGCTGATCTTGTTGCGCAAGTTCGAGTAGTACGCTCGCTGTCGGTACGTCAAATCGCAGAACACGTCCTCCTCGATCTTGTCGCCCAGCTCCTTCTGTACATGCTTCTTCACGCGGCGAAGCATGAAAGGCTTGAGGATCATGTGCAAGCGTCTCAGCTGGTCCTCGTTCAGCTTCGTGTTCGATTGTGCGTGGTTCTCAATGTCCTTCGAGAACCATTCGGAGAATTCGTCGTGGTTGTCGAACAGGCTAGGCATGATGAAGTGCAGTAGCGCCCACAACTCTTGCATATTGTTCTGGATCGGCGTGCCAGTCAGCAGCAAGCGGTTACGGCAATGGAAGCCGAGCAGAGACTTCCAGCGTGACGATTGCGATGACTTGATCGCTTGCGCCTCGTCCAGGATCATATACTGCCACTTCACCTTCTGGAAGTACGCCGCGTCTTGCACAACCAGCTGGTACGACGTGACGAGCACATGAAACTGCGACTCGCGGTTGTAGGTGATATGCTTGCGATCCCAGAACTTGCGCAGCACCTTCCTGTCCTTGGCCGCACCCCAGTACGGCAGCACTTTGATGCTAGGCACGAATCTCGTAATCTCCTGCTGCCAGTTGTGCAGCGTACTCGCTGGCGCGATGACGAGGAAAGGTCCCCAGATGTCGTGGACTTCAGCCAGATACGCCATGACGGAGATCGACTGCACGGTTTTCCCCAGCCCCATCTCGTCGGCCAGAATGCCGTTGATGCCTTGCTCGTAGAGGTTGACGAGCCAGTTGAGACCCTTCAATTGATACTCCTTGAGCTGACAGGTAAGCATCTTCGGCTGCGCAACGTCCATCGACTGCAGCGAGGTCGGGTTCTGGAAGTTCATCTCGCCTTCATCGAAGCTCGCCTGCGCGCCCGAGAGCTCGCCTTCGCCCGCGGCAGCAGCTTGCCGGTCAAAGGCACGGGCACGATCCTGCGCCTCCTGGACGGCATGCTGGGCGTTTGCCATAGCGGCTTCCCGCAATGCCGTCTCATCCTCAGCATCAAAGTCGAGATCATCAAAGTTCGTGACCTTCGTCCCCAGTTTCGCAACGGTGTTCGGCAAATCGACCGTATGCTCTTTGTCGTCATTTCGGATCGTCTGCCCGCTGGTTTGTAGGTCGCCTTCGGCCCCAGCCCGCTCAATCTCATCAGTCTTCACCTTCTTGCCGATGAAATGGCTGTACAACTCGGTCTGCGAGATCAAGAAATTCAACTTCCTCTTCTGCCGGTTAGCTTCACGATCCGCTTCCGCCTTCTTCGCCTTATCCAGCTCAGCCTTCTCCGCAACCTTCCTGCCCTCACGCTCGTCACGCTCATTGCGTTTCCAGAAGCCCAGCATCTCTCTCATCGCTCGCTTGGCACGAGCCGCAACATCCTTGGTCGACTTGTTGGTGCGCAATTGCCACCGGCGAGCCTCCTTCGCCGCCAACTGTGCAGTCTTGCGCGCATTCGACTGCTTCGTGTCGATGCCGTTATTCCTGATGCGCACGACCTTTGGCACCTGCTTGGCCAAGTCACGCGATATCTGCTCGTAGATCTGGTTGTAACCCTTGCTGTCAAACTTGGCCATGCCGTTCAGACCCGCCGTCGGTTGCATGTGGAGCTCGAAGCTGCCCACTGGTGTCATGTCGCTCAAAGGCTCCGACTCCTCGCGCGTAACCAGAGGCAAGCGAGCGGCATAGCTTGCCAGCCTCTCTTCCTCCTTGGGTGCAATGAGAGGTAGATCTTGGCCCTGGTCGAGGAAGGCTTGCGCACCGGCTGCGCGAGCTTTCTCGGCTTCCTTCTGCTCCTTGCTCTTTCTAGCCCTTCCTGTGCCCGCGCCGCTACGTCCGCCTCGCTTAGCCCCGTGGCCGCCAGCGGCATACTCGGCTGCAGTTAGGTCATCCGGGGTCTGATTGTTGATGCTGCCGCCAGTGTAGAAAGACGTCATGAAGCCTCCCTCCAGCGCGACATCTTTATCCCGCCTACCGAGCTGAGCCGCTGGACTTTCGGTGCGGTACTCCTTGGTCGGCGTGATACCCTGCAATCTGCTCTGCGTATCCCTGATCTTCTTGTCAAAGCGTGCAATTTCCTTCTCCAACCGTGTCTTCTCCTCCGGATCTTGTGCAGCCGACAAGTTCTGCAAGGCCTCTTCACGTTTGACTTGCTCGTCAGCAATCGCCTTTTCTCTTCTTCTCTTCCGTTGCTGGTCCTTCTTCCGCTCCTTGTCTTCCTCAACCTCCTTCAAGCGCACCTCGTCTGCAACCTCATCTTCGTGCACTTGTAAGTACGCAGCGCGCTCCGCCTCTGCAGCTGCATTGAAATGCTCGTAGTACTTGTTGATAAGGTTCAGCCGTCTCCGCTTCCGCTTCACTTTCTCGGTGACCTCGAGTTCGAGCGTCCGCTTTCGGGAACTCCTCATGTACTCCTGCTTCTGGGTCTCCATCCAAGGGGACAGCTCTTCCACGTCCGAGAGATCCCGAGCTTGTATCTCATTCCACGCTGCTTCGGTATCGCGGACAGTCAAGCCAGGTGGGCCCGTCTGCGGAGCAATGGCGGGCTTGGCTGGTGTGTTCCGGCTGGCTGTAGCGTAAGCGGGCTCAATAGCGACCTTGTTGGGTGGTGGCGGTGCGCGAGAAGTCTCCGTTGGCTCTTGCTTGACGCGGGGCTGGAGATGTTGCGAAGTGCTCGACGTACGGCTTACTCTACGAGTCGCCGATTTCACCTCGGCCACATCAGGCGAAGTTGTTGGCTTGCTTGACTGCTTGAATGCAGGCTTCGGTGGCGCAGCGGAATCCGATAGCAGGTTCATCATTGACATGGGGTTCGAGGGCCGTGAAGAAGGCGGCGCAGCACTATCGGTACTCGGCACGTGGGAGTGCATGCTGTTGCTTCGACTTGGTTCGAAAGCTGCTACCGGCGAACGTGCGTTGCCGTTAGTTGGCGCAGGATGAGCGTGGCTGGCTATGGACGATGGTCCGTAAGTCGATGCCCTGTGATCGGCACCGTTGCCGTTCACGTATGCGGCCGGCGGTGGGAAGTGATCAAAGGTCGCTCGGCTCTGGGATGATGTGTTAGCGGTTATCTCGTGACGTGCCTTTCAAATGTCGCTCGTCATTGTGGACGTCAAGACATACCTGCATGGGCGAGCGTTCGACGTATGGCGTGCTGATGGAGGAGTCTCTGCTGCCAACCCTTGCCTCACTCGTTGGGTCATAGTAACTTGAGGACGGCCGCTGATCGCGATTAGCCATGGGTGATGGTGGGGGCGGTGGCAGCCGGGATGTATTCGGCGAAGAAGGCCCGCTGTGGAGGTGGTGGTAGTGAGCCGCGGGTGGTTGAGGACCGGTGTTGGAAGCGGAGCGTTGCCGAGAGTGGTATGCGGCATGAAGGGAAGCGTTGGCTTGATGCGGCGAAGTGGCTTGCATGATGGGTGTTCGCTGCTCGGGCGCGGAAGCCGCATGCATCACGTCCACTGTTTCACGTCTAATCGAGGTATATGGTCTTCTCTTCTAGCGCGCCAACGATTCGCTCTTCGCTCATCACGCCGTGGCAGTGAGGGTGTTCATGTGGCATGAGCAGGGCAGAGGATGTATCCTGCCAGCGGTCGATGCAGCGATGATAGGCTTGGACAGCCAAGGGATCACCGTGGACGTGGGCAGCAGTGCCCCTTGTTCCCAGGCGCGTATGCCACTTAAAGCACAGAGAGATCTACCCTCCAAATGCCTTGATGGCGCGCTTCACACGACAACGATGTGGTTGATGGTATACGGCACATCTGGAGGAGGGAGAGATGGATCACAAAGACATAAGCGTAACGACTCGGAACGGCGGCTTGGTTCGGCGGGCAAAGCTTGCTCACTTATGCGCTGCTTTGACTCGTCTCCCTCCCATCGACGTACGTCTGTCAATCAACGCACGCTATATACGCGACGTGTTCAAGTAACTGCGCACTAATCGCGGTCTGGTTTGGTTAAGGCATTTTCATTGAGCATTAAAGAGACGAAAGGATTGTAGAACGTGATAGCGATTGCTTGGGTGGGCGATGGGGCTGATGCCTTCACTGGATCGGCTACTCCGCCGCCGCTTGCATTGTTCTTTCGACGAGATGGCACCTCGCCGTGCACAGACCCCGGCATGCCGCATGCTTCATAGTGTCAGAAGTCCTGGGAGTGCCACACTTGGCTTGACATAAGGTACAGCAAGCGAGGAAGCATGTGATTGAACTTTTCTTGCGATGCAATGCGTAGTATTGACTAAATTCAATCAATTGTACGGCATTGCACACGATGGCCGCGGTATATCGCTCGTTGTCGAAGAGCAAGGCGAACGGGCAGACGCAAGAACACAATGGAGACGACCGGCCAAGGAATAGACAGAGAGTGCTCATGCTCACGTCTAGAGGCGTGACACATCGGTATGCACATGCCTTCAGCAGCACAACTCGCAACACAGACTGACCGTTGTATAGCAACCGCCACCTCCTAGCAGACCTCTACTCCCTCCTGCCCCACAGCCGCAAAGACGCCAAACTCGACTCCAAGAAGAACCTCGCCGAACTCAATGAGCTCGCCGACCTGCACAACTGCAACAACATCCTCTTCTTCGAAGCGCGCAAAGCCAAAGACCTCTACCTGTGGCTCTCCAAACCTCCCAACGGCCCCACCGTCAAATTCCACTGCCAGAACGTGCACACGATGGAAGAGCTCAACTTCACCGGCAACTGCCTCAAGGGATCCCGACCTATCCTGTCTTTCGACGCGAGTTTCGACAAACAAGCGCATCTCCGTGTTGTCAAAGAGCTGCTGACGCATACCTTTGGCGTGCCGCAGGCGAGTAGGAAGGTGAAACCGTTCGTTGATCATGTTACGGGGTTCACGATAGCGGGGAACAAGATTTGGATACGGAATTACCAGATTGCGGAGACGGAGCAAGCGAAGGGCAAGAAGCCCGGTGATCAGGAGAACCAGGAGCCACCAGCGGCTGTCTCGGCGCCGAAGGAAGGTAAAGGCGACACGACCGTCTCTCTAGTTGAGATCGGGCCTCGCTTCGTGCTCACGCCGATTGTGGTGCTGGAGGGTAGCTTTGGCGGGCCGGTGATATATGAGAATAGAGAGTTTGTCAGTCCGAATCAAGTCCGGGCAGATCTGCGGAGGACGAAGGCGGGGAGGTATAATAAGCGGGCGGAGGGGACGTTGGAGCGGAAGGTGAAAAGACGTGATCTGGGTTTGAGGACGGGCGAGGGGAGGAGGGAGATTGATGAGCTTGATGAGCGGGTGCTGTTTGCTTGAGGGTTAAATGGTGTGGTCGTAGGCCAATATGTTGATACGGTATAGCGTGGCGTTGGTGGTAGTGTGAAAAAGATACCCATATCAAGCGCAGAGTGCGAGGTCAGTATATGGAACGAAGCGTCGAACCGTCATGAGACCACTGTAAAGCATGCTCTCGACCGAACAATTCCGCGCTATGGCTCGATCAGATGAAAGTGGTCGCCAAATGCAGTTGTCGGACTTGAGCAGTGTTGCGCGTGCTATATGGCTTTAGCGCAACTCAGCGCTTTCTCTGGCATTGAGGACATGGCAGCAAGCCGTACGCTGAAACGGCGTGATCATGATGTCGCCTCCGGAACGCCGTACCCGTTTCAAGGTATGCACATTCGCCCCTTCCTCCTGTCACCCACGCCTCCGGACTGTCGCTACACCACTCATATCGAGCTTGGGTAGAGCATTATCCGCACCATAGCGCCGAAAGACTTCGCAGGTAGGTTGTGCCTAAACTGTGCCCTTACGACGCCCGAGTTGCCTGTCAATGCACGTTAGCACTTCTACGCCGATCCCTTCCCATGACCACGTTCGAGCCTGACACACCATGTGATCTCGTCACCTTGCCCCAAATGACTCTGATCTTCGTCCCCCGAATCTCCTTCTTGCCCCGGTACACAAACGCGACCTTCTTGCCGAAGTAGAACGATGCGGCTGTCGGGTCGTCCACGCCTTCGATCTTGATGAGGGAGGTGTTGGGGTTCGATGTCCGCTTACCCCGCTGGTGGCAGAGGTGTCGCCCTCTACAGACAAAGCACTCTGTTAGCCCTGTGCAATATATACCCGGTTTGCCATTGCTGTTGCCGCGAGAGCGGGCTGGCGGTGCGGTTGTTGGACTCACTTGACGTAAAGTCTGTGTCCTGACCCTGCCTTCTCGCTACCCATTGTGACTGGGAAATGTAATTGTCTTGGGGTGTGCACCGGTGTTGGTCGATTGAGCCGACAGAGTGGTGGTCGCCGATGTATTCTATACCATCACCGAAGTGGAGCGCAAATTGCGGGAAGCGTGTGTGCCAAGCTTTGACGGCCTAAGGCGGCTACTCGAGTTTTGGTGCCTTAGGACCACACGCAGCCCGACTCGACCAAGATTAGCCGGCGATTCCGCACGACTATCGATCTGGTAGGTGTACATGTAGGTTGACCATCTTTAGCATCACGACTTCGACATTGCACAGGGACTCCTGATAAGGGGCCGATGGTAGTGGCAGCATCTGCTTGCCATTTATCCCGGTGTCGCTACTGCCAGTTTCCTGCAAGGGGCAACAAGGCGCTGGCAGGGCTGCTCGAGCAATTACACCGCTCAGTGTGAATTTTACCGTTGGAGAAGAAGCAGATACAATGTGCCGGTAGTGATGCTGACTGATCCGTTGGTCATGTCGGTCATGCTATCGTTGCGCCTCGTACTGAGCAGATAACAGTAATCCGTGAAAGGCGTTCCCTGCACAGCTCCACTGCTCGTCTCGTTGATACGATTGTTCTGTACTGTCTCCCCTCGTTACTATCGTTGCAAGTCAAACGTGACGTTTGGAGGGGTCCAGTGCGACAAGAAGCTCGAGGGGCTGTCGGCTGGAGAGGAATCGTCTCCGAGCTCTCAACAATTTGTGGAAAGTCAAACAACTCGCGCTGTGGACATCATAACAACACTCTCACACTCCGTCCACACTGCACCGTCTTCTATCCAGATCAGTACGAACTCCTACATCACCATGCCGGGTACCGACACGATCATCCACCCGGATGTCGAGGCCACTGCCGGGTAAGTCACCGTCAATGCTCTCACGCACTGCATGAAACATTACTGGCTTCAATGACGATAATCTTAACTGTATAATGCTCTATCCCAACGAGTGATTCAATGACCTCAAACAGTCCCAACAGTCTGACACTGCGCCCTGCACGCTCCTCTGCCACAGATAATACTTGCCGTACAGTCCGCTTGCTAATGCCAGCCACTTGATAGCACGATCGAACTGAAGGATAACACCGTAATCGTCGTGCTCGGCGCATCCGGTGATCTTGCCAAAAAGAAGACCTTCCCAGCACTCTTCGGCCTCTTCAGAAATGGCTTCCTACCCAAGGATGTCAAGATCATCGGCTACGCCCGGACGAAGATGGACCACGAGGAGTTTCTCAAGCGGGTAAAGAGCTACATCAAGACGCCCACAAAGGACATTGAGCAGCAATTAGAAAAGTTCTGCAGCTTCTGCACGTACATTAGCGGACAGTATGACAAGGACGAGAGCTTCAAGGAGCTGGAGAAGCACATGCAGGAGCTCGAGCAGGGCCAGAAGGAGACCAACCGGATCTTCTACATGGCACTCCCACCATCAGTCTTCATTCCCGTTTCGGAACATCTCAAGAAGTGCAACTACCCCAAGACGGGTATTGCCCGGGTCATCATTGAGAAGCCGTTCGGCAAGGACCTTCAATCGTCGCGCGAGCTTGACCGTGCGCTACGTCCCAACTGGAAGGAAGAGGAGATCTTCCGTATCGACCACTATCTCGGCAAGGAGATGGTGAAAAACATCCTCATCCTACGGTTCGGTAACGAGTTCTTCGGCGCTACATGGAACCGCAACCACATCGACAACGTGCAGATCACCTTCAAGGAGCCGTTCGGCACGGAGGGTCGTGGTGGCTACTTCGACGAGTTCGGCATCATCCGCGATGTCATGCAGAACCATCTCCTGCAAGTTCTCACCCTGCTCGCCATGGAACGGCCCATCTCCTTCTCCGCCGAAGACATTCGTGACGAGAAGGTGCGCGTGTTACGCGGCATGCCACACATCGAGCCCAAGAATGTCATCATCGGGCAGTACGAGAAGTCGCTTGACGGTACGAAGCCTGGCTATAAGGAGGACGACACCGTACCGAAGGAGTCGCGGTGCCCAACCTTCGCGAGTATGGTGGCATACATCAAGAATGAGCGCTGGGACGGTGTGCCTTTCATTCTGAAGGCCGGCAAGGCGCTTAACGAGCAGAAGACGGAAGTGCGCATTCAGTATAAGGACGTCACGAGCGGTATCTTCAAGGACATCCCGAGGAACGAGCTTGTCATTCGTGTGCAGCCGAACGAGAGTGTGTACATCAAGATGAACTCGAAGTTGCCGGGTCTGAGCATGCAGACGGTGGTCACGGAGTTGGATCTTACGTATCGGAGACGCTTCTCCGACTTGAAGATTCCGGAGGCGTATGAGAGCTTGATCTTGGATGCGCTCAAGGGTGACCACAGCAACTTTGTGAGAGATGATGAGCTGGACGCAAGCTGGAGGATCTTCACGCCGCTCTTGCACTACCTTGACGACAACTCTGAGATTGTTCCCATGGGCTATCCTTATGGTAAGTCCTAGTCGTAACTTCGTTTGAATAGTGCTAACAGATGAATGCAGGCTCTCGCGGTCCCGCTGTCCTCGACGACTTTACCGCCTCGTACGGCTACAAGTTCTCAGATGCCGCAGGCTACCAATGGCCGCAGACCTCGACAAACGTACTACAGTCTGAGCAGCCCAACAAGTTGTAGATGGATCTCGAGCAGCGCAGAGACCGTGCACCGTGCAGTCTGGAAGCGTTTACGGGTCTCATCGAGGACTGTGAACTGCCTGCTGTACAGTGCGGAAACGGCAGGATGTTGAGCACGAGGTTGAAAGCACAACGACATGCTGTTGATGATAGCAAGATATAGGCTCGGAACGAAGCTAGAAGGCTTGAGTGCCGGTATATAGATCGTTAGCATCTGAAATATTGTGCCGATGTAGTGGTCCAAGCTTTGTGCCTGCTCGTGTGCCCTTGCTCGACTTCGTCTATCAGCCAGCCACACCTGTGCGCCATTGACTCCTGCCCACTCTCCACATTGACCTATAAGGCGTTTCACGGTGTGCGCTAGGAAAGGATGCGAGACTCGTGTTACGGTATCACTTATCAGTACGGAGACTTGTGACGGTGAAAGCGCGTCGTCAGCCCTACCGGCACCAATGTCTCGCTAATGCGCACTTGATCGCAACAACTTTTTCACCTTCTACATCGCTTCGCAATGGCCGTCGGCCCGACCTCGTGGGTCGGGCACCCGCGCATCAAGGGCAGTAATGAAGTGATGCAAATGGCACTCCTAACCACAGCCGGCATAGGACTCTCCTTCTGCTGGGGCACTGAAATGACATATGCGACTCCCTACCTCCTCTCCCTCGGGCTCAGCAAGACCGGACTCTCTCTCGTATGGGTAGCTGGACCGCTTTCCGGGCTCGTGATGCAGCCCATCATCGGCATGATCAGTGACAAGAGCACGTCGCAGTTTGGCAGACGTAGACCTTTTATGTTGGCTGGAGCGCTGGCGGTGGTGGTGTGTATGATGGTGCTGGGGTGGACGAAGGAGCTTGTGGCGTGGTTTGTGCAGGATGTGGAGGGTGTACGGTATCGCGCGACAGCTCGTGGTACTGGAGGTCGAGGCTGACGTGGTTTGCACAGAGGCGACGCATCTCCATATGGGTCGCCGTAGTCGACATCTATGTGCTTGACTTTGTCATCAATATCTGTAAGTCGGCTTGGTGCGTGCTTGTGACGTAAGCTGATGGTTGCAGCGCAATCAACTTGCAGAGCGCTTGTCGTGGATGCTTTGCCCGTCGAGAAGCAGCAGCTCGGGTCCGCTTGGGGTACGTATGATTCTCCACTCGAAGACGTATGGGTTGTTGCTCATCCTATTCAGCCAGCAGGATGGGTGGGCTTGGTAACATGCTCGTCTACGCTATCGGCGCGCTGGATTTGAATGCGCTCTTCGGGAACTTCCTGGGCGATACTCAGTTCAAGAAGGTCTGTGCCATAGCAGCATTCGCCATGATCGTCGCACAAGGCACCACATGCTGGGCTGTCACGGAACGGGTCCTGGTTGCCGACGTGTAAGTCATCCTTTTTCATCCCACATCTAATGAGTTGTGCGCTAATGCAACAGCAGTAAGGACGTCAGCAAAGGCGAGAGTTTATTCTCCGTATTGAAACAGATATACATGACGACACTAAATTTACCAGACCGAATACGCGCCATCTGCATGGTGCAGTTCTGGTCGTGGATCGGCTGGTTTCCCTTCCTCTTCTATGGAAGCACATGGGTCGGCGAGATCTACTTGCGCAATCAAGCACCCACTTCAGAGAGTGACGCTTTGACAGACGTAGGTCGAATAGGCAGTGTTGCCTACATCGTCTTCGCAATCATCAGCTTTGCGGCCTCGATTGTCTTACCATGGCTCGTACGAAGTCCCGAGGACGACGAAAGCCCCAGGTACACACCTCGCCCGCCCGAAGGTCTCGGGTCCATGCTTGCAAACATGAAGGTTGCCAAGCCAACTCTACTGACCACTTGGATGCTGGCCAATGTGATGTTCTTCACAGCCATGATTTTCGCACCATTTGTGCGCTCTGCCGGCTTCGCTACCGTAGTCATAGCACTATGCGGTATCCCGTGGGCGATCGCAGGATGGGCGCCTGGCACGTTCCTGGGGGTCGAGGTCAACAAGATGAGCTCAACAATACCTCTCGCCAACGGCCTGCGTGGCGCGTACAGACGACCGTCGAATGGATCGATTGAGCTGGAAAGCCGAGTGTCGTCACATTCGTCGCAGTCGTCGTCACACTCTTCACAACACTCATCACCGCGCACCTTGCACTTGAGGCATGATTCGAATGCGTCAAGCGCCAACAACGCATCAACGGGCGAACTCTCGGGTATCTACCTTGGTATACTCAACATCTACACGACATTACCGCAGTTCGTGGGCACGGGTATAAGCTGGGTTGTGTTCTCGATCCTAGAACCGGGGAAGAGTCCTGAGTTAGCGAAGGAGGCACATCCGGACGAACATCACTCAACAGAAGGTGTGAGCGGCATCGCCGTCTGCTTGTTCATTGGTGCAATCAGTGCGATGGGGGCTGCATGGGCGACTCGGAAGCTAAAGACATAGACATCGAAGAAATGCCTCTTGTGCATATGTGCGCCGAGATTGTGCTCTGCATTTCACTCCCGGGAAGACGGCTCCTTCCTACTCTGGGACATGCAAGATCAGATCAATATGCATCTCGTGCAGAATCGAATCACTCGTACGACATGATAAGGCACGTTTGAGCCCTCTTCGAGCGTCTGCCGGTGGCGACTCGGCCTGGTGTATTCATTAGGGGCTCGCCCTGCAGATATTGCTGTGCATTGCAGATCAGGTACGCATCAGACTTGTCGGTCTAGATGGACCCGAGTAAGACAGAGCATGCGGATGGTGTGCAGTGGTCTTTATCAGTCCGCTCGAGATCTTCGCCGGCTCCTATGCACGCTGCGTCGTGCCGGGAAGTTGCCACCATAGGAGCTCGAAATAGCTGCGGCGAGAACGGAAATGCGCAACGCGTATATGTGGGAGGTGAATTTACTGTTATAGAGAGGAAGATTGTCGTAGGTATCAGAGTATATGGCTTTCTGCCAGGTTCGTCAAGCCTCCTATATCATCGTAATCTCACGCGACAAAATGTTGGTTCGGCACAAGGTTGTCGGCTTGGTTACCAAGACCGCCCCGTTGCTCCCACGCCGCCATGAAACGCTCGGCGCATGGCACTTGCATCGGGATCGGCACTGCATTGCGTCAACTGCAGTAAACGGAGCTGGGCCAACCTTATTGCGATTCTGGAGGTGTAGCGCTCTTCAAATGCGCTTTGATATGAGCCTACTCTTACTGGGTAGCGGATACATCGACTCCACATCGTCAGCAGAAGACTTCCTCTCCTTACAGTATTCTCCCATAAGCGGTGCTGGCGCCGAGGCTCAATTATGAGTGTATTTGTACAACCACGGCCTTAGTGATTGGCTGTTATCGTGCGCTGGCAGCCAATATCAAATGCTATTAAGGCAATAAACACAATCTCTCGTGCGCGAAAGCGCTGGGGTGTATGGTCATCATGTCTTTCAGCAGCAATGACAGTTCTTGGGGAAGACGGAAGATACTTTCGGTTGGATCGAATCTGAGCAATGTCGGCGGCAACGACGATGCTGCAAACCGATCGCCGCGGACACTGAAGAAGCTCAAGCATGTACGGACAGCTAGTGCAAGGCTGTTCACTGAGGGCGGTCGTCCAGATATTGCAAGTGAAGCTGACAGTCCGAGATCTGCGACAGCGCTACCGGAATCGCCCAGAGTACCTCGAACATCACTCAGCATGCGAGGCTCTATGAGAAGACCTCCTTCCGTATTCGGGTCATTCAGATCGAACTTGCGGATGGGCAGCGATGATTCTGCATCTGCAGCATATGGCGAGCCTCTTTCAACCACCTCTTCCGAAGCACCATCCCTTGGTTGGTCTGACTGTGGGTTCGATGGAGCAACCCCTGCCAAGACCGTGGTATTGCACGGCGAGGTTCAAACCAGTGCGGGAATGTTCAGGAAGAAGAAGGAATACCTCGTGATTACGGACACTCATATTCTCCGGTTCAAGTCGCAGGTCAAGGCAGCGGACATCTTCAAGGTCATACCGCAGTCTGTTCCACGGAGTCCAACCGTCCGCCATGGCTCTATGCCCTCCATAGGCTCCCAGAGCGACCTTCAGACCCTTTCAGACTCTTCTGGTGACAAGGATGCGCGTGTGCCTCTCCGGCAGGTGGTTGCTGTGCACCCTTTGGAGGATGGCAAGCCGTACTTCGCTATCGAAGTGTGCTACCTGGACGAGGCGGCTGGGCAAGCTTCAGCATTGACATTGCAATTCAACAATCCAGAAGAGCGAGAGATGTGGCTCCGAACAATACGCGACACTGTAAGCAATCTGCGATCCCTCAGACCAGACACCATCTCCGCACATAACCTAGAGACTGTTGCACGTACCATCGAACGGGACAATGACTACGATCCTGCCAACTGCGCCATCTTCAAGGTGGTGCAGCGACAACCAGCATCGAAGTCCGGTGGCCGCTCATCTTCGGATGATCTGACAAAGGTTGCATCGACGGTGTGCTTTTTTGCCATTGGCGTGCATAAAGTGCACCTGATCCAGCTCGAAAAGCCTATAGCAAGAGCCGTAAGCCCGTCTCTAGCGCCGACCACATCTCAGGTCTCCCATGGCATTCTGACGCTCACCGGACTCAAGATCAGTGATGCCGATGACACCTTCGAGCTTACCTTCCGCAGGCCATGTCAGACACCGAAACACCTATACCTGGCTTCTGCGTCAGCATGGGAGATTGCGGCCCGCTTACATCAAGCTGAGAATTACCTTCGACCTGAATGCGGTACCCGCCTGTTCCGCTTAACTGCTCCAGCGGAGCTCGATGAAATTCTACCACCGCCAGTTGTCTCGGACGAGGAGCACTGTTGTCTGGATCGAACCTTGATTGCATATTGTGTGGCGTATGGGGTTAGTCCAAGTAATGTGCGTTACACGATCAATTACGACTGCGAAGACGCGCCACGGTTTGAGCTACTCCCACCTGATGATACTCGACGGCCGCAGTACGGTCCGATCGAGCTCCTTGCTATCCTACGAGCGTTAAGATACAATGAGAGCTTCGGCAGCATATCCTTTGCAGGCATCAATCTTGACAGTCTCAATGGATTGCATGATAACTATGGTCGCGAACATGTATGTTCGCGTACGAAGCGAGGCACACCCATCAAGCTGTCGGCGGAGGAGCTTGGCCGTTCTTGCTTGCTGATTCAAGAAGTGAGGGCATTGGCAGCCTGTAGCAAGAAGGTTCGGCGTATGGACTTCTCTGGATGCGTGACATCTAAACCAATACCATCCATCGAGTGTACTCCGGATGACGACACGCCCAAGAGGAAGGACATTGGCTGCGGCATTGTTGAGGCGCTCTTCCCGCTCTGTAAACATCAAACTACTAATGTGGACTGGATTTGCTTAAACGGGATCGAGCTGAGCGAAACCGACCTTGACTATCTAGTTGGAGCTGCCGTGGAGAAGTCTTGTCACCTTCGAGCAGTTGAGCTGAACCGCTGCGGTCTCACTGATCGGAGCATGGGCCTCATCTTGGACGCGCTACGAGCACACGACAATACACTGGAGGCAGTCGAGATTGCTGGCAATACAGCTCGAATCAACCCTGCAACTTTCGATAGTCAGGCTTCTATGTTCGGGTTCATTCGAAAGCTCAACCTGTCTTATGCATCGCTAACTTCTGGTGATGGCCCCTTCCTACAGGCGGAGACGTTTCTGCTCTGGCGCCTGCAAGAACTGCGTTTCACTGGGACTACATTGAATGCAGCCACGGTAGACGCAATCGCGACGTACTTGGCGCATCCGCAGTCGAACAGTCTCCATGAGTTATATGTGGACAATGCCTACCTGACCGGTAGCGACGTCGCAACCCTCTTGCACAGCATGTCCCGCAATCCCTTCGAAGCGAGAAACTTGCACCTCGATGTTAGCTTCAACCAGCTTAGCAGAGATCTCGAGAAGGTGACGCACGCCATCTCAAAGGGACTTGCTCCGACACATCTGAGCATGCGCGCCATCGATTGGCGGGAGGAGACCCTGTACCGCAAGATGCTCAATGCGCTTGCCGTAAACACGACCATACAGTATCTTGACATGGCGGCTGCATCTCTGCCTGGTGAGGCGGGTGACGACACATGCCGCGCTTTAGAGCGCCTCTTCACCGAGAACAATACAATGGTCGAGCTCAACATATCCGGCGAAGAATCTCGGCTGGCGACTTCACGGTTCGGCAGCGGCATCAATGAAGCTCTTATGGGACTGAAGCACAATCAGATCATGCAGGTTCTTCGCATTGAGAAGCAGAAGCTGGGTCTCCAAGGTGCTAGCACGCTTGCAGAGGTCCTCAAGGAGAATAGAACCTTGCGAGAGCTACATTGCGACAACAATGAGATTCCGCTACAAGGCTTGACTGATTTAGTCAACGCACTTGTCGATAACACCACGCTCATTTACCTGCCAGCCATGAGTGACGGTCGCGCCGCAGCTTTCAAGTCAGCCGAGCTAACGATGAAAAGCATGTCAGAGACGGATTGGCCAGTCGCAACCCGAACGCGCACGCCATCCTTCACCAAACCGCCGACACTCGGGAATCAGTCAGCCGTAAGACGAGGCCTTGCCTCGGTTCGTAGGACTGCTCAGCGCTCGGCATCCGCGTACACTCCCTCTTTTCCAGCCTTGCCATATCAACGGTCAATGCCAACAGCAGACAGCAAGCCGTCGTCGCCATTGGCATTAACGACAACACTGTCGAGGGTCCGCCAGAACTCGCAGTCCCTGTCTCCCGTCAACTCGCAGGTAGCCTTCACCCCCCAAGATATTCACACTACGCATCGTCTCCTAACTGAGCAGTGGGATCGTCAATGTTACCGCCTAGCGCAGTATCTCGATCGGAATTGGTGTCTTCTGCAAGGCATTCCAGCCAATAGGATCGAAGAAGAACAGTTCGAGCGACCGTCGTCGGTGGGCTCCATAGGCAAGCTTCTCGAGCAGATCAAGATCGACACCACGCCACGTGCCGAGAAACAATTGTACTTCGACTCGCCCCAAGAGCTTGTCTCACCACATACCGACTTTTCTGCGGGTTTACAGCCACCTGTCCTGCCTGAGATGAAGAGTCGGATGAGCTTCAAGCAGTTCATCTTCGAAAGTGAGCCAGGCACTCCTGAGTCGCAGGAGGATGCACACGGCATGCTGAAGCAGTTGAGACTTGATACCGACCTCATATCGTTCGACGAGCCGAACACACCCACACAAGCGGCGTTCACTGCTTGAGCGTGCCTTTGACGTACATTAGCGCTGGCGTTTGTTACATTGCACGACAGTGATCTGCATGGTGGATGGGTCGGTTGGTATTGGGAGGCAATGCCGGGACACAAGCGAGCTTTGTACATAACGTTGGGTTCGACTTATCAAACGATGGGCGCATGCCTGCCTGTGGCACATATACCGATATAAGATCAGTTGCTACCACGACTGTTAGCTCGTTTTGCCCACATGCTTCACATCATTGTATTCTAAGCGAAATAGTTTCGTCTGACCCGCGAAGGGCCGGCAGACATCTGTAGCTTTCACGCCTTAGGCAACACTGTCCGAGCGCGCCCATCGCTCGGATTGGAAGTCACGCAACGCTCAGCCCACGCGCCAACGAGCACAACCACTGAACACAATGCCACCACAAAGCAGAGGTACTCCACAAAAGCCGCCGCCGGTGCCGGCAGGCTTACTCTCGAAGTCGACGCCTAACTTGCCAACTCTGCGCTCGCTCGATGCCGACCCAAGTCCAGCAGAAGCCACCAAAGTGTCAACGCAAGTCCGGCGCAATGAGTCTCCTGATATAGTTACTTCACCCTCCGAGCCGGCATCAATAGAAGACTTCACGCTCGAGTCGTCGCTGGAGCCACCATCGCTGTCGGCCGGCTCAGAGAATGACGAGCAAGCCTCGGAAGACGACAGCGACGAGGAGGAAGAGGAGGATGGCGAGGTTTCTAACCTCCGGCCTCCTCCTCGACTCATGCATCATGGCCACTCCCGATCACACACCTATCTTGGCCCATCTGCATTCGCACCTCCTTTCTACAATCGCCCTCCGACACCGCTCCCGCCGTCACCCTCGCTAACCTCCCTCCTGCGCACCAACTTCGGCGGCGCCCACAGTCGCCCAAATACTCCGGACCCGTCTAGCGATGAAGGCAGCCACCATACCACCACTGCTACCGGAACCGGGTCACAAACACCCAATCCGGCCTCCGCATCCGCCTCCACCATCTTCCGCTCTGCCAAACCCATCCCACGTGCCAGCCCCAAGGTACCGACCTACGAATACTATGGCTTCACACTCTACCTCACAAGCAGTCTAGCATTCCTCCTCTACCTCCTCTGGTCATTCCTGCCTTCCGCAATCCTGCACCAGTTGGGCATACACTACTACCCGGATCGCTGGTGGGCGCTCGCAATACCTGCGTGGACCGTCATGCTGGTCTTTTACATCTATATTGCGCTTGCCGCGTACAACACAGGTCATCTGACGTTACCAATGGATAGCGTGGAGTGCATTGTGGACGAAGCGGCGAACGTGGCGATTGTGGATGCGAAGGGGAAGATTGTGAGGAATCACCGGCCTAGCTGGCAAGTGGTGGTGGAGGAGCAGGTTAGCACGAAGGCTGGGAAGGGTAAGCACGGTGGCCACTCGCGGAATGCGAGCTGGAACAAGACGCAGCTTGATGCCGGCTTGGCCTGGAGGGAGCTGTGGAACGAAGGCACGGATGCCGTAATGGATATACCCATTGGTGGTGTATGTGAGATACTGTACGGAACTCACAACGGTTACGGCAGTGATGACCAATGACTAGACGACCTTTGGACATATATGAAAGTACGAGTAGCATGTAAAGTCCTGCTGTACCATCAATATACCCGGGAGTCGTCCAATAACAGATGCTATTATGCGCTTGAGAGTTTGGTCGCCAACATGTGAGGCACAAACCACTCACGTGCCATCTTCGCCCCGCTAGTGGCTCGCCAAGACGGGAACGGCCGTCACACTGGACCTGCGGATTTTGCGCCTCATAGCAGATAGTGGAGGCGCTGAAGCGACATCATCGACCACGACACATAACAAAGATGGGTAAAGGAAAGCCGAGAGGTCTTTTGGCCGCTCGCAAGCTCAAGAACCATCGCCGTGAGCAGCAATGGGCAGATCTGCATTACAAGAAGAGGCTGCTCGGTACCGCCTTCAAGTCATCACCCTTCGGAGTATGTACATCCCACGAGACTAAGCCTATACCGAATAATCGGGAGGATGCAAGAGCGAACATGGTCAGGTTAGAATATGTTGTGGCCAGGCTGACGGGTTCTCGTAGGGCTCATCACACGCCAAGGGCATTGTGCTCGAAAAGGTCGGTGTTGAGGCCAAGCAGCCCAACTCCGCCATTCGCAAGTGTGTGCGTGTACAGCTCATCAAGAACGGCAAGAAGGTCACCGCTTTCGGTACGCGAACGCCATCGTACATCGATGCTTTAGTGGAAGGCTCGATAGAGCTTACAATATTTGCAGTGCCCAATGACGGTTGCTTGAACTTTGTGGACGAGAACGACGAGGTGCTGCTTGCGGGTTTCGGTCGCAAGGGTAAGGCCAAGGGTGATATTCCTGGTGTGCGGTTCAAGGTGGTCAAGGTTTCCGGCGTCGGTCTAGGTGCGCTGTGGAAAGAGAAGAAGGAGAAGCCACGTTCGTAAGGAGCGCAGCGTGCTTGTGCAAGTACAATGGCGTTGATACTGGCATATTACCGGAGGCCGCAATTTGCTTGCGGTTGTGGCTGGGCATGATAGCGGGCAATGAACTTTTCCAACAACTGCGCTTCCACGGATCGGGTACCTTGAACCTTACAACGCACCTTCCCAAAGGGTCGAAGTATCGTCCAATCTTGATCGTCGAAAGAGGCGACAGACTCCGCCTGCTTTATGTTGCACAATGACACCGTGAGGCTTATTCTTACACATGATCTATACAGCATGGACAATCTATCTCATGGTAACCAACTCCTCGGCAGACGTCGGGTGGATCGCCACGCACCGATCGAAATCCGCCTTCGTTGCGCCCATCTTGATAGCCACACCAAACCCCTGCAAGATCTCGCTCGAGCCAATGCCCATGATGTGCATGCCGACCACCTTCTCCTCCTTGTTAGCGCAAATCAACTTATACGACGTCGGACCCTTCTCCTCCGGCTCCATCATTGCGTAGTACATGGCCGTGAAACTACTGTTGTAGATCTTGATGTTCTCGTCGCCAAACGCCTTGCGCGCCTCGGGCTCTGTCATGCCGATGCTTCCGACTTCAGGGTGCGCGAAAACGACCGATGGAATATTGCTGTAGTCCAGATGTGCGTCGGGCTGTCCGCCGAACAAGCGGTCTGCTAACCGCCGGCCTGCGGCGATGGCGACCGGCGTTAGCTCGAAGCCGCGGTCGCAGACATCGCCGAGGGCGAATATGTGGTCGATGTTGGTGTTCTGGTACTCGTCCGCCTTGATATGGCCTTTCTCGTTCAACGCAACCTTCGTTACGTCAAGGTTCAACTTCTCGATCTCGGGACTTCGACCAATCGCCCAGAGACAGCAGTCGACCTCCAAAGTACCCTCGCCACTTTGATCCTTGTAGTGTAAGCGTTTCCAGCCGTTACCGATGTCTTCCAATTTGGACTGCGAAGACTGCTTGTGGAGGATAATGCCTTGTCGCTCGTACTCCGCCGTCACCTTTTCCTGGATCATCGGGTCGAACGTGCGTAGGAAAGTGTCATGGCGGATGAACAGGTGCGTTTCGGTACCTAATGCGTGGAACATACCCGCCATCTCTACGGCGATGTAGCCTGCGCCTACAACGGCCACCTTCTTGGGCTGCTTGTCGATTTCGAAGAAGCCATCCGATGTGATCCCCAGCTCAGCACCTTCAACAGAAGGGAAGTTCGGGTGCCCTCCAACAGCTACTAGGATTTGCTTCGCCTTGATATCGACCTCGCTCTTGTCGTCCAGCGTCACCTTCACCGTATGCGGATCTGCAAAGCTCGCGAAACCGTGCAGATATTCCACCTTGTCGTTGTGCAGGTTCTTCTCATAGATCCCGTTCAACCTGCGAATGTACGCGTCCCGCTTCTCCTTGAAGGAGCGCCAGTCAAACGGCGCCGTCTCCTCCACATGAAACCCGTACGCTTTCGCCGAGTGTTTGATGGTTTGGCTGATGTCCGCCGCGGCCCACGTGATTTTCTTGGGCACACAGCCAACATTGACACATGTGCCGCCTAAGCGATTCGCCTCGATGGCAATGACTTTGGCGCCGTACATGCCACTCGCGCGCCGCGCAGAGGCTAGACCGCCAGAGCCGCCGCCTATGACAAGATAGTCACATTCTTTGGGTGTGGGCGCCATGCTGCTGGATGTGCCGGAGAAGTGGCGGGAGAAGGTGGTCAAACGTTGCGTCGTCCTGGCTATTCGTGAGCCTACCGCTGCGCCGGTGGTGGTGAGGGTGGCGAGACGGAATAAGGTGGGTTGAGACAGCTTGTCGACCTGACCAGATGCACAAATGAGACACAGCAGAATATATGAAAGCTACTTCCGATGAACTCTGAGAAGGTAATATGACGCCGTGATCGGCGATAGGTCGTGTGCTATGCTTGGCTTTGCTTCAAGCAGTGCAGTGCGTTCACAAGAGTCCGGAAGCGGTTTTGATATGTATAGGTGGGGGTGTGTTTTGGAATACTCGGCTTCTGATTACTATGGATGCTTCACGCTCCGACAACGATGGATGCGTGTCCGTTAGGAGCAATAGACGAACGACCTAGCCCGTCTGGTCCTGTGTACGGCACGCTGAGGCTTTGATGAGACTTTGGCTATTAGCAATTGCTGACAAACGTCCAGATGTTGTCATCTCACAGCCGTCTGATGGTGCTACCTCGGCAGCTGTCTTCCGTCATTCAGCCGCTCCGCTAGAGGCGTCATTTATATTGTGGCTTTCGTGGCTGCGGCGCCACTGATTATGTGTCTGCAGTATCAACAGTCAGTTCCTGCTGGAGTTCAAGGCTTTGGGAGCCCAGTCTTTCGACCTTGTTAATGCGCTCGTTAACACCGCGTCTTTACTTACCGCATGATCCGACGCTTGGGTGGAAATCCCAGCCCGTCGTAATACCGACATTGCTGCCGTACTTTAACTTCCGCGGAGCAATGGTAACCCTATCGTGATGGACCTCGTTACGGCAAGGTCTGGACTTGTGCCTTGTTTGTCCCATGTTCCCGTGGCCAGAGGTGAAATGGCGTCTGCCAGTCCAGTAACAAAACGTCATGTCTGCCAGTTCCAGTCCGCCAGGGCAGTGCTCATTCTACTGATCGGTGTCATTGTGCCTGTCGTTGCATCCATCAACGCGCCGGAGGTTGGGTGACTTGTAGGGCCACAGACCGGCGGTCCTGTCGATCCCCCATACATTGGCCAGTCTTGCACACCCGTTACGCCTTCCATCGGTGTCGCCGTGAAGTCGAGCATTATATTGGACAGCCCTGTGGCTTGCACAGGGACGCTCTGAACTGGAAACGGCGTCCAGAACGCATGCTGCGCTTGACTTTGCTCCATAGGCGTTGTCGGGTCGCTGTAAAATGTGGGAATATCCTGCGACGGCGCTTGTCGGTGGGGTGGGCCAAAAGGCGTGTCTGGTTGAGGTCCGCTCGACACGGAGCTGCCAGACTGTCTCCCACTTTCCGAGGAGCCTTTGCGTGGTATAGACGCTGCAAAGAAAGCCGAGGAACGCGGTGATGGCCATTGTAGAGCAGGAGTACGAAACACGGATACCGTAGCTGCGCTTTCTGGGAGCGCAATATCCCATTTTGTCGCCAACGAACGAATAATATCAATGCAACGAGCCGCAAACTGGTGGTTGACCGACATTTGCTCCAGATCTTGTAGGCCTTGCCCAAGGTTCGCTGCCGCATCGCTCGACGGAAGATTTAGAAGGTGGATTGTGCTGGCGGACATGAGGAGGCTGCAGACAAGATGTGTGACCCGCCGGAGGCCATACATCGCTCGCAACGCGTTCATGAGGGACGATATCTTGTTGGCGCAGAAGGTGCAAGTGTCGCGCGGAAAAAGCCCAGCGCCTCTCAGATCGAGCTTAATATATGGGCGAAAAAGTCTGAGGAACAATCAGCACTTGAACCATGCGAGCTTGCAAGAGTGTGCATACTGTAGAATGCAGGCATAATAGTACATGTGCAGTACCAGCACATGTGGCAGGGTCGTATTCTCTAAGCGAAACACACTGGGCAACTGCTGATACCATTCTTGATATTGCGCATACGCTGCAGCGAGTCTTCTGCTAGTAAATCGCTCTTGAGGCGCATAGAACGTATTCACCATATCGCTGGCAAGCTCGTTGAGTTGGCTTAGATGATCAATGAACAGCATTGGTCGTGCTGGTTGCTCGACACTTGGACTCAAAGCCAGGTTAGCATCAATATAAGGCCGCCAGCTGTACGTCTCTGTTCGGTCATTGACTGTGGGTTTCTGGATATCCGCTGCCGTCCGTGGCAGTAATGAGAGTCTTCCGAAGCTCACTGAGCAGGCACTGTAGCACTGCGCGTCAGCATTCAAACCATATACTCCCACAAGTTCTTGGCGAAGTACGTACGTCTCCAGATTAAAGAGGCCCCAGAAAGTGATCTTGCGCGCCTCGACTTCGGGTGGCTTCAATCCGCTACCAATAACCGACAAATGTAGTCCCAGCTCGAGCGCCATGCGCAAACACCTTCCCGCATACGCGTAGCCGTTGCTTTCTCTCCCGTGCGAGCATTCTCTAATGGCCATAATGCCAAGAGCTTGCACAGTTGTCAAGCATACCCTCTCGTCCCGTTCCAGCAATCGTCGCGCCTCAACGAAGAAACCGTCACCGGCTGATGCAGGGTTGCTTGGGTCCGTCCGTGCCGCAGGCCGATCTGAATAGTGACACGCCATTGCCAAAATCGAGTTCACGAGCAGTGGACTGCAGAAGTCCGTCCGTCCATGGCCCATATCGTGCAGAAATAGATCTCGCGAGAAGAACTGATAGAAAGGGTGGACCCATGAAAAATATAGATTCAGTAGGTGCTCAATGAATTCTGCATCTTGCGAGTGCCTAAACCAAGTACTGAAGCCTTCACTTGGAGTAACGCTCGACGAACCTTGCTGCAGATCATCGAACGAGGCTTCGCGCGACTGCAGGTGCGTAAAGGCAACCGAGTCGAAGCTGCTATTAGTCGGCGTCTGCGATAATTGCTGCGCAAAGTCTGCTTCCAGAGTCTGGGGAGCGTAACTGTGCGGTAGTCGTACGTTCGTTCGTAATGACGCTGCGACTTCGTCCATTGACGACTCCCCTCGCAGACTATGCAGCAATGATATCGCCTCGGTCTCTGGCAGGCTGCGCAGCGATGCTATGATGACATCGAGCGCGTCGTTCTGCTGCTGCAGGCTCTGTATGTCGCGTTTGAGGGCACCCTTCCGTCTGTGATCGCTATCTGCGTCGTACGTGCATTCCGTTCGATATACCGCTGTACACGTTGAGCACGACGGCACAGCGCCATCACACTTCGATTTGCGTTTCCGGCAAGGGATACACGCGGAAGATACAGCTCGACGTTTGTTGCCGGACCTTTGCTCCGATCCCGATTCTGTGCCGTCAGGTGCGTTGGGGTCGTCTTTGGGTCGCAAAGGCCGAGGAGGCATGAGCGCGTATGGAATGGCCGCTCAAGAACCAGAAAGTCCCGAAAGCGAGATGGCAGCGTGAGGAGGAATGACACAAGGGAATGAAGTTCTTGAAGAATAGAAAAAGCTTAGGGTGTGTATGTCAATGGAGGGAAAGTTACTTTGAGACGCCGATGCTCAACTCTACCTCTACCAGTGTTGCTGCTGCGCCATAACTTCCTTCTTGCGTACGCGAGGGCGCCACGCTCACAAGACCCGCCAAGGCAGCTGCAAACAGATAGATCTGCAACACCGGATGGCTCGACTCGGTGCTGCAACAGATATGTATTTGCATAACTGCTTGGCGACTATGAGCGAGGCCTTGGCTAAGAAGTGGAGTGGCCTTGTAGCGTGCAGCGAGGCGCTCTGAGGCGCTGAGGTAGTCGGAGAGAGCGGAAGCTCGCCGGAGACGTTACCCTGAAAGCTTGACGTCTCGGGTCAGGCGGCAGGCGGATCAGTTGCAGATTGGCCGCAGCGTGGGATGCGAAGGCTTGACCATCCTGCCCTTACGGCGATCTTCTAGGCCTTACTCGGTAGAAACGGTGCTTGCTTGGCGTTGCTAATATGGCAGTTCATCGGACACTGTTGACTGTTCTGGCGGAACTGTTACCTTATCGCCGTTCGACTGTTCGGAACCGAAGGCGTACAATGCTTTGAGGGGGCCAATGTCACAGTCGACCCTCGACTGGCGGGAATAGCGGCCTCTCTACTCCTACCTAGCCGCAACGACGCCTTTGCGGCGCCGGGTCAGGGTCCAAACAGCGCCTCTCGCCGAAGCCACACTGTCAGAACTGAAAAAGCTTAACTCGATGTCAAGTACGGCGTCATAGCTTCCGGCTTCTGCGCTGGCTGTATGAACACACAATATGCAAGATGTATGTGGCGCATTGTATCGCGGCAAGAAATGTTACATGTATCTGCTCGGTACCATATGCCGTCTGCTAGGCGCAGGCATGCTCAGTGTTTGCCTGCCGCATTGGTGGCTTGCCAAGCATGTTGCATTGTCGGATAACATTGCCAAGCTCAACACATACTCTTGACGGATGCATACGGACCGGAGACATATCACAACATCGCTAGATCGGACCGGTCGGCAATGCAGTGACTGAACGAATGTAACGGGTACTGTGCCTGCCAAGGTGCATGCCGCAGCGCGATGCGAGTAATGCGTTCTAACGTCATACTGCGATTTCGACTCTCCGCAGTCGACTGTTCTTCTTGCTCCGTGTCTCTACCACGCCTCATTTGCTTTACGGGACAATATTGTAGCTTTGTCCAATCTCATTATCATGGTCGGGACAGAGCAGTCAACGAGCCGCCATGGAAAATACGTAATCCTCCGGCATGAACGTTTACGGCAGTCCGAACCTTCTCTCAGCCCTGCAAGCCGCACTGTCTCGAAATAGTGCTTGCTTATTGTGCCATGCAGATTCACAGTCCGAATCTTCTAGTGCAGCAGCGCAACCTGTAACAATGCGCCCTAACCTCACCGGACATGTCACTTGCGCCGAGGCATCAACATGTATCTGTATCAAGCAACCAAGACTTGTCCGACTTAGCAGTATCTCAACCTCGCTCGGCTGCGATGCTTGGCGCTGCCGACGCCAAGCAGTTTTCACAGAGAGTACGTTCATGCGTTAGGTGTTTCAATGAAGCTGTCAACGTGCTGCAGGGTAGCTCAACGCTGCAAAGCAGACGCGCCGCCGCCGTGTTTGTGTACCCCTACCGGCGAAGCTATTTTATTGTGAGAGTGGTCATGCATCGGCTCACACCGTTAATATCTCAGCTAAGTGTTCGGTCGAAGGGTTCGTCAGTTAACAAAGTTTGCATCAGCCCGCCTCCTCCGCACTAGCTATGCACCTTATCTCGATAGAGTCTGTTCCTTCAAGGAACCTTGGCAGGTACTGCTCTGGACAATTGTGCTCCCCACGGGCAGCCAAGATTTGCCAATGTCTGCTCTCAGTTGTGTTCCGTCCGCCTTAGGCTTGCACCAAAAGTGCGACTTGGAGCCACAAGTACTTCGCAGTATCCGATAGCTGTTCAGCTTCGAGTGGACCGCTCCAGACCGCATAGCAGAAACTTCCTTCGCGGCTAAATCGTCCTAGCTGCTACTTGGCCCGGAGACGACTCCGTCATGCCGTAGGTCGACGCACACGTAGTATGCCGCTGCGCATTCTGAGTTCCGGCGGGGGGACCACCATCGGTGCTCTAGACGAAGCTACTCGTGTGCTGCAGACCCTGTCGGGCGGCGAAAGCCGTCCCCGCTTGCTAAGACTTCCCATATTCAGATTAGGCGTTGAGTTGTCCGCCTCTGTCTTCAGAAGAAGTAGACCGACAGTGATGTTGGGGGAGCATTCGCGCAAACGGGCAGGTCTGTCCGAGGTATCGCCTATACTTGCCATCTTATCGAGGCGTGAAACGCAGTCCTTTGCTTGGCTCCCATCGGCCATCTACAGCAGTTGCGCCGTTCATACCGCCATTCGTGCCAGCAGCAGCTTTTGGCCCGGCAAACACCATGGGCATGCCTTGCTGCCAGACTGTCTGCGGGCTCTCCTGCACGGCAGTAACAGGCGGAGGCTGCGCTTGTGGGCGCTGAGGCGTCGGGGCTGCGATGGCCCCTTCAACCATTCTGGCGGTGGGTGGTACGTGCTGCTGTGGTTGGGGCTGCTGAGTGCGTGCTTGGGCGTTCTTTTCGGAAATGAGACTCTGCTGGTTCTGCTGCTGGAGATGCATGCCTGCCATTGCATTCGACAGATCCGACTCGAGCGCTTGCCCTTCGGTGCGACGGGTATAGACAAAGTTTCGACATTCATCGCGAAAGCGTGTCACGATGGCACCCAGGTCGTTGTAGAACTTGCGACCCGTCTCGAGGTCGCGAACAATCTGTGTGTAGGCGGCGTATGCGTTCTCGAGGTTTTGCAGAGCTTGTTCGCGTTCACGAGATGATTGATCGCCCTGTCTCGCAACTTGGAAGGAATGGCTTGCAGATCGTATTCGCTCGGCCAAGGCAACCATCTCGGCGTCCTCTTGTCTCAAATCGTTTTGATCCGAATCGTATCTCTTGAGCCGGTCGTCGAAGAGATGCTCGAATTGCGAGGCTGTAATGGGTTGCATTGGATACTCGCGTTCCAAGCGCGCAGTTTCACGCAAAAGATCGGGAAGGACCTCGTCTTCATTCTTCTTCGTCTTCAATGCCTCGACCCTTTTCCGCCTTCGGCTTTCGAGGCGGTTAACTTCGTTCAGAGTGCCACGTAGGTTGTTCGCTTCCCTCTCCACCTTCGCCGTCATAGTTGCACGGCTGCTGCTCGGCACGTAGTCCTCCAGATCTCGATCGGTGCCACCCAGTAAGCGGATCAAGCTTTCGTGTTCACGAAGTCTGCTCTGCACGAGCTCATCGCTGTTGTCCGCTTGCTTCAAATACCCGTTAATCTCATCGACCTGTGTATACAGCTTTGGGAGAGCATCCTTCGCAGCTAGGCGTGACCACCGATCAGTACCGAACTTCCGCCTCGCCGCCTCATCTTCGCCCGCCTCTGTACGGAGAAGATCGACGCCATCCTGATACATCGCTCTTACGCTGGACTTCAATTTCGCTGTGTTGGCAATGGTGTCGTGCAGCCGATGCACTCCACCATTCTGTCGCACCTCTTCCGCATGACTCGCCAAACCCGGAGGCAGGCCTAAGGGTTTCTCGAGCGCCTGCAATGACCCCGGCAGGCTCAAACTCGCTAGCAGATCTTTAATACGCGCAGTAATCGCTTCTAACTCCGCAATAATAGCTTGATTAACGAGCCGATCGCGTCGATCTGCATATATTGACGCGGCGACGTGAACACTGTACGGCACCAGTTTGGCGAAGAGCGGCTTTCCAAGGTCTCCATGGTCACCAAGCATTTCTTGTGAGTGGCTGATTTCCTTTGGTATCTTGGCAGCCACCATGCTTGCCCTGTCTAGCACTTTCAGCTCGGACTTCGATGGCTCTGGGATCAGGTAGATAGTGTCGTTGTCTTTCTCAGCCCGCTTCAAGTCCTCCGAAACCCTGCTTCGCAGGCCGTTTAGATCGCCGAGTACTGCCCTATTGATCCACTTGCTCTCCTTCAGTGCCTCGTTCACGCAGCTGAGGCTGTCTCGCAGTCTGGCGACTTCCTCGCCGTACTTTCTCTTCTCCAAGCAGTCACATGCAGCACGGTATTGCGCCGCGGCAGCGAAGTGGTGGTGCTTAGCGTTCATGTGGTGAATCCACTCGCTGTTGACACTCGCACTCTTGAGAGCCCAATCTGCGGCTTCGCTGTACAAATCGCTGACTTTAGCTGCCAACTTCGCTATGCTGGCGTCCCGGAGACCGTCCTTGACTGCTTTCTGCCAGAAGCACTCTTGCGCCTGCGCCAACATGAGAGCCTGCAGTGCTTCCAGCGTTAGACCATCCATATCCTCCGATGGACTGCTTCGGAGTTCTGGCAAGATGACCGTCTTGTGGTGCTCCACAACACCTGCAGCGAAGCAGAAATTGTTCGCGGCAGCTTTTAAACCGTCCGCAGTAGCCCGATTCGAGGAGAGAGCAAGCTGCGAGTACATCGCCGCAAGATTAAACAGCACGTTCGCGAGCTCGAAACGGATATTGTTCTCAGTATGGGCCTGGTTAGTATGATAGCCTAATGATGGATACCATGTGAAGTCTGCGCCAATCTAGATTGTCGTCAGCCATTGGTTGCTCCACGCCGGCCAGGACATGACACTCGAGTAGGACACACGTCAACCGGAAACTTTCCACTCATATACACTAGCTGCGCCGCATATTGCTGCAATTTGCGCACTCCGCTACTGTGCGGTTCGAGAGCGTTGACAGCATCCTTCCGTAACTGATCAATCACTTCAAGATCCCTGGCGAAAGTATTAGGGTGCTGGTCATACTTCGTCTCGATATAGTTCTTGATTGGCTCAGACAGCAGGAGACTGTGCGTTCTTCGAAACGGGATCTGGAGGATGTTGCCGCTCTGCATGGTCAGAGTCGACCAGCTGATCTCCGCTGTATGAGCCACCTTCGCCGTTGCTGTTGGCTCAACGCCCCAGCATGAGCTCGAATGTCGTTGTTGATGACAGCTTCAGATCTGTGGCGGAGGGTCTGCGGAGAGCACGCCAATCTACAGCGGGAAGGGGCGTGCCGCTTACGGCCGAACCGCATGGAGCAGAACGCCACATCCGCGGCCGGCTTCATCACTGCGCTGCATCCGGCGCAAACTTGCTCATTACTATTGACATCAAAACACGCTTCTGCAAGGTACCACAGTAGCTCGCTCAGTCGATCCGAGGCCAAGTACCTGCACTACAATTCCCGTCCTAGGAGCACGCGATCTCTCATCATCTCGTGCTGACCGCTCACTACTGCCGATTACCAATCGACCCAGGGTGCTAACTTCTGTATTTACCTTCCTTTCACATCAACCCGTCTCCCTCGACAGTACGCATTAAGGACGCACCATTATCCGATATGGCGGAGCACAACTACACGTTCAATGTTACGATGACCTGCGGCGGCTGCTCGGGTGCCGTGGAGAGGGTGCTGAAGAAGCTCGACGGTAGTCTGCGCGCAGTCTTTCCGCAACGTCCTCCTGCTGACGATGATGACAGGCGTCAAGTCATACGATGTTTCGCTCGACACACAAACGGCGATAGTGAAGACCGAAGAGAGCGTCGGCTACACCACTGTGCTGGAGAAAATCAAGAAGACCGGTAAGAAAGTCAACTCCGGCGCAGCAGACGGCGTGCCGCAGAGTGTATGATCGGTCATGGCGGTCGCATACGTTTACCTTGATTCAGCCGTGGCAGCATGCATTCTGACTCAGCCGTGGCGTTGGATTGTGGCATGGCAGGTTTTGGGGACATATCGGATGATGCAGACATAACATGAATCAATGACTGTCAGCATTGCAGCCTTTTTGAGTTGTAGAAGCCAATACAGTGCTGCTGTTGTAGTGCGTGTCTTGCTCACACTTGTCAACCTGAGCCCGCAAGTCTTCTTAGGCTATTTTACCCAAGGTGTCGAGACACCCGCCGCCCGTCAGAGCTGCACGTGTTCGGAATGCTGACACGGAAGTCGGACGCTTGAGCATGATCAAGGATAATACTGGCCATTGTCACTGGCACAAATCGATTACATAACAAGACAACAAGCTTTTCCTCAAAACCGAGCCTCGACTTTCTGCTCTACATCCTGCAGGGCCCATTCGCTTCTCGCCTTCTTACTCCGAACGCGGTCCACTTGGCTCTTGGTGAAACCCTTGGCTTCCACTGCAGGGTTGTAACCAAGGCCATTCTTCTGACCGATCTCTTCACTCGACATGGACGACGAAGCTTTGCCATCAGCCCTCTTGTAGACCGTCACTACTGCAGCGCCGCCGAGGCCAAGGTTGTGCTGCAGCGCAGCGGTCGTACCCTGAACCAAGCGATTGTTCGCCCAGCCACGGAGATGCCATACCAGCTCTGCACACTGTGCGATGCCACTCGCTCCCAGAGGGTGGCCTTTACTGATAAGTCCGCCAGACTGTGGAAAGCTCGTTAGCTAGGTGAGTTCCTGGCGCCAGCACTACAGTGCTTACCGGATTTATGACACGCTTGCCGCCGTAAGTGATATCGCCTCTCCGCACAGCCTCATGGGCTTTACCGTGCTCGCTTAAGCCGAGTGCGTCGATCACAATCATCTCGTTGGCGCTGAAGCAATCATGCAGTTCCACAACCTTGACCTCGTCAACGGTTACACCGGCTTCAGTAAGCGCATTCCTACAAGCAGTCTTGTTCATTTCGTAACCCATCAAGTCAATGGCCGATCGCGAGAACAGACTGGCGCCGTCAGTACAGAGTGATTGGCCGGCAATCAGTATAGCTTGATCCTTGAGGTGCGGTCGCTCGTCCAAGAAAGCCTGCGATACAAGGACGGCCGCAGCTCCGCCGTCGCTCGTAGGACAGCATTGCAGTTTCGTAAGCGGTGCGTGAATCATCGGTGCCTTCATGATCTGCTCAAGAGTGTATTCGTCCTGGAACTGGCTATACGGGTTCCGCTTGCTGTGCTCATGGTTGACACGGCCAATTTCAGCGAAATCCTCAGCCTTGGCACCATACTTCTCCTGACGATTGATGGATAGCAAAGTCAGCTACGTCTCGGACAAGCTCGAGGAAACCCTTGTAGCGCTCAACCTACCATATACTCACGGCCCGCATTGCCGAACATCTGTGCCGCGCCTGGAGCGTTGGTGATGCCGCGCGTAGCTTTCATCATCTCCGCTGACGTTCCAGTAGGATTTGCACGGTCGTTGAAGAAGGATTGCAGAGAGCCAGGGAACATCTTCTCAAACCCCACTACCAGCACAGCGTCCGCCATTCCGCCAGCAATCATAGTCCGAGCAAGATGGAGGCCTGTGGAGCCAGTGGAGCAGTTGTTGTTGACGTTGTAGATGGGAATAGTGGTCATCCCGAACTGGTAGAACACACGCTGGCCACATGTGCTGTCACCGTAGCAGTAGCATGCGATACCAGCGTCGATCTGGTCGTAATTGACTTGGGCGTCCAGCATAGCTTTAATCCCAGCCTCGAAGCCAAGCTCGGTGTAGTCTACCTTGCCACGAGGCTTGATGAACTTGGTCATACCCACGCCTAGCACATAGCAGGGTGCCTTCTGCTTGGGCGCCATGTCTGCGGGTTGCAAGGCACAAGCGTTGAACAATATATTTCGGTATGCACGCTTGTATTATTGATTAGCGCGGTCAGTCCTGTCGTCTTCCTACTCCTGGCAATGGAGTGACTGAGCTCGAAGGGAGGCGTTGCCGGATCAGCATGTTTGTATTCGAGACTTGTGAGCAGCGGGGACGCTACCTCGGCTGAACTTCCAGCGATTCACAGTCGTAGGGTATGCAGAACCCCGCCATGCTCGGTTCCCATCTGGTCAATCGGTAGCCTGTTCGACATACCAAGAGAAGATGTTGAGAAGCAGAGTGACAGACTCATGTCGTGAACAGTCCCACCGTCGGGTTCAAACTCGTAGAATGGTAGACCCACCTCGGTTCGCGGCCAAGCTCTGCATGTTACACATTCACGCAGCGCGTCCGAATGCGCAGAGAAACCATGCTTTAGAACGAGAGCAGGGCAGAGTCATTTAAGGAGCGCCACATAGCACAGCTACGAAGCAATAGCTGTGAGAGACAGTGGCCGGAATGTCGCCATGGGAATCCACGATGATAACTGAAACGATGTCCTTCGCGACTTGAGGAGGACGCCTTGAGGACGGATGGGTGGTAGTAGAGCCAGTCCGAATCAACCGACTTGTCCACTGTAAGTCCGCAATGGGAGTGAGCGCCCCAGGAATGCGATGGTCTTTCGTCCAGTAATGTACAGAAGGAGCGATTTGTGGCGAGTCATGTCTCTCTCATCACCCAAAACGGATGCAAGAACTGACTCCGGACGCTTGGACCTTCGTTTCAAAGGGGTAGTCAGTCTTCCATGTGTGGGGATGTCATTTCGTTTGTGTTCGGCGTCCGCGAAGCCACCTGCACACATCAGAGCTGAAGTGTCTCAGGGCTGCTAGTCCCTTTCCGATCACGCCAAATCCGCCAGGTGGAGGTGGGTTCGCCTTGTCCGAAGTTTGGAAAAGGTGACAGCGGTCTTCCCGCCGTCAACCACTCTGACTGGAGGATGGACCTTCGACAACACTTCGTAGCGCAACTCTTGCCTGCTCGTGAGCGTCAACCGAATGATGTTCGCAAGGGTGCTGTTTGCGGAAGAGTCTTCTAGCAGACAACATTACGCTACCTGCTATGGTATCTTACTGCAAATACACAACCGACTCCAGACCCGCGGGAGGTTCCTGAGCGTGAGCTGCGATGTGAAGTGGCGGGCTGGAAAGCAGCCTTATTACCAATGCATCATCAGCACGGACATGGAAGTGTCTGTCGTGCCTTGCAACGGTCAGGTCCATGTGTAACGGTGTTTCGCATGCGACCGAAGCTACGGACGACGGAGCCCCTTCCGAGTCTAGAGTATCGTGGATTCGTGCTGGACCAACTTTGTGAAACACCCCTGCCGCCCTCGCGTGTTCGCCGGGCACTACAGTGAGAGGTCTCCTGTTTAGGGTGACCTTTTGCAGATCGGGTCTGGATGATGGCGTGGTTGAGTATCCTGCCTTGGCTGCATCTGGAAGCCCTCACGATCCACCAACGATCTTCACCGGCCAATGATGTGGTTCGCTCTCGCACGGCGTTTCACGCCACGCAGACATTTGCGTGCGCGCAAATGCCATTCACTTGGCAACGGTCAGACAGCCACGGTTCGTGGAGGCACCGTAGGCGTTCGCCCTACCAAGATTCAGTTCGAGGCTATTGTTGCACTGAGATAAGGAAGGTGTAGGTTCCTCTATATATGTGGCCACAGAATGCCACCCTCCACGAACTTACGCCTCGCACGAACAAAGTGTAACAACCAAGCCACCACAACCACAATCCATATCAGTCCGCCATCGACACATCCTACACCAACAACTTGACAGACAGCTTATGGACCATCTCTGCCCTCGTGCAACATCGCCGCTCCTACCTTGCCTATCATGTCTCTCCCAAGCGACTATATCACCGACAACGATGACACCTGGAGGCAACGAGCCCAGTGTCCGCCGTCCAAACCTCTCCAAGCTCCCTTCAAGCTCCGCAACGCGATCGACTATGACCTCGTCAGCGAGAAATCAGCGTCACAGACAAGCATCAACAGCTACCCACACTATCTACGAAGATCCGTCCACGACCACCGAAGTGACAGAGCTACTGGCTTCGTACAGCCCTTACCGAGCCCACCGCCACCAGCCTACCGTCCTGCATCAGAGGAAGGATTCGGCGACGGTCCCTGCACGCCTCCTCTCGACAAAGGCTTTAACACGGTGGCGTCCAGGGCGCCGCTGAGACCCACCCTGCCAGAATCCAAGTTATCGTACTACTCCATCTGCAGTACCACATCAAGCGAGCCTGACGAGAAGTCGAAAGCCCTTGATGCACTGGACAACCGTCAGCGGAAGGTGCGGAAGAAGGCGAGCGCTGTAGTGTTATCTTTCATTTGTCCGTGTGTTCAAGCGAGGCGCTGAGAAATTTGGGATGGCGAAGCGGATGGGTCATATGTATATTGGATGGGAGCTTGACGACGACACGATGGATATGGGCATGGCACGGCGTCGTTCGATTACTATCTACGACTGTGCCGGAAGGCCTGAGGATTTATGGGATGGTTGAGAAGGCTTAGGATCTACCTTTCTCATCACCGGGCTTTGTAGTATAACAACGTGTCAATGCGTATGTGGTAATACCATCAACATGGGTTTCCGTCTTTCTGCGCCACTCAGCTGCAGGGCATTCAAAATAATGGCTTCTGAACCGCATTGCGCACAAGGTTCTGCGCAAACGGCAAGCTCATGCCGAGCATGAATGCTCGAGGCGAGCACTGAGAATTAAGAAATTGCCCGCGTGCGCGGTTCACATGTGAATGCGCTGCGGAGCGGCTGGCGGAGACGACCAAGCACAAGCGCAATTTCCTCTCCAACCTTCCAGCCTCTCCTTTCATCTGTCCTCGCGCCTACCTACAGCTCCATCCAAAATGCGAACAGTGCATAGCGTCAACATACGTCTCTTCTTCCATCCAGAATTGCGAACTTGATGAGAGGCGTTTGCAGCGCAGCAACAAGCTGATAACCACATATTATTACCGATGGGTCACGGGCTGTCATGTCAAGAAGACATGGAGCGCGATCAGTGGAGCAGCATCTGCCATTGCTTAGCCTACTCTGTGGTCACTGTTATACTGATTTCTTGTTGTTACAGTCGTAGCATCGTCAATGGTGCATAGCAGCACCGCCTACCCTTGCGTGTACCTCGCCAGCGAGCGGTCACGAGTGTCTCCGCAAACTATATCTGCCAGCCTCCAACGCCAGCATATGTACTCATGTTCCTGCGAAACAAACTAGTCGCGGACGAAAGAGCCTGTACATCGAACGTTACTTCTCCTCAGCTCCAGCAACCGCAGCGGCAGCAGCATCTTCCTCTTGCTCAACGCTCAGCATAGTGTTGGCTGAGCTCGAGGTAGACATCTTGCGCAAGTCATGCATCTCAGCACGATCTGTGGTCTCCGGCCCGTGGAGCTCCTCGTCATACTCAGCAACCGCCTCAGGATCAACCGCTTCGAACTTGGTCTTCAATGGAGAGTGACCGGCAGCTTTGGAAATACTGTTGGTGCGGCGACGTGGCTTGACAGTGTTGTAGTCATAGTCCTCGAGCTCGGAATATCCGTCACGGCCCCTGTATGAGCTTGTGTCAGCTTGTCGTCCGATGTTGCTTGCATCAGAAGCTGGAAAGAGGAAGATCAGGGGCATACCAATTGCCTTTGCCACCACCTTGCTTCTTGGTCTGGGATGGGTCGTTACCGGAGTATCCTGCCTTACCGAAGTAGCGAGGAAGGTGCTCCTCTGGCGCCGCGGTGCCATTGGCGAGGCCCACGTGGTCACGATCGGTCACTTTGTGCGTGCGAGTCACTATAGCATTTTGTTAGCATAAGCACTGTTCGACAGACACTATGGCTGTTTAGGATATGATGCTGACAGATACAGCTTCGAGAGCTATAGCTCGTCATCTTGCCAACGCAGCAACATGGGTAGGTCAACTCACTGATTGCGTCAAAACGTGGCGTTGGGGCGTTTGGGTGTTGTGGTTGTTATTGTTGTTGTTGTTGCTGCACTACCTTAATTGCCCGATTGAACAAAGAATGAGACGATGGAAGAGAGAGCTGTCACGCGACTCCTTTCTTCGGCGACGGGCGGCGCGTGACGTCGAATTTATGGGTACCTGCAGTTGCGGCAATGGCACTTCTTTGGCCAGACTGCTCGTTATCAGTCTCCGAAGATAGCCTTATGGAAGATGAGACGCAATGGTAAGCAATTGGCATCGATGTAGCAGTTGGAATAGAATGAGATGGAAGCACACGAGCAGTTCGATGGGTATGGCGGCGGGGAAGGAGCTCCCTAGTAGCTGAGGAACGCATGGCTACATGATTTGCCCACTGCTCGGCACTATAGGTACGTGTATACTCTCTAGTACACGTACCCCTGGACTCCCTCGTTTGGTCGCATATCCAATCCCGTGGAGCTGACTCCGGCGTGGCTGTCGGAATTGTACTAAACCGCTGATGTTGCGCTCGCTTGGTGAGCTAAGTGTCGACTATTGCCCTGCCTCTGCAACCGAATGGTATGTACAGTGAAGGCACCTTATCATCAGTCTGTGCACGTATCAATTCAGTTCCGAGGTGCTAAACCTTGTGTACGCTGCAGTAGCGGTTGAACGAGCAATACACGAGATACAGCAACGACGGCGGACAATGAGCACGCGACAAGGCTCGCTACCCCACAGGCACTAATGTAACGGCTATACTAGCGTAAAGCACGAGCCCGAAAGCATGGAACTCAGTGGTTGCAGCCTTCCACTCTGACAGGAGTATCATCATTAGTCGTGAAGTATCGGCTGGTCTATGTGAACCGCACTGAGCATTTCTTCGAGAGAGCCCGCCGTCGTTCCTGCGCGTCAACGTCCAATGAGTAGAGTTCCTTGTGTTCACATCACGCCAATCGATAGGCATTGATGAGTTTCACCCGCTTTTGCGTCATTACCTTAGCGAGCTTTGAGCGAAACACACATGCAAGAACGAATGGTTTTCTTTTACTCTTCGAGTTTGGTCGCTAGAATCTGAGTCTCAAGTCTAAAGCCACTATCATCATGGCTCTGCCAAAGACTGCGATCAAGGTCGCTCTGGACTGGACGCCAAACACGATCCACAGTGGCTTATTTATAGCCAAAGAAGCAGGCATTTACAGCAACCGTGGGCTCGAGGTCGAACTGCTGCCGCCTGACGATGACTATAGCAAGACACCTGCGAAGCGACTTGAGCATGGCGAAGTGGATTTGGTAGGCTTTCCCGGCTTTCACGCCCCCCGTTTCTGTATCTAACAATCGCAGGCAATCTGTCCGTCAGAATCATGTATCGCGTATCATGAGTCTGGTAAGGTCAGGCTACAAGCTGTATACGCGATCCTGCAACGAGATGCTTCAGCCATTGTATCAACGTCGCTTGCCCGCATCAGCGAACTCGGAAGTGGCAAAACCTACGGCAGCTATAACGCCCGCTATGAAGATGACATTGTCCGAGCCATGATTCGCGCAGATGGCGGAGACAGTACCGGCGTCAAGATTGAACGACAGCAGGGTAAACTTAGCCTGTTCGATGCGGTAAAGAAGGGCCAACTTGACGCAACCTGGATCTTTATGCCGTGGGAAGGCGTGGAGGCAGAGCTCAACAACGTCAAGTTGCACGCCTTTAAGCCGGAAGATTACGGTGTTCCGTACGGCTACTCGCCGGTCATCGCTCGGAACGCAGCTTCTTCGAAGCTCGATGACGAAGCTCTGTGGAACTTCGTTGCGGCGACCATGGAGGGCTATCGGTACGCCGTCAACAGTGTTGATCAAGCTGTGGATGCCCTGAGCAGGCATTGCAACCCACCTCGATCAGAGGAGTTCCTTAGGAGGAGCCAGGAAGCCATCAACGAGTACTATTCTGATGGCTCGACGTTGGGGAGGATGTCGGCGCAGAAGTGGAAGGCCTGGATTGATTGGCTCAGTACGCACGAGATGTTGAAGGGCAGTAGCATTGACGCAGAACAGCTCTTCAAGAATATATAACATAGTGTACTACATGATGTGGGCGGTTTCTAGGACGTTTGTCTAGGCTGTTAAAGTATGTTTACTTGCTCCAAATGGTGCATCTAAGGTGTGCTGAACGCTGAATTAATATATCTTTGATTTTGCAGCAGCATCATCGTCGGTCGTGTTATCCATGTCTGCGATTAGGGCGATGATCTGCTTTCTCAGGATACGCAGCAGAGAATGGTCCTGGAGGTGATCTGGAATCTTCACATCAGGCACCTTCCGCGGTTCACGAGTTGGCTTGCGTTCTGCCTCACGATCCGCCTCCGCCTTGCCATCCGCGGTACCCTCGACTGCCTCGTCATCCTTCAGTAGCTTGGCAGATATCTCGACAGCCTTCGTAGACTCTGCAGCCTCGGAGAGGGCGCTATCAAATGTGTCGTCTTCAGCATCCGCTCTGCCACCGACGATGGCAAGAAGTGTTTGCACGAACAACTCCTTCATGTATGCAAAGCTGAAGCCAGCTGTAAGCTTTGCGACAATCTCGCCAACCTCGTCAGTAAAGTCGACGTTGCTGTTACGCTTGAGCTTGTTGCGCCAGTACTCGCAGTATAGAATCCGCTCACGCTCGCCGGGCAGCTTGTAGTGATATTTGCGGTCGAAACGAGACGGGCGTTTACTGATCCCAGAGTCAAGTCGCTCGAGGTGGTTGGTGCTGCCGATCATGAGGATGCCGTCGTTGCTCTCCAGCCCGTCGACCTCGTTGAGAAAGTAGGATCGGACTTCGTCTTTGACGAGTGAATCGAGGTCTTCGAATATGAGCAGGCATGGTGCCATGCTTCTCGCCTGCGAGAAGATATTTCGGATGGAGTACTGCGGGCCATTGCAGGCATCGAATGACTTCACGTACAATGGCGCCACGTTCTCCTTCAGCAAGCTGTTCATGAGCGCCTTGATGCTGATTGTTTTCCCACAGCCGGGAGTGCCGTGGAAGATAACACCGCGTTTCCAGGGAACAGCATACTCTTGGTAGATAGCGCGACTGTCGAAGAAGCTGTGGACATCATCTACAAGCGTCTGCTTCATGGCAGGATCGAGAATGACATCGTCCCAGTATGAAGACTGTACGGCCTTCCAAAGATCGCTGCTTTTCTTCCAGCAGCCAGCGTCAAAGACATAGATCTCCTCATGAAGCTCTTTTGACCACTGCCCGCAGGCTTTGAGCACGCTGTCAGCAGCCTCAGAGTAGCGAGAACCCTCGCCCTCTCTTGCGGAGAGTATGTAGTACAGCCTAAGTTGACCCCTGTAAGGATCTGGCCATGCGATGTCGTAGAACTGGAAGGTATGGCCTTTCCACGCGTATTCGAAAAGACCGAACTGCACACTGTCTCCAAGCCTGCCATCGCCGCCCTGCAAACGTGTCTGCGGCGCTTCATACGTCCGCTGGGCTTGAAAGCTGTTTCCGGATGTGGTCAACCGGAGTTTAGCATGACCTGCCTTTGCAAAGCCGTGAAGGTCGGCCGCATGGGGCTGTACCACGGTGACGTGCTTGTCTGGGTGGAGCGAGCGAACAGCTTCGAGAGTCTGGAACTCGGTATTGATTCGCTTGCCGGAGCAGTGTGCCTGGAAGGCCTCAAAGACCGGCACCTGTTCGCCGTGGGTCCCTGAATGGAGGGTAAGTCCTTCCGTCCCGTAATGACCCATTTCAAGAACAGATACAGGATGAAGCGCGCAGGACGCGATGAGCAGCTAACAGGGGTTTGTACGGAATCGGGTACCTACTTTATACGTTTCTGAGTATGATGTGGAAGCCTTACGGGGCGATGACTGGATCAATACCGCAGCAGGCTGCAGCTTCAGCGGTGGCCAGCTTCAATCGCTGTGACATTAACACCTCGAATCACCAGCTATGCTCCAGCGAGCCCGAGGAGGGTTGTGGAGATTGATGCCTGGTCAGTCCATCAAGCGCGCTGTCGGTGTCTCAAACCATAATGTGGCGACCCTTGGTGAAGTCAACTGCGATGTGCACAGCCTCCACTCATGCAGCAGCACACACGGTGGCTTTGATCGATGTGGGAAGGCATCCACATTCCTCGACCAGCATCTGCTCAATATCAGACGAAGATGGCTGGCTTCATCTTGAGCCTCCGACGGTTCGTCTTGGAGACGGGAGGGCAGGCCGATCTCGGGAAGCGATCGGGCCCCATGCGCTCCACCATCTCCACCATCTCCACGCGAGCCGCAGCGACGCCTTACCGGATTGTTTCTACCGCAAGCGACTGTCGCTCCTGGTGCGGTTAGAAGACGATTTTCCGTGCGCTGCCGAGGTTTGAGCGGGGTTTGGTTTCGCTGAGTGAGCAGACTCTGACACCGCAGCGTAGGGCAAGACGGGTGAGTCAATACATAAGCCAAGTTTTTCGCGCCAGTCCAGAAACTCTCCCCTCTTCCAGTTCGACCCTAGCCGTGAACTTATGCTGGTCACCCTTAGGCTCTTGACTGACTCACAGCTGCATCGAACTCTCATCAGTCTCTCCACTGAGTGACCGCAAACAGCATGGCGATTTTCGGGGAGAAGGGCCGAGCATCAGACTCCGATGGCTATCCAGACCCCAAGGTCGGCGACTACCCAACCGGCAATGGCTACGACGAAGACCTTCCCGTGCAATGTCCCGCGCATACGACGGAGCGGAAACTGGTGGCGCGCATCGACATGCGTGTGATCCCATGCCTCTGCGTCATGTACCGTGAGTGGCGCATATCGCAGCTCGTTGAGCGTCAAAGACTAATATGAGGACAGTCCTGGCCTTCCTCGACCGCGTCAACATAGCCAATGCCAACGTCTATGGCCTTTCCACCGAGTTGAAACTCAAGGGCAACCAATACAACACCGCTCTCGTTATTTTCTTCGTCCCATATATCTTATTCGAGATTCCGAGCAATATCCTGCTAAAGCGCTTCAAACCGCATATTTGGCTTCCCATCAATATGTTCATGTTCGGCTTCTGCTCGATCATGCAGGGCGTTGTGAAGAATTACAGCAGTCTCCTGGCTGTGCGTTTCTTCCTTGGTTTGTTTGAGACGGGAATGTTTCCCGGCGCCTTCTATCTCATAGGTTAGTACATGTTCATCTGCTGTTGCTGACGATGTTGTTACTGACCTCTTTCCCCCGGCTGTAGGTATGTGGTACCGCCGACACGAAGCGCAGAAGCGGTATTCGTTTTTCTTCAGCAGCACAACGCTTGCGGGTGCGTTTGGTGGTCTTCTGGCCGCAGCCATCGGCAAGATGAAAGGCGTAGGCGGATACGCTGGTTGGCGATGGGTAAGAATGTTGCAGCCTCCAGATTTCGACAGACTCTGAAGCTGACATTTTGCAAAAAGATTTTCATCCTCGAGGGGTTGTTGACCGTCGTCGTGGCGGTTGCCTTCTTCTTCTGCATTCCTAGCTTTCCCGAGCAGGCCAAGTGGCTCCGAGAAGACGAAAAGGCCTATATTGCGGCTCGGCTGCGCGCTGATCAAGGCCGATCTGCTGTCGAGCGGCAAATCACGCTCAAGGACGTCGGTAACGTCTTCAAAGACTACAAGGTTATTGTTGCTGGCTTCATGTATTTCGGTAGGTACTTGGCTGGTTGCTGCCGTGTGCGCTCAGGCGGTTCATGCTAACGTCGGTCGAGGTCTGATTGTACCGGCATACGGCTATGCCTACTTCGCTCCCGGAATCATCAAGACGTACGGCTACGGCGCCATCGAGACGCAACTGCACTCCGTGCCTCCTTGGGCCGCCGCTTTCGCAATGGCCATGCTCACCGCCACGCTCTCGGACGCGACTAAAATCCGCTTTCCCTTCGCAGTGGTATGCAAGCCCCCGACTATAACTCTCGGATGTTTTCTGGGGAAACGCTAACAATTACCGTTCTAGTTCAACATTTGCGTAGCCATCACCGGCTTCGGCATCCTCATCGCCGTGCACCACAACAAGCACTTGCAGTATGCCGCGCTTTTCCTGGTCGCCATGGGGGCCTACAGCGCCATGCCCATCATCGTCTGTTGGTTCAACATGAATCTCGGCGGCCATCACCGGCGCGCCGTCGGAGCAGCATGGCAAGTCGGTTTCGGCAACATCGGCGGCATTATAGCCGTCTTTGCTTTCCTGGCCAAGGACGCGCCAAAGTATGTGACGGGCTACAGCATCTGTCTTGCATTCACCGCCTTGAGCATTCTGGCCTGTTGTGTCTACGGCATTGCGTGTTGGTCGGCTAACCGGAGGAGGGATAAGATGCCGGCTGACCTGGGCTTGACGGAATATGAGAAGACGGAGATGGGAGATATGAATCCGAGCTATAGGTATCTGTTGTGAAATTGCCGATGAGTACTATAAGATAGTAAAGGTGGCGGAGCCGAAGCAAAAGCTTTTTGAATTTCTGAAGCTCTGCGCTACCCCTACCACCCGCTATGTTCCCGCTCGAAGCGCCGTGAATTTGCGATATGTTGCGTTGATCCACTTGTATGTGGTCCTTTGCTACAGCCTATCTACGAGCCATGCCATCAGCATCCACTGTCCGGCGAACCCCCTCGGTGAAGGTGTCACTCACTTCTGCTCCTTCTTCGGCGGATTCTGCACAAAGTCGATACCCTTCTCAATGTTGCCCTTGAGGTCGGAGCAGCACTTCTCGAGCAGCTTCTTCTCATACTCATTCGCGTCCTTGAGGATGTTGATGGCCTTCTGCGCGCCGTCCTTGCCGAGCTCGACGGGGACGGAGAAGAAGTCGCAGCCGACTTCCTTGTGGACTTCCTCGCCACCGGGGACGCCGGGCAGGTAGACGTAGGTGGGCTCCACGATGCCGGTCTCGCCCTTGGCGGCCTTCATGACGGCCTCGGCGAAGCGGAAGCCGGCGTAGGCCATGGAGAGGGTGGCGGAGCCGGCGCCGTCCTTGGCCTTGACGACTTCGTCACCGCCGAATTGGACGCCTGGGAGCATGTCAGTACTGAATTGCTGCTGTACCGCACAGCGAGAACTCTACGCACGGTTCGTCAATGCATCAAGCTTGTCCTCTGGGATCTTGACCGAGGGCTTGGCCTGCGAGAACAGCGGCACAATGGTCTCGCCGGAGTGGCCACCAATGACGGGGATCTTCGTCTTGCTGGGGTCCTTCTCGCCCGTGAGGCTCTGCACGAACGTCTCGGCGCGGACGACGTCAAGAGTGGTGACACCGAACAGCTTCTTCGGGTTGAACTTGCCGGCCTTCTTCAGCACCTCGGCGGCAATGGGGACGGTGGAGTTGACCGGGTTGGAGATGACGAGGATGTAGGCGTCCGGGCAGTTCTCGGCGCAGCCTTGGATGAGACCCTGTACGATGCCGGCGTTGATCTTGAAGAGGTCGTCACGGGTCATGCCTGGCTTGCCTGTGACACCACGCTTTTGCTCAGTGATCCATCCCTCCGACCGGCTAAGCGGTAGTGAAGAGGGTGCAATGCTTACGAGGGATGCCGGCCGGGATGACTACGATGTCCGCGCCGGTAAGAGCCTTCTTCATGCCATCGTCGGCGGGGAGGTAACCCTCGATCTGGGCGATGGAGGAGATGTGGGAGAGATCGGCGGTGACGCCTGGGGTGTTCACGACATCGTAGAGGGCGAGCTTGTCGACGAGCGGGCAGGCCTTGAGGAGGAGGGACAGCGGCTAGGAGCTTGACATTAGCCACCATATCAATGAGTTGATGTCTGTACTTGGTCTTACTTGGCCAATGCCACTGTGCTCGGAGGAATGCGGTCAGCGAGTCTTTCTTGTTAAGCCCAGCTAAGATTGATGGCACTCGTACCCGGATGCTCCACACACTACCGCTTTCATCGTGTCAGATTTGATTGAAGGAGAAGATTTGATGGGTGAGGTTCAACGAGTGATGGAGAGGAGGGTCGATGTTAATGTCAATGTCAACAATGGAAACGAAGCTGGAGAACGACCGGTGAGTGAGAGACTAAGGAAGATCTGCAGGTTCTCGGTCGTGCAAGTAAATGGTGGGGTTGAGGGGCAGCGCGCAGACCCTTTGACCCTCCGGCCCGTTGCTCCATCTTCACTGCATCCAAATCCACATTGTGGGCACACCGCCTGCGCCTCGTACACCGTGCCCCGAGAACACCCGCCGTCATCGCTGGACGTAATGTACAGTCGTTCCCGCAATCGCCCGACCACCGAAGTGACACTCCGTACAATGCCAGCAAGCATTACAACGCACACGGCAAGAATGACTCTACTCGTCATCCTCGTCCTTTGCAGCCTTGGCGGCCTTCTTTTCCTTCTTCTTGCGCTTCCGCTCAGCTCGCTCTTCCGGCGTCTCATCCTCGTGCTTCCGCTTCGGCTTCTGCGTTGCGGCTGGCGTAGGGAGCGGCGCAACAGGCTCCGCCATCTCGATGTCATCCTTATCTGCCATCTCCGGGCCACGGCCGGGGATTCCCTCCTTCACAGCAGCGCCTTCGGCTGCTTGCTTCTCGTTCCCGTGGTTGGGAATCAGGACGGTACCATTGGCCCCCGTAGCGCCATTAGTACCATTGACGCCATCGGGGTCATTGAAGTCCTTGTACTCCTGCTTCCACTGCGCGGGAGTTTGCTCGTTGGTTCGGCCGTACTTGTCAAGCTTTCCTGACTCCTTCATCTTCTTTTTTTCGGTGGCAACGGGACCCATGCCCCATCTTCTCGGGTAGAGGTCGCGCTCCATAATACAACGCTTGACCTTCGCCACAACGCCGTGGTCACAGCTTGAGAGCTCGACCGTCGACATCTGTGCGATCGCTAGCGCAATGGCCTCGCCTTTAGTTGTGATAAGCACAACCTCCTCGTGCACTTCGATGCCGGCTTCGTAACGTAGAAGACCCGGAATCATGAGCTTCGCGCCGTAGCAGACCGCGTTCACCGCCGAATCCTTGACAACAATGCGCTTGTAGGTTGTAAGAAGCGTCTCTAGGGGCTTGATGACGGTCCGCAGATATGATTCATCGCGCTGGTTGTCATGCAGCCACTGTGCGTCCAGAACATCGTGCAGAGTCACCATCCCCTCTTGCTCATCCATCGCTCCCGATCGCACACGTCGCAGCTCCTGCATGTGACCACCCACGCCGAGCAACAAGCCAAGATGTACACATAGCGTCCGTATGTATGTGCCGGCCTCACACGACACCCAAAAGACTGCGAGATGCCGGTCGTTGTCGAACTCAAACAGCTTGCTTTCGTGGATAGTCCGTATCCGCAACTGCCTCTTGACAGCAGATATGAGCGGCGGGCGCTGGAAAAGTGCACCCGTCAATGTCTCCAGCGCACGCGACAGCTGCGCCTCTCCGCCGGGAAGCTTGTCGTGCAGTCGCAGCACGCAGACATACTCCTTGCCAGCGCCCTGTTGACTCTTCACCAACCTCGTCGCACGGTCAATGCAGACGATGAGACAGCCGGTAACCTTGGGATCGAGCGTGCCAGAATGACCCGTCCTGTCCACCCGCAGAATTCGCTTCAGCCATGCTACTACTTCGTGCGAAGACGGGTTGGAAGGTTTGTCGAGGTTGATGACGCCGGAGGAGATGTAAGACTTGATGTCGCGCCGTAAGGGTGTGCAGCCGGCGGGTATGGGTGTGAAGTGGCCGGTGCGGACGAGTACTATGCGAGCAGTCAGTATCCGAATGCGAAGCCGTGCCACGAGCCAGCACGGTGGGTAGGGGCTCACATTGATCCCAATTGCGGAGGAGAAGGGGCCATTCGCTTGTATCGACTTTCGCATCGATGGCCTCGGGCTTGATGATCTGCTCCTCTTCCTCCCCATTCGCCTTCACGAGCGCCATGGCGCCCCGACTAGATGGGAGCTCGTATGGCGAACACGACAACCCTTTCGTAGTAAGCGAGCGACTGTGTGAGGCAGTACGTAATAGCGAAAAGAAGGGTGTAGTGTCTCCTGCGGCGACGGGTATGGCAATATGCGCGAATCTTCAAATTCGTAGCGCAGACGAAGCTCGAAAAGCTTGCGACGCTGCATGTGTGCCTCAGGCCACCAGAAAGCAGTCTCTCCGCCAACGGCACTGTTGATCGAACCAGGCGATCGCAGACCAGATTCAGCACGACGTCAAACGCTCTTCAGCAACTTCCGGAACAATCAGAGTCTTCGATAACAGCGTAGAAACGCCATCGTGATATACTCGTCGCAATGGCAGCGCTTACGGCACGCGATACGAACGTTCCACCGCCCTCGAATCCAGCATCCACTAAGAAACAGAGCGTCGAAGGCGTCGAGAATGTGCCACAATCCTCATCACACAATGTCCACTCGAATCCGAAGCTAAATGTCGATGACGGGTAAGTGTACTGCCCACCAGACTTCTCAGCCGTTGCTCGCTAACCCTGGCATTGCAGCAAGCAAAGCGCAGCGTACATAAGTCCGAGCGACGCCATCTTAAGCCCAGCGAGTCAGAAGCTATCGACATTCAAGCAGCGACAGATCAACAAACAGCAGTAGGTCTTACGAAGGGCTGCCTCGGCTTGCCTCCCTACTTCCGATCCTATTGATCTAACTGTGGCGCAGGAACGGCAAGATTCCGACATCCCGCCTACTGTTCACGAAAAGTCCGAGCAGCTGCTCTGGTGGCTATGACGACGTCGAAGAGAGTGAACGGTAGTTCTGAAGATGCGGCTGGATTGCTTCAGAGCTAGTGTTGAGCATGGGCTAGGCGTACGGGAATGGCGTTTTGTGTTCCAATTGGGCAGGTTGATGAGACTCTTTCCGATTATCAGTGGCAGATGTGTAGCAAGCAGTCGCATCGCTCGAAAGAGCTGCGAATCGTCCTTCGCGCTTTACCCATACACATAGATTCACTCAATGTCAGCCTCTCGAGTAGTGCCAGTGGGCTGGTCTAAGGTCGATGTATGTGTGCTGTAAGCCATCGTCCTCATTCTGAATGCATTCACAGTCGATGTCCTTGCTGACCGTTTCGAGTCAAGCGAGGAATGGAGCGGAAGCGTGCCGAGTGAGGCCGACCGGAGACAATTCGGCAGTAATCAAGCGAGAGTCAGGGTCTGATAACCTTCGGCGCCACGCCGCAAAGGCGTCACAGAGCCGACATGACGGAGTCGCTCGTACGCGCTCTCAACAACCCTCTCCTTGCGAGTGACACACAGAGATTCATGATGGCCACCGACAGCTGACAAGGGGTGCTCTCCCTCATGGAACTCGACAAATAGCCACACTCTTCCTTCGTGTCGCGAGCGGCTGCCCGTGAGTTCCGAATCCGGCCGTGTACACTCACCACGCTTGCCTTGATTGTCAGCACAACGGCTTGCACTGGAACCTTCACACGCTAGTCTGCACCTTAACACTTCACGTTCTCACTTCAATCTTGGTCCCACACAATCTCCACCTTAACGAGAAGAGGTTAGTCTTCAACAACCAATACCACAGCCACTGGCATCTCCGCCGCCTTCGCTACCTTCTCACTACCCATCATTTACACCACACCATCCCACACGCAATCATGGCGGAGAAGATCCTCATGAACGAGTACAAGTCCCTCTCGAAGGAGACATGGACCCACATCTCGCTCGTGAACGAGAACATTTTCGAGTGGAGCGTGGCCCTCATCGTCCTCAACCCCGACTCCCTTTACTACGGCGGCTACTTCAAGGCAACCATGAAGTTCCCACGCAATTACCCATACGAGCCACCAGACTTCCGCTTCGCACGCCCTCTGTGGCATCCGAACGTCTACACCGACGGCCGCCTCTGCATCAGTATCCTACACCAGCCGGGCGAGGACAGTATGAGCGGCGAGTTGGCCGGCGAGCGCTGGTCACCGGTACAAAGGGTGGAGAGCGTGCTTATCAGCGTGCTCAGCCTTCTCGACGATGCCGAGGTCAGCAGTCCGGCTAACGTAGATGCGGGCGTCATGCTGAGGAAGGACCCGGAAGCGTACAGGGAGAAGGTGCGCCTGGATAAGGAGGCGAGCAAGCAGGACATCCCGGCCGGCTTCGAGATGCCGACACACGAAACCGCATTCAAGCGGGAGGAGCGTGTGGAGAGCTTCAGCTGGTCGGACAGTGAGGCGGAGGAGGACTTTGGCGGGTCGGACAGCGATGAGGAGATGTTCGATGAGGATGAGGATACGGACGGAGAGGAGGGCGGGGAGAAGGAGGAAGAGGATGAGTGAGCGGCATATGTTGCCAGCGTCACGGATGAATCTACGAGTATCTTACATGATCTTTCAGCGCGGTGTTGCGGCGTCTACTGCAGGGACGCACCTGCGGATGCTGGCTGGCTGCATTGCGCAGGAGCCTGGCGTCAACATCTGACGCCATATATACGTAGCTGCTTGCGGTCCGTACCCACGGACTCTGCTCCTCTCAGCGGAGTGCCCAGAAACCTACCCCAACCACAACCCGCATTTTCACGTGCATGCATGGCTCGCTACACGCTTACACGTAGGGAGTCACGCGACGCACACACTTCTGCGTTACAGTGCTCACACTCCACCCCACTCTCATTGCGTATACACATATACGGCGAGAGTCCCTCGTGGTGAATTGTCGCTCTGTCGCGAGATACATGCACTCTCGTCTCACAGTGTGGGAGGAGGATCTAACGCCACATGATCGCCGCGTGCCTGCCCTGCGCCCCACATCGAAACGTGCAACTACCCGCTAGCTTGATGTTGCTGCGAGCATGGTGGAAAGTGCAGGCACGAAGCGTAAACTTGTGACTTACACGAAAAGAAGCAAACGGCGCCTGCAGGTGCCATTGCTATTACCTGCCAACGAGGATATGGTCTTCCACCCTCCTAGTCACCAAATCGATGCCAATGCGGATCCACCCGCCATACCACCAAGGCCACCACGGAGTCAGAAGGAAGCCATGGCGGCGATCGAGCCTTCAGAGGAGCATATTGACATGCTCATGAGTGTTTATGGAGCGGACAGAAACACCGCTTGGCAGTATCTCAAGGTATGCTTCTCGTATACACAGTAGAATCCCCGAATGATGTGCTGAGAGTCGGCTAACAGAGCCGCGTGTGCTGTAGGCCAAGCAGAACAATGTCGAGCAAGCAGCGAATGCGCTCATGGACGGCGAGGACATCACTCAACAGCTAAGCGCAGGCGCGTGGGATGAGAGTCACTGGGGTGCGGACAGAGACGGCGGCATGGAGTCGATAGACAGCAACCTGCGCCCGCTCACCACCACCGCACCACCCTCACGCGCTCCGTCCAGGAACTCCATGCACCCGTCCACGAAGCAAGACGAAGACGAGCAGCTGGCAGAAGCGATCCGCATGTCGCAAATGACCACACTGGAGAAACCGAGGGGCCCCGTGGACATCCAGATGCCGGACTTCGACCTCTACGAGCAAGAGGTCGGTAGGGTCTCCGGCGACGGCAAGGAAGTCAAGTTCGGGCCCGCGACGAGGGACAAGCATTACGAGGCGGCGCGGTGGGCGTTGGTTCCCACGTCACAAGCCGCGAGCGAAGTGATACCAGACGTTGATGTGGAGCATCGCAAGAATGTACCCGGAGAGCCCAGGTTCTTGAAGTATCAGCCCGAGGCCGACTATCTGCCGAATTTGCTTACCATCTGTCATGCGATTGCCGGCGCGCGCGAAGCCATGCTGCAGAGAAAGAACGTCCGGTCGAGTTATGGCGAAGACGCGGAGTGGTGGAAGGGCCATCCTATATCGATGCCTCGCATTGTGCATGTTGATAGTGGCGAGCTGGTCAATGAGGAGACCGAGAACTTTCGCACGCTTATCATGGATGTGCAGCGGCTGATGGGAGCTTTAGACCAGAGCGAGCGAAGCTACGTGAGCATCAAAGCTATGCTTCACAACAGTAATTTACAGACGAAGCGGCCTGGCGAGATTGCCACCGACTCGATCGTGCAGACCTTCTTGGAGCATTGGAGTGCTGCTGTCGCAGACAGCATGGGCATGGGTGCTGAGCTGTTCAAGACTTCTCTCCGCTCCGCTGACGAGGAAGCTATACACCTGCTTGACCTCACGGTCGGGGTACCGGAGAATGAAAAGATCGACCTTAATGAAGTTCTGGATGCCAGGTTTTGGAATGCTGGCGCCAATGGTACGGATGTGGACCGCATCGAAGATCTTCCTGCTCATGTGCTTGTCATGAGATTGCGCAACACCAGTAGGGAGGCGAAGCAGCTGCGGGTAGACATCCCCACGGATTTCAGCATGGACAAGTACCTGTCAGAGTTCGAGCATGTCAGCGGCCCAATCCGGCAGGAGCTCGGACGCAGTCGTGCTCGTATCAAGAAACTGAGCGACCTCGAAAAGCGCTTGACGACGTGGAGACACCCGAAGAAAGACAAAATCATCGATCCGAGGGCTCTGCTCAAGCATACCCATGGCGCTCTCACCGGCAGGCATGATGTCGACGAGGACAAAGATGCTCTGCCAAACGGCGTAGCCGTTGACGGTGATGGCAGCATCCCAACTCATCACGACGACGTTACGCAGAAACTTGAGAAAGTCATTGCTAGCATCGACGACAAGCTCACGCTTCTCGCCGCTGAGAAGGAGAAGGCGCGCGCAGCCATGGCGCAACTGTCGCGCGACCCGGTGCCGCTCGAGCAGTCACGGACACGCTACACTCTGCGCGGCGTTGCTACGAAGCCGAACATTACCTATGTGCTTACCACGAAGGAAGATGAAGACGAAGATCAAGTTATGTTGCTCGACAACGAAGACGATACTACTCCAGAGGGCATGCAATGGTGGCGCATCGAGTACAACGTCGATGCCTCTGGAACCGGTGCTAAGATAATGAAAACCAAGACACCAGGTTACGATGTTATTCGCGCGGTCGAGCTGGAGCACCACTCCGCGCTCCTCGTCTACGGCAGCAACGTTGTAAACGACATCATCCACTACGATCCAACCCTGCCACCATCTTTGCAGGAGTTCGTCGAGAAAGATAACGAGCACTTCCGCGCTGAACTGCAAGACGCCGTTTCCAACGTTCCTCCACCCGCCTACCAGTTCGGTCACACCGACGCTTACCAGGACGTCCCTCGCGTGTCGGTCGAGGCTGCCGAGGCCGAACCTAGGGATTCACTCGACAGCATCCGCGTCGAAGGCGGGGACTCGGATTCAGACCAGCCGGAGTACAATGATTTCGCGACTATGGACTCGCATCATAGTTTCGGCTTGCCTCCGCCTATTAAGCAGGGGCAGTATGTGGCGACGGAGGATGCAGGACCGACGGCTGAGATTCATCTGGATGAGTTGATGGAGGAGGCGGGGGAGGGGCAGGAGGTGGAGATGATGGAGAAGCGCGGGCAGGCCTTGATCCCCGGGTTGAACAGCGCGGCGGGTAGTGGGATGGATGATGTGCGGGGGGAGCAGGATGATGGCGTTGGAGGGTCCATGAGCCATGTGGAGGATCTGAAGGGGATGTAGCACGTCGCTTTGCGGTGCTGTGACCGTGGTCGAGCGCAACCTACGGCTGTACGCTCAGGCACAACCCCAATGACTATTTCGTCATCCGTGCGGACTGCATCGGCAGCTAATGATGCCCGCAGCGGGTTGAGCAGTGCCCAGGGACATACCGGCATTGTCGACCCGGTCCAACGTGAATGATTCCCTGACTAGGTTCTGTAGTCCCCGTTGATCGTCACATACTCGTGACTCAAATCACACGTCCACACCGTCACTTTGTGCCGCTTCGACGCCCTGTCAGAGGTCCCTGTCAGTCCCGAATCCACTCCATCATCGTCAAGCTTGACCACGATCTCCAAATCTTCCATCTCGAGTATCGCTTTTGCCCGCGCCTCATCAACCGTTTCCGGTTCGCCACGCACCAACAACTTGAGCTCCTCACTTCCGTCAGACGGTATGAACGAGAGCGACGTTCGATCGGGACTGATTTGAGGCGGGGCTGACTGAGTGTGATCAGGAGACTCTGAGGGAACCTCGAGCGAGTCCATGATCCCGGGCGCATAGCCTATCGCGCAGAGAATGCGACCCCAGTTTGCATCCTTGCCGTAGAGCGCCGTCTTGACCAACGCTGAGCGCGCGATGCTCGTCGCGGCGCGCTTGGCGGTAGCCATGGAGACGTCGGAGGTTACGTTGATCGTTACAAATTTGGTCGCGCCCTCGCCGTCACGCACGACGAGTTTTGCGAGGTCGCACATGAACGTGTGAAATACTTTTACGAATGCGGCCGTGTCTTCCCTGTAATCGTCAGAATTTTGCAGGGGCGGAGTATCGTCGGATGCGGCTGCGCCATTGGCGAAGAATGCGACCGTGTCGTTCGTGCTGGTATCACCGTCTATCGAGATGCAATTGAAGCTTCGCTCGGTTGCGGATTGGAGCAGGCTGTACATGCTGGCCGCTTCGATCTTCGCATCCGTGCAGACAATGCCCAGTAAGGTGCCCATATTGGGGTGGATCATGCCGGCACCTTTAGTCATACCAGCAATACGGTATTCCTTCCCTTCGTGTTGCGACCCTGGCAATGTGAAGGAACGCGAGAGAAGCTTGGGAAACGTATCGGTTGTGCAGATTGCTTTCGCGGCGTTAAGCCAGTGGTCGTGGGTTGATCCTAACGCTTGATACGCCTTTGGTATCGCGTTGGTGATTTTGTCTATAGGCAGGCGCTGGCCAATAACGCCGGTACTCATGACAAGGGTCTGCGTATCCTGATGCTTCTCGCCCGAAGACTCGGTGCTCCGGACGAAGCATTTATCGGCGGCTTCCGCCATCATCGCTGCATGCTGGAAGCCGAGCTCGCCTGTGACGGCATTGGCACACCCAGAGTTGACGACAACGCCTTGATACCCCTCGTTCGAAGACTTGAGTGCTTTCCGGCAGAAGTGGACTGGGGCGGCCTTGAAGATGTTCTTGGTGGTAACGGCAGCTGCAGGGCAGGGCTTCTCGGACACCACCAGAGCGATGTCATCATAGCTTTTGTTGCTTTCTTTGACTCCAGCATAGGCTGAGCCGGCCAGGAAGCCTTTCGGATACGTACCAGAAGTAGGAACGTATTTTTGTTTGGCCACAGGAATTGACCGCTCCGCGGGAGCAGAATAGCAGCGGATCTGGAAGGCTACAGAGAACGCACGCTTCAAGAGAGAGGACCTCGCTGCCATTTTGGTAATGCTAAGCCTTTGCAAATGGAGGAATGCTTGCGCGTTTTTACCAAAAGGGTCAAGATGCTCGATTCGAGTGCTATCAAGCTCTCTTTCCTGGGATACTGCGGCGCTGCCGGAGCCTAATGGATTGTCTACGTACCAGGTCGCAACAGCGACAGCAGCTTTATCAACATTGAAGACTGCCGAGTCCCAGTGGTGAGTCAATCGTAAGGCGCGCACGCCAGAGTCGCAGACGAGTCACCTTCACGGGATCTTCTGTGCGAAAAGCCAATGGCTGTCAGATTGTCGGCTAATGTGCGGAAGTACAGTAGGGTCACGCTAACACCATTGGGGAAGGTAGCCATGTGATCTCAAGCAGCAACACATACCTGCACCGCTGATACTTGCAGAGTTCAATGTTTGCTCGACTTCTTCATCCTCTCCAGCGGCGTATAGCAACATCGCCGCCAAACAGGAAATTTCATCGAAGCTTGTCCAGCATGGCCATCGATCAGGTTGACACAACAGAGCGCTTGCGGCATCTGCGGGAGTTGATGCGGCAGAAGAAGGTAGACATCTACAGTAGGCTCAACCTTGGAGGTAGAACTAGTGTACTGACTGACCGTGTGGTGTAGTCGTACCGTCACAAGACGCCCACTCAAGCGAATACATAGCTCCCACAGACGCAAGACGGGAGTTCATATCAGGCTTCTCAGGCTCGGCCGGAACTGCTGTCATCACCCACGACAAGGCCGCTTTGGCCACGGATGGACGATACTTCAACCAAGCCAGCAAGCAGCTGGACAGCAACTGGACGTTATTAAAGCAGGGTCTGCAGGATGTACCGACGTGGCAGGAATGGACTGTCGATGAGGCGGCTGACGGCAAGCTGGGTCTGACGGTCGGTGTTGATCCAACGCTCTTTACATCGACAGAAGCCCGAAAGCTACACAAAGGCATTGAAAAGAAGGGCGGCAAGGGTCTTGTTGCCATCGCAGACAACCTTGTAGACCAAGTGTGGGCCAAGCAGAAGCCGGCTCGACCAAATGAAGCTGTCAATGTACTTGGCCAAGACTACGCCGGCAAGAAGTTCCAGGACAAGATCGAGGAGCTGCGAAAGGAGCTTGACAAGAGGAAGGCTGCAGGATTTGTGGTCAGCATGCTTGACGAAGTCGCATGGCTCTTCAATCTTCGTGGCAACGACATCCCGTACAATCCCGTCTTCTTCTCATACGCTCTGATAACCCCGACAATAGCGACACTGTACATCGACGAGACCAAGCTGAAGGATAATGCAAAAGCACATCTGATGGGTGTAAACATCCGACCTTACGACGCTATCTTCTCCGACATCGCAGCACTCGCGAAAGACGAGCCTTCAACTAACGGCACGACCTCGACGCCCAAACAAAAGTACTTGATGTCCACTGCAGCTTCATGGGCGTTGTCTCAAGCTCTTGGTGGCGAAGACAAAGTTGACGAGGTGCGATCGCTCATCGCTGAAGCCAAGGCCGTCAAGAACGCCACAGAATTGGAAGGCATGCGGCAATGTCATATCCGAGACGGCGCGGCGCTAATAGAGTACTTTGCCTGGCTCGAAGAGGAGCTCATCCAAAAGAAGTCCGCTATCGACGAAGTTCAGGGAGCGGATAAGCTCGAACAAATACGGCAGAAACACGAAAAGTTCGTCGGCCTGTCGTTTGACACCATCTCCTCGACCGGCGCAAACGCGGCCGTCATACACTACAAACCCGAACCGGGCAATTGCTCAACGATCGATCCGAACAAAATCTACCTTTGCGACTCCGGCGCGCAGTACCTCGACGGCACCACTGACACGACACGCACATTGCACTTCGGCGAGCCGACACCGATGGAGCGCGAAGCATATACGCTCGTCCTGAAAGGCCACATTGCGCTCGACCTCGCCGTCTTCCCGAAAGGCACATCCGGCTTCTCAATAGACGCCCTCGCACGACAATACCTGTGGTCGAATGGCCTCGAATACCGGCATGGAACGGGTCACGGCGTGGGCTCTTACCTCAACGTTCATGAAGGTCCCATTGGCATCGGACAGCGAGTGCAGTACGCCGAGGTACCTCTCGCAGCCGGCAACGTCATTTCCAACGAGCCCGGGTACTACGAGGACGGCAACTTCGGCGTGCGCATTGAGAATCTCTTCATGGTGAGGGAGGTCGAGACGAAGCACAGATTTGGCGATAAGCCGTACCTTGGGTTTGAGCATGTGACCATGGTGCCGATGTGCCGGAAGTTGATTGATGTCGGGCTCTTAACAGGAAGGGAAGTGGACTGGTTAAATGAGTACCATAAGGAGGTGTGGGAGAAGACGGCACGGTACTTTGAGAAAGATGAGAGGAGTAAGAAGTGGTTGGAGAGGGAGTGTGCGCCTTACGCGGCAAGCTAGTCCGGCAGCGGCGATGCAGAGTCTGTATGCTCGACTTGTAGATACCCGCCGAGCAATGCAAACGGGATAGGCTGGCTGTGTTGACCTTAACACGGTTAACACAGCTATTATAGTGTCGAGCCGCAAGTGACTGCAATAGAAGTGCTTGAGGGCAAGCACATGGTCTCTATTCGGCGGCAAGCTGGTCTCGTCCTCGAAAGCCTCAGTAGTCGTTGTACCGTAGCCGGCCAGTCTCAGATGGTCAACAGATGTATCGTGCCTCCGCATTGCCCATCTTCGGGCAGAGCGAACGAACTCCGTTCGGATCGGCCTGGGTGTGTGACCCCAGCAGGCTTCTGCGGCGAGATTTGGCATGAGGTGGATGTAGAGTCGCCACTCACGAGCGTGATATGCCCGAATTGCTGGCTGTGTAGCGGGCACGTCGCGACGCCGCAGTGGTGGCAGAATAGTGGCAAGGTATACGACTTCCAGGCTTGCGTCGCCGGAAATGTCGGATTTGGCCCAGGTTTAGGTATAAGGCCTTTTGTGGAAAATGCTGAGCTTGCGATACGCGTGCGGCATTATAGCGTGCTGTTTAGAAACTGGGTTGGCCTTGTCGAGCGGTCGCGAAGCACAAGATGGAACGTGCGACTGGACGGTGGCCTTGAGCACATATGTCATCCTCTCCGACGAGTTGTGTGCCGAGTTTAAATGCTGAGGGTATAATTCGTGCATAGTAAGGCATGGCCGGCTTGGAAGCATAGCATCTCATTTTCGCCACATCCTGTGTCTGAAGCGGACACGAGGGACAATGCTGCGTCGGGATGTTTAGGAGGAAGTAGGAGCTCACACATCACCATCATCCTCCCTGCCCCAACTGCCTTCCTCAATACCGGGGTCCGGAACAATAAAATCGAGACTCATGAAGCCGGTTCGTCTCACCTGCACGATCTTTACCTCTCTGCCCTCCGCCTCTCGCTCTCTGTTCCAATCATCCAACCACCTCTCCATGCTCTTAATCCTGCTCTTCACCCCTGTCATACCCGCATCCTCCCACAAAAAGCCAGTCAAGGCGGACACCACAGCATCTACCCATGCCCTCGTGCTGAACGGATCGAACGCCGCCTTCAACCGCGCATTCAGATTGGCAATGAGAAATCTAAACTCCGAGTCCGACACGAGCGGATCGAGAATCTCCGGGTACATATTCGCGTACTGCGGATACAGATCGCCGCTGGCCAGCCAGTCGCGCTTGACCCTCACCACTCGCGTCGTGCGAAACTCCTCGCTGTCCGGCGCGCAATGCGGGTTAGGGTGTGGGAAGCACGGGTGTGAAGGTCCCCATGCGTAGTCTTCCGTGCCTTCTGTCCCCACGCTACCTTGTTCGTGTGATGCGCGCCCACTCGGGAAAGGCGCCTGAGGTTGCACGTGCTGGCCCAGCTCCTTGTCGACGAGCGACGGATCAAGGGGCGGAGGCGCTGGGTAGTCGTCCGGCACGGCGACGGCCGAGTTGCGCCGGCTGGTGTGTCGTGAGCTCTTGAAGCTTTTGTGGCTCGGCTGCCGGTTCAGCGGTAGAGCTGCGCGCGAGCCACGGTGCGCGAGTTGCGCGCCTCCATCTCCGTCAACAGTTGGTGCCGAGGCAGTGCGCTCCTTCTCCGGTGTGGGCGTGGGTGAAGGTGAGGTGGACTGCGCACGCGACGCATCTTGCACGCCGGCAAGCTTATGCAGTGTCTCCATTGCAGCAAACCCGTCGATGCCAACCTGTCTCTATAGTCTGCTGGTTGTGGGTTGTTGTCCGCCTATAGAGGTAGATGCATGTTGTTCGGCTTGAGAAGCTACCTTATGCGAAGGAGAGACGGGATTGCACAGCCGAGCCGAGTCAGCCCCGTTGCGCGTTAATAGTGGTAAAAGTCCAAACCTGTTTCTGTGCTACTTTTTCAAATGTACCACTGTATACCAGATGATGGCTACTGCATGCTGGTCCAAGAATGTAAGCCACACCACCGTGTTTCCACACATGACCGTCCGCCTCGTCCTTTAACCCTGACTTCTCGCCCGCACCGCCTAACCCGCCAAGCGCAGCCGCCAGTGTCAGCAATTTCAGAGTTTCAGTCATCTAGAGTGAGTGCCGGTGGGACAGTAGAACGTGAGGTGCAGATATATTGTATCACTGAGTTCAAGGTAAGATACAAGAGTCCAATGGTACATGGCATGAAGTGCAAGGACAAAAGGGCGGCGGAGATCGCATGCTCAGCCGTTGATGGTCCAATACCTCCAAATCCGCGCCTTCATATCGCCGGATCCAGTCGCAAACAGACCGCCCATTGGGCTTGGTGCGACCGAGATGACTGCGTCGGAATGTCAGCGTGTGTATGTATAGCGCGGCAACGATGTAGCTTACCCGAGTTCTTGTGCCCCTGCAGCATCAACTGCGCATCGCCAGTATTTGGATCCCAGAACTGCACACCCCTGTCCTTGCTTCCACTCAATACCCACGCTCCATCCGGTGTCAGCGCCACACTCAACACAAAGTCCTTGTGGCCCTCGAACGTCCTGACACACTCTCCACTCTTCGGATGCCCTCCCCTATTCGGGTCCGATCGCGGGTTGCTCAGCTTCCACATCCGGATCGTCTTGTCCAGACTACCGCTGACGAGGTGGTTGCCAGTGGGTGCGAAGGCAACCGAGTACACCGAGTCTTTGTGTCCTTGCTCGCCTTCGGTGCGCTCGACCAGCACACCCGTCTGCGTGTCCCAGATGCGGACACTCTTGTCCAGCGAGCCAGCAGCCACAAAGCGGCCGTCTGGGGAGATGGCGACGGTGGTAACGCCGTCTTCGATGGACAGCGAAAGCACGCACTGGTTCTCCTGGGTATCCCAAAGGCGGATGGTCCTATCGCCGGAGCCCGAGGCGATGTAGCGGCCGTCGGAGGCGAAGTCAAGACTATAGATGTCTTGGTCATGGCCTGCAAAGCTGTGGCGGATCTGCTTGGCCGCAATGTCCCACACCTGTGAGGGATCGGTTAGCAGGTACAGAGTGATTGATGTATACTCGTGCGACTCACTCTGATAATCTTGTCCTCCGCACCTGTGGCCAAGAATCTACCATCAGGGCTGAAACACACGCTGCGAATATACAAGTCGCCATCCTGTGTGGTCGAGTGATCTTGCAGATGGCATACTTGCTTGCCAGTCTGCACGTCGAAGATCTGCGCAGAACGGTTGCAACCCGTGGCGACGAAGCGCCCGTCGTGGCTGAACCGCACGCAGCAAACTACGCTCTGATGCGCGAGACTGTGCACCAGATCAACGTCCAGACGTCGATGCACACGCGGGTTGAAGACCGCGTGCCAGTCGTCGCCCTGTCGCTTGAGCTCTGGAGGCAGCTTCTCCATCTCAAGATCACTCAGCTGGTTGCCGATCTGGTCGAGCTGTGCTGGGGTGTAGTGAAAATCTATGTTGGTCGCATACTGCTGCTGCTGCTGCGGCGGCGGCGGTGGTGTTGGTCGCGCCACACTCGGAGAGCCGGGATATGGATTGATCTGCGCTTGCTGCGGCGTCGCTGGGCCACCTAAGCGTGGAGGACCGACACGCGGCTTGCCGGGTCCTGGCGAAGCGGTGGGCTGCGGTGGCTGAGGACCATAGCCTACTACAAGTCAATGTTTTTGCCTGTAGACTCGCTTCTATGAGTTCTGTATACCATTGATGCCTTGAGCTTGCGGCTGGCCGTAGGCGAACGGGTTGTGAGGAGGGCCTGGCGGCGCATTCAGACCAGGTGGACCTTGCCCTTGCATGTGTCCCGGCATACCCGGTTGGCCTTGCTGTTCCTGCGGCGGCGGAGCGAGACCGGGTCCACCTTGCCCACCGCCTGCCATAATGCCTTGGAAGAGGTTCGCTGGCCCATGGCCAATGGCAGGAGGCGGAGGCTGGGCAGGACCGCTGTGATTACCCGCAGACGGTCCACCACGTTGCTCCAGCTCATGGCGAAGACGTGCGATCTCCTCTTCATATCTTCACTGAGTATAAGCATGTGCTCGATCAAGATGTGACTGCACCACACTCACCTCGCTTTCATGTTCTGGTGTGTATACTCGAGCTGATTGATCTTCGAGTTGATCAGCTCCATCTCACGGAGCTGATTGGTAACTGGTAGGAGCCCTGTCAGCGCTCAGAATCAAGGTCGACGTTTCGTAGCGCACGTGAGACCACCTACGTTGCTGGTCATAATCATTGGATCGGTGAGCTTGAGCGTCGAATTCCGCTCGAACCTGATCCAAGAGCTCATTCAGGCGGTTCGGCGGCTGTCCGGGCTGCTGCACCGGACGTTGAGGGTGGAACATATCGTTCCTTCGCCAGGAAGGAGAACGCGCAGTACGCGCTGATGTAGTCTACCGTGCCTGATGTATATAGGGGGGCATTGATCGCTCGTGGACGTGAGCGCAGTACTGTTGCGGTATTGTCAAAGCGACGTCCAGTTGCCGATGGTTTGCGCAAGCCCGCCGTCACCTGATAACCCGTCCACCCTAGCCGTCGCAGTCAAGAAGGGATAGAATGATGTGCGACTGGGGCTTTGGGCGGTGACTGCTGTTATAAGCCTTCAATACCCTGTCGCGAAGTCGCAAGTAAGGCGGAGCAATGAGCAGCCGATGTATCGAGGAAGCGTGTTCTGCCCCGACAAGCACGCAAGAAGGCACGAGGGGACGAAAACGACAGGCTGGCCGGGTCGCAGGCTTTTGTGCTGTTCCGCATCCATGGCCACTTTGCCATGGGAGCGCCCTCTTAGCGCTGCGGAGCATTATGCACCCACGGCAGACCCACCGCTCCCGCCAGCCACGTCTGCATGGTTCACGAGCTTAACTTCGTGCGCTCGGCTATTTCGTGAAGCCCTGTTGCAGAACAGTGTATTGCGCGAAGGCTACAGCACGTCAATCGTCGGATGGGCTGATCATTGCTGACCCTATGACTGTTCCCCAACTGACGCGAGTGGTCGTGTTTAAATATACAGGGCACCTACCGTCTAACGCGGAGACGGTTGCACCCAATCCAACGGACTGGTCGCCGTACGCTTGGCGGTGGTAATGGCACCATCGCTGCACAAGCCGGCATGAGCACATCCTCCACCACCAGCCAATGCTTCGACCGCGGTGTCCGGGTTCTGCAGTGTTTGACTTGGACGAAGGTCGTGTACCATGTGCGACACATCATGCATACCTCCGCACTGACCCGGCTCCATTATTGACCCAGCGACCCCACACTGAGTTTCGAAATATAGACTAATCTAGCTGGTTCCCATCACGGCTGAGAAGGGTAAGGCTTCAACGACGCTGTCAACGTCGACGCAATGTAACGCGTGATATCAGTGTCAACGGTGTTTGCGGCACAACATCCCCGTTGCACGTAACTACTCCATACCCGACTGGTCCGTCTTAGCTAGCTGTGGCATGGAGACGATATGCGTCGAATAGCAGGTCAAGTGCACGAACCTCTCCCATGGATACGGTCGGTGGCAGAGCTTCCTTTGACGCCCTACGGCACCCTTTAAGAAATTGACGCTAAAAGAGAAAGCAGTTGTGTGCAGATCCACCCACTTCGAATACCGCAGCTGAGGCGCTGACGTCCAGCCACTGGGTGGCATCCGATGATCGCTTTGTCTTAGTACGTTTGGTATATCTGGTAACGGCTTACGTAAGGAGACAGCATGCCGCCGTCAATTCTCAGGTGTAGATGACCGTCCCAGGGTCGTTCTCCGCACTTGGGTGCCTTTGCAAGAGACGTGCAGTACTCCTCGGCACCGGACAATGTCACGAAAAGTGTGCATGAAAGCGATCCTGCGGCTCGAACATCCATCGTTCCTCATCAAGCTTCTGGCGAGCCAGCTCACGCATCCGCATAGAAGCGTTGTGTGCTTCTCCTTCCAAGTCTGCGGGTACTCGTCAGCTTGTCTCATTCCAGCTCAGCTTATATTATGTTTAGAAGACCTTCTTGGGGCTTCTTGCTTCCTCGTCCTTGCACAGCTATCCCTGAAGCAAAGTACTGCCGCGCCATAGCAGCGTAGTATGCGTCCTTGGCTGTATATGAGTGTCAGTTCTGGATGAAAGTCTCCGCTGGCCAAAGCTCACCGGCTTCCTCCTCGCTCTCCACCATGCTCTGTGGTAGCATAGTTGACCGCAGCCCGTCGTTAGCCGCACTTATACCAATTAGATATCCGCCGTCTGCCTGTCGATTGACAATGTCCGGTTCCACGTCCTGCTGCTGTCGCGCGCGCGATCTGCCATGCCTTAAATCAGGCGAGCCTTGTCCCTGCCTAGTCGATCTGGACGGACTCTGGCCGGCGTTTTCGCCAGACTCGGGATCCTCGAGCACCTCATCAGCCACCCTTTGTGCGGCCCTACTTATTGGTCTGCGCGAGCGTGACGGCGCCAACAGGTCACGCTGTTGGCGTGAACGAGCCGAAGTACTGCTGGCGTTGGAACGGAGACTTTGTTGAGACTGTCGGTCGCGCAGGGATGGGTTGCTTGACGCTGGGCGGAGAGGTGCGTTTGAGAAGGGGTCGTGCGGTTGGCGGGGCGGCATCTGGGCGCTTGTGCTGCGGTGTGCTCGATTTACTGCGTGCGCTTGTAAAGCGTCTCCCACGAATGAGAACTGGGAGAGGGCGTGCGATATGGTTGGGAGTGATTACGTTGTAGGTGGTAGGTACACTTCTCCAGCGGCAAGCTTGTCGGGCTTGCTCAAGACTGGTGAAATGTAGACTTGCATCAGCCGGAAGCAACGCAAGGCCAGCGACGCGGTGCCGCCGCTATGTAACCAAGCTCAGCGGTATAGACGACTTGGTCTCTGCAATGAGCTCAGTTGGTATGATAGCAGCGCTTAAGCTGAACAAAAACAGGCGCTACATTCAGTCCACACGATACGGTGAAGAGAAACTGGGGAAGACAGGCAGTAGGCGTGCAGTGAGCGCCGTTACACTCTCTGTACGGGACACAGCAGCCGTGAGCACGTTTCCCATGTCACGATCTAATGGCTGAATCAGAGGCGGGACAGACATTGTCCGGGAGCCATCATGCATGGTGATGGAACGCGTGTCGTCTTCTCCTCTTGGCATCTGCATCGCAACGATGAACCCATGCAATCCACAGGGATATCTACTTTCGATCGCAGAGCTGCAGCATGCGTGCCGGTTACGGCTATATTGTAGATCATCTTTCATTCAGCCCGTGTTCAGGACGCCGGTAGCAGCCATGGCAGCTTCAGCGGCTCGCAAATCTTGAGGATCTGCTTTGGTGGGTACTTCCAATCTCCCGAGCCTTAGCCGTTGAAACCCCACGCACGCCCGATGATCAAAGAATATTAAGATCGGATTCATCGGAAGCTTCGTTGAGGCAGCTGTTTCGGCATCGTTCGGCCTCGGGTATCCCACCACCAGCCAGGACTCCACCGGTCTTTCCAAACCGCACCTGACCATGGAATACGCAATTGCATGCCCGTGCGGCTCATGAGGGCAAGCAACGATGCATTTGTCAATACCATGACACTAGGACTCTGCCCTCAGGGTGCAATTGGAAAAGGCGCATCTAGATCGCGTTCGAGCGTGAAGAGCTCGCAGCGTGGCGCGCGTAAGGGACAAGGCTGACTTATTAGCAAGGGCCTTGTCGCGAACTCCGCGAGTGTGTGCTTCTCCGGCTTGACAGTCATGTGTAATGCCTGAGGTGAGGTTTGACTGTGGCGCACCGAAGGCGTGGGTTTGCCCTCGCGCTGATCCTCGTGGCTCTGCCTTGACCTGGGTTAGACGAGGCGAGCGCTCCTATTGGTGCGCGTGACGTTGACTTGCCCTGTTGCAACGGAGTGGAGAATATGACGGACCAAATCTGGACGAGTTGGTACCGACAGCGTGGAATCGGAGATCCCACGAACATCACGCCTTCGACTGTCGGGCACGAAAAGAGACAGAGCTAATTTATGCAGACTGCGGTAAGAGCAGCGACAAGAACACTGAGCTGTGAGCACGAGGTGCCGGCTAGCCTATCACATTGTCAGTTCGCTAAGCACTGGCTTGCAGCCATCGCCGTCTAACCCTTACGTTCCTGCCAGACTCGGCGGAACTGTCAAGTGCTTACGAGGCTGACGGTAACATCTTAACTTTAACTTTATGCTCGTGCATCTGTTCGGCTGCGAACACCAGACTGTAATGAACCTCGGTCTTTGGCGGCATGCCGATCGTACGCTCAAACCTTAGAAGTGTGAGGGACGTGTTGATCCCGCCTGTCCTCCTCACTTCACCACTGTCTGCACTGCAACGCGCATCGCGGCCCGCAGGCAGAGGCTTGACAGAGAGCTTCTCAATAGATCGACGACCACTGCTGAAAGCGGACAAAGCTCCGTCTTTCTTAACGGCCGGAGAAGAGCCGTCACTACTACTGTTCGCTTGCCTGCACATTAGCATCATATTCGTGCCGCCTCTGCATGCGGAAGTGCTGTGCCGCCTGAGGCGCCCACCGTCCACTGGCCGTCAAGACGGCTTGCGCCTACATCGCGATACGGTTACGCTGTTCATCCCGCTCTGCTAACCAAACCTAACTCGCTAACTCCCACCGTTTACATGCCCTCGCCTTCCCTGGGAGATGGGACCCTCTAGCCTCAAGGGACGCGGGATCGAAGTCGCTGTGATTCCCCACACAATCGCTCGTCATCCTAGTGGCACATCCTCACTGCATGGAGGCTGGCCGTTACTGTTATATGATCCCAGCGCCAGGTGAGCGTAAAGTTCCCGGTACTTTGGTTCCGTATACGTCCTCGGCATTTGCTTCACGTATAGCATGGTGTGGTTTTGATACAATATCTCAACATTGTGATAAATACACTGTACATATAACGCCATTGACGTCTTCTTGCTGGTCTATGCGTCGACCTTGGGACCGAATATCGAATCCGTTACTGGCTACTGGACTCAACATTTCCGTAGGCTAGAATACAGCGAGTATGGCAGCAGTACTCCCGCCTCAAACGCCAAGCGACTTGCTACGGCGGAGAATGAGTCAAGCACAATATAACTTCATGGACCTCAATGGCTTCGCATCTCCATTCAATACACCATTCCGGCCTGATGCAACCGCGGGCGCCGCTGCAGCCTCGGCATCAATGACATATCTACAGCACCCCAGTCAGCCATCGCAGCAACCACAGCCCCCAGTGATGGCAATGAATCCTCCTACACTGTTTCAGAATGACCTCTTCGGCAACATGGTCCTGTCCGATGTATCGACGCTGCCGGACTCTGCGTTCGCCGATCCGTACAGTTTTGGCAGCAATTTCGTAGCCGGCGCCTCGTTCGGGTCGCTCGGTTGGCCGTCAGCGATGACGATGGCACCTGAGATGCGTGTACAAGTCCCAGCTGCGCGACATGACAGCTACAGCAGCACCGATAGCGAGCCTTACATCAAATCCGAGGAGGAGTCGCCAGTTATACCTTCCCAAATATGGAGCGATGTTACTGCTCCCTCGTCGTCGCCAGACACGTCAAGCCCGATCGACTCCGCCGATGAGGCGAAGCCTATCATGTTCTCAACCGATATTGACAACCTTATGCGGACAATCCAAGCTAAGTCTGGATCAGACCAACGGGATAGCCATAAACCAAGACCAGCAGAGCCGCACAGCTCACCGAAGTCGAAGAAGCGATACCAGTGTAACGTCGACGGCTGCGGAAAGGCGTTTTACCAGAAAACGCATTTAGAGATTCACACCCGCGCTCACACCGGCATCAAGCCATTCGTCTGCAAAGAGCCGACCTGCGGACAGCGTTTCAGCCAGCTCGGTAACCTAAAGACACACGAGCGTCGGCATACTGGCGAACGGCCGTATCAGTGTGACATTTGCGGTAAAACCTTTGCACAGCACGGCAACGTTCGAGCGCATAAAATCGTTCATACGTCGACAAAACCTTTTACCTGTAAACTGGACGACTGTGACAAGCAATTCACACAGCTTGGCAACCTGAAGTCTCATCAGAACAAGTTCCACGTGGAGACCATTCGGCGATTGAAGGCACGGTTCGAGAGCATTAGAGAAGGCGACGTAGTGGAGAGCTGGGAGAAGGAGATGTGGGAGTACTTCGGCAGTCTCTACAAGAACTGCAACAAGGGCATTAAAGGGCGTGGCAAAGACCGAAGGATCAGCAACGTCAATATATACGCGCTTCCAGCACACTCCGCAGAGTCACGAAGAGACAGCCTTGTGAGCAACGCCTCAATGCCTGGGGCTCCGGTCAGCTCGGCGATGGGACCGATGCAACAAGGAATGTTCCAAGATGTATCGGAACGGCTTTTCGCGTAGATGTGGCAAGGGACATCGATGTGGTTCTCGATGGGAGATGTATCATCACTGGGTGGTGTACCTGACCTTGTTTCTCGCGAAAGATACCCCAGCTTACCACAGCTGACATTGTAGATCATAAAAGTTACGTCTGCAAGCACAACACTGTGCACGAAGACTCTTACCGTCCAGAGTTGACATTTGGCAACTGCCTTCGAAAGTACCCTTAATAGCATCTGTGTCGTTACATGTTTGCCGATGCAAAGGGTATGTGGTGCGCTCTCCACCGAGCTGATTATTGTATCATCTCCATTGAGCTTGTGTCTTGTCGCTTGTCAGAAGGGTGCCTTCCCCAACGAGCCGACAATGCGGATACACTGATCCGAATATCTGCACCAGCTTCAGACCGCATGTTATGCTTTGCCAACGAGGGCAAATACAGCATTTACACGTGACGCTCCTATTCCGTCGCCGAGATAAGGCTTCGGTACCCAAGAGCATCTCCGCGGACGTCCTCGCCTTATGTGTTTACAGCTGCAATGACGCCAGCTCCAGCGATCGTTATCAGTGTCCAGGGGCGCTTGCATACCGCAAACGAACCAGTGCTTCAAGATCGGATATCCTCATGCATGTATTCGCAAGTGGCTGACGTTGGGTGCATGACTCGCATTTTCCCCCGGATCGGTCGATGAGTCCTCTCGTTCTCCCTGCCCGATTAGGCTTTAACGTCTGCCCGTGAACAATGTGGGTTCGGATCCATTCTGTGCGCTACCTCAGTAGATTGCCTCGGTTGCGGTCATAGACCGTTCCTGCGTGTGTAGCGCAGTACTGAAAGCGGCTATGCGTTTAGTTGTTCTAATCCTTCAACTGCTGGTAGTAGCGACGATGACAGCATGCTGCGCAGCAACCGCTGTGGGGATGTCGCCGACTGAAGTCTCCAATACTATGACATGACGGATATGCTAGTCCAGTCTCCATCTTACGGATTGTGCAGCGATTCTGGCAGGCGCATGTATCTTGACCAGCGGAGCAGCCTATGCTGTAAGCGATGTTCCCAAGGACATTGTCAGAGCTAAGGCTGCGGTGACAGTAATGTGCTCTCTCCGGCACCGACAATGCTTGGGAGGTGAATACACTTGGAGAGATTCGCTGACGAATCTAGAGGTGTGGCAATAGAACGGCTAGCAGCCAGGGACCAGTCATGGGGCTCATGAGTAGCGGACGCAGAGTATTGAGGTTGGGATTCGGGCCATGAATTTCGATCATTGTTTCTGTATCAGCGTATGGCAAGAACTATCTTCCGTGACGCTACCGGCATCATTCTCCTCTGGGGCGGCGAAAGAACGCGTTAATCCTGTCGAACCTCAACGTACCGGATAACGGTCATGCTGTTCACAATGCTGATCTCGGAAATGGAGAGGTTAGATAAGCCGAACCCGCCTTGATTCCGACCACTACACTCACTGTGAAGTCTCTTTGCCAAAATCCCTGCCGACTCCGACGTCTAGCCGGTAGTTGTATTCCTTCTAGCCGAGCGCATCACAAGATGGCCAAGTGTAGATGTGCTGGTTGAGCGAGCCTTGAAAGCTAAGGAATCCACGCCGCCGCCGCCGGCCGCACCCAGAGGAGTATGCTGGTAGCTATTAGACAAGCTCTCCCCATCCATTTTGGGAGGTAGTAGCTATTGAGTGTCTCTTACGGGTAGTGGTTAGTTGCGCCCTCGGGAACCGCGGTGAGGGCGACGACCCGCGAGAACATCGCCCGCATTCATGAGGAATCTCGCGCCGCGTTCGGAATGCACGACGTGATCCAGGTCGACCCGCACCTAACCTACGTCGTCCTCAACCATACGGACGATGAAACAGAACAATGTACCTCACCGAAGCCGTGAAGGCCGCCCTGCTGGCGGTACAAAGACAGTCTCCCCCAAAAGGACGATGGCAGCAAGATTGATGAAGTACCTGACGCCGCTACTACCGAAGCCTACGCCGAGAGGGACGACGGCGGCATGGCTGACCATAATGAGGAGACTTCCACCGCCGATGGAGAGGACGCTGATGGCGGTGGAATGGGAGGTGCTTCGGCCGGCAGAGAGAGATGAGGAGAAAGGAAGATGTCTCTATGGCTCGAGGGCAAGCCATCTCACAAAGACCGGCAGTTCTTACAGAAGAAGTAGCCCTGATGACCAGCAAGAAGGAGTTGATTCTCCTTTCGACATGTGACTAAGAAGCTCTCAGTATCCTTCAGAACAAGAACCCATACTCCACGCCCGGTTCTTATGTAGATGTTGTATAGTCGTATCCCCACGCCGCTTTACCCAAGAAGCGTTCGCCGCACATCTCGGATTCGACTAGCCATCCTGTTCTATCTGCCCGATTAGGCTTCCACGTCTACTGTGAACGACAAAGTCCAGTATTTACTGTCGCGACTTCTATATATGCTAGATCGCCTCGGTTGCGGTTATAGCCCGTTCCCGCGCAGGTAGTACTATACTAAGCGGCTTTACGATTGGTATATTGATTCTTCGGCAGGTTGTAGCGACGATACCAGCGTTTTGGGCAACAACTGACAAGGGATCCGACTACGAGATGCTGGATTGCTGGCAACCAAGCTTCCATATTGCCGATTTTTGGCGAACGTTCAAACGCCACAATGAGATGTGCTGTCAGCACCGTGCTCGCGCACTGCTAAACAGTATTAGACACTTTTCTATTATAGCCTCGTCGTGTGTCGGTCGTGCCCAAGATACAGTCGTCCGGTTGCCGTCCATCTCTATACGTGACCAGATGTCGGATTTGGAAGCAACTTCTTCAGCCATCAGCTTTTCCTATAAGACCCACATGGATCCAACGCCATTTCAATGCCGACACGGGAGATACAACTCGTTATCGGCGTCCTTAGCAGCGGCGGGCCATCACGAGGGTTGAGATTGAGATCACGGGCCATGGAAGATAGGCGGTAATGTATTCCGTCGTTGGTATCCCATTGCTCGAACTCGAAGCCGCCCCGTATATGCCCAAAGCCGGATGCTTCTTGCTGGCTCGCAGCTTTAGTGTCGTCGCGATTTAGATCGCTAGCGGATGGTCTGCTTGCCATACCATCGTGTCTCGTTGTTGTACAAGCTTTCGAAACAACGCCCCTCCAAATGCTCCACCCGTAGTACAACGCCATACACAAGACAAGAGCGAAAGCCCACTATAACCCAGAGTCTATCTCGTCTGGAATATGATCGCCGGTCCAGGCACTCCAGTCCCGGCAGGTTTGCGCCATGATACTCGGTATCGACACGTCGTTCTGAATGTCACGAGGACGTTCGAGGATATTTATGTAGAGTCCAGAACTTACGTGCCATGCAATGTGGCAGTGGAAAGGCCAGACCCCGGGCGAGTCCATGTCGATCTGGATCACGGTGTAGCTCGGCTCAGTCGCGCTCGGCATACCCGGTAAGAGCATGACGTCTCGCCTTTGGGGGTTGTTACGGTTGGTGATCTGCCCATCCCAAATACCAGTTCCGCTCGCCAGGACGTACATATTGTGGCCGTGAAGATGCATGGGATGCGCACCCGCTGGTGCCCAGTTGTATAATACCAAGCGGACGGACCTGCTTTGTCCGAAGTTGTAGACATTATATTCGCTCGGGAACTTGGTGTGCCCGAGCTTGGCGTCAAGCAACACCGGATCGTTGTAGTTTGCCCTGAAAGTGGAGTTGTTCATCCAGAAGAGGTTGTGGGTGCCATTGCTTTGGTAGGTGATGTTGATGACCTGCGAGGTGTCCGGATGGGATGGCGGTGTTAGCTGATACAGCGGTGTTGTCAAGCTCAAGTCGTCGTTCTCACAGTATGCCAGAGCGGCATCGGACACGGTGGACCGACTCGTAGGTACAGCTGTCATGTTGGCGTTCTGGTAGTAGATGGCTGCCATAGCAACGGGAGATATGCCGTCGTTAAGACTACAGAAGTTCGTGCCTAGCGTTGATCGCATCCACACTGCGTCGCCTGATTTGCCAGTAGCCGTGAAGAGAACGTCGCTTCGTTGCCCGACTGCTAAAGTCACGACATCAACCTGATACGGCTGGATGGGCACGAAGTCGTTGGCGATGATTGTAAGCTTGGCACCATCGATGGAGAACTTCTGGAGACCCTCCGCTCCAGAGTTGATGAGGCGAAGACGGTAAGTCTTGCCCGTTGTGACATTGAACTTCGAAATCCCTGCGTTTGGCGTACAGTTTGGGTTTGTAGAATTTGCGCAGGGATAGTTCATCTTGCCGTTGATGAGGTTGTTGTTGGAGACCGGAGGGAAAAGGTTCTCAGCCGCTGGAGCCATCACTGTTTGCACCAGGTCAAAGTAGTCGGGCGTATGGAACCAGTCCGAGAGCAGAATTGGGCCCATATCCTCATCGTACTGGGCAGTTCCATTTGGACCATAGATGATCATCGCACCATACGCACCAGCCGCATACTGCGCACTGTAATGGCTGTGATACCACGACGTACCATATAAATCAGCGCGGAAACGGTATGTAAACGAGGATTGAGGTGCGATGGGGCACTGTTGTACGGCTGGAACGCCATCGAACCACGGTGTGTCTTGCTGCAAAAGACCATGCCAATGCAAAGAAGTGCCTTCATCGGTCAAATCGTTAAACACTTCCACTTGGATCCAGTCACCCCTGGCGAAAAGAGTGTCAGCTATGGTTTCAATCCCAACTTGTGCAATCGAACAACCTACCAGTTGGCGGAGATGGTTGGGCCAGGGAATGCATTGTTAATGAGGATGCCCGAGACATTGTACGCTCCGTCAGGGTTGACTATTTGCCTGCTAACGTGGAAGGTGTAGTATCTCGTCACGCCAGTGTTTGGAGGGCTGGTGTAGGGATTTGTGTTCTGTGCTGTGTTTGATCCCCACGGAAATCCTTGCGGCAATGGGCCGTCTAGCCAAGGTGGCAGCCGGGGTGCGCTTAGTAAACCGAGATTACTGTTGCCGTTCGTTTGATGTTGTGATAGCTTTGGGATGAGTGCTTGACCTTTGGGGATCATGGCTGGGCTGAAGTATAAAGCAGACGCAATTCCGCCTAACGCTGATGGTACAGGGGTGGCCAGCGTGGCCTCTGCTGTCGTCGCTGGCGTCTTACCAGTTGTATTGGTATCAGCTGTCGAGTACTCGACCTGCGGACTAGGTGCCGCCACCGCGAAGCTGGAGAGCAAGAGCAGTGCCCCATTCCGTAGTAATCTTCGAGCCATGCTGGGGTTGTTGGACAGTCTTGACAGACCAGTGGCCGCACTTTCGTAACTAAGGGACCGAGGGGGTTTCGAGTAGAGTTACAGTGGCCTTTGTGTACCAGATAGTATATGCCGAAATGACGCAGAGGTGGTCGAGCAGAGCACAAAGCGAGTGTCGTGGATCCTTCCCCAATCAAAACAGCCGAGTGGCAGTGGTCGTGAAGCGGCCTAGAAGCATGTAGAATGCGACGCGAAATGTGCGAGTACACACATATAGGAGAACTTTGCCACCGCCGGGTCAGCAACACAATATATCAAAACAGAGTGGACTGATCCTTGTTGGAACGTGGACAAGGTGGAGCCATGCTCCGCGGCCGGTGGGCAGGTCGGGTGAGAGGACGGAGTAAGCGAAGAATATGGTACATGCAACGATCGACGGTGCATCTGGGCTTGGCTGCTACCTCTGGACAGGTAGGTAGCCATGTCATAAGGTGAGGCGCTGACGGGATACGGGAACCTCACTAGCTACCAAGGTTTTATTGGCGGCTTCAGATAGGTGCAAGCTTATGATTGCCATTTTCGAAAGTTCACCCTCTCTGGGAGCTTCAGTGTAATGGCTTTGCCATTCGCGTCCGCTGGTTGCACAGAATGCATGTCAATCGCCGCATCGCTCGATCGACCCGATTGCTACGTCTGTTGCGCTCGGAAGGTCGGGACCGATGGCTCCAGCGTGAAAGGCTTGTATTGTCAATCGGCCCCAGAAGACAATATTGGGCTCTCGAAGGAAGGCTCGTAGTGCCATAAACGGCTTACAGAATCAAGCAGGCATTCACGATGTCGTAGTCAATAGAGTCGCGTGTGAAACGGTGGGTCGCAATGCAAGCCGTTTGGTCGGCAAACCGTAAGGACTGGATCAGTCGACGTTCAATCAGGAAGTTGGACTAGCGGTAAGGCTACGCTTGTGCACGCCAAGCGAGGTGAAGGTCGGGCCTTCGGCAGGGGTGGAATATCGATTAGCGGATGAGGCTCCGACATCGACCCTCGTATCCGTGCGCACCTCAAGATGCTGCGGAATCTGCGATCACGTAGGAGACCTTTGGCGTGCGGTTCGACTCTAACGGAAGATGCGTGCCTTTGGACTCGTATGTGCAAGTAAGGCATCAAATTCCTGCGCCGCAGCCAGAAGAAGAGGAGAAGTTGTGGTTGTGTGGGGAATCCATGCCAAATATAGCACGGTTTACCACGCGCCCTAGCGTGAGGCCGCATGCTCGGAATCCTCCAAGTCAGGTCTGCGCAGGGTTCACTTCCCGCGGTGAGCCTCAAAGATGACCACACAAATTCATTGTCCCGCGAGGGCCATCTTACCCGTACAGCCTCGTATTGGTCAACTTATTCCCGGCTGAACTGGTGACGAACTTCCTCTGCTTCGAGTGTTCCACTCATCGGACACGGACGGTCGTGCGCTTTGCGACCTCCAGGAATGAAGCCCTACCTAGGGTCGGAAAGGCAGATGGGCTGCCATGAGAGGTAGCAGGTTCTGTGGATCACTCGCACGTTCGACTCCAACGTTGGATCTGGCTCACCAATGCTTCCAGCCGTCTCTGGAACGGTATTGAAGCTCAACAGTTTGGAGATGACAAGTTGCAAGCGTTGGAAGCTTGGGAGATCAAGATCAAGCACTCGAAGTTTATCCCCGGAGCTTTTCATAAGCTAATGCGGCTTGTCCATGTGCAAATAGTCCGACATGCAGATTCTCCCATGTCTTCAGGCGGAGGATACTTCGCTACCATGCAAAGTTGCAGACTTCGTCTGCACGTTACTGCAAGTGCGGCTCGTATTCTCGGCTAGCATGCAGCGCCGACAGTAGAATGGTTGCGCTGCTCAGACAAGATGTGTCAGACAATGCGCCCCTCCGATGCCTTAAATGCCGTCCGTCTCCTCACTCTACCCTCGTCCAAGAGGTCAAGCCAAGCCGCATAGACTTGGCAGTTTCTGAGTCTTGATTGCACGGGAGATCACGAGTACAGCATCAGGTCGTCTGTCTTCGGAACACAGGTGGCTGCGAGGCAGGAATCAACTGCTCCGCCAAGAAGATCAGCGTAACACCGCAGTTGTTGGGCTTTATCCGGCCCATCGAGACTGGAGCAAGACGCAGAGGGTGGCGAGCACTTGGGCGAACGCTTGTCTGCATCCTTCAGGGCCCCAGAGCGGCGCGAGGTGGAGTTGCCCTGTAGCGTGTTTTGACGAGTATGTCATGACTATGATAATCCGGGTTTGGTGCAGCTCAAAAATGGTTCGATCCGTTCACACCGTGTGCCTGAGTGGGTGTGGTGTCGAAATAGCTTTGTATCAGAATACATATGCAAAGATAACGTCTATCCAACAACCGTTTCCCAGTGTTACAAGAGCCTGTCAGTTGTGTGCCAGATCTTCCAAGCCTTCACCTCTTAACCGTACTCCACGCCTTTACCCTTATGCAGATATTGTATAAACCATGTCCTAACGCCGTTTCAGTCAAGACCGCAGTGTCTGCACTGACTCTAGTAGCTTGAGTCGCCCAGGCCGTTCATGATCGAGCCCACTACGTCGCAAACCAGCCGGACTCGCCCGATCAGTCTTCCACAATCGTCGCACAATCAGCTGGATGCGCCTAAACCTCTATTACAGACCACGGACATAATCCGCCGCGCTGCCGTCTGAATGCAGGATCCGATGGCAGTACGTAGTGGCCGCTTTACGACTTCAACGAATCCCGCATGCTCTGCACACTCGCGCTCGTCGTCGGCAGGACACCGCCCTTGCCTGCATCCTGCGTACCCGTGGCGGCGCCCGGCTTCGGCTGCCTCATCTTCGCCACCGCGTACACGAGGCCACTGACGAAGCCGACCATGATGGCGCTGACAGATGCCAGCGTGAATGGTGCGTCGAAGAAGATAAGGCCAGAGAGTGCAATGGGGAGCTTGTTGAGGGCGCCGACCATACTGTAGGTGGTAGATGATGTGATGCGAACACACCAGGCGGAAGTGTACGAGATGAAGACGGAGGACAGACCGGAGATGATCATGGTGGCGATCATCCAGTTGCGGGTTTCAGGCGGGAAGTTGAGGTTGAGGTTGGCGCTGCTCCAGTTCTCGAGGAAGAGCGAGCAGAGGACCAGGATGGGGATGGAGAGGAGGTTGTTGTAGTACATCGCTAGAACAGCACCGTTAGCAAAGCTATGCGCATCAGAAGAGCCAGCTGGAGCTTACTGTCAAAGTCCTTGAAGTTGGTAAGCTTTATCCGTTTCCTCATGCCAAGAACATAAGCGGCGGAGCAGAAGCAGTTGAGCATCATCCAGATATAGCCCGCGTTGAGCGTGCTGAGCTTAGCAGCCGCCTCGCCAGTCACCGCATCTCCACTGTACGCGGTCAAAGCGTGCTGAATGTCTGCCCATGCGGCAATGACAGAGCTGAGCACCATGAGACCGAAAGAGAGCAGAGCCATCGGAGTAACACTGCCACCAAACCATAACACCTCGCCGTAAGCGATGAGAATGATGGTCAGATTCTTGAAGATGGTGTACACGGGAATGCTGAGGAATTGCAGTGCCTTTGTGGAGGTCCAAATCATACCGATCAGCAGTAGCGAGATAGGGAACCACTTTCGAGCCTCATCGGTGTTGAAGTCACGGTAAGTGATGACGCCGGCGGATTTGCAGCTTTGAATGGCAATAATGCATACAATAGACTGGACGAAGTGTCAGCCGGTTTCATGCCTGAGTGGACATGCTGCATCCGGCTTGACTTACCTGCACGGCCAAGAGAAGGAAATTCAGGTTGAAGTTCGTGCCGCTCAATACATATTTGTTGGTGACGGTCATCAGAATACTGCTTCCGCAGTAGGCGAGGATACTGATGGTGGGGTTGTTGTTGAGACTGCTCGCTGCGGCCGGCATGCTTGGGATGATGGGTTTCGGCTGCGCTTCAAAGTGACCGTTGGGCAGTTTCTCGCCCATCTCCAGGTTCTCATCTCTCCTCTTCTCGTCCATCTTGGGCAAATAAGGTGAGGTCGGGAAAGGAGCGGAAGCTGGTGGGTGACGCGCAAGGGATGAGCGGACGGTGGGAGGCTGCCAATACTGGGTGGTGCGGCGGAGGGAGGAGGCGGGGCCAACGTATGTCGTCGTCTTGATGGCCTCTACACCGTTTACTGCGTTGTGCGCGACAACGTGCGAATGGAAGGAGTGACAGAATAACAAGACAGTGCAGTTGAGGTGTTCAAGTCTTTTTTTGGCATCACCTCGGAAAGGGAGAGTCGCTGCCAGGGTCAACCTGTCAGGGTCCCATACTACTCGCGGCTCTCCCGAATAATCAACGCCTCCTTGTCTGTTTCCGGGATGGTGTTGTGCATGCTGGTATGGGAGGTTACACTATGCCAGCTGAGAACATATGCCATACGCAAGCCACCTTGCAACCCTATATACCCCTCAAATCTCAGCCGTGTCGTTCAGTATTGCACTGTAACCCAACGCAACTTTACACGATCGTATTCGCTTGGCGGAATCTCGTACTGTGGAGCCCTACATGTTGAAACCGGCAATCTGCCGCTAGCGTGGCATGCAAACGCGTTCTGCACGCAGCCAAGCCGTTATCATTACGCCCACACACCATGGCTACTCTTGACACGAGCGTAGCTAGCGTAGTTGACCGCCACCACACGGACATCAACGATGAGGACGAGGATGCATTGTTCGCGGAACTAGAAGATGAATCCCAGGACCATGCCTTCTCAGGTCTACGCGAGCGTAGGCTGGAGCAGCTTAAAGCAGAGCTGTCGCGGGCGAAGGTATTGAAGGAGAGCCAACATGGCACCTACGCCGAGATCAAGGACGAGAAGCTGTTGATGGACATTACTACGTCCACGGCAGTATGTATCGTGCATTTCCAGAAGCCCGACTTCGCTCGCTGCCGCATTATGGACGAGAAGCTTGGCGTGCTGGCTGAGCAGCACTATGAAGCTCGGTTTGTGAGTATCAACGTCGAGAACGCGCCATTTCTTGTGGTCAAGCTTGGCATTCAAGTTCTGCCGTGTGTGATAGCCTTCAGAGACGGCGTGAGTGCGGACCGCATTGTGGGCTTCGAAGGCATTGGTTACAAGCCCGACAGTTTCACGGCCAGAGAGCTGGAGGCAAGGCTGTTGGGCAGTGGAGTGCTTACGAGAGCGAAAGTGGGCAACGGAGTTCATGGTGGTGCGCGTAAGAAGCAAACGCAGTACGAAGAAGCAGAAGATGATGACGACGACTTCGACTGAGCGTGGAAATGCTGCCCCTGTGAAGCTCGCTCTACGGCGATGAGCCGTGCGAGGACGGTGCAATCGTACAGCACGTCCTCGGACTGACAACGACCGACAGGAGGCCATAGTAGCCGGTCCAATGTGCTGCAACATCGGTTTCTGCGCCTTCGCTGGAGCGAGACTAACCGCCATCTGTTGGTCCAAAGTCAGCCTCTCATTGTCGACTTCCGCTTCGGACACGATAGTCAACTTGCACTTCAAACTGGCCCATCACCTTCAGGCTCTGTTGACTGCCCATCCTATCATATCGCCAGTGCACTCGAAGCGTGTGCGGCTCGGCATGATCCTGTCCAGGCCTTTCCCGCGCCCATGGATGCTCCTGGGCTTGCATCCTTGCATGAATGCGACTGCGAGCCCGCTGCCCACGACAATACCTAGGATGATTGAGAACAACATCAAGAAGACGACCGCACTCCACGACGAATGACGGTGGCGTCGGCTTGTTTGCTGGAGTGTCTCTGCGTCCTTTCCGGCTAAATGTGCTGGAAGTCTTGGAGTGACCGTAGTTTCGAACTTCTCGGTGTCGAAGTCGGGGTGGTGGCTCAAAGACGGCACGCCTTCCCTTCTCTTGAACACTCTTAGAACAGTTGTGCACAGCTGATGCAAGTGGTCGGATCGTGGTCGGGCTGCATTTGACGGTATCTGATACGGATATTTGCGTGCTTAGAGGCAGCCGATGCTGGTAGGGTTGCAGGTATTGCTGGTCTCATGGCAGGGTATCTCAGGACGAGCACTCAAGGGATATTTCCGAGCCCTGAAGCTTAAAGCACGATGCTTACCATCACATCAGCTCTGACACCAAAGGTCTTGCCTGCTATACTGCGCCGACCCGGAAGTTGACTGGTCCACGCATAAGCCCACAAGCTTCAAGCATACGGTTAGCCTTCATGGATGTCAACAGACTGTCCCACTTGGGCTTAGTGCCTCGCACATTGCAGGAGCAAGGCCTTAGAAAATATGACAAGTAATTCCAAGTGTTATACCAAGTGCTATCGATCTCTCTCTGTCGACTCCTGTGCCTGTGACACAGAAGCCTTTGGCGCAGCTTGTAGCCCTTTCGGCGCTTTCAAGCCGCTAAACACCAGACCAGCAACCAGCAACATGCCGCTGCCACCGACCAGATATGCCGTGTGCCGTCCTGCCCACCAGTACAGCGTGCACGAAATGAGTGGACCTAGGGCGCGACCAACCTGGCCAAAACTTCGAAAGTTGCCGAGCTTTTCGCCTCGTTCCTCGCTTCCGGCCTCGAAGCTCGACAAGCTATTCAGACCGGTGACGACGGTGCTGCTTGTGACGGCCAGTAACGTTGCCGCTGCGTATAGTCCACGCTCTGAGCTGATACCAGACAGCATGAAGAAGGCCGCGGCGCAGCTGGCAACGCCCAGTTGGACCACGCGCAAAGGGTGCATACGACGAACTACGCCGCCTTGTAGAATACTAGCAACCAGGCCAATGTAGCCAAGTAGACGTCCGTTTTGTCCGGACTGGTAGGAGAAGAGATCGTAGGTCATAAACGACAGCGAGAACTCCATCCCCGAGAAGAAAAGGACAAAAGCGAAGTGGGTGAGGTTGAGCAATGCGTGACTGTTTGTCCGCTCTCCTGCTGGTGCCTCTCGCTTGTCCTTAACATTGCCATTCGCTGTTGGCTGTACGGCGTGATGCGTTTCCGGCAGAGCATAGTATAAGTATACAGTCTCCGTGACGATCAGGACAAGCGAGACACCAGCAGCTGTTGCGAATGGATTCGCAGCCACTGTTGTAATCTGCGATAGTGCTGCACCCATTGCCGGACCAAACGTAAACGCGATGCTGAAGCATGCACCTACCATAGCCATGGTCTTGCCTCGCTCCTGCTCGTTGCTGATGTCCGTAGCGATAGCCAGCGCAAGCTGTACGTTGCCTTCGCTTAACCCACCCACAACGCGACTTGCTAGGAACGTCCTGAAGTCGACAGCAGCGCACCACAATGCTACTGAAGCAATGTTTCCCATCATCGACCACAGCAAAGCCGTCCGTCTGCCATACCGATCCGACAGCGTTCCAATGACCGGAGACGCGACAGCTTGGCAAAGCGAGAAGAGGGAACCCATCGCGCCTCCAAGCAGGACAATATCATATCGATCATTGATCGGTCTCGCAAAGCTGTTCTTGTAGGCATTCAACCCGTACAATATCCGTGCCAATAAGGTTCCCGATGACCGTGTCTCGACATCGCGGTAGAACTCGAGGAGCTTTGGGAAGAGCGGAAGAATGAACGTGAAGGATATCTATAGCAACAGTCAGACAATGTTGTTTCCTTGTGAAGAAGCAGGCGTACCAGATCAAGAAGTAATGAAATGAAGAGGACTCTTAACACTTGCTTCCTCCGCGCAGGTGTCACTGGCACGGAGACTGCCATAGCAATGCCAGCGGTAGCGCGATGGTTTGGACTTGGTGTGACTACACAGGAAGAGACATACTACTTTGTTATACAATGCCACTTGCCCAATGGTGCAATTACAAGCCTCGGTAAGGTGGACGGCGTTGATCTTACAACTATGGAAGCGCACCGCGGAGTCCTAACATTAGTGATGAGCGCACGAATGAGGCAGTCATCCGCAGATCAGCCCCGCAGGTTCTACGATCCTTATTTTGGGTTTCAGTATGCGCAGCGAGTGAGCAATGTTATAACGCTATCGCCGTTCCCAGCCTCTCGGGTCATGATGTGGTACTGTTTGAGGAGATGGCAGCGCTGAGAACGGCCTAGTGTTGTGGTCGCAGGAGTACTCGAGAGTAACGATCATCTTGTTCTCGCCGGGCAGGGAAGGTCCATAATCAGGCACCGTGCATCATGCCCACGCAGGGACAATATCGACCCCACTCTGGTTATGGCTGTCTGCAACGGCCTGCCGCTACTGTGTACCGCATGGTAGACAGAATGTTTCACGTTCCGCCTTTGTCATCTCGACTGGACGACGTCGAGTCACAACTGCCTGTTGTAACAATGAAGGGAGACGCTGCGCGGCTGTAGGACGATCAGTATCCCAACATCCTGTGGTGGTATCACGCAATAAGGCAACATTTGCTCGTTTGCGTCCTTGGAAAGTACACGGCGCCTTGTAGAATGGCCTCTAGGACCGTGCTGCGGCGCTGAGCCTGGCAGTTTTCCAATTACCACGCTTGTAATGGAAGCATGCAAGCTTTGGAGAGACTATTCGGCGACCAGCACGTTGTTCGGCAACAGGACGAAAACTACTTTGGAAAGAGGACAACTTGCCTTCGTCATGAATGTGCAGGTAATTTGTGCCAATGCTCTCCGCAACTCGGCGCATTCGGCATGACCTGTTCTCAGAACGCCACAACAGCCGTCCGCGGGGCCCCGCCTGCTGCCCATCTATCAGCCTTGACAGTTCTGTCGATCATCTAGAAGACCTCTCACTCACATCCTGTTCAGCACAACGACGAAGCATGCCGCTCTGGCACGAGCGACAGCTGAATTATGCACTGGAACGCGCAGTATTTATCTGAACCCCAGTCTTGAAGCTGCGCAGCTCTCGAGACTGATCTCGAACCGCCACTGAGCTAGCTCCAGTTGCAACGATGGTTTTAAACGTCCAGAAGCCTTCAGATCCACAGGGTCTGATCATTGAAGCATGGGCGCAAGGGTAAGCATTTGGAAGGCTCTAGCGTCGACTTTTGTCTCAGACATCGTTAACGGTTGCACTCATCCTATAGCTTCATGGTCGGATCCTTGGTCATCATGGCTTGTACGTCGTAGCTCACGTGAAACGCGTCGGCATGCCGAGTTAGCTGCTCACCATGAGGACCAATTACAGGCATAACGGCGGCCAATATGCGGCGAAAAGTGCTGCTGCACAAGCTTATTCTCGTCGAGGTGCGATGCACCCTCGAAAGCCCATGACACGCTCATACCGAGACTGACGTCTTGTGAAGCTGATATTTGGCATGTTCCACGGCACTTTCATCTTCACGGACCCGCCGGTCTACAACTGGTATCTCAGCGTAACAGCCATCTTCTTGGTGGGCAATACCCTGAAAAGCAAGGCGTTTATGGCGCGGATATGCTGATTGTGATCGCAGAATGTCAGCTGGAGCCTGCATAATGTCATCGCGTGGATCAAGAACAAGCCCCTACTGCCGCGGTGGGCAAGCATCTTCTATATCACAACCGTGATACTTGTCCAACCGTATTGGGTGCTCGAGCTTGCTGCGAACGTACGTAGCCGTCTGGCTGCGCCACAGAGGTTGCGACTAACCGCAGTCTGTAGTTCCTGTACTTTAGCGACACTAACAATCTCTTCGTATACACACGGCCTTACGAGGCGCTCTTCCGCGACCCGTGGTGGATCTTTACAGCGCTCAACCTGTTCTGGAATATCAAGACGCGTTACGACTTTGGTGTCGTCGAGCTTATTCGAGTTTCGCCACGGTTCGGCGTGCTGCTGGGATCTATGCTTGTGAGCATCTGCTTCATCGTTGTCGACATCCTGGCCGTTACACACGTGGTTTCAGGACCTGGGTTGCCAGATGGCATCAACCCTTTCTGGAAGATAGCGTTTGTGTTCAAGTGCTTGACAGACACGATCATTCTCGACGATTTCAAAACGGCATTGGATCGCTTGAAGCAGTATCGTTTAGAACGCATGGGCAGTGTACTGAGTGACAACATTCGAGGCGACTTCCAGCACGTTGATTATACTCAGCGGAAGAAGGTAGACGGCAGCCAGGAAATGCGTGGCATCCCTGCCATTCAATCTAGGGACTGGACCAAGGTGACGGACTTCGACAATCTTGACCTAGAGACTGCTTTAAGGGTTGACCTTCGTGAGCATGCCGAATCCTCAAGCCCGAGCGGCGGGTGAGGGCAGCAATTGACAACGTTATACCGAATGGATACGGAATCCCTGTGCGAAAATTCGAAGAACGAGGATGACGATTGCCAAAGTTACCGCCGAGACTTCGTCTTGAAGTGCTGCATTCGCGGGACGAGGTGATATGCGATCCGCAAGCTGGAACGAGCGTTAAAACCCGAGCGCAGGTGGTAAACCTCTGTGGAATCTGCAAGCAGTGTGTAACATCGATGCGCGCGAGCGACAACGGACATGAATGCAGACTTGATCTCCGGATCGTAGCTGGTCGCCGACAGATGTCGAGAAGGCAGTGGTGACCCCATAGCAGAAGATATGATGTGTGGTTCACTCGGAAGAAGGTCGTAGCGGACTGTGGGTTCCCGCAGCATTGTACGCTTCGCGGCCATTGCCAGCTCGGACGGCCATTGCCGGCCTTGTATCATTCAAGGTTTCACACTGATAGCAATGATGACTGCGCAATGACCTGCCAAGCAGTTCGCAGCCATCCAGATCAGCCTGCCGCCTCGATAGCACACCGCATCTCCTTCTCCCATTCGGCATAGTTTGCCCTTCGCTCATCACTGAGCCAGTCGACAGCAGGTTGGAACATCGTACCAAGACCTGGCAGCAAGCCAGCAGGACCTAGGTTCCCGTCACTGTCGTCACGCCCTCCGTGCTTCTCCTTCCGCCGTAGTGGCGTTTTTGAGGGTCGCTTGACAGGCGATTGTTCCTGGTCTTCGTCCCCATTCGTGTCATGAATGTCGCCGACCGCGTGAGGATACTTCTCTTGCTGCGGTGCTGCTGTCGTAGCCAGTTCCTCTACTACAACAGGTTCCGCGACCTGCCCGACATTTGGCTGCTTCGCCGACACGACGCGTTGTCTCGTGCTCCTTCTCGACACAGGCGTCACAGTTGTTTCCAGCTTACTCGATGTAACAACCTTCGACGGTGACGGAACGGCTTCCGCACCTGACCGCGTCACCTGCCTCCCACCTGGTGTCCTCGGGGTCGTGAGTGTTCGAAGTACAGTCCCCAAAAACGTCTTCAGCCTCGTGTAGACCTTGGGTTTACACGGTGGCAGGATGTTCCTCTGCTCCAGCTCCAAGCCTAATTTCTTGCCTAGTCGCTCACATGCGATGTGACAGCATGCGAAGGCACGAGCGATCTCTTCTTCGGCTTTCAGACTGGAAGCGCGGGTCCGTGATTGGGCGAGGAGAGAGGTCGCGAGCTCAAGCAGCGGAGCAGGAAGCGGGGAGAGCGTTGGGAGGAGGGTGTGAAGGTGAGTTGATAGCTGAGCGTTCGTTGCCATGATCGGCCGTGGTGGGTGAAGGTTTCATGAGTGAAGTACGTTGTGCGATGCAATGCACGTTCGAAGTGGGAAGGAAGGTGGGGCATCCAGACGCGAAACCGCACGCTAGCTAGACATCGCACGTGATGCGTTCCGGGGCAATATTGGATCATATTGGACGTTGTTAACGACCGGAATGTAGTATGGGGTATATGCAGGCGTGTATATAGAGTATAAGCAATGCTTTTACACTCGTACAATAATCTCTGGCATGCCTTCTAGCACCACTCTCAGCATCACGTCCTTACTCTCTTTCTCGGCGTGCTGGGCTCATCTACCACCTCAGGTACCGCCGTAGTTGCCGGGCTCGTCGCCTCGCTACTCAGACTCTCCACCCTGCTGGCCGGGTGCTGCACTTTTTGCTGGCCTTGCTGCGGACTCAAGGTCACATTGTTCGCAAAGCCGTTGCTAGGCGAGGTCGTGAACATTTCGTCCGCAAGGCCGCCGTTGAATTCCCAGTTGATATCGCCGCCATCGACAGGCGCACCGAAGTCGAAGTTCAGATCCTCCGGCGCCGACGCTGCACCGCCGTCTTCCACCCCCGCCGCGTCCGGATTCTGCCAGCTCGTGTCATCGAAGTTGAAGTACGCATTCGGGTCGTAGTCACCAGGCGCACCGGTAAGGTCAAACAAGTCGGGCGGTGGGCTTGGCTGCAGGCCAGGTATACTGCCTGTCGGGCTCAGCGGCTGCAATCGGCGATGTAAGTCTTGTACCTTCTCATCCTGTTGCCGCTGCATGTTCGTCAGCATCTCGAGCTGTTGCTGCGTCTCCCGCATGCGGTTAAGATCCGGCATCTGCGGAGGGTGTGGCGAGATAAGCGCATTATTGCCATCGCCCGAGTTGACCGCGTGCTGGTTCGCGATGAGAGACAACATATTGTCTCGCTGTTGCGGTGTCAACGGGGCATTGCCGTTGGCCCTCTGGTAGTGCTCCAGCGCGGAAGAAAAGTCTAGCGCAGGCGCCATTTCACCTGATGCACTGGCCGCATTTGTGGCGTTCACGCTATTGATTAGGCTCATCATCTGGTCGTTCTCCGGTACCGAGTGCAGCAGGTCTGGAGTTGGTGCGTCATTCTTGATGATGGGGCTGGCAGTGCTCTCTGAAGTCTTCCCGCCATCCACTGGCGGTACGCTGGAAGTGCTCTCGCGCTTGAGGCTACCATTGGGCGGGCTGACCGAAGTACGGGCGGAGTTAGGTGCTGTAACTGCCGAGCCGGTCTGTTGTTGCTGCTGTTGTAGGTTCGCTAGGGGCCCGGGTAAGAGGAGAGGCTGCTTCTTCACGAATCTTTGAAGCTGCTGATTGTTTTCTGTGGCGCCGTCACCCGTCACTTCTTCCACGCTACCTTGCGGTTGAGTGTTCTGGTTGGAGTTGTTAAACATGTTCACAAGATTCTGCGCTCCGTGGCCTTCCAGACTGCGATTGTAGAAAGTCGCCAAGAACGTGAGGATGGCGTTGATGCTGTTCTCATGCCGGTCATGGAGTGCTTGAAACGCACTTGCTTGCCGATAGAATTGCTCGTTCTGGTCCTTGAGCTGCGCGATCATCTGAGAGATGTACCGCTGCTGAGTCTGCAGCTTCTGCAGCTCTCGCCTCACAGAAGCCAGCTCGGTCCGCGGGAGGGTGACCAGATCTTGAGCTGCTCCCGGTGCGCCAAGCTCACCTACACTGCCAGCACCCAGCCCCGGCACAGGTGAGAACATTCGCTCGTCGTCACTGTCATACTGGTCTTTGATGTTACCATCTCGCTTCCTCTTTCCTCCAGCCTTGTTGACAGGCTTCTGAATCAGCCAGAGTAGCTCAGGCTGGTTCCGGCGGAAGTAAGGATGTGAGTACATGCTCGGTGGCTTTACGCCCTTCCGTGCCTTCTCCGACTGCCGCAGCGAGCCGTCCGTGATGTTGACCGTCTTGTGAAAGCCGTACATGTTCAGCTGTCGCACAAAGGATGCGTAATTGTTGTGCTTGAAGAGCTCTGGGATGAGTGTCCGCGCAAACTCATCCTCATCAAGTACGATGAACGAACGCCCATCGTCTGACCACCGGATCAGGTCTGTGTTATTGCTGTCCAGAAAGCTGTCATATTCTGTCAGCGCATGCAACCTCTTCTGCTCGGCGCGAATCGAGCCCCCCCTTACCTGCTCAGCTTCTGCACAAATGGCGGTATCTGCTTCCTCTTGCCCTGCGCATCCCGCTTCGCCATCGCAACCTTCGCCTTCAATTCTTCCTCGTCCTCCTCTTCACCTGGTCCTGGGGCGCTCCCGAAGCCTCCGCCATCCCACTGGCCCGGCGGCACACCTCCGCCAGTATGCGCTACCACCGGCTGATTCCGTGCTCGCCGAACAAGGTCTGTTGATGTCGCTTGTCCATTCAGACCGTTTGGCGTGTATGTGTTGGGTTGTACGCTGTTTTGATAGTATGACGCATCATTCACTTGGGTGGATAGGTTCGCATCGGAGAATGCACCGTCTGCGGCGTAAGGCTGGGAAAAGTCGAAGTTGCCATAGTCGGTGGTGCTCGGCGCCACTGGGTAAGATGGCGCAGGAGCTTGACTTGGCTGGCTTTGGTGTTGCTGCTGCTGTTGTTGCTGCGGTGGCATTGGCGATGTACCGGGTGCGGGTCGCTTTCGTGACACAGGCGACTGTTGCATGCTGATTCCTCAGTGACTGCTGGCCAATGCAGCGGAGTAGCGCGGGTTACGCGATACGCGCAGTCAGTGACTCAGCGAGCGTCGCAGAAGGCTTATACGGCGCAAGTGAATGTTCTGTCGATGCTAATGTCCCGCGGACCACGAAGGAAGAGGTGAAGGAGTCGGCCGGCTTCGGATAGCGACTCTCGCTTGGTCGCGATTGTATATCTACGCCCACAGTATGCCGTACTTCATCGCTTCGTTATGCACCTTGACGCGGCTTCAGATCATCATCTACACGTGGCTTCGTTTCCGGACGAAAGTCTGCTTGTCCTTGACTCGCAAAATTATCTTCCCAGTAGAGGGAGCTGGAGCTCCATCTGTTCGCTACAGACACGGAAAGGATGAAACGGCAGAAGGCGGAAAGGATGTCGGCGCGACTCACGGCGCAATAGTAGTGAATGATTGTACATGAACTCGACGGGATACTCGAGAAGTCCGAGACACATGCACACACACAACTGTAACTTTGACGTGACTCGCAGGCCGCTAGATCTACGTCAAGCCAAGCGACTGCCCTATCATCCGGCTGCTTCCGTCCCACCATTTCCTGCCCGCCGCATATCCACATTGCTACATTAAGTATGTCTGCGCATACCCGTGCCTCTATGTTGAGGCGTGCCCAAGCTCTCGGAGGGATTACTACATGCCCGCGCTAGACTTTCTGTTACCGTCCTTCCTCGGGCTCGCGGCAATGCCGATCAACAAGAGTGCCAGAAGTCCGGTCACGAAGAGCGCTCCGACCATACTTGCGTAGGGCGAGGGTTGCCGAGGTTCTGATCGCCGGGCTTGGACCAAGTCGATGCGCGCACGTGGAGCTTGTGCTTCGGCCGCTGCTGCGTGGACGGGTCTCAGCGGCGGTGATTTGGCCTCGGGGCGGTAATTGGCGAACAGTATGCCTGGAGGAGGATGATAAGCCGGCAAAAGATTTGGTGCGGTCTCCGGTTCATTTGACATAGTGTCAGCTGCGGCCTCGCGCGGAGAGTATGCTGGCGGCAGGCTCCTCAGGGTGGCATTTGAGCCTGTACGGCCATTTGGCGGGCGGTCAGTGCCGTACTCGGATCCAGCAATCGTGACAACTGCACTCATGCTGGCGGTGCGGTGATGGTACAATTCGTCCGGTTATGAACCGGGATGGAGTGGTGAATTCGTCTTCGCAGTCTTAGGAGCTGTTTCGTATGGAGCAGAACGGTTGTTAGAAGTTCGGGCTGGTGTTTGAAGACCGTAGAAGCAGAGGTGTTTTTGGTAGTAGCAAAGGTTGTTCTTGTGGGCAGCAAAGGTTGCCTGTCTCAAAGCAGTGCTGTGTTGTTGAGAAGGAGAAGTGGGCAAAGTGACACGAACTCATGAAGAAGATAATGAGTAATGCCGCACATAGAAACGTAGGAAACGCATAAGGCCACAGGAGTTGGACTGGTGGTAAGCAGTGGCTTAGCAGGTATAGCGCAGCTCTATAGGGACGAAAGACCATTATGGCTGTAGAGATGGACTAGGTAACATCCAGCAAGGTTGACGCATGATCACACTTCATCCCTCGCAAATAGTTGTATATCTGCGCAGGACGCTCGAGGTAGGCGGATTGACAAAATGCAGTCTCACACAGGGTCCGCGCGAGTTTGTCTCCATCCGATGCTGCGTTTGGTCCTCTGAGGCGTGGGAGGCTGTGAGCTAGCCTGGAGCTCCTTCGCTAAGCAGTGCTGATGTCTGGCACATGGTATGGTTTCACTTTCAGCGGGTAGATTCTGCCGTAGCCTTGCAAACATTATGGGCGGCTCCAATCGATGTCTTGAGCGAGCAGACATCCTGACACTGAACCCGGAGAGTCCAGCACGTCGAGGCACCAGATACCAGCGAGATGAATACGAAAAGAACAACAGGAAGAGGAGATGGATGTGGTTGGAGAGTGACGGAATGTAACTGGTTGCAGCTGATACCTGGACAACGCACGGGCCACACATTGAAACGCGGTCGCGATCTCGGTCGCGTTGAGTGCTCGCATCAGCGTACAGACCGACGACACTTCCTCCCCTTCATACCACCACCGAAGTGAGACGGACACCATGTCCACCGCTCGCATGCTGCCCCGCGCAGCCACTTCCGCCCGCGCCTTCTCCACTACCACCGCACGTCCGCTTGCAAAGATGCAGCTCATCGGCCGTCTCGCAAACACACCCGAAGTCACACCCACATCAACCGGACGAGACGTAATCAGATACAGTCTGGGTGTACAGTACGGCGCACGCGATGAGAACGGGCAGCGTGCAGTGAGCTGGTTCAACGTTTCCAGCTTTTCAGAGGGTTCGCAGAGGGAGCTCCTGTGCAGCTTGCCAAAAGGGTATCATTAGTGCCAGAGATACTCCTAGTCTGCGGGCTATGCTAACCACAGCCGTAGCACCCAGATGTACGTTGAGGCAGATGCGAAGATGGACACGTACGAGAAGGATGGTACGAAGCGAATGTCACTGAACCTGCTCCAGCGTATGTCTCTATAACCCTCTATGCACGCTAGCAAGCAGCTCGGGCATGTCTGGGTCCACTGACAATTCCTAGGCAACTTCGAAGCGCTTTCAAGACCTCCTCAATCTTCCAGCGAGTCCACGACGGGCGTGGAGTCGGACGCTGAATCAGCGGCCAATGAGCCGCTCAGCGGTGTTGGCCACTCATAAGCCGTGTCAGGCCTCTTTCTACATGTCTGGAAATGTGTGCATGTTGTGCAGCATCTGTAGTGAATATCTAAGATTGGGCCAGCATGGGCTTGTCCCCTGCGTTGGAGGATGGCGAGCTTGAAGCCCACATTTTTGTCCGAGGACAGGCGCTGCTTCTGGAGTACTTATGGATGATACCCGCTCACCTCTTAGGCTTGTCTACTGAAGATGCTGCATATGAACACCTTTTCCAAGTCACGTGGATTCTGTTCACTTGCTGCCTCTATAGAACGAGAAGCGTTTTCGTACGGTCGTTCGATATTTGGACAAGTCATTGCGAGTTATGGTTTGCCTACGCAGCAATTGCAGCTTCTAAGGCCTCTCCAGATGCTTAGCTGTAGGTGGCAGGTTAAGGTGAGGCATTTTCGAGCTCCGCGATATCGCTTATCTGAACGAGCCACACTTCCTTCGCTCGGTATCGTCTCATTACTCAAAGCGTGGCAATGATGAACCCATACTAATGTATCTGTGTAAGATTGGTTCACGCGCGACAGTGGGAAAACCCACTTCTCACACTTCTGTTGCTCCCTTACATGCAAGCGGTCTGCCAGCGCGGTGGTAACGACGTTGCATATGCATGCAGGACAGGAGCACCAGGCAATGTGCCTGCCGACTGCATGTTGGTGGTTGACTGGGAGTACACTCAACCATGGCGTTTATCTGACTACTCTGGAGCTGCATACTTTGCTCAGGCGGTTTGTTTCAAGAATTCTATTCCATTATTACAGAATGGTCAATTGCCAATCACTTATCCTTATTGCATCTTCAATTGCCAAACGGGCAAACAACAAATGCCTCGATAAGGTAAGATTGGGGGTTCTCCAGCTTCGGGTGGGACTTTGGCGTCTCTAGACAGGAGCTGAGCTGGATCACGGGAAAGCTGCGTTCACACTCGCGTGGATTTGAACTGCTGCGGAGATCCCCTTAAGGCTACGTGTTGCGGTTGAGAAAACTCAGCAGACCAGCCATCAACGTCACTGTCGTTCTAAGAAGGAGACATGGTAACTCAGCAGTCAGCGGAATAATGGATGCCGGATGGAAACAGCTCAAGCACACAAAACTCACAAGCTTAAGCGGATACCGGAACCAATTTCACAGGCAAAGCTTGTTTACGCCACCGAGTAGGACGATCAAATGCCGCCTCTTTTCAACCCTGTTGCATAACTACTCTACTTGAGCACGCTGTTGGAGAAATGCACGTCAAACTGTCGTAGAACTATATAGCGATCGGTCACAGATTCATACAAAGGGGTGTTCAGCAAAGTGAATATCGTTATGGTTCACCGAGCAGGACCCAATCATTAAATAACGCTGACGGACGTTGCACAAAATGACGCACGTGCAGGCGGCGTTGCGGTCGTGAACGATTGCTGCTCGCTTGTTGCTGACAACAACCTCTGCACCACGTCCTGAACACTCCGTCTCTCATCCTCTGACTCGTTAATATCATTGTGAAGGAGGATCTTCTTCGATCTGTGCGACCGTAATTGAGAGCAATAACATGACAATTGTTGCATCAACGCCGCACCTCGGAGCCTGTTTTGAGCCTAGTCGCGAGCCTGAAATTCGCGCATGAGGGCGGTTGACTTCTTCGCGACTTCTCTCCAACCACCACCGACATTCCTCCCAGTTCCAACAACATCACAACGATGGCAGCCGACGAGAACGGCGTGCCATCGCCGCCAATTAATGGCACTCCAAAGCCAGAGCGTCCAGCTCCGATCACGAAGAGATCGACGTTGTCGAAGTTGGGCCGCATGTTCTCGCAGAAGGATAGCAATGCCGAGAGCCGCTTGTCAGGACAAGATCGCGTTGCCCGCAACGTTCCCGAGACCGCGGTCGAAGAGGTCGAAGAGCCACTGTCAGCAACTTCACCGACTGCATCACAACGCCCGTCGAACCCAACCCGTCAGTCGTCACGTAACGGCGTTCCCACCGTTGCGTCCTCCTTACGAAATGGATCCAACAGCCATCAGGACACTCCCACTGCTCCGCCAGGCCGCTTCTGGACCGACGAGGACGGAGAGCATCACCACTTCCTCAAGCATGCTAAGCGTCAGGAGAAGCTCAGAGACATCCTTCGTACCTTCCTTAGCGGCAAGGAGCGGGAAAACCACGAGGAACAGCCACTCTCTCTCATGAACTCATGGTTAGATCAGGTTCGCACCGAGAAGAATAAGATGGCTGCGGACAAGTCTGGTGGGCCTAACGCTACTGCCACGCTTGTCCAGAAGTACGGCAAGTGCCAAGAAATCGTGGGCAAGGGTGCGTTCGGCATTGTGCGCATCGCCCACAAGCCTGACCCGAACGATGCAAAGCATGAGCAGCTCTACGCCGTCAAAGAATTTCGTCGTCGTCCGAATGAAGACAGCAAGAAGTACGGCAAGCGGCTGAACTCGGAGTTCTGCATCTCGTCGTCCCTCCGCCACCCGAACGTTATTCACACCCTGGACTTGCTGAGCGACGCCAAGGGCGACTTCTGCGAGGTCATGGAGTATTGCGCTGGAGGTGACCTCTACACCTTGGTGATGGTGGCTCACAAGCTCGACGTCATCGAAGCCGACTGCTTCTTCTTGCAGCTGATGCGTGGCGTGGAGTACATCCACGAGATGGGTGTCGCTCACCGCGATCTGAAGCCCGAGAATCTACTACTCACCACTCACGGCGCTTTGAAAATTAGTGATTTCGGCAACGGAGAGTGCTTCCGCATGGCATGGGAGACCGAGCCTCACCTGACGCAAGGCCTTTGTGGTTCCGCTCCTTATATAGCACCTGAGGAGTATATCGAAAAGGAGTTCGACCCGCGTGCCGTCGATGTCTGGGCTTGCGGTGTTATCTACATGGCAATGCGTACCGGGCGTCACTTATGGACGCAAGCGAAATCCGGCGAGGAATTCTACGAGAACTATCTAAAGGCTCGTCGCTCCGAGGAGGGTTTTCAGCCCATCGAGTCGCTCCACAGGGTCAGTTCATCCTCTACTTCACTTGCTGACGTTCTGGCTGTGCTAATCCCCCTCATAGGCTCGATGCCGCAACGTCATCTACTCAATCCTTGACCCCGTCGCTTCTCGTCGGATCACTGCGTCACAGGTCCTTAAGAGTGAATGGGGCAAGAACATCCACGTTTGCAAGGCCGGCGAGGAGGGTTTGTAAGCCGGACTTTTGCGGCGACCACGGCGACATCCTCGACGATTCGACAAATCAGTGCAGTGCATTCTTGGGGTGATGATCAACAGCATTCTCAGCGTTTAGCAGGGCGTTACGGCATGATGAACCGTTCACTCACTGAGCCAGCATGGGTGAAGAAGCGACGGCACTGCAATGTACGGCAGTGATCATTGATACCGCGGCGATATACCGCAGCATGTGATACGTGTACATACGAGTTACGAAGTCAAGATGCCTGAAGTTCCTTGACGCCTGTACCCTAGGACAGATGTGCACATGAATGAACTGGAATGACTTCTCGTGGCCCCGCACTCGCGGATTTGCTGCAGATTACGGTGTTGAAAGGTGATCTTACAGATGTGTTGGAGAATTATCTAGAAAAGCTCTACGAGCGATGATGGCCACAATATGATGCTATTCTCGCCATGCTTACATCCCGTTGCTGTTGAAGGTACAGCCATAACCTACCAGCTCCCGGTAGTCTCCCCGTCGTCATATCGCTGTGCCGTAACTTTCCATACCAAATACTTCATTCCACCGCCACAAGCTTTCCCATAGGCTCCACCAGAGCTGTGCAAGCATATATGTTTGTAGGTCAGCAGCATGCATAGCCAGTGGAGTCGACTCGTGTGTAAGCCTGCAGTCTCGCTGCAAGTAATGGCCGTTGCCGCTTGCCTTAGGCAGCACGCATCGGCAGGTAAATTGGTCCTCTCACTTCCATCTCCTCCGCAGCTGCAATTAAAGTTCATGCTGCGGTCAAATGCTCGGAAGAAGCATCGCAAGAGCTGTGGCTACCGCTGGATAGTACCTGCATGACACGGACTGCTACGTAGGTCAAGATCTGAGCGGACAAGTCGATGATGGACCTTACCAGGGTTTCAGAGCAGCCGCGAGCCTGGCTTTATCGCCATGGCGCACGCATCATTCAGATACGCTCGCGAGACGGCTCCTGAGGGATTGAAAGACCATAAGAAGGCGCTTCAGCTGCATGCCTTGTTGGAAAAGCGTGGTGTCATTATACGTGGTTTGGGCGGCGGAGGAGCTGAGATGCCGGCGGGCTTGAGAAGCGGCGCCCTGCTTTCGCGCTCACACCCTCATGCCCGTGCAGTTATGGAGCACATAAGAGCAGATAGGATCTAAAACGGTAGAAGCAGCTTTGCTGGACCTGTGCCGGCTGCCGCGTCAACACTTCATGCGTGCGATACTCCGGTAGGTCGGCCATGTGTAAGCGCTGTGGCGGCTTCTCCAGGCTTTCTGCCTGGCGGGCGACCCTCCTCCCTCGGATCGTGTGTAGGTGCAGATGTCGCATTGTACAGGCCATGTCCAAGACGAGGCGAGCGGGCCCGCTCACACAGACCAGCTTTGTGCCCTCACCAAGTTGCGGCCTGTTCTGCAGCTGTGCGCCGATCACGACCGTACGGCGCGCCCGCTGCCCTACTTCATCCGCGAACGGACAAGACCCTTGCCTGACCCTGTGGAGGTGCGAATTCAGCGCAGCGGCAGCCATGGCTTTCGCGATGCCATGCCACAAGCTTCAATAGAGCGACCAACCGGTCTCAGCTCCATCGAGAAGCCTTCGCACTGCGTGCCGAGTTGCCTCTCGCGAGTGACGACTTGGCCACCAGGGTCTCGTGCAAGGCTTCCTCCTCCGCCGCAAGCGAGGCGCAGCCACTCATATGCTGCTACATGCTCGGCATAACGGCTATGTGGAGCTCGTGCGCAACATGAGAACCTGCATATGTCCTAGAAGATCGTAGCAGTGTACAGAGTGAAGTAACACGGTTCACTGTACGCCCAGAGCCGGAAAGGGCGTGGTGCACTTAAGCTTAGCTGAGCGCCACAAATGCCGCAAGACGGCACCTGCAATGGACCGAAGGGCTATGGCTGAGCGGACGAAGAGCATTTTGCAGTGTTAGAACAGAACGCTCAACCTTCCTACCGTGGCAGCAATGGGCGTGAGCTGATTCCATAGCGGCGGGTGGCCGCACGCTGCGGCTGACGTCCATGGACTGCTTGGCAGAGAGTGCCAGCGAGCAAGAAGGCTGCGGCTCTTTACAGACACTCCAGTTGGCCACGCGTAGAGGGGGTACTGGATCATCCTGCCGATCACCTACTCCCACGACGGCCATTTCGTGTTAAGCTGCTCCCGCAGCGATAGGTCCATCAACATGCCTTCTCGCTCCGGATTTCAAGAGGACCAGAGCACGGAGTTTTCTGCGAACCTTTCGGGTTGGCCACAGAGCAGTGGTGCGGCTCCGTACTGCAGGTCACCTCTTTCCGAGGACGCACACTCGTCTTGAGCTGCTCCCGCAGCCATAGGTCCGTCAGCGTCTGCTCTCGGTCGTGGGTGGAAGGCGGACCGGAGCGCGAGGTGTTGTAACGCCACTGATATCTCGACTGTCGGAGCTGAGAATGTTGCCACTATTGCTATTATAGCACTCGTTCGCCCTGTTACATGGGTGGGATACCTGTCGTTGCACACGGCTGGCAAGTCTTCAGGCCGCATTTTGTGCACTGGTAGATATACCAGTGTGGCCCCGAGTCGCAGACTTGGCACTTCCAGACAATTAGGGTGGTGTTGGACTTCGCAATCTTGAAGGTGTGGTGGCAGTTGCTGGGCTCCGCCATGGCTGTTGATCGTTCTGATGATTGGAGGTTGTTATGTCATTGGAATGCGTCCAACAGTCCGAAAGTCCTTCCTCGAAGCTGACTCCTCGACAGCCTGGAACAATGTTCTCTTGGCACAGAACCACCTTTCTCGTCGTAATTGTGCCTAACGCAGTCCTTCAATGCTACGACAATCGCCTATGCAAAGCCATACGACGCAAGAGGACGTCCTAACCAGCGCATGAGATAGGCATACATCCTACACCGAGTCCAGCAGTTTGGTGGACACCGAAAGATGTACTGCAGGCAGGTCAAGCGCTTGTCACAACAAAAGTGTTACTGATGGTCCAGCACATCCATTCTCGAACAACTTCTGCACTCGTTGCACAATACAGACACATTTGGTAGAGCACAAAACCGTATGCTACGTGGTCTACGTTCTTTGCTACAACCTTGAGCATACGAGGCCTTTCATCAATCACACAAGTTTCCTGAGAGGACCTCAACCGGCGCCACTACACCGCATCGTACCTCGCGTCCGCGTAAGAAGAGCCATGTGCTACAATGGAGACACGTAGGCCTTCGGCCACGAGTAGGAGTCTGGCATCATGGCACACCACCTTCGTTTTCATTACTACCGATACCCTGGCGGTGTCTCTCCTGTTGACAGCTGCTCGATGCTTCGCCTATGCTCCCAGCCACGAAGCAGGAGTGTTGCACTGGGAAACGGGGACGTGCCTTCACATTATACGCTACGATCCTGGCACAGCTTGCATTGCCAGGCTTGTTGTCGCCGTCACTGACGCCAGCGCGGTATGCTCGTTGCAGCCAATTGGCGCCTCTCATGGCTTGCGGGTCCCACAGTACGATCGCTCTCCTGCAGCCAGAACGGCGCCCGTCCGTTGCTACTCTTGGATCTGTGCCAGAGCTGTGCTCACCCTCGCCACCATAGATGCCTCTGCGTATACTACGTTTGCCCGTACTAGCCTCCGCTCTCCGATGCCGTACTGCGCATAGAGCTTAAGAGCATACTGTCGTTGTGACATGAGCGCGAACGATGCTTTTACGGTCGGTCATCGCAGGATTCCCGACCCCGCCGCTACCATCAAAGCGATCCTAGGCGGTTTTCGACGGCATGGCAGTCGTTCTAACCGAGATATGTTCTGCCATAGTTCTGTGGTGACGGACCACAGAATGCTGCTAGTCTAGTGAACGCGGCGCAAACTGCGCTCGAGGCACTAAAGCTCGCAACGTTGTTGAGCTCACCGCCGCCATCGTAGTAAATGCTCCCATTATCACTACGGGCTTATAGCGGCCGCCCTCTCACAATAACACTGTCTGGTCATATTACCGTGGGTCGATGTCATGGACACCGCAGGGCCTTGAGGATACAGACATTATCAACGCTATTCCCCACCCTCTCGAAGTCATACTGGTCGATTGGGTCTTGCAACGTTGCGTCAGTCATGCTAACCTAGTATACAAGCGTCAGCGCTACGGTGTCGGGAGGAGCGGACCCGACGGCAGATGGGTTGCGCGGAAGTTGACGATCCGATATTCCTCGCTATTGTGCGTAACTTTACAGTGTTCCAGCGGACTCAATGTTGAAATGCTGTGCGTCAAACCCCATTGCTATACACCCTTCTAAACCGTTCGACATATGGAAGAAGCTTATGTGTGGAATTCACGGAACTGCTGGGCTCAACAGCGCCATGATGAGTACTCTGGCAGCTATCAACAGGCAACAGGGCGTGGAGGACGGTATGGCGATCTCACGTTTATCCACCGTCAAATGTCGCTATCGCTGTCAAAGAGCCATAACGGACTTTGGTGTGATGGAGGAGGGTGTTGGATGTTACTGTCCGGAGTCGTCCCAGACCGCTGGGCATACAATGTCTTTGTCATCGCATATTACCTTTTGTGACACTGTACCGACATCGGAAGGCCGTCTGGAAGCTGGCTGCACTCGCTGCAACATCTAAAGACGCCATGGCTAAAATCCACATCTGCAATCCATACCATCTTATGGACGACTGGCCATCTTGGTGAGAATGTTTGCGGCTGCGTCCGCCTCAGCCTTCTCACGAGCCTCCCGAGCTTCTCGCGCCTCTTGAGCGATGGCATCCAGCTCGCTTTGAGTTAGCAGACGTCCCCTTTGTTGCAGCTCTCGCAACGCCGCCGCCAGGACACCAGGAGGGACGCCGTGGTTCTTGACGAGATCTCCACCAGTCTCGACGCGTGGCTGCGGTTGCTTGGGCTCAGCGGTATTCTCTGGTGTATGAAGTCAGCAACGACGTTCACCAACGGCTGTGCAAGCGCTGTTTAGCAATGGTTCGTGATCCGACACTTACCATCGATCTCGTTGTCAATGGGCTCGCTGTGACTCTCTCTGGCATCTTCCAACGCGATACCCGCTGCCGTCAGGACCCTTCTCTGCTCACGCCTGAGCTTGTCGAGGCGTTCTCGGACAGCCTCGGGTGTTGGCTGCTCTGCACGATAGTTAGCGACAAGTCACAATCAAGTGTGAGTGGTCAACTTACCATCAAACCAACCCGCAATGACCGTGAACTCCTTGTCACTAATCTCGCGGCCCATGGCAAAGAGCAGGAGGTTTTTGTCAGTCTCTGCCGTCCACTTGATCTGGTTTGCCGTTATCAGAAGAGTAGAAGACAACGCAAACCGCTGCAGCAACGTACCTTCCGCGTATTCGGCTGACTGTTGCTGTCCATTTCGAGTGGCCTGGATGGATATAGATATGGTTTCAGTACGATGTTGAAGCTTATACTGTCAAGGAAAACCGAGTCGAGGCCGATGTGTTTGAGAGAAGTTGTGGAAGAGCAAGAGATTTGAAATTCTGGAATGGTGCTTGTGGAAATGTCACGTCAAACGGTCTTGTGATTGTTGCAGTCTCTCTCTGATCCGTGTGAATGGCCGGACGATGAGCACGAGCCCCGCCGCGCCTGTACAACACGAGACACGACAAGAGCAACTTTCGGCGGCTAGCCACGGCCACTGGCTATGAGAGTGGACCGAGCGGCAGGTACGTGAAGTTTGTCCAGACAAGGAAGGCACTGGAACGGCCGAGGTCGGGAGGCTTGGTACGCTCAAGCGAACAACACACTTCCTGCGACCTGCCACACAAGGGAAAGATTTATCATACACCTTTCCAAAGCGACAAGAACCAGGCTTTCTTTACAAAGAGGCTAGAGCAACCAATAGACCACCGCCATCAGCGCGACTTTTGAATTTCCAGCAAATACCGACCGGACGCTCGGTACAGATGGATATCCACAGTAAGGAAGACTCGGACCATGGACAACACAGATTGAACGATAGTCCTATACAGCTTCTAGCTCAAGGCCCGAAAGCACTATGAGCTCTCCATATCGCTTGCAGAAACTTCGAGATTCTGCGCTCAGACGGTCAATATGCATCGCCCTAATTGCGATCTACCAGTACCACCCAGGTCTCCTATTGCTTCTCCAGCCTCGACGCCTGAAGACGAGGTAACCTTGCTGGTGATCTTAACAAAATAGCATGCTGACCATAGCTCACGCGGCCGTATGCTCAAGGACGGTGGGAGGTCGATTTTTGGCCATTGTTCCCGGGCCTTTAGGATCGAGGATACATATTAACCACGAGCCATAGTTTACGCCATCTCTGCGGCATGAGTTCTTCTCGACATGAAGATTGCGTCGCGCGCTACCCTCGCTTCTGGGAATGTGTATATGCAATGCCGGAGTCGGAACTATACTACGCTTACTCTGCTAACATATGTTCCTCATTCCAGCCCCATTCGTCCACCAAGCTCCGCGCGGTGACCTCCGTAGAGCAGCCTGTGTCCTTCTCGATAGCTCTGACAACGTCCAGAACTACCTTCCGTTCTTCATCCGCTTCTAAGCAGCCACCAGCAACGTACAATGGTAAGAGCATCTCAACCCTGACCGCCGGATGAGGCCTGCCGAGCGCCACACCAACGATCTCCCTTGCATGCTTGATGGCCAGAGGCGAGACTTCACGATACGCTTTTAACCTGCTGTTGCAACCATTGCTGGTGGCAGGCTTGTTCATTAGCAGCAGTATCCGAGCAAAGTGATATAACTGCATCGAAGCTGCACACTGGTCGATGCTGAAGAACACCTCCGTAAGCTGCGAGCCAGTCATGCCTCCACGATGGGATCGCATCTGCAGTGGGTAGCGGATTTGTGCACAAGGCTGGAAAGTTTCGGGTAGGTTGCTGTACCATGCATCTAATTGTGCGGTCAGCAGATCCCACGTTGCTTGAGCGTCGGCGGGTGTTAGTTTTTGGTCCTGCGCCAGGTAATTGGTAACCCGCAGAACAAGCCACAGCAGAGTGTGGGCCACAATCTGTGCGGTCTGCCGGCAATTGTTGGAACCCTCTTTGATAGCACTGACATCGGCATACAGTGTTCCGTCATCTCGGACCTCGAGACCGCAGCTGCGCCAGAGCGGTAGCTCTTCTGTGTCAAGATATGTCTTCGAGCGGTTGATGTAAGATGCTTGGTAGTCCGCGCGTACGAAGTTCCAGAACGAAGCTTTCCGGCCAACGGTGATTGATGGCACTATCTGTAGCTGATCCTGCTGAGCGGCGCTGATAGCCGACAGCAGCGACTTTAAGCCCGCTAGATGTCTACAACCGATTAGCGGCAGGTGCAGCGAAGAGGCCACGGATACTCACGAAAGCCAGCCCATCTCTCTGTTGTCCAAACACTCGTACAACGAGAAGAGACTGACCGCCACTAGCAGGTCGTCCGAATTGGCCAAGGACAATGACATTTGGGTGCTGGGACTTGATGGTGCGCTGAGACTGCCGGAGATAGCATCCAGGTATAAGCGCGAGAACGCAATAGCTTTATCGTAGTAATTTGCGGCTTTATAGAACCAATCGATTTCGATAGTGCCGTCAATGATCTCCATCATAGCCGGTCTCTGGCACTGAACGCCCACGAAAGGCTTGACACCCTTGACTCGACCCAGCTGCTTCGCAGCAACAGCGGCTATAGCGTTGCGCAGAAGAGCGTCTCGCAAAGCTTTCAAGGGCACCAAATGGCCGAAGTGTTTGTCTTGATCAAAGAGATCCATCCTAGCACCGTCAGCAGCTCCTCAGGTGAGTGAACGGAAGTAGACAGCTCATACCACGGACCCAGTGCCTCAGTGAAGTGCCGGATAAGGTATGCCATTTCATGCTCACGTTCGTCAGCAATAAGAGCGCTGGTCTTTGCCTGTCCCTCTGGAGGCCACATGTTTCTACGAATGCTCAGTTAGACATGTGTGGTGGGCGCACGCTTCACCGTCACTTACCCATTAATGAGCATCCCAATGCCAGACATGGGCGTTGCGGTCGCAGTCTCTATACTTGGCTGATACTCACGGCGATCAACTTCATCCACGATAGGAGCGTTCGGAATGAATCCGCAGGAGTTGTTGCCGGATCCATAGAACTCATCAGGCTCGAGATTGAACCATGCCGGATCGAACAAAGTGTCGTTTAAGGGGCCGTCATACTGCGGATCGGGTTGTAGGTCCGGCAGGCGAAAGTTTGTATCCAGCAGAAGCGCCGGGTGTGTGACCGAGGCCAGAGAGGGGAGAGCGGCCAGTGACTGTGGCACCTCGGTTATGTTGGTGGTGACATAGGGCATAGGAGCTATATCGTCGTCGCCTCCAGTCAATGCTTGGCCAGGAGATGGCGGGCTCTCCGGAAGCGTCGGCTGGCTAGCAACATGGCGACTTAGCGGGCTCGAAGCAAACGATATAGTAGACTTGCCATTGAACGAGGCACCGCTGATCGCCTTTGATGGGTCAGAGGGAGTCTTTGTGTCGGACGGTCACGATACATACATTGTCCGCATTCGTCTCGCCACTCGGTCGACCTAGAGGCGAGGCTTGGTACTTCTTGCGGAGGCTGACAGTCTCATCGACGAACTTGCGCTTTTTGTCGTAACCAGGACATGGCTTCCCAAGCTTTTCGCAGCGCAGACATGCTGGGATCGTTTTGTCGCACTTCCCTCCGAGGTCAGCCATACTGACTATAAAAGGCTCTGATGTGGAAGCATAGGCATACCTTTACGCGACGCTCTCGACAGCGATCACAAGCTCTCTCGGTATGTTGTGAATTCATGGCGCAGCCATACGCGGGCACCTTGGCTGCGCAAGCCAATGTCGAAGCTCCCGCCTTGAGTAATGGGCGGCGAATGGACGATTAAATGCCAGGGTATTGAAGCTGTACCAGGCCGGTGCTCCAGCGCAACATCTAGTAGTGTATATGGTGGTACGGACCTAGCCACGGTACCACTTACAGTGGAGTCGTAAGTTCGCGAGTCATTTCCAGAGATGTTTGAGCGAGTAGGTACGAGGGTGCTGACTGATGGTCGTCCAGCCATAGGGCTGAAGGCGCCACCGGGGAACATTGCTCGGTCCGGAGAGCGCTGTCGTTATGATCTAGCGCTGCCAGATAACGTGCGATGATCGCAGGCGTCGCGTGCTTCATACAGGCCTCACATCGTAATACATATCTGGTCAAGCTGCTCTGTGATCCTGCGATAGACACCCTCGAATGTTTGCAGCACGTTCATGCGGAATGCAAGTGTAGCAACACTGCGGACAATCCACAACCATGAAAATACAAAGGGTAAGGCGACAGTATTCCGCAGCAAGAGTCTTTGCTAATTATGCCAAGATTTTCATCTATCCTGTAAAGTCATTGCGACCGGTTGAAGTCACGCAGACCGAGATCACGAATGAAGGCTTGCGCTTCGACAGGCAGTATGTGCTCGTCAAGCCACCGACGGATTCGCAACCACTAGCGGAACACATCACCATTAAGTGGCGCTTCGATCTTGGTCTCTTCCATACGGCCATCGATCGGTCGTGGTCGAAGTTGACTATCACACATGCCCAAGCACGGGAGAACCGGACGTTTACCGTCCCACTTTCGCCTTCGCCATTGGCCTTGATTAATGCGCCCGTACACGAGGTCAGCATATTCGGCACTAAAGCACCAGGTATCGATATGGGCGATGCCGTCGCGAACTATTTCAGCTACCATCTCAATATGCCTACCAGACTGCTCTACATTGGTGGCAAAGGCCAACGAGAGATCCCAGGCTTGGCCTACGCCCCGAAGCATTACCGCGCACTCTCCATTTCTGTCAACGACACGCTGCAGCCGCAAAGGATTCGCTTCGCAGATGCAGCACCCTTACTCATCACCTCCACCGCCTCGGAGAACGACGCTCGCGCAAGGCTCCCTCGTACCGCGCAGGACGAAGATGTCATAGTACGATTCAGGCCTAATATTCATGTCGACGTTGGCAATGAAGCCGGCCCATACGACGAGGACAGCTGGGGCATGCTGATCATACACTCGCAGACCGATCCGGATCAGGAAGTTTCAGTTCGCTGTTTGTTTCGCACCGTCCGCTGCCTGAGCCTAAATGCAGACCTGACGAAGGGTGGCATGATTGCAACGAACAGGCAACTATATGGACTGTTGGCGAAAGACAGGCGCACTAACGAGCAGTTTCCGCACAAACCTGTCTTCGGGCAGTATGCATGTGCTGGACCGAGTGGCGCCATTCTCCGTGTTGGAGACGAGGTCGAAGTGACAGAAAGGGTCAGTCGCTCGAACACGCCCATTATACCGGCGTCGCCAGACCATGATACAAGAATTGGCTGATAGCTCAAGATCTCCACGGATCATGATTAAACCGGCAGGCTGTGGCGGTGCTTGTAAGCCGGGTCACCCGAACCGGACAAACACAACACAAAGCGAATCTCATTTTCGCATCGGCATATCTTACGCGGCTTTTATCAGGCCTATCATACATAGTCATCATGGCAACGCAACCAGGTGATATGAAGTCTGGAAAGACGAACGGAGGCGCTGAAAAGAGCGAGGTCGAGAATGTGGTCCAAGCTCGAGCGGCCGATCCGCAATCGCGCCCGCGCAGGAAGCGCGCGAAGAACGCCTCACGAGAACAACCACCGAGCGCGGAAAACACGGTGGCGGCGCACGACGAGAAGCAAGACGGGAAGCGTCGCAAGTCACTGCTCGGTGCGCCCATGACAGCAGTCCGCACGCTGCCGCTCCTTGTCTGCAGCATTGGTAATCCAGGATCTACCTACGCCAACACGCTGCATAGCGCAGGTCATACTGTTGTCAATCACTTAGCGGCACATCTTCGCTATAGCAGCTTCCACAAAGAGCGTGAGCTTGGCAATGGCCTTGTCGGCAGGCCTGCGATGAGCGGCAGCATGGGGGACTGGACCCTATGGATGAGCACATCGTATATGAACGAGTCCGGCAAAGGTGTAAGAGCTGCATTCACAGCCTGGTCAAAGCACATCCCGTTTGGCGAGGAAGGCAGACTTGTCGTGATCCATGACGAGCTGGAGAAGCCACTGGGTGCTGTCAGCGTGCGCACCGCTCAAGGAGCTAGCGCCAAAGGTCATAATGGGTTGAAGAGCATCCTCTCGGCCATGAACGGCACGCCTTTTGCCCGCATCGGTATCGGCATTGGCCGGCCTGCAAGTCGGGAAAGCGATGAGGTCGCTCGGTATGTTCTGAAGAAGACGACGCCGGCGGAGAAAGCTAAGCTTGAGAACTGCATTGAGGAGGTCATCACGAAGCTTCGTCAACTCGAGAGAGCATAAGGAAGGCAGTGCGCTACCGCGCCTACATCGTGCGTCAGCTTGAACGCCAAGGAGACGCTAAGCATGCCATCTGATCGGCCATTGGCAGTCGCTTTAAAGTTCCTTCCTACTCATCAATACAATGTACCGAGTATGTTTGTGGTAACGAGCATATCGGAGAAAACCCGGCGTCAATGCTCCGTTCCGGTATGCCTATGTGCCGCGGCTTTATGGAGGGCGCTGCTGTTAGTTCCGAGGGGCACTTCTCCATGCTAACAACCAAATCAGCAATCGCAAGCGTACCATAAGGCGACGAAGTTCATGATACAGCGTCCATTTAAACGCTCGACGCGATGGCTGCAAAGTGTGAACAATGCTGAGCATTGTCACGTGATTGGTACCACATTGCAGCGAAAGTTTCGGCATGCCGAATCGCTGAAGAGAGTTACTGGGGAACGCACTGGTGCGCGCTTCCGTATCCGGCTTCCCGGCAATGCCCTAACGCATTCTCTGGACGGAGCATAAGCATGAGATTGATATCCACTCGTTCCCTTGCAAGCATACCTCACTGATCGCTTACACTTGGATGCCCCGGAGCCTGGTCTACACCAGGTCTCCACTATACAGCCAGTGGTACACGTTTCTGCAACCTTGTTCTCATTGCGTTGGGTCCATTTTCGCCGACACGATCGAGCTCTTGCAGATGTTATCGGATCACTCGCAACTTTCCTGGCACGTAAGGCTCAGTTTGCACGCATTATACCCACAGCAACCAGAATCCCACGGCTGGTAGGGGTTGGCATACAAATGCCCTTAACATGTCACATGTAACAACGACGTCAACAGTGGCGGTTGGACAGTTTTAAGCACAACCTCAAAATGATACCCGAGTCCGCTCCTATCAAGCGTTGCGTCTTCCTCCTCTACCCTTTCGCAGACTGTCGCTTTCGTACAAGGTGTAACAAACCGGTATGCTACACTCCCTTGTCAGTGCCGGCCTGATTGGCCTGGCATCGTTGTCTCTAGGTGTCGATGCCTTACCAAGTAGAAGAGCGGCATCCGCCGAATCTGCGTTTGAAAGGGTGGCACAGCGAGGCCTTCAAGATCGACCAACGGTCTCCTCCACCACGCAGGCGGCGAGCTTTGAAGTCAAGACATTCTACAGCACTGTCTACCGCTCCAGCACAAGCGTTTACGGCGGTACCTACACGAGTACCGTTGTCATTGGTGGGAAAACGTACACCGTCATTGGTGAATACACACCATCAACCACATCCTCTTCGCGAAGTTCGACTACGACATGGCGTGCAGGCGCTGACAAACCGCCTACCACTTCCTCTTCCATCAAGTCTACACAAGCTGTCGGCTATACTGTCGTAACCGTTAGGAAGGGAGAGTCATCGACTTCAGCAAAGACTCGCTCATCCATCAGCTCATTACGCAGCTCCACCTCTCAGGAGTTAGGCAGAACCACCATGACCACAACCGTGCCTCTGAAGACAATCACCACAATCGCTGAACGCTCCTCACTTATCACGTCATCTGCCACTTCACAACCAGGCCGACACAGCGAGACGTCATCAAGCCAGCGGTCGACTTCGACCTCGTTGAGTACCTCCACCGTTCGATCATCCAGCCAGCCGGTGGACAAGACCACTCTCATAACGACCATGCCTGTGGAAACCAGGACCATTACCGCAGAGGTTCCATCAGCCTCCTCGTCAAGGTCGACCTCGAGCATGTCCAGCGGCAGCGGAGGTGAGCGCACAAGCAGCCGCTCGGGCTCAACCGCATCCACGTCCTCTACAGGCGTGAGCACGACAAGGGCCACCGCCACGACCAGTGTTCTATCCACGACAACGACCCCTGAGGCTCGCATGTCTTCTATCTCGACCTCGACCACCAGCCGCGCAGGGGAGACGACCATTACACGCCAGAGTCAGTCAACAGGCCGGACTGTCAGCCCCACAAGATCTTCGCCAGCCGCTTCGAGCACGGCAATATCAGGGCGCTCTTGCGCGCAGTTGGCCGCTCAGAACACCACGTACACAGACATAAACGGCAACGTCTACACCGTGAAGTGCACGTATGATTACCTTGACAGCGATTTCGCCTCAACGAGCGTGAACTCTTTCGAAGACTGTTTTGCTGGGTGCGACAAGGCAACCGGCTGCGTTGGCTTCACCTACCTCGGCGGAAGTGGCGGCGGTACCTGCTACTTCAAATCTGCACTTATGGGCGGCGGTCCCTCGAAAAGTATGTCAGACGCAGCTGTGTTAGTTTCATTCCCTAAGGCTGGCTCCGGCTCTGCTTCCACCGCTGCATCATCGACAACCTCAACAGCACCGTCAGCCACCAGCACCTCGGCGACGAGTTGCAGCAATATCCAGGCTCAAGGCCCTACGTTCACAGACGCGAACAACCGCACTTACGAGGTCACATGCTCTTACGACTACGCGGGTAACGATATTGGCATGAGCCCGACGGGCAGCTTCCGCGATTGCTTCACCTACTGCGACTCGACGCCAAGATGCGTTGCGTTTTCATACCTCGGCAGTGAGACATATGGCACTTGCTACCTGAAGAGTTCCGCGAGCAGCGGCGCTCCATCCGTTGCCAATGCCGCGCAACTGGTTGGAGGAGCTTCAAGCTCGTCGTCTTCCGGCGCTGCAGTTGCAACTCGCTCGACCAGTGCCACCACTCCCTCTGCCTCAGCTACCTCGCCCACCAACTGCGCTGCGATTGCACCCAGTGGCATAACCAGGTACAAAGACACCTTAGGCGTACAATACGAGGTCGCCTGCCAGCACGACATCCCTGGAGCAGACTTGACTACGGTCCAGGAACCGAACTTCCTGGGCTGCTTTGCCGCTTGCGACCTTAACGCACAGTGCACTGGGTTTAGCTGGCTACCCGGCAACGGCTTCGGATATTGCTACCTCAAGCAAAACGGGAATTCGTTCAGCGGCCAATCCACCGCCGACGCTGCCTATATTGTCAGTCGTGGAAACAACACGGGACTACCTACAATCACCCCAAGTCCCTCCGTCAGCTCAGTCTCGGTCTTGCCCTCTCCGACCGCCACTTCTGCTGGCTCTTGCGCCAGTATTGGTGACAGGATCCACAAAGATGCGGCAAGCCGCACATATATTGTTACATGCGGTGTAGATCACAACGGTGGTGATCTATCAAATGCACAGTCTCTTACCGGCACCTTTTCGGGATGCTTCGCACTCTGCGACGTCACGCCTAAGTGCATTGGTTTCGCGTATCTGGGAACAACGTGCTACCTCAAGCAGACCATCACGGACGCTCAAGTGAACCCTAATGTTGACTATGCTTACACCAACGCCTCCTCTGTACCGAGCAGTACACCCTCGTCTAGTCTTAGCACCCCTCAGGTCCCACTAATAAGCACTACCGGCACGCTCAGCCTTAGCATCCCAACTATCTCATTGGGGAGCGCAAGTGCAACCACGACACATTCCAGGTCCTCGAGCGCTACATCAGAGACGGTCCTGTCACCCAGCACCTCTAGTGGACCAAGCCAGAACACGCTCAGTCAACATACCACGTCGTCTGCCAGAAGCACCATAACATCCCAGCCTGGAAGCTCGACTATCACTGCTGCCCCGACCTACAGCACTGTCAGTGGAGTTTACTTAAATGGGAACAACAACCGCCAAGCCTACGCCTACAACTACGCCCAAGGCAGGTACGTCGTAGTGCAGAACGGCAACAAAGAAGTAGACATTCCGTACGGTTCCACTACCGTGGTGGAAGGTCACACCTTGAGCGCCTACCCTAATGGCCAAGGTCTGGTGGTCGACCAAGTGAAGACCTACAGCTTTACCTCCCTCTACACAACAGAGTTCCCTAGCACCACGCAAGAGGCCGCGCGCACATCAACGGTTGCTCGGCCGGGCACCACATCGGTAGGCCTCTCTCCTGTAGCGACTGAGAGCTTCAGAAACCCAGGACCGCTGCCTGTCAGTCAAGGCTCGTCCTCGTTCACGATGGAGCAGTCTACCCGCAAGACGACTACAATTGCGGCCACCTCGATAACGAAGAAGTCAACGACTGGTGCTCCCCAGCCCATCCCAACGGACAAGCCTGATGGGAAGGATAAGCCTGACGGCAAGGACAAGGACGACGACAAGGATGAGCATGACGCCAAGGACAAGCATGACGCCAAGGACAAGCACGACGGCAAGGACCAGCACGATGGGAAGGACAAGAGCGACGGGAAGGGGCATTCCGGACACCAAAAAGGCCCACAGCCGTACAAGCCCAAGGCCACGGTGACTGCGAGCAAAGTCATCTTCCCGGTGCCTGTGCCGACCGGTTCCAGTCAGAAGCAGTGTAACGATGCCTCACAAGGCGACCCTTTCAAAGTTGTCGCTTCCGTCATCTCGGGTGCCTCGATGTTCGATGGCATGACGCTCGAGGCGCCTCAAGCTGGTAAGTCACTAGCTGTAATGAAATGATGAGCGGTATTGACGTTTACAGGCACAACCAACAAGATTCCTACCCTTAGTACAAACAAAGGCAAAGCCGCGTCTTGCGTCAGCTCCGCGGACGGGAACTCCATTCTTGTCCTGCACAACACGTCAAACAAAGATCAGTGCAAGTTCACTGGTATGGGACTTGTCCCTACTGACGACGATGACGACAACATCTACGGTGACACCGTCTGGAGCTCAACCCACGGATCGGCCTGCGTGCGCAAGAAGGGAGATGATCTGGGTACGCAAGGGGTCAACTGGCTCGTCTGCAGCTCGAACGGTATCAACCAGCTGAAGTACGTTGATGGGGAGTCGGTAAATCAAGCAGACATGGCGCAGTGTGCCAGAATTGCGTTGAAGACTGTGAACGTGTTGTAATGGAGACGGCAACTCGACGTTAGGGTGTGGAAGCAAGCATCGTTGGTGGGAAGGGAAGAAAAGCGATAGTATTGCTACATGTGCCTGAACTACCTGGTAGGTAGGTACTTGATCTCGTGACTGTGAGTATTGCCCTTGCCATTGCCATGCTTTGTAAATGTCCGTGCGTTCCGTGAGCTTCCTTTTCGATGGCTATCAAGCACCTTCATCTGCCCGAGCAATCCGTGATACTGTTGCGCGACGTTCCGCAAGAGCTAAGAGTTCTATATAGGCAGCGTTACGACCAAGAGTGATAGGCAGGTACAGAGGGGATATTATCGCTTTCACCCGTCACCGTCCTCCCCCACTTCATTGACCCGCTGTCGCATCTCCTCCATAGCTTCTACTGTCCGAGTCGCGTCGAGCTTCCGACACCACGTATCGGCCGCGATGAAGATCGTACTCACCGGTGCCACCGGCCTTATCGGAAGTGAGGTGCTGGATCAGTGTATCGCCCACAACTACATTGAACGGTACGTGAATGCCCATTCGTAACCGTCAAAGACCACACTTGACAGCAATACAATGCAGCATATTCGTCATCACACGCAAACCGCTCGACCAGAAGTATTATGGAAAGGCTGCTAAAGGCAAAGTGACGGAGATCATCCACGACAACTTCGAAGAGTATCCAGAAGCGCTGCTTCGGCGGTTACGGGACGAAGGTGTTGAAGGGTGCATCTGGGCACTTGGTCGCAGATATGAGAACTTTAAGAGTAAGGAGGAGGTATGCCTTCGCACTGTACCCGATATAGAGAAGTGTGGTCTTCCCGATGTCAAGAACTGATCCGGACATTGTCGCAGGCCGAGAAGGTGACGATAACGTACCCTATGAAAGCGGCTGAAGCTTTCGCAAAAGAGCTGGCTACCGCTCTGAGCCCACAACGCATGCCAAAGGCCAAGTTTCCATTCAGATTTATCTTCCTTTCAGTATGGGGCGCCGAACAGGACCAGAATCGTGGCTTGTGGGCGTGGAGCGATTGGCGGAAGACAAAGGGTACGGTCACCTTGGTCAAAGCTGCTCTAATGGTGACCGGGCTAACAGCAGATCATTACAGGTGCCGCCGAGAAAGCACTCTTCGACATAGCAGATGACAGTGAAATCATACAAGGCCACAAGTGCTTCGAAGTGATTTCTCTGCGGCCAGGTGGTGTTATCGGCCGAGGTGATGCGATCGGTACAATCCTCTGGGAGGCTACTATACCGTCTATCGCCCTTGATCGCATCGCGAAATGCTGCATCAAAATTGCACTCATGGGTACGGGCGATGAGAAGAAGAGGATACTGGAGAACAAAGACTGCCTCGGAGATGACTGGGCTATGGTCAATACTCTGACGCTTTGAGAGAGCACAATTGCCACAGCTGCTGCTTGCTCTTCCCTCCGGTACGCTACTTTCCTGATACAGCACTTGTCGCCATGTCTTGCGGGTCTTCCAGGTGTTTCAAAGTTCCGGTCGTGGTTGAACATCCGTGCCTCAGATACCGTCAAACACATCTACACCCTCGAAGTCGAAGATCTGGTGGCCGATGTCCATGTGGGGGTTCGCCGGCTCGACTGACATTGGAGACATGCCGTCGTCCGAGTTCTCCTTCTTAACCAGTGTCTTGTTCTTCTTAGACGGAGTTGTCTTGCCAATCCGGCCATTCGCAACCGCTGGTCTCAGTCAGCCTATGATCAAGAACGCAGCTCATGCGGGCACGCTGCTCGTGGGAGAGACTCACCACTCAATGCATCCTTCTTTGGAGTCTTTGGCTTCCGTGGAGTCGTAGGTGCAGACTTGGTGCGAGCGGGCACGGCTACTTCACCTCGCTGACCACTCTCAACTTCCTTCTTGAGCTCGGCGGCATCCTTTTTGAGCTTGCGGAAGCGGTTCTCGAGGGTGTCGTAAGTGGTGCCGTAGTACGTAGCGGTGACCTTCAGATCAATCTGCAGAGAGTCAGCTGGCTACTATGTGCGGAGCAGCCAGGAGATACAGCCCTTGATGCCACTCGCGATGATTGCTGCCACGACACGCTGCCATGTCTCTGCGGAGCTCCGGTCGGTGGTGCCGCCCATGTTCGAATCAAAGTAACTTAATTCTGATCGACTTGAGTAGGTTGATTGGGAAAGCTCCCTCCAAATCGAAGGATCAGTAAGATGTGTCCAAGGGAGTGCCTGGCTGTGATGAAGACGTCGGCTGACGGGAAGGTCAAGGTTGCAAAGGTGGGAGTGAAGAAAGGTAAGAACCTACTCTGGAGGACGCTACGGCTAAGGGTGAGGGTGAAGTGACGTTAGCAATAGTCGCTGTGCTGTTGCCTTGCCAGAACTGTGAATGACGGGAAGGTTATGCCTTGGCGTCGGCAGCCTGCAGCACAGCAGACGGCATACGGACCACTGACTGAGACTTGATCGTCTTGGAGGAAAGTCGGGCGACGAGTACAGATCACACGTTCTTTTACCGCATGGCCGTTTGGGAAAACTACCTAACCTAGACGCCAACCTTGAGTTACTGTTCTGTTACGAGCATGAGGTGCGATATGAGAAGCATCGCTTGAGAAGAGCGCTCCATAGCAGTGTCGACTAAGGAATACCGACATCGTAGCGCCTCGAGATTGTCCGTCTTCAGCACGCGACAGATCACACAATACGCGCCACCCTGGTAAGCGCATGCAGCTACCGTGCATCTGCCGTGTAACAGACGTTCACTTTGGCAGCATTGAATTCTAGCTGCGGATACGGATCTTGTCCTCACTTCACTTGCAGCTTCAACACCTGCCGGCAACACCGAAACAGACTTGTCACATTTTCACTCTTCACCTTAATACCTGCTAGCTCCACGGCTTCTCACAGACGTCCCACGTACCTCAACAGCTTGAGCTTCCCACCCACATTGGCCGCTGATACTTGCTGGTTGCTCTGTCAGATACCTCAAGCAAACACTCACGCATACCAACCAGCACGACGTGCAAGATGGTCAACTGGAGGCAAGCTTCCTTCTCCGGTTGCTTCACTGTTGCTACTGAAGCCATGTCTAACACCTCTTTAGTGCGGAGATGGACCAGCGCTTGCTCATCCGTAAGCCGACCCACCGACTGACTTGCGTACTTTGAGCTGATGAGATCGAATCAAGTGGCTCTCGACGCTGGAATGATTGACAAAGCCAAGCTATCGAAGGCGTGGGTGAATAAATATGGTGGTGACCTGACGGCCGGCGCAGTCAGCCAGCATCTTACCAAGCTGAAGGCTAGACTCGGCGGTGACGGCACTAGTACTCCACGCAAGAGTACGGTCGGTATGCCAAGCTCGAAGACCCCAAAGACACCGAACACCTCCGGGAAGCGCAAGAAGTAAGTGCAGTAGAGGGTGGTAGCGGTGACAAGCAGTTGTGGACAAACGATGTTGTCGGGATGCTGCACACAGGCTTGCTTTGGGTCCTCCGGGACAGCCTCGCTAATGCACTTATTCCCAGAGCCATGAGCGACGAGGATGACACTGGGGACGAGCCTTTGGCTCGTAAGACTTCGGTCAGACGCAGCAAGACGCCGAAGGTGTACAGGGAGCCGCAGTTGGATGAGGACGCTGACGCATTCGGAGACGCGCAGGAAGAAGCATCGAGAGGCGAGGCAAAGTCGGCCACTCCCCAAGACTCCGTTCAGGGTCACGACCTCGACTCCATGAGCGAGATCTCGAACTTCGACCCAGACACGTTTACTTAAGGAAGTGGCGCGGAGGCTAGGCAGATGGCACTGGTTGTTCTCTCTGCAGCGTGATGCGCTTGGAATGATGACGATAAGCGTTGATACAGCTGGAAAATATAACTGAGGGCCAGGCAGAGAGCATTCTGTGTGTGCTGAATCCACAAAGCGTGAAGCTGCTTGGCCACGGTTGTCAACGTTATAGCTATTACGGTCACTCACCCATCCTGAAATGTCTGCCAGCATTTGTGACGCGTACGTGGTACCGTTGGTAACGTGCTCCTGTGCACAGCATTGTGCAAATGTCCTACGGTATAGCGACATGTGGCAACTTGCGGCTCGATAAGAAACAGCAATCAATGGCTGTGGCATGCACACTGTCTACCATCTCTGCTTTGGGCTTGCCGGTGGAATAACGCGGTTTATACGCCCGCGAGGTGAAGGTGGGTAGTGGAAACTCTGGCACGTTTTCGCGCCGATGCCAGTGATCGTGCGTTCAGTGTAGCTCAATGCTCAGCAGTAAAGACTGATCAAATGCCTTAGCACTTCTATGTGAGTTCTACAGCTTATGCAAATGGGATCGTTGAAAGTGGTTGATCGAGGAATTCTCGCGGTGGCAAAAGACGCGGCTGATGCTCCGGTGCCTCGGCCATCGAGCGAAGTAAGGCGCATCGCAGCGGGCCTCCGATTGTTTGGAGGGATCTCGATGGGCGGTCCCAGCGCTCGCCAGAGCCGGTAACATGACGGTGCATGCCGGTGTGGAATCAGGAGCCCGCCTTTGCCTCTGCTCTCGACCTGCTTCTGCTTAACATTCAGCTTTGCGACATTGTATAAACACTGCAACCTTTGGTGTATCACCGGAACCTAGGGAAAGTTCACGCCACCATGGCCGGAGCATGACCACACCGCCGATCACTTTCTTGTCCCTGAGCTAGCCGTAAATATGCAACATACCAACAAACTACGGACGTCGCGGAAGCAGGCACTATTCGAAAGCCGTCGCGAGCGAGAGTTCTACAGATATTTCGAGCCCATTCGGGCTTTGACAGAAGATGGCCCACCTTTGTGCGACTTCCGTGATGAAGCGTCGGTCAGGAATCACCGGCCCTTCTCTTCTCCAGATCGCGCCCTTACAGCCTTTTGCCAACTCGGAGCTCTGCGGCTGGGTACTCGCCGAGCAATGTTATTCTTCTTCGATTCCAACAACGCGTATGTTCTGGCCGAGGCTACGAGGAGTCTCTCGTTGGTTGATGATTCCGTTCACGACATAGAGGACCAGCTCTGGCTCGGTCACTCCGTGATCCCTAGGGGCTATTCAATCTGTGAGGAGACTGTTTGCAGGCTACCATCCATCGACGAGCAGGACCTGGACTCCCCAGACCGAAGCATGATTCACGTTATCAATGATATCGACCAGGACGCCCAGTTCTGCGACAGGCCTTTCGTTGTGGACGGGCCCAAGGCCAAATTCTACGCTGGCGTTCCCATCACTACCTCGAAGGGTGTGAACATTGGTGCATATTGCTGTCTTGATGATCGAAAACATGACGGTCTTGATGCTAAGGGCATGGCATTTCTCCGGGACATGGCGGCCACCGTCATGACGCATCTTGAAATGGTGAGGGCCAAGTCCGAATCCGAACGAGGCCAGCTTATGGTCTCTGGACTGGGGGCATTTATCGAAGGCGCACCAAGCCTTCAGCGCTGGGAGGAAGAAGCGGAGCGTAGGGAACGTCGAAAGCGCCAGTATCGGCCGCCCTTTTCTACGACACCCTCTACAGCGCCGAAAGGAGGAGATACGACGTCGACCATTGTCGAGAACGCACAGCGATCCCACAATGCGGACTTGGTTCCGTCCGTGGATAGACCAGCCGTCGATACGACCCCCAGTATTCCAGCCGTATCTGTCCAAGCCTCGCAATGCGCCAAGACGAGTCGCCAGAGTGAGGATCTCAGAGAGCATCTTGTGTCATCGAGCGTTAAAACTGCGTTCCAGCGTGCAGCTAATCTGTTGCGGGAAGCGGTGGACGTAGATGGCTGCGCATTCCTGGACGCTACGCCTGGCACTTATGGTGGGCTTGTCGAAACGCACGACGGCAGCGATCAAAGTCAAACTTCGGATGCTCAAACGAGCAGTCCCGACGCTACGAGCACGGAAGGCGAAAGTCAAGCGCTTGGAAAGCGGAGCGACAGCAGAGATGCGCCTTGCAAAGTACTTGCAGCATCCCATGCACCAGAGCACTGCTCTGACCATCTGGAGGCACTTCAGACCGATATGCAGGCCACTAACATTACGGAGAAGTTCTTGCGAGCGTTAATGAGGCGACATCCACAAGGCAAGATCTGGAACTTTAACGAAGAGGGCGAGGCATCGTCGGAGAGCGAGCTATCCGATGGTTCGCCAGCATCGAGGTCCAGCACTGACTCCACAGAAGGTTCCGTAAAACGTACAGCCCGCAGACGACGCAGTAGGATCGACGATGGTCGTGAGCTTCAACGCCTGTTCCCAGGCGTCCGTTGTCTGGCCCTCGTCGGCATGTGGGATCCGAACAGAGGGAGGTGGTTTTCCGCGTGCGCTGTATGGACCTTCTCACCGCTGAGACTGTTCTCCACCGAATCGGAACTCCACTACCTGTCCGCATACTGCGATGTGGTAATGGCTGAAGTGCATCGCCTAGAAGCGATAAACTCCGACAAAGCCAAATCGGACTTCATCTCGTCTATCTCACATGAGCTTCGCTCGCCACTGCACGGCATTCTTGGTAGCGTGGAGGTATTACAAGACTCGAACTTCGATAGCTCTGGCGAAGACTTGGTGTCGCAGATTGAGATCTGCGGCCGGACGTTACTCGACATAGTAGACCATCTTCTGGATTACAGCAAGATTAACCATCATATCAAAGTCAAGGAGCCGACCGGAGAACGCTATGCTGATAGCCGGACGAGGCCAAGACTCTCCTCGAACTCTGAGAGGAAAGCGAGGCTTGGCAATATGATGGTCCTGGATGCTGATGTGCCACTTGACGAAACGACCGAGGAGGTTGTGGAGACCGCAGTGTACTCCTTCTGTTGCAGTCGAGGCAAGCAATTTATCCTTGACCGGAAGGTGGCTGTCACCCTAGAGATAGACCGCTCGGCGGAGCTGAACTGGCGTTGCAAGCTCCCACTTGGTGGCTGGAAACGCATATGTGAGTGCCATGAATAAATAGCCCGTGTGTATACGGTGACTGACTCTCTCATTAGGCATCAATCTCGTTTCGAATGCGCTCAAGTACACCTCTGAAGGCTTCATTCACGTGTCGCTGAGGGCGCAGCCGATTGCGGGAAAGCGTAAGCGCTTCAACGCCGTGTTCCAGGTCAGGGACAGCGGTCGTGGCATGTCGAAAGACTTCCTCGAGAACCACCTCTTCAAAGCTTTCTCGCAAGAAGACAGCCTAATCGAAGGCACTGGTCTTGGCATGAGTCTCGTTGCTAAGATAGTGAAAGCTATGGGCGGCAAAGTCGAGGTCCAAAGCGAGAAGGATGTGGGGACAACGATGACCGTGACCGTACCTCTGGATTATGGAAAGGCCGATAAGGATGAGCAAGTGCTAGTCGACCAACGTGCGGCCCGCACGCCACTCAACGACATCTCGATCGCCATCTTAGCTACCGAAAAAGCCGCTCATGACGATGGCAAAGACGGAAAGTCTGTGCACGACACTGCCCGATCCTTGATAATGAGCAGCATACGCAGCAACTGTGAGCAGATGGGGGTGAATGTCGTCCAGGGCAGCGTGGAAGCCCCTCCTTCGGCTGATATACTTCTATTGATGGAAGACGATTATCTCGCGAAGATGCAGTCGGCGCCGCTTCGCGTGGATAAACCGCTCTTGTTGCTCTGCAACAGTGCAATTTCAGCGCGAAAGCTTCGAGTCGAGGGCAGGGCGGCCGGACTGACAACGCAAATTGTGGAGTACATCGCACAGCCGTACGGTAACGAAAGGCTTATCAAGGCCATCAAGAAATGTATGGCTGGGCCACAGGACCGGGAAGGTATCACCGCCCGGAGTCAGCCAGCGACAGGTGCTCTAAGCGATCACCAAGGCAGCCTTGTACTTAAAGGCGTAAGCGACATTGACGATATGAGCGGTCATGCAGCGCAACTGCCACATCGGAGCAAGGACGACATGGCTCATGGTACGTTCAATGACGGCAGCTTGCAGTCTCCGCCAGTGTTATCCCCAAGCTTGACCGACGGGCTGAAGACACCAGCGATCGGTGATGCGTTCAAGTCCGCTCCGGACGACTACCTGTCTGCTCGGTCACGTTCTACCGGAGACCAGTCCTTGTCGCCACGGGCTGTCGACTCTGGTTCGCCCAAAGATCCGACCGCGCAACTGACAACGAAAAGCGTCCGTCCTTCTGGCCTGTCGCTCTTGCTCGTCGACGACAACCAGATCAACTTGAAGCTGCTGTCCAACTACGCAGCCAAGCAGGGACACCACAAGATAGCAGCAACAGACGGCCAGCAGGCCGTCAACATGTACAAAGCCGCCTGCATCGCCGGTAACTTTCTGAATGGACAGACGGGCAAACATGGCTTCAACACATCCGCAACCCCTCCGGACCGGCCGCAGGTCATACTGATGGACATCAACATGCCGGTGCTTGACGGCTTCGAGGCGACCAGGCAAATCAGGGCGTTTGAGGAGAAGCACAATATCAAGCCGGCGCACATTATTGCTTTGACTGGCCTTGGCAGCGCGAGCGCGCAGCAAGAGGCGTTTAGCTCCGGCGTCGATCTCTTTCTGTGTAAGCCGGTGAGGCTTAAGGAGCTCACAAAGGTTTTGGCTGAGATCAAGTCATCGGAGAAAGATAGTAGCGACGGTGCTACTCCGGCATAAAGTTGGCTCTTTTGAGGCGTAATGCGCTGGAGAGGGAAGGGTTATGATGCATTGCGAAGGCGTTCTCAAGCAGAGCGCCCAATAAGCCTCTAACATTGCTATGGCGTTGCGATGTCACGACGGCTACTTCGCTGAATAGATTTGTGATGATCGGGCTCAAACCTTTTTCAGGCACGAAGTCTGTACCTCCGTTCGCTTCGTAACTCTTCCTCTACTAAGTTAATATGTGGTGCCTTCCATGTGCTCAGGATAGGAGATTCCATCATTACCTCAAGATGGAGCGCCTACGGATAGACTGTGCTACCACGGACGGGCACGTGTCGCTTTCCTAGTGGCAGATGTTAGCAGTAGCATTTTTTTAGTAAGTGTGTGCTAGAGAGAGCAGCATTGGGTTTTTAGATCGCGCAGCGACGTCGCTAGCACGAAGTTCGCCATGGCAGGCGTGAAGCACACCAGACACCACAGCTGTTGTAGCAGATGATGTTCTGGTATTGCGTGCGTTTAGTGAGCCGAAAGCGATTTGTTGGTACGAACGCGCAAGCATGACTGCCTTAGGCATTTCGATAGGTGCCCATGATGACCTCTAGTCATATGCGCCCTGTGACCCACCACAGGAAGTAGTCTCTTGGTCGGTTTAGGTGACAGCAATTGGCTGCGCCTAATATCATGCCGTAGGCTCCATGTATCGTCGCTGCGTGAAGCAGCTGGTAGAAAGCCGCTAACAGCAGAATGGAAGCCCGCAAAGCCCCAGAGTTCATGCTGGAACTGTCTGCGGACAGGACGAACGTTAAGGACGTTGTGAAGGGTACTGAGTAGGAAGACTTCCGGTCCCTCCGTGTAGGTGCTAACAGTAGCGGTAGGCATCTGCCATATCATCTTCTTTCAGCGGTACTTTCAACCGCTTACACCAGCCACTCACGACGTCCTTGACGTTACGCTCCCCTACGTAAGCGAAGAGGACATCGAGTCGCTCATCGAGCGCCGGACAACCGATCTTGTCCGTGCGCTCGATGTAGCCTCGACCCAGCAGTCACCGCAGTATAGCGCCAAACCGGGTTCAGGTCGTGGAGTGCTTATCGTCCAGTTCTTGGAGAAGAAGCGTCGGAAGGGAGGCTTCTTCTTCGCCAAGGCGGACGAGGAGACGGTGTGGGAGAACTGGATCGTTGACGTGTCATTAACGAGTGCACGGAGCGAGACCGAGGCGGGTAGGAACCGGCATGTGATGGAAGATCAACTGCAGCAAGCTGCGATGAAGGTGGTTGCGCTCGCAAACCGGGAGAAGGCGCATATCCCGCCCATTACGACGAACGATACCAATCCATTCCCGTATCAGATACTAGTCAATCCGCGGACGGATGGATGGGGACAGAAGTTAGGCATTTTCTAAGATAAGAAGTCTAGAGCATAGCACAACTTGCAGCTTGCACGGCATGCTCGATCTTTCTCTTCCGGCACCCTCTATGGGCGACATTCGCAAACCCTGGTGACTTTCTCGGCCTCCTACAGTAAGACGCTAGGTGCAATCTAAGACTAAACAGCTTACGAGACCGGCATGGAAGCTGGCAGCGTTCGTTTAAGCTTCATGATACCGTCATCTGGCGTCGCGTACCATCAGTAGGATTTTGCGGTACAATCGGAGACGACACGCCCCATCAGCCTTCTGTCTAACATCAACACAACATGGTCTGCGCAACTAAACGTTGTCGCCATTCTTGTCTTAGAGGAGGGAATATCTATCGCATTCGAGAGGCCTGTGACGCCTTATCGATCCGCTTCAATACTACGAGCATGGAGACTCCGGGGCTGGGCTGACAGCTGTTGCGAGCTCGATTTGCTCTTGTACCTACTCAAAGCTTGTGGTGGATCTAGGAGACGAACGTGAAGCAGCAGTTTACATTGTAGTAGCCTTTGGTACACCGGATACGGAGGAGCTGGACGGACGCCGATGTGCTGAAGGACACCTCGGTGCTCAGTATGGTGGAATACAGTATGGTGGGATCCTGCGACGATCTAGACTTTGTAATCTACGCGGCGTAGTGGTATGAAGGAAGTCGAGATCTGAGAAGCCTTTGTTGCATGGCTTTTTGATTGCCTACGGCAATGAAAGCGCTCTATCAGTATCCTGACTGCGAATGTATTGTAAAAGTGGTGATATGGAGTCACCGAAGCACAGAGGTCGTCATAGAATCCCGAATAGATTCAGTTGCGCACATGGTGTGCGTATGCCTCCCACGACCCATGGACCACAACATGCATCTGGGTAGCGGCAGCCACCAAAGCGGCCACTCTCGGCAAAGGTCGGCCGACGTTCGTTATCCCAGCAATCAACACCCATCATGCTGCATGAGCAGCGCGGCATCTGCGCAGACCAGGGAGAGTTGATCTCATCTCATTGCGGATCCACTTCACTAATTGCGTTATACGAAACTCATGCAATGTGTCTCAAGTTGCGATAAAGTCAAGATTTACATGTAACAGGATTACACCACACTACCATGACTCGAGCACTCATCTTCGGGACTGGCGGAGTGGGTTGCGTGTATGCATACATACTCCACAAAGCCGCCGGTGTCACGGTCACCACGGTGTGCCGGACAAATTACAATGCTGTCAAGGAGAATGGGATCCTCATCCGATCGAAGATCTTTGGCACGCAGCGCTTTCGTCCGAAAGCAGTACAGTCAGTCCACGAGGCGAGGCGACACGGACCTTTCGACTATGTTGTAGTCTGCAGCAAGGCGTTTCCGGGCACGGCGGAGACGATCGAGCCTGCTGTCACCCCCGGGTAAACCGCAATAGTGCTGGCGCAGAATGGCATAGGAGTGGAGGACGGGTATGCAGAACTCTATCCCACCAACACGTTGATCTCCGGCGTGGTGTACCTTCCAGTGACGCAATGTGAGCCGGGCGTCGTCGAGCATGGACCGTTGGAGCGATTCGAGATCGGCACGTTTCCGGCCGCTTCATGTGCAAAGCCTGAGGCGCAGGAGCAAACGCGGATGTTTTCAGCCATGTTCTACGCCGGGGGAGCGTCGTGTCCAGTGTTCGACGACGTCCAGCCACGGAAGTGGATCAAAGTAGCGGTCAATGCAGCTTGGAATCCAGTTACAGCGCTCACTCTGTGTGACGATGCGAACTATCTCCGCTCGTCGCCGCGTGCGGAGACGCTGATCCGTAATATCATGCACGAGGTAGGTCTTATTGCCGCCGCGGCAGGGTATCCCAACGTGATTACCGACGAGGTCATCAACGACGACCTTCAGCGGCCATTGAGTCGGTTAGAGACCGGTGGGAAGGAGCCAAGCATGCTGACGGACGTTCGACACGGTCGGGCTATGGAAGTTGAGGCTATCTTGGGTAATGCCTTGCGAATTGGGGAGGAGCATGGTGTGAAGACGCCGTGCTTGGAGGTGATCTATACGTTAGCGAAGGCGAGGAATTACGCCCAAGCACCTGATGAGCATTGGAAGCCTATTGCGAGGCATGACTGATCGAAAGAAAGCTGTGCCGGGCCGCTTCGGCTTCCTGGAGCCTATATGACTTGAGACAACCAAGTCTTACATCTTTGTACAGCTGGCTCCGCATACACATAGACTTAGAACTCCGCAAAGGCACTGAGTGCGAACAACGTGCCAAAGCTGAGCTTGAAGGCGACATTGTCCTGCACGGCACTTCGCAAATCAACGCCTTTCACGTAGCCTTGTAGCTGCCGGTACGCTATTAGGTGAATGCCGTAGCTCTCTGCTGCTTGCACGCCGACGACAAGTAAGCCAAGGAGCAGCGCCAGAGGTCGTGAGAAGAGCGATACACCAAGCCCTGCTACCAGACCTACACTACGTCAATGGAGCCTTCCGCATGCTTGGACATGACATCCTACCTAATACGCTTCCCATGGAAAGCTGCCGCACTGCTCTAGGATTCAATCTGCCATTTTCCTTGAGGATAGGTGTTTTTGCATCATGTTGATATTGCGAGAAGGACCAGTCTCTGGGACTGACGGCTGCTGGTGCGCTGTCGAGTCGTAATATGCGCCGAGACTGAAAGGTTTGGTGGATGAGGAGAGCGCTGGAGAAGCCAAGGCCCGCGGCAAAGAGTGGTGTGCGGAGATGGAAGAGGCTTGGATTCAAAAGTCGCGATGCCATGGTGCTCGTATTTGTATTCTCGCACCGGTACTATGTTCTTGAGCGGGCGATATGGGGGAGTCTCTAGATAGATGAGCATACGACAGTTCAATGTGATAAGCCCACGCGAAGGGTCTACGCGGCGAGGCTGACATCACGCAGGGGCACGGCAGCACGTGCCTCGATCGTGCTTTCCTCACTTGAATGCTTGCTTGCCTTGCTGTCTTACCTTTCTCTCACGGAAAACCATGTAGTCAAACAACCGTCCCGCAACGGGAGGAAGCTGTCGGAATTACAAACATAACGCTCCATTGCGACACGCAGATGGCCATCACGGCCTACACCCATGGAATCTGCAGGACAACATGGACCGCATCCAAGCAGCAAGCATGAAACGTCTTTTGACCACCCGCAGTGAGCTAATGACGATCCCACTGTCGATGCCAGATGTTTTGCGGAACAACATCTCGCACGGCGAAGACTGCACTTGCACACGACGTCCCATTTACGACACTTGCACCGGCATTATGTACCTTCTCCTTGGTCCTCTACTCATCAAGAACACTTTATCCCTTCTCCCTGATACTGCCTGGTTACCCGCAGGTGTTGCAGAGCTACGTGCCAACAACTACGTCTGGCACGAACCTGACCCTGAGCGCGTGCGGGAGATCAAGTATTTCCTCTACATCACCCACGGTAGCATCATCTGCTCCCTTTCGGCGTGGTCCCCTGTGTTCAATGCCCTGGGTATCAACGATCGGAACCCTGGGTATGCACCAGGAGCTCGCGATACAGTAAGCTGTGGTATACTAGTGATTACTGGCATCGTCCTGGGGTCACTGCTCGTCACCTTCGCAGCTCTTCGGGCGATGACAAGGATGATGTGGAGGGAGATGTACTGGCCAGAGCATGTAATTCCAGTCGCCGGAACCGACGATGATCTCTGGGAGGACTTACCGACGGCTCATCCGAAGAAAGGAAGGTCGAAGCAGGTTGCAGCTACCGTCGCCGGATTCTATCGACGACCAAAGCGCGGTCTCACCAACTCAGCGAGGCCTGTACGGATCGTCCGCACCGCAACCGCTGTTGCGTCAACAAAAACTCCAAGACCAAGATGAGTCGAATCATAGCATTAACCCAACCGTTAAATTGTTCCACGGGAGTCCTCGAAATTCGCCATGTATAGGACAGAACCCAAACAGCAGTCGTCCACCGCACTGTAGCAGGATGACGATGCTTTGCAAAAGAAGCTATGTCGCTGCGAAACTCCGGCTGCTAAAGCATCAGCATAGGCGCAGAACATTACTGTCAACATGTAAGTCACGTCAAATGCTACCTGGTTTATTACCTGGTTTCCCCGTCCAGTCGTATGAGACATGATACTGTCTCTCCTGACGAGAATCATTCACTGCAGCATACTCTCTGCAGCGGACGGTTCAAGCGCGCAGGGTAGTAACGGTGAATAGTTTTGGCAAGCGCATATCGACATGTATCATAGGGTATCGGTCTAAACGCTCGACAGCCTCCCTGCGCCCTAGGTCATGTATTCAACGTCTCATATAAGGGTATCCCAGTCCGACAGACGCTCACTCACTTGCCAAACACCCAATCCACGGCTTTGACCAAGCTGTACGCAAACCAACCAGCCGCGGTAACCGGCGCAAACATCTGCAAGAACTCGACCGGATTTCGTGGCTTGACCTCCGTGTTTATGTACGGTGTCTTCCACTCCTTCTCCTGTGGTCCCCCTTCGATTTCGACAGCGTCCGGATCACCCGGGAACTTGCCGTTTTGGTAAAAGTGTTCCAGTAGCTCGTCCTTCTCCCGCCACCGATCCAGCACCCACTGTGACATGGCGTCATGGTCGTTGACTGGGAGATCCGCGATCTTAAAACGCCGCCAATGCATGTTGACGCTTTTCGGCGGCCGGCCTTGGAAGTATACGGAGCGTAGCGTAAACACGTCTTGACCGTACAATCCATGCGGGATGCCTTCGTAGCCAATCGTGCAGTCGTACAGATACTCGACCGTGTCTGCGCACTCTTGCAGACAGAACTGTAAGCCAGTGCTGCGCGGGAGGAGCTGATGCTTCATATCAGGGATGCCCATCTTCTCGCTGTACTTCTTACTTCCGTTCCGCGTGTTTGCGCTGACGTTGGTGCCCTCCGGAAAGATGAGCAGCCACATCGGATCCAGGCTTGCGCCCTTGAGCGCACCAGACTTCGGACCCGAGTGTTTACTAGTGGAAAGCTTGCGCAGCCGGTAGCGCATTCGTTCCTGATCCTTCGACCACTTGCGCGCCATGAAGATGAAGCCGTAGAACTGCATCGCCGGTCCTATGATCGGTGCCCATTTTAAGCTCTCCTTCAGGATGATGTAGATGTGGCCATGCATCGGCGGTGAGTTGGTGTACCCTATCCACCACATATATAGCCAGTCCGTGTAGATCTGATGGTTCGCCATAAGCACCACTCGCTCTCCGAGCTTCATCCGCAACATGCCGTCCTTGTGCTGCTTGATCAGGCCGCTCATGCTCTTATCTCCACTCAAGCGGATGACGGTGGGACTCCACCATTGCGTCATGGTGGTTACGAGGAGACCGAAGAACTCCTTCGTCCAGGCCATGTAGGCGTAGAAGTAGTCCTTGTTGCAGAAGTAGAGCGGTGCGCCCAGGAGCTGCGAGAAGTGGATGAAGAGGCAGGAGCCGAGGAAATAGATGAAGAACCCTACGGTGCGGAGGGTGGCCATGGCTGGGCCATGCTTCGGTCCTCCCAGAGTCTCTTCTACCTCTGCTGGAGTTGCGCCCATCCAGGCGTTCCATTCCGTCTCCAGGTTAGAGGGGATGCGCTCAGGTATAGGACGGGTTGGCTTGCGCGGATGTAGGCCATTGGTGGAGGCGCCGCCGTTCGCTCTGGCTGTCGAGGCCATCGTAGATGGTGTTGCCCACTGCGTTTCACTACGCGGTAGCGGTGCAGGCGGGATGAGGAGTGCGGTGGTTCACTTCGTGGTGTGTAATCTAGGTCGCCTCTGCCAGCAGATGGCGTCTACTTGTAGCGTTTCATTAATGGCAGGATCGAAGGGAAGGTGAAGACAAGGAAGCGTTGGTGCCTGCGATGCGACGCTGCGATAGTGGGGATGAAACGAGCTGCCAGCTTGATGACGGGATCGTCCGCACGTGTCAGCGATCGTGCAGATGGATATGGCCGCTATCTCCGACATGATCCAAACATCTTTCAAACGCTGTCGTGTGAGCATAGTTTAGACTGGAGGAGGAGAGGACCATGGACAAGCGATGACACCGGGATGGCGATGCTTGCGGCAACGCCCAGCATGGAATCCAGTACGAACAAGAGGCTTCGCAGGGACAGCAAGGAGGAATGAGATCAGACATATTGACGAGTTGCCGGAGAGAGTGCAACCTGCATTCAAGGGTAAATATACGTCGAAACTGCGAGCATGTAGTATGGAGTACTAACGTGAGCATGAAGAGACGACTCAGCACGACCTTCTTGCTCTGCAATGGCCCTCTCCGCCCCGCAACATCCTCTTCGTCCGTAAGGATGACGATACTGCGGTGCACGATGCGCTGATTGAGTATACAGACCACATCAAGGCCACCTATCCCGAGACCAACCTCGTGTTTGAACCCTATGTTGCGCAGCAGATCCACGACCGATTCTCGTTTCCCGTCTATACCGTCCGCGAGAGTGGTAGCAATGTACCCTATCACGCCAAGGTCGACTTGACCACGACTCTGGGTGGAGACGGCACGATACTGCACGCAGCAAGTCTTTTTGCCACCGCTAAGAGCGTGCCTCCGGTACTCTCTTTCAGCATGGGCACGCTTGGATTCCTGGGCGAGTGGAAGTTTAAGGACTTTAAGCGCGCTTTCCGTGAGGTCTACGTCTCTGGCCACCCTTCCGTCTTACCATCCAAAGGCGGCAATGCTGATGTTACAGATGGCGGCAGTGGCCCAAGGGCAGACAGCATGACTGGCTGGTCCAATATACGTGGCAAATCCATGGGCTCATCCCGCAGCTCCCGCATCCTCATGCGCAACCGTCTCCGCATCGGACTGTTTGACACCTCTGGAGAGCGCTTGCCACATGAACCACCCTTCGCGCACCAAGACAACAAATGTGAGGACATCTTCGCTCTCAACGAAGTACTGCTCCACCGTGGTAAGCTACCGCATCTGGCTCACATTACCATCCTTATTGGGTCTCCGCCACATCAACGCACACTTACCACCGCCATTGCGGACGGTTTCCTCGTCAGCACACCAACCGGCTCCACGGCTTACAGTTTAAGTAGCGGCGGCTGTATTGTCCACCCGCTTGTGTCTAGCCTCCTGCTGACTCCGATCTGCCCACGATCCTTGTCCTTCCGACCGGTCGTGCTGCCAGCAAACACGCTAGTAACCCTCCGTATTGACGAGCTCAATCGAGGGAAGGAGATCGAAGTCTCCGTTGATGGCGTGCGACGTCAGCAAGGTCTCAGAGCAGGGATGGAGGTGAGAGTGGTGGGCGAAGAAGTCCGCACTCAAGGCCCGCCAGGTACGAGGGACTGGATGGGAGGCGTGCCAAGCATCGTCCGCAGTGGGCACGCGGCGGACGGAGAGGATCATTGGGTAGGCGGGTTGAACGGACTACTGAAATTCAACTACCCTTTCGGCGAAGATGGCTAAGACGAATGGCATTATTGCGGCACGACACACACTATATGTGCACTACTCGCTTCCTAAGCGCCGTCCAGGCCCTCTGCTCGTCCACCCAGCACTTCCGCCCCCAAACCCAGTCGTCCAACCACCGCCACTTCCGGTTTGCTGCTGAGGGACAGTCGCTGGCTGTGCGGAATACGCGGTTCCGAATGATCGGGTCTGCGTGGTGCCGCCAGGCTTGGCGAAGAACTGCCGCACAGCCGGTGGCGTGGTCAGATAGCGCCTTCCGCCTCCATACTCCGGCCAGATCCTGGTGATGAAGTCGTACAGGTGTGCTGCGATCAAGCCTGTACCCTGAAGCATGGCTTCCTGTGGCGATCCCATGACGAAGGTCATGGCCAGCATTACGAACGGTAGCCATTTGGCCGAGAAAGTGATAATGAAGTAGCTGAGCTGCCGGTTTGGGTTCTCTTGCGAGTATGTGTACGCCAGGGCCAGAGTCAGAGGGCTGAGCAAGAGGATGCCTTGTAGGTAAATGCCACCCAGAAGCTGTGTATACTATCAGTAAGGGGTTCTGTAACACGGCGAAGCGGCCCCATAAGAGTTGAATGTATGTAGGGTCCAATAACCACCATCAACCACAAGCATCAGGGCGGACAGTTTTCTCAAATATGGTATCCCACCATGCCCGCACTCCACAACACCTCTAAAGGATTTTGCGAATGATGAGGTATGCACAGCGCAGGGGTGATCTTCCTCGTTTCCAGGAACCGTTACAGCTAGAAAAAGGCTGGACGGGCAGATAATACGAGGTTCAAGCATGCACAGCAGACATGCAAGCCGCTTAAAGGAATTGTGTAGGTCTAAGCTTACCAAAATAACCGCTGCCACGAAGACCAGGTATACGAAGAAGTCGCCCGGTTGAGACAGCTTCGCAGACTCAGTCTCTAGTGCACTGCCGTAGGTGTACAGGAAGTAAGGGTCCAGTATCATGCCGAGCTTAGGTCCGGTGAGGATGAAGGCTGTCACAACTCGCCATATCTGCGGGATCCGTACGAGAGTGAACACCCTGTCACGTAGGAAGACGACGTAGGCTGGCTGGATCAGACCTAACCATGTCGGTACCGATAGGAGCACAGCGGCTGCTGTGATTGTTCTAAGATCAGTATCAGAAGCTGAGACAGCGTCGAGAGAGAAAGTTGATGGACAGCATACCTTGATACGGGCGGCGCCGCCCAGAACATGTCGGCGGCCGACATGTTTTGTACGAGGAAGCGTGAGGAAGGGTAGCAAGCTGTAACTTCACAATGTAGGAGTGGAAACTGTTGTGGAAAGACAGCGTGTCCCAAGTGGAAGGTGCCACTGCAAGCCTAAGGCACCATCGGCGTGCCTTCCAGTGCCGATGACGGCCAGCAAGAAATTGTCAAACACTGCAACTCTGAGGTAGTGTTGATTTTTCCCAGAGATCAACGTTGTGCCCTACTAGCTCTGTCAATACAGCCTTGTGAAACCCTCCCCACTGTCTGTTCGTCATCCACGAAAATGGATGCCATGTTGCCCGCAGTGGGCACCTCGAAGTATGTATGGACAGATCAATTATGGTGGTGGAATGTTGACGAAACATAGGAAAGTACTATTGCTTGGCGCTGGTTTCGTCACGCGACCCACGGCCGTCGAGCTCGACAAGGCTGGACTCAAGGTTACAGTCGCTTGCCGAACACTAGACAGTGCGAAGAAGCTTTGCGAAGGCTTGCAGCATGCCAATGCTATCTCCCTGGACGTGTCCGACTCCCGTGCTCTGGAATATGAGATCAGCAAGGTCGGCCTGGTGATCTCGCTGATACCCTACACCTTCCATGCTCAAGTCATTAGAGCAGCCATCAACCAGAAGAAGCACGTTGTTACGACCTCCTACGTCTCCGAAGCAATGATGGCGCTTGACAAAGAAGCCAAAGAAGCAGGTATTACTGTGTTTAACGAGATCGGTCTGGATCCTGGCCTCGACCATCTGTATGCTGTCAAGACTATCTCCGAAGTCCACAAAGAGGGTGGCAGAATTATCAGTTTCTTGTCTTACTGCGGTGGCCTTCCTGCGCCCGAAAACTCCGACAACCCCCTCGGCTACAAGTTCTCATGGTCTCCTCGTGGCGTGCTTCTTGCGGCACGAAACACCGCCCGTTTCTATAAGGAGGGGAAGGCGGAGACAACGCCAGGCGAGAAGCTGATGAGCACTGCTCGGCCGTACCTTATCTACCCCGGCTATGCATTTGAAGCATATCCCAACAGAGACAGCACGCCCTTCCGGGAGCGATACAACATCCCAGAAGCGCAGACTGTCATCAGAGGCACACTTCGGTATCAAGGTAACCCAGCTTTCGTGCAGGCGCTGCGCGACATAGGCATGCTAAACGAAGAGGAGCAATCCTTCCTTAAAGCAGCAGATGAGGAAGCTCTGCCATCATGGAGAGAAGCCTTTGCCAAAATCGTGGGATCGTCTTCAAGCTCAGAAAACGACTTGGTATGGGCTGTTGGCTCGAAGACTACGTTCGACAACAATGAGGAGAAGGACCGCATCATCGCTGGTCTTCGTTGGGTCGGGTTGTTCTCAGATGAGAAAGTGCCATCACGAGGCAATCCGCTTGACTGTCTGTGCGCAACGCTGGAGAAGAAGATGCAGTACGAGCCCGGAGAGAGGGACTTCGTGATGCTGCAGCACAAGTTCGAAATCGAGTGGCCTGGTGGGAAGCGCGAGACGCGCACGTCCACTCTTTGTGAATACGGCGAGCCAGAAGGTAGCGGTGGATATAGCGCGATGGCCAAACTCGTGGGCGTGCCGTGTGCGGTTGCGGTGCTGATGGTGTTGAATGGAGAGATCAAGGAGAAAGGTATCCTTGCACCAGTGACACCGGAGCTCGCAGAGCCCATCAGGGTGAAGCTGCAGAAGGAATACGGCATTGAGCTGATAGAGAAAACGTTGGCATAAGTCGAGCGCCGAAACGTTGCGAGTCTAGTCGTTCAGCAAGCCCTCCGGTTTTGGAGGCGTGTCAGAATTGCATGGCACCGCATGAGGGAAGGTGGTTATCAGAAATCCATGCTCAAACCTCGCATGGCATTGAAGGATGCGGTTCAGTCTTTCTCCGATATCCCAAAGTCACCCATTACCTCGCTCACCCTCACCCCACGCTGCTCAGCGACAAGACCTATCAAGCCTTGGCCGATATCCTTGATCTCATTGTCTGTGACCAGGTAAGTAAACCTTGTCTGAATAGAAAGTAAGGATGCGGTAAGCGTTTCGCTTACACTTGTGCAACAGCGCAATATGGTCTTTAACGACAGCATTTGCGGATGCCAGAGCGTGCTTCGTGCGCTGCTCTTCGGTCCAGTCTTCTGGCATTGCAAGGCCAGACGGCAGAGTTGCTTCTGCCACGGCGACTGCTCGCTGGACGTGAAGATCTGCAAGTTTCTGCTCAAACGTAGCCTTTTTGGCCGCCAGCGCTGCGAGACGCGGGTTCGACAATATTTTCGCCGCTGTATCTGCGTGTGCTGCTGTACCCTCTGTCGATAGCGGCGAGCTAGAGAGTGGGTTGTCTGACGATGGTGCCTCCTCTGCAGGGTTAATGTTTCGAGGTTGTTCCTCCCGCGGCATCATTGCGCCGGTTAATGGACGTGAACATATAGTCTTACTCGAGTGATCTGGGAGGGGCGAACCCAGTCTGCTACCATCCCACGTTGAGCATCACAGCACGGCACCATAGTCTTGTCTTCTAGTCGCGTCGAACATGAAGTCGAAGAACGCGTGCCGCGCTCGTCCCGGTTCGGATCCGACTTAGCCGAAGCTCCGGCGACGACCTCTGCTTTCGCTCAGCCTTTCGCACGTGTATGCAACATAACCACCATCTCCCGCCAGGCGGACAGAAAAGGGGAGGATGGCGGCATTCAGGACGAGTTCGACTTTCTTGGCGCTCGCAGTGGCTATCCTCCTCGCTGCGAAAGCGATTGCCCACGGTGACCACGACCACATTGAGGAAGGCGAGGGAGCCTCGAACGAAGCCATCGACAGCGTCCTGTGGGCACACATCTTGATCCAGAGCTTGGCATGGGGTGTCCTCTTTCCGACCGGCATGGTTCTTGGACTGGTGCGGAACAGATGGCATGTCCCGATGCAGACCGTAGCATCGGTGCTGGCGATTGTCGGCTATTTTCTTGGGCATGCGCATAAGGGACGGCAATTCGCGGCAAATGTACATTCTAGCTTTGCAACTTGGCTTATGTTGATGCTCATTACGCAAGTTGTTCTAGGCGTGTACCTGAAACTACACTTAGAGAAGGGATTTTTGGGCAGGATCCGGAAGTGGCAGGTCAGAGCACACGGCGTGCTTGGTGCGTTGATACCGGTGGCTGCCTGGGTGCAGATGCTACTTGGCGGAATTGCTTCGCAGGGCTTCTGCCGCGGGGACCATCTCGGACAGTGTCTGGCGCATTTTATTATGGGCTCGGCATTCGTCGCATACGGCATCATTCTGACCATCCTCCTCCTCTGCGGACAAGGTTGGCTTGCACGGAGCGGACGTAGCCAAGAATTCTACGACAGCATCATCATCACAATCTGGGGCTTCATCAACACGTTCACGGAGCACAGATGGGGCGGACCTTGGGTAGCAAACGATCTGCAGCACACCAGCATGGGCATCATCTGGTGGGCGGCAGGCTTGGTTGGCATATGGCTGTCGCGCGACCGTGCTGGTAGACCCAAGCGGAATCTGGTGCCCGCAATCGTCATTCTCATGACTGGCTGGGCAATGAGCGCACATCCACAAGACCTTGAAGTGTCCACCAAAATCCACACCGTCTTCGGCTACACCCTGATGGCAGCAGGCCTTGCGCGCATGGTGGAGATCAGTTTTGTCCTCAAGGACAAGCTTGCGCCCGACCAGACCGCCGATATTGATTCTGAGATCAACAGCTTCCAGTATTTGCCACCATTCCTGCTCTATGCCAGCGGCTTCCTCTTCATGGGCGCCACGGAGGAACAGATGGAGATTCTGCATGAACACCACGTGACGCACGTCAGCTATGTTCTCATCTTATACAGCATATCCTTTCTGATGTTTCTCTGTACGTATACTAATCTGGCTGAATCGTTCTTCGCGCTCGCTGACCGTTGCATTAGTCGTTCTCATGCTCCTACATTTGTACAGCGCCGGCAAAGAAGCCGGTGGCACGCACATCTTGCCAACCATCAAGCCGAGCAACGACGAGCCTTCCGGATTAAACGGCCGTCCAAGAGTGCCGAATGCGGCTGATCGGCAAGCGAGGGACGCACAGGAGTTTGAGCTTGAAGGACTTATAAATGACGAGGAGGAGATAGGGAAGGGTCAGCCTAATGTGCCCGTACATTAGAATGACCATGGTGCTAGAATATGTAAGGCTTAATCTATGTTACCATGACCCTCGCATGCCTGGCCCACTATGACTGCTCGCTTTCGCATGACTCGCTGCACTCGCGTGACCACATCGACAATTTTAGATTCTCTTCACTTCAGCTTCTACTTCGCCGCCATCACACAGTGACTGGCTGCCGTGACAGGTTAAGATGTCGGCTGTCAGTCCGGAGCAGGACACGGCAAGTGTGCACCCGAACGGTAACAACACTGCGTCCAAAACGAATGGTGCGCCGGCCACAGATGGCACGACCGGCGAGTTAGAACCCGGCGACTCCGACGAGGACGACGCCGACGAGGGCCATGAGGAGCCACATGGCGGGGCTAATGGAGAAGGCACTGGGGCAGCGAAGAAAAAGAAGAAGAGAAAGCCTCGCAAGAAGAAGAAGGCCGGCGTCAGCGGTGCAACTGGTGGAGGAGCAAAAGCCCAGACCGCTCCTCCACGCATCCCCGTTGCACAACTCTTCCCAAACGATACGTACCCGGTTGGCGAAGAAGTAGAGTACAAGGATGATAATGCCTTCCGCACTACGAGTGAAGAGAAGAGGCATCTCGACCGCATGAACCAAGACTTCCTGACTGACTACCGCCAAGCCGCCGAGGTGCACAAGCAAGTTCGGCAGTACGCGCAGAAAGCTATCAAACCGGGCATGACCTTGACCGAAATCGCGGAGTTGATCGAGGACGGCACGAGGCATTTAACCGGACACATGGGGCTGGAGGAAGGCGACAACTTGATCGCAGGCGTGGCGTTCCCGACCGGGCTAAACTTGAATCACATCGCGGCGCATTACAGTCCCAATGCTGGTAATAAGACGGTGCTCAAGCAGGAGGATGTCATGAAAGTGGACATCGGCGTGCACGTCAATGGGAGAATTGTGGACAGCGCTTTTACCATGGCGTTTGAGCCGCAGTACGACAACCTCCTTACCGCAGTCCGTGAAGCCACCAATACCGGGCTACGCGAAGCAGGCATCGACGCTCGACTAGGCGAGATTGGCGCCGCAATCCAGGAGACAATGGAGAGTTATGAGTGCGAGATTAACGGGACGACGTACCCCATCAAGTCCATCCGGAACCTCAACGGGCACACGATAGCAAACTACAGCATCCACGGCGGCTCCGCGGGCAAGTCTGTTCCTATCGTCAAGGGAGGCGGGAACGAGAGGATGGAGGAAGGCGAGACGTACGCCATTGAGACCTTCGGGTCTACGGGTAAAGGCTACGTCCGCGACGATCTCGAGACGTCGCATTATGCCAAGATCGCCGATGCGCCCAAGGTCGCGCTGCGCGTTGCCAGTGCGAAGACTTTGCTGAGATCCATTGAGAAGAACTTCGGCACCCTTCCCTTCTGTCGGAGGTACCTGGATCGGTTGGGCCATGACAAGTACTTGCTCGGGTTGAACAACCTGGTGCAAAGCGGTGTGGTGCAAGACTACCCGCCGTTGGTGGATGTCAAGGGGAGCTATACGGCGCAGTTTGAGCATACTATTCTGCTCCGGCCAAATGTCAAGGAGATTATTAGTCGTGGGGACGACTATTGAGGGAATTACCAGGCCGAGGTAGCTGGACTCTGTACGCTCCATTGATGTCAGATGAAGTCATGAGAACCATGAGCGGGCGTCTGTGTTTAATAGCATATGCTGGGCCAGTTTACTTCGCTCACAAAACTGTCGATGGTCCGTATGGATCTGCCTTCAATATCATCCCAGTCATGCTTCACTCGAAAGCCTGCCAGAGCTCTCGGGCCATGCGCGCAAGGTTGTTGCTTGCGACATCACACACACGTCAAAGCTATGCAACACATATGGTAGTGTATCTTTACAACCACACTTCCTGGTGCGACATCCATGCCTACATCAGCTCGCAAGCATAACGGCACATATGCTACACAGCAATCCACATAACGCTGACTACAATATCCATGCCCTTCTCCTCACCACCTTCGTACTTATGACTCCACATACCGTCCCGTTCATTGTTCCAATACGCACCACTCGCGCTATGCATTCCCCTCCGCCCTACTGCTTTCTTGTGCGCACTGACTTCCGCCAAACCCTCCGCCGCACTCTCGTCGCCCGTCTGCGTGCCTCCCTCAGACGTCCCCGCTGGTCGTGGGTCGGAGAGGTGTTGGATGATGGTACTGTTGACACAGAATTTGTACTTGGGCGGTGTTGCGCTTTCTTCGACGGTTGCGGTGGAGGATTCGGAGATGAGGGCCTTGAGGATGGTATTGATGATGCTGGCGTTCCAAGTGGCTGTTTGAGCGTGGTCGTAGGTGGTGGCGGTCGAGAGGGCAAAGTGGCAGGCGTCGTTGCAGATCTGTTTGAGGCGGGTTGCTGGTATGGGCTGGACTAACCATTAGCTTGCGATGTGGATGAGATGACTGGTTTGGCCCACAGAGTTGGCCATGGTGGTTAAGGCGAGGTTCGTGAATGGTGATGAGGCGAGGAGGGCGTCTACTGTTTTCGTCTCTGTTTACTCGAGTCGCAATGCTTTACCAATGTTGATGGGATGCGGGGACCTGCGCAAGCTTCACGCCATGCCCGGTTGCTGCCGACGGGACTTGGGCCGGCAAGGTGGGGAAGGCACGCTTTTCTGCAGACAAACTCAGGCAGGAGCATTTGATCGAAGTCTATCAGGCGATACGCTTTCGGTGCTGCGGGATATACATATAGATTCTACTGCCTAGAGCATCCGCCATCATGTCCAGCCAGCCACTTCTTCAAACCGCACCTGGTACGATGGACAACCCCAACAGCAACCTCTTCCATACGATCACTTTTGCATACTAACCACCGTATCAACTTACAGGCAAGCGCATTGCCCTGCCCACCCGCGTAGAGCCGAAAGTCTTCTTCGCCAACGAACGCACCTTCCTCTCATGGCTTAACTTCACCGTCATTCTCGGCGGCCTCGCTGTGGGCCTGCTCAACTTCGGCGACACCGTTGGCCAGATCTCCGCCGGTCTCTTCACCTTAGTGGCTTTGGCGGCTATGTTGTACGCGCTTGTAACGTTCCATTGGCGCGCGCGGAGTATCCGCATGAGAGGGCAGGGAGGGTTTGATGATCGCTTCGGCCCGACAGTGCTGGCTATTGCTTTGCTGGCGGCGGTGGTGGTCAACTTTGTTCTGAGGGTGACGGGCGTGGGTGGGAGCCATAAGTAGGTGGACCACGAAGGTCGAGCGGGAGAAGGCGTTGAGCGGTCCGACAGGGCTCTGTAAGCAACACCGGGCTTTTGGCGTTCAAGGGAATGTACCTTTTATAGGACGACTGCTACACTGCACGTGCGCTGTAGCACATTGGCACACCATGCGTTTTTCCGCTTTTTGTACACTTGGGCGGTGTTTGGTCCTGAACACCGTTCCGGCTTTGGGGCTCCTCAACGACAAGAGAGGCCCGCGAAAGTGGGTAGTGGTCTCCCAGAACATGGTTATGCCTACGATGTCTGATGGTTTGTTGAGGCAGCACTTCTACAAAGTGGAGGAGATGGCAGCAAATAGCTCATTTGTAGGATTCTAGAAAGGCTATAAGGTGCCTGTGCAGAATGCTTCCCATGAGTATCAGCGTCTCAGCGCGCATGCCCTACAGCGCAAGCTTCCACGCTCCACTGACTGGTCATCTGAATTGCTTCCGGCGGTGTATTGTCTTGTGCTAGCAGCTCTTGCGTCCATTCCAGTATCGCTCAGCGCGAGCAGGAAGAACGAGCTCACATCGGCCCGCACCTACAGAGTTAGAGCCACAAGCTTAATATCCACTCTCATCTTCTCGTCAGGTCAACCGAACATGCTGGCGCCGCCACTTTCCAATGCCTCCATCTCCGCCGCTGTCCACCGCGTTCTGTGAAACCTCTTCGGCAGCTCATTCCGATCCCAATACTCGCCCTTCTTTGGCTCTACCGGTCCTAGCGCCCTGCCAGGACGCCCACCAATCGCTCCATACGGCTGCGCTGTCTGTGCCGCTTCCGAGCCCGATGGCGCACTCTGCCGAGGACTTGATGACGGTGTAGACTGTGGTTGTTGTGGGCCACCTCCCAGCGGGCCGTGTTGCTGAGCGCGTGTGCGATATGAGGCGAAGGACTCAGGGAGCTCGTGTGTGGGCGATGCTGGGTGGGCGTGAGGTGTGTGGTCGACCTCTGAGGAGTTTGTTAGTTTAACGGCCTTGAACGAGAGTTGTTCTTCGTACGCTTCGGAGTATGCCGCTTGCCCAAGAACTTGATCAAGGGCTGGCGTTTTTGCAAGAGAACCCGCGTTAACCGCATGTTCGTGGCTGTCTATCTGCCCTGTTGATTCGCTGCTGAGCTTGTCTGTGGCGAATTGTTCAGACGTATGCTAGCGGCGTGTTATACGCATACTGTTGCCCTGCGGACCGGATAGTGGACGTATTATAACTCGCATTCACCGGCCGAGAGATTGTTCGATGTCGGAGCTCGCCAGGAAGCTTCACTTGAGCGGACCTACCCGCTTCCGGGCTACGGGATATACCGCCACGTGGAGTGCAGGTTCGCGTGTAATGCACATCAACACTCGCATTGCTAAGTTTGCCGCTCTGAAAACAACGCAGAATGAGGTCGATCGGGAGACATCGGCTTATCTCGCCTTGGGAGCGGTAGGTGTCTATGTTAGGCCGGGGAGCAGACCGGCATTATGCAAGAGTTCACCATCTACTCTCAGATCCCTCCGGCGCGACATCAGCAAGTGCTCAACATCCTTGCAGGGGTCACGGCCGCACAACCGGTGGAGGTCAACGAGCAGACATTGATCTATCAACAAGCCAAACCACCACCAGGCGCCACCGGAGGGACGGGGGCGAAGAAAGTAGCCCCCGCAGCCAAGAAGACTGCGGCTCAATCTCTGACTTTCCAAAAGCTCATTCGCAATTTGACGCATGGCGGGAATGCTCCATGGCTCTTACGCGTTGAGGAGACGCCACAGCCAGGCGTTCAGAACCTCATCTCACGTTCCGTCAACGAACTGGTAGCGAACAGTGACGTGCTGGAGAGGTTCCGTGAAGGCTCAGGATGGTATCGCTACGTCAACCAATACCTCTCACGCGGTTACCGCTTTGTCTTGAACAATGTCGTCGTCAAGATCACGCAGGTGTACTCTGTACCGGAGGGCACTGGCGCGCTGGAACCATTGGACGCACCCATACCAGCCATGTTGGATTGCAAACTCGTAGATCCGACTGCGTGTTACCTATTCGAGGCGTACATCAGGGTGGACGACGCTACTAATACAAAGCTGCTTGAGCAAGCCACTGCAGAGCTGCTTGCGTTCAAGAAGCGGATGGAGGGCGCTGTGGACTTGAGGGTGCCAGAGAGGTTGGCGCTTGACACAAAGGTGAAGGGTAGCTGAATCAAATTCCGCCAAACTTACCTACTCGCAAGCGCTTGCTTGCGAGTGGCATCTCTCCGTCAATAACTGACGAAGAAGGAGAGTCGTCTTTTCATCTATCGTCACTGGTATTCTCGATACTGAAGATGTTAACATGCGGAGGACGAAGGCTCAGGCACCCGAGCTCACGGTCACGGCAGACCGCGGGTCAGTGGGTCATGGCGCGACTCTTTGAGGCGTTGGAAACGTGGTCCTAACGCCTAGAAGGTTGATCCAGCATTAACGCTGACGTTGCAGCTGCCTCTCAGCGTGTGGTAATATGACTCACGTTGGCATTGACGCTTCGGGCATTCGGTATACCGAAATCGGTACATGTACTATGAAACTCCGTTCCGAGTTCTCGCCTTAGCAGGAGATAAATGGCGGTATATGTTCTGCGACCTAGCTCGTCCTCCTTCACAAAACGTTGTGGTAGCTTTGTTACAGTATTTGCCGCGCACTTCATAGCGGTCCACATTTCAAGCATATCACTAAACGCATCGTTGCTTGCGGGATGTCCTCGGCATCCCGCGCACTTTACGCGATAACGCGTTCTGTGCACGCTAGCGGCAAGCGCCTTCGCCAATCGACAGGATCTCGGGTGGCGTTGAAGGCACCTCAAGTCATTCAACACATGCACCCTTGCAATCACATTTGCTCGTAAGCAACGGTCACATCCACAGTGAACACTGCCTAGCGCAAGGCAGCATAATCAGGTCCAGACTTCATGTGAAGTGGCAACCCGCCCACAACACCACCTTAGGGCAAGTGCAGAGAGTGCCGATGGCTAGACCAAAAGCATCCGCCACCAAGCGCCAGTGTTCGTCTCATGCCCCACATACTCTACACTGAAAGAGGGATCATACATAGCCCTGTACTATACTGACTCGGTATCGCAGCGGCTGATGTAGGAGGCCTTGCAACACCCGGATCAAGCAAAAGGAAGCAAGCGGCACAGAAGGAGCAATCACGTGGATCGGTGCCTACCACTTCAGACACTGAGTCAGGCGACGATATCAGAGTCACCTCAGGACGGCGCAGAGCGCTGAGAGAGGTGGTTATACCAGTCATGGCTCGTCCAACCATGAAGAAGGGCTCCGCTTCCGCATCTCCTACCGATTCCTCGCTCTCCTCCACCGGCAGCATGTCCCGCGCAGGGTCAGCAGGCTACGAGACCGCAGAGACTACACCGGCGACCTCTATCAAAGGCGCGGCGAGCAACAAGCGCAAGCGTAGCCAGCTGGGCAAGAAGGTAGTCCAGATCAATGACTCCGACGACCACATGGAAGATGCAGATGAAGCGCTGGCGAGGCGCTTGCAAGAAGAGGAGTACGCTGAGGCCGAACCCACATCGGGACCAAGTTCGAAAGCTATGCGCTTGGATGTCGAAGACTCCGCGAGCGAACTGAGTGAGCTTAGCGAGGTACAGTCGGAGGAGTCTGACGATTCGTTACCGTTGAGCAAGCGCAGGAAGACATCCGCCGGCCTGCAGCACGAACTTGAGAGCAAGCACAAGGGCAAACAAGTGAAAGCGCCCGCCCCAGCTCCCGCCAAAGGCAAGCACGCAGCTCGTCCCGCTAGGATCGCTCGAGCCAACGCTCGCAAGTCTATCGGCGACACACTCAAGACGAAGATCGAGGACAGTGATTCCGATCTTGAGGAGCTTAGTGAGCTCGAGAGCGAGGATGACTTTGTGGTAGAAGATTCCGAAGACGCCATCTCCTCTGCTCCTAGTGACTTGGAGGCCGTAGCCCCTTCTGTCTCTAGCTCATCTGCACGTCCGACGAGTATTCGTATGCCGCTGAAGCGCTCAAAGACTCGCGCGCCCCGCGACCGTCGCCATGGACGGATCACTTCTTCGGAAGCGGGCAGGATTCGAGGTGAGATTGAAGAAATTAGCATACCGCGGAAGCAACGGGAGAGGAGGAAGCTTGAGAAGGCTCACCCCGAGATCAAGACGATGTGGAAGGACCTTGGCAAAATTCCGGTCATTACGCCTGTCCAAGCAGAGCAGCCGACTGCCATCACTCGCAAGCTGAAGTCCTTCCAGCTTGAAGGTCTGGATTGGATGACGAAGCAGGAGAGGACGCCCTACAAAGGCGGCTTGCTCGGTGATGAGATGGGCATGGGCAAGACCATCCAGGCAGTTTCGCTCATCATGTCCGACTACCCGCAGAAGCAGCCAACCCTCGTCGTGGTGCCGCCGGTAGCGCTTATGCAATGGTCCGCCGAGATCAAGCAGTACACTGACGGCATGCTCAATGTGCTCGTCTATCACGGCCAGAACAGCAAGGTCAAGAGTATGAGCGTCAAGGAGTTGAAGAAGTTCGACGTCATAATGATCTCTTACAACAGCTTGGAATCACTGCATCGTAAGGAGACGAAAGGCTGGAGTCGCGGCGAAAACATTGTCAAGGAAGACTCGCCCATTCACGCCATCCACTTCCACCGGCTGATCCTTGATGAGGCTCACAGCATCAAGTCTCGCACCACGGGCGTGGCAAAGGCCTGCTTCGCTTTAGAAGGCACATACAAGTGGTGTCTGTCCGGCACACCCGTCCAAAACCGCATCGGCGAGTTCTTCTCCTTGCTTCGCTTCCTCGAGGTCCGCCCGTTCGCCGACTATTTCTGCAAGAGCTGCGACTGCTCGATACTTCATTGGAAGCTTGACGATGACCACATGTGTCCCAGATGCAAGCACTCCGGCATGGAGCACGTCTCTGTCTTCAACCAGGAACTGCTCAACCCACTCACTCAATCCGAAGATCCGGCGGAGCGATCCGCGGCCATGGACAAGCTACACATGATCACCGCTAGGATCATGCTTCGTCGCATGAAGCGCGACTACGTTAGCTCTATGGAGCTGCCGCCCAAGGAGGTCATCGTGCACAATGAGTTCTTCGGCGAAATTGAGCGCGACTTCTCCAGCAGCATCATGACTAACACCTCCCGCCAGTTCGACACCTATGTCGCTCGTGGCGTCATGCTGAACAACTATGCCAACATCTTCGGTCTGATCATGCAAATGCGTCAAGTGGCTAACCACCCCGATCTTCTACTCAAAAAGCACGCGCAGGAAGGCCAGAATGTCCTTGTTTGTAACATCTGCGACGAGGTGGCTGAGGAGGCCATCCGCTCACAGTGCAAGCACGACTTCTGCCGCAGCTGTGTCAAGTCTTACCTCCAGTCCGTCGAAGAGACGGGCGGCGACGCTGATTGCCCGCGCTGCCACATCCCGCTTGCCATTGACCTTGATCAGCCGGACATCGAGCAGGACGAGGAGGTGGTAAAGAAATCGAGCATCATCAACCGCATCAAGATGGAGAACTGGACGTCCTCCACCAAAATCGAGATGCTGGTGTATGATCTGTACAAGCTGCGCAGCAAGAAGCAGACACTGAAGAGCATCGTGTTTTCGCAGTTCACGAGTATGCTGCAGCTCATTGAGTGGCGTCTGCGCCGCGCTGGGTTCAACACAGTCATGCTTGACGGGTCCATGACGCCTATTCAGCGCGAAAAGAGCATCAAGTACTTCATGGAGAACTCGGATGTCGAGGTGTTCTTGGTGTCGTTGAAGGCAGGTGGCGTAGCGCTGAATCTGACCGAGGCGTCGAGAGTGTTCATCGTCGACCCGTGGTGGTAAGCTCCTGCTTCTCCATGAATGTCCTGCTGCTCCGTGACTAATGGTTGAATAGGAACCCAGCTGCTGAGTGGCAATCCGCCGACCGCTGCCACCGTATTGGCCAAAAGCGTCCTTGTGTCATTACCCGGCTGTGTATCGAAGACTCGGTGGAGTCACGCATGGTCATGCTGCAGGAGAAGAAGGCCAACATGATCAACGGTACCATCAACAACGACAAGACATCGATGGAGAAGCTTACGCCGGAGGACATGCAGTTCCTCTTCCGCGGAACCTAGAGTGGTCCTAAACGCGGCGCATGAGCGACTACATTTTGCTGGGAACGAGAGTGTGCCTCGCTACTGGCGAGTACGAGCCATGTCGACATGACTGCTGTACGAACATGCCTCGACGGCGTAAGCATTGCTTGTGCTGTTATTATGTACACTAGAGTTGCTGGCGTGCATAGCACGGCCCATCGAGCATTTGTAATCTATGGACAACGCTGAATTCTGTTGACGATGGGGCATGTCTCAGTGCGCCGCTATAGCAGGCTTGCCACAGCATCCGCGAAAGGCGGCGTTGCTGGTGCCACCGATTCATGGTGATCAATGCCTGAGACGGTTCGACACACAGCAGGCTTAGGCTCCAGCAGTGCAGCATTCGATTATGCCGCCATTCTGGGCGACGTGGCCATCATCACAGCGCTGGCTCTGGGAGCTCTCATGCGGCCTGTGTCCCATTCGACCTTGACTGTCGCTTGTTGATGGACCATGTTGAACCTCTGTCTCTGCTGGCACCGTGCTCATTGCTAGTACCATCAAGGTCACCGATTATTGCAATGGCGGCAGCGCAGTGGCCCACGGATGTCGCTTTTGGGACCCACCCTGCAGAAGTCGGGGGTTTGGGCCACGGCCAAACAAGGCTCACAAGGTCCGCGTGAGCGCCCCGCCTAACAAGGCATTGCGCTGTGGCGGGATTTCATTTCCAACGAGCCCAAGATTGCCACTCCAAGTAACAGTAGTCATCCTTAGTGGTTGCACTCATCACACTGCCCACTCCGCCGCATTATCAGCAGCGGTGACGAATGGCTCGTCGACCATCTTCACCGCCATCTCCGAGCACAGCACACAAGCCCCTGCCACCAGCCCATCGAGCTCATGCACCATGCCCTCCCGTCTCTTCCCCAGCGCAACACCACGGCCAATCTCTCGTTGAAGCTCTCTGATCCTCTTCGCCTTTCCCATGCCCGCCATGTCCATGACCATCTCTCCCAGACAGTCGGCGTGGAAAGCATGTTGGCAGGGGAAGACGAAGAATTGCCGCATGAGCAATGGAAGGCGGCACTTCCAACAGCGTTCACCGGGCTCCACGATGGCGTACCGTTGATCCAGCCCTTTAGTCTCGTCTTTGATATGCTGAGCCGTGTCCGCGGATTCGTCCATTTCCCGCTTGAGTTCCTCGATATGCCGGCTGTACTCCTCGAGCGCGGCGCAGATCTCTTCTTTGAAGTCGTCTATGACAACAAAGTCTGGGAAGAACGGGATCAAGTCTTCGATGTGGAGCAGCTCACAACGCTTGAGGAACTCAATAGCGGCCTTGATGCCGTTGCTCTGACTAATGACCTTCTTCGCCACCTTCAGCCAGAGCTTCTTCCGCAGTGCCTTGTCATTGCCAGGGCGGTCTGCTACTTCCGCAGCAAGCTCGACGTGATCGTACTTTAGCGCCAGCTCCACGGCGGCGGCGTATTGTTGCATGGTGCAGTAAATGTGGACACATGACTGAACGCGCTTGTGCGCAATACAGAGACGGAGAGCGAAATCGGCATCGTAGTTTTGCTCCTGGGCTTGTGCCTGCATCTGGAGATAGCCCAGTAGTGCGGACTCATCTTTGGTTGGGTTAGCCGCATAGAGTGATATAAGCGTGTTGTGCACTGCTGGCTCAGTGGAATGCGCGTGGTTAATGCAGAACTGGATATACCGAATAGCTTGGTTCTGCGCCAGCGGTACGGTCTCACCAACCATCCTGTTGTAGTTCAGTAGTGCGGGTATAAGTTTCTTCGCGTCCAGCGCCTGCTGCCTCATGAGCACTTCGACAAGCTCAACTGCTACATGCGCCATTAGGACTGTGCTGTAACGGTAAAACATTTCGACGTCTGTCTGTTTCTTCAAAACGCTCATGGCATCATTCCAGCGCGAGCGCTGAACCCAGTAGTTGATGACATAACTGTAGTCTTCCACAATGTTAGCGAAGTAAAGGAGCTCCTCTTCGCGCCCATGACTGCCAACGATCTCGTATGCTGTTTTGCGGTCCATGTCCGCTCTGTATCGGCTTACAAAATCCTGGAACTCCTTTCGAACACTGGCGAGCTGTTTCTGCGAATCTGCTGCCGAGATCTGCGCCTGAGCGCCATCGCTGTTTGCCACAACCTCCGCCTTTGTCGAGATGGTGTCGTCTAGCTGATTAAGCTTTGCCATAAACAGCTCAATCAGCCAGCTCGACAGCATGACCCGTTGCATAACCGCTTGCTTCCGCAGGTTCGAAAGCTTGACGATGAGATACTTTCGCAGCGCATCTTGCTCTCCCTGATCGATAAAGCTAAGCGCGACGTCCTCGAAAGGCTTGGTACTCTTGCCCAGGACTGTAGCTGCTTCCGCAAATCGGCCTTGGCTTATGAGATGATCGCCAGTCATTGATGCTACCGCGTCCTTCTGCTCCATGGTCTTTGCATACTGCTGGGCAGCTTCGAAATGTCCTTGCTGCAACAGTATACGCCACACGTCTCGTGTCTCGTCCGTGGCCACTATCTCAAAGATCTCGTTCGAGGTAAAGAGCCAGTAGGTGTTCTTTTGCTGATCTGCGAAAAGACCGAGACTACTCGTACCGGGCTCGAGCACTTGCTGATTGTACACGACCGAATCATCGAGACGATTGATCGCTGTAACTCGTCCGTCCACAAGCGCGAGGATATGAAATTGCGTGAGCGATATGGATGCTATAGGAGGCCGTTGTGTCCGTGGTCGACCACCAGACGTCTGTACAGGCGGCAAGATAGACTGAGGCAGCAGCTTTGACTCCCGAAACAGCTGCCTGCCCAAGACTGCGGGGTCCGCAGCTGTAAGCAGCAATCTGCCATTTAAGATTCCTTGCGCGGAAAGCCAGCCATATGCACGTTCCACGCTCGAGCCATCCTGAGTTATAGATGGCGCATCAGGAGGATCAGGAGAAACGACCAAGCTCGCAGGACTCGCAGTTGCTGCTCGCTCGACCTCGTACACCGCAGGCGTCTCGCTTTCGAACAGCTTTGAGTAGATGCTCCCACTCCCCTCATGCCCCGTTCTGCCTGTCCTCCCCGAGAAGTGTAACAACTTCAACGTCGAGGCAACCATGACCCTCCTCGTCTCCGGCTTGCTCGAAAGCACATCCGCATAGAGACCGACCACCGCACCGTCCGCAACATGGAAGACATTCTTGACATACTTCTCTTGTCGCCGATAGAACTCCGTGGTAGGCTCGATGTACGTCTCGTAGATGTTTCCGTCCGCCGCACCGATCAATATCTCCCTCGTCGATGCTGTCGGCTGAGACGGGCTCCATGCCACACTCTCAATCTGCACGCCCTTCAATCCTGCCAATGGCTTTGGCTGTCGCGACTGCGTGTGCAGATAGAAATTCTCGCGTAGCGTCGTGCTGATGATCAAATGGCTGGCTGATGGATCCAAGAACAGCCGCCGGATCACACCAATCTCCGCAGGCCGCTTTGGGAGATCGATGTCGTCAATGTCCTCTGCATTGTCGAGATCGAAGCGCAGTAGCCGGCCCGTGGACAAGGCGAGGATGAGGACGTTGTTGGCGACCTGCGCGGCAGCGAATTCCGCCGAGATGTCGAAGCGGAGTTGGACCTTTTGGACATCGAAGATGGGCAGTTGGGTGTCATCTTGAGCGCCAGGAGCATAGCCGCGTGAGGCGTCAAGCGACATCGTTACTACCGAGCCGCCATTGTGCGCGCATCGAGCGCATCAACATGCGTTGGAGAGAAGGTGTGTGAGGATGACCTCAGCCCTACAGCTTGAGCACGGACCATACAGCCAGCAACATGTACGGTATTCGCGGCATGAAACACTATCAACAATTGCTACCAACCGGATACGCCGATTACTAGTTGCTCATATTTTGGTCCCCATGCATCTCACGGGACTCTCTACGCATGTAACGGCGACATTAGATCACGACCCAAAACCTCCCATTCCCGCTTGCGGTGGCCCAGGCTGGCCGTGAAAGGGTTGATTGTACAGCGGTGATCCTGGCTGCGCGGGAGTTGATAACGATTCAGGGCCTCCTGTGGCATCGTCATCTAATTCGTCAACCGAGGCGGCGTCTGCTTCTGTGAAATCGGAGTCTGAGTCCCCTTTGGCTGGCGGCTCAAGGACCTTCATCAACATTGACCTGAGGTCCCTCCTTTTCGTGGTCGGGAGAGAGTTGCGAGCTGGCAAGCGAGGCATGCCGCCCTGGTTCTGGTCCGAAGTCAATGCGACAAGCGCCCGCATCTCTGTGTCGATCTGCTCAAAGCGTTGGATGGGATCCATCTTGTCCTTCTTCGTATTCGATTTGTATCCCGGCATGGCTGCCGATGGAGTGTGTGGATGGCCGAGCATTCCGCTATATAAACCATAGTACGCACCCCCAAGGCCTTTCGATCCGTCCGGAGTCCATCCATACGGATTGCCTGTAGAACCGCCGTCAATCTCACCGTCTCCCCAGAATGATTTACCGGACGGGCCACGGTCGGATCGCACGCTCCGATTCCTAGCACTGTCGACGACACTCTTGACCGTCTTCGCATCAATCTGCTGGTCGCCTGCAGTCTTCGGCGCGCCGTTCTCCGCCGTCGCTTGTCCCTCAGTGTAGGCTTGGAGTAGCGGCCAGATTTCCTTGTTGATGATCTTTCTCAGCAGGTCATGTTGCTCTTCTAGGCGAACTCGGATGAGGTCTCGTACGGACTGTGAGGGCTCGTACTTCGTTTTGTCGTCCTCAGCTTGCGAGCCCGGCCAGTGTCCCGGCATACCTGGTAGATAAGAGCCATGGCCTTGTATAGGCCCCAGACCTGGGCCGAATGGGTTATCGTCAACCCCTGCCCTGCCTAAACCGTAGCCTCCGAAGCCAGCAGGAGTCCTGAAGTCGGAAGGTGAAGTATTCTTAGATTTCTTGCTAGGAAGCTTGCCTTTTCCCATTGCGGCGTGAAGTTGGCTAAGCAGCCCCGGATACCGTAGGACGTGGAACGACTTTTGGATGATTGTTCGCTAGGGTGCAACGCTCGGCGAAGGTAGTGCTTTGGGATCGGTGGTGGACACTTCCAGAATGCATTTGTAGGTCTATGCGTGATCCTATAGCCTGGCTTCACTACGTGCAGCTGCTTGACGTACGTGCTCGCAAGCGGCCTGCGTTGCAGTTACTGACACCGCACTGTGGCATTGAGGAATGGTGTCGGTTTGGTAGGTTATTCGCGGCGAATGCAATCCGTTTTCTATGCTCAATGTTGTCGTGAACCGATGCATTGTTTATCTGTACAATGATCGCTACCTTGGCAACATGTGGCTGGACGGCAGAACGCCATATTGTAATAACTGTACAAGTCTTCACCCGATTGCGCCAGCGCTCCGATACGCCGCGCCCAGTGACAAGGATGGTTGCCAGCCTAACGCCCATGTAGGTCATGAGCTCGAGGACGAAGATATGCGAATCATTCATCAATATACAAAGACATAGGTCTAATCGGCATTACCTGGCTTCTCCTCGGTATCAATATGCCAGACAACATAGTTAGGTAGTCCATACACGCCGTAACCCGCCCTTCTCGCCATCTTCGCGAAACCTTCTGTCTCGGCTTGGTTCTCAAAGGCATAGCAAGGAAAGTTGATCCCTATATGGCGTGATCAGTCTGTGCCCGATCCACAGAAGGCGCAACGGAGACTTACCTGATCGGTGAACGTCCGCCTTCACCAAGATATTCACGCCGCCTATACCGTCAAGTGGTATCTCGACATCCTTATTATCTCGCCAGTCACCCATGCGAGCCATGTATGTTCGATCTGTCTTGTACTCCTTGTACCCTGTGAAACAGTGAGCAACCGCATCAAACACTACGAACCGAGCTCTCGGACGTACCTTCAGCGAGCACAATGTCGCGATCAAGCGATGCGGAGAGCTTGCGGCCGGTATCCGACTCCTGCCACGAGTTGTAGTCGAAACGACCTTCAATGTCGCGACCATCTTCGTAGCGATGAAACCAGATGTCTGCGCATAGTCAGTCTCAACAATCATTATGATATCGGAGGGAGGACTTACTGGGCACCAGGACGTCTCTGTCATGCGCCACAAAATCTTGGATAATGTCACTGGGACTATCCTTAATATCAATATCCCGCCAGTACACCCAGGCATGCTCAGGCTTAAGCGCCGCGGAGAGCAAGTAGTTCCTCGCCTTGCCCATCAGCTTCCGCCGCGGACCTTGCGCCTTGAAGCCATGTCTGTCCTCGACATCCATGCCCAGCGTGGCACCAAAGTCCTTCTCTATGATTGTGGCGCTTCGGAACGGAATCTTGTCCGTTCGCGACTGTATCCGCTCAAGCTCCTGAGCCAGAACTGCAAGAGTCTCATCCGTGCAGTCTCCCACTAGAAATGCGAGATCAATCAGCTCGTGCGGATATGTGAGCTGCGAAAGGAGATCAAAATGCTGCTCAATATAAGGCGCAGCGTTTCGTAAAGGTGTGAGAATGAGAACACGCTCTTCGTTGCTAAGCGCTTTCGGTGTTGATACAATCGGATTAAGGTCGATGTGCTGTATTGTGGAGCTGTTGACCTCTATGGGCGCATGGTGGTTGAATAGCACCGGTGTCTGAAGGTGTCCGGCCCATTCTGCTTGCTCATTTGGTGTCATCTGCATGGGTGCTTTTGACGGTCCATAGCAGTAGAATCTGCAGTCCGGCCTGTGTCAGCTAATTCTACTTCATCACGCATACTCGTCCGTACACCGGTGCAGCACGAACGGTGCCTTCCTGCACCTACCTTTCCACGCCGCCCTTCGCTCCGTTGATGCCGTCGAACACCACGAACAATATCACTGCCGCCACCACGAACAACACAATCCTCGTCCGCGTCATAAAGTTCCATATGGCTCTCGTGGGTGGTAGCCGTGCTCTCGCAGCCTTCCAACTTACTCCACCTTTCGGTAGGAGCATGTTGGAGATCAGGAACGCCGTATGGCGCTCAATCGTTGCGCACCACCTCCCTGCCGGTCTCCAGTCCTTATCGCCAATATGGTCTCCTTTGACCGTGCTGTAACATGCGCATACCTCTTGACGACGTCCGTACTAGCGCGCAATGTCGGTTAACTTTCGCTGCAGGGCTGGTGAACAGCTGCTCAGTCCACAGTCGACCCATCAGAACGTGAGGTTGGTCGGAGCTTCTCCAAGGGCAAGCTCCTTGGCGTACCCTTGGCGGGCGGTCCACCGACTCCGAAGCGCCGCCGATCACGACAACCGACCACCGCTTTCTTAGCATCAACTTGGTACATAACCTTGCACATCGTCACTTTGGTATGATATATCATATTACGAGTTCGACGAGCCTCCTTCCTCTCATGGTGTCCCACGCAGAGCAGTGTGCCTGTACCATTGCCGCTTGATGGTCGACCCCGGCTGCAGTGGCGCCAGCCTCGTGCAGCTTGGGATCTCAGAGCCTGCAGCTACAGCCTGTACCGTTAACGCGGAGAGACAACGTCATTGCCGGAAAGCGACATACCATGTCCCCGAGTGACTGCCTCTTGACAATAAGGGAGCGCTGAGTCTGTTTATGGTTTCATAAACTTCAACGTTCGTAGTTGAGAAGGGAGGACAAACAAGCATATCAAACAAGCATACGGACGAGCATACTACCTCCAGCCGTCTCCCGTCGAATAAGGCGCGAATGTATGGTTGTCCTGCGCTCTTTTCCTTTCTCCGAATCACAAGATGGCCCTGTGACTCTGTTCCGTTTCCTTCAGACGGATGTATTGCGGCGAGGATGCGTTCAATGCGCGCGCAAGCATGGGATGTCAGCTTCAGAACTGTCGTTTCGACCTGTCAGGAACTTGCAGCTGTATCGGCATCTGTTATGCACCGCGACATGGGGAAGTGCTAGACCTACAGCAGTCTGCGAAGGTATCACTCCCCTGGCAGAGTGCTGTGAATGCCACTTGCCGATCGGAACTGACCTTATGGAAGGACGACTTCGCCCCTTCAATTCCAATACCTCGTCTCTTTGCCAAGATGATGTGCTAGTACAGGAGGACTCGCGCTCACCTCGTAAAACATTTAATCTTGGTCGAGGGTGCTGATCCCGTATCGTTGCATGTGCCAGCAGCTTGTGACGGCGCATTGTATCCCGTTAGCGAGCGCCACTACTGATGCTATTCCACGGAACCTAATTCGTGCAACCGATCACAATCGATCCCTCCCTTTGGGCATTGGCTGGGATGACCGTGGGTACTATTTGAGCGGATCTGGGCCGGTTAGTGTGGCTACATCAACCCGGCTGCTCAACATGCCGGTTTCCCTTGACCGCTTGCAAGTTCAGAACCAGTCGCTCTCAAGCAATCTGGGAATGCATCACATACGGGCACATATGGAGAACTGTAAGCAACCAGCACGATCGAGATGTACGATGCCAGCTTTGCCATATACATTGTTTTTATTCACAAGCTTCCACGCGAAGTGGAAACCGTGCAGGCTACGTACATAGAGTATCACAGTCTATCGCTATCATGCCATCATAAATCCATACCGAGGTCATCGCTGCCGTCAATGCTGCCGTCAATGCTGCCGTCAATGCTGCCGTGCATACGATCAGGTGCAAGTCGCGCCGAGGAATGCTGAAAGCTGGAAGGTAGATCGTGTAATGCTCGCTTCGAACGCTCTAACCAAGGAGACACCGAAATGCCGAATGCAACCACCCGCAGTAGAATAGTATCACGACTGCTTGCCGCCTCCGTGTAGAAAACCGCGCGAACGTGGAGACTGCCGTTATGTGATGAGAACGAAGATATGTTGAAGTAGCGGGCCAAGGCGTGTAGCGCAGTGCAGTAAGCATCGCTAACGGTCCAAATGCAAGAGATGTCCACCGAAGTGCCGAAACAGCCACCAGATCGGATGTTGTATGTTTTATGTTGCTTGAAAGTACAATTGCAAACCCCCTAGCCATGGAGTCGGCGATCCTGAGATAGAGGCTGCGCCACTCGCTGGTCCGTAGAATATGGCGCGACGATGGCTTCAGCCTCGTTTGCTTGCTGGTAAGTGCTCATAGCCTAGCTCGCTCACGAGCTAACTCGTTGACCCGGGCCTGGAAATTGGTTTGCATGACCTTGCGGCGGTGTGTCTTGCGGCACGTCATCCAGTCATCGCTATCCTCGCGCCCAGGATGCACACAGCAAGCTTTCTCCTTGTCAGCATGATCGCAAGCTCCTTCGCCGTCCTCGTCGTCCAGCAACGAGCCTTTGAGAACTTGGTGGTCCTCGCGGGTCTTCGTCAACGCTGCTGTCAGCTTGTACCGCATTTGCTCGCAAAATCTGTCACGTGCTGGAAAATGATCCGTGAAGCCATTGCCAACAACATCCTGACGAAGAGCAGCGTCGTAGCCTTGCATGATGCCATCGACGAACTGACTCGTGACAATGGCATATATGGCCATTTTGTCCCACCGCAAGCCGGACGAGGTGGCGTTCCCAGAAAACTGCGTGTATGGCGCACCCCAGTTGCACCCCAGAAGAAGGTCAAGGACATCTTCGACTTTGCGGCCAATGTCGGTAAAGTTTCTCCTCGCGTTCCGCTCTTTGACGTTCTTTGGCAATTTTGCTCCAGCACCGCTAGCCGATCTTAATGTCGAGCGCTGTGCAGTAACGACCTTGCGCGACTTCCTGCTACCAGCAGGTTGACGGCCAGTACCGCGTCGAGTCGAAACAGTGCTGCTTGATGAACCGCGCCTCATACGTGCGAGGAATGGCGCCTCTGAGCCGCGGTGACTTGTCGCTGGCGTGTAGGCTGGAGAGTCGGACGATCTTGAAGCTTCCGAGCTGTACGACATCGGTGAATTTGCGGCCAGCATGTCCGGGTAGTACTCGTAGCGAAGGTTCGCCACGGATGGTGGCACCAGTTCTGTGTGGCCGCGAGAACCCGTAAGAAATGACTCGGGGCGTTCGATCGAGTCAAGAACATGCTTGATAGGGGGCAGTGTTACGCTGACAGAAATCAGTGTGACATTGTCGTTGAGATCAACTGTTGGACTGAACGCACCCTCGCTCTTGTCCTGCACCGGTGCTCGTGCTTCGATCCATAGTACTGCGTTTGATAGTGCGTACAGCAATTGCAGATGCAGTAGACCAACGCTAGCCGTCCCGACGCAAGATGCACGCTACAAGCAACAAAGACGAAAGTAGATTGCCAACGAGCTCCTGAATAGCAAAAGCAGACTATAGCCACCACAAGACCCGACGAAGAACGGGGATGTATCGAGGGGAAGGCAGAAAGGAATCCAGCATACTTATATGCGCCGAATCCTTGTTCTTCAACCATATCAAAATTCAAACAGATACGCTCGAGCCACACAACCCACAGTGGAGACGTTGTAACGCCAGAAGCAGGAGAAGTCGAGCCGTATGCATGTCCGGTTACTAGACTGACGACGTTAGGCTAGGGTCAGCCTCGCACGAGAGCTCGCTTTCTGGCACATCGCCGGAGTAGGCAGCGGAGGGCTAATCGTGACGGGCCAGATCGAGGTAGGTGAGGAAGGGTCGTGCCCGAAAGGCCCCTTCGAAGAGCTCGGCGGGCTGTCAGGCCTGCGCAAGTGCGGTCATCCCTTGCAGACGCATGCAGAGTCTGCAGCAACGCTGCCTCCCAGCAAGCTTCTGATCTGCTCAGCTTCGACAGGGTGCAACACGGTGCTGAACATCAATTAGCGAAGGCTCGCACTGCTCGCGCTGCTGTGGGGCTTCTTCTGTCGTCTTAATGGCGTTGTTTTCGTGTTCCAGCCAACGTCTCAAGGTCGTTCATGAGACTGTCTAGCATTAACCCCATTCATGTAGCACGAGTCATACAGGAACATCTTCGCTGCTGAGAGCTCTGCGAGTGCGTTCCGATCTGCATAAACCTTTGATGGCAGCCTAAAGCCACAAGGTTGCTGTTTCGCTGCCACTAGCTTCTCACATCGTTTGCCGACAGATACCAGGGCATGAGACAGGTACACGGTATCCTCAGCGCCTATGGGACTTGCGCTGTGTTGCCGTAGCCGACCAAATGGCCTATAACGGCCGCACTCTCCACATGCAGTCGCCTACATCCCTGCTGAAGAGCCGCGCCGTGCGCACGCTAGCTTGTGCTACAGGTACTGAAGAATGAGTGGACAACTAGTAGCTTGATGTCCCGTGGGGTATCACCCTTGCCGTAAGGAGAGACACGCCAGCCTCCGCAGACACGCCAGCCTTCGCAGCCGGCGCGTGCTCTATGCTTCGGTCAACAAGACAGCAGAGATAGCTTTGGGCAAGCAGTGCTGTAGTACTATTGCGTCCCAAAGTCAGTGAAGTGAATGTAGACTGCAAGGCGCGTCAGCATGCGCAGCTTTCCGTAACCAAGCAACAACCGCGGCAGGAAGCTGCATTGCTGTCCCGCATACGCGATCGGTCACGGTACCATGTGCCATGCATAAGACCTCGGCGGTACACCTTAAGATGTTACAGGTCGCAAAGCTCGCGACTGTTGAGTGCTCAGTTCAGCTGAGACTGGGACTGGAGGCAAATGGTGCCAACGCCACCTTTTCCGCGGCCGCCGGCTGACACGACCCGGACAAGTATCTTAGACGCAAGGGCAGGTTATGTGTGGTACAAGCGCCATGGACGGTTTCCCCGGTTGATGAGTTGGACACAGATCTTCTTCGCCGGGAAGATACGAGGTGAAGTGCGTGCACCCCGCACGCGGCACCGCCCACGTTAAGTAACGGTCTCAGACTGCTCTAACTCATTCTCGAATTGAAGACGTTGGAGTGATCATGTGACGGGAGGCTACAATTAAGGTAGTCTATGCAATGCATTATGCTCCGTGGCCCGCTGTAACGACACCACCGCATTCAGAACGCCGCGTTGTGCATCGCAATTAAAAAGCATTTCATCCATCCCCGCAATCTCGCTCGCTCGCTATCGCTTTTCCAACCGATATGCCGTTTAGACTGCGCACACACCTCAAAGCATGCCGAAAATCGCAGCAACAACGCCCATGACGCCAGTAGCGCCGGAGATGTAGATAACGTTGGCCGGGCTCGAGTGCGTGGCGGACGACGAGCTGGAACCGCTGCTAGCGGTGGCAGAGCCGGACGCGGAGCTGCTGCCTGAGCCGGACCTTGATGCGCCGCTGTTGCAGGTGTAGGTTCCCTTGATGACGTTGTTCATGCCGGAAAGGCCCCTGAAGGTGCTGCAAGCAGCGCTGACGTCGCCAGTGGACGTGAGGTTGAAAGCACCACGTACGTCAGAGATCGCTGGAAGCGAGACACTAGTCATTGTCAGCCATCGTTACGATTTTTAAGTAGTGCAAGCTTCCACTCACTTGGTCAGAGCACCGTTGAGGTTGAGCGCACCACCGACGGTCTGGAGCGCACCGAAGTCGTTGATGGTCATCAACTGGGTGTTGTTAGCAACCGTGAAGCCACCACCGACAGTCTTCAGCTCCGGCATGTCGACGCTGTTCAGGTTTGGGTTTGCAACAATCGAGAGCGAGCCGCCAACGGATGTAAGGTTGGGCGCGGAAATGCTGGAGAAGTAGTCGGAGTAGAAGCCCAGTGAGCCGTTTACCGCAGAAAGCGAAGGAATGCTAACGGATGAGGCGTTGGCCAAAGTGATGTTGTACGCCCAGATAAGGTTGGGGAAAGTCACGCTGACATTGCGACCGTTGGCTTGGATCACGAGTGCCTGGGTAACGTTGCCAAGCTGCATGTTGATAGCGTTGAGGTAAGGGTTGTTCGTAATCTGCATCGAGTCGACAGTCTGGAGGTTGATGCCGGAAAGTGTGTTGAGCTGCGTGTTCACAATGGTCACAGAGCCGGCTTGTTGCAAGCCAGTGGTGAATGACAGGCCCTGAAGCTGCGGGAGCGCGACCCAGTCCACCGTGCCGACCTGCGCCAATCGCGGGAAGTTCAAGCTCGTCAGGATGGTGAGGCCGTTGAGGGAGAAAGAGTCACCAATGGTCGTCAAGCTGTCGCCGGACAGTTGTGACATCGAAGTCACGTTGTTCGCAACCAAGCTCCCCGTGATGTCCTGAATCCCATTAAGAGCAATCGAGTCGGTGGTGCCCGTGGCGATGGCAATGCTGCCGGTGTAGGTGCTGCACCTTGCAAGCGCGCTGGCATCGCCGGCGTTCTGGATGGTGGTGGTGGCGGAATTGCTGCATGATGAAGATTGAGCTGTCGCCAAGTGTCAGTCAGCTTCTGCTTTGCTTCTACCAAGACTTTGCTCTTACCGATCGCCCGGCCTGCAACAGCCAGAGCTGGCAGGATGTATCGTGCCGCCATGTGTGTGGTGGGTCCGCGGTGCGGATAACTGTTCGAAATGTCTGTCAGTTGTTTGTTTGTTTGTATGCCGAGACTGCTGTGTGAGAAAACGATGGCTGATGACGACGATAGTAGTGACCAGGATGTGATGGTTGGGGAGGCGATGCAGCTCACCTTGAGAGTTATAAAACTGCTACGCCGGCAAGGGGAAGCGCCGGAATATGTGAATGGATGTTTCGAGCTGCAGTCAACGGATGTTTTTGCAGTGGCAGAGCGATTGTCAAGAAGGTGGATGTTACGAGCGCGTGACACCAAGCGAAGGAAGGTGCTCGGCTTCGAACAAATGAACACTGTGGCTGATGGCACGGAAGACTGGAGGGTGCACTATGTGGCAGGATTGATAAAAGGGATGGGTTGAGGCAAGAACGAAGCTGGGCCGCGTCTGCTCCCACACGCTTGCCCCAATCCAGCCGCACACTTGGTCCGCGCTAGTTGCCCTTCCACCGCGTTATCCACTTGGAACGACTGCTCATTGGTTGTTGCCATGGCCTCCGCTGCTCTTTCTCTGCAGAATAACAGCTATCTGCCCGCAACACCAGTGGCAACTTGCATACATATTCACTATAAGCTTCGCCGAGACAGCCGTGATGGGATACGCGTAAGCTCTCACCGGCAGGACGGTGGCATGAGAAAACACTTGCCGCAATCCACCGCAATGACAAACTCCTGTAGTAGTAGCGTACAGTGTATAACACACGCCGTCACTATTGAGGCAGCACGGACGGCTTATCGGTTGTCCTCCGCGATGGACATTGATGTCTTTGTGCCGGCAAAATTGCGAGCTCAGTCCATGCAGCCACCCAATTTCGGAAGGTCACGGAGAATACTTTGCATAGATACCGTTGGTGAGCCTATCTCTGGCCATGCTGTTCCAGTCCGTGAGCGATGCGTCGATGACAATATTCTCCGTGATGAACATTGTCGCGTGCCCTTGTTGTGGGTGGCAAGCCCGTGGATGCAACGTCTTCCTTCGATGGAGCAGACTATCTTGTGGCCGCGGCATCTGACCTCTCGAACACTACCTTATTTGACTTCGTAGGACTGATATCCTAGACCCCCGCCGGTATATATTTTTATGGATCTGGAGCTACATTCAGTGTGCTAGAAACTTGCAGCTCATCCATGCACCTCTCCCCGCTAGGCCGACGGGTGTTGTGCATTCGACGATCCACATTTGCGTTGCCGCTAGCCGGAAATAGCAATTGTGCGGCAAAAGCTTGACGGACATTATTTGATCGTTATAATATTGCATCCGACAATCTGTTACATTTATACTGCGAACGACGATGGTCGCAACAATCAGGTCGTACGGGCGACTTCTGCACCTCGTCTTGAGTGAACATTAGCGGAAACCCTACAACTAAATGCAAAGTTGTTCTGGCTCTTTACGTCTCAGAGCTTCCATTGTCCAAACATCAACAACGATAGCGACATGAACCTTCGATTCGCGATCAGGCATCCTCGAGCTGGTTCGCAACATTGTAGTACCCACCAGCACCACGCTCTGTTGGCATCTGAACTGCGGCCACCTTGACCCTCTGCTTGTTCGGACCCGTCTCGCTCTGCCACAGAGTGCGGCAAAAAGGACAAGTGATGTTCCCAGCACGAACCTTCGCCCATCGATCGAAGCATTGCTGATGGATATTGTTGCCACAAGCAGCACGGCACCAGATCGTGGCGTCGTTGTCATCGAACTCCGTGAAGCAGATCGGGCAGTCACCCTCGATGTCCTTGCGATGGCCATCTTTGACGACATCCTTGCCGACTTCGGTGGGCATTGGTGGGGCGTTGGCAAAGATCTCACGTAGTTCGCAGGTGAGGAAGGCATCCTGGTACTCGAGATGCTCATGGACCTTGAGCACGTGATGGAGGACGTAGAGAATGTGCTTACAGCATTTCTCATTTCCACCCTTCTTGAAGAGGTTCACCGGACAAGTGCAGCTGGGCATGTGAGTGATCTCGACGGTGTAGATATTGCCGCGCGAGCCGGCAATCTTCAGCGTCTCGCAGGGGTAGTCATCATGGCCGGCGTGACAGTGGAGCTCGACATTGCGCTCACGCTCGACAACGACCATCTTCTGCGTCTTGGCGCGGTTGAGGAAGGTCAGATACTCGTCGCTTGGCTTTTCGACGTAGCTACGGAGACGCGTCTCCTCTCTGCCTGGCGACAATTCTTTTACTTTGGACTTGGTGCGCTGAATGCGGGTGGCAGCAGCATCCGCATGCCAGTCGTTGCCTTTCTTTGCGTATCTTGACAGTGTCGGGTAGACCTTCGAGTGTGGCTTGACCCTGACTTGCTCGGAGAGCGGTGGAGGGTCTGTGTTCTTCTGCTCAGCGTTAGCGACGAGCACATGGCGATAAGCCATCAGTCATCAGGCCACCATACCTTGCCACCTCTCTTCCTGGTAGCTTTCTTGTTGCTCGCGGCGTCCTCGGCATCGACATCAACGACGCTGTCGCCACCGTACTCGTCGTCTGCGAAGCCTGCAGCCTTCATCTTCTTACGCTTGGCACGGACTTGCTCGACCTCCGAATCAGCATCTTTGTCAAAATCTGCCGCTCTCTTGCCGCGCTTGTTCGACGGATACTTCACTGCCAACGCATCAGCCGCCTCAGCATAGCTTTTCACGTGCGTACGGACGCGAGTGGAGCGTCGAACAGTGTCCATTGCCTTGACTGGGTAGTCTTTCGTAAAGGGACGGCGACATTGAGATATTAAGAGTGGAGAGACAAGCGATGTGAAGAGCGCAGGCTAAACGTGTGCTGAGTGCGACTCGCACACGGTCAGCCTGCTACGCGTTGCGCGTTTGACAGTACAATTGGAAGGAGCTCATGGCGAAGTCTGAGGACCTGGGGAAGGCCCAACCTCTACTTGATGGCCATTCCGAAAACGTTAGTTAGCTCGCCACACGCTGCAGTACGGAACCTGTATGTAGCAGTTTAATTGCTTCAGTCGACGCCTCTGATGGCAGTGAGAGTGGCGCGTCGACGGTATATGTGTAGAGGGGACCTGTTGACGCTTTTTGGGGAACCCCGATTTGAGGAACCAGGTTCCGATACCGGGGCGCGCTACGCCAAAAATGGTGTGAGGAGACCCGACACTCGAGTAATCTACCCTAACCGCCTAAGTACGTAATACATTACTAATTAAGGCAGGTACAGAACAGAAGAGTCGAAAACCAGGACAAAGGGGTCGGGCAGAAGAGTCGAAAACCAGGACGAAGATATTATTACCGAGTAGAAGAGTCGAAAACTAGGACAAAGACAATATTATTATCGAGCAGGGCTGTCGAAAACTAGGACAGAGATATTATTATTAAGTAGAAGAGTCGAAAACTAGGACAGAGACATCTAAATCTAGGACAGAGCAAGTATATACTTATTTATAATAGCATACTACTTACTATAATGCTGCCACAGCTACGCTTATATTACAGGCAGGATTAAGCTCGTTAATAGCGTAGCCGATTATTAAGAACACTATTACTATTACTATAGCTACTAGAACTACTATCCCTTCTATAATATAAGAAATTATTATACTACTTCGGCTTTATATTATAGCGCTAGGTTTATCTCTTATCCCTAGTTAACTAGTCGTTACTATTATATAGAAGGCGCTCGCTAGTATAGAGAGTTTTACCTATTCTACCTTCCTTACTATTAGTAGCTAGGAGTAGTTTGTTTGTTTCTAAGGACAAAACAGATACTAGTTTTAGACTAGATATACTAATATATAGGACAGAGAAGTCGAATACTAGAAAGGATATAATAAGAACTAAGATAGAAGTGCCGATTCTATTAGATTTAGACTTGTAGCTAGACAATATATATAAGGATATAGTATAGGTAGGAAGTAGAGAGGGAGAGAGGTCGAGTAGCTTAGTAGCAAGGTATTTGCTATAAGAGGAGCGCTATCGGATATACTATTAGAAGCTAAGGGATAGTAGCTTCTAGCGAACTAAAGGCCCTAAAGAAGATCCTATATAGTATAGTAATATTATAGACTAGTATGCTACTTAGCGACTATTATATACTGTCGTACTTACGTAATATAGATTAGGTGATTCCTTCGTTATAAGTAGTTAGTACTCGTCGGTAGTCTAGAGGTCGATAGTAAAGTGTTACTTAGCTAAAGTATAATTAATATAAGAGATTAGAACAAGGTAATAAGTTAATTCTAATTAGTCGGTTTATAATATAAGTTAAACACGAACTCCTAACTATAAAATCTATTATAGCTATATATAAAGGAGATTTGTGTCTTGCACTATTTATCTACTACTATAGTAGTGTAGTCGAACAGGTCGCCTAGTTAGCCGACCGGTCGGTTAGTAGAATAGTTAGTTATATAACTAGGTAGTGTTACTAATTAGCTAAAACTAACCTGTCGTATTACGTTCGTAATAGCGACTACTTCGCCCTCTACTTATAACGACAATATTAATATAGTTCCTACTAGAAGTATATAAGATATTCGTAGAAATATAGGATAATACTTTATTCCCTATTCTAAAGCTACGCCTTACGAATAAGCAGCAAAAGCGAATACTATACTAGCTCTAGTTTCTAGATTATGTCTAACTCTATAGTAATAAGTATAACAGAAAGCTTAAGCTTAACTCTAAGCAATATAAGGCTGCCTATAACTAGCTCTATGTTCGTAATAGGAACGTTCTTCGGCGTTATCTAAGTCGCGACAAGGCCTACGATATTATAGTATATAAATATCTATAGGCTAACTATACTAGCTATAACTAGATATAGCGCTAGCTATAGAAGAGATATGTCGGCTAGTCTAACAAAGAGGAGGCGTTTATCTGCAAGAATTATCTAGTATATAACTAGAGTATAAAGAGTAATATATAGCCTCCTATCTAGCCGATTATCGTTAATAAGATATTCGAATATATATAGGTCAATCTAATCGATTATCGGTCTATACTCTCTAATAAGTATAACTAGATCTTATATATTAGAGACTACTTCTTCTACTTTAGTATACTATATATACTAGAGGATAAGAATATACTAGAGGTCGCAAGATATATAGACCTCTTTATCTAGGCTTTCTTTCCTCTACTTATCTATTAGAGTAATAACGGTAGTAAGTTTAAGGGCGCGTTACTTATACTACTAATATACTATAGTATTGCTATAAAGTATAGGCTTCCTCGCTTACTAAATATATAGGGATTAGTAGAGAGAGCTAATACTAAAGTATATCTTACTATATTAAGGTAGATTAAAGAAATAGGCTGCGCTTAATAGTATAGAGGTTTGACTAAGATTAATATTGCTATAAACCTCTACTAGTATTATACTACTAGTTATAATACCGGCAAGATTGTCTTCCGCTATACTATACTAAAGGCGGTCGGACAATACTAAGGTCGTATCCTAGTTAATAAACGACATCCTAATCTTCTTACTAATAAGAACGGCGTTCCGATAGTCCTTAACAAATAAGGTACGCTCGAGGCGTTCCCTAATAGCATACCTATCGAGCTAGCTCCTACTATAAACTAGCTATATAGCACAAATAGCCGGCAAGCCGCTCTTCTTAATTAAGAGCAGGTTATATACTATATACTTTAGTAGCCCGCTCGACTATAGGAACAGCAGCCGGCGCCTCCTCGTTAGCGTACTATATAACTCTATATACCGACTCGGGGCCGGAGCTTGTCGCCTAATAAATAGTATATGCCTTTAACCTACTATAGTCTCTATAGATACTCTACGGAAACTTTAGCGGAGGATATAGATACTAGAGTAGGGGACGTAGATTCTAGGATAGATAAACCGAAAAGTAGGACAGAGTATATAGGAATTAATTCTTAAACTAGCGCTATAGAGGCTTTACCTTTATTGTCGCCGTTAAGGCAGTTTCTACTCTTAGAAGATAGCGGTAACGACAAGGTCCTATAATAAGCGTAGTATAAAAATAAGGCTAATCGGGCCTATATTACTAGTACTTAATCGAAGCGTAAGACTAAGTATACTTTCTAAGTAGGCGAGATAGCTACTCTATACCTATAACTAGGTATATAAGGCAAAGGGAATAATACTCGAGCGTTTATAAGGATTCTAGAGGTTAAGCATATAGGCAAGAGGTAGCTATTCCGGCTATAGACTAAGTTTAGTATACTTATATATATAATACCTACTAAATACCTAATACCTATCGGCCGTACTCTTACTAATATAGAAATTCCTACGAATATAGCTAGAATTACTAAATAGAGTCTTGCTTAGAAGCTTATAGTCGCTACTTAGATATAGGTTCGTTATATCTATAAGACTCGTTATATGTTACGAACGTGACACGATAGGTTAGTTTTAGCTAATTAGTAACGCTACCTAGTTACGTAACTAACTATTCTACTAACCGACCGGTCGGCTAACTAGGCGACCTGTTCGACTACACTACTATAGTAGTAGACGAACAGTATAAGACATAAATCTCCTTTGTATATAGCTACAATAGATTTTATAGTTAGGAGTTCGTATTTAACTTATATTATAAACCGACTAATTAGAATTAACTTATTACCTTATTCCGATCTCTTATATTAATTATACTTTAGCTAAGTGACACTTTACTATCGACCTCTAGACTACCGACGAGTACTAACTACTTATAACAAAGGAATCACCTAATCTATATTATGTAAGTACGACGGTATATAACACTTTAAATACCCTTAAGGATGTCTGTCTCTAGAAGACCTAAGCGGGGAACCTCTACCTCTAGTAAAGTAGGAGGAACTAACTTAGCACGCTCTACTAACTATAATCGGTCTAACGACGACGCGAAGGTCGCTAAACCCGACTTATACTATAGAGATAGAGAGAAACTCGACGACTAGTTTAATTAGATATATATCTTTTTCGAGTTTAACTCTATTAATTCTACGAAGAGAAGTCTGTTTGCAATAGCTTTCCTTCGAGGACGTGCTTAGTATTACCTTAAACTATACCTTACGAAATATCTCGATAGAAACCCTAATAACGATACCGATATTGCCCGGATCTTTAGAACGTTTAGAGGACTTAAAACCGTCTTATAATAAGTCTTCGTAATCTCTAATAAAGTCGAGAATATAGTCTAAGTTATTTAAGGCATTAGATAGACTAAGTCTATATCTAACTATATAACCTAGTTTAAGGAATATTTGTAACTTACTAACTAGGACAATATAGCTCTATATACTATATATTACCGAGGCCTAAAAGACTAGGTTAAAGACGAACTAATAAGGTATAGGGGCACTACCGAAGAACTAGATTAGTTAGTTAAAGCTTCTATTATAATCGACGACAAACTCTATAAGAGAGTAATAGAGAAAGGCCGGAAGTTTAACTTATAGTATCTACTCTATAGACAAAAGAACTAGAGCGGGAATCGGCCGCGTTATACCGACCTATACGGCCCTAGATTAGCCCCTATATACTTAGATATAATAAAGAAAGGAAACTCTAAGGATAGCCGTAGTAAGAATAGTAGGAAACCTAACCCTAGAGGAAAGAAAGTAATTATATATTATATATATAGTAAGGAAGGCTATATAGTAAGGAATTATAGCGCTAAGAATAAGGTATAGCGCCTATAGTTTAATATAATACTAGGAAAGCCTAGGAAGCGTAAGACAGGATAGAAACTATTAGAAACGTTAGGCTAGAGCGAAAAGCTAACGACAATTAACGAAGTAGATAACTCCGAGCAGTTTCTATTAGGATAAGACACTATTGCTAGTTAGGCTAATAAGGTTAACTAGGATAACGAAGGCGTACCTAAGGATAAAGAAGAATAGAAGTTAGTATAGGTCGAAGAAGAAAAAGAAACGTTATATAGAAACCTTTACTAGATACTCTATTATAACGATAAGTATAAAGATTATTATAATAGTAAAATAGATATTAGATAGTTCCTATAGAAATCTAGGGAACGACGAACTATTAATATAATTAGTACTTAGAGACCTAAGATACTAGAAATCCTAGAATAACACTCTAAAGAAGAAATAATATAAGAAGATAGCAAATAAAGCGATACTAATAAAGAAGACGTTAGCGAACAATTATTAGACAACGAAGTATCGGACAATAAACGAAACGAGCTCTACTATTTCAGTTTAGAAGGAAAAGGCTAAGTAATAGAACTCTTTCTTATAATAGCTCGACGATATAAAGAAGTGTTTCTAAAGATTAATAGAAAACGATATCTCTATTTAGGACACTTCGATTAGATAATTAGCCGCTTCTATAATATGTTCTAGAATTATCGACTCTATAAAGTCGACTACGACTGTTATGTGCCGTCGTACTTACGTAATATAAGTTAGGTAGTTCCGTCGTCACAAGTAGAGTTAGTACTCGTCGGGTAGTCTAGTAGTCGATAGTAGAGTGTTACTTAGTTAAAGTATAACCGATATAAGAGATCGGAACAAGGTAATAAGTTAATTCTAATTAGTCGGTTTATAATATAAGTTAAATACGAACTCCTAACTACGAAATCTATCGTAATTATATATAAAGGAGATTCGTATCTTGTATCGACCGTCTACTATAGTAGTAGCTTAGTCGAACAGGTTACTTAGTTAGTCGACCGGTCGTTTAGTAGGATAGTTAGTTACGTAACTATATAGCGTTACTAATTAGCTAAGACTAACCCGCTATGTTATATTTGTAATACTATCCCTGTTTTACTCTCGAGTTCGTCCTCGAACTTGTAAGTATTATGCTATCTAGTTATAAGTAGCGAACTACTAACTCGTAAGGAGCGTAGAGAATATTAGGCATTATATATCGAAACCGAAGGTCGCGAAATGCCGTCGCCCTATACTACTTATTATAATATAAAGGTTCCGGAGGGGAGTGTCTATTCTTAGTACATAGTAGATATTCGTTTTAGTACCTATTTGTAGTGTATCCGGAAGGGGTACTCTTAGTATAATATAACGGTCACTTAGACAGAATAGGAGTATCTCCGTAGTTAGCGTCGAAAGCTAAAGCATTAGCTCGAAGAGGCGGAAGAGAAGGTTATAGAAGCGATAGCAAAGATCTATCGGTTATAGAAGCAGCTTCGCGTTACTAAGGACTAGGAGGATAAGGCGATTAGTAAGGAGTTCTCGGAGCTCTAGCATCTTCCTTCCTCTAGTGCGGCTACTCTAGTAATATCGTCGGACTTTCTATTAGAGCCCGAGGGTTCGTCGGAGGAGCTTAATAGTATCTTTTAACTCTCTATCCTATCCTAGGCGGAGTTTTCGATAGTTCCTAACATAGACTTTTAGAACTTTCCTTCCGACGTAGAACCGACTATTCCTAGCAATAGTAGAATTATTATAGAAGCGTCTAGTAGTTCTTAAGATTAGTAAGTAGTTTCTACGTATTGTCCGAGTCCGGGTAACCTTTCTATTTAACGAGGTAACTCTAACCTTCTCGTTTTAGGATCTTCTCGACTTCCTATTTAGTTTCTTCCTAGTCTTTATAGTAGAATATAGTTTAGTAGGGTATTTCGGAGTCTGCTAGTTCTAGAAGGGAGATATAGAATACTAAGTGTATCCTAGTATCTTTCGGAAGTTCGAGTTAGTAGTTTACTAGTAATCTTTTCTTAGAGATTATAAAAGGTCCGACCTTGACCTTATTAAGCTTCTTACTATTTCTTTTAGTCTTAAGGTTCTTCGTAAGGAGATAGACCTTATCCCCCTTCTTAAGCTAAGGACCTATAATCGATTTCGATCTTACTATAGTCTTTAAGGAAGACGCGCGAATATTCTTATAATAGAGCCGTTATAAGTCTTTTATATATTGTTTTGTAGCTTCTATATTCGGTCCTAGGATTAGTATTATATCTAATCTCGGTAGATATACGAAGTTCGCTTCGTAAGGCGACACTTTTATTATTTCCGATATGTAGCTATTTAGTACTATTTACGCTATTAGGAGTAGTGTTAACTAGTTATCTTGCGTATAGTTAATATAAGCTTATAGATAGGCTTCTAAGGTCTAGTTTGTATACTCTGTCTGTCCGTCCGTTTGTAGGCAGAAGGCCGTTAAGAGCTTATAGCTAATTCCGAGGTTAGAGACAAACGTTTACTAATAGTTAGAGCGAAACATTAGTCCTCTGTCCGAGATAATAACTTTTAGGTATCTATAGTAGTAGAACAGCCTATCCGTAACGAGGTAGGCTTGCTATTCGGCCGTGATTATAGTATTATATATAATAAAGTTTGTCCTAGCGAATTTACGTCCGAAAAAGGGTATATCCGCTTACGGAAATTTACTTTCCCCTTTCTAGGATTACTCTCTAATTTGCTCGACTTCCTCTACCGCTCTAGGCAATTCACTAGACCTTAAAGCGCACTTGGCCTTAATTGCCTGTCCCTAGCTAGATAGGTTACATACGTCTTACCGACCGGGTCCGGCTCCGTAGCTTAGTATAGCCTGTTACCTAGGTCACCTGCATAGGGGCCGCGCTTCTCGAAGGACCAATATCGTGATCACTTAATCTACGAAGCATTTACTAGACAAGCTGACCCTCGTCTAGGCTGAAGGAGGCCTACGAAGACCTTCCCCTACAATCTACGATAAGCTAATAGGTAACAGAGAGCAATTGCGGGCGTGGTAATTCTACTATCAGACTTCGTCAGACATTGCTGCTCGCGAGCTCCTTCCTAGGGTTAGCTGCCAATACGCCGCGGACCCGAAATACGCGTCCCCTGCGCATATCCTCTCCAGCGGACTGGTGTGATCGACGGGACGAGGTGCAGGCTGTAGTGCTGTAACGCTGCATGGCCGATTCTTTAGTGCTTGCTATGCCGCCTGACTAGCCAACAAGGACCCCCCCGGGCACAAGCCTCCTCGTGTCGTGCGGTCTTTAGCGTTCTAGCAACCGACAACAACGTTACAGCAGTCATACACTTCCCTTACAAAAGAAACTAGCCGCGTCAGTCTAGTCTCTGTCAGCGCTGTTCGATAAGCATCTCCGATTGAAGCAGCCCATCAGAAAGTCGCAGAGAGCCCTCAACCTCTACTCGTGCGCGACGACCTCTCAAACCGTCGATGTTCCACAACTCTTCAGTCCTTCTGACCGCGCGAATGAACAACATCCATTTCTACTATGGTCCTGCCGGCCCAGCCCCAGATCTCTCTAATAGTCGCTCTGCCTTTACCCGGCCTGTCAGACGTAATCAGCAGACATCGGCTTCTCCAAAGCAACAGGCGTCTGCCCGGCAAGTGACTAGGGGCAGCGGTGAGCACTCCGACCCCTAGATCTAAGACAGCGACCAGCGACTGACCTCCATTACCGTTACTAGATGCTCGTATTGCACAACCCTATATGAGGAACTCGACCTCTTTCGCGATACAGAGAAGCGCTCCGTGTACTATCTTTGATATGCTCGGTACGCAGTCCAGCCGCGTGGCGACCGAGGGAGCAAACTACAATACCCCGACAACGAACGCGAGCCTTACTCCTGCTATCTCTCAGCCGGTCTTCGGACAGGAGACCTGCGCATTGGAGCGTAGCGGGAATGCGGAACCGGTCCTTGGCGTAACACTACGCTCGCCCTTGCCGCCTCTGACGCCGGTCTCAGTTGATGCCAGCGTTGCTCCAGACTCTCGCTCGGCGAGTTGTACCGCTGCCGACAAGTGTTTGGCAAGACCTATGCACGGGACATCGGCTGGGGCATCGAAAGCTCCTCGGTCTCGCCGTCATGTTTTGGATCCCGACAGCCCGGACAGGTTTGGCATCTCCTTAGCTGACGACACAGGTGTCTGCGGCTACCCACCTAGCTGCATACGTACGGACCCTGACGACAGTGACAGCAACGAATTACCTCTGGTGCGAAGATCTTGGAGGAGGCGACGCCTCTTCCGCCAGCGACCAGCGGCTCCGGAGGGTGGCCTTGACTGCCACGTTCCGGGCCTTGCCAGCCCCGATAGATCTGGCAGCTCCCCAGCTGACCACAAGCGTGTCTGTGGATCTGTGCCCAGCTGTGTACCTGCGGAAGACAACGACGACGACGATGTAGACGAACCACCTCTGGTACCAAACTTCTGGAAGAGGCGGCGTCTCTTGCACTGCAGATCAGCCGCCCCAGAGGGCCGGACGTCGCACGCGAGCGATACCGGGAGTGCTCGCACGGGCCAAGCTTCGGACACACCTTCGATGCCGCCATCATCCATTCCGGGAACTTCTTCGGTCTTGGATCGCCACATAACGCCGAGTCAGGCTGAGGCGGACGACGAGTCAGTACACTGGAGTCCTCTGGGTGGCGGTGATGTCGGGACACTGCCTCCGCTCCTGCCAACAGCCCTTCCGGGCTTATACTCGAGCAGTCCGGTGCGCAGCGTGCTCAAGCCAAGCGCCAAGCTGGTGACGCGGAAGTGCAAAGCAACCAGCACCGATCATAGTGACTCATCGCCAACAGCAGGGGACAATCGTACGCAGCGTCAGGCAAGGGCCCCCTGTCGCGTACGATGTCCTGCTGTACGCGCAAGCTATCGCAAAGGGTCGGACCGTGTGCGCGGCGCTACAAAGAGTACAAATCGCTTTCGACGGGTCCGACGCCCCGTGGAGTCGGTCACCGTTACTCGGCGCGCGCAACCTGTTCATCGCATCGCAGAACCAAAGCTGACTACTGCAGAGACGAACTCTTGTATCGCAGGACCAACGGTTGACGGATCGCAGGCGGTCATCGCAGCCGAACTAGTTCGCGGCGCTGCTCGCCATCCGCCTCCTAGTACTGTCACGTCATCCTCACAGCTGACCCGCCCGCCACGCCACGGTCACTCTAATTATACCCTAGCGGAGAACAATCTGCTAGTGGAGCTGAAATCCCGGGGGCTGTCGTGGCACGAGATTCAAAAGTCCTTTCCTAAGAGGACTATAGCTGCGTTAACGGTACACTTCTGCAGTCGCCTTAAGAGACATATGTGTTAGGGTGTGCGGACCGACGTCACGCTAAGCTCGACTCCAGGTCTAGGGAGGACGAATCCGATTCGCTATACACTGCTGTAAATACTATGGTCCTTATATACTTCCAATGCTTCCTAAAGATTGGTGTGAAGCAATGCCCGGTCTTTACAGTAGAGCCTGTGCTATCTACGATTCGATCGCTTGGATTGAGATATAACGGCTTTGGCCCTAGTGCCGGTTTGCTTCGACGGCGGCTAACACATTGACAGAGAGCGCGCTCCACTCGTGCCTTGGATAAGGGGCCAGGTATGGAAAACTTGACCAGTAATTTTAAATACGCCTTTGCCAAACAAAGCTTAACTACTCCAATAGTCTTTCGGTGTATGTGAGGTCAGCTATTCCGTGACTTCTTTGCGAAACCACTCTTATGTGTTGGCGCGGTCTCCATAACTATTACTAATGCGACTAGAAGTGTTGCGCTGGGCGAGAGCTTCTCTGGTCAGCCTATCTACGTGTACCTGATCTGGACCCCCCATCGAGAACAGGACCGACAACTTTGCTCCGACCTGGCGCCGGGTGCATGTACTACGGCGCATACTTGTTCGCCCCCAACTCGAAGCTGTCACCCGGGACGTAGTAGCTGTCCACGATGCGTCCTCGTACACAAACATGCGCACACTCGTGCTCCGGTCCCACAGTGGGAGCATAATGTCGAGGACGATGTTGTCTTTCCTCACGTGCACGCATCTGGTCCTGGGCTCGACCTCGTTCTCGACCGACTCTTCGACCCTGTCCTGATCGCCTTAGGAACGACTTCCTTTCTAAGACTGAGTCCGTGCACGCGACGAAAACTTTGGTCAGGGTCACGATTAGCATCATGCCTACGAGCGTGTTCGAAGATATGATGAGGTCCGAGCCTGTCTGCGGGCGGTAGTCCTGCAACTCGCGCAGGTGCCTGCTCGCAGCTGTGATCGTGCACCCGTGCGTGCGTGAACATGCGCATGATCTTGGCCCTGTCCGGCATCATGAGCTTGAACAAGTTCGTGTACTTGGCCATGTCCGCCTCGCTAAACAAGATGCCGGTCGCAACCACGAAACCCTAGGGCTGAGCCAGTACATGACCTCGTCCCTGATCGGGTCCAGGAACATGAACTTGAACAAGTTCGTAGCGTTGGACCTGTGCCACAGCTCAGTACTGTTCGTGTGCCACATCGCGGTCGCACCTCAGACTGGATACGCACTTAATAGTGAGTCCACATTTTGGAGCACCTCTAGGCTGGTAGTTAGCTACATGTCTATAGCGTAGATCTTATACGCTAGCAGCCTTCGTAGGGAGGTGGGCTAATGGTGCATCTGCTTCATGGTAAAGAGCGGGCTCTTCATTTGTTCTTGAGTACCGATACCGAAGAGCCTCTGTTATGCCGCGCTGGAAGGTGTTTCCACTTCACGATACGCCTCCCCATGTTAGATACTATAGGTGGCCGGGTCTCTCAACTTACATCGCCTCTTCAACCTCTGCCAATGTGCTCCATCAACGTTGATTGCGCGATCTTGCCATGCAGGTGCTTCTTATCGATCAACATGCGGGTCCGTGCTTGCACAGATCGATGACGGCTAACATCCTTCTCGGTGAGACGGGACGCACCGTGTGGCGGGACATATATACAGCGCGCTGTAGCATCTAAGCTCGATCTGTAGTAGCGTCAATTCGCACAGCCACATTAGAATCCTTGGCAACGACACGTGACTTTCCCCGCCCCTTACAGCCTAGACGATAATGTTGATAATACCTTGAACCTCGTCACAGCCACTATACGCTATATACGACTGCGTGTCTGCAGAATGCCGACCACTATAAGACGACATGCGCATCACGACTCTTCCGAATCAGACCAATCTAACGTTAGAATTGAAATCGCTCAAGGTGCGCACGGCGTTCGCTCTGAAGACGACCGCGATTCCTCGGAGAGTGACGACCATGGCGACCACACGCCAGCAATAGTTCCGAACGTTCTTCGAGAGCTAAGTGTGTTGCAGCGGCAGATGATTCATAATTTCGGAGGCCTACATGGTGACTTGCGAAACACAAACCGACGCCTTGACGAGCAGCGAGCAGACACAAACCGACGCTTTGACGAGCAGCGAGCAGACACAAACCGACGCCTTGACGAGCAGCGAGCAGACACAAACAGACGTTTTGACGAGCATGGCAAGATCTTGGGTCAACTGGAAGCACAGCTCGTCCATATGAAGGCACAACAAATTAACCAAAGAGCGACTCACATTAACAATCCAGTTCAGCCAGTCGGACGCGATGACGGCACGCCCATTCCGACTGAATTGTCCCAGCAATACAACCACGTTCACAAATTTCTGCGTCTCAAACATCGGGATAAGTCGCAAGTATTGGCTGCGCTTCTTCGCTTCTACGGTTTAACTTCAACGTCATGGTCTACGTGGGGACTTATCTCGATGTCGTCCTGGGATAGGAGTGATACAGAAGAGCCGCTTATGACACACGATACTTTGGAGATAGCTATCAGCTGGGCGCCGGAGATCGCGCTACAAGAGCTTGCAAGGTACCTCGGACTGGACTATGACAAGATCACGATCAATGTGGAAGAGTACGAGAACTTGCAACAGAGACGTGCAACTCAGAACAAGCGGGCAATGGCAGACGAATTGGCATCTTCGAAACGAGAGAGACTCGTAACACCAGAGCGGCAAGGAGCACATATACCGCAAGCCGACAGGATGAAGAAACCAGCATCTATTAGGACTCAGTCAGAAGAGTTAGGGTGGGACGCCCGCGCTACAGAAGATCGGACACCAGTGTCACAACGGCCTCGTTTCAAGGACGGTTCTCGATATCGGCAGCCGAGTTTATCCCCAACTTCAGTGGCGACGTCTGATGCACAGCTTCCATCACGCACGAAACAATGATCGTTTGTACTGCTGAACAGTTTCTCTATCTTGCAAAATGTGTGCAATATTTACCGAATATTAGTACATACGTGCTTCTGGGGCTTTCCACCGTGACACGTCCATAACTCTGGTCCCCGGCCATGCCTCATAACTTGATACGGCAGTGGTGTCGTTCGCACCATCTTCCAGGCGTCGACAGTCGGTATGCACTACTAGTCTGGTTCGCTAGGTAAAGAGACGGTAAACTGCTAGAAGTAGGACCCGAAGCTGGCCAGCTAGGTATTATCGTTGTATTATTAGCTGTCAATGCATTGCCTGGATAGGAACTTGGCGATATAATAGCTGTGTATACAGCGCCCATGCTTATATTGCTCTGTTGCGCATAAAAGATACTACAGGCATCTGGTCGTCCGCGAATGCTTGTACTGTTCGGTGTTGCTGTCGAAGTGAAGTAGGCCGTGCTTGTTGATACCATCGATATGTATATAAGGCTTGTACTTGTTGGCCGAGAGGTACCTGGGTAGGTACCGATATCAGATGCTGGCTGGATGCTAGCACTCTGAGTGTGTTGCAGAGCGGTCGAGGCCAGGCTAATAGAAGATGAGCTCTGATGCCCGAATATACCCGACAGTGATAGCTGACAGGCATCGTTCGTACACTGTCCTCCAATCGAGCCGCCGTCGAAGTCGATTCCCGCGATAAGTTGGATGATGGCAAGGAAGGTTAACGCTACGGAGAAGGTACCCATGACTGTAGTTCTAGTCTTGGATTGTAGGCTGTTGCTTTGAAGAGCTTCGAACGATACCAGTCGCCTGCTTATAACTTCCTTCCCAGCCGTACGAGTAGCTAAGAATAGTATCTGCGTAGCAACGTTTGTGCTTCCATTATATTCTTGGAAGTCTATTTCTGGTCTGCTAGGCGACCTTTGCCTTTCTTCAGCTTCGTCTTTGCATCACCTTGATTAACTGCGGTAGGGGTTGTCATTACGAACGCGCCGACTGGTCCACTAGTCTCTGTAGGTCTCTGAACCGCCTGCAGGTATGGTAATCTGTTGTCTTGAACCGATGGTCCTGCCCTAGGGGCGAGTTCGCTGTCTGGCCCAGATGCGGCGTGAGCACGCTTCGCAATCATCAGTGAATCAGGGTTCGTCAAACGGCCTGGAGTAAGACCTACTATACTGCTATTGCCATAAATCGGAACATATGAGTTCGTCTGCTGCGGTAGACATAGCGGTGACTGCGTTTGCGGTGCGTTGCCTGCGAGCTGTTGGACGCGAGTCTTCAGCACATTGACATCTTCGGCAAGTCTCCCTTGCGCGCTCTGAAAGGATCTTTGGATATCGCCAAATGCCTTCTCTGCCTCTGCAGAACAAGGCATGCGTGCATGACTGAAGAAGGCGTTTGTGAATTGCGTCAGATGACTCCGTGTCTCCGCGAAAGCCTCGCGCTGGGTCGCGACCTGTTGACGCAGCAGGGTTATTATGTCGTCCTTCTGATCAAGGTGTCTACGACATTCTGCGTGCTGGTTCTGTTCAGCATGCAGCATCTGCTGCAGCTGAGCATAGGCAGCATGGAAGTTAGCAGCATCTGTTAGGAAACGCTGTCGCTCTGAGTCCCACTGTTCTCTGGCGTCGGCTGCGGATCTGAAGCCAGCACTTAGCTCGCTGAGACTCTGGACCTGATCTTGCAACTGTCTGTTCTGTGCAAGTATCATATTCTGTAGTTCAGTGTTTTGCGAAGCAATCCATTCGCTGTTGAAGAGCGCATCCTGCGGTGTAGTCAGGTGCCTGTGGACATGTACGTGTATAATGCCATTTACCTCGAAGGGAGAAGAACAAAATGGTGCTTGCACACTTTGCGGCGATTGTATTCTGTTTGGCGAAGGTACGCGACAATCTGTAGGCTCATTGTCTGTATTCGCTAGCTGCGGTAAGGCGGGATCGAAGGGTCGTTCGAGGATCTTTGACAGGTCGGTCATTTCGTTCGTACGTACTGCCTGCCGATTGACGGAGAGAAGAACCGCTCAGCATTGCGATATACACATTTATAGCCCGTGCGTAAGACAAATCTCCGACGGCTTTAGCTGATACGGGAACTAGTCAATCCCGAGCTGAGGGTTGGCATCTTGCCTATTGCTCTACCGCCACGGCCGGGTGTTCATGAGAAGATGTCACGTGAGAAAGAGGGTTCTTCGGAAACGGCTCGGTCGAGCGACAACCGAAGCGAGCTGACGACAGCGCTGACATGACACAGCGCTCCATAATAATATTGCTCACAACAGAGTCTAGCTTTGGGCCTTGGCAAGAAGTAAAACAAAAACGGCCATCGTTCGATCTTTCCATCGTTTCCATCGGCTCTCAGTGTCCTCTCCCATGGCTATAACGTTTTCCATGACGGGACTGTCCAAATGCATGGTCGACAGCTCTAGCGTGCCCAGAGTCCGTACCGTGAACTGGACGTCTCCGAGTACGTGCACCATTCCCGCCTTCGTCGCACATCTGTCGATAATCATTTCGCGGATTTGGTGGATGCCACCGCCGTGCCTCGTTCGTTGGTGGAGTGAAACGTGTTGGTTGAGACGTCAAATGCGCTGTCTCGTATGTACTCAACAAATGATGACGCCAATCTTCGATGGCGTGCACCATATGGCGTACCAATCCGAGTGCAGGCTCAACCTCGACCACAACCGGAGTTGCACGTCGGTCTCTACAAGTCGCATATATAAAGCCAGCTCTTGCATAAAGTAGTCGAAGGACGAGGTATGCGCGCTCATGACCCACGGGGCAGAAAACAACTGTTCCCCGGGGGGGTTGACGAAAATTCGAGAAACATGTCGGACAAACAGTAGCATGCTTCTCATAGGATTCCAGAGCGTCCTGCTCAATAAGCTGTGGGGGCCGAGCGAAGAGCGTGACTACGGCGGAATGGAAGTGGACCACTTTGCGACGGCGCGTAGACATGGGCGCCGCATTGCATCTGTTATGGGCTGCTTATAAGAAAGTGCTTCTGCCACTCTATTCATAGCAGACATCTCTGTTACAGATTTGTTTCACTACGGTGTGGGAGACTCTAACGCCGCGGCTGCATTGGTGTCACTTCCGAAGCATTCGTCGTTCACTTGACGTGCATTCACACGAATATTGATGCTACGATGGTCCAATGCAACTCCTGCACCTTTACCTTGAAGGATGATGCGTGCATCGTGTTCTATGCTGCTCGAGGCGTGTTTCCGGAGGGCATCAGCGAAGTGATTTATCAGCTGGCACGTAAACGTCTGCATCCGAGCTGTATACACTCTCGCAACGTGGCCCTTCTTAACACTTACGGCCTAAAGTCGCCAGGCAGCGGCTTGTGCGACCTTAGTCAAACAAACGAATGGATCGTTAATACTGTACCTCGAAGCGTCGTACTTCGTCTCCGCTTCGATGCGTCAGTGATAGCCAGTGTACAGCTCGTACGTCTTGATTTGACATACGCTCAGCGATAAAGCCACTGATAATCGAGTAGTTTCAGAGGCTGGAAAGCGTGAACCAAGACAATCTCAACATTCTGGAAGATATTAGAGAAGAAGCCGCCGAACTCTGAGAAGAGCAACATGACCATCATAGCACAGCTTCTGATCCATGTCTGTCCACTGCTGCACTATACGCAATCAACACTACAAACGGGCAGAGCGCAAGCGCCGTCTGGGCTTATCTGCTTGTTGGAGTGGAGGAATGGTCGTTCGAGCTCGTTTTCGACATTCCTGTAGCGGCAGTGTATCGTTGTGTCTTCGCTTCGAGGCTCCGTAAGTGTCGCTTTTGCGACAGGGGCACGAGTGCGGCAGTCTCTGAACGCTCTCCTGGGTGTAGAATGGCGTGTGCAGGTGCTGCGTCTCCGAAAACCACGCCATACTTTGTGGGAAGCCACTGACTGATCGCTTCCGTCCGTCTATGATAATAGAAATCGAGATTGTTTCGGTAGGGTGTCTTACGAAGAAGCACACCTTCTTGCGATACTTGCCGCACTGAGAGCAGACGTCCGTAAGTGCATTAATTGTGCCAAGCGACGTTGAGTCCTTGTTGAACTCAATAGGTCCCTGCCACATCTGAGACAGGCTAGTAAGGACTTCCGACGAGTTTCCCCGAATCCGGATCTCCCCATGACAGACGTAGAAGCCTGAATTGTCGTATCTCGGCGCGTGCCTGAGTTCAAAGAAGAAACAAGACGATAGCAAGGCGAACTTAATGTCCCCAATTGTTTCGTCATCCTTGGATGCCAAAACCTGCTTAGAGAGCCGAGCCATTGCTGCAACGTCGTCTAATCGAGGCTCCTTTGTATTGAAATGTAGGTTGAGCCTGAAGTATCGCTGCGCGGAATCGTCCTGAACAGAGTTGAGCAGGGCTCGCCATGTTGTTTCCCCATCGAGGCTTGTCATGAACGAACGGACAAGTCGCGGAACGAATTTATCGTGAAACGTCCGGGCTTTCCGCGTCACATCCGGGCTTGTTGGGCTCGCCCCTGCGCCAGTACCAAGTGATAGCACAACGTCCTTGGATACATCCCGGTCCCATATGCGGCTGCTCTCCCAGAGCGCAATATTGATCGGGTTGTTGTGACGCAGTCCACCGTCTTGAAAGGTGCCCACGCCTTCTATCGTGAATGGCGCGAAAAGTCTGCGTAATCATCAGCTATTACTGTGAGACCACAGCAGAGGAACCATCTACCCGGGTGCCGCAGAGGTTGCCCTTCCACTTGTGGAATCGTTAGCAAGCTCATAACACGTCTCAAGAATAACTCACGCTTCCCAAACTAATGGCTCTTGAGCTGTTCGCTCGGGGCGAATGCATTTATACCCTAGAGTGAAGCACTTAGCAAAATGTGACTGCCGGACTGGGGTTGGTAACCGAACCACGCGCCACGGGAACGCTGCACGCTCCATTATAACTTGTCATGATGCGGGTTGAAGCGTTAGTTGTGTTCGTTGTCGTAACCGCCAACTTCCATTGTGATATACCAGCTTCCGGGTAGTCAAATAGCCTGTTATGCACTCCAAAGCTTTTCCGCAGTGTTTCGTTGAGGGAATCCTCTCTGTAACAACTATCGCGCACGATACAGCGCAAATATGAATAAAAGCGTGCAAGCGGTGGAAAGGTTTCCGACATCGTGGTTGTGAAAAATTGGCTTGCTAGGCGGCGAAATCTTAGAAGCGAGTCGTGAACATCCCATCGGCGTGAGAAGAGTCCCAGGACGATAAGGCCGCCTACATGCTAACAGTCAGCCATGCTTGCCGTGTACTCACGAAAAACCTACCTGCACTGGTGCCTAGTCCTAGATCAAAGTACTCTTGTATGCGTGTATTCTCACCAATGGAGCCTTGGACCAACCTAAGGAATTCGAGAGGTACCACTCCGCGCACTCCGCCCCCGTCGATGCTTAGTATCCTGACTCCAGCCGTAGGCGGTTTCAGGCGGATGAGTAAGTCACCCGAATCGTTGCACGCGAGGCACGTTTTAATCTCGTAAGTGTATTCCTCCCGAGGGCTGCCCCAGCCGAATGTCATGGCACACCAGTCACATACTGCGTGCTTGCATTTCAATACGTGTTCGGGCCGCCTGAATACGCAGATCGAGCAGAATGCGTTGCTTTGTACTCTGGACCAGTGACACCGTACATCCGGATCCTGCAGGAGTTGGCGGTGCAAGGTAGCGCTGGTTACGCCTTGCCGCTCCATTACCTCCCATCTCTCTACGAACATGCGTCGTACGAATTGCGTTACTTGATCACGTAGCGTTCGATGGGCTACCGTCTTTGGCTCCAGCCCTGTTTTGAGATAGCAGTTATCCAGTGAAGACGAGACCGCGCTACGGAAACATACATCGAAGGTCTTCTGTGCAGAGAAGTCTAAGCACGGACATCAGTACAAATCGTGCCGGCGCAAGGCAAAGACCTACGATGAGCTGCAGGAGGGCAGGCCTGCATTAAAAGAGCTGAAGCCAGGACTGCTGCGAGTGACCGATGCGGCACACTTTCTAGCTGACTCTTATGTAACATTGCAGTCATACAGTCATCGAATGCCGGGAGTCGAGGAATCCCTTGTCGGCTTGCTCGAAAGAAGTCGAATGGAAGGGCGTCTCGGCGGGCCATTAAGCATAGACAGGCCGAAAAGAAAGCGGCCATATGACTCGCCGTAAACAGCACAGACTCATCGTCACGCTGCTTTTTTGCGGTGCGTAGCTTTGATCGGAGAAGCAGGTGTCGCAAAGGAACGTATCTGACACTGCGTAGCGGCTGCGAGGAGAGACGCTCTATGACAACAGATGCGAAGCACTTGTCAGTTCCGAGAGCTCGAAGGTCTTCCAAGAACGAGGCTTCGGACGTTTCTTGCTCCACCACTCCAGTATCATTGAGACTACGCCTGTGATCAAGCACAACAATGACGAGGTGAGGGGTGGGTCCGTTAATGGCCGTAGCAGTGTCCTGATGGACCCAGGACCTCAGAAGATCCAGTAACCCTCGCCAGCCACCGCAGTCCGCTTCGAACAAGCACAGCAGATCGGTAAAGGGCAGTATTGCCTTGCTCATCACATGTGTTCGAAGATCATCGTCATGGCGCATCTGCAGGCGATGGGTCTTCATTGGGTGACAGTGTAGATCGTCGTCCTGTCTTGCGACCTTAGCGGCAAGAGTGACGTCTATAAGCACAATTGGATTGGGCTCATAGGTCGTGAGCGCGTCCGCGTAGGCGTTGCAATAAGAGGACTTGCTGTCGCACGGCCTGAACTCGTTTGCAGGAAACAATTGTTGAACCGCAGATGCTTTCTCGACTCCGCCGACGCATGTCAAGCTCAATGGTCTCTGCTGGAGTGGCTCTGGGAGTGCTTCCAAGAGATACTGCAACCGATTCGGATCGATAATGCAGGTTGTACTAGCATTCAGGCTCTTTGGTGTTTGGATTAGAGCTTTGTGCTTGCACTGTCGCATTGCGTCGGATTTAGAGTATAAGGAAACAAAAGAGAGGTGTGAACCTCTCTGCTCAAGCGTTGCCATAGCATGCCTCAAATGTGTTCTGGGAAATAGCTGTACTATTATGGGAGTCCCTGCTATTATAAGTCTACAATGTCCGTGCGGGACATGCAATCCTTAGGAGTCCGCCTTTGAAGCATCTCTGAACAATCATGCCGCCAGTCCGCCAGACAGCCTCTGAATTTTTTCTTGGACATTTCACAGTCGCTCTTGAGGACGTTGAGTTCGAGACTGGAGTGCGAGATTATGACGTAGCTAACGTGGACCGCCTGCACTCGATTTTCCGAACCGAAGGCTGTCATCGAACAGATCCGCTGCATTTCGTTCCGGCCATCATTCCCAAGCACCAAATAGACACGGCACTGCGAGACAGACAATCCATCCAGCGATTACACTTACCTGCAGGGATTAAACTTCACTGCCTTCATGGAAAGCACAGAGTCCTCGCTGCAAAGAGATTCTTCCCAAAACAGGAGCAATGGTGGACCGCCACGTTATATGACGCGAGTGCGTAATACGATAGCCTTCAAGCGTTTATAAAATCCTTTAGTGACCTTTACTATAGGGCTGCCGCCTAATGCTCGGTTGTTGTTGATCGAGGAGTACAAGAATGAGCAGCGATTTGCCGACGGCGACGTTTACCGCTACTATCGGTACGCTCAGATAGCTAACGATCAGGCATCCGTAAAACGGTGGCTTGCAAGACTGTCAAGCACGAAAGTAAGAAACTTGCAACAGCTCGAAAAAGCAGATCATGGCAGGGTCCTTGAGCGGCTCGACAAGCTTCTTCCGTTTGTAGGACTGTGGCAGGGCTTCAAGCTCGGCGCCTTGTGCCGGCTTCTTCCACTCCGTACATGGCAGGTAATGTGGAATTCACTGCTCGCACCTTTGGACTTACTGATATCCCATAGGAAATGATACACTATCTTAACAGAATGCTGCAGCAGTGGACCAATATCGTGGGTGAACTAGATCCAAGTCTCGTGACTCCACAGACAGTAACATCCTTGGAGCTACGCGTACCAGCGCTATCGATCGGAGACCAGAGCTTCATACGACGGGTCCTCGGGTTCGCCGAGTTCGAAGACCCAGGGACACAACGGTACCAAGGAATCCTTTCCCAAGACGAGCGCGAAGGCTTGATGCGCCGACTCCAAACGTGTTCGCGAATATTGTCGTTTCGATCATTCTTCGAAGACACATACTTTCTCGAGATATGCCATAATGCTGTCCGCTGGCTTGTGCCACAGACAGGTAGCCGGACTTCCAGCTTCGAGACGTCACTTCGTGACTGCTACCATGGCCCGGAGAACGACTTTCGAGTATCATATATAGAAATATGGTTGTATTCCATGCGGCATTTTCCCGAACTGACTGGTCATGTGTCTGGTCGACCACGGAAGGAAAGGGGCGGCGCTGAACTGATGCGACGAGGGCCATCCGCGGAACGGCGTCAAGCTTTCGCGGCGTTTGCGCAGCAACACGGCTTTCAGCCAGCACACCCAACCACTGCGAACCCCATCCTGGCCGATGTTGAGACCGCTCCAGGCAGACCTGCTTACTCGACAGACGCGACGGATGTACCTGTGCGAGCGCGATGTAATAGGCCGTTTCAGCGCAGCTTTGAGGCGGACCGCCGTTATCTGTTCCCCACCTGTCTTTACAGCAAGCAAGACATGCAGTGCTTGCAATACGTTACATGTGCTGCAATTGCTGCTGACATCGTACGCTGCTTCTGGCCTTCCCCGTCTCCCGCAAACGATCCGGCACAAGATCAAGATCCGAAATTTTGCGATCGCTACGCGACACCCGTCCAGCTCATAGAAACCGCGGATGAGAGCCCCAACCCGGCATTGGAAAGTGAGTCTCATGCCGTACATTCCACAGCTGTACTGCTATCAGAAACGGGACCCAGGGCGTCGCCACAGATGACCCCTACCGAACGAATGTCATTTGAGCTTACTCCTCGACCACCTGAAGCGTTGCAGTTCATAAACGTGCCAAGCAACGTGTTGCACCGGAAGGAGAGGCATCTTGGCTCAACTACCACTGGGAAGCGTGCACTGAGGACAGACCTGAACGACTTCCGCAACTTTACAGGTTGTGGGTGGGCTCTTCTGATTACGACAAAGCCTTGGCGTGAGATACTTGAGCAAGGTAATGACCTCGGCGAACTATGCAAGCGCGTAGAACACATCATGAATCCTTCCCTTGCCTTACTATTTCTTGATGGTGAGCTTGAGCGCGAGGTCATTCCGAACCACCTCGAGATACTGAAGACGGTGAAAGCCCATTCAAACCAGCCGACTCGTTTCCACATCACAAAAAAGGCAAAGTACTGGAAGAGATCAGATACTAAGCTGGACATACAGCTTAGCCAGACCGGCGATGACGCCGAGATAGAGGTCCATCGAACCGCTATCCCGCAACAGTACCGGCTAACTGTAAGCAATCCGGAGACCGGCCTTGATACATTGGAGATACTTCTACCTACAATCCTTGACGGAGACCAGGAGACATCCGCATACTACACATTGGTAGAGAATAGTAGCAACCCTGAGACTATTGAAGTCGAGATTGGAGGCTTCGAAGCTACGAAGGACCATACAATCATACATCGTGAAGCTAATAGCTGTAGCTTCTACTTCATATGCTCTAGATCAGCATGGCACGAGTATTTGTTATGTATCCCTCCTATACTTACGTATAAGGGAGAAGTAGAAGAGCAGTTATAAGGGACCTGCTTATAGCAGGAATCAAGCTTGATACACCATCTAGTGCTATTCTTCAATTTCGGACTAGGTTGTTTTCCTCGTAATCGCGCTCGTGTGCGATCAAGAGACCCACAGTATCCTGCTCCGAAAGCGCTGTAAGTTCTGAGTTCCGCTCGCTATATGATGCGTATATAGCAGTATCAGAGTCTCTGCTCGGTGCCTATTCTATAGGTTAGCAAAACGCACAATATAGGGAAGCTATGAACGGCACACGGCCTTCTGCTCCGGACTAGTGTTTGTAGGGAATGCTGAAGCTTGACATTCTTTCTCCCCTTGGAAGGACGCCATAGTACGATACGGAGAAAGCACAACTTCACCTTTCATTATTTCAGACCCTTGAAGAGCTTGTTATATATAGTGGAACAATGAAACAGAGCTGTACGGGCTAAGAATAGATACACTCTATAAAACTCCGGTATAGGTATGCTTGCAACGCATGTATTCTCACGCGTGATGTGATGGCTATGCATCTTCAGCGAACCAAAACGTTATGGCCGAGACCGCAAGAGGAGGGTACGGGAGCTGCTCAAGTCTTAGTCCCTCCACCCGATACAACTCTATTCACCGGAGAGCTTGGAGCGACAGCCCAATCCTCCGGCAACCTCCCTACCGCCAATTTCGAGGAGAGAAACTCACAGCTTAATATACCACTACCGCATACAAAGCTGCGAGACTCCTCCGTGTTAGGCCCTAGCAGTCTCAAGCGTCGCGCTGCAGTGCTTCAAGTAGGCGTACCGACTGCGCGTACGCTAAGCCATAACGTGGTCATTGTGAAAAAGCGCGTCTGGGACCTCTATCAACCTATCGACTATCCGGTGAATCAGGGGCACAAGGTGCACACGAGCATGTTCCTCTGCCGTAGAAAGAATTCAAGCAGCGACACCGATAAATTGTATGTGATACAGGAGCAGAAATCATTCGAAACTGGAAGACTACTTCACTTTTCTAAGCCCAAATCACAATATCTCGTCGAGCTTTACGGAGCATTCACGATGCACGGTACTCTATGGACAATTTATGAAGAGATGGACCTCTCTTTGGAACAAGTCTTAGGTTTGCGGTGCGGTCCGTGGACGATTCATCCAGAACGTAAGCACAACCAAATAGGATCTATCGCTTACCAGGCAAGCGATTCCCCAGCGCTCTCGTAGTAGCTCGTCCTCAGCCCTAACGTTGTACTAGGTCCTTCAAGGGTTGGACTACATCCAAACACACCTTAGAACAAGTTATGGCGAGGTACGTGCACATAACGTTCTACTAAGCCGCGCTGGTCAGGTAAAGTTAGGTAGGATCGTTCTAGAAGCCTTGAGATATCATAAATGGCTAATGCTGCTTAGCTTGTGTACACGAATGCATTTTGGCAAAGGAATGCTCGCCCGAGGGGAGCGATATTCGATCGTTCGCCGTAGTCCTTGCCGCGCTTTTCTTCCCATCAGGGCCCAGTGGCACAATCTCTCAGCAGAGCGTTGGCGACAATGCCTTCAGCTTCTATAATACGGTACAAGAGGGCAGGCTAGTGGACGCAATCGGAGTACGCCTCTTCACTCACCTTCACAACTTGGCTAACATCTTTTCAGCATCCTTACATACAGAACACCCAGCCCGGCTTGCTTGCAGAGCTTGCAGTATATACCGTGAAAACGATTTATAACGCAACACTGCCAGTAGAGTATGGCCCAGACGGCAACCCTAGATCGCTTGCAAGCGTGCTATCGACATAATAGTTCTTCAATTGATATATCAGTGTCTTAAACCTTATCCCAACTTACCTTGCTCTGATCTAGCCTATAGTCGAAATCGGCGTTATGGGGCTGATAGCTGAGAGCAAAGAGGCGGAATATCCTGGATTTGCCCCCCAAAATCTTGTCGCGTATCTCAAAGCGCAGGCGTGCGTGGACGGAAACTGTCATGGCAATCAGATGTCGCACTTCCAATCATTGATTCGCCTATGACTTACAAGCCACAGCTGTCGTACGCCCATGATTCACTTGCTCTTGCAAGTACTCATCGATATTGGGCTGGGTGTTCTTGTGCACTATCAAGCGGGCACCACATTTTTCGATAGATTTTCCGGCTTTGTCGAGCTGGTGAATAGCAATACGCAACAGCTGCGCGGTCTGTCAGCGGTCTTCCAAATTCAGAACGGGCAGACTTGCGTCTCGCTCGATATAGCTATCGTGCAGAAGGGTTTCCATCCATTCAGGGACTTTCTCGGTAAGAACATCCGTCACCCACACGATTGTAAGTCGACGGATCTTCGCGCGGCCAGCTTGGATCAGACGGGTTAGTCCTTTGAGGTACGGCTGCACGGCGAAAATTCCCGCGCCTGTTGCGAAGAATAGGACTGCTCCATATTCTTCAAAGCGAATGTTGTGTCCGTAAGGCCCGTCAAGCCAAGCATATGCACTATTCAGTTCTGTTGATGCAGCTGTAACTTCCCTTGTCCAGCCGTGCTGTTGTCCGATAGCGACATACATCCTTTCTGTAGAGCTCTTGTGCATGCTATCTTGCCACCAAGTGATGACAAAAGGGTGACGCTGCACTGCCCAGCGTACACATTGAAGCATGCGGACCACGCAGAGCTCTAGTTGCTTGGACGGTATTTGCCGCGCATCTTCTGTCCGGCAGGTAGAGCGCCTTTTGACCAACGTTATATAGACGTATTGGCCGGGTTTAAAGTGCAGGTCCCTCGGAAGCTGGAGCTCTAGGATTGTTGCGAGCTTACCGTCGATCACATCGCTCACGGAGGTGATTCGAGAAGTCCTGAAATGGATATTGCTGCGGACTGTATAGCAGGTCCGCCATAGCCCACTTGCAATGCACATAGCGTAGGCGACCAGCAGTGACCTCTTCAATATCACTTCGTTGCCGATGTGAATCCACGTCGTGACGGCAAGGGCAATGGAAAACAAGACGTGGGTGCGGAGGAAGATCTCGTAGACGCGAGATTTCACGACCGGAAGAAACGCAAGCAGCAGAAGTGCGATTAGTAACTGGCGTGAATCAGTAATGGAACAGCGCTGTTGTCAAGCTCACGAACCGTGAGTGCCATGGCTTTGGAGCTCCTGGCTGTCAATGCTACCTTGGGCGAAAAAATAGCGTGGAGTACACCTTGCAGCGCTGCCATCACACCGAAAACCGTATGACCATAGAGTAGCGTGTGCAATGACATTCCGAGGATGTCGGCCAGGAGACTTAGTGGTTGAGAAGCTAGTAAGGGCAGCATATGTAACACTGCAATCTGGCCAGCACGCCTGCTAAATTCTGTCCTTGAGTGGATGTCGTACGCGTTGAAGAAACCGGTAATCGACCAATGCAATAAGAGTAGCAGGATTTCGGCGCGGGATGGGTTAACCAAATGCATGTCGCCTGGTAATATACGCGGGTAGACAACATGGTAGAGCAGCCAAATGTAAGCCTTGCGGCTGCAGTGGCGACCGACTCGGAGCGCTAGGCGGAGAGTGGACGCGAGAAGCAGCGGTCCGAGCAGTATGATTGCGATGATGAGTATAAGATCCATTCTTCGAGCAACGCGAAGATCTTGGCACGTCCAATGGGCAGGTGTAAGAAGGGCACAGATGCTGTATAAATGCGCGCTCTAGACCTAGTGTTTCGCTTGAGTTTCAGCTTGCCGCACAGCATCAGCCAACCCAAAATAGAACCAGGTTAAGGTTGTTCGGTGCGTGGCCGATGCAGCGAAGGCTGCATACCCTTCCATAGCTGCGGTATTAACTGACAACCGCAGATTTGTATACGCAGGTTTCGCGTCTTGCAGTACTGTTCTTGCTCATCGGCAACAGTATATGCGTCTGCTGCATCCAATGTCAAAGCATGTGGTGTCGCAATTCTCACCCTCGCCAGCCAAATCACTGGAGGACAAGAGGCTGCCGGCCAGCGAGTTACAGTTGAAACTGGATAACGCTCTGACGCCGAAAATGAGTCCACCACAATTACCAGATTGTGTCATTCGGTTACGAGATGGAGCTATGTTAGCTACGTCCGCGAAAATGCTGGGCCACCGTATAAGGGACGAGAACATGGTCAGCCACACTCAAAGCCTTCCCATCTATGAAGTGGACGAGAACATGTACACAATCCGTCTCCTACAGGATATGTGGACGGGTAACTTACGTGCAGATTCCACAACAATACCCAATCCGCAAACCCTGGTTGCGCTCACAGGGTTGTGCGAGGCAAGCGGAAACCTATCAGCCTTTAAGCCCGTAATCTCTACTTGGATACAACGGCTTGTCGCAGACTTTCCCCAGCACTGCAACGCTGACACTCTTAATGTCGCTTTCAGGACATGCGAGAAGAGTACGATCGTTAGGGTGTACGAGAGCATTATGTTTGCTGGTCTCACGGATGTGGAAGTCTACCGCGCTGACGGGCTCACTAAGTGGTTTCCGGTTCATTGTATGCAGACGACACCGAGAAGTAAGTGGTAACTGACCAAGACACAGTACGCCTTAATTGTACGCGAAACACCGTCCGTAACCGTCTTCGAAGTCTTCTTCACCTACCACTCGTCCAACATCCCGCAATGGTGCAGGTCCGTAGCAACGGACTAGACGCGCACCACTGCGTTATCAAGGACATGCATCTTGCGGCCTACCTTCGCGCGCTACGCTTTGTCGGGCTTCTCCCGTTGACTGAACCAGACAGCCAATGGGACATCGGAGGGTTAAACGAGCGCTTCCGTAGCACGAAGCCCCATCTAGGACGCGCTAGCGTGTGTCAAGAATGCCAGTATCAGGGATGGAATTGGAGCACTAAGCTCGATGCGATCGAAAAGTCAATGGACACCATCTTGCATGACCTTGGGTTCGAGCTCGCGGCAGCTGTGAATGTGTGGCTTAAGGGGCAGCACGGTGGACAAGGCGAAATCAACTGAAGAATGATTTGCATCATACACAAGAACTCGCTATACCGTACAAAGCTTGTCACACAGTTCCCGACGATGGCTGCCCACAAATAGTTTCCAACAACCGATCAAGATGAGGAACAAGCTCATCAATGAGCTCTTGTCTCGCCGCGTCACGGTGTTCTGCCCGGCTGCAGTTGACGTAGGTGAAAGAAAGACGTATATTGTGGCACAGCTGCAGGGATCGCTGACATCGCCCAAGCATCAGCTCCGTATCGCCACGTATAGGGTCCACTCGCTGCAGCTCAGATTGCAGCCAGTGCAGCTCTCGGATGAGCTCGAACAGCGCGGTCTCGACCCTAGCTGCATCGCGGACGATTGACCCAGTGGGGGCCCCTTCATTCGCTCTCAACGGAGATGACGCGATGCTAGTATTGGTAGAGTCGTGCTCGTCGAGTGAGGACGCCGTGTTGTTTGGTGGTACCTCGAAGACGGTCGTGTGGGGAAATGGTGTAGGAGGATGCGGATCGATGGTGAGCGAGAGCTTGGGCTTTTTGGCAAGGTCGTCCAGTCTAGACAAGCTCATGGAACCTGCAGCACGCTCTCAGTATGGTGCGACGCACATACGACGCACTCTCTCACGCTTGTTGACTGAGGCAGCAGGCATGAACCCCGCCTGCGACTGGCGAACGAGATGTGAAGGTGCTTCGACATCGTCCGCGAAATGCACGCGGATGGCAAAGGGGCTGGAGGCCATGTTAGTCTGACCCTGCAATTCGGTAACAGGCGCAGGAGAAAGGACTGGAATTGGCAGAGACGGCTCCTGGAACGGGCTCAAAGTAGTATTCATGTTGCTTGAGTGCTCTGTAAGAGTTATCACGCAGAAGGTGAAGACGACAACGTGGAGGTATTATAAGCTGCAACTTTTACCCCCACCTGGCTTCCATCGTGCGACCGTGCGCACTGCAGGTACAATATCACGCTATCGGCTAAAAAGTTCGCGTGGTCATGTTTCACATAGCGGTTGAATTAAAGCTTTAAGCTTTCTACCCTGATCGCGGATCACGGGCGCAAACCCAATCGGACAGCGCGCGGGAAGCTGCATGCATGAACAAATGGTCACGTGATTTTGTGACATGCAGTCGCGACGCCTTCCGCCAAGTTCATCGTTGTCCACTTGACAGCATCGCCAACTGTACACTCCAGTGCTGGAGGGTAGCTTTTCAGCTGCGCCAGTATTAGCGCCCTTGCCTAATCGAGATGGCAATGGTACTAACGATTTCTTCCCAGTTCGGTGGCCATCTTTTGCTTTTCTCCGACGAATAGCACCAATGTCGGCCATTGCTCTCCTCGACAACCACCAAGATGCGAGCATGGCAGTGCTTTCCGAGGTCGTGTGCTTTCCTCATCAAAGTTTGCTTACGCTTACGAAACATGTCTTTCACGAGCGTTGTTTTTGGACGCGCCATGTTGCAATTGCGGCATGGAAGTTGGTATGTCCAAGTCCTACATGCGGCGCAGCTCCGCTTAAAGTAGATCACTCCCGAGACACTGGTGAAACACACATAGCGGGTCCGCTCCCATCAGCATGTTGATCTTCCCATTTCGATATCGAGCCTCTGCCTTTCTGCGGCACGGTCAAGGCCATCGACATAGATTAAGAACGTCGATGGCGCAGGCAAAAAACCGTCACGACCTTGGAGAACAGAACCTGGATAGGAGGCTCCGTACAATTCGACGTACACCTCCTTCCACCCCATCTATGGAGCACATACAGGGTAACGGCTCGATAGCTGATCAAAGCTCAGCTATGGAAGGTAGCTCAACATGGGCGCATAACGCATCCAATTATTCACTTGCGGACGTCGAACATCCAGTGACCTTCTCTCACGCCGGGGCAGACACCGAGAATGTTCAACCAGATTACAGCGCTACATGTGCCAGCGCTATAGCTTTGCAGGCCGCGACAGGCTACCACCAGGCAGCGCAGTATGTGCAGCGGTAGCGGAGACAGGCGTGAGACTGAAATGTTAGCAGCAATGCCTATCCTACGGCAACCTACCCGGTACTAGGCCCATCGCTACCCAGAGTGCCCCAGACTACCGATATCGATCGCTTCCTACTGCAGCATTTCGCGAACGGTGACGCTTTGCACACTGTGCACGAGTTCCTCAACAGTAGGTACGGGCAGCAAATGACTGACGACGACATCTACACAATGTACCGGGGCGCCTTTGGAAAAAGCAAAGTTTGGAGCCCGCGCGATGACGCGGCGATGGAAGAGGTCGTCAAACATGAAATGACGGGCTTTTGGCAGCGCGTTATGAGAGGCGTAAGGTGCTCCTGCTCCCCGTGATTTTACGCTCCACTGACTTTTCCAGATGATGGATCATGGGTGCGTGGAATGGCCTCCCAACGAGCTCAAAATGAGATACTCGCAGCAGCGTTCGAAGCGCCCAGTCCCTTGCTAGGTTTGGCAAGGTTCTGGTTAGTGTTTTCTTGGCTTCCTGTACTATAGCCTACCTAAGTGATGGAATGATGCTACATCTTGGTCTGTTTCATTGCAAACTACACCATTGTACAGACTAGTCTACATTGTCGCTCTCCAGTAGTGGACCCCATATAACATTCCCACCGATCAGCATGACGAGACTGCTCGACACCGTCGGCAAAATCAAAATCGCGCCATCTGGGATGACTGTTGCAAGCAATTGAGAGTCGCTCGACATAAACAGGCAGATATGCCGGCCACGGGCGCTGTGCCACCAGGCATTCCCTTCGTGATGTATTAGTACACACTGCTTGCTCTCGTTTGCATAACTGGCACGAGATCTCGTTTTGGGAAGCGTCTCTGAGGACTGCAAGACTGTTGGTTGGGTTACTAAAGTCATCCAGGAGGAGGATGCCATCTGGTTGTGCATCAGAACGTCTCCATTCTCACCCACGGAGGCCCACTGCAAGGGTTGGGACCAGTCGACGAGACGGTGACTTTCTTGGTTCTGCTGCCGTGCTCTGGACAGCTCTATGTGTAGCTCATGTAAATTATTCAATGACAGGTAATTGGGCGGCCGTCCGCGTGCTACGTCGCACGGTCCACTGCACAGAAGGCACGAAGCATTGTCAAAAGGTTGAGGTGCCCACAATTCGTCGAGCAGAGATGCGCCAGATATCGGCGGTAGGTCGAATTGCGGCGAGGCGAACTGCGGCGAAGCGAACTGCGGCGAAGTGAATGGCGGCGGGGCGAATTGCGGCGAAGCGAATGGCGGCGGGACGAATGACGGCGACTCCCTTGACAGACAACCGAGCAATGGGCTGCAGCGAATGGCTGTAAGGTCTTGACTGCCTTCACCTTCTACACGCGAGCTACCGGATCCGAAGAAAGGTGTGCCTGGCGTGTCCACAGCGAGGTTGTTATTATCATCGCTCGCGCGCAGCGACGGCTCAGGGGTTGAGGTGTCCGAATTCTTCGGTCCATCGGACGTCAAATGAGCCGATGATACTGTCGAAGGCGACAGTCGCCCAGATACTTCGGTCCCGTTGTCGGAGGCTGGAGAAGTCTCTTCGCGCTCCTCGTTCGGTGCAGCATTGTAGAAAGTTGCAGAAGCTGATGGGCTAGACGTCTCTAAAGCTGCTTCAATCTGCTCAGCCTCAATCTCTGTGTGCTGGGCCACAAATAAATCGGAAGAGGCATCGCTCGTTTGCGTGTCGTTTCCGGACGGCGTGCTGTCGCCCGCCGTGCCGTTTATACGTGATGGTGGGTCGGTTTGACGGCGTGAGTCTTGTTCCAAGCCACGTTCTTCAACCTGCCGCATTCCTACGCCATGCATGCCATCGTGTTGCAGAAGGCTTAGATGGTCGCCTTGATCTTGGCTAGATGAAGGGGGGAGTGTCCGTTGCCCGAGTGGGCTTTCTATGCCTAGTGATGCGCGGGTAGATAGTGCGTACTGGCTGCTGAGCTGGTGCTGCGTTTCGTCTTCCGTGTTGGAGGAGTAGGCTGATGCCCTGCCAAAATCGACCGAGGCGCTGTTATCCGACACGGACGAATAGGCTGTTTGCTTGCTCGTTCTTCTCCGTGGAAGCTCTTCAACTGCTCTCCGTTTCTTGGGATGTTTTTCTGGGTCGGAGACAAGAAGGCCATCGTTATTGAAACGCAGGCCTTCACCTGCGTGCTTGCAGGTCTTGTTGCCTTTCTCGGGGAACAATATGTCCCGCGCTTCGTCCGTGAGGTCGATGAAGTTCTGTATCATCTCTTGCATGGTCGCTGGTATGTCGCCGATTCCGTCATCCGGCACTGCACGCCCCTGGACCTCGATCTGGCCGTCGCGAATCCATCTCGCAACCATTTGGATATCACGCGGCTCAACAGGGTTGAGGTGCGTCTGGACTTTGCTCCGCTTGTCGTGCTTGCCAATTGGTTGTGTGCGGTTGCGGAAGTTTCTGAAATGGTCAATGTGCCGATCAAGCATCGCGCAATTCAGGCGTTGCACAGCAAGAGTGAAGTCTGGAAAGCGCCGCGCAATGCTAGCCATGTCTCGATACGTTTTGTCGCCAAGCTTGTCAATATCATACCGTTCCACAATCTCCTTTGACCAATGCAAAGTCACTAGCGCAAGAGTCTCGTAACGGTCTCTCTGCTTCTCGTTCTCGCCCGGCCGTGCAGTCTTTGACACTCTCGCAGTTTCGACAACTATGGCCCATTGAGCGGTATCCGGGACGATGATACCGCGCTGCTCGACAAACTCCACAAGAATTCTGCATGCAGCAGAATTTTGTGACCAGTCAGCAACGACTGCCGCGAGCGCAGCAGCAAATCCAGCTCCAGTATCCAAGTTGGTGCGCACACGCTCGAGCAATTCGACAATGCGCGTAAGCGCGTTCCCGCTTTCGGGAGGGGAAGTTTCCGGCATTGCCGAGGCCACTCGTACTGTAACCCACCCATCAGACATGTCGCACAAGGCTACCTACTTATCACACTCTGCGCTTGGCGCGGCAGCTGGACGGACGCGCCACCAACACCAATGAGTGTCCTAAGAAGTACCGCTAGAGAGCGCGCGCTTCGCCATAGGTTCATAAGGTCTGTTCAGAGCCCGCGGGTACCTTGCATACAACGTGCCGGCGTCACTGAAAGCTGTGCCACGTAAATGCTTGTTTTCGCTCCACCCGTTTGCCGCAACCTTAGCGACTGTGGCGTAGTATGTTGGTACATCACGGCAATGCTCTGTGATGTGTGCACGCAGAGAGCTGCTAATGATATGCTATTCTTGATGGTACGCTACCGTTTGTCGTGATTGTACCATCACCGCTGCTTTAATGTGTCTAACATCTCTGCAAGATCACTGCCCGTTCCGCGCCCGTCCTTGTCCGCTCAAGAATTTCTCTTGTATAGACACCGGTGCCACCTCCCATACGCAGCATACCATAAGCTTCTGGGTGACAGGATCAAATTGTAGAGACCAAGGGGCGTCCAGATAGTCGAGCGAGTTGGCGCTGAGCGGCGGACGTGCTTCCGGCCAAACCATCAGTGGGGTAGTAGTATGGATTGCCACTAAGTCGTGGCCGGAGTAGCTAGTGCGGGTGAGTATGCGACGCCAGCACATCTAGAGACTCCGACTTACTTCTCAAGACTGGGTGGCATATTGTTCGCAGGTTGAGGACCTTTAGCTTGCTGTCGCACACTGTGGCTACGGAAGTCAACTGCACAGCTAGAGGAAGAGGAATTACCCACACCGGAAGTATAAGTTGTGTAATATACTTGTACGCCGACCAAGGCAAGAGTATTTCCCCACTTCGTTGTAGCACAAGCAGCTAACTGTAATAAGCAACTGTCACAGCGCCTATATTACGGAAAGTCCTATTTTACGTGTTGCGGTTCGTCGCCACTTAGTTAGAACGTGATTGGAAACGCATTTTGCGGTGCCTAGTTGCGCCTGTTTGCAAAGGACTAGTAACGTTGAATGAGTGACTAAGGCTAGCTAAACAAAATCGTCTATAGATGAGCTAGTGAAGTTAATTGATAGGAGGATACGCATTCCGAGCTGTTCGTAGCAGCTAAGTCGCAGCCGATGACACCCCGCATGTGGTAGTGGTAGAAGTCGCAGATCGATTGCTCGTTGGCACAGAACCTATAAGGGAAGCTGATACGATCGTCCCGGAGGACGTAAAGCTCGGCTGAGTCGCTGTAGAGGTTAGGGGGCTTGCCGGTGAACTTGGAATGCTCGATCGAGGTGGAATCTCTTTTGCGCAATTAATCATAATGATTGGTTCAAAGTTCGTGCCTGGTGCTGATCCCTCAGCGATTATACGACCGTAGACTAACGGCTCGTAGGTTAAAGAGCACAGAGCGAAACTCCAGGAATCGCTGTATTCGAATGCATTAAAAGCGAAAGCATTCAGGTAGTGTGTAAGGTCAACTGTCTGAGCTCTACTCAAACTGCCGACGACATTGTACGCCTCAACTTTAAGGCCGTCAACAGCCGCAAAGTTGAAATATTGACCATCCGTGTCCAACGGAGTCGATCTGCGGATCCTAGCTTCGGCGCCAACACGAACGGATGCGTGTGTACGATTCGAAGTGATTGTGACTCCATCTCGTGCCTCGTAAGCGAATTCCGAATCAGGCTCATCGTCCCTTTTCTTGGCACCTGCTATCTCCTGTACTCCGTTGACTCCTGACTGTGCAAGAGCAGTGTAATTGCCGGGGGAGCCTGTAATCGCCAGGAACATCCAGTTGAGGAGATTGTAGATGCATTCTTGACCGGAAGCTAGAACAACCCCAGGAGTTGTCGGATCAAACATTTGGCAATTGTTAAGCGCGCGGCTTTCGTCGTTTCCTGGAGCAGCTGCTATAGCATTCCACATAGATGCGTTGAACCTTAGATATTGCTCGTTGTATATGCCGTCGCTTGTCAAAGCATATTGTACGCAGATCAAAAGGCCTAGTACCCAACTTGCCAGGCGCTGCATAGCGGACACTATAGTAAGGTGTGAACAATGAGTCGAAGTGAAAAAGCAACGCGGTACGATAGAATGATGAACAACGGGAGCCTGTTATAAAGTGAAGAGTTCAGTTGAGTTTATCTGCTGTAACCGTGCTGCCCGCCGGAAGAGTTCAGAGTCCAGGGTCCAGGTCCAGCAAGGCCATTGACGTGTCTATTTTTGACCTAGACGTTCCTTGACGGCAGCAGTAACCACCTCCTATGCATAAGTTAGCACACGAACTTGCGACCACCTAGTCACCAATTCTCCTTCGTACTACCACAGATTGCAGACATGCTAAGTTCTCACCGTGGTGGGTTATCGTACTGTCCTTTCGTGCAGGACTGCTCGACGGTCACTGCTTTGTTACCTGCTGGTGGGGTATTTTGTACGCCTAGAGGCGCTGTCAAGACCGCAACGCATATGGGTCAAGGGAGCCTGTACCTTCGCCGCGAGCTTGCCGTATTTCTGCAGAGCGGAACACCGCATCTAAGGGTTCTCGAAATCGCGCTGCCATCAAACATGAGGCCGACAGTCTCGACACCGTTCGACGGCAGAATATGGAGAGAGAGGAGACTGCGTGCACATTTGGTTAACAGCAACGAAGTCGTCATCACTGTCGAAGATGAAGTTCCAATGGCTGAATGGCATCAGTACATTCGTAACATCGAAGAAGCTCGGAGGAGTCCGCCAGCATGGCAGCGGCGCGGAGCTGTCGTGCATGCAAACGCTGGTGTTGTCAGCCCTAAACAGGTGCAAACACTCTATCCGCTGGATACCAACCCCCAAGCACCGTGGTCACCACGCTTCGGACCGGAGCAAGCAACGCCGGGGACAGATTTCAGCGCTGTTTGCACCAGGTAACGACAGCCATACAATCTATGAGAGCTATACAGTAACTAACGAGAGCCAGCCTCGATGAAGCATTCGATCCCTTCGACATCCTATCCCTTAGCCCGTTCCCGGAGTACCTGCGCGAAGAGCTTGGATGAGATCAGACTGGCCAGCGGCTTTGTGTGATGATGTACAGTATCGTTAACGCTTCAGCTACCTCCGGCCCCGTAGTCTGACCGGTGTCTTTGCAGTCTCTCTGCTCTTGTTGCTCTTCTCATAAGCCTCCTTGAACCGCTTACGCATCTTGTGGTCTGTGGTTAGTCTATGAACAAGGTCAGTTATCTCATCCACCTCGCTATGTGCGTCCTCTTGCGCCTTGATTTTCAGCCGGTCACTCGGATGTGGCGTCACAAAGAGCAGATCGCTTTCTGATTCCTCATCGCTTGTACCGGCCTCACTTTCGGTTCCATCGCCCACAGCGTCTCCTAAGCTTGAATCGCTTTCCTGAGGCGCTCGCCTATCGAAACCCCGCAGCTTTGCTTCAAGCGCACGTCGCCTCCGGCGCTCTATGTTCAACTGCTCTTGAATGTCGTCCAGATCTAGCGAACGATACTTGTCGCGGTATTTTTCTGCGTACTTCTTCTGCGTGTTTCCGACGATCTTCGGGAGTCTTGCTTCCCTCCTTGCCTGCTCGACATCCTCGTCCGGCTCAATACCGAGGACTTGTCTTGTATGCGTGCCAGTATACCAGTGTCTATCAGGTTGTCCATCTTTCTGACCCTCGATGCAGTAGTACGTAATCGGCGCTGACCTGTAGCCGCCTCTTGGTTCCTTCCCTAAGCGGGTCGCGTGGGTAGAGCCTAATACTTTCGGGTCGTCAACCATTTTCAGGAACTTTGCGTCTCTCTTCTCTTTCGTAAGGTCAAGTGCCCCCTTGCTGCGTAACTCTTTCAAGGTGCGTGAGCCGAATCGACTGCTAGGCAGGTGCTCGCAGATTGCGAGTTTATCTGTTGGTTTGTTCATGCGGACTATGACCTGCACTCCCTTCCCACGTTTGAGCGTCCCAATGGCTTCACGGCGCACGCCTCGATCGCTGACATATACATCGGTTTTATACAGTGGTCCCTTCGACTCCGCGTTGCTTTGAGATACCCTCCCATTGCTGGCCATTTCAACGTCGCTGGCCGTTTCGTCATTGCTCTCTGCGTTTTCGCTATTGCTGTCTGCGTCATTTCTGCTGCCACCCGCATGAGCATTGCTTGATACGTCGCTGTCGTTGATTTCATCCGCATCGCGCATCTCGACGTCACCATGAGGTGGCATAGCTTGAATGGCATCATCCTTCTCTTCTGCAGACTCGTCGGTGACGGTCGCTTGTAACCTTTTGGCTTGCGTCACTCGTTGTGCTCGTTTAACATGTTTCTCCCTGAAAGCTTGGACCCAAGCGGACGGTAAGCCATGATTGGTAGCGAACACTTCCCAAAGTGCCTGGTGGTTGCGGAACTCCAAGTTTAACGTCTCGTTGTTCGGTCTAGACTGTATTATCGTAGCGAGCCTGTTCGCCTCACGGAGGTTCGGATCAATGCTGGCCCAGTTGATAGTGCGCTTATACTTCTTGTCCAACTTCGCCTTTTTAGAGCTGTCAAGTAGCGAGTAGCGCTTACTGGAGGTAAACTCTTCCCATCCATCGTTGTACAGTTTTTGGTGCCCGGACAACAATAAGGCATACTGTTCTCGGCCTGATTTCGAGTCCGGATCCGCGACGTATTGCATGAAATGCGAAGTATAGAATGAGTGAGCGTCGGAGATCATGGACGGCAGCAAAGTTTGTTCCACTCGACGGTCCGTGGGCACGTCCTCCCACTGCCCTGCCTTGTTAAGCACCTTTCCATCTTGGATGACTTCTAGCGGGCTGTCCCGATCCCACGTAGCTAAGAAGTGACAGTGTGCTTTGGTCAGCTCTTTATCCACGCATTGTAATATAGCTAGGTACTCGTCAGCTTCTGTGCTTGAACGGCTTGACTAACTACGTGCCTGCAGCAGCTCGTTCCCGACGTTCATCCTCCGGAGCCGTATAACAAAGTCGGAAGTCATCACAAATACTCTGCCAAAGGGTAATGTCACTCCCTTTCGCCAGCTTTACATTCTTCATAATTTCGGTAAGAGAGCGCTTCTCGACTCCTTTTTTGGTCCATCTCCGTAATACATCGTCGGTTTCAGCGTCTGCGAGGTCGGAGGGTTTCAGAGACGCCTGAATAGTTGTTCTAAATTGCTCCTTTGACTCCTCGTCGGTCTTTATCTTCTTCTTGCCGTTTGTTAACACATTGTAAGCATTACTAATTTTCAAGAACTTGGCCGTCTCTGCTTGTTTCTTTGTTTCGTCCGCTTCGCGATGCCGATCGGGGTGGTGTTCTAGAGCCAGCTTTCTGTACGTCTTCCGGACTAGCTCGGCATTGTTCTTGTCTTTAATATCAAGCTTAAGTGCTTTGCAAGCCTCCCTTTCCTCCTCCTCGCTCTTGCCTCCGTCTGGAATGTTGTACGCTCTAGTCGCCATGTTAGGACGTTAAGTAACGTTCCAACATATAGCAGAGTGGAAATCTGTGTTTTGCTATATACCTCCTTAGACGCTATTTCTGGCAGTTATATTAATAGGCCACCTTCGCTGCCTAGGTTTACTGTATATAGTTTCGTTTCGGGAAGCGTTCTAGAGGCGGCGCTAACGATCACTCCTTCTAACACATTGCGAGCCTATCTGCTTGTCTTTCTATAAGCAAGTCCGATTACTTTCTAACAAGATGCGGTTCGGTGTATGCTGGCGACTAGTACTTGCTATTGTTCTCCTAATCCTAGCACCTATAGCGCTGCTGCTCTCGGTGTATAGTAGTAGTCTTCAGCATAGCGCTCAGGACTACTCATTATTTACCGTATGTTCTACGTTTGGATGGGGACCTACATCTATTGATAATACGGCAGGTTAACACCTCTCGGATTGGCTCCCACCTATACACAGAGCTCTCTACTACGCTGAAAAATTGTCCTCCTCGCTCAAAGAAAGTCTATATTCCAGGAGCTGGCGCTATCGCTTCTGTTATCACAACTGGTGCTAGCCAGATACTCTGCAGCCTTCGTAATGAGGTCGAGACTGTAGTTGCAGACATCGAACAGAATGTGCACGGATCATTCGCACAAGCTTTCCGACTCCACGACTTTTATAGCTTCCATCTCTTAAGCGTTTGCTACGGATACTACACGCCAAGTGCTATCTCCAACGCCACTTACCCGAGCCCTGGATATAACGTTACTGGCTGTTCTAATCTGTCCGATAAGCTCGATATACAACCAGGGTATATGCTTCGTCAAGACATCGCGTATAGCGATGTAGCAAAGATTGTGAATCTGACTTCGCTTGATTGGCCACCTAAGCTGGACGAGCAGATGAAAACTCTTCAGTCGACCTTCTTAGCGCTCCTTTGGCTCGACATAATCGCTGCAGGAGTTACATGCTGTTATCTCTGCACTGTGGTTACAGTGATCTTTACCTACAAGAATACGATCGCCGCTTTGGCAGTATGGCTTGGCATACCAACTTCACTACTGACTATTAGTCTGGGAAGCCTCGCTACATACATGCGACACAAAGCTGTTGCAGTGGTTACTGAACTTGGAGCACCGGTCGGGGTTGCCGCGGGCGGTGGCTGGGCATTCATCGGGCTTCTATGGGCGGCTTTCTCGGCGGAATCATTGGGCACGGTCCTCTTGTGGTTAGCACAGCGGACTACGTCAAAGTGTGATTAAGTGTGACTTGAGTAGTCATGTTACGTATCAATATTGCTACACTCTACCCTCATTGAAGTATTTGGTGGTACGAGCATTGTATAGTCAAGAGCTATATAGCTTCAGTCACCCTCCAGAACTTCAGCCCACGGTGTGCTCTAGCTGGCACAGCCTGGTTCCGAAGGCCCGATATTCGTGGGCGTCGTGACATTGCCGGGCTCGTAGCTGCACAGAATTGTTTGTCCTTAACCTCGTAGTGAAGATGCGTCGTCGTCTGGGCTTGCGTCAGCATCAATGAATCGCCTTATGAAGAAGCTTACCTCTGCAAGTCGTAGACCCCAAAAAAGCACCTTGTAAAGCCTATCGTGTCTTGTCAATGCATCTGGCGGGTTATCACTGTCATACCTGTCCGAAGTCGGGCATGGTGGCAAGGGTACATGACAACACCACCAGGAACCACGGAGAAGCTGATCTTCGGGGGGTACCGGTACCGGGGATGTTGCTGAACAAGCAGCACGTATAGCGAGCTGTAATATGTAGTCTGACGACAATGTCGCAGGATGCTGCAATGCAGCCTTCCCAACTACCAGGTTCAACGCAGCGGCAACGTCTTCCCAAGGGACATCGTAGAGAGGTAAAGCTTCATGAAGAGATCGATGAATGATCGGATCGTTCGTGCTCTGACGATGAGCTTCTGCTGTGGATGACAGGAAACAGAGCGTAGCCTGTAGGAATGGTAGCATGTGGTAGAACGTGGTGCACTCTCGCGATAAAGTATCCAGAGCGATTTGCAAACACTGGAGCGTCCAGACTCTAGCATGCACCAGTATCCGCGAAGCCTTAGGGGCTTTTCGTAATGTCCTTGGCCGAACCACAGGTGCAAGCGTGACATTTGTGGCTCCATGAGGAAACATTTCGAACGCTATGCGGAGGGGATTAGTATGACTACCGAACTCGAGTATCGCGGCAGCATTGGTCGACGCGAGAAAGGTACCATTGAGATTCCACCAGGAGCCGTCGCATTGTTGTAGTAGTTCATGAGCAGCTTTGAGCGCTGCTTTGAGGTTCGCTTCAGGCTGATCATGAAGGAGGAAGTCATACACCCGGCAGACAGCAGCGTCCGTCGCTTCAAACAATGGCACCACCCTGGGATTGTTGACGTCAGCGTACTTGGTGGGCGTAGTGGGCTCAGGTTGGCCTCCGGACGAGGACGGTGCCGTGATGTTCGCAAGAACGGATGAGAGCGACTTGACCGCCATAAAATCCGCATCAACACTGGAGAGTGCGGCGGCGTATCGGGCGACTTGCCCAAGACCAGGGTCTTCTATCGCTCCAAGACAATGCTGCGCTCGGCCTATGTAGGGCGCACGGTACAGCGCCTCGGTCAACCATGACTGTGCAATTTTCGTCCATTGAAGACGTTCTTCAATGCTTACCGCCAAGGATGCATACTTCGCGGCAAGCTCCCCAAGGCACACGAGCCAAAACGGGGTCATTACTTTGTCTTGTACGACTTCCAAAAGATAGCCGAAAAATTGGTAGGACGATATCACAAAGCTTTCGGCAAAGACATTCGTTTCCGGCGCATGAAGCCGAAGAGCATCCAGAAAGTCTCGAATGCCATGCTGCCAGAGGCGTTGAAGCATCCTGCATTGCGTCGGTAATGCTTTGATCTCCGGTGTAGCGGAGGGATGTATTGTGCAGCTGAGGTACTCCATATGTTCTGCAAGCAGTGCCTGGTGAAGTGCATGCGCTGCCTGGCATTGACCGTTGTTTATGCGTTCCGCCTTACCAATTGTCTTGTCCAAGTCCATGCAACCTTCTTCGTACCTTTGCAGCACGGAATAGACAGCCTCCATAATATGTGCAAGCTGTGCAGCCGACGACTTCTCCCTCTTAGTGATAGCAACGCCAGGGACATCCACAGACATTGCAACGGCGACGTTGATGCGTAAGTCGGGCCATGCCGGCGCTTTCCTTCGTATTGCGATCGGTAGTGCCACAATCCGCGAGTTGCCGTTGGGGTTCCCAGACCCTCCGAGTTGGGAGGAGGAACCGCGCGAGCGGTCCGTCGGTACGCAATCACTCGTGCCGCAATCGCTGAGCAAAGGAACGTCCTCATGTATCGCTGGACTGGAAGCCACATAATACGAAGCGGCAGACTCCATGCTTCCTGTTATATTAACTCCGGAAGCGACGCAGGATCCAATCGACAAGTGCTTTCGTCGACAAGTGCTTTCGTGGGCAAGTGGCCTTGAAGCGGCTGGAAGGATAGAGCGACGTGTAGATCTCCAAAGCAGTACTGATAGCAAGTAGTTGAAACAAAGAAGAGCACCGTTGCCAGTGGCTATACACCTTCGCAAGTAACCAGGTCCACTGGTCTGTGGGTCAGACCGGTATCAAGTCGTCGATTGTCGGGCAGGTAAGGCTATTTTTGGTTATATCGACAAGTCAATATAACTGAGAATAGAAGCATAGCCTCAGGCAATGCAGGTCACCTGTAGCTGCTGATGAGAATTGACCGCTACAAACTGAATTTCTGCGGGTGTTGCTCTCTTACCTGTCCTAGTAAACCTTCTTGGATAGCCGCACATGTTGGGTCTAAGAAGTCTAGGCTTGTAACGGCAAGTTTGACGCTCACCCAATGCTTCGCTCGCGATTCACGCGCCGCTCATACTAGGCTCGACTCTTGTGCTAGCATCACCGTGACAATAGCATTTCAGCATTATTAGCTAAGGTGCAGTAGGTCTTGGAAGTCCTCGCATAGGGGAAACCCGAGTTATGACGGTTTACTTGTGCCTACATGGGAGCGCCTGTATGTCGAGGTGAGGTTCAAGATCTTAGCGCTGCCTGTATTGCGTCTGTGCGTTAGACGCCGAGGACGGCAAGCGCTTATAGCTGCCGATCTTCGTGCCGAACCCTCACCAGGCCTCAAATCCAAAGATGCTTCTGATGCGATTCACGACTCCCAGCTGCCACACATACTGGACCACAAGCCTCCACACAATTAGACCAATGGATCGACCATCACATCGAGCACTGTGTATCATCGAACTGCTTGAGCACATCTTCAGCTTTCTTCCCGCGAGACAGCTGCTTGAAATGCTAGCAGTGTGCCGGACTTTCGCCGCGACGATCGTAGCATCTCAAAGACTCCGAGACATGATCTCTCGTGAAGTCACTGCATACGAGCTTCAAGCACGGACTCCTTCCTTCCCACCCTCTATACAAGGCATGCACTTCAGAACAATCCAAACCAAAGGCGTAACAGGCCTTCTAGCCGTTATCAACCTGCAATGCTTCGACCGCAGGCAATGGAACAGCTTGCGACACGCGAGACCCTTTCATCGATGTTACTTGGCGACACCGCCTCCAGTCTCGGCTACTGTCCAGGTAGACTGCTACTGCCCAACGATACGACAACAAAAGCTGTTCCAGCGCCGTGGGCTAGAATTCGGGCTTATTTTCGCCGCTATTGACGCGCTGACTAGTCGGAAGCTATCTTGCAGCGCGTGCTCAGCGAGGTTTTACGTCCGCATCAATGCCGGTTTCGCGGTCTCGAAGCAAAGCGTCGAACGAAGACTCAGGTGCCTAGAGTCTAGTAGCACGGCAACGGCAACAGGTCGTCAAGACACCTATTGATCGGCTTATCTACTCAGTAGCGCCAGTTGTTGTGTAAAGCTTAGGCGTAGATGGGTCAACGCTAATAGAGCAGGAATAATTTGGACTATGCCTTTCCCGCCGCCACAAGACCTTCCAAATCCTGAAACACTCGGCCAATAACCCGAAGCCACCCTTTCAAGATATCTAAGATGCGTTAGAACGATCACTGTCTATTTCTACGCGCCCACTCTGAGACAGGCTAGTCCTTTGCAGCATAAGAAATGAGAGTACCTTGGCAGGATCATAGGGCACCTAGCGTCCTGGCAAGCACTTCTAGATATCTAAATATGCATTATCGCGACATTCCACACCTTTGCATAATAGCTATTCTCTCCTCTGTAGCCTTCTGGTAGATTATTCGTACTACTATCATGCATGTCTACATCGTTCTCCAGCTTGCAGTCGGCATCCACGTACTCGCTACTTACAAGGCACAATATCAGCACGTGCTAGTCGAGGATTATGAATTTGGACAGATCCCCGCTGGCGACGAAGTCTGTCTAGCGGTCCAGGAGACCGCTACACTCCAGGAGCCGTGGTAAAGCCTTTTCAGTGCGATTAATGACAAAATGCTAACACTAACTATACAAGGCTTACTCGTTGTCGACTACGGTACCTTGCAGAAAATCAGGCGGCTCCAGTGCGTTTTGGCAACACCTGCAGCTTTCGGCCGGGTAGGACTGCACCATGCCTCAGTGCCGATGCCCACGTTGCCGACAATGATGTCCGTAGCAACACCGCCCGACTAGATTTTAGCGATGCCAGTCATGCTACCTGCCCAGATGGCACGCGCCCCACAGCCAAATCACCGATTGCTTTCTTCCTGGACGAGGAGTCATGTCTGGCTGTCAGGTCGCAAGCAAATGGGGAATGCTTTCAAGTCGAAGGCACACAGAGCGCTCCGTATTACTTTGTCCCGCATGCACCTGCACCTGGTGCCGAGAGCTTGTAGGGAAAATATATGTATAGACATTGAACAGGACCTAGATAGGATGTTTAGTGTGTAAATTCCTTGCGGGTTGCATCTAAGACATGTGCTTGTTCCAACGTCTTATTCTTATCACAAGGTCCACCTCAACTGCGAAGCACGCGTATTGCCACACCGAGCGCTTCGCCATGCTCGCCACTTGCTGCGGTACTTTAGCCGCCACCATTGACTAAACTCATTGTGTTCATGCATCTGCGAGTAAGCGCTGCACCGCCTCTGCTGGATATTCCAGGAACATGAGTGGTGTATATGCATGCGGGCGGCAGCAGCAGCATTTGGGGCTCTGCACACCGGCGCTTATACAACATTGCAGTTGCTTTTGGGTGTCGCATAAGGACAATATATCGGCAACAATGGAACCAGTCAAATGCACAATCACTCGTAGACCCCGCAAATGTCGAGTTACACAGCAGCAGAGATATTGCCGACGACCTTGCGCCAAGGCTGGAATTGCTCAACGCTCTCCACGATGAACTACACATTCGCAATGATCAACTACACATCTTCACTGATCGAAAGTGCCGCTTCAGCGCACTATGAGGTTGTTCAGACGTCGCGAGTAACTCAAACGGTCCTGTGGATCTCGCCAGCTACAAGCTTCGTCGTCCAGACCATACCGGTCACCTCGACGCCAAACCCGACAGCATCAGCGTGGAACATTCAGCGAGCGAGGCCGAGCACGCTCACAGAAGCGCAGGCTGCCACTATCGGCGCGGCTACGATGCTCATACTTGCGCTCGTCATGTTCGGTGTGTGGCTTTTACTCGCCCGCCGTGCACGCCGAGGACGCTACCGCTCGGTTCCATCTAATACCGCTCCGCTGCGCCGTCCCCCTATCTCGCCGCCGATGCCCATATCAGTAGGAGGGGACCCAAGCAAGGACGTGCGAAGTATACCAAATACGAGTACAAGAGCAGGTTATATTAGTATCACTGCAGACAGAACAGTGCAAGCGCCTTCAAAGCCTCCAGTGTCACCGATAAGTTACCACGACTGCGATGAGCTAGATCTACGTCCAGACGAGCTCTGCTACTACGAGAGTCTGCTCTATAACACTGCAGACCCGGACACATGTGTTATCAGCCATCACCGGGATAGCACTGTTAGTGAGCATTACGCCACTAAAGCGTCGACACCTACCGCACCAACAGTATACCGCCTAAGCGTATCTACAGTATCATCGAACGTCCGGCCTGCAACTACTATACTTGGCACGGTAGATGTTAGTAGCAGGCGCGAAAATATACGTCGGTATGTCGCATCTAGATCTAGTTTGTGTCGATGCTGGCTAACACCGTGTAGGATGACCTTCCCTATGAAGAGGTAAAGATTTGCATAGTCTTAATATAGAGATGAAGGTAGACTCGGTAAGGCGCTTGTCTACACTGCGGCGGTCAGTCCCTCGTTGCTCGAGTATTATGCTATACTACCTTCGTGTCTCTTACTTCGTTGTATAACCTCTGGGATTACATTGATCGGAGCTCCGCCTGCAAATTCGTTCCTTGCGATCATTAATTCTAGCTACTCTTTGATGTTGCTTTTTCGTCGTGAGCTCCAGATGCAGTTCTTTGCTAACAGTGCTTACGAGACGATGCAGACCCGTCGGGGAATAAGACTCCAGCTATGTCTAGAGGGTGTATACAAAGTATTGCAGGTTCACTACCTACTGGGATGGGCTAAGCTAGTGCGAGTCTGGCGTTTCGCCGATACATGACGGCTATATTTAGAAGGCTCAACATGCTGTGCTGCTGAGGGTGTGAGCATAAACAGGGAATACACGCAGCCATACTGAACAGGTACCTTTACGGAGCTGCCTGTGCGGTTGATAACGGATGTGGATGCCTATTCCCCGTGTCGCACCTGACAATCGCGTGACGATCATGGCCCTCACGAACGACTCTCCGACAGCATCTGCACAATTGACAGGCACCCAACGCCTGCTGAACACATTTCCCACAAGGAATGACTCGCTCATGATGACTACGACTTCCAAGGCCCAGGAGGCCACAAATCTGCCACCATGCGACGCCCCTTGCTTGCAGGAGCGGCCGACCGTAACTTCGAACGGGTACTAGACACCAAGGACTCTCAAGCTGCTGGCAAGCTCTAAAATGCATGGAGGGCATGCTGACCCAAAATCAAGCAGAGATGCTTCCAACCGACAGCCGCCGCCGACTTCGCCTAGAAAGTTCCATCGCGTTCACGGTTTCTTTGGTATATTGAGTCAACTCTGGAAGAAACTCTACGCTGAGAGCGAGGGGGAGCGCAAAAACGAGCGTGTAGAAGACCGGCATTGGACCGAGCTCTAGAACGTGTGTTGGATGGGGTCTAAAGGCCGTGGGCAGACGAGGCATGCTGTCGAGATCAGGTCGCTAGGTAACGCTGTGCGACTATCTGCATACCGTAGGTTCAACTGTATCCGCGCTTTTATTGATTGTCTAATCTCGTATGATCATTCGGCATTCAGGCAACGAAGCACCCACGCAATATTGTTTACACCTAAGTGTGCAGCGCTGAAGGACCTGTCGTGCTATGCAATACAGGTTGGCCTTAGGCTATAAAGATTTATTCCTGCTTCCGTAAGTCTTGAGCTTCAAGCACTGCTCGCACCTCGCTAATTGCACAGCTACAGCTCTTTGCCGTTTCGCATAACAAACTAGACGCCTGGATCAGACGCTCTAAAATGTCTCTATTTTCGGCGCTAGATCCTTGTAGTTGTATTTTCTCAGCTGTACGTATCCTGGATCAGAACTTTTACTACGCTTCTACGATCTATTGTTTACCTTGCTCTGTGTTGTAGGAAGCTATAGCCCTACGTCGACGATGACGCTGATGCAAGGCTCGGAGCTGTACCGCAAGTAGCAGCAATAGATCATGTAATCGAGCACTCTCCCGTTTCTGCTCTGTCGAAGCTGTCGAAGTTGTCGATATTAGATCGAGTATCTGGATCGAGTCGGTATGAGCGAGGAGACGCACGCACTTCTGTGATAGGGAACGTAAAGCCATAGTAGTAATCCAACCGTAGGTCGAGAAGACGTCGATGTCTAGGGTGTCGTATCTACCCTTTCTTATTTATCCTGATATATGTACGCTATTTTTACAGTAGTGGTCCAAGCTAAGTATAGTATCGGTGTCGAAGTATTTAAGGGTGCCTATCTGTAGGCAGCTACACAACATAATTAGAGACTTTGATAGGAATAGAGGCATAATGCTTACAATCTATATCGGCCATTCTCCGACACTATTTGTCTACTTTCTCGTCTGGTCGCCTCCGTGGGAGGTTGTCCGTCTCCAGTGGACTAATTTTCGACTGTTCCGGTACCTCGTACAGCAACAGATTGCGCAAACATACAGTAGCGGCACTAGCAATATAACGGAGAAGACCGCGCTTCTAAGTAAGGATAGGTATTCATTTGCATAATAAAGACGGCACTGATGTTTCTAGGATCTGTAGAGGATTAGGAGTATCAACTAGTATCGAACAAACATGTTATATCAATACAAAGGGAAGCTCTTACGCTGCTAGGTCGGAAGCGAACATAGGACGTGGATGGGTTATCGTTGTTAGATAACGCTGTGTTTACAATACTGCGTGATCCTAGCATATGTCGTACATTAGTCTACTGTTGTACCGTCCATCCTGGGGACGCGGGACGCACTGCGTTGCGGGACAAGGTGAGCGATGTGGCGTATAAAGTGGCGTTCTCGCGCCACTGGTGGCGTACAGATTGGGTCTTCCATCCGTTTCTGTGGCATATAGCCACTTCTACGCCGATGTCGCACACAACCACACCTACGAACAGGCAGCTTCTCCCATTGTTTTTCCCTTTCCCTCTCAAATCAATCATGGCTGGCCAAACAGCGGTAGTTACGTGCCGAGTCTGTGACAGTACCCACCGCACCTCGACCACGGCACCATGTTGCGACGGTAGGCTCACTAGGGACAAGCCCATGTGCGCTCTTTGCTGACAATCAGCCCACAGCAAGCTGTCTCCAGAGGATCGCTGAACGCGATTGCGTCTTGGAGTGCGGCGTGGAAGAGCTTGGATGCGGCACCGAGGATGTAACCTCATCACCCTCCGGTAAGCGCAAACGCGGCGCCTGTAGCGAACACGCCAGGAAGACCCAGAGGACCTTTGCAGACATATTGAAAGCGTTGGT